ATACAGTCTTACAGACCTCAATTAAACGCGTCTTTATTTGGTGTCAACAGCATCTGCGCTTTGTTTCCACAGGATTACTACGCAACAGTTTAAAGGCTCGGCCTGTAAATAGACCAAACGACCGCAAGTTTATAGCATTTGCGTATTTTAAGTAATCTCAACAAAATGGTGTACAATTCTTTGACCGAGCCTCCCCGAAACCTCAAGGAGGGTGTTGACTGGTTGGTAGCACTGAAGGGAACCGATGCTGAAAAGAACTTGGCGGCTTTCGGCGCAGCCGTACACAAATTCCTCGCAGACAAGCCTGTTGGATTTATGAAGGTGGAAGCTATCGAAAATGTTAAACCTATCACTAAAGCATTCATCGGGCAAGAGGAACTTAAGAACGAGCCATTCGCAACTAAGCTGTTTGAGAAATTCAATGGACCGGTGAAAAAGGAAAGGCCCGGTTTCTTCGGTAGGTTAAGAAAATACCTCAGTACATCCTACATCGAAAGCGATTACTCGAACATCATTGAATTCGAGGGTGCTGACGCTGAAACCGTAACAAAAGCCCTGCACCAACTGACGAGTTTTTGTGAGCAGTTGTTGGAAGATGTCAAAATCGCTGACAAGTATGAGTCTGCTTACAGTGGAAAGGCGACATGGGCTAAATCATGCTCGAAAAAACCGGAATATTGTGCAGCGCTCTTCGTGGGTATTGCGCCCATGTTATACACAGGCCTACGTACTTTGAGGGAAACGTGCCAGTTTGCATTTCAAGATTGGGAGAAGTCTTACGCAGAGAAGCGTGTGGGAGAGGTGATGCAAGCTTTGGGTTACAAGGAGCCTGAATGCCGCGCTACATTGAGCACTTTGGATATCTCCAGTGTGTGGGCGGATGTGCCTATTCGCGTATTGGGGTTACTCTACGACCTCTCTGGATTCTGGGCTTTCTATTAAGCACGGATAGCAAGTTAGCTGTACAAGCAATCCGAAACAACAGGTTCTGAGACTGGATCCGTAGTTAGCCGGCATAAGGATTATCACAAAATATACCGAATTCATGAAACGTTATCATAGTCGTATTTATGTTTACACTCTTAATCCACAATAATGCTGCCGTATAGTGAGGGCAAATACAGTTTGGAACTTCCGTTTAATCTCTTTCATGGCACAAAATGGCGACTTGCTTTTGAACATCGCACTTTTTCATCATCGTATGGCACGCGGGCGTGGTATGTACGCCCGACGTTTATGGGTTACGCTGCGTACTGCTTTATGCCTTATCTGGTGGATGATGAATCCATGCCGACTTAGCAAAGCCCGACGTCTTGCACGTTATTGAAATGCAGAACGCCTTGTGAGTTTGCGGCGTATTAACACGTGTAGATTGTATCACACAACAACTCCATCTTCCATCGTACTTAGTCTTCTAGGGGCGCATAGCTTTATTTTACACCCGCATTAGCAAACATGGTGGTGATACACGATGGGTGGGTTGTTCAGCTCCCAGGCGTGTGAGTCGTATACTTGCTCCGTACAACGAAGCTGCGCTATACCACGGTGCACTGGATTGCATCTAGCATGCCAGCACCGTGCGATGTATAGTTAACATCCATTACCGATACGTAGTGAGACGCTTGCCCAGTAAACACGAAAATCGGCCCTAAGCCACGTAGCCACATAGCAGATGAAACAAAACCAAAACAAAGAAATAATAATTAACTGCTATATAGTTATGATTTGGAGGGGCGCGGAGATTATGCATATGCATTATATGGCTGGTCGATGCAATATATTGTGTGTTTAAAAGCGTCTCATTCAGGTGAAAGCCTGCAAGTTAAGTTCATAGAGATTGTAGCGTTACTCCCAGCTTAGGTGGTGGAAGACGTGTGAAGATAGAGACTGTTGCCGGGCAGGGCTAAGCCGCGCTTCACATTTGGATGGATGGGTTACGTGCCTGTGCCTCTACCTCTTGCGTTCCTTCGACGGCGGTTAAGGGTGGCGCGGTAGCATGGCTAGTGCGGTTGCGATTCGTTAACAATGAAGCATACGTAGAGTTGCAATTGGGGCGATCAAGCTGATTATAAGGTGTGGAATTACCGCGTTAATCTGTGCGCCGTTGCGTATGCTTGATCCTTCCAATATATCTGCAAGCATACGTACAGACGCAATTAAAATGCATATAGACGCACAATGAAACATCTAGATGCGAATCGTCTGCTATCGATGCAAACTATGCCCACGTTCTGCTTGTCTACGTGTATATGCTGCGATAATAACCTCCGAGCGATATATGAAATGACATAAAACACATCGTAACATACGCGTGAGGCCAGTGCGATGTGTAACTGTATAACATTCGGAGGAGTTACCTTTAATGGAGGTAAATGGCACGTGCTATCTACACACCCGGCTCTCTCAGGTGGGCCATTTTCCATACCAAGCTATTCTTATTACGACTTGTGTATCCAAATGTTGAGCTGCGGATTGTAGATATAATCGGTGTGAATTCGCGTTTTTACGACTAGACATTGGTTCCATGTCCACTAATCTCCGCCGCGTCGTAAACATAAAACCGGAGTACTTTTGACGACCTTAACCTGCGATTTGACTTGATTTTTATGATATAAGGCATTGACACAAAAAGCACATCGCATTTTGAGTGCATCCAAAAAGGCGCGTTAATATCATTAGACGTGCTGCCAGTAGTAGGGCTCGCAGAGCAGCTCCTCAATAGACAAATGTATAGATGATGTAAACATAATCTGAGTGCAAATGAAAAATATCAAAAAGGTTCGGCGGGAGACGTCTAAAGCATCGGAATCTAATGATAATGAATCGCATAAACGACGTCGCAATTTCAGCATAACGTCAGCGAAGCAGCGCCTAAGTGGCTCAAGATTCCGAACTTTAAATGAAAAACTATACACATCGACTAGCGAGGACAATTTCCTTTATTACAAACGCAACCCAGGACTATTCGAAATAGTAGGCATATAAAATTGAGCTCCTGATATTTTGCCCTAGTACCATGAAGGCTACCAAGAGCAAGTTTCAAAGTGGCCCTTTAACCCTTTGACACATGTGATTTCTTGGTTAGAAAAGCAATGCGATGACAAAGTGTATGTTATATACTGATTCTTATTATGTTATGGTCAGTATCGGCGACTTCGGTTGTGGAGAAGCTTTGATAGCTCAGCGATTTCCTGGAAGGTGAGTCAAAGTTCAAAGGTAATATAATAATACAGAACAATTCATTCATTCGACCTGATTGCCGCAAATCCACACATCACGGCGTGCAACATGACCAAGGTGCCATCTCCAAGCAATACGTGTCATTACAGCTCAGGTGCCACTGGACGACAGCACACTTGACATTGGCATTTTCTGTTTAAGTCTAATGGGCCACGATTGGCCTCTATTTATTGTGGAAGCCACACGCTGCCTTAAGGAAGGGTAATTTGCGTTGATGTTGAGCATGCATCGCAGAGGTGTGATAAAAATAGTGGAAGTAAAAAGTCGCCTTAAGGGCGCCAAAGAGTTCGAAAAATTCCTCGAATCCCTTGGATACAAGAAAGACAGCGCTGGATCAGCTGACGTAAGATAGATTTCGTCAAAACATATGGCCATCAGGAATCGGACTTTTTCGCTTTCTTTCAGTTTATTTTATACAAAAAGCCACCGAAGGACTCGTCACACAAAAAGTCCTACGCTAGCGAACTACTGTTACCTTGCCCGTATAAGCGTCGATAAGTAACTTATAAACTTGCAATGTAGTACAAAGTGCCTCTCTAAAAAGGAACAGATAACAGACTTCCAAGCGACCCATCAATGCTAGTTTCATATGGACCACATAACAACATGGATCCAGTAATTGGCGTTATATTACTTAATGAGAACCCCCTCGTGCCGTTTCATAGCAGGGAATAGGGACAGCCAATTTCAATGGATGTGAGATGTCCATCATCGAATCGTAGCGGTTCTCCGTTATGTTGAGACATATAAAACACAAAAATCCAACACACTCCGGATGATTTTAGCATGCTATCTTAGGTCAGTTCAAGATTCAAACCAATTAAATTCTGTCCCCATGGCCCGACGGTATCCTCGTACTGGTTGATCATTGCGTAGGGATTATACACGTAAAAATATAAAATGACGCATTTTCCCTTGAGAAGCAACACGTAAGTAAAGTCGACAATGGAATACTATTTTACGCCGAATAGAGCAGAAATTTCGCCACGATTTATTTTTTCACATAAAAAACGCACACACCCTACCGAATGCCTCATTTGCGACACAAACCATCGTACACGTGGTTGGAAGGTGCTGCCAAAAATGTTCGTTACAATGTAATTGGTTTTTAGCCGGTATGAAACTGCACAGGCGTGCGCCCTTACCTCTACGTCAGCACTGTGTAACAATCCCGGGAGCCGTTGGCTGCATCCATAACAGGAAGTAAAATCCACAGCCCTAACATCAACCAATTATTGCGCAATAGCCTAATCGAAACAGGTGACAGCGTGATTCAGCGCCCTGATTGCACCAACGTAGCGACATCGCTCTTGAATGGCAGGCGAGTAGAATCGTGCGCTGTGCTTCTCAATGACAGAGTCATCTCACAGATACGACATTAATTGGCTGGTATAATAAAATTCTGGACGGTTAGGACCGTTTCCAGCCTGCGATACCCTCAATTGGTCGTGGAACTGGGTGTGTGCCATCGATGAATCTAAAAAACCTGAGAGAGCGCCATTAGGACAAATGAATCACAAAAGAGCATTGAGTTGATTAAAAGTATGTTTGGGATGTTCGTTCAAGGGATTTTTCATACCATCAGGTTTGAATTTGCCGTATCATAATATGTCGGATTTTATCTCAACTGTGGACATATGGTGCTTCATTTGTACGTTTGAGAACTTGCAAGCCAACGTTCTATAAGATTAGGATGATATTATGAGATGAATGATTCCCAAGCACTGATAGGTGCCTCTTTTCATTCCATGTAGGGCAGAATGGTTTCATGGGAAGGACGCGGCATCGCCACCGCGGTGGTGTTCTTAACTGCTCTGAGCTTTTCTGCCTGTGACATTTATTCGTCATCAGCAGATGGCATTTCGGGCGAGAGATGTTTGCGTTTTGAGGAGGGCAGCTGTAGTGTATGGTTGCACAAGGGCAATGCGGCCGAGGTATGTTGTTGCCAAACAGCGTCATGACAGCGCAGCATTCTATAAGTTTGGAGCGTTACCAGATGCCCGATAGTGTTTCTGCATTACAAATTGCGTCGAGTAACCATGAATCATTTAAAAATGGAAAAATATCTTTTGCCAAAAGAGGCGAAGGCATATTCGGTTCAATAGGTTACGATGAACACAAAAATAGAAGGCCAGCGTTTCGTACTATGACGAACAAGCTTAATAAGCGCATAGCAATGCTCAAACGGTGCGATCACGGAAATTATATCCCGATACAGCAAACGAAAGACGTAAGTTGAATGTCGATTCACATTTTCCACAAACATTTGCGTACGATATCCACGACAAGCACTGCATGAAAATATAATTATGCGAATAATTGTGTCTCAGAGCCTGTACGTTGGGGAGATAAAAATTGGCACCCCCCCGCAAACATTCCATCCTATTTTTGATACGGGCAGCACGTAGGTTTGAGACGCGATTTAATAACATATAAATAGGAACCTCTGGGTGGTTGGATCGACCTGTAAGGAGCCTTCCTGCTCTAAGGTGTCGCGTTACGATGCGACACGCTCAACTACGTTCAAGATGATGGACACACCCATAAAGATTCATATAAAGGTGCGTTAACTTTAAACAATGCGTTTTACCCCTTTGGAACATTTTATATGACTTCAGTTTGGTACTGGTGAAATTGAAGGTTATCCAGCTAGGGATACCGTGATATTAGGGAAAACAGCGATTCCGGACCAATCTCTTGCAGTTGTAGTCTCTGAGAGATCGGTCGGTGGGGACAACATCTTCGACAAAATAAACTTTGAGGGTATTGTGGGCCTGGCATTCCCAGAAATGAGCAGTGTTCCTGGAATTCCTATATTCGATCACATGGCCCTTCTGAAAAATATGAAACACAAGGAATTTGCTTTCTACATAGGTGAAAACGACAAGGTTAGTTTCAACATTACCTTAACATACCTCTTAGGACTCACGGATTATGTTAGGAGGTGTAGATCCGCAATATTATCTGGGTGAGATACAAATGTTTCCCGTGGTCCGTGAGCACTACTGGGAAGTAAAGCTGGATGGCCTCTACGTAGGTAACGAGAAGCTATGTTGCGATGGAGAGAGCTCGTATCTCATTTTCGATTCCGGAACATCGCTAAACACCATACCAAGCTCCTATTTTGACCGTTTCATGTCATATTTCGAAAGCAAGGTATGTCGTGATCGATTCTGTATATTTATTACAGATATGTGACCTTGGGGCGGATTACCCTACAATAACTTATATTCTGGTAAGCAAGCGCTTCAAAACATAACAATTAGAGCAGCAAGGAGAGCGAATAACTCTTGAACCTCATCAATACATGTTGAGGCAAGGAAAACGTTGTGTACCGGCATTTATGCAACTGGATGTACCATCGGAATTCGGCAACGCTTTCATCGTGGGATCAAATGCCTTTATGAAACACTACGTCACTGTTTATCATCGAGGTACTGGAGGGAAGACATCTATGGTTCGTCGTGAGAAATACAAAATAACGCGTTTGCAGGTGGGGATTGCTAAATCAAATCACAGTGCAACGTAGCACAATTGGATTTCACATAGTGCAGAATAGGGATTTATTGATACGATTTTAATGTAGTAAGAGTTTCGAGTTGCATAAGGTTTAGTGCTTTATTCGACACAAAATTCATCTTCAACGGGTATGGGGTAAGGCTCCGGAGAGTAGCCTCTCGAGCCAGTTACCCATAATTGCGATAACGAGCACCCTTGCGACTCGCAAATTGGGCAATGAGGACGATTTTGATCCACAAAATTATCCATTTCTGAGCTTGTCAGAGACTCCCCATCGTGTGCTTTAACGGTATGAGAGAAGACGTGATAGCCACAGTTCGAGCAAACTTGTTGCACGTGCGGCTGAGAAGAACTGAGACGGTAAAAAATTGTGGCCTTTTGGTGTTCCGTAGGTTCGGGGGGCAAGGTGAATCCTGGCACTTTCGAGTGTATCTTGAGTCCAACGCCATGACGGATCATGTGTTGCAACATCTCTTGATCCTTCAGGTAAAACACCGGATCATCACCAAACAAAAGCAGAGTATCCACGTTGCCACCAGAAGGGCTGCTGACGTTGTCATTATCAATTGCATTTAAGTGACATCTGTGCTCCCATGCATCGCTAAAAGACGCGCTATACTCTCTTGCGTACTTATTCGCCTCCTGACACCTAGGATCCACAAAGAGCAATTGTGGAGGCCTCGGATTTGTGATCGAATCCCCCATATTGTGCACATTTACCAGAGACTCCACAGGCATTTCCACGGCGGACGCAAATTGCCACTGTAGATGTTCCAACATTGACAAAAAGACCAAGCTATCAGTCAGCAAAATATTGGGCGATATTACGTACTCTTCTCGTAAACCGTGTATTATTCTTCCGGATATGCGACCATCTGGTTTCTCGTGTCCATTATTGCCTTTTATGTTTGTTGACGTATGCATACCAACGTTTTCACCACCGTCCGACATAAGTTGCATCTCATGATGGTCTTCTATTATCCTTCCTCTCATACGACGTCTATATATAGCCTCAGCAAGTTCATATTCCTTTTTGCAATTACGCAGGACCAAATCGGATAGTTGTTCGGGTGAGAGGTGCTCAAATGGTTCCATCTCTTTAGCAACCAAAGCCAAACCCCTCTGACGGGTTTCTAAATCAGTGGGTACGAACTTGTCTTCTTCATTTTCGTCACCACGTAACATCCTATTCATCAACCTGCTAGCCGGAGTACTGCCGGGAGGATCGTAGTTAGGGTCATCTTCCGGATTTACGTAAAAGGGCTGAGGGAGCGGCTTCCCACCACCTATTGTAGGTTTATGTGCAGGCGTAAAATAGCCATGTCGCATGGTTAAATCAATGGTATATAATTTATTCAACCTGAATATCCTATCGATTTCGATTCTTTCCCAATCTGTGATGTTTTCACAGATATGATGAATCTGTTGCTTACGACAGTGTGCAAGCATAGCTAGCTTGGGCATTTCCTGCAGGTTTGCCTCTGTATGCGTTCCATCTTGTATGAGTATGCGTTCCTTTACCTCTTCCAATTTGCCATTTATAACCTCGTTATATAAGTTGTAACATTCTGCTCTCTCTAACATTAGAACTGACCACCCGCAACTGGGTGGATCACAAGTTCTGACATCGTTCAAGAATGCAGCCAACCATGCGGGTTTCAGCATAGTTTTGGTTGCAACATCTATACGACCATCCGATCTTCTAAGTGCGGGCACTATTTCATTACCCAATAATCGAACTAATTCAGTTCTGCGACTCTTCTGATCCTTCGTTGATCCCGCCATAGGCGGCGGTATGGGAGGGTCTGTTTTAGACCTTTGCTCCATTTTTATAGTTAAAATACGATCAATTTCCTCTTTGTACAATGCACCTAAACCCTATTCGAGGCATGGTATAATGAACGTACGTTTGTATTCCGCTACGGCATTTTCTGGCTCTACGTTGGCTTCTTTGTATATATTGTGAAGCGCCGCTATTGGAGGTATCGTTCCACCACTTTCCTTGCCCATAAGCACATAGTAAAGCAAGATGAGCAAATTGGCCTGAGTTGTATCGCTGCATGAACTCATCGAATGATATAACGCCTCCTCCACAACATCCTTCTCCACGTCCACCAGGAGTTCGCGCACTAGGATTACTTTATAAAGAGGAAATGAACCAGCAACCTTTAAACGCTCAAATAGATCGCAAATATGCGCCTTTTTACGAGTTGAGAAATCAGAGTGTGAGATTCTATATTCCTCATTAGGTGCCTCACTGTGACAACTTACTTAAACTGTTCGTACATCCGTTTCAATGCATCAGCTTCATCGTTGGAATCAACGATATCGAACAAGCTCACCTTCAACTCCTGTTGATATATTAGCTCTAATAGCCACAACATTTAATTTACCACCTAACGTACCTTTTCCCGACCGCAGCCGATATGAAACATCCGAAGCACACATTTCCACGCGCTCACTACAGAAAGCACACAATCTCCATTTCTGAACAAATAGACTAAGTTATAATAACAGCTTACCGCAAGATATCTAAGGAATCCCTATGAATGCTTTGATATATGGGAGGGCAGGGCCTATTGATAAAACCAGGGGCTGCCCGGACGAGTTGTTTCATGTTATAGACGTTATCATTCTATGGCAACATCAAATATATTGTATTAATAGCGACGCTGTAAACAGTGGCCGCACTGTAGTGACGTCCACGGCCAACGTGATAATACCACAGCTAAAGCAGCGTCAGACATTACCAGATGAACGAATATTACCGTGATTCATGTTGGATTTTACATTTTAATAATCTAGACATGACAAACCATCATGAATTTAGTCTTCGCGCCCTCCACCATGATGTTGACAACGCGTCATGACACTGAGTAGGCTTCGTTACAATCTGATAAAACCTGCTCTACACATGTTTGTATATTTTGCTAACTAATGTGCGGTCATATGAAGGGGGTTTTCACAAATGGGTGATGCTTCCAACGTTTACACCTTCAGACAGCCTGTTTTATCGCGTTATGTATGAATAAGCGGTTTTAGACTGTAACAAAGATCGTGTTGATCATTTATAGAGAAAGTGTGACGCAGAAGAACGGCGCTGCGGATGCGTATGTTTGTTTGGTTGCTCGGAATTAGGATGCCAGATGGCAAAGATGATCGAGGGTAACATTTAGCATTGTCGAGAGAATTGCATGAGTTCAGTTCTTCGAAGTTTGTGCTGACATCGACTTCGGCTCGTAAAATCTTTAATTGCAACACCAGGTATGGTTTCCGTCACGTCTTTGCAACATCATGCATCAGCTTCGCCAGTGTACTGTTGACTCTTCATAACGCCCTCATACGCTTCAAGGTAGTATTATCGTCACATATAACTGCCCATTGAAGATAATTTCGAACAACGAAGTTAACAAAGAGCGTAGTGGCATTCGCCTCCAAATTCAAAACGCTGTAGGCTGGGAGTAAACATTTCCGACTTATTAACAATATTTGTTGAAGTGTATTTTTGGTGCTTCAGATTGACTTCAATTTGATTCGACGCGCTTAATCTACTTATCATCTAGCACTAATGTCGAGTATGCAGGTGAGTTCTAACGATAGCAAGGAATACACGGTATTTCCATCCGCGGATTCCATAAGAAAAAGCGGCTTCTTGGACGGTGATGTTGGTGGAGACGACGTAGGTGTTATGATGCTTAGCGAGAAAGCTTCCAGAACCTATGCAATGAGGTGTACGCCTGTGAACACGGACGAATTTGACTCTTTCATCGAGGACAGCATGAATCACTTAGACCATATAAACGCAAGCAGAGGTGAATTAAGAACCAAAATGTTTGGAAGTACCATTTTAAGCAACTCTGGGCGGAGATCTTGGGAGGACGCAGTAGTGGATTGCAGAATAGAGCTATTTGATCAGCCATCAGGGAACCATGCTGGCAAACCTACAGACAACCTTTACGGCAATAGTGAGGAAAAATCGTTTCATCACGCTTTAACGAGGCAAGACATACTTTATGATACGGCGTTAGATGACGACGACCTAATTTATCTACCGTCTTCAAATGGATTACATAGCTCCTATTTATCATCACATCCAGAAGACGGTGATATAGACAATACCATTAGTCCAACTCGTTGTTTTTCGCGCCTTCCGAAACGGGCCAGAATACAACCGAATACTCACCAAAGGGCAACCGAATACTGGAGGTCACAACCGGTAAGTCCACTTACGGACAAGGCAATTGCTTCGGTATTTGCTAAATCGTCCCATGTGGAAACTGGCGACCGTGGTTTCGACAACTATTATGCATATTTTCATGATGAGGATTTCAGTAAATTTACAAAGGAACCCAACATGATCACCATTCTTCCCCGTGGTGATTGGACGCCCAGGGATATAAAAATGTGTGGGCCTTTCAAGGCATGTAGAGGTGAAGCTTCAAAGATATCAAAATCTGGTGGGCCGATTTACGGAGACGGTTTGAATCACGAGCCCGACAAATCATTGGATTCCGCAGTCTCACCGCTAGAAGGCTTATTTATGGTTACAGCGGATATAGACTCGGATGAAGATGTTGAGAGTTACGAACACCTATATAAAGCTGAATTGGATTTACTGGTGGAACGCGGGGAGCAAGTAGACTTGCAAGAGATGGACGAATGGCATTATCAGGCGGGTCTCACAGCCCCTCAAGTAAAAAACCACCAAATGGCATTTCGCCGTCTTCTCAGGCTGCATTGTAACTACTTCGGAAAACGGGTTTACCCTTACAGAGGGGAACTTGACAGCCTTGCTTCCAAATCTCTTCACGTTTTGGATCCTGATACCAATACGTTTGAGGTCAGTCCAGCTATGACAAGGCCGGAGAAGCTTGATTTACGAAAAGTCAAGAAGCGTCCGTTCATGGATCGGGAATCCGCGATAGACACCCCTACCAATGATGCCACGCCAGGTACATCCGGGACCACAACCATACCATTGTCTACGTATCGCTTATTCGACTACGAAACAGAACCTAGGTTCATTAGAAATCCAACTTTGAAGGTTGGCGCATCAAATGTGAGACATTTATACGATGAGGAGACGTCGCATAGTTTTATAAAGTCGCCATCATTTGGACTGAGACACGCGATATCAGATTTCCAAACCGTTACTGCAACATGTGAGAAAGATTTCCAGGTTCCTCTAACACTAAAGCAACTATTTCCCACCAAGGATAAATACATTAACTCCGACGTGACGTTGATGAACCAACGCAACTTTATTCTGAAAGTTCTGCTTCGGTTCCCTTACTTGGACTTGAAGCAGTTGGGATTGACCAGTTTCTAATTGGACGTTTGATGCATACGAACAATGGCAAGCACAATGCCGATGACAGACTACCGCTGTTTAATTTGTGGGTATGATTATGTTTGTAAAATTCCCAGGGCAGTCTTAGTACTGGCTACGCAGCCAGATACAGTGAATTAGCAATTTAACAAGTATCGCCACTGCTACAGCCACAGAGGACTGCTTGATTGTCATATTACACGTTGCATGAATTGCCAGTGCATTGCTACAGTAAGCGTACACCTCTATGGCGCCTACAAGTGGGAGCCTTGGGTACCAAATAATCATCATTAATACCAATGCCTTGATATGGATGCATAGAAGCACCGCCAGTAATACGTCTAGGGTAGAGGGCGTGGCGTTAATCTTCTCTTTTATCGATTTGTTTGTGCCCCCATTTTTGCAGGGAGATAAGTCTCCATGCCCACGTCTGCTTATCACCTTTTGAATAATAACGAAACTTGCACAGTATCCCGCTAATTTCGTTAAGCAAAGTAGCAGTGTGCTCCATTCACCGAACGTTTTGCATGTACGGTAGCCCATGGTCATCAATGATGGTTCCTGCAATGCCAGTATAAAGAACTGGTCAACTATACTGCTAGGTTTAGAACCATCACACATCCCCATTTCCTTCCGGGCATTGATTATTTTCATTTGCGAGGAGGCCAACATGGATTGCACCATGTTTTGAAACAGGTTCGTAGTCGACCCAATATCCGTAAACGACGTTACATGATCTGCGCTAAATGGAACGTCGTACTTCGCCATTAACGTGGGAAATGCAGCGTCCTGGAAAAAATCTTTTGTTATATCCAATGCGGTTTGTTGTTGCATTAGGTTTTTATCACTACACCACTCTTGCGATTTAGTTATGAATCTGCAGGTGACCATCACACGATAACCATCCAGAACTACAGCCGAAGCAAACAGTAGTAACAGATGTGAGATTCTTTTACGGTAAGAGGAGCCACTTTTGCCCCCCGAAGGCTTTGCATCCTGATTATATATAAGATGCCTGAATACCGCTACCTTTAACAAAAACAGCTCAATGGCAGTTATATAAAGATCCCACTCCACGTATTTGTCTGCGATTTCTCCACAATAAGTGCACGTTTCCAAACATATACTTTCCTTACTGCTCTCGTGGTACAACGTAGGAACCAGTGAACTACAATGTACGCAAACTACCATTATATACACTTCGTAACACGCCAAACCCGCTACATACTGTGAACAAAACCAAGCTGTTGCGTGTTTAGATCGCCTTTTAACACAAAGAATCAAACACCATTCTTCCACAATTAATCAAAACAGACGCCGTGAATGGAAGGGACGATAAAGGGCACATACAAGCTCCCGTAATCGTGATTACAGTGCCGCATATTACCTGCATTTCGCGTTAATTAGCGTCATCTTCGTGTCTTGCGCTTGACCTTGCCTAAACAACTCGGTGTGTCGGAGCATTGATACCCCGAGAAACAATATAAGAACTCAATTTGGGTACAATATTACGGGATGATACAGCAATTTCGAGATTCCAAAACTTTTATTGGAGTGTGTCGCATTTGTTAGACGGGGCGCTTACAAGAGGTATTGAGCAGGCTTAGACTACTTCCACTAGAAACGGTTGCAATAATGCTTAAACAGATTAGGATTGCTGTGACTCTCAGTACACACGCTTCTAACGTTTTAATTTTGTGACGTTTCGGCATCTAATGACAACATCGGTTTTTATGTGTATCAAACGCAGCACGTTGTACTTTCCCATGAGCTCCTGAAGCATAAAGTATAGTTTGTACGTTTTAGTCGGTAATTAGTAGGCTGTTATATGCGGAATATGTATGGCTCATCTGTGCTGTTGACGATCCTTCGAAGACTGAAATGTCTGAGTTTTTATTGTAGTCATCTCCCATACTGAACGTTTTTTGTCACTTACACTTTAGTATGCAACAGCTGGATCGGATGCAACGGTAAGACCTTTTTACAGGATTTGATACCAACCTTCAAAATATACCCGATCCTGTGATACGCGTATTTCGTTTGCAATATATTTTGATATCCAAAAAATTGTTATACACAGATCGACATGATTACTGTATTTGTGTACATCTGCAAAAGGACATTTTTTAAACGTATGTAAGATCTGCAACAATATGGTTTGACGCTGCTGCACGCCGCAATCCCTTAAGTCTTTGTCTTCAAATGTTATGACATTTTATCTTACACAATACAATTTCGCGTTTGTTATCAACGATACAACATTTCCCACCAAATTAACGTACGTAGTTATAGAAGGTTATAGTAAAAGACAGCAGTGACTGCACATGCCTACCTAAGTAGTCATGCGATTACTGCGACGTTTGTGAAAACTTCCACAAATTATCCCTGAACACACAAATTAACACCATTGAACAATGCATAGATTGGGGACGAATAGATTTACATTGATGCGTGTTTCGGTCTCATTAAATGCTGCATTAGTTTTTCACCCCCATTGGCACGAAGTGGTACAATGTGAAGAGATACACACATGACCTCGCATTAGTTACACCTAAAACACATGCGCTTGTATAAGAATGACATATATAGATTGACGGGTTGATATAAGTGAAAATATCATCTATAGTTGGTCATTACCATATTTTTTCCATGGCATATTACATCGGATGTTATTTGACGTGTCTAATTGAAACATCTTGAATATATGCACTGGTTAATCATTTCATCACTTTTCACGGTGACATTGGTCGAATACACGTCTGAAGCCCTCGCTATTGACGTCAGTCGAGGTGTCGCGCCATGTGCGTTCCTCAACATTGACTATATTAGTCGCAACCACTACAGAACTTCGGTATGTTCCCCTTATGATCCCAATCGTTTAATATCCCGCAGATATTTCAGGTCGGTGGTAGGCTGACCCGCGAGCTCTATAAAACGCTGCGTCGTCGTATCATACAAGGTAGCGAGACCACATACAAGCAAAGAGAAAGCACAGAAAGCCATAAGATTACGGCATTTGACGGCAAGTTATTGGGCCCCAAAACGTGTTACAACATTTATTTGGCTCTAGACAACCGGCCCGCGGATGAGATAAAACGGCGATTCCAGCTGATTGCGCAAAATTTGATCAAAGTAGGGGCGGAGCACACCAACGTATACTATTACGGACTTAAAAAGTTGGCTCAGCCGTTGAACAAGAAACACGAGGCATGTTTCATTTCTTTCGAATTGGATATCTACCCTAGTCTCATACAACACATACGCAAAAAACTCTGCCAGGAAGAGCACGTGTTGCGCGTACTAGTACTCCGGGATTCACAAGCAGACAAGTCTAGACGTGTCCGTCGAGACAGACATCTGCACGTGCGACATCCATATTTTGACACGGAGATCTTTAGGCCACACATATCGAGGCTGTTGAACAAGCCGGAGCAGGAATTTGCCATTACTAAAGAAAACTAGGGATTCATAATGTCCAATATAAAATCGTTCGGCGACTACGTGGAGGATCGGGCTGAACAATCATACAGTTATGCTGGTGGTCGTAATAGCGCTTTAGGTGTGGAGGAGGACGGCCACACGGTGCATCTGTATTCTGGAGGATTTACGGTAGACGATGGACCATTCAGATCGCTTAGTGAGCCGGAGAATGCGTTATTCCTATCGGCTGTAAGAAATGGAGTAGCACCACCGGAGTTCCAGGAGCACGGAAAAGACGTGCATGTTTACTTGATTGATGAATCACACCGCACATACAGCCCCCCACAATCGCAGTCAAACCTATCAACTACGAAAACCACCGGAGCCGCACTTCCAGTGCAAGAGATTTGCATCGGTACCAACGCAGGAAATGTGACGACACTTCGCGTCAAACTTTTTGATCATCGTCAAATAAATTTGAAGGTATCTCCAGATATAACAATAGGAGAGCTGAGGTCAATAATGTCAGATAAGAGTGGTTTATCTAGCTCATCTTTTCGCTTAATGTACGGGTTTCCGCCACGCGAATTGATTGCCAACGATTCGGACACGCTCAAAGAAAAAGATCTTTTAGGTTGCGCCATTTTCCAGCACATGATAATATGATACTGATGGGTATTATAACCTGATTAAATAGACATACATGTCTGCAATTTGCAGACTGCGTGCACGTTCTGTGGATGCGCCGTACGAATTCGGAAGGTTTAACAATCCACATATTTCGTCAATATCCACCACAAGGAACGTTATTAAATCAACGTTGACAATCGCAAAACAATGAGTGCCCGGCACCTAATATAGCTATTACTGTAGTGACAGCAGTATACCCTTTCAGGCTACCGTTGCATGAACATTTTGTACTAGGGGCCTACTCATAACACGTGCAGATTAAATGCACTCGCCTCCGTCACGTTGAGCATGCGTGTGTCAGATGGCTCACTACCGCAATAGAAAGGTACAGCTATAGTGAGTCATCCCTAACAGCACGTCCAGCACTTACGCTGGATCGAATGCCCCAATGAAAGCGATTTTCTATGCAACTCCATATATGAACCCATCTATGTCGCCGAATTATACTGCAGTATTAATAAAACAGTAGTTTCGGCACCATGACGAGACTAGGCAAATTCGACAAATCACAAGCCCTCAACGCCAGCTGACGTAACAAGACAATCCCAGCATATACCTTTTGAGCCAAACGTGTAAAAGAGAACAAGTACGAAGTTTTGAAATATGTAAAAATGTTTAGGAGAGGTGCGCGAGAAATGCGCATTTCAGGGCATAATAGAGGCAATCACGTATTGCCATGAAAATGGCCATTGAATATGCAGCGTTATACTGTTCGTACCGACGGAAAGAATGTACGTATTCCGCACGTCTAGCCTTGGTTTTGACATACAGGCCACTTTCGAAAAACAAAAATGGTTATATCAATCTTACTGTCGTGTTCAAATTCCCCTTATGCACTGCATAATTCGCCGGATCAAAACCGCGATCTCTCATATAGTTGAATATTACTCGGTCGACTTGTGTTTCAGGAGGTCCGCACGTGACAGAACCCGTGATTCGCCTAGAGCACTACGGCATTAGCTGAAATGTAGATAAACGTACCGAGCGTTTGTTGAATGCTAAAATTGAGAGTATTCCTAAATCTTGAGGTACGTAATAGAGAGCAGCAGCGACTCCACACTTAATTAGCAACGAGTTTGCCGAAATCGGTCCCATTTCTTGTCACTGGAACTACGCAAAAAAACGAATATAAGAATGGAATCTAACTCCACGGACGTTGCAAACTTTAACCTACGTATGGAAAAATTTGAGTGTCTAAATATACCACTTGATAATAAAACAGAGGTACCAACTTTTCAACACATCGCATTTACCGTTTGTTTTCACTTTCGGAATCGCTACACCATTTCAATGCAGCACATTATCTGAAAACAACCAAGAAATGTGTCATAAGACCGTCAAATATGCAGAGTGTTGTAGTGGTACGCGCGCTCTGATGATGCCTCGCGGTCTTGGTCTGCACATCCCGGTAAAATTGCGTCTTGTCACTTATTAAGCATGACAGTAGGCCGTGCGCCGCCGTATGTTATTTACTTATGATATGATGGCGCATCTGCGGTCTGTTCGTTTGACAGTTTTGTTCGTGATATCCTGACGTGTCTACGTCCCGATAAGAGAGCTAATATATCGTTTTCAAGTATGGCAAAAATTAATGACCGTCAGTGAACATATGACCTTTGAGACGCAATGCGCGCCAGTGTGTTTTGTACGTTAATTGGTGTATGCCCTGCCGGTTCACCGGTGTTGTACAAGAGAAGACGTGACACATTACAGCATTAGACTGCCAAAACCCCGCCATTTAAAGAGCTCAGATGATCATAGGACATAACAAGTCGAACTTGCCGAGAATCAAAACGGCAGGACGATATTTTCTCCCTCATCACACTATGATTTAAAATATAGCTTGTGTCATTTCAGCTGGGAGCCACAATGCTTGCTGCTTGTGGCATGTATACGTTCGGTATTAGCTCTGATCATGGTATAACATTATTAGCGCAAGTTTTCATAGGTGCAACGAATCTCCGTGTGGACGTGCAATGGCCCACCTTATGAGTCGATAATAGTCCAGCGTACGTGTTTCGGCATTTGATGCGGTTAAATGAAAAAGGTTGACGCAACATTTGACACTGGTTAACATAATAGTACGTCCATAAATGACAACTCACCCACGTATCAGTGCTATTTTGTTGGTGCACCTTTAGTTACAACGAATCAGTTAGCTTTATGGTTTACGTTTAGCTAACAAATTAGTGGACCGCGTAAAGTTTGTAAACTGGATGCCACATACAGCATAAATCCAAGTTTACAGTTATTTAATGAAGCAACACCGTATCAGGTGCTCGCAGAATTGAACATATTTGGGATGCACTAGGTCTTGCATTTGGGTCGTTCTGCAGGCATTGTGCGATAAGTTGGCCCATTCTTGTATGTGCCAGCGCATGAGGGATGTGTGGAACAAGACCCTTGATGGCGCTTGCTACCATTTTCTCGCATATCTTCGCAGGTTTGTCCTGCGCATCAACAAGGTAGTGAAAAGGCCCACTATATCCGAACATTTCTTGGAATACACAGCCCATAGACCATATATCCCATTTTTCGGATAACTCGTTTGAAACTATACAAGCGTTACCTCCCAGCCCAACAATGTCAACCATTATGGACTTGTGCGTTAGGAGCTCCGGAGGAGCGTAAAGCCAAGTCGCTCCAGAAATATTATCTACGTTTCCATCGGCATTTTCGCAGGCATCACCAAAATCGCAAAGTTTGATATCCCAATTTGGCATGACTATGATATTTTCTGGTTTGATATCCCTATGAACGATTTTACCTCTTTCGTCTGTTGGTGTATGGAGATAGAGTATTGCATCAGCAAGTTGCCTACACATTTTTAGACCGGCTTTTGCGCTGATGAAACGCTTGGTGTGCTCACCGTACTTTATGCTGTGCAGGTCGGCCCCCCTTATAAGTTCCGTGCACAGCCAAATATCGAAGACACCAAAAATTAGACCCCCTCGCAATTTGACAATATTTGGATGATTACAACGTGACAATATATCCCATTCATTTATATACCTGCGCATTACACCAACAGGATCTTGTTGAACCATGCCAGACACAGGTACTTTGACTGCACTATTACCCATCCCCTCTACGCATCCTATATATACAGTACCAAATGTACCTTCCTGAAGCACCTCCCATCTTCCACTAGAAAGTATGAGCAGTAACTTTGGGTCGAGGTTGGTATTTCCATTGGTCAACCTCAACATGGTCATTTTCAAAGAGGCATATTGATCCCTAGTTAACGCCGATATGGCTTCCAGGTGCCACGACTTTTGCACTCCGGGATTTAGAGTCTCAACATAGGGCAACCCCCTGAAAAACATTAATTTATCCTTTCGGGATGTACCAAAGGGTTTGTGCCAGAAAAATCCCCTGGAAGATTTAGACTGTTGGAATGACGTGTTGTTAGGTGTTGTAGATGCGTCTCTGTATCTTGTTGAATTGGACGACAACTCCACATCATAACCCTTGTTGGAGGTAGAAGAATCTTTATCATATTTATTATGCCTAAATATGGGATTCCCAGGCTTACTAAATTGGGGCGATGCGATCCCCCTACGCAAATACGTGGATGGCTTGAGTTTGCTTCCTTCAACGTCGTAAATATGAGAATTGGCACTCCCACGCATCCACACATTCTTAGATTTCAGGTTTAAGGACGCAAAAGCTTCTCCTGTTACCAATAGTGGGTCACGTTCATCTGCATTTCGAAGGTAGTTGATGCCCATACTGTCGCGTTTGTTTGGGTGCCCCGTAGACGGCAGTACGGTAGACTTGGCAGTCCACGCATCGTTTTCTTCTTTCACAACACTATATCGGGCGTACCTACACCCTGATTGGTTGTCCGATTCCACGGTCGTGTGAAATGACCCAGTGTCATTTGCATGACATGTAATTGGTGCGCTATAATCATTGGGTAACTTAGCCATCTTTCCGTGTTGATCCTTTACATCTGCTAGCATTTCATTGTATATATCACTGCGATAGGTAGACATGGTGTCGATTGATGTGATGCCATGTTGGAGATCCTGGGAGCTGCCAACAATAGACGAAACATCCCGCACATCACTGCTCAATGGTCGCACAACCGAAGCAATGCTTCCGACTAGATCGTTTACCTGTTTTATTGGATCCTCCATGTGTTATAGGCAGCTTAACATGGATGCCCTCGGCGGTTATGTGCTTCACTCATGTAAAATGCATCTCACACATAACACTAACTTCATATTTTATTAAACTTCAAATGCATCATTCAAAGTCTGCGGAGGTGTGTATTGCGTCAGAGGCAATTGGGTGTCCCTTTGCGCTCTACACACAACCCGCTGTTTATACTGTACATCTAACAAAATACTACATCCGGTTTTTTAACACATCTAAGTTAGACCATTCCCTTAAATTCTCGAGCGCCGTTCTGTTAAAGGTCCCATTGTATAGGCTAAAGGGGTTGGAAAGACGAGGTCGTACCACTTCGTGTCTGGTCTCGGAGTGGAGGAATTCCATGTTATGTAGATCTTCAACCGTCAATTTACGAAATGTGCCTGTGTCTCGTATTAAGCCAGATATGGAGTAGGTGTGCGTTACTAAATCCGCCGCACCGACAATACGTCTCGGTAAGGTCGCATTCTTCCCATCACGCCCACAAAGTGCAATTGCAACGTCATCGGGCACATGTATTCCTTCATCCATAGCATGTGCGGTGACCTTATAGTTGGCCGAATTTGTTTTGAATCCGTTATCGCGGACCTCACCATCAGGCTTGCTATTCCCGTTGGAATGATCGTTCCGTTCTACGGCCTCGGATGGCGAATGTTTCAGTCCGGATTTGCCCCAAACGTGCAGAGGCAGTGTTGCTTCCCGGAGTCCGGTATTGAGTAGATGGGTACCAGACTTCGGGTATGTGGGAGTGTCTACTGCTGCGGGGTGTCGCCAACTTCTCCACACGTCGACTATATGGGAATGCGTTGACGTCACAGCTGCTTCACACAAGTGTTCAATCGCATTATTAACACACTTGCGCCGAATATCATCGCAAACAAGCCTTTTTACGGTGATCATATCAGGCGCAAACTGCATTGCAAATTTCTGCGGTTCTACAATGGTGCATCGGTTTAATGCACTACGTCTAAATGGCAGGTCGCAACTCAATTTGACGCCCTTTATATCCGCAGTAACAGATGGCAGGAGACACACGAAAGTTTGTTCTTGTTTCTTGTACACTATGCCGACATCATCATGATACCTATTATTAGACAACAATCTTGCAGCGACGATTTTGAGCCTGTCTACGCGACCCAGTTTTTCTACATTGTAACGAATAAAAATGAGGTCCCCGGTGCGCAGCTGTTTCACATTGTCAGAAATCGTGAGGCAGTATTCGGAATGATCAACAGCGGTGAAGTTGTTTGGTTTGTTTTTGCGTCTTATCCCTGATGCACTGCCTGTATCTTCATAGTTTACGCCTGCTCCGACATTATCTTAGTAACAAAGGAAGTTACCATATTTGGCGCTGACCAGACTAAGGTAATGTCGAAAGAGATGTTGGAATTCGCCCCGGTTTGTATATACGAAACCACCTGCAACGGCAAAACCTAGTAGATACTCCTTAGACAGGATCCCTTTCAGTTTTCGCAACATTTTTACTCGTTACCACGTTTTACCGAAGGGTTCCGGTCAGTTTGAATCCCTCGTGGTGTGCTCAGAGGAGATGTACACACATCGTAATATGCACCGGCTTATTATAATGCAAATGTTCGTGTATTCCGATGTCAGACAGGGTACAACGCATCGCGTTGATTGCGAAGATTGTGTTCTCTGCATAACTGGTGATCGCCAGTAGCGGCGCTCCATTTGAAATAGAAAGCGTAAAGGCACCTTATAAGAAAGGGCTACAAATCACAGACACACCTCTTGTATCCGTAGCATATCGACAAAACCGGTACAAGTGTGCGTAGAAGACTTGTCGTTAATGATTTTTAAACTTGCGATCCCCATAGCAATATAGAAGAGTTTTTTCGGTAAAAAACCTTCACATATCGCAGCAAGATGGCGGAAAATTTGGCACGAATTATAGGCACAGAGGAAGACAGGGTAAATTGCCCTTTCTATTGGAAGATCGGCGCTTGTCGTCACGGAGATCAGTGCAGCCGCGCACATTACAAGCCTTCTGCGGCGCAGACACTCGTCATTCGTCACATGTATCAGAACCCTCCGGTTGCTATAGCTATTGCTGAGGGTCAGATGAGTAAGTTTTGTACCCGCGAAGCTGCCTTTTGTTCGTGTTTTTCCTATTTTGTTAACGAATGATGTTGCACGACTTCTTGTTATGTGATTGCACATTCCACGCACCATTGACATTATATCATTGCAACTATCAATGGTAAAAGCTTCTTAACGTAATTTTGCATTTTAGATCATCAAAACACAACCTTCCCCCTTCCTACTATCAGCCCCGCCGGGGACGGTTTGTGCAAAAAAACTTGACGATTTGGTCTAGACCTTATCGTGTAAACGTGTAGTTGAAATAAAACATAAAACTATATACTTCAGAGGTGCGTAGTTGCAAACGTGCATATCGACGGTTCACGTTGATCATGCGTTTCGCCTATATTTTGAAATTATTTAGAACCGTTTAGTTTTACTTTCTACACGATTTCACATGTCATGTCTTGTATATAGTTTCAGTTTTTCGTAATGTTCGACACTATCTATTTACAGTTTCTGACGAGCTACTGGACAAAGCTGCCGACCACTTTGAGGAGTTTTTTGAGGAGGTGTTTTTGGAGTTAATGAAGTATGGAGAGATAGAGGATATGGTGGTCTGTGATAATATAGGTGACCACATTATTGGGAACGTATACGTAAAATACCGCGATGAAAATAGTGCAGCGCATGCCATCTCCATGTTGTCTGGCAGATTTTACGGAGGTATGTTAAGACACCAGACTATGCTACATATCCTAGTAAAAACATCTTTATTTAATTGCACATGTTTATGTATTGGTCATCAAAGGTTACAGGCAAGCCGATTCAATGCGAATACACGCCCGTTACGGATTTCCGTGAAGCCCGCTGTCGTCAATTCGTTGAGGGACAATGTCGGCGCGGTGGCTACTGTAACTTTATGCACATAAAACACGTTCCTAGATCGGTGCGTAGGAAATTGAACGAGAGAATGTACGCCGAATACCCAGAATACAAGAGGAGGTCACCACGACGTTCCGACGGGAGCGGAAGGTATGTAAAGCTGGTCTTCCACATGTCAATTCTTTCAGCCACGATAAGCCCCGACGCCAGTCCAGCCAGGAGCGTCGCAACATGATAGAGATGTGGAACAGAGAAAGGGAAGCCAGAGAGGCTGCAAATTGATTCTGTTAGTTATAGATCGGGTAATATTACAATGTGCAAAAATCGTTGGCTCCAATCATAAAAGAGCATATTGAAGCAACTTGCAGCGTTTACTTTCCACTTCTGGGATACGATTTATAAACTGCAAATTACGTTGCTGTAGTGACGCTTCTGCTCCGCACAAAGCAGGAACATACATTTAGCAGTCGCGTTTAGATGCAGCGCGTACAACACACACACACATTATCGCTATAATTGTAGAAGAACAGCGTTGTAGAGCGGGGTCTGCGTTGTGCAGCGTAGCTGGAACCCAAAGTTACACACCTTCCTATAAAACCACCGTGATTATTACTCGGAACGGTTGGGCTTCTAAAACACTTCAATTTTTTCGAAATTAAGGGAATGTGTACGAGGATGCCCTATGATTCCCCATTTCTACATGTGATTATTGGCCGTGACGTGAGCCATACGACATTGGATGTAATGGCCTATAGAAAATGTCTGGCACTGCATCCGGATACGATTTGTCTGTGTCGACGTTTTCGCCAGATGGACACGTCTTCCAAGTGGAATACGCGACAAAGGCCGTCGACGCGGCGCCAACAGTTGCGGCAGCCGTTTGCCGCGATGGCATAGTATTTTTATCCGATTCCGTACTATGTGGATACGATGAAAGCAGCAACACAGGCCGTAATGTTCTCCAATCGAAGCCAGCGCTCCGTTTGTACGCATTGGATGAGGGTGTAGGTTGCGCGGTGACCGGTATGATTCCAGATGCGCAATGCATAGTTCGCCGCGCCAAGGCGGAAAGCAAGTCATTCTTTGAGGAATATGGCGTGAAGATCCCTATTTCTCTGCTGGCTGAGCGCGTCGCCTTGTTTGTGCATGCTTTTACATTGTATTGGCACGTGCGGCCGTTTGGCGCATCAATGATTCTCTCAGGCGTCGATTCCAATGGCAAAAGTAAGTCACACAAGACAGTTATGTGTGTATTATTAGATAGGTTTCATAACCTTTTATACACGTGCTATGATTGTGGATGTACCTGTGTATACCGTTGATCTTGCAAAAGTGTCTGCTTCTAATTGCATAAACACCAGCTAACTATAACTTTCGACTATATCTTTACTTTTGAATGTTAATTTGTCTCACCATGGTTACAGAATCCTTGTACTGCATCGAGCCCAGCGGTGCCTGTTACAAGTACGCTGGCATGGCCGTCGGTAAGTGCAAGCACCTGGTCAAGACAGAGATGGAAAAACTGGATCTAGCTGCATTATCGTGTCGTGATGCTCTTAAGGAGTTGTCTTTGGCCATAATGATAGGTCGCGATGGTGACTCAAGCAAGACCAATGATATTCAAATGGCGTGGATTTGCGACGAAAGCAACGGTCGATTTGAGCAGGTGCCCACTGATGTGGCCGCGGACGCTAAGCTAGATGCTTCAAAGCGTCATGCTGCGCTCCATGGCCATTAGCCATAGAACATACTCCGAGTTAGAAGGTGTGTTATGCACCGTGGCACCTCGGCCCGGAAGCCTGTCCGAACAATAAATGTTTATCGTAATCTAAGTAATAATGTGCACTAGTTTTTTGCCTCTGTGACCGACTAACCGGTTGTATAGAGCCGTGGACATTGGAATCCTATCCCCACGTCTCATGGCTCTTGACGGTCCTACTTTAGAGGTCGTTGTATGAGACTATGAATACACGAATGCTCACCAATATATTTTATCGGTTTTGCAGAGTATCTGCTTTTCCTAACAATAATGTCTGAGTGTGTTTTGGCGCGTTATCGTACGGCTCTACAATGATGCAGAATCTGTCTGGCGCGGGCCACAGGGGCGGTTTGCTAAGGAGTAACGCCAACGACGGTAATACTTCGGCAATAGATGTTACAGTGCCTCCCGGAATGGCTAATAATATTGGCGGACCGCCGCCTGGGTACCACGTTGGATATGCTCATAAGACTGAGTTTGAGATTCTGCAAGACAAGGCACGCAAATGGCAGAAGTTGAACACCAGAAGGTTTACGAAAACTTCAGCAGCGCCTTTGGCAACGTATGCCGCCCCAATGCCCCCAGAGCACCTTCGCAAGGTTTTCCGGGAGCACGGCGACATGAGTAATCGGAAGTATCGCTACGACAAGCGTGTTTATCTGGGTGCACTGAAATATGTACCTCATGCTGTATACAAGTTGTTGGAAAACATGCCAATGCCCTGGGAGCAGCTGCGTAATGTTCGAGTTCTCTATCACATTACGGGTGCTATAACTTTCGTCGATGAGATACCTTGGGTTGTGGATCCTATATTTTTGGCACAATGGGGAACTATGTGGATTATGATGCGCCGTGAAAAGCGGGATCGCCGTCATTTCAAGCGTATGAGGTTTCCCCCTTTTGATGATGAGGAACCTCCCCTTGATTACAGTGAGAACATCCTCGATGTGGAACCTTTGGAGGCCATTCAGATGCAGCTCGACCCCGAAGAGGATTCGGCTGTTATGAACTGGTTTTACGACTCGAAGCCACTTCAGTACGAGTCAAAAATGATAAATGGCCCAAGTTACCGTCGTTGGTTTCTCACGGTAGAACAAATGGGGGTATTATATCGCCTGGCCGGTCAACTGTTCTCAGACATACAGGATGACAATTACTTCTACCTGTTCAATTTAAAGGCGTTTTATACAGCTAAGGCGTTGAACACGGCAATACCGGGGGGTCCGAAATTCGAGCCTCTTTTTCGTGATGCGCAGGAGGACGAAGACTGGAACGAGTTCAATGATGTGTCTAAAATTATCATTCGTCAGCAGATTCGCACTGAATACAAGATCGCATTCCCTTATTTGTATTGCAACCGACCGCGTAAAGTTGCTATTGCACCTTACCACACCAAGTTATGCGCGTATGTTAAACAGGAGGATCCGGATTTACCTGTATTCTACTACGATCCGGTTATAAACCCTATACCTGCGTATACGATAAAAGATGTGGATGGTGGAGAATCCAATATTCAGGAACGTGATAGCAATGATACTGAAGAGTCGTGTTCTATGTCTCGTTCCTTCGTCACCAACAGTGCTGGGGAAACATCAGATGACAGAATAGAGAGCAACAAAAATGACGACATGTTGTATCCTTCATCGGATGCAGGCACTGGTTTCCCCAGAGGCCTCGTTCCGCTTCTGGCAACAGTACCACTGGAAAACGACAACACGTCGAATGGCGTTGCACTTTGTTGGGCACCACACCCCTTCAACAAGCGTTCTGGGAACTGCCGTCGCGCTATCGATTTGCCGATAGTACAGTCCTGGTTCCGTGAACATGTGCCGGCGTCTCACCCGGTGAAGGTTCGTGTATCTTATCAAAAACTTCTTAAGGGTTGGGTTCTCAGCAATCTGCATTCACGTAGGCCGAAGAGCATGAAAAAAAGAAAGCTGTTCAAGCTTTTCAGAGCGACAAAGTTTTTCCAAACTACGGAGCTGGATTGGGTAGAGGTTGGGCTACAAGTTTGTCGTCAGGGTTATAACATGCTTAATCTTTTGATCCATCGCAAGAACTTAACGTATCTACATTTAGATTATAACTTCAACTTGAAACCCGTGAAGACTCTAACAACAAAGGAACGCAAGAAATCGCGTTTTGGTAACGCCTTTCATCTTTGCCGCGAAATTTTGCGTTTAACTAAGCTCGTGGTGGATTCCCACGCGCAATATCGATTAGGAAATGTCGATGCATATCAGCTGGCGGATGGCTTGCAATATATATTTGCTCATGTGGGACAGTTAACCGGCATGTATCGCTACAAGTATAGGCTTATGCGCCAGGTCCGCATGTGCAAGGACTTAAAACACCTGATTTACTACCGATTTAACACAGGATCGGTTGGAAAGGGACCCGGTTGTGGTTTCTGGGTCTGTGGTTGGCGCGTATGGTGCTTTTTCCTGCGTGGTATTATGCCGTTGCTTGAGCGCTGGCTTGGCAATCTTCTGGCTCGCCAATTTGAGGGAAGGGTGTCTAAGGGTGTCGCGAAAACAGTCACAAAACAACGTGTGGAGTCTCACTTCGATCTTGAGCTGCGTGCTGCGGTCATGCACGATATTTTGGATATGATGCCCGAAGGCATTCGGGCCAACAAAGCACGCACCATTCTTCAACACCTAAGTGAAGCATGGCGTTGTTGGAAAGCTAACATTCCGTGGAAGGTGCCTGAGATGCCTGCGGCTATAGAAAACATGATTCTTCGCTACGTAAAGATGAAGGCTGATTGGTGGACGAATGCGTCTTACTATAACCGCGAGCGCATTAAAAGGGGTGCCACCGTCGACAAGACAGTCTGCAAAAAGAATCTGGGACGCTTAACGAGGTTGTGGCTGAAGTCCGAACAGGAGCGCCAGCACGGATATCTCAAGGATGGTCCATACATTAGCGGTGAAGAAGCAGTGGCAATTTATACTACTGCGGTTCATTGGCTGGAATCACGTAAATTTTCGCACATTCCTTTCCCGCCGTTAAACTATAAGCACGACACAAAGCTTTTGATTTTGGCGTTGGAACGGTTGAAGGAACCATATGCAACAAAAGGCCGATTGAATCAAAGCCAGAGAGAGGAATTGGGTTTGATAGAGCAAGCATATGACAATCCACACGAAGCTCTGAGCCGCATTAAGAGACACTTGCTTACGCAGCGTGCCTTTAAAGAGGTGTCCATAGAGTTCATGGATCTCTATAGCCACCTGATTCCTGTGTACGACATCGATCCATTGGAGAAAATAACCGATGCGTATCTGAGTCAGTACCTATGGTTCGAAGGGGACGCTCGTGGACTTTTTCCTAATTGGATTAAACCGGCGGACAGCGAACCTCCACCGTTGTTGGTGTACAAGTTCTGCCAAGGAATCAACAACCTCACTGACGTGTGGAATTACGATGACCAGCATTTAGTGCTTTTACAGAGTAAGTTTGATCGCGTCTATGAGAAGATCGATCTGACTTTATTAAATAGGCTCTTACGGTTAATTGTCGACCACAATGTTGCCGACTATATTACAGCAAAAAACAATGTCAGCATTTGCTTCAAGGATATGAGCCATATAAATAGCTTTGGGTTTATACGCGGTTTGCAATTCGGTAGTTTCGTTTTCCAGTATTATGGTTTGATATTAGATTTACTGTTACTGGGACTCACACGTGCTACCGAGATCGCCGGTCCAACTTCAATGCCCAATGATTTCCTCAGTTTCACGGACGTTGATACAGAAACGAGACATCCTATTAGGCTCTATTGTCGATACATTGATAGGATATTCGTGCTGTTCAAGTTTACAAGTACCGAAACCCGCGATCTGGTGCAAAGATACTTGACAGAAAACCCTGATCCGAATAATGAAAATGTAGTAGGTTACAACAACAAGTCTTGTTGGCCCAAAGATAGCCGTATGCGCCTAATGAAACATGATGTGAATCTTGGCCGTGCCACGTTCTGGGAAATGCAAGCACGCTTACCTCGATCCGTGACGACATTGGAATGGACTGATTCATTTGTCTCTGTATACGGCAAGGATAACCCAAATTTACTTTTCAACATGTGTGGTTTTGAGGTGCGAATATCCCCCAAAATAAGGTGGTTGAAAAGTGGTACATCGCAGGGGGAAGCATGTTGGAAATTGCAGAACGAGAGAACCAAAGAGCTTGCAGCCACTGCCTATTTACGTGTTGACGCAGAGGGAATGAGCGCTTTCGAAAACCGCGTCAGACAGATCCTCATGGCTAGTGGGAGCACTACCTTCACAAAAATCGCCAATAAGTGGAACACAGCATTAATCGGTTTGATGACATACTATAGGGAGGCCGTCATTCACACTAACGAGCTCCTGGATTTGTTAGTGAAATGTGAGAATAAGATTCAGACCCGTATTAAGATAGGCTTGAATTCCAAGATGCCTTCACGTTTCCCTCCGGTGGTTTTCTATACTCCAAAGGAATTGGGGGGTCTTGGTATGCTCTCTATGGGACATATTTTGATACCCCAGTCGGACTTAAAATATAGCAAGCAGACAGACACGGGCATAACTCATTTTCGCAGCGGTATGTCACACGAGGAAGACCAGCTGATTCCCAATCTATATCGTTACATTCAGACTTGGGAAAGCGAGTTCATTGAAAGCCAACGTGTGTGGGCAGAATACGCCTTAAAGCGTCAAGAAGCTCAGGCGCAAAGTCGCCGTTTAACCATTGAAGACCTCGAAGACTCTTTTGACCGCGGCATTCCACGAATCAACACCCTGTTCCAGAAGGACAGGCATACGTTGGCGTATGACAAGGGATGGAGAGTCCAGCAAGACTTCAAACAGTATCACATAATGAAAGCCAACCCATTTTGGTGGACCCATCAAAAACACGACGGAAAGTTGTGGAATTTGAATAATTATCGTACTGACATGATTCAAGCGTTGGGAGGAGTGGAGGGTATTTTGGAACACACGCTTTTTAAGGGTACCTACTTTGCAACGTGGGAAGGTCTTTTCTGGGAAAAGGCATCTGGTTTCGAAGAATCTATGAAGTACAAACGCCTCACAAATGCGCAAAGAAGTGGTTTGAATCAGATTCCGAATCGTAGATTTACTCTGTGGTGGTCACCGACAATTAATAGGGCGAATGTGTATGTAGGTTTTCAAGTGCAATTAGACCTCACTGGAATATTCATGCACGGTAAAATACCCACCCTGAAGATTTCGTTGATTCAGATTTTCAGAGCTCATTTATGGCAGAAAATTCATGAATCGCTGGTTATGGATTTATGTCAGGTGTTGGATCTTGAGCTCGACGCTTTGGAGATTGAGACAGTACAGAAGGAGACTATTCACCCCCGCAAATCATACAAGATGAACAGTAGTTGTGCGGACATCTTGTTGTTTGCAGCGTATAAATGGCATGTGGGGAAGCCCAGCCTGCTGACTGATGCCGATGTTGGGGAGGCCACTACGTCTACCAATAAGTTTTGGATAGACGTCCAACTTAGATGGGGTGACTATGATAGCCATGATATTGAACGATACTGTCGAGCGAAATTTTTGGACTACACCACGGACAGCATGTCAATTTACCCGTGTCCAACTGGGTGTCTGATTGGCGTTGATCTGGCGTACAACATGCACAGTGGTTTTGGGTACTGGTTCCCAGGGATGAAGACTCTTTGCGGTAGAGCAATGAATAAGATTATGAAAGCAAACCCTGCCATGTTCGTCCTGCGTGAGCGCATTCGTAAGGGTTTGCAGCTCTACTCGAGCGAGCCCGCTGAACCGTACTTGTCATCGCAGAATTTTGGCGAGCTTTTTGGATCTCAGACCATATGGTTTGTTGATGACACCAACGTGTACCGAGTGACTATTCACAAAACGTTTGAAGGTAACCTAACGACAAAACCGGTGAATGGCGCCATTTTCGTATTCAACCCGAAAACGGGACAGCTCTTTTTGAAGATAATTCACACATCAGTGTGGGCCGGTCAGAAACGCTTAAGCCAGCTGGCTAAATGGAAAACAGCGGAGGAGGTTGCCGCTTTGATACGTTCTTTACCCGTAGAGGAGCAGCCCAAGCAGATCATTGTGACCAGGAAGGGTATGCTTGACCCTCTTGAAGTGCATCTGCTCGATTTCCCGAACATAGTGATAAAGGGAAGCGAGTTGCAGCTACCTTATCAATCAATAATGAAGCTTGAAAAGTTCGGAGACATGATTTTACGGGCCACCCAACCAGAAATGGTCCTTTTCAATCTGTATGACGATTGGCTGAAGAGTATCAGTAGTTACACAGCTTTCAGCCGTCTAATATTGATTCTCAGAGCGATGCACGTTAACTGCGACCGCGCTAAAGTGCTGTTAAAACCGTCCAAGACAACTGTGACCCTTCCACACCATGTTTGGCCGAGTTTGACGGACGCGGAGTGGATAAACTGTGAAGTTGCACTGAAGGATTTAATTTTGGCCGATTACGCGAAACGCAACGGAGTGAATGCCACTAGTCTAACCCAGAGTGAGATACGTGATATAATATTGGGCATGGATATTTCTCCGCCAGATATACAACGCCAAGAGCTTGAAGAGAATCGCAATGAGGCAGCTGCGAAAACAGTCACCACTCGGTCAGTGAACGTGCACGGAGATGAGATAATAGTGACAACTCAGAGTCCCCACGAGCAGAAGGTTTTCGCCAGTAAGACTGATTGGCGTAATCGGTGTTTGGCTGCTGGTTTGCTTCACCGTCGGCTTGAAGGTTTGTCAGTGGAGAGCGTGGACTCCGAGGATACCGTTGTGATTCCACATAACCTCATAAGGAAGCTGATTATGGTCTCCGATCTGCGCACGACGGTGGCTGTTTATTTGTACGGTAAAATATCAAGCGTGGACGACGAGCCCGACCACCTTACAAATGATAGCTCCCGCGGAGGTAACAGCCATGTAAGGGAGGTGACCTGCATGGTTTTCGTGCCCCAGGTAGGGAACCAGTATACGGTCGATTTACCGAAGCAAGGGCCACAGCATGAAGCACTAGATGGTTTAGAGCCATTGGGATGGCTGATCACACGTCCAACGGATGGCAGTGTTGCACCGGAAGTTGTTGAGACGCACCGGCGCTTACAAAATGACCTAAGTTGGGATGTTGCATCGATTCTTTGTACCTGCACCTTCGTTCGAGGAAGTTGTGCGTTTTTGGCTCACCGGTTGACTCCCGATGCATTAATAAGCAAGGACGTTTCAAACACCAGTGCGCTTCTAACCGCAGTTCAGGTGTTGATTTCCGACAAGTACAAAGGTTTCTTCCTTGTTCCTGTGGATGATGCATGGAACTACAATTTCATGGGAGCAAAACATTCGGCACACATGCACTATCAGCTACAGGTCGAGGTTCCTAGGCCATTTTATGATCCTGTACACCGCCCATTGCATTTCATACAATTTGCTCAAGCTAACGAGGCGAAGGATTTTGAACTCGAGAACCCTTTGTAACACCTAATCGTGTATAATGAATTTGGTTATTGGCGACCAAATTTTAACCTTCTTTTGTCGCTGTAAACTCAAAGGTACACGCCTTTTGAATCTCATATCACTACTTTAGACATTGTATGTCCCTTATGTAAAATAGCGCGCTAGAACATCCGCCGAACGACTTAACTATGTGCGGGTTCTATACCATGTGCAAGAACAGGCGGATGAACAAAAAGCTCAATGGTCTAGATACACACCGATTCCACAGCTTCATAATATAATTTTCGTTTTACGAAGTGAGATGTGCGATGAGAACCTTTCTAACGTTCACGCGTCATATTTTATTTGCTCGTTTCCATATTTTTCGTTATCACAGAAACACTTATCTGTCTTCCACCCGTTTTAAGCTACGAACAAATCAACACACAAAGTGGGCCGCCATTTTGCGTTGTGAAGCATTATTTCAGAGCAGATGTAATGTCACACATTCTTGGTGCTTACGAGCAAAGCAGCGTTATGCGCCTTCTGTGATTTAGGTGCCCTGCAAATCTCACATTTTAGGATGTGGACATGAAGGACCACTGTTTCTAGTCATATGCGAGCAAGAATCGTGACCGTAGTGGGTTTTGTAATCCCTTGCGTTGAACGTTTGTATGTCCATCCGTAAAATTATTGTTAACGAAGTCGCTTATGCACATACACAGAGCATATTTAATCTTTAACGTAATAAGTGCAGTAAATTCTTTTGCATATCGTGGATCAATCTCGAGTCTGGCCACTGGCGTCCTATCGCCGTGGCGTCGCCAACATTTTATATCAACTAGAGGCGCTGAAGTTCAGCTGAATGATGAAAGAGGCATATTGTCGCTCTGCGCGCGCGATAAACGTGGCAGTAGCGCCTTTGATAGCGTAGAAGGCAGTGATGTAGACATATCGGCCAGTTCGGGAGATTCCAACCAGGCGGTCCTATGTGACAGCTTGGGTGAATCTATAGATGGCGAAGGCGACACGCAAGATGGCGATTCGACGCACGAATCAATTTCAGATAGTAACCAAGATGGATTAATAGCGTTTAATAGGTATCCTCACCGCGAAAAGAAGGATGAAGTTGGTAATGCCAAGATATCACGCAGGCTATGGAAGCTCTTGATGGCTCTTCTCATATATCGGGTAAGTGCAACTGTATTTGTCACCAATGATGGATCAGTCCAAGTACGGAGACTATGTGGTGGACAAATCATTCAAGTTTAGCGATGTGGACGAGCCCAAACTTAAAGGATATAGCCTTGGAGCTGAATTGGACATACTTTTGTCAAGCATAAAACTTCGCGACACAGACGAAGGTCTCTACAACAAACTTATGGTAGAAAAACAACGCAAAGAGCCTGTGTTTCCAGCCTGCGACACAAGCGAAGCTCCACATTTGTTGTGGCTCATTGGTTTTCCGACTGGTCGGTATATTAACGATAATGAGGCGTTGCGCCGTCAAATGGCGGGTGTACGGGGTATGCGCACACGGATAAATCGCGTCGGGATGCTAAAGGAAGCCAGCCTATCACGTAAGGATATTAAGGAGGATACAGAAGGTGATTCCCTGCGTTTAGATCAAGTGAAGAAGGCGTTGATTGAGGATCTTGAGCAGAGCTATAAAAATGAATGCGACAGGATGTATTTTAACAAAACACAAGTATTACCAAGCCCCTCAAATCGCCCTAGGGTGCGCAATTCGCTGCTTAAGGGTATAATTAGCAAGCTTCTTGAGTTGAAGCAGACGAAGAACCCCGCTATATTGTTGCGCAAACCCACAAGAGACGATACAGAGGCCGGTCATCATTATGCTTTCTACCACTGGAATTTTGAGGACGTTATAGAATCCATGGTGTTGTTTAACGTAGGTGAACTTACTAGCAATGTAACATTCCTGCAGGACATGTACATGGATTATAACCGCGAGATTCTAATCGAAAGCGTGAAGAACGGGGCACCGTTCAATCCGATTACATTCAACATTCTAAGACCCGAGTGGAAAGTACCTAGGGACTACCTTTGGCCTGAGAGGTTGTGGGGCCTTCCGCTTGGTCTTTGGTTGGAAAAGTTTCGAACGGGCGACATAGATGCTAAACAGCATTGGGTGCGCCGCGACGTACTTGATTATCTACAGTTTGATTGGGGTGATGGTTTGAAGTATCTAACATTCACGTGGGATAAACTGGTACTTGGGCTACTGTGGTACATAAATTTTAGAGGTCATCCTATTATGGATATGGACCCTCACCTCGTAATATCCAACGCAGAACTAGTTGCCAAGTGGGGAAAACCGGAAGAAATCCAAGGTCTGAAGCTAGGGTACATATTTTACAGCGCTATGGATCAAATCCAGGTCCTGAAAAAACATCACCCCGAACGGTACGAGTTTTTGACAGAGATGGGCATCAGTCACATTTGGCACGAAGACTTCGATTTGGGTTACAGATCGACCCCGCATGAAAAATCGGCACCGATGTCGCGCCACATTAAGATGTCTAAGGATTCCAAATATCTTAGGGACTAGACAGTAGCTGAGCGCCCGTCGCTTTATGTGCATCGCAAACAAACCGTTTTAACCGAACGTAACACTTATATTATGCGTCAAACATCGGATCAGTTTTACATTGATGTTTTGTGCCTCTTTATTAGTCCACTGTTTAGCAACCCGGAGGAAGCGCTGCGATTGAAACTTATACAATGGCTGGTACGCCGGTACCTATCTTCCAGGAAAGGCGATAATTTAGGTGTGTTTATTACGGGCTATAGACAGGTAGCGGGCCGCTACATTCGGTTGTTATTCAGCACAATCGAGGAGGTGTGCGCCTTGCTTGATATTCCCCCGTTTTCGATAAAGGTAGACTTCATCACGGATCACAATTCACATACGCAGTTGCATGACAATGTATATAATTGTATAGATGCGCTGCGTCGCCCTAAACTTCTTGATAACGACGAGCCCTCAAAACTTGCATTACAGGGAAAGGATTCTTCTGCGCTGGATATTCACTTGAACGAGATATTAACTCCATTATTGTTACATCGGGATTACTATAGCGCATACAGTATCAGCGAAGTCGAGTTGATACTGTTGTCAGGTGCCAACAGTGGCAAACAATTCATCCGGTGGTTCACGGACTTCCAGCGAGCTTCCGCAGATGACGGTCGTTACGGCGGGCATGAGGAATGGGAGCTACACATAATACGAATTGAAGACGTCTTGTCACCTTTCTTCGGTGAAAGCGAGCGCCGCTTAGTACTACAGTTCGAAGCAGCAACGTCCAACATAAGTGAGAGTTCGACTTGTATATGCATCGAAGGCGTGCACCACTTTCAACAAAACAAGGAAGATTTGAGCGAATTAGATCGCAGGCTGCTTGCTACATTGCTTCTTTTGCTCGACAGCGTTTCTAAGTCTGACAGCATCCTGCCTCACACCCTTGTCAATTCCAGTGGTGGGTTGCGGGCCAGCGGCTCTTTACTTGTGGTGGCAACTAGCGACTGTCATGCCGACCAACTATCAGATGCACTCACAAGGCCTGGAAGATTGGACAGGGTGATATATGTCTGATTAGAAACCCATGAGCAAGTTCTCACAACACGCGCAGCGTTATTCATCGCACAAATATGCCCCAGGGCTAGCAACAGAAAACAGAACAAATCGCAGTTATATTGCCACACAAATATTAAAACTTGTTGGTAGCCACAATGTTCGGTCAAATATAAATTACGCTGAAACAAGATGCCGCATTTGTGCTTTATATTGCGTACCGTCCACACATTACTCGGTAGAATAGTAAAAGTCTTTTCGTTTTACTTCACTAGATGGTAAGATTCAGTCACTATGAAGCTTCCGTTTCCATGACAGGTTGTGCCTGCGACCATTGGATTTCGGTTCCGCCGTTGTTCGTAGTATGAACTTAAGTGGCACACCTTTGAATCCAAATTCGTCCGATATAGCACGCTTCATCTGCCTCATGTAATGTTGCGGAAATACACCATATACATTTGACCACATGATAAAGGTCGGTGGACTCCCTCTCACCTGAGCGGCGAATTTAACGTTGACCTTTGCGCCGTCATGCCACGGCGGTGGCCACTTCGCCAAGAACTTTCGCAACCAATTGTTCAAGACGCTTGTTTCTACCAAATGTCTAGATCGCCTAACCAGTGCCAACACCTCGTTTCTGAGGCGTCGCAATGCCGTCTGTTGCATCTCTGGCGTAGGCTGGTCGGAGGTATTATCTCCAACTGCATTGATCATAGGAATGGATAATATAGGGATCCCATCAAATTCATGACCTGTATTAGATAAATCGAGTTCCATTTTCCGTTTTGGAGGCTGTTGCGCTGGAACCACTAATACTATCGGTTTGTGAGATCGGATGATACGGGACACCCACGAACACTCCTTTTTCGTAAGGTGCACCTTCCACGCATGTCTTTCATCCGTGTTCTGAACACACATGATAATGATGTCCGCCTTTCGTACCAAAGCGAGTGTTTGCATAGACGCAGCCCTTCCCATGCTACCACCCAAGTTCAGCGCCGCAGTGGAATAGAGTTCCACAGGCTGAGTGATCGGTAATTTACAATTGTCACGTCCCCACTGAACATAGTACTGATGCCAATTTGGCGACAGAGTATCACTGATGAAGTCAGGCCCAACTGCGCCTTGTATTTTCGAATTCGCCAAAAGCTTCGCCAGTGTGTCTTGGCAACTTGCTACACTTCCCAACAATGCTATACGCAGGGGTAATATGGTGTTTGATGTTCCTTCGGTTTTTGGTGTCATTGATGCTGCATCATTATTCGTACTTTCCACAGTTTGATCGCTTTCTACTTGGTACACGCACATTCTATGGTTGGTCGATTTGGAGATGTACATTTGGGCAATCTTTTCACCCGGGGACAACACAGGTGGTACTACAAAATCACCTTCATCTGCAATAGTGAATGGAACAGTATCACAAACGTTGTTCAATAGCCGCATCCATCTTTCATGTGGTTTAAATGAGCTTGGTACTGGAGAAAAAACACGCATAGATCTATCGATGTCGGCCTGTGCCATAGACATCTCACCTACGCTATCATCCGTGCTACGCTCATGGTAGACGTGGTGGTTCGCCATAAGTGCCATGTCCTCCAGGTTAGCGACTTGCTTAGTGCCCCCTATATTTAGGCCATCAGATATTACATCAAGTAGCTTCTTGATACCTGTCCGTTCCGCTGCGCTAACGAAGACGGGTTCTCCCAGCTCTAGAGAGTAACAGTCCGACAAGCATTTGCTTAAGGCTTCATAATACTCCTTTGAACCTTCTCTATCTAGTTTGTTCACTACCAAATTCATCTTGAAGCCTCCTGGTGTACCCATTGACCATAGGCGCAATTTCGTTGCTATCTTGGTGTCTAGGGGAGTTAGGCCTTCTTGGCCATCAAGAACAAGGAGAACCATGTCCGACATTTTGATGGCTCTAACAGCATCTTCTTCAATTCTCGACAGCCAATGACTCCCATTTTGCTTCTGTATGCGATTGACGAATGGATATACGAGCGAGTCAATGCCTCCGGTATCTATCAGTGAGATTTTCTTCCCGTTTATGAAGAATTGTCCATGCTTCGCATTACGAGTCGTTCCGGGATGGTCTGAAACAATGGACTTCATTACATTGGGGAGAATTGAATTGTGAGATGCCAAAGCATTAAAAAGCGACGATTTGCCAACGTTGGACCTGCCTATCAAAGTGACCAGCATAGCTGCTCCTGATAGTTCGCAAGCAACATTTATACAATGAACGTGATAAACTGCATTATGGACCTCCAATGAGCAACCGATGTCACACAATGAGGGTACTGTTCCAGCACGGTCAGATGTGTAAGAGTGTTGTCTATTGTCACGTGAGATTGTAAATTGATTTAAGTTATACGAGAAATGGGACCCATTTGTATAAATACAATCTTAATTAATAAACAAAATTGTTGCAATGCCATTAAATGATGATTTACTGGTTTGAAGTGACTCTGCGCCCGCAAAATGGATTCCCCTGTATCGACCCCTACACATGTAGCATAACTCTACCGCGAAGGCGTCCATTTATCCAAACGTACACACGGGTTGGAGTCCGTTACAGGTTTGTCAGGGTGTAGCGGACGATAGTTGCGTGGGCACCGCAACTGTTCCGTTGCTTTCTCTGCACTGACGTTAGTTTCAGTTCGAACCGTATCCTCCGCTAAACGTAGGCGCATTCCACTTTCGGCCTCACTATCCTTCTTTAGCTCCTCGTTAGCTTCTTGCAGGAGCGCTTTGGCGTGCCCTTTGTGTACTGTGGCGAAGTATGTGTCGATAAGACGCTGTATGGTGTTTATGTCCTCACGCATGCCATCCATGTATTCTTTAAACCCATTTTGCTTTTGGATTGAGCCAGTTCTTTCGTTTTGTGCCACATGGAATTTCGCTGCAATGTCCCTGATCGATTGAGTGAGTCTATCAATTCCATTGTTGTCTGTTGGGTGTTCCTTAATAAATTCATTACGTTTTAGAATATTGTCAAAGAGTTTCTTTTTAAGAACATCTTCCTTCAGACTCCAGCTTATTATATCAGCAAGCAGAGATTTTGATATCCTCGCTATGATAGCGTTCATGTTTTTCATTTCGGCGCTTTCACCGCGAACGGTTAATCCAGGAGACGAAATAGTACTTTTCACGGATATCAACCCATTGGTAAGAGCATCATGAATGGTTCTTGCACCTATTTCCTTTGATTTTTTCATGGCTACCTCTGAGGCTGCCAGTTCTAAAACTTCCACTTTGGTATCGAAACTTTCTCGTATAGCGCTGGACATTTTGGCGCTGATCTGCACATTTACAGGTCGACTATTAGCGTCTACATCCGATTTATCGGCACCCAACTGCCCTAGATCACCGTTTATCTCCCGGCAGAATGTTTCATACGTATGCTCTAGGAAACGTTGGTAATAGTCAAGGTCATGCGCTCCGGTAGATACCGCATCTAAGAAATTTCGCAATCGGTTATCAAGTTTTGAAATGGTTTCATCTATTTTAGCAAGAGTATCTTGTTTCATGTTTTGTCCCAATGGTTCTAAGACATCAATGATGGTGTCGTTGTTACCCGAAGTAGCATTGGAGTCATCTGAAGGAATCGTAGGAATAAGAGAATACGCTGCAGTCAGATCTGCGGGTATAGTTGCAGAATCCAGCTTATCATTCAACTCTGTATTTTTCCGATTTGATTCGTATTCTTCTTTTGAAACCACCTTTGCATGATCCTTATCGTCTACAGGAACTTCGATTTTTGGCTGTTCTGATTTTTCAATATCCTTTGCCGTTTCATGCACCTCTACTTCCTTCTTGATATCTGGATCCTCATTACTTTTGGTTTCTTCTACCTCTTCACGGACATGAGTATCCAATGTCTGCTTTTGGAGTTCCTTTAGAGCTGCCTCCATATCTTCGGCTTCATTATTTGATTTGTGTACTGCAGAATCTTTCAGATCAGCAGCACCGTCTTTTGTATCATCTTTCATCTTCGTAGTGTCTACACTTTTAATATCCGAAGTGTCGGGAGTGTCATTGGCCCATGCCTCCATGTCGAAAGCGTGGCTATTTCCGAGAATTCCCAACACTGCAACCAACGCAATTATCGATATTCCACGACGAACCATTTCTAGCAGCTGTTTTAATTGTAGCAATGCAATTTATGGGTTTAGAAAAAGAACAGAGGCCCAATTCAGCTTTTTGCCCCCCGGGAAAGTGCAACTGCAAAAATCCTATGCTTAACCAGAAGCTATACCTAACAACCCAATCACGCGTTTTGAAACTTTATAGGCTTAGCGTGTAAATCCCAGCACATAAATGAACGATCCGTCTCTGGTGATGCTGTGAAGTATACGATCACAGCAATCGCCAAATTTCGCTAAAATAAAATTCTGAATATATATAGTAATTGGAGATATACAGAAATTCACAGTACACAAGTAGATCATTGTTGATGCATTATCAGTTGGGTTGATCAGGGAATAGAAAATTCACAAGATCTTTTCACCGTCAGGTATTAAACTAGATTTCATTTAATTATTGATGCACTGTGATCCATATATAACCTACTTTAATCCACGAATATGTAAACATTCTGGCCGAATCGTAAGATGCTATTGAAGGTCTGAAAGAAGAATTCGACGATTCAGTACCTGTAGTTACAAAATTCACCGAGAAGCTACTATAGATCACACTACGAAGCGAATTTTTGACTCACCGGGAACGTGTTCCGTGATGATATGACGGCTTTATATCAGCAAACAAATAAATTATAGCGCATAAAAATCTATATGATTCGGTGATACTGTTAAGGTGTTCTGGATGTTAGGATAATAGAAGATTGTGCCTATCACAATGGGCTTTGGATTGGTGTCTAAATTGTCACGTCTGGCCGTCAGCCGTTGGTTCAAGAAAGAAGAGGCAACTATAACAACCGCCGAAAGTGATACTGCATCGGAGGAGAACAATGAAAATGGTGAAGCAAATCAAGTCCAATCGATTGACTGGAATGATCTCAACTATCCTTGGGTATGTGCCATGCATATGTTTGTACATACGGCGTTACAGGGTCTAAACCTTGTGCACTATAACCGAAATGAACTGGAAGACGCTTCTGCAAAGGTCTCACGTATCTCACACATCGGCACATTCCTTGTCTATGGGACGTTATTACTCAACCTAGTAGACGTGATGATTCTTGCGGTAAGTCTCAGTCTCTTTAATTACGGCCATATGTAAATAGAGCATGGGAGCTTATCCAATGCGAATACTATATAGTTTTTTCGACATAATTCTTCTAGCTCCCGTTGTATGGTTAGTTTTACAGGTCGTCAATAAATAAGCCCAGCGCCAATTTCTACTTAACATTTGTTACGTTGGCAACAAAGAATAAGAGTTACCTCGCATTTTGCACCGGAGCACATATACTCATGGTAAATTGAATGAGACGTCCAACATTATGGCCTTTCAGTGCCTTCTTTATTTGACCCTTGCGATCGTTGGTGAGGGACCTATAAATGGTTTTACCAAGTTCACACACTTAAAGAGTGAGATTGCAGGATGTGCAGGTTAGTATAAACCCCGAGGTAAGATGCCACAAGCAGGAAGGAGCTACCTCAAGCGTTTGGACATGCGCAATAGTAGTTGAGTCGTGCTCATATTTAACATCATTCGGTTTGGGAAGTTCGTAAAATGCCTTCGAAATATGACGATTCTCAGTTTACACAGTTATACACGTCAGGTCAGCTATCAATATTCCACCTCCAACGACGATGATGGCGTAATTTCTACCAACTGATAAATCTTCGACAATAGATCAACTCACAAAAAAACGAGAAGGTGGTTGGCAGTTTAATCTAACGGCACCTTTAAGGCCTATGCGATTAATCATAATTATATTACCAACTTCTCCCTACCTAGGGGTTCTAGTATTTGATCAACCATGGCGTTTATCTCAGTGTATGTTTTCCCTTCGAAGAGAGGAGAACACAATATTCCCTGTTTCTAATGAGTCATATTGTGCCGTAACCCACATAGAAGTGTTCGTCGTAGACGTATGTTCCATAGTTTGGGTCGTTCTTGACGTGAAAACATATTGGCTGTAGTTTTGCGGAGATAGCGGATCGTAAGGCATCGAGTTTGGGCGTGCTGGGAGCCGCGTACTTATGATGCATAAGAGTTTTAAATATGAAAGCCATTTAAATATACGGATGCCATGCGCGCTCCACAATAACCTTATTTAGTTAACGCAAGCTACTGAAGTTGCTTGACCGTGGAATCGCCATATTTCGCGATCCCTTACTTGTTGTGTTTTAATCTTTATACACATCACAGAAACGATTCGACCTTTTGGAATAAAAAATGCAAATGATGCCGTCCGAAGGTGGTAGCCGCGGATTGAGGTTACACGCAAGCAGCGTCACATAGACACCATATAGATCCTGGCGGCATTACTGGCACATTTCATTGTGGAGCGCATTTTGTTAACATGTAAGGGGTCACTTAGAAGGGTTATGCGTGGATGGGAACACATAAGACGTTTGTGTGTGCCGCTCAGCAGCAGGGTACGTATGTAACGCTACGTGGAGTTTAACGCTTGTTCGCAGCTAACACGTTCCATACATGCAGACAAGTGTGGCAGACACGCATTAAACATTATGTGTAAGTGAGTTGTAAGTTCGCTTGCTTCGATATCTTAGGACGCATTATGCAAACTTTAGTTAGTGGGCGAAACCTTTCCGGTTGGTATGAAGCCGTACGATAATACACCACACTTGTCAGTGCCGTTGTCTGTCCGTTCGAGTCTTATGAATCCGTCCTCTCCCCAGGTAGTCCCCCAGGAATTCTTGATAAGCCAGTAGCGTTTCTTTAACGTCTCGTCGTAGCCTTCTCCAACCAAAAGTACTGCATGGTTGAGTTGTCCAGCTGGGCAGTCTGCGTTAAATATACCGCCACTGTAGTTGAACCAATCTTCTGTTGCTGCTACGTAAACTACTGTCGGAGCGCGCACCAAAAGTGCGGAAGCTACGTTGGCACCCCTAGCGCCCATGTAGTCCAAGATGAAATACCTGATTCCATGGTGCTCCGTGCATTTGCCATCAATAGCTTCGTATTTCCATTCAGCAGCGCTCGCAACACCGTGTTTTTTAATATAATCCAGTGCTAGGTCACTAAATCCTCCACCACAACCACTATTCAGGGTGTCACAACTGACGATTTCTTGTTCACTAAAGGTTAAATATTTGTGCGCTTCAATCCTGAACCAGCTTTCCACAGCACCTATGGCGGCAAATGCCCAACACGAACCGCAGTGTCCTTGATCCTTGACCGGCGACACAGCACCGAACGTCCTCCAATTGATATTTTCAAAAGTTACTTTAGATCCAACATCAATAGCGGTTGGGTTGTCGATATGCCCCTTCAGGAGTGAATACTTCGCTTGATCATCCTTTGTTACAAAAACCTCTCCAACGTTCCAATGCTCTTCGAAATCGTCTCCCACGTGAATCGGGTGTAGCAGCTTCGAAGCCAATTCCTTAACATCCATATCGAAGAAGTGGTTCGGCCCCTTCGAGTAAGTTGCATCCGTGTTTTTCTTGTGCTCCTCTACTATAGCCATATTGCGGCGATAGTTGAGAAACGCTGCATGTCTGGCCCGTAAATCATCGTAACTTTTGTTGAAATGCTTTTCAAGGTTCTTGAAATGCACGAATTTACAGATTTCTTCATCATCGTTGGTCCCCAATCCGCCGAGCTCAAAGAAGGTATGCAGCTCGTCGATGAGTTCAGGTGTCCTCACACAATCCATATCCAGTGTAGGCACTGCCAAGGCAATTTCACTAGATGATTTCAGCGATTCCGGACCCTTAGTTGACCTCAGAATGAGCAAAACTATCCCAGCCGTGATTGCTCCTATTGCCGCTAACGACAGGACACATATGGCAATTTTGTTTCCTGTGCATGTTCGGCGTCGGCGTGGTGCGCTAATTAAAGCTGCATCTCTATCGACTTCATCACTGCTGATGTAGCGATGCTCATCGTTCGACATGTACGAACGGTTACCCGTTATTGCCATTTTGTTCGGAAGTGGTTGCTAAAAACGTAAGATATAGGACAACGTAAGTTGTCGTCGAATAAAAGATAATGAGATGCTACGTCAGGAATGGAGTAGCGCCACGCGGCGCATTGTGTGATGAGCGTACATCCTACGTACGCAATTATTGTACTTGCGTCCGTTGTCTCGGCCACGTTCACACCGCATATAAAAGTTACGCCTAATGCGACCTCCGCGGCGTATAAAACATAGCAAAATCACTTGTAGATTTATATAACAGATTGAGACTGGCTTCGGCTTCAAGGCGCCGGAGCGTATGGCCAGGTTATACATTGCAGGTGGCGAGTACAATCGCATCCGAGGTATTATACGAGATTCCAGCGGCACACCTAACCAACGCAGTGTACTTATCATTAAACATACTACATATGCCACGATTTGCCAGTCAAAATCGGTGTAGTCGGGAAGTAATGGCATGTTCAGATTTGCGCGAGCGCCTGATGCCGGGCGTATCAATGGCCACACACGTGTACACACGGAAAGGGGTGTGTTTTGTAATCATTTAACGTTTGTTCAACACTTTTTTACGGATAACGACTCTCTTGGGTGTAAGCTCTAACTGTTCATCCCGGCTCAGATACGCCAGTGCCTGTTCCACTGTGAGCTGCCTGCAGACGATCTTTATTATTTGTTCACCGCCTTTGTTGCGCATCCCAGTGACAGGTTTGGTTCTCACCACGTTGAGGTGAATGTCTTTGTCCGTTCCGGATTCTCCGATTACCATGCCCTCGTAGACACGTGTTCCCTCGGAGATAAAGAGCGTGCCCTTAGACATAGCAGGCTCCAGTCCAAAAGGAGTTGCAACGCCCATACAACTCGAAATGAGTGAACCGTTCTTTCGAAGGTTCCGGTTGTCTTTTTGGTAAGGTCTGTAGTCAACTGTGGTTAAGGATATCTCCCCGCGACCTCGTGTAATATCGCGCAGGGATACCATCAAACCCAGTAACTGTGTCGTTGAACCCTGAAATTCCAACTGCGTTATTTTCTCAGTTCCTCCACGGCAGTCTGCACACGTTGTGTATTTTCTGTTATTTTCTGCTCACCTGAATACGATATGACCTCTACACCACGTGACGCGAGAAGGTCTACTACATTCGGTGCCATTTCACTTGGGCACAGAACAACTAGTTGTTGCAGTGCTTCCATTTCCACACCGTCTTCGCCTACGGTGGTGACTGCAGCAAGTGGAGAGACGGTCATCTCGAATCCCTCGCGCCGCATATTTTCCAGAAGGACCCCGATTTGAAGTTCCCCGCGACCCTTAAGATAGTACCCATCTTTATCCGCAGTTTCTTCTATACATAAGGTGAGATTGCGCTTAGCCTCATGCTTCAGCCGTTTCCCTATTTCGGCTGTGGTTTGCAGCTTGCCATCAGTTCCTGCCAATGGGCTCGTATTCGCAGACACAAGCACAGAGATCACAGGTTCGGAAATTTTAACCGGAGGGATGGGTTCAAACTCCGTAGAATCCCCCAATGTGTCGTTTACTTCTGGGGTGATGCCCTTGTGGCACTGTATAGTGATAATGTCGCCCACACGCGCAACCCCATCCAACCTAACCTTGCCATTGTGCTTTGCTACAAAGATATCCTTAACGACAGTGTGCCCCTTCACCTTGTTGCTACAGTCCTTTACATGCAATGTTGCACCCTTCTGAATGCTGCCACTGTTGATTTTCCCGGTTATAAGTGCACAACCCTCTTCGAAATCGAGCAGTGACACCTGTAGCGTGAAATTTTGGTGCGGCGCCACCTTAGGCGATGGTGCCACATGCGATAAGCACTCAAGAATCTTTGACGTATCTGATACTTGGTTTCGGTCGACCGGATATGACGATGAGACCCAATTTTCCTTTGCCGATGCAAAAAGGAGCGGGAACTCAAGCTGCTCGTCTGAAGCCCCGCAGTCTACAAATAGTTCGAAAAGTTCATTTTCTATATCACTCCGCGTTTTATTACACTCTCGGTCACATTTATTGACCACAACAATTGCCCGAAGGTCCGGGTTCTCGAGCGCCTTGCGCAAGACGAATGTTGTCTGAGGTTTCGGTCCTTCCACAACATCCACCAGAAGACATACACAGTCCACAATGTTAAGTATACGCTCCACTTCTCCCCCGAAATCTGCGTGCCCGGGCGTGTCTACAATGTTGAACGTACGGCCTGACCACTCAACTCGAGTAACCTTAGAACATATGGTGATGCCTCTTTCCTTCTCTAGTTCGTGGCTGTCCATAGCACGACTGTGCGTCAGTTCTTCGCCACTACAGCGCAGAAGTCCGTCCACCAGTGTCGTCTTGCCATGATCCACATGTGCCACCACTGCAACATTCCGTATGGAAGTGAAACCGCGCTGGAGCCTACATAACGGTCTAGTGGCACACCTGAAAAGCCCAAAAAACAGCCTACGCGAGTGAATTATCATATCTGAACAGCTTCATATTTGCGTGCTGGTCGGGGAAAACTCTACACATTGGGAGGAGAGGCTGGTCCCATATGTGATTACTCTATGAGTAGAACTACTCTGCTAGCTATTTTGTTGTAAAAATGTGGAGGTCTGCAAAGTCGTCTTACTCGAGGTATTGCTTGGAAATGGCTGAAATCTTATGCAAGTGAGTTCACATCGCGTTGCGGCGGCGTACGATGCTAATGGCGACACCGACATGGTTGTTCCTCATATGCATTATTGCTATTCTTCTCTGTGATCGTGTTGACGGTAAATTAGGTGCTTGAAAGACCCGTACCGTGAGAAGGCGCTTGCAAGATACAAGTTGAATGTGAAGCAGACAGATTACGCCAACGGTGTAGCTCAACCACCACGTAAGTTTGTCTTCACTGAATTTTGATTGCCTGTGAAGCCTCATTTCAAAAATCTGCAGAGTTCCGCGTCAACTTCGCAGATGCCTTCGGCCCTAAGGGGCCGGCACAATGATTTATCGTATAACGGTCTTATAATTTTCTAAAACCCACAAAACTAATTCTACACATCGCATATAATGGATATATATATCGCTTAGCTTTTGATGTCTTTTGCTCAGATGTGTATTATATCGCTATAGGATGCCAATTCCGTTGAAATTCCTGACATTATTTGTAATATTTAGCCATGTGTCGTCTGCTTTTGCGACTCAGTTTACCGACTCCGGCAATGCGCCACTGGAATCTTTCAACCAGCTGATGGAGAGGAGCGTTGTTCCGTTACCCATAGCTAAAATCTTTTCTTTGAACGATAGACATGACAGTAGGTGGTTTTTGCATGAAGTCAATCTATTTAGCACGCGTGTGTGTCCTAAACAACGTTTTCGCCGACTACCAAGATACGCCTCAACAGTGCAAGTGCTCTTTCGCACGCCTACGTAGGTCAAGATTTTCACCGGGTCAACATTAACCAGGTGCTATTGAGCTTCAGTGTGCCAACAATCCACTGGGAGGATCGCACGATTGCGGCAAGAATATATGTGAGACATGCTGTATCATAAGCATGACGGCTACTTACACTGAGGATGATCGCCACCATAACTACCCTATCAACTGCAAAACTCGTTGCCTGAACTCTCCAATTACTTCTGATGTGACTGAGGATTCCCAGCAGTTTTTGTCAGAGTTGTTGCTCAAGGTTAACGCTCTTTACCACGCTGACGTGTCGGCTGCTAAGCAGCCAGGTGAGCGGTCCACTTGTCTATCCCCATATTCATTGCAGATACTACAAAAGTACCTACGCAATATCACGTGGTACACCTCGAGGACCAGCATGATGACAGCTTATAGGTCCCAAACACTACGCACTCCAGGTCCTACAGTGTACGACGGTGCCACATTCATCAAAAATCGTGGCAACAAATGGGCAACAATTGTAAACACATTACTATGTAAACTTCCATCATTCTCCGTACATGTCGAAGTTGGTCCTTGGTTCTGCGTCTTCCCCGTACTGCAGAGACGCATCTGTTGCAACCACTATTTGCTCTAGCGATGCCTCGTCATTTATGTTAAGCGGAATGAAGCTTACAAGGTTGAAATCCTCTAGCAGTGACACGAATGCTAAATTCAATCCCTTGAATTTTGGTGGCAGGTGGCTATCCAGTGCGCCGAGCAGTTCGTCTGGCCCGCGGTTGATCAAGCCACATAGTGTTTCATAATCAACAGTGGAATCAGCCTCATCGTCTTTGTAATCCATCTCCTCCTCATCTTCTTCGTCGTCCGGGTTCTGGTTTGTTTTGGAGAAGAGATGTTTCTGAAACGCGAGGTCCCTGGATGAAAGTCCGAAGGTGCTGCTCGTTATATCGGCGAAAGGTTTTAACGTAAAGTCTCCGCTTCCATCCGTCTCGTATAGTAGATCGCACTTTGTAAGCACATTTAGATGCGGCATATGTAGGTTGGCCATGGCTGCAAGCCCTGCCATGGACCCTGCGATGAGTTTGGTTGGGTCTGTCATGAAGCTGACATCCAGGAGAAATACTGCCACAGCGTTTATGTTGAGCCTATTCAACAATTGCGATATGCTTTTCACGTACTGCAGGTGAACGAATAGTTCCACCTGCCCGGGGGTGTCGAAGAGTAGGTATGATTCGTCGCTGTAGGTTTCCTCGATCTGCTCGGCCAGCCATTCTATGTTGTCTGTGAGCATTTCGGCACTCCGTACTAAGGCTGCATTTGGTCCGAGTTCGTCCTCTTCTATTACGGCGCCTATATCAACAAAATCTCGAATGTCGGTATCGAATATACTGCATTCTACGGCGCGATGTGCATATGAATTCGAAGAACTTACCATCGTTGTCGGCCGCGTTATTCTTTCGGTTATTGGCGTCTTCAAAGCGGATATACTCCTCAGTGGCAGGGTCGAGGTTGATAATGTGGCAGCGCCTTCTGCAGGCCGTCAAATAGTCTTGAAGCGCTTTGCAATATGTGGTCTTGCCACTGCCAGCCGGCCCGACCACTATCTGTGCGTAACGCATCTGATTAAGCGATTAATCGGTGGAAGATGGTTTTTATGTTTGCTAGTCGGTGACAACTTCACCGGGTGCTGTTGCACGCCGCATCTGTTGGGATGATGGCGATCGTTCGAAAGACACGTCGGCTGAACTCGTTGGCAGCCTCAAGTGACAGGTTAATTTGTGTATCGCATTGATGTGTTCCCATGTTGACGCGGAATCGTGACGATGACGCGTACTTCCTGTGTCGTATACTCAGTGTCGAAGGAAAACAGTCCCGTTTATTTATAAACAAGAAGAGTAAAGCATACTACATTGCGAACTAAGAATTTAGAATTTCTGACATAGTGGAATGTTGAGATCGGTTGCTGGAGCGCGCCCTTAAAGTGTCTGCGGCCCTCCAACATACGCCGTATTGTTGTGCAAAATAGTCATACGCGAGGCCCACCACCTACCATACAACTTTCAATATAGTTTTCTTATTCCTTCTGTTATAGGTGCCTACGTAGCCTATAAAAACTATCGCCAATATTAAGGGGATCATTCGCTTCGTCATCATAGCAGGTATGCCTTGTTGCAACTATCCATTCCGTCCTTAATGCGGCCTCCAGGGTCACTGGGCGCTTTATATTCGTTGAGGTGTGAGGGTTTTTGGTGGCTAAGTGCGTTGGGAGCAGATCTCTATTTGTGGCCCATAGATTCTACATAGCCTGATCGTGTCGTGTTGTTATACGTAATCTGACAATTCTTCAGGATGGTGAGGATTACATCTAGCAAAACAGGCACCAGGGGTGCCCGCGAAGAATCATTGTATCCAGGATCACCTCGCAGCCAGAAGTGGATCGGTAATTTGCTACCAATCCTGGAACGGTACAACTACAACCATGCTGAGATAACGCAGCTGGTTAAGGCGTGCGACTACAATGGAGATAAGATCCAGCAAGAGGTTGACCGCATAATGGAGGTGAATATAGGTCACGAGCAGGGCGAATGGACAGTTGTCAACTCTCAGCAAAAGCAAAAGGCGAAGACAACGCAGTTACCTAAAAGGACGAAGGCTCCGATTAGAGGCACGGAGCAAATTGTGGCTACTACTCCCCCTGGGAAGGAGCCACAGATGACTCGCCGTGCACAGGGAGGCAAGGATGTTGCCACGGGAACGGCCCCAATGGATTCGGCTGTGGATATCGTTGCCTCTTCGGAACCGGTTGATACATCTGCTTCTGTTGCGGCTCAACAGGATCAGGCTCCCCGTTCAAGGGCTCCTCAAAGAAACCCAGCAGAGAAGAAACCGGGCCGCGAAAGTCGCAGAGGATCTGCCTCTAAAGGACCGGGCAAAGAACACCTCAAATCCCAGCAGGAGATTCCAATCCAGTGGGCTTCGCTGTTGAAGAAATCTACTGAAGGGGGGTCAGTTGTTCCACCGTCGTCCCCACCGTCAAATGCGGCCGCTCCAACGGCAAATGGTGCACCCAAACTCCCCAAGAAGAGGGCGGAGGAAGAAAGGGTCCCCGAGGTTAAGGCAGCGCCTGTAAACCCGGTTGTTAATCATGACGTAGAAGCACTGGCACTTGCCCAGGCTGAGGAAACGCTGAAAAAGCTGGAGATAAGCGAACGAATTAAGCTGGATCAGCAGCGTCAACGCAAATTGCTACAGCCGCCGCCTAAGCCCGAGAAACCGCGCTTGTCGCCAGCACAGCCACGACTTGCGGTAGTGGAGGATCAACTACCCCCCGTTGTAATGCCGAAGTCTCTATCCACGAGCATCGACGCAACAACCATGTTCAGTTATTTCGACGAAGAGCCACCCAAAGCAAATATGTGGTCAGCCGGCACGTCAGCGGGTCACTATCAGCAACCTTTGGCGAGTAGGCGAGACTACAGCAAACATTCGCGGAATTCTCAGATGGTACGTGCAGAACACGGCAGCCGCTCTAACGTAGCGCAACCCGATGGAGGCACACTAGTGACACACAATGCCGGATCGGGAGCCCAGCCCGATCAGGTGGATACGCTTCATGGTGACAGTTCGGTTCAGCAGGAAGGCGTTCCGGACGCAGGTTTCCAAGGCCATTGGCAAATGGGCTACTACAGGAACCGTTACGGTAACCCCAAGCACCAACCGTTTTCTTACGCGTATGACGAGGATAAGCACAAGAACTACAGACAAGGGGCTAGCGAGCATTATCCGCAGAAGGACGGTCGCCATCACGCAAATGGAGTTTACGTGAACTACGGCTATCAACACGACCGGCTGCAGACGCCTCCTGGTTTGGTCAGCTACTACACATCACAGCAGCCTTATTACGGATTCTCTAACTCGACGAATCAGAATAACCCGCACCCTCCCTCGGATTCCGTGACGTCATCTATGTGGAGGAACTGAATACCCGCCAGTTGCCTCAACTTTTCATTTAATTACTGCTCTACGATGTGTAACATTTAGTGGACTTTTCACTGTAGTAAATGCCTGAGGACTCAAGGTTCGTGTCGTTGCGAGGATGTCGCCGGCCTTCAGGTGAGCCACTCGATTTCCCGCCATTACTGCGCAGCACACACCGTAACGACAGCAGAAGTCTGTGTCCTGTGGGCCTCTACGATTGTGAGTAAACGGGGCTTCCAGAGCGATGAGTTGTTACACATCGCTAGGAATTTCGCGCGGAGCGAGTTCTCCCATTTTGCCGTCCAGGTGGTGATTCCTTCACCCTTTTGCATGTGTCGTATATACTCCAATGGAAGGGTCGTTATTATGGGCGATCTGACGGAACGTCAGGTCGAGGAGGAGTTGAGCCGTGTTGTCTACAAATTGCGCTATCGCACGAAGTGGAAGGTGTTGACAATAAGAGGCCGCACAACACATGGCAACGGGTTACAGTGGTGTTACGTGGTGAACCAGAATGTGTTGCCCGTGAAGACGGCTTTGCAGAGCGTAAAGGTCGATCAGCTCTACTGTAAAGTAGCTTTTGACGGCCCAATCGATTTGCGCTCACTGTTGCGGAGGGGGCTCGCCGCCAAACAGCACATCACTAGCATGTCCAACGCTTGCGTTCGGCTGCAGGTTGACCTACCACAGCCGCCTGGGAAGAGTACGAATTCGGCCGAGCCCGAGCCGACCACATCGGTCTGGGATGCAGGGCTAGAGCTGGAACGTGAACTAGAGGCAGAGCTGGCACATATAGGGCGACAAGACAAACGATTTGCCACATGCATAGTTTACCACAGCGGCAAAGCGGCCATTTTAGGCTGTTGCAACCGCGACGAGGTGAGGTTCGCCTTTGACGCACTAGCGACTCTGCTTTGAAAGCGAATTTTTAGTTCCGCACATATAAATGTTAAAGTCGTGCTGATAACAAGAGTTGTATCTGCATGCCGTTAACTGCGGAAAAATATGACTGCATTAGGGCACCGCATTCCGGTGTGTTTTCTTGTACGTCAAGCATCTTGGCAAACTGTTGCCGTTGGAGTGTATATCTTGCTGGCATAGACCTTTGTAACGTCCATTATTGGTCGCCCGGCCCTGTATACTTCGTCGACATCAGCAGTGTGGGTCTGAATAGCTCTCGATCGAAATCCGGGATATCCCGCTGCTGCTGCCTGTAGTTCTGTTTTGCGCTTCGATTGCCTATCTACCACAAGCCCGGGAGCATCCCACAGCTGGAGTCTGGACGCAAATTGATGGCTCACGCTAAATGTATCCGTATAACCGAACGAACGAAGAATCTCGCAGACAAGACTGGGCACCTGCCAACGCTGGAATTTTAGCCGCATGGCATGGTTGCAGTAATACCCCAAAAGAGATCGGTACATGAGCTCACAAGAAGCACTGTAGCATGGATTGTCAACCCACGATCGTGGCACATCAAAACTTGTGCCCTGGTCAGGACTACTTTGCGTTGGCCTTATGTCGCAATTCAGCTGCGATGCTTCGTAGAGGACATGAGCATCGAGATCATGGAGTAACAACAAATTACTACAGTCACATCCTTTGGGTTTAACCATACCAACGCGATCAGCCAATACATCCACGGATTCGGGTGCGCCGACGTGTACAACGAAATCGACGTCACCCAAATTTAGCCCCAATGACGCTATGTCTGTACAAAACAGCACACCATCGTCTACAGATGTAAATACATCAATTACGTATCTTCTCTTCTCTTGCGATAATCCCCCATGGAGCGCGTACATGGGTTTTTTTATTTTCAGACAGTGTTTAAAGTAGACGTAGCAGAATTGTGCCATTCTTACAGTGGGATAGAAAAACACCGTTTTACCGCTCTTCGTCAAAGTCGCATGTATCATTTGGCAGAGTTTGGATGGGTCGTACAGGACATATTCGCATCGGTAACGGTGGTCGACAAACAATTCCTTTGACCTGGAATGCTCTATAATCCGTTTCTTGTGCTCTTGCGCCTTCAGTTCTATTGCAGGCATTGGCAGCACAGGCGCATTTACGTTGGAATCCGACTTCATTACAGCATCGAAATAGGCACTGCGTTGCGGCCCACATATATGCCGCGTCACTGGTGAACCGTCATGTTCCGGGCAGAACGATATAACCTTCATATCCACCCTTAATGCTCTGCTAACACGTTCTCTAACAATATTATCATTGCGAGGCGCCAATATAATCGTCTGAATATGCGGTTTCAGCAGCGCCTTTAACCTTAGAACGGTTGACAATGATTGAGCCTGTAAGAGCCGTTGCGCTTCATCAAGGACCACTGTCTTAACATCCTCAAAGAGTGAAGGCGTTGCCAGCATAGCTTTGAGGGCGCAATGTGGAGTTGTGTATATAACATCGGATCTTGGTATGAGATCTCTGTGTTGACCGCTTAAGACATCCTTATAATATAGTGCAAGCACGCTGCATGTTTGCCGCAGAACTCCAGCCGCATTCCTGCTGCCTAACAAGACAAGGTCTACTGTGGGCACCAAAATGAGTGTTTTATGCGCCACTTTATCTACATCCTTGCATTTTACGTAAGAACGACGAATCGCCTCTGGCAGGAGATACAGCAATGTCTTGCCACTCTGCTGAGGTGCTGCTATGAATAGGTCACCGCCCGCAAGCTGAGGTCTAAGTGAACTGAGCTGTATACCGTTTGCGGAAACTTTGCGACCATTTGCAACCAACGTCACTCGCTTGAACCTCCTCGCGAAAGCTTGTACGATTTTACGAATCAGCAGAGGCGATGGCTGCGGATTCAATTGTATCAGCGAGGAACCCCAAATACGAACATCAGCTGGAAACGGAGTGACGCATCTTGCTAAGCATCTGTATAGATGGTTGGAAGTGTTCGGTGTCAACGCTGCAATCGCTCCTGCTAAGGCCATCCGTGCCATAATAGCCGAGGCCGGTGTTACAAAGAAATGCTACACATCATCTGCAGTTTGTAATACAACAAAAGATCCTCATATTGTATCGTTTATGTAAGAATGTCTTATCCAGTTAAAGCCGATATCCGGCGGTTATTATTCGATTCATTTCCTAAAGCAGGCGCGTACACATAAGCAACTGAAGCGGCCATTTGCACATTTATATCGCCACAAGACATCCCAAAGCGATGTATCAAGTGGCTAAATGTTGTAGTGTAACTTTCAATGTCGCGCGTATCGCATATGCTCGTCAGCTCAGGTCGATGGTCCGCCTCGCGGACGCATCTTCGGAGGAGAGCGTTGTTCGCGACTTTAACGAAGATTCCGTGTTGAACCAACCAGTAAGCCTGTTGAACATAGTATATAGCGGTGTTTAGTTCAACCCCAAGTACTTTGAGTGGACCGATGGAGACTACATGAATGCGCCGGTTGACATTCACACGAGAACCTCCGCGGACTCCCCCCTAATATCCCGTAACAATGTCGGCATGGGCTTCTTGGTCTTAAACAGGTATTGAAAGCACGCCTATACACCTGATTCGTGTTCAGCATGTATACGGGAATATCGCAAATCAACGCTCTATACCGTCGTCTAGCCGACCTGGAGACGAATATATACAAGCGTTTTGTCGTGGTGACTAGCATGTCTAGGGACATGTTCAGTAAAGGGCTGAACTCTCTAGAGATGAATATGTTTAAGGAGTCACTACAACTACTATCGAATCACAAGAATGGAGCAGTACTATACGGGGTTATACAACGTGCCTTGGACGACTATCTCAGCAATATATGCGACCTATCCTACCTGATACAGAGTTACCAGAAACCGCTGCTTTCATATGCGAACGGAGTAGTGGGTAAGTTCATTGTTTTACGTAATACAACTAAATTCCCATCAGGCGGTTTCGCCACTTCTGTGGTGTCGCTTGCGAACGTTAGTGCATGTCACAAGCACTCGCGTATGGCCTTCAACAACCTTGGTATGTTAAAACGAATACAACACAATATGAACAGAGCATGGTATGCCACTGTTGGGGGGTCAATCCTGCACACTGGCTATGCTGCGAGGTTCACTGGGTGAATACTTACTGCTGACAGGCCACGAGTTGGCAGGCGCGGATCTGGTTTGGTCAGGTCTTGTAAGGCGGTACATATCGCCAGATGCGTTTCATGTAATGCAGTTGACAGCGGAGGTTGGTTGATGCCTGCATTAAGACTCTATAACATTGATCAGAGACAGGTAGAAATGCCTGAGAAGGAAACGGAATTCCAATTGCAAGAACACTTTTTGCAATTGGACTCCAGGTACTCGTTGGACAAATTTGAATGGCTAATCCACGAACACTTCAACCGCTCGTCGGTTGCGTCTATACTCCGGAGCTTGGAACGCGGTGTTTCAGCGAAGAAGATGAGGTCACACAGCTCCATAAACGCCGAACTGGTGCGTAAATGGGAAATAAAAACTCTGGACACGTTGACAAATCACGTAGGAGGATGCACGGAGGAGTTTGATATCGCTTTAAAATTAATACGTGACGTGAAATCGTATAAATTACAGGTGCTAAAGACACTGGATATATCGCCTAATCGGTGGAACGAGATGCGGGATTTCGTACACATACCTCCAGTTTCCGCGAACGATCACAAGATGTCAATGATGTTGCATTCTATCCACAGCGAAATACTGCTGGAAGCGTTGCAATTGGAAGTTGCGTCATGGTTGGGTTATCTTGGCAGAACCCTCCAACTACCGTCTGGTGATTTGTGGTCCCGATCAAAGTTCTCGTCTCATCCGTTTACGCCATGCTACCGCTCAGGGTTTTCGCTTTCCTCGCTTCCCGCGCTGAGGCGGCTCCACCCGGACTTCGACCCGCGCACCGGCAGCGACCACGACGCCGTTCGCATGAAGAGATTATGCGAGCGCTGGTCGGACGACTTCCTGCAACGTGAACTATTCCTCATGCAGCGCATTCTGACGTAGCAGTGCGCCACGATCGCAAGCAGCACATAATAGACACCGTACGAGGCTTTGAATGTTAATCAGCATGTTTAGGGGAATTCGATAGTCTGTTATACCGCAGCATAAGGGGCAAAGCGGACATGTTGTAGTGTTATACGCCCCGTAATGCTTGTCAAATGTGCATAACGGCGGTAACCTGCTAGGGTTTCTCGTGTAAAACTCGGTGTTGGTTGATTAAGCTTTGCTGTTGTCCCCCACCTCTTTGCCTTCATCATCCGAATCCGCGTCACTGGATTCGCTCTGACTATCGTCACTGTTCGACGAGTCACGCGCATCGTTTTCCTTAAGGCTGGAGCTATTCTGCACGGTAGCTATGGACGGAGGCAAGTACGGTTCCTCGGGAGATTCTTCATCCTCTGTGACGTTAGTGTCAGTCGATAGCGATATGACGTTGCATTGCCCATCCGTTACAATGTTACCTGTATTTTCGACCGTTGTCCCTGCCGTGGTTGTGTTGCCCGCCGTCGACAGGTCGAGTGTCAACTCGACGCTGCCGTCATTATTGGACTCCGCTGATTGTGCCTCAGAAGGAATGTTATATATTCCCTTAACTAATGGGATGCGGTGAATGTAGCCGTTCGCTAAGTCGCACCCCAGTGTTCCTGCGCCACCCCAGCCATTGCGGGGTGTGATAACGGTCTTGCGGATGCTCTCGGTTATCGAGTTGTACACGTACAGTGGCACTTCTTCGTTGACTCGTTCACCTACGTGCACACGTACACAGTCGCTGTCCACGAAGAGCTGTAAGTTTGTTGCCAGCAGATAATCCGTTATAGGTATGAGTCCTGCTTTGCTAGCCGGTGAACCCTCGTGCACTTTAATGACATGAGCCCCTTCGTCCATGGCCGTAAATTCTGCAAAACGCACAGAAAGCCCCAACAGACCTACGCCATCCCATTTGCGTGGTGTCATTTTAACAACCCTGAGTGATTTTTGGCGCGCATTGTAGACGTTGAGCGAGATTTCCTGATTCTCCTTACTGCTAATGTAAGACGTAAAGCTCATCAGAGTCTCATCCGAGTCGTCAGAATAGCTATTGTGATCGGCTTCCATGATGTAGTCGAAGAATATCTCGAAACCAGCATTCTCAGCGGGACCATTGGGATATACACGATGCACGCGTAGTCCCCCTGTGGGAATGACTCTGGAGTTGTTACCGCCCATGGTCGTCTACCGTGCCGATTTGCTCTAATAGGTTGGTGTGTCGTTCGCGCGAGGTCAGCGAGAATTGATGTATATCGCGGACCGTGGGCCGACTAGCGAGCAAAACTCGCCTGAGTATTATACACAGAGTGTGCCCGCAGCTTTTGAGATGGATGTGCCGACTGGTTGAGCCTGGGACCAGGGATGCCCATCATGGTAGCACCACAGCGCGGATGTTGTAGCTTCTAAAATAGCATAGTGAGCTAGCTAAATCTTCCACATTCGCGTATATTATAAGTATAACAATGGTTATTCGATAGTGAGAATTTGTAAAATTTACACCATCCCCGACTGCCTAGCTGGCTGGTCTTTTAATGCTAATCGAGTCGCGCTACACATTTCAGGATATCGCACTTTGAAGCCATATTGAATGATGGATAATGATGGGCTGGAAACAGAGGTAGCTCAAGAGGTACCGTCAGTCGACCTTTTCGCCGGCGAATCTGATTACGACGATGATGTGTACCGGGCAAATCAAGTCACTAGCGGTAAGTAGTAGGATTTGTATGTTAAGTGACCTCCTATAGGTGACGTACCGGCTGATGTGTCCACATACACCCAGAAGGCTGCGAAGAAGGGATCTCTTTTGAGTTTGGACCACCTATGGCACAACGCATCGGACCCTACGTATGAGGCACCTAGGGAGCGCAAAAACGTTTTGTGGGACTTTTTGGTTTACCACAATCTCAGAGAGGAGCGAGAGGGTCGCTACATGGCGTCAGTGCAGCAGTTGGAGACAGAAGCCGTGCTCGCCATTAAGAAGGCCAAGGTAGCAATACTGACTGAGGTGTCTGAGGGTGCCCATGATGGACTATTTGCTAATGATGTGGCGGAAGCTTTCGATAACCAGGTCACCAAGCTTGTTCACCGCTTTCGCCTAAATTCCATGGATGGATCGCCGTTGTTTTCCAGGATGAATGACGACGTGGACGGTGCTGAACAAAAGGTTGCCCTTTACTCTTACCTACGGAAGAATGAAGAGTTTTGTAAGCTCAAATCCAAGCTGGCTGCTATTAGAACGGCGAAAAAGCGTCTTATATCGTCTTCTCTCATTCGTCTGCTGAGTTCGGTGGACGGGTTACGTGGCAGGGTAGTATCTGGTCTCTTCGAGCCAAATTCGCGCGGTTTCAAAAGAGTAACGCTTACACGGTTTTTACGCCACCTAGACAAGATTTCCAACCGTTCAGAATTTGCCGGGGAGTACAGGTTTGACTTACTAAAAACGTACGTACAGAATAGGGAGGATTTTGAGGCGTTCATCCAGCACAACGCAACATTTGCCGAGAACAGCGATGATGCAATGCATTTTGGGGACTTTGTCAACCAATTTACTCCAGGTATGTGTCTTTTATTTTGCATGCAAACGTCCGTAGACTACAAGGATTTGGATTTGACATCCTCTGCTCCGAGAACTGGTGAAGAGCGTCGTGATAGTTCTGCACACGGTGATCGGGAGGAACCACCTTCGTATGATCACATGAGGGACTTTATGAACGCAACTCCACCAGACGATATCATGATGCCCCCAGAGGAATTCGACGAACCCATGTATTCAGACGAGTCACATTCGCCTCCTGATGAACCGGAGGAGCCGTCAGTGGCTGCATCGAATGAAGTGCCACAAGCTAAACAATCGCAACCCGATGTAACACATCCAAACGATGACGACGCACAGCTTAAGCTCTTGGAGGAGGCCCGAAAAAGAGCCGCTGAAATTCTTAGGTATGCTTTATTTTCGCATATTTACAGATGCTTCGTAGGAAAAAGCGACTCAGCCGTGTGAACGTGTCATCAGAATCTGGCACGGGTTAGACGCAACGATAGGCCTCTTCGTCACACAAATTGAGTCACTCAATCAAATAAAAAGGATTGATGTAACAGATCGCAACAACTAATCACATATATTATCATCAATCTGACGTTCAATACTAGCGCATGAGTTGTGATCAGTGAGTCTGAGAAAAACGGATCCGGAGGAAATTTTATTAGATCTTCCCGTCTTTTAATATCAATTTCACCACGGTCGATTGTCTATATATCATTTTATTTAATCATCACTACGGTGAAAACTGAAGTTGATAATCAAGCAAGAACAGTGCCATCGCAAGCTAGTTAGAACATTACATCTTTTAGGCGTTGCATACATATCTTAATACGTATGAGCACTTATATTGATATATCATTGTGTGGATGTATTCGTTGAATTTCTGAGCGTTATTGACTAGGAATTGGGTCGGCTTTTCACTGAAGAGTACCAATTGTACAATCATTAAAGCCTAAAGCTCCAAGATTTACCGAGTATATAGCAATACTACTTGTATAGTCAGTTGAAAAAATCAGAACGCAATATGAAAGCAATATTTCTTTTCTCGACATTATTGGTTGTTGCTCACCACCAGGTATGGGAATGTTTTGCGAAGCATTACGAGACGCACGATGTGGAAGGTGACACGTCACTTACAAATAAGCCATATGATGACAGCGACCGAAATGAAAACTCTACAGTACTAGAAAGCAAAACCCGAGGGGCCCCTTTGTATCGTTCGAAACATACTTCACGTAAAGGCAGGAAATCTTCCTCTAAATTCCCAGAGAGCACAGTAAACAGAACGCTATCATTGGATGATGGTAGGCATGTTTTGTACAAGAATCACTCTAAGAGCAATGGTAAGAAATCGCCAAGTAGCAATGGTAGGGCAGATGAAAAAAAAGTTTTTAGGGTCAAGAAAACCGTGGAGATATTGATTGATGCACCAACTAGGCGCGGAAAGAGGAGTGCAGATGCCGTTGGAAAGCTCAGTAAGAAAAGTGATGGAGTGGAAGTACCCGACACTTCGAGATCAGATGTTGAAGTTACATCTGGGGTTCCAACTAATGTAACAATGGAAAAGAGCCCGGTGCATTCTGATGAAGTTGTTACTAAGAGCACATATCCAGAAACCGGAGTGGATAATGGTACGGTCGATCATCGCTTGCCAGAAGATACCACGCGCATTGAAGAAGGTAAGCCCGATATGACTAGAGAAAGCACCGATGACGATATTTCCTCTAATGGCGCTAAGGAGATGGATTATGCTGACACACCAAATAAGAAATCCGAGCTCACATTAGAAGACCCAGGTACTGATAGCTCTGCAACGTTTGAGTCGCCCAGTTTGCATACAAAAGATGGAGATGATTCACTAAAGGGATTCGATAGGTCTCCTCTAGAATCGCCCAGCGATACTAATGTATCGATTGCCCCGGGAATGGTTGTGCCTCACCACAGAAGCTCTCATCCACTGCACACTAGAGATGATGTAAGGGGTGACGACGGCGATGACAGGCCAACTACACCTGCGGAGTACGACGAGCCGCGTGTAAGGAATGATCATGGACACGGTGAATTTAATGAACCATCTAATCATCGTGCACATGCACGGCCCGAACATGATACCTATAAGCGTAGCGTTCATAAAGGAGAGGTTGAAGCACACCACGGCAAACGCGGCACAAAGAAATACTACAATGAATTGGGCGACGAATATGTGGCTGACCGTCGCACCGAATTCGAAGAGAAATCAGATAGACGCATGAAGACGGCGCATCGTGATTTAACGGGCGATGCAATTGCAGATGTAACGGATAGAACTGGCGAGCCCGATTCAACGTATGTGGATGTGGCAGCAGATGAAGTTAAGGACGATGATTCTAATACAGGGATGACCAATGAAGATTCGGGTTTTCCGTTTTACCCGCAGATGATAGAGAAAGAGGCCATCATAGATGATACAGATAAAAGTGCCGATTTTGATGAGGATACGATGTCCAATGAAGATGATTCTGGTGATACAGAAACGGATGACAGTACGGAAATGAACAGCGGCATATCGACTCCAGCATCTGAAACGGTTGACGACAACGAATCAACCGAAGTATCTGATGGCAGCTCTCTGAGGGGTCTCCGCTCTAAGGGTCGTAAGGGGTCTAAGAAAAATACAAAACTCGAAACATCCAAGATGTCTAAGAAAAGCAAAAAGAAGGCTGTTAACAAACGCAAAAGTGCGGATAAGAAGGCCAAGAGAAATAAGCGATTAGAGAGAAAGAGGATGACCCGGGCAGCAAGGAAACGATCAAAGAAAGATGCCAAGCAGGCCAAAATAGCGGCGAAGAAGTCCCTCAAAGAGGCTAAAAAGGAGGCCAAAGATGCGATTAAAAAGGAAAGTAAGATGCCGGAAGGTGTAAACCTAATATTGCCTGTGTCTGAAACACCCGCTCCTAAAAGCATGACAAACTCTTCCAATGATGACATAACCGGTAAAGATGAGAAAAGTTCATGGACTCCCGTAAACTCTCTCGGGGCAGGGGCAGAAAAAGCAGATAGCGCTGAGGGAGACAGTGAGGTTGCCGGCAAAGGGCCAGGTGACTGCGCAACATCAGACGACGCAGTAGCCCCCAAGGATTCCAGTGCGACGTCTATTTCAAGTGTTGATGGAAAGACAGTAGGTGTAGACGATACCGCAGAAGGCACTATGGCAGAGAAGGACAGTACACCCGCTGTTGAAGATTCCAATGTAGATGAAGGGGACGAAGCTCACACTAATGACAGTGAGGAAGCTCTTGGTGACGAAACAGCAGCCGAGGAAACTGCCGAAGATAACGGCGTAGAGATTACGCATCTATAAAATTTGAGAGAAGATTCCATGTTGCTTGGGAGCGTTGCAAGTTTACCGTAATTGAGTCGCCTATTAGTTCACACAACGAGTCAAACTACACACGCATAATATTATTGCTATGTAATCAACTTTTTCGTGCTTCCTTCCATTTTGTTAGACGGCAAGATTTGATATGTCCTGTTAGACACACGACAGGGGCGCGGTCGTTATTAAAAACCATGAATGTGTAGCGCTAATCGGCTATAAATGTGTGTAAAATTATGTTATTTGCAAATGGACTGTCTCTGAGTCTGTATTTCTGGGTGTCTTTCCTTTTTATTTTTCAGGGATTTCACCTTCTCGCTCACAGTATTCATAAAGATAACGCTCTCCAAGTTGCCCTATTATCTACAATCGCACCTCGCTATTCACGTAGTGATTGCCAAGACCTGTATGGGACAGTGAGTAAACCGCGTATACCCGTACAACGTTTTACATGCTTTACCTTCATACATCGCATTAACGGAAGACACAAAGCTTCGGGAGCGCTGAGTTCATTAGATGAATCACGATCAACTGATGAAGCCAATGAAGGTTTGACAAAGGAGGACCTAGGTGAATTGGTTTCTCGCGAACTTAAAGATACAGAGGAGGTGCCCGCAATAGACAAACGCCAACGGTAAGCCATGGGTTGCCACTTGTTTACAGTTTCTAGGTTTCCAGAGGCTGCCACGGTACCTGTGCACGCTCCGCGATATATAAATAAGAGGGTGCGGACTCGCTACAAGTACAGCCCAATCGCAAGTGAGGCTTTGTTCACGTAATCTCATGCATTGTCAGAATCCCAAGGACTGCCCAACGATGATACAAAATCACAGCACTATAGGTTTTCTAAGCATTTGCACATATGCGGTGGTGCGATTCGCGGGCGGAGGCTTTGCGTCCCGCCGGTGTATCTTAGGCCGATGATGAACAGGGTGAAAGATGCCCTCTTCGCGTCGTTGCAACATATGGGCGTATTTGCGTATGGCCACGAATGCAAGTAAGCGCGAGTTGGTAATACGTCATTAAATACAAGGGTGCTTGATTTGTTCTGCGGCAGCGGTTCTGTGGGTTTGGAAGCGCTTTCGTATGGAGCCACGCACTGCACGTTTGTCGATGTTTCCATTCAGTGTTGCAAGGTTAGTTCCAGCAGATCCAATTAAGACCAGTTTCAGGCAACATCGCTGAATGCTTTGCATTGCAAATTTGAGGACAAGGTACGCATAGTACGCGCCGACGCGATGGTAGGTGGTCAAATCCTGGAGTAACACGAATCAGGAATCCATCACGTCCCCCTGGCTGCACTCCATAACAGACACTTTTGATTTGTTGTTCGCATGCCCGCCCTACGAAGAGATAGTGTACATGGATTTAATGAAGGTAGGCTGTTACGTTTAGTTTTATATGGAGTCAGCAAATCGCCAACACAACTCTACTGAAGCCCAACTCCGTCGTCGTTGTAGAATACCCGCGCGAAATCGCGTATTTACCCTGGGTGAGACCAGTTAATACATTAATGTTCAAAGATTACGTAGAACATTGAAGATGGCAAGCTACTCGGGTACCGCAATCGCAAGTATGGCCGTACTGTCGTGGCCATTTACTGCTACAAACCAAAAGGGACTCTGCTAGAGGCATGCAACAATGCACAAAACGAATTCGTACCAACCACATACGCACGCAAGCGGTTGAAGATCGAGGGATTTATAGAAAAGGAGAGTCCTGATGCGCCTGCCGTTCTTTGATAGCATGGCGTCATCAACAAGCCATAATTTAATGGAGTTGTGTGATTTCACATTTTTGCAACACCTTTGGCGTGCGAAAACACTAACTTGGCATCCTTCCTCGGATCTGAGCTCGATTATTTTTACGTCAAAAGCGTAGCCGTATCATGGTGTCATTCACGTACCGATAGATTCTGCTTCAGCATGTCCTGTGGTTAGATAACATTACGTTGACTTGTTTCTTACCAGATTTGTCGTCACTTTCCCGCGTATCGGCCGCTCCAAGCTGCCTTATTTTGCAGTTTCCAATAAGGTGCTGAACGCTCTTGACACTGAAGGTATAACCGTAGATCGTCGAGCTAATCTGAAATCGAGTGTAACCGCACAACTTAGAAGTGTGACTAACCTGTAAAACGTCCAGATTCAGCAGATATTCACGCATGCTCTCCAGTCTGCTCAGGCTTGCATTATACAAGTGTGCTTCCAACCTGTTAAAAGCGATCATGCGCCCGCATTTAATGCCCCCATGTTTTGAGGCAACACCGCATTCCAGCAAAACGACGTCGCGCTCGTCGCCTACTAATGATCACAGTAATGCTTGTCCACCATACCTCTGTTGTTATAATATACTGCATGGCAACAGGAGCCCTTTTTCACAATGATGGCGAAATACAATCTGTTTGCCGCGGAATGCTCGCTTAACGTATCAAATATCGTATCTATTGCGGTAGTTTGGTCGACAGTTTCAAAGCATGCGATGTTGTCCTGCGTCCAATAGCTAAACCCGTTGCTGCGCTAACTTACAACCAATTCGAGCCCCTGGAAATTCTTCATTACTGCTTTTGTTATCCCTTCGATCGAGTTTTTCGGGCGCATGGCATTAACGAGTAGCCCATTCATCATTCGACGCGTTATGGGTTCTCCGTTTGTCACCCTTGAAGCCCATGCGAGAGCCATCCATCTTGCGCGATCTAGGGTCCAGGTTTCATTTCTATGCGATGTAGTTGGTTCAATCGTCCAAAGCATCTGCTTGGAGTCAAAGGCTATTTCATGTAAGGTGGGACATGCCTTGCCTTTGTCACGTGCAGCCGGCCTGTCTGCGGAACTGGTAATACTCGACACATTGCTTCGACCGCTTCCCAAAGCATTGTTCACAACAATACCTGCCGTAAATGTGAAGCAGAAGCGAAACTAGGGTGAATATCGTACAACATTAGGCACTCACCGTAGTGACTGAACTGCGGAGTCGCTTCGCCCTCCTCTCTGCGACCAAAACAGCAGGAAAGGGACCGACTAATTTCGGCTAATAAATTGTATCTGCGCTGGGAGCCGATGGCGGCGGCGCCGCTGCGACCGGTCTTCCCGGGTTGTCGCCCGCGGCACAGGAAGTTTTCCGAGGCGCTTTCGCACTCATCGTAGAATTTACTTGTACAATGCAGTGTGTTAGAACATTGGGACCACGCCATGTTGGTCAACTGAGTTACTTATACAGATTTTTAGAACACTGGGCACCCAAACGCAGCTCCACTGCGTCCGGATGTCTACGACGTTCCAGTTTTGTTCTCCTCACGCGCTGCTTTAGCAGAGGACTGACGACGAGCACCATTGGTGCGTTTATGCGGCTCAATGGTCAACGCCTTTCCTCGCATTGTGACCCCTTCTTTGATGATAAGCTCCGCCGCTTCAGGAGAGTCCAATTGAACGAAAGCGTACATGGGTGACTTTTCGTTACCCCGATGAGCTCGTTTAAAATCGGCACGGAATTCTCCGACTATTGCCATATTGAAATCTTTCAGGCGCCTTGTTATAACATCCTTCAGTTCATCAGCGGTGGTGTTTGGTGGCAGACCGAATACGACAATCCTCGCTTTATCGTGCACCCCAAACTCCAGATTTTGCCCACTCTCTAGGCCTCTGGATGTGACATTTGGTTGAGGTTTGGATTTTATCCTGGGCCTCGTAAGTGTCTCCGTGACTTTCGTTTCTTTTGCTTCCTTTTTATCTTTACCCTTTGTGTCTCCAGCGTCTTTCGCATCTTTCGATTCTTTAGCTGCGTTCATATCTTTCGTTTCCTTAGCTTCTCTAGTGCTCTTCGTTTCTTTCGTTTCCTTGGTGGCTTTGATGTCCTTCGTTTCTTTCGTATCGTTCATGTTTGCAATTGGAACCAATTGCTCCACTTTCCCTGCTTAAAACATATAAACGGTTTTGGGGCAACCAACCTGTTACGTGAACCTCTTCCAATGCCAGGTCGTTAGCTATTTGGAATCGTGATCGTGTCTGGTCTCCAGTAATTACAACTACTTGCGAGATGCTCCTAGTTTCCACCGTGCTGCCAATGCGCGTGGTGACATCTCCGACAACTAATATTGCAATCGTAACCTGTGAACCTATAGCCTGCATTTCAATTTTCTTGATGTTCGATGTTGTTTGGTTTGGTGCGAGCTGGGCGTAGAAGTTCTTGATTTCTGTGTGCCCATTCGCAACCACACGATTGCCCATTATATCTGGCTTGCACAACTGTGCGTTTCGCGCATACAGATTAAACAGCCCAGCGGGATTACTGTGCATGAGCGAGTAGTATCGGTAAACGAAGTGATGGGCGATGTCCTCGATACTCATTTCTGAGCTGTTAGAACCTGTGTTCCCAGCATCGTTAGTTGCTGATGCACTCGCTGAAGCCACTCCGTGCGTTATAGATGGCGCCGCGGCGTTGTAGGTGGATCCGGATGCTACAGGGCTGGATGGCTGTATAACGGCCTGATTAGTTCCGCTGCCGTAGGCATTGGGGGCATAATTCGCTCCTCCTCCCATAAAGCGGCTGTAAGATCCACTTCCATAACGCTCGGAAGGGTCAAATTGCAGATGTGTGTCATCCGACCATCCATTGCTACCCGAGTGGCCCTGGTAGCCACCCAGGTATAAAGCGTTTCCGCCATCAAACCGATTGTCAACCTGTTTGTATGCCCTTGGATACCAGTATGAACCTCTTTCGTGTCCAACAGTTGGCCTCTGGGTGGCCAGTTTCGTCTTGTCGGCGGACGCCGCGACGCTAGACTCGTTGAAACGACCTTCCATGCCTCCTTCTACATATATAGGCCAGAACCGCGCGCAATCGCACAATTGTTTAGCACAAAAGCTCACGTAATGATATACTGCTGCGATTCGGTGAAAATTGCGTAGTATCGGTTCCACAGCGCCCGCTCCGATACAAGAGCACCCCACCTGGAGGGTATTGCGAAAATCTGGCCCCTACGGTATCTCCATGCAGTTCCATGTTAGTGTTGTGCGTGGCCAGGGCTTGTCTGGTCGGAATGTGACCGTAACGCTTATATGTGTGGTCGGGAGTTGAGTGGAATACGCTGGCGTCTGACGCGACGCACGACCTCGCAAAGTGTCACTGCGTCACCTATTACGAGGAAGAGCACGTAATACAGCATTATTTGCATACGATTATCATATGGCAATAGACTGATGATTTTTATTTAGTAACATGTGTCTATCGTTGCTATTTTTTGCAACAGTCTTCCTCTCGGACATTTCGGGAAACGGCGGCTGCCGGGGCATACGGAGCCATTCGGGAAATCATTCATCAGTTTAGGTCCCGCGCCTGTCACTTTCAGCGATTTTCTCCCCTCCAACAGCTGTGTCTGCGTTGGCACTTAACATTAGCCATCGGCTTGCAATCCTAGGCGTGGAGAAACGCGCGGTAGAGTTACTCCACTGCGAACTTGTTCACATACCACTCACCGAGCTCGAACGACTCAATGCGCGTCAACATGCTCCTAAACTTAGGGAGGAATACTACACCGCTTACTGCGCAGAGCAGCGTTTCTAGATACAAACCGTCGGTGCTGTACGCTGCGCAGTATGGATACTTATGTACATGTTAACAAACTTCTACTGACGACATCGATCATCCAGAGCCCTGCCATCCGGGGTAGGATTTCGCCCACGTTCGAGAGGGTGTTGAGAAGCGTCATGTAGGTCCCTCCAACGGACGGGTCTGCCACTCTAGCAAACAGACCATTGAATGAGACTACAATAATAAGTTCGAAGATCTTCCTTAATATGGATATTGAAAAAAAGCAGATGTAGAAGAGCGCATTCTCGATTGCACTGTGGGACTCCTTTGCGTAGAAACTTCCTGTTACGGATACAAGTACTGGCGAACCGTTACATGTCACACATTATCGCCTACCTGTATAAAGCACAACTGTGATTAGCCGTATTTTGAGACCCTTGCAGAGAACGTCTGAAGCGCTCGACTTGTGCATGCTCATTGTCACCTTGAGCGGTATAGTGTTTAATTCGCCGGAACTTACAAATGGCGGGAGTAGAATTTGTATGGGCACAAATAGCGGTGTGACTGCAGCGAAAGCGTCCCTTGGAATACCCTTTTCGAGCATTTTTAGTTCCGCCGGGTTTTCCACTGCGAAGAAGAAATTGCATGTCAGTAACGCTATTGCTAGCATTTTAGCCGGTTTCAACATCATTATCTGCGCATCCATGATTGTCTAACCGTCTTGTATCTTACCTGTTTCAGTCGTGAGTAGCTATGTTTTATGATCCTAATTTTCCTCTTATACGGGTTTTCGTCCCTGGCGCTGAGCTCAGTCGCACTGGGAAGGTCCATCAGCATGGGCATATCCTCATCCTCTTTTTTAAAAACGACAACTACCGTGATTATTATCGTGATTAAACCGAAGATCCATGTGACGCCCGACAGCGTGACAAAAGGCTCCAGCGCCATTTCGTCCTCGTACGTGAGTGCTGTGCGTCCCACACCAAAGAGCCCTTCCAGCCACCCCCACGCGCGGTGCATATTTACACGCATTTCTCTGCTACTGAGTGTTGTGAACCCCATGTACGCGATGTTTATGCCAATAGCCTGTCCTGCGGTGTTACAGGTCGACGTATGCATTCTGATTTCGGGTCTAAGCATTGTAAGTGCCCATGCGTCCACAACGATATCTTGCGTTGCCATGAGCATGTATAGCACAGTGAAGTACACCGTGAGTGCGAAAATATTAACGGGCTCCCCATATTGACCCACCCATTTGTCCATTTTGTTGTTTAAACCGCCGTAAAGGAGGAGCGCCGCGCAGATGATCTGAATGGGAATAATCCATGTCTTCCGTTTTCCGAGGCGCTTCCAGTACAGGACGTCTACTACGGGTGCCCACAGCAGCTTTAGACAGAAGGGTAGCGCTGTGCATGAGAGGTATGCCATTTGGGAATACGACACTCTGTCGTAAATGATGAGAGGCAGCGCAGTGCGCAGACCTAACGGTATTCCCTGCACTGTGTACAGCGCCAACAGTACTAGCATGCATTTTATATCGTCCCTGGTATAGTTGCTATGTCCCCTGGAAACCTCCTGCAAGGCCGGGGGCTTGGGGAAGCCCGCCGGCAAGTCTAATTCCATTGGAAGCACACAGTGCTGCGAGTCTTCCACCTGTTGTGTATCACATGTTGCGGACAATGCGTGGCGATTAGGGGCGACACCGTTCACAGGGCTTATGCTACCTGCCGCCGGCGGCACTAGGGGTTGTAACTGCCCAGCAGATTGATCATACGGTGGCGCCGATATGAAACAGCTGGCTTTAATCATTCGCACACAGGCAGTTTGTAAGTCCCGCTGAACGAAGAAGGCATCATGCCAAAGCGATGCCAATGACGTATACCAGCTTTGGTTCACCTCCAGGCAGCGTACACATTCAGCTGGATACAAACGCCATTAGCGTCAGATTAAAGCAGCACTTGAGCGAGCCGTCCAGCGCTTGCTAATCGGGAGGGCCCGTCTGGTTGTGGAATCGTGCGATGCACATGTGTACAGGTGACTCTGTTTTTTCGCTGAGGAGCACCCAAATTGAGTTACATCAGTTACTGTGTGCGTATTCTAGGTGTACCATGCTGCTGGATAAATAATCCTTTCACAATTGTGACTCGAGCTCCTTTTACACATTCGCTGTCTATGTTACCGTATCGGCGCCTCTGCCGCCAATTTCGTCTAAAAATGAGCATGAAAGTGCACACTTACTAGAATTAGCAAATATAGCTTCTCTTCCGATCTACATAGCGTTGATCGGTTCTCCCTGTTGCCGGTTGGGATCGCCATGCTATATATTAGCCTCTGCATTTCATCATACATCGTCTGTATATTGGGCGGCACTATTACATGGATTGTAACACATTAGACTTCCATCGCTTTTCACGGTATGGCACGTGCCGCTGAGCTGTAGGTCGCCGACTTGGTCTACATAGTCCGCTATGAGCTCGTGGACATGGATTTTTCAATCGGTTTTTTGTTTACTGGCATTACGCTCATATGAAGGTGTAGCATACAGGGTAACTGGAGTACCTAACACCCTTAACCTTAGTATTCGGAATCAAAGGCAGTTATGGTATTCTCTTACAGCAAATGAAGGCGTTGGAGGCACTCCTCCCTCTCAGTATCTGGTTGTTCAGCCACCATTGAAGGCGCTATGGGATGTAATAAGCGAGTATGTAGTACCTCTTTGTCATTCGGAATCGAATGATGGGAAGGCAAAGCCACTTCCCATTCTGTTGAGCTGCAGCGGCGGCCAGGATTCTATGGCAATGCTGCATGCGCTAGGATTAATAAAGCGATATGCAGGTTCCTTTGTCAGGTCTAGCCCATGGGGGCGTATCTTTGGAGAGAAGGATGCTGTCGACTACGAGTTGATCCATCAGACATTGCGCAAATTGCTTGCAAATGTGCACGTGGTGTATTTCGACCATCGCGTCCGCGATGACACCAGCAAGGACATCGACATTATTCGATCCGTCTGCTCTGATTATGGGTTTGATTTTACTGTTGAGGCGGCTTCTGCCTCAATAGTGGATCTGGGTCGCGGCGAGAGTTCTGGCAACTTTCAGGGAGCCGCTCGTGAATGGCGCCGCGATGTTTACAAGCGGCTTATAATTGAACTTCCGATTGTTGACTCTGCTGCATCCTCTGGGGATGGTTATGACGGCAGCGCGGAAAGTGCTCAGATATTTAACCGGAATGTACTCACACGGGAGTCGGACAGTCTGTTAGATAAACACGTTGACCGCGCGCACTTTCATCGCGGTATTCGAGGCGTGGTGCTCTTGGCACATCACGCAAATGACAATGTAGAAACATTCGTGTTCAAGCTGTTGCGGGGAGTACATGTGAGTAACCTCAGGTATGTGATTCCTTGTCGTATTCTTTTTCATGCTTTTCGTAGCGGTATAGAGCGAATCTGCTACCTTGATGATGACAAAGATATTGTCATTGCGCGCCCATATCTGCGGTTGACGAAAGCAGAATTGGGTTCATTTCTAGAGGTTAGCGGTAGTGACGTTTATGTGTGACTGTGCTCAGAATGTGGGTGGTACATACTGCGAAGACTCCTCCAACTCGAGTTCAAAGTACCTACGTAACCGAATTCGCCGCGCTGTGGTACCTGAGTTATTGAAGGCCACATCCAACGATAACAACGTTGATACGTCGTTGAAAGGCTTAGACAAACGCTTTTGCACAATCTCTGCGCAAAGTCGCGCTGTCAAGAAATTCCTGGATCTTGACACATATATGTTCAGTAAGTATGTGGCTACCAAGTACAACCTGCCCAACCGCGTTATGCCTCCACAAGAGCCACACGTTGGAGTTGGCGGTCATGCTGCCACGGATCTATCGCATTTAGAGGAAGCGTACAGTACGTTTTACAGTCGCATGTATGCAGTAACCTATGGCAATACCGTATGCGAAAAGACCCGCAGATATATACGGACACTACAGTTTCTTCGCAACCTAGGGTTCAACACCAAGGAGGTGTTGCTGATAAGGGAGTGGTTGCTTGTTCAGAGCGAGCTCACGCGCCAGGATATTTTGTACAAATTCATTTTACGAGAATTGGGGAATGATTTGCAGTTGGACTACAGCGCGTTGGAGCGCATTAGCTTGGCTTGGTTCGATAATCCCGTGTCGGATATGCCTAAAATGCATTCCCTGCGCGGTGACAGGGCGATGTGTCACCAGGGGAGCATGGTCAAGATATGTAGACGTGAGTTTACGAGTCATATCACGTAACATAATGTCAGCGACATCTTCTGCGATTCCTGCGTCTGAATGTGAAGTGTACGATGACGGACGTTGCAGCTTTCGCGTTTTCGACAACTTTACTGCAACAGTAACGCCGTAAGTGTAGTCTCACATTTGATCTTTACGAGCAGGTATTCTGCTGCGGATGCAGATTCCGGATTCCATCTGAAGCTTTCCGTTCCTCATGAGGGAGCGGGAGGGAGACCTGCCGCCTACGACATCAGGAAGTTGAGAGATGATGACATAGTGCCGTGCGACACATTGTGGAACCGTAAGGCTGCTTCGGTACTCGCCAAAATGAATTTCCCGCATATTCTGAAGGATGAGCTCCCCGTTGTCGCTGTTCGAGACAGCAATCAAGTAGTATGCTTCTACGGCGTTAATGTTTTGGCGCCTTACTATGTCAACGCGCCTCAGCACGTCACGGTGTCATTCGGGAAAGATGCTGCGGCATCACGAGGAATAACAGTTTACTACATTAGGGTAACTGGGAAATAAATGTGTGCTTATAAACATAAAAAATGCGCCTTTTAGACAGGCAGCTTGGCCGAGTGGTTAAGGCGACAGACTCGAAATCTGTTGGGTTCGCCCGCGCAGGTTCAAATCCTGCAGCTGTCGAATATTTGGTGTCGCATAGATATTTCAACACACATTAGATAAATTCAATAACACGTTTGTTGCCACTATTAACAGTTATTTACGACATACATAGGTAGAATAATAATAATTTCGACCCGTGTGACACTAAAAACGAAATGATTAAAAATTTGCGTTTCGTGTTTGGATACACAATGACGGATCTTTTAGCATCATTCATCAAAAACTCGTCGTCACCTAGACGAAAATGATTATATGACGATTATGATGCATACAAATGACCCCTATTACAAGGCAGCTTGGCCGAGTGGTTAAGGCGACAGACTAGAAATCTGTTGGGTTCGCCCGCGCAGGTTCAAATCCTGCAGCTGTCGAATTATTTGCGGTTCTAATTTGCATATACATTATCCCTCTGTTGGAGAATCAGATTTTTCTTGCTGTGACAGCAGACAAAAAGTGGGTAAAACGGATGACCATATTTGCAGGGCGAATGTAATAGCGTTCTCCGGCCTGTGCACGGTATACTCTTATTCCGCTTTTCCCACCTATACGCATTGTTGTCGCGTTTTTGCCTATGCAGCGCTTCCATCTGATAGCACGGGTGCACGGTCATGTTCAATTCCGCAGTGTAAGGATGGCGTGCGAGCGTTATCGTTTTTCCGGCGTAGACGGAGGGCACGTCCTGCAGCATATCGTCGTGAGACAGTGGGAGCCCGAACTGAGGTTACAATTAAAATGAATCTAAAATGCGTACCACGTCAAAGCCAATGAGCCATATTTTGGGGGTTTCGTAATATCTGTCATACGTGATGCTTATGTCGTACCGCCGGTAAGGGCGGCTTGGTACGCCATTATCGTAGAGGTAGTTCCAACCATCCTAGAAACACTACAATAGCACTGCTGCACAAACTAACTTCGTTAATATGCGAATCTACAGTTGTAATATCTCCATATGCATGAGGGGTGTAGGTGGAACCGTCAGCGACAGGGGCGAGTTCGCATAGCTTCCAATCGCCTACGTCAGACGTCACCTAAAATTGATGCCTATTTGTAACTGGAACGAACGAGTTTGGGTAACCGAAGACATGGTATATCGTATGCACATAGGTATTGCTTCTCAGTGCTTAGACAATCCAGAGCAGAGCTGGAGCTATCGGATATCCTAACAATGCGTTCAATTATGGCACCAGTTACTCACCACTCCCATCTGGAATCTTCTTCAACGATAGCATCGCCAGCTGCCGTGAAATCGGCAGGAGTTACGGCACCTTTCTCCCAAAAGTCGAAACCAGTGGTTGGCAGGAGATTCCCGGCGGCACCGGTCAGTATATCGTGAGCTCTTTGCATATCATCTCATGATACGTCAATTTACATTAAATCTAAACGTTATATGTGACCGCAGTCCGTGACTCGCGGCCGACAGTGGCGGTTAAAATGTGTTGCTTCGCGATACAACGACCCGAATCTGCACGACGCAAAATTAAAATCATATGACTATTAGTGGCTTCAACTATAGTATGGTAACATTTAGGGAGTGATTTCTGTTGTTGCTGTACGCCTGCCCGCGTCGGATTGTTACACCCTCCGTGGGTGATGTGGCATCCAGCAGATACTTTCTTCTGCGCATCTCATGGGACATTGAGATGCAAAATCATGAAGACACACTCGTATTATATATTATGATATGAGGAAGTGGAACACAGGGGGTGTAACGAGGGGTTAAAGGAAGTCTATGTGTTCGTTATCCCCGAGTTGACCTCGAATCCTCTGTTGGCGATGTTGTGAATTTCGCCATTCATAGTGAACTGCCGACAACAATTATCGGGAATGGACCAACATGCGCAGCGCGGGCAGGGCAGCGCATGGTCGATCAAGCGTGACTTCATCAACGAACTGCTGGTAAGTGTCCTGTACGGCCTTGCAATGTGTCGCAGAGCATCGGGGAACCCTTTAGTCAGTTGAGGGAGGAAAAATGGGTATCGATGAAGAATCGCGGCCTTGCCGCCTTCGCCAAAGCGCACTGGAACACCTTTGTCCGCCGGACGAACAGGTATGATGCGATTCCTTATGTTGGTATATCTGAAATTCATCCCACCGTGGCGCTTTGATGATTACAGTTGTTGTGTAGTTTACTGATCACGATTGCTGTATCTGTTTTTGCATATATTGTCCGCCTCATTTGGCCACATCGCCGACGAGGAATGTGTTGATATGATATACATCTGTGTTTAAACAGCAATGTTGCGGCATAGTTGCTCGTTAATGCGACCTTGTAATGTGTTTTTCAGAGGTATCCCTCAAAAATTTAGATGGGACAGCTGGAAGGTGGCACTAAAGTTCGACGTCTACGCCGATAAGCTCTCACCTCAGTATGAGTCATTTGCGAGCACGACAAATGAATACACCTCCATCATACAGATTGACGTGCCCAGGTACTTCGTGTTTTGGCTTTGTGATATTGGCAACGCAGAACATTTCCCGAGCTGAAGGTCTTCGACGTGGAGGCACAGCAACAACTCTCCCGTATCCTGGTACTTTGCAAAACCGCCCCGATAATAACGTGATTACAGCACGCCTATGCGAACTACAACCCCGAGGTCGGCTATTGTCAGGGGATGAACTTTGTTGCCGGTAAGTCTGTTTTTTGTTTGATCAGGCTGTTGGCTACCCCGTGGTCACGTACGTGACTACCGGTAACGACTTCCAGTATTTGTGAAAGATTGTAGTTTTAGTTGTTATTAATATTTAACTACAGGTTTGCTCCTCCTGGTGAGCGGTTTCAATGAGGTCGAGTCCTACGTGGGTTTCGTTGGTCTCATGCGAGAATTCGGCTTGGCTGAGTTTTACATGCCATCGTTCCCGCTCATCCAGAAGTACATACAAGGTAACTATTGTCTGCACCAATATACTAATGCGTCGTAGCTTTCGAAGCATTGACGGACGACATGTGGCCGGACTTGCACAAGCATTTCCAACAGGAGGAGATTTCCGTCGCGGTGTTCCTGCATCAGTGGTAGGGTGAACATTGCTGCCGGTTCACGCGTTGCAGGTTTCTCACGATGTTTGTCATCATTTTGCCGCTGAGAACCGTTGTTGCCCTTTGGGACTACATCTTGTACAATGGTCTCTCGAGCGTTTTGGCGGTTTCTTTGGGGCTGCAATATCTGTTGGCTCCGCAAATGAAGCAGCTGAAGTTCGAAGGCATCATGAGTTTTCTAAAAAACATCAAGGACGCTGACAGCAAGGACGACATCCGCGTCGGGCGTATAATTGTCAACCAGGCATACAGGATCACTGCCTCACGAGGTTGTCTGGACAGTTTTATCTTGGCGCAACAGGCCATATCGCTAACCAACTTGCCGTCGTTCGAGGCGGTGGGTAGTGGGGAGCCGGCTAAACGCTTGGCTTCAAGTGCCGGCAGGAGCAAGCCCAACCCCCTAGTGGCGATTGTATCCCAGCTCGGTCTTTCGGAGTCTCCGAGGGATGAAATGGGAACAATGTACCAATGAATTGTCTGCCTCAGTTTGAGACAGGCCTACTCATCACTAGAATCATAGCGTTCAATGATTTCTATCGTATCTCCCTCCTGCGCAGATGTAGGTATTTAGCTTTCGATACTGAAACTTACCACTGTATGCATCGTCTCGGTCTTGGTGGTCTGCTTTTGCGTGGAAGGCGGTGTCTTCTCCTTGGCAACGGAAAGGCGGAGCTCCAGCATCTTCTTGACCGTTAACGGCGCGCGCTTTACGTAGTATCCAGCCCCAAGGTACTGCATAATTGGCCCGCTTTCGGCGAGGCAGAGGGTGTAGGCATTGTTTACTTGCGCCATGGCCTCCACCTCCGTGGTTGTTAGCACGCGTTGCAAGGCAGACAAGGTCTCCTCGACGCTGTCATGTTCTTCTACGGGTGTCATCATCTTCTAGATACATAGTGTGTGACTTAAAATACAGGCGTTCTTATGTGTGAGTGTTAGTCGTCGTGGAGGTCGAGATGAGGCGTGTACTTCTTCTTGCGGCGGTCCCTCCAGCCTTGCAGGGCCTGGTCGACGTGTGTCTTGAAGTTCCTCTTGTAGATTGATCTGACAACCAGGAAGAGAACGTATGCTCCGGCCTGCCAACGAATGTGCTCTTTTGTTTGTTACACCTACGGCACATATCCCGCAAAATGCCAGGATGAGAGCGCTGAACCAGATGTCGTCCATGCTCCACCTGTCGTTGGGGTTTTTCTCTGTTCAGATTGACAAAATGTACCACCTTCACTCACCAATAAGCAGCCCTGTCTTTGCGCAGTATGCAATTTCCCTGTGAGAGAGGATATAGTTCATCACAATCGCGATACGGGCGCCCGCAAGGACGATCTGGAACCTAACGAGCAGTCCCAGCCTTTCCATCAACGAATCGGACAGGATGATCTTGTTGGGATCGTCCTTGTAGTCGTTCCTGGTGATAATCATTGCGCAGTTAAGGTTCGCCGTTTCGGTCGCCCAAATTTCGAAGTTGTCCCAGGTGTTGCGGTTGAACGACTCTTGTTCGACCTTGTAACGCGAACCAAGGACCTCGACGTTGGTCCAGGCGCCATACCACGAGTCCTCGTTCTTATGTATGTAATGTGGCATGAAAACGATTGAGATGAACTCCTCAAGTGTGGGTTGCGCATGTCCTAGCTTCTCCATGCAAAGGGACTCCCACATGGGGTAGGCCGAAACGTCAACTGAAAAGTGTATGACATCAACATAGAAGCGGGCATAGACATATTTGCAACGTTCGCATTCACACTTGCCGAGTATCATCTGACGGACATACCTTTCTTATGAGCGACACTGTATGGTTCGTCCAAATCGAGGTTGAATGGGTAGTGCATGTCAGCTAAAAGCACCATAAGGTACTTGAGGGCGTCTGCCGGTGTGAAGGTTACATTTTTCGGGTACCGGAAGGGTGGTAGATCAAACTTGGTTGGGTTCGATGTTATAGCGTAACCGCTTTTCATCAGGAATGCGAAGAAGTATTTCGATCCTTCGATCAAACACATGCCATCCGGGCAGCTTGAGTCGAATGTGACACATGTGTTGTCCTTTTGTGGCTGCTTATGCAGCCGAGCGGACTCCGGAATGCGTTTTATAACCTCTCCTGCCCACCATGTGTAGTCAACGAGATCATGTCCCCTTAGAATGACTTTGAGGCGCCTCAGGCGCTCCATGGTAATTGCGCTCATAGCAGTCGATTCTGTGACTGGTTACGCCAGTAGACAGTCCAACTCACCAATCGCCTCCCTGCACAGGTCATTCCAGGCAACTGCGCGCTGTATCCGCAAAAGATACAACCAGCAGAGCGATAATACGGGCGCCAGAATGAATTTTGCCATTTTTAGCGACGTTCTTGTCCACTGCCTCAAACACTTTCGTCACGCGCACGAGTTCGTCGTATTGGCACAGCCGAATACCGCCCACAGCGCGTAATTCTGTTGCCAATTTAATGTTACCGGGATGTGTATGTTCCCGAGAAATGACGGCCAGCAGACCATGCGTCGTCATCACCACACACTTCGAGAGGGGGAGGGCAGTGCAACTACATGTGTATATGTTCAACGATTTAATTTAAATAGAGCAACAGCAGTTCACGAGGATTCATATTTGTGGCAGCATATAGATGTGCCAGTCCACTTAGAAGTGGCTTGTTCGGCGTTAGTTTTCGCCATAAGCCCGTAGATGATCTTGTTGGTAGTGGCTTCCGCCGACTTGTTGGCGATTTGCGTGACGGTCATGTCGTTGTTCACGATCACTGGTCCACTGTGGCTCTGTCCTAAGGGCACGGTGTCAAATAGTGAACTAGCGGTCTTGTGAATAGTGCTCCTGGGATTAACGGTGGCGATGCTCGATGCCGTTTGTCGTTGTGAGTAGTAGTAGATGGGTGACGCGTTTGTGGAAACGTTCATCCTCTCTATCCAGCTAGCTCCATTCTGTGGAGGCGTGATGTACGCACCTTCCATCTGAGAGTATACCGGCGCTTCGCCGTGCTGCCATACCATGACAGATGATCTCGTTGAATCCTTGTATTCCTTCACCACCTTTTTGATGTCTTTGAATATCTGATAGACTCGAACTTTGTGCCCAGGCAGCCACGTGGTGTTGTTGTAAGCTTGGATCTCGTCCAGTACATCAGTAGTGAGGCATGTCAAAGAGTCCACCTGCATATCGTCAGATTTGCCATTCATCCACTAACGCTGTCGAACCCCGCGTTAATAAAGTGCTGTGCGATACAGGATGTCGAGTTGTTGCGCTTGAAAAGTTCGCGTACATGCTGTTTCGCTTCGTCAAGGTTTTTGTCTGTATCTGCTGAGAATGAATAGCAGCAACATACCCATAAGCCATATTTTCGAGAAATTGGGGATGTGACTAGGGTAGTAGGTACAAAGGATGTCAACAATGAAGAAAACGACGTTCCGCGGCTTGTGCTCTCCAATTTTCTGGGCGACGATTATACAGTGTGCATTTCATCAACCTACACGAGCTAAGTAGACGAGCAGCTTGTCCGTCTTCTCCTGCGTCGCTGACACGAGGCGCGCCATCATAACGAAGATTTGCTAAGTTACTTGACGACTAAACGACGAACGGGGAGATGTGTATGCTGCCGAGGGCAGCGGTATATTTACACACCAAGCTAGCCTATATCGCGCGCCGTAATTAAACATAGCGCATTAAAATCCGATATTTACTGTTCTCCACTTAGGTTGTGAAATCGCGAACGGCAAGCGCGGCGGCACGTGTCGTGTTGCCACTGTGACGGTAAAGTGCCTACAGGTGCGTCATGTCCTAACGACTTAGACAGCAAACAAAGGCGACATTTTGCAACGGCTTCTTATAAAATAGCAATATAACATCGTTTTATTTGACATATAATGAACGAAAGACGACACTGGTCAATGTGCCATTTTTGCGTCTTTACTTATTTTTCACTGTACTTCAAACGCTTTATAGGGGTTCTATTCATCACTGTTTGGCCCGTGCTACACGTACGTGCTAACACATCAGGGCGTGTGTCGACTTTTATGTCTTGTCCGTACCGCAGTGGCGTCGCAGCACTTGCGGCTTGGTGAGAGCGCACATACGAATCGCTTGTCGTGGTATTGCACGAGCACAACGCAAAGTTGCGCGTGGTATAATTAAATGTACTTAATTGGTTGTCGCCGGACAGTTTTCCCACATTGTTGTGTTCTGCTTGTGCCTGTCTAGATCTGGGCAGTTATGCGGAGAATAGCCGTTGTCTTGTGCAGTATATGTCTTAGCTGACGATTCATAATGCGGTGTGTATAATTTATCTATGTGTAGTCAGTCTTCTCTCTTGCGTGTCTAGGTTACGACTAGCGAACTTGCTCGCCATATTTTTGTCATAGTGCCGTGGCCGCTGGTGAATCCGTGTCAGCGCTGAAGAAAGACTTATATGTGTGGAATTTTTGGCGTCTATATGGCATTCTTCTGCTTTTAACCCGTGGGTGTCGATAGAGCGGACGCCTCTTTTGGCGACAAGGTTGCGATGAATACGACGAAAACTTTGCGCTCAACTAACTACAAGGAGAGGAAGAAGCGTAGCCATGACGGGGCCGCCGCAGCTGCCGGAACTGGCATCCTTTTGGAGGGACTTCGCAAACACAAGTTAGACATTGGCGGTGGCTCGGCCGATGCCCTTTGCGATCCACTTCTGAAGAACGGGAACAAGCGTGTTGTCATCAAGCCTGGATCCATTAAGAACGATTGGTTGGGCCTATGGAAAGCACCGCTCCGCAATCCCTTCAACATGTATGGCACCCTTCCTTCGCAAATCATGTCGAGGGACAAGAGGAAGACCTTCTCGTATCCCCCTCTTACCGATGGTTCCGGAGAATCTACAGATGCCATGGAGATCGGTGACTGTATTGATTCAATCAAGATATCCTCTGTCGCCGGTGAAGATGCGGTTGCTGCTGCCTGCAAAGACGGCACGGATCGGCTTCCGGTGACAGGCTCTCTCGACGTCAACCGTATAAGCACAATGTTGTCCGAACCAAAGAGCTCTCGGTCGAGCATCACCGCTTCCACTGCCAGAAGCACGATAGACAGCTTTCGGTATTCTGACTCGTTTGACGACTTGGTGCCGGAAGGCGAAGTGGGACCATCTTCGTCATCGCATTTAGAGGTGCTGTTGAACAATCTCTACGTAACCACTGGAAACGGTTTTCTCTCCGGATCGCTGCCAGAAAATCCCTGGAAGAACAAAAATCAAGTGGATGCGGACTTCATCGCAGTGTCATTGGCACGCAAGCGGCATTCAAATCCCGGCCTGCTTCTATTTCACGACCTGGAGGCAATTGTCTCGGCACCGTCACGCTATTGCAGATGTGGATTTTCCCATTTGCCTCATCACTCTGTGGCGTGTAGCCTATGTGTCGGAGCGATTTCAAACCGATATGGCAGCGTGTCACCAAGCAACACATCGCACGGGCTGAAAAGCCCACGTTTGAGTTCACCGGCTCTGAGGAACACTCCTTCGAATGATTCGAGGGCTGCAAATTACAAAATATCATCCGAGGAAGAGCTGCTTCTTTGGAGCGCGTCTACCGACTCTGCGCGTGCAACAATCTGTAGGTCAGGTGTCATCCAGCGCCCTGTGAAGTTTGACGTAAATGACGATTTCATGGTGACCGATGCGGATGATTACGCTGCCCTCCAGACGCGATTTGGCCGAATCATTTACTCTCCGAAGTTCAAGGATCAGCATTATATGTACCGCTTTGTCGTATTAACTAAGGAGGCACAGGAGGCGGTGGAGGCGCTGAGTCGCACATTGCCCAACAACGGAAAACTGCCATGTTCCTATGTTCCGTCCATGGGAGGGAAACGTTATTTGACCGAGTTCGAGATAGTTCGACAGCTTGGCATCCAGATGTCACCCGGTTGGGAGCACTTCATGTACTTCAAAAACTCGCAGAAAGAGCTTGTGCTCAGGAAACGGTTGTGAACCTAACGGCAAATGACAATGCACATTTACTTCTTTTTAAAAATCTTTACACAACAGTTAGTCCTTTAGAGCATCGCTATGGTGTACATTGATTGACTCTTTGAACAGACCTTTGTACCAGTTGGCGCGTTAGTCTCGTTCATTGAGCGCGTATTGCACGAACTTGACGCTTGCACCGAACGTGTACTCATTATGGCGCCACTACGTGGTTTCGCCTGTGACTGGTAGCTCTGGAACGAAGTCTTCCTCCTCGTCGTCATCTATCAACGACACCTTCGGACCTAGCAACTTCGCATCTTCGAGCACCATTCGCTTAGGTAGGGGTGGTAAATCAACGTCCAGATAGGACGAAAGCCTGAGGCAGTCGTCCACGAACTCGTCCATGTGCTTCAGCTCATAACCTGCGTATCGTCTCGCCATTCCACTGACAACTTACTTCCGTCGTTCAATCTAAAACGTAATTTACGGTAGTCGCTATATATGGGCTCGAGAGTCTCGTACACCTTTGCCGAGCTGCCCACCAGGCGCCTAAAAAATATTAAAACCGGTTGTGCGGTGCTTACATGTAATAAATGCCTAGGGCGCGGAGATACTTGAATTCCGTGTTCTTTATGTACTCTTCAATGATATCAAGCTCAGGCTGTATTTGCAAAAGCTTGAGGACCAAACATATGAAGGGAGATGGCTGTCTGTTTCCACCGAACGTTCCACCGACATACTGGAGCTCTATCGCCTTGTCTATAATGGATTCGGCTGTCAGTCCAAAACAACTCTCTTTCCAGTACATGCAATTGTAGACTTTGTCTCGCATGATTTTACTGAAAAGGAACTGCGGATTCGTTCCGTGCACAAGATGTGCTGTCGGATCCGTGCGGTTCGCCATCTCATTAAAGCATTAGATACTCACATTATTCTGTCATGAAAAAGCACATCGCACTGCTCAATATCCAAGACTAACTATGGAGTGAACTTCCAAAATGAAGAACGACGTACTGTCAAAATATAACGTCGTCTTCTACTACAGGGAAAAATCATAAGCTACAAATTTAGATTCCATTCGATACACACACATATTCAATGACTGGCAAGTGTCATGTGGGTATCTTCTCGGCAGCATCGCGTTATGAAGACAGGAGAAGGAATACTTCCACACATCGTAATTTAACCTTCTACTCGTGGGCTAAACACGTAAACCCCTTTACACACAAACCAGATATATTTTAATGATCAACATGGGAGCGTACCCGTTTTTATTGGATAAAGCAAAAAAATGCATCTGTTGATGTTGTTTGCTGTACGCAATTCACCGACACAAACTAATTCTTCTTTATATCCATGTAATTATAAATTCGAAAAGTCAAAAGTGTGGCCTATTAGAAGGATAAGCTGAATCTGTCTATGTTTTACTACGCGCATACAATAGGGTACATTAATGTCTACTGCAAAGATGTAATGAACTATATCAGCACATAAATGTGTCTATTATGTTTTGATTGAATATAAAGGCTATTATGAAGATATGTGCTATCTATAGTCACTTTGCGTAGACATTTATCGCGATTACGTATCCAAGAGTAGTCGAGGTGTAGCGATTGCGTCCTGTCCCTGCTAAAATTGTGGACGTATGTCGGAGATGGCTCCAGCGTTATCAGTTGAATTGGATTCTAATGGTAGATACAATAACTCCGGTGATGGTTTCACAGTTGCATACAAAGGAGTATTTATAAGCACTCCCCAAGCACTCCGTTACAAAGAATCTTTCCTTAGCCGCGAAGAGATAAAAATGCCTACTACGATACACATGCAACCTGTTAAAAACTTTTTTCTGGACGGGTGATTCAAGGTTCTTCCAAAATAAAGGCTTGCAGTTTGGCGGATCCGTCCTGTAGGGAAGGGGGCAGTGGAATCCTGCCACCTTTGCGCTTTTGAGGTTGACGACACAGCCAATGGTTTTGCCCGAGTCGTCCTTAAGACGTTCTGTTTCCGGTTTGAAGAGGTCGTTGGATTCTGCCGGTAAGCCGCAGCCGTGGACGTAGGGGTCGGTGGTTGGCACTACGATCTTGGAGATCTCCCATACCTCCATGGAGCGGACCTCCTTTACAGAGGATTCTTTGTCGCCTGGTTTTTCCAAGCCACTTTGATTCTCCTCAGCGACTGTCCTGGGCACAGAAACGGATCCGCATATGTAGTGGAGTGTGATTTCGCTGTGTCCGTGTTTGGAGAGCACGATTGATCCCAGCGGGTAGCGAATGGCGAGGTCTGACCTGTCGATCAGATCGCTGTCGTGGTCGCCCTTGTGCCCAATGCTGAAGCCTCCTTGGCAACCATCACCTCGCTGAGGTGCGCACTCGTCAGTTGATATTGGTCACCCGTCTTGACGAGGTTGACGAATTCGGTGCCGTCGTTGTAGGGAATCCAGGTGGCATAGGACTTCGAGACGTCCTCGTCCTGGCGCAGCATGACGGTGTCGGTGTTCAGCCGCACACCTTGTAGAGACGCATCGACCGGGGACACGAAGGGCCGCATGTCATCCGGCAGCGGGACTCTGCTGACATTGGCTACTCCCCTGGGCGGAGTGCAGAGCAGGCCGTTCAGCGTGCCCGGAGACACCCGCAGCACATGCTCCTCCCTGTAGACGTCTGCCACGGGTATGACTATCTTTTCGTGCCTGAGCACGCCGGCGACGTCCAAGAGCTGGATGCGTGGCACCATGACGAGGGAGTTGATATGTGGCGACCGCCCACGCATGGTGTAATTTTGCGGCATCTGGTTGAAGCTGAGCCTCGAGATTTCCAGTCCGGCGGCGTTGACGCAGCTGCAGTGCAGACTGAAGGGCGCGGTCAGCGAGTCCTCGGCCTTGAGGTCACGGATGCCGCCATCGTCGTGGTGCCAGTAAGCCTTGAGCCCTGTAGGAAAAGGGACGACCGCGGTCCTGTTGGCGTTGAAGGCGAGCTTATTGCAATCCTGCGGAACCAGCTGCTCGCCAGCCTCGCAGTGGATGCGCGCAATGTCCGACACGTCAGCGAAATACTGGCTCACCCTCACTGGTCGCTGCGAGGCATCCGGCTGAGCATACACGGGCACGATTTCATGCCGCGGTCCGTACGACAGTGTAACCTTGATGGTGGAGATTACATTCCTCTCGGGCCTGGCGCCCCTGTGCAGACAGCGGAAGTAGAGCGATACAGGATCTCTGCCAGCGGCTCCCGCCTCCGACTGCGACACCTTGTGCTGTATGGACACCACTCCGTCAGACTGCAACACGCTGTCGACTTTCACCAACTCGGTGTCCACTACCGACCCGAGTCGCACCGTGCTGTACACCAGCCTGTTGTCCTCCACTGTGCGCGTGAGCGCCTCCGCATCCGGTCTCTCCGGGATGAAGGTGGAGATCCGCCCCGAGATATCCCAGCCTCCGAGGAGAGCCACGCTGACTGGGCGCAGCAGCTCCACGGGATACACCGGGAAGAGGATTTCCAGCGAGCTGCCGGGGTACAGCATCACGTCGCACCAGTCGCCGACAATGGGCCTCGACACGTGCTGCGCCAGCTTCTGACCGAGATCGCAGACGTAGTTCTTTCGGCTCCTTATTTCGATTTTCGCGGTCGCCTGCTTCGTCGACACGTCCACGCATCGGCAGTACCCGGAGAAGGTGGACGAGATGCTGAGACGGTCGTAGCGCATGATAAGCACGGTGCCGCCTTCGCGTTCCTCGGAGCTCACCTCGACCTTGAAGGGCAGCGTAGCTATCCGATCAGTGTAGCCGTAGTACAGCGAGAGTGGGCAGTTGGCAGGCTCTATCCTGCCCTTGCAGTAGAAGCCGACGTCGGGAGTCTCCATCACGTCCACGATGCACGACCGCTCACTCGACACTCCGCCCGAAGCGTCCATTATGAAGGGTACACTCGAACTGCCGCAGCCAGTGTATGCTCGCCGCACGCTGCTCAGCGTCACCCGCACTATGCCCAACAGTGGCGCACTCCGCTCCCCGCTCTCGCCGGAGGGGCAGCTTGTTCTCTCGCCCTCCTGCTCCGACATCGACATTGACGTCAAGCACGAGCGCAACGCCTCGCTCACGCCCTCCTCGTTGCCCGCCGGCGCGCAGTGCACGTCGAAGCTCTCAAACGCGTACCTCACAACGTCCGTGCTCCTGCCCTGGTTCAGCAGCAGCCGCGTCATCCCAAATCGCTGCTCCAGCTTAGGCTGGTTTTCGGCCGACCCAAACCGCACCACGTCGTCAATGTGCACCTTCTTGTAAACTCCATTCACCGTCGCGTAAACATGAATACCGCCACTCCCAATGCTCTCCCTCCTGTTCGGCAGCATGTCGTAGCTGTGGCCCCCCTTTTCCTTTGGGCATATAATCTCGACAGCATTCTGCATGGATAGTTCGGCTAGATTGATGATTACTGTTCCATCTTTCGGAACTTCGTGGTTCCGAAAATTCACAATTCGGTTCTTTTTAACCACGGGTGGATTGGCGCCAACGCCCATAATAACATGCGCAATCACAAGTAATTTCCACATCATGGTGAATTCAATAGAGAAATATTAAGTTGGAATATTTACTTGTACGCACCGTGCCAAGTTACTAGTCATGAAATTCCCTACACCTATGAAAGTCACATTTAAGTCAATCCCAATTAATAATTATTCTACAGAATAGCCTACTGATAATTGATGAGCAACGCTCAATAGAAAGAACAAGCATGAACTTTTCCATGGTACCATTATGACGTAGTTGTTGAACACATAATACTCGAGTAGAAAAATCACGCTGCGCTGCTTGCTCCATTAAGCAGACGACTTTTTGTCGTCCTTTTTGGAATCTCATAGAGCATTCCAAATAACATTATGGAAGGCTATCATGTGAACTTATGTGTCCCGTGCGGTTTTTTGGTGACGTAGGACAAAGCGTACAATTTTATTTAATAACAAGCTGTCAACCAGTGTCAGATTTGAAATCATACTGAAATACAAATTACGGGACAATCCACTTTCAGCGTTTGAACAGAAACAAAACGGCTGGTAGCGCTGTAAATCTACCGTAGCGGCGGTGGCGTGCAGCCTATTGCAACTCACGCCATCGTCGTAACTCTGATGTCTACAAACGCGTTCACGCAGCTTCCACGATCATCGACGAGTTATGCACAGTTCTCGCATAGACGCATCCTTTTGGAATCACACATGTGCTTACAAAGGTGGAATCACGACATACTACGACCTACACATACCTTCATCTCAGTAACAGCCAAACAACACTTCCCGCAGTGCAACACTCACAGAGAGAGAGTTTGACGCGCAAATCATAAAAATTATATTCAAAATAATATTTATTATTTCCAATATTGTGCAAAAGTGTCGTGTTCTGACAGTTCCCTTCCTACAGCGCGTAATTAATTGGTCTAACTTTTATATCTCCTCGTAGACTGATTCATCTATCGTTCAATTTGGTTGGATGTACTCTATCTGGACTCGTTTTATATCGCATAATACCACGTTATGTATGAAGAAGTTATCGCATCAGACATAAGTGCTCAAACGACATGTACACTAGAAGAGTGCTTTTAAATTGACACTTAATACGAATGCATTTATCTGTATGCTGCGACACTTTATTTGGTGCTGCTGCGACTGGTGGCTCACATGAGGATGTTTATGTGAAGTCCTCACAATTCAGTCCCGACGGTGCTCTCTACCTTGCAATATTCAACGATTCGCGTTTATCAATATATCATACACCGGAAATCGATGGTAGTTGAGTTTATATGGGATTTATTTATCTCTTCTAACAGACCGCATCAGCGGGGAGGACACCGATATTCCTGATCATAAACCTGCAACCGTTTCATCAACGGTCGAACTGCGTTGCAACGATGACATCAGAACCGTGTGCTTCTTTCCAAACTTTAATTACGAAGTTCCGGACTCATGTTGTTTACTGATTGCCTCACGAGGGAAGCCCGTAAGTCGCAATTCAATGTTTCGGACGCATTTCAGGTACAACTCCATGACACGCAAACAGGGAAACAACATTTCACATATAAACCCATCAGTCGGCATAAAGAGATTGTTGAAACATATTCTCTGGATTTCCACCCGCTTGGAAAATATTTCATTGCAGGCACTCGAGGAGCAATTCATATATTCGACATCGAATCACCAGGCAGTGATATTGAGGTAAGTGAAATGATCCTTTGTGTTTTCATAAATCATATTGTGTTACTTACTCACTGAAACGCGATTGTACACGTGTGAAAACTTACTGGGTGATATGCATTGACATGTTGAATTGCCGTTACGAATATGTTCACCCTACATCAGGTGCGCAAGATATATGCAAAGACAGGAGGCACTTTTGGGATTGTATCATCTATAAGCCATAATCCTTACGCTCACAATGTATATGCGTGTGGTGATTATAATTCGCTAATTGGCGTATTCGACCACAACTTATCGCGGCACGAGAGTCTCGTCGAACCACTCGCCGACAGTGAACGACAAATGGGGCCAATTACACATGTATGGTTATCTGATGCTCATTTTAACATCTTGCAGCTGCAGTGGTTAAACGAACACGTGTTGCTAGAAGGAGGTCGTACCGACGCCTACATACGTGCTTTTGATATTCGTGGAACAAGCAACGCGCCCATCATGCGATATAAGAGAACGGTTGTGAATAATCAAAAGCTTACATTTGATATCAAAGATGGCACGCTTGTATCAGGTATGGTTGCATGCCCCGAGTTAATGGTTTGTGCTAGGCACATCCGACGGAAAGGTGGTAGCCTATGAAACAGCAACTGGGAAATGCCAAATGGTTACCAACGTATCAGATAACCCGGTTACGAGCGCGCAGTTTCATCCCACCTTACCACTGTTGCTTACTGCTAGCGGGACTAGGACGTTCCAGCCGTACAAAGGCGACGGTGATAGCGACACCGACATTGTTTGTGACACTGCTGTAGAGCTGTGGTTGGTTTCCACAGACAAACAAACGTGTAATGCATAAATATGGTCGTTTAAAAACCAGCGGAAGTACGAAAACAAGATTACTGCGCCACATGGGCCAATGGCATTTTAGTCGCATTTCACTTCACGTTATAATGCGTTATTGGTGAATACATAGGATGTCAATGGCAAATGCAAAGCACATTCTGTTTATAATTAATTAACTGTCGTCGCTTGTGGAGCTATATGGGCTTGTAGTCAGGTTGCTTCTTTTGCAGTTTGTTGATAACTAACGGATCGCGTGAACGCACGACTTGACTGCTGCTTCCGACCCCGAAGTAACCACATGATCTGTGCTTCATGCAGCGTAGCTAGGTATTTCATCTCCCCAACTAATGCGTGCACGCGACTTTCCTCGTCGGAATTTTGTCGCTTGTCCAAATGCGCATCCAGCAACGAGCCGATCGTAGACAGACGTTGAGATACAATCTCACCGACGGAATTCAACAAGCTGCTGATGCGCTTGAACGTTGCCTGGTCCAATGGGCGATAATAGCTGCTCGCCAGTATGGTGCTGTGCGCACCAGATGAGAGCTAAGACATTGTCAAGGTTGCAGGAGAACAACTAACCAAAGAGTGGAACTGTTTGAAATGAATTAGTGTTTCTTGAACTTGTTCACAAAGCTGAAATAACGGGTCTATCTTCTTCACGAAAGACGTCACGCTTTCTATATCGGTGGAAATCGCATTAGCACGCGTTAGCATTTTTTCGCAAAGTTGCAACGCCCTAGTGGCCTCAGATCTCTGTACTATTTGTTTTACATCAAAAAGGTGACTAACCACTAGAGGGTCGAAGTAATACGAGAATCCAAACCATCTGTTTGTGTATCTTGTCGCAGAGTTGAAATACTTGAGGACTTGTTGCATGTCAGACTTTAAGTTCTGAATCTTGCGTTCTATATCTACCTTCCACGACTTGAATGCGAAGTCAGAATCCATAGTGTCTAGAAGCTTTTGGCTTTTGTCCATCAAGGCATTCTGAGGACCCCATTTAACATTTGAACATCAAGAGACGTACGCGTTTCGATAAAATACTCTTTTCGACAAGCTCATCTGTATTCATACACAAATTGGGAGATAGATTCTGATCAACGTCCTTCATCATGGAAAAGATAAATGGCAGCACAACGTTCCTGCACAGATTGCTGTATGATTCATCGTGTACATCTGCGCAAGGTGAAACATTTTAATACACGTGCACCCACTGTGAATATTACTATTGCAATATCCCTGGTAGCCGCCATCTATGCAAAATTTCGGATGGCGAAACGCTTTTCCTATGCTCTGGCAATGGTTGTAGCTATCAGCCATAGACTTGCAATCTTCCAGCTCGTTGCTCTTGAAGGAAACTTGTGCCCCATCTAAAACTATCTATTACTACAACATACAAACATACCCTGTGATAATACAAAGCTTAGTTTGCAAAATATTAGCGGGTCAGTGATGGCCAGGGTTTCATAGTTGAGCCCCGAGCAGTTGCATTCACTCACGTCTGAGTCGTTCTCCTGCATACATGAATTCAATATCGACACGAACTTTGACTTAATATGCTCACAGTTGGGCACCGTCTTTCTGGGTGAGTATTTAGTTTCACAAAGCATAGGCGCAACCTTCTTGTAGCAGTAGTGGTCCCCTCGGCCCGCCGACGCCAACACATCTTCTCCCAGGAGTGTGTAATCTTTACATTTGTCAATGTCGACAAGATTCAGAAGCTGTCGCTTACTGAGAAGCGTTATGGAATACACCACGTTGCGGCATATGGCATCGACGGTTGAAGATTCCGAACGAAGGACTTTTGATTGGACACCATTTGCCAGCATGAAGAGACACAAAATTGATACACACCACATAATGCGACATCTGGGATCATTCTGCATAACATTAAGTGACATGGGTGTGTACACCTGTGATTGATGTCGCTCAGAACGACATCAAAATCGCAGCGTCGCTGCCGAACATACTAACACATTACATAGATCTTAGAATCCAGTTGTAATCGGCAATACACACATGTTTTAAATAAAAATAATGTTTAAAGTAACGCGAACCACATACACATAACACACCTCCTAGACACAGTTTATTGGAACTATAACTAGAGAAGCTAACTCTCCGAATAACTCATTGTGAAATATTTTCAACGAATTGTGCAATACATATTTATGTCTCAGTCTTCAGTTAAATGTGTGTTCGTGTTACTGAATAAATTAGGAATTGTGATATAACGCCTATGCTAGCTGGTGAGTATGCAAGCGCAATAGTATGATCAACATGTACGCTTCTTACATTCAAAGCTGAGGCATTACGCAGCTTATGGATTTTCTGACCACATGCGCTGTGATGGACGTGAGGGCACAAATAAATGATTCACTATCGGCTTCACCAACAACCTTGATCTACAGCATCTGTCGGTCCTTCTTTGTTGACAATCCTGATGGTAGAGATGCGTTTGCCGGTTTCGGTGACGCAGTGGCACTCGTAGGTTGCTGCGCCCAGTGTGAAGCGGAACATGGCCGCTAACGGGCCACCGGGTCTTTTGAACAGGAAGAAATTCTTGCTCCGCGACACCTTTACAGTTGCGACCGTTAAAATATCGAATAGTGCACGGAAGTTATTTTTTGATACCGGCTTGCAGTTTGGCGGATCCGTCCTGTAGGGAAGGGGGCAGTGGAATCCTGCCACCTTTGCGCTTTTGAGGTTGACGACACAGCCAATGGTTTTGCCCGAGTCGTCCTTAAGACGTTCTGTTTCCGGTTTGAAGAGGTCGTTGGATTCTGCCGGTAAGCCGCAGCCGTGGACGTAGGGGTCGGTGGTTGGCACTACGATCTTGGAGATCTCCCATACCTCCATGGAGCGGACCTCCTTTACAGAGGATTCTTTGTCGCCTGGTTTTTCCAAGCCACTTTGATTCTCCTCAGCGACTGTCCTGGGCACAGAAACGGATCCGCATATGTAGTGGAGTGTGATTTCGCTGTGTCCGTGTTTGGAGAGCACGATTGATCCCAGCGGGTAGCGAATGGCGAGGTCTGACCTGTCGATCAGATCGCTGTCGTGGTCGCCCTTGTGCCCAATGCTGAAGCCTCCCTTGGCAACCATCACCTCGCTGAGGTGCGCACTCGTCAGTTGATATTGGTCACCCGTCTTGACGAGGTTGACGAATTCGGTGCCGTCGTTGTAGGGAATCCAGGTGGCATAGGACTTCGAGACGTCCTCGTCCTGGCGCAGCATGACGGTGTCGGTGTTCAGCCGCACACCTTGTAGAGACGCATCGACCGGGGACACGAAGGGCCGCATGTCATCCGGCAGCGGGACTCTGCTGACATTGGCTACTCCCCTGGGCGGAGTGCAGAGCAGGCCGTTCAGCGTGCCCGGAGACACCCGCAGCACATGCTCCTCCCTGTAGACGTCTGCCACGGGTATGACTATCTTTTCGTGCCTGAGCACGCCGGCGACGTCCAAGAGCTGGATGCGTGGCACCATGACGAGGGAGTTGATATGTGGCGACCGCCCACGCATGGTGTAATTTTGCGGCATCTGGTTGAAGCTGAGCCTCGAGATTTCCAGTCCGGCGGCGTTGACGCAGCTGCAGTGCAGACTGAAGGGCGCGGTCAGCGAGTCCTCGGCCTTGAGGTCACGGATGCCGCCATCGTCGTGGTGCCAGTAAGCCTTGAGCCCTGTAGGAAAAGGGACGACCGCGGTCCTGTTGGCGTTGAAGGCGAGCTTATTGCAATCCTGCGGAACCAGCTGCTCGCCAGCCTCGCAGTGGATGCGCGCAATGTCCGACACGTCAGCGAAATACTGGCTCACCCTCACTGGTCGCTGCGAGGCATCCGGCTGAGCATACACGGGCACGATTTCATGCCGCGGTCCGTACGACAGTGTAACCTTGATGGTGGAGATTACATTCCTCTCGGGCCTGGCGCCCCTGTGCAGACAGCGGAAGTAGAGCGATACAGGATCTCTGCCAGCGGCTCCCGCCTCCGACTGCGACACCTTGTGCTGTATGGACACCACTCCGTCAGACTGCAACACGCTGTCGACTTTCACCAACTCGGTGTCCACTACCGACCCGAGTCGCACCGTGCTGTACACCAGCCTGTTGTCCTCCACTGTGCGCGTGAGCGCCTCCGCATCCGGTCTCTCCGGGATGAAGGTGGAGATCCGCCCCGAGATATCCCAGCCTCCGAGGAGAGCCACGCTGACTGGGCGCAGCAGCTCCACGGGATACACCGGGAAGAGGATTTCCAGCGAGCTGCCGGGGTACAGCATCACGTCGCACCAGTCGCCGACAATGGGCCTCGACACGTGCTGCGCCAGCTTCTGACCGAGATCGCAGACGTAGTTCTTTCGGCTCCTTATTTCGATTTTCGCGGTCGCCTGCTTCGTCGACACGTCCACGCATCGGCAGTACCCGGAGAAGGTGGACGAGATGCTGAGACGGTCGTAGCGCATGATAAGCACGGTGCCGCCTTCGCGTTCCTCGGAGCTCACCTCGACCTTGAAGGGCAGCGTAGCTATCCGATCAGTGTAGCCGTAGTACAGCGAGAGTGGGCAGTTGGCAGGCTCTATCCTGCCCTTGCAGTAGAAGCCGACGTCGGGAGTCTCCATCACGTCCACGATGCACGACCGCTCACTCGACACTCCGCCCGAAGCGTCCATTATGAAGGGTACACTCGAACTGCCGCAGCCAGTGTATGCTCGCCGCACGCTGCTCAGCGTCACCCGCACTATGCCCAACAGTGGCGCACTCCGCTCCCCGCTCTCGCCGGAGGGGCAGCTTGTTCTCTCGCCCTCCTGCTCCGACATCGACATTGACGTCAAGCACGAGCGCAACGCCTCGCTCACGCCCTCCTCGTTGCCCGCCGGCGCGCAGTGCACGTCGAAGCTCTCAAACGCGTACCTCACAACGTCCGTGCTCCTGCCCTGGTTCAGCAGCAGCCGCGTCATCCCAAATCGCTGCTCCAGCTTAGGCTGGTTTTCGGCCGACCCAAACCGCACCACGTCGTCAATGTGCACCTTCTTGTAAACTCCATTCACCGTCGCGTAAACATGAATACCGCCACTCCCAATGCTCTCCCTCCTGTTCGGCAGCATGTCGTAGCTGTGGCCCCCCTTTTCCTTTGGGCATATAATCTCGACAGCATTCTGCATGGATAGTTCGGCTAGATTGATGATTACTGTTCCATCTTTCGGAACTTCGTGGTTCCGAAAATTCACAATTCGGTTCTTTTTAACCACGGGTGGATTGGCGCCAACGCCCATAATAAGATGCGCAATCACGACGAATTTCCACATCGTGTATTCAAAAATGCAAGATACGCTGGAATCCTTAATTTTGTTCGCGGAGTTGATTTGCGAGTGATGAAATATTCTGCACTGATTAAAATATATCCGTTCAATGCAAATAATATTTTACTACAATAGAAGCGTTATCTCTCAAAACTGTCTCTAAATGTATAATAAACACATCAGAATCTCCTTAGACAAGATACTAATGCAAGTGCAATGGAATCAATAATTCCACGCGATAAAAAATCGTGCTGCATCCTACAGGGATAATTTTACTCTGAAGCTGCGGCATGTTGGCAATTATTTGAAATAACATTACTTAATAGACTTATACATACACCCTTAAGTTCACCAATGTATCGCAGTGACGCAATACAACGAATATGTTTTTTAGTGACCGGGTGTCTAACAATGACCTTTGCAACCATACTGAAAAACAAATTACGGGACAATCCACTTTCAGCGTTCGAACAGAAAACAATACGGCTGGTAGCGCTGTAAATCTACCGTAGCGGCGGTGGCGTGCAGCCTATTGCAACCCACGCCATCGTCGTAACTCTGATGTCTACAAACGCGTTCACGCAGCTTCCACGATCATCGACGAGTTATGCACAGTTCTCGCATAGACGCATCCTTTTGGAATCACACATGTGCTTACAAAGGTGGAATCACGACATACCACGACCTACACATACCTTCATCTCAGTAACAGCCAAACAACACTTCCCGCAGTGCAACACTCACAGAGAGAGAGTTTGACGCGCCGGTCTTGTTATTAAGAGCATGTCTATGCATTTTTTGATATACCGTACTTTTTCATAAGCCGACCGCAAAGCTTACGCTTCATGATGAAACCGAGCGGCTTCTGTTTGCTCCTCGTTTTAAATCCTGACCGATTAATTCCCCATATGGAACATCTAGGTCGCTTTGTTCCACTTTTGCTTGTTCCTCCGCCATGCGGATGTGCGTTAGGGTTCATCGCAATACCCCTCACGGACGGTCGCCACCCTAGATTCCTGAAAAGATATGAAAATCTGATATAACGTTCTTACCTTCTGGTTCCGGCCTTTTTGAGCACCCGCTTAGCATGCTCGATGTTGGAGACCTGGCCTAAGGTTGCCCAGCAGTCTAGGGGAAATCGACGAAGCTCCGTCGAAGCCATCCTTATTGTGGCGAACATGTCATCTTTTCTGAAAGTCGAGATAGAACCCAAACGAATGTGCGAATTGTGGATTGGTAAGCAAGGGAATGAAATTCCCGCAATAGTAAGTTTGCATTTAGGTAACAATAGGTCAGTAAACGATCTTTAATACGTAATCTGAGAGACTTACTCAACAACTGTGACATATGTGCCTCCCGCCCTTGCGATTTGACCCCCTGCACCGGGCCTCAACTCCAGATTGTGCACAATCGATTTAACCTTAGAGAATTGATACTGCTCTGATGGTAACTAACCGGTATATTGCGAAGTGGCATACAGTTGCCGGGTTCAATGGGTGCTGATGCGCTGGCCACCAGAATATTGCCTGGTCTGACGCCGGCGGGGCAGAGTATGTAACTCAGCACTCCATCGACATACTGCAGCAGCGCAACGTGCGCACTACGAGTAGGGTCATACTCAATCCTTAAAACGGTCGCTGGCACATCCTTGCGCTGTCTTTTGAAGTCAATGAGCCTGAGCCGCTGCACGTGGCCTCCACCCCGGTGCCGAGTTGTTATGCGTCCCGTGTCGTTACGTCCGCCGAACTTGACTCGCCGGACTGACAATTGCTCGACCACCCGGCACTTAGCCAAAGGTTGTTGCATACCCACTGCCTTCAGAATCCGACTGTTGGCATCCTAATGATGGCAATTTTCGAGAGTGATCCACGACAAATACCTGCGTAAGCGGCGTTGGCAGAAGTGGCTTCTGAATCGCGACGCGCGATCGACCCGCATCGAAGTCAATTGCTATAGGTATGTTACGTTTGAAGTTGCCATAAGCAGCTGCATGTTTTGTCTCGTTTAATACACATCTTACTGGAGAAGAGTCGTCGGCAGAAATCGTTGATGTGTAACCGGCACTGCATTGTTTCAAGCACTTTATGCTGCCTGCATTACTGTCTGAAACCCTTTTATGGTTGCAAGTGCCATATTTTGGATAACTAGAGCAATACGTCAAAAATCTAACTCACGCTCTCCAGCAATCGGATACTCCTTTATGTGGCTGGGTGTAACGACCTCCACAAAATATGATTTGCACTTATTAAATATACCGATGTCTAAGACTAAACGAGGCAGGAAGGATGCGGGCCGTGGCCCTCATCCAGGGGATGCCTCCAACAACCTGTTTGACACCGTTCGCCGCTCAGCGCCTGCTGTAAGGAACTTGTACGTATCATATAAGCATACTTAGGTGTCGGTTCGGACGCCTAAATCGCGCCGAACTAAGTTCCGCAGCAAAAGTGCTGCCGAAAGCGCTATTCCGCAGACGTCATATAGGAAGGCACAAAAATTGGACCTGTTCAACCTCAACAAGCCGCTTAACCTGACCCACAGGAATGAACCAATCGAAAATCACTATGAAGGCGATGTATCCGACAGTTCGGAGGATGATTTCCGCTACACTGGCGACATGGGTGGGCTGCCTAAAGCATTGGAGGAGCACAAGCTCCGGAAGGCTCTTGAACGACAGGAGAAGGACGCACAGCGCGACCTGCTTTCGCAGTTGGACTCGGAATACAGGGATCTGGATCTCGAGAAGTTCGTGAAACCGCGTAGAGGGTAAGTTTGTTGTAGATGAGCTAAGCATCTGTGCAGCATGCCACAAATGCCAGTAATACAGGAAAAAGTTGTGACACAAACAAAATCTGACCAATTTGATGCCAATCTACGCCAGCTAATGCTAGCTCCGCAACAATCTAAGGATGGAGGCGACTTATTGAGTCAACTCTTTGCAGCAAAGGATATTGATGCCATGTGCGAGCTGAGTAAGGAATTCGTAAGGCTTGGTAACGTATCGCATAAAACAGCCAAAAAGTGCGTTATTTTTGTAGCACGCGCATTGAGCGAGCTTCTGGCATCGCCATCAGGACATTTGAAATTCTGCGAATGCTTCGACACTCTGGTCGAGTTTGTGCACTACTTGTCTCAACTCAACCCAAGGGAGTATCACGCATACTTCTCAACCTTTCTAAAAGGTGTATACGTGTCATTCGAGAAGGGAGTAGAGCTCTCCTTGGAAGCTTTGGTCGTCCTGTATTTCGTTATAAAGCTAGCAAAGGTGGGATCGGCGATGTACAGAGGTGGACTTTTAGTTCTCGAAAAGGTTGCCGATGAGTGCAACGTGGAAGATGACCCGCATGAACGCGTGCGTCTTCTGGTTGCAATGTCGTACTCAACGGCACTCGACAGCGGCCTGTATATGCCCTTCTTCTTCAGCCTTACCATGAAGGTATGCGTCGCGTGGAGTTCGTCTAGGCCACACCTGGTAGAGCCGTTGCTTGATATGGTTACTGTGGTCCTCAAGCTCCTCCACGGCAAGGATTGTCATGTCTATCCCATCTGCGTTCACGTCATATCACCCAATATCGCAGAGCTCAAGATTCAGTCGCCGAAAATTGAGAGTTTAAAGGTACTGGTAAAAGAATATACCGACGTCGAATTGCTACCGTACGTGCTGGATACGTACAAGCGACCGGTAAGTTAGCGCCACCGACGCGCATCAAATCTCGCTTCAGAAAATTGAGCTAGAAGTGCCGAAATATGGCACTGTATCTGATACTGATGCTAACCGGGACTCGGGTGTGAAGCGCGATAAGGCATTGTACAGATCTTTGAAGAAGGACTTTGTACAGACACACAACGCGGCGGCGAAGCTCCGGAGTCTGGAATTGAGGAAACGACGAACACAATCACGCGAGAAGTACAGGAAGGTTGTGCGCGATGCAATGATTGAGCACGAGGAGTTGCGCAAGGAGTTCACCAAACCTACTTGATAACATCTTTCACCGCCAGGATGCTGCGACTTTATCGCCGGTTCTCCGGAGTCGTGAATTTACATAGGTTCAACGAGGCAGCGCTTAATCAGTTGCAGGTAGGTTTATTCTCACTACTGTAATGCCTTCCATCCGAATAAATGTTGCCCTGTATACGTACCTGACGTTAATGACAGTGACCCTCTCGTGTTAATATGCGAAGGCTATATCTAAGCACATATGCGCCCAATAAACGTTACGTTTACATGCATTCCAATATATAGGCAGCGCTATTGAGGGTGTTTGTTGTATTGTTTTAATAATTAATAGGCGCTACACGACACGCTCGAAACTGTAGATGACATCTGTTCCATCTCGTTTGATGGCACGGTGCTAACAGCTGAGATTGATCCAAAGCAGTACATCGTGTTAAACAAGCACGAAGCGTCACAACAAATATGGTACAGCTCGTTTAACGGCGTCGACTATTTCGCAATTGAAGGCGGCAAGTGGTTATCACGTCGCACCGGCCGTCAACTGGAAGCCGTTCTGAAAAACGACGTACAGCAGGCAACAGGAAAGGCCGTTGATTTCTCGAATGCCGAGGACTAAATAGGCAGACAAATTAGGTCTTTGGTGCAGGCGATCTCTGCCTCACCGTCGAGCCTTGCAATAGCGCTGTCGAGGACAGATTCTGCAGTTACACATGTGCCATTTGGGATAAAACGCTAACTAACCTATGTATCGCTCCGATAGACACGCCATAATGTCGCTACGCTTTGCCAAAGTGTCTGGGCGCGCCTTCAGGTACTGCAGTATCAATCGCTCCACTGGCTCGGTGATGTGATCGTAGAGCTCGCCGAGTTCCACGGATTCAATGTCTGCGATACTAAGGCGGCCAGTACTCTGACCAGGGAGCTCCGATATTTTGCCTGTATGCTTGTTTTGTAGTTTAAGCTTCGATCCTAGGTCGAGGTGGTATGCCGTGTATGCCACCAACACGTTGTGGTACATAAGCAAATCCTTATATTTGCCAAGATCTTCTCCGATTAACATGACGTTGTGCGCATCCACATAGAAGTTGTCTGGCGCAAGTATTACCAGAGAACCCACCACCTGCACATAGTCGCCCTGCTGCACCGCAAAGGCCTCGTCAGCGTAATTCACAGCAATCGACCCTGTCTCGTCCGTTAGTTGGAAGTACATTGCGGACGTAAGCTTCTCTAAATCTTGTATTTGTCCGACGATGCATATGGCACCAATGGCCTGGTTGTAAAGGGAGAATTTTTGAGTGCCGTCGCTAAGGTTTGTCAATATCTGCGATACCTTGACCGGTATTATTGACTCTGCCACCCCGGAATCCTGCTTTATCTTCTTTTGAAGCGTGCTTTGCTGGAAGTTGGTGATTTCCGGAGGGGTATAGTCAGCAAAACTCTCGGTCCGCTGCAGAACCTTCTGTCGATTGTCGACCTCCTCCTCACCACCTCCACTGGAGGCAAAAATGCCACCTAGCACACCGAAACCAAAACTGTCCATTTATTACAATTTTAGAAGTGTATGTGTTAGTTATGCGTCATCACTATGTCTTCCTCACCTTAGAATCCGCCTCACTTGCAACGACACACCGCACAGCCTATAATGCGCTACCAAAACGAGTATGTTTGGGCGTATTTTGAGTCTGTCTATACTTCTAGTTGCCTGGCCTTGCGCTTATTCAAGGAAGGTTTGGCCTTCCGGCAGATACACACTCGCGACTCTAGGCAACAACGGTGTGCACGAGCCAACCTTCCGAAGACGTTGGAATTTGTCAAGCGATATTCGAGCTGATGTTGAAGGCAAACTGCGTCTTGAACTTGTCAGACTCGCTGCTCAACTGCCAAACCGTTCAAGTCTGCCCCTAGATAATGCTGCCTTTATGCAAAAAGAGGCTAAACGCATTAGAGAGCTAATAGTGCCAGATTCTCTACAGGTATACCTAAACAAGTACTTTGCCGTTAAAAGGGTCGAACACCGTGGATTTCTTGGGGATTTTCTTGCATTTGTGTTTGGTGCTGAAGAAATCGTTACATTCTCTGCTTGGCAGTACAGACCGAATATATTTTACAAGGGAGGCAACCTAACACTGGAGATCCACTACAAAATACCAATCAGGGAGAAAGGTATCAAGGATTTATTTTTCGAGCCCATTGTCGTGTACACGTGTGATGTAACCCCGGGGAAATACGTAGAAGGTGCTGCTGTTTTCAAACCGGGATCCGTAGAAATCTTGACGCATCCATTTATTCCGTGGAAAACAATACCCGCAGGAACTGTAGAAATCACTGCGCCACGTCAGGCAACAGCGTTTTCACCACACATGACTTCATTTTAAAATGGCAACTGCAAAACATGCTATGAATGCCTCAATGTATAACGTCCATCGTCGCCAGTGATTGTGAGAGATCAAATTATACGATTAAAGTGTATGTTAATTTAAATTATACGTCATTACACGTAGAACCCTGCAGATCACATCCACTGTGATAGGCCCATTAGCATAAAGCATTATTGCACGAACTCTTACACCAACAACCTTGATCTACAGCATCTGTCGGTCCTTCTTTGTTGACAATCCTGATGGTAGAGATGCGTTTGCCGGTTTCGGTGACGCAGTGGCACTCGTAGGTTGCTGCGCCCAGTGTGAAGCGGAACATGGCCGCTAACGGGCCACCGGGTCTTTTGAACAGGAAGAAATTCTTGCTCCGCGACACCTTTACAGTTGCGACCGTTAAAATATCGAATAGTGCACGGAAGTTATTTTTTGATACCGGCTTGCAGTTTGGCGGATCCGTCCTGTATGGAAGCGGGCAGTGGAATCCTGCCACCTTTGCGCTTTTGAGGTTGACGACACAGCCAATGGTTTTGCCCGAGTCGTCCTTAAGACGTTCTGTTTCCGGTTTGAAGAGGTCGTTGGATTCTGCCGGTAAGCCGCAGCCGTGGACGTAGGGGTCGGTGGTTGGCACTACGATCTTGGAGATCTCCCATACCTCCATGGAGCGGACCTCCTTTACAGAGGATTCTTTGTCGCCTGGTTTTCCAAGCCACTTTGATTCTCCTCAGCGACTGTCCTGGGCACAGAAACGGATCCGCATATGTAGTGGAGTGTGATTTCGCTGTGTCCGTGTTTGGAGAGCACGATTGATCCCAGCGGGTAGCGAATGGCGAGGTCTGACCTGTCGATCAGATCGCTGTCGTGGTCGCCCTTGTGCCCAATGCTGAAGCCTCCCTTGGCAACCATCACCTCGCTGAGGTGCGCACTCGTCAGTTGATATTGGTCACCCGTCTTGACGAGGTTGACGAATTCGGTGCCGTCGTTGTAGGGAATCCAGGTGGCATAGGACTTCGAGACGTCCTCGTCCTGGCGCAGCATGACGGTGTCGGTGTTCAGCCGCACACCTTGTAGAGACGCATCGACCGGGGACACGAAGGGCCGCATGTCATCCGGCAGCGGGACTCTGCTGACATTGGCTACTCCCCTGGGCGGAGTGCAGAGCAGGCCGTTCAGCGTGCCCGGAGACACCCGCAGCACATGCTCCTCCCTGTAGACGTCTGCCACGGGTATGACTATCTTTTCGTGCCTGAGCACGCCGGCGACGTCCAAGAGCTGGATGCGTGGCACCATGACGAGGGAGTTGATATGTGGCGACCGCCCACGCATGGTGTAATTTTGCGGCATCTGGTTGAAGCTGAGCCTCGAGATTTCCAGTCCGGCGGCGTTGACGCAGCTGCAGTGCAGACTGAAGGGCGCGGTCAGCGAGTCCTCGGCCTTGAGGTCACGGATGCCGCCATCGTCGTGGTGCCAGTAAGCCTTGAGCCCTGTAGGAAAAGGGACGACCGCGGTCCTGTTGGCGTTGAAGGCGAGCTTATTGCAATCCTGCGGAACCAGCTGCTCGCCAGCCTCGCAGTGGATGCGCGCAATGTCCGACACGTCAGCGAAATACTGGCTCACCCTCACTGGTCGCTGCGAGGCATCCGGCTGAGCATACACGGGCACGATTTCATGCCGCGGTCCGTACGACAGTGTAACCTTGATGGTGGAGATTACATTCCTCTCGGGCCTGGCGCCCCTGTGCAGACAGCGGAAGTAGAGCGATACAGGATCTCTGCCAGCGGCTCCCGCCTCCGACTGCGACACCTTGTGCTGTATGGACACCACTCCGTCAGACTGCAACACGCTGTCGACTTTCACCAACTCGGTGTCCACTACCGACCCGAGTCGCACCGTGCTGTACACCAGCCTGTTGTCCTCCACTGTGCGCGTGAGCGCCTCCGCATCCGGTCTCTCCGGGATGAAGGTGGAGATCCGCCCCGAGATATCCCAGCCTCCGAGGAGAGCCACGCTGACTGGGCGCAGCAGCTCCACGGGATACACCGGGAAGAGGATTTCCAGCGAGCTGCCGGGGTACAGCATCACGTCGCACCAGTCGCCGACAATGGGCCTCGACACGTGCTGCGCCAGCTTCTGACCGAGATCGCAGACGTAGTTCTTTCGGCTCCTTATTTCGATTTTCGCGGTCGCCTGCTTCGTCGACACGTCCACGCATCGGCAGTACCCGGAGAAGGTGGACGAGATGCTGAGACGGTCGTAGCGCATGATAAGCACGGTGCCGCCTTCGCGTTCCTCGGAGCTCACCTCGACCTTGAAGGGCAGCGTAGCTATCCGATCAGTGTAGCCGTAGTACAGCGAGAGTGGGCAGTTGGCAGGCTCTATCCTGCCCTTGCAGTAGAAGCCGACGTCGGGAGTCTCCATCACGTCCACGATGCACGACCGCTCACTCGACACTCCGCCCGAAGCGTCCATTATGAAGGGTACACTCGAACTGCCGCAGCCAGTGTATGCTCGCCGCACGCTGCTCAGCGTCACCCGCACTATGCCCAACAGTGGCGCACTCCGCTCCCCGCTCTCGCCGGAGGGGCAGCTTGTTCTCTCGCCCTCCTGCTCCGACATCGACATTGACGTCAAGCACGAGCGCAACGCCTCGCTCACGCCCTCCTCGTTGCCCGCCGGCGCGCAGTGCACGTCGAAGCTCTCAAACGCGTACCTCACAACGTCCGTGCTCCTGCCCTGGTTCAGCAGCAGCCGCGTCATCCCAAATCGCTGCTCCAGCTTAGGCTGGTTTTCGGCCGACCTAAACCGCACCACGTCGTCAATGTGCACCTTCTTGTAAACTCCATTCACCGTCGCGTAAACATGAATACCGCCACTCCCAATGCTCTCCCTCCTGTTGGGAAGCATGTCGTAAAACATTCCTGTCTTTCGCCTCGGACATATGACCTCGATGGTATTTAGGTTTAACAACATCGCTTGATGAATGCTAACTGTACTCTTTGTTGAAACTTCACATTTATCAAAATCCAAAATTATACGCTTCTTGAAAATGGGTGGACCGCCGCCAACGCCCATAATAAGATGCGCTATCACAAGTAATTCCCACATATTCATGAATGCAATAAAGAAAAAATGAAGCTGCAATGTTGAATGTTAGTCACGTTGCAAAGCAACACTTGATATTTCCTACACAAATGAAAGTCACATTTAAGTCAATCACAATAATAATTATTCTACAGAATAGCGTACTGATAATTGATGAGGAACGCTCAATAGAAAGAACAAGCATGAACTTCTTAATGGTACCATTATGACGTAGTTGTTGAACACATAATACTCCAGGGGCGAAAAATCACGCTGCGCTGCTTGCTCCATGATGCGGAAGAAGTTATATCATCCGTTTCGGGATACCAAAGCACTCGAAATAGCATTGTGTAAGGCTGATATCTGAATTTTCGCGTCCTCTAGTGCACCTAGATTACGCAGGACAACTCGTACAATGTTACTTAATGACGGCGCTCACCACGTAACAGCTTTGAAACAATAGCGAAATACGGATAACGTGATAGTGAACATTGAGCAGCGAATCAGCAACAAAGACGACGGGAATGAAGAGAGGCTGCAATCTTTTATAAATTCAATCGGTTTGTTCGTGAACTCGATTTCGCGGCAATAAACCGAAAATAAAATGACACACTACGTTATGTACTGTAACGACACAGATAGCTTTAAAATTTGAGCGCATTCCTCAAGGGGTGCGCAGGTGACACTCGCAAACCTTAAGGCTTCATGCCTGCAGACTTCTTTGCTTTGTATAAATCTTCCTGGCGAACCATGTAATCGCCGTACGTGCATTTGGCTCCTAGGTTCCTTCTTTCGCCGACAACGACGATGTTGCCATATTGCGCGGCAACGGCGGAACCACCCAAAATGTCTTCGGTTTGCACTTGGTCCCGCAGATCGCTTAGGGCCTGCGCTGTGTCCCTGTGGATTTTTTTACGCCACTGGGCTTTGGGTAAGTCCAAAACATCCTGCATCACACACTTGATGCGTTTGGAGTAGCAAGTCTTGAGCATTAACTCCTTAAGGCGGCCAAACCACATGTCCAACACCGGCCTGAGGTTTGGATGCTGGTCTATGTAGTAGCCGGTGCTATAAATTAACTGCAGAAAACATTCTATTAGGTGCTCGTGTGGCTCATCTGAGGCCATCACAAGGTCCATCACCACCTTGCTGACGATCTTGAACCCCAAGATGCGGCGCTGGAACAGCTCGCCGATCATCTTTACTGTTCCTAAAATTCTGGTTTTCAACCTTTTCATACCCGCATCTGGGTCATCGCCTAATGTCGCGCGCACGGCGTCCAAGTCACGAGGGGTGGCTTCGTACTCTCGCTGGATTTTAGTAAGTAGCGCGGATGCAAATGTCGCTCGCTTTCCTGAACATTCATACTCTCTCGAGCGCCATGAGAGAATGAGACAAAGGTCAGCATACATCTCTGACCAGTCGGGCTCCTGAACGGCCTTCGATAAAATCAAATCTGCTGCCACTTGCAGCTGGTTATAGTCCTCCAGCGCTTCGCACTGGGTTGCGATTTTTTCAGCCAACGTTTCGAACTTCTCGATAGTTAGCTTGTTGAGGTTGCTTTTCAGCTGCCTGCTCAATACCTCCACGAAGCTTCCACTGCTCTGTCTCGGGACGGTGCGCCAAAGCCCTGGAGGCGCATCCATGTGAGAAGATCCCCTGTTGGCCATCTTCGGGAATGCATCGTCAGTACAATCCCTACTTTCGGATCTGTAAATTATGAATTATACGACGCCGAAGCTAGCACTCACGCTGACGAGGAACTCCTAGCCAAGCCGCTGCCTTCCTCCGGTAACCCTTGAGCTTCGGCGGTCGCATAGGCGGGAGTCAACGGCTCAAATTTGTCCATCGATTACTGTGCCGTAGTACGTTTCGCTACGCCGAAACGTGCATTTTTATTGCAACAACATGGCGTAGTATCGAGCTGCGTTGACGCTGCAGGCCCCACGGCGCGATTGATCAAGTATGTTCGCTCATAAGTCGCAGATTCTATTGCTGCAGAGGCAGAGAATATTGCAAATCATTTGCCAGGATTTACCCAGCTGTTCCTGATGCGACTAACGCGACATCGATCAGCCAAATTGTAACTACGGGTGTGTAAATAAATTTGTTCACCGGATGATTCCGTACGATATACTCACTTCTTCGTCCTTCTTATCCGCGATGAACGCCTGACGGCTGCGGCGTTAACGGCGTCTACAGCTTCCATCACCTCGGATACGCTTATGTCGGTACGCCCAATCAAGCATTTCATGGTTGTCGCCGCGCCTAGGGCAGTTGGCAAATCGATCTCATATTCCTGCGTGAAATCGTTGACAGTGTCAAATTGGATGTTGTCAGCGGCATCATGGATGCTTTACGAGGTTTAACAGGGACACGTCCGGCGCAATTGCAGCCGCCACAACTCAGTTGTTGGCTAAATAACCCCTTTTAAAGGGACACCATGCCTGAATGCCCAACTTGGTGCCTGACTTACCGTGAAAAATGCGAGCAGGTCAGCTGGCGCGGGCGCCCTTTCGCCCGCCAACATAACGCACAGCACGGAGAGTACGGTTAACGGCTCGAACGCGTTTAGCACTCCTGGATCAATGCTTTTGAGAAGAACAAGCATGTCAATGTGCCTGAACATTCGTAACGAGTCTACGAAAATCTACCTTAGGTCTGCTATTTTCCCAAGTGCTGATATGATCCTGGAGGCGTCGGCTTGCTGGACTTTGTCCGATCCATAAATACCAGCTGAGGTCTGAATGAGTCCTTTGCAACTGCCTACTAACCAAGTTCGTATGACAATGCTGAATTGCACTGTTCAACGTTGTCGACGTAGGCGTTGGCCTGTTTCCCGATTTTTTGCCTAATCTCCGCGGCGGCCGCTTCGCTACGCAGTCGAAGGAGCTGCTGTACAAGTGCGATGTCGTCGGTGACGTTTTCTGTAGTCTGCAAACTGTGGATCTGCGCGAGTAATGCTAACCGCCGCAGCCCCTTGGTGGTGAGTGCATTGCGCGGGTTTCATCACCACGTTCGACACCTCAATTTTCTGGGGAGTCGGTATATTAGACGTGCACGCCTCGTCAGCAATCGCTTCCGGTTGTGCCGATACTGTCAGGTCGCAGAAGCGTCTGAGTTTGCACCAGGTAAATAGACACGCCGCAAACGATGCGGCCGCGACCAAACCCTGAAGTCGGAGAATTGCCATACACCGATCGCAAACATCGTCCATGGTTAGCTAATGTGGATCTAAGTGTGTACCAGCCGTGGCTGGAGCCGATAAATCAACGAAAATTTTGCGCAGCCTAAGGCGCAGGACTCGGCAGGAGAAAAAACGTACATCTTCTACGCGTATTCATAACCTTTACAGGTTAATAAACGTGAACCATATGCATATACACCCATAAACAGGTGTCGTAGTATCATTGCCGACGTAGATGTGTATTGCCGACGGCAATGCCGAGGAAAATATACGGCGCACTACGTTTCTAAAGGAATAAAACGAACGATTTTTGCTCACAATACAAAAATATGATGTCGTCAAAAAAGGTTTCATACATCTTACGACTAATGTTTCCACGCTGACCTAACTCGGGCCTTCACCTGGCTGCACAAGACGCCATAACTCGCACCATAACTTCTATTTACCTGTTAATTAAGGTCCATGGATAGCATACATTTGTTGTAAATGCGACAACCTATGACTTCCGGGCCAAATTATATAGAGACGCACGTTATTATGCGCAAGAAGCATTGCGCGGTAGGAAAATTAACGCAGCGATCGCACCTGAGATTTATTCATGTAAAATAACCTTATATCTGGCAATTGTATCGTATAATCACATGTAGGAACAACATGCGGCCTAATATGAAAAATATTTTGGCGATTTCACGAGATTCATGTAGACACGCAAAATACGCATAAATGAAACATTATATACATACGGCCTTCATCGTATGTCACTATACGCGCGATTAGTGTATATTTACATTGATGAAGTGCGACGCATCTTTAAATAGGTATCTCAGTACGCGGCGACATCGCCAAACCTTCACAATAGACTTAAAATTTGGGATCGCATCGTGATTGGAAAATGTTGTATTCAGGGTGAAACACACCTGACGGTGGTTTTGATTCGACGATAACACCGCAGACGTATGACCCACAGAAGTAGCAATTGGGTTTGCCAAACTACGAGCAATATGATAACATTTGTATAACTGATTTCCGTATGCTGGGTTTAACCGTGACTTATATTGACGCTCATGGCTGCGACAAATTCCCATGAGAGTGAATACGCTGGATTGTAAAATACAGTATTTATATTCTACCGTGAGCGATGCCATAACGTGGTAAAACAGTATTTAAAATGTCATTTCCCTTGATTTGCTATTCATTAGCCAACTGCTTCGCTATCGCTATATTAGGAAATGTAATGCTGATTCACTTTGTGAGTGGTGGGGATGATACCCACGTCCGAAAGTGGGTTGGAAATAATTTCTCCTCCATGTGGGATGCGATCGCCGATAGTATGGCTGGGAAACATCACCTGTACTATGATATCGATTTATACATGGGAGAACGCATAGAAGTACTCTGTCCTTCATATGACGGTCATAAATCTGTACTTAAACCCCTTGACGAAGGCATGTTCTACAGCTCGGATGCTTTTCAAAGCAAACTAGACGTTACTGATGCGGATGGTAATTACCACCCTTTGAGCAGGTTGAAAATAAACATTAGTGATGGTTTCCATAATCTGAGCATTAAAAAGTTACAGGATGAAAAATGGGAGATCATGTTTCCGAAAAAACCGACGTACTTAACCATGGAAACACTATTTTTCGATTGCATCGCCACTTCTGATTCAGCAACCCTTCATACAGCCACACTCAAACTCAACATAATGCCAGAGTACTATGGAGGCAAGGGAACGCAGGAACAGATCAATTTTCTCACCAACACATTCGCTCCCGACGGCGCACGGGGTACCTACTTCAAGTTCCCAAGGCCCGGCTCCACATGCTTTCTAACGTGTAAGGCGGAAGAGAAGAAGTCTACATCTCCAAAAGGGCTATTTATCTCTGGGACGCAAAAATCGAAGGTGCAGAAGACCCATATGATAGATTATGAAGAGGAATTTTATGGTAAAAAGCTGCATGATATAGCATTCGAATACTGCGATACGTTCGGGTTTATGGTCCTAGTGATAATTTTACAAGACGAAACGCAAGTTGTGGGCGCCAATTGGTTGGCACCGCAGCACGATACGCATGAAGTTTTGAAAACGAAATTTAACACACTAGAAAGTGCTGTACTTAATTTATACTGTGGAAATCACTGCAATGACATGTATCCAAAAAACATTCCGCAAGAATTTATAGTGGATGTTAGCTGGACATTGCGTGTTCACCAATTCCTTAACAATCTGATAGTGATTCGTCGATCACAGAAGAGCATCACAGTGGATTTCAGCCGTTATAATTCATATCGTTTCCATGAAGCAAACTGGTATTCTAGTACAAGCGTTGTTAGTTTTGCACATTCGGTGGATTTTACTATAAACCCCGTATGCGATTTTAATAACCCAGAGTCCCTCGACATGGATGGTAAAACTTGTTCAGTGCACATTTTGAAGGGTCACACCATTATTATAAGGGGTGCAAATATTAACGACGATGATATTTACATGCTACCTGCGGAGGGAGACGGGTTTTTCTGGCGTAAAGTCACAAAACCAGAGATGGCATGGAATGATCATACATTTGAGCGCGTTAAGACGGAATCACCGGCTGCCGAAACCTTTGATGAGTTGGGACCAACGGCTGGTTCTTATGGTCTTAAATTCAATGACGTAACTACAACATACAATCCTTTATACTACATATGGAGTAAAAGCACAGAAGATGACGGTAAAAACCCCGACAAAATTGCTATGGTTTATTACGCCGACGCTGCCTATATCGTTAAACCTGATATGGACTTAAAAATGGACGGCAGCCAAAAGATAGATGGTAATTCGCCCGCTGGTTCCAAGATGTACCATGTTGTCAGTAGGGGAGATAAAGGCCTGCATTTTCGTTGCAGCGATTTCTTTAATAGTGACGGAGGGGCCGAATATATTCTATACCCACAAGGGAAGAATCTAATTTACTCAAATGTAGAGAACAGGCTTGCTGACCCAACCAAGATACCGACAGCTCAATTCCAGGAGGAATACGCAACAGCCGGCGTAAGCATGTACAAAGCGCCAGAATCAACCAAGAAATACGACCTGGAAATTGTATTTGAACGTGATAAGGTCATATTTGCGCTCTACAAGAAGCCTCTGTACTTTATATGCGCCAGAAAAGACTGGGATAAATCTAAGCATTCTTACGTCATTATTGGAATTGATCCATTCTATCAACAGAAGCGTATCTACGGTTGTGGAACTAAGCCTGAATTCTTCCTCAACAACGAAGGCGAAACCAACAGTGAACAAAATTGTGAATTTACAATCGATGACAATCGGACAGTTGGATTCTTTTGCCCCATGCCCATTCCCAGCCATTTTCTTGAAGGAGACCAGAAAAAGTGGGCACCTGCCGATGGTGATGCGATCGCAACCACTAACCCCTATAAAAACATGATACAATGCTACGATCGCACCACATTCTTTCAGAGGCTATTTAAATGGAAGGTTGATATAGGATTATTTGCCACACCTCATAACGTTGGGGAGGTTCGATCACTATGGATTTTTAATCGAGGCCAATTCATCAAAAACGGCAAACAGGCTATAACTCAGGTTATATGTCATTGCTTCAACGCTGAAGGACGCAGCGTGGCGAGCATCAAAGTGTCCCCTGAGTTTAGGAAAATGGCAACATAAAGGGTGTGACCATTGACTGCACAAGGTAGTATAGAGAACTCACTGGAAGGATTGGGATAATGTTGTGTTGTATATGCCAATATGAAGCATGTACGATGACCACCGATATCCATGTTGAGGCCGGCGATTGCATGTAATACTTAAAGTTTCTGCTGGAGTGTTGCGCTTTTAATCTACATCTCGCACATAAAGATAACACGCTTCGGTTAGGTGACACCTAACAGGGTTGCTTGTTGGGAGAGAGCGCTTATGTTAAATTACAAGCCCTAATACATATACTAGCGTTAATACTACATTTGACGGTACAGTGGATATGCTATTACGTGAATCCGATGAAGTTGGCGAACAGCGCACCTCCGACGAAGCACAGCACCGTATTCCCTAGAATCAGCAGAAGTACCAATTTAAACCTCGCGCTGAATGTCCGCATAGACTTCCAATCGATGGGCCGCCCATCACGCAATGGTTCCACGAGTAATGCAAAGGTAATGGCGTAGGGGACGAGCGGAAGGACTTGCCTCATATACACGTGCGTGTGCGCGACTAGTAAAAACGTTGCCACCGTGATAACCATTTGTAGATGTAGCCCCATTTCTGGATGGGATAACACAGTTACGATTGTCTTTAATATGCGCCAGCCTGAAAATATATTAGCATGCCATACATACATGGAAAGTCTAGAAATGCTAAGAAGCCGTTTACTTCACCTGCCATAAAAAAGCATAACTTACCACGCTTACGTATGTCTTCCGATTGTGAGAGCTTATCATACATGTTTTTTATGAAGACCCAGTACCATCGTAGCGCGAAATATGTGACAACGTATGCGGGCCAGCAGTACAGGAACACGTGCAGCCGTGCTGGTTGCCTTAGAAGCCATAAAAATCCGACGTCCCAGTACTGCTTTTGCACAAATGCGTAAGGTCTCGGTAATTTCGCGGAGCACCACGGTCTCGCATGGGTATTTGCGGATTCTATGATGTTTCTCAAATAGCCAATTCCGCCAGGGGAGACCAGTAACTTTACGAAGGATGGAAAGCTCTTAACATGCTGCACCTGATCTGCCGTAAGGTTACGACAGTAGAGGCAGTAGATATAGAGCTGAAATGTAGCCATTGGCACTAGCAGACTAATTGCATATATCAGTGCGCGCAACCAGTGTGCCACGAATCTAAGCGCCATTATGCCTTTGTTTCTAGATCCGTTGACATCAATGTCAAATCCAAGGCGTGACTTATCATAATCGTAGAGCATGTTTAACTTGCTAAATACACCACACGTCCGGAGAGTGTAGAAGAACAGCGGTATAAGCAATAGTATACCGTTCGAGCGAAGAGCAGATGCAATGAAGAAAAGTCCCACCGCTGTTACTTCAAGTAGGTATCCCTTTATATGCAGAAAGAAGACGTATCCATTGGCGTGTGTCGCTATTTTGCGGTTGTTTTCAGCGTATGATAACAAAAGCAAACCCACGAAAGTGCACAGGCAAAATAGATTCTCCGTGTATATGCCAGAGCCATGCACAGTGGCCGGCCCAAGGCAAAAAAATAAAACCGCCACATGGGCGATCCGCTCTACATATTTTTCTGTAAGGTACATCGGCGTTTGATCATCGGTCATTATTTGGGGAATATCTTTTCCACATGTCAACATTAATATCCGCCTGTACATGATATCCCACACGAGCAGATATAGCGCGCCGGCCGCGAAGATACCTGCTAGGTTGCATATCAAAACTCCGCCAAGTGCCATGTAGAGCGCTCTTGGGGCTTCTACGATTTCTGGGTTGTACCCATATCTGACTGCATACTGCAGGTGTAGGAATTGCAATGCCTTTCCCGTGATTTTCACCAACCAAGGCAGCAGAGGAAAGAAGGCAGCTGAATTCTCTCTGGCGTAAACCAGATCGTCCAGCGCTATATTAAGCATGTGTTCACTATCCCAACTCAGGTATGGCAACAGCTGCTTCCACAATGCAAATTGGATTCCATCATAAAAATGCTCATTGAGACTTCCATCGGGTTTTACATCGTCTAGCAAGCACGTCAGCTCGGAGTAGGGGAGCTCAGCGTTGACTTTGTAGGTAAGTCTCTCCGTCACTGTGCACGTTTTTTCCTCGCCTTCCCGGGATGGCCTGCCAGCAAGGTATCCATCAGCGGTTAAATGTGTTGTGCGTCGGTCCACATAAGGACGTTGCATAGCGGAATGCCATGATACAAGGGATATATAAATACAGAAGGCCCCTTTGATGAAACAGGCGACGCCGATGGCCTTCGCCAGTCCCCGAGGCTTCCATTTTGCTGCTACTTCACATCCCATATTGGTTACACAGTAGCAACTTTATGGATTATTTAAATCATGTGTAGTTACCGATTGTGGATGTGCAGCGCATATGTAGACAAACCTGACTGGGTGCTTGCCTTCTACACACCCTACCTGAAATGTGGAATCCGCGTGGGCGATTTTAGTAGGTAACCCTACCCTGTACGGTATGTTGGAAATAAATATGTAGTTTTGTCGCAAAGAATGACTTCGTTCAACCAGAAACTATTTCTACAATGTTTCGACCAGCTCGCCGATGTCGATTCTCTGCGTCGCAATCAGGCGGTGGATCGGCTCCTGACATACCTGGCGTTGCCACCAAGCGCCTCCGAATCTGATGATAACCATTCTAAAAGCGATGCAGGCTCCAAATCAGCCGCAAAGCCTAAAGCCATGAACCCCCTGTCGGCGCAACGCAACTACAGGTTTAGGTTCACTGTGAATGACCACAACATTCTGCAATACACAGTGGATCGACTGTTGCGCGGCCTCACAGCTGACCGTAAGGGTTCACGCCAGGGATTCACAGTGGCGCTACTCTCCGTATTGTCACTTCACGGCGACAACATTAAGTGGCAGACAATTTTGCAGGCGGCACTGGAGTACACCTCGCTAAAGGACGTATCATCTTCTGAGGTGAAGGGTGAGTCATATAAGTAACGAAATATGACGTTGCAGACGTCTTGTGTGGGCGATTAATTGCGTTTTTCATCATACAGAAAAGTGGATTTTTCTCTACCCAGCAAGCATCAGATGAATTGGAAAGAGTAATTCTAAGCATATGGGAGGTTTATGATGACAAGACATATTTTCAGGATGCAGCCTGTGTGCTCCTATTTCTGATATGCAGAGATGTGTTCAGGTGGGTATTGATGTGCATCATGCGATCCTAATGTTTGCTGCAGGGCTACCCAAGATGTGGAATTGACGCTCCGTCACATAGCTACCAGGCTATCGGTTGTATTTGATCCAAGTTTTGTTGATGCAGTTTTGAAGAATGATATCGGTGGAGGTCAAGAGAAGGGAAAGAAAGACAGTAAAGCCAATGTAGTTGCGATTGGCAAATCCATTCCTGGCGTACTTCCGTGCGATCTCTTGGGGTTATATCTGCGGATGTACGGCTACATTGCATCTGTTGATAAGGATTTGCTGAATGGAACTGTTCTGAGCAAATATCCTCTAGATGAGGAGCATTTTTCCCTGGTCTTGCGATATGTATCCTGCACGCCCCGTAACCACCCAGTCATTGGTTCATTCTTTGACACGCTGTTAAATGCCATAATGGCGAGTGAGCATAATGAAGCTAGGTTGCTGCAATTGTGGAATTCCATCAACATGACAATGCTGAACGCCCAGGGAGGCAGCAGCCCTCAGCGGACATTCACTGCGCTTAGGCTCCTGGCACTGATAATCCTCAAAATTCGACGCTCGCCAACATTGATACACGCCCTCTTAACGTCGTGCGATGATATATATAGGACTCTGTCCTACTATCATAAAGCCGGCAAGAAAGATCCAATTAAAGACATCGCATCGTACGTGCTGCGACTCCTCGTCAGCATATTACAAGGAGACGTTAAGTTCGCGATGTCGAATAAGGTGGAAGGTACTGCGAATCCGATTATTAACGATTTTATGGTGTTTACGGGCATGGATTGCCTTTTCGAGGATGCATCCATCGACGTAAAAAGTCTCGAGGAACCACAGCCCAACGCCACTTCGGCTTCCCAAAATGCAGCAACAAAAAAATCCAGCAAAGTAAAAAAAGCAAATGCTGGTGAATCTAAAAATGAGTCCACGGTTTCTTTGAGTGATGCGGCCGCGCCTAAGCTTCCAGCAGGCGCAGTGGTGGATTGCCTGCACAAGATTGCAAATACTGTCGATTTCTCTGCTTCCTCACTCACAGCATTCCAAAGTCTATTCGCCGCCTTAATACGTTCCAGTGCAGATGTAGTTGCGACATATAAGCAGCTGGAATCGTCTGCTGTAAATATTGATATTGGATCCAATGCGAAGCATTTCTATTGGTTATTGAGTATGCTTCAGCAATGCGTTTGGGCAGCTCCCAAGGATACACGTATTGAATTGTTGAAGCGATACATCACCAGCAATGCATTATGCGCCTCTATGTCGGATGCTTCCTCATCTGGCTTACAATTTTCCATGGCGCGTATCTTGCTTGATGACGATGAGTTCAGGGTTGTTGTGTCAGGAAAGAATTTGGAAGGTGGCAAGGATGATGCGATTTTACCAGATGGTACCGCCAACACGTTACAATTGCTTTCGAAGCACATGCTAAATTCGTTCCTGGCTACATTGTCTAAGACCATACAAGCCTTGCCAAACAGTAAAAACGAACATATGAAAGGCTCCCATCCAATTGTTCCCGAAATCACAAATACTTCGAAGCTCATTCGCAAAGTTTACAGTTTGGTGGAACTAGTGTATAGTCGCGAAGACTATACCGTGATGAAGCCAAAATCAGAGGGCGAACTGCCACTGGTTGAAGTCAAAGTATCGCGAAAAGAAAAACATTCTAAGCGGAAGGTTCATTTCAAAGATGAAGATGGGGATGACAAAAATCTACGACATATTTCCAATAGGTTAATAGAATGCAGTTTGAAACTTGAAGAGGGCACAGAGGACCACAGGTTGGGTGTCATATCTCTATACTACTCCACTCTGGCACTATTGCTTATAGTATTGCATTATAGACCTTTGCATATAGCGAGACTCTCTCACGGTACTGCACAAGCCGATGAAGCTAAGCCTCTATTTTCTGAGGATAACATCGATGTTGTTATGTCCTTCTCGAAATTGTGCGAGAAGGCTGCTTTATCTGGAAAAATTTCGTTTGACTCCATTCTCCCTGCTTTATTGTCAAAAACACTAATTGATACGATTGTTTGTGAGGACAATTCCACGGTGTTTGGGCTGCTGCATACTATCTCGAGGGGAATCTGGAGTATGTCGAAGAATCATGTCAGTGAAGATTTGCGCGACTTGCTGCTGCGGAATTCAATACTCAATACAGATGCGCAAGATCCGGAGGAAACTGATGATGAGACCGATTCTGAGGACGAATCCAGCGAATCAGAATCGGTGACTGATAATGAAGCGTCAAACGGCATGGATGTGGATCTAGAAACTGAGAAAGATGAAGGTAGTGAGGATGATGATGAATCGGATAGTGAAGAGGAGGGGGAGGACGATGAGGATGATAATGATGATGGATCGGATAGTGAAAGTGAAGACCAAGATGAAGACAGTCGAGACGAAAGTAATGCCGAGGACGATGAACAGCATCCTAATCAACCTCCTTCTAAGAAGGTAAAGCGCGAAAGCAAGGAGGATGAGTCAGATGATGAATCTGACATTGAGCTGTCCACCGCAGAAGCTATCGACGAATTGCTAAAGGAAGAAAGCGGGAATCTTGAAGTCCTACGTATGGAGCGTATGAAGATGCACTCATCATTCCTTTTGTCCCCTGAATCACTAAAACCCAAAATTCGCAATCTCGAGATGCTGCAGTCGTGCATATCCGAATGCTCGTTAGACCCATGGTACCTTGATGCAATTAACCAGATGTTCTCTTCATATCAAACAGCAGTGCGCGCTCATGCAGGTGGCAGTGTGGATCAGAGGAGTCAAGTAGCTTTGTCCGAATACATTAGCAAGCTGACGAAGGTTCTTGGCCACGCATTGCAGCAGTTCACAAAGCCCGTTGCTAACCAAAAGTCTGGCGAATCTGGTAAGCAAAATGAATCCGATGCTCCCAATGCAAAAGCGAAGTTTTCTGATCCGAAGGGCATGCTGGAATCGCTGTTAGACCTAGCGCTACAAAGTGTCAATAGCCAACGAGCGGAGAAGGCTTCCAAGACTTGCCGTACTCTAGCGGTTGCGGCCTTAGTGTTCGCTATACAAGTGGAATCTATGATCAGTGATGGAGCATCAGTGCAAACGACGATGGTTATATTGGTTGCACTGTTGTCGCTCTGCATGTTTAAGAACTCCCGATTGAGTACAAGTCTTTTCGTGCAGCTTTGCAATCGCCATCCAGCGGCATTCGCAAGCTTGAACATGGTTAATATTGCTCTGGAATCTAAGGTAGAGTTCGTACAGTCTGAAGTGCTGTCGGTCTGCGCTAGTGCTGTGAGTGCAATCACCGCAAGCAACGTCAAACCTAAGCGACTGTGCCGCCGAAAGTGCGGAAAAATCCTGGCACAAATAGAATCTGAGGGAGAATGGTTATTACATGGTGCGCCGTTTGACAAGCCTAGGATTTTATCCTTCGTAACTGATAACCTGGTTGGAAATGTGCTCAAATCCTTGCCTGACCTGTTCACCCGCATGAAAGAAAAAACTGATGCTTCTACGGTCGATACCGAACCACAGGAATCTGGCAAACGGAAGATGAAGACAAGGTCAATTTCTCCGCAGCTTGCAGCGTCAGCTGGGCGGCTTGTAACCGTTGTTGTTCGGCCAGGTGGCATTAAGCCTGAGAACAAGACAGCTTTGCAGAATGTTAAGACCTCCATGAAAAGTCTCTTGGAAACTCTACGCGCATGTCACGTTAAGGAGAAGCAGCTCCAACCGCTAAGTTATGCCCTATCGCAGCTTTGCGCTCGATTGGGGGAGTAACAACATGTTTACTGTGTTGCGATGCGCTGTTGACTACACATTGCGGTGATACCTTTCAACGGTGATGTCACAACATAAAATGAACAGTTAATAGTTTTATCATGGTCGATTAATTTCATGTTCACGCGTAGGACGCTGCATGGTTGGCAATGACGTTCGTCCTACGTTCCGTCGCTGATGAAGCGGAGGATTGTTCTCAGCTCTGGATGTGTGTAGGCTTTCCTGCCGTATATTTGCGCCCTGTAGAGCTTTACTCAACCTCTGGGCTAGGCTGGGTTGACTGAGCCTCGGCACCAAGCTTCCGGTGCTTTTCTTCTGATGTCGCCGTGTTTACCGAACCAGTCAGCTCACCATGTTTGCAGGCACCGGGTTGTGTTGCGTCGGTCGTGGTAAATTGGAGGATGATCAATCAGCCGATTCCGACATACTGGATATTGACGATGCTATGCGTGAAGCGGATGACGTGCGAGAAGAATGGCAATGGTTGAGCATTCGATGTGAACGTCGTTTGAATGAGCAGATACGCTTCTATCAGCAGGATATCACAGATAAATGCGATGCGCTGCTGGCCAATGCGTCGACGCCCACGGACCCTGCTGTCTACGGCAGCTATGTCCCCAAACTCATTCGACGATTTATCCACGGGCGTTTGGGTTCCACTAATCCCTCCCCGCGCCATATAGCAAACTGTTACGCCGTTACAGTGTTTTGTGACGTCAGCGGCTTTACAGCTCTGGCGGAGGCTATTGAGAAGTCAGGCGATCCCGAGGCCGCAGCCACGCTTGGACGTTCTCTGAACTGTTTCTTTGACCCTCTGATCTGCATTATAAATCGTTGGGGAGGTGATATTATGAAATTCGCGGGGGACGCTGTCCTCGTAGCGTGGTTCATAAACGAAAACTATGATACATCCGATCCTCCCGTCGATTCAGAAATCAATGCGGATGCGTCCGCTGATAATTATATATCGCCTTTATACAGTTCCAAGCCGCATAGTGGAGACGTTTGGAAGCAGTGTGCGCTGGCACTAAGGTGTTGCGAGGAGCTGCATGCCACCCTGCACGAATATCCAACTAACATAGACGGGAAGACATTGGCGATGCATATCGGCGTAGGTTTGGGTGAGGTTGCCATTTTGCACGTGGGTGGTCTCTTGGAACGCTGGGAATTCGTGATTGCTGGAAAGCCGCTCGAAGAGATTGCGGTGGCTGAGCCGCTGGCGTCTAGAGGGGAAACGGTCATGTCTCGCTCGGTATACGAGGTGATGCAGTCGAATCTTAATGTACAGCCTATAGATGGTCACCCAGACTATTTTCTGTTTACCTCATTCAACACCGAACTTGATGTCGAACCCGATGCCACGGTGCATGAGTCGTTCGAGTTCCCGCCAGATTCGGTCACCGAGTTTCGACACTATATGCCAAGCTACATCTTCCTAAGACTGATCTCAGGATATGGCGTATTCAACAACGAGATGCGTCGCCTGTCGACTGTTTTCGTCTGTGTGTCTGGTCTGGATGTCGCTTCTCCGTCCGGCAGAGAAACTGCGCAGCAGCTGATGACCATCTGCCAACGTGCCACCTATGCCCTTGAAGGCAGCATAAACAAGTTTCTGGTCGACGACAAGGGCGTCGTCCTACTCATTTTCGTGGGATTTCCACCGGTTTACCACACCGACGACCCTGTGCGTTCGGTGTTTGTGGGTCTAAAAATCGTAAATGACTGCTTGAAATTGGGATTGAAACCAGGTGTGGGCATCACCACCGGTTCGGTGTGGTGTGGGACTCTGGGTAACGACATCAGGCGTGAGTACACTTGCCTGGGTGATTACGTGAATCTGGCGGCACGGCTGATGTCGAAGGCAGTGACATCCAATGGCCACCAAATTTTGGTTGACGAGGCTACTGCCAACGAAGCTGGTGGTATATTGGAATTCGAGGAACTTGAATCTGTCAAGCTAAAGGGTAAGGAGGTGTGGGTCAAGGTGTTTACTCCAACCGGTAAGGTTCGTCAGCTCGACCTGCAGTCGTTGGAGGACTGCACGCCGCTGGAGACGTGGAAGAGATGGGACGCATACAATACCGTGAAGGCACGCTTATCGGGAAGTGGATTACTCGAGCACGGCGGTGTGATGCTCATTAACGGGCACAGCGGCTGCGGGACCATAGACCTGCAGTCGGCCATTACAAGGTTAGTGAAGCGCCAGGGCTACTCCAACTGCTTTTCCGTCAGCACCATGAAAGATGACTCCTCAGCCATATCCATCGCGTCGGACTCACATCTCGCTTGGCGCAATTTGTGTAGTGGGCTGGTCTCCACGTGGGCCTCAAGTTCGTCCCGTAAAGCGATGATGGGTGTGTACCACTCCAAGTATCAGCACATGCAGTCGGAGAACTGCGTATCTAAAAAGGCTGTGTCAGACGTTGTCAAAGAACTTCTGGACCCATCACTTCATTGGCGTCTCGGGTCACTGAAGCCACTGGTGCTGGGATTGGAAGTGGAACCACTCCGAAACGTGGTTGGGCGCCGCCTCACTCCGAATTCACAACCTAATTCTAGAATCCCTGGTATGATCCAAAGCTGGTTAGGTGAAACTGTTAATGGGAGCACGGAATCGAAAACTGGGGCACAGGGTAACCATGTGAACCGCACCGCACAGAACGTCAGCGCCTGCGATACGACGCTACTTGATCAGCGCATCGTGCAGGAACCCACCGCCCCCCTCGTGACTTCCATGGTAGACGGATTTTCCATGAGTGAACGGTTGTGCGTTATTTTGAACATTCGTCTGGGAAGTTCGGTATACGCGACCATGGAAGACGATTCCTGGGAGACTGTGTGCTCACTGACGCGTCTGGCTACGGAACGACGGGAGGCACACATGGCAGGCGCTACTAACGCCAAACCGTTCCTCTTCATAGTCGTGTCGTGCCCCCAACACGTCTTCTTACGTTGGCACGACGAAGTCGTTCAGCATGCCGAAAAGTGCGACGCTCGGATAAAGCTTTCGAAGTTATCAAAATCGCAACTGACCGATTTCGTGGCACATACACTGCAACTTGAAGGTGCTGCGGCTGTTCCAGATGAGCTTGTAGACCACATTTACCGCAACACCTCCGGCATGGCACGCTTTGTATACAAGACCCTCGAGGAACTTGTGGAGTCAAAAGCAGTAATGTTGGAGGACGTGGAGCCTTCCACAACTAATTCGTCCGATGTTGAGGACGAAGCGACGCCTATCAACTCTCGTGCCATGCGAAGGAGTCAAATTCTGGACTTTTTCCACATACCGCATCGGCGCAGCGCCGGGCTCAGCGGTTTGCAGCAGATACGTGAACTTGGCGTATCTTTTGAGGAACGCCCGAAACAAAGAAAACGTCTGGTTGGCCTCAACCTGCCGTCAGATGGGCTAATTGGTGAGATTCTTTCGTTTGCTATGAGTCTTGTAGACCGGCTTCAGCCCGACGAGCTCTTCGTTGCCAAGGTTGCCTGTGTGGTGCGCTCACCGTTCGTACGACAAGATCTTCTGGTTAACAACCCGCAGAAATTCTCCGAGGAATACTTCGATTCCATTTTGCGGAGCCTGCTTGCGAACGAGATTTTGGAGTCGGTGTCTAATATGCCCATTGCCGAGGCCATGGCACCAAACGTGGAGCTTCGACTTTGCAGCAGTGCTATTGCAAAGGTTCTATCGCAGCGCATAATGGAAGATGAACGAGCGTGGTTCGCGAGTCAATTCGCAGTTGCGTAGCGGTGCATTTGCCGCCCTGGACCATGCGGATCGCAATGTTTGCCAACATATAACTGTCGCACGTAAAATAATCGCTTCATTAGATTGTTATTTTAGAGATTGTTGGGATTATAAATTCCTTTGCCTCAGTTTACATTAGCGATAGTGCCATTCGTCAAAGCGCAACTGCCGCAGCAACGCTTACTTGGCATCTCTACAGCTATCGAAGCCTATCATCGCATGGCACGATGTATACATCCATTATATGCTAGCAGAGAGGGGTGTAGCTGTGGCATTCTTCTTATGCCTCCTCAGACATAGCACCTGCGGATTAGGCCTACATGGCGGCATGCATTGCCAGATTCAAGGTCATAAACTCACGGATAAATGTAATAATGTGACCATCCGGCCGTCTGGCGAATCCCCAGAGTATCAGTGATAAACTTTTCGTCCACCAGAGCGTGGTCGTTCCCGATAAGTGCTGCTCGGTAGATCTTGTACTGCTGCCGCAACTAAACGTCCTGTGTCACCAGCTCACCTCTTGCGTAAGCGTAATGTGCCTTCGTGCATTTGTTATACAAATAGATCCGCTTACTTGTACTCGTATGTACCGTCAAAGTAGTGTGCAGAGTGCGCTTCTCCTCCTTGTGCAAAAGAACGAGCCGAGCGAAGGCGATACTCCCAATGAGTTAGGGAATCATAATTTGGAACACGCATAGCCATTTTCAATTGTTTATTTGCCTCTGCACGCCGTTGGGAGGTCACCCAATTGACGGCGAAAACTCCTGCCGAAGAAATCGGCCCTGCTGGATTCCATCGGCTAATGCGTATTGGGCCGCAGCCTGGCCTGCCGTTATTAGCAATGTGCGGCGGTTAGTTTTCGCCTTCCACTCATAGAAATACTATTATGGGCCTGACACACCCTTACGGGTATTATCGGATAACTGTGTTACGTCAAAACTGAGTAAAGAGTACTTGTCATGACAGCGGTGCACGACGCCTCTTGCTGCATCTGCGGCGAGGCGGCGAAGTATCGCTGTCCCGCTTGCCTCAAACAAACGTGTAGTTTAAAATGCGTTGCTGCGCATAAGGAACGGTACGAATGTTCCGGGCGCCGTCAGCCTTCGTACTTGCCGATCCAGGAGATGACGGACCAGACCTTGTCACATGATGTTTCTCTTCTTGACAAGATTTCACGCGTAATAGAGTCCACTTCACGTGCATTCGTGCAAAGACAGATAGATGCCCACGTTAAGGCTTCCAAAAGGTGCGTTTTGTTTACCGAAAGCTATATCATTCCAGAATCAAGACGGCGACGCTCCGAAAATGCTGCGAAGATCGAGGAATCACTTTGCAGTTGTGCCCTGCACAGATTTCGCGGCACATACGTAACTTTACTTGCTTACGCAAAGGCAACATGTACTGGACGGTCGAATGGTACTTTGCGCAACCAGACGTAATGCTCTTCGAGCGCAGGTGGGGGTCCATTTTGGCGATTCATATGTTACAGAGTGAGTGAGAAGTATACTATAGGCAAATGTCTTGAGAGGGTGCTTATGCGTTTCGGTGGCAAGCGTAATACTGCTGCCTTGCTGCACGACTACTTGGACATCGACAACGTAGTGGTCCTTATACGTGATATCGGAGAAAGGAACAAAAAGTCGACATACTTCATGTGCGATATGCATTCCACTTTGCGAGAGAGCATCGAAAACACTAAAATGCTAGAGGTGAGTGCTCTTTGATCTGCTTAGGAATGTTGTGTTACAGCTGAAATCTAAAGCACAATTACATGCAGTTTCCCAGACTCGATGTCGCACTAAAACGTGATTTACATCTTTACCAAATAGTCGAACGGAGGCCAAAAGTGTTGCCGGAGGATGGAAAAAAAGAGGAGGAACCACGTAACTAATAGTGGATCGACGCACCCGGAGATATTTTGAACAATGTGTCTCTGTCTCGTAGACAATTTATGTGTACAGTTAGTGCACTATCACTCTCTATCTCCGGTCTGCGTTGACTATGGTTTACATCAATTTAACGACAAAATCTTGAATTCATCGCAGCATCCATTTTATTGCACAAATGTAGCCCCCGCTATTTAGATAGTGTTGGAACAACATTAATTGCATGGATTATCTACATGGTGCTCTAAAAGGGGCACAGGATGTGATGTGCCAACGCGAAATGCAAGCGACAATTTATGATGCAATCCCGATTGCTTCTGGTTATGTATATCGAAGGGAATCAGGGATAGTGTCTCTTATTGTGATACTCCTCAGGAAGTTGCTTCAATCTGTATATGAAATTGCACAGAGTGATACGTGGCTACATTCGACATGGAAAGATTTTCACGTTAAGCAGGGTAGCACCTCACGCCGCCATGCTACTGTGCGTATTTGGCGCCAACCATAGTGGCATCCATCCTATTTAGGCGCAAGGGCCATTCACAGAATCATAATCTTCTCCTTATCCACCAGGTGGCCTTTACTGGCTGTTCCTATTTCCACGATGGTGACGGCGCGTCTTCCGATTTATGCTGTTCCCCTTCTCATTCGGCGTTACCTGCAACCTCTATAATTTGAAGTCACCATCTTACCAGATTGACCAATTCTGTCCCTCGTGAGCAAGGTCAACGTCAACATATGCCTGTCTTGGAAGCTAACATCCCTGATAGTCTTATCTATTCCGGATGGCTTCCTTCTGGGTACGTACTGGAGCGTCATGGGCAATCCACCACACGGCAATCGCTACATCACATCCTCTACCTTATGTGTAGTTGTTAGTCTGTCTTGGCGTAGTGCAGGAAGTCCTCTGGTGTCCGGCGCAGGAAGCTCGGGCTGATCGTGGAACACCATGTTGTGCAGTAGATTACCTGCCGCACTGATCGGCGCACCAGAAGTTAGTGCCAGACAGTCTCTAAGTTAAATGGCGTTGCCATGCAGAAACATAGAAGCAATAGCACCAGTGTCACCGGCGTCAAACCGGACCCCCCACAGGAGACGTATGCTGTAAGATGTTTGTGGCTGCGTAGGTAGTCTATTGCGGCTTCCAAACAATACAAGTTATATATGGCGCAGTACCCTTCAAATGACTTATTTATGTATCGTAAAATACGGTACTAGGTACGCATCACTGTCCTGGTGTAGAAGGTTGCATGCTATGTTTTACTGGGAACCGTTTGGTATACAAATCTCAACTGTTGCAAATACAACCAACTGTCTGGCATGACGAATTTGCATAACGTGTGTATTGCTGTAACTATGCGATCGTTACCCAGCACATTTACAAGCGTAGTTGCATCTACAGCAGCGCTCACATATCATGAGCATCCACATCCACTATATGCCTTGACGACGTTATTTGCTCAGATGATGATGACAACATTAAACCGAACTACACGTGATACAATGACACAGAACCTCCACCCAGCTCAGGGCGCCACCTTCCCACCGCATTCAGCTGCCACGCTACTAATGGGCTAACAAATGCCTGAGATGGCTACGGCTCTGGCGTATGATGCTAAAGAATCATAGAATGTCACCCATTGACACCCACTTCACACACTCTGCGTGCCCAAACGATCATTCGCATCCCGTACACGCCCTAGGTGGCTGGATCACTGCCTTAGCGAGAATGGTACTAACCAGCTACTGACATGGATTACCGTCTAGCCCGCCCCAAAACGAACCATGCAATGCACTCCTGTCACATTACCTTAGAGTTGCCAGTTAGTAGGTGTGCTACGTGATCGGTCACTGGAAGGAAGCGTAGAGCGTATGGGCTGAGCGCGCACACGTTACGGTAGTGTTCATGAACGTAGTCCCACACTACTTCCTTTAGACAGAGTCGGTCACAAGAAGAGCCTACGCTGCCACCTTGACGTAGCCACTCCCGCGGCACTGAAGTTCATGAGAAAGGGCATTCATCCTTGGAGTCATTGGCGGATCGATTATCATCTGCTCCGTCACTACCAGTACCTGAAGGTGATTTCTCTGGTGGACTAGCCAAGTCCGAGTTCTTATCTGTCAGGGCAGCTGCATTTAGGTCTTTAAGTAACGGTTGCATTAGCATCGCCATCATTTCCCGCCGCTTACGCGACTGATCTTTACCATGATGAGCGTCCTGATTATCATCTGCTCCGTCACTACCAGTACCTGAAGGTGATTTCTCTGGTTGACTAGCCAAGTCCCATTTCCTATATGACAGCATCACGGCAAGGAAGTCATTAAGTAACTCGCGATTCTTCCTTGTCGACATTTCCAGGCGCTTTAACTCAATTGTTTTTTGCATGTCCTTTTCGCCATCTTTGTTTCCACCTGTACAAATACGCTTTGGCGGATTTTTTTCATCCTCTCCCGAAGGCACCTCCGTCTCACGCTCATCCCTTTGAGAAGCCATCTCGCAAACTAGTGAGCAATGCACGTTAGGCTCAAAAACTCCTCTTTACGAAGACATACACATCCAGACTGGCGTCCAATTGCGCTCCCGTAAGCGTGTTTCCGAAGCTTTCAACTCTGACACACCGTGGATTTCCACGGCTATGACATTTACCAAGTAGTTAGTGTGCCAGCAAAATTTGAATCACATTACACTCACTCGTTTGATCCAAGAAAAATGTCCATACGCGACCCATACTGACACTGCTCACGCGCGGTGCAAGGCATTCGGGGTTATAGACATCTGGGTAACCATGTTTGCGGGGCGCCCCGCGAAGTGGCTGCGGGGGCATAGTCCGGGGGTACGACATCAGGGCTCACCACAATGTTGACCATATATGCCACTTAACTAACCCGCACACTAGCCATCACGTCGAAGAGTCCCGGAGACATTCGTTGCCAAGCCGCATGCTCAGTAACATCCTTCACTGGCCTATGAGGTGATCCACCACCTCGACATAGCCTGACCATACATCAGTTGAAGGTATTCAACAGAGGTTTATCTACGTAGTTCATTAAAGCGCGTGATGCCATCATTGCTACATCTGCAATATTTAATCATAGCACTAAGTTGATATCCCACCTAACCTTAGTTTAGTTCATTTGCCACACTCTCCATTTCCCCTCTGCGTCACTTACAAAATCCAAGGCCGGCATAATTAAAATAAATCTCACCTTTGTGCATAATTTATCACTACACCACCCAGGCACACGAACTTAACGTGATAGTTACACTGATCTGTGCCAAGCCTGCCACCATGTTTAACACTAAATCGGCAGCTGCGGGTGGGTAACCACAGGGGCATCAAGAAGAACCCTGATGTGACAAAATTGGTTCCCAGATGATTGAAAAGTTGTTTTACCAATATGCTTAATAGATCTCACACAATAATGCCTATGAACTAAGATATCGAAATGATATGCTGCGTGCCAACAGCACTGAGAACACCGGGGCATCGGCACTCGCCCGGTTTGGGGCAGTGTACAGGGCTCCGTATTAAACGGCACTGAGCACACTATGTCACGTCTCAATGATTCTGTAATGAGGAAATGCGTTCTAACAACTTATGTGATAGTTTGAAGTGAAGACCAATTCAAGCATTGATGCCGTTGAGGGTGTGGTTATGTTGACACATTAAATTCTTTCGGGCAGTGAAAGCTATAAAACGTTAGGTGTTCAAGAATGGCAACTGGTGGTGCCTTCCTAAAGGCGTGGTGACAACGTTCCACTGACGACTGCCGCACCCCGATTAAGGGGCTCTGCAAACTGCCGTTAAAAACCCGCTCTAACACTAACAATGCTCACTTCTTCAATGAGTGCTACGATAGCCGAGCACCATTGTTCATCGGATTCGTCGTGATTGCCAAATGCAAAAACAGTTGGAATTTCAAGCCAACGCAGCAGCAATGGCGAATCACGACTTTTACATTAACCGCTTCAAACGGAACAAAGGTGATCAAAGTTGAAAAATGTTGTATCTCATGCTAACGACGCTCTTGTTGGAAGACGATGTTCCCCAACTCCTTGACGTCAATGCTCAGCGAGCTACTTTATCTTGTACGCCCTAGGAATATACAGGGGTACGGCATCGTATAAATAACAGTGGTTCACTGTTAGTCCGAGAGCTTATGCGTTCATCGTTAATGTCACAGATAACATAATTTAGTATTAGACCTTATTTACCCACATTTTGATCTCGCGCCTCTCACAGGACATATCGAGTTATTCCGGGGCGGTATACAGTTTGCAGCTTTAATGAAACATATAATGAAAGTAAATATCGTGTGAAACGAATAAGCTTCTTATGTATTTGGCGTAGTGGAGCCCGGTGGATTAATGCCTGCCCAGTGTACCGTACATCGTGAACACAAGATTCTTAGAAACATTTTCTGTTCTACATAATGCTACATACACAATTCAAACAGAGGACAAGTCAATATGTATCCGTTGCGGTAAATAAGGGTATCTTATACCGCAACTGCGATCACCTTCTGGCAAAATTGTTCAGAGCTGCGCGGGGATGTTTGATGTGGCGAAGCAACAATGAATCAAGGGAGTTTTGGATGGACGGAAGGAAAGTGTTCTTCAAGAAATGATAATTTCGCACGTTAAATGGTTGCAAAGATATAAAAGCCATGTCAATGTTGTTATTGTGTTTGTGAGAAGTTATTGGATGGTATCAAAAACCCTGACCAGTATAATTCCGCATACAGTTCAGAAGCGACGTTAGATACATCATGTTCTAAACACCCGGACGCTTGCGCTATCATATTCGTGGGGATTGCGCCAATGTTGGCCATTGGCTTAAATGCCTTGTTCGCAGTCGATATATCTCCACTAATGGGGTTGCCGCGTTTCCAGGGGTGTCAGCCTATCTCAGTAAGGTTGAAAGCCGTGGGCTACGTGGAGCCGGAGTTGCACGCTGGAATGAATGTTTTAACTTATCTTATGGCGTTGATCCAGATAGATAAACGCGCACTTGTCCACATTTACGACCTCGCCGGCTTCTGGGCTTTTTACTGAGTAGATTGCCCGTGTGAGCTGTTCGAGCAGTTCGACAAACAACGATTTTACGTCCGTATTCCCACTGAGTTGGTGTCATACTAACTCTCACGAAACATGCCTAATTAATGAAATATACCTATCTCCGGCTATATGCATACACTCTTAATCCACCACACTCTGCCCGCCAGATGAGACCAAGCATAGTTCCGAACCTCTATTTAATCTCGTTCGTGACGCAATTTGTTGTATTCTTGTTGCAATGTCAGATCCTTTCATCTTGGTATACCATACAGCCGAGAAGTTGATGCTGGTGTTTCCCAAAACATTCTGCGCAATCCTATACGCCTTCTCAGGTATATGGTATGTCACTGCCGCATTGGCATTGTAGCCGTGTCCGACCCGCGGAGCACCATTGAGCTCGTGGCATGCTAATGCATATACCTCGCATCGCTCAACATAATAATCTTTTATCGTAGTTAGTCTTCGGAGGGCGTGATATTATTGCATCCAAAAAAGTTAGCTAGAAGGTGTGATTCAGTTATAGGCCTTGTGAATCGGCTATTACGCCACGTAAATGGGCAGTATAAGGCAACCTCCGGCGTCACATGTGTGTCCAATCCGCCGCCACCAGTAGTATACACGGGATCATACGTTGGCCATATCGTTATTCTGCCACTCAACCTCATTTTCTGGTCTGTTTCCTGCTCAATCGGGGAAAGCGATTTATAAGATGTGTCATTCAGGGACACTCAGAAGGTCACTCCATCTCTGTCCTCAATCTTTTAATCCGCCATTATCATTTTCAATATAGGATTCCCGCATTAGTGGCAGCATCAGGGCTTGAGGTGACATCCACTCGGCATTATTACAATTGCAGTGTCAATGTTGTAAAGGCGCCACGAAGCTTGCATTTGCGTTGGATTGCGGCATAATTCGTCGCTTATGAAGTGCTGTATGGCGTTCTGTCGGCTTCCGTTCGAATGTATTAATTGCCGTTGCCAATTCAACGGCACAATATCGTTATATCACGACTGTGTATAACTTCCGTACGGGTAAGAAGTGTAGCTAATAAGTTTACGTGTGAATGTGATACTATTACGCATATTGCACAAAAATGAGGAGGCCGCGTTCTCATAATTTGCATATTTGCTCACACGTTAGAAGACCTCAATAACTAAAATGCACGTCGCCAACCATTAAATGGACTCTCCACCTTAAAGTAATTGAAAATTGGGGAGTCATATGCCGGCACGATTGCGATTAAGTTTACTGCCCCCAAGATATCCTTCTTGGTGTAGATGTGAGGAAGTTCACACCAATGCGGTCGCGGCATGCCATTGAAATGACCTGAATGTTTACGCTGTAGTGTCAGTGTACGCGCGAATACGTGTTTCTATGCGAATGACTGTCTGCAACTGTAAGGGCGCCCGCTTTGATGTGCATTCCATTAATCATAACTCTGCTAAATAGTACTCCGATTGGCAGCATCGATCTATCGCATTTATCGGTGCCGCAGATGATCTGATTCGTCGGTTTAATAAGGTTGACGCGTCAGATGTGCGTGGGAAACCGTGCCTCTCGTCGCTCCCCAAACAGCGGATGTGTTGAGCCGGATCCGCAGATACTCAAATAGACAGGCAAATTTCCATTATATCCAGCACTATTCATTGCTTCGGCACACTTTGACATCAGTGTGTGAGGTGAAAGAGGGTTTACGCTGCCCGCCGATGTACAGCTGCGCCATTGGAGAAAAAAATCCCCAGAGAGGTAACAACCGCAAAATTCAATGCAGCTTACACACCACCATTTACTGATAACAATGCGGGGTTATCGCAACGCCGATTAAAATTTTTGTTTGTCTACACGGGATCGATATGTGATTCGTTGAATTATTTTTCAGGTTGCCGCCGCCGACGCTGGATACTTTCAACAAGACGCGTTATTTACCTTCGTCATGTCTAACGATGAAAGAGGGTTATTTTATCGATGTCTGAGTACCGTGGAGGCGCTCCTAGTGCGATACAGCCTACTACAGTGACCCTGGAGCAGCGTGAAGCGCTCAGCCGACCTAGTGCGCATTACACACTGTCAGGCCAATTACCGTATATACAGATCCTCGGCTATTCGAGCGCCAGGTTCCAGTGACACGTGAGTACTCATCGGCCGCGGCGCGGCGTACACTGAGCGTCAGCCTATCTGTTCGAGATGTATAGCCGCAGGAGTGAGGAGGTTACACGCATCTCGCAGCGGCTGGCGGGCATCCACATCCCCGTGTTCTCCGTTCTGGAGTCCCAAATGGGTGATCCTGTTCTATCGCATTGGATTGGAGCGGATGGCGTAGTTGCCGGAACGGCGCTTGGCAGGGTTTCCGCTTACATATTCGACAACCCTGTTTCGGCGTCCTATACGTCCTCTACGGCTGTGGAGACAAAGGATAAAGACGTTTCAAACACACAACGGGATCGATCGACTCCTACGCCGTCGGACACAACACAGGATAGCAGTACAGTTACCGACGGAAAGGACACCAAAACTGAAGCTGCACCGTCGCCGCCAACAATCAATGAAGTCGGAGGCGTGGAACCGCTGGAAGCTTCGTCCGCGAATCCGGATGGCACATTGGCCATCGATATGGCCGACGACGGGTATGATGTGGATGAGGGCGATGATTCCTGCGGATGCGATGGTTGGAAGTTTTCGAATTTGACATCGTTCTTTGTAACCGTCATGAACTATATACGGTGCGGTGGTGGCAGCGTAGATGCTGCGCAATTAGACGACGTGTTACCAGGACGGTACACAGTCTTCGCATCCTTCTCCGATGAAGCGGTGCGTGCTGTCTTCATTCACAACAGACAGCTGTATTGCCTCATTGGTACGAGTGCAATTTCTGTTTACGACGTTGATAAATATGCTCTGCTTAGCGAATATCGACTGTCTCTGTCGCGCAACGCCGGCTACAAGCAAATCACATTTGCGGCTTGCAAGATCCTGGTGGACTGCATGCGCGGGTCCACCATCCTCGATCCAGTGGCGAAGAAGCAAACTAGCTCTACGCACAGGGTATATCCATCCAACGTGCTAGATTTCAACGGGACTGAGATGATGTGTTACTACCGCAATGTCAACAAGTACTTTGTGCAGGTGATAACGCTGGACAACGACGTGGCGAAGAAGGTCTTATTCTCCATTTCAATGCCCAAGAGTGTCTTCCTGGTGACCCACGGCAGGTTTTGGGGTAGTGACAGGCTGGTAGTGGTGACTGACCTGCTAAGCATCAGCGTGTACAAGTACCACGAAGTCACAGTCCCAATCGCAAAGCGTCGTTTAAGAGTGGACCTAGTAGCGCTGTGTGGTGGTTTTAGTGATTTCCTCGCGGTCCTAACGAAGGATGCGATGATAAAGTTACTCCATGGACACACGCTGGAAACCTTCTTCAGGATTCCGCTCTACCCCGCAACATTTGAGCTGGGTTGGCCATACACGCTAGTCAACTACGGCAACATAATTTCGTTCACGTCTGACGAAGGCGTATACTGCCTCAGACTACCACGCAAGGTTACTGCCGCGGCCAGCCAGTGGAGAGAAAACGGCTCTCTCGGCGTTCACGGCATACACGAAGAACGACAGGACATAAACAATTAACTTTAAAACTGTCACAACCGTATCAAATGATGGCACGGCTCTGCCGCCTCGCCGTCATCCTTTTCTTCGGGTATAGTGGGAGGTTGAAAGCTGAATTTCTTGGGGTACTCCATGATAATGTCCTGCAGTGACTGCTTTAGCCTTCTAAACGCGCGCTTGAAATGCTTTTGTGGCAGCTGGTGTTCCATGCGACGCTTCAATATAGGCAGCTTATTAGTCAGTTGTGCGGTAGCGGCTGCCAACTTCTCCTCGTAGGCAGGGTGGTCGTGCTTTATTTGCTTGCGCGTAAACGATTGGAAGTCGCCGAGCAGCAGGCCAGCTACGCCTGCGCAAAATTGCCGTTCCGCAGTGTTGTAGAGTCCGTAAATGGAACTCAAAGAATCAATTCCATAGAATTCGTCCATGTGCACAAATACGTGCGGTAGGTGGCGCATCATGAAGAAGTCTTGGTTGATCCGTACCAATGCCTTGTCTAGTGTGCACATTTTGCCGAACGCATACTCCGCGTCGACAATCGAGGCCCTCATAGCGTCAAGCGCCTCCGACGCGAGTTTGTTTAGCCGGTACCCACCGATAAAGTCTACGTTCTTCAACACGATGCCTACGGCGAAACAAACAGGGGGATAGAGGTTAGCACCCCGTAAGTTTTTGTCTCCCAAATGCGATAATAAGTCGTGTTCCCAATCGGGCTCGAATTGCGTTTCGTCGCACATAGCTTTCACGAATGCCTTCTTGTCGTAACCCCGGATGTGGGTGGCAATCTCCCGCTGGACACACTTGATGAGACTGGCTTCCATGTTGTTGTAGGTCTGCTGCGCTCGTAACAGGAGCGGCTGCAATACCCCCCTAATACCCGATACTTTTATTGGTGTTATAAGTTTTTCTTGAATGCTCGCCATGGCGGAGCGCAAATCCGTTGAGGTTTGCAGCTTCGCCATTTGGCGCTTGCATGCATCTGTAAAGTAGAAAACCACGTTATCCACCATTGTTCCCAGCGATTCGTGAGCTTCGTCGGTCACAAAGGTCTCCTTGAACGTAAGCACCTCGAGATTACAGACGAGCAGGAAGAATGTCGCTATGCTGTCGAAATTTTCGAAGGATTCCATCTTCAGCAGCATCAACGGGTTCAGAATCTTTATCCGACTCGTTATATAATACATCTGCAATTGCAGAAACTCGGAATTGCCGAGTTCAGTAGTTTGCATGGCGTAGTAGTCACTCAGTGCCCGTACGCTGCGTCCGATCCTGCGGTACTTGTTATAGTGCGCAGCGACGTCAAAATGGTCGAACCCCTTGCAGCTCTCACTTGCAAAGTTGTACACCTCTTTAAATACCAGCTTCATGAGCTCACAAACGCGAATGCGCAGTATCTCGTACCTGTACTTCAACGCTTCGGCATCGAAGTAATCCACGTGTATGGTGAAGAAGTCGATAGACGCTTCAATGGCGGGCAACATCGCATTGCAACGCTCCGCAACTTTCTCTACGTATTCAAGCGTCATAGCTAGGGCGTTATCTTCGCTTTCAGCGTCCTCACTACCAGTATCAGCCGGATTTTCATCCGATACCGTAGAACTGCTCGCGGTCTTCGCGGCTTTGGTGTTGCGCACCTTCATGGATCCCACTACTTTAAAAAACTGGTTGTTTTCAATCTGATCTACAGTTCTCAAGAAAGTCTTGTAATTGGCGTAATGGTTGTGCATTTCTTCCAAGGTTGCAAGTTTGTCGGAGAGTGCGACCTTGCGAGAATACAGTTGATTGAACTTCTGGTTCACGTTCTTGAAATTCAAACAATACGTGGCACGGCGCAGTTCAAGATCACTCAATCCACGGACGCACTTTTCTTGTAAGGCCGACATCCTATCCAATTGCCGATCAGCGTCAAAAAGGATGGTGTCCCAACGTTGGTAGAGTTTCGAAGCGCGTTGCAGCATTTCATCTTCCATAAACCGCTCATATACTGTATCGATATCGGTAGCCTGCAGCGTGTCTTCACCGCGGCTGTCAGCGGCAAACCAGGCTTTGCCATAGGCTCCCTGCGGGTCCGAGGCGCCGGCATCCAGGACCCTTGAGAGGTCATGGAATGGGCCGACCTTACCCCAGAGTATCGACAAGTCCGCCAGAGCCTTATCCATACTGCCAAATCCAGTGACAGCGCCACCGGAAACGTATTTGCCCGCTGCTCTAGGTGGCGGCCGGCAGCACAGCGCGTCGCGTTACATCCAGTAAATCTATGGCGTACCGCTTTCTCAGGGAGGGTCTTTATACGAGGCGCAAAAGTCTTCGGCAAAATGGCTTTACACCCTTCGTTGAAGACCTCATGTGGGCTGCCACTGACTGGCATTATCAGCATTACATCAGTAGGGCTGCCAGGGCTTCTTTGCTCACACATCAAGAAGGTATCCACGTAATCGCAGTTAATAACGCTTGTACAGAGGTAGATCGCGTCGTGGAGCATTTCAAGGCCTCCAGGGGTGGCACCCTGGCTAGGGGTACTGAGTTCCCCTTCTTTCGCATCGCAACACCGAACATCGTACCTTATCGCAGACAGTCTAACCCGTTCTGCCAACGATCCAGCAACCGTACTGGGTGGCAACTGCATCACCGAAAACTAGAACGTACGCCAAGACCATATCGTTCCACGAAACTTGGGGGCACTGATTTGTCGGTGCCGGTAATGCCCAAACACTGAGAAATCGCGATACCGCAAATCGCGCGTTAGACTCAAATATATAACAACGCCCTTCACAATGATGAAGCAATTTATGTATGCATTTGCTTTTTCACGTGGCTATCCATTGCCTATCTTCCATGCAGCCCATTACGACAAACCCCAACATGTAATAGTTAATCGGCAGTGGAGCATTCAACACAACACTAATTTTCGTGTCTGAGTGTTTTGCTATTGCGGCTGCATTATTCTTTAGAGCGCGTCAGCGTGTCGTAGACGAAGCTCATAAGGTTCTGTATTGGGGCCGACAGAGGTGACCCTGGTGCTGTCTTGCTGGTGTCGAGTGTCCGCAACAGGTTCGATGCCTCGTGCAAGTGTAACATCATGGCGCACTGACTTCGCTGAAATGCCTGCCCGTTGCGTACCATGGACAGGACTTCATCTATGTTCCCCTCATGTATAGCGTCATCCGCTATCAAGGATACCAACTCCCGACTCTCCGGCAATGCCATTAGCAGTGGCATCGTTATAAGTCCCTAATATCACTATATGTCTAAGTCAAGAAAACCCACCGATGACAAGTCTTTCAACGTAGGTTTTCCAAGGTCGACGTTCCCCCTGCTGTAGTCTAGCAGGTCGTCATAGATTTGGAAGGCCATGCCCACGTGGAGCCCGATAAGGTACCATTTGTGGCAGTTAATCGCATCCAAACAAACTGCAGCGTTATTTAAATAAATGGCCGTGCGCTGACTAACACAAATTGGCGATTGAGGCGCTGCACTCTGCTATCAAGGACGCTGTCTTCAAAAATATTTTATTGAGGTAGACATGCATCATATCATCCGTACTCTTGGACGGTTTTACCCGCATTAATTCGCCCTGCAACGTGTCACTACTATACTTAATTGCCAAACCGTACCTTGATCAGGTTCTCAAGCGCCTTGGCCATGCGTACCGTCGATTGCTGCGATCCCAAATTAGCCACAGTGGAACACGCCCGTGTTAGCATCAAATCGCCCACAAGCACAGCCAACTTAGTTCCAACCTTTAGGTGAACCGACTGGAGGCGCCGCCGGGTTTCGGCGTCGTCTAGTATGTCGTCATGAATTAAACTTCCAGCGTGAACGATCTCGTATGATTGCAGTAAGCGCAGCACTCGTTCCATCAAATCATCTGTGCATGCAGTACCGACTTTATCTGCTGCAGTTCGACCATCCGGTGATGGCGTCATAGTTCCGCTCTCTGCAGGTGCTGAGGAACGGACAGAGAGCACGCGAGCGATCATGAGGCCAAGACGGGGCCTAAAAAGCTTAGATTGCGATGTTAGAACATATTTTGCGATCTCGTTAACCGTATCGTTGTCCGTGAAAACTTGCGATAGGAGACGCTCTCGAAATCCCTCTATGGTTTGTTCCACTAAAGACCGTTCTTCCATGCAAGATGTGGCTGCGCTGAGTTCTGCTGCAGTCCGCAGCTTCTCAGCTTCGATATGAGACTCATCTAGACGCAATACACCTTTAGAGAGGTATATGGCACGCTCGTATGTCGACCGCCACTCATAAGCCTGCTGAATGAACCTGAGAGGCATAGATGAACATATCCCGCAAAACCTACGGGCTGGAGCCTTCCAAGTTTGAGACTGCGCTCTCCGCCACTTGATTGGCCCCATTATCCACGTTGTAGCCTCGGCGTCCCCTCGCTGGCAACGTAGCACGGAGAAGGCTGGACCTCGCGCAGGTAGCGCGGCGAGGCGCGATACGCAGGAGGGCATCCAAATACATTGTGCCACCCCTGCAAGAGCCTCAAAGTTCCAACCAAAATCTTTCGTGCCTTCGTTGCAGCAGCAACTGACGCCAATGGCGGTTCTGGCCACAACGTACTCGTAGCACAGGGTCCTGCCACCCCTGAAGGACAGGGGGTGGGACTTGTGTATTTTGCAATTAGAGCAATTCGATCACATTTTTTAAACGATTGTGTCATCCACTTTGGGAATTGTATTCTTTAGTGAGATGTTACCACGTTATAAATGAAGATTCCACAACGGAGCTCCACGGGGACAAGGGACTACTCACATTTAGGGAAAAATGACTGAGGTGCGGCGATTCCCCGGCGCCAAGCTCTTAATTACCAAGGCTCTGGGGAGTGTGCAGAAAACAGCCTCGGTGTGTGAGGGTTTTACCGCAGTAGCGGATGTGCCAAATCTACTGGAGGCGTCACAACGGCCGGCGCCAATACCAGCCTATGCCTTCACTACAACCTCTACCGTACTCTCTTTCATCAGTAGAGAGCAAGACTTGGGCCGGGATATCAGTGATACAGGCGCTGAGACGTACGTAGCAGGGGATCCCACCGGATGCATTCGAGTTATGTTCCCATCCCACCTAAAACCGACAGACTCACCAGAAGGCAAAACCTATATTGTCACCGACGTGGCAATTGTGGTTAGAAGAGGCGTGATATCCCTGGAAATAATCGAAGGTACAAGGCTGCTGCCTTGTCAATGCGGTCCCGAATTTTACGTTCGGCGGGACAACGACGTTTCCCGCAATTGCCTGTGCGAAATACGACACAAAGATCGCAGCGATATCATGCACTTTATACCTTAGAGTGTGGAATTCACCCATTTCGAATATTGGTTGCGAAGGAGTTGTGGACAAAGGCAACCGACCTTTTAACAGTCGCTTCGGTCTTATATAAGGCATGTCATAAAGGCATATCTGCTATTATGAATAACGTTAGTGAATTTGTGTATTGTCATGGAACAGAACTACACAATTGTAGCGTGTCTTAATTTTAGGTGTGTAGGAAAAAACGACGTCATTTCATGGAATCATGGCAACGTGTTGTCTTGATGACTGATAATTCACACATCCTTTAGAGATGTTGTTTGACTTTAATAATCACGCTGGGAAAGACATTCGTCCTTGTCTGACACGTCAACCCGATAAGCAGACGACGAGACGGTGGTTCCGTGTATGACGCTAATCTGTTGCATATTGCATAGATGCCACCAGTGATGGCTGTAGCAATGTTTAACATGTGTTCGTATCGGAAAGCTGCCATACACATTGAGGCAGACACAATTGCTACGCCATCCCTGTGTGGTCGCTTCTTCTCCTATTTTTCGTCACGTTAGACATCACAGTGGCGTACACGCAGCGGAGTTTTAAATTACTTTGACTGATAGGTGGAATGGTTGACCGCGATTTCGAGGCGCGGAAGGCGCCTGCGCCTGGCGCAGAAAACATATCCTTCACAGATGCTGTTTCTAGCTCTAGGATGGTGTCTTCGCTACTAATGAACCAAGATAGAAACATACAGGTGGCGCGTAGCTTCACGCGCTGGGAACAAGGACGTGACGCTGGCGCATCCAACGACAACAGCGTTAATATTTTTGACTCACTGGTTGTGGAAACGGATAAAGGCTCTACGACGCAATCTTCCCTGCAAGGCATATCAAATAGTGTGTCTCTGACGCATGGAAATCTTATGAGGCGCGGCTCCCGCGCAAACACCAGCGAAAATGCCGAAGCTAGTACATCCCGTTACTCACTCAGTACCCTCGGCAGTAGCCGAGGCAAACAGCGTGGCAATCGTACCCCATCGGATGCGGATTCTTCCATGTCGAGCGATATAGAAATTAATGCGAATATGATGAATCGCAAAGCTGCGTTGGGAGCCCTGATGCGTGATCGGGGTAAGAGCGTCCAGCGTGCTAAGGAGCAAATGAGCGCCAATCCGCTAGAAACGTACAAGGTTCCCGGCCGTTTAGTCTCTCCAAGGAAACCGAAGGCTTCAATGCAGTCAAATATGGCGCCTGGTGTTGAAGGCGATGCAGCGGCGTCGGCTAATACTACGTCTCATCCCCCTAAGCTCCTGCACGGTAAATCTTCAACCAACCTAAAAGAACCCAAGGGGTCCACCAGCCCCGGCGAACGTGAGGGAAAGGAAAACAGTCCTACACCTGGAGATACAAGTAACACCAATCGGGAAGACCTTTTTTCCAAGATAAAGAGAGCCGTTACCCGCGATCTGTCGGATGACATTCGCCCACCACTGATTCATTCGTTCACCAACAAAATACTCGGCATGCGGACGCCATGGCAGCTTCCGATGAAAGAACGCAGTTTGCGCAACAACGTGCAGCAGCTCATCAGCTTTTTTAGGGTGCTGGAAAGGTACGTCGAGGATCAGGTGTACCGTTACGGCCCGTCACTACACCCAAGGCTGGATAAGGTATACAACGACGTGTACACGAAGATTGACCAGATGTTCAAAAAGATAACGGACAAGCGAATGACTCAGGTGGACGAACCCAGGAGGATCGCAGTGGTTGGCAATGAAGTATATGACATTGGTGACCATCAGCCAAGAGGCTCTCCCATTTACTACCAAAAGTTTGTCATTTTCGATCTATCTCAGGATAGTTCCAATTTCGCCAACGAGCACGGGGACCTATTCCAGAGGCAGGTTTTAAGTTTCCCCATGAACAGCCGCGGGCTACCTTCCATGAGTTACCTCTGTTCCGTAACCTCCGCCGTATTGTTTTGGTTGGACTTCTACAACAGGGACAACTTGGTCATCTTCAACTATGCTGCTCTGAATTACAACATGTTGCTGACGTTTGCATGCACCCTATTAGCGTCGCAGCCCATGGCGACGGCCAACGAAATAAATCAGTTGATCACAAATTCTTTCGACTGGAGGAAGCAATGTCGCAAGGTACCCAGCGGGGTAGCGAGGGGCGGTGCAGACCAAATGCATCAAAACGAGCTGCCACAAATGATTCCAATCGCTCGGTGGCCCCCCTCGTACAAGCGCTACATGAGCTACTTCCTGAGTCTTTACGCCACACCGGTCGATTTCGTGCTTGCGCAACAATTCAAGCTGAGGCACATCACACTCATCAACTGCTTGTTGCCGGGTACTGAGGTGATGCTGGAGGTGTACAAGATTGGGCCAGATGCTGTGGATGCTGCTAACTACCAAAGGCGTGGTAATGTGGAGCGCAGCAAAGAATGCGCCAGGTATTCTGCTGTGTTCTATTCCAAGTGTGCGTGCGGTGGCAAAGAGCGAGACGGAGCCACGCTTATCGCGTGCTCGGCAGATTATACTGTGGTCTCAAAGTCGACGAAGTCGAAATCGGGCAAATACGGCTACGTCGGGGAGCTGAGGTTTGACTTCACTCTAGACGCTGAGGGGAACAGAAGAAACACGGTGATTTCGGGTGACGTGGCCATTGCGCTTATTGCGGTGTCCATGAGACAGAGGAAGGTGATAGCCACATACAGTTTTAATACAGGTTTCGTCAGCAGTGATATGATCGAAGTACCCAAAGCTGAACTCGACATATGGGACACGTCCTCTGCGATTCAGCCGCACGGCCAGATGACCATCGCCATGGAAACCAGGCAGCGGTACAATAGTGATAATTGGAATACGTCAGCCCCTCATAGTGTGATAACGCCTCCAACGTCGGATGTCGGCATATTCATGAGGCACCATGTGGCCAAAGTATCTTCTGATGATGCGCAGGCACTTGTGAATGCCACTGGCCTCTCCTACGATACGTGCGCATTCGCTCTCAAGCTGTGTCCGAGATACCTCGATGCCATGGCTATTCTGAATGCACTTTTCGTCCCTAAGAAGTTGCAGGTGGAGATTGAGGGCAATATGTACCGTTCACCGCGGTCGCCAACGATCGAAATACCGATTGTGGCCTCCCTCGATTCACCAAGAGTTGAGAGTGCACGTATATTCAGCCCAACGGGTGGGCTGGCTCGTGGGTATTCCGTTGTATTGGGTGCTGGCACTGGAATCGGAGGCATCACACCCGTGAGTAGAATTGGGAGCTTTGGAACCGGCGCAGCCATTGGGATAGACGGTGGTATCGCAAGCTACGATGGGGAGCACCGGATTGGACTAATCCCAGCTCATGCCGGGATCACGAACAGAATTGGATTGGTAAGACACGATTCTGGGTTGCGTGCTGACGTTGAAGGTCGTGATTTTGTCACGGATCGGAATTTGAGTGAAGGCGGAGATATTGGAACCCCATCTGGGCGCACGTCGAGATTCGCGCGGGCAGCATCCCGATTTGATAGTGAAGCTGTTGACGAACCGGGAGCTGAAGGTGGAGATATTGGAACTCCCTCAGGCCGGAAGTCGAGAACCACAGGTCGGACAATTCATGTTGATAATGAAGCTCTAAGTGATAGTGCAGATGAAACCGTACAGGTCGGAACGCCATCTGGGCGCAAGTCCAGGGTTGCACGTGACACAGCGCAAGTTTACAACGAAGCTACAGATGATATGGGCACTGAAGTTGGGGATATCGCAACGCCATCTAGGCGTAAATCTAGAGTCGCTCGGGGCGCAGTCCAAATTGACGGTGAGGCTACAAGTGATAGCGGTGACGAAGTCGGTTATGAAGCAACTCCCTCGGGACGTAGATACAGAGTCTCACGGGGAGCACCACAAAGTTATAATGAAGCCACAGATGATACGGGTGCTGAAGTGGATTCTACTGCAACCCCTCTTGCTCGTGGTGCTGGATTGGCAGGGCGGAAGACTCGCATTGGAACTAAAACAGTAGCAGGGGATGTCGAAGCCGATGCTACTACCGGAATTCAGGATGGAGTCTACGGAACAGAGTTTGGAACTGGCAGTGTGACGAAAGTTGTCGGAGCCAGACCACGCGCCGCAACGGAAGGTGGAAAGCTAGGTATTGAAACGCAACCTGGAGGCGATAATGATCTCAGTGCCACTGGATCGTACACTCTGTCTAATGATGCGTCTGCCAAGATACAAAGGCTTGCTAACTTTACAGGCATTGAAGGTGCTGACAACCTTACTGTAGACCAGGTGGAGCGTATCTTAGTAGAATCTGATGGCAAAATGCAACTGCTGTTAGTAGATGGCACCACGAGGAACGTGCCTAACAATAGCGTGACATCACTCCTCCAGATGTTTGGTCCTTACCAAGGCCATCCATCAGAGCATGGCAAACTGCTATCGCCGGATGACATTCCTCGGGGCACGGAGATGCCAATGCAGGGCGGCGGTGTGCCTTTGGGTGCTCATGGATCAAAATCGATATCGAAGGCAATACCTGGAGGGCTGCCTAAAGCTTCATTGCCACCTCCTGCGGCTCCTACAGCAAAATCGCCAACCGGCGAGCCTGTACCTCCAACAGCAGCTGCAGGTCCAGATGCCCCCATCGTAAAGAAACCGGCTCCGCCGATGGCCAAAACTCTGCAGCCGAAGATACCTCCACCACCATCTAAACCGAAGGACGCTTCTGCCAAGTCTGCGGCCCCACCCATGAAAAAGGGCCCGCCGTGTAAAATGAAGGCCGCCCCGCCGCCGCCGATTCTCAAGGGCAAAACGGCAGTGGCTAAGAAGCCGCCACCGTTGGGAGTGCGGTTACACTGGAAACCTCTTAACATAAACGCAGTCAAGGGTACCATCTTCGAGAATTTGCCAAAACCGTCGGCAGAGGACAAACTGTTCGATTCAACCCTGGTCAAGCAGCTTTTCAGCAAGGCGACAATTAAACGCCAACTTACCATGAAGGCGCCTGAACCCAAACGACAGCTGTTAAAGGAAATCCTAGATCCCAAGCGTGCGCAGAACATTGGTATCATCCTTCGTTTTAACAACGAGTCTCACTTCGACGAACTGATTGATGCCTTGGACAACCTGAAGCTTGATAACCCCATAGTCAGCATTGACAACATAATCAAGATTCAGTCTGCAATACCTCAGGGACCGGAAGTCAGCGCCTTCACCGCCGCGCTACAGAACAAAGAAGACCTGACCGAGTATAGGGACGTGGAGCAGAAGGTGTTTAAAATTGTCAAGCGCGAATTTATCGATGACAAAGTGAAAGTGGCGCATTTCGCTCTGAACTACAAAACCCTCTTGGAGAGCGTTAATAATCAGCTGGGTGCATTCCAGCGAGCGAACGAGCAGATCGCCAATAATGAGTTCCTGCCCATAATCATGGGAGGTATCCTGCAGTATGGCAACTTCGTCAACCATGGCGATGACACCGTGGTGCAGACTCCTGGGTTCAGCCTGTCATCAGCGATAAAGCTGATTGACCTCAAGTCCGCGGACAACTCCCTGAGTTCGATGCATTACCTGGTGGTCAACTTGGTCGTCAAATTTCCCGACCTTGACTTCTCTACGTTTGATAAGTCTCTCCACCATGTGTTGGAAGCGGAGAAAATAAGCGCCAACGGCGTGGACGAGCTTTTCGACGAAATACGAGGTGGACTTAACTTCTTACTGCGCCTCATAGAACGGGTACCTCAAGAGACCGCGCTATACAGCAAGACCAAGGAACTCATAGCGGAGGCCACTGAGGCCACAGGAATGGCGAGTGAACGTCACAAAACGGCCTTTGAAGCCACCAAGACCACGTGGCGTTTCCTCGGTGAAGAATGCAAACAGGGAACACCGTTAGACGAGATATTCCGCATTCTCGCCGATTTCATGAGATGCATCAAACGGGTGATGAACGACATCCAGCAACGACCGTCGAAGTTCATTGTCGCCATAAACGACGAGGAAAAGCGTGAGCTCTACAACAGCAAATTTTCTCGTGTGCGTAAGCGCTGAGGACAGTCAGCTGTAATTTTGTTACACATATATTCGATTTTTGTGCCTGATATGGCGAGAATATGGAGGAAGACGGGGGTGTGGATTCCGACTTGGAACTCGGCATCGCGCTTTCGATCTCCCAGCAGGCCAGCAACGAGGATGCCCGGCCGGTTCTGAAAGCCAGACGTCGCAGGCTGCTTCCTCCTGTAGTGGTGTGTCCCCGTAGCAAAAAACTGCTGCGCAATGTGTGTCTAAACGACCGGGCAGCCGCACGCAGAATCCAAGGAATCATCGACGCGGCATTCAAGACGCTCCACGCCATAGGTGACGCCGAGGGCGACCCTAGCGGTCCGCTCGACGTAGACGCGCTGGAGCTCGCGTTGTCGAGGCTGGGATTTGCGGTGGACGATGCACAGCTGCAAGACATGCTGAGGTGCTATGCGCATGACGGCAACGTCCCTGCCTCGGCGCAGCTTGCCGACTTCGCCATATACACACGAGAAACCATTGGCAACCGCAACGTGGAGTCGGAGTGGCGCCCTAAAGGCGCTGGCACTAAGCTGCCCATAGAACGCATCGACAGCGCCACGTTCAACGAAATATTCCTAGACTGCAACCTTCGCATCGAAAACAACGGTCTAATATATTGAAAGCTATCTTCTTCATTTCCCGATTGTGCGCGGATTCATACCAAAAGGGTTGACACCGCATTGTAGGCATATGGAGCCTTCTATTTCTGTAGGTCTTCGGGGAAGGCGATTTGGGAATCGCCTCTACCGAGGATGATAACCGCAAGACGCGTGTACTTGGCAATTGCATCGATAAGGTCCTTGCGTTTCAGACCGGACGCAAGAACTTGCTGCTCTATGTCGCGCACCAACATCCATCCATCCCATCCTTCCTGTTGTCGCAACTCGTCACGGCGACGCCTGCGCGGGATTGCGATATTGCGAGCAAAACAAACCTTATTAGGTGCATCACCTCAGAAGTACCGGTGTGGCGCCTGCTAGACATGCGGTCCTGCATGGCTTCCATGAGGTTCGCTCGCAGCTGCCCCGTCAGTCGTACCGCCTCCTCGAAATCGCTCATCTCCACTACGTTGCTGAAACGGATGCGGGCCAAGGCCTGAACACATGCCAACTCTCTGACGCCAACAAAATACCTGGCAGATACGTAGAACAGCGAGCATGCTACGTGGTGTGGTGTACGTGAAGCGTTCGTCGTTGTACAGTTCGCTCTCTTGCTCCTGCTGCCGGGCCTGCACGTACCAATCGGAGACCTTTTCGATAATTTCTGTGGACATGGTCGGTTCATATTGCTTTGCCATGGTGATATAAGAGCGCATCAGTTCCTTGTCAACAACCTCATACTTTGGCCTCTGCTCCTGTGCCACTCCCTTCATCAAGTCCACCACATGCTCCGCCAACTGAGCATCCTTGCCACGATCAACACGATCCAGCATGAGGAATTGCAGATCGAAACGAGTGAGCAGAGCTGCAGGCATGTTCATGTTCTGGAAGACAGAACGGCGCACATCATAGACGCCATTTACGGGATTTGCGGCAGCCAGCACCGCCGAACGCGCCGGCATAGAACTGCAGTGCCCCGCCTTCGCAATAGAAACGGTTTGCTGTTCCATAACTTCGTATATAGCGGATCGGTCGTAGTCGTCCATTTTGTCAAACTCGTCGATGCAGCAGAGACCTGTATCTGCCAGCACCAGTGCACCGCCCTCAAGCGCGGTTTCCCCGGTTTGAGGGTCCTTCACAATCGCAGCTGTCATACCGGTGCTACTGCTTCCTTTTCCTGTAGTGTATACTCCACGTGGAGATATGAGGCAAGCCTTTTTAAGCAGCTGGCTCTTCGCCACACCAGGGTCTCCCAGCAGCAAGATGTGAATGGCGCCCCTAATCACACCTCCATCCGATTTCTCCCGAGTTACCCCGCCAACCTAAAACATGTGATCTGATTAAATCGGCACAACTTACCAGTTGCATCAACAAAGCCTTCTTTACGTCGTCGTGACCGTAAATCTCTGGTGCGATGGAGTAGGCCAACCGTTCGTACAAATCAGGGTCGCTGCGCAAAACCTCAATGCGACGAGCCAGCTCAGAGTCAGAAGTAGCAGTGGCATCTAACACCTTCTTTCTGTGTTCCAACGAGACAACACGAAAGACCTTGTCTGCCAACAGCGTTGAGCGATGGGGATTAAAGGCGTTCTGCACCACCGGCAACAGAATGCCATACAGCAACGCCGAGTCTCCAGGGCGAAGAGTTTGGGTCAGTTCGCCGAAGAGGTCGCACTTGAGCGATTTAGGAAGCTCGCCATCAGCAAGGTGATAAAGCGGCTCCTGCACGCGGATCTCTTGGTACTTTATAAACTTGCTCAGACTGCGGGCCCGTGACAACATGCGTAAATTGGACTCACCGTGAGTGGAACTTTAGCGTGCCCCTTGCATTGTTGCGCGTGGTGCATTCGACACAATCCGTGACCGGGAGGAAGTGCGGCCCTTGTATCTGCACCACATTAATCCTTTATGCTAAGAACCCACAGCCTTGTACGTGTGACCGTGGCAGCTGTCACATTCATAAGTTGCCACTTGAATGCGTGGTTTCAGAAGGCCGACTCGCGTAACGTCAACCTCTATCAGAGTCAGAGCGCCAATGTAGTCCGCATTGACACTCTTCATCTTCATTACCGAATCGTCCTCGCCCGGCAACAGCCATATCTCATAGTTCGAGTGCAGATAGACTGGCAAGTTGCTGCTTCTCATGCGACGCTCGCTACAACCATTTGAAACGCCAGAAACGCACGCCAAACGTACCGTAACTCTTGCACAGTGTCGATCACATTATTCTCAGCATCATTGCGTGTGGGACTCAGCACAGAAGCGTCCGTCTTACCCGTGCTCTTCTCGATATTTTCCAGACACGCTTCCGCCGCAGCATACATCAGCTCCAGGTAACGGTAGGTGTTCAGCATCACACCCTCATACACTTGGCGTTCGTTGGTGTCCTTCATGAAGTGCTGCAACAAGTTAGTGACGCGAAAAAACCACACACCTGCCGAACGTCGCCGATGTATACCTTCAGCAAACGGCTTGTGCAGTTCTTGATATCTTGCTGAACAGAGATTGACAAAGAATCCTTATGGAATTACCAGCTGATTCATGTAACGGCGGTCGCCCCAAATTTGCTGTTGCGCCTCCTCCTCCGACGCCATTGACGGCACCGAAAACGTCTCGAAAAAATTCGCAAGCGCTTTTACGTGCGCTCCCATGAGGGAAACGCGCTGTTGCGCCTCTTCCGAAGACAGCGCCATTTCCGGTACAACGCCGAGTAGTGCTGGAACTAATACAAATGGAGACTCGTGAAGCGCTTTAAGGGCGCGCAGCCTCCACTTTCATTTAGTTGGAGCGCTAGAAAGCTGGGATTCCGGCCATGTAGCGGTGAGTAAAGCGCGCCAATATACACGATGGGGAATGGAGATTCCACGATTCCTCTAGCACACCATGTCATTACGCAATCACGTAGCGACACTAACATAAAATCGTGAAATAAGTTACAGAAGTATATACGTATCACACGTTAAATTTGCCGACCTTCCACAGACCTGAATCCACCGCAACAAGACCTAGAAAGATTCCTGTGTTACGGCGCCAAAAATTAATACATTTCCACAAATGCATGTGCAGATATAACATGTTGTCTGTATGCGCGTTTGAACAACGTATGTCTATCGGTACGGTGTAGTCATTATGGCCATTGGGACTGTTTTGAGGCTAAACATTGGGAGGTGCAATTTTATTCGGTGACGGATAAGCGGAATAGACATACAGTGTATATATATCCATTTCAACGGCCAGTGTGCGGGTTTTAATGAGGAATATGTAGGCCTGTGCAGCGAGACACAGACGTGCACACCTTTAAAACCAAGGTTCTTCGTTAAAACCCTGAGACAGCCCCAAACCAACGTAATAGGGCGGTACAAATGGGATATTGTCTCTTTCATACACCCTTTGTTTCAGAAGAAGGTGATATTACAATACCATCTGGTGCTGCTGCGGAGCACCAACATGCAAAAGGTCCGAGCCAGGTCACACGTGACGCTGCATAGCCATAAATAAATCGAATGTAACTGATACATCATGTGTGTGTGATCTTACTGTCAGTGGTCGCAAAGCATCGCCGCTATTCATTGGATGACTCAACGTGGAGCTGTGTCTTTATAGACTCTATAACCACACACTTGACTCAAGAAGGCGCTAAGGGTTCACAGAAACGCATTCATATGTCTCTATCAAAGTGTTAGACATGCCGAATCTGGAGAAGTCCAGCAACACCGTGCATACTGTTGCAGAAGATCAAGGTTACACGAATGATTTGTCCGATCTGATACATTACACCCCTGACATGGATATTTTGCCTAAAAGTTCCAACGAGGAAGCACAGGAGCAAATAACATCTGAGCGAAGCGATGAAATCATCATGGTTGACGACATTATGCCGAATGTTTCTCCCTCCCATCAAACCGATCGGCATTTTACACTTGGTCCTCCGCTGGAATCATTTAGCCCTATACAATACGGGCTGACAGAGGCAGTTGAGCAACAACGCGACTGCCAAATAGGTGAATTGAGGGGCGTGTTAGCCAACCCTGAAGACCAGTTGTCAAGCCTTGCACAAAACGGAATCAGCGATCTATTAGAAGCTGAAGAAAGTGTTGGAGACACTGCGGAAGAATGCAGTATAATTGACTTAGTGTGCAACGAAAATAGGATCCATGACATTGTTCCATTTACCGAAGCAGGTGATATGAAATCCGACGTTTCTACATCTTCACTTGGGCATTTGGAGATTAACATGGGGGAATGCAACGAGCCGCATGGTATTGACCCTAGCGGATATATTGCATATAACAAGGAAGCTGTGCTGAAATGTATGCTGTTGCCGGAGGACATGATGAAGGGTACTGATAAGCCCGAAGAAGTGCAACCCGATAACGATCCGGAAAATCCTTTGGCTACACCTCTGCCTCCGATGTTGACTGCAGAATGTATTGAGATTAAGACGCCTGTATCAAATGCTGATGTCGATAGACAGAACACTTCGAATAACCCCCTTGAACTGCAAGCCTTCCATGGCACGCAGCAGAGGGTTAGCTCATCTATAAGGGATGAAACACCGAGTACTGCCCTTCAGTCGACCAATGCGCAACCGGCTGTTCAGAGTTCCATCCCACCCGGTGATTCGGGATCTTTAGTAATGTGCGAGCGGTTGGGAAGCGAATACGTCACCATGACATACCTAAAAGATGGAAGGGATATTGATCTCAGTGGAAAAGACCCCACCAATGACTATAAGACGGCAGTTGACGATGGATACGATTTAAATAAAGCGCATGAAGACCAGGTTACCATAGAAATAATGCCAAACGATGGGCCGCAATCTGCACAACTGACCGAGGTCACAAGGTCATTCACGGAAACAGTGAAATACATGAGATACCGAGAGGCCCTCAGATACCATAAAAAGGATAAGAGAGTAGTTTCAAAGCTGGAGTCTACACTGTCTTTGTGTTTCTTCGTGTTACTGCTTGGTGTGGCAAATCGATTGGATGGCCCTATAAGTGGTGCATTTCCAGCCACCACTACGTATATACTAAAACCCGCAATGTATGCTTCTGACGGTGCTTCAAATCCTATATTATTGCCCATTTCACTGCTAATGGCATTGGTAACGCAAGCAAATTTATGGTTGTTTGGTACGGGTGGCATGCACGACGGGGTGTTGTCTAGCACACTAGTGTTTTTCATATGCTATGTTATTACGTTTACATGTAATATAATTAGCGCTTACAATGTACATAACATTAAGAATAGTTCGGTTATATTCTTCTTATCCCTGATCAATCTAAACAATCGGATTTGTGTCCGCAATGCGTATTTCGAAAACATCTTGTCTGTTATGTATGTACTTTTCCTTCTGGGACTCAACATATGGATACTGTTCAATAAGTTCATCATGCCATTCTGCATCGCTAAAATGTTTACCGGTGATGCGGAAAGGCTTAGTGTAACATCAATTAAGCCTTGCCTAGTGGCACTACCAAAGGATTCCACCAAGGCAGAGGCGTATGAAACGTCAGCGAATGGTTACATAGTGGAAATACAATATGACGGAGAACGGTCCATGCTGCGGAGAATTTTAGGTCACCTTATACGCAATCGTCTAATGCAAGAACGCCCGTCGACGAAAGTATACCAGTTTGTTGGTCAACTCAATGACAGGTTCAAACCACACGGATACGGTTCGTGGCAAAGTAACGTATCATCTGGCGAAGTGTTGATCGGTTACTGGGAAAACGGGCTGCCACTTGGGCCGTTCAACAGTAGAGTGATGGAAAACGACGCAACGTTCAGTAACATGCTGTTGGGGTGGACTAAATGCCTCGTGGGAGGGGGTTTAGGTATGGGTATTGCGTCCGTTGAAACGTGTACCAACGATCCCCGCTATGGCTCCGTTTGTACAGTGATGAAGTACAGGGCCGAATTTTTCGATTGCGACAACATAAGACCAGGTCTTATGAAGCATACGGGCACCCATAAATTCAAGGCATCAGATGAAAACATTAACAACCTGAAAAGCGATGAATTCGTTCTCAGATTATTCCAGATGACACACAACTTCGTGAGATACGATTTCAGGCAATGCGACGCTTACATCCATGATACCAAGCGTAAGAATTCTGTAATGGGCAAAATCAAAGATATTTTGGGGGATATTCTGCTCCAAAAGCCGGGTACAAGGCATATGGCAGCTGTAATGAAGTGCATATTGGAGGGGTTGCAATGGAACATGCCTTACTTCGGTCTGTATGATGAAGTCACCGCTGTGTCTGATGATGACGCACATGCATCTGCGTGCGGATGCGCAGATAGCGGCGTGGCTTTTAACAGCCCTACTGATACATTGGATGATATGGGATCACGAAATTCATTGGGAGCAGACTATATCCACGGTGTTACAGAGCACAGCGCCCCCCTTCCCATAGTTTTAGGCTGCACGATGGATGTGGAAGTGGCAGTCAGCAGATCGAAAATATATGAGGCTTATCATGCGCCCGAAGTATGTATTTTTATACATGGTTCGAGTGTTTCAACTGAAAAAGAACTCCAAAATGTGGTGAACATTTTCACCCGTGGGAAATACCCTCCGCATATCAAACCCATTACTTTTGGGTGGCCGAGTTTCTCAAAAATAGGCGAAACAAAAACGCAAAACTACTCAAGCACCATCTCTAGATGCAGGGAAATCTTTGAAAACTTCTTAAGGTCTCTAGTAAACAACGGGGTTAGACATGCACATGTCATTGTTGATTCTACAGGTGCCTCTCTATTCCTGGAAACATTTGCTCTGATGACACAAGTGACTGACGTCCCACCCATATTTCATGATGTAGGTGGCCAACCGGAAGCGAGTTCCAACCAGATAACCCTACTTTCTGTCACCATGATGTTCCCCGAATACAACTTAAAAAGATTCGTCTCAGCTATATACAAGACTCTTCGATCCTACTGCGATATAATTACTATCTTCGGAAAACATAAAAATATCAGGCGATTTGGTTTTCCCCTCCCAAAAGATAAGCGAAAGTTGGCCCATAGCATATTCTACCTGTTCTGCGAGAGTAGGAACGGAACCGAATCGAGCCAAATGAACAGCAGCCCATGTAAAACGTTTGGCCCAATTGCCTTACCTAGAATGCATTACGGCGATGGTAATGATATGCAGAGTGAACCGTGTGCGACGGTATGGCTGGATGTGGATTGCATCGACGTCACGTGGCTGCCGGCACTCCAACCCTTCGGCGAACATGAAAGAACGTGGCATGATTGCAGGGAGATTTGTGCGGATCTAAGGTATGTACACGCTTGATATTATTCATACGTTTTTAGGGAACTTATTGTATGTCGCAAGCGCGCCAAGGACAGGAACGCAAAACTAGACAGGATAGGAGCGAACGTCTGGATTTACAATGGATCGGCTTGACACCTATATTTTGTGCACCAAACAAGTGGTAGCTTTCCAATGGAACGTATATTAGCCAATCGCCGTGCGGAAATCTGGAAAGAATTTTTCATTGGAAAATAAAGTGCCAAGAAGAGCCATTTTCGGCGCAATCCAAAAGTATGTAGCCTAGACTCAAAATGGGTCCCTGCAAAAATTCTGCGAGGAAGATCGGTCTTTATGACGCAAAATACAAAACTAGATTCACATACTAATCAAGTACAGTATTGTTAGTTAAAGTGTTCACTTCATATGTGCCCACCAACAGTAATATTTTATGAGGACAGTTTCATTACAGTCAGAAGCTACTCCGTTCATTAGCATAAGATGAAAACAGCCGTATGCTTTGGCATTGCACTGGCACTACCATTACTCAATGGATCGATCGGTGTCTCCGAAGCCCAATTTCGTGGCAGCACGGGTTATGGAGGTGGTGCAGATGGTATTCCGCGAACAATGTCGTATGATGCAACCAGTTATTTTGGGAACCCAAGTGCTGCTTCAGCCGAAAGAGAAAGTGAAATGCCAATAGTCCTCTATCCCGATGCCATAAGACGGTATCATGAAGCGCAAAAAGCAAGTGATGGATCTAACCCCAAGGACCTAAGAACTACGGTAGGGCGCAGCAATTCTTTACCGGATACCACTGCCTATTATGGCAGGAAGTCTTCAACACCAGGAACATTCGGTACCAGCTACAATGGGGATTCTAGCGGGTACGGCAACAGCGCAAGTTATGCGTATCCAAACGGAATCGGTGATGTTATTCAGCCATATATCTCACCCGTACCACCTTTCTACAGAGATGGGTCCAATAGAAATACTGGAGGGGTGCCACCCTCCACTGAAGCAATGGTAGTGAACTTACCGGATGACCTCTTGAAAAAGGTGCAAGATCAAATGCACCCAAACGATTACCCCGGTTCATCCAGTACTACATTTGCAACAAACTCCGTCACCACGGAACCTGTAGTGGTGCTACCAATATCTAACGAGCTGAAAGGAGCGATTTCAGAGGTTAATCATGGAATGAACTCATCGTTAAACGCAGCCGCAGCAGGACCCGCCAGTTACGGAACGTACAACTCACCACCGGCTAGCTCCACCACTCCGGGGAACAATGGTAGCACAACCAGTCCAAATGGGGCAACTATACAATATCCACAGGCGAGATATACTGGCAATAATGTAGGATATCCAGGAAATGCAGCGGATGATAACAGAAGTGAGCTCAACCTCAAGTTCAGAGGATTGAAGGACGACGCATCTGACAAACCGCACTTCCGGCTAACTATAAGTTGTCAGAATTGTGATATGAACGATACGTCTGTGGTGTTGCCTATCGATGAAGATGCGGAGGAGAAGAAGACAAAAGATGTACACCACAGTCATCACGGGCATCATCATGGCAAGCACCACGAGCACCTCCACAGGCATAACGAGGAAAAGAAAGACGAAGACAAAGTAAGTGCCGAAGATTCAAACCCAAAAGAAAGCACTACCGATGACTCAGTAAAAAGTGATGATACGTCACCCGAGTCGGAGGAAGGTGCTGAAGTGGTTGAAGACAAAGCCACAAAGCCTCCAAAGCCAGAGAAACACAAGGGCGGTATTTTCTCAAAAATCGTCAGTCACCTCAGACCTAAGGGCAAGAAAACAGTCAAGGAGACGAAGCCATCCTATGTTGAAGAGGAAACTGCAAACGAAGAGGGCGAAAGTTCATTCATCCAAATGGAATTCACGGTAAAAGTTCCCGATGAGGTTAAAGTGGTTGAGGACAGCTCCGCACACGTTAATGGAAAAGATGCGGATAGTACGATGAAGACCCCAAATACCACTACTGGTATCGATGCTAAGGCGGCCTCCACGCCAAACTTATACGAACCTACTGGAAACTTGATTGCTGATAATAACAGGATGATTAGCTTCGCAGAAAGTCAATTCCTAGGAGATAACGATAGGTTTGAATCGCTTTTTGTGCCCGAAGTCAAGGTAAAACAATCTGCAGATGATGGTACATTAGAAAATTTCTTCAAGCGTTTCGGAAAAGACTTGTTTTGGTGGTTCAAATCGTTGAAGTTAGTAGACACTAACGATAAGGAAACTGTTGATAGAAATGAAGATACCGTACCCTCAACCGTTTGTACTCCCAACCTGCGCCATTCTGTGTCCGGAGAAAGGCCTACTCTTCCTGCGCTACCATCACCTGAAAAAGATTCAAACCCGCCGTCAGAGGCGGACAAATCTACGAAATCAGATGAATACGATCAAAAAGGGACTGTAAAAGAAGTAGAGGTTGTTACTAATTCACATTCGTTCTTGGAAAGTTCCACAGAAGTAGATGACAAAAAGGATAGCGAAAATAATCAGGTTTTCGAGTTTTTCAAAAACATGGGTACCACTATCAGAGGATGGTTTAGGTCATGTACCCCATCTGACACTAAAGAAGCTCTAACCAATCCTGACAGCAACGACGTTACGCCCTGGTTTGTTGAGGTCCAGAACGCATTTCGAAGGTTAGGACGGTCTATTAGAAAGCCATTCGAAAAACAGACCGAAACCGAAACCGAAGCTGTATCATTACTCCAAACAGAGGCAGAAGTAACGGATACTGCAGAATCAAAGGATGAAAAGCAAGGGTTTTTTGGGCGCCTTTGGTCAAACGTCGTTGACTTTTTTAAACATCGCGGAACCTCACAGAAAGAAGCTGAAAAGGAAGCAACTGTCCTGTCCAATTTCGATGCGAAAAGCTACTTTAAGGCAATGGAGAATCTCGAAAAGAAATCAAAGGATCGGAGGTATTCCTTTATTGATATGTCTGAAGCGCCATACGCCGCTTCTGACTTCGAAAAGGAGACGGTTGACCTCAATTACACAAGCAGCGACGCATCAAACACACATTCTATAGACGACATGAGTTCTATTCTGGCTGATGAACTGATCGATGGTCCTTATGAGCCAAAAGATGCCTACAATACCGATGTAGAGATCACACCTCACGGTACTGGCGAAGCCGGTGTACTGCCACCTGACGACAGAAATACCACAATCGAAAAGGCAAATGACGCAGAGAACGCTCCACCAGAAGACCGACTTAGGGGCTCAAACCGCAAGGAAGAGTTATACAATACTATGCCACTCCCCTCCCGCAGAACCTCGAACTTCGCAATGAATCCTGCATTACGAAAACCTGTGGAACCCGTTATTTCCCGTACACGCACAAATCACATATACGAGAATTCGGAAATGCACACAGTGAGATCGAAGAAAGTTGTTGAGAAATCGACACCTAGTTCCGAGGGCGAATCCCTGAAGAAACGCAAACGCCAAGCTTTCCTGAACTTCGTCGACAAAATCGTTACTAACGTAGAGCAGCTATTCACCACTACCACCACTCCTGTGAGCGATGAGAAAGTCCCTGACTACGTGAAGAGGGGTGATGCTGTTGATGGGCCTCAAGTTAGCACCGAACCCAATGGTGGCAGTCCGATGGAAACAGTTGCAAAAACCGCTGTAGGAAGTAAAGCCGAAGAATCTTTTAATCTCCCGAATGAAAGAAACTACGAAGGAACTACGAAAGCGATGAGTATTATTGGAAACGTTAGCGACTCGGTTCACGACATAGTTGATGGGGATGTATCTATGTTACTCGACGGCGATAGAATTGATGTGGGAAACCTACTCTATTACATGCCCACAGCAAAAAATGAAGTACCAGAAACCAGTGCAGTAGAGCCTTCCACAGTTGAGTCTGAAAAAGGCCTGCCTGATATCTCGGATGCAATAAGTGATGAAACAAATGAACCCGGGGTGCCTCGTCCAGAAGAGACCGAAAGCAACCTAAGCACTGAGAATATGCCAATGTATCCAATATATACCACGAATGTCGATCGGAATGGTGGAAATCCAACAGGAGATTTGTCAGGGAGTAATGTTGAAAATGGCACAACCGACTCCGCCGTCTTACCAGCCGACGATGCAAAGATTGGAAAGTTGGATGTAGAATATCACGATGATACCCCTGCTGATTTATCTGTTATTGATGCTGAATTGAAAGGCAAAACTGATGATGTCACGATTACGAATACTGATGTTACAAATACACCAGCTGCGGTACCTACTGACGCTACTGCTGATGTTGAAGTAAATCGGGCAAAAACCGAGCATATTAAGACCGCCGAGGGTATCTCTCAGCCAAATACACCGGTTAAAAACGAGGGAAGCATAGGTGAAACAAAGAGCATAAAGGTCGAAACTAAATCCGCCGCCGATAACGGCAAAGTGCCCACGAACGTAACACAGTCACCGATGCTGATCATCGTAAACGATAATTCTGGAAGTGGTACGGTTCAGAAGCCGTCGAAAGTGAGCGTGTCGGAGGAAAACCAAATTCCAAAGCTAGTAAGACAGATAGCCATGGATGCCGTCAATCAGCTTAAAAGAAGCGACCCGGTGACACGGCAAGAGGGCGAATCGGATTCCCTGGGAAGCGTGCTCCGCAGGGAGAATGTGCTCAACATGGAAGACAGCACCGGGAATGAGCGAATCAAGAGGCGCCTCAAGAACTATCTGCGTAAAGTCGTCGACACGAATGCCTACGACAAGATTTAAACCAATTATAATATGTATTTTAGTGTATCAATTAAACCTTAACGTTAATAAAGTACCGTATTTTTGTAGCCTTCATGAACCACACACACCATCATCTTACAACGCTCTTGGGGAATCCTAGCGGAGGAATGTCTCGTTCAATATTAAAATAAACACACATTTCACAATGAAGTGCTAATTTGCAAGTCTAGGCGGCCGTATGCTCACAGACGTGAGATTCATTTTACGCGTATACCCGGCCTAGCTTCATTACCTTCGACGATGCCGAAGGAAATAATTACGCTGCAGGTCGGCCAGTGTGGCAACCAGATAGGCATAGAATTCTGGAAGCAGCTCTGCGCGGAGCACGGAATCGACCAGGTAAGAATCGACGCCTTGCCTTCCGTATGATTCCTATCAGGACGGACGACTCATAGGCAACGCCAAGGATCATCAGGACCGCAAAGATGTCTTCTTCTACCAAGCAGACGATGAGCACTACATTCCACGAGCGGTGCTCTTCGACCTTGAACCGCGTGTAGTACACGGCATCATGGTAATGTCGTTTTATACTTATGCATTCCACGCGCAGACATCGGAATACCGAGGTCTCTACAACCCAGAGAACGTGTTTCTGTCTAAAGACGGTGGTGGAGCGGGTAACAACTGGGCTAGGGGGTACGCTTCCGCAGACCGAGTACAAGAGGAGCTGTTTGACATAATAGACCGCGAGGCCGATGGATCGGATTCTTTGGAGGGTTTCGTGCTTTGTCATTCGATATCCGGAGGTACCGGTAGTGGAATGGGAAGCTACATGCTGGAAATGCTGAACGAAAGGTACCCAAAGAGGCTTATACAAACCTACTCCGTGTTCCCGCATCTCACCACGGAAACGAGTGACGTTGTCGTGCAGCCTTACAACAGCATTTTGACGTTGAAACGGCTGGCTCTCAACGCGGACTCAGTTGTCGTGCTGGACAACGCAGCGCTCAATCGCATACTCGTGGAAAAGCTCAAGGTTACCACGCCTTCCATACAGGAAACAAACTCGCTGGTGAGTACCAATACACAGTAGTGACACTATGCGTGCAGGTGTCGAATGTTATGGCCGCATCGACCGCCACGCTTCGGTACCCCGGCCCCATCAACAACAGTTTGCTCGGCCTGGTGGCCTCCCTCATCGCAGTTCCACGATGCCATTTCTTGGTCACGTCCTACACCCCTCTCACACTCGAGAAGCACGTTTCGACCGTACAAAAGACCACCGTTCTAGATGTTATACGGCGACTGTTCCAGACGCAAAATATCATGGTAAACCCAGCAATAACCCAAACAACGCATCACCTGCAGATGTCGGCGCCGATGAAGGACGGACTTTACATCTCCGCTCTAAACGTCATTATGGGAGATGTGGACCCCAGCGAGATACAGAAGAGCCTCCAGAGGGTTAGGGAACGCAAACTAGTTGAGTTCATTAAGTGGAACCCGGCATCAATACAAGTGGCACTGTCCAAGCAGTCACCTTTCGTGCCACAGCAACACAAAGTGTGCGGGTTGTTATTGGCGAACCACACATCTATCGCTGGAGTAGGTTAACGGGAGATAACCAACATGGCACGCAGCTGTTTCAACGGTGCATACAACAGTTCGACAAGCTTTACAGCAGAAGGGCCTTTCTCGACAACTACAAGTGAGTCTTGTGTAGCAGTGGCACCATTCCGGTCGTAGGAAAGAGGCGATGTTCAGCAGCCCAGACGGACACGGCAACTTCGAGGAAATGGAACATTCCAGGGATATCACGCAGCTGCTCATTGACGAGTACAAACGAGCAGAACAGGACGACTATTTTGACATGGGATGCCAACTGTAATGTTACACCAAATACATGGGCTGCAAACGCGTTGCTATGTGTAAACAAATCAGCGCGATATGCGCGACTTTACGCCGTAATGATCGCATCCAAGGGGCGCGCATCGTATTCTGGGCACCAAAACTCTTGTGCCAATGCAGATATATGCCGAAATAAAACGCGGCTATGACGGTGCAACACGTTGTTATGGCCCACGGCTTCACGCGTAATCGCCTCACGGTGATCGGTAGGGCCTTCCTCTAACCGCACATACGGCCGCTCGATGAAATTGCACATGAATCCGTAAAAATGGTTCTCGATATCAGGTACTTCCGTAATAGCAACCTTCTCCAGCTCCTGCGAGCTTCCGAGGTGCGCAGGTGTGTCGCCAACTCCATGGTCGACTCGGTCATCACGGCTGACGAAGAATGGAGGCAGGCGAACCACACCTATGAGCAAGCCAAGCGGAATTACAACGACATATCCAAGCGGATTGGTCTCGTTGTGTCCGGGAAGGCGCCTGCGGTCGACGCCGAAGGCAAACCCGTCGACAAGGCCGAAATTGTCAGCCAGCTTAAGAAGGAGGCCGAGAACCACAAGGAGGAGATCGCGAACTTGCTGAACAAAGCAAATGATCTCAGCAAGACCCGTGATTCCCTGCTACGTTCGGTCGGGAACATCGTTTCGGAAGACACGGTCCCCTCGGCTGACGAGGCGAACAACCTTACTGTGGCCCACTGGGAGCCGAGCAAATACGGGTGGGAGCAGTTCATTGAAGCAAACAACCTCCAAGAATACCGTGATGTAGCCTGCAAGACGGTCGGTGAACACAATGTTAAGTTGCCGCCCTGGAATGTTATGAGCCACTGTGACGTGCTCATTAAAATTGGTGGCGTGAACTTGAAAAAGGGAGTAGAAATAGCCGGACACCGTGGTTACTACCTGATGGGTCCGGGATGCCTGCTTAACATGGCCCTGATACAATATGGATTGGACTTCCTTAGTCGCAGGGGATACCAACCCGTCATGCCGCCCTACTTCATGAAAAAGGACATCATGGGCCAGTGTGCTGAGCTAGCAGATTTCGAAGAGACGCTCTACTGCATACCTCCACTCAGGGATGCGGACCGCAGCACAGCGAACGAAGCAGCGGGGCAGCAGCATGCTGCCGGAGCGGCCAGGGACGAGGACTACGAGAGGGAAAAGCTATTCCTCATCGCCACTAGCGAACAACCCATTGTGGCTCTTCACAGAAACGAAACATACTCCATCAAGGAGCTCCCGTTGAGGTATGCGGGCGTATCGACATGCTTCAGAAGGGAGGCCGGTGCTCACGGTAGAGATCTAAGGGGCATCTTCCGCATACACCAGTTCCAGAAAATTGAGCAGTTCGTCGTCTGTGGAGCGGAAGACTCATGGAAGCACCACGAAGAAATGATCGGCGTTTCAAAGGAGTTCTACGAATCGTTGAACTTACCTTACAGGGTCGTATCTATTGTGGCCGGTGCCCTCAACAACGCCGCCGCGAAGAAATACGATCTCGAAGCCTACTTCCCTGAAATGGGAGACTACCGGGAACTTGTGTCGTGCTCCAACTGCACCGACTACCAGTCCTGCGACATCAACACCAAATACTTCGAGAAGGACACCGCACAAAGGCAGTATTGCCACATGCTGAACGGCACGCTTGTCGCGTCCCAGCGCACGCTGTGCTGCATCCTGGAGAACTACCAGACTCCTACAGGTGTCATGGTGCCCAAAGCGCTGGTGCCGTACATGGGAGGTGTGGAATTCATCCCGTTCGTTGACGGCAAGAACGCTGCAGAATGAACACAGGCAGCAAACCACATTTAAGCGTCACTCACGCGTGCGAAAAAGCACGCATCTAATTAAAAGTTTGCTACCAAATATAAATTTTTATGTGACCACCCTAAGAAAGTCTACAGACCATATTAAAATGTTGTGATACCGCTATTTTGGAAGCTGTTGCCCACGCATTTTAGCAGTACAGACTCCTCTTCCTGTACGAACTTGAAGGTCACGCCGAGAAATTGCTTTATTTTCCGCAAAAACTCGATCGAATAGCGGTTCATACGGCCCATGCGGAACGTCGACACCTGGTAGTCACCGGACATCGCCATGAAAATTAGCGGCAGATGCTGGTGGGTGGTATCCAAGATGCCCTTCAAGCTTATCTCCGAAAGCAGGCGCCGGGCAACTCCCTCGCCTATGGCCTCGTGCCGCTCATGGATACTGGCGGCGTGCTCGGCATTGGCTTCCTGCTTAACACTGTCCTTTGCGGTTTTGCGATTGGCTATTTCCAGGATCTTGGAAAGGCTGGTATTGGCGCTAATGGACGCCACCTTCACCTCGGTATCAGCATCCTTTAGCGGCACCGTGGTGTCTGACGTGTACACCACCCTTGGCCCCTCCGCAATCAACGCCACCGATACATACGGGTTCCCGGCGCCCTTGGGAGATACCAGATCAATATAGATGTTATCGCACACCTCACTCAACACCCGCTTGCAACCAGTGATGACGTTGGTGCCGAGGCTTGGTTGCAAGCAGCGTACCACCACGCTGCCACGCACCTTCTTCACACAGCTCCAGGTGGACATTTCCACTGGCGCGATCTTCACCAGCGGCGCGTTGGTAAACACAACCTCGTAGGGCTCCTTATACTTGAATTCCACAGAGCTGCAACCTATTTTGCGCAGCACAACTGTGGCGCTGGAGCAAAAACTCTCCAGCAGGCTGAAGCTGTTAACCATTTCCCCATTGACATCTTCGCCTTGACGGGTGAGCGTGATCCGAAAGGGCTCGGATGAAAACACCGATAGGTAGACGAGTGGTTCCAGGTAATACGATAAAGGAACCTGGCTCGAACACTGGAACTTAAAAGCCCCGCCGACAATGCGCCCTGGGTCTATGGTGACCCTACCCTTCTCCACATCTATGCGCCCTCCCTGAGTGACCTTTGCCAGCAGCTCGAGCATTTGCGATTCGTGTAACATAAGAACGCGGTCCTGCGAGACATATGATTCATTAAAACATTTCTTAAGCAAAATCGACGAAAATGCGACATCGTTGGATTGCCATCAGACGCCGCTCGGTAGCACCAAAATGTTTAAAAATGAACCCGTAAAAACAAATGCATATCAAATAGGACAGATAAAGATTGCTGGGGACTAACATTCGTCATATACATGAGTTAGATTCCATGACTTTTTATCAGACAGATAAGCAGCGTGTTGACTAACAAGCAACAGCCAACGAAGCGCACATCAAAGTGGACAGCCACTCACCTCGCGTAGAGTGACCGAAGTATGCGATAGAATACCTAGGACCGCGACCATGCGCAGATAGGCGAAGGAATCCAGCTCCAGGTGCTTCAGGAGCCGTTCCTTAGTCGCAACGGTCTCGTCGCGCACGATTCCCATCTTGAATACGCGCTAAGACATCTCAAACTAATATGTAAATCATCTTGTTGCCAAAGGAAGCATTTTTACTGTGTAGCGGTCGTACATGACCCCAGTGTCGCCGGAGGAGGGAGGTTGCGTGGCTCTATAACGACAAGTGGTACACGGTAAGAGCAAAAATATTTTATTACATACGTGTTATCTGCAAAAATTGGCTACCGCGCTGATGTGCGACGGTTGCGTATATAGTACAGTAGCAACGCCGCCTTAACACGGTAGACGAGATCCTTGGCCAACGCAAAGTACTTGGGTGTAAAAATGGACTTGTAGGGGTTGAAACAGGCGCGTGGAGTGCGTAGGTCAGAGTAATAAATGTCCATGATATCCTCGTTAATCGACATCTCATCCTCCGGGCGCACGCAGCGAACAGTTACCTCGTCAAACGTACTCCAACTCGCGACGCGTTCCTTGAAAGCTTCCACGCATAACGAAGTGTGCGGCTCCACGTGAGATCCGCCGAACATCATGACGGCGATCTGGCTGTACAGTCGGTAATGCGCTTCAAACGCATCCTCCAGGGAATCACGGTCGAAGACGCTAGTCAACTGCAAAACACTGCCCATGAGCTTGAGGTGTCTCCCATACTCGGTGCTGCTATATAGACCCTCCTTGTGGAATATCCAATCCAGTTCGATAACCAGGAAGTAAAGAGCGCAATTGTTTTCAGCAAGCAGGCGGTAGTTGCAGCCCATGCAGCGCTGGAATGCTTCTAGGTATGTAGCTCCAGCTGCGTCACCTTCTACAGGAGTGATTCTCAAATGGCACGCGCGCAGAGCTTTGGAAATCAAATCATCCGTGAGCATCACATAAACGTCCAGAACGAAGTGGAGGCACATACCTGCCATGAGCGTCGCCATGTCAACACCGCACCCTGGGGAGGCGAACATGCTGTTGCCTCCCAGTATCTCGATATACTTCGAACAGCTCAGCATCTGAAGCAGCAGGATCGATAGCTCCGTAGATTCTGTCACCAAAGAGTTTGCAAATTCAGACTCCTCTTGCGAAGGTCCGGGCTCCGGTTCCGAAACAGTACGGCTGTGCGGCACAGACGACCAGCTGTCATCAGAGTCGTTCGTATCGACTTCATACATGTCAAGCTGGTCCGATGTACTACGATGCGTAGATAACGTGCCAGACGGACCACAATTCGGTTTTGCAGATATGTTGGTACGTACACTGTGTACCCTATTGTAACAGCTACCATCCTCTCGGGGGCCCGAAAAACCCATACGACCGCTCCTGGAAGAATTTGCACCTTCATTTGGTTCGTACCTGTCTACATTGAGGTTGTAAGTGCGATTCGTTTTTTGCGTCACGTCGAATAATATTGGCGCAACCTTCAACGTCAGGTTCAAACCGAAAATACCATGAGACAACAGCAAAAGCTGTTCCAAACAGTTCACAATCTGAAAGTTAACAACTTGCAAAATACGGTTCTTCTTTATCTCACGTGCCAGGTGAGCAAGCTCGCGTTTGAACAGACCATGGTGATACTTGAGACTGCGCCTGAGGTAATGTCTACCCCCGTTCAGTTGCTGCTTGAGAAGCGCACCGCCGTCAATTGCACGCATCAACGATGGTACACAAGCATCCATACATTCCTCATAGCTGACGTTGCTAAAAATTGAATCCACAAACAAGAGGAAGTAGAACAGTGAAAAAATGTCGAAACGAGCGCAGCCGTTGTGGTAGTTCAACGCTATTTCCAGGCAGTTGGCAGCCACCATGAATAACATAGTGGCGTCGTCTTCCGAAACCCTCTGATCATCGAAGTGAGTATCAGCTGTACTTCCGGTGTCAACAAGGTTGAACAGAAACCGCATGCATCGCCTTACGCCGGCGCCAGTTGTGGCGACAACGTTCTGGAAAAAACGAGACAACAAATCCACTGCGATAAAAGGAACGTTTATGTTGATGAACAGCATGTTGCAGACCTGGAATATCTTTCGTTTTATCATGGTGTAGTGACGACGCCACCAAAACATCGCACTTGACCGGTCTGCAGAGACGCATAGCTGCCTGCTGGAGGTGGGTATAGGCACACAAAGGCATCCATGATACGACTTCAACCTCTTTGTGAATGTATCCTGTCGATCGTGGACTCCCCTAGCACAACAACCGTCTGACTCACTATTTGAAGACCGCCCGCTAGCGGGTACGTCGGTACCAGCTACACTGGGCGCGTAGTCGCCCCCCTTGCACATTCTTGGGCCGTGTACCATGTCACAACGATAGTACATCAGAGCCTTATCGCCGAAACAATCGATCAAGTTTCTCTGGAATTCCTTCTCGAGAGTGTCGGCATTGCCGTGGCAGCTCCGCTTAGTTGGTCGGTTCACCGAATATTGCTTAGGGCTTCGAACAACAGCATAACGCTTTCTTTCAATAGATTCCAGTGATCTTTGGACCAAGGTAATCCGACTAATGCTTAGGTTCGCGCGGTGACGGGAAACGCGGCGCCTAACCGCATGTATACGGTAGGGTCCGACGCCCAGCGCTTTGGACGGTAATATCTCCAAACGGCGGTCTGAAACACGCCTATAGTTAAGTTGACGCATCAGATGTTCGTACTGGTGCCTAACAAGTATACGATGCAGTCCCACGATATTCTGCCGCAAATATAACAAGCATAATGTTCAACAAACCCGTGACTTCAGCAGCTCAACGAAGACTCCGCGTACGGTATTCAATTCCAATGGCTGTGCCTGTGATTTATGGTTCGCTAAGAACTCCATCAAGACGGTCAATATGAGGTCTGTATCTGCGCAGTGCTTCAGGTGCTCAAGTGCGACATCGCTGCGCAGAATGCATGACACACCCGAAAAACGTACATCGCAAGCTTCACATCGTGCAAGTAGTGAAGGCAGAAGTAACTCTTGTGCATGGCTAGCACTGACTCAGGACGAGCCATTATTCCGAAGCGCCGGTAGCCAGCCGTACCCAGGGGTTGACTGCACAAAGTTAGCGGCAACTCTAATACCAAGTTACATGTGATTACTCAACGAAGGCAGGCCGTACACCCTGCAGTCCATTAGAGGTTGACGATTGCATCGATGCCCCTCCATCAGCAGCGGGTGAGAGTTATCAACGTTATTAGCGATACGTAGAGCCGTAGACCGCCGGGCCTCCAACGTACTCCGAGGCGCAAGAGAGACTGCTACTCGCCAACACGGAATGAACTGCCTTAGAGTCACCTCTAGAAGACGCAAGTGTGTGAAGAATTTACTCGTACACACACATTTAGGCGAGAGGAAAATTCAGTCATGCACAGAGGCAGGAAAAAGCCATTATATTCACTTAAGGCTTCGAAACGGCGACTCTGGAATCTACTATGGCTGTTATATCTATTCGAAGTGGAGGATACGTCGAGTTAAGTAACCATAAGCGGAATTTGTTTCAGCAAATATCACCCCGGAAAGCAATAAGCCTTCCGGGGTCTAAACCCCGGATATCTCGCACACATGACCATAAATATCACACATAGCATAATGAATATATGATACATCTAACTGGTGTGTCATTTAGAAGGTAGATGGGGAGGAGGATACCTAGACAACGCGGATGAGCGCGGCAGCTGCCCTCCCTGCTGCCCATTATTCTACACGACCACATGGAGGCGTTGTCTCCGGAGGAAATTTTATAACGTCTAAAAGGAATTTGGCAGGAACATAATCCAGATTAAACCGATAAATTGTTGCCAGACAGCGATACATACGCAACACCAAGATGTTCAAGGGAGCCGGTATCCTTAGACGCCTCGTGCCACATTCACGACGGTTTTCTTCAGAATCAGTCACGAGGAGGGTTGCCGGTAGGTCTATGTGCTGTGCAAAAAGTCATTGACGGCTAACGGATTTATGGGCGTCTATTTAGACCAGGACAAACACCGAAACCGCTGCTGAATATGACTAATTTTCATGTATCTTGCGTATATTTCGGTGTTTATAGTCGTATATGTGTATCTGAAATCTGTTGGACGGCGACTGATAAGGTGCTACTGCCATTAAGGTTATAGGTAGTTGATTGCTGCGCCGTTGCAACACCGGCGTAACGCAATACATGATTGCTTTCATATTTGGTTCAACAAGAATTCATGCGTGATGATTAACGATTTATATTGCATATATTATTCTTTATTGCGTGTCGTTCGATCCGGAAGGTAGCTGTTTTTTGTTCCCAATTAACTGCCTCCATGACACGGCGAATCACGAATTTGCAGGTCACAACGTAGTCGAGCATTCGTATGACGCCGTGGTAGTCGGTGCCGGCGGAGCTGGCCTTAGAGCAGCTCTAGAACTAAGCTCAAATGGATACAAAACGGCCTGCGTATCGAAGCTCTTCCCGACCAGAAGCCACACTGTGGCCGCCCAGGGAGGTATCAACGCCGCTCTAGGTAACATGACAGAAGACGACTGGAGGTGGCACGCATACGACACCGTTAAAGGCTCAGACTGGCTCGGTGACCAAGATGCAATTCACTACATGTGCAAACAGGCCCCCCAGGCTGTTATTGAATTAGAAAACTACGGACTGCCATTCAGTCGCACCGAAAGCGGCAAAATCTACCAAAGGGCATTCGGAGGTCAGTCCCTCAAATTCGGAAAAGGCGGTCAAGCGTACAGATGCGCAGCCGCCGCTGACAGGACGGGGCACGCCATGTTACATACGCTGTACGGGCAGTCGCTGGCCAAAGACTGCCAATTTTTCATCGAATACTTCCTTCTGGATCTGTTGTATGAAAACGGAGCCGTAGTTGGTTGCGTTTGTATGCGCATGGCTAATGGTGAAATACACGTATTCAAGACCAACAACGTGATCATGGCCACAGGGGGGTTCGGCAGATGCTACTTCAGCTGCACTTCGGCCCACATGTGTACCGGTGACGGTAACGCTGCAGTTGCACGTGCTGGGTTACCCCTGCAAGACATGGAGTTCATACAGTTCCACCCTACGGGCATCTACCCCGCAGGTTGCCTCATCACCGAAGGGTGCCGAGGAGAGGGAGGGATTTTGCGAAACAGAGAGGGCGAACCTTTCATGAGCAGGTATGCGCCCGTTGCGAAGGATCTTGCGTCTAGGGATGTGGTATCGAGAGCAATGACGTGTGAGATATTAGAAGGTAGGGGTTGCGGCCCCAACAAGGACCACATATACCTCGACCTCACACATCTTAGCGAGGATGTATTCCGCGACAAGCTGCCGGGAATCACAGAGACGGCGAAAATCTTTGCCGGCGTAGATGCTAGGAAGCAATACATTCCAGTGCTGCCAACTGTGCATTACAACATGGGAGGCATCCCCACAAACTGGAAGGCTCAAGCCATTGACAAGAGCGACAACATGGTACCGGGGCTTTATGCTGCAGGCGAAGCGGCCTGCGCATCGGTCCATGGAGCCAACAGGCTGGGGGCGAACAGCCTCCTCGATATTGTCGTGTTCGGCAAAAGGGCGGCGCTCTCCGTCATGGAGGCCTGCACCCCGGGCGAGCAGAGCAAGGCCTCACCGGTATGCGTGAGAGGCGCAGTAGAATCCACCATAGCCAAAATTACCAAGCTGTTTGCGAGCGGTAGGTTACGCAAATATGGCCACACACAACTTGCAGCGAAAAAAGATGGCATTCCCACGTCCACGATACGCCTTTACATGCAGAAAAGCATGCAAGACAACGTAGCCGTGTTTAGGGACGGAGAACGCCTAAAAAAAGGAATTGCGCTCCTTGAAGAATGTTGCGACCAGTTCAAGGACGTAAAAATAAACGACACATCTCCGGCATTCAACACGGATCTCTACGAGACACTTGAGCTGGAGAACCTTCTCACACTGGCCATGCAAACTGTTGTATCAGCTGAAGCTCGCAAGGAATCTAGGGGAGCTCATTCACGAGAGGATTATCCCACTAGAGACGACGTGAATTGGCGCAAACACACACTCTCTTATATAGAGTCAGACGAGTTCAAGAATGTCAAGCTGGCTTACCGCACTGTAATAGATACAACTCTCGGCAGTGACATGGAAACCATACCCCCCTTTGAAAGAACCTATTAAGCACAGAGAACCGAGGCGCTCATGTTGCCAGTGACCACAGCCACACCCACAGGTAGAAGCTTCTATGGTGTGTTCGCTGCCCTCTAATATGGTCGCTTTGTGACCAAAAAGCTACCAAGGTGATTCTCTAAGCTATAGATGCGAAGAGAAGTTTGTGGGTTGAGAAAATACGCGTTAGAGAACCGGTTCCGTCGCATGCGCCAACCCAGGTCAGGATTCTACTAGACAGGCTGAGCGGATGCCAAGCCCACAAAGAAAGGGGAGTATAGGCACGCGTTGCCACTGTACCAATCTTACAACTTGTTCAAAAAACAGTGGCGAGTAAAAGGCACCCGGTGTCAGATCACGCCCAGCCGGCTCGGGTGTGAATGTGAACGCTCATTAAATAACCCCTGTCACGCAACACCAATGAGCTGGCGCACATCGCGTACTTACGACGTAAAGGGCAAAATACCCAAAGGGTGTGTCTATGCGCTATGTATTTGACGGCGTTCTCACCTATAAGGCCGTAGTGCCGCGAGGCTCGGCTAATGCACGAGTGTGTGCGTGATGCTCTATTAGGGAGGCATTCACTGCACTAACAAATAGTTACGCTAATAAGTCATCTACATACAGTTGAAGTGTTTGTTTCCATATGTAGCAAGCGCCGTCGCCGCGAGATTCCGCGTATATCTGGCTCTATCTGGGGGGGTTGCCACCTCGTCATTGGATATGTATATTAACGCGCTACTTGACTGTTAATTCATCAAATAACAGCATCTTTTATTTAAATTGATGTTCAACGAACACACCGGATTTGTCGGTTGGGGTGGATTACCGGCCAAAGTGCCGTAGGCTGGGCTTCGGCCATCTACTCCCCGCAGAGAATCGACGACGGCATTTCGTCTGCGGATGGCAGCCCCGCGTTAATTATAAATTATACGCGCTGTCGGGGCTGCTAGAGCCGCTTATCTGCCGTCCGAATCTCTGCCATGTTGCCGATCGTGCCGTCACCGAAGGCTGTCGATAATGAAGTAAGATGCGGTGCCCCTAGAGGGAAAACGCGTCGTATTCGAACTGCAGCAGGATGACGGGCCAGAAACGCAGTAATGAGGAAGCGCAAAGTGCATTGACTACTTTGATGAAAGTCATTGGTGTCGACTCCAGCAACATAGTTGAGACATTGGGAAACGCTCTTGCCAAAAGAATTAATAGCGGTGAGCTTGATTATAACCAGGTCGTCGTAATTTGTGGCAACAAAATAGATTATCTGGTCGGAATCTATATCATCGTGCCCATCATCGCAATCTTTGTCTTCGGCGCAATCTGCTTCGTCTTCTTATCGCTATTAAACATGGCATTCAATGGCTTGGAGAATTTCCAGGATTGGGCTGAAGCGACGTGGAAGAGTTTCAGTGATGAAGAAGCGGCACTTAGTAATGCGTCCAAAGCGACCACTGGTGGTTCTCGCATCGTAAACAAAGTGGTTTGGATTGGAAGCGGGTCTAACAGCGCGAACTCGCTAAGAGGGTAGGCCGAGTTCAACGCTGTCCGAGGTTCAGATTATTTATGCAGGGGTACGTGAGGCACGAGGCCTTGCGTAAAAAGACCCGTATACACAGCGAGGAGTGTAAAAACACCGAATGTGCCATTGGGGGCGAATGGAATACCACATTCGAAATCTCGCATATTCTACATGCGGACGACTTCACCACGAATTCAGGGGGCTTTATCGTGGACAGGGGTCCAGAAGGTCCGCATGTAGAGGCATAAAACACATGCCAATTTTCAGACATCATATTGCAGTATTGTAATGTGTTATATAGGCTTAATGTTGCGTTTGAAACGTGTTGCGCAGTGGAAATAATGTGACTGTCATTTGTTCACTTTGTCAGCCTTTTCTGTCCATAGTTTGCTCAATGTGTATAACGTCGGTTCCATGAAGTAGCTCGTGGAGTGCTGCTGGGACAGCATCGCGCGCTCTGCGACGAGGTCTAACACCGATACGCGGTGGTTCAGAATCTGGACGCGGCCACTCTTCACGGCGTATATGGTGTGGTCGCGTCCCATCTTTGTTCCTACGAAGCGGTGTAAAATGCGCAAAATAGAGTCGGTCACGACAATCGGTCAATATAGAGTCGACACTCACCAATTCCGCACTTAAATTTCGCGCCGCGCTGCCGGACTATGATGTTGCCAACGAAGGCGAAGCTGTTGTGGCATTTCTTGATACCCAGGAACTTAGGGTTCGAATCCCTCCCATTCTTCGTGCTACCAGTGCCTGTTTTGTGTGCGTATAAGTGGAATCTGCGCAGAAGGTAACGTGAATCATCCGAACACTAGAGCGTACCTTGCGCGTAAACAACTGGACGACAGTGGCTGGACCCAGGACTGGGCCCGCCATCCGAAGCAGACCGTTACATTGGTTACCAATAAGACCAAGATTGCCAATCGAATACGCATTTAAATATATCACTTCAAAAATTACATATCCATTGGCGTCGCAAGCGGGCTCGCACACCCTGTCATCGTCTAGCTAACCCTACGAAAAAACTCAGTTACCGACGTACCGACCACATATTTTAGACTTTCAGGTGGGATTTGAAAATGATTAAAGGGCTGCGACGGGTGTCTAGGAGCTTCAGCTCTGCCGCGTATAAGTAAGATTCCACGTGGAGGAATATCATGTGCAGATACGACCTGGCGGTTATAGGCGGCGGTCCTGGAGGATACACAACGGCTATAAAGGGGGCTCAGCATGGATTGAAGGTTGCCTGCATAGACAGGAGAAAGACACTCGGCGGCACCTGTCTTAACGTTGGCTGCATCCCGTCGAAATGCCTTCTCAGCACATCACACAACTATCAGGTATGCTTGGCCTTACTACATCACTCCTTATACGAATCTGTGATGTCGTGGGTGTATACCTAATATTGTCGACCCGAGGCATCGCCTACCGTAACCCCGGTCACTCGTTCACAGCGAAATCGATCATGTATGGATGATATCCACATGAATGTGCTCACTTTGTGCGTTATCCTATGCAAAAGTTATCAATGTGTGGACTAATTAATCGCGATTGTCAATATTGCTTTCATGGCAAAACATTAACGCCATGCAGGTCGCACGTACGGGGCTCACTGGCGTAAAATTGTCCGGAGTCGCCATAAACCATGAAGAAATAATGTCTTCAAAGGCGAAGATTTTCAAGACGCTGGACGCGGGCATCAAGGGGCTCTTCAAGAAGAACGGAGTTGAGTTTATCAGTGGACACGGAACGCTCGTTGCTCCGAATGAAATACAAATTGATGGAGGCGAGAAAGTAACAGCCAAACACATCATCATCGCCACCGGATCGGAAGTGACCACCTTTCCCGGAGACACGCTTAAAATCGATGGGAAACGTATTATCAGCTCTGATGAGGCGCTGATGCTGAACGAAGTGCCGAAGACAATGGTGGTCATTGGAGGCGGTGCCATAGGCCTGGAGCTGGCGTCAGTCTGGAGTAGGCTCGGAGCCAAAGTTACAATCGTGGAGTATGGGAGCGCACTTTGTCAAGCTATGGTAAGCTACACTGACTTCAAAACAAACGCTTTTTCAGGACCAAGATGTTTCAGCAGCCATTAAAAAACTCATCGAAAAGCAGGGTATTGAAATCTCTGTCAGCACCAAAGTGCTGGGAGGAGAGGCCAAGGACGACTGTGCTATAGTAACCGCCGAAAAGAATGGACAGAAGGTTGAGTTCAAGGGAGATGTCGTCCTCCTAGCCATGGGAAGGAGACCATTCACAAGCAACCTTGGGCTGGAGAATTTGGGCATTAAAACCGAGAGGGGTTGTATAGTGGTCGACGATAAGCTCAGAATCCCAAACCACCCAAACATCAGCGCTATCGGAGACGTCATTCCTGGACCGATGCTCGCTCACAAGGCGGAAGAGGACGGATCGGTCGCCCTCGGGAATATTCTAGGGAAAGACCTAGGACACATAAACTGGAATCACGTCCCTATGGTGATATACACTCATCCAGAGGTTGCAGGAGTGGGAAGCACTGAGCAAACCCTCAAGGCTGCTGGGTTGACCTACAAAAAGGCGACCTTCCCGTTCGCCGCCAATTCCAGGGCTAGAGTTGCCGGCGAAACTGACGGCTTCGTGAAAATATTGGCCGACAATGATAACAAGATACTAGGAGGTTGGATTGTAGGGCCGCATGCCAGCGAACTGATAGGTCAAATCACCCTAATGATGGCCTGCGGACTCACCACTGTGGATGTTTCGAAGGTCTGCTTTGCGCACCCAACGATTTCGGAGGCGCTCAAGGAGGCATGCATGGCGATACATCACAAAGCTACGCATTTTTAATTACGTTCTACGCCGGAGAAACCGGCGGTGCGTCGAGACTACAGGCATATGATTCGATCGTTAGCAGGGGGTAACGACCAAGAAACATGCAAGAGCGTATGAGAGTGCATCGACTGTCCTGCTACGTACAAATACTTGGATACAACGGAGAGCGCAAACTCAAGGGAGAGGGTTGACATGTCCGAAGGGACCGTGGAGAAGATGCGATAGAGCGGAGTTGCTGGTTAATGGGAGCTTACAACAAAAAAGAATTTTTATTTGCCGTTAACCAGTACACTACAAGAGCGATCACCTGCTTCATCGGGGACATCACCATGTCTATCAGCAACATTTTGAAGATCTACTTGTGGGGGTTCTGGCAGAAAGCCGATGTGCATTACGATTAATGCATAATAGGCGGAAGACCAGTCACCGTGAAAACGAATTGTTTCCCGTTGGGAATAGCTTTCCAAATGACCAATTATGGCTCAATTTCATCTATTTCGCTTGCGATTGATACTACATTTACGTTGCGGCTTCACAATGCTGCGAGTATACTATGTGCTCTCGACGAGGCTTTACAAGCGTACTAGAGGCATGCGTTGATTGTGCGGCCGTTGTTTTTGAATCCGTACATGACACAGTCATTAATAAACGCATCAACATTGCGAAGTGACGAAACGTACACGCGAGAACGGCTAGAAGATTTAGCCAAACGGCATGGTCAAAGGCGTTGCCAGCCGCAACGCTGCCTGCGTATGTAATGAATTTTAATTTCCGACCGAATCGACGTTCATTGCACCGCCGACACCTCTCCGTCTCCACTTAGCTCACTTGACAACCTGTATAGGGATGGATAGCGTGCCTGTACGGCGGAGATGGCACTTGGCGGATGCGGTAGCTTATTCGGCGCAGAGGACACACAGAACAATATGCTATTCTATGTGTACGCTGTATAACGTTGTTCACAATACATAATGCTGCTTAGCAGCACGTGTACAAGGTGCATTGCACAGTGGGTAACCACGTGTACACCACATTCCACTCCACCTGCTACATAATCTCTATTAAGCTCACAAAGTACTTGATTTCATTATCTTCCTGATAAGAGCTGCAAACAGTAACTCGCACGGCTCGAGCTCGCAATACGCGGAGAGAGGCGCGAGGATTCGATTACATAGCATGCGTAGTTGATGCAACGAGCGTAACTGCCTTCTCAGTAGTTGCAAATATGCGTCATGAATGCGCGGCGTGATCGCTCTGCCAGGCGACTGTCCGAGTGTCCAGTGTATGGCGCCGTTTCCAGAAGGCGTAACAACGTGGCGCATAGAACGTTGACATTCGCAAGCGGTGGAGTGATTCGTTCTCCAACGAGTGCAACTTCACGATCATACGCTGCATTATCCAGCATCAAATCCATTCATCGCAGCGTGTGACGTCTAATCAAGTCTTCCGGAGGTTTCTCACGTGGAGTGTTCGGAGCTCCATCTCCCAGGTTCCCACTACAATCACTACAATTGGAAGCGGAATTGCAGCCGAATATGTTGCAAATCATTGGTCGGGTTGGTAGTATATCGTCTCTAAAATGTCTTCAAATCTTGCCTTCAAGACCGCCGTAACGAAGTCCCTTATTCGAGATCATTGCTTGCCTCTGGGACGCCCATTCCGTGGATCCAACTACCTATGACGATGAACCAATGCAATACAATCGATAGATCATCCCATATCTGTGGTCAACCGCCTGGTCCGTCGTTTTCGATGTCTGTGTACGCCTCGCCGCATCGAAGGCACAGCAAGCTCTGCAATGACACAGGGATTGTAGTACGAGCGCTTTCAAAGCATCATCCCATTCTAAAATGGCGATGTACAGATTGTGTAGCGTTCGTAGGTGAACTATTCCTCATATTGTTGAAAACTTCGTCGCTGAACTGGTGCCGATGCCCCGGTGTTCTCAGTGCTGTTGGCACGCAGCATATCATTTCGATATCTTAGTTCATAGGCAATATTGTGTGAGGTCTATTAAGCATATTGGTAAAACAACTTTTCAATCATCTGCGAACCAATTTTGTCACATCAGGGTTTTTCTTGATGCCCCTGTGGTTACCCACCCGCAGCTGCCGATTTAGTGTTAAACATGGTGGCAGGCTTGGCACAGATCAGTGTAACTATCACGTTAAGTTCGTGTGCCTGGGTGGTGTAGTGAGAGCTTACGCCCCAAAGTGAGTTGTACTTTAATTATGCCGGCCTTGGATTTTGTAAGTGACGCAGAGGGGAAATGTAGAGTGCGGCAAATGAACGAAACTAAGGTTAGGCGGGATGCCAATTTCACGCTACGATTAAATATTGCAGATGTAGCAGTGATGGCATCACGCGCTTTAATGAACTACGTAGATAAACTTCTGTCGACTACCTCCATCAACCGGTGCTTGTCAGGTCAGGCTATGTCTAGGTGTTCGATAATCTCACAGCCGACTGCAGGATGTTACTGATTGAGTATGTGGCTTGGCAATGAATGCCACCGGGACTCTCCGAAGTGATGGCCAGTGTGAGGCCTATCTGAGTTGCGTCTATGGTCAACATGGTGGTAAGCCTTGAAGTCGTAACCCTGGACTGTACCCCAGCAGCCACTTTGCGGGGCGCCCCGCAAACATTGTTACCCAGATGTCTATAACCCCGAATGCCTTGCATCGCGCTTGAGCAGTGTCAGTATGGGTCGCGTATGGACATTTTTCTTGGATCAAACGAGTGAGTGTAATGTGATTCAAATTGTGCTGGCACTTAACGCATCAGGACATGCGCTGGCCGTGTATACTAACGGTGTGTAAGAGCTGAAAGCTTCGGAAACACGCGTACGGGGGCACACCTGGACGGTAGTATGCCAGTGTGCTTCTCCTTGAAGAGTAAGCAATGACGTAAACGTAGATGGACCACTGGTTAGCAAGGTAGTATTCCAAGGTGTTGTCTGCACGATGGGAACGTATGCTGGAGCGCATGAAGGGGATGCGGAAAATGTTGCGCCCGTTGAAGAAGCGGAAAGTAAGCCGGCAAAGCGCATTTGTACGGGTGGGGACAAGGATGGTGTATATGACAGGAGAACGGACAAGCTAAAGCAGATGAAGGAGTGGAAGAGCCGTTTTGGTGCGTTTATGGCGTATACTCAGACGGTACTTAACGACGTACTTGGCGATACTCGGCCGGATGCGACCTCGGAGTTGAATAGCCGACCGGGAAAATCGCCGAGAGGTAACGGTGGTAGCCGTTGCAGCCCTCAACAGCGCACGCTTGGTGCCGATCCGCCATCAATACAGAGCTCTTCGCAAATCATCCCCGAAAAAGACCCCAAATACACAGGCTCTAATAAACCGCCTTCAGTGACGGATCCTAAAAGAAGGGTTTACAATTCGTTGACCGAGGCTCCCCGCAACTTCAAGGAGTGCATTGACTGGCTGATAGCCCTGAAGGGAACTGATCCGGAAAACAACTTCGAGGCTATGGGTGCCGCATTACACAAGTTTCTCGCGGACAAGCCGGTTGGAAAGATGGAGCTGCCAGCTCTCGAGAAAATAAAAAGCATTTCTAAAGAGTTCCTGGAGAGTCCGGGGCTTAAGAATGAGCCATTCGTGAAACGCATGCTCTCGATATTCAACGGAGGTATTAGTGGTATGTCAGCTCCGGCGCATTTTGCGGATTCACCTGATGCTCCCAGTTCTTCTGGTTCCTCGGGTTCTGTATCTCAGACGATTAGAGATATCCTCCTCAGCAATTATGAGAACATCGTCCAGAGGGACCGTCTCGGTCCTGAAGACATCGCAAAGAGCTTCGCTCATGTTGTTATTGTGTTTGTGAGAAGTTATTGGATGGTATCAAAAACCCTGACCAGTATAATTCCGCATACAGTTCAGAAGCGACGTTGGATACATCATGTTCTAAACACCCGGACGCTTGCGCTATCATATTCGTGGGGATTGCGCCAATGTTGGCCATTGGCTTTAATGCCTTGTTCGCAGTCGATATATCTCCACTAATGGGGTTGCCGCGTTTCCAGGGGTGTCAGCCTATGTCAGTAAGGTTGAAAGCCGTGGGCTACGTGGAGCCGGAGTTGCACGCTGGAATGAATGTTTTAACTTATCTTATGGCGTTGATCCAGATAGATAAACGCGCACTTGTCCACATTTACGACCTCTGTGGCTTCTGGGCTTTTTACTGAGTAGATTGCCCGTGTGAGCTGTTCGAGCAGTTCGACAAACAACGATTTTACGGCCGTCTTCCCACTGAGTTGGTGTCATACTAACTCTCACGAAACATGCCTAATTAATGAAATATACCTATCTCCGGCTATATGCATACACTCTTAATCCACCACACTCTGCCCGCCAGATGAGACCAAGCATAGTTCCGAACCTCTATTTAATCTCGTTCGTGACGCAAAAAGGTGAGCCTCTCTTAGTCGCACGCTTCAATGCCCATTTGCCCGACAGACATCATCTGGAGACCCGCAGCTTATAAATCGCGGAGTACATTGCTTTACACCGTCTCAGGTGGATGAGTTATCGTTGCCGCCTTGGCAAAGCACGGTATTATACGTTATTGAAGTGAGAAGCACCTGCTGAACGCAAGTCGTAAAAACCATCTACCTAGTACTACATATCAACACGTTCATTGATCGTGGGAACCCTCCTGAATGCACATCTCATTACTTCCCGTAAAATGCGCCAACACGTTGGTTCTGTTAATTGTTGTCTGTTTTGCATTCATGGGCCTTTCGAACTCTTTGCTTGTTATGCCACGCAAAGCAGAGATAGTTGGCAGTGCACTGGGTTCATAGGTGTGACAGACAACGCTCTTATTAACAAGATGCAGCAAAACAATGTGTTTTTGCGTAGAGTGCGAGAGATATCCTAGATAACAACTCCAAATGGGTCAACTTGTACGTGGACATTATGCATGTCAGACAGAAGAAGAGAGAAGTTCGAATAATGTCCGCTGCTACACCGATATTGCGATACAAGAAAATTATATGCACCCCTAGTGGATTAGGCGCAGATATAAGAGGTCATTGAAGTGAAGGAATGTAGATGTTGTGTATGTATAGAAACATTTTTGAGGTTTTTCGAAAGTCATTAAGTGAAAGTATGAAGTGATGATAGATGCTAACACCTTGCGATTGAAGTGACGTTGCGATATGTGGAGCCACATTGTGTCCTTGTACAGGAAGTTGGAATATTTGTCAATGTCCATCGCCTCGGGAATCCTTCCACAGCGATGATTGCTTGTATGTCTGCCGGGACGCCTAGGCGACCCAGCAAATACGCCACGTATTGAAAGCATCAATATATGGAGTTTCTAAGGAAAAGGATATAACAACGAAAACGACGAGTGGAAAGTATAGAGATGCCGACGATTATGAAGCGGTAGCAGCAAAATACATGTTTCGCGGATAAATTGCCAGTATGTACATTTTAATATGCAATTTTTAATTGTCACGTAGAATACCAAATTAATTTCACATCCCTTGCAAGCCTTTGCTGCTCTCCTTTACGAATTCTCCAAACATTGCCTTCTTTGTAAAACGATGACAAGCGTCCCAATCAGAATCAGGCGATATTTTCTCAGATTCCATTCTTTAGATACCACAGAACAGATATATGCATTAATGTGTCATCTATTATTCTTTGACACGTCACATTGTAAATGATGTAAAATGCTTTGAAGAATCCTGTGTTGATTCATGGCACCCTCCTCCGGGCACATTAGCTTCATACTCTATAATTCCAGTATTTCATTACACATAAGTTATTAATTCAGTAGACTCCATCAACATGTCATGATTATACCTCGGGATCCCTCTAATATCAGACATTAATGTTCAACATTCTCATGAATACGACGAGGTTTCGTTCAACTAAGACCTCACGACCCATACCTTGCGTTACAATAAATATGCCACACGAGATATGAATCTGGCTGTACATATGTCACAGCAATCAATGTGATCAAACCATCTCCATCTGTAGATGGGCGGATAGAAAAGCGTAGACAATTGAGTGTCACCGCATAGTTATATTAAAATGTTTAATGGATGGGTCTACTACATATTAGACACAAGCTGCGGTTTGGCAAATAAGTCGTTATAAAGTTAGACGCACCGCCTCTAGCGATCAGGGTCTTATAAAGGTCACAAATGCACGAGTTGATATGCAACAAGGCAATCTAGGAACCTAACTGGCTGTTAAGCATCACAGAAGCAGTTGACAGATGGCTTGTCATTTTAGATCTCCATTCGCTACATGTACGTCTTTTTTCAGCGTTTGATGTAATTTGTTTCGTGTGGTCTGTCTAAGGGCTCGCAACCACATTAAACACCCGGCAAGGGTCCGCAATAGAAAGCACTCAAACACGGCATCGTAATCTCGAATCCTAATCAAACGAATACCCAGAGCACATGCGATAGATATCCCCCCTTCTGAACCTGGTAAATACAGAATTGACGTGTCAAGTATCTTAGGGCTTGAAGGAAGAGAAGAATGGCTTTACCAGAGATCCAGAGCACCGCGTAAGTGACATTTCCAAAGACAATTACAAGTTTCTGCTTCATGTTTCCAGTTTGATTGACGGCAGTCGTATATTTGTGTCTTCGAAATTAAGTCCTACAAATCACACGGTTGCAGTGTGTAGCGAAATAATTCGATTGGAGCAGAATAATTCGACGATTTCCGCAGCCCTTGAAGCAATATGGTATATTTATTCCCGTCCCGTATTAGCATGTGTCAAGATCATCGATGCACGTATTATCGTGTGTCTGCAGTGTTGGCCTGAAATCAAAATGTGTAGGCAGTAGACACCTCAAAAATTCCACGAGAATCCTAGAAAAAGCAACACATGCGTTGGATATGTCATGGATATCTTATGCCGTAACCATAGAAGCGCCGTACAAATGAACTTTTGTTGGTCGCCTGGGCTTACACATTCCCACTGTCCTATCTCAAAGCGCCGTTCATCAGCAACCGCACCATCACATTGTTCTTCTTTTCATCTACACACAGAGTACATAGCACTTAAGTATCTATCATAGCGACAAAACATATCTATGGTCATACCAATCACACGATTACTTTTAGCGGGTATGTAGCGCAATGTATGTGTATCTACGGAACCTGATGGCAAGAGTGACCGATTGGGAGGTATAATTCGCTACAGATGTATTTGCTAATGATCTAGCTAATCTTTGTTGCACTTGCAGCGCCGTTCGGAGGAAAATTGGTCATCTACAACATCGATATGCTGCAGAACGTATGACCGTTCAAAAATTGCCACATACAGGCGCCATTATACCGTAAAAACGGAGTCCACAACGTATTTTAATTCAAGGTGTGGGTGCTAATATACGATATATCACGGATGTTTATAGCGGCCAACGCGGGCGAAGGTTTTCTATCCGCTTTGTATGGAATCTTAACATATCTCACGTTATACTAGAAGCGTAGAAGATTGCATGTGCACATTATAGGCAGCTGTCAAAAGGGTCACATGTCAGACGACGTGATGGACGGTACGCTTGGGCCGCTACTCGGCGTTGAAGACTGGATAGAATCTTTACGTCACAGAAGCGAGCCCAATTATCACGCTCAAAGCGGACAATATGCGGACGAAGCGTCGATCCTGTTGAAGGGGAGGGGGAATGGAGGCGTTACGTTAGGTAGGGGCCACAGCAGAAGGTCTATCCGTAAAAGTCAACTACTTCCTCCTGCCGCCGACATGTGCGAGGAACATAAGGATACAGAGGAACATGCATCTGCACAATTGGACAATTTGGGTTGTAACAAGCTCGATGAGTGTATTTCATCGAATGAAATAGACTTCGATTCACCACTACGCCCACTATCTGAAGGTGATGGTCGATCTCCCTTGGTTGCAGACGATGGACATGACACTGCGTCGGAAAAGGCGGAATCAAAATCCTTAGAAATGGGACCCATCGCTTCAAATGCGTCAGAATCCAGAGCTCCGGGTTACACATTCGGACTGCAGGGCCCGAATAGTGATACCACCACATCGAACCATGTCGCTACGTTCGTTGAAGTGGGTGATAAGATGAACAAGCTTTACCCTTGGGACGCATTAGATCGGGATGTTCTTATTTCCGCACGAAATCGTGGCCTTGAACCCACCACTCTTGGACACGTTCTCAAGAGACGCAACAAGCTTTGGGCCCAGATACAATGTATCCACAAGAGTGCGAGGGCGGATTATGAAAAACATCTGCGTCTATATCAGCGGCAATTTGAGACATATAGCAAGTCTGGTGATGGATGGGTAAACGTGAACGACGATCGCAAGTCAGACCCCATATTTTTGCGCCAATCCACTTACCTGACAGGTGCACATAACGTGAAAAAGGTGATGCGACAGGTGTCCACTGATGTGTCGATGAGTGGTGCTGATAGTTCAGAAGTGGGGAATGCGAAACCTACCAGTAGGAGCTCGTCACGTCGGAAATCCAATGTTGTGAGGGGTGTATACGACTGGAACAACGTGATATTTTGCCCCAACATATTTGATTCCAGTGACCTCATACATCGACATGCACGTCGCACAGTTCGTCTTTATAGGAATTTATACGACTGCCTGATCCATGGATGGGTGCATCCAGGTCTGGTCGTATGTGAGGTTAAGGACGCCACACACCCCATTCGTTTTGCAACACCCCCGGAACAGGACTGCTACACTGTGGTGTACGCGGGTCCAAGTATCCCTGAGAATTCGACGCAGCGAGTTGTATTCGGGGAGTACACCGGTGTGGTGTACAGGGAAGGATCCCTATCAGACTCCGTGTTTGAGTATGCATTTGAGCTCAACTTTGCACCGTGTGCCTGGATAAATGCGGAAGTTGAGATTTCAGAAGACGCAGCTGAAATAGGACAGAATGGCGACCAGGTTTTGCTGCCCACCAGCGCGAAGTTCGTACTGGACAGCAGCCACGCCTGTAATGAGTTGAGTTTAGTGAACCACTACCAATCCGTGAAGGCATACGGTGGTGAAAAATGGGTAGCTCCGAACTGTGAGTGGCAGCAGATCTTTCTTGACGGCTGGCCGCACGTGGTGCTCACGTCCAAGTTGGGTGTGGCCGTCAATCCCGGTGACGAGCTCGTTGCTGACTTCGGAGCGTTATGGTTTTCGAAAGTTGAGGAGAATGCGCATAAGTTCATTCGTAATGAAGTAATAGAATATCGACTTGGAAAGGCAAACGGCACCCAAATTCATAATCAATTGGAAGTACCGCAACGCCCTCTTTCCAGTATTGACGTCGGTTTAGTCTCCAATTCTATCGCTACGTCAACTCCGGTGTGTGCCATATGTCATGATTCCGGTGATGAAAATGGTGACCGTTCGAGTTCTGAAGAATCAGATTCGGTGTCATGCGACGGGTGCGACCGCTTCTTCCACATGACCTGCTTAAGGAACATCAATTTGGTTTCCGCCGTCCAATTGGTTAAGGACGGTATAGGCCACGCATGGTTGCCTACAACGACGTACAAGGGAATTCCGCAAGGATCAGGGAAGTTTTTCTGCAATTTTTGCCGACATCTTGCGAAGAAAATATATATGCATGACACTGGTTGCGACTACATGCCGCTTTCCAGGGGTGTGAACGTTAACACACATGGTCGGTTTCATGACACTTTCGATTTGAAGAAGTATTGCCAACGTGCTGTCCCTGCTGATAATAGCGATGTAAACCGTCGAGATGAAACATGTGAGACACGTCTACCGAATGCACATGGTCTTATGTATGAGAACAATGACGATGCAGTGCGCACCGCTGTCTGCGATAAATCATCTCTAGGGGAGGGCGATATTGCTACGTCGTGTGAACGCCCGATGAGTGACGTAATCATTGACAGCACAGCAACGAAAGATGCGGCCGTGAGCCCATCTATTGCTTCGAGTAAACCCCAAACCGCTGAAGAAAGTCACATACGCAATGTAGGACCAAAGCTTTTGATGAGGCCACTCAAAACACCGTCGATGCATGATTTTGCCATTGCTAGTCAGTGCAAGCTGCAGTTGCAAAGTCGCAATATTCCTGCGTTCAAAGATAACGGATCGCCTGTAACTTCAACAGAGATTTACACATCAGATATGCGGGGTACATTCGAAGAGCGACCTGATCCCGAATCCATCAGGCAGCATCGTGTCTCGGGTGTCAGTGAGGGTGCTACGACGGGACTAAAGACAGTAGACAAGTGCACGGAAAATGTCTTGTATTCACCTCCAGTGAACGAAATGATCCGATGTCCAACGTGCTTCAGGCATTTCGGACCTTCGGAAAAGATGGCGACGGTAGTGTCTGTAGAAGACGACACATCCCGACCCGTGCAACCGTCATCAGCATCTGGATGCGGAGATAGCGATGTATCGCGCCTGAAAGCGAATCATGATTCTGGCCATGGTTCGAATTCTGGTGATGCTTCAAACGTTCTTCCACTGGCGGGAGGAACAGTGGACACTGAGGCCGTATCGAACACTGGATCTCACTCTGCCCTTGACGTTTCTGAGACGGAGGCGGCTCCGGGTGCCGGGACATTGGAAGCAGAACTTACAAACAATGGAGCACCTACGAACGCTTCCATAGGTTCACTGCACCAGAGTTGCTATCCCGATGCGGCGCCTTTTGCACGGGGGCTGGAGCGCCATTCTGAAAAGGCCGATATCGTCAAACCATCCACTGATTACCCAAGCACATTGGATGTGGATATGCCCGTTAGCGATAGTATTTTAAACCAAAAGGATACGGCAACGAATACGGAAAACCCGGAATGCTCACCTCAGGGTTCGTCGAAATACGAAGGAGGGGGTTCAAAGACTGACAAGACGGATGAATCCGTTCTGAGCCCAAACAGCTCCACTGTAAATAGTGTCGCAGCATCTAGTGGTAAAGCTGCTGCGAGATGCGGGCCACCGCCAGGTGGGTCGCCTGGCCACGTAGGAACGCACATAACGACGGCCAATATCGATCGAGCGGTGTATTTTTACAAGACGTTGGGGAATCAAATGAAGTTATCCCCGATAGCGGCGTTATCTGAGGTTGACTGTTGTGTTCCGCAATTTGACGATACTACAATGGCGGATTATCTGGGGTGCAAGTATTTAGCTGGTATGTGGCAAATTGAACCATTCGCGCTATTTGGGGACACTGTACGTGTATGTGGTGATTGTTATGGAAAGTACGGAGCGAAGGCGAATGTGTACGTTTGTCGCCTACTTAGGCGCCACTTGTCTGGCAATTTCGACCATCCGATGAACACTACGCCGACTCAGATGCGTGAGCTGGTGTTAATGGCATACGAGCAGCACGTGCAGATGTTGTTAAGGCTTTTGGTGCTTAAAAACGTAGCAATACAGTTCATGTGCCGTTTGTGCTGCCACTTTGTGAGTCGTCAACTGTTTCACCAAAAACATGATGTATACCCGCCCCTTCCGTTCCCATCGCATTTCATGGGAGAGGAGTCGGGGCGTCCTGAAGGCCTTCTGGCTAATCCATCGGACCTTTTAAGCGGTGTAAGGACGTCTGGCGGTCGTTCTCTGAAGTCTCACCAAAAAAAGGTCTTGCAGTCCCACCTGAGTTCGTTCGTAACGTCGGTCAAGAATACGGTGTGTAATCTACCACTTAGCTCTAAATCTGACCCCGCGCTTAATTATGAGCTGTTAAGCGCTATGGGTGCATTCAGTGATGAGTTTTCGCGCCTAGCCAACTGCCAAAACATTGTGGATTACCTCAACGATCTTATGTCTCACAAGGTTTTGGACGCCGATAACACCCCCAGCCAACTACAGCAGATGCTAACAAAGGATGAATTGCGGCGATTTATTGCGTTCAGGCATTTGGCAGAACGATCTCCTGGTCCGTTCAACACGTCCCAGCCGTCACCGGTACGTGTTCGTAAGCGACACCGGGGTCCCACGTTTATACCTTTGCTTGGAATCGTACCGGGGAGATCGTTTATCTATCGCCATTTTAAGGACGGTTATTACAGAGGATTGGTAACAGAGTATGTGGAGGATTCGGCGCTGGGCAAACATTCGTTTTTGGTGGCATACAGCGATGGTGACGACGAGACGCTGAGCCAAAAGGATTTGATCACAGAAATAATGGACAATTTGCACAACATTGAAAGCGTTCTGACAAACCTTTCGCAGAATGATATGAGGAATGAGGAAATTTTGCTGCGGCTGCGTAGTCAAGGTGACCACTGCTTGGGCGCCCTCTGCTCCGAGTTACGGCGCGAGATGCTGCACAATTTGATGCTTCACCAGACAACCGATGCCAATAAACGCGCTGAACCATCGAAGAAGCATTCTCCGGATGGAACTCATATTGCGCCAGAGACTGCGGTGGTACACCACGATACCTGCATGACCCCGAATGTCGATACGCAGGCTGTTTAACTTGGTGCTGCTATTTCTGCGGATGAAACCAATAAGTTCACTTCTTAGTTTTAGTGGCAATTGGATTTCAGATAAGCTAGTAATAGTTATGAGTAACTATAGGTTATTGCCGACTGTTGGCGGCAGACAGGCCTTTTCCATGCGCTTTTCGGGCATGTTCTCGTCGTCAGCGATAATTGCAGAGACGCTTGGAAACTAGCTTGTCTAATTCAGGCGGCATTGACATGACGGCGAATTAGCCAAATGTGACATCGCACTCCTTATGATGTGTATACTAGAAGTGGAACTCACTGCTGCGTTATCAGCCCGGATTCGCACCGGGTCATACCGTATTACGATTCAGAATCCATTCGCTAATAGCTGACTGACGCCAATAAAAATGTACTTTAGCAGGGGTACTGCGCGTACCGACCTCGGCACACCGAAGCTACACATCACACATTTGCATATTTCCTTTTCTATCATTAACTGCGGCTAGCCTACAACACACGTGGCATGTTTAGAGTTGCTCACGTCGCGGGTCTTTCGTGACGCACGGCCTGCTGCACATGATCACCGGTGCTCCGAAGTGTTGCGAATACGTCGACCAAGAATGTCCATTTCCGACGTACACCCTAGTCATCAATGGTAGAAAAGGAAGTGGTTATTTCACGGCTGCAGGGCGCCCTTCTGCGTTTGCCAAAGGATGATCTAATCAAGTTGCTCAGGAGCACGTACCAGGCTATGCGCATAAAACATGGAATACCCTTCGAACGCCCAGAATCAAATACACACAGCTCCGCAACACAGCGAGAAACGGGGGCCAGGGGCGCCAAAGCTACGGCTGCCCGCAGCAAGAGGAAACACAGCGCAGGCAAAAGGAAACCGTCTGAGACCTCGTCGGATAAGGGGAATTTTGCGAAGGTCGAGCAGCCTACCTTCCGACAAATCGACATTTTAGCGGATGATTTTAAAGATTTGAATCTGTCTTATGACTCCGACGCGTTCGATCTGGCCGAGCCGGGAGTCGACAGCCATCAGCATGCCAACTCTCCAACTCAGAGCGGCACTGTAGACGAAACCAGCCTATCGGAAAGCACGTTGAACGACCGTGAATTCGCAATTCAGACGCTGAAAGATGATGCGCGTCAAATTGTGCCTCCACTGGACCTTTCGGCCATAAGCGCCAGCGCGAAGGAGGCGTACAAGGTGACCGACTTCTTGCCGTCACCGAAAGTGGGTACGACGGGTTTGTTGTCATTGTAAAAAAATTACGTTCTTTTAGACTCCTATGTGAACCTGAAGCATATAATGCGGCCGGAAGCGTATGCGTCGGGAGAAGTCGCGACCGACAATTTTATTGGCCATCGATTACGTGACACGTCCGGCTACAGTCCGACAGACGACAACAAAATGCCACATCCTCGAAATGTTGTCCGAGGCGCCTATACGGTAACGCCGCGGCCTGGTCCGTGGATGAGGGGGTATCCCCTTCCTCAGCATGTGTACGACCGACGTTATCCGCATCTTCCTCAGGCCTTTGGTACTATGCCCGGTGGGCAAGTCGCATATCGCGATATGCAGCGACTTGGGCCTTGCGCTCCAAGTCAGGTTCGTGGCCGCTCAGTGCAGCGTTTCTAGCCCCCATATGTCACATGTTTTAAAGTGTGTACGCCTTTTTACGTGACTATGAGCAAATGTGTGACTCGTGGGAGGTTGATGGCAGATTACTCGCCAAGATAGACGAGTATTTTGACTTCAACCGCCGACTTGTCCCCGACCCCGCAACCGGCAGCTGCGGTCCCAACGGCTCATTTTCCCGCAACAAACGCGCGCGTATTCTGGATTCTCCCACGGATGACGCTGTAACCGTCAATAGCGATGCGTCTGATGATGCAGCAAGTGATGGAGAGGGCTCTTACGAGCCCGAATGCATCGTTTGCAGCGAGGCGTTCACGGACACGTCGGATATTGGCGTTCCTATGAGCTGTATGCACATTTTCTGCTATACTTGCATTAAAAAGTGGTCTGATCATACGAATGTGTGCCCGATTTGCAAGGTCGAATTCAACGAGCTGCGGCGCCTCCGATGGCGGCAATTTGTCGAATATCTGTCCTCCTCCACTAGGTGGAGCCTCAAGCGGTTGCGACGCACTGTAACTCCCTGCATTAAAAACTTCAAGGCATTAAAGGAGAATTTATTAAGTTGTTTGGGTGCTATCCCGTCTCAGCGCGAATGGGTTTCCCGTAAGACTCTCAGTGAAGAGACGGAAGACAGCGTCGGTGGCTGCGAGGTTTGCGGCGGCGACAACTACTGGGAACAGATGTTGCTATGCGATGGCTGCAACCTCGGTTTTCACCTGTTTTGCCTAGATCCTCCGCTGACTTGTATTCCTCCAGGCGACTGGTATTGCAAGACGTGTCTCGAGTCAACGTTACAGCCACCCCAGGATTCACATGATGCCGTAACCTCACAAAACAACGCGGCTAGTGCGCGTGCAACTGGTAGGCGTTCGTCTAGGTCACGGACCACCAGATTGGCGAGAAGGAACCGTGTTGGGTTGGATTCACCGATTACCGACCGCCACTCTAGTGTTGAATCGGACATGGCTGTACAGGGACATATGTTAAGTGATGCGAATAATGCCCATAATATGCCCGCGGATACTGAAGTGCGTGGTAGACACGTCGATGTGCATGCTGAGCCAGTCACGGCAAGTGACGACGTATTGATCGACCTCGGAAATGATTTCTCGTCTGAGGACAACACGCACGCAGGACGGCACGAATCAGATCGCGTGACATTAACTCGTATGCCCCCAAGTTTAGCGTCGCGTAGTTCCAGGTCTGCATCGTATTCTATTAGTATGGAGGAGCGGGAACGCAGACCTGAAAGCTCGACCGCGTGTGATGAAGAAACAGCCGGCACAGAATGCGGCGGTCTTTTCAGCGAAGAAGATTCGCCATCATCTGCTGAAATTGATCACAACGTCGGATTAGCTGAAGACTCGAAAAACACAACAAATGAAGCATCAGTCACCGCTGGCAACTTCGTAGGTGATGTTGTTAACGGCACTGCGGCGTCAATGGAGGAAGTAAATGTAGAAAATCTTAACCTCGATGACTTGGCTTTTAATGCGAATTCTTTGTCTGTGCCAAGCAGTCAGAACCAGGAAACCCTTGACCCAGCTAGCATTCTGGGTGACATGAGCATGGAGGAAATCGACCGGCTGTTTGAGGACAAGCCTAAACGCTGTATGTCCTTTATCTATCGCTACAGAACGATGATGGAACGGGAGATCCGTGGTAGTGGCCGGATTCGATCCATGCAAAACCCCCGTATTCAAGGCAGTTCTGTGAGGTATATATTTTGATCAGAAGTAGCCATTGGTGCGTTCGTTGTATGGTTCAGGTGAAGTTCTGCTCAGCAGGGATTTCATCGTCTTGTTATTCAACTGGAATTAGGAGGCCGAGCAACGATGACTACATGTTTATGCGTGACCCGTAATGGCTTAAAATAGTCAGGCGTGAGTCATGCATTCTGCAAAGCCGGGCGACTAAGGATATGTAATATTGTGTTGTCGCTGCTGCCCTGTTTTGTTAGCACATTTGTTTATTTTGGAAAGAGTCTCGCAACGGATCTACGTTTTAGCTACACTTGAGCTCCTCATCACTTGGAAGGGTGCTATTGAAGTCAGACAATTTGTGTTGTAGTCACAGATGTTGACTCTGCGCAGGCCTTTATCTTATGGCATGGGGTGTTTATTACGCCTCCTACGTACAATCCCTGCTTCGGGACTCTTACTTTATTAAATGTTTTAATTATCTATCCCTTGCTTAGATTGTAGCATTTTCACGCGATGGCGCATGATCCTCTAACATGCTTCATCTTTACAATTTCGACACTTGTTATCTTTCTCTTTGAAGCTTCGTGGTTGCGTTTAACGTATGTTGCACTTGTCGCCACCTATAGTATCGTGGCTAATTTATGTAAGTATTGTTTACCTGAATCATCAATAGCCCTGGCCACTCGAGAACTGGAGGATATTCAAGCTACCGCCATGTGCTGGATATTCCGTCTTTTCCATGGCGTCTTACGTTATTTATATGATATTGATGCAGCTAAATTGTATTTCAATTCTGTGATTTTGCACTAATATTTAATGATTTGGCGCCAACGTAGTTGCATATATAAGAATGTTTTATATAGACGTCCGGACATTAAAGCGGGTTAGTACATTGAAATTGAATCACAATGCTGCGAGTATACTATGTGCATCCGAGGAGACCATACAATAGTGCTGGAGGCATGCGCTGATTGTGACGCTGTTGTTTTTGAATCCGTACCAGAAAGACTCCTTAATCTATTTTGCAATTTCTTGAGATTGCTATTTACTATGCAGAGGTGAATGCAAACCATGGTGGAGCCAGCCACGGAGCTGGAAAAGTCTCCAATGCATCTCATTTCTAATTCATATAGGTGTTCATGACGTGCGCTACACCTAGGCATCTCCCCTCATCTTACTCGACGAGCCTAAATAGCGGCGTAGATGGCACTTGGCGGATGCGGTAGCTTATTCGGCGCAGAGGACACACAGAACAATATGCTATTCTATGTGTACGCTGTATAACGTTGTTCAGAATACATAATGCTGCTTTGCAGCACGTGTACAAGGTGCATTGCACAGTGGGTAATCACGTGTACACCACATTCCAGTGCGCCTACTACATAAGCTCTATTAAGCTCACAAAGTACATGATTTCATTATCTTCCTGATAAGAGCTGCAAACAGTAACTCGCACGGCTCGAGCTCGCAATACGCGGAGAGAGGCGCGAGGATTCGATTACATAGCATGCGTAGTTGATGCAACGAGCGTAACTGCCTTCTCAGTAGTTGCAAATATGCGTCATGAATGCGCGGCGTGATCGCTCTGCCAGGCGACTGTCCGAGTGTCCAGTGTATGGCGCCGTTTCCAGAAGGCGTAACAACGTGGCGCATAGAACGTTGACATTCGCAAGCGGTGGAGTGATTCGTTCTCCAACGAGTGCAACTTCACGATCATACGCTGCATTATCCAGCATCAAATCCATTCATCGCAGCGTGTGACGTCTAATCAAGTCTTCCGGAGGTTTCTCACGTGGAGTGTTCGGAGCTCCATCTCCCAGGTTCCCACTACAATCACTACAATTGGAAGCGGAATTGCAGCCGAATATGTTGCAAATCATTGGTCGGGTTGGTAGTATATCGTCTCTAAAATGTCTTCAAATCTTGCCTTCAAGACCGCCGTAACGAAGTCCCTTATTCGAGATCATTGCTTGCCTCTGGGACGCCCATTCCGTGGATCCAACTACCTATGACGATGAACCAATGCAATACAATCGATAGATCATCCCATATCTGTGGTCAACCGCCTGGTCCGTCGTTTTCGATGTCTGTGTACGCCTCGCCGCATCGAAGGCACAGCAAGCTCTGCAATGACACAGGGATTGTAGTACGAGCGCTTTCAAAGCATCATCCCATTCTAAAATGGCGATGTACAGATTGTGTAGCGTTCGTAGGTGAACTATTCCTCATATTGTTGAAAACTTCGTCGCTGAACTGGTGCCGATGCCCCGGTGTTCTCAGTGCTGTTGGCACGCAGCATATCATTTCGATATCTTAGTTCATAGGCAATATTGTGTGAGGTCTATTAAGCATATTGGTAAAACAACTTTTCAATCATCTGCGAACCAATTTTGTCACATCAGGGTTTTCTTGATGCCCCTGTGGTTACCCACCCGCAGCTGCCGATTTAGTGTTAAACATGGTGGCAGGCTTGGCACAGATCAGTGTAACTATCACGTTAAGTTCGTGTGCCTGGGTGGTGTAGTGAGAGCTTACGCCCCAAAGTGAGTTGTACTTTAATTATGCCGGCCTTGGATTTTGTAAGTGACGCAGAGGGAAATGTAGAGTGCGGCAAATGAACGAAACTAAGGTTAGGCGGGATGCCAATTTCACGCTACGATTAAATATTGCAGATGTAGCAGTGATGGCATCACGCGCTTTAATGAACTACGTAGATAAACTTCTGTCGACTACCTCCATCAACCGGTGCTTGTCAGGTCAGGCTATGTCTAGGTGTTCGATAATCTCACAGCCGACTGCAGGATGTTACTGATTGAGTATGTGGCTTGGCAATGAATGCCACCGGGACTCTCCGAAGTGATGGCCAGTGTGAGGCCTATCTGAGTTGCGTCTATGGTCAACATGGTGGTAAGCCTTGAAGTCGTAACCCTGGACTGTACCCCAGCAGCCACTTTGCGGGGCGCCCCGCAAACATTGTTACCCAGATGTCTATAACCCCGAATGCCTTGCATCGCGCTTGAGCAGTGTCAGTATGGGTCGCGTATGGACATTTTTCTTGGATCAAACGAGTGAGTGTAATGTGATTCAAATTGTGCTGGCACTTAACGCATCAGGACATGCGCTGGCCGTGTATACTAACGGTGTGTAAGAGCTGAAAGCTTCGGAAACACGCGTACGGGGGCACACCTGGACGGTAGTATGCCAGTGTGCTTCTCCTTGAAGAGTAAGCAATGACGTAAACGTAGATGGACCACTGGTTAGCAAGGTAGTATTCCAAGGTGTTGTCTGCACGATGGGAACGTATGCTGGAGCGCATGAAGGGGATGCGGAAAATGTTGCGCCCGTTGAAGAAGCGGAAAGTAAGCCGGCAAAGCGCATTTGTACGGGTGGGGACAAGGATGGTGTATATGACAGGAGAACGGACAAGCTAAAGCAGATGAAGGAGTGGAAGAGCCGTTTTGGTGCGTTTATGGCGTATACTCAGACGGTACTTAACGACGTACTTGGCGATACTCGGCCGGATGCGACCTCGGAGTTGAATAGCCGACCGGGAAAATCGCCGAGAGGTAACGGTGGTAGCCGTTGCAGCCCTCAACAGCGCACGCTTGGTGCCGATCCGCCATCAATACAGAGCTCTTCGCAAATCATCCCGAAAAAGACCCCAAATACACAGGCTCTAATAAACCGCCTTCAGTGACGGATCCTAAAAGAAGGGTTTACAATTCGTTGACCGAGGCTCCCCGCAACTTCAAGGAGTGCATTGACTGGCTGATAGCCCTGAAGGGAACTGATCCGGAAAACAACTTCGAGGCTATGGGTGCCGCATTACACAAGTTTCTCGCGGACAAGCCGGTTGGAAAGATGGAGCTGCCAGCTCTCGAGAAAATAAAAAGCATTTCTAAAGAGTTCCTGGAGAGTCCGGGGCTTAAGAATGAGCCATTCGTGAAACGCATGCTCTCGATATTCAACGGAGGTATTAGTGGTATGTCAGCTCCGGCGCATTTTGCGGATTCACCTGATGCTCCCAGTTCTTCTGGTTCCTCGGGTTCTGTATCTCAGACGATTAGAGATATCCTCCTCAGCAATTATGAGAACATCGTCCAGAGGGACCGTCTCGGTCCTGAAGACATCGCAAAGAGCTTCGCTCATGTTGTGGGTGTTTGTGAGAAGTTATTGGATGGTATCAAAAACCCTGACCAGTATAATTCCGCATACAGTTCAGAAGCGACGTTGGATACATCATGTTCTAAACACCCGGACGCTTGCGCTATCATATTCGTGGGGATTGCGCCAATGTTGGCCATTGGCTTTAATGCCTTGTTCGCAGTCGATATATCTCCACTAATGGGGTTGCCGCGTTTCCAGGGGTGTCAGCCTATGTCAGTAAGGTTGAAAGCCGTGGGCTACGTGGAGCCGGAGTTGCACGCTGGAATGAATGTTTTAACTTATCTTATGGCGTTGATCCAGATAGATAAACGCGCACTTGTCCACATTTACGACCTCGCCGGCTTCTGGGCTTTTTACTGAGTAGATTGCCCGTGTGAGCTGTTCGAGCAGTTCGACAAACAACGATTTTACGGCCGTCTTCCCACTGAGTTGGTGTCATACTAACTCTCACGAAACATGCCTAATTAATGAAATATACCTATCTCCGGCTATATGCATACACTCTTAATCCACCACACTCTGCCCGCCAGATGAGACCAAGCATAGTTCCGAACCTCTATTTAATCTCGTTCGTGACGCAAAAAGGCGAGCCTCTCTTAGTCGCACGCTTCAATGCCCATTTGCCCGACAGACATCATCTGGAGACCCGCAGCTTATAAATCGCGGAGTACATTGCTTTACACCGTCTCAGGTGGATGAGTTATCGTTGCCGCCTTGGCAAAGCACGGTATTATACGTTATTGAAGTGAGAAGCACCTGCTGAACGCAAGTCGTAAAAACCATCTACCTAGTACTACATATCAACACGTTCATTGATCGTGGGAACCCTCCTGAATGCACATCTCATTACTTCCCGTAAAATGCGCCAACACGTTGGTTCTGTTAATTGTTGTCTGTTTTGCATTCATGGGCCTTTCGAACTCTTTGCTTGTTATGCCACGCAAAGCAGAGATAGTTGGCAGTGCACTGGGTTCATAGGCGTGACAGAACACACATGGTGCAACCATAGACGATATCGTGCAAGACAGGCGTCGAGCATGATAAACTGAAGCCAAGCCAAGTTTAGGCACATAGCGCAATATACAACATGAAAAACAGCGTAATTAAGCTCCGTTCGACACACTGCCATTTACAGATACAACTAATAAGCCCTTATATGAATTTCGGCACCTATGATACGTGAAGGTTTTTATTATGGGTAGTCGAGTGCTAATATAGCGACGTTTCGGTTACGTATGTTCATTACACCCACGACATGAATCATCACTTTAGGATGTTCATCACGTTAAGGTTTCGTGACTTAGATGGTGCGTGACGACAATCTATGATTTAGTGTCAGTTGTTTTGTTGGCAGTAAATTCACTCACTGCGCATCTGATCATAACCATCCGTGTACACTCACTCTGTTTTTCCAGAGTTTCCAGCACGAAGTCCTCAAATTCTTCACGGGAGTGGCTCATCTCAGTAATATCACAGATTATACCAGTTTTGAAATTGGCAAGAGCCTTTGCCATTTCCACTCTAATTTCTTCCTTGTTCTGCAATATGACTGGCTACATGACGCAACTACCAACGCTTTCATAATCGCTCCTAGCCGACTTCAGTCTTTTAGTTTCTGGTGATACATGACATGGTGACTGTAAAAGTTACCTTCGGTAATGGTGTCTATCAATTTTCTTTCGGACGCTAATCGCTTTTCCACAACCTCTTTCATATCATTGATAATGTTTGTATGCAACGCTTTTAACCGTTCGACCATGTCATCCAACTTAATGATGCCTCTTTGCTCTTGTATGAGGTTGGCATCAAATGATATGTGATCGAGTTGTTGTCGAGCGTGCACATCCAGGGTTGCGACCATTCCCTCAATCCACTGAGCGGTTTTATTTCAGCATAGATACGTATGATGTATAGTACGTTCACTGTATGTTGCACATTAGACCTTACATTTTGCGCGTCTGCTCTGAATTCCGCAACTTTCGCTTCAAATTGTCCATGCAAATTGTTATAGACATGCGTCAACCGATCATTATCAGCCATGCTTGCTTCCATGTTGAATACAGCTGCCTGAATTTGCCCTACTTTCGTTTCTATGTTCTGCGTCATCTGTGGGCAGAGAATTAAGTAAGAAACACGTTTATCATTACAGAACATATTACCGCATACAACCGAGTACGGTGATATCACTCTCACGCACCGCTACGTCAACAAATACATTCTACATGTTGTCACATGGAAGAAATTATTCTTGACAACACCTTAACGATAAACTTACCTTGCGATTTTGATCGTAACGCTCGAGCACAGACGTGTATTTTGTATCTAGATGGTCCAGTCTTACAGAAATAAGCTTTAAAAATTAAGGTTTGTTCGGCAGGTCGCACTAACCTCTAAACAGCTGGAGCTCCACTTCTTGCTGACGGGCTCCATGTGTTGCTGGAAGTGCTGAATGGCTCTACTGTTTGTTTCAGTAGTGGCACACTAGTTCTCTGCGACCTTTTCGGAGGGACTCGCTGGAGCCTTGTGCTTTTTGTAGAATCCAGAGTTGATCAGGCTTATCTCAATGCAAGACCCGACGATCATCATAATCCCACACAGAATCGGTAACCCCTTATAAGGTTGTGGAGGTGGTAATGCTTTAATGCCCTGTTCATTGAATTTGCACATAATGTGTGGAAGTACCTACTTCCATGTTGCTCGTAGGAAACCGTCGACGAAAATTCTAAGCAGAAGTCACACCAGAATGGCTGCTATATGCAAATTGAACAAGGAAACAGTGAACCTCAAGGCATATGGCGCATTTACTACTCGATGTGTAACACAAGTCATAGAATCCTGTCTACAGGGCGGTGTAGGGAGTGGAAGACGTGCACAGTATTTGCGTTGATATTTCCAGTTGGCAACTATTTATACATACACACATTCATAACGTAAGATGATATATTGGACGTGCTCACTGCTGATCATTCGGTAGGATTGTGGTGTAGAGCGCTGCTTATGCTATTAAGACCAGAGTGATCTTCCGAACACCATAAACTAATAACAATTTCTACACACATTGAGACATAATATTCCACACATTCAGGTTATGTGGTGAAGTCATGGCTACACTTCGTCTTTGAATCCATCCGCACTCTAGACATAAGGGGTTTGAAGAATGAAGGCGGCATTGGTTATATTTTTGCTTTCGGCAATACTTCCGCTCTATTCTGAGGTGAGTGGGCAGTTCTTTAATACAATATTTTCCATAACTGTTTTATATTGATAAGCCTCTACCGTGCTTTTCGCTGTGTTGCACATTAGCCAGTTTAAGCTGTCCGAAAGGTCTTAAGTAAAGCTAGTGAGCAGGTAACAGGTTTTTGCATAGCCCGCAAAGGTTTTACTGGTGAGCTATTGCTGACTGTGATGAAGACGTACGCTTTTCAGTACCTTTAAGGTCGTACATAATTTAGTTATGCGGATTCCATAATGTTATTTGATATATGGCCCGATAATATTGGTTAATTTCCCACACTTATGAACGCGAAACTGGGCGCAATTTTTTATTGAATCCAGAAAAATTCTAATCGTGTTCAGGCGGCAACGGAACTCCAGGCCCATAGGCTCAGCGGCTTTAAACTGCATGACAAATCGTATGGCTTTCCTGAAGCGTTGCATTATGGTCGAATCGCCAGTGTGCGTTCGTTGTGCCCTGATTTAGCCTCACAAAGCCCGGAGATGACCGATGCGGCATTGGAGGATGCTTTGGCGAAACGGATGCACAAGAATGGTTATACAGTGATGTTTCGCCTGCAAGACGTTCTAGAAAACCGTCTCGATTTTATTGCGTTTCGTACCTTGCTGAAATCGAGCGGTAGTACTGCCATGATTTTGATCCCTCCGCCATCGAACATTTTACCCGGGTCACCCAACGGTTGCACGGAGTCGCCAATGCTGGATTCCGTTTCAGAAGAAGGCTTACCGGTTTGCAAGCACGACTCTCCAGTATTTCATCAATCCACAATGTCTGCTTTTTATGACTTTTTGCTAAATTGTGATCCAAAGGCACTCCTGGCTGTGGTAGAGGAAAGTGAGGATACGTTGAATGTTATGCGTGACTATGCGTCCGGAGTTGCACCCTTAGGTGCTGTTAATCGGTACAGGATAATTTCGTCTACGTACAAGAGCATTTCGAATTACAAGTCTTTCAACATTTTTGGCACATTGAAGAGTGCTCACAACGAGGAAGCTGATGAAAATGTAGCAACCGACTCCAGCGGCAAGTCTTTTAAAGAGCCAAAGCGCGATGGTGTCATTATTAGGCCCAAAATTGTATTGTGCTCCCATTTTGATACGTTTTCGATGCTGCAGAGTTACCGCTCGCCAGCGTCAAGCAACACCGGTTTGATTGCGCTCCTGGAACTCGCGCATTTGCTTGCAGGATTGGATCATCACGCCTACGATGTCGTAGTATTGCTGACAAGTGGCTCCATTTTGAACTTCCAGGGCGCGGCAACATTCGCAAATTCATACCCCAATATCGACAACGTTGAGCTGGTGCTCTGCCTCGATGATCTGACTAGTCCGGAGCTTTACGTTCACACTTCGAGCAAGTCCACCGCATTTTCGCATCTATTCCAAGAGCACCTATCTGGTAGCTTGAGTGACACGATTAAACGAGGTGTGAACACGAAGGCCAAGCTTCTGTATTTCCAGCACGAACAATTCACCCGCCAGAAAGTACACTCCATAACGCTAACATCTGTGAAGGACTTGATTGCGTTGCCGCTGCGTCAGCGCCCTTTTGAGCACTCGTGCGATGTGTCGGTTTTGGCTAATCACGTCATTGCGATTGCTCAAGCATTGGCATCTGCATTGCACTGCGGTCCGCTGAATGTGGATGCGTCTGAAGTGCAAGCACGCATCGCCTTGTGGGAAGGGAGACTTGGGAACCCGCGTTGCGGTTTGACGTACGATCTTCATAAAGAGGAAGGAGTTGTCTCGGTTATGAATTATTTGCGTCCGTTGCTGGAGACCATCTCCACCCCGAATGTCTCCAGTAAGATTGTTGGTTTCGAATTTCACTCCAATAAGCCCATGCGCGTCGTGTTTTATCGGAACCGCACTATCGTATACCACGTCTGCGTTATGCTTGCGTCGGCGGTCTACATTTTTATAGTGTGGTCGATAATCCGCGCTTCGCCCAAAGCGGCATTTACTGACATAATGGAGACAATGTACGGGGCAGCGTCAAGTAAGCAGCAGGACTCTTCGGACGCCAGACCCACCGGTCGCTCGCAGACCAAGTACAAAATCGTATAATATTGACTGACCGTTAAACCACTGGTGCAGCGTTGCATTTAGGTATTGCGCTTCCAGCTGTTTTATTGCAAGCGCAATGGACTTTATTTGTATTTATGGAACTGGATAAGTACGGGAGTTCCCAGCTTCCGCATGTATTGTCAGTTTGCTGCGTGCATCTAACCCCGCAGTGCGACCTTGGCGCACGGCTACTACGCCTACATAGTGTTGCACTTGGCGTACTTCTCGTTCCACTCGCGTGCAACGCGCTCCGCGTCCGCCTTGTCCGATTTGAAGTGGTCGGCAATCGCCGTGTCGAGTGGGTCGTCTGGCTCAGGTGCGCTGAGCAGCGACTGTACACTAAGCAGCACCGTCCGTATCTGCAAGGCGGGGCTCCACTTGTCCTTCAGGATGTCCAGGCATATCCTGCCGAGCTTGTCAATGTTCGGATGGTATATGCTGGTGAGGAATCGCACTTTCGGGGGCTCCATTGGGTACTGCTCGGGGAGAAAGAGCTCCAGTTTGTACACCCCTCCCTCATAGGGCGTGCTTTCGGGTCCCAGCATCCGGATGTTGAAGTGCCGATTGTTGCCGGGGTTGAGCTCGGCCTTGATGCCGGGTGCTGCGAGAACATCAGCGTGTCGGGTCACATGGCGTCCACTTACGCGAATCATTGGCCAAATTTTCGGTTTCCTTCAATATCCGTTTGGGCGTCATTGTGCGTCTTGTGATGACTTCTGTTTGCGCTTTGCGCCTCCCCATAGGTGTTTGCCCGATAGCTTGTGATTCCATGGGTTGCTGGGCACTCCGGTTTGCCAAACACCATTTGGGTGCATCTTCCTTACCGTTGTTTAAGGAAGGTTGGCTTCCGTCGGCTGTGTGCGGTCACAGCTGCCTCGACACACGCGTCGCCGAAGCCGCGTGAGCGACGGTGTCTATCGTGCTTATTCGGCGCTGTCCTGTCCGTTTTAATTATCCAAAACCGGTAGTACAAGATGTCACGCATGAGAGGATACCTCATGCGCGATGGCGTGAACCCCTCGCCATCCCAGCGCTCGTCGCAGAACTCTGACCGCTTGATGACGGTGTCCGAGCTGGGGACGTCGAAGTCCCTGGGAACCTACAGCGATGACTTTTCGAGTCTCATGAGTGGCTCTTCGTCGCATAGACGTGGCTCGACAAACACCTCGACTTCCGACGCAGAGCGCCAACTGCAGCTGGACCACATGCATCAGCAGATCCTTGCCGAGTACGAGGGAGGCAGGGAAACCTTGATGATATATCAACGCAGCTATCGCGCAGCTGTAGAACGCTTTCTCTCGTTTGCAAGTGAGAACAAGCAGGTCTATACGAAGGTGATGGACCTTCATCAGCAGGTGGAAAAACAATTTGAGAAGAACCAGGGCAGCGCTGCCGCCCAGCTCGCTGTACACCTGCGGGTTATCGTGAATGTTAGTCTGCTATATTTCCGCAGCGACGACTCTAACTCGTCGCTGGCGCACATGCTAATCAAGTCTCCGTACATGACGTACCAGGCCTTCCAGGACGCCATCCAAGAGGTTTGGCGCACGCATACTTCGAAACTGTCTGTCGCTCCTCCTAAGCTGGGGATTTGTGGTTGGTTGGGGCGTCACCACGTGACTCCGCGTGGGCTGTGCAGCAGCATGATCAACACTCTGACGGCCGTCGAGGGTGTGGTTAACAAGTGTTCCACCGTTTGTCCGAAGCTTTCACAGTCGGTTTATGTTGGCGAGCCAATTTACGACAAGATGCACGAATCCGAGAAGACGGTTCACCTGCGTAACCACTATGACCTCACGGATTTCACCAAGACTGCGAAGGACAACGGCCTGCCGCCTAGTGCTGACCCCGAGGGTAAAGTAGTGCATCGCCAGGAGATTGGTCTTAGCAGCTACCGCAATTACCAAACTTTCGTTATACAGGAGACTCCTGAGGATTCATTCACCGGCCAGATGCCCCGATACGTCTCCGTGATAGTACAGGACGACCTGTGTAACGTGGTCCAGTGCGGAGACCGCGTTCGCGTCTGGGGAGTGTACCGTGCAGGTTGCGGTCGCGCTGATGACACCAACAACGGTATCGGTCGCGGTTACTTGGTTGCAAACTACGTTGCTATCCGTAACAAGTTGGCTACCAGGCTGTCCAATGAGATCACCGATGACGATCGCGCCAAGTTCAAACAACTGGCCCAACGGGAAGACTGCCTGAGCATTTTAACTCGTTCTATGGCTCCTTCTATCTGCGGTCACGAGATCGTGAAACGCGGCCTTCTGCTGTCCTTGGTCGGCGGGCAGGCCAGCGACGAGTCCAGTGATCATCGCATTAGGGGTGACATTCACGTACTGCTTGTAGGTGATCCAGGTTGCGGTAAGTCCCAGATGTTACGCTTCGTGATGAACCTGCTACCGGGAACGGTATCGACCACCGGTCGTGGTTCTACCGGTGTGGGTCTTACTGCAGCTGTGGTCGTTGACCAGGAAACTGGTGAACGCCGCGTCGAGGGAGGCGCCATGGTGATGGGCGACCGTCGTATCGTCTGTATCGATGAGTTCGACAAGATGCAGCCGAGTGATCGTGTTGCAATTCACGAAGTGATGGAGCAGCAGACGGTGACCGTCGCTAAAGCGGGCATCCACACCACACTGAATGCTCGCTGCACGGTTCTCGCCGCCGCCAATCCGTCATACGGCTGTTGGAGTGAGGATATGGATGTCTCGCAGCAGTTGTGTTTCGAGCGTTCTCTGATTTCTAGGTTCGACCTCATTTTCGTCGTTCGTGACTCCGCCACCGAAGCGGAGGACGAGCGCATCGCTGAGGCCGTTCTACGCAATCTCACCCAGAAGTCCAAAGTGATAACTGCGCACAAGAATTCCGCGCAGTCTGGTCGTCCCGGTGGCGCACCTAGTTGCGTCATTCAGCCAGTCGAGGGAGACATGAACCAAGAAGCCTTCGCCAATGCCACCTTCGACGGTTTCCACTGGGAGGAGCAGTGGGTGCCGACTGCAGCCGCACCCGCTAGGGCGAAGAAGGCAAAGTCCACGGGCAAGGGGGCTGATGGTTTCCTCAAGAGCCGGTCGGAGATGACGTACATCGACTGCCAGGGCGTCGAGCACGACGTCGTGGATTCGTCCTTTTTGCGCAAGTACATTCACTACTGCAAGTACCTGTTCTACCGTGAGATGGAAGCCATGGAGGGATGGCGCGCGTCCCCCGAGATCAGCGAGGTTGCTCGCCGTGCCATAGTGTCTCTCTATTCCCAGCTTAGAAACCGGGCGCAGCAGTCTGAGAAGCACCGACTGAAGCTTCCGCAGGCAGTCACTCCTCGTACCTTGGAGGCCATCATCCGTCTCTGTGTGGCTTACACGAAATTGCAGTTGAAGCGCTGGGTTACCACTGACTGTGTCGCCGCCGTGGGAAAGCTGCTGAACTACACGCTTTTTGGTGATGCTTACGACGTTTTCGAGACTGAAACGGAACCCACATCTGATTTCGAGGACGAGCCGATGTCTGATGAGTCGCCTAAACGCATGCGTCCGCGCCGGGCCGCTGCTGCTGACTCCACATCAACTGCCCCCGTTGGCGAGATCACCGGACGCGAAGAACAGAGACCATCAGAAGGCAAAGCACAGAGCACCGCCCAATCTTCTGAGGTGGATGAAAACAACACGGCAACGCTCCTGTCATGTTTGCGTAAACTCGACACTGGTGATGGTGTCGACCTGTCGGACCTTTACATAGAGTTCTCGAGATCGGTGCGCATGTCCATGGATGATTTCAAGAAGTTCCTGCAGACTCTGCACAACCAGGAACCGTCTCCGATCGTCTATTCGGAGGAAGCCTTCATGGTCTTCAGTTGCTGATTCGGTGGCGCCAATTTGCGCGCTTCCCGTGCTACACGCCCCCGAAACCGTCTTACATCGCATCTACAATCATCCCGACACCAGGCGGAGTACGCCTCCCCTCACTGTCATTGAGCGGTCTGTTCCGGCCTCCACGGCAATGGCATTAACGTATACGAATCACAGTGTGCCAAATATAGTAAATTGTACCGATCAATCTAACATTATGTTATAAGTCTTAAACAATTCTGTACGCCTTGAAGAACTTGGTGATGTGGTACACCGAGAACCCGGCGGTTGCTCCGATGATGATGAACTGCAGGATGTAGAAGTAGAGGATGTAGTTGTACATGCCCTTGTAAGTGTCGTGCAGCTCCTTCACGGTGGCGCTCTCCATGCGCTGGTGGCTCTTGATGTTCATGATGTTGGCTGCGAATTTGCTGAGATCCTCCGACAGCTCCTTGATCTCGTCCTTCTTTGCCGTCGTCTCCTTGTCGACATCGTACTGCATATGGCGGCCGTACTTGTCGTTTCCGTCGGCAATTTCCGTGGAGAGCCCAATCTTGGCCATGTGTGACACGTACCACATCTGCCCGGGGCATTCAATGCATACGTGGTAGGTTCCCTCGACCTTGGCAACGTAGGTTACACGCCCTATACCGCTGTGAGCAGGAGATGTGTGCTCATTACCTTTGGCTGGCATGTCCTTGAGGTTAGTGCTCTGCAGCACCTTTCGCTCCTCGTCGGATATCCTCACGATGCACGATCGCGCTGAGCGTTTGTGTTTGGCACTGTGTGGAAGTTACCTTCCGGATTGAGCAGGTCGTAGTTGACGCTGAGCATCGCCATGTAGGGGACGCTCTCGTAGAAGCAGCGCTCGTCATTGTAGTCGATTTGGAAGTAAAACCCCGATACACCGACGGAGCACATGGCCAGGGCGAGCGCAACACCGCTAGCGCCCTTCATTTTGCCAATTTATTGAGTACTTTAACACGGTTATTGGTGTGTCCCCATCCGCTAAGGGTGTCGCCCGTTGACGCGTTAATACACATCACCGGTCACGCCGCACCCACTAAAGGGTGTAACGTCTTCCTCATGTACTGAACGCAGCAAAACCGCAGTTCATAAGGTAATTATACAATACAGTTCACTTTCACCGTTGTCTATTGTCCTTTTGCCTCTTCCATGGCGAACGTCTTTGAGTCTCGCTGAACATCTGGTTGCTAGGGTTAACAACTGTTCGATGTGTTACGATATGTACGATAATTTTGTCAATTTGTGCTACCTGAAAATCATTGTGAACATCTACAAGCTTATTTTCTGAGCCTTCGGTGGGAGGCACCTGAAACTCATGCTGTGGTACTCATGACCTACGGATTAGGTGTTATATTGACATACACGTTTGATGTATGGCGCTGTCAAGGTATACTCCTCTAATCAATCGTATTATTCACCCTGATCTCATATTGAGGTCCCCGATCAGGGTGAATGGCGCCATTGCGCCGCTGCCGAGCAGGGCGATGCTACGCATGCGTGCAGCGGGTATTACCGCCACTATACAATCCGTTGAACAACGAAGATGTAGGCCATCGGAATCTGCCAACGTAAACGACGTAAAGGACTCGCGTTTCGCCTGTGGCACACGTGGAGTTACGTCCACACCTGTCGCATTTCCCCGTTACGAGTGGTTACACTCTCCTGCTAGAATGGGGACTCCTCGAAGCGTGATTGATATAAAAACTCCACCTGGATTTCTGATTGCACGCCAATTCAGCACAAGGAATATAAGCGGCAGGTTGTTTTATCGGCGCCGTCCCAAGATGATCCCTCGATATAAGCCCAAGAACCGTAGGTCTTGCTGGCTGGAAGGCTGCCCGCAGAAGAAAGGGGTATGCGTTACACTTAGGGTGGTTACCCCGCGCAAGCCGAATTCTGGATTGCGTAAAGTAGCCCGTGTGCGCCTGAGCACTGGTAGGACGGTGACGTGTCACATTCCCGGCGAAGGTCACAACCTTCATACGCATTCAGTGGTGTTGGTCCGGGGAGGCCGCTGCCAAGATGTGAGCGGCTGCCACTACAAAGTGATACGCGGGAAGTATGATCTGCTGCCGGTGAAAAACCGCGCTTCGTCTCGTTCCAAATACGGCATCAGGCTGTCTGACGCAGTTATCGAGAAGCGTCGGCTGCGCAAGAACCAGTTGCACATCAGCACAGAATTGGACCGCGAAGTGTTCAATACACTGTTCCTGCATGATTGGGTGAACCATGATGGGTCGCGGCGAACTGAGCCCTTGGGTCCGGATGAGCACGTTCCCGTGGATATTTTCAGTTTCAACAGCCGTCTTCGCAGCATCGTACACGCTAACAGGGGATAGATGATTCTTGTGTATCTTAATTTGGTTGTCTTGGACTCTTCGTTGGTATATGTGCCTCTGCCACCAGATGGTTATGTGGTCGTCCGCACTACACAAGCAATGAAAACGCCATTTACTACAACGCAGTCGTCAATATGCGGGTATTAAACCCAGAACATAACGCCAAAGTGCTAATAATCGAATATTATCCATTTTGTACTTAAATGGGCAAACATTAAAAGCATAGTTGCGCAAACAGCGTGTTCATGGTGCATCCTTGGCACCGGCATGGTAACGTGGTTTGTGAGGCGTGACCTCATTTAAGTGAGCTGCTCTTCATGTACCAATGCTCTGAGAACTTGCATTTAGAGCTACTGTAGGGACGCCAGGTTGTGAGGTGGTGGCGTGGAAGTACACCCATCAGGCCTTGCCCTCCTTGCGCAGCTCGTTCAAAATGTCGCCCGCCTGATTCGGGTCCTCTGCGATGATTGGGTTGTATATGGACGAGTGCTCCTTGGAGAAGTTTGGTTTCGGGTTGGAGAATTCGCCGACTTGGAAGAGCAGCTCGCTGAAGAAGTGGCACTCCACGATGCGGTGCCCGAACTTTCTGCCGTCCAAAACCTTGCGCGCCTTGGAGGCACCATCGACGTCTGCGAACAGCACGAACGCGCAACCCACTGCCGAAAAGTCCATGGAGCGGATTTCGTCCAGGGTGTACCCCTTCGGCACCCTTGGTAGCTCCACGCGGACGACCCTCCCGTACTCCTCGCACTCGCACCGAACGTCATCGATGATGTCGTAGTACTCTTCATCGTCCTCCAGTTCCTCTTTAGAAACCAGATTGGCGAGGAGCAGCACCCTTGTGGGTATTTGCGCCTTCATAATATCGCATTGCGATATTTGTGAGCGGATGAACTCCTCACTGAGGGCACCTCGCTCCAGAGCGTCGACTGCCATCACAACCTCGATGCCGCGTTCCTTCAACCCCTCCAGAGCGATCTTTTGAAGCTCTATGTTCTCGTACTCGAACAGGCAGAGCGGCTGTTTATTTTCCTCCGTGACGTATTGGTAGAACTTAAGTTTCCCCATGGCCTCAATGTCACTTTTTAGCGCAGGTTCGTCGGTGACGTTCTCGACGCAAAGTCTGTCGGTCATCGTCTTGGCGCGTTCAGTCGCCAACATGTCTGCAGCAGCTGCGATTTGTTCAGACGCACACTTGAGCCCCTCGATTCCGAGGGCAAGCAGCGACGGGTCCAAAGTCGGAATTGTAGGCGAAGGAGCCTGCGTCAGCACATCTGCGTTGTAAGTCTTCGGCCTGTTGATCCTGATCGAGTAGTTGAGATAGTTGATGCCGCTGAGTTGAATACAGTTACTAGCCTCCTCCATGGTGCGCATTTCGACGAAGGCGTAATGGCTGTCGGCACTGATCCAGCCCTTTTGGCACGCGTTTCCCGGTATGCTGGTACCATTCACTGCCGTCAAAGCCTCGTTGAGGAACTCCAACAGGTTGTTCACATCTGCATTGGGAGGTATGTTACCGATGTAGATTTCCCTGTACGGCTTCGTGGCGAGGGGATCCACAGCAATGGAGCCAACTCCCTGGCCAAAAGCACCGGTTGACAGCGCAGCGGGGGCGTCGTATCTCTTCATTCGGGGGGCGCCCTTCGGCGGGGAGTCGTAGCGGAAGTTCTTCCTCCGCGGCCCATCGTCGTATCTACCCCGCTCATACGGCCGGTCTGAATACCCATGCCGCGACCTATCGCGACCCCTGTAGTCATGTCTGGAATCCCGGTCGTAGCGAGAAGACCTCACGCTCCGACTGTGCGAGCGGTCCCTCGAGCTCCGATGCCGCCGGTATCGGTGCCTGCTGTGGCTTCGGCTTCGTGACCGCATTGTGGAGAGATAATTAAAGGAGGTTAATGGGTAGTGAGTTTCATGCCCTGACCTATGGGGGCCCAGCGCGAATTTCCCTTGCGAGCTACACACCCATCACCTCACGGTGAGTGTGCGGAAGACGTCGCCCAGATTTACGACGCTGTACGCGTTGCGCTTCTGCAGTCGCTTCACCAGTTTGCAGAGTTCTGCGCGTTCTGCTCGATAATCGACGGTGTGGTACTGCATAAACGGCAACGCCTCCAGTATTCCCAGTATGTACTGTCCGCATACCCGGAAACCCGAAGTTGCACGCAGGTTCGACAGCTGCACAGTACTATCCAGTATGTCCCGGAACGACCGCACTTTGCGGAACGGGTTTGGGGTATTCAGAACGATCATCTTTCCGTTGACGTCTACCGTGACGTTCACCAGGGCTTCCTCCTGTTCTCCGCCGGCCTCGTTTTTGAGGGCGCCCTCGGTCATGAATATGAGGTACTCGTAGTAGAGGTAGATTTTCGACGCTGGCAGCACGATTTCCATTGCATCGCGGCTTTGGCACGTCGGCTGCGGGCAGACGTCGTTGTCCCCGATGCAAACGCTTGGCGTAGTGGTGTTACATATGTTGCATATCCGAATGCAGAACGACGACTGTAGTGATATCTCGTAGATGGTGCGAGTGATCCAGTTGCGCATTGCGTGCAGCGGCAACCAGTTGCCGCAGTTGCTGCATGTCATGTGCTTTAGGAAGTAGTTTGCATGGACAGCGGTGTTACAGAATTGGCACGGCACCGACGTCGTGACTTCCACCTCCTTGTAGCGCTCCTCGGTCTTGTTGATGAGCGACATCGCCTTGGACTCATGCTCCCCGTAATCGAAGGAGCTGTAGTTGGTGTTGAGGATCGTCCTGCTGACTGCGTCCTCTATCTGCAAGCAACTTGCTAGCTTCTGCGGGTCTGTGCCCTCTATAACACCGCACAAACGTAGAATAGGGGGTAGCAATTGTTGCGTTTTGTAGTATTGTATATCCGGTTCTAGTTGCTTTTGCTGGAACTCCGTGAGGCTGTAAGCACGGTTGCAGAGGCTCCGGAGTTTCGCATCTAAACTTGCCGCATCTTCCCCCGCTTCCGCATTCTCTGTCTTCATGTATCTTTCGATTGATTCCTTAGAACATATGATGAATGGAACCTCGTGCCCTGCGGTAAAGCTGGCGCCGGACGCATTCAACCTCAACGCAACGGTGACATGGGGCAGGTTTGAATTCGCCGCGTACTCTTCAGGGTTCTTTGCCAGCTGGCGCGTAATGACCCACGCCTTCGGAGGGATCTGCCCCTCGACGATGCGTTTGTTCACCTCCTTGAGTGTGTCGTGGATTTTTTCCACCGTGCTCTCCACGCCCTGCTCCTTGTTCTCGGCGTGTTTGTAACTCAGTATGATCGTAATCAGAGCGTTACCGACTTCCTTAGTGAGAATGGACCAGTCACGCCTGATGAAGTCGAGACCCTTGATTTCACGTGAGAACTTTCTGTTTTTGTAGTCCACAACTTTGAGGGCGGCGTACTTTTTCTTTTTGAGCAGCAGGAGTCGATTGAAAATGGCATCCATACCGATTTCAAGCTTTTTGTGGGATTTGTTGATCGTCGCCATGAGCGTGCTGGCGATTTGGTGGGCAGCCTCGTAGGCGCTATCCGAACCGTCGTCGCGTATGTTCGTGTCGATCATCAGAGAATCGGTATCACCATATATAACGCGCAGCGAATATTGCTTCTCTACCTTTTCCCGGGTTGCCTGGAGCACCATTCTGCCCTGCTGGGTAATGTAGGCAGCCATGTGCCGCGCGTGAAAACGGGAGTATACACTTCCAAGACAACCGTAAAGCGAGTTGGCCACGAGTTTCAGCGCCAGTTGCCGCACCCCGAGTTGGGCTTTACGCGTCTCGTTCCTCTCAGCTGCGATGGCCGCCTTAACAGAGGCACGTAGCTCCACTAGACGCCTAAGGATTTGTGGCAGCATGCCACCCACATCCGCCACCACCTCCACGCTTTCGTCCTCGTTCAACTTCACGGTGGTGAAGCAGACGTTGAACTCCTGTATGATGGAGGGATACAGAGAGTTGAAATCGAGCAGCAGGATGAAGTTGTCGTACAGTCCCGTCACGGGCTCCAGAACCAAACCACCCTCGTAGGTCTTCTTTTTTTTGTCGCCCTCGTCTTCTTCGTTCTCCGCTGTTGTTGCCGAATGTTTGTGGTACCTTTCGAAATTGTGGTCGATGATATACTTCGCCCTGTGGAACTCATGGAGCAGCAGGAAATCGTTACGCTCCGATCTCGCGCACTGGACACTACGGGACCACAGGTTTCCCGCAATATTGGTGAGTTCCTTGGTGAGTTGCAGCGCTTGTAGCTTTATCAATAAGTTGAAGGAGTCGAGGCAGCACTTCGAGTTTGCCTGTGCAAGCACCAACAGATTCTTCATCGAATCTTCGCCAAAGCATGGGGAGAGTTCCTTTATGTTGAAGGAGTTTTTCGTGTAGAATGGGTGATCTTTCACCTGCGATGAGTACACGAGATCGGAGACGCAGCTGCTGAGGTCGTAGTTGCTGCGGTTGTGGTGCAGCTCCTTGGTCAACAGCCTGGTATCACAGAAAATCCTCCCAGCGAAGAATGGGTGCGTCGTCTTCTTCAAAAGCCTCATTCGTGAGAAAGACACGCGGAGAGGTATGTTCAGCAAGTTGCATCGCTTGAGCAGCACCTCGCCGACATTTTGCGTTATGTCGTGGCCGACCACTACGTCCGGGTCAACAACCTCCAGCGTTTTCATGAAATTGGCCAACAGCCCTCTCTCCTGTTCAAAAATACGGAAATATGGTCGTTTTTCAAGAAAGGCGGGCATTTCTGTTGGCCAAGGTTGCTTGTTGATCTTCCGGATTCCAACGTACTGCGTGCAGCGGTTCAATTCCTTGATCTCTGAGGCGTCCACAGGGAACGCTTTGTCGTAGATCATTGCGATTTGCAATACCTCCTGGTTCGTTTGAGAGGCGAAGAACGTCTTAACGGAGACCGAAGCGACGCACAACGTAGGCGTGGGCAGATTTTCCGATTCACGCGCATTCCACAATTCCACGTTCTTGTGGGTCTCTACAGTGAGCTCGTGTTTGCATGTTGTAACGTTTTCCGATGAAGTTTGTGCATCAATGATTCTCAACCAAGACGGCCCCTTGATTTTTCGTTTCACCTACGGATTATATTTCAGTTACAGCTCTACCCTACCAGGAACAGCTCCGCCGGCGTGGTCGTAGCGCCGTACACGTCGCTATAAGTTGTTCCCTCGTAGTGTTCATTTCTAAGTTGCGGATGGCTAAACGGGTAGCAGACCTTCACGTACAGCGCCTCCTCCGATGGGCCGTACCTCAGCAGCGTCCTCTTCACCAGTTTGTATTTGACCTTCTTGATTCCGTAGCTTTTACGTATCGCCTCGAACTCGGCAAAGAAGCGTTTCATGAAAGCACGCTCGTAACTGCTTTCGGCCTCAGGCATATCGCTGAGATCGAGGTCCATGCGCGCTTTGAAGAACAGGCATCGCATGAATTGGCGTACGGTAACCATGGCGCTCTCCGTGCGGCCGCTTCCCGCGTGCAGCTTCCCAAACAACCTTAGGAGGCCCCCAAGATCCTCAAACACATCTAGAATGTAGAATGCGACGTCATTAGAGTCCTTTGGCAGCGCTGTCTCGAACTCCGAAGCAATGTGGTCGCTTGGGCTGGCCGTGGATACAACATCCACCGCATCAGCGTCGACCTCACCAAAATCTGCGACAATAGATTCGTCTAGGACCTCCACCGGCTCTTGTGAAATCATCTCGGCTTCTTGCAGCACCTTTTCCACATCTATGCCTTCGGCGATATCTTGACTTGGTGGCGTGGCCTCCATCACCATGGTTTGCGGGGCATCTACGGTACGCTGTTCTTCAAAGGGAGTTTCCAGCCTCGACTCATGGAACTCTCTACCCAGTGTTGGAACTTGTTGGTGGTATTGGAAGTGCTGAGGAACTGGTGGACGTCCGTATGACATTGCGAAGCCTGGCGCCATACCCATACTCATACCCATGGTAGCCGGCATCTTGCCTACAACATTTGAGGGGCACTATATCAGTCTTACCTGTTGCTGCCGAGGAGTACATTGGCATGCTGAAATCCTCATTGTCGAGGTCATCCTCAAATTTGCTAAGCTTTTCGATGAGCTTTTTGTCGGCTTGCGGGTCTTTGGGTGGCTTGTAGGACATGCTTTCCTGCTTCGCGATTTCCGTGAAGTGTTGCTGGATGGACTTTCCATATCCCTCCGGCAATTGCCTTTTAGCGGCTACACGTTCCCGTTCGCCTTCACTGGCTTCACTGTCGTATTCATAATCGTCCTCCGAGAAAATCTCGCCGCCCTCAATGAACTCGTCGAGCCTTCGCTTCGAAGTGCGCTCTTTGTATTCCTCCGCGGTGACCACCTCGTATATCTTCTCATTTTCGTCCTCGATTTCGTACTCATCGAGCGCCGTTGTCGTTCCCTCGCGGTGTTTGCGGATTTTAGACAGCGCGCTGGAAATAGCACTCGATCGCGACTTCTCCATTTTACGCGGTTACGGAAGGACTGATCAACACATGTTTAACCGTTATATTGCCACTGTGTACGTCGCCGTCCCAGGTGTGTGTGACATACCGCCCTTCCTGCGGGCGCTGTCGTGGTGGTTCCGGCAAGGGAGACCTTCCAGTCTACAGGAACAGCAACTACAGGACTACATGGGTGTATACACGCTAGCTAAATATTAGGACGTTCAGTATCAATAGAATTCCTTCTTTTGGAAGACTACGAAGGTGATGTATCCGTCACTGGAAGCCGTCGCGCACACTAACCCATCTGGCGACCATGCGATATCTGTAATGGTGCAGTAGTGCAGATTCTTCAGCACTGCTATCGGCCCCTTCTTCTCCATTGTGTCGTAGAAGCAGAGGGAGCCGTCGAGGGTGCCAGCGGCAAACACGAGCCGCGGCACGACAACGTCATCCTCAACGTCAGTGTCGTATTCCTTTTCCTCATCCTTCTTGGCAACCTTCGGTTTAGAGGTTCTAGATTGCTCGTGCTGTGCGCTTATGGTTTCCGCGTAGAACTGCGGCTTCTTGATTTCACGTTTGCTGGATCTGAGGCCACCGCTGGAGGCTACATCGTTATCTAGAACCTCTTCTTGAGTATCCACCGCAGCGTCGCAATCTATGGCTACCGAAGTCATTGTTTGCGTTAGATCCATGTCGCTTATGTCCAGCGGTTCGCTCTTCATGGCAGCATAGTTCCCGCTGGCTTCCGGATCAACCTTCATCTCTGTTAGAACGCTGTTTTCTATTCCTTGTAGTTTTGCAGGCATATCACTTAATTGGGACGAGATCAGCGATACCTGCGACTGCGATACTGATTCCTCCTTAACGCTGCCCAGATCAGTTTCACTACCTGCAACGACGACTGACGGTGGGGTACAGGTTACGTCACCCATTGTCTCATCCTCCCCGTTAACACCGGCCATTTCCGCATCAATTCCATCAGTACTAGTTTGTGATTGACTTTCCGCCGTTTGCGTTACTCCATCCGTGTAAGGCGCGTCATCACTGGCGGCTGTAACTGTGCTGGGCACATCCGTAAGCGAGTCCGACTTCAGATTGGCATCTGATGCATCCTTAGGCGCCTCTTGGTTTTTAACTGGCTTCTTCGATCTAGGTTTCTTCGGTTTGGCATTTTTCGGTCCGGCCTTGAATATTTTGTTGAAGAAGTCGATCTTTTCCTTCTCGATTTTCGCGATGTCAAGCGGACAGAACTTGACGACCACGAAAGGACCAGTGGGCGATTGATGCGTCACCATTGGTATGCCCAAGTTTATGAGTTTACGGTGGAATATGTACAAGGTATAGACGGAATCATTTTTGGGTTCCGCATCCTCCTCTTTTTTGAACAGCGAATTATGCCGAATCCCCGCTGGAGTCACCAGGAATCGGCCATCCGGCGACCAGTCGAGCCGCCTGAAAAACGCGGACAGTTCTTCGTTCATAAAGACAGATCGGTTGTATCTCACATCGTCGCTCTCCATTCCTATGGATTCCTTGAATTCCGACCGGTCCTTCGCAGACTTGAGGATAAGGATATTCTTCCACTGCTTTTCATTGCGTCGTTTCCATATCCTCAGTGTTTGATCCTGGCCCATAGAAGCCACCATAATGTTCTGCGGACACATGGCCACCCCTTGAGCGAAGCTCGTGTGGCCCTCAAAGTGCCGTATCTTCCCATTCCCTTCCACGTAGGTGTCGATGAGCGACACGTGGCCATCCTCGGTAGCAACTGCGATTAATCTCCCATCAGGGCACCAGCTGATGCTGTTGACCACATGCGATAATCTGAGGCGAAGTAAGAAATTCATGACGCCAATTAGATGCAATGGATCGCATTGTGCTGTGATATGTACGCGATGTAAAAGAGGTTGTACTAATGTATCGCATACGCCAGATTGACGCTAAAGCGTGAATACGAACTGCCGATGTTCACGATCACGTAACGCCATATAAGCAACCTGACTGTATGCCACATACCTATAATACTGGAAGCGCGCGTAGTGCTCCTCGTAGTCCTGACTGGACGCATCTAAGACGTTGGGTTTGGCAGATTTCGCCCAAAGGAAAATACACCGATCTGCGAAAAGGTTAGATGGAATGGATTCATAAGATGCTTATGCACGGTGGCGTGGCCCTCAACAGTAAAACACGTCGTACAAGCAAGAAACAGCTGCCGTTCAATACTTCTACGGTAATGTGTAACACGTAACATTCACGTTGCATTAAAACCCTTAAACTCACCCTCGCCACCAGACGCCAATACGACGCCGTTCGGATTCCACCTGACGGCGTTGACCTCCCCGATGTGGCCTACCAGACGCGCCAGGATCTTCACGGTGAGTGGCTGCACATCATTGTCGCCACCTGGCGCCCCCGGTGCGCTCTTTGCCTTCAGATTATCCGGCGCGAGGATGCTTTTATTGCAGTCGGTGGCGTACTGAGGTGCGTTGTCATTGATGTCGACTTGCCAGATGTGTACAAATTCGTCAGCGCCACCAGTTGCGATGTTGAAAGAGCGCGACGCTCCACTCTGCGGTCTTCCGTGCTGTGGCTGGAAGTCCAGGGAATACACACGATCACATCGTTTGTCGTCCTTACTGTGCCACAGTATTTGCGGAAGAAAAACCAGCGGCATTTTCTACTTTACACTAATGTGCCACGGTTTGCGATAAAGGCAGATTTGACCCTCTTTAAGCACTAGCAGGACCGAGTTAACCGGGCTGGGGTCGCCGGTGTGTCTTCCTTGCCGTTTCGCCCTCTGGGACACCCAAAGTTATAACCTTAAACACATTTCTTATATAGTTATACCACGGTGTGATATTGTCAGTCCCTTACAGGTATGTGGCGGCGCAGCCTCGCGTCCGTAGGCGGCGCTGCCTCTCGGATGTCGGCGTCGTCATCCCGCTGCTTTACCCGGCTGCGGCCATTTTCTAGCTATGCCGAGGCTCCTACCGGTTCGAGTAAATCGTTTAAAGCCCTTGGAGCTACTGCTGCAGCCATTTTAAGTTCGGGGATATACTATGGTTATCGCAAAGGGATGCTCCCCGGCTTTTCCGCAATCCCGCTAGAACACGTAAGTCCCGTCTCTTAGTAGATGCAAAACTATGAGAGTGTGCGAATGTTTATTCCGGATGTCACACATCCATTTGGTGCTTGTGTTGTGACGTTCTGCAGTATGTCTACATTTTTGCATGCTTGAGTGCTTGGCCCTCATTGTGATGCAGATCGACGAGGAAGGATTCGACAGCTCTGACAACCTCGTAGTTGTCTTGTTGGGATCCGGAAGGATTCGAGATTATCCCAAAACTCAGATTGAGAAATTGAAATCGATTGTGCCTGCCGGGGTAAAAATTTGCTACACAGTAAAGGAGGGTAGCGACAGCAGCAAGCCGCCAGTCATGCTATACAAGGGTACGCGCAAGAAGTTTTACGCCACTATCGACTTGTCCGATAAATCGCAGTTTGAAAATATGGCGTCCGAAATGGCATCTTTTTTCAAAGCCGTATCGCAAGACTTTGGGGCTTTGCGCCAGGACCCTAAAATCCCGGAGTACGTGACTCACGACACCTTTAGAGAGAAGGTCATCAAAGAGGCAACTGCTAAAGCGCCTATAGTATTACAGTTGTACGAGGATAGTTGCTTCCTCTGTTTTTTGATGAGGCCCTTTATCAACAGCATAAATCGCCACCTCCAGGAGATCAAAAGCCCGGTGCGCCTCAAGAGGCTCAATATAGAGCGCAACGACTTCCCAGATGGCTGCCCAGTTACCCGCGCAACTCCAACTTTTGTGGTGTATGATGGCCACGCCCAAGGCAGCAGGTGGTCCGAGTTCAGGCCCAAGGATTTCGTGGCGAAGCTGGTGGAACTCGCAAAGCTGGACGAAAAGAGTCAGATATACCTCAACAAGCTCACGGAGGACATATCGGAGAGGTTCTTGCTGTTCGGAAGATGGGCGCGATGGGTTGCGGAGGCGCAGATAATTCAGGAGAGCGTGCTGACCAAGGCCCCAGTGGACGAGGAAGAGGTGAACACGCGTGCGCTGAGGATGCTCATGGATATGGACATGGATCGCACCGATGACCTCGAAACCAATCTGAAGGTATTGCGAAAGGAGATCATTTCTGCCGAGCAAGACTGTATCGCGGTTTCAGAGATCATGGCTACGGAAATCATAAAGCAAGAAAAAAAATACCGCACCGAGGCTAAGTCCGAAGCTTAACGACTGCTTACGAATCCCTTACTGCACGTATTTATATAGTAACAGCCGCATAATGAATTCATAGACAAACCATATGTTGCGCAATAGCCGTTTACAAAAACACGTCAAGCGGATTAATAGCAAATTAGGTTACGATAAGGTCCTCCTCAGTGCCCTTAGAGGCTTTGATCTGGGAGCGGCCACGGCCATAACTATGTCCCTGATCATAGATGCGTGAATGCGTTGCGTTTCCGCCTCCGTCTCCAGTGGCGGTTTGTCGGACTTTATACAAATCTGCGCGATGGGCCGTTGATCCTTGATGCACTCATCCACCCTCTTGAATTCGCCGTATATGCTTTGCCACATGCGAATCGTGAAAGGATTCACATTTTTCCCCGTTATTGGGCATTTCATGACCAACACCCCAAGGTTGTTCTCTGTCATCTCATTGGTGTAGAGGTCTATAGTCGCCCCGACTCTTCCACCCTGAAATTTTTTATCGCTGTAGAACTTGAAGAAGTCGAATATCAGCTGCGTTATCGATTCCGTGTTTTGTTGCAGGTACTCGCACTTCGCCAAAATATCCCTGGTGTCGGTCATGAACCTCCCACGCTGCTCCTGATCGTCAACGACGATTTCTATGTCTTTATACAGAGGCAGTATCGGCGGCGATCTGTTCTGTAGGAAGAAAAATAGTTGCAGTATGAGAGTGTAGGAGCTGAGTGTGCCTTGTGCCCTGTTGTTAATACACCTGCACGTCGCCCAGTACTTGATGAATCTCGCTAATTTAACCACGCGGAAATCGATTTTCGTCATTGCCTTGACGAACTGCGTATTATCGAGTGCAACCGTGTTGTTGATCGATATATCGCAGAAGTTGTGGTTTTGTCGGTTGTACAGCTGCACGATATATCACGCAACGACATTCCATTACCTTCGCAATTGGTACCTTGGCCGATATGATGCTTATGTTAGATATGATGTCGTTATCAGACAGAGTAGAGCGTATCTGTTATCTTTTATGGAAGGCGTGTTTCTCCATATACGTACCAAGTTAAGCTTGGATAGCCACTGCCTCTTGTGGCCACAGTTTGGAATTTCAAGACACATATCAACGTCGCTACCGCGCACCCTGAATATAAGTCACGTTTACCATCCTGTGAACTCACCACAGCCCGTTTTCGCAGGATCCGAAAGTATGGAGCGTGCCATTGGCTGCATGTTCTAGCGTTTTTTTCAGCCTGGGTATATATCACGGCGTGTTGATTTCACTTACGCTTTGATTAATTCCTGCTTTTTGCGATACTGCTCTAGGGTAGGGCTGAGCGTGTGGTTGTGCAGCACAGTCAGGTCCCATAGGAATTGCGATTCGTATTTTGCTAGCTGGTTTCTTCCTGCCTCATCTGGGTTTGGTGACCACGTGTTATCGCTTATTTCTTTGCATATTTTATGGTATAGCGATATATCGCTTTGTTTGAGCTTTCCTGCGGTTCATTTTTGCGCTTACAAGATGGACACTCACCAATGTTCTTCCACAACTCTAGCATGAGGATGTCGATTTCTCTGTGCCGCCACAATTTGCTTTTGTGGCATATTTCAAGCAATTCCAATCTCTCTCCAGTGCTGAATTCTGACGGAAACGTCGAATGGGTCTCGAGCAGCATTTCAGAAAGTTCCGTTATGCTTGACGCATCGCTACTCTCGCTGGTGGTACTGGCGACATCGGAGAAGCAACGTCTACTGACGCATCCCGTGAACTGCACAGGGGCGTTGGCTTCGAAACTGCCACACCTCAAGGAGCGATGCTTGACCTGGCTTCCTTGGTCGGTATTCTCTGCTGCAATTCCGTGCCGATAAGAACGGGTTTCGAGGTGCCAGCGTTGGTTGCAGGATATATGCGATCTTCTTGATACGATGAAATGTTCTAGCGCCGACAACCCTCTTTGCAATATTCGCTGCATCGTGGATTGTTAGTCGATAAACTGGTTAGGAAGGATGCGCACTTCGCCGCTCTGCAAGCAGTTGTTGCGAAACGGCGCCAGCAACACCCTAGGCCTCCCGTTTAGCTGCTTGCATAAATACATCAATTGTAACATTATCATGTGTATCCATCGCGTTACATATATTTATTGATGGCGTTCAAACCTCCGCCCCTCTCCTCCCAACGGGGCTAAGGAATCCTGTGAAATGAATCAAGATTTTCAACCTTCCACGCCACTGGCACACTCAGTGGCAGAATTCCGTGAGAAATAAATAAAGAAAGACACTTTTAACCGTTATGCCATTGGTGTGTGATATGCCGTGCTATTTCGTCGAGTAATGTGATGTGTTATTTGTACTGAAGCTTTAATGAGCAGGATTTTTCGTATGATATCGAACTAATACACGCTAAGTATTTGTAATATGTGTGGAATCCTGCCAATTTTGAATGTAATGGCTGAAGAATCATTAGCTGAGTAGACACACAGCAGCGGAAGGCTGGCTAGAAAGCACCGTAACCTCCGTCTATTTGATGAAACTGCATAATTACACATTAAATAATTGGTCAATTGCGTATATATTCGCTACTTGTGGAGAGGGGAGTGACGCTATCGGCATGGGGTGTTGCACATACCTTCCATGGCAAATTAGTTCAGTTGCAGCCTGCGTATACGGCACATCTTGAGCTTGTGCGTCTTCGATTTGCTCGAGTCGAAAAGTATGGCGCTCGTGCGTTTGGCGTCGGCGTTATTCGTCTACGCCTTCGCGGCGAATCGCTGTCTGGCTTTGGGTCGCCAGCGCGGTCAATTATCCGTTGGCTACACCATTCGCGAACTCAGCTACTCCAACGTCCCCGGTGCAACGGCATCTAGAACAACGTCTGCTTTTATCGGAAGTCACAATGGGCAGTTCGGTTCTTACGCTGCTCAGCACGCTCGCAATTCCTCAGCCACCCTTGCTGCGAAACCCAAGGAGATCATATTGGCTGACGATTGCCGCAACAATCTGCTCGCTGGTGTCAGTACGGTGGCTGACACTGTGCGAGTGACCCTGGGTCCACGTGGTCGTAACGTTTTGCTGGAGAAGGAGTACGGGTCTCCCATCATCGTTAATGACGGTGTTACGATAGCGCGTAACATTGAATTGGAGGACCGCAAGATGAATGCTGGTGCCAAGCTGATCCAAGAGATTGCCACGGCGTCGGACGATCGCGCCGGTGATGGTACTACTTCTACCTCCATTTTGGCAGCGGAGATCGCGAAGAAGGGTGTGGAGTATGTCAACAAGGGCCACAACCCTATTCCCATCCAGAAGGGTATCCAGAAGACGTCAAAACTCATTATTGAAGAACTGAAAAGTTTGAGCAAGCCCGTCGACGGCTACAACGATTTGCTCAACATCGCTACGGTGGCCACGAGCGGCAACACTGTGATGGGTGAGGTGATTGCCAAGGCTTTCGACAAACTCGGCGCTAATGCCGCTACGGTGCTTGAAGAGAACCCCGCTTTGGAGGACCAATTGGACTTCACTGAGGGATACACTTTCGACCGTGGTTTCGCCAACCCCTACTTCTTGTTGGGCGAAGAGAAGGATTCAATTGAATGGAGTGCACCTCAGATCCTCATCTCCGACGGTAAGATCGAGACTGCGCAGTCGGTTCTGCCGATTCTGGAGCACGCCGCCAAGACCAAGACACCGTTGGTCATCATCGCAGAGGACTTCGGCCCGGACGCCATGCAGACGTTTATCATTAACAAGATGCGTGGTATGCTGAAGGTCGTGGCCGTGAAGGCACCTTCCTTCGGTGAGCGCCGCAAGGATTATCTCCAGGACATCGCTACCGCCACTGGATCCACGTTCGTTTCCCAGGACGTGGGCATAAGTTTCAACGACCTGACTCTGGACATGCTTGGTATGGCCAAGAACGTCGTAATCAAGAAGGACCGCACGTCCATTCTCACCCTACCCCAGTTCAACGAAGCCATCAAACGCCGCATACAGGGGTTGTTGAACGAGAAGGAGAAATCGACCTCTTCGTTCGATAAGCAGAAACTCGGCGAGCGCATCGCTGCGCTGTCCGGTGGCATTGCGCGCATCCGCATCGGCGCAGCTACTGAGACCGAATTGAAGGAAAAACGACTGCGTTATGAAGATGCCATTAACGCCGTTCGCGCCGCTATGGAGACAGGTTTCGTGCCTGGTGGAGGTGTGGCCTACCTGGCCATGCAGTCTCCAGCATTCACCGCCAAGGCGGAGAAGCATATCGCAGACACCGTTAAGACGGAGATGAAGCCAACTGACCCCGAATTCGAAGGAGAGCGTGATGAGGACGTCGAAGGCGAGATCGAGTTGGAACAAGCCGGTTCTAAGATAGTACTCGACGCCATGTCGGTCATAACGAGGCAAATCGCGGACAACGCTGGCGCCAGCGGCACGAAGGTTGTAGAACGCATCAAGAACAGCGGCAAGCCGTTCGGCTACGGTTGGAACGCAAAGACCAACAACTACGGCGACATGATTAAGCAGGGTGTGATTGACCCAACGAAGGTGGTGATGAACGCCGTGGAGAATGCGTGCTCTGTGGCCGGCCTTATACTGACGACCGAGGGCATGATGGTGGAAAAGGAAACCGATAAGAAGAAGTCCGATACCACTTCGATCGATGACGCGTACGAATGATGTCGCCTTTTACCTTGTTTTTTAATAAAGCGCTTTAGTGTAAAGTAGCTCGCGTATATTTCGCATGTCAACGTAGAACATAATATTGCGTTAATTATATACTGGTTTGTAATTCGTTGACTACACTTAGTTGGGTGCTTGTGCGGTGGGGACGCTCCCATGTGAACCGCTCTAGGCCGTTTTTGGTGGCGATCATCAGAGTCATGTCGTTAGGTATGGTGTCCTCAACCCAGTGCACTGTGGACCCTTGTAGGTCGATAAGCCCACTGCTTTCCAGACTCAACGTGCCGTCGCGTTTAGCGAGCTGGAGGATCTCTACATGTTCCCTTGTATGTGCCGTGAGGAAGAATCGGATGTCGTCTGAGCAGCAGCACCGATCGGGTGCAACAAGATGGGGTTGGCGCACGTAGTCGTTCCATATGAGTCCCCACCTAAGGCATTTCAAGGCGCCCCCGACGTTAAGGGATGCAAGCTCAACGTCGTAATACCTGTCGTTCTCATTGCCATTTGCAAGTGACGAGTGGTCGTCCCGGTCGCATACGGTCACATCTGCTACCTTGTGCTCCTCATCGCATGAGTGGCAACCAGCATCCTGATTCTGAGCGGTGGTTGTTACTGTATTCGATGGGTTTTCCGTTGCGTCTGTGTTGTTGGCATTTGCGATGTTCGTTTTACCCGTAGCCTCAATCATGGAGGCACGGGCTCTGTTGTATATGTGTAGCATTGAGGTGACGTAAACAGATCCGTTGTCTGATCCTATTGCGATAAACTCACCAAGCGCATTCAGGCACTTCTCTCCGTTGAGAGTGAACATATGGGCATTATTTGTGTCGAGGTACCGACGCATCTGGTTGTACTGCTTGGGGCTGATTTGGATAGCGGTAGGAAAACCCTCTATGCGCAAACATATTTGTTTTTCAAATTTTACAAACTTTATATTGGAATCAACCTCTGTCGGCGTGTATATTTGCATATAGACGCCATTTGTGTGGTGAGTTACTACACCGAGCGATTCCTGCACCAGGCAAAAGTTGGTCAACGTTGGGTACTCCAGCTCCTCCTCGAAGTACCCCGGTTGAGGCCACTTAACGACCGATATCAACACTAATTCGCCGTCCGTTTCGCATTTTACAGCCTCGTCACTCTCTGCCATTTTATTGGATTGCCGTTTTCCGGCTTTCCTGTCAGCCTGAGCATTGGACGGTTGCATGCCCTTACTGTCACAATCCTTTTCGGCGCGGTCTGGTTTTTCAACCACACTGGAGAAAAAGTTGAAAACACGCGGATTCCTTTCGACACGCACGAACTTCACGTGTTTGTTCGCCCTCCCAATTAAAAGTGAGTGGTACGCTGCTCGTGATAGTATCCTCCAGATGCGGTCGACAAAGGAGGTTGAGCGTGCATTCGCCTTGCCTTCCGTTTTCTCACCCTTCACTAATAACCACTCTATCTGTTCAACTGGCTGGTTGAAAGTTAAGAGACGAAGGGTCTTTTTTACCACCAAATTTTCACCCTCAATGAACAGCAGGTGGACCGAACCGTCGTCAAGCCCTACAGCGCTGAGGGAGGGCAGCCTAGGGTGGAACTCTATGCATGTTATTCCGCTTTTGAATAGCTTGCTGTATCGCTCCACGGTGAGCTGTTTGGCTGTGTGATGGCTACGCCTATATGATGCCGTACAGGTCATGTCGGATTGTTCCTTCCGCGATTCTAAGCCTCCAACTGCCATGCCGGTAACTGACCGCCGTATCCTGCCCATGTCTATGCGATTATATGACGGCATGAAGGCATCCAAAACATATAGGTCACCGTACGGCGTCCCGCAGGTCATCATATTAGGCTGAAGGTGGGAACTTGCCATCACAGTGAATTCCATCTTCTTCCCAGCAAGGTTACGTTAGCCAGTAGCTTGGCGTGAAGTTAGACGATACGTATGTTGGTGATAATACCGCGGCGGTCATCATACAAAATAACCTTCCCCGCGAAAATATCGGCCGCAATTCCTCGCGCGCTACTTAGCCGGCCCGGTAGACACACCTCACTCCAATTGTTACACACATAACTACATTTTTCAGAGATAGAAGAATATGATTTGCTTATTACATTACATTTTATTATTGCCGTGTCTACACCGACCGAAACACCGGAATGACCCGAGCACTGTGAACGGACACTTATACGCCATAGGCGTCAAAACGTACGTTTTGCACTTCTTTTTAACTTCGCGTCGACGTGCTTTATGAATTGAAGCCTCCTGCGTTTGTCGTCGATGGTAGAATCACCGCTGGTGGAGGAGGCGCATGTGCGCGAAAATATACCCGAATCCTTTTTGATTATGCGCTTGAAATGAGCTTTGATTTTGCCAGATTGCGATAGGAACGTTATTTTGCGCGCTTCCTGCGCATCCTTTTCGTTCTCGTCAAGAAGTTTGAGGTTGAAGTTGGCGATAGTTTTCAGGTTTTTCTTTTCCTCTCGGAATTTCTTACGTAACGCAGAGTTGGCAATAAACCAGTCTCCGCTGTTAACCTCGTTTATCTTCAGCAGGTCGTCCAGTTTGCTGTCGATTATCGGTGCCGCTGTTCCGTCCTTGGAGTTGGTGACCGCATCCCTGGGATTTGGGCGACCAATACCGGACTGTGGCACAAGTGCGCCTGTGCCTACTCGTTTGCGATCATCTTGCGTTATTGTCCTGGCGTTTTGTATTTTTGGCGCAACGTCATCCGGAGCGGTTCCTTTGGCTGCGGCCTCCTCCTCCAGAGCCATGCATTCTAGCCTAAACAGCGGGTTTGACAAAAGCTGCTGCTTGGTTGCATCGTCATGCCCGAGCTCCACCGTTTTCGCATCGGCGGTGTCGAACGTTTCGACCTTCTTGCGCACGCCGAACTTGCACAGATAGTCAGTGTTCTCCGGATCCGTCTGTATAACGATAGGGTTGTTGCAGAACTGGCAGCTCATTAAAAACGAGTATATCGTTGTCGAGAAGTACTTCCCGATCGCCTTCCTCTCAGCGTCGAATCGTACTCCCTTTGCGATGAAGGCGTCGCACTTGAGGCATATGACCTTGAATGGCATTTCGAAGCGGATGACTGGACCGCGACCTGAGCCACGACGGAAGGGTGCCAAGGCTTCGTCATCGGCTCCAACGTGTGTACTGTCCGATGTGCCAGCATCACCGGCGTATCTGCTGGCCGAACCGATGAAATGGCTGCGCGGCCTCTTCGGCGTCTTGCGCATACGCCTGCGCTGCTCCTCCCAGCTAGCTCCATCCGGCGGATAGTAGAAATTATCAGCCCTCGCCGCTTTAAGCGTGGACATTGTGGTCTGTATCGCAGGCTTCTATCTCGTTTTGACCACTAATATCGTAACGCAGCTACGCCGCGCCGCTAATGTGCGCGACTGTGGCACATTAGACACTTTCTTCCATATACATTAAAACATTTTGAAAACACTTTCATATCGGGCGGCACGGATAAACCTACGTGTCACAAGGCGGAGCGACGTCACGTCGCCGCTGCGGCACTTTCGAGGGTCACAGGAAGTGTTTTAATAAATCTTCCAGATATTATTCCAAATGGTGTTTCACTCATACGTTAGGCGTATATTCAGCCAGGTCATCCCGGCTTACCGCGGTGTACCGGTGTTTCAAAATGGATTTGTTCGTTACACCGCGGCTGCCGCCAGAACCGATCCGTCTGCCTTGGAACCCGTTCGGCCAGACGACTCATCAATAACGCCATCTCGTGAAGCAGTGCTTCGCGTAAGCAAGGATGGTGTTGACTTTGTGGAAGGCGCGGTCAGCGGGTCCCTTGTTACGGAGCTAGAGGATGAGATGCTGCCTTCTGCACCGCATATAGACAAGAACAGTTTCAAGAACTATATCGAGATACCCAACAGCGGTATTAGGAGTCTGTTATCTGCAAGGTACGTCAATTTCACGTGGCATCTGGCCTATATGCAATGTCCTGCCGTTGTTTAATACGCTTGTGGCTCCTGCGGTAGCCTCCCTTTCGATGCTTTTGTTAATCCGTGTGCAGCAGCTTGAGGATTCTAACCAACTGCCCTATACCTTTCAAAGAGTATGTAGAAGGCAGTCCGAACGCCCACCACTACCCGCTGAGCATCCTGCCGAGGAAGTTTTCAGCGAAGCTTGGGGGAGATGTTATGGTGACAACCTATGACGTGCATGAAAAAGACTACAACGTTGAAAATGGTCGCAGAGTCATGTTGAGCGTATTTCCCACGTTGAGGACTCAACCAAGTGAAGTGTTGTTGCAGAAGCTGCAAGGGAAGAACACGCTTCTCGTGCTGTTCTCCGGAGACCCCCCTTACGCCGACGCGAAGAACGCCCTTGAGTGGCACTCGGCGGTTGAATTCGACGTGCACAAGCATCTAATTCTGAACTACGCCTCCCCTGTGGGTATGTGGCACTTCCACAAGCGATACGTGACTACGCTTGCGTCGTCACTCGTCAACCGCTGCAACTTCAGCTGCATCATGCGCAAACTGAGCGCCGAGGAGACTGTTGCGTTCCATCAATACCGGCGCAGTTTCACCAGTGTGCTGCTGCTGGATCGCTTCGGGTACATTCGTTGGCATGCCGTGGGAAAGCCAACGCTGGAAGCACGATACCTGCTGAAGGAGGCTTACGATCAACTGCAGAGCGAATGTTGATCTGTACATTTATAGCACCATTCAACTGTAATTCAATGAAGCTTACACAGTGAATCCGTATATCGTGCTATTTCATTCATTTAGGGTATAAAGAGTGGCGCTACAAGTCACTACCGTCGATGGTGCTGCTACCGCTGACATATCCGCAAGAACTCTTAGCTTGCTGTCACTTTTTCACGTGACAGTGGACATTTGACAAAGAAATTATACATAAGTAGGGTATATGATGTATAATACGACAACATTTACAAGTGTTTCAACGGCGCCGAGTTTAATCTGTCGGCGGCGTCTGACTGGGATGCTTGACGGTTTCGTCGATCGATAGCACCTGGCAAGCAGCCTCAGTGGCTGCGTATATGGCGTTCTTCTTCACCATGGCGGGCTCCCAGATGCATTCTTTGAACGAATCAACGATGTCGCCGTTGAGGCAGTTGACGCCGAACCAGTTGACACCCTCCCTGTTCACAGCGTGGTCGCGTCTGAGCTTGGATATGACGTCGATTGCGTTGAAGCCTGCATTTTGTGACAGGGTTTTGGGGATAATCTCCAGGGCACGGGCAAACGCGTTGATGACGAGCTGTTGCTTGCCGACCACCGTGAGCGAGTAGTCACGCAGCGCCTTTGACAGTTCCATTTCGACAGCGCCGCCTCCTCCAAGAATGCTATGGGTCTTAGTTGCCCTTCTGACAATGCAAATCGCGTCGTTTAGCGAGCGTTCGCTCTCCTCGATGAACTGCTGCGCACCTCCCCTGAGTATGATGGTGGAAGTGGTAGTCTTCGGGCAGTCCTCAAAAATGTTGAAGCGTTCATTTCCGATCTGCCTCTCCTCAAAGCACCCGCAAGTGCCCAGCACATCGGTGGTTATGCCATTCACGGTGTTCTGGATGGACGCGCCGGTGGCTTTGCTGGTTCTGATCAGATCAGCCTGTTCTACGCGCCCCGCTGCGAAAATGTTGCGATCAGCGAAGAATTGCGTGGCAATGTCGCCAATGGGGAGCTTGGAAAGTACGATGTTGGCTCCCATGTCGGCCATTTTGTTGAGCTTGTCGTGCAGAATGGTCCACTCGGCGTCGATGATGCTCTGGAACTGCGTTGGGTCCTTGATGAGAATCTCGGCATTTTCCTTCTCTGCCTTGAGTTCCAGCTCAATGCTGATGAGCAATATTTTGGGGTTGATAAACTTTTTCGGCTGCTGCTCGGCGCCGGCGTAGGTGAAGGTCTTCTTGAAGGCCACGCCCTTGACGAGCATGGTGTCCCTGCAGCTTCCTCCGGTGACCTTCTTAATTCCGATCATGTCCTGGTCAAGGTCGCTGTCCAGTAGCATAACTGAGTCGACCACAATTTCTGCGAAGAACGTCTTGTGCCCGGAGAGAAGCTTGGAGTTCAGCGACGTCTCTGCGCACTTCACGAGCAACGACCGCTTTTCCTTCTCATCCTTGCCGCAGATGTTGACTGCAATTCTTTCGATGTGATCCAGCGCACGTTCACAGGCTACGCGGAAGTACTTGATGATGACCTGCGGGCTGATCCCGTCTATAATGAACTGCTTCGCCTCCGTGAGCAGTTCGCCGGCCAGAATTGCGACCGAAGTCGTACCGTCACCGACTTCATCATCCTGCGACTTGGCAATGTCCACGAGCACAGCAGCAGCGGGGTGCGCGACGTCAAGAAGCTTTAAGACAGTTGCACCGTCATTAGTGATGGTGACGTCGTTTCCAGTGTGGATGAGCTTGTCCATGCCACGAGGTCCTGCAGACAGTTAGAAAACAGCAAAAGAACATTTGTAGAGTTACATATAATGTTAAAATGAGCTCGCAGCGGTAGTTATAACCGCGATGTGGACCGCTCATCCTCTCTGTAGAACTCTATGGTAGTTGACTCACCTAGCGTGGTTTTTATGCAGTCAACGACGACCTGGCAGGCGTTGATGTTGCTGATGATTTGTGCGCGTCCTTGAGAAGTATCAGTACCCTCCTTGAGGAGCAGCACTGGCAAATTGAGTAGGTGACTCATCTTGCTAGTGTGTACCTGTGCCTGCCTTCTGCGGTTGTTGGTGCCTTGCCGCAGCCAGGACCGTTATAGACAGGAATGTGAATTGTTCAGCGAACCCTTCTGATCCCGTTGTAGTGTCCTAGCTGGGGTCGCATCGGTTCGGGTGGTATGGAGGAGACGTTGGCTCCACCCGCCGTGCACGCGTACTAGGGCGCTGCGGATACGGGCGGTGAAGGGACCTCGCTACCGCAGAGAAGCGACCTTCTTTAGTTATTATAACTATTACTGTAATGTGGCGTAGCGGTTGGCCGAAGATCCGGTGTTCCTCTGATGTTTCTGCTAGCCATTGACCCTGGGTGCAATGTTTGCGCTGATTTTTTTTCGAGGCTTCGCCACACACAATAATTCGGTGTCGATACTGCAGCAGCATTACAACCGTCTTCCGATCCGCAAGAAGTTTATACGAGCGATAAAGAGAGGTACTCTGGTCTGGGACCGCGGCCAGGTACGTCTTGCTAGAAGGCCATAAAAAGTTAACCGTTTCCTTCAACTATAACGAGGAATTTGACGATGCTGTAGGTGAAGATTCCACCTCTGCGCTGTGAGGGCTACGACCCACCACGGCAGTGCCTATTGCCTAACGAAGGCCATCGACGCCGCCAGTACCGCGGCAAATTCGAGCACCTGCAGTCAAAGCGTGTCTCCTTCTTCGACTGATCGAGATCTATCATGTGCTGTAATAAGCCTTCTGTACATAGAATTAATAAGAGGAGTGACCGTGTCCTGATTTATTTTGTGTCCTCAACACTCGGCGACCTGGTTTCTACGTTCATGTCTTCGATACTAGGTTGCTCCCATTAAAAAACCTAAGTGACAATACTGCAACTGTGGTATTATAGAACTATATAAGCTTTTGTCGATGGAGTTTAATCGCACCGGTTACCGTGTCTGCCGTTATCGAGCGGCAGCGTGACACGCACGTTGCTTCTCCTTAGTGCTATGTATACAGGCTGACCATCAGACAAGAATGGGTAGCATCAAAATATTATGCTTAATTTGCTCGTACGACTCACACCAGCGGCGTGTTTTGACGATTCTCCAAAAGCGTTGAAGGATTCGTCGTATCACGGTGATTCAGTGATTGTAGCGTCAGACGAACGCACAGAACCGCCGTAGGCGCCAGTTATTTTAGAATTCAATGAAATGCTATGATGTGTCGTGTTTTGCCGCACGTCGAATAAAGTGATATGCCAGTTGCTCGTCGAGCCTCATATTGCGAGGCTCCGTGCGGTGGACCATTGTGCTGCTCGAGGAACACTTGGCACCTAAAATGATAATGACCATCGCCAATAATTGATACGGTAAGAGCTGTATCGCCATCAGAAGATCGTGGAATCGTTGGCCATGGGTTCTCCGAGCCGGGTTAAGAAGGCTAGGGATACCTCGGAGGATGTGGACGAAATCTACCGCCGTCCACGCGCCGAGGTCAAGGAACTGGTAGACGAGGATGCCGCAGGCAGTGACGCGCGCAGCAGCGCGCCAGGCGGCTACGGGCCGCCGGCCGACAGGAAGGACGACTACGCGAGCGGATCGGACGAGGAACCCGAGGTGTTGCAGAATAAAAAGTCAATACTGGCGCGAGAGGACTCATACCGACGGCAACGCCTGGAGCGGAAGCTCTCCCCGGAAAGGTTCGACCCTTTTGCGGCAAGCTCCAACCCGGAGGAGCGCACGTACTCGGATATTATGAAGGAGACCGAGATCATGCGCACGCGCAAGGACATCGAGAAGTTCATGGAACGCGAACGTATTTCCGTGGAGGAGGCGCGTGCCATCGATGGGAAGCGCACTAGGCGATCTGGATTCGATGAGGAGGACTCGGCTGCGTTTGCCGAGACCCCCCTGGTGGAGAGCGGGACCTATGCGGAAACACCGCAGATCGAGGCGGGTGCCTATCCCGAGACGCCTCAGTTAGGCGATGCCACTCCCGGCCCCGAGTCCAAGAAGCGCATGTCGCGTTGGGACAAGACGCCGCAGATGGAAGCGCAGACACCCAGTGCTACGCCAATGGGCCTTGGAGCCTTCGGAGCTGCTACCCCTTTCACGCCAGCGGGGTTGCAACCGGAGCAATACGCTTTCACCACCGATCGCAATCGCTACCTAACCGACGAGGAACTGGACGAGTTAATTCCTTGCGAGGGTTACGAAATCATTGAGCCGCCAGAGGGATACATCGCAAGCAAGCACGTGAGTTACCACAGCCACCAGATCCCGGAGTCGCCGAGTTTTGTCATCAAGGATGAGAATCTGCGCAAACCTTACGACATCCCCGGAACGCCGTCACTGTTACTGGATGTCGAGGTCAAGGCTGAGGACCAGCACTTCTTCGGCAAACTGTTCGACGACAAGACGGAGGAGGATCTGACGGCTGATGAGATCACTGAACGTCGAATTTTGGCCTTGTTGCTAAAAATTAAAAATGGTACGCCACCATTGCGTCGTCAGGCACTGCGCCTGCTGACGCAGAAGGCCAGGGAATTTGGTCCCGGCCCCCTTTTCAACCAGATTTTACCGCTGATGATGCAAACCACGTTGGAAGACCAGGAACGTCACCTTATGGTGAAAGTTATCGATCGCATACTTTTTAAATTGGAAGATCAAGTTCGCCCATACGTCCACAAGATTTTGGTTGTTATTGAGCCTTTGTTGATTGACGAGGACTACTACGCACGTGTAGAAGGGCGTGAGATCATCAGCAACTTGAGTAAGGCTGCGGGTCTCGCTACGATGATAGGTACCATGCGTCCCGACATTGACCACCCAGACGAGTACGTGCGCAACACTACCGCACGTGCCTTTGCAGTTGTGGCCCACGCGACTGGCATCCAGTCCCTGATCCTCTTCCTCAAGGCTGTCTGTCAATCCAAGAAAAGCTGGCAAGCGCGCCACACCGGAATCAAGATCGTGCAGCAGATTGCAATCCTGGTTGGCTGTGGCGTCCTGCCACATCTGAAGCAGCTGGTGTCTATCATTGCCTTGGGCCTGGAGGACGAGGTGTTAAAGGTGCGCACAATGACGGCGTTGGCTTTGGCTTCGTTGGCTGAGGCAAGCGCTCCTTTTGGTATTGAGGCCTTCGACATAGTTTTGCGGCCGCTGTGGAAGGGTATTACTGAGCACCGCGGCAAGGGCCTAGCGGCGTTTTTGAAAGCTATCGGTATGATCGTGCCGCTCATGGACCCCTATTACGCGTCCTACTACACAAAGGAAGTGATGAACATCCTGGTCAAAGAGTTTGCCACGCCTGACGAGGAGATGAAGCACATCGTCTTGAAGGTCGTGCGGCAGTGCATTTCGACGGAAGGCATCCAGGCTGATTATATCCGCCAGGAGCTGCTGGACCCGTTCTTCAAATCATTCTGGATTGTGCGTAACAGTATGGACAAAAAGAACCTGGACCTGATCATTGAGACTACCGTCGAGATTTCCAACAAAGTTGGGCTCGAGGTTATACACCGTTTGGTCGACGACCTCAAGGATCCGTCGGAAAGCTTCCGTGTGATGGTTGCGCAGTGCATCGAGGCTGTGCTCATCAGTTCCTTAAGCCACGACGCCGACCAAAAGGTGGAACTCGACCAGAGGCTTGAGGAGCTACTCATCGACGGTATGATCTATGCCTTCCAACAGCAGGCCTCCGATGATTGCACAGTGCTGCTGGACTCATTTGGCACGCTGTTGCACTACCTCGGCGATCGCAGTTTGCCGTATTTGACCCAGATTGTCGGTGTGATCCGCTGGCGTCTGGGTACCCAAAGCCCCCGTACCCGTCAACAAGCGGCGGACATGATCTGCAAAATAGCGCCCATCATGCGCCAATGTGGCCGTCAGGATATGCTCGCTAGCCTGGGACTGCACCTATATGAATACCTGGGAGAGGAGTATCCCGAGGTGCTTGGCAGCATATTGGGGGCACTGAAGGCGATCGTCTCTGCCATAGGTCCGGCAGCTATGTCCCCACCTATCAAGGATTTGTTGCCACGGCTCACTCCCATTCTGAAGAATCGGCATGAAAAGGTGCAGGAGAACGTTATTGAGCTAGTAGGTCGTATCGCCGACCGCGGAGGCGACCTTGTTTCCCCTAAGGAGTGGGACCGTATCTGTTTTGACCTGCTCGAGCTTCTGAAGGCCAACAAGAAGAGCATCAGACGTGCGACTGTTAACACCTTCGGTTACATTGCGCGGACCATCGGGCCAAACGACGTTATATCAACCCTGCTCAACCATCTACGTGTGCAGGAGCGACAGCTGCGTCTGTGTACCACCATCGCCATTGCCATTGTCGCGGAGACCTGCCTGCCGTATTCCGTTCTTCCGGCGTTGATGACGGAGTACCGCGTACCCGAGATGAACGTGCAGACTGGAGTGTTGAAGGCGCTGTGTTTCCTGTTCGAGTACATTGGCGAGATGGCTAAGGATTACATTTACGCTATAACACCTCTCCTGGAGAATGCTCTGATGGACCGTAACCTGGTGCACCGTCAAACGGCTGCTTGGACATGCAAGCATCTGGCATTGGGTGTGGCCGGTTTGAACTGCGAAGATGCGCTGCTGCATCTGCTGAACTACGTATGGCCCAACATTTTTGAAACCAGCCCACACCTAACGCAGAGCTGCTTCGACGCCATAGACGGGTTTAGGGTGGCTCTGGGACCCAGCGTGATATTCCACTACATCCTGCAGGGGCTCTTCCACCCGGCAACAAAGGTGCGCGAGGTCTACTGGCGATTGTACAATAACCTGTATGTGGGCAACCAGGACGCCTTGGTCCCGTTGTTCCCTCTGGTACGTGAAGGCATGGAGAATCGTCACCAAGCAACGGAGCTTTTGTACACGATATAGAAGCTCATTCATATCGCTAATTTGAAATATAGAAACTGCATTGAAAGGTGGTTAGGTCGTGTATCAGGTCAGAATGCTACCCTGGTGTCATTCGGTTGCCGCTTGCTCAGTATCTTGGCGTGTGCTTGAAGAGTGATGAGCCGGTTTCGCATAGCTTCAATCTTCTGGTCGTTGATCTTCGCCTGATGGCTCAGATAAGCGTACAGATTTCTAATATGGTTGCAGAGCTCCGCGTCGCCCTCGAGGTCGTGGTGGCCGCGGAGGTGCATGGACTCCTTGGAGTACTCCCACTCCCTGAGGTTGGGATCGCCAACTTCGGCTTCTATCTCGTTGTCCAATGCTTCTATGCGATTGTTGAGGGTCTCAAACTTGTGCTTAAGCGAGTCGATCATGGAAAGCACGCCTTGGGATACTGACGGCTCCTCCTTGATGGCTTCCTCCGGCGCTGCGGCACGCTGCGCGTAGGTCGTTTCACCTGCAATGTCGAATGTGGCTTTGAATTTCAACATTTCGATAATTTATGTGTGATAACTCACCTGTCGGGATCTTCGTGGCTCGTGTCGTCTCATGTGCCACTGTGTTCTCCACCGGGGCATGTCTGCCTAAAATTTCGAGGCGCTCCTTGATGCTGTATTCCTGGAGGTTATACAGCAGCGAGTAGTGGTCCAGGAAATCGGCCTTTATTGCGTCTATGGACTCCTTCAGGTTCCCATTGAGGACTCCTGTTTTCGGCTCCGGCGGATTATGCTGGGAAGATTCTGATGGGGCGTCGACAAGGTTGTTGACCAGCTGCTTGAAAAGTAACGAGTGCTCGTTCATTTCAGTTTTTCTCTGGAACGCTCCGTTGAAAGCGCACTTAACGAGTGAGCAGTACACGTCTGGGTCCAGTACCACCTTGTCGGTCACGGCGTCACGGCCAGAATGCTGCGCCATTTCGTCGGAGTCTGCAGCTGCGATGCTCAATTGTCTAACTGTGCTTGCTTGGCAAACACCGGTCAGTTACCGGGAGTTGGCGAAGCGCGCAGCGGCTCCGTAACACACGACGACGTCGTAGGAGCCGGAACACAGAACCGCAGTCCCCTTCGTCCAAATGCCACAGATAGAGGCAAACTGCGTTAAATGACTAGCTTTTAACGACGACGTCGCCGTTGTATAACCGCGACGCTATCCGTCAGGGCTTTGACGCCTCTGGGCTGACCCTGCCGACGGGGTGCACCCGGCGACGTTGCTGCGACGCTGACTATAAGTGTGTACAGCGAATGTTTTCTTTCATAAATAATATTTTGTGCTTTTCTAACGTATGGCATTTTCTGCTTGTCTCACAGCTCCTCTGCCACAGTAGCGGTAAGGGCGGCGCCTTTCGGATTCGCCACCTTTATAAACAACAGACAACATTTTTATACATGCCATAAAGGGTCAGCATTGCGTTTAACATGTCATAGTGTCCAAATAACGGCCTCGCGCAGCGAGTCGCGGCAGCGGGGACAGAAGCCGATATACACTGCGCCCCCTCGTACATAACAGGGAGGCATATAGGCTACGCACGCAATTCCTATTTACAATAAGTTCGCTGTGTCATGCGTTTATCGCGACACATCGGCTGGCGAGGCGTTTTATTACGCAGTCTGTGTGGGGACGCTCGGGCGGATTCCACGGCGTCCGTCGTGACGCAGCGTTATTTCGCAGACGCCTGAGCGAGGCTCGTAGCGCAGCGATGGCGTTCATATGTTCCATTAGCGGCGTGCAGCCGGAGGAACCGTGCCTCAGCCGCACTGGCTACGTGTTTGAGAGGCGTCTAATTGAGAAGCACCTCCAGGAGAATCCTACTTGCCCAGCAACCGGCGAACCGCTAACTGTAGCGGATCTTATACCTATTAAATGTAAGTCGTGTTGTTTAGTGAATAACGCCCCTTCGATATGCTAACTGTACATACGGGTGTAGGTGATAAGACAGTGCAACCCCGGCCTGCCTCGGCGACGAGCATTCCCGGCCTTCTCTCACTCTTCCAAAGCGAGTGGGATGCGCTCGCACTTGAGACCTATAACCTGCGCACGCACGCTAGTACGGTGCGAAAACAACTCTGCCAGAGCCTCTATGAGCATGACGCCGCGACACGGGTGATCGCGCGGCTGTTAAAGGAGCGCGACCGTGCCCTTCAGCAGGTTGATGCACTCGAACAGCAGCTGCTCGAGTTCCGCGCCAACTACGATGCCGGAGCCATCGAGGTGGGCCTAGATGAGAACAGCGTTGGCCGCATTGAGGAACTCGCGAAGGCGCTAATGGCGGAACGCAAGAAACGTGACCTAAGCACCTTCACACGTGCAGATGAAATCGCAAAGTTTCGCCAAATAGGCGACTACAGGACCCACAGCTCTACCACACCCGGGATTCTTTCCGTCGCATTGGACGAGTTCGGCTACGGGTGCGGTCGCAATGCGTGCTTTACAGGTGGTGCCGACGGCAACGTGGTCTACTTCGACCTGGAAACGGGCAGGACGCTATCGCGTTTGGTCAGCCACATGAAGGCTGTGAATTCCGTGGTCACGCATCCGTATTCTAGCATTGTCGTATCAGGCTCCGACGACAAGACCGTGCGCATGTGGCGTGCAGCCGACGACGACGGTCATGAGTACAAGTGCATGCACGTGGTGAAGAGTAGCAAGGCACCCGTTGTGAGCGTGTCTTTGCACGCTAGTGGCGAGTATGTCTTAGCGTGCGCCTCGGATGGGCTATGGCACCTTGTCGAGCTGGAATCCGGTCGGGTGGTTAAGGTCTGTCGTGACCTTCCTTCAGTCTGCTCCACCGTTCGTTTCCATCCGGATGGGTTGCTCGCTTCCGGTAGTGGTGTTGATGGTGCGGTACACCTATGGGACCTTCGTACGCAGGAGCTAACCAGCAGCTTGAGCGGTGAATCGGAATCACGCTTGAGCTCACTTGATTTCAGCGAAAATGGATACCATTTGGCGACAGTTTCTGATGACGGGCGGCTGTCTCTGTGGGATTTGCGCAAAGGTGAAGCTTTCGCTTCCGTGGACTGCAACGTTTCCCCGTCTGTGGTCCGGTTCGACCGCTCTGGTTTCTCGTTGGCCGTCGGCTCCACAAAAGTCGAGCTCTACAGCATTGTTGACAAAACTAGTGTGGTTTCCTGCGGCACAATCGAGGGGCACAGCGGATATCTCACTGATATGGCTTTTGGCAACGACTCAAATTTCCTGCTGACGACGTGCAAGGACAAAAGCCTGCGTGTCTTCTCCGCGTGACTTGGATAATGATTCATGTGTGTATATCCGTCTTCTGGCGCTGTCAACCTCTATGGTCTCGTCTAATCGTGAATAGTGAATAATATCGAGCACCAGGGGTGCTGAAACAACGGGTTCTTGTAAACCCTTGGGCCTCCCGCCGGACGTAGTCGCTGTCCAACACTTTTTATAATGGGCGACATTTTCGCCAAGTTGGCGTCGTATTCCGGCGTCAGAAAATCGCCCTCATCGCAGCGTGTCAGAGAGAAGGTCAGCTTTGATCAGGAACTCGCCATCGCAGATAGTCACGGCGACGCCGTCGAGGGAGCCACTCGGCTGGCCACCTTTGACGAGCTGCGCACACTTAGCGAAAACAGTGCTAATTTGACGTGGCTAATAGATTCACTTCATGACCGTTTGAAGCTCTCTTCGCCGTCGCCTGTGCAGGCCAGCGTTGGTCGTCTTAGTTCCAATTGACGCGTTCGCAGGTCATCCCTTTCGCGCTCAAAGGAGATGATGTGTTCGCCGTAGCACCCACGGGATCAGGCAAGACGTTGGCCTACCTAATACCCATCCTTCTGATGCACAAGGTGAGCGCAGCTATCTTGTAGACAATCCGGTGTCAGAGACAGAAAGCCATACAAAGCCTTGTGCTGGTGCCAACAGTTGAGTTAGTGAACCAGGTGACTCGCGAATTGGTATATCTAGTTGGTAGGTGTGTTTTTTGCGATTTTAAAGCCATCAGGAGACAACGATGTCGGCATCCTTCCACTCGATCCGAAATGCAGTCAGTTCGAAAAAGAGATTTGCATCTCCACTCCTGCGACGATGCTGACGGCGCTAAAGAAACGCAAGTGCATGCTTTCTAAACTGGAGATGTTGGTGGTGGACGAGGCCGATGTGCTTTTTGATGGAGGCTATGCACGCCACTTCGACAGTATCCTAGCATCCCTTGTAGAGATCAAAGGGCTTAGAAAGATGCTTTTCAGCTCAACAATGCAACAGCAAGTGTTAGATCTGGCGGCTAGCTTTATGCCTAGCGCGGTACATGTCTCAGTGGGCCAGAGCACTATGGCGTGCAAGAACATCCGCCAGGAGCTCATCTGCGTAACCAACGAAAACGGAAAAGTGCCAGCGTTGCGACAGCTGATCCGTGAAGGACGCGTCGATCTGCCTTGCCTAGTGTTTCTGCAGAGCGTGGAGAGGGTTGGGCGGGTGTACAGTCAGCTGAAGGAAGATAACTTGCTCGTCGACCGCCTGACCGGTCGCCTCGCACCTGCCGAGCGTGAAGAGCTCATTAATAAGTTCCGACTGTCAAAGATATGGGTGTTGCTATGTACTAACATCCTGGCACGCGGTCTGGATTTTAGAGGCATCGGGAGCGTGGTGAACTTTGACATACCACTTACTGCACAGGACTACGTCAACCGCATAGGAAGGTCTGGCAGGGGCGAAACAAGCGGTAGCGCAGTAACTTTGTTTACGTTGGATGACATTAATATCATGGGACCCGTACTCGATATCATGCGCCGTTGCAACCAGGAGGTGCCGGAGTATCTCTTGCGCTGCGAACAGAAGAAGGCCAATGTGAAGCGCCCCCCAAATCGCCAGAGCAACGAATCAGACAGAAAGCGTCTCAAACATCGACGTTCAAAGGTAGAAGACAAGAATAAAACGAAGGCAAATAGGAAACAAGCTTCTGAGCAGGTACCTTAGGAGGCCTCCGACAGTTAATCTTGAAAGTCCGACGTTCACGTTGCCTACAGCGCCGTAATGAACTCGCAATATATTGATGGGCATTCCGCATCACCCAACGAGAATCCGCCTACCTGCCTCTCACTTTAATATGATAGCTGCGCCACGATATGTTACGTGATTGTTATATACTTAGTGGATGCATTAGTATGCATTGTTGCCGTTGATATATTCGCAAAATGTAGCGATAAAACTGACATGGACAGATTGTACATTTCGTGAGATATATATGTAACACACAATGCCTCTACCCTCTTTATTATGCTGTGTTTCAAGTTGCCTAATTTGTTGTGGTTTTCTACGCGTGGTATATGCGGCGATTGATCATTTCAGGGGCTTACTCACTTCATGCCATTGATGTAAGCTTCGAGTTCCACATCGTGCTTTTGCTGGGCATATTTAGGATCACTCCCATGTACCCATACACTACCACGCAGCGCCTCTTTGAGGGACACGCCAAGAAAATTATTCATAACGATTCTATATGCATGACCCACCCAAAGTAAGAGCAGCACATGGCTGCCCTTTTGGGGCGCGACAATACCAGATGTCCCCAAGGGACTACCTACGATCAACGGATGCGTCGTAAAGTGATGTAAGGTATAGGCGTTATTGCGACCTGCAGTCGACAGACGCCCTGGATGCAAGCAACCGGTACACCACCGAGCTGCGCCAAGGCGGCACTGGTTGCTCATCCGCCTGCCGAGGCATAAGACAATATACAGCGCGATTCATAAACTGTGGGCGTCCGTACCATGCTTGTCGACTACACTGGAATCAAAGCGTCTGGCGAAGAGCAACCTGCCATTTTGCGCCATTAACATAATTAAAGAGACGCTGAGAATCGTGTCTCGCCTAATTTGATGGAAATAGTGTTGTGGATGAATGTTTTGTACATTAAATTGAGTATAACTACATGTCAAATTCTGGACGTGTTTCGTGAATGTTACAATGCTCCCAATTCACTCGGCATCCGGACTCACAATCTATTACTGTTTATCTGCTTCTTTAGATTCTTTAGATTCTTCGCCGTTTTTATTCTCTTCACTTTCTTCAGATTTGTCACCCTCTACAGCTACACCTTCAGGTTCGTCAGATCCTGAAGATTGTTCAGCGGGTGCAACTGGTGCAGCTGGTGCAACTGGTGCAGCTGCCGCAGATTTTGCAGCTTGTTCAGCCTTCAGAGCCCCTACAACATCGAATCCATAGAAAGCCCAAAATCCGGAGAGGTCGTAGATTATGTCCAATATTCGCACTTTTACACCTCTCAACGCCTTGCGAATATTTGAACGACTCAGACCCTCGCGGCGGTCAGCCTCTTCGTATCCTAAAGCCTTCAATACCTCTCCCAAACGCGTCTTCACATCAGAATCTGGCCATTTCCACGTTGGAGCATAGCTGACAACTCTCAAAGAACGCAGACCCGCGTATAACATTGGCGCAATACCCACGAGGACTGCTGCGCAATCTTCCGGTTTTTTAGAACATGATTCCGCCCACGTTGCTTTCGAACTGTAAGCAGACTTGTACTGATCAGGAACTTTGATATCATCCAAGAACTTCTCACAACCATCCAGAACTTGACCTATGTTCTTTGCGATGTCTTTAGGACCGAGACGTGTCCTCTGTACGATGTTCTCATAATCGCTTAGGGCGATATTTCCAATCGTCTCAGATACAGACCCCGATGAATCAGACGAACTGGAAGTGTCAGGCGATTCCTTAGAATCAGGCGATTTTTCAGACTCCGGCGATTTCCCAGACTCCGGCGATTTCCCAGACTCCGGCGATTTCCCAGACTCCGGCGATTTCCCAGACTCCGGCGATTTCCCAGACTCCGGCGATTTTTCAGACTCTGGCGATTTCTCAGACTCCGGCGCATCTGGCGTCCCACTACTACCCTCATTGAATCTCCACAGCAGACCTTTCACGAATGGCTCGTTCTTAAGTTCTCCTTGCTCCAGGAACTTCTTCGAAATGCTTTTTACTTTCTCGAGGGCTGTCACTTCCGTCTTTCCAACCGGCTTGTCCGCGAGAAATTTGTAAACTGCGTCACCTATAGCCTTCAAGCTCTTTTCGGCATCAGTTGCCTTCAGGGCCATCAACCAGTCAATGCCCTCCTTGAGGTTGCGGGGAGCCTCAGTCAACGAATTGTATACCATTTTTAGTGATTCTTTCAATTATGCGATTGTAAAAACGTAGGAATTTAGGGTATATTTACAAGCTGATGTGCAAATAGCTGTCTTAATAGCAGACCAACACAACAGTGCTGTGGCCTTCTAATAGGTAGACCCTTTATCGAAAAATAAACCCCCGTCCACACACCAAACAGGCGAATTTTGGGAGACGCGACGACTACCAAGATGCAGTATCGCAGCCACCTCCACACAATTAACGTGACATGCAGTACGCAGCACGCGAGTTATTGGAGTGTCCAAGCTCCAGGCAGTACTTGCGCTTAGTGAACGTTGGAATGTTGTTATAATTTAAAGCGACGTATAGAGGTTCCAAATGTCACGATGAGTCGCGAGCAGTGTTTTAGCGGGCCTACGACGTATCGCGGTCATCAGGGCGGTCCATCTTGTCGCCACCCGCACATTAACATAAACATGCCTCCACACATTCTTAATCATACAACCAATATCCCATATTCCATACATCCACTTCACCTAGAATGGCGCTATTAACCGTCGCCGCTCAGGTGGCGCTCGTCACGCATAACGCCAATTGAGCAAGGAGCGTACCGACTTCTTTATCTGCAAAGTTTCCGGTGAAGTATGTCCTGTCTTGCGTTTATTCACCGTGGTTTCCTAAATTTGCGATGCACCGTGTTGGTGGCAAGACACCAATCATCAGCGCTATACTAAGGTCCATCATCGGATACCAAATGACAATCTAGCTACGATCGTAACCGTTAGATGTTAAGCGGCTCATGATGATCGTCGTCGAAGTAATCTACAGCGTGGTAGAGTGAGAGAATCTTGCGGCCGGTGGAGAGCAGCGCCTTGGTGGTGAGGTGGGATCGAATGTGGTTACCACATTGAACTGTGTTCATCCTGTTCTTGTAACTAATGCTCTACCACCATGTAATTCACGAACGCATTTACCGGGCACCTGCCATTGAAATCCTATGAAACATTAAATAAAATATTATCACATTGGCTTCGTGCCGGTAATGTCTAATACGGTGCGATATGTGCGATAATGATACATGCCGGAAGTGATTAAAGAATGCGATACAAATGTTCACTTGCGTACGAAACAATCGAGGACCCTGTGGAACGGCCAAATCTGATAGAAACTCATAACGCATACGACTACGAGGATGATTGCGATGATGAACATGATGGATGCGGTGATACTGGCTGTGGAATTGTTGTCAGCGGTGGAAGAGGAGACGACGGCGGCATGGCGTTCACGTTTATCTTCACAACATGGACATTGGCATGTGGGCGAATTTTTACATTTGGTTTCACATATCGAAGGAAGGCAATCGTGATTTTCACTGTTTTTATGGCGCAAATTGTATGCCTGCAGACATTCGATGCACTGGCGTACATTATTACATCTCTCACAACACCAATAACAGCACTTACAGTTGTGTCTAGTACATGATCCCCCTGTGTCAGCACAATCACAATCTCCCATCCTCCTCCCTCACCTGTCATTAACCTTTATAGCGATGAAACGCGTATCTTGGGCCTCAAACAGTGGAACCACCAAACTGTGTCCAATCGGCGTACCGCCATGGATACAACACCCGCGCGCCTCGCACTATATAGATACCATGCGAAGCGAGCCATATACTGCGAAGCCTCCCCCACACTTAGATGCACAAATGTAGAATGTGGTAAACGTAATGACCGAGTGATGCGATATATTAGATATCGCCAATACCACATAACGTCTTCATCATGACTTGGTTATATCCGTGAATGCGTAACACTTTACTGACATACCTTGTAAGAGCATTGGATCATCAAACCAACGACAGCGAAATTCACTTCACCAGCAGAATCTGCTAACTATCACATAATCGTGTTTACTCGCTACATTTCTCATCTATTCATAATGTAAATACGGAGCTACGCATTCTGAAATTGCGCCTCACACCTCAACCCGATGAGGTATTACTCATTATTGATCTACGTGGTGCCCGACGTGGTTTGTTCGCTTTTGGAACAAACTCCACCTACGATATCATACTTTCTTTCGTGATATTCAACATCCTACCTAATCGGCCGGTTGCTTTGTTCGCACCAATCCCATCAAGCTGCGGGATATGTTGCTGGGAACGGCGATGCTCCTAAAATGAACTCCGCTATTGACTACATGACTGAATCCAACACTACGTAACATGTGACGTAACGCGGTCGGAACAATTAATGATGATGTGAAGCCATCCCCTATACCTCACCATCGATCGGCTAACGGCGCCAGGCACCTACACGGTATAGTTGCATATAAAGATTAGTGGAGTGATCGCAGTTCCCCACTAAGCGCCAAGCATCATCCATGGTTAAGTGCTAAGGGCATTACCAATGTTTTATCTTATGAGCGTAAATGAAAATTCGTATATCACACTGTACCCATTCCCTTAGCGAAAAAGGCACAGCAAAACTGTGGTGAGACCTAATTATTTTCAACATAATTAAACGGGCTTATAGCCATTCATACATGTTGCACAGCTACAATGACAGCAGAATAAACTGCCGAGTTGACAACTGCAATCACAACGTTATAGCCGATATACATCCTAACACGGATAGACACAAATCACCATAGACGCCAACATCGATAACAATGAAAGTAAATTAGTGTTTGCAGTTCACCGACAAGTTACCACATCGGAGCAACTCATCACTTAAATTAGTAGCTCTCGATCTGGATGGTGGCGAGGGACGGCCGCCACAACCCTGGAGGGGTAGATGCGCATTTCCTCGGTTCATGAAAACCACGCCCAACCCGTTCCCTATCTTGGTTATCTCCTCCGTCAGTGGCGTGGATGGAGTCCAAGGAAGTTTCTGCGGTTGAGTAACACTGAAATGGTAAATATGGCGCTGCAAGGCATCACTCAAAACAAAATCTTTCGTCCCACAGATGAATATCAAACGGTGTTCGGTAATTGCAACAAATTGATCAGGTGGTTTGTTGAAATGCAGTTCTGTATCTGACTGATTCGATTCCACCCAGATAAGTTTATTCGAGGAGTCATTATGCACGACATCCGAAATAGCAACGGAAGTGAGCCTGCCATTTCCGCCCACGTATGTGTTGATATGAGCTTGCTCATCCAATGTTGAACGAGGGTGCCAAACATATTCGGTGTTGTTGATTTGACGTGGGCATATGGCGGATGCGGAGGCCATGTCGTCGATATCCATGTCACACCTGACGAGAGCACTGCTGGCAAGTGAGCCATGTGGATGGTCAAAATCACAATAAGCTGCATCTATATATATAACAAATTGAACCACTATAGTGCAGCATGCCCAGAGGTACCTCATGATGTTTAATTTGGCTATATTTATCGATATTGCGTTATAATATCCATATAAACATCACCAAACACCAAGTCATTTCAACCAACAAGGGTCTTATGAGTATGTGTAATCATGAAAATTCACTATTAATTGTTAGTGATGATGTCAACGGCAACCCCATTGCCGCATCTGACTGTTGAGACACCGACTAATTTTCCTGAAAAATTATATCGGAGATAACGCATAAAAGGTGAATGTAGTATATATGAGGGCGTACATTTTATCATGGGTGACCAATTTGATGCGTATTACATAACAAGCTGGATATTGACGCATCATTCCTGTGCCTGATGAGGATTGTGTTCTCAGCGAGCAGCTGAGAGCATCCGACCACACATGATCGTCCTACACCGGCGAGAAAGTATCATAACAATTGTGAGATCCGCATTAACAACCTAGATAACTTCGTCGGATCAGGATGATTACGACCCTGCCGACGGTTGCCACGCAGCGATGGGATGAAGATACCATAAACGGTCGGCAGCAAGACGGAGTGCAACCCTCGAACTAGATCTATACAGTGCAAGGCGCATACTCCGCCCATGAGTAGCGGCAGTAGCCGCACACGGCCAACTACCGCAAAATAAGAAGCAAGACGACAGTTAATTAGAAAGGAAAATTGAAAGTAATCTACACTAGTATGTTAATCTTCATACATCGGAGACGACGGACTCAGGATTGATTATGCATCATCAGGCTCGTGCTGACGTTGCCCTCGAGAAGGGCGTTGTGCGACCTAACCTCGAACCGGACGGAACCACTGTAGAGACCCTCGTGCAGAGCGTTGATGTCGTAGCAGCCAATGTTCTGCATACCGTGCTTCACAGCTTGCAGCATGGTTGGAATGAGGGTGCTTATGCTACCTTTGTCAGAAGTGTACCCGGCAACACCCTGGGAGACCATGGGCTGGTCCTCCTCCATGTGGTAGCGGCGGATGCTACCCCTGTCGCCGGTCTTCTGGCGCGCGCTCATGAACGCAGCCTTGCTGCCCATGCCACGGTACTGTTTGACTCGGATACCATTGTGGTAGAAGAAGTCACCGGGGCTCTCTATGGTGCCGGCTATCGCCCCTCCCAACATGCAGCAGCTGGCACCAAGCGCCAGTGCCTTCATGATGTCACCTGAGCTGCGAATACCACCGTCCGCAATGACCGGGCAGCCATGGCCGTATTCTCGCGCGTACCGCGATACATAAAAGACTGCCGTGGCCTGAGGCCTTCCCACACCGCAAACACCCTGAGTCGAGCAGATAGAGCCACAGCCCATACCGACACGGAGCCCGTCAACTCCGGCGTCGATGAGGTTTTTAGCTTGTCTTCCCGTCACCACATTGCCACCAATGACCTGGATTTCCGGGTTCGCCTGCTTCAGCTGTTTGATCAGGTCGATCTGGTAGACGCTGTTGCCCTGGCTGGAGTCGATGACCAACACGTCAGCACCGGCATCGATCAACTTGGCTGCTCTTTCCAACGCACCAGGTCTGAAAAATGTGTGAATGATTTGTAGGCACTCACCTGGTCGAAATGGCAACTCCGACGAGCAGCTGCATGTTCTCATTCTTGGCAGCTATTGGGAACTTGCGGTTCTTCTTGATATCGCTGCGGCTTACGATCGACACGAGCTCGCCCTTGTCGTTCACAATGGGGAGGATACCTTTCTTGATATCACAGAGAATAGTGTTGGCCTCCTGTAGCGTAAGAGGGTGTTTTCCCACGATAGGGTCGCGAGTCATAACCTCCGAAATTTTCGTGGACTTGTCCTGGACGAAGCAGACGTCACCGCTGGTGACGATACCCTCCAGTTTCGAGTTGCGTTTCCCGTCGGCGGTAATGGGGATCGATTTGAAACCGTACTTGTCCCTGATGGCCATCCAATCGCCGACGGTGTGGTTCGGTGTCAATACGTAGGGGTCGACGATGAATCCATTCTCAAAGCGCTTGACCTTACGCACCTCCTCTATCAATTCCTCCTGAGTCAGGTTATTGTGGATGATTCCTATGCCTCTGCAACCGATGAACGCCCGTAAAACGTGTTGCCGAATGTATATGAACAAGGGCAGCCACAAGAAGCATAAAACTCACTCAACAACATCGCACACATAAGATTCCTGTTAATAACAATCAGACCACATGCTGAAAATGGTACATCAGAGCTACTTACCCTTGCAACGCTATCTCGACAGCCATCTTGGACTCGGTGACCGTGTCCATGGGCGACGAGACAATTGGCGCATTAAGGCGGATCTTCCGTGTGAGATTAGTCGATAGGTTGACATTGGTATTCGGACCCGATATATAATCTGTACCGCGATTATTGCCATGAATACGGGACCGCGACACCGCCGCTCAGACAGCATGTCGCGATGAAGAAGGCAGCTCACCTGGAAGCAAAATCAGGTCGTCATACGTGTAGCCAATTGTAGTGGTGTCAAATATTTCAGCGGCACTCGAACCGTCAGCCATTTTTTCAACAATAACGACAATGAATAGGGTGTGTCAGAGGTGACTGGGTGATGCACTATTGTTGGGAGCGGGACTTATAACGCCGTACCGCGCTCCAAATTCTGTTTTATTTCAGCTGTGTGTGTCTTGAAAGCTCTGTCTAGTTTCAGGTTGTACACACGGTTGCGGTCGTTGATGTACGACACGTCCTTGGCTTCGTCGTCGAACGCACGGCGGCGGCTGAACTTCTCCCTGCGCGAAACTGAGCACACACGTCAGCCAAACACACCTCTGTTTGTACTGCTTCTCGAGGTTACGCACCACAGTGAGTTTTGCAGCCTCCGTTGGCACTGTGGACGTTATTCCGGGCTTATAAAAGTTGTCACCCATATGGGCCTTCTGCAGCTCATACTCCTCTTGGTTAAAGGCGGTCTCATTCAGCCTGAAATTCAGTGAACACATAGTACATTAAGTCTTCCACTGCACGTAACAGAATCACCACCAGTGCCAAATGCATCCACCGTAGTTGATGCGCAGCACGCCTCACCGAGCGTCAGAGACAACTTCGTATGAGTAACGCACTGATGACCGTACCGGCATACATCAACGATACTCGACTATGTTGCTGCTTTTTGAGTCCGTGGCACCGATAACACTTCCACACGCATAACTAACCTTTTTTTGTGCGCCCTGTAAAGCGCGTCTTGGTTGAACACGTTCCAGCCGAAGGTCTTGCCCTTTTCCTTCTTCAAAGCTTGTTGGTGATGTTTCTCCACTGCGATAGCAGCCTTGTTTAGGCTGGGGTTGCGATTAAAGTTGACCGTGGAGTTGTCTTCGCGCAATCCAAGCACCGACTTGTAGTGCTCGTTGAGCTTCTTAGGATCTCCGCCGAACCTATGTTCTATTTCTACCGATTCCTGATTCAATTGGGAACACTCCTCCAGGCGTTTGCTGAGCGTTCGCAACTTCTGCATCACCGGGTCTTCGTCAGCACCATCATTGTCAGATGCTGCATCCCCTGAATCGCTCGACTCACTGTCTGACTCCGACGGCTCCACCACCGCGGCGGCAGGTTTACTCTCACTGGGCGCGTCTGGCTCAACATAGTACTGGTACTCGCTGTCGGCGTCATAGGTCGGTATGAAGTGGAGGCTCTTGCCGCCGAGCGCCTCTGCGATGTACTGCTTGCCAATGGCTGCCGCCGAATCAGGCCTTATGGGACGCTTTCGAATCACCTTCCCGGTGTAAAGACATCGGAGCTCTTGTGGTTCCTCCTCATCTGAATCCGAATCCTGAGGGCGCAGCGAGTCCATGAGGGTGTCCACCAGCTCTCGCTGCTTAGACATTTGGCCGACCTTCTTGGGGGTGTATTCCAGCAGGCCACACCGCAGGATGCCGACTTCCACCTTGGGTGCATTGTGCGCATCAAGGGGGACATTTTCAACCGCGCGGATGAATTCCATGCCCTGGACCACCCGGGCGAAGACGTGATGACGATCGTCAAGGCGCGGATCTCTCCCAAGCGTGATGACAAACTGCGAGCCATAGCCTTCGTTATTGATTCGCTTCATCGACAGGAGTCCGGCATGTGAGTGCCTGCGAGTGTTACGCGATTCCTTGAAGTAACCGCCGAAGGCGCTTGATCCACCATCACCGTTGTTATGCTCGAAGTCACCGCATTCGAAATACTGCCCAGCGACAACACGGTAAACGCGACAACCAGTGTAAGATAGAGCTCGTCTCTTTCCTAGGACGGAGCCTACGACTTTGCCGAGGCATAGCAAACGGAAGTTCTCTGCAATCGACTCCCCGGCGTCATCGAAAAATTCGAACACTACCCGTCCGCTGAGATTGGCTCCGACGCCAATGTCGAAGAATCCACGCAGCGACGTCATTTGTAAACGGGTATAAGAGTGGATGTGTAACAAATGGCGCTGGCTCCTGCGCGCCCCGTCGCTCCTTGTTGGGGCTATGTCTAGGCACCGCTTCGATCACTGATCCACGTTGGCGTGGATTTATCGCATAGGTCGAAATGAGGATCGACAAATGCTGGCTATGTTCCAGCAACATATACCCGGGTAGGTGATAGCTCCCCTCTTCTACCAGAGGTACATGGCCTTCCAGGTCACGGGATCGTATTCGTCCGCAATGACTCGAAGATATTCCGTTTCTGCCGAAGCAAGTGCCACAAGCACTTCAAGGCGAAGCATAACCCGCGCAAGCTGAAGTGGACCAAGGCTGCGCGTCGGCTGGCAGGTAGGATTTCGTCTATTACGGTCGTCCCGTAACCAGTTCTTACACCAATGGCGCTAAGCCCGTAATACACGGCTATAGTGACCTATGTGTGACTTTCTGTGGGAATTGGCAGTCGCTGTATGACCTGGTTGTGTTATCCATTGCAACAACTACAAACTTGCACAGGCAAAGAGATGGTAACGGATAACTCCGTGGAGATGGAGCGCCGACGCAATGCGCCGGTGCGATACGACCGCAACATGTATATCACTGCGATCAAGACCATACAGAAGGCCGAGCGCGTCGAGGAGCTGCGTAAGATTCTCATGAGGAGGCAGCGCCGCCGCGCTCTAATCGCTAAAAAGCGAACGTTGGCAGAGAAGGAGTTGGAGACACACAGTCATATCCTCGAGGTACCCAACGATCTGCTGGATCGCCGCGAAAAGGACGGCGAGGACGTCGTCATGGAGAGCAAGGTGGGTTATTTGCTTATTTGAGCCTTATCTTGTCGCAGACAAAGCGCGTAACGCGGCACATGAAGGTATCCCAGCCGAAGGAAATTGTGCGGGTTCGCAAGTCAATCAAGAAGTCGCGTCGCTCCGACGACGCCATGGACATCGGCTGAAGGCGGGTGGGGTACGCCCCGCACGCCGTCCGAATCACTCTATAATTCACGCTAATGGAACAATCACACGATTCTGCCACGACACTGCAGGTTGTGTAGTAATGTGTTTTTTTGACCCAGATGCAGCAGTTCCAGTTGCTCCAGGAGACACAGGCGCAGATCGAGGTCCTGAACACGCAAATTAACAAAATCAAGAAGCGTATTGGCGCCCTTCAGGTTGGCCAGAAGCGTTGCGAAGCCGCGCTCGAATCGGTAGGCCGCACACGCCCACGCGTCTTCACAGTGCGCAGCTTGAAAACACCCAACCGGGCCAACGGGTTTACAAACAGGCCTCCCGCGTGTAGGTTTAATGTGTATCTGTTGCAGAAGCACGCAGCTTAATTTTGCGGGATCCGACGGAACTACAAGCCGAGATTGCGCGCGAACGTGAAGCGACTGCCAACGACCTGCCTAAATTGATCGCAGTGAAGGCGCAGCTGGTGGCTAAGCTTGGAGGGTTGAACGCGCAATTTGTTGACCTCAATACACAGCTGCGCCAGGCAGTCTTCAGGCAGCCTTCGTGAACGTTGTATCGCGTGCTCCAAGGCCATCTACTGTGTCATAGGAGTGGATCATATCGTTGCCTACTAGTTGCAGCTTACGTGATTGGATCGCCAAGATGTTGCACATTTTGCTTGTGTTGTGCGTCATCACGTGCATCTGTGACCTATTCGGGGCTGGGCTGCGTCGAGTTTCCGCCCTGCTTCAGGAGCTGGAGGAACGCCGGGCGGCTTCGAATCCCCCAATGCACAGTGGTGACGGGCAAATGCCAACGCCTACAGAGTTAGCGATGCGCTTCATTGCTTCAAAGCTTAACATCTACAAGATATTGAGGATGATCGTTGGACTTATTGGCGTTTTGTCCAACATCATCTTGCCGTACTACCTCTTAAGCAGGTTCACCAAGGCTACCAACGCCAGCTATCACCGCCAAACGTATTCCTACATGCCCTTCATGATCGTCGATTTCGAGCGCGTCCCTGTCCCGGAGATCGACTTGGCAGAGGTGGGTGCCGCCTCTTATCGGACACACTGTGCAGGTACCGCTGCCGAACGGCAAGAAGCCGGAAGATGTTAACGTGCTGACATCCTTCAACAGATACATCGCGTTTATGGTGTCTAGGGTTGCGATGAAAGCCATATATTCCACCTTCTACGCGGCATACAACCCGGCGGGTTACCTTGAGCAGATGTTGCAGCGCGACAAGGAAGCTAAGGCATAAACCTTTTTCACAATGTCCAAATAGTTCATTACTAACTTTACACGATGAATGTGCAACTCGTTTCCGCAGAAGGTGACGTCTTCACCGTCGAGCGGCAAGTAGTATCGCTCAGTGTTGTCCTAAACAACGCGATTAAAGGTGAACCGCTGCATCAATCTCAAACATAATCTCAGATTACGATGACACCAGCGAGCTGGAGCCCATAAAACTGCCGGAAATCAGCACGCGCATTCTGGGCAAGGTAATCGACTACTGCCGCTACCACTGGGACAACCCAGCCAAACCGATACCTAAGCCACTTAAATCAGCGCGTCTGAATGAGGTAAGTGAACGTCAGTGTGTACGAGCAATCACCGCCTATGCAGTTTGTCTGCCCCTGGGACTTCGAGTTCGTCAACGTGAGTAAGGAGGTTCTTTTCGAGCTCATCATGGTGAGTGCTTCAGTGTGTGAGCGTTACCTGCACTGTCGATAGGCGGAAAACTTCTTGGATATAAAACCGCTGCTCGACCTCACCTGTGCCAAGCTGGCATCGATGATCAAGGGCAAATCCGTTCAAGATATCAGGGACGAATTCAACATTGTTAACGATTTCACTCCAGAGGAGGAGGCCAGGGTGAGTCATTTATCTCACAGAGATGCTGCGGCGTCGGACCTTGCATGCCCGCCGACAGGCACAGTGAACGAAGCGACGGTTGGGCCCACCACCCTGGTGGTCATGCGCGGCATCGGCGAAATACGTCGCAATAACCGATGCGATGTCGTTTGCTGCGGCGGTGGGAAGTGGAGCAAATGCTAGTGTGGTGATTCATGCCTCATGCAGATTAGGGAAGAGAACAAGTGGTGCGCTGAGTTATGAGCCCGCGAAGTTCTTCAACGGCGGTCCCTGGAGCCAGCCCTCCCGTAGCTGGGGCTGCGGGACCTGACGCGCCTGCCGCCGCTGCGTGATCGTGATCGCGACTTGGTCTTGCTGCGCTTGCGGGGGCTGAACGTAATGAAGTCGCCTCAGTTGATGTGCACACATACCTCGGACTGCGCCTGGAAGAATAGGGGTCTCTACCCCTGCTGCGGTCCCTGCGATGCCTAGGTCGTGGACCCTTAGACAGCTCCACCTTTAGGCTGCGGCGTCATTAGTTGGAAGGCAGACATTGTAGGGTCAACATTGGATGCGGTGAATAAACTACGTACTTTTGGCCCTTGAACTCGGTTCCATCCAATTCTTCGATGGCATCACTAGCGTCGCGGGTGTCCTCGAAGGTCTGTCATCGTTGAACGCATAGCGTGTACAGCTACCCACCACAAACGCGAACCCCGGGGGTCTGCGGGCGACCCATACGTTCGCAATAGTACCGAATTTTGAAAATAAAGATTCCACATCATCTACCGTGGCCTCCGGGTTCAGGTTCCCTGAAGAAAATTGTACGAAGACGACGCGCCGCCCACCTATGTAAACCTTCTTGCCATCGCTGGACTCGTAACGGCTACCCATCTTTGATTTTGAACGGTAACTACGAGCCTTATAAAACGATTGTAGGCCCGCCGTCAAAAAATGTGATGTTAACGTGGCCGTTGAATCCCCCACAGCTGCGATGCCAGCCCAGGGGATCGACGCGTACCCGCACTTGACGCGGATCAAACCCTGCCACACGCCGAGTAGCAGTTTTCAACCGCAAGGGGGCACTATGTGTGACAAATATAGCAGTGGAAGGCGCGGTTATGAGTGGCAAGACACGGCGAAATTCGCCGTCGCCGCACTGGTGTGATGGCACATTCAGTCACCGTGTACGGCATAACATACACGTGTTCGATGACACTTCAGCGTCAACTCACAGTGCTCGCCTGCATCAGCGCGTGAATATTGACGAATGCCAACATTTACACAGAGCTGTCTTCTCCACCTACAAAAATAAAAACCACGATTTCACATTTCTATAAGACTGGCCCATCTTAATAGTACCTATATCTGGGCCAGAGTCAGAAAACACACGCAGTCTCCGCACCAATGGCGACCATGCGCCAACGATCACTGGATCAACTACGCTAGACCGCTGCTTAACACCGTTCAAACTGCAGCATCGTCAGCGTACGCAATTGAACTATCGAACGTATTTCTACTACGCGGGAAAACATACCAGTACGCAAGAGTGTGGTGACATGCCATGGTCGCCCTGCAGGTCAGGTGAATGCGTGCTGACTTAACAAACTTGCGTCCGGCTATAATTCGTCGTCGGCGATAAAAGTGATTTCATATATACATTTTTAATGAGTTTTTATCGTGATGGAATGGATGCTTTTCTCCGCGTAAATCAACGATAGCGCAGTTCCGCTTATCGCATATCTCTTGATGCTGGCAAGGTACACATATGTAACTGAAGTGCCGTAATTGACCGATTAGATATTACAAAGACAAATGGCAGATGTTTTCGCGGAAAAGTTGTAGACATCCAGCGGCCTGGGCACTTATGTCTACGACTAGTTAAACAATTATCTGTACTGTATGTTAACTACGGCACCAATGTGCGTAGCTTATCCCATCGTGTTATATAGAAACCGTACGTGATTTAGTAGAAAATGATTATGCGATGGAGGAATGAGCTTCCAAAGGCATAATCATGTGTAACAGCAGCAAGGCGTTATTTTTAGCTGCAAGGTGTCGTACATATTACGTTCCAAACCTAACAAGTTCAATGAAAACGGTTAGAACGCGCAAACCTAAACGCTTCGATACGCGAGACACGTATACAGACATGTGCAGTGCGACGCGTCTGTCGCACGTGTGCGAGGCAAAAGGATCAGAGGGAAGTAGACGCGAATATCTCACCACTCACAATATACTACAAACGACTTTTAAGAGATTTACCGTCACGAAATTCAAGAGCACAAAGCACACAGGAGCGCTATCCATGTGACGCATAAATGCACACAGTAAGACTTAGTACCAGAAATGATGCGACTAAATACGGTAACTGTTACAGAAAGAAGCGATGACGCTTTGAAAGACGCGCATCATCCTAATGTCGACAGAAGCGCACTCTGTGTGAATGCTGACGATTTCAAAACATATGTGTCGACTTCTAGTAGTTGCACATCAGCGTACCAGTTGTGATATGCTATATGTTAAATGTGTGTGCACGGCCGCAGAAGATCAACAACTGCCAACGAAAGCCAAAGCGCTGGCGCGAACAACGGTTGAGGCGTCGTGCTCTCAACGGAGTTCGCTACAACCCCCGTGTTTTCATGCCACCGAATGGCACATTTAGGAAAATAAAATGGCGTCTTATATCGTGTAATACTAGAAGTGCGGTTCACACACGCCGTGCCCGGCGGTCACCCCATGTAACACGTAGGCTAATCCTCCTACGTCCTTATTCATTAACAATATTCTACAGTCTATCTATAGCCAATTGTTTCCAATTATATTTTGCATCGCTACAAAGTCATAGCACCCTAGATAAGATGTCCGGAAAAGTGCCATCGTCGAAGAGCCAGGCGGCCAAGAAAACCGCCGGCAAATCCCTCGGCATCAGGTACCGCCGCAAGAAGCGTATTGAAAGTTTCTCTCTTTACATCTACAAGGTGCTTAAGCAAGTGCACCCCGAGACTGGTGTGTCCAAGAAGTCTATGTCTATCATGAACTCCTTCATCAACGACATTTTCGACCGCATGGCTCTTGAGGCTACTAGGCTCATCAGATACAACAAGAAGAGCACCCTCAGCTCCCGCGAAATTCAGACCGCTGTACGTCTCTTGTTGCCCGGTGAGTTGTCCAAGCACGCCGTGTCTGAGGGAACCAAGGCCGTCACCAAGTACACCACCTCTGGAGCCTAAGTCTAAGCACCTCCGATAAAACACGCCTCATACTTTATTTAAAATTATGACTGTCGAGACTGCTCTTCAACGCCCACAGACATTTGCGCCAATGGCCATGTTGCTGCGCTGTTGCCCAAGGCTACAGCGGGTTTTGTTATCGACCTCCCTAAAGACATTGGCGAGTAAACTGGGGTAGCAGGTCTGTCTGCTTTTTCATTTCAACGTGCTAACCTCAAATTAAATTCGTAAAAGGCCTATTTTCCATTGCATTCATACGTCTTCATGGTTGCGTGTTACGGTTATGCCTGCTCTGTGGGTGCTACAGTCTTACGCCTGAGCTGGCACGGAGTTAGTAATGCATTATGGGCGAATGCTTAATGCTTCCATGTGGTATCTTTGCTTAGCGTGCGGCGTTGCTCGAAAGGGGTATGCGACAAGGCGACTACAGATCGGTATCATGAAACTCATAGATGCATTTGACAGTGCAGTGAACTACGCCGATCTAAGTTTATAAAATTGGCGCCTAGGAGTGTCCATTTTGCGTAATCAGCTGAGAAATGCCCATACTCAACCAGGCAACAAGCACGCACGAAGCACCTAAACACAGGCACATAACAGTGATATATTCCCATATTTAATGCGATACATTGTGTTTGGTTGCGTTGCGATATTATGCTAACAATACTATGTGTAGGCTCTCCGATGCGCCTATGCCTACTTCCCCGTTCTTAGACGTTTACGAATCTTCCTGACTGAACGGCAGTCAGGCCTTGCTCCGTGATTTGCCTGTTAATGTGTGAAACAGACAGCAGCGGTGGAGAAGGCGGAACGTACTTTTGAAGGGTAACGACAGCCAGGATTGCGATTCCACAACAATACGCGAGACGAGCTGATAGACCTCATCTGCGTGAGCAAAAAGTTGCCGAAAAATGTGAACATCGAGGAATTTGCCGACGAAATATTGACTGGCGTGAATGTGCTGTTAACGTCACCCACGGCTGCAGAGCATCACGCCGTGATGACTTGGAGAGATTTTTCGGCACATATACAAATAGAGAACGACGCAATATGACCGAAAAGGAACACAATGTCAAAACAGTAGTGTCTGACGCAGTCAGCCGTCGCGGTGTCGGTGTCGGTGGATCGACGACTGATGAGTCGTTGAGACAGCTCAGCGACCAGTATGTCGAATACCTGAAGTTGATCAAAGACAACTGGTCATCGTGCCACGCGTCAAAGATACTCAATTTAGAGCTGGTGCAATACATTGTGCCGCGGTTTCGGCAGCTTTCAGCTCCACTGCGAGTTCGAATATTGACTTCGTTCTTCTACCTCAAGGACACGCTGGTGAGTGATTTTGAGTCATGCGAACTGTGTTATAAGTGCCATGATAAATTGCCAACTATGTGAATTGACGGCATTGCAGAGGGTAGAAGCGCAAGAAAACATCATGGAGGTGCTTGGCTATACGGAAACAGATGCCAACGAATGGGTGCGCAAGATGGGACAGCTACTGGTAAGTCATCATACATCTATAAAATGAGCGTGCATGTATTACGAAAACAATCTGTTACTCTACATAGCACTAAGCAATCCGCCTCGTAATTATCGGTCAACAATGCGATGCATGTCACGCTGTCGGAGCCCAGAAGGGGACGACGTGAGCGAATATATTTCACTGAAGGGCAAAGTTTATATAATTGACAAATGAGTACAACACTGGGGATTGTAATACGTTCTTTAGATTCATAATGCTGCAGAAGCCATTTATACTCAACGGAATGATAGACCTTCGGCTGATAGACACGGAGACAGCATTCAGGATAATTACATTTTTGGATGAACACAGAGGTAAGTTCTCGAATTCATCGTACGGCATATTGCCTGCTCCCGTGACCATAACACATATCCAGATGCGACCTACTACGAAAAGGAAGGACTGGACTGTATCCACATGTGCAACGTCAAAGATTTCGAGGGATCGCTCGCATCAAACGGAGCACGGAATGACGATGAATATACGCTGTATTATCCGCAGATGAATTTTGACAAACTAGGCGACGTAATATTTAAGCGTGCCGTGAATCGCAAGAATGCCTATGCACAACGCAGGAGGCCAACAGCCACAGGAACCTAGGTTCTGCATTTTAAGTTTTTACGCCGTTGGAGGCGTCTTGCGTTTAATGACACTATGGAATATTTTATTGGGGCAGTTTCAAGTACACTCGGATTTTAATTATATATTTGCTTCGTAGTTGTCACATTTGTCGTCAACCGCCTGGTCCGTCGTTTTCGATGTCTGTATATAACTCGCCGCATCGATGACACAGCAAGCAGCGAAATGACACAGGGATTGTAGTACGAGCGCTTTCATCGCATCTTCCCATTTAACATGGCGAAGTGTAGATTGGGTGGCGGTGGCTTTAGTCGGTGAACCATGCCTCATATTGTTGAAAACTTCGTCGCTGAGCTGGTGCCGATGTCCAGGCGTTCTCAGTTCAATTAGTACGCAGCATATCATTTCGAAAGCCGATTTCATTGGAAATATCGTGTTAGGACTACACTCTATATAGGCAAAATGATTCAATCATCTGCGAACCAATTTTGTCACATCAGGGTTTTTCTTGATGCCAGTCTTGTCGCCACCTACTGCCATCGATTTAGTGTTAAACATGGTGGCAATTTTGGCAAAAAACTCTACCTATAACGTTAAATTCGTGTGCCTGCGTGGTGTAGTGAGAAATTACGCACAAAGGTGAGATGTACTTTAATTATGCCGGCCTTGGATTTTGTAAGTGACGCAGAGGGGAAATGGAGAGTGTGGCAAATGAACGAAACTAAGGTTAGGCGGGATATCAACTTAATGCTATGATTAAACAATGCAGATGCAGCAACCATGGCGTCACACGTTTTTATAAACTATGTAGATAAACCTCTGTTGAATACCTTCAACTGATGTATGGTCAGGCTATGTCGAGGTGGTGGATCATCTCGTAGGCCAGTGAAGGATGTTACTGAGCATGCGGCTTGGCAACGAATGTCTCCGGGACTCTTCGACGTGATGGCGTAGTTAGTTGTCATCTATGTTCAACATTGTGGTAAGCCTTGAAGTCGTAACTCTGGACTGTACGCCAGTAGACACTTAGTGGGGCGCCCCCAAAACTTAAGTATCCAGTTATTTACTACCCCGAGCATCTTGCATCGCGCTTGAGCACAGTGATAGTGTGAGTGGTATATTGACATTCTTTTCGGACCAAACGGAGGTGAGAGTAATTGGGTTCAAATTTTGGTGGCACACTAACATATCAATGCACGTGTCAGCTGTTTATATTAATAGTGTCAGAGTTTCAAGATTTCGAATCACTCCTGATATAGCACACTTGGACGGCGGTTTGGCAGTGTGCTTCCATTTGGGGAGCCATCATACAGCTAAAATTCATCTGCTAAACAACTCACGTGATGGCTCAAGGGGGTAAGCGCAAGATGAAAACGCCTGCGGGAGCGGATGAAAAGGATGTAGGATGCGTTACGCCTGCGGTAGATCCGGAAAGGGATCCAGCAAAACGTATTTGTACGGGTGGGAACAAGGATGGCGAGCAGGACCGGCGAAAACGTATGGGCTTAAGGCAGTTGGAAGAGTCGCTGATGCGGGCTCAGTCGTCCCGTGATGGCTTTCTTCGCAAGTGCATCGTACATCTGAATTGGTGTTTGAATACTTTGCGAGGAAATTCGCCATTCGGTAACGGTCCTGATGGAGCAGTTTATAATCCAGAAGCTGACCATAGTAATGATCAGTGGCGTAAACGGTTGGAAGAGGTGATAATGGCGGTAATGTGGTTATATAATGACGCACTTAGCGGTCCCCGGTTATGGGAGAGCTCCCATTTGAATACTCGCCCAGCGACTTCCACATCCGGTAACGGTTCTGACGGAGCAGATGGTACTCAAGACCCCAACCATGGTACACATGAGTGGCAGAAGCGGTTGCAAGAGGCGATAATGGCGGCACAATCGTTATTTAATGACTCACTTGGCGGTTTCCGGTCAGATTCGACGTCGAATTTGAGCACTCCGCCAGCAACTTCGCCATCCGTTACCGGTCCAGATGGACAGCATGGTAATCCAGACGATACCCGTGGTAAAGATAAGCTTCCGCCTCAAGACTCACATGACTCCGAAAAAGAATAACCGTCCTATCGAACCTTAGTACAGCGGCAACCGTTACATCAAGGTGGCGGCGCTGGCACCCTCTTTGACCGCGTCTATGTAGAAGAAATACGGCGGCAAAAGATTCATGAAAACAACCTCAACATCTATTACGCTTCAACCATTCTCTGCGACTCCTTCCAGTAACCACTCACGTAGCACACCTAGTGATGGCAACTCTAAGGTAATGTAGCAGGAGTGCATTACATAATCTGTTTTGGCGGAAATGTGGGTGATCACCCAGACCGGCAGCGTCGGAGTGCCACGCTATGTTGGGCAGTGATCCAGCCACCTAGGGCGTGTACGGGATGCGTTGTGATGTTGCGTCAGACATTGTTCAAGGAGTTGCTAGGCAAATGTCACAATAAGCCTCAATGACGTTCGCGGATACATACTAAGCATTTCCGACCCAATTTTACATTTACACAAGGTAATAACAGCACTAATTAAGCAAGACACAGAATCAGCGGCGCAAGAAATATTTCTACAAATGCATAGCCTCGGATGATTATGTAAAAGTGATATATAAAATGTAGAAGACACACATGAATCACTAAAGTTGCAAATGTTTGCTATAATAATGATATTTACCCTGAGATGAATCCAGTAGACAAATGCGGAATCAGATGTCACCAGCTGTATTTGTACATCGTGTGCCGTGCTCTCACCGAGCTTTTGTTCGGCACTCTCACCGTCGTCGTGTCACACATCACCAAGAAACCCATTTAGGATAATATATGGCTGCATATTAGGCCAAACCCCCTTAACAGACGCTGGTATTAAGCACTTTCACATTTGCGAAGAAAGCGCCATAGAACGTTGACATTGATGCCAGGCACAACTGATATATAGCGAGATGGTGGACGATATTAGAATGACACCTGTTATATTCCAGCAACTGGTATTGTTTGGCGTCTTTGTAATCGTGACGATTGCTGGATTCGTGTTGCTAGCAGGGATCAAGACACCGACTTCTCTCGAGAAGCCCTCAACACAGCCACAAAAGAAAAAGGATCTTTGATGAAGTTGCTATAGTAACGGATTTGAAGATTCTTCACGCCTGTTATGGTTGCGGTGTGTATTTTTTAGGTCAGGAAAGAAGCGCGTCGCATACCAATGTTCGACTGGCTGCCTGTACGGATGCGGAGCTTCGCAGCGCCGAGCATGACATTGACGAACGTGGCTTAACGACGATTGTTGAGTCGTATCATCCTCTGAGGTCGTGAATAACGCCCACGTCGCGGAGGCACCAAATCAGGCAACGTATAGGTCCGTATAGTATACATTTTTTTTAATTTCCTACTGTTTTGTATTCATTGATGCGTACATGCGCCACCGCACAGTGGCAAGTGCTTCCGTCTGTGTTTAAGGCAAGCATTCTAGAATGTGATATCCCCCTTTTGCAGTATAACTCCTACCGTCATCCCAAGTGTCTCACGCACAGATTGCTTCAGTTTTGGCTGGCATGAACTTCTGTGATGCAATTGTTATCGATCATATGCTTTGATGGTCAGATGCGTAGGGAGTAGACTCCACGATGAACGACCACCTAAGTGCTAGGCTAGCGTTGCTACAGTGACAGCCCCCAGCGGTAAAGGATCCGCAGATCCAATCGCAGGTATTAATAAAAAAAGCCGATGTATTGGGCTCTATTTGACGTGTTTTCAACAACCAACATGTTCTGTTCGCAATACCTCAACGATGAGGCCCATTGTCACAAATTCGTAAATGCGACATACGACTCCGTGTTACGCTGGTATAGATCAATTAAGGGTGCCAATAAATCTGTTTAACACATTTATTGCATATGATTGCTGCTGGATAGACATTATTGTCGCGTTGTGTATCGCATAAGGAAAAACCCAATCCCGTACTTTTACGAACACGTTTTCGAAATGGCTGTTGTCGTGCAAGCAGGAATACATCAACCAGTTTAACCGAACACCACACATACTCTAAATATTGACAAAAGATGTGCAAACACCCATTGGCACGTATTTATCATGTGGCTCGAATACCTAGTCAGTGATAAACGAGCTCATCTGGTCTACTCCGCGGATGACTCCAACGCTGCCTTCCCAGGTGGCGTAGATACCTTGGGCACAGTCGTGGAAATGTATTGCATGTGCTTACGCTCCTGTTCAGCTATCTCCAACGGGGACCTGAACTTGTGCCTAGCATAGCTCGGAATCTCAGGTGGCACTTCCTCCGGCATAACGACGCGGTGCGCGTGGCGCCGGAAGTGGATGCGCTTCAGATTCTTAAGCTGCTGGATCTTCGACTGGTACTCCTTTGCTATTGGGATGAACCACCTGTCAGGCCAGTGGACTGTGTGGTCACCGGGGCTCCCGACGTACACGTAACGCATGCCAGTAGCGTTAGACATGGTGCGACGGGAATATATCTGTTCCAACGCCTTTCTCAACGCCTTCGCGCGAGTTATCCATGATGAACGACCATGAAACGTCAACTTGCAGTTGTCAAGCCCAGCCAAATAGGCCAGAGGTAAGTACTTCCGATTGGTCTTGATTCCAGCTCCCATCTTCCTTGGGGTTATGTAGACACGACAACCGTATTCTTGACCCAACACTGGAGTTGTAAGTGGCTCTTTCGGATCGAAGTCGATGAAGAACATTCCACGTAGCGCCTGCTGGACAGCGCTGGCACGTGCAGTACCAAGATCGTTCCCGAACCCCACGCCAGTGCCGAAGTAACCGCGTCCATCACCGACGGCAACGACGACGCGCAAAAAGTATACACGGCCTTCTTTGGTCATCGTACGCATTCTACGCCGCTCAAGAACGCACGAACGCAGATTCTCGAGTTTCAGTGTAGGGTCAACACCCTCACGTGTACGAACGTAGTAGTTCCGCTTCGCATCGAACTGAGCTCCTGCAGGAACCTTGTACTCGATACCCTTGTCGGTTACAGTGCCGGCGCCCACATCGGCTTGGAACTCAAGTTCTTCCTTTATCATGCGATCGAACACGCGGTTATAATCGCGCACAACTTGGCCGCTGGCCACTCGGTTAATGCGCCTAATGTGGTCGCCGACCAAGTTCTCTATATCGCTGGTTGACAACGCTGTGACGACGCTCTTTGTTTGCATGGGCGAATTGGAGTCGACTCCTGATGAAGGTGTCGCAGGGTTACCAGCCAGGGAGTGAACAATATCACTGCCGGATATGCTCAAACGTTTGAACACGGATGCAGGTGACCAGTGCTCAGCATCAAAAACGTGTTCATGCCCAGTTGCAAAGAGGCCAATTATCCTTACAGAGGATTCCGCAGTAGTACGCGTAACTTTCTTGTGAGGGAAGCTTCCCTGCGTACCCGACCCTTTGGTGTCATCCGAAAGTTCATTCGAACTGTCGGAACCGAAGAATACGGACGATATATCGACCCCCTTTAGACCGAACCAATCCTTCAAACCAATTTTGCGCAGTGAGTCGACGAAATCGTCAAGTGATGCCTTAGTGACGCCCTCGACCGACGACGGCTGTCAAGGTATTCACGGATTAAAAGCGAAAACTAACGGCAAGAAGCTGCAGCATTCCGAATAGATATGCCCCAGCGCGGTCAATAGGGTACCCTATACGACGCTCATCTAGCAGTGCGTCGGGGTATGGTAGGCCTGTGGATGGTTTACGTTAATGGGCCAAATAGTTACCGTCATACGGAAGGTCCCTCTTTATATCGTACCTAACGAAAACTGTAACTTTATAACCACGCGCCTACCATTCGGAATGTTCGGTTCGGTTTACTAGGGCCCTATTGTGCGCCACGCGCTCGAGATGACTCTTTAACCAAGCCTTCACGTCCTGAGAAAGCTCATATATAACATATGTAAGCCTACCGCTTCAGTTATGGGGCCGAATTCCGTAGCCATAAACGGTTTCAGTTTGGGCCAAACTGTGGTACACCAGTGGTCGATGTTGCTGCCGTCGCGCTTAAGCGCCACAAAGTCCATTAACCGATCGTACGGATTATAGGAACCGCCAGCGCTAGCCTCCAAACCTAGCGATGTGCAAAAACGCTTGACATCTTCGGTGAGGGAATCCATCACTGAGGGTGGTATAACAGTTGCATGCGTAAACACCTACAGGCAGACATCGCCAAAGCGTAACTCTCATCAGAGAATAGGGGATCGGGGAGAGAAACCACGTCCAAAGCGACGTCCGTTGGTACTAACTCCTTGAAGTCTTCGGACTTATGGTCCTGGATTAAATTGTCCATCCTCTGCTTGAGGTGGATAAACGACTGCTCCTCGAAAAAATTAGGCGCATCGGGGCGCAGGATGCGATGTATGCGATATGCCTCGTTAATATCAGCGCGAGAATTCCTGAGAAGAGTGATGGCAGGTCAGGAGAAACATACGAGGCTGTTTCAGCTGCTGCATTGCTAGGCGAACTGCTCGGATCCAGCAACTGCCGAACCTCATCGGCGTTAAACAGCGATGCCAGCTGTTGATGCACATCGTTTAGTTCGCGTCCGACGGAGCATTTCTCGTATCGCACGTCGCGTAACATAGCAGCCACGCGTTCGCGCTGGTCGCCAGGCAGTCGGTCATAGCGCTGATGGAACGGGGCCTGCTTGCGGCGCAGCACCCGCTGTGCGTGCCCGCGGGCCGCAAGCAGGAATGAGGTGACGTAAAGCATCCGCAGACGGAGTCACTAGAGGCGCGTCTTGCGGAAGTCGCGATGTGCAGCTGCAGAGCGACGGTCCCTCAGACACAGCGTCATCGGTCCCGTATTCCGCGACACGTGTCGCAACATACAAAGAAAAGTGGCCTTAAATGGCACATTTAACCGTGCCGAAAGTTTGCAACTTATTTTAAGTGTCACATCGCCGCCACCATCGCAACGCCATACCGCTATGGTAGTATCATATGTAGAAAATAAGGAACAAAATTAGAGTATCTGCGATTTCGCCGATTCTAAGTTGTTTTGTATGACGTACCTGTCGCAGGAAGGATTCCTAAGTGGCATGCCACCACAGAAAAATGGTGGGCAGATTTAATGTCAATTGGCGGATGCTGCAGTGGTGCGCATTATTCCTCCACCATTCAGCATTATACTTGCCCACCAGTGTCCTTCAACAACAAGTAGCACCCGACGTCATTCCGTCAGTGACAATGTTGTATGGCATAATTTCTTTTCCATACGAATGTGGTAGTCGTAGACGTGGAGGGTAACATCACGCCTTCCTTTAAGCATCAATAACGTGTTATAATATCCGCTTAGTTGAATGTATACAGGGCGCTGGAAATGTCTTGCCACATGAAAATCTGCTTGCCTTTGCGAGTGGTGAGTATCAGCAGCGGGATCCACGATACCACCTGGAGGTAAATGTATGGCGCAGAGAGCGGAATCCCGTACACTGAGACATAGAAGAGCACACCGCATATCCAAAAGTTGAGCAGGCTAAGCAACGACCACAACCAGTTGAAGTTTAACGTGGAGTGTGACATGTTGCTAAGCTGGATCAACTGCGTCAGCAACGCGTTTATCCAGAGAATCAGCATCCCCATCGAGAATCCACACAATATCTGCATGGGCGACCCATATCCAGTGAAAGCGCTTGCGAGGATCACCACAAATGCGTACAAAAATATCAGAGCCTGTAGCAAAATCCTCATTATGCCCAAACATCTGCGCTCTTTCAAAATGTGCCCGGCGAAAAAATTCTTCAGATAAGACGAGTCGTCATACTTTCGAATCACGAGCTCAAAGCTCGTACAGGACATATAGGTCAGGAAAAAAGTGGACTCGCTGATAAGCTGGTACCCAAGCCTCGGCGACCACATGTGCAGCGGGAACTTGTCGCGCAGATGGCCGCACGTCTCCAGTGCATGCTTGTTCAACTCGATCGATCCGTGAATGCGTGAAGCAAGCAGCGTTGCGTGAATGCCCATGAAACTTACAAAATGATACAGGGACATCCACAGCGAGTTCCAACATATAGAACAGCTGTACATCCAAGCAGTGCAAGGATTGGGGCCGCCATCGCCATTTTCGTTTGACGATGGGTCACCTTGAGGCTGATCTGGGTCAATGGTCTCGTTAGTTGAAGCGTCACCGACATTGTTCACCGGTGTCTCGTCGTTAGTCGGCGTTTGTTCATCGTAAGCGGGGCCAGATTTGCACATCCGCCTATCAATCTTGGAATCGCCGTCACTCTTATCATGGTTGGCGTAGGATGTCATGGAACGTTTGGATCCTTGGCTTCCGGTCACCCGGGACGATATAACCGGAGAAGTTCGGGGACTAAACTTCTCGCATATGATGCTCACAAACCCTTCGTTAGTAAAGCAACTTCGATTTGCAAAGTCCAAATTGTCGGTCAGATTTTTAGAAGGAAAGTGACCATCCTTGTCTAGGCGGCGCAAAGACGAACGCGTCGTCAATTCGCTAGCTTCCTCATCGTCCCCGGAAGAGTCATCCGACTTGGGCAGGATCAAGATACACTGCAATACCACCAACGCGGTGAACGCGCTGATGTTGTATTCAGCATCACCTCGACAGGACGTGAAGCTCCGGAACACTGAAGAACAATGTTACGTAATTATGACATGCAAAAACAGATTACAATTACTGACATCAACTTGGCATGCTGTATGTGAAAACGGTTGTGACGGGATGGGAAACGAGTAATGAACATGTCATACGTAAAGTATCACGTAAGCGATGTTGCAACAGCAGATCAAAAATCATAATATAAAACGATCAAAAGACCACACAGCACATACCGGGACATTATACCTGCTTCGAAAACTGAAAATAAGAGGAATCAAATCAAACATCGCACTTAGGAGTAATACGACACAGTGACGCACACCTAGAAGGAAGCAACGGCATTCACAGGTAGCAAATGTAACATGAATTAACGGAAAACGTATCGTAACTTACGATTTTCAGAGCCATTCAGCAGCCCTATCGACAGAAGCAATGTGCTCACAAAAAGGATGAAGTACAGCGTCGCAGTCCTGCGGGGAACTAAGCGTGACAGAACGCCGACCACGTCCTCGCGCATCGTGGAGCCCCAAAACACAGCAACCCGTGTAATGTGTCATACGCAGTGGCCTTCCAACATCCTGAATCCGGCGAAGAAAGTTTATGCCGACTGAAGTCACACGCCTTCAGCATGGAACCTTGCACATTTAACACTATAAGATAAAAAAATTATATTCCGTACTTTATAATTAAAAGAGCTAAATCTTTATACTTATAAATGCGCTTTAATAATTTACGGGAATTCTTACGTGAATGTGTCAGAATCCTGTAGCAAGCTGACCACCAACATAAGGGACTGATTCGTCGCGAAAAGGTGAGCTCCGCGGAAGCAGATACACCTTATAGCATAAACGATTGAGATGATCACCGCGTTTCGTGTATTTTGCTATTTTCCAGCAGATTCCGTGAGGTGTAACCAAATGGCTGCAACGAGGTACACAGGCAGGCGGATGATGCTGTACGCAAGGCGTAGTACTCATGTCGGCGTATAGCAGGTGTAATGTCACATTAAATTGCTACAGTTCAATACGTTAAAAGCCACTTCTGTGTTGTTCGCTTGGGGTAGCTGCCATGAGCGTTGTACTCTTCGACGGCACATATCAACCGAATTTATTTCACAGCTGATTATTCGACTGCATTTAAGGTCTAATGCGCCATTTATAGCATACATAATTCCCCGTGTCCACGATAACATGGCCATAACGCTCAAAAGTAGCATGGCATAAAGTGCGTGTTAAAGAAACATTAGATGACTTCTTTGTTCGTATGCGGTCACAAAACGGAATATAGTAATCCAAAAGTTGGCCAGTGACCATCGGAGGTTCATCAGGCGCTATTTAATTGTGTAATGCCTAGTACATGGGCTGCTGCATGCCCTCGTCGTTTGCCTCCTTGTCTTTGCGGGCATCGAATATGGCGACCTCAGAGGTAGTCATCAGCGAAGCCACGGACGCGGCGTCAGTCAGGGCGGTTCTCACAACCTTCGTAGGGTCGATAATGCCAGAGGCCACAAGGTCGCAGTATTCGCCCATCTGAGCGTTAAAGCCATGGGTCACATCATCCGACTGAAGCAAACGCTCGGCCACCACAGAACCCTCGAATCCGGCGTTCTGCGCAATCTGTTTAACGGGCGCCTGGACAGCCTCACGAACGATGTCCACGCCAACCTTCTGGTCGTAGTTCTTGGTCTGCAAATCGGCCAACCGTTTGGAGCCGTGGAGCAGCGCGCTACCACCTCCAGGAACAATGCCTCCTTCAACTGCTGCCTTGGTGGCGCACAGAGCGTCGTCAACACGGTCGCGGGTTTCGCCGACCTCCACTTCGCTCGCTCCACCCACACGGATAATAGCAACACCGCCAGTCAAACGTGCCAACCGCTCCTTCAACTTGTCGGACTCGTAGGTAGAGTCGCACACCTTGAGCATCGCACGGATACCATCACAACGCTCCTCTACATCCTTCTTCTGCCCAAGGCCTTCTACCAATATCGTGTGTTCACGGGTCACAGTGGCGCTCTTTGCACGGCCTAGGGTGGAAACCAGGTCACCGTCCACCGTGAAGTTGTTCTCACCAGCCAATACGGCACCGGTCACAGCAGCAAGGTCCTCCATGGTGGCCTTACGATGCTCACCGAAACCCGGGGGCTTAACAGCGCAAACCTTGAGCCCCAAGCGGAGCTTGTTCACAATCAGAACAGCCAAAGCCTCGCCGTCGACGTCCTCGGAGACAATCAGCAGGGGCGCCTGCTGCTGCAGCACATGCTCGAGCACGGGCAGGATCTGCTTTACATTGGAAATCTTCTCGTTGCTGAGGAAAATGTACGGGTTGTCGAATTCGACCTTCATGTCCTTCACACTAGTCACGAAGTGGGGAGAGATGTAACCCTTGTCCCACTTCATTCCCTCGACTACCTCAAGCTCGTGCTGCAGAGTCTTGCCCTCGACCACCGTGATGGTGCCCTCCTTGCCGACCTTCTCCATGGCGTCGGTGATAAGCTGGCCGACAACGCGGTCTCCGTTTGCCGAAATGGTGGCCACATTGAGGATCTCGTCGCTGGTGGTCACCTCCTTCTTAATGGAATCGAGGTACTTCACAACGCACTCTACGGCCATGTTGATACCGCGAAGCAAGTCCATGGGGTTCAAACCGGCATCTACGGCACGGCATCCTCGCTGGAAGATGGCGCGAGCCAACACCGCAGCCGTAGTCGTACCATCACCGGCCTTGTCGTTGGTGTTAGAAGACACTTGGCGCACCAGCTGGGCGCCAAGATTCTCCAACTTGTCAGAAAACTCAATGGCTTTGGCGACAGTGACACCGTCTTTCGTGATCTTCGGCGCTCCGTATGGCTGTGCAATGACAACGTTGCGTCCCTTGGGACCCAGAGTCACAGACACGGCGTCTACGAGACGGTTCACACCGCTGAGAAGGCCCTGACGACACTCGACCGAGTGCTTCACTTCTTTCGCAAAAAAGCGACGCTGTGCGTGAAACACGCTGCGTGCCAACTGAGCTCGGTTCACCATCTCCTTCAAAAGTAAAGGAAGTTAGCGATTACAGCATACACCTTGCAAGCTTCCAAATGATATTTAAAATTAAGGTGCTCGATGGTTAAAGAAGAATTCGTGTTGAACCTGCGGAGCAGACTGCCGATGCGATTGAGCGTTGGATTCTACCTATGGGGGCCCAGCTGATAAAGGACGAATAATACGCTAAAGAAATAACCTATACCATCCGCACGTGTTAAATTAGGCGTATAAGCTGGCCAGGGAAAGGTAGCACTTGACGGTGTATCATATAGACACCTACGGAGATGTGTCGAACCTAAATGGGTCAATCGGCATTATGGCTCCATGCACAGCAAACTGACACATCTCTCCCTAATCTTTGGAAGATGTAATACGAAATGTGAGGCCACATCACACCTGAGGAATCCTTTGGCACCTAGAAAAGGGAGAAATGGCTAGGGCAATGTGTAAGGAATCCGTAAAGGTTGCATGGTCCAGAGCGCTATGCAGCCATGGTTACGGGACTGCACTTCGGTTGCTGGACCATTACGTTCGATTGGAACGAAATTGGTTCCAATATTTCGGAGAGGCGAGCATATCCTCCATCAGGGGTCTGGACATCAAGGGTTGGCGTCGAGGAGTGGGCAAATCTGCAGGGTACATGGAAGACGATGCGTACGAACCTGAAACGATACATGGTGATGATTCCGCTCATTATCCGTTCAATTTGGCAGATGTGGATCGGAGAAGGAATTGGCAAGCAACACTCTCCCCTTTTAAACGACGGACGGCCGAAGTAAAAGACACCACAACGAACAAAGGAACAAGTAACTGGCAAGATTCGGAATCGGATTTAATACCACCTGGTGCTGAAAATGAATCCGCGTCAACAGTGGCAGGGGGCAAAAGCGGTGTCACGGATGCTGGGACTGCGGAACGATCCTCGGAGCCCAGTTACACAAATAAGTCAGGGCTAACGTCCGAACAGCAAACTATACGCAATAAAAGCGTCGCAAGTTGCATAGAAGCACACCTAAGGGATAGGCTTAACCCCAAGTGCTCTGTCGGCGTATTTGGAAGCGCCATTAATGGACTTTGGACCGACGCTAGCGACCTCGATATTTGTGTACAAATACCAAATGTAACATCAAGAAGCGCAATCATACGTAACCTAAGGCGTATTGCGTTCCTGTTGCAACCGTTGGCGCCAGGGAGAGCGTTCGAAAACAGGTTCACGGCAAAAATACCCATATTGCATTGGAAAAACGAAAAAACGAGCAAAAGAGCCGGAGACCCACTGATACAATCGCTAGGTTGTTCCATAGACATATCGGTGAACAACGTTCTCGCCATTTCAAACTCCGCGCTCCTAGGGACATATGTCGCCTGTGACTCCAGAGTAAAAGACCTGGTTTTGGCTCTTAAAAAATGGGCGCGATTCAGGGACCTTAACGACAGATCTAAGGGCACTTTGGGCTCTTTCGCCCTCTCTATAATGGCGATACATTTTTTACAAAGGTGTAACCCGCCAATTCTGGTGTCGCTACAAGACCTGGCCATCGCGGACAACGAATCACCAAAGTACGTGAGTGGAATCGATGTTAGATTTACAACCAACATGCGACGCATCAAAGAGGAGCTCAAGTGGGCATCGAAAGGAATACCAAACGAAATGAATGTTGCAGAATTATTGCAAGCATTTTTCTACTACTTCGGCTGGACGTACACCAAAAATACGCAGCTACCCATTTGTATCCGCAGCGTTGATTTTCAATACATGGATACACCTCTGTCATTTGCGCACAAATCAGCAGGCATTGACATAGATGAAAAATTCATGCACGTTGATAACCCCTTCGAGGTGGGCGTGGACGTGGCTAACATTTCGTTCCACCAGCGTAACCGCATCGTTGCGGAGCTGCGGCGGGCGTACAAAATACTGCAGGCGGGCGGTAGCTACGACGACATACTGTCCGGCTGACGGTCTTTGTGGTGGCTGACGGTGCCGGCGGCGGACGAGAACGCGGAGCCGGACAACAGAGGTTGGAGCTGGCCACCGGCGGTCAACCAAGCAGACGCATGACGCAGCTCACAGCCTGGCCTCCACAGTGGACAAAAGACGCAAGGTGCGGTCAAGCGCATCCAACACCTCGCTGTCACTGCCAAATGTCAGCGAACACAAGCGGCAAACTCACCTTCGAACGTCGCACGACACGCTCTCGTTGCTGTGGTGCAGAAGACCAGTGTACCTGAAAGCAGTCACGCAAAACAACCCTTTACCAACCTGTCGAGAGCCTTGCTCAGCTCTACTCGCAGCAGGCACAGCTGCTGAAGACTACAGTCGTCGGCCGCAACAAAGGGCGCCTTTACCACATTGTACATAACAGGCCACTGACCTACCGCACGTTTCCCGACTGACAGCGTCGACAGCACTCGGTCGCCGTCGGCGCCATGGATGCCACCCAACTCGCACGAATCGAGGCCGTATTCGCTCACGACACTGTACTTGTGGCGCTCGCCAATCCCAGTAGAAGCGTTCCTCACAGGGTCTAACAGACATGTCAATCACTCACGCTGCAGACAGAAACATACCAGAAGACACAGAAGCGCCACTGTGCGACGCATCGCGACCCTCCTTCCTGCAGCGGCAGCACTTCAGAGCGCCGTCACTGTTACGCATCAACGGCACGTCTCGGCACTGAGGAATGTGACAGCGCTCTCTTACTCAACCACCTCTGAGCACGTATCCGCCAGCATGGTCCAACCAGCCAGCAGCAAGTGGGCCATTTCCTCCGTCGTAGATGACTCATTTACCCCGTCGCCGGGCCCATGCAAGTCGTCCATGGCGGCAAAGGGTACCAACGCTAAGCAAATGCACTAGAAGTCAAATCAAGTCCTCACACAGTATCGAAATGTGAATTAGAAAAGTGATGTTGTCGTGGAAGGAAGCGACATGTGAATGCAACGCGAGCAGGATGCCACCTTCCACACACAAGAGAAGACACGACTGCAACTCCGCGCTAAGCCACCGCACGTAGACTAGACACTGCGGTAACCTTTACACATTGCGGTACCGGGTAAGGTGGTATATAGAAGCGGTCGCTCCGCGCTGTCGCAAGGAAGGCGTACACCGAAGGCAGATAGCCTCGGCGTGCAAGGGACGCAAGACACACACATCCGCGAATCTGACCAAGTCGTCGCCAATTTGAACACTTACGGCAGCCAAAAGTCGGTCGTGGGCCTGATCCCGGCTTGCATTGGCGCTAATCGACTAGGGAGCATCCCGGCTCAAGCAGCAGTACTGGCCACAACGCTGGCCGTCCCTAACTGAAGCTGCTTCCAAAGTTCCGGCAGTACATTGCAAGACATATGTGCCCGAACTGGATCAGATGGCGCCGTCGCAGAAGGAATCTGAGTTGGTGAGGAAGGTCCACGACAACGTCCTGGCGGCGCTGCTGCAGAAGGAGCGTGAAGTGCAGGACGAGCTGGACAACATCACGCACGTGGAGAGCAAGCTAGCTCACATGCGCGACGAAGATGCCCTGGAGAGGTTCAGGGAGGCCAGACTGCAGGCGCTCAAGGAGACGCACGCCAAGCGACTGGAGTTCATGAACAAGGGATACGGCAAACTGGTCGACGTGGACTCGGACTCGCACTTCTTCGACGTATGTCGGAACACTCAGCACGTGGTGAGTTATGGGTGCACTTTATGTGGTGGAGGACTACGCCGCTTTGTTGACCACGAGCCGCGTGGCCACAGGCACAGCGAGGGAACAAACACCGAACACTGCGTCCACTAATGTCACGTGCAGGTGGCACACTTTTACAGGCCTACCACCGTCAGGTCGCAGTACCTGGACGGCAAGATGCACGAGCTCTGCCAGACCTACTTCGACACCAAGTTCATCAGGGTCAACGCCGAGCGCACGCCCTTCCTCTGCGAGCGCTTCAACATCTGGTGCATTCCCACGGTAAGTGAGTCGGCCGCCAGCCCAGACGACGTGCAGCTCATGATCATCATCGACGGCAAGACCAACCACAGCGTCATCGGCTTCGACGAGTTCGGAGGTACGCCAACACGCAGCAGCTCACAAGCGGCGCAGGTGACGGTTTCACGCTCGACGAATTCGCCAGCGTCCTCAACAAGCACGGCATACTGCCGCCAGACGCCGGAAACGCACGTAGGAAAAACGCTGAATGACAACACAGCCACGTATACACGACACAAAACACGCCCAAAACAAATCTAAACATCGCAAAAAACTATTACAAAACGACATATAAAACAAGCATGCCTGGTTTGTGTTACAAAGTATTCAATCAATTAGGATTGACGACAGGTTAGTCTTCACGAAGCTGGGGTGCGACTAACATTTTGTATAAGTGTACTGTATTAAAGGCAACGTATTTTGATTCTATACATTGCCATATGCTTTCGTACGTCGTAGACAGGAAAGGCTAAAAGTCCATAAGCGCTTCCATACGCTCAAATTCTGCCTGAATGGCACGGGTTCTCCTGGCGAACTCTGCATCGTCTAAGTTCCTTCTGTATTGTGATATCCAGTGCAAATGGCAGGCACCACTTCTGAAACGCTTTATCTCAAAAAAGCCGTTGACCGCGTTGATCAATCGAGAAACGGCTAGTGGTGTCGACGAAGTTATTCCCAACGTTTCAACAGAAACCAAGCAGAAGAAACATGCGGAACAATCGTTCAAATTCACCAGCCACAACCCACTCGTGTGATTAAATCCGACTTCACGGAGCTCATTATTGGCGACGTCGGAAATGTCGCTGCGCTCAATGACATCCAGTGGAACGGCGTGATCTAGGAAACCGAAGTGGGCGTTGTCAGAAAGCCACTCATCCGACGGCTCTTGCAATCCTGGCGAGCGGTTTATGCTCGACAGCGCTTGTGCGATAGAAAAGCATCCCATGAAACCGTAGGTGCGCAAAAACTTGTGCGTGAATTGTTCGTACGACGCGTCGCCAGCCACCGCATTCGAGCGAACAAGATATGAAGTGTAAGCAAACTCAACATAACTTGAACCGCTTGGAAAGTATTGTTCCACTGGAGACAAAATCCGTTCGTCTACGGTATGGGCGTTGAATCGCTTTACAGGTAACTCGAAGTCTAAAATGCCTGCGGCAGCTCGCTTCTGCGATACTTCATCAAAATCATCTGCACAGTACGATATACACGCACGGTGAGCGTTGGAACTCCGATCTTGCTGTTGCTCGTTTGTTGCGCTCTGTGGGACATTTACACTGGTAGCTGGCAGTGCCTGGGTGGGGGCACGGTCCACGGCACGGTTGACGGGGCTGGATGACCCAACTTCACAGTGCTTACGGCATTCGAACCCCTCAAACACCAATTTTACATTGTGACGTGTCAACCACAGCACTCCTCGACGCTCCACGGGAGAATTTATTAAGGCAATCTTACCGCAGCACCGTACAGGGTTGCCAGTCAGACGATTCGCGTGAAAAACATCCAAGCAAGCAATAGGCTCATACTCATACGCCACTTGATGGTCTCTACCATTGAAAAGCTGTAGACGTAGCATGCGTGTGGCTGCTGATTTCTTAATTAATGCCATAGACGCATCATCGTCGTCCTCATCATCATCCTCCTCTTCCTCCCCCAACTGGCGATACATCGAAACACTGACATCGATACACGACAAGACCTGGTGTAGAGTTATTCTGCTACGGAAAAAATTGTTGAACTTAGTGGAGTCGGCACCAAATGTCCAGTCGCTGCGGATCCAAGTGTCATACTCGGCACGAGCGGCGTTATCCACTGCTACCGCCATACCATAACCACTTACCGGAGCGGCACAGCCGCTCCTATACGTAGAAGGGTGAAGGAAATCTAATCCATCTGTATAGCTACACCCTGCTCCGAGAAGCGGCTCACAGAAGGCATGGAACCGAATCTATGGACGGTTATAAAATGAAGACTAAACTCCAAATGCTATACCTATAAAGCGAAGCTAGGGCGTATGGCGCACCGGGTGCAAACATGGAAGGTGGCGTACGCGGTAGACACCATAAGGAAGAACGTTGACAATGGCATAAAGGTAGACATTAACATAGAAGACACATATGTCACGTGATGCAAAATTTTTCAAGAGGTCGCGGTTGTGTTGGTGATTTGATTGCTCTTTGTACGCCAAAGGCGCGGGGACTAATTGACGTTGCACAAGCGTTGACCCTCTCATACATCAAATTGCAGCGGCGGCGATGTAGGCAAACGTTTCGTTAAAACTTCGACGCCTGAGTGGAAATGATGTGTATCAGTAACTGTCCAAATTACCCGTTTCGGTCACAAGCAGAGTGTGCTCAAACTGAGCAGATCGCTTCCCGTCACAAGTCACAGCAGTCCAGTCATCGGGCCATTTGACGTCACGCCAGCCACCTAAAACCATTTATTAACGATGTATAGGGCACCTGCCTAGGTTCAACATGGGCTCGATGGTGAAAACGTGTCCGGGTCGTAGTATACCAATCGCCTTATTCTTGCGATAATGTGGGATGTTAGGCAGGGAGTGGAACTCTACACCCACGCCGTGGCCACAGTAAGACCTTACGACAGAAAGCCTGCAAAGCATGAGTACGTATGCAGCGCAAGAGAATCGTCCAGAATGCATGCGCACTTTCGTATTGCAGCGGTCGTGGCCAGCAACACGACGTCGCAATGTAACAAGTTAAGCATACTTACTTGTAATCATCGGCTATTTGGTTTATCAAGTTTCCTATCTCGCGATAATACATCCCCGGTTTACATTGTTTGATGGTGTCCATCAATGCCACGTAGGCTCCAGTAACCAAGCGCCGAGAGTCCTCATCCACTTCACCGACGAAATAGGTCTCATTCAAATCGCTGTGTACCCCATTTAGGTACACAGAAATGTCAATGTTTATGATATCACCATCCTTCAATGGCCTGAAAGAAGATAAGACATCGGTCATAAAATATGGATTGACCGCATGGTCGATACGTATCAGCGTCGAATACCATTGCAGATAATATCGACATCGACAAAAAATGCACATCATAAGATCAGAGTAACGAAGATGTCTGTGTACACGTGCAAGACTTACCTTGAGTCAGGTATGCCATGGCATACAACCTCGTTGACGGACCTACGTCAGTGTCAGGATACTCAAAAACGTAACGCTAATTGCACGTCAATAGATGCTATATCTACGGGTCTTAGGGTTCGAATCATACGATGATTCACCATAAACTTACGTGCATATAGACTTTGGAAACCCGTAGTAGTTTAGAGGCGACGGATATCCGTTGTGTTTCACGATGTAATCGTGCACCTTCGTGTCAATCTCATCAGTCGTTACCCCGGGAGCTATCAAACTAGCAGCGTAATCCAAGGCCTTCCGTCCCAATACACATGCTTTCCTTATCAACTGAATAATAATGAGACGTGCATAATGATTGTGCTACCACTGACACCGATCACCAGGAACCTTCATACCTTTATTTCCTCCGGACTATTAGTTCGTATTGTTCCGGCGCTCTTTAGATCAGATTCCGATTTGGGGTTACCATCATCTGCATAATCCGGGCATGCTATATGGGAAGGAACAGTCTTTTGAGGAGTTGTCGGCCATGGACGTAAATCACCAGTGAATCGAAAGTTTCGGAATCGTCTAAATGCGTTTTTTAAATAAAAAAAGCAATTTTCACCTTAGCTGAGGATCTAAGCTTATATCCCACTTATCACTGGGCACGGTTGCGGCTGGAGGTTCGACCTGTATCACCATGAGAAAACCAGAAAGACAGATATCCTGAGCTTAAAGCTAGTTATATACCGATTCGACGATAAACCGAAGATAGGTAACGTGAAATCTGGCGGATAGACATGCACAAATAAAAATAAGAATCATATGTGCTATTAGCAGACATTGTATTTACATGGAGCACTTGCCTCATGAACTGCGTTGTGAATCTTCCAAGTGGATTTAAAACAATCTTGAGAGCAAAAAATCTGGATGTTGCCCTTCGATCGACACACAGGGCACGCTAGGGTGCTTTTCGTGTTATTGCCACAACCGCAACACACCCTTCCACTGTCCATTGTTATTTTAACAATTTTCTGTAGTGTATTAAGTGATGTGTTTATCAGAATCGGTGACTTAGGGTATCAAAATAGTGCGGCACTCAGCAGCCTTCCACGACAGTGCCAACGCTTCACCGTTGTGTACATTTCGGCAAAAATGAAGCTTATCCTTAAAATATATTAATAAATTCCTGCTTCCGCATACAAATCGGAAATGACAGCATAAGTTACCGTATGACTGATTTCGTCCGAAAAAAAGAAGCTTAGCTTCTACGCGATCATCACGACGTATTCGTTTAGTACGAACAATTATTATATGCCACCAAATGTTCCATTCTACCTCTGATTTTCCAGGTGGGCGTGGACGTGGCTAACATTTCGTTCCACCAGCGTAACCGCATCGTTGCGGAGCTGCGGCGGGCGTACAAAATACTGCAGGCGGGCGGTAGCTACGACGACATACTGTCCGGCTGACGGTCTTTGTGGTGGCTGACGGTGCCGGCGGCGGACGAGAACGCGGAGCCGGACAACAGAGGTTGGAGCTGGCCACCGGCGGTCAACCAAGCAGACGCATGACGCAGCTCACAGCCTGGCCTCCACAGTGGACAAAAGACGCAAGGTGCGGTCAAGCGCATCCAACACCTCGCTGTCACTGCCAAATGTCAGCGAACACAAGCGGCAAACTCACCTTCGAACGTCGCACGACACGCTCTCGTTGCTGTGGTGCAGAAGACCAGTGTACCTGAAAGCAGTCACGCAAAACAACCCTTTACCAACCTGTCGAGAGCCTTGCTCAGCTCTACTCGCAGCAGGCACAGCTGCTGAAGACTACGGTCGTCGGCCGCAACAAAGGGCGCCTTTACCACATTGTACATAACAGGCCACTGACCTACCGCACGTTTCCCGACTGACAGCGTCGACAGCACTCGGTCGCCGTCGGCGCCATGGATGCCACCCAACTCGCACGAATCGAGGCCGTATTCGCTCACGACACTGTACTTGTGGCGCTCGCCAATCCCAGTAGAAGCGTTCCTCACAGGGTCTAACAGACATGTCAATCACTCACGCTGCAGACAGAAACATACCAGAAGACACAGAAGCGCCACTGTGCGACGCATCGCGACCCTCCTTCCTGCAGCGGCAGCACTTCAGAGCGCCGTCACTGTTACGCATCAACGGCACGTCTCGGCACTGAGGAATGTGACAGCGCTCTCTTACTCAACCACCTCTGAGCACGTATCCGCCAGCATGGTCCAACCAGCCAGCAGCAAGCGGGCCATTTCCTCCGTCGTAGATGACTCATTTACCCCGTCGCCGGGCCCATGCAAGTCGTCCATGGCGGCAAAGGGTACCAACGCTAAGCAAATGCACTAGAAGTCAAATCAAGTCCTCACACAGTATCGAAATGTGAATTAGAAAAGTGATGTTGTCGTGGAAGGAAGCGACATGTGAATGCAACGCGAGCAGGATGCCACCTTCCACACACAAGAGAAGACACGACTGCAACTCCGCGCTAAGCCACCGCACGTAGACTAGACACTGCGGTAACCTTTACACATTGCGGTACCGGGTAAGGTGGTATATAGAAGCCGTCGCTCCGCGCTGTCGCAAGGAAGGCGTACACCGAAGGCAGATAGCCTCGGCGTGCAAGGGACGCAAGACACACATCCGCGAATCTGACCAAGTCGTCGCCAATTTGAACACTTACGGCAGCCAAAGTCGGTCGTGGGCCTGATCCCGGCTTGCATTGGCGCTAATCGACTAGGGAGCATCCCGGCTCAAGCAGCAGTACTGGCCACAACGCTGGCCGTCCCTAACTGAAGCTGCTTCCAAAGTTCCGGCAGTACATTGCAAGACATATGTGCCCGAACTGGATCAGATGGCGCCGTCGCAGAAGGAATCTGAGTTGGTGAGGAAGGTCCACGACAACGTCCTGGCGGCGCTGCTGCAGAAGGAGCGTGAAGTGCAGGACGAGCTGGACAACATCACGCACGTGGAGAGCAAGCTAGCTCACATGCGCGACGAAGATGCCCTGAGAGGTTCAGGGAGGCCAGACTGCAGGCGCTCAAGGAGACGCACGCCAAGCGACTGGAGTTCATGAACAAGGGATACGGCAAACTGGTCGACGTGGACTCGGACTCGCACTTCTTCGACGTATGTCGGAACACTCAGCACGTGGTGAGTTATGGGTGCACTTTATGTGGTGGAGGACTACGCCGCTTTGTTGACCACGAGCCGCGTGGCCACAGGCACAGCGAGGGAACAAACACCGAACACTGCGTCCACTAATGTCACGTGCAGGTGGCACACTTTTACAGGCCTACCACCGTCAGGTCGCAGTACCTGGACGGCAAGATGCACGAGCTCTGCCAGACCTACTTCGACACCAAGTTCATCAGGGTCAACGCCGAGCGCACGCCCTTCCTCTGCGAGCGCTTCAACATCTGGTGCATTCCCACGGTAAGTGAGTCGGCCGCCAGCCCAGACGACGTGCAGCTCATGATCATCATCGACGGCAAGACCAACCACAGCGTCATCGGCTTCGACGAGTTCGGAGGTACGCCAACACGCAGCAGCTCACAAGCGGCGCAGGTGACGGTTTCACGCTCGACGAATTCGCCAGCGTCCTCAACAAGCACGGCATACTGCCGCCAGACGCCGGAAACGCACGTAGGAAAAACGCTGAATGACAACACAGCCACGTATACACGACACAAAACACGCCCAAAACAAATCTAAACATCGCAAAAAACTATTACAAAACGACATATAAAACAAGCATGCCTGGTTTGCTAGCGTAATCGGTCAGTGTGTGTCTTTCTATTGATCAATGCTGGGTTCACTAAAGCTGCATTTTTGCTCATAGCGGCAACATCCGCGCATTTGAGGTAGTCTAAAAGCCAGTACAACTACACGTTATGCGGTAGGCGTCGTAAAATGCTATGTGACGGTGCCTAGTATGTTATGCTAAGTATGCCACTGCATGTAAGTCCCGGACTAACTGTGGTGTTTTATAAAATGTCGAAGATCACATCAACGTGATGTACATGCTCTACGCAGATGGCCATTTTACGGTCAAGTAACGAGCGGGTGCCCCGCAACGACCGTTCTGGCACCGGTGCCCTGCCGTGACAGGGAAAATCTGCAGAGAACTGTGTCGGGATCGCATATTCCCACATTTCACTTATGCTTATATTACGGGTGCTGCGCGATGAAATAGCTTCCTTAAATGCATTTTAGGCGCGTGCCATCAAAAGACGTCATGTGGGAATTAGGTTGCTTTCGTTCTAAACGAAAGCACCTATGTCGTATCATATTCGCTACGTATTCACCACCTAAATCTTCAGACGTTAGGGCACCTCGATTGTAACGTCATGCTAGCTGCAAATTCCACCACCAGCAGTTCACGCAGGAAGGAGCCTAATGACCATAAATGGTCCACAAACCTTGACAACAATGTCCATAAGGCACATTCGCATCCTCGCTACCATGTAGAAGCTGTAATGCAGTCTTTTATAATACACCGGTAGGGAAAATGCCCTGTTACATACCGTGTGTGCAAGCAGCGACGTGTCACCCTTAGCCCCGTCACATCTAGAAATATGCATATAAATATTTGCAGACAGTTGTTCCATGCATTGTGCTTCTCACAAGCAGGTAATAGCAGAAAAACAAGGTGCGTGTGCTGCTGCAGTCCATGCCATGCCGTGAGAGGTCGCCGCAGCCTATGTGAGGGCCACTTTCACGAGATAATGACCAGAATGCACATACTATACTACGCTAGAGATGAATGCTAGGCGCATTATATGCTTGTACGTTGCCTAAAGGCCCGGGAAACAGCCGAAGGCAACAGCGAGAGTCACCGTGGTATGGCCCCATGAATTTTGTGATGCCAAATATACGGCATCCGCGGGGATTCCAGCCATAATATTCTGGTAAAGTACGCCTCCCACACTAAACAGACGTATACAATATTTTACGCGTGGACTGATACCACGTTTGTACGATTGTCGTCCACACATCTCTGCTGAATGCCGATTACGAAGCTGATCACACCGGCTTGACATTTCGGCTGCAACATACGAAGATGTCGCAGGTAAGATGATTTATAAACTATACGTTGTTGTTTTTGTGTGGTGCCGACCAGGGAAATTGCAAAGCGTCTTCAATGCAACGTCTCCCGGCAGGGCTGAGCAACAGCTTTGTAGCGTTGCACATGAGCACGCTGCGCAACTTTGCCGCGGTTCGCTATATAAAACTATATCCCTCTATAAAGTGTTTTGATACCGGCGTCTTCCGGCGTCCGCTGACACCAATGTGTTCCGCTGCGCGGGGCACGACGCCGAAGGGTAGACGCGTATACACTCCGCATGACTAGCTCAACACTTCGGGGGCAACACGCACATTCCTTCGCAGAACAACAAGTGCCGGGTATACGTGGGAAACCTCTCGTGGAAGGTGAAGTGGCAAGACCTGAAGGACCACATGAAACAAGTCGGAGAAGTTGTAAGGGCCGACATCATTGAAGACTATGACGGAAAGTCCAAGGTAACGTGCCATCAACTTACGTCACACTCATCACAGGGTTGTGGTTTGGTGGAGTTCGCAGACGAGGAAACTGCTCTAAGGGCAATGAGGGAACTTAACGACACGATGATATGTGGTAAGTCCTAAGTTTCGCTGTCGCCATCTTTCGTCAGATCGTCCAATATTCATAAGGGAAGACCGAGAGGGACCGCAAACTTTCCGCGGAGGAAGGCGCGGCCCGAACAGAGACTGGAAACAATCCGGGTAGGTGACACATTTCCCAAATTGCAATGCGTTGCGATTTTTACGCCAAAGTGTGCATTGAATGAGGAAAAAGGTTATATATCGCAAATTAGCCCGTCTCCCGCAGAGATGAAGGGCACACGTTTTTTTTGTTATGTGGTTCTCCCATCCCTGTCAACACTCATATTACACCGATACGCCGTACAATCTACTCACCATATGACGATTTTCTTGCTTTCTCTTATAATTAACAGCAGAGGTGGAAGTGTCGCGGGTGAACCAGCTGGGGTATGTGTAGTGGTCACCAACATCCAGTGGAAGACGTCGTGGCAAGATTTGAAAGATCTATTCAAGACTTGCGCGCCAGTAAACAGGTACGAGTGTGTTTATTAAAAACATGCACTGTAACCCGCAACATGCATTTCGCGTTCCGTCGTGATGCATTGTGTACTTGTGCTGGGTACAGCGAACCTTCCGACCATCAAATAGCAATTGTCCGCGTGGCGTCTGCGCTACGTTTGTACACAGCAACGTTGTCTGTGCATAGTATGTGTGCTTATAACCGTGTATTGTGGCTTTTTAGTGTCTCCCTAAAATACGCTACATCTCACGCCTCTTCCCACCCCACCTGGTCCGAGAAGACGCAAAAATTATACGTGCCTCCGTATGTATATACGCTATGTGGGCAGTATAGTGTGCGTATTTTTTGGATTTTTATCATCTATTACATGTTTTAATCATTGTACCTTACAAAGTAACAAAGCAAGCCGGCGACATTCATAACCTCATTTGCAGGGTCGATATCTTAACCAGAGAGGACGGCAAATCCAAGGGTGTTGCGAAAGTCTACTTCCAGAATGAGGCAGACGCAAATACGGCCATCAACACCTTCAACGATTACCTTCTCGATGGAAGAAAAATCAGCGTGAAGTTCGAACAGCACTGAAACCTCGTGAACGCCGGTGAAGTTGGCGATTCAAATAATCTATCCAAATGTTAACATATGCCGTACAAAAAGGGTTTTTATGCAATGTGTTGCCGCCATGCTTTAATGTATGTCATTTTGGCGTATTTCTGTCGGCTCGGAATCAAAAGACAAATAGCAGCCTTTTACAATATCGCTTTATGGCAGCGAAAACGCGGCCAAATGAGGGATTTGTGCCGCCAACTCATTACGGTTTAGTACACCTAGTGTCACGGCTAGCGCCGCGTACCCACGAATGCAAATGGGTGCCAATGACGTACATACAGCCATAAGGAAGGTTAAATGTAACCGCCGACAGCGTAATTATATCCGGAGATTTGTCGACGTTCGAAAAAATGGTGAGTTCATGGCTAGCTGGTGTCCACAGCTCGCTGTAGGAGGGTTCGCAACTTTTCATCGTCGACGCCACAAAACTAGAAGCGGACGGAGATAAGCGGGTATTTGGTGAAATAAAAAATGTGTCAAGTACCGGGCTGAATTTTGTCACATTAAAGCACATTCCGGCCACAATTACCAGCATTGTGTCAGGCTCCAGCATCTCGCCGGAAATAATCGAGCACACAATGGACAATGCGAAAATGCTCGACATTACGAAGTTTCGCACAGGGTCTAACACACCCGAAACGGCCATTAGTCCTCGAGAACCCATCGCCGTTGCAAATGACATATCCGCCGATCACGTGGTAAACATGAATAGGGTTGTCACACGAGCTAGTGACGCCTCGGCCAGGCGGACAAGCGATTATCACTCGCCAAGAGGCTTCCATATCGCCGAACAGTTCAAAATGGCTCATTCCAAAATTTCACCGACCGTCTCCAATGCGTCCGGCACTGTGCCGATATCCGGAGCTTCGAAGACTGCCACCACTCCGTACGTTATGACGGCGAGAGAGATAACGCGGTGTCCCGAGATGCCGTCGTTAGATAGCACCCGGATGATAAAAAGAGGCTACAGCGACGACGTGGCCATGATGATGAAGAAAAGCCCGAACAGGCTTATCAAGACACACAGCCACAATAGTCCCAGGGGGAAAGACTCACCTGCAGAGTATGGACACGTATACCTCAACATATACGACTTGGAGGCTGTCAACAGAGTTGTCAATGTCGTCGCTGGCACCTTTGGAGCCGGCGCATACCACGCTGGCGTGGAAATTTATGGTTACGAGTACAATTTCGGGTATACACCGCAGGGCGGTTCGGGGATTGTACAGTCACACCCAAGATTCCATTCATCGCACAAGTATCGCAAAAGCATTGATCTCGGCAAGACAAAATTCTCACCTAGGGAGGTGTTGCAAATCATTGAGTCACTTAAGCCAATGTGGCTAGGGTCGTCGTACGACATCTTGAAAAAGTGAGTTCATGCCATGCCTCATACGAGTAATGGCGGATCATTTGATGTAGTTTAGAGGTGTTATATATCTTATTTGTTTGAAGTTTTATGTCGCTGTGTTCACGTTGATGTTTTGGTTTGCATGTTCACAACCGCTAACAGGAATTGCCTCAACTTTGCCGATGCACTGTGTAAGAAACTCGGCGTTGGAAGCATACCCAGCTGGGTCATGGGACTGCAAAACAAAATAAACTGGACTAGAGACAGCCTGCAGAGCGGAGCTGCTAAACTTAAGGTGGGCACCATATATATTTTTTAACAGTGTCTCATATTTATAATTATCGTTTTAACGTGATGAAGTAACAATTTTGCAGCAATTTGACGAAGCCGTTGGCATAAGCCGTGCATTCGGTACCCTGTCTAGAAAGCTGACCGGAGAATGTGCCGGGGGAAACAACTAGCCCATCTGTAATATAAAATGACGTGTATAATTTTTTTGTAAATTTTTTGTCACTAAAACACGCATGGGTGTGCTACGATGGACGTCGTGCGGCAGCTTCTCAATGAGTCTTGCTACTACAAGCTCCTGGACGTGGAGTTCGACGCCACCTATGAAGATATACGAAGGAAGTACCGCGAAAGGGCGCTTGCGTTCCATCCAGACAAGCGACCGTTGGAGGAAAAAGAGGAATGCAAGAATCTTTTTCAAAAAATCCAACAAGCGTACGAATGTCTCTCTAACGATGAGGTAAGGTATACGGACTGCTATCGTAAACTCAGTGTAATAGAATGGCAAATCGACTTTAGTGGTATACTAGGCCCCGTGTATAGCGACGGCTGCGTCCTTTGACAGCATTATATCTATGGAGGTGCAATGCCGAAGTGGCGGCCTGTCTGTGGCAACTTTGGAGAGTGGCGACGGCTGCCGCCTCAATGTAATGCCATATATATGCATTTCACTGTCATTTCTTTGATATCGGTTGCATGTACGTCGTTTGAACATCCTAATGCATTTTGCAGACACGAAGGTGGTACGACAAAAACAGGCACCTTATCCTAAAATCGCAACGACAGCACGATACCGACGATTTCGACATCTGGTACTACTTCGGATCGTGCTACAGTGGATATGATGAATCCAAACGAAACAACTTCTTCGAAGTTTATCGCAGATGCTTCGCCAAAATAGCCGAACTCGAAATGCGCGAATTGCAATATGAACCGGAGCTCGAATTGGACGTAGGTTTCACATTATATCAACCTGTATTTGTGCGATAATGTGCGACAAATGCGTTGTGAGAACCGCACTCGTATAGTTGTCCACATTATCGCGGTATTTAGCAAAAACGCGCTTTGTTTGCAGTACATTCGCTGAATCTCGGGCCGCTTTGCCCTTCATATTGCATCTCTTATATGTAATCAGGAGTTCCCGGAGTTCGGAACATCGCAAACCGATTGGAAAGAGGTTAACAAGTTTTATCTCTTCTGGCAAAACTTTGCCACAATACGTGCTTTCATGTGCAACGATATGTGGCAAGTTGAGGGTCGGATGCACCGACGGTACTTCGAAAGGAAGGTCAAGAAAGAGCACAGCAAACTCAAGAAGGAGTTTAACGAGAGCGTGCGAAACCTCGCTAATATGGTCAAAAACATGGACCCCAGGGTCATGCGCTATAAGCAGGAGCAAGAAGAACTTAAGGCGCAGATGAAGCTGGAAAGCGTAAAACTTAAAGAAAAACTCGACGAAATCAAGCATGTCGTCAAAAGTGAAATAATAAATAATATGAGGCAACACATTGACGAAATCGAAAGGCAGAAGGAAATCTTACAGCAACAAGATACTTCCAGAGTGTTTGCGTCAAATTATGATGACGAAATGCCGCAGACTGAAGAACAGTTCTTCGCGTGCCGAGTGTGCAACAAAGTTTTCAGATCGAGTAACCAGCTCGATAACCACCTGAAATCTAAACAACACCAGAAAAACGCTAGAGGTAAATGATGGTCAAGTAAGGTTAAAAACATTTTGAAGAGAATTGCCACTTAATTCACCGTTCTTTATCGTCAGCAATTGTTCGATTCCATCCCGTGTTATCTTTGTTTCATGTTGCACAGTGTGCTACGTGACCACGCGTGGTATATGCGGCGATTGATCATTTCAGGGGCTTACTCACTTCATGCCATTGATGTAAGCTTCGAGTTCCACATCGTGCTTTTGCTGGGCATATTTAGGATCACTCCCATGTACCCATACACTACCACGCAGCGCCTCTTTGAGGGACACGCCAAGAAAATTATTCATAACGATTCTATATGCATGACCCACCCAAAGTAAGAGCAGCACATGGCTGCCCTTTTGGGGCGCGACAATACCAGATGTCCCCAAGGGACTACCTACGATCAACGGATGCGTCGTAAAGTGATGTAAGGTATAGGCGTTATTGCGACCTGCAGTCGACAGACGCCCTGGATGCAAGCAACCGGTACACCACCGAGCTGCGCCAAGGCGGCACTAACGTAATTAAAGAGACGCTGCGAACTGTGTTTTGCCCAGTTGGACACACTGCTATCGATGATGAGTGTATACATAAATATTGTTTTAATTACACTTCATAAATTAGAAATGTTTCGTGAGAGTTCGTTGACGGCTGCTGAGTGGGGATCCGGGCAGAGAATCTGCTCTTGTTGATCTGCTTCTACAGTTTTGCAAGATTCTGAGGATTCGTGACCTGATGATGATGTATCTGTTGCTGAATAGTTTTTAGCTTCATAGAACGCCCAAAATCCAGAGAGGTCGTAGAGAGTGTCCAATTCACATAACTCCAAGCGTCTCAACGCTTTCTTCAGATCTACAAAGCAGATCCTAGCGCGGTATTCCCGCTTTACGAAACCAAAAACTCTTAACGCGTATGGCATACGATCCAACAATTCACAATCAGGTATCATATCATACGCAATTTCGCATTCCGACATCAACAATTCTAGGCCTGCGTATAACATCGGCGCAATCCCAACAAATATGATCGCATACGCTTCCGCATCCTTCGCGCATGACGCATCCCACGTCGCATCTGGCGAGTAAGCAGAAATATACTGGTCAGGGTTTATGATAAATTTCAAGAAGTGCTCACAACCACTCACAACATCGCTTAAGTACTTTGCGATTGTTTTAGCAGTGATGCGCTCGGTCTGTATGATGTTCTCATAATGGTCTTCGATGTAATAGAAGCAATCGATACATGGATCTCCAAGACTACGCAAAGCCTCATATTTGCTCAGCATCTCCCTTATGGATGGTTCGCCCCTAATATGCTTTTGCTTCAGGAACTGCTTAACGATCTCTTTAATTTCCTCGAGAGCTGGCACCCTAGTGTATCCTACAGGCTTGTCTGCGAGGAAATCGTAAACTGCCTCACCCAAAGCCTTAATGTTCTTTGTACCATCCTTCCCCTTCAGGGCTATCAACCAGTCCATGCACTGCCTGACGTTTCGGGGAGGCTCGGTCAACGAAGTGTAAACCCTTCTTTTAGGATCCGTCACTGAAGGCGGTTTATTAGAGCCTGTGGATTTGGGGTCTTTTTCGGGGACGATTTGCGAAGAGCTCTGTATTGATGGCGGATCGGCACCAAGCGTGCGCTGTTGAGGGCTGCAACGGCTACCACCGTTACCTGACGGAGAATTTACCGGTCGGCTATTCAACTCCGAGGTCGCATCTGACCGAGTATCGCCAAGTACGTCGTTAAGTACCGTGTGAGTATACGACACAAACTCATCAAAACGGTTCTTCCACTCCTTCATCTGCTTTAGCTTGTCCGTTCGCCTCTCCTCTGTACCATCCTTGTCCGGACACGTAGAAACAGACACCGCCAGATTCCTTTTCTTATCCCCTCCTGCAGGCGCTTTCATCTCACGCTCAGCCCTTTGAGAAGCCATCTCGCAAAATAATTGGCAACGTGCCTTGATATCATAAACTCCTCTTCAAATAGAAGTACACTGCCATACTGCCGTCCAGGTGTGATATAGCAGGGGTGGTTCGAGATCTCGCATCCCTGACACACCATTAACATAGACAGCTTACACGTGCATTGATATGCTAGTGTGCCAGCTCATACTGAATCAAGTTACTCTCACCTGTATTCGAATTGAGAAAATGTCTATACTCCACTCAGGCTGCCACTGATCACGCGCATTGCACGGCTTTCGGGGTTACAAAAAGGGTAACTATCTTTGCGGGGCGCCCCGCAAAGTGGCTGCTGGGGTCCAGGCCGGGGGTAAGACTTCAATGTCTACCACGATGTTGACCACAAATGCCACTTAACTGGGTCATCATGTCGGAGAGTCCTGGTGACATTCATTGCCAATCCAGATACTCAATCAGTAACATTTAATCTCCTATGAGATTATCCAACACCTCGACCTGACCCGACAAGCACCGGTTGAGCATGACCTAAATTACCGGTTTATATAAAATTTGACTGGAAAATTGTGCTGTCATCATGGATGTGTCAGCCAAATCATTTCGTATCGTTAATCTGAGCATCTCATCTGATATTGAGGCAGTTCAACGCCGCATGGTTCATGTACAGGGTGCATCACTCCGACAAAACGCAACTCTCATGCCATTCCAGCGCGTCCCCACTTTAAAACGTTATTGTTAACCACAGCGCAGATATGTACAGACTCACTGTTCTAGTGGTATAGACAATTTCCAAAACCTGCCACGGCTTCTACCATCTCATCGTTGGCGGCGGGTAGGTGACTACATGAGCGTCAAGGCAACATTTGCCGCTGCAGAATTATTTATCAGAACATTTCTAAAGACATTTATATATACCATAAGAATAAGTTGGGTGCGTATATTTTAGATAAATACGTTTTTGAGAAACTCAAAGTCCCACCACCAGTTGGCATTCTTAAAATCGCAGTGTGCTCGGGATCAACAACAGGGTAGTTGGCAGGATTGTCAATATGGCAGTGACATCAAAATGCCATCTCCTCTCCAGGCCTTCCTGACCGACAGCCCCACCTCCAAGTTCGACACTCACTTCTTCGACCCGTGCGGCATATGCCTCAAGAGCCGCGTCAGGATGGGATTTACGGAGAAGGATTTGCCTGCAACTCACGAAACCGGCAAGCATATTTCCACCATCCTCACTCCGTCCTGCGGCGGCGAGGATCCCCTGCTGACATTGACCTCTTACCTCACCTGCCTCACCAGGCGGACGCCGCGCACCACCGGGGAGCTTGTGTCTTTCTTCCACAATTTCGGGAATTCGCTGTACTTATCATCTTCACAGTTGTCCAAGCTGGGCTCCGCCCTCTCCAGTCAGCATGACGACTGCCCCGACTGGGACCGTCTTGGTGCCGCCGACCTCCGAGCCTTCAAGGGCGCACGGGGCTCCGCCCCTCCCACCGCCAACTCCAACCACGACCACTACAACGACCATCCCAAGACCCTGTCTACGCTGCTCGGTTGCGGCATCGATAATGCCAAGTGCGCACAACACATCACGCCCATCACCTACCGGGCCTACGCCCTGTACTCACCAAGATTCGCCCACCACTACTTCAGCTGGACGGTTTATCTGCCAGACAGACTGTGGGACTCGCTGCTCAGGCTTCACTGTGATCTCGAGGACCTTCAATGCCACTGCTCCAAGGCCAAGCCCCTCCACCAGTGTGACAAGGCCCTGCCCCTCCTCTACTCTCACGGGTTCACGCCGCCGGACGGGGCACTGCAGTCGTCACTGACGTGTTACGAGGTAATCGCCAAGCTGGAACAGGTGGTCAACGGAAAGCCTATCGCAGACCTCATTACCGCCATGGACAATCTCCTCTACGGCATCCGGGTGCCCTTCCTCTACACTGTGTTCACACTCTGGCTCACCGCCATGCTCTACATCCTCTTCGTCCTTTTCTACCGCAACTACGTCCTGCACATCCGCTCCCACCTCCTGACGACCAAAGCCTCCCACCTAATCGACGTCAAGGCGCTGCTCTCCACCGGCCGCAAGATGCTCTCGCTCTACAAGGACGTCGACTACTTCAACGACGATGCCTTGGAGTCAATTGGCGTGTCACAGTAACCATCGCATTCATGTTGGCATTTAACACGATGTTAGGTGGTGACAATGTGAGACAATTACCTATTTGACGGCTCTAGGTGATATTATGGCGCGTCGCCAAACTCGGAATGTTGGCCCCTCTCAAAGCGTGACTCAAACATATGCACATAGCCTAATGGGCATCTAATGGCATTTAAGGCATCTAGTAACCGCCTTAGCGGTATATATGCGAACTTAGGCGACGTCTTTCAGCGGTAGCAGTGGACTGAAGCTCAGTTGTAACCGATTCCGACAGCTGACGACTGCCATTCGCACTGAGATAGTGACTCATCAATTAAACAAATGGATAGCATGTTGATATTTGGGAGAAGGGCTTATGGGAGACACTCTGGATGATGCCCGGACCGTCCCACGTGATCACCATGGGACGATGTAAAAGGTAATATGGTAAACGCAACCCGCGGTAACTTTTCAAACCAGAACGTGTCGCTGCAGACATACATACATTGAAGGACCCAGTATCTGTCGTTCTTACGTGAGACTTGACAAGCGATGATGACATGCGCAGCAGATAATGCATGCAACGTCAATAGTGTGGAGCAGGCTGAGACACGTAGGCTTGGCAATCGGCTTAACCTCGTATTATCCTTATTTTCTATATAGGAAGTGTTATATATTGCAATTAAATGCGTCTGTATTAGGGCTCGACAGCACTTTAATCCATTTACCATTAACATACAGCCGCTTAAAGTCTCAGCCTGTAATTAGACACCCAAAATCCATACACATAGCATCCGCCCAATTAAACGAACATTTGCAAAATGGTATATGATTTGCTGACTACGGCACCTCGAAACCTCAAAGATGCCATTGATTGGTTGATGGCCATTAAGGGGACGGATTCTATAGATGCTTTGGGGGCAGCAGTTCACAAGGTGCTCGAAGAACACCCTGTTGGGTTCAAGTTGTTACCATCTATCGGCAATATGAAATATATTACAAAGAGATTTCTGGAGCAAGATGAGCTTAAGGGTCAGTGGTTCGTTAAAGAACTGCTGAAACGATTCAATACACGCATGGCGAAAGACCCTAAACAACTCTCCAAGACCTTAGAATATATCCGTGAAAGCGATTATCAGAACATCGTGCAGGCCAAGCCGATTGGTCCTGAAGACGTCACAAGTAACGTGCGTAAAATTGTGGATGGCTGTGAGAAGTTCTTGGATGATCTTAAGAACCCTGACAAGTATATATCTACCTACAGTTCAAAAGCGACATGGGATGCATCATGTTCGAAATACCCGGAAGGTTGTGCAAAGGTTCTCGTGGGAATCGCGCCGATGTTATACGCAGGTCTACGCTATTTGCGATTTGCAAGCAATGCAGAAACCGGAGTATGGCAAATAGTTAATGCAAAGGAGCGTTTGGGAAATATGTTGAAAGTTGTGGGTTACAAAGAGTCGGAATGCCGTGCTGGCATGAGTGGTTCAGATATCCTCCAGGCGTTGAGCAGTGTTGATGACAGTTTATTGTACACGATCTACGACCTCGCTGGCTTTTGGGCCTTTTATTGATTGAGGATTTCAGGTTAGCTGTACAAGCAGATCAACATTGAGTTGTATGCGGCGTCCCGGCTAATTGGCGTCTCGAATTGTATTCACGACGCAAGATAACGGGCTCCTCTTCGTCACACGCTTCAATGACCGTATATACAACGGACACCGTGGAGACCCGCAGTTTACAAAATTACGCTCTGCAGTAATCTAGGCCCTCTAAGGTATTTGAGTTATCCATGCCGCTACCCGTAGCTCGGTAGTGTACCCACCGAAACCCGGAGCGTCTTTTTACTGCAAGGCGATTTGACACGTAGATTGCATCACTCGACAATTAATGTTTTATCGTAGTTGGTGCTGTGAAGAGATATGTTATTGTTGCGACCGAGGCAGGCGAACGCGTGAGTGCTGTTTATTGGTGTGGATTTTCCAGTTATGGTTCTTATGACTTGTTTTGCCTGGCGTGCCCCACAAATAGACTCTGAACGGCATTATATGGGTCCATAGAAGAGATTGCAAAATACTTCCTGTAACCAGGCGGTGCATGATCCGCATCCTACTAATAGGATGCGATGTGAGAAATGTTTGGCGAGCATGAACGTAGACAATAGCCAAATGCACCCACTCATATTACGCTACGTAACTAGAGGCGGGCATTACAGAGCAAATCTAATCATACGTATTGTGGATTATAACGCAACATTCGCATTTAACATGCCTAATTCGCCGTGGCCATGCCCACCTCGTCATTGTCGATATCTATTGGTGTCCGGTGCCGGCCATCGTGAAATGGCGTGGTTGCTGGACTGAAGAGATTCTGTCATCCATTACAACAAGTCAACATCGTCTGTTGCCGGGTACATGGCGGTTTTGCGTCCACGTAAAGCTGTAATGATGGCCCAGTTGAGTTAAATCTTGATAGCGTCTTGCGCCGCCGATGCAAACCCCACCGGCAACCATATCTACAAACCATGCGTAGTCTTTCACACCGCATGTCGTAGATGCGTATGTTGAGTTAGCGGTGACTTGAAATTATAGAACTGCGATCATACTTAATGCCGTCATTGTTTGAATAACCCTTATTCCCATCGCCAGATACCCTGATGAATTTTTATCATTCATTGTATCACGTAAGTTGCTAGCAATGCTTTGGTCTGTCTGCTCAGCCATCAATCCACTTGGAGGCGTTTTTACAGCCGTATATTCTTGCTGGCTGGTTGCCTCTGGTGAGGGCGTATTGCCATTCAACGTGAGTGTGGCAGGTTGCTTGGATTTAGGTGGCACTGCCACCTTATGTCTTCGAACGAACTCCTCAGCCAGTCGTATATTTCTTGAGTAATATTTCAAAACATCAGATGTCATCATGTTTTCCGCCAACTCTTTATTACCTTTTAATTTGTCTTCCAGATTCGATATACCATCAGCAAGCTCAGATAACCTTTGCACATTCGGATTCTGTGTTCTAAATTCATCCATAATGATACGGTATTTATTAAGCATATTCTTTAGATGGGCATATTCTCGGAGATCACGTAGCATCCTATCAACCCTCTTCATATGTTCGTCGCATTCCCTTTGCTTTGCTTCTTTAACTTCTGGTGAAGCGTTGGATTCAGCTAATCGCGACGAGATTGCCGACAAATCATTATATACCTTTTCGGCAATATCATATTGCGTTCGCATAGCCTCCAAATTTTTATAGCAATGCAAATCATCGGCGTAGAATGCAATCCTTCTGGCCAATGGTGAACCACTAGCCCCTTTAGCATCTGTACGTACAGCACCCATAACATACCCATTAAACCCCATCACGTAAAGGCAGAGAATTAATGTGGTCCCTCGCCATACATAGTGACGAATAGCCGCCATTTTAGATGATAAAGACAAAATCGTAGACAATGAGCAACTGGGACCATCGAATTCAATATTCTGCTGGGTATTATAGCAGTATGGTTCCTACCAACCGCAACGGCAGTCAAGACTTTCAGACAACCAACAGGTCTGTCCAGGCGGAATTAATTGGGGCCATGAACTGCAGCATATTTAAATTATTCGCATCGATGCAAAGAATTTTGTTATCTCAAATATGATTGATAAGATCCTGATGAAACGTGCTTGAAAATTTTCTGCAATTAGATCACTTGTAAAAGTCGCTGCACCCCACGTATTTTCCTCTCTACCCTGGGATATTTCGCGCTTTCCTATGAACAATGTAACAGCTACACCCATGATGGCACCCATTCTGTTTGGGTGCCAGGGTCACTTGCAGAACCGCAGTCGTGTCTGGATTTCTTGTGCCTCATCCGATAACGTACCACATCGAAAGTTGCCTGTCAGTTGAACATGGTACCCCTAAGAGCCTTCAGCAGCTCCACACGCTTCCTCCTAATGCATGTCTGTCTAAAACAAGATCTATTGGATGGTAATGCTCAGTGACTTGTTAAGAGATAACACGTCGTCAGGCATACTGACGATGTTTCGATGTTCAGATTTTGGTTAAAGTATGTACAAAAATTTATACACTACGGGAAGACATCGTTCCACGCAACATATTTAATACATTTTTTTCGTTGTCAGAAATTTAGTCGAAAATTCCACGTCTTAGGTATCTGCGTAGATGCTATTATTTCTGACATTCCGTTTCACGAAACGTAGTCTTTTAAAAATTTCAAGAGTTTGTATACGTATACACATGACAACCATGTTGATCAAAAGTCACGTATATTTAGGATAGTTTTAGTGGATCACATTAGGCAATATCGATAAATTTAGCCAAATTAAACATCATGAGGTACCTCTGGGCATGCTGCACTATAGTGGTTCAATTTGTTATATATATAGATGCAGCTTATTGTGATTTTGACCATCCACATGGCTCACTGGCCAGCAGTGCTCTCGTCAGGTGTGACATGGATATCGACGACATTGCCTCCGCATCCGCCATATGCCCACGTCAAATCAACAACACAGAATATGTTTGGCACCCTCGTTCAACATTGGATGAGCAAGCTCATATCAACACATACGTGGGCGGAAATGGCAGGATCACTTCCGTTGCTATTTCGGATGTCGTGCATAACGACTCCTCGAATAAACTTATCTGGGTGGAATCGAATCAGTCAGATACAGAACTGCATTTCAACAAACCAGCTGATCAATTTGTTGCAATTACCGAACACCGTTTGATATTCATCTGTGGGCCAAAAGATTTTGTTTTGAGTGATGCCTTGCAGCGTCACATCGACCGTCTCAATGACTTTAGTCGAATGCAAGCACTTCCTTGGACCTCTACTACACCTCTTGCTCATGAAATGTCTAGGATAGGAAGGGGTATGGGGTTGCTATTCATGAACAGAGGCCGCCAACATCTACCCCTTCAGGGTTGTGGAAGCCGTCCATCACCACTGTTCGCCCCGGATAACGAGGTGACTGTAGATCCCATCACCGGAACACGTTCATGCGTGGCAGATCCAATGTCGAAATCACGCATAGGATTTCTTTGCGAAGGTCGTCTTGAACCCGATGATTGCATGAGATCGCTCTTGGACAAGAATGGAGGTTTTGTGACTGCTCATCCACCACACAGATATTGGAAAATTGATAATCATAGGCCTTGGGTGGTGGCGCAATATTTTGAGAAGTTGGCATTCCAGCCATTCAATGGTGAGTGCAAGTGTATAGATCCCGAAACAGGTCAGGTGAAGGCCAGGATAGAGATCCGCTCTAAAACTGAGTACATTTGTGACATTGCCAGCAAGGTTTTCCGTGACCGTTACCACCCCATACGTGGCCCTTGGTGTTCAGTGGTGCTTCATCCGGGTAGCACCTTGACCATAAAGTTGCCAACAAAGATTGTGGATCTGACTGCTATTAACAAGACTTTCCACTGTGATTCTGAGGGGGATATTGACGGGGGCTTTACAACTGTCCCATTTTCGCAACTGCCATCCATTTATGAATACGAATCTGAATTCCTGCCGAAGGACATGACTACGCTGAGACAACTGAAATCAATTCATGACATCAATGCTTACGACGAAATCCCATACCACGAAGCCCTTGTTGGAGATGCCCTTGAGCTGGATGTTTCACGAATGTCACTTGGAGAGGTGAAGGTGAAGTATCTTTTGGGCAAACCTCTCACGTCTATAAGTGGTGTCAACTCGTTCTTGTATCATTGGACATTGATGTCTAGGAACGAGAATGTTCTGGATAAGATAAGGGCCGCCATAAATGTGTCATTTGCGTTTACTCATAGTTACATGACTGTTGGTTGCGACCGTGGGCCACACAGCGTATTTGATCTGGAAAGAAATGATGAATATTGTGTAGGGAAACAAATGGGAAACGGTGTAGGCACGACTTATGAATGTCTGTACCGCAAAATGTGGAACGTTGGTAAGGTTGGGATTCACTGTCGGGCGGACGAGCAGTTGTTGCCGAACAACTGTGATTCCATCGGATACGATCTCTATTTGAACGGGATGGTTCCATTTCCTGAATCTATGATCAGTGCGATACCCTATTCACATCGAGGATTTCAGCTGCTGGACTTTGATTTAAATGATGATGACCCTCTCAGTTACGCTTGCATCTGTGTCGACCAACGTGGATACGAGAGATCTAAGCTTATTTTAGAGTCCAATCGTAAGGTAAAGTCTACCTTCGTAGTACGTCGCGAAAAAGTCTCTCATACACTGACTCCTTACACGTTACTACCTTGGAGTGAAGTGGGAGTTCTAGATGAAGGCCTCTCATCCTATGAACATATTGTGATGCACCACGCAGTAGAGAAATCCATTGCATTACAAGTAGGGACAACATTGCTCATGACATGTGGGATTGGTTTCGTTGCGTCGTCAGCGCATAGGTTCAACAATGGTAAAAGGTTTTGCGGGGTGACGGTGGATTGGCTACCATACAAACCCGAAGAATTCTACTACACTGTAAGTCATGCTTCACATGGGCGTAAGCTCATGAGGACACCACACAAAGATACCATTGGCGGTACGCCGGGAGGCCTGGAAATCAGACACCAAGAATTTGACAAGAGGCCAGGATATAAAGAATTGGCCATCACATCTCGTAGAGGTGCCATTCTGATTTCCAAAGATCCACTTCACAAGAAACATCTGCCCATGACGTTCGTTTGCTGCAAATATCCTAAACCATCAGACATGTCTGTCATCACTGGCGAGATATCTGCATCAGCTGTTCCACATATCACTGAAACATCGGCGCGATATACGTGGCATCTAGTTCAAGTTGCCGTCGAGACCACGGATCCCTACATGCAAGGCTGCGGCGTCACATATTTGTCCACTGAGCTATTCAGACCTGAGACACCCAAGCTCTACTACCCTAACATACGACAACCGCGCGGTTGTAAGATAGACCTTAAGACTGCGGGTGAGGCGGCGTTCTACTGCCCAGCACCGTACGTCCTGGACCCACCAAACTGCTTCAGCCAAGTATTAGTGGATGGTACCGTGAAGAACATAAACGACCTCAGCCAGTCGTTGGTGGCGTCTCGATCCAACCATTTTGTCATCCTGAGCTACGATAGCTCACTCATAGGGCAAGATGAGAAGCTACGGCACATGCCGCCGTTGCAATGTCGTTGCGTCACCATCAAGGGTGTCATGCTCTCCACCATACAGATTGAGAACTATTACTCGAAGTAACAAGTGACTCAGATGTGATAATATGTTGGTGAATTACAGGGTCGAGTTTCCTTTGTTGATTTTGGTGCGTATGTTTATTTAGGTATTTTAGTGGAAGCCTGCGCTTAGCTATAAAATATTAATTTTGATAATACACCATACCATCATGTTATGGCGTTACCATAGCTGCTCATAACTTGCGTGAATGGGTATATGCCCTGTTTAGAGCGTCATGCAGACACAAATGTCATCAGATGTTGGCTGCGCATGTTACACTTCCGAAATGAAGGAAGAGTGATACGGTCGTTTGCAACCCTTATCAGAAGCTAAAAGAACGTGAGTGCACATAACGGACAACAACAAATAACATCCTGTACCTAATATTGGAATTAGCGAACCCCAATAATCTTGATAATCGACTGCCGTGTCAGTGGTTACCAAGTTGGCTCAGCGCTGAAAATGTAAACAGGGAGATTTATGCGCTTATTAGATCATCAGTGTAGTATATATGATGTTTTGTAATTCTTTTGTTGCGTCATACGGAGAAAAATGAATTGCGGTTGTGAAGCACGACATCAGCCTTCGTAAATATGTATGGTGTGGATCCACCTTCACTTGTCATGCCGGCGGTGTTGAGTCATAATCCCATGTATATGCGGTAACATCCGCGTGCGCATGTTGGACACTATGCACATAAGATAATTCCTGATATTAGGTAGCAACTGGGCGTGAATCGTAGGCGTAGCGAAGGAGAGAAGACAGAGTAACGACACTTCGTGGTGGAAGTTTAGGCACTTATATTCATTGTAATTCTTAACTGCATAACTATGAATAATTGTCAGACTTCTAGACTGATTCACTTATATCTAGCAATTAATTTGCGCAACCATCGGATATTTCCAAGGATGTTGGCCCGGCCGCCAATAGGCAAAATAATCTGTCAATGCCAACAAAAAATCATCACACCCGAGGTGATTGGACAGCCCACACAACCGTAGCATAATACATAACAATTGCTAATTCATAGGAGCAGTGAAGTGATTTATGATTCTTTAACAGTATCATCTGCACTTTAGGGTAACGTCACGCATTGTAGTTACACGGATTGTGGTAGTAGTTATAATGTAACACTAGAGCGGCTGCTTGGTCTAGTGGTATGATTCTCGCTTCGGGTGCGAGAGGTCCCGGGTTCGATTCCCGGAGCAGCCCGTTGCTACGCGAGTAGGTTTCGGTGGTGGTGGTGATATTTGGTCGTGGTGTTGAAAGCGCATTTGGTATTAACCATTGTCATTATATACTTTAATGTGACCCTCTGAAGTATGAGTCAGATTGATGTAGCGAACAATTTCACAGTTGACTTTGACGCTTACGTCCATTTCGCGTACTACGTTGGAAAGTATCTTATGAGACATTGCTCCAACGAAACTTGCGATGAGAGAAAGGTTGTAGATTGGTACGGCGTCGCATATTGTTCTCATACGTTTTAGGTATCTCGATCATTTTCGGGGACTACTCTCCCAGGTGTGTGGACCACACTCATCTATAATTGGTTCGTAGACACAGTCAAGCGCTAGCAAGTTACAACTGCTTTATGGCAAACTCATAAACAACCTCATCCGCGACGAATGTTTGCTTGTAGGTTAACCGTTGACGGATTAGTCACGCTCAGATCGCTGAGGAAACGACGGAGCGAAGGATGATTAAGAAGCACCCTTCCTTTTTTGTCTGGGCATGGCGTTCGCAAGCGAAGTCGCATGAATACAACATTTTAAATGTCTAAAGCATTTAAGATACCTGGGCATACAAAATTTGTTTGAACTGCTCTTTTGTCTATAAAGATGACACGTTCACATACTGGCACGTAAAATGGGACCCCGGAAGTAGGCCGCTTAGTCTAGTGGTATGATTCTCGCTTTGGGTGCGAGAGGTCCCGGGTTCGATTCCCGGAGCGGCCCATTCTTTTATAGTCAGCCGATAATTGGCATATTTATTAAAAATTGTCAAAACACAATGCTGTCACTGCACACGGCAGTTATGGTCCTGTATGATGCGTCCACCTGTGTACGGTGGGCGCCGTCCCTGTGTCGCGGAGTCATTAGGTGCACTTTCGTCGACTGATGACTGGCGGCCGCTATTGGGTTGGGACGTTGACTGGACGTGCCTCTGCACCTCTTCTACTAAGCGCGAACGGAGATCTTCGCGCTGTTGGTTGTAATTCGCGTCATCTGTAGGCAGTTCGTAGCGGCATACGGGACACGAATTGTGCTGCTTTAGCCAAGGCACAATACAATCGACATGGAAGCCATGGCCACAGACAGTGCGATCCTTGCTAAGCCAATGAATCTTATCACCTGCAGAAAAGTCCTCAGTGCAGATTGCGCATGTCTCCAGCTTCTTTGCCTGCTCCTCGTCAAGAGTGTCGGTGTCTAACGTTTCAAGGATCCGCTTTGCCGCAGGCGGGGAACCCTGGCGGTTGGGATCGTTCTCCATCACATAATACAAAATCTGGTTCATTGTCTGCGTGTCAAAAGGACTTTGTAGCATGCTTCGGAAGAGCTCCAGTGGTGCATCGGCAACTGTTTGCTCAGACCCACCTGCACTACCCTCACCTTCGGGCGTAGTTGCGGCCCTGCTATCACCAAAGTTTGACGTTAAAACAGAGGTACTGCCACCGCCCATGTTGCTGCGGATTGTAAAACTAGAGCCCTGGCGCATCGGACCCAGCGCATTTTGAAAGACCCCCTGGATAAAGTTGGTTAGCGGCATTCCTAACGCAGCAGAAAACAGGTCAGCAGCGTCATCGTATGACCGATTAGCGGATGAGAACTGAAACCCTCTACCAGACGACATCCTTTCAAATCCTCGGAAACTAGCAGCAGACCTCGGACGACGATGGGACGTAATCTGGGCTCAACATTAACAATTGGCGTAATAAAAGGAGTTAAACTAGTACAAATAGCGTGGAAAACATTTTAAATTCCTATTAGACACTAGGCAACAATTTTCCCGGGAACACAACACATCTCCCTAAGGGAATAGTTTTGTGCAGACAATCGATAACGCAACATGTGGAGTTTTGCACATAAACGCTGCGTTGACGTTCACGAGGCGCATAAAATTATAGTCCCCGTTGCGATGGCACCGTATAGCACGTTATAATCGGGGATTCGAGAGGCCAACCAAGGACAAACAACCCCTTGCGACGACTACCAGTAGCCGCGGTACCTTCGAAGCCGACAGACATGGACAAAGCGCATAGAGATTACGACGCTGACAACACACACTATTCAGAAACTCATGAGATGTAACATATCCTACGAACGTAATAAACAGCCAAACGTGTAACCTGTGACGCCAACTAGCGCCGGACCTACCTTCTCGACGAAACCCTCATTGTTGCAAACCAAACAGCATATGTCACCGGTAGAAGACGGTGTAATTTGAGCATCTGACCGCTCGCTGCTGCATATGTGGCAATAGTAAATAAACTCCTCTGCGCTCGCCATCGTTATACGCAACGGGGCCAGTATGCAAGTATCCTGTGCATTGCGGCAGTGCCTACGCCGCTCACATATGTGACTAACAATTCATGTCTATGTTCACGATTTTACGTCAACAATTTGGAATAGTAATTGGCAGTAACACCACAGTGGCGCGTCTGGCTGCGGCGCGTGAAAAGCAACAGTACGCCACTGGGCAAATTGCGGGAGCGCCAGCCAGCGTTGATCGCTGGATATAAATTTGATCAGCAGACGTTATATTTGTTGAAAGCGTTACCACCGGGATAATACAAAGTCCCAGGGGCGCTGAGGTAACACATCGCTTCCTAGGCAACGACTACATAACGCCTCAATGCAGCTTTTTACATGTACGGAAACGCACATGTGTATCACGGCAACCATAGCGAGTAATACGAGCGGATTAAAGCGCGCCAACGACGACAAACGAATAACTACAGGCGGCAGAACCGAATGGAAGGATGCGGGCACCGCCGCAAAATGCATAGCACAGTATGACGATGGTATAGTGCACAGCATTGGCATTTTAATGAAACTCTGTCACCTTTGTGTCTGCAGCGGACACTAGCTTGTGAACCTTAGCGACGCCGACAATGGGCTCCAACTGGTGAGCATGAAAGCGCGTGTACAAGGTCACGACAGCGTTTTTCTTCGATAAATCCAGCATTTTGAAAGCCTCACGGTACAGCTCTGGGTAGTCCGGTGGGACGACAAAAAGCACGCGGCAAGTTCCCTTTATCACGTACCGCTTAAAGAAGAGCAAACGTGACGTCGTCAAAACTACGGGCGTTTTCCCTGTATTATGCGTTACAGGCTTACATTAACGTCACGAAGAATCAACAATTTCCGATTTCACATACCAACATTCCCCAAGGAATACCATACTAAACAGCAATTAACCAGACAACACGGAACGATTTGCAGCGTCTAGGTTGCCCCACAACGAAATATACAGACGACAAACATACCGGCTTGGAACTGTTGACGAGCAAATAGCATTTGTTTGCTTGAATTTGATTCATGACAGGGGAGGTATTCGAAGTTGGCTATTTTCAGCTCCTTTTTTACCCTGTAGCAAGATACGGACTTTGTAAAAATGTTTGACTAACCTCAAAAAGTGCGTGTAGTCACCTAGGACTACCAACACTCCACCGATTCCCTGTATGCTGTTTAGCATGTTCTTCAGGAAATAGTTTAATAGCGCTGCGTCTGCGCCACTCACGCTTGTCGCCGCCACTTTGATGAATAGCTGCTTCACCCTCAGCTGGGATCCTAGAAGCACGAAGTCTTGTGGTGGCACGTATGATAGCTTTATTGACCCTCGACGGTTAACTAGGCGCTTGAAAAAAGCGTTGAACACAAAATGCTGGGTACAAGATACGCCCACTGTCTGACGGTAAACTTCGCTCTGGCCGTCCATTGTCGATACGCGTAGGCGGCTGAGGTCAGCATCACGCCATTTCTTTAGCGGCCGATTCAATTTCTCAAAGACCTCGATGAAAAAATGCCAGTTCTGAAACTTCAGAACGTCCATGCGATCAATTAGCAACACCTCAATACTGGACAAAAAGTCGTATTCATCTTCCTCCTGCATCATTATCTTGATACCCAGAGGCGAGGTGACTATAATGTCACTCGTGTAAAATGGCGTATATAGGTGCAACATCCCACCTTGGTACCGCAAACCCATCTTAAAGGCGTCATCCTGATTACCGGAAAATGTTTCGATATAGTCCAGTGATTTCTGCGTTTTGCTGAAGCTTGACATCTGCGCTGCAGTGTCCTCTTCAGGAAGGTCATACTCTTCGTAGAACTTCTCTACCTTGGGATCCTGCAACAGGCATTACACACCGATTAGATGATTCCATACCCCCTTTTTGACGGATAGCAGGGTCACAAGGTGTTGGATGAAATCGCGTGCCATGCACTTCAGACCACAGATATACAACACACGCGGCCTAGTGAAACCGTGAGACTGCTCCACTGGCGAAGTCACGCTTTTGCATATGTGGTTAGCCGCATGTAGTGCCATGAGGAATCGCGCAGATGAGACGTCAGTGACTTTGCATCCCGCATAAAACACATCGACATAACTGTTCATGCAATTGAAGAAGTAGCGCAGACGACCGCGGTCCTTTGGCATCCATCCACCTGAATGCGCCCTTTTATACAACTTCGAAAGCTTCTTCTGCACCGCTTCGTGAAATCCGAAAGAATTCACACCCGACACCACTCTTGGTAGCACTTTGGATTTCAGTACCTCCTGTAGAATAGGCGTCAAACACTTAAATTGGCAGCTTTTGAAGAAAGGTATCGGTATGGATGACGTTGCAGAGATTGGTGCTGTAGCCGTAAGGTATTCGTCATATCCCATATTGAAGGAATTAAATGCGTCGACAGCGATGCCGTCGCGGGTCTCTTCAGACACCACCTCAGGATCGGATTCTGCGTCGGCATCGAAAGAAGCCGATAGAATGTTGGACAAGTCATCTATCTCGTTATCCGAACTGTCTATTTTGCGTCGCTTATCAGACCGCGACCTTTTTCCGAGCACCTGCAGCAGATGATCGAAGGCCGACGGCGGATCGGACTCTGAATCATCACCTTCCATCGCTTACGATCATTTAGACGCATATATAATTCAATTTATGCGATATAGTTGCAGTAACTTGTTTGCAACAGCGCAGCAGCGCTCCCCAGCCTAGGGCATAGGAAAGAAACATGAACGCACTAAAGATGGGTATAGAACGTATTTCAGCGGCTAAAACAAACAACAGGGGCGTGTTAAAGCAATGTGTATATAAACGATAACGCTACTGATTTAATCGCGATGCTTTCATTCACATCGTAGAGGTGAAACATATCCCGGAGTGGCGCATTGGATTCCATCCTGTAATAGAGGAAAATGCCAATGTGCTGGCATTGTAACACCTTTAAAGCTGTAGACTACGTGGTTGGACATTTGAACTGATACATGTCGTGAAGTTGGCGGCTGCGTTCCTTCTCATCTGCATCCTTTCTTACGGAGCGCAGTTATCGCAGGCATACAAATTCGCAGGGAATAAAGACAAGCTACAGATCGTCCATTCGCCAACGCTGAACTACAATGTTCGTCAATTGCGTGTAGCTGCCCAGGAAAATGGCGTTAACGGGAGCGGAAGCACAAGACGTTCCACGCTAGTAACCACGCCGTTGTTCTACGTCAACGGAGAATTGCACGTCGGACACGCATACACGCTGGTAGCAGCAGATGTGATAAAGAGGTACCAGGAACTGCTTGGAAACAAGACCATTTTGTTGTCCGGGACCGACGAGCATGGCACAAAAATCGAGGCTGCAGCCCGCGCAGCCGGGAAAATGCTGCCGCACTATGTGGAGGATATGCGTACCCACTACCGTGAAGTGTTGAGTTCGTATAATGTGCGTGCGGACATAAACATCCACACTGCAGAAGATGACCACGGTCGCACTGTCAGATGGGCGTTCAACCATCTGTTGTGCAACGGCGACATTTATGAGGGGCTGCATAAGGGCTACTTTTCTCCGGCAGAAGACGCCTATTACACTTCATTTCAGATCGCTAATGGCCGATCACCTCAAGGTTTTGAGGTTCAGCCTATAGCGGATAAGGCGTATTTTTTCAGACTCTCTAAATACAAAGATGCGCTACGGCAACTTATCAGTGAGGAGGGGTTTTTAACACCAAAGGAACGGAAGAATGAAGCTCTGTCGCTCCTGAAAGGCGATTTACCAGATGTGGCAATAACGAGGTCTAATACACGATGGGGTGTTCCGCTCGACATACCGGGTTTTGAGGACCATACCATTTACGTCTGGTTCGACGCATTAATGGCATACGCGCTGAAAAACAGGGATGATGAACACTGCAACAACACAATTATGATATTTGGAAAGGATATATTGCGATTCATAGCATTAATGTGGCCGGCTCTTTTGATGTCGTTGGATATGCCGTTGCCGCGGCAAATGATATGTCATGGGTGGCTAACCTGCAACGGAGACAAAATATCCAAGTCCAAGGGCGAAAAGGTCCTTGCATTGCCGGCCATCGGAACGGCAGACGTATCTAGATTCGTCCTCATGAGCATGGGTGCTTTCGGTGAAGATTCCAACTTCGACAGCAGCAGGATGGAACAACTGTCAGAGCTGGTGAAAGACAAGTATGCCAACCTGACCCACAGGATTACAGGCCTAATGAATAACAGGGGCGTGCATGAGCTGGAACACCGTGAAGAGAGTCACACGGAACCTCTCACCAAGCAACTTGTGAACGGCTGGGATGTTTTGCAGGAAACAATGCAACATTATAGGATCGACGTGTATATTACTGAGCTGAACCGTTTAGCAGCAGAAATCAACAGTTACATAACCCGAAATCAGCTCTGGGGAGTGCGAAATGAGGACGACTTTAGGCGGCACTGTTTAGTACTATGCAGGGCGTTGCTGGTGCTGACTGTATATCTATACCCAATCATGCCACTCTTGGCTCAGATGAACATGGAGCGACTGCAACCGCACATAGATGAGGTGCCCGTGGAAATAGGCGCAGCCTCAGACATTTTGCAAGCATTAGGTAAAGTTGACTTCAAACCTCGGCATTTGGGCCCCCTAATGTAATCTCCGCTTAGTATACTCACGATTACTCCACACATTCTTGCCGCTAGTTGCGCGTCGGAACCACGGCCACGACTTGGTGCTGAACCCCGTGCATAACATGAGCTTAAAACCTACGGGGGCTTGCGATAGTGAATCGAGTCACGCATTTCCTTCAACTTCAAGGCCTCGAGAGAGCTAGTTTCCGGATACAGCTGTGCAGCTTCGCGAACTGCCACAAAGTATAAGATGCAGCACGCGTAACGTACCGATAGGACGTTGATAAGAAAGATGCTCGCGCTCCTCGTAGCTCATGGGCAGGTGACGCCCCAATACTATGCGTCGGAAGTACCAACTCCTATCTGTCTTGCAAATGTCGTGGTGGTACAACATGTCGTCCACATCCTTCAGGGTGCACTGCAATGACGTCTGTGTATGTAAACAGAAACAAAGCACTTCTGCCAGACATGACGTTTAGCGCGCGAAAATGCCAAATAAACATCCCAATAAAGGGTAATACAGGTATGTAACCATCTTGTTTGGCTGCTGCAATGATCTAACATACCTTCGCTGATTCAGCCAAAAGCTGTTTTGCCTGATGGCTGAATACCGTTGCAGAATCGGACTCCTTTTCTCTGGGGGTTAAAAACTTCATCATTTCATCTGAGAAAGCATGTCAACGTACAACAGATGATCAACCCACGTTGCAACTTTAGTTGTCTCAAAGGGCCATTCAGTTCTTCGTCGGGAATGGGCCGCTTCCCAATGAGTCGTAATTTGGTGCATATTTCCTGTGACACGCGTCAAAGCGGAAAATTTAGTAGATGCCACTCATGTACGTTGCAGTACCTCCAAATAGGTTGCAAACTTGTCAAACGTAAACTCCCCAGGCTGTCGCATGAGACATTCCACAGAGTACTGAAAGTATTCAGTGATCTGCTCGTCAGGGTCTCCCTACACGCATTGACCGTTGAATAGAGCATCATTACCTCTTCGATGCGGGCTACTCGCTTGATGCTCTGCCAAAGCTTGGTGACCATAGATTTTTCGCCTTCAACCTTCGGGTACAAATCGACAGTCGAAGCGCTAGAATCAATTTTATCTGGAGCCCTACTAACGGGCTGCCAGAATGATATACAACGTAGTCCCCATTGCGTGGATTTTGCGTATTGACAAGGCGGAAGACGATAAAATGCAGCAAAGGGTGTCTTAAACTGCAAGTTTTGCGATAGACGATATATCAACATTCTCCGGTTACATCTTACTTAAAGATTGATATGAATGACGTTACAGACTTTCCAACGAAAGTATGTACGGCAAATGACTTGCCAGTGTAGCAACCTTCGGGTCAAAACCCGGAGGACGAAAAAATAACGTGAGTTGTTCGGACTGATCAACACACAAAAGTTAGTTTATAACATACTTTATGGAAACAGTCATATATTTTATATTTAGGGGTCCTATGGCCGCATTACACCCACACATTGGAAGGGCGGTAGACGGCGCAGCATCCAGTGTGTAAAGGCCAGATTAACGAAGGTGGCTGTTCTTCGTTGATGAATCCAGCTATATCGGCGTCATGCGCCTATTTAATCCGTATCTTCCATTCAAACATTCATAGCTCTCCACAAGGGGATTCCACAAGGCATGTTGAATTTCAGCACAGCTAACCAGCGGTTTCACGTCACGCATGGCGAGCATATTACCTTAACAGCTATTTTGAATGATTGCGTAATGCACCATCCCGTATAATACGCATTCCGGGACTAACAATGCGCATCTTGCAGGATATCCGGCGTACAAACTTATTATGCCTCGCCTAAATGACCCCTGCGCGGCATTAACGATTCAAACAACCAATACCGACGCGTATCGACGAGACGAGGTGATTCCATCGTGTCCGTCCTTTGTGATGCCATGCCTCCTGTTGGTAACGAATTCTGAGAGTCCCATTGCGTTGCACATTGGCGGCCGTACCTCATCGTGTCCAGCGGATAGGTGGCTGTGCGTGCGATAAAAGCGGCAAAGGAGCCAAAGATCACGTTCCATGGGAACATTTCAATCGGTTTGAGCTCTACAAAGGTATTAAAAGGCTTCGTTATCCATACCTCTGGGCTCAAGGGGGCGGATGGTAGAGCTGTATGCCGGGTTGCGTTCAATCTGCGAACTCAACCTCTCCTTCAACTTTCCGTGAAGGTGGTTGTTCAGCGATAACGCAATCATCAGGTGGAGTGCTGTCGAAGTAGCACAGATAGTGTAACCGCTGTAAAGCCGCGCAAAACCTGACTGTTATGCAAAATGAACGATTGGATACTTACCATACTTGGAAATAGTTTCACGTAGATACTGACGTATCGACACATCTCTTGCCACTGTGGATGCAAACCTGCCGTACGCAACATCGAAGGGGTAACTAAAGAGATGGGCGAAATTGCACAACATCACCGTGCGCATATAGTTGTAACACAAAGTCCCATTGCCGTTAGGGTAGACAGAATCACCAACCCAAATCCTTGAACCGATCAAAACGCCCGGGTAGATTGCACCGGAAAGTATGTGGACCCGCGACAAACTCCACAATTTTTTAAAGCCCATAGAATCGTAGAGCCCTGCACATATCGTGTAAAAATTCCAAAAGGAGGCAATTAGCGTTGTATGATGAGAATCATGTATCCAAAATTTTAACGTTGGTATGTATTTTATAACTGAACCTCCGGGGCGGAAGCAACATCGATTCAGCATGCAGTTGGATTATGGTCCAATGGGAACCCACCTATCAAAATTTTGAGTGGAGTGGGATGCGATATACGCAACATGTTATAAAGCGTCATGTTGCCGCCCTGAGAAGCTACGCAGCTGCGATAAATCGGCGCCAGCAAGAAACGCTGGCTGGCCATAGGAAGCACATGGGCGAGGTACTGCGTCAGATGGATGCGCGCCTCGCCGACACGTTTCTTGTGCTTCTTGTAGTTGAGCTTCAGCAGGTTTTGCTTGAGGCGTTCCAACCGGTCAGTAGTTATGTCAGACATTCTTCAGATTTTTTCTTTATCTTCCATGATGTCTTGCGGTGATATAGTATCAGCCTTCCGCGGCACTCAATTGGAAATATGTTCCGAGATTTCAGTCAACATGTGTAGCGTCGTTTTGATGTGATGCCCTGAGGCAGACACGCGCAGCATCTCTATTGCCGCGCCAGTAAAGACACAAAGAAGAACACAAAAAAACATTATGAAGGTCTAGAACATGCACAAAATGTATCTGAAATTGACTACTTGGCTGCATAGGCGATAAAACGAAGGCATCATCAGCGCTGTTGTTTGCACATCGCGGCAAGGGCTCAAACTAGGCACACATCGCCGCACATACACACTTAAAGAAGCCGATCGCAAACGCCGAAACATATATTCTTCTCGCCTTCCGCGATGGAATTCGATCGTTACAGTCAAGTGCCGGGCGGCTAACACACCAGGCGTTGGAAATGCGACCATGAATGGCAGCATGAAAAGACGCAGTTCAAAATGCGTAACGGCGGTTATCACGCTGCTCTACATGGTATTGACTACCATAGGTACGTTATAGGTGCGAAATGGTCAAGTACAACAGGCATTGGCATGGGAGTTATGCTTTTACCGCCCTTTGTGCATATCAAGCTACCTCAGGGCATGCCAGAGGCGGTTGGAACATGGCACATGAAGCTGGATAACGCGGGGAATCTGATTACTGGCACCCGATTCGATTTCGATCTCATGCTCTACAATCCCTCAGTCCTGCCGATCACCTTTTCCCCGCAAAAAGCCTCTTTCTCCTACTACCCTATTGGGTCCACATCGGAATGCCTAAAATCGCAGTATAACGGTTAGCCAACAATAAACTTCCTTACAAGGCTGCAGGGGAATATTTGGACACTTCAAAGGGCAACGTAGTTAGATCTCAGTTTCATCGGGAAGTTTCAAAATACACGACGGACGGTCTCATAGCAATTGAGGACTTGCGTGTAAGTCTCACACACTCTGCATATGGACCACAGTGTGATAGGTCACCGTTCCGCCGAAAAGGCGTCAGTTCGATATCTACAGCACCAAGGTGCCCGTAAAAGCTCATTTTGAAATCAGCAAAAGTAATAAAAGCGTTTTGAATGCGCTAAAACCGCTATACATGGACTGCGTGAAGCACGGTGCGATCATTCTGGCCATTAGCATAAAGGAAATAAACAGTTGGGTATGGATAATCAGCAGAAGGGTGCCTGCATCTTACGAGCTCCTACTCCCCCTTCGATGCAACGTGGATGGTTCGCTTGACGCTTGGTTCTCCGAACCAGCAACATTCGGCTCTGCCATTCTGCAGGGAGTCACAAACGCCCGTGAACGGAGTGCCGCTGCGTTCGGTGGCCCTTAGCCACCAGCGTGTAGATTATCGTCAAATATAGACATAATGGTGTTGACACTATACTTGTGCCACCTTGTGGACCACAGTGTGCTTGTGAGTGTTGTCCTAAAGCTGCACACAGTTCTGCAGTTGGCATCGGACAGCGCGGAAGGCAGACAGGAGCTTAGACAGCGAAAAAGGTAATGCTTTACTCCAGCATCCCGGAGAAGCAACGTGTATACACAGATATATGAGAATAGACAGATGTATAGATGAATCAATGGCATAATCGTTGTTCGTCCTTACACATTTAAGAATTCTTAATATACTGCACGGCAGCGGGATGACAACGCGCAATGAATCGAATTTTCGCACACCAAAACTAATAACTGAGACGTTTCGTAACCGCATCGTCTCCATTCGTGAAAATACAGATAGACCAAAAACATTGTTACTTATCTGCCAGCAGAGGCACTACTTCTTGCATTATACAGCCGTAAAAACGAGATTCTACTGCCATACCATGAAAACAGCTGATTAATACACCGCAAAAGGCAGTTCGCCATGCGATAGATCGCTATATTGGATTGTAATATATGGTTGAGAGCCGTGCACATCCACGTCATCCAAAACAACAAATAACGCAGGCGTTCAACTTAGTGCAATTAATCGTACAATAATCACGAAATACCAACATAAACGAATATAATATAATGACGTTGGGCGGCTCGGATACCAACGTGCTACGGATTCGACTTCACTCCATAAATATCAGACATACGTCCACCCCGGATGTGCTGCAGCAATGCTAAATGAACTGGAGTGTGTATGGACGGCACTTTTCGGTGAATGTGTCACTCCTGGATTGCGGCACAATGAGCATATACTGAACTCGTCCATCGCATCTGAGTTCTCGTCGACAGACAACGACGGAATTTCATCGAGGAACGAAGATGCTAAACTCTACAGTCTGAAAAGGGTGCTGCAAGTGGCACTAGACAACGCCGACCCGGAGCTGACCGAAGTAGCAGTTGAGGCGGTCTTCAAAGCACGTGAAGAGCTAGTGGTAGGTGCCAATAAGCACAATTCGATAACTCATGACATCTTGTTGTTATATATGTGGAATGTGTTATTTGTGACGGCTTTGATGGTCGGATGGAACGACGTCGCAGGAGGCCTTGGACGTAGCGGCGCCAATTAAAGGCGCAACACTTGACGCGTTTTTTGCACTATCCACTTGTATTTCGTGCCATAACAAACTGGTTCATGATGTTATCTGTGCTTTTGGACGTTCATGGATGCAACTGCGGCAACGATCAGACCGCGTCACCGTTGTAAATACACACACTTTCCCGCAGAACGTTTTCAAAAATGTAGCGCAAGAACAAGGATTTAATGAAACACTAAGGGATGCGATCAAACTGATCACCATTGATGCGCTGAATCGCAAAGTCAAGGAACGTAACGTAGACCTCGCGCCTTCTATGACTGACATCGGCAACGTAAAAGCAGTCAGAGGATACTTCGAGAAAGCCACGGAACTTAAGCAGCTTCTAAAAGCCATCAAGCAAGTGGACTCGGATATCGCACGCGTGCAGCGCGACATTCAACAGGTGACGCGCCTTCCGTGCTGTGTAATAAATGTACAGGATCGTGCCACGCTGGAAAAGGTGGAAGAATATATGAACGCTTTGCAGAGCCAGGAGTGACAGCTTTCTGTGGGAGCGATGTGTGCCCCAGCAGACAGGGGAGTTCAACAACGCTCACGTAGCTGCAACGGCACGATTAGGTGTCACCGCTTCATAACAAGTGAACAATCAACTGGGTAGACAATCTTCGTTTATATTTAGCAGCTCTCTGAGCCTGCTTACGTGGTTTGTCCGCGTGTCAGCTGTCCCAATTAGGCAGTGGTATGGGGGGTGTGTCGTCTTCTGCGCCCCCTCAGTTCCTATTGGGTTCAACCTTCGCCATAAGACATTAGCGTAGGGTCTTCTTCATACCTGTCTTTGTCTTTAATTGCTTCCATTACAATGCATCGTGGCTACGGAGCACGGGATATGTACTCGAGGCGCGATGACTACGACATTCGCGGACCTCCGGCTCCATACGACCGTGAAAGGGGCTACGAAAGGTACGATGTGAAAAGGGAACGGTCTGCGCCGTATGAAAGAGCCCGGGGTTCGACTTATCGCGATGTTCCGGACGATTATCCTAGGTACCGTGATGAGCCACCGCGATACAAGGATGAACCTCCTAAGTACAAGGAAGAACCGCCGAGGTACAAGGATGAGCCTCCCAGGTACAGGTATGATGCACCCCGGTACCGTGAGGCCCATCCAAGGTATCGCGATGAGCCCCCGAGGTATCGTGACGAACCGCCAAGATACCGCGATGAGCCTGAGCGCTACAGAGATGATCCCGGCCGGTACAGGGATGACCACGTCCGATACAGGGACGATCCGCCGCGATACCGTGACGATCCGCGGTACAGAGAGCCGCTTCATCCGGCCAGGGGTGGCCCTCTTCGCAGATACGATGACAGACCGTACCCTGAGCCGCAGAAGACCAAGGTTTTCGTAGGGAACCTCGACGGCAGGGTTAGCGAGGAGGAACTGACGGCAGCTTTCGGAAAGTTTGGGCCCATTAATAGAATTGATTTCAGGAGGAACTTCGCTTTTGTCGACTACGTGAAGGTCAAGGATGCGGAGGCGGCCATGCGCGAAATGAACGACCGTGTTTTGATGGGATCCAAGCTGAAGGTTGTGCCGCACTCTGAGCGCACTAAGCGCTCAGATATAAACCGTGAACCAGATTTCGCATCCCAGGCGACTGTTCTTAACCTAGACAACAGCGCAAGCTGGCAGGATCTTAAGGACTTCGCTCGCCAGGCGGGCGAGGTGGTTTATGCGTCGGTGATCATTAGGGACCAAAAGCGGTACGGACTCATCGAGTTTTCGAATCCAAGTGTTATGAAGGCGGCTGTTGAAGTTCTGAATGGTAAGAAGATTGCACAGAATGATTTACAGGTTGTGCCTATGGCTGTGAACGATTACTTAAAGGAAAAGATGAGGGAAGCCAGCGCATGCCACACCGCCCCGCAGGAGCAACCAGTGGGCGAACAACAAGAGGAGCCGGATACCAAGAAAGAGTTAATTTACCAAGACGAACAATTGGATTCTGTCGACTATGATTGAACGGTAGTGCCTGTGACACGTGGTTTGGTCGGCGACCTTCACCAGCGTGATGCATCACGTCAGGACGTGAATGTAGGCGCACGACGGACGCCAAGTCGTCAGAATTAAGCAAAATGCTAGCGGTACAATGGGTGGTGATACACCGGGGAATCCGGAATGCATTGCAGGATTTTCGTGGTAACCTAAGGGTACCTGTGCAAAATGTGTTTCGTGCTATTAAAAGACTTAAAAAGAGCTAATAATCCCTGATGTAGAGTGGGCACCGTTTGTGGTATGGAACATATAGTTACCGGTAGTGACCTTCAAATGTTAGTGAGATTCACAGGGTTTGAGCAGATCCTTTGTGACGTTTTGCGGGCGATTGGTGGTCAATGGGTCTACTGAACCGCTATACGCTAAAGCTTTCGTGTACAGGGATACGACGTTCGTTACACCTTTGAAAAAGTTATTTATCGCCACCTTGTGTGGATACCCATGGTGTTGATCTCGTTGCACATTGTTATCCGTCTTTTGATTTGAGGTTATGCTTCTGGGTTGCTGGTTTGTGTCAGCCTTGGGATTGTCTGCGCTATCAGCGCGACATCACGTATAGTTGCATGTCCTCCTTGTTTCCTTCCAAAGACTTGCTTTGCTGATCCGTCGGACGTGTTGCACTCAGATGGTTCTGATGAGCCGGTTACTGTAGATGTATTTGCCTTGGATTGCCGGGTGTCACAGTTAGACGACTACGGCTGCTGCCTGCTGCGGATGGTTTTGCGGTAGCGGGGGCTGATGCACATTTACACTTTGGCGCAACCGGGCACTGCTGAGGCGTCATGTGTCATCGTCACTGGACACCTTGGTGCAACGTGCTCCATCGATGTCTCGGTGCGTTTCTCGCATGATGTTGTGGCGGCGGTTCGTACGTGTCTAGCAAAACACTTATATACCCAATACGTTTGGCCCATTGCTGGCGCTTTCGTCGCAATGGTGCCCTGAACAGCTTCGGTGGGCTCGATGCTAACGTATTGGTATTACGTCTACCGGGCTCGACATCAACGATTATAGCAAAACCCTTTTCTAGAACACACTTAGATGCGCAATGCTTCGGCAAGGTGTCATGTCCGTGCATTAATACGCGACGACGCATTACGTCACTGTAATGCGTGGGAAAGCTACTTACTTGTTTCCGATGACGTGAATACCGATCTTAGTTTGGAGTAGATTTTGCGTGATAGTTCTTAGCCTGTCACTTAATAAGTTATGGCTGTAAGAGGATACTACGTCATGAAGGATGCGGACTCACGGTTAGGAATACGCCTAATTGACTACCTGGGTTTCATGGATTAAGGGAGTAAAGGTTTGGAGAGTTTATAAGATTGCAGAAGATTAGCATATATTATATGCAGCGTGAATGAGTTGTGATATGAGATTACGGACGTGACTGAGTTGTCATTGAACACTATTATTACATTTTGTGATAGGTTGGCTGTTAGGTGATGCTATACAAGAATACTAAGGGTATGCGCTGATTGTGACGCTGTTGGTTTTGAATCCGTACCAGAAAGACTCCTTAATCGATTTGGCAATTTCTTGAGAGTGCTATTTACTATGCAGGGGTGAATTCAAACCATGGTGGAGCCAGCCATGGAGCCGGAAACGACTCCAATGCATCTCAGTTGTCATTCATATAGGTGTTCATGACGTGTTCTACACGTAGGCATCTTTTCTCAGCTCACTCGACGAGCCTATATAGCGGCGGAGATGGCACTTGGCGGATGCGGTAGCTTATTCGGCGCAGAGGACACACAGAACAATATGCTACTCTATGTGTACGCTGTATAACGTTCAGAATACATAATGCTGTTTAGCAGCACGTGTACAAGGCGCATTGCACAGTGGGTAACCACGTGTACACCACCTTCCAGTGCGCCTACTACATAAGCTCTATTAAGCTCACAATATGCTTGTCTTCATTATCTTCCTGAAAAGCGGCGCACTGCAACGTAAAGGCGGTGATACAACTGTTGGAGGTATATGCAAGCGCGGTTGGCTTTAATGTTATTGGACAGGATTGGGTAACGCGTTCTGTTGCTAACTTCTGCCTGGCACTGAGATACGTATGCTGTTAGATGACCGACGAACCTGATTCGTGAGAATATATAAGTTGTTACATAATTGATCAGATCCCCCAAGACGGCGCATCCTTCCGTCCAGGGGCTTAAGGTGGCCTCTGACTGGACGTAACTAGCACCTTAGTACACCATGTACTGACATGTTTAGTTGGTGTTGCAACCGCTAAGTTGTAACAGTAAGCGGGACCGCTCAATAGAAACAGGACCGAAACCGAGTCGACACCGTGGGAGAGGTGTTGGGTCATCCGCCGAGTGAGTGGGTAACATCACAGTGGTTGTAATGTGAATGTATGCCTATGTGCGACATTCTGTGAATAGTTGGTCTTGTATAAGAGAAAGCCGCGGTTGATTTGCATCTACGGACAACACTGCGGTATGGGTTGAAGTCTTACCCCCGGCCTGGACCCCAGCAGCCACTTTGCGGGGCGCCCCGCAAAGATAGTTACCCTTTTTGTAACCCCGAAAGCCGTGCAATGCGCGTGATCAGTGGCATCCTGAGTGGAGTATAGACATTTTCTCAATTCGAATACAGGCGGGTGTAATTGGGTTCAAATTATGCTGGCAAACTAATCAGTCGGTAAATGTCTTAACCGTGGTCATCCACGGTATCCAAAAGCTGAAAGCTACGGAGGCACGCTTACGAGAACCACTTAGACGGTAGTCTGGGCGTGTATGCCTTCGTAAAGAGGAGTTTTCGAGCCTAACGTGCATTGCTCACTAGTTTGCGAGATGGCTTCTCAAAGGGATGAGCGTGAGATGAAAGCTTCCCCAGGAGATCCGTCAAGGGATCTGGCGAAGTCTTTTCTGTGGGTGGGGAACGCGATGGTGAAAAGGACACGCTAAGGGAGACGAAGGTATCGCAGAAGAGGCCGACTAGGTTGTCTATAAGGAATTTACTGGTTCTTGTTTTCATTGCCGTGGTTTTGAGGCGCCCGAAGTCGGATGTTCTAGGAGGAATTTCACCGTTCGGCGGCGTTATTGTCGGCGTCACAGCTGCTAAAAACGTTACAGATAGTAAAGAAGTGACATCCATTAGGATAGATAGACATAGTACCGGTCATACTGTTTTTATTCTTCGTGGGTCTGGCAACGAGTCAGATAGTGACAGCGCTACCGATATTGAATGTGATACCGATATTGAATGTGATACAGATATTGAAGGCGCTACGGAGAATAGAGGTGATAGCGATAGTGTCATCGAGCGCATGCGTCGCTTCGTCTTTATAACCGTCTTTCCAATAATATTTACAGTCATCATTGGTATCATCGCGTATATAATCGTTGGTATCATCTGTTATATAGGCTATTGTATCGATGATATGTGTCGTACGTGTCGTAACGAAGCGGCGAGTAACGGCGGGAATGGTAATCCGGAGACATACGATGGTAGTGGTCATCATAAAACCCAAGACATGACTCCAGGGATGAATAACCGTCCTATTGTATTTTAGTACAGCGGCAACCGTTACATCAAGGTGGCGGCGCTGGCACCCTCTTTGACCGCGTCTATGTAGAAGAAATACGGCGGCAAAAGATTCATGAAAACAACCTCAACATCTATTACGCTTCAACCATTCTCTACGACTCCTTCCAGTAACCACTCACGTAGCACACCTAGTGATGGCAACTCTAAGGTAATGTAGCAGGATTGCATTGCATAATCTATTTTGGCGGAAATGTGGGTGATCACCCAGACCGGCAGCGTCGGAGTGCCATGCTATGTTGGGCAGTGATCCAGCCACCTAGGGCGTGTACGGGATGCGAGTGATTGTTTGGGCACGCAGAGTGTGTGAAGTGGGTGTCAATGGGTGACATTCTATGATTCTTTAGCATCCTACTCCAGAGCTGTAGCCATCCCAGGCATTTGTTAGCCCATTAGTAGCGTGGCCGCTGGATACGGTGCGAAGGCTTTATACGCATGAAAACCAGCCCAAGGCCACGTAGCCACATGGTACAGTATACATTGCCAACACAAAGATAAAAGGGAGGAAGATCCGTCACTTACGCATTATGAACAACCTAACCTGTTAATTAACAATAGAGGAAAACCACAAAAAATGCCATATGCAACCCACGTAATGCAATCACAGATGGTAAATTTGAAAATGAACCGTGGAGTTGTCTGGAAACACCATATACCACTAAAAGCAAATACGATGCAAGTGACATTCTGTATCAAACATTTGGCTTAACGGCACAGGTTGCTTGGTCTAGTGGTATGATTCTCGCTTAGGGTGCGAGAGGTCCCGGGTTCGATTCCCGGAGCAACCCATCCTTTTGCATTCTGAGTATACCCTTTTCATAGATATGAGTAATTGTTAATTATTTATACATATATAATCCATTATCGCAATGGAATCGGCCTGTTGCAATGCTGCCGATGTAGGTGGCAGTGATGCCGTCGTAGACAGCGAAATTGATCGAATGCTGCGTAACTATGGCTGCGATTTAATCCAGGTATGTGTAATGACGTATCTAATTGATGTGTCATCAGAAGGCCGGTATTTTGTTGCAATTGAACGGCGTAACCATCGCCACTGGGCAAACGATTCTGCACAAGTTTTACTTCAAGCGTACACTTCGCGAATTCGACATTCGTGTGAGTATTACATCGTCTATATCTTACTATAGTCAGGCTGGATCGGCTACTGCGTGCTTTTTGGCGGCGAAGTTGGAGGAGAACATGCGGAAGGCAAAGGATGTCGCTCGTGTGTTCGATTACTTGATTAACAATGAACATGACGGGAGCGTTCCAACACGTCATTTGGACGAGGTGATTATGTGACTAATTGTTTCAATAACGAGTAGATTCTATCGGATGAGATATTGCGCATCGAACGCGAAATTCTAGTGGAATTCGGTTTTCGCATGGGAGGCCTGCTAGTGTGCCCTCATCGCTACGTGTTGCAGTATGTCTTTGCGCTTTTCCGCAACCTGGGAGAGTATTCGACTCACGGAGTGAACGATGTTGCTCAGCGCGCCTGGGGTTATTTGAATGACAGGTTGGTATGCATATCCATCCTAGTGCTTGGAAGATGTGATATGCAATTCTAGCCATTTTTTTGCAGCATGCGGACAACCTTGTGTTGCACCACAACTCCAAGTGTGATCGCAGTAGGTTGTATTTATATGGCGGCGACGTCACTCGGGATCCCTCTTCGTAAGGTTGGTTTCATGCTGCTTCCCGTCTCCCACAGGTCCATTCAGGTGGACGACTGGTTCGTTGTGTTTGACGTAAAATGGTCGGACATTGTCATGGTATGTGACGAGCTCGAACGACTGTACGCGATGGGCCGACCGCGTTACGTGAACGTCAGTGGACTGAGCTTTGGACCACAGGGGGAGTGCACAGCCTCCGACAGCAGGGTGATGAATCAACCTGATTCACGCGAGAAGGCAGCTGCAACACCTCGTGGAGAACGCGCCAATACCGAAGCTGCAGCATCCGTATCTCATGTTGGCAAATTCGATGCGGCAAACGCTGTAGATGAAGCAAGCGACGCGTCTCGCGTCAACCGAGCGGATGACAAAAAAAACGAACGCTGGTACGACCGGCATCGTCACACCGGAAAGAACGAGAGGTATAGTCGTGGACACAGCCGTTACCGGAGTGATGATGCAAGACGCAGCTACTCTCGTGATCAATCGCACAGAGGGCGGAACTATGACTCATATGACCGAAGCGATTACCGACGGCGTCGCTACCATTAGCAGGTCATGAGCAGTGATACACGTTTCTCGTGGCCCATATAACTATCGCATATATCACGCGCTGGCTCTGTAGGCGAGGCTCCAGGGACCAGGGCCAGCGAACTGTAGCAGAACCGGTAATAGCCCGGTTTCTTAGTAATCGCATAGAAGTTGTGAGTTCCGTTTATTAGGGAGGGTTAGTTAGCACGAATTGGAAGCCAACAGCGGCACTTCGTCCCGCACATCGTTGCGGAGTTCTACTGTGCATTCTATTGATTGGGAACATAATTGACCGTGATGTGAGGGCCATGGCTTCAACAGCACTTCCCTTTCTTCCTTTTGCCACCTTTGACACCGAGGACGACGGTGTTCTTCGGCATCTGTGCGTCGGTTAGCGAGGCACCCCCGTCGTCGTATCTTGTGTTTTTTTCGCTAATTTTGCTGAGCAATTCTTTAAACGCCACGTCGACATTTTCGCTGTTTAGGCATGACGTCTCGAAAAATATGAGGTCGTTTTCGTTAGCGAATGCCTCTCCATCTTCCTTAGCCACCTCACGCAGGTGGGTGAGATCGCTTTTGTTTCCGACAAGGCATATGGTGATGTTCGCGTCGGCGTAATCGTGCAGCTCCGTGAGCCACTTGGAGACACTACTGAAGCTGGCCTTGCAAGCAATGTCATACACGATGATGGCGCCCATGGCTCCGCGGTAGTAAGCTGATGTGATGGCACGGTACCTCTCCTGTCCGGCGGTGTCCCAGATCTGTGCCTTTGCGATTTTGCCGTTGTTGAGTGTGACATTTTTCGTCGCGAACTCTACGCCGATGGTGCTCTTGGAGTCGAGCTTGAAATTGCCCTTCACAAACCTGTCTAATAGGTTCGACTTACCGACGTTAGAGTCGCCGATAAGTACTATCTTGAAGAGATAGTCGTAGTTCGAATCTGCTACCATCGTTCCAATCCGTGATGCCACCTTCAATTATTAAGCAGTACTTCTTATAAAGGATATCCTCTTCCGGAGACCTGCGCTTTTCCTGGTGTCTATCGCTGTCTCTGAGCGCATATATTTTATGTATTACAAGCTGAAGCAACCACGCAAGAGCTACAGTACAAGTCGTATGCACGCATATCTTGCGAAATTTAAGACGTAGGCCGTTCTGGACAACTCGAACGCCAGCGTGTGACACGCAGCAATGGTTCACAGTGCCACTACTGCTGCGCGTATATACGAGCGGCGTACGCACGCTTTTGTCAGACTAGCACGTTTTTTGAGGTATCGTCAACTATCAACGCCTAATCGTCCGCAATGCGTCTGTACACGGCAGCGACGCTCCCGCGTCACTAGGGTCGCGTTGCCTTAGTTTACACGCCGTTGCACCAAAACAATACCACCAAAGCTCTCATAAATGACACACGCGAATCACCATATGTATATTCGACGACCAGGTCACATCAGCACACCTGTGGCTTTGGCGGGATGTGCAACGACGGCGTTACGGTCGCGGAAAACACTTTCACTCCCCAGCAACACAAATATGTAAGCATCGCACAAATTCCAAACATACCTGATGTGTTTTTAAGGTTTCCGCATCGAGCGGATACCGCTTGTAGTTATTGCAGTTGTTGAAGCCGTTTCCTTCCGTCCACGTTCGCAGACATCAAATGACAATATTAAATTTCTGATACAGATACGGTCGCGACGCTTTTCAGTTCTAAACTAAGCCGATTTTCTTGCGTATCCTTTCCTCCGAAACACACATCAACTTCGCCTCGGAGAAATACGCGTACGAAGCGGTATTCTTATCCATATAAACCTGACACAGGCGGCATTATGTCTTTTGGTTTGGCCAAACAATGGCGCTCCAATCTGTGTCGTCAACGGCGTGGCCGGCCGTCGTGAGAGGCGGAGTCGATTGAACGTTACTGTACTTGCCAATTATACCTGAAACCACACGCAAAAATATTACCACGTGCTTAACGATGTGTGAGCTATATAATGAGCAGATTCATAAAGCCGGCGGAATGTATGTTGTGCCTCTAACCCTATATGTCTAGTCCCGGTGTACACATTTCTCGGCTGCGGGGTTCAATGAAAATGCCGCCCTGAGAATCTTATCCCGCGATGCAGCGGGCTTGTGAGATGGTTGTACCGCTTCTGCGGACTGACGCGGCGAGCCAGTGGTGCCCATTCCACGCTCTAAATGTGCAGATCCTGCAGCTGTTGCTGAACGAGGGCTTCATCCGTGGGTATTCCGTACACGGCGATCGCATAAACATTCTGCTTAAGCATTACAAGGGTGCTCCTGTGCGTCTTTCCATTGTTTCGTCTAATTTTGTGTAGGTGATCCGTAACGTGCGTGTGATTTCTAAGCCGAGTCGGGACATCTGGGTAACGCCGCATGAGCTGAAAAGCCGAACACGGTTCAACACAGGGCTTTGGGTACTGCAGACATCGTGTGGCGTGGTCTCCCACCGCGATTGCATACGCATGGGCATTGGCGGCAAGATGTTGTTTGCAGTCAACAACAACTATCAGCACTTCTCCTGATATGACTCGGCACAATGATGCTAAATACAGTGGTCAACATTTTTGTAACTAAAAATCGGTATAAAATGTTTAGGAGATGGGCGAAGTGATGGAATGTGGTTGCGTGTTACTATGCCTGCCGCAGGATATACTCATTGTAATTAGAGACCTTGCGAGCCTTCTTAGTTTTACGTGTTCTCTATATTCACAAGAGCTAAAGAATGTTTTATATAAATAGCTCCCGCAGTCGGTGTTCAGCGTTACGTCTCAATAACAGCGCTGGATAGACACAATCGAACAGATAACCAGAGGCGCACCAAAGAATTCGGCAGACGTTACACTGTATGAAGTTTGTTCGTTGAGCCGTATAAAAAGGTAGCGACTAAGAATCTTGCTTCCAATCCATAATACGGGCCACGGCACACAGGTTCACAATTTATGTATACGTGGTGTCAGGCAATACCACGGTCCGACACAAAACAAACGTATTCTATAGTTATACGCAATTTAGAATGGTGATTCTATCAACATCTTCTATGGCGGAGTGCCATACAGCGGTCAGACGCCCCCCGCGGCGGCGCACCGGAATCCTTATCGCAACTACGTATGAGTAGCGTATATTTATATATACGTTAGCAAATACGTTGTTACTTTTGTTACCTTGCTTCTATAGTGTGCGGGGTTGTTCCTTGTCTACGACTGACACTTCCGCTCAACCTTCAGCCGCTGATGCGAATAACGCAACAAGTGATCAGTTAACTCACATTCAAGATGAGCGAAGGCAGAGAAGACGGCGAGGTACCGACGCGCAGTCCGCCTTCTCCGCTGGAACACCGCGAGAGCAAGGCACGTCGCGTCGGCAGCCGTGAGAATTCACCAAATCGCGGTATGGACAACGGGCACGTAGGCGCTGACGTGGCAGATGCGCCTACATCGCGAACTACCGGACGGTTGGGTGGAATATATATTCCTCCCTTTAAACTGGTTGCGCTGCAGCGGGAGGTCGCTGCAGACGGGTCAGTTGCGTACCAGCGCCAAGAGTGGGAGAAGTTAAAGAAGAAGATCAATGCGGTCGTGAATAAGCTCACGTGTACCAACGTGTCAGATCTCGTGGTTGAGTTGTTGGAGTGCAACCTTATCCGTGGTCGCGGTCTCTTGGCTCGTAGCTGGATCCGCGCGCAGATGGCATCGCCTGGTTTCACCGATATATATGTGTCGTTTCTGGCAGTTCTGAACTCCAAGTTCCCTGAGATCGGCAACTTGGTGTTGCGTCGCATAATCCTGCAGTTTCGTAGGGCATTCCGTAAGAACGACCGCATTCTGTGCCAGACTGTGGCGAAGTCCCTCGCGCACCTGGTGAACTACAGGGTGGCTCATGAGGTTCTGGCACTGCAGTTTTTGGCTATTCTGTTGGAGAATCCGACGGATGATTCCGTGGATGTGGCGGCTAGTTTTTTGGAGGACGTCGGCAATTTTCTGGTTGATGAAGCCAAACAGGCTCTTGAAGCAATATTCGACCGTTTCAAGCAGATCTTAAGTTCAGGTAAAATCGACAAAAAGACTCAGTATACTATCGAGGCGCTGTGGAAGTCATTCCGCAACAAGTTCGCCGACAAACCGGCGGTAAGACCCGAACTTGACCTCGTCGAACTTGAGGACCAGATTACACATGATCTCGACTTTTTAGACGACAACATAACGTCAGACGAGATGCTAAACGTCTTCCAACCAGTTGACCCGCAAATATACACAGAAGAGCAGGAGAAGTGGGAGCGTATCCGCAACCAGTTGATGGGTGTTGAGTCGGATGGTGAGGGTGAGGAAAGTGACTCTAGCGTCGATTCCGAAGCGGAGGATAACGATGATGAATCTGTCTCGGGTGAGGCTAGAGCGTCGGAAGGCGCAACGACGGTGATTCGAGATTCCACTGGCCAAGATTTGGTAAATCTGCGCAAGACAGTCTACCTGTGCATAATGTCGTCCCTGAACTACGAAGAGTGCGTCCACAAATTGCTGAAGCTGAACGTTCGTGAGGGAAGTGAGATAGAGATATGCACGATGCTGATAGACTGCTGCGCGATGGAGCGCACATTCCAGTCGTTTTACGCACTGCAGGCGGAACGTTTGTGCAAGTTGCGCATGGTGTACGCACAGAACTTTCAGGAATGTTTTGCGAAGCAGTATCAGCTGATCCACCGCCTGGAAACCGCGAAGTTGCGCAACGTGGCCAAATTCTTTGCTCACCTCCTTGCCACCGACGCCATAAACTGGTCGGTGCTCTCTATCATAGTTTTGACCGAATCTGGCACCACGTCTAGTGGGCGCATTTTTGTGAAAATAATGCTGCAGGAGCTCTGTCACACTTTAGGAATGCGCAACCTCGGCGAGAAGCTGCACAACGCTGATATTGCCCCTCACGTGACCGGTATTTTCCCGCGTGACAACCCGGAGAACATTCGCTTCGCCATTAACTTCTTGACGGCGATTGGTTTGGAGGCTCTGACTGGCGAGTTGCGCAAGCGACTAAAGTAGTTCCCGTCACCTGCGGCCTCGGTCTCCGATAAAATCAACGCCACCTGCCCGGACGGGCCTAAGCTGCCCAACGAGCAGCACTAACCCTCTAAAGGTTGAACACCTTTATAGATTGCCAAATATTATTATATTGCGACATAATTCGTTTTTGCTACATCGCCGCCGTTCGCATGCGATATATGTGATCCGCATTTGCGCAGATGCCGTTGCGTCGGCGTAGCGATTGCGATCTTTACGCATAGCAAAACTATCATACAGAATGTAACCGGGGTTCGGTTACCTAGTGGGCTTGTGTTCCGCCCTTTCCTCGGGGGTCTCTGTACGGCGGGCGCCTGTGTTGCCTCCCAGCGGACATGTTGCTCCTTATGCTGTCGCTCCGGACGCCGTTAAGGGAAGCATCGCCGCCAGTGTTAGGGTAGGCACAATGCTCCTCTCCCTTTTTCAGCTGGACTTTTAGGTACTTGCCGGCTACGTTGAACCCATTCATGCTTTTGATCGCATTAAGTGCGGAGAGCGGATTGTCGTATGAGATGAATCCGAAGCCTTTGTTGCGTCCCGCACTGTCTCGTTGCACCCGTGCGCTTAGGACAGTCCCAAATTGCTGAAAATGCAGTATGAAGTCTGCGTCGTCCCATTCTGCAGGCAGGTGGAACACGAAGAGGTTGGATCCTGGAGGCCCGAATAGGGTGTTCCCGACCACCGGCTTGGCCGCAGGCACCTGGTGTTCCATCTCAACTGGCCGGCGCCACTGAGTCTGTCCAGTGCGCATGTTGTAGTAATATGGCACTCCATCCGAGTTTGTGAACTGCTGCCAATACCCGGAAGCCGTTACAGGTCCGCTGTGGGTATTACAGGTGGACTTTATGTAATCAGGTGAATTTCGCGACGTTACAATTTGCGCTTTGCACGGCTCTTGACACCCCTGTGCAGTGGTATACAAGGAATGTTTCGGTTGCCCTCTTACCTCGAAGTACAACTTGCCGTCTATGGCCTGGACGGCGGCTGCGCCATCAGCTCGATCTGTGTATGTCGCAAAAGCCCATCCGCTAGAGCCGTGGTTTAAGTCGGGCATGTAGAACGTTGACGTGAGTCCTCCTAACTTGGAAAGCTCCCGCCTAAGCTCTTCCTGCGAGGTGTTGACACTTCCTTCCTATGTTTTTTACCTCAGTGATGGCAGCAGGGATACCCCCGATGAAGATTTTCACATCTTTACCAATCGCATAGTTGTACGGGTTCGCCATATTGTGAATTACGTAGCCGGTCGCGGCGACGGATGTGTGTCTACTTCAAAGACCCCTCAAAGCGTCCCGACTCGGATAGGGCCAGATTCTGCGGCATCTTCACACCGCACAGTCACATAACGGAGCCATGTTCACTCAAATCAAGCAATTATTCGCACACACCTTTGATTGCTCCCTCCTTCCATAGCCTTCTACGCATTTAGACCCCATTGCGCGCGATGTTTGAAACACAACGGTACACATTCGCGCCCGTAGTGCTATGTGACACTGTTTCGGCGGCTAGTGTTGCACTATAGAGGGTCACAGTGTATAAGCTCTGCTGGCTGGCGCTGAAAAGGGGTTTGGGCGTGCGTGTGCCATACCGCCTCCGCAACATGCCTCTGTTGCAGCGTTAGGAGCGCAGGTGTACATATTTACGTGTTCGTACACGGCATATATGCCATTCTCATTCTAACGAATCGCTGCTTCATCGATGTTCATTCTTACAGTTTTCGGTTGCGTAATGTGTAGCCGTATACCTATGCTAATGGGCATGCAGCTCTCTAAGAGCTTCGAGCTCCCCTGACTCTCGGTCTCGGTGAGCCCAGTTCGCATTGCAGTATCTCGTGATACTATGCGTGTAGATAGTTTAGGAAGTTCCCAATTGCTCTACCTGTTCTACTAATCTTCATAACGAGCATGAGTCGCTTCAGGGGTTCCGATGTGGTGCCATTGGACACCGAGGAGACAGCCTCCTGCCATACAACCTTTATGGGCCCCAGGGATTTCCGCCACGTCGTTGATCCGGATGAGTTCGAAACGGATGTTCGTGATGCGATGGCCAACATGCCTCATTTCGTGGCTCTGTACAGTAAGTTTGACAGCGTTACAGCGACCGAGTGTTTACGCACGCGTGTACGCGAAAGCAGCAGCCATATCTTTAGCCATTGGTGGTATGCGCTTGCGTTTAAAAACCCGTGCTTGGAGCGTTTGTTTGCCCTGAATGTAAGCCATCGAGCATCTCGGTCAGTATATTTAAACTGCCTAATTCTGCCGTTGATCGTGTTTATGAGGAGTATGATGAAAGCCTTGATCAAGCGCCGAACTTTGGACGCCCGGGATTTCGCCCCCGTTTTAGGTCATTTTACGGCCGCTGTTGTTATAAGCGCCGTCCTGCTTGTGATTCCGATGTTGCTATTCCAACATAAAGCAAAACATCAAACGGAAGCCGTATGTTACACGACTTACAGTTTACTGCTGTTAGTATGGGGAGCTATGCACTATGTGTTCCGGAATGCGGCGTATCAGATTGAGGTGGCGGCGGACCACAGTTGGTTGCTGGAGTTGTTGACGTGGGTATCGATTTTTTTCGGTCTAGCTTTCATTGCAATTCTTTTTAATGTTATGCAATTGAGGTATGTTGCGCGTTTTTGCGCCCTAATCTGTCGCAGATCCTGCATTGGCCTATATGTGCTCGTCTTCCACCTGATTTTCCATCTCGTCACAACAATCACAATCGTAGCGATGCAGTCGCGACAAATACTCTGGTTTGACGGGTAGGGTTTCTATTTCGGGCGTATTCATTTTTGCCAGGGTAATTCGCCTCTTGATGTACGTTATATGTACTGTATTCTGTTACTGGATGTTGTACAATTCTGAGTTCGAGATGCGAATCCGTTTCCTGATTTGGCTCTCCAGCTATGTGTCGAGGACGGTTATGGGCGCCAGCTGCCCCGACGTGAGCCAATTTGTGACGGCCGCTGAGCGGCTACACGATGGTTTGCAAGAGTGCAAGGACTTGCTTTTGGCTGTCCGGTCGGAGGGTGACCTCGGCAGTGCCGAAACTAAACAGCGCATTTCCAAGATGGGAGAGACTCTGGAAGCCTGCATGCAACAATTGCGATCTGGTGATAACCTGTATGGACTCAGTTATGGTGATCTTGAGGTCCACGAGGAGCAGCTCGAGGTGATCGATGCTTATCTCTGCAGCACCAAGGACAGGTTCAGCTCGCAGCTGACAACGCTACGAGGCAGTAGTGACACAACTATCGTTTCAAGAAAATCTTTGAGCTTCCCCGTGTATAGCGCCCCATCGCCGCCTGTGCTGATTACTCCCTTCGAGGACGTGGGGTACGACGTTTTGGTTAGCGACTGGAACTTCGACGTACTAAACCATTTCGCGACAACCGAGCAAGCGTTTTTGTCAATTGGCTGTGGCATGTTGTTTCGCTTTGAATTGTCGCACAACGTGGATAGGTCCGTAATCGTATCGTTTCTGAGTCGCTTGGAAAGCTTCTACCTAGACGTGCCGTACCACAACAAGATGCACGGTGCAATGGTAGCGCAGAAGCTGCTCTGTTTGGCCAATTACATCCACATGCTGGAACACATGACCGTTTTAGACGAGGCGTTGCTCGTTGTGTCTGCGCTGGCTCACGACGTCGGCCACCCTGCTCGCAACAACTCTTTTTTCGTCCGCACGCACCATCCCGTGGCACAACTGTACAACGATATCGCAGTGCTCGAGAACTACCATGCGGCCAACACGTTCAAGATTCTGAGCACAGAGGGGTGCAATGTGTTCGCTGATTTTGACTACGAATACGTCAGGTCGCAGATCATTGGCTTGATTTTGGCCACTGACACCGTGGACAACTTCCAGATGATTTCCCAATTCGTCTTAATGCGCAGCAGCGAGGACTTCAGTTTCGAAGACCTGAAGACGCGTATACTAACAAGCAAGATGTTGATAAAGGCCGCTGACGTTGCTGCTCCCACGATGCCTTGGGCGATCAGTCGGGAGTGGGTGAGTCGTTTGATGGGCGAGTTCTACGCTCAGGGTGCTGAGGAGGCGGCGCTCGGTCTACCTATATCAGCGCTCTGCGACCGTGCACACCACCAACAGGCTGCCAAGTCTCAGGCCGCCTTCCTCAAGATCGTCGTTTCGCCACTCTATCGGTCGATATTGCCGCTGGGCTCCGTGGAATTGGACAACATTATGCGCCAGGTTGAGAGCAACATCGAGAGTTGGACAAAGATGGACGCTTCCGGGGACACAATACCCTGCATTGAGTGCGACGGTGACAAGGCAAACCTGGATGTATCATTTGTGCTGGGGTATTTATCACATATAGCATGATACCTCGCCCTCGTCGGTAGCGGGAAAATCTGCTACAGAATTTTGCGTTAATATGCGCCTTGTAGGCGCTGCGCATGTAGTTGCCTTCATGTTTTCTATTGTGTCGTGTTAGATCGGTTAGCGCCCGCGCGCCTTCATAGTTCACGAAGCATAGTATTCAGTGTGAGGGTCGCATTTTGATTCGTGCTGTGGGTCGATCCCTCCATGTAGAACAGCTATCTGCCAACAAAAGGTCGTGCTGCAGATAAATAGGACACGTGGGTTCAAATACAACGAGGTACATGGCGGATATAGGTCTGACGTATATCTTTGGTAGCTGTGATAAACTACTCAGTAACTACTGAGCTCCTGTAACAGGCGATGAACGGTTACTGCTACATCCATATACGCCCTGGTGGCACCGGTATGCCGAATCCAATCAGACTTGCAGCTGTAAATTGCAGTGTGATGACGAATCGGTCAAGAAAAGGACGCCAAATGCGGCTGAATCTATAACAAACCATGCAAAAATTTGTATTGCTATGGTGTTGGGCACGATTTGCACTATGCACTACGTTATCCGGAAGATAATTATACCCACCAACTAAAGTCTTTAGACAGCGCGACAAGCATTGCTGCGACTGCATCATGCAGGCTAATTGTCAGTATAACGGTATTGATTCACACAGTGACATTAAATCGCCAAATTCTCTGCGAAGTAAAACCCTCGTAAGTGCATTCAGCGCGTCTGCTGTTGCCTGCCCGTTGTTCGCAGTTTTCCCTTCACGAGGAAGCCATTGTGGACCCGTCTTGGTATCCTTTGGCTTACGTTTCCGAGTTAAATAAGCAAATACGCCTCGTTTGGCGCTTTCATTCGACCTAAAGTAGAAAGGGCACGTCGCTGGCCACAACGTAGTGGCACCCGGGGGATTGTCCGCTAGTAATGCACCTGGATCTTCGCACCATGAAAGTGGCCTTTCGGCACCTCGCTGGATATGCTATTACGTAACCATATGGCTATTTCGCATCTATGCGGAAAGCTTCATTCATATTGGCGAGCTTGTTGAGCGCCGCGATTATTGTGCGGTTTTCTTCATCTGAGTTTTCCACTATTGCATTCCACATTGATACAATGAGGTCGTTTGCGCATTTATTGAAGAGTTGTGGATAGTACCAGGTAATATGTTCGTCCAACCTATCGACTGAGGCCGCAGTTGTGCCAAATTCGCGAGCTCCCCAGAGTTGCAACCTGGTTCCAAGAATCTGCCCCGGTTCGATTGAACTACTGTTTATATTCATGCTTTTGTATACCATATGCAGCGGTCCGATCCAAATTTTGGGGAATTCAATGGTTATTTTATCATCAATATCCCCGAAATCGATTTCGAAATGTTTGCTTTTAGACTTCTCTCGCATAACCTTAGCTACAAACTGGCCGAACATAGTACACCTCTCTAGAACAAATTGCACTCGCTTGAAGATATCCGCGAAGTCTAAGTCTTGTGGCACCTTCTTTTCCTTGAGGACCACCTCCATGTCTGATACTTTATTCTTACTGGTATCCAGGTCATCCTTGCTTACACCAAATAGGTAAGCCACCTGATGTGCCGCATCCGTGGCTTTGTCGAACATTAATTTGGCATCATTAGCCTCATCGGAATCGAACCTAATGTGACTGCGTCTCTCAATGTACTCTAGCACCTTCACGCAGTGCCTCATCATCCCAACCGTTGCCACCGCATACGCCCGAAGTAAAACATCCTTGGTAGGCGTATCTTGTAGGTAGTAGGGGGCATCGGCGGATAAAATGATGGCGGGGATTAATACGGCCGCGGCCAACACGTGGCGCACGTTGACCAACATATTGCCGATATCTGGAGTGCGAAACAAAAAATATTTCCGGCAATTTTTAGTGTTTTCACAATGCTGCTATCAAAATTCACGTGATATGGCGTTGCTTGCAATTTATGTGTTTGACAGGTCACAACTTCGCTGCCTGCTTCACTGTGGCACCTGCAAGTGGGAAAAATTTTCCACGTCCAGCAGCAACATTTCTACGGTGGCTGCACCATCCATCACAACAAAAACATATTCTAACATCAATTTTGGTTGGTCCGTATTAACTGATGTTCGTTAAAAAATTTTCTTCTAGTGGATTACTTCATCGCGCACGTCTTCCGTTAAAGAATGAATCGGCAACACTGATATCACTGTTAAAGGCGTTTCTCTTATACTACATCCAAATATGTTTCACAAACAATGGGTGCTTTCCCTCATTTCACAATCTAGAGATAACCGTGTCTACGATCCCTGTAGCACGTTATCAAGTTGCACCCTCACGGTTACCCTTAACGCATCATCACCTCGCAATCGCACGGCTGACGCGTAACCCTCTGAATCTTTCCCTTATTGTACCTGAAATAGCAAACAGCTACAGGCGTAATCGTCTATTCCCACCATGTCTATCATCTAAAGGCTACGGTTTTGCTCAAATACCTCCCGTAGTCAATGTGATCATAATATATTAATCCTCACCATATCTTCACATGCGATGCCACCTTAACATTCCTGTGTTGATTGAATTATGACCTTTTGGGACCCCTCAGCGCATCCCCTCAGTTCCGTTTCTTGAATCTCTCCGTCCCCATCAGGTTGTCTTGATCGCTTATTCCTATACCAACGATGCCAATGATATTGTTGCACCGGTAAACGACTATTTCCAGCCGGTTGCGCTCCGTAGCCTTTTGAGAGGGCGTCCCAAGTCGCGTGATCGGATGAAGCCTCCGGTTCGGGTGAGTGTCATGCACACTTTACTTAGCGCAATACATATTTTAACAAAATATCCGCCACAACTCATTACTTGTTGTTTAAATGTTATCGTGTCTATGATGTGGGTGAGATCAGCTCCCTTGTTAAAATGATCTCATAGAGCGGGGATTCGGCCCTCGTCTGCAGATGGCGGTTATATCTTTATCATGGCAAAAATAGGCTGATGGTCACTCGCATGATGGATGGGTTGCGGAGTCGATACACAGCTGCTGATTGAGCTACCACCCACGTGTATTGGCTTCTCCAGCCCTTCCAGCACAACCGTCTGCGGTTGCATCACTTCGACATGCGGGGGTTTAAAGATGTAGTCGAACACATCATCGTATTCATCAGGCCACTGCTGATACCTACAGAAGTCGTTCAGGCGGGTGCTGAAGGTAGGCTGAACCCCTTCGAGTCCGAACATGGTTTCCAACTTGCCCTCAAACACACTGAAAATCTCCTTGAAGTACTTGTTCTGGTTTTTAATGCAACAGTTCAAATCACCGGTCAGCACAACAGGAACTTCCTTCTCTGCGTCTTTGCCTGATTCCAAACGTCCCTTACGGTCGAACAGGGTTTCCATCCATCCGTGCAACTCGGCCATCTGGGCCACCCTCACGGCGTGAGCCTCCTTCTCCCTATACGTTTGCAAATGGGTACCGACTACGTCTATCAAGCGGTTGTTGACCGAGATGCGTGCCGCCACGGCGCCCTTTGCTGCGTAAATGTCCGTGAATACGCCATCTGAGTAAAGCATCTTTGCCCTGTTCGTGATCGGATGCTTGGAAAATATGATGATGCCTGATCCTATGATGTTGAATGTGTGCAGCACGCGATCTAGGAAACTTTTCCAACCCGACTTCGCGAACGGATTCTTAATAATGCCGCTATCAAGCCCCATGTAGTTGCTGAGAGCCCCCTTGATTTCGCGGTAGAGCTTGTAAGAAAACAGCTCCTGGCAAACAAGGATGTCCACATTGTACTTCCTCACAATACGGGACACATACTCCGCTATGGCGCTGATCCTGGAATTCAGGTCGGCCACTGGGAGCAGGAATGAGGGAATCCCCTGGACATTGTAGCTCATGAGGGTAACAGGTTCTAGCTGCGCCATTTTTTCGACGTGTCCGCAGAGTATTACACTGGAAATCGTGAATCTCTGTCTGCTCTGCGAAATTTGTCGCGTCTATCTTTCTAGACCAACGTGTACACCTGGCGAGGCAGAGCTGTACTCAACTTTATGACTCCCGCTTCCGACGATGTTGTAGCTCCGCATATGCATGCAACGCCTGCGGTGAAAGGCTGTCCTTAGGATGTTTACAGATGCGTGTCCAAATGTCTCCACCACCGGTGACTTGCGCCGGTGTATCTGCGAACTTAAATGAATTCGCAGGACTATTCAGGCACACGGCCGGGTCTAACTAAAGCAGCTTCGGCGTCAGAGTAATGGAACCTGCGTGAAACAGGATAACGTGAACGATGGTGATTATTTTTTCGGTGCTACGGTATAGCAGTCAAAGTATACACACGATGCATCTAAGCGTCCTGAGCAGATTCTATATCACCAACTACGTTCGGATCATGCAAATGAACGGCATATAATCGCTTAAGTTCGTTCGATCAGATCGCAAAAGGCCAGAAGCCGGCAACATACCGCATCCTGCAAGCCGGATACTACATTCCCCATCGCAATGTCCCAAACGCAATAACGGCTAAACGTACACATGTTCGCATGTAAAGGCTAACTCCGGTGTAGACCGCGGATCTCCCATTGCAAATGGCGCATGGCTACCATATCCACAGCGGCAACGTGATGTCGCGATGCGGTAATGCGTCGCCACGCTAAAGGCGTAATAGCCGGATATCCGCAGCGGGTACCGTATGCCGCCCCCAAAGTATGTGTAGCGCTTGTTTGTTGTTGCGTATCGAGTCGTATTGTGCCAGATGATTAGCTGTTCCGGCGCGCCGATGTCGTTTCGTCCCGGTTGCACCGTCGACCATTTGGGTGTTCAAGAGGATCTCGACTGCAGATTTAGCCATTAGCACACTGGTTTAGTCCTCAAATTGCGAGTTTTATACCTTGCGCTTTTTAATCGCCGCGCCGCAGTCCATCAAATAGGGTTCGGCGATGGCTATCATCTCTTCGCGCACGAGGGAATCTACTATGTTTTTCTTCCCCTCTTTGACGAATGTTTCGTTTTCTGACACGTCTATGTCGATATGTATCTGCATGTCCGTAGCCAACGCGTAGAATCGTCCTACGATGGCCTTTAGGTCCTCGTCGTTGTACGGTATGACGTCGCTCACCATTTCTCTGAGTGCTCCACGTCCAACTGCTGCGAGGTAGTCGGTGCCGGCGTGAGGGTTCACAAATGCCGCCTTGGTGCCATCCCAAACCGTCATGCGGACTTCAATGACGAACGCTTCCAGGGACATCCCAAGGAATGCCGACAATCTCTGCAACATCAGTTTACGTTCGGTGGCCACTGCTGGGTCCGGGTACGCCTTGTCCGCCATCCCATGCAGCACTTCTAGTATTTTCCGCACGGCTAATGCAAACAATCGCGTGCTGCTGGCCATGCTTCTGATCGACGCTTCATTAATCTGTGATAGCTCCTCTTCTGTCGGCTTGTCCTCATCTTGAGCATTGGGAGGCGGCACGAATACATTAGGATCCGGTAATGGGAACTCCGCAATTGCGGCCAAAACGGCTTGCTTTTCCTCCGGGGTTTGCTTGATACGTTTGGTGTAGGCTTCCTTCCACCTATTGGCGAGTCCCACAATTTCAGCCATTTTGGGCCGGACATAAGATACAAGCGTGTCTGGGACGATCGGGTTTGTTAGAAAAGCTTGAACGCAGCATATTGACAACACAGATGCCAATATGGCGGCACGTAAATGGCGTGCCATTCTTGTATCTCTCTATCGATTCTTGGGTGCAATCTATAATTTCGGACTACTGTAGTCCTATGATGCAGTGTTATTTGCAAAAAATCCGAGCTTAAAACGGTCTAGTGAGAGATAATGATATAGCGTCGGGAAAAGTGACAGGTCGCTCCCAGGTTTTCATCCGTGCCAGACGCTGTGGAAATTTCCTTGCAACTGCGACTCTCATAAAAATTGCGTTCCTGACGAATCCATGAAAGTTTGCCTATATGAACTACTCAGAATGCACAAAATATCGTGAAAGGCGTGTTGGCACAACCACGAACAAACCAAGACACCACAGCGCATGATTACGGTGCGCATGGACATACGCCGTAGCGAACCACACGCATCACTGTAAGAACGAGATCGACCTATAACACCCTCAAAGCCACCTAATACTACGCAATATGGTTGCATCATATATTTTGTTCCCCAGATCACATCGGGTTACGGGCACAAAAAACGTCTAGAAGATTTAGGCGATTTGTTCCTATTCTACGCGGCCTTCGTTTTTTGTGCCTTGGGGGTACGACTCAATGTGAACCTCCTAGCAAGGTTACGGTAGACCTGATAGAAGTATTCCACGGCGTCATTGCGCAGAAGGCTGTGGTCCGTCAGTATGCTCCGTCGTGCTGTCGAGTGGGTGTCCCCGTTGATCCTCGCCGCAATCCCGATAAAATGCTCGGCGAGGAACATGAATTTCGTGCTGTCGAGCTGGTGAAAGCAACTGAACAGTAGCGCGATAGTACCGAAAGCGATGTAGTACTCCCTTCCCAGCAGGTTCCAATGGAATACGTCGTTGATCTGTCCCTGCGGCCTCGAACGCCATCCTGCTGCCGAAGGCGTGTTAACGACGAAGAACACCCGAAACGTGCTGATGACGAGCGCATCCAGGGTATTGAGCTGCCCCTTCGCAGCTGGTTCCTCTTGTATTTGTTCTTGGTCTCCGTGGGTGTGCAGCGACATCGAGAAGTGCGCTGCGCGGGCTGTCATAAACCGCCTCAATTGTTGCTGCAAGAACTTGGTGACCGTCACTTCAACCTGCGCCGTTCCGTATTGCAAATAACGCTGGATCAGTGCGAAGTTCATCGCGCCTCGTGCCTCCAGGAAGTGAGCCTTTTTGATTTTGAGGCAGTTCACAAAGACCACGAAGTTTTGTAGCGTTGACAGCTTCGCATCAGTTGCGAGCAGTTCCACTAACAGCCTCGGCACTTTTGCCGCTCTTGCAATGAGCTGCATCAGTGCGGCCAGCAGTTTTACGCCGCGGCCTTTGGCTGTGTACGAGGCCATCGCGTCCGTTATAATCTCGGTAATGACTTCGGCATATCTTTCGTCTAAATTGAGGGCCATGGCATTCAGAAGCGTGACACTGAGGCGTGGGAGCCCGCTTTTGCAGGCATTGGTTAGCAACCGCGGCGGGCACCTATCAATCATCAGCCCGAATATCTCGGTACAGTCATCCAACGGTATATCAAACCGCACCATAACCGCCACTATTGTAGCGTACACGTTGTCATCGACATGCTTCGTTCGGTTGAACCTGTGTAAACGCAGCAGCAGCTTGGCACGCTTGACGTAACTCGTTATGGCGGCAGTTCTATCGTAGGTCACGTGATCCCGGTCCTCTGTTGCCATTTTGGCTGCAGTGCCCCTACCCTTTCGCGACCCTTTGGAGGCCTTCTTGGTGCTGCTCCTGGTGGGCGTTTTTTCCGACGGCGCTGCCGCTGCCTTGGGGTCCGCCACGGTAGGCAATTGATTTAGCACAACATCGGTGAGCTGCTGCAACATATCACCTGCGCAGTCACTGTAGTAGGTCTCCCATTTCACTATATTGGGTTGGTTTATATGGAGGTCGTCGAACCATGCCTCGTGCTTTTCGACCTTCTCTTTTAACCTGCTCGCCAGGATGCCTCGTTTTATCCTTTCCAAAGTTTCCAACCGCGCGCCTATGGAATTGTTTTTGGCTGAACGCTCAAGAATTTCGATGGCGTCACCCAGCGTGCGCTCATTGATTTGCTTGACGAACGCGAGCAGCTTCTTGTTGCGCCCGGAATGCACGCTCAGCTTCAGCAGCCACACACAAAAGACGCCAAACTCCAAAACTTGCACAGTTTCCACACTGACAGTCTCCTCCATTGCCTCATGTGCCGCATCGAGTGCGTAGGTAAGCCTGGAGGCGACTCGCTTGGTGCCGACCACCGCTACGAGCATCACTAGGAGTTGTCGTGCCGTGCAGGCGTGAACATTGTCCTCGTCCGGATGGCATTCGTCTCCGAAGTTCTGCATAAGAGCGCACTGCGCCACGACAGCGATAAGGTTATCGACTACGTCGAGCAAGGCTGCGGAAACTCTTCTCTCTGACTGCCATTGGATTGCGTTGCTCTCCTGTGGCAACACCAGCGGCCGGAGCAGCGTGCACCAACACTCGATGACTTCCTGCGGCCGTTTCGATACCCCTTCTACCAAAAACATGAGGATTTTCCGCGTATACTCGGGGTTCGAGGTGAGCATTTCAAGTCCGGCCGCTGTGACCATTCGCAGTGCCTCGTCCGAGTGACAACCGACACTCAGGATCGTGTGCGATACAAAGATGTCCTTCCCCAATATGCGAGACAGCTCCAGGATGTTTTCAAAGTTGTGCGTGTTGCCGATGGAGAAGACGGGGGCAAAGGTTTGCACGAAGCTGGGCTTGGACACCAGAGCATCCAGCCACCCCAGCATTTGCTTCTCCACCTTTCCGTCGCTCGATATCTTCACGAATCTCAGTATGAACTCGAGCAATAGCGACAGCGTCCTGACACGCGGAATGTTTCCGAAGGCAAATTCCCACCCTTCCGTGTCTATATGGATAGCCCCTGGTTGTCGCGTGGAGTCGTTGCAATTGAAACCCGCTCGTGTGCTGTAGCCGTCACCCTTCGTTCCCCACTTCAACCCTTGCAATGTTGCGTCCAGAATAGACGCAGGCGACATGGCTGATACTGGGCTCGTGTCTGCTGCACCCCTTCTTGCAGAATCCCCGCGGGTCTGATTTGCATCTGGCCCATCATCTCTGCTTCGGCGACCCTCCTTCGTTTTGTTTGCCTGTTGCGCCCCAATGCGATTGAAAATTAGGATGTGATCCAGGAGCTCCGGCACCACCGCCGCAAGCGCCTCCACGAAGATACGCCTGTTCTGTAGGGTGAATAGGCAGTCGCCGTCGAATGCCACGACTGGAAAGGCGGCGATGATGTGCAACGTTAGTGGACCAGGTACAAGCCGCAGCAACGTTTCCTGAACTTGCCTGACATCGTCGAACAGATTTGACTCTTGGGCGCCAAAAATGCAGAGGATGATGCAGCACCTGGCCAGTATCTCACATAGCGAAGTCCCAGTCTCATCGACTACGCACGCCTGCACCTTTGGCGTAGACCCGCCCGCGCCTCGACGCATGTCACATTCTGCCTTAAGCGCGCATACACAAATCCGCAGCAAACAGGCGATGCTCCTGCTGTAGAGGTCCTTGGCCGGCGCCCCGTCGAGGGTTTGCACGACGTCATCGAGTCCGTAGTGTAACCTAGCCTTGAGCAGCTTGCTGATCTGCAGCGCCACCGCATGCTTGCGGGTGGGTTCCCTGTCCAGGTCGGCAAGAAGCGCGGCGACGCTTTCCGGTAGTTCCCCGGAGAGGTAAATAGACACCACGTCGTCCTTCATGACGAAGCTGCGGTCGAACCTGATGAGCTCGTTGAGCCTCACCCCCAGAAGATGGCTCAGCGTCTGTATACATATGCGAAAAGAGTCCCTTTCGTGCGCCAGCAGGCCCCGTAGTTTCTCGAGGGTGGCCCGGTTTCCCGTTTCGCCCGCTGCGACGAAGAATCTGCAGAAATCCGCCATTTGTACCGACTGGAATTTTGCGTCTGTTTAGCGGGATTTCACTGGCTACCGCTGCCACCTCCACTTTGCAAGTCCATCGCTTCCACCGCGAGATCCTCGCTAGCCCTGCGCAATATATGCGCCGCCCTCACCGCTTGACCGTCGCGGTCTAAGCTTCGCTGTTTCAGCGCATCCAACACGTTGGCTGTCGCTGGAGTGGCGTGCTGCATGGTCCGCGGCTGTGCCTCGGTTCGCAAGGTGTGGACTGCGCGACTTTTTCGACCGCACACGCCTGGCACACCTGCTGTTATCCAGGCGAATTTACATGACCACAAATATGGTAATCTATACAGGTAGTGTCTTGGTTGCGATAAAGGGTGGTAATGTGTTAAGGGTCTTCGTTGACTAGAATCATGTGTGGCCACAACGTCGTGGTGGGCGTCGCTTTGGCCGCTAGGATTCGTCCCAGTTTCATACAATAGCGTAGTATAATCATAATAGTTGCCATTTTGGACAGGTTACTTCCAGAGCTCTAAGAATTGCAACAACACCGCGTTGCCGTGCTCGTTCGTGTCTACCTGGCTGCTACAGCGTTTAGCAACTGTCCGAAAATGGAGGCGGAGTCGGTGCAATATCTGTCTCCCGGGCAAGTCGCCCTTGGACAGGCTCATGAGTCGCTGCTCGAGGATAACGCCGATCGCTGGGTATGGCTTGCCATTCTGCTTTTGACGTGATGCAGGTTATGTTCCCTATCCGCTACGAAGCGCTATGGGTGAGTAAACTTGAGCAGTGCCTGAATATTCGCTAGGCTATGTACAAGCAGATCGAGAACAATTACTGGGCGGCGGAGAACTTCCGCTTCAATGACGACCGACAGATGCTCTCGAGCCTTGACGGCGAGTTGCGCGAATGCATGGTTAAGCTCATCAGCTACCACGCTAGGCTGTAGGTGCACGTGATGAGCATTCAATTTTACACAGTGACTACCGCCAGGGTGCTCGCCCAGCGGAGGTGACGCTGAACCTTCTTTCCGAAACCCAGTTGCCCGAGGCACGGGCGTTTTACGGATTCCAGGTGTCCTACGAGAACATCCACAGCGAAGTTTTTGGAGCCATGGCGATGGAAATATCAGGCTCCGCGGATGTTGCTGAGGTACTGCGTTGTTCATTGGCCGTGACGATTTTTAGGGCGATGCGAAGATCGACTGGCTGTCGGCCAAGTTTGCCTCGGCCGAGTGCTTCTACATTAAGGTCTTCCTGCAGTGCATTTCCAAATGTCTATTCCGTTCTGCATTCGGCATAATCAAGGACTACTTGAAGATAAGCCGTTTGCTGCCCATGTATGTATCCGCACTTGATGCTGTGGATACCGACTTGGGGATCCACCTGAAATTCGCGGCAGCAGCGCTTGCGCAGCTGAAATTGCGCGTCTCTCGGGACGTGCTCCTCTCCCTGCTGAATGAGGCACTTGACCTGGAGATTAAGTTTTGCCACAGCGTGCTGCCGCTTGGCAAGCTTGGATTGTCTGAGGGTGGGTTTAACCTAGTTTCCGTCCTCATTTTTCCACAGGCCAGGTTTTGCAATACGTCCAGAACAGCATGAACCAGTGTCTGTTGATCGCTGGTCAGCCAGAAGCCCACCGCATAGAGGCCGACTTGGCATGGCTGAACCCGCCGACCATCGACGTCACCATCACTGCCAAGCAGGTTCATCAGAGCAAACCCAAGATAGCACCAATGGTAGAGGCATCGGTGGGAGCTATCAGCTTCGACGAGGACTTCTGAGCGCTCCCCGCATTTGTGGCTGGCTGCACGTAAGCTACGGCACCAATCGGTCATACGCCGCTCGCACCCATCCTGGAATGGGGCTTGCTATACATCGGTATTTCAATCGTATCACTGCCAAAAGTGTTATCACGTTAGATATTATTTTGTGAGTTGGTCGCGTCGAAAGGCTCTAGACGCGGTCCACGGCCCTGGCGATCAGACAAAGCTCTTTACTTCGAAGAACGAGCTGATGTAGTATATCTGGCAGAAGCAGATGACGATGAGGAATATCAGTTGGCAGGTGGACCATCTGATGATCCTGACGTTCATGTCATCGATGATGTCGGAGTACAACTGTTCCCTCGAGCTGTAGGTCTCTGTACGGTCTACGATGACGTGGGTGTTCTCCAGCAACTTCTCAGCGAAGGTAATCAGTTCGTTGGCGTCTTCAACGGTGGAGAGCTGAGAGAGGTCCTTGTTGAGGGTCGTTTCCACCCTGTAGTTGAAAACCACAGTGTTCCTCGAGTAGGACTTGTTGGTGAGGCAGAAGGAGTAGTGGCCAGTTTCCGGTACCTGTGAACAGTTTGCCGCGCAACTGGTGTATGCACACTAACATCATACTCGAACTGGTTGTCGCTCACAATAAGGGTCGGAATTGATTTTGGTTTCGACGTCGGTCCGTCGACTTTGTAGATTAGCGGTTTAACGGCGGCTTCGTCCGGCACCGATTCAGCTGATCTGCAACACATGACGCTCAAACATTTGCGCGGTGTCATACCCGGTGAGTTTCTCGCCGCGGCTGGCAAAGGTCGTGAAGCACTGCGTCTCGTTGGCGGCCATGATCATTTGCGTGCCTTCGATAAGCGCGGCCGCCGCCAGCACAATAGCCGCGGTAGCGACTAACTTGCCAGTCATTTTTGCAAATGCCGGTACACCTCGTGAAGTGTATGCGCCTATTCCGCTCGGTCCGGCCACACTTGCTAGTGGGTGGTGCGGTGTACGGATTTGGTGTTTGTGCGTAGCGATCCGCGCCGTCTAAAAAGTTTTGGCGTGGTAAAACGGTTAAATACAACGTAAATTCACCACTGTAGTAACACCGAAACCACGCGTCACGGATTTCTAGGGTGACTCTTGTTCCAGTTGTAGGTGCGCGTCGTCGTCGCCACGACAACAATCGGACTTTAAACGGCTACACATCTGCCGGAAGCAATGTTCACGCGACATTATACGTAAGACCCATTGTGTTAAGACGTCGAGCGGCGATGTCTACCGCTCCTGGAGGCAGCCTCAGCATGGCTGAGGCCGAGGCGCTGTTGGAAGCCGCGCGCCGGTGTTGCACAGCTGAGGAGTCGGCGCGCCTGAAACGCCGTCTGGAGGAGCTGCTTCAGGAATACGTGTCGCTGTCCTCCGCAGATTACTTTAGTCCTGCTATATACGCGGTACGTTCACGTAGCATGCACTAGTGACCAGAAGCTGGTGATACACATAGCCGCATGTGCACGGGATGTGACGGCCGCCACCTGCTTTAACGTGCTCTTTTAGATCTGTATGGGCAAGGTTTATAACCTGCAGATGTTGCAAAACGCCACAAAGGCTCTCGAAGGTCGACAGCAAACGACTCCAGTGCGGTCTACGTTTAGCTTTAAGTCTGTTCGCACCCGGGTACCCACTCCCGCAACAGATGCGGCTGTATCAGTGCCATCTAAGGAACCCAGCGATGTGGCACCAGCGGCGCATGCCACGCCCAAGAAAGGTGTGAGTGTAGAAAACGGCACGCTGCGCATCCAGGGGCTCTCCGGCATTGACGTTGTACGCTGCGACGCCGAACTCCAGGGCATCGGCACCGTCATGATGAAAGATTTGGTACGTCTACTAAACGCATGCGGCATATCCTGCAGGAGCGCTGCAGGGTGATTCTGCTTGGCATCGTCGAGGCAGTCTACATCACTGACATTAAGGACAGCCTGATATGGTGGGTCACCCGTTCATTGTAATCACCTGTACATCAGGATCGGCGCAGCACGTGGATCGGCCATTCTGCACTCGCTTTGTGACTCCACCATGCTGATCTGCTGTAGGCAGCTACGTATCGCAAACTCCGTTGGAAGCAAGTTCCTTACGGATACGGTTACTATGCCAATAATCGAACGGTGAGACACGTTAGCACCATGTTTCACTCCCTTTAGAACAAATGGAGTGTCTTTCGCAAAAAACCACGTCCGCTACGCCGGTCAAGCCCATCACCTGGAGGTAAATGGAACTGTCTGTTTTGCATGATTCTCAGGCTTCGGGGCTGAAGGACGTGCTAATGACTGAAGCTCCAGCCGCCACCGACTTCAGCTGGCATCATTCCGGTGCATCTCCGAACTGGAGCTCGGAAGCAGAGCGTCCGGAAGTGACACTGTCGCCGGAACCCATTGACCAACCTGCCAGTGACCTAGCGGGCAACACGTTCACCTTCGCCCCCGAATCGTGGGAAATGCTAGACCATTTATAATAACCATAAGTATTTCTTACCCCGCCTTCGTTGGCAACCTCGTGTTGTGTGTCGGTTGGAGGTTGTTGCGCCGTGATCGCAGGTCTTCCGCGATGGATGCCATAGCGACTCTACAGAGCGAAATTCGCGCGCTCCTGCGCAAGCGCCGTGATCTGAAGTCGACGATCCGTAGAATCTCGTCACAGGTTGACAGTGGTAAGAAGTTTATGTCGCGCATCCATGTCATTCAGATGCGCCTGTAACCCTGCTGTCAACCAAAGCATCATCGGAAGCCACCAATGAGGGGAAGCGCAAGCTGCAGGTAAGCTCAGAAGCATATGAAAGTGGGCACGTGTTACAGGAAAAGATGGAGGTGGACGAGGAAACGGAAAAGCGACCCAAGTTGGAGTCCACTGAAGAGCACGTCGCGGGTCACAAACGGATCCTTCGCACGAGCATACTTGCGCACTTGCAACGTGCTAAGGATGCGCTCTTCAAGGAACGCGAGAAGGAAAGCGTTAGTCTACTTCACGTCAGCTCCATTAGTGCGCAGACCATCAAGCATATAGAGAAGGAGCAGCACGTAGCGTCCAAGCTCGCCGAGCAGGAACGCACGAAGCTGGAGGAGTTATCGCATGAGCTCCGCGAGCAGTTGGGTGCGAGCGAGGAGCAGCTGCGTGGCGTGGAAGCGGAGCTTTCGGTGAAGAACAATGAACTGATGGTCGGTGTTAACATGTCTACCCCTAAATGCGCGCAGAAGGCGAGCCTGACACAGCACTACGGGCACATGTCCAACTTCATCGCCACAAAAACGCAGCCTAGCATCTTCTGGGTCCCACGAAACTTCAACCCCGAGCTGGAGTCGCTGCGCGGGTGCACGCAGCAGTTCGTTGCGGAGAAGGTGGCCTCCATCGCATCCACTGACTACTTCAAGACTTAGTGGACACAACTACGTGTAATGGTATTTGATTACGGGTGTATTATGCGTTTGGGCCAGTTTCGGCCTCAATGACAGTGTCGTCTTCGGCGGGCGTCCGGGCTGATGTTTCCGCCCTGCGCAGTTCCGCCACAAGCCACTCCCTTATGGCCGCAATCATATCGTTGCACCCCTCGTACTCTGAGCGGAAATGCAGCTTATGCTTCGTGGACTAACCTAGAGCCCCTAAGGCTTTGTCGAAGTCGTCAGGAAGGAACCTGAGCGGAGTGTGGTTGAGCTTTTCGTGCAGCCAAGTGATGAAGTCGGCGTTCAGCGTGTCTGAGAAAATCCATATATTGGCAACTATGTCATCGCTGAGGTCGAAGCAAAACTCGAGCGACCCAAAGTCGAATCTGTGTTTCAGCGACTTGTAGTCCAGCACGCGGTCTCCGTATGTCCACTGAGAGTCCTGAATCGTTATTCGTCGGGATAGAGCTCAACTCACCGTCAGCTTGTTGTAGCACTCCAAGAATGCGTTCTGCCTGCAGTACTCCGAGGCGGTGGTGAGCCTTTCGACCTCGTGCGTGCGGGACCCGTAATGGGCAGATACTTCCTCAATTATCGCGTCACAAACCTGCCGTGTATTAGATAGTCATCGCGAATGCACTTACTATATCATGGTTTATGGATGGGTTATACTGCGACAAATTCGTTACGCGTGCCTTCACGCTCTGCACGTTGTGCTTCTCCAGCTTGGATTTATCGGGCGTGAGGTATTTGTCCAGAGATCCCTGGTTTATGTTGATAAGCAGAGTCCCTGAATCAGATGACAAATAGATTTAGGATGCGACTTACCATGGTGCAAGGCGGCATTGGGAAGCACTTTGAAAGCTGCTCCGGAAAACTGCGGTATATGAGGCATGTCTACGGATGGGCACCTGCCACAGGGCGCAGTTCCACAAAAATGCGAGGAGACGCCACTCCATGTGCTCATATCGTTTAAGAAGCGATGCATGGTATGAATGCGTGGAGAATCCTCGTATTCCCAGTGGTGGAAACATGGAAGGCTACTGGTCAACATGCAACGGCACCTACCTTGAGACCGTCGACGCATAAGTCATTCCTACCGCTGGGTTCGCAAACTTTGCCTACATAACCATTATAAGCCTCATCAAAATGTTATCTAACCTGTCAGCTTGCTCATGGCAGCGCAAATAAGGCGGGAATTCTTTTCGAAGTTGTAGTCGGCGGAAGGCGAGATGAACGTGAAGCACGTGTTCCCAAGATCCTACGAATTTACACATCAACGCTAAAGGAGGGCAGATAACACACCTGATAAACGGCGCCGCCTCCGGTGAACCTTCTCACGAGTTTTACGTTGTCACGTTTCACATTATCGAGATTACACTCGGACCAGACGTTTTGGTTGCGGCCCACGATGACGCACGGCGAATTCCGCCATAGGAACAGCAGCGGGGCCTCCGCAGCGCTGTCCTTGGCCACATTAGAGCCATACGACGAAAGAAGGGCGTTCTCAATCGCCAAATTGAAGTAGATGTCTGTTTCCTCCGAAAGCAGCACTCGCAGACGCGTGCCGGGCTTACGGACGCCGCAGCCGAAGCATCGTTTGAAAATTGACATGGCTGCCATCTCGTAAATGTTTAGTGTGTACACTTCCGTGGCCGCTGCGCTGAACGATGTCGTCAGGCAGATCCTCAGATTAATATTACGGCACCCCGCGTAGCCCCTTTAGCTCAGTTGGTAGAGCGCCAGACTTTTAATCTGGTGGTCAGGGGTTCGAGCCCCCTAGGGGGCGGCTACTTTTTCACCTCAGCAGGCGAAGAATATCCATCTATCTGGCCGTGCTGAGATATTACTACTTCATTATTATGGCCGTATTGTTGAACGAGCACCTAAGGAATTGAACGGTCTCAGCCGAATGACGGCTGCTGTCGCCCACGTCACTAGTGGGTTCTGCTGTCAGAATCGCAGTTGGGGACATAAAAAAACTGCGTTCTGCACATTATTGTCATAATTACAAGTTAACTCACTGTTTGGGTCAAGCTGACGGTGCTGGTTGCTTCCCCAACCAACGATCTGCCCATTGTCCAAGGCCGCCATGCAATGCCTGCTGCCGCATCCGAAGCTGCGCGGCAGCAGCACACCAGAAAGCCGAGTTACTCGAGGCCGGTGCATCCTGAAATCGGCACTGGCGCATTGGCCATAGCGGTTGCCTCCACTGGCAATAAGGTGCGTCACGCGATCACTGCTGGCATGTATGTACTAACGCAATCGGATACCTACCCTTGCTCCTCAGGCGTAGCAGCCACGATGCTGAAATCATCTCCAGCTGCGAGAGTTGTAGCAGCTCCTCGCATCAGATACTGGCACTCCCTAAGCTTGCCGACTTGGTTGACTGGTATAGGGTTGAATTGTAGGTGCAAGTCGGTCTGCGTGTACTTGGTGCAGCTGTGGTTTGATTCTCCATTACGGGCGCGATAGGGCTTATAATGTTCCAGTTCCAGCAGCGTTCTTCCACGCGTGTCACCGAGGAAGAGTTGGACGCTTGCGTCGTCCCCGAATCTGAACGTCTATGCCCGCTAAAGACGACTCAACTCACGTGTACACGTTTCCGTCGGAGTCAACGCAGCACGTGTGCCGGCCGCCACATACTACATCTACCACGGATGTAGCGGGATCCTTGAACCGCACCTGCGTAGCAGTCAAAAAAGCCATCTTCAGCCTCTCACCTTGTGGAGATCGATATGTTCGACAGGGTTCACCACGCTATATTGGAACACCATTAAACTGTAGTCGTTTCTGACGTTTAAAGGCTTTTTTCCACACTGTCCAAAGCTGTTATCCCCGCAGCAGTCTGCATACGACTGTGGCCGTGAAATTTTTGCAACTCACATAGTGAACCGTCGTCGGCAAGAAATGCTGCATGGTCGTTCCCAACGCTTATCTTCACTATACGTTTTCCTGCTAGTCCTTCTATGCGTTCAGGTGCAGGAAGCGGTGTTTTTTCCACTGTCTGCTCGCCGGCCTGTTGTGTCTGGGCTACGGTGCCACTGTCATGACTCGAGGTGCCAGTGGTGCTCCCGTTGCCAGAATCTCCAGACACAGATGGCAACTTGCTCGTAGTATTTGCGGAGATGTTGTGTAATGCACTTTTGACGTCGCGTAGCACGCAAACGTTGCCGTTGCCCCCGAGCATGTACAGGTCGGTGGCGGAACACCGACAGTCAACAATCCCGCCGGCGGCCAATGGTAGAGGCTCCACGAAGGTACCTTCTTCGACTTGTCCCCATACGTATACTGCACCTTCCTTGTCGATTGCTGCGCCGAAGCTTGGACCAAAGGTCACGCAGCGCCAGCGATTCGCATCTGTACAGGGTTGGATAACGCTCGTAGAAGTTTTCACCTTGAAAAAATGCATGGTTTCCTTTACCACCTGGTAATGCTGCAGTCGATCCCCAAAGGTGGATGCGCTGAAGCTTGTTTTTTCAAAGGAGGCAACTACTTACCCCGCGCTGCTGCCTACTTCCGGACACGTCACCGTCGCACCAAGTTCTGGCTTCTATACCGACTCTACATGCTACACAGGCCCCTGTACGTGTGACCAGATGCTTGAAAACGCGTAAGAACCGCGTCATGGGTGATAATATGCGTGATTGGAATTGCGCGTCTGCCGGTCGTCGCGTGGTACCGTGCCTGATGTGTCGCGAGTATGAGGTTCACAGAGTGACTTCTACAGCAAAATACACTCACCAAAACACAAACAACGCGCCACGATGACAGGAGGTGCGAAGGAGTCTCTTGTGCGAGAGAACGACAGACAATGGACATTAAGTAACCGAGTCGAGGCCGAGGGCCTTGAGTGGCTCTACGCCGATCCTTCTGCCAACAAGCAAAGAGAAGGCAATCTGGTTGGTTTCCATAGCATGATAACTGACGGTTGTTAGGAAGAGTATCTTCTAGGCAAGAGCATTGAGGGAGCGCGTGGCGAACTGGCTCGTGATCCCATTGACCATGCCGCAGCCGGCTCTCTGCTCGCAGACACCGCCGATGGAAAACCCTTAGATGATACTTTGAACAAGTTTCGTGAAGACCCGCTCTTCATCATTAAAAAAATAGAGCTCCATCAGCGCCAGGTGATGAAGAAGTACGAGTCTCTCGTGAATACAGGCGTGAAACCGATGCCTGCAGCTCATACTGGAGCATATGTAAGCGAGAGATCCACTGAAAGGCATAGCCGCAGAAGGGGGTACGAAAGTGACGGCAGCAGTGGGCGGGACTACTCCACCAGCCCCCGCCGCAGAGATAGAAGCCGGGGAAGGGCGCATCGTGCTGAGAAGTCACACCGTCGTGAGCGGAGTACACGACGTTCTGAGTCATTAAGGCGCCACAGAAGAGGTCGTAGCGGTTCCAGGGATTACAGGAGTCATAAACGTGATCGGACGAGGAGTTCATCAAGAGAGTACAGATACAGGCACCGCAGTGGAAGGAGATCACCGAGCATTAGTGACAGTGAAGAACGTTATAGAAGGCGTATTTCGAGACATTCAGATGATTCGGGATCAAGTGGCAGCCATTCTGGGAGGGGGAGTCGAAGCACCGAAAGGCGTCACCATGATAGAAGGTACAGAGACGTATCGAGGGGCAGAGTCAGGAGGCATTCCAGAAACAGCAGCATGGACAGATCGGGGGAAAGCGATGCTTACGAGCGTCATCGCCGGCGTAGCCGATCGCTCAGCGAGGAAACATACAGAAGAAAGCAGCATATATCTGATGAAAGGCGTCCAAGAGATGGTACAGGGCATGGCTCAACTGCCAGACGAAGTCCGAGTTATGGCCACCGCCACCATATGTCTGCTAGCAGGAAACACTCAAGACCACCTCCCCGGTCCAGCAAAAGCGCGGAGTCTGATGGTCCCAGCCATCGCAGAGAGCGGCATGATTGTAGCGAACTTCGAAAAACTCGGGATAGGCGGAGCAATAGTTCAGAACGTGCATCTGATCGTGAGGAACGTGAGAGACGTAGGGCGACATATTCAGATCGCAGTAGGAGGCGGCGTTCTAGGTCACGAGAACGCAGTAGTGACGGCGGTGGCAGGAAAGAGCATGTCCCTCCTTCAGATATGGATAATCCGCAGGTGACTGAATCCAAGGAGCCAATTAAGACGAAACGAGGGCCTGTTCTGCCCCGCAAAGGCGACACACTTCGGTACGCATTCGGAGTCACGGAGGACATCATGCCCCCCCAAGCAATTCAGGACCGTGCAGAGCAGCGGCGTAAAGAAATGGAGGAACGCAAAAGGCTTCAACAGGACCTGTACGCACCTCAGAACCAAGATGAGCGTCTGACGGAAATGCAGTCACATGGCATGTCTCATCTTAAGGAGCGATTGGAGAAGATGGCGGAACACGAAAGAAGCGTCCAGTCCGAGGAGGTCGAGGCGCCAGGATCGAAGGGCGACTACATTTCGTTGATGAAGCACCACGCTTTTGAGTCCGCCAAGAAGGAAGAACGCATACGACAACGTGCTTCGAGGAGTCTGGTAGAAGATGAGTGAGGCGAATAGTCCTGCGACCACTGGGTTGCAGATGCCGTATTAATTAAGCTATTTTCACGGTTAAATCGCTTATATGATTGATCATATGTATATTTGATAAACTAACTATAATGCTAGCCTAATCGTTGGCCATCTATTGGCTATTTTGAACCAGTAATAGCTGGTTGGTATTGCTGGCATCTGTCGCATTCCCCAATGCATAAAAGAGCAATACTCGTACCTGAGTCCGCGTTTAATAAACCGAACCAGTTTTAGTTTAGCATTCATATCTGCCTGTCATGGTACTGCTCGCAGGGTGAAGGATATGTGGCTCAACACAATTCTTAGTTTTCGAATATGCGAGCGGGACAAATGTCAGTAATGCTCAACATATGTAACTATGTATTCGTCTGCGTTTATGCTGCATTAGGACAATGTTAATATGTTTGAGTGCGATATCACCGACGGAGCAGTTCACGAGACCGCTTCTCTTCCATTCGCCGCACAGCGCTCTCGCAACGCCGCTCCACGTCGGCAAGCAGGTCGGAGTAAACGTTGAACTGCTTCACTGTAACGTGGTTGATAACGGCGTGCTTGACAGCGTCGTTGAGTACCGGTACCTGGAACGCGTAAACTGGGCAATGGCCGAATTTGTTTCCGATATCCGCCTGCACGATGTCGTTGGGAGAAACCGACCCCAGCCCTCCGTGTACCACAGGGATCCTGACGCGATGCTTCTTCTCCAGCGCTTCGAAACCGTCGAGCAGGGCGTCGAATGTGCCGACAAAGTTGGCTCGCAGGATTACCGGTATGACGGGCCTTCCCATATCCGGAGTCACTGCGGGTGCTTCGATGCCGCCGTGTGCCTTGGGTGTTTTATTATTCGCTGGGAGAGGAGGCAATTTGCTCCTCCACCTCTCTAGCAGCGCTTTATTCTGCTCTTCCACCTTGGAAGCCCACTCGTCGTGTGGGCTGGCCTCCACCTCGCTCCAATCATCCGAGTCATCATCCGCTGTAGTGCTAGTCGATGGTTCGTTATCTGCGTTCTCGGGATAGGGTTGATCACATGTTTCATAATCTGTTTCCACCCCGATCTCCCCACTACCAGATACTGTGTCATCGACGGGGCGGAGGTATATGGACGTGCTGGGGAATGCGTCATCGTAGACGGCGGTGTCATCATCACTGCGATTTTCAGCCGACTCTGCCTCGCTATTATCCGGTTCGTGCTGCAATGTTGACGTTACGTCATACCCTGCGTCTTCCTTGGGTTTCAGAAGGACTGCCCAAGGCACCTCGAGCGGAGGGCCCTCTACCTGATGCGACCGAAGCAGCTGTACCTCTTTGCGGTACTGGCTCAAACGAAACGCTTCGTGCTGTGGCAGCACCAGAAGCAAATCATCTGCACTTGTGCCTTCGACCGTTTTCAGGCCTGTGACGCGCACTGTGCGGCCCACTGCAGCGCGCTCTATCTTGGTGTCAGGGGCGACCCTACCGTGAGGCGGGTAAATGCCCGACACACGGCCGTATTCGGTACCGGCAACGAAGTAGCACCCCTCAATTAACACGCCGTGACGGACTACCACCGTTAGCATGACGCCGAAGGAGTGGGTCCTCTCCAGCTCCAGCACAAAACACACTGCGATCGGGGGCGCTCCGCTGCTGACCAGGCAATTGGTCCTTCGGATAAAGTCCTCCACCTGTGCAAGCTTCACCCCGCCAAAGACATCCGCCAGAAATACTGGATTCGTTGGGAGTGTCACCTTGGAAAGTCTGCGAGCGATCTCTGCCCCCAGCTCAGGCAGACATGCCCCTGTACGTGCACTAATGGCAACGGCATTGTCGACGCAATCTTTAAGGTCGGATTCAATTAGACCCGCCTTGTACATTTGTATGCATTGGGTTCGGAGCTCGGCGATGGCCACTTTGGCATCGCTGAACTCTAGATCAGCCTTGTTGATGCAGAAAACCACGGGCACCTTGAAACGGTCAGCTTGTAGTATGGCGTCCCTTGTCTGTGCTTCGCCCCCTTCCGCTGACATAACGACGACAGCAGCATCAGCTATGTGAATTGCACGTCCACGCACCACCTCGAACAACTCATCACCAGGCGTGTCTAGAAGGGTGGCATGCAGCGGCTCGCCGCCGGTCGGTATGGACGCCTCCCGTACTACGACCTGCTGTGTGGTATCACCCGGCTCCTCTGCAGCCATACGTTCCCCTGAGTGACATATAACGATCCGCGTTATCATCCCCTACCTGTTAGCCTCTCCATCAAAGTCGTTTTACCGTGGTCCTTGTGGCCTACGATCGCCAAGACGGGTAGAGCGTTGGGGGTTACACATCGCTACAGAACATTTTGCACGATTGCATCACGATTAGCGTAGCTTACCTGTGGCGTTGGAGGCTCGGGGCTGACCCGTATGGCCTGGAATCCAAAGGCGCGGCTGGCCACTGCGGCCGACTCGAAGGGGACCAAAACGTTGCGCTTGTTTCTGACAACAATGTCACATCTACTATTTCAACTAACTCGCAGCGGAATCTCCGCCCGTGTACGTCGCTCCATGTGTAGCTACCCCTCGTAACAGACACGTTGCAGGCACGGAGGCACGCCGTGTAGTTTACGCGTAGCATCAAACGCAGCTCCTGCACACCGATCGATTTAAACTCGGCAGACTCTCACGTGAACCGCTACCCATGGCGGCAGTAGGATTTCGGGCGACCGCTGCGCCCGGCCGCGGGAAAGCGTCTTGCGGAAGGCAGCTCGTCCCAGAGGAAGGAACCTTCCACGGTAAGCGAGCCACCTGCTGGCAGCTATCATGTAGTAATTATTCTGATTAACATGTGTCCGATGTGTTGAGCGACCCACATGGGTGCCGTGGGAGGGGTCCCCGTCCGTGACCCTCCAGGTGCTCAGTCGCGGTCGAGGGTATCGCAACCGTCTTCCCGGCGCACGCGCCGCGCGAGCTCCTGGAAGAACTTGTGTATGCTGCGCGGCGATCTGACTTCAGGCGAGTACTTGAACGCCGGCACTGCCTCATGCAGTTGCACGTCCCTGCCCGAAAAGACGTTTGTCTGAGCAGCACGGCTGCGATGGCGCCGCATAGGCACGTCAGGCATCGCGTAGCGATCTGACGACACACTTTCTGGCGCTAATTGTGAGTCCCTAGACGAGCCGCCGTCGACGGAGAGCCCGTCTGCCACGCTCGCCGACACGCTGTATGGGAGAGCGGCGGAATGGATGCTCACAGGCTCTACTTTCCAGCTGGCTTTCTTGGCTTCGCGATCCTCCTTGAAGCACTTGTCATACAATGAGCGAGATTCTTCCTTGATTTTTCGGAGCGACTCCGCGACCAGCTTGAAGTTGCTGTCGTTGTAGAAGTAATCGGGGTCATGTGTCTGCTCACACGTTTTGCGCTCGCCCTCGGGGTCAGCAGCTAAACCGCTGGTTGGGGCATTGAAGTTAGCCAGGTGTAAGTTCTGCAGGCTGGCGGCAACGTCGGCCACATTCTCCGGAACGGGGTCAACAGTCTCCACATCAGTAATGCTAGAACTTTCCGATTGCCTCTCGGCCTTGAAGTACTCAGACAGCTGTCTCAGTCGAGAGAACCACAATTGCACGGTCTTCTCCGACTCGCAGGTAAACAGCCAATACCGCAGCGAACGTCCCTTCCGCTCCGTGATCTCGAAGCCGTTGGGGTGGCCCATGCGCTGGAGCTTGGTGACGTCCATGGCATCGTCGTCTGCGAAGCTGCGAACCGTTACCGCGCCGAGGTCGACGCTCGATTCCACTGGCACGTCGTCCGCGAATAAGTCGCTTTCCAACACGAACAGCCTACGGCCGCAGAGGTACACGGCACGTTGACGCCAGGAGCACCGTTGAGAGTCGCGACGGAGGAACAACGCCTTCAACTCGGCATGCGTCACTATGTCGAGGGTGTTCTGGACACCGTCTGCCAATGTCACAAAGCCTGGAGTGCGGGTGCGACGTTCGGATTGGCGGCGCGGAGGACACGGCGGCTGTTGCGGCCGAGCTGTAGTGGCGCCAGTCGATGCTTCTTCGATGCTCGTTACCGTTTCGCGCACGTATTTGCGTAGCGTGGAAGTCAGTGAAGCTATCTGGGAAAGGTTCATGTTTATCCTAGCCTCGTATTCCGAAAGCAGATTGGGCAAGTTGCCGCAGTGGAGGTGCCAGTGCGGCACCTCGAGCACGAGGTCAGGTATCTCCTCGTCGGTGAACAGCAGCTTCTCGAAGTTGGAGCGGAGCTCGACGTACATGTTGAGTGCCATGCCGGGATTTTGCACGCGGTTGATCGCCTCCAGCTGGGATAGACAACCACGGAGGTAGCGATTGAGCACCCCGCTGGCGTGCATCATGCGATTGAGAGCAGACGATCCGACCTGCTGCATGTTACGGATGTCCTGCGTGCCGAGCGACCGCTTCAGCTTCAGGGCATCCAGCGCACGCTCCAGTCCGCTGCGAATGGACCGCGTCGCATTCTTAAGCCCAGCACTCGACGCATCAGATAACTGCTGCAATTCAGGCAACACGACGGATAGATCGTTGTGACGACGAACCACCGCGCCGAGGCATTCCCCGAGGAGCTCCTTCACCTCGGCGACGGCATACTCGATCTCCACGACCTTGTGCTTACCGTCGGAGTGAGCCTCGCTGGCACACACGTCACACACCGGCAGCAGATGGCACTGCACGCATGCGAGCCTCAGCGGCCTGCCACGGTGAATGGCGCATGAGTCGTAGGCCGGGTAGGCGGATTCGCCGGAGCGGATGTCGATGCTGAGATCCTTTGAAAAGTTGCCCGCGAGACTGCCAGAAGCCCCGGCAGCCATCTGCCCATACGAAAACTTGCCCGATAGTGCGTCTGACGCGTTGAGACGCGCTTCTTTGCCCGATGTCGCAGTGACAAGCTTGTGGCTCTGTTGGATCCCCTCAGCGTGACGCTCCACAGCGCATACGGCACAAAAGTGCATCACGCACGAGTCGCAGCGAACTGTGGCGAGAGACAGGTAGCATGACGAACATAGGCGTGCCTCAGCGTCGCATGGTGAAGCAGAGGTTACCGGGCGCTTTCTTTCGATGCGGGGTGCGGCATCCTTGTCGCCGTCGCTGCATGCCTTCGTATCCTGAGTTGCATTGAACTGCTCTCTAGTCATGTCAGTCAGATAGTCGACGTGCAAGGTCTCGTTTATCTTGGGCTTTGACACCTCTTTGATCTCGACATCTAAGTCGCGATGGGCATCGGCGAGCTCGGCCTGTTGGGAGGGCTTCGGAGCAGCAGTGTCGAACTCGGGCTTGCGCAAGTTGGTCGGACGGTCGAAAATGTCCAGTACACGTCCAAACGCACCAGCAACCGAGTCGGCGATTTTCGGCAGCCGATCACGCGCCACGTTAGCGTATCCCGAAAAAAGGTCGGTCCCATCCGTCTTGACCAATTGTCCAAGGTCGATGCCGTGGCCCAGGAGGCCTCCCAGCATACTCCCGGACATTGTACCAACACTTTGGCTCACCAGGAAGTGCTACGATGCCACGCAGAGCGTAACCTTGAAATGTGTAAGCGGAGGTTAGGATGGCTGCAGATGCCTTAGCAGAGTACACCTCTACCGTAGACACCTACGATGTGCAACAGCCGTGCCAACTGTCCCTAATTCCAGTAGCATATTGCAGTGGACTCGGACTGTCTGCACTTCCGAGCGCTATGTCTTGTAGGGGGTGTAGGCCGTGGTATGGATGATGTCTAAATACTGTTTAAACCTGCAGTAATTGCACCAGTGGAATATTTTGTTATTTCTATTCGTATGTGTACATGTAACGGGGCTTAATTAAGATGATGGTGCCATGAGAATGCCAGTCGTCTGTACGCCTATTCCCAGACAGCAGTAAACTGCGAATGTGTGACAGAAGACGCGCTCAGAACTAAGTAGAAACGTCATACACACTATATGGTGCGAATGTGCAGGCAATTGCGGCATCAGATCCTCGCTTACGTGGAGGTGGCATGCCCAGCCGGCGCTACTGCAGCTAACGAATAGCATGGGTTAGGGGCACGCGAGCACCTGGATACATGCGTATCGTTCAGTTAGACGGCGCCATAAATCGTTTGCATCGACCATATAAACGGTTTGTGGAATAAGGTCTATAGACCGGTAACCGCGTGGAGCATGTCGTCTGGCCGTTCCGATCAGATAGTATCGATGCGGTTGGAGGACACGAATACACCGTATATGTACTAAATCGATCGCGTTTGGACTTCTATTGCACTCATACGGTGATGCATCCGAAGGACGTCGCGTACTTCGATAATGTGCCTACCGAGACACAGTCTCGTATCTCGTTTAACTATATTTCCGCTGCGGTTTCGATTAACGCTGCGCAATGAACCGCTGAGAATTGTCCAATCCCGCGAATTCGTATCTATGGATTTGCGAATATTCACTGTATTAAAGTCTGGGCAATTTCGCTTGCACGTACGTTCTTATTAAACGGCGTTTTAACAAACTGCATCATAGGCGCATCCAAAGTGACACTTTATGTTGAAGTGTCGGCGGGTATTTCCGATTTTTTACGTTGGACAACTTAGCTACCACTTCATAGATCTGTCGCGTAGCTCCAATCAACGGAGACAGCGATGAATAATCGGCTTAGTTCGTTCATTGCGCAACAACATATGGCCCATAGATGTTTAAGTACGTGTTATAAACAAATTTTCGAGCAACTTGGTCCGATTGAGGAACGAATTCCATAAAGTGAATATGGAGGTCGAGCAGATGGCCGCAGACGGCACCTTATCGGGTGCACCAGGAGAGGCACCGGATTCCCAAAGTCGTTCTAACGACCCCCTATTCGAGTCGAAGTACTTTACGCGAGAAGAATTCGCTCCTTTCACCCTGCCATATGGGACCCTTTGCTGTAGCAGTGAAGGAAACACTGGAGATGTGGACAAACCCGCGGAAATAGACAACACTGACCCAAAAGCATGGGCAGCGGGCGTGTTCGAAAACTGCATTTCTTTCATACGCGGTAGTCAGGACCCGACGAAAACATGCGAGTGGTACCATGACTTCATCGCCCTCACGAACCTGCAGGCGGCCTTGTACGCCGACCACGAACTACTGCAAGGTGGGGAAAACTTGGATTTGATATTGGAGTACACTAACAAACATGTGAGAAATCTTCGTTCTTCAGTGGCTAAAAACGCCCTGTTTTTGGTTGGATGCATCATAGAGGCGACCGAACACGACACCACCCTGTTCGTGGCGGTGTCACTCAGGCTCCTCCCTCATCTATTCAAATGCAGCACCTCGGAGAAGATTGTCTATCGCAAGCCAGCCATACAAAATATTGTTGCCATCTGCCAACGTTGCCGCAGCAGCGAGAGTGTCGCCATCGCATGGATGCTCATCGACCATGCTCTCGACCGGAGCCCGAAGATTTGCGCAGCAGCAACAATTGGCATGGAAACATTCTTCGGCCACTTCGAAGAAGAGCTGGTGACGACTCTCGACCTGGAGGAGGTTGCTGAACGCTTTGAGCCCTGCCTAGCGGGACGCAACGTCACGCTAAGGAAGCTGTGTTCAGATATCGTAATCAAAATAGCGGATAGGCTCTCTTTGGATACAATACAGAGCTGGTTGTCATATGCTGCTTCTAAGCGGAACTTGAAGAAACTATTGAAACCATACGTACCCACTCCCGAACCAAGTGAGCCATTGTCGGACGAGACCAACGATGAAATCGTAGCCTCATCATCCGGCGAAACGTCGACAAACGGAATAGTGAAAGATGAAGTAGAACAAACTTCCCCAATATCTGAGGAGCAACGGCCAGACGCAACAACTGACGTAGCAGCAATAGACACAACCGAAGAGCTGACCGGAGCAGTAACGACCCAAGCAGAAGCAACAGAAAAAAACGAAGAGTAGAACACGGCATACATTGCCCGTATATAACTCCAAAATGAAAAACATAACAATTTTATCGATTAAAACAGATAATCCCTTAAGGTTAAATGTAATTTGGCGTGCGGTCGCAGCGCAATCACAGGTCCTTAAAGAGTGGTGAGTATTAACATAGAGCCAACGTCCCATAAAGTTGGCGCCAGTGTATTGAGCTACTAACGCCTCAGCTGCGCGATTGACATCCAAATCCCCTGTACCCAAACCAGAGTGGAGTGAAGCGTGTTGTACGACCTCCACCAAGTCCCGGCGCTAGCGTCACGGGGGAAGCCCCTCATTTTTAAGCGCCGCGCGTCAGGAGTTGGATACAGGCAGTGCGATATATGATGTATGAACGTCAGCGGCAGGCAGGCATCCAAAATATCTGTAGGAAGAGTCCACAACCAGGACAGCTGCCTCATTACGACACTCAGGATTGGTTAATGAGCTCGAATAGTCGCACCACTGCGAAACAAAGGTGACTAAACGGTACAAATACTACCAACCTCCATTGTTGGCTATCTTTTTGTAGCGTTGCTCGTCGGCTTCCGGGAACTCATCTGGCTGTTTCCGAATGGAGACACGAACGCTTCGCTGCATAAATATGACAAACTAATAACATTTTCACGCTTATTTAAGGCTAGAACAGTGATTTTTCACTCACCTTTGGCGGCTTGGGGGCCTCCGGCACGGCACTCTTCACAGGCTGCAGCGTATTTATGGGCAGACAGGTCACACTTACGCCTCGTGACTTGTTGGCGGTGGTAGTGGAGAAGGCTGAACATCAATGAATTCAATCCACAGTTCCATCCACAGCATCATTTGACGTGACGATGCGCTGCCGTTGCCCATGGCGCGACGAAACTAACCTTTCGACACTCCCTTCATGATGGAGCCCATCAGCTCCTCCATGCTGATCTCTTCAGCCGCACCCTCAGCATCTTCGGGTTCGGCGATAGGGTTATCAGACGACTGCGGATTATCTTCCTTCATTGTGTCACGAAATATCACGGAATCCTAAAATGTGCCGCGGACGCTCAACGACCGGTGCTACGCCGCAGAAACAAGCGACACCCGATATCAATTATTAGAATGTCTGTTGAGTAAAAATTGTGTAACATCTGCTGATAATGTGTGGCAGCAGAAGGCGGCCTTATTAGGCGTTCACCCGCTCCAGTGAGGATCCTCACGTCGATGACGCTAAGGGCGGCAGCTGCATAGCGTAGCGTCAAACATTCGCAATCGCACGCTGAAGGTTAGTACGCCAGCCGACTATGCCGTGAAGTTGCGGCTTCCCGGGACGCATCTCAATGGCACCGACGGTACGCAATCGTCGTGCCGTGCTCGCGGTACTCTCCCTTCGATATCCACAGCTGCTGGAAGCGGCCCAGAGAAGCCAAAATGGAACCACCTAGCCACGTTGAGTAGCGCGCCTCACCGTACGACGATGGGTGCACCAGCTTGAACTTGCTTCCGCGGCCGATGGTACCCTGCGACAGCTGCGTGTTCAAATTGTCGACCAGGCCTGACGTCAGGCTAACGCCTCCGACAACGACGATTGACGACAGCAGCTCACGGCGAATGTCCACATCAGTGTCGAAAACGGAGTCCGTGATCATCCCGTAAAGCCCCTTGAAGTTGTTGAACTCCGCCACGGACGTCGTCTCGGGGGAGAACAGCAGTTTCGGCACCTCGGAGACCTTGTCGTCCACCTGCACCACGTCACCATCGGGCAGACGGTAGGAACGCGGGACCCTTGAGGTGTTCATCGAACAATACGATTCACGGATCTCCCGCGCAATCCACTGGCGGCGGCACTCCTGCGCCGCGCTCCCCCCTGGCCGGAAAAATTCGTGACCACGGTTGTATAACAGGTTGGACAAGTGAATATCCAATGCGTTTCCGCCGACGAGCGACGTTTGGATGGTAGATTGCAGCGATATGCCCTCATGGACAGGGGAAGCGATGCAGCCGCCCGCCCCGATGTCGAGGACCATGGCCGACTGCCTGCCAACAGAAAACGCCGACAGGTTAGCGCGCTTGGCCAGATACGCAGCGGGTACGTCCAGCTGCTCAAAGAGGATCTCCAGGGTGCAGTCGCGGAACTGCTTGCACTCCGCCGTTGGCTCCGTCACCAACATAGGGTGCTGCGTCACGTCCAGGTTGAGGCCGCCCACCTTGGTAGACACGAATTCTTCGTTCTCCAACACTGCAACAGATGCAAATAGCTCATATAACACGTACGCTGCATTGCCGCCAGGCCTCCTTCCCCTGCAACGCCATCAGAAAGGTGCGAACCGCAAGAACATACCTGGGCAGGTGTCACGCCGGTAGCCCTCCACTCCCAAACGGATCAGCTTCTCGAAAACAAACGGTTCTACCTCCAGGTTCTCGTCACGGTTGTACTGTAGGAGCCGGCGAACCTCCACGAAGTTGGGTGCGCGCACTCGGCTCAGAGGCACCCATCCCAGGTACTCGTTGTTCCAAGTGCTCCGACTCAACGCACTGGGAATGTATTCGCGTGGGTAGTCTTCTTGGCAATTGCCGATACGGAGGGTGTCGAAACCAGGGTCCACCACGATAGCCGCCACATCATCACCACCACTCTGCACTACCTTTACACCCATTGCAACCGGCGATGTTTGTATTCAGGGTGGCGAAATGTACTACGATCGTAGACCAATGATGACGAAGAAATGGTGCAGGTCCAATGTAAAAATGGCCGTGTTGTGTCCCTTTGCAAATTATTCAAAGGCCTGCACAACAGATGGCTCTAACTTTGAAGCCTTTGCATGCGATAGTCAGGGCTCAACACGATGAGAAAAGGCTCAATGCGTGATAGACCGAGCTGACGAGAATCGCAAATATCGGTCCCGTGAACCACACTAGCGAACGACGGCCAACAAGTCCGATGATCCAATGGCTCCTTTCCGAATAACACGCCGCCCCTCACAACACGGATGGAACAGAGTCGAATGTCGCAAAAGGGTTACAAAAGCGACTCTTGCTCACCAAACGCAAACTCAAGTGGAATCCAGACAAATGCGAGACGCAAATGGTAGTTTGTATGCACCAACGAAACGCGTCTAACTCTAACTCTTAGGTGCCTTCTTCCGATCGACGTAGTCAGCAAGCGCCTTCAACGTACGTAGCTCGCTGAAATCATAGTCAGGAATCGTCAGGTCGAACTCCTCCTCAACCGCGAGCAGCAACTCCACCTCGTCCAGGTTATCACCGCCAAACTCCTGCGAACAACTGATCGTTACACACCCTCACGTACTTTTAAGAAGTCGCAGTCCGGATCTATCTCCTCCGCCTTCTTCTCAAACTTCCTCGCAATGATACCCGAGATTCGTTCGACAGTCCCTGGCAGCGCGAACGCACGGACGCTACGACGAAATAGACGGGCGTCTTCCGGGAGGTTGGAAACAGCCCGCAGCTTAAACGCGAAAGCGCCTGCAGCGCGTTTATCGACGCGTTTTCCACGCACACGCACCTAAGAGAAACGCGCAACGTAACAGAAGCGCCAGACGCAGAAGGCCACGTGGGCTAGGCGCAACGTTCATTATACATGTTCCGTGCAGCTAACAAAGGAAACTGTTGTAATCTATGCCGGCGATCTGCGATGGGACAGAGGACTCGCGCACGTGGTGTTTCTTAGCCGGGGCAGCCTCGCTCTCCTCGGCCGCGGGGCTGGATTCCACGCACGCAGCACCAGATTCCACGTCCTCCGCACCAACCGGTTCCGCTAAATCTGTGCCCAGTTGCAGGCGGCCAAGTTCAGCGATGTGGTCCTTGATTTCAACGGCCTGGTCCACGGTCTGGTCGGCTGGCGGAGGCTCACTGTAGAACGGCAGGCGTCCGCGTTGGAAATCGTACAGCACTATCCTTGCTGCAGTTGAGACGTCAGGCACCCTGCCCTTGCGGAACTTGCCGAATTTCTCCGCCACCAGATCCAGGAAATTCTCGTTCGTGAAATCAGCACTGACGCCGTATCGCTGAACCAGCACATCCCTGATACGGCATGATAAATAGCATACATAGATGGCACATAAGCGTGAACAAAACTCATAGCACTGGCAAATATTCTCAACTGCCTAGGGCGGCCGATCAAAAGATCGATGACGCCGCCGTCCAACGAGCCACTCAAACGGCACCGAGGGATAACTAGCAACGTCAATATAAAAACAATCACTCACCTGCTGATTATTTCAAGGACGCGGTCGATGTAGTTTTCCGGGTCGTTAATACGCTCCACCCGAACAACGCCCTTGAGCAGACGATCGGCCTCGTCACTGTCCTCGATCGGGGTGACTCCAGGGCAGTCTATCAAGTGGATACGCTTTGTCAAAGAAACATATTGCCATACGCGAGTCTCTCCTGCAGAAAATTAAGTTGTGAGAGACGAAATGCCACGCAGTAACACGTCAATCTAGCATGCGGCACCTTTATGACGCAACCAGTAATTCGTTGCATTACGAGTGACAGCAACATAAAGCATACGCATGTGCAGCATAGATTGCGTATTTTCGTGACAAAGTCGCATGTGACGCCAACCTACCAGGTATTGGGGCTGCTTTGCAGTTCTTTTCACCCTTGAGAGTGTTGATCACGGAGCTCTTGCCTACGTTCGGGTAACCGATAAATCCGACACTGAAGTGCTTGCGATCCTTCATGAGCTGGGAATATTGCCTGAAAGGCGAATTAGACGCGGTTTCCATTTAAATATAAGTGTGGCAATATGAACAATAAACCCACTTTAGCAGCTGGATCAGGGTATTCTTGCCGAAAGGGTTGGTGACCGACGCGTGAAATGCCACCGTCGGCACAGTGCGATTTAAATGCTTAAGCCACGCCGCCGTTACCCACGTTGGGACGAGGTCGCATTTGTTCAACAGCAGAATCAGCGCCTTGCTCTGCTTGTTTTCACGGATGTAATTCTCCAGTCGGTGGCATCTGCGGCCGAATGTAACGACATTATAAGCGAACTACCTCGTCCCCATGGGATTCCGAGCGTCTATCACCTGGACGATGACGTCCGAGCAGTCGATCACCTTGTACAGTTCACCCCAGATGCGCTTAGAAGTCCCCTTCTTGAAAACGACGTTCGGAGCCTCCTCCGAAGACTCCGCCAGATTCTCACGATTCAGGTATGCGTCCTTAGACGCATCGTATGACGCGCTGGATGCGAGCTCAGCAAGCTCCTCCACAGTTGACGCTGCCAACTTCGGGCGCTTGCGCACGGCCTTCGCGCCAAAAGTTTGCTCATACGGCTCTAGCGATAGGATTTTGGCGTTGTCGTCCACCATATCCACGTTCTTCAACAGAGATAGGGGTAGCTTGCTGCGCTTCAGGATGTGCCTACGAGCAAGTGAATAAAAGTGTAGATGCCAAAGACCAACGTTCGGGGGTTCGATGCGGCCTCCTCCAACTCGCTACGCAGGTTAGTCATCTGCTCCTGAGTAAGCACCCTGGTGTTGCCGAACCATCGGCGATCTGGGCAGATGCGAGCAGGCTCGGTAGCCTGAACGCGCATCTTCTCCAGGTTGGGCTTGTCGCGGTACATGTTCAGGCGCTTGATTGTAGCCTTGTCCCGATACTGACCTGAACCACGTCATCGCTACAGAACGACAACCAACCTTCCTTCTTCCCCTTGACGCCAGTACGATGCGGATTCGTGATAGCTGTCGAGGCGCGGAAGGCCGGGAAAGGCTGCGCCGCGGATCGCTTGGCGATGCGATTCTTGCGCACCTTTACCATGTTGACTAATATGGTGGAAGGTGGTATATGAAATATGGGTTGAAATGAATGACAAATGCGAGTCCAGCCGCAGATACCGGCGTAACCACGGAAACGCCGCCGCGCCCCCTGGTTCGCAACTGGTCTGGCACTACAGCGTTAGCCACTGAAGCAGCTGCTACTTTGGCATTTATTTAGCCGTTGAACAATGTTTTTAATCTATAAGTGCCGCATACTGCCCTATGCTCGCCTGGTGACCAGAGGTGTGTGGATGGTTGCGCATCCCGGTTGCGCCGCGCGGGATGGACACATAGAATCAACGAGGTCGCTTCTCGCCAGCAAACTGAAGCCTTGGATGGTGGGCAATAGTAGCGACTCGTGATGAGGTGAATCCGCTGGCCGCCCATGCCCATCCACAACAGACGATGCGTAGGTGTTGTTGAGCAACCTTAGCGCCCTGCCCCGCCGCTGCTGCAATGTCAGCTGAAAGACGTTATATCCTACACGAGCGTACCTACCTTGGTGATGTGGACGTGCTTGCCTCCCCGTTTTGCGCCTCCATATTCGGCCTCATCGTCATCGCTCTCTAGCCCGGGTGACTGATCGGGGTCCTGTACGAGCAATTAGGTACTACGTGACCTATGTGAATCTAACCTTGGACAATACAATTGCCTTGTACCCATCGCCGTATGCTGGCGGCGTATGTTTCTCGCCCTTCCACGTCCCCTCAAGGCCGAAATCGCTCTGGAAACAGTCAACGATACTACGAAACAACCCACTTCAAATAACCCCTCTGATACGCGCTGCGTATCCGATGACAACATATAGCTGTTGGACTCCAGGGCATTGACTAGCGAGTGTGAGGAGCCTTCTAGGCCGACGCAACCTGCCACGCATGAAGTGTTCTAGTCTGCGCCTACCACAATAGCCAGATGGGTAGCTGTAACCCGGGATGCCACATTGCCTCTCAACACACATTAATCGGCATATGTTGGTGCCAGCATAGCATACATCTCCACGGAAGATAGCTGACTGTGAGCCTTCTATGGCCGACGGCGAAGGCTGTGCCGCGGCGTGAACCGCGGCCAACACGAAGAGAGGTGCGAGCGCAGCGACGGATACCAGCCCTGCTGACACCGTGGTGATCCCACGGGGCACCATGACCGACCGCGCGTGCTTAACGCAACTGGGAGGAGGCACTCTCAACACCGGACGCCATACAGGCTGCCTGACAATATTCGGCGAGATAGGGCACGAGGAGAGCACGACGGCGCACCAGAATGACAACGCCAATAATACACACAAGCACGAATGCTGGATTCCATCCTACAGGATGAATGGCACAGCTACCGTGGTCAGTTGTCACCGCGCGACCCGTGACCTTCGGCAAGGCCCGGGTAGCGGCCGAAAAGTGTTCACAAGGTACGTAGACACGGCCTTCCGCTCATACGTGCGCAGAATTATCGCAAATGCTCGACAATCAGCCACTTAAAACGCGGATAACGTCGATGTTACAAGGGTTCACAGAGGCGCTGCAAGAATGTGACAACAGCGAGCCAATCAGGAATCTGGCCAAACATGTGCCAGGCGTATCCATGGTCAAAGCGAAGTAGGTTTCCGTCGTACATGCTTAAAGGGAGAGCTTGGGTGGCCGCCAAACCAGAAAGGCGTCGGCACAGCATGGACGCTAGGGCATGGTTACAAAAATATATATGGGCGCCGTTATTCCCAATGCTATAGTGATTGCAATGCGGTTGCTCTGCATGGGACTACAACTTGTAGATGTTTCATAACTTCATATCCATATCGCTCCGTCACAAATACGCAGGGGTGTGGTGCAAATACATCCGTCCTTTCTCGGGAACGCTTTGAAGGGCGTCTACACATATCTCTCAAACTTCCTTATGCAGTGAGTAGATGCCGCGCCAAGTGTAATTCACACTTCAACAGGTACATTGAAGATGTGGGTGGAATATGGCTCACCTGCGGCAAGGTTCGCCAGCAGGAAGAATGTGGGTACGTCACCGACGGAGATTGCTTCGGCATCCTCTCGCTGAGCGTTACGCTTAAACTGCTCGTCTTCAACCCGCATAGCGGCAGTGTGTTCGGTAATTTTGGATAACACGGCAACTAAAACCATGCAGGCAAAGTAACCAGAGCCGCTGCGCATAGGGCGTCGCTCCTGGTATACGGCATCTTTGGCGTCACCGTTCGTGCCGCCGATTCGACAGGTGAACAGCCGAACGAACTGATCGAGGGATCTTTAGTTCACGTAGAAGTCGATGAGGTAAAAATTCTGCCCAAAAATAAATGGGTCATGCTCGCCACTACCATGGACCGCGTTAAAGTTGTTGCGTAGCCCAGATTAAAAACTACATGTGCACGTATACTGCGATTATGGTTGCGCTGGGACTCAACCGAGTCCCCGCAGAGTGTCGTTTGCGATGTCGTCGACACGCTTCTCGGACTGCTTGACGACGGCATCCACCTCCTTTTGCTGCCGGAAGAACATGTCGTCGCTCAGAGCCTGGTGCATGTGTTTCAGCTTCTTTATAACGGCCTGCCTCGTGAGGCGGATCTGGGTCTTCACTTCGTTCAATGTCTCCTTCACGACGGAACGCGCTTGTCGGACCATCGCCTCCGTCATCGAAGGAACTACCACTGACACGCGGTCGGGCATCATCGACACCTTGTAGTCCACTAGCTTTGTGCTAAGACAAACGAAAATGGAGTCCAGGTGGCCTGGAGACAAAGGAACCACGTGCAGCTCATAGGGGCCCTTCGACATTATTTGCGCGACGTACTGGAGTTGCTTTTCCTTGGACTCACCCGGCAACTCCACCGTCAGCGACTCTATCAGCGACGGCGTTGCGCGGTGCAGTGCGAGGCGACTTATCTTGTTGCTCAGAAACTGCTCGCTCTCCTTTAGCTTGGAACGCAAACCGGCGAACACAGCCTCCAGGTCAGCTTCGCTCACGACAAATTCCTCATCGTCATCCGATCCGCCATCCTCGCCTCCTCTGCCGATTCGCCCCTGGCTCTTGCTCTTCTTCTTACGGCTGGCATCTAGCTGCTGCAGACAGCGGGGAGCCTCGGAGCGCCTCAATATGAACGTGCATACCCTGTCTATGATAGGTCCAGTGACAAAGGATACAAACCTAGATCTAGAGAGCGAATATGCGCTTAGCGCTACGGCGTATGGGTCGCGCCGTAGCGTAAACGCCAGCGCAATCACGAGCCATATGACCTGCGCCAGTATCCACCGTGGCACCATGCAGGCAGCGCCCGGGCGAGCCTCCCGAGTGGCGGATTCCTAGGCTTATATAACGATCTGTACACTAAACCGCGCGGGTAGTAAAATGTGGCTCCATGTGGTGCCCTAGCAGTCCCCTCTCAGACCGCAAGCACACCGACACGGCGCGTGACGCCGGTTCACTTTGATCTGCCGAAACCGCCCACACATTCACACCAAACTGCGAAAAAGCCACTAGGTGTGGCGGCAGATGGAGACAGAATGAACGGCTGCCAACACCTCGATCAAAAATGACAGTACACGCAGTCGACGACCTGGCGGATACTGTCTGCTGGGTAGTCGGCGAAATCGGACAGATACTCGACCCCGAGTTCCTCGATTGTCCAACACGGGAGCCACCTAAGTATATCAAGAAAGTGCCTCAATGCCATATGGATGCTTGGAATAACTTCCATAAATGGGTGATCTCCGAAGTTCCCACGTGTATGTTGCATTTGTATAATGGGCATGCGGCACGCAGGCAAGGCGGAACCCAAGTTCCTTATCAACGAAGAGCTGAACGAAAAGATATTCATCGGCAACTGTGACATCCTGGAACTGGAGGTGGGCGCCATAGCTGTCTTCCTCGACGAGTACACGCCGCATGCATCAAGAACGGCGAGGCGCATACAAATACGTAAGTCGTACTATAGTAGAGTAACGATGCGCAGAGAGTGGCAATGAGATTCCATATGAAGAACTTTCTCGTCTGCGCTGCGGTGATGTCCTGCTGCGGCGCAGCTATAACATCGGCAGCGAGCACGTTGTTTACGCCGTCTCACCGCGCTACTCCACCAAGTACCCGGACGCCTGGGCGAACGTTCTCAACATGTGTGTGCGTGAGGCCCTCAAAGCCGCCATTTCTGCGGGGGTGGATTCAGTGGCGTTCCCACTGACCATGGGCAGGGAAGGGACGTACCCTGACAATGGGTTCGCAACCGCGGTTCTGCGAGCAGTCAGGCGGTGGCTCGAGCTGCCAACAGTGGCAACAAATATCGCACGTGTTTTTTTCTTCGGGGTGGATGAAGAATCGTATTGCCTCATGAGGCGATTTTTCCCCAGGGACAAGACAGAAGAGAAATTAAGCGCAGAAATCTCAGAGGCAGGAAATGAGTACGGCGAAATCGTCAAGGAGGAACGAAATATACGCATATCAGCAGGTTTGCGGAGTGAAAACGGGGAGAGTGACGACACAACGGCTAAACCGATGCAGATTAATGCCCCGCTTGCCAATTTCAGCGATAATTGCAGAGTCGGGAGCGATAGGCAGTTGTCTGCCAAGGACTACGATTTCGACTATTACTGCAGGCTCTCACTATCTCTGATGCGGACGCCTGTGTACAGGGAAATGGACGACAGCGGATTTGCAATGATATTGGGCCGCGACGTTGCCCAACGCCCAGTCATCGCAATAGACGCGGCGAAAATGCCCAGCAGCATAAGCAACACGCATGCAGTTGCCTACGTGCTGCGAATCATGCAGCCGATATTGCAGAATAAATTTGTCATGCTGCTCCTCAACATGGGTAGGGAGCTTACCGGGTAGTTTAATGCCGCCACAGACAACTCGCTGATCGCAGCCGCCAGCGTATGCTCAGTCGCAAGTCAGCTCTTTCAGGTGCTGGGGGACATGCGCCTGGGAAACCTCGGGGTGGTGTACGTCCACCGTGCCGGGTGGGCCACCCGTGGACTGCTGTACGTCATGATGGTTCTCCTCCCGGACGCCGTGCGGAACTCAGTTACGTACATCGACACCGCGAAGGTACGTTAACACACATGTTTGGAATCCTTCGTGCAACGAAGGAAGTCTTGCCGACTGCCCCGGTAAAGTGGTGTGGCGGCGGCCAGTGGCTCGGAGAGTCCGTCGCGATCCGCCACAGCCATTACAATAACCGATTGCATCACACAAACAAGCGAAACTAAGCGACACATTGCAACGCAGGACCTCGAGAAATACATCGAGCTCCCTAAAAACTACAAGAGACACTGAAAAGGCGGCAGCGGCACACACCGTCGCCGAAGCATTTAACCACTGCACATATATTATACGTATAAATACAATGGTTGTATTTGGAATATTTGCACGAGCGCAGCTCGAAAATGTCGCGGAACTGCGCATTCCGGAGAGGCACTTGTGGACCTTTGACCTCAAGGAGTCGACTGGTGACGAGACACGCGACTTCGTCACCATCAGCGACGAAGAGCTCGTTGAGACCGGAAACACGCGGAACGTCGTGCATGGGTGTATCTTTTTCAAGGAATCTAACCGCAGGGGCACCATCGCCATCAAAACCATCAAGGACGTCACGAAAAACGCAATCACTGAATCCAACACATTCACCTGCATTGGTGCATTTGACTGCAGGGGAATCGAAATCACCAAGTGGCACCCGCGAGGCGGATATCAGGTCGTCTGCGAAAGCGGCACCGTTATAAACGATGTTGAGTTCGACACCTCCGGTGCGTGGGTGGGATTTGACGAGGCGGCTTCGGCCTCTGTCTCGGTCATGGAGCTCGACTACGAGATAAGGACGTTGTAATAGGTCCGTAACGGGCTGCTTGTAGCACTCTGCCAACAGAGCGAGGCTGAACAAACGAAAGTTGTATCCTAATATGCGACGAGTGTATAAATTCATACACGTAGTAATGGACATTTAATGTGGCTATCCCGTCATCTGGAATCTGCAGATAGCAGGCCTAATGGCGTCAAGCTTCCGGTGGTGTCTGTCCACTTCCGATTATGGTTGCGCATCAGTTGAGCTCAAACCACTGCGGCATGAATGCGCGCCCTACCAGAGCGCGACGCGGTGGGGATGCTACCACTTACGCCCAACGTATATAGCATTAAAATCGCGGCCCTTATAGCCACGCGATGAACATTAGCGATGACAAGTTATCAGGTGGCGCAAAAGGCCTTTATTGCCCTCAATGTGACGGACTTCCGGTCACATGACGTCCATGTAACTGCCCGCCGAAGGCGGCGAACAGCCACCCACGGACTCCGACTTCTCCACGCGGTACAGGTACTCCGTGGCCAAGTCGTCCATCAGAGCCTCTGGCGACGACTCGGAGAGTACCTGGAGCAGCAGAATCCAGCGCTTCACGGTGCTCTCCTCCTCGGCGCTCCAATAGTACGTGCGCTTGGTTCGCGTCGTCACAGAGAAGACGTTGGGACGGCCCATGTAGTGGCCGACCCAATTGATGCGAGCGTCCATCAAACTGATGGTTGCCTTGGGGCGGGTGTCGTCGCGGCTGTCGTAGTAGTGCATATTGCCGTCACAAATCATGATGTATCTTATGTTCCACTGATAGAAGAAGGTGCCTCCCAACTTGTAGAGATACCCTGTGAACATCGACGGGGTGTACCGCTCCGCAGCCGCGGCCAGCGGCGCTACCGTCTCATCCACGTCGCCGAGCGATGAACTGGAGTGATCGCCCCTTTCCGTGTCCACAGGCTCCGATTCTTCAGCCTCTATCGAAGAGCCCGGTATTCTGTATTCCCTAATCGACGGGTAATCCACTGGAATTGGAAGGACGTCCCCAGTCGTGATGGGGAACTGCGATGCGCGATTCTCATGTACATGGCGATAGCCATGCTCCTCCAGGGACGCACACTTCCTGCTCACGATGGCAGTGGGTCCCTGGGGAGACGGCAGACATTCATCCTCACGCTTCAGCGGGCAAACGGCGGGGATAGCGCTGCTGGATGTATGGGCCGCCGATAACGATGGCCGCCTGCTCGGCACACTCCCAAGCGTGGTATGTGCATCATCCAGTTCTTCTAGGCAATCCCAAAACTCTTCCTCACCACTAACGCTCCGGAATGACCTAGTTGCCACTACTCTGGCAGCTCTGGAGACGTAGGCTCCACCGACAACACCATCCTTAGTGTCTTTACGCATGTCGCTGAAGGCGGCGGAAAGCACACTACGGTAACCAGTGGAATCAGCGGTTTCCTTTGCTGCTACAGCTACAGTCTTGCTTTTGTGGCTCGATGGCTTGGGTGCTTGTGGGCGCGCAACCGCAACGGCTTTAGCAGGCGCAGCAGCAGCCTCAAGGGGACTTTTCTCAACCTCTCGAGGTTTCGTCGCAGTTTCGACCACAGGTGATGGCTTCGTTTCAGGCCGCTTCTCTTCAGAACTGGGTGCACGTGAAGCTTTAGGCGTATCGCGGGCTGGCAGCTCCTGGCTGTCTCGGAAGAGGTGCCCGTACTGCTCACGGAACTTCTGGTTCAGCAATTCGTAGCATTCCTGCTCCTTGATTCGCAAATCCTCGATGTCAGCGTTGTACCATTCGTCGATGGAGCACATCGCAGTACATATGTATAACATCAACTTGTCCTGTAGGTAGTTCACCAGGTAATTCTCCACGCGCGAGGCCAGGAAGCCAAAGTAAGGAATATCTACTTTCAGCAACTTGTACGCTATGACACCCTTGCAGCCCGGCTGTTTCCACCAGCCTGGTTTCATTGGGAGCGCGTCGGTATGTTGCGATCGCTTCGCAGTCACGTCATACTGCGCGTCGTACAGCTTGCACTTCTTGAACTCGGTAACATCCAACACCACCACCTTGCGACGCGACAGGTCCTTGTCGCTGAGGTTCAGTGCATTATCCCGCGGTTCTACGCCGTCATGGGTTATCGACTCAAAAGAAAATTCAAACGACGTCAACTTCTTGTTGGAATACTTAGTCATGGTATAAGGAAACACCGTCCACCTGAAAAGTCGTGAACGTCAACACAAAAAGCCACATACGATTGCTCACTCACGATCGTCAGTTCCTTACCGAGGAGCGACTGCAACCACAACGGCAAATTCCTGAACGCAATGTGCGAATGGACGCATAAACTTACTTGCCGAAGTAAAAACGCTTCTCCATTATACGACCAAGCACGCCATCCCGCTCGCACAGCTCGTTCTTCGATATCTCGAAGCCGCCGCCGTTCTCCACCTCCTGCAAACTGGCCTTCGTCACCAGGTACACGCAGCAGAGCTGGTACATCTGAGCAAACGTGAACGCCAAAAATGGCGACACCTAAACTTACGTCAAGCGTCAGAGGGAGAGGGATCTGAAACTCGATGACCTTCATTGTGATGCGATCGGCGGTGACACAATTCACAAAAGGTCACGCAGGGTGTCAACGACACCTCGCAGGCAAAGCCGCGCTACACAACAAGCGCTATGCCAGCCGCAATTTTCCAAGGACTGTCATACGTGTGCTTAGAGCCCGAATACCATACGCAAAGTCACGGCACGTCATCACTCATGCCATCGTGACGGTGCGCGACGCGCGCCCCTTTAAAGGAGTATGGATGCGGCACCACTACACAACACGATTGTCGGAAGCGTACACTTCGATACTCAATATGATTCGGTTTGGATCTGCCATAGGGCCCAACACGCCGCTACGGTGTGCTCCTTGAGAGATTCCCCTCTACCGGTACTGTTCGCCACTGAAGAGCCGAGGTGTGTCGGCGATCAACTGAAAGACGCATAAGGCAATCTTCCAAGTCAACTTTAACAAGTATCGCGGCCATTCTAACGAAAAACACGGAAGTGGCGGCCGCTAACATTGCATACGAAGGTAGAAAAGCAGAATCGACACCTGATTATCGCACGCTGTTACGCACTAACACTTCATGCCACACGCGTGTAAAAGTGCCGAAGAAACGAGGTAATCCGCTAAAAATAGCTACGTATATGCATCTACTGCCGGCTGCGTAATCCTAGGCTCGTCGTCGGTGAAGGGCCCAGAACCTTTACAAGTCCGAGGACACTTAAACTCATACGTCACAGATAGCATGAACTGACCGAATACCTCGATATTACTGTCCTCATACAAAGCGAATAGGTCACGTGTGTTGGCAAACATGGGTTACCGTACCGGACAATGTCGGCAGACAATGCGCTGCTCATATGGTATTGCGATATTGTAGGCTGCTTTAGTGCCGCTCTAATCGAAGCCTTAACTATAGCAAATCGACCCGTCTGGGAACTCTACCAGCCCACCACTTGCACGATAATATGGGACGCGCGGAAGTAATCATAGAACATCAGAGGCCCGGGAAACAGGCGTCAATCGACAACTAGCCTGTGAATTAAGACGCTTGTTGCAACTGGTTTTGCTTCATAACCGCCTCAGGCGTATAGAGTCCTCTCCACACAGCGACAGTGTGTACGACTACACATTGGTCTTCGTAAATCCATAGGGAACGCAAATTAAATTGGCGATAACAAGGATAACACGATGGCGGATCAGTTGAGCGAAGAACAAATTGCCGAATTCAAGGAGGCCTTCTCCCTGTTCGACAGGGACGGTGACGGAAGTGAGTTGCACGTCCTGGACGGCTAAAGTATGCAGGCATCACCACCAAGGAACTGGGCACGGTCATGCGTTCGCTCGGCCAGAACCCTACCGAGGCGGAACTAGCCGACATGATCAACGACATAGACAGCAGTGGCTCGGGAGCCATTGACTTCCCTGAGTTCCTCATTCTCATGGCCAGGAAGATGAAGGAAGGCGACACCGAAGAAGAGCTCGTACAGGCGTTCAAGGTGTTCGACAGGGACGGTAACGGTATGTGTACACGTTCGTTACAGAAATGCTAAGAGGCTACATGGTGGTTGCCGGTGACCTTTGACATTTTCAAATGCCCATTTAATTCCACGCAGGGTTCATCAGCGCTCAAGAGCTCAGGCACGTCATGACTAACCTCGGTGAAAAGCTCACCAACGAGGAAGTCGAGGAGATGCTCCGCGAAGCCGATGTAGACGGCGATGGCAAAATCAACTACGAGGAATTCGTTAAGCTCATGATATCCAAGTGAACTGCCAGCAGGCTGGCATGATTAGCCACAAAGCAATCTAATCACTATTTTAATGCCTTTGGAATACTTCTTTATGATCCCCGTAGACAAATGTGCAAATCCAAAGCCCCCATATGCCACCATGTAGCATCGTCGAATGGCGACTTACGGCCGTCATACGGCTTCGAGAGGGACACCGGCGTATAGAGAAGCAACTAAAACACTAGAAGACGCCTCAATCGCTCTACACATCCCAACATCTGCTCGGTACCGCCCGAGCGCGCGCCGCTGCCATCATGGACGATGCGCCGGGGAAAAGCGCCTGCGGCAAATTCACGCTGCTAGTAGGGCTAGTCAAAGTCGGCCAGGAGTACGTCGGAGACGCTGATAACGATGATGGAATCGCCGCCATCAAGGAGCGCATCATGCACAAAGTGCTGAGCATAAACAACTACATCAAGTCACTATGTGACTTCTACGATCGTGAGAAGGCTTCAGGTAGGCATAAGATGGCTACGTGTCATACACCGCAGCTCAAGCCGGCCGCCAGACTGCGGAGGATGTCAGCAAAACTGCGCAGCATACGGCGATGAACCTCGAGAAGTTCGTCTCGAGAAACGAGTTCTTTGTCTACTCCGTATCAGTCACGCTAAACCCGCGTGTGCGAACTCCAGCAGACCTGCACAAAGACAGCGGCGAGGGCGACGGTGTATGCACCATCACTGTCAAGCTGCCGCGGGAGAAGCAGCGCCAGGCATTCTACATCCGGCTCATGCTCAAGCTCATATCGAAACACTCGCTCATGCTCAAGTTGACTCCTGAAAGGGCAACGCAGGCATCACGACAAGCTAAAAGGGAAGGTGATGAGCCCGACGCATCCCCGAAGCCGAAGAACACCGAGGCACCTGCTGAGTACTTCGATGATGATGACAAAGGTGACCCGCAGGGTGCACAGGACTGCCGATATGTCAGGGCCGGCATGAACTCGTTCAGCTCGTACTCATTCTTCAACCAGAGCTCGATGATACTCAGCAAGTATGTCAACAGCAACGTTGTATTGCGCGAGGACGACCACGTGATGGCGGAGCGACTTATGCGGGAGAAGGAAAAGAAGCGGCGAGAGCTGCAGATGAACCGCGGAAGAACATAGCGCCGCGACCAAGGAGGCGACGATGGTCGTCCCAGGAAACGCAATGGCGCATAACGCCGAGAATGCACGATGTATACCCCTAATCGTACCACAACACACACAAATACACAGATACTCTAACACTATCGGTGTTGGATGCGCGCTAAATACTTTCCGGTTACCTGTCGTACTGCACGCAGTGCCGGATATGTACAAAATTAAATTTTCGTGGTCCTATGCGATCTGCCCACTGTTTTAAGCTTGATGATCGTGTCGGTGACGCAATACTGGAACACGTTTAGTACCAGCGGAGCCCCTACCATGACGAATAACAGTTTCAAAGTGTGTCTTTTTTCGAAGAAACCCAAAATGAAGTCGCCGATGGAGTTGATGCTCCCCGAAAATATAGCAAAAACAGCTATGCTGAAAACCTTGAGGCTGCAAACTATAGCCATCCAGGATAACAGGTTCTCCACAAACTTTTCATTGCCCATGTCGCGGGCCCATTGGTTGGGCGAAGTCACCAACCGCACGAGGTGGCGCCAGAACCGCCGACGCCAGCCCCCCTCCATGCTGAATTCCAGCGACTCAAAGACATGGTCACCCTCGTCACGGTCGGGCAAGTGTCCCTCTAGGTCGGTTTCATTCATGCCAAGCGGGGATCCAGAAGACAGGGCCGCAGTAGCGATGCGTGTGGCGTCAGCCAACTCCTCAGTGGTGGGCGTGAACACAGACTTGCGGGTGCGCTGCAAATAGTGGTGCGCCTCTTTTCGAATTGCCAGATAACGCACAATCTTGTACTCCAAAAAGATCCCAATCGTTGCGTCGAAGAGGGTCGTCATGAAGTAGAGGTTGCACTCGTCACCGACTGCATCGGATCCTTCGTGGAGGCGCTGAATCATAATCGAAGACAAGATGTTCACCACGTGAACAGTCCCAGAACCGCACATTAACGTGATGAAGTCCATCAAAAACGCGGGCAGAGAGCGCCTAGGAGTCTCCATCCTGTACTTGATAAACACAACTGCAATGGAGATAATGCACAGAAACAGCTGGATGGAGAGCCCAAATATCCCCGGAAGAAGCGTGCAACGCTCCCCATCACCTCCATCGTCAACTATCTGGCTGGCTCCGTGCACAGCAGCGGCTGCGGCGGCGGCCACAAGCGGTTTAGACACCAACCCCGAAACGGTTTTTGCTGCTGACGCTGCAGATACACCAGCCGGCGCGGGAACGGGCACCTCGTTACTCAGCGAAGCCATGTCTTGCATTCATGCCGATATACGTGACAGCGCGCATAAACAAAGGCAGTCCGCGACGCGTCGGCCAAAGCCTACGCGGTGGCCAAAACGACAGCACCGCAGTAGGACAATACAGGGAATTTAGCCTGCCGACCCCGGCCTCTAGTAAACCCTGCCTCAAAAAAGAGACGTATTGTCGTCGTCTATCGTATTCTGACGTAACAGACTGTACACTAGTGACTGGCGCGCGCAAGGCACCATGACACGGTTGACAATGACCATAAGAATTGCGACTGGTTACAGCCGGACTCCATATGCGCAGATGGTGAACCGATTTTGCATTGGAGCGCAGCGAGTGAAATCTATAGCTCATTACGCCCCGCAATGAGAGCAAACGCACACCAGAGAAATTACGAGGCCATGCGGCGCCAAAAATAGACGAAATGCAAACGGCACAAACGTCACATTGCCCAGAAGTCGTGATTTGTCACAGGTTCACGCTGAGTCATTATACACATCGTCCGCGGCACACCCCTCAACGAAGCCTGCAAGTTGAATTCGCACCCGTAGTGGACGAAGGGGCTCTTATCAAGTTCGTAACGGCATTATATTGAATATTTCTGAACTCGGGCAGCATATATTAGCCGGCAGCAAGTCCGCGTAGTCACATACGAGCCCGGCGCGCGAAGGCTGCGCACAAAATTACGGCCACTGTACATCACCAAAAGCCTATTTAGCGAATAGTATTTGTTCATATACCTAGCTAATTAGCGCCGATGCGTTCTGGGAAGCCTTTCCTGGAGCCCAGTGGAAGGCGTAGGCAGGCTGTCGATAATGGGGTGGGCTCGCAACCACGACGGAACTACCACTTATAGAGGAGCGGAACCATTAAATCCTTCCGTTACAAAAAACTGTAACTCACATCCGTTCAGGGTCTGCGAGGTTCGCATGATTAAAGGTACGTCCGCGCTGGAATACGCCGTGGTCACCCCCAGCGTCGGGACGCGTTACGTCCTTCGCCGAAATTCGCAAACGACGCAGTCCGTGGGTGGATGCAGTTCGCTACTTTTATTACATCGCGTTCGCTGAACGCCCAAATATTACATAAGTCGCTTACTCATAGTTCTGCAGAGCAATCAAGATGGTGAAATACTCCAGGGACCCTTCGAACGTCTCCAAGTGTGTCAAGGCCAAGGGCTCACACCTGCGCGCGCACTTCAAAAACACATACGAGACTGCGGCGGCCATTCGTGGCATGTCTGTCATCGCTGCCAAGAAGTACCTCCAGGACGTCATAGACCACAAGCGTTGTGTGCCTTTCCGCAAGTTCAACGGAGGCGTCGGACGCTGCGCCCAGGCCAAGCAGTTCAAGCACACACAGGGAAGATGGCCCGAGAAGTCGTGCCGCATCCTTATCGACCTGCTCGTCAACCTCCTGTCCAACGCAGAGGTAGGTTCCGCTTGCACTATTAGCAGAACCCCATATGATGATACGATGACGAGTATGACGGGCACATCGCCCATTCTCGATGGCCCTGTAAGCCCCGCTTACTGGCGAGCTATGGGGATGCGTGTTCTACGCTAAACCGGACGCAAACCAGTAGGCTCGGTGGGTATGATTAATAGAGGCATTTGTCTGATTGTGGTCAACCTGTATGCATATTTCCAAGAGCGTTATGCGCACCATGAATTTTCATCCATGCTAATCCGAATTCAGGTTAAGGGACTGGAAACGGACCAGCTCTACATTGAACACATCCAGATCAACAGAGCACCACTGGGAAGGAGGCGCTCATACCGCGCTCATGGTAGGATCATTCCCTTCCTCTCCCACCCCTGCCACGTGGAAATTATCGCTGTTGAGAAGGACGAAACCGTTCCTAAGCACGTAGATGCTGCCAAGAAGGTTATCAAACTCAACAAACGCCAGTTGGCCAGGTTCAGGCTAAAGGATGCCAGAGCTGCCGCCATGGCTGCACTCAGGGCATCTAGGGCGAACTGAAAATTGTAATCCTATGCTGAGTCACACAATATTACGGTCGCTAGTGCAACGGTAGTCTAAAACTTTCTGAGTCGCCGACCTACGTGGTTCACCTCGGAGCCAGCCTCCAGGTGGCGGAGCATGGGGAGTCCGTGCTGAGGCGCGGACTCTGGAAGACAGTTTCTTCCTCATATTAGCGCAATGTATGGATGCATAGAACACTAAAAAGACGGGCATTAGGCTTTGACAGCCTAGTGGGTCTCGTGAAATCAATCTCTGCCGGCTCTGGGCAGGCCATCCACGACGCGGACAGAAGCGCGCGGGTACTGAGAAAGCTAAGGGCCGCGCTGGATGGAACTGTCGCGTTCGCGTTGGATCATCCGTTCCATATCCCTGTCATCGCGCGGCAGCTGGCGAATGTGACCTCGAGGCTCAACGTGCCGGGAAAACACCGATGTGTAACCTGCGGAGGCACTTGCAATGATACGCACGCAGAAATCATACGATGTGTGGACCAAGCGCTACCTTATCTGGCCCCGAAGGGTGTCACGCAGCTGATGGCGTTATACTTGCCCTGCCGCAACCCGCATATGCAAGGCACCCTGCGCAATATAGAACTGAGAGGCGCCTTTATTATGTTCTGCGCGATCATCTCAGATGTCGAAAATAAGGCCGAAATATGTTTTGAGGTGGCCAAAAGATTGAGAAGGACGAACAAGGGCCGCATGCCATTGAATAATGGAGATGAGGCATTTGTGAAATTCTTCAATTTAGGCGACGTAGAAAGATGCAATATCGCTAGTGGGTCTATAGAAATGCCCCTTTATGAAGTGACCATACGGGATGTATGTGAGGCCGTATGCGCCGTAAGTGAAGAGAGCCCTAATGGCGATTTACTCCTATACCTCGCGTATCGCAGACTCAACCAAATAGACATCGCAACAATCCATTCCAACGAAGTGAAAAGTGTTTGCAGGGTATTGTATGCTTTGAGTAAAAGCGGATACCTCGTGGAATGCAACAGCAAATTGGTCTGCAGCATAGTCGAAAAACATGCTCGCTCCATGAATGCCAGAGACATATCTTGCATTATTCAGGCAATTAAATTTAGCGATGAAGCTGCGCTTATTCCCCTTCTACGGCGAATACAAGCCATCGTGGGCGAAGCACAAGAACAGAGTGCAGTCGGTGTCAAGTCGGCCTCTGTCCTCATCTCTAATCTAGCGAATATTGCTCATGAGGAAAATGTTGAGTGCCTTCACACACTCAAGAAATGCGCAGAAGCAATGGTAGATAACGTCAAACGAGACGCGGCAACCATCGGTCAGCCTGAAACATTTACGGCCATAGTCATTGCACTGGGGAAGCTGCAAGCATTCCGATATAACCAGGAAATATACCGATGTTTCGAAATTCTAACTGGCCACATTCTGGAGAATCAGCTGCTTTGGATGCGGACAGGGCGCATTTACGACCTGAATAAATTGCTTAGTATCCTCGCAGCTATCCGGCCACAAGCTAAAGGCGATAAATACATTCAACGCAAGCGTGCGCCGAGTATTTGTGTTGAGGAAACATCAGAGAATGTGCTTCTATCCGGCTTGGAAATGGTCATAAAGCGCCTGTCAGAGCTGTATGTGGCCGGCCTAGGGAGGCTCAACTCCCGCGCCGAGGGAGTCGACGACACCCTCATAAGAAACCTCTGCCATTTTCTGGAAATATACCGGGCACACGACCTATGCGGTGTCCTAAGTTTGGGTGACGAACTGAATCGTGAACTGCTTCGCACACTCTCCGACAGGCACGATTACATGAAACCAGTTGACGTTATCGAACTTGTGCTTTATTTGCAGACAGTGGATCCCCAGGATGCAAATCTTAGAACGATGCAGGCAGCTGCGATAAAAAGAGCAGAGACAGACGCCAACGTTGACGAACGTCAATGGGGGCGGATACGCAGACTCGTTTCTCCACGGAAACAGTAATAAACAATATGACATACATGCAACTGTCGAAATGCACATTAGCTCTTTATGTTCCGCCCCTGAATAGGGTAGCTGAAAAACGGTTCCGAAACCTCCTTGAGAACCTTAACGCAAGTTTGCTGAAGCTTTCCCGTGTAGGTGTCGCGCAGTTTGTCGAATAGCTTGGCCCCGGCAAGAGGCGTGCGATGGCACTTGTCCGGGTTCTCAAATGCCTCTATCAAGTGATAGCCATCCAACCTTTACAACAATAATCGGATCTGAAAAGCGAAAACGTACTTGTATTCCATGTAGTTGCGATGTTTCATGGGCACAAAGTCGTTGTGTAACTCGACGTCATCGCGAGCGTGCTTATACATCTCGTCAATCGCAGAACGGTCTATCTCTACTACCTTGCGATCCTTGCCTACACAGCGATATAAGGTGGAAACTCAAAAAACCTGCCTACGCGGATGCGCTGGATGCCGGTCTTACCGTACAGCAACGAAACGGCCGGATTCCGCTTCGGCAAGAGATTCAACATCGTTCGTAAATTGTATCCAAACTTATAGTCTTATTAACATGGTTAACATCGCTTGATAGGTGATGCCTCCCTCGGTTTACAGGTATCCGCACGCTACACGCCACGGGCTGTTTGGGGGTCGATAAGACACACACACTGTTACATGAGTCTGTCACGCATTTCTGCTATATGACTTTTATGATGGGTGGTTTTTTGCCAGCGTCATGAGGACTACTCATCCCTTAGACGTATGCCTGCGCTTTCATCCTACGTGCCATTAACCCAGCTACGACACGCGGGGGACACGTTAACCATTCAGTATGCTGCTGAAGCACTATCAATACAAATTACATCCGATAAATTGTTTAGAAGAAGGTGTCACCCTGCTCCAATAGAGGAAGCTCGCTGTTCGCCTTGATCTGCTTGTCGATGTTGTCGAAAAACTCGTTCATGCTGTTGTGGAACTTTTCAGAGAGCTGCAATATGTTATTAGTGTTGAGAATAAATATGGAATTAAAATGGGCAAGCATTTCGATACGCAGACCAAAGGACATTACTCAAATAAAATGACAAAAAAACAGCCGTAACTGTGAAGCTGTTATGATTACACTCAGTAGATGAATATAAGCAGATTTCAGCGCGATACAGAGCCTGGAATCCAGTACCACTTTACACCTTTACCAACAGACCAAATACATACCTTATTAAAAAAATCTCCAATGACGTCCAGAGCGCAACCAGGAGCATCAGTATTCTCAGTTGTCGCTGGAAGGCTACCCATCAACAAAGGCTTATGCTGTTGCTTCACAGAATCCTTGCTGTTGACCTTTTCGGAGGCCTTAACGTCAGCGATGCGGGTATGTGTCGTGGCTCCAGCGCCATCAACTTCGAAGTGGTGATAGTCGCCGTCATCATCGTCTTCGTCCTCATCATCTGCATCGCTGTCCATGAGAGATATGTGCGAAGGTGTCGCCATCAAGCGAGCCATATCATTTTGTAGGTACTTCCTTCTCGACACGCCAGATAGCTGGCGGAGAGGTGTTGCAGCATTTTTACCGTCGATAATTGAGTCGATGTCGCAGGCGGCAGGGGTGCACAGCAGCGCCGCGAAGATGCTGAAGACAAGATAGTAGACGTGGAAGGTCATTGTAGCAAGCCGAAATAAGCAACTTCCACAATGCAAGAATATTAAGTATCTATGCAGATTTCAAATAACTCGGCGTGTGCACATCAATAACCGCAGCACGTCGCTAGGCAAGATTCTCTATGGAATCACACCATGAGAATAGAAGAAGCGCCAATCTGATAACAGCGGATTCCTCCAATATCAACCGTTCTGTATACGTGCAAATGCTACTAGATATTCAAAATGTCCTGATGGTCGCTCAATTTCGGGTTTTGAACGGAGGTTAGACAGTGGAATCCCAGACCAGCGTGTGGGGAATGACAAGGCTCATAATACGCGACACAATGACCAATACTGGCCACAAAACCCATACACATGAACCACAATGCTGCTTCTTCAAATATAACGCTCTCTGCCATCTTGTTGGCAGGTAGGCGGCAAAGTAAGACTCGCCGGCGGCACGGCAACACGTCGCCGCGACGTGCATAGAAAAAACTCACATTGTTCCATACATATCCTGAATGTGTGCCGTATGGTACCATAAGGGAACACGACGCTGTGGCGCATTGCACGGTTCTAGCGTAATCTCAACGGTTAAAACGCAGAGTCATTCGCCGTCTCTCTGTGACATGCTATGAGATGGCAACACACACATTTTCTCATAAGTGTTATATTTGACGGGAATGGCGGGATGCGTAGTCAGCGTGTCGCAAGAGCTGTGTACAGCTTGGAGAGCGAGCTGCGACTGAGCTGCACAAATAGTCTTGCGAATAACACTCATTGGATAAGAAAGAACGCCTGTGTTCGTGTTCATATCGCGAGGGAAGTGCGGGAGGGATACTATGTGGACTCGGAAGCGGTAAACGTGTCGGCACACCTGGCCATAAATCACACGAAGAACGCGACAGGAGCTGCATATTTCTAAACATTAAATCGGGAATTTGTAAATAGAATCATAGGAGTCAGTGTACTGAGCGGCGACCATGTCCCTGCACTGGCGTATACGCGCCAGTTACTAGGTGCACCCTTCACCGCAAGTGTTCGCAGGGCAGAATCAGCTGTACCCGCTCTTTTATTTGAGCATAAAAATATTAAAACGGATTATAACACCAATAACCTGCGAGTTGTTACGTTGGTGTTGTACCGGTGAGTTGCCTCCTACCAGACGACTGAGTGCTTCGCTTTCTGCCCTCACCTCACGCACGCGCGGCTTTGGTAGCCGTGATCATGCGCTCAGTGAAACGCAAAGGCAATACATGCGGCCGTAAGAGAATTTGTGCATACGTGTGTAGCGATTCAAGTGAACTACATGTTAACTTTGTGGTGTCTAGGTTCCACATAGCACGTGGACCTACGCCAGTGATTGTGATGTTACAACGGAAAGCCATTAGTCGATGCGCCCATAATGTTACTGCAGGATGCCATCATGTCATAGTGTGGATAGCACGCTCCACTCGTTTCACGGGGTAACTCAATTCACGTCGCCGATATAATGGACGTAACTAAATCCAGTGGCACCGAAAACACATGCACGGACCCAGAGAGGGTTCAAAAATATGCCGAACAACCATTTACACTGGACAATAAGCAGGAATCGTTATACGAGTGCCCCACTTCCGCGTGTTCAATCGCATCCGTTGGCGCCCAGCAAGATGCCTACGGCAACCTAAACGCAGCCATTTTCAATGCCTACAGTCTCGATAGCTCGGATGACGAGTCGCCAGTAACACAGGAACCTTACTACTCGGGGAAAACGCCTTCCATCGAAGGAGCGACGAATTTCGCAACATCGGAGGAAAAAGGATCCACATCATTAACCTATCAGCAGGTAGTGGGAGGTTATTTTGCAGGCTCGCCTGGAACCCTGTTGATGGGTACGGGAACTCTCTCTGAAAGGCCGAGGAATTTCATACCGGAATCAACAATGGGTGATGCTGCGCCACTGACGCAAGACATTACAGAGGGTCCAACAGTTGTTATGACACCGCGCTCGTCGCGGTGTGGGACTATGGAAGCAAATGTATTAAATCCAGGTGTGTCGACAAAAGACCTAGGCAGCGAATTGCCTGTCATAAGGGAATGTCACACGCCAATGAGTGTACAACAAGGCACTCCTCTGTCGCGTATTAGTGCGTCGACATCCCCGGCCGTAAAAGATTATTCGCGTGCGGTGGAATGCGGAAATACCTCAGAAACATCATTCATCCACGAGGGTTACGACACTATACAGATACCCAGGTACAGGCCCGTGGAAGTTGTGGACAAGGTGGTTGAGGTGCCGATTGTACATCACGTAGATACGTACGTGCCTAAAAAGGAAATTCAGGAAATTGAGAGCTTCGTGAAGAAGCCGTACACAAAATACGTTGATAAATTCGTAGAGGTGCCTGAAGTGCATTACAGTGATAAAATAGTAGAGGTACCCGAGTACCACGAGGTAACTAAAACAGTTACCAAAGTAGAACTACAGGAACGCATCAAGTATGTACCCAAGGTAGAAGTGAAAGTCGTTCCCAAGTACGTAGAAGTGCCTGTTATAAAGATTGTCGATAGATATGAGGAATACGAAGAGGTAAGTGTATGTCAACATCAATACACAATTTGCAGGTGGAGGAAATTATTAAGGAGGTTGAAAAGGTCGAAATCGTGGATGTTCCAAGGGAGGTTGTGAAGCACGTAATAAAACCGGTGAAGAAAATCATAGAGCAGGAACGCATCATACCAGTGAATAAGGTAAGAGGCAATTCCATGTGTTCACACAACAACTTCAGCATCGCGATGTACCTGTGGAAAAGGTTAAATTCGTCCCCAAAATCGAAACGGTCGAAGTCATCAGAGAGGTGCCTAAAGTTGTAGACGTTCCAGTGCCTTACAAAGTCCACAAAATCGAATATGTAGATAAACCGTACATTGTTCCAGAATACCGCGATGTCCAAGTCGGGGTGCCAGTCAGGAAGAGGGTGACGCCAATATACCGCTATGAGGGAGAACCTGAGATCATTGACCTCCCGGTTCACAAGCCCTACTTCGTTATACACGACCACATTGCTTTCAAACCAGCTGCTCAGCCTGTTTCCGAAAAAATCAAGGTGGTAGGATCTCGTCCCATCGATCTAAATACCCTAACTAAGGAGGATAGATTAGATGCGCAAGAACGGATGCAAAACGCTATCAATCAAAGGCCATTGGAACATCACAAGGAATGTCACGAAATATATCACGTGAATACGCAACTCCCTATGGCCACCCCTAATGATCGAGAATTGGGCGAGTGTGCCTCGCAGCCCCGACACGGGCAAATTGGAATGCCAATTACTCATGAAAAGCAGTTCTCTAAACCTCAGTTTGGTACACCTGAGATGCTTTCAAGCAATAGTAATAGGCCAAATGTACCAATGGAGGCCATCATTTATATGAGGTCCCCAAGAGGACACTTATCGCCCATGTCAGATGGCGGCGCGATGGATGTCTATCCCCATTCTAGCAATAACACACCAAGAATGGCCAATTAGATGCATATAGTGTTCTAATTTTTGTGAGCACATCTGTATCAATACGACGTATGCCACACTCGATTAATCTTTTTTAGAGTGCTACGTGGCTTAGGGCCGATTTTCGTGTTTACCAGGCAAGCGCCTTAGGCTGCTGGTGTCATCCGTGATGGGTAGGCGGGTTGGTCGGCGGAAGGTTTTCATGCACCTAACCAGACATGGCAGAACCTTGAAACGTATCTGCTCTGTCGATGCTGTTCCTAGAGGATCCCCGGCGCAGTACACATGGCATGTGCTTAATGTAAACGTACAGACCACGGACCCGTACATGCAAGGCTGCGGCGTCACATACGCATCAGACGAGTTGTTCAAGCCTGAGACACCCCAAATCTACGATGCCAACGGACAACCTCAGTTCGGTTGCAAGATTGACATTCAGGCTGCCAAGGAGGCTGCGTTCTACTGCCCAGCGCCGTATCTCCTGGACCCACCCAACTGCTTTAGGCAAGTATTAGTGGACGGTACCGTGAAGAACACGCACGATCTTAGCGATTCGTTGGTAGCGTCGCGATCTAACCACTTCGTCATACTGAGCTTCGACAGCTCACTCGTAGGGCCCGGGAGACGTTGCACCAGACGCCGCCGTTGGAGTGCCGCTGCGTCACCGTCAAGGGCGCCATACTCTCCACCATACAGATCGAGAATTACTACTCCAAACGATGAATATATCAGATCTAATAATTAACTGGTCAATAAGACAATTGTTTTCATTGTTTATGATAAGTGATGTATCCACCGTGGTAGCATGGCTTTCGGGCAGGTCGTCAGAATTGCGGTGGGGAAACTCATCGGCTTACTTTGGTGTTATCACCGATGTTTGTGACTTGTATGAATGGTAAGTATCCAATCGGCAAGATGAACTGTAAATATGTGTCTTCATACCTTTATTGAGCATTTTGAGCTGCCGTGACGTAGAAGTTGCAGTATGAGCCTCTTCAGCTATGTTCATAAGTTAAAACATTGGCAATGCCCTCAACACGCATGAATGGATATTACGTGATGCGTACCAGTGACATTCGCTTATTTCACTAATGTTGGCAATCGACCACGGCGACACCTTGTGACCACGTTAGCCGGCAGGTGGGGAGGCATACATATATGCCTTTATCTACTCCCTAGATGTGTACAAATCACCCCATCATGTGCTTTACAGAGCTACAATAAATCATACCGACATTTCGGAAGTGCGCGTTTCAAGATGTCATCGGACCCAGCGACATAGCCCGCAGCTTGATGGGAGGGGTGAGGGAGAAGGAGCGAACGCTTCATACTGGGCTATTAAACATCAGGAAGGTGATTTGAATGTCGTAAATAAAGCAAATTAATGATATGGGCGAACGATATTAGGCGAGGAAATTCAATGAGGAGCCAGATGTCATTGGGGCAGGGATGTGAGGCCTAATGTCAGATTGAGTGGTTCTATGTTAACATAATGACGGCATGGAAGATGGGTCTATTGCGTTGGATTGCACGTCAATTGAGAGGTTTACGCGGTCAATCGAAATGAGAAATGTTGCTGGGTGGATGGCAGAGTACCACGTTCTTATACGGGTAGGAGAGGGGGGTATGTAAATCACGTAAAGCAGCAAAAACGATCGGAGCTTCGCAATGCCAGACATATGCCTTGTGAGAAAAGACACATACACCCTTAGTAAATGAAATTGTGAACGGTGCATTCATATCATGTTGATGACATAAAAGCGGTTCATGGTTTCTGCACGTGAAATCTGTGTAACACATGATATACGAGCTATTTTAGCATGTTTGTACAGTATGTGTTGTGTATACTGCCGTTTCTAGTTGAGGATATCCTGATTCTTCCATCATATATAAATCCACGTTTACCTCGTCTACATTACCTTCATAGCTATAACGAATTTTAGCACAATAAGCACAAAACTCACCTTGAGGCATATCTATAATATGCCGTAGATCCAACGGCAATAAGAATAAATAAACCAAATATCCCTCCAGCCAACTTAATACCATTTGAAATCCCATGCAAAGATAATGCATCATCAGATTCTGCATACCACGCCTCCATATATGGTATTAAATCACCTTCTAGCATGATAGTGCTGTCCACGGAATCCTCCATCCTTAAATGAAGCGCCTCATCGGTATTCTGGTGAACTTGTAAGTTGGGGTCCTGTCTATTTGCCGGGTGTTGACCTGGACCGTGGGCATTCGCTGGTCTCACGACTTGCTGGGCAGGTGGGCCGTGAACAATTGCATCCACTGGTCTTGCAGTTTCTTGTGGTCCGCGGGCGTGTGGATCTGTGTGATTTGCCGGGTGTTGACCTGGACCGTGGGCATTCGCTGGTCTCACGACTTGCTGGGCAGGTGGGCCGTGAACAATTGCATCCACTGGTCTTGCAGTTTCTTGTGGTCCGCGGGCGTGTGGATCTGTGTGATTTGCCGGGTGTTGACCTGGACCGTGGGCATTCGCTGGCCTATCGGTATTCTGGTGAACTTGTAAGTTGGGGTCCTGTCTATTTGCCGGGTGTTGACCTGGACCGTGGGCATTCGCTGGTCTCACGACTTGCTGGGCAGGTGGGCCGTGAACAATTGCATCCACTGGTCTTGCAGTTTCTTGTGGTCCGCGGGCGTGTGGATCTGTGTGATTTGCCGGGTGTTGACCTGGACCGTGGGCATTCGCTGGCCTATCGGTATTCTGGTGAACTTGTAAGTTGGGGTCCTGTCTATTTGCCGGGTGTTGACCTGGACCGTGGGCATTCGCTGGCCTATCGGTATTCTGGTGAACTTGTAAGTTGGGGTCCTGTCTATTTGCCGGGTGTTGACCTGGACCGTGGGCATTCGCTGGCCTATCGGTATTCTGGTGAACTTGTAAGTTGGGGTCCTGTCTATTTGCCGGGTGTTGACCTGGACCGTGGGCATTCGCTGGTCTCACGACTTGCTGGGCAGGTGGGCCGTGAACAATTGCATCCACTGGTCTTGCAGTTTCTTGTGGTCCGCGGGCGTGTGGATCATGTTGTCTCGTATGTTGCATGTTACCATTCGGTGGATGTGTTTGGTGGTATGGTGTTGTATAGGGCTGATCTTGTCCGGGCGACGCATGTGTTTTTGTTTGAAGCTGTGCCCCTGCATCGTCCACAAAGATTAGGTTCACATCTTTAGGTGGCGGCCCCGCATTTGTATCGACAATGAGATTCACGTTATCAGGGATCGGTCCCGAATTTTTCCCTACAACGATATTCGCCGTACGACCAAGAGGTCCCGATGTTGGACCAATATAGACATCTGCCGTTACAGAAGATTTTGCACCCGCCGTCTCCTGGGATCGTGAAACACCCTGCGCATTTCGATCAAGAGGCCTCGCAGTTTCTTGTGGTCCGCGGTCTTGTGGATGAGTAGTAGGAGTGGGCTTGTTTCCGCTGTTTATTTTGCTCGGAGTTGGTCTTTTACTATGCTGATCAGAACGGGCATATGCATCAGCCGGGCTTGAATTATATTGAGCAGCGAAAGCACTACTATCAAGTGGTGGCGGAGGTTTGTTTCCACCGTGTAACATAGAATTCGCTGGTCTCACGACTTGCTGGGCAGGTGGGCCGTGAACAATTGCATCCACTGGTCTTGCAGTTTCTTGTGGTCCGCGGGCGTGTGGATCTGTGTGATTTGCCGGGTGTTGACCTGGACCGTGGGCATTCGCTGGCCTATCGGTATTCTGGTGAACTTGTAAGTTGGGGTCCTGTCTATTTGCCGGTTGTTGAGGTGTACTGTGGGCATTCGCTGGCCTATCGGTATTCTGGTGAACTTGTAAGTTGGGGTCCTGTCTATTTGCCGGGTGTTGACCTGGACCGTGGGCATTCGCTGGTCTCACGACTTGCTGGGCAGGTGGGCCGTGAACAATTGCATCCACTGGTCTTGCAGTTTCTTGTGGTCCGCGGGCGTGTGGATCTGTGTGATTTGCCGGGTGTTGACCTGGACCGTGGGCATTCGCTGGTCTCACGACTTGCTGGGCAGGTGGGCCGTGAACAATTGCATCCACTGGTCTTGCAGTTTCTTGTGGTCCGCGGGCGTGTGGATCTGTGTGATTTGCCGGGTGTTGACCTGGACCGTGGGCATTCGCTGGTCTCACGACTTGCTGGGCAGGTGGGCCGTGAACAATTGCATCCACTGGTCTTGCAGTTTCTTGTGGTCCGCGGGCGTGTGGATCTGTGTGATTTGCCGGGTGTTGACCTGGACCGTGGGCATTCGCTGGTCTCACGACTTGCTGGGCAGGTGGGCCGTGAACAATTGCATCCACTGGTCTTGCAGTTTCTTGTGGTCCGCGGGCGTGTGGATCTGTGTGATTTGCCGGGTGTTGACCTGGACCGTGGGCATTCGCTGGCCTATCGGTATTCTGGTGAACTTGTAAGTTGGGGTCCTGTCTATTTGCCGGTTGTTGAGGTGTACTGTGGGCATTCGCTGGCCTATCGGTATTCTGGTGAACTTGTAAGTTGGGGTCCTGTCTATTTGCCGGGTGTTGACCTGGACCGTGGGCATTCGCTGGTCTCACGACTTGCTGGGCAGGTGGGCCGTGAACAATTGCATCCACTGGTCTTGCAGTTTCTTGTGGTCCGCGGGCGTGTGGATCTGTGTGATTTGCCGGGTGTTGACCTGGACCGTGGGCATTCGCTGGTCTCACGACTTGCTGGGCAGGTGGGCCGTGAACAATTGCATCCACTGGTCTTGCAGTTTCTTGTGGTCCGCGGGCGTGTGGATCTGTGTGATTTGCCGGGTGTTGACCTGGACCGTGGGCATTCGCTGGCCTATCGGTATTCTGGTGAACTTGTAAGTTGGGGTCCTGTCTATTTGCCGGGTGTTGACCTGGACCGTGGGCATTCGCTGGCCTATCGGTATTCTGGTGAACTTGTAAGTTGGGGTCCTGTCTATTTGCCGGGTGTTGACCTGGACCGTGGGCATTCGCTGGTCTCACGACTTGCTGGGCAGGTGGGCCGTGAACAATTGCATCCACTGGTCTTGCAGTTTCTTGTGGTCCGCGGGCGTGTGGATCTGTGTGATTTGCCGGGTGTTGACCTGGACCGTGGGCATTCGCTGGCCTATCGGTATTCTGGTGAACTTGTAAGTTGGGGTCCTGTCTATTTGCCGGGTGTTGACCTGGACCGTGGGCATTCGCTGGCCTATCGGTATTCTGGTGAACTTGTAAGTTGGGGTCCTGTCTATTTGCCGGGTGTTGACCTGGACCGTGGGCATTCGCTGGTCTCACGACTTGCTGGGCAGGTGGGCCGTGAACAATTGCATCCACTGGTCTTGCAGTTTCTTGTGGTCCGCGGTCTTGTGGATGAGTAGTAGGAGTGGGCTTGTTTCCGCTGTTTATTTTGCTCGGAGTTGGTCTTTTACTATGCTGATCAGAACGGGCATATGCATCAGCCGGGCTTGAATTATATTGAGCAGCGAAAGCACTACTATCAAGTGGTGGCGGAGGTTTGTTTCCACCGTGTAACATAGAATTCGCTGGTCTCACGACTTGCTGGGCAGGTGGGCCGTGAACAATTGCATCCACTGGTCTTGCAGTTTCTTGTGGTCCGCGGGCGTGTGGATCTGTGTGATTTGCCGGGTGTTGACCTGGACCGTGGGCATTCGCTGGTCTCACGACTTGCTGGGCAGGTGGGCCGTGAACAATTGCATCCACTGGTCTTGCAGTTTCTTGTGGTCCGCGGGCGTGTGGATCTGTGTGATTTGCCGGGTGTTGACCTGGACCGTGGGCATTCGCTGGCCTATCGGTATTCTGGTGAACTTGTAAGTTGGGGTCCTGTCTATTTGCCGGGTGTTGACCTGGACCGTGGGCATTCGCTGGCCTATCGGTATTCTGGTGAACTTGTAAGTTGGGGTCCTGTCTATTTGCCGGGTGTTGACCTGGACCGTGGGCATTCGCTGGCCTATCGGTATTCTGGTGAACTTGTAAGTTGGGGTCCTGTCTATTTGCCGGGTGTTGACCTGGACCGTGGGCATTCGCTGGTCTCACGACTTGCTGGGCAGGTGGGCCGTGAACAATTGCATCCACTGGTCTTGCAGTTTCTTGTGGTCCGCGGGCGTGTGGATCTGTGTGATTTGCCGGGTGTTGACCTGGACCGTGGGCATTCGCTGGTCTCACGACTTGCTGGGCAGGTGGGCCGTGAACAATTGCATCCACTGGTCTTGCAGTTTCTTGTGGTCCGCGGGCGTGTGGATCTGTGTGATTTGCCGGGTGTTGACCTGGACCGTGGGCATTCGCTGGCCTATCGGTATTCTGGTGAACTTGTAAGTTGGGGTCCTGTCTATTTGCCGGGTGTTGACCTGGACCGTGGGCATTCGCTGGTCTCACGACTTGCTGGGCAGGTGGGCCGTGAACAATTGCATCCACTGGTCTTGCAGTTTCTTGTGGTCCGCGGGCGTGTGGATCTGTGTGATTTGCCGGGTGTTGACCTGGACCGTGGGCATTCGCTGGCCTATCGGTATTCTGGTGAACTTGTAAGTTGGGGTCCTGTCTATTTGCCGGTTGTTGAGGTGTACTGTGGGCATTCGCTGGCCTATCGGTATTCTGGTGAACTTGTAAGTTGGGGTCCTGTCTATTTGCCGGGTGTTGACCTGGACCGTGGGCATTCGCTGGTCTCACGACTTGCTGGGCAGGTGGGCCGTGAACAATTGCATCCACTGGTCTTGCAGTTTCTTGTGGTCCGCGGGCGTGTGGATCTGTGTGATTTGCCGGGTGTTGACCTGGACCGTGGGCATTCGCTGGCCTATCGGTATTCTGGTGAACTTGTAAGTTGGGGTCCTGTCTATTTGCCGGGTGTTGACCTGGACCGTGGGCATTCGCTGGCCTATCGGTATTCTGGTGAACTTGTAAGTTGGGGTCCTGTCTATTTGCCGGGTGTTGACCTGGACCGTGGGCATTCGCTGGTCTCACGACTTGCTGGGCAGGTGGGCCGTGAACAATTGCATCCACTGGTCTTGCAGTTTCTTGTGGTCCGCGGGCGTGTGGATCTGTGTGATTTGCCGGGTGTTGACCTGGACCGTGGGCATTCGCTGGCCTATCGGTATTCTGGTGAACTTGTAAGTTGGGGTCCTGTCTATTTGCCGGGTGTTGACCTGGACCGTGGGCATTCGCTGGCCTATCGGTATTCTGGTGAACTTGTAAGTTGGGGTCCTGTCTATTTGCCGGGTGTTGACCTGGACCGTGGGCATTCGCTGGTCTCACGACTTGCTGGGCAGGTGGGCCGTGAACAATTGCATCCACTGGTCTTGCAGTTTCTTGTGGTCCGCGGGCGTGTGGATCTGTGTGATTTGCCGGGTGTTGACCTGGACCGTGGGCATTCGCTGGCCTATCGGTATTCTGGTGAACTTGTAAGTTGGGGTCCTGTCTATTTGCCGGTTGTTGAGGTGTACTGTGGGCATTCGCTGGCCTATCGGTATTCTGGTGAACTTGTAAGTTGGGGTCCTGTCTATTTGCCGGGTGTTGACCTGGACCGTGGGCATTCGCTGGTCTCACGACTTGCTGGGCAGGTGGGCCGTGAACAATTGCATCCACTGGTCTTGCAGTTTCTTGTGGTCCGCGGGCGTGTGGATCTGTGTGATTTGCCGGGTGTTGACCTGGACCGTGGGCATTCGCTGGTCTCACGACTTGCTGGGCAGGTGGGCCGTGAACAATTGCATCCACTGGTCTTGCAGTTTCTTGTGGTCCGCGGGCGTGTGGATCTGTGTGATTTGCCGGGTGTTGACCTGGACCGTGGGCATTCGCTGGTCTCACGACTTGCTGGGCAGGTGGGCCGTGAACAATTGCATCCACTGGTCTTGCAGTTTCTTGTGGTCCGCGGGCGTGTGGATCTGTGTGATTTGCCGGGTGTTGACCTGGACCGTGGGCATTCGCTGGTCTCACGACTTGCTGGGCAGGTGGGCCGTGAACAATTGCATCCACTGGTCTTGCAGTTTCTTGTGGTCCGCGGGCGTGTGGATCTGTGTGATTTGCCGGGTGTTGACCTGGACCGTGGGCATTCGCTGGCCTATCGGTATTCTGGTGAACTTGTAAGTTGGGGTCCTGTCTATTTGCCGGGTGTTGACCTGGACCGTGGGCATTCGCTGGCCTATCGGTATTCTGGTGAACTTGTAAGTTGGGGTCCTGTCTATTTGCCGGGTGTTGACCTGGACCGTGGGCATTCGCTGGTCTCACGACTTGCTGGGCAGGTGGGCCGTGAACAATTGCATCCACTGGTCTTGCAGTTTCTTGTGGTCCGCGGGCGTGTGGATCTGTGTGATTTGCCGGGTGTTGACCTGGACCGTGGGCATTCGCTGGCCTATCGGTATTCTGGTGAACTTGTAAGTTGGGGTCCTGTCTATTTGCCGGGTGTTGACCTGGACCGTGGGCATTCGCTGGCCTATCGGTATTCTGGTGAACTTGTAAGTTGGGGTCCTGTCTATTTGCCGGGTGTTGACCTGGACCGTGGGCATTCGCTGGTCTCACGACTTGCTGGGCAGGTGGGCCGTGAACAATTGCATCCACTGGTCTTGCAGTTTCTTGTGGTCCGCGGTCTTGTGGATGAGTAGTAGGAGTGGGCTTGTTTCCGCTGTTTATTTTGCTCGGAGTTGGTCTTTTACTATGCTGATCAGAACGGGCATATGCATCAGCCGGGCTTGAATTATATTGAGCAGCGAAAGCACTACTATCAAGTGGTGGCGGAGGTTTGTTTCCACCGTGTAACATAGAATTCGCTGGTCTCACGACTTGCTGGGCAGGTGGGCCGTGAACAATTGCATCCACTGGTCTTGCAGTTTCTTGTGGTCCGCGGGCGTGTGGATCTGTGTGATTTGCCGGGTGTTGACCTGGACCGTGGGCATTCGCTGGTCTCACGACTTGCTGGGCAGGTGGGCCGTGAACAATTGCATCCACTGGTCTTGCAGTTTCTTGTGGTCCGCGGGCGTGTGGATCTGTGTGATTTGCCGGGTGTTGACCTGGACCGTGGGCATTCGCTGGTCTCACGACTTGCTGGGCAGGTGGGCCGTGAACAATTGCATCCACTGGTCTTGCAGTTTCTTGTGGTCCGCGGGCGTGTGGATCTGTGTGATTTGCCGGGTGTTGACCTGGACCGTGGGCATTCGCTGGTCTCACGACTTGCTGGGCAGGTGGGCCGTGAACAATTGCATCCACTGGTCTTGCAGTTTCTTGTGGTCCGCGGGCGTGTGGATCTGTGTGATTTGCCGGGTGTTGACCTGGACCGTGGGCATTCGCTGGCCTATCGGTATTCTGGTGAACTTGTAAGTTGGGGTCCTGTCTATTTGCCGGGTGTTGACCTGGACCGTGGGCATTCGCTGGCCTATCGGTATTCTGGTGAACTTGTAAGTTGGGGTCCTGTCTATTTGCCGGGTGTTGACCTGGACCGTGGGCATTCGCTGGCCTATCGGTATTCTGGTGAACTTGTAAGTTGGGGTCCTGTCTATTTGCCGGGTGTTGACCTGGACCGTGGGCATTCGCTGGTCTCACGACTTGCTGGGCAGGTGGGCCGTGAACAATTGCATCCACTGGTCTTGCAGTTTCTTGTGGTCCGCGGGCGTGTGGATCTGTGTGATTTGCCGGGTGTTGACCTGGACCGTGGGCATTCGCTGGTCTCACGACTTGCTGGGCAGGTGGGCCGTGAACAATTGCATCCACTGGTCTTGCAGTTTCTTGTGGTCCGCGGGCGTGTGGATCTGTGTGATTTGCCGGGTGTTGACCTGGACCGTGGGCATTCGCTGGCCTATCGGTATTCTGGTGAACTTGTAAGTTGGGGTCCTGTCTATTTGCCGGGTGTTGACCTGGACCGTGGGCATTCGCTGGTCTCACGACTTGCTGGGCAGGTGGGCCGTGAACAATTGCATCCACTGGTCTTGCAGTTTCTTGTGGTCCGCGGGCGTGTGGATCTGTGTGATTTGCCGGGTGTTGACCTGGACCGTGGGCATTCGCTGGCCTATCGGTATTCTGGTGAACTTGTAAGTTGGGGTCCTGTCTATTTGCCGGGTGTTGACCTGGACCGTGGGCATTCGCTGGCCTATCGGTATTCTGGTGAACTTGTAAGTTGGGGTCCTGTCTATTTGCCGGGTGTTGACCTGGACCGTGGGCATTCGCTGGTCTCACGACTTGCTGGGCAGGTGGGCCGTGAACAATTGCATCCACTGGTCTTGCAGTTTCTTGTGGTCCGCGGTCTTGTGGATGAGTAGTAGGAGTGGGCTTGTTTCCGCTGTTTATTTTGCTCGGAGTTGGTCTTTTACTATGCTGATCAGAACGGGCATATGCATCAGCCGGGCTTGAATTATATTGAGCAGCGAAAGCACTACTATCAAGTGGTGGCGGAGGTTTGTTTCCACCGTGTAACATAGAATTCGCTGGTCTCACGACTTGCTGGGCAGGTGGGCCGTGAACAATTGCATCCACTGGTCTTGCAGTTTCTTGTGGTCCGCGGGCGTGTGGATCATGTTGTCTCGTATGTTGCATGTTACCATTCGGTGGATGTGTTTGGTGGTATGGTGTTGTATAGGGCTGATCTTGTCCGGGCGACGCATGTGTCGGTGCTCTTGGCATTTGTGGTTGTCTTTGTGTAAAGTGGGGGTGATGTTGTCGATGATGATCATGTTTTAAACGATTATCATGTAGTTGTATAAATCCACTCATAGCATTTTCTCCTAATGTCTGATCTGACGTTCGTGTTGTTTGGAGTGATTGATTCTCGTTTAGCCTGGACCTCATTGCTGAAAGTTCATCTTGTGTCGTGGATCTTTCGTAACTCGACTTGCTGGCATAATTTGCAACTTCTATAAGTAGTGGCGTTGATGATTCCTCCATGGGAATGCTTGAGCGTGAATTTATGGGATCAACATGTACGTCCTTTTGCTCTATGAGAGGGTGGTGTTTCCCCCAAACGATCTTCCCAGTTGTTTTACGGCATGGATCATGCATAGTGTTTCTAATAAACAGTGCATTTTTCGTTACATTCTCGTCCACAGTATCCATTATCTGATCATTCTGTCTAACGTTTGTTTCATCACCTCTCATCTTGGTACACCGCTTTATGTTACACGTGCTGATTCCTATGCCAATTGAATCGCACCCCCTTTCTTTCTTGAAAATTCCTTCATCAAAAGGCATGTCGGAAACTAGTTCCATCACAGGTTGCTGAGCATTGCCAACGCTATAAACTTCCCTGCTGTCTCCACATTGGGCGCACGGCCATATGTGCGCGGTGTCGTTTGCTTCTTTTCCGTCCATGATTTTAATGTCATTTTCTCCATATGCGGATATTATGAGCACCTTAGATGATGAATCCTTGTAAAACGTTTTTTTGGTGGCATTATTGTTAATTGTAGGCCATTGGCTCCGAGACGGACAACTTGTGCCATTACGTGTATCACATTCGGAACATTTTTGGTGGGTTCCACAGTATAACGCATTTGACAGATGCCTTTCATGATCGTTTCGTGACAAAAAGGGTTCCAATGATGGATTGGAATGTATATAACCCCGGCAGTCTGTAAAGATGATAAAAATGAATGATCGATGTTGTACCCAAGGTAAGGAGGACGCTCGTGACCCAGTAGATCAGGATCGCCTTACAGAGACTCACTGTTAGATACATTCTGCAAGCAATTATATTAAGTTTGACCATATCGATTTAATACTTTATTGTGTAATAAAACCCACGTTAACTGTTAAGGATTGAAAAATTTGTTCGACCTAAAAAGTGGTTTGTTATATCAAATGCAGCCACTGTTTGCTTGTTAACTATGCGTAAGTGCCATTTTACGGTGTCCCCTACCGTTGATTCAAAAGACTTGGTCTGAAACCATTATTGAGCCATTTTAGATGTATGAACAAAACTGGCGTTTAAAAATCAGAGAACGACAGATACTCCACCGAACGCTACGATGTTGTTAGACGCAAACCTCAGTTTGCATTGTACTGTGCTTTGGTTTGATGGCGTTTTGTGCTTTGTTACCTAGGGGACAATCGACTTAAGGAATTCGAAGCAAGCTGATCGTATGGCATGCGCATACAACGTTCCAAAAAAAACTCGCCACGAGTTGGCATTTCTAGTGTTGCTTAAGGAACATTTCGGGCTTGTCGGAATTATTGCCAACACGTCCCCACTGGGCTGCGATCTCTCCAACTTGCCAACACTTGCACAAGTGGGATTCTCTTGGTCTCTCCGGCTTTCCGATACCCCCAGCTCTGGGCACGACAATTCCGAGAGCCTATCCACACAGATCGGCTGCATGAGCCATACAGTCCACTGCCACTCACACTGCACGCCAGTTACATGCAGTGTCTACGCCCTCTACTGTCCGAGCCTCGGCCACACCTACCTCCACCGGACAGTCTACCTGTACCACTGACTCCAAGAAGCATTGGACACGTTGAATAGTTACCTAAAGAATCATGATGGCTCGAAGTGGACATCACTGCAACACTGTCCTGATGCGATGCTCCTCTACACTCACGGCCTCACCCCGCCGGAGGATACATCGCAGTCCTCACTCTCCTGTTCTAAGGTCACCGCCAAGCTGAAGGAAGTGGTCGCCGGGGAGCCTATCGCAGGCCTCATGACCGCCATGGACCTGTTCTTCCACAGAGTGCGGGAGCCTTTCATCTACACTGTGTTCACACTGTGGCCCACCGCCACGCTCTACATCCTCGGAGTACTCCTCCACCGCATGGACGTCCTTCGCATCCGCTCGCACCTCCTCACCATGAAGGTATCTCACAACATCGACATCAAGGCGCTGCTCTCCACCGGCCGCAGGATGCTCTCACTATATCACGACGTCGACAACTATACAGGAGGTAAAGTGAGAAAGTGATAATGAAAACAAGCATTTCATTTCTTAAGATTCGGCAAGTGCTATTCATCAGAGCACCTTGCTGATTACAAGTAACGGGATAATTTATAAATCATAAACGGCCAAAATTTAACACATTTAGTGACTAGTGGGGCGGGCTACCGCAATGGCAGACGGAAGCAGTCGCAATCTTATAAAACGGCACTTAAGCCACAACATATATGCTTACACGTGTTAAATCGCCACACAACTCATTTTCCCGCGAATTTTCAACTTTTGGCCAATTCTAGGCCATACTACAGTTAACGGAGGCACCCATATTTGGGTTTACCCGCATTAGGTTATGGATGCGTCATGTTCCAATAATCTGTGGAACGCACCAGATTAAATAACATTGTTAAATACTCGACGTGGCGACGCAATTGGCTTCTTCATTGATTCCAGCTCATAGATCGTTCAACACCTATGTTCCAGTACTTGATTAGTATATTACGCTCTGAGTCAGACATCTGAGGCATCCATTTTTTGGGTCGTTCACGGATTAATTGCCGCACATCTTCCACATCGTTCCATAGCTTTGCTTGAATACCGGCCAACATTGCCGCCCCTGCGCAGGTAGCCTCAGAAACAGCAGATTTTTCTGCATTAAGTGGCGTTTATGACAACTATATACCAACCTATTGGAGTATCTACTATGTCAGATATAAGTTGAAGTATTTCTTCATTTGCAGATATCCCTCCATCAACACAAATGTAGGGAACATTGTCTACCCCCATGTCGGTAAGCAACGATTGCAATATTTCACCGAGTTGGAAACCTATACTTTCGCAGAATGCTCTGATTATATGTTTCCTCTCAGTGTGTTGCGTCATGCCCATTATGCACGCCCTGGCGTCTCCCCTCCACCGTGGGGCAAGGAGACCAGAAAATGCAGGTACAAAAACCACACCTCCTGACGTGTGGCACTCTTTTATCACATTCTGTAGTCAAATGTACACTCACATAAGATTCGTATACACAACGATGGTGTCACATCTTACCGATATATCTGATGCTGCTTCTATAATTCCCATCGTCTTCAGCCAAGAAATTCCTGCCCCAACAATGGCGATGGAACCCTGCACGGGGTGTGACACAGATATAGCTAAATACCTCAAGAGCGAATACAGTTTGCGCCTCACTTCCCAGTTTGTAACAAGGTGTGCACAGTAACCCACCGGACGACTTTACCCTTTTCGTACCTGGAGCATATACAGTTTACAGATTTTGTATAACCCACCGGTATTAGTGAGCACGAATCCACCAGTACCTAGTGTACATTTGGTTGCACATGGCTCAAAAATGCCTTGCCCGACACACGCTGCCTGCTGATCTCCTATGGAGCTGGTCAATCTGACGTTCACAAAACCAGGCACATTAGGATTCGTTATAATACCAAACTCAGCGCAATTAGGCATTATTCTCGGCAAAACATCTACATTAAGGCGGAAAACCCTGAAATAAAGATTAAAATATTTGCATCCACCGTACCTCAACATCTGGGAACTCCACTTCTCCTTAACTATATCCATAAGCATTGTTCTGGAAGCATTTGTTACATCCGTAACATATTCTCCGGTGAGATTCTGTAAAATTATGGGCAGGGTCAATCTTGAATGATGGACTAACGTATATGATCCACGTGTCAATGGTCCCGAAGCGCACGCTTTTGGTCTCCACAGCTTCGTTGAACCAGGGCAGGTGCTTTGACATCCACATGAGTTTCACAGCTGTAAAATGTCCAGTTAGATTAGGGTATAAATGAATGACGTACCCGAAAAATATGAGTTGATTATGAGACCAGTTTTATCCATGAAAGCCGTCGCGGAACCGTGTTCGTGAATAAGATCGTCCGCTATTTCTTCAGCACGAATGTCGAGCCACACTGGGAATATTGTGTTGTCATGTAAGCGGCCAAATTACCAATGGCATTGTGCAGTGGTTTCCCCGTATGCGCATCCCAGGCGACGACCGTCTCCCTCTGGTTGGTGATACCCACTCCCATGATTTCGACGGCACCGTGCTACGTTCTAATGAAAACTGGGAAATAAACGTACATCGGCAGCTACCTTGCTAAGGGCCTCATTCATGGTGCTGTATACGCTCTCCATAATTTCCAACGGGTCATGTTCGCACCACCTAACTATTATAATCACAGACTGCGTGTTATGTTACCCTGATTTCGGATAGTACTGCTCGTGTTTCTTTGTCGAGATGGCAAGAACGTTCAAGGCTTCATCAAAGAACATGCATCTCGTAGACTGCGTCCCCTGGTCAATGGCTGCCACCACTTTGATACCGGTCCCCATTTTGTATCCGCCTACAAACATAGAATCTTCTATAGAAGGCTAATGTGCACGTAAGGTGGAATCTTGAGTTGCTTGTTTGCCTTGAAAGAAGCTCACAAGCTATGGTATCACTTTCTGCAGAATCGTGCCTGAAATATACTGTCCGCACGTCTGAATGGCTGTTCTAGTTCCCTTTCATTAGTAAATCGCTTTGCTTTGTAATAAATTGTACGTTTTGACGTGCAGTTCGGTATGTCTCACTCAGTTTCGAAGACGTACACCGATTTGTGCACGCCACAAACCGCAACGGTACGCATTTGGGCATATATGCGAACAAAACAACTTATAAGTGATCGGTGCATGTATGACTGCACAACACTTTGGCGGCTAGCAAACATAGACGCTGTTACACACCCACAGACGAACTTCTGGCCGCTAAACGCGGCAGGGACATGCGCACCGAAGACGTTAAAAAATACTACCGTTGGTAACGCTAATGCGATTTTCTAGAGGCTGTTAGCGGCGCACATTCGTGTACGCATTACCGTGATTTTCGACTTGCACGGAGGAGAGATTCCACACACTTCTAAAAATTGACAATACCATTGCACATTTTACCAAAATGCTTTGCACATACCATAGATTTGTACCTCTCGTCTATGGAAGAATGTGCAATTACAGATGTATTTTCCCGAAGTTACTACCAGCCGTGACCTTCTTCAGAATTCCGGATTCCGTCCGTCATTCATGATCATACTAATCTATCAACATTGCCGTGATTTCACACTTTCCAACTTACGATTGTGATAAGAATGGAGCTAATGATAAAACCGACGACCGTGCACCTGAAGGTTACGTTGTATGCACATTTTGTCTGCCATACCAAAAGAAGGTTACAGATACAAAAGAAGTCCACCAAACGTAAGGATTTGTTGACTGGCACGTTGTTGACATGGAAATCTACAGCTGTTGATCTGGATACCGTAGGTTGGCTTACGTTAATTGTGCCGACGGCCATCCACAAAAAGCTTGCAATTAGCAATACGATCTCTGTGATAAGCTGAAATAAGATTGGGCAAGTTACTGTGCGTGGCACTCACGCTCGATTTGTATCCAAAATGCTTTCTGACATGGTGAACACCAAGCGATGAAGGAAGGCTCTGAGGCAATCAATTGTTTCCGGCATCACAAGACCATACCAGCAGCAATCCTCCACCCAACCAGATATCTACTGACCATTAGTAGCATTTATTAAGATCACATACTCAAAGGGACGTCGCAATACTTGCCTGCGTTGAAGTACAAGAGTAAAATTATAATGGCATCAACTACCAAAAACGCGCTAAGCGTGGACACTATCTTCATACTTCCAGGGGTTTGTGCGTCTTCATGGGCTGCTAGTTCTCATGAAAAGTCCACAGTATTTTCCAGGGCTTGTAAAATGTGAAGGGTGTTTCAAGCGTACATTCGCCGATTCGTCGCAAAGCAATAGTCATTTACGACGACACATTGGTGTAATATATGCTATATAGTCGATAATATCGCGTTTTGTGACGTGTATGCCGTTATGCGGAATAGTCACCGAAATGGGCGTCGCTCGCCGCCGGCGACGAGGCCATAGACATCGCTGCCAATTGTACACATCACCAAGAGTCAATATAATATTTGTTTTGACCTCTAAACTATAGCATCTAAACGCCTTTCTACAACTCGGATGGGACCCATGGAGTCCTCGGTTCCCGCACGTTGTGTAGGATTCTAACGTAATAAGTTCCATCGCAATCTGCCTTGCGTGTGTCCTATGAGCCTATATGTGCTACGAAGTTCACTACATAGATGTGTCGTTATACGGTGTATTTAAAATTTAACCTTCTGAGCGGACCACGCTAAAAACATTAACCCAAAATACGCGCCTCTGGACGCCATACATCATTCACAGATCGTATCAGCCCTTAATACGTATGATTAGATTGATTGTTACCTGCCAACTCGTTGAAAGAGCACAACGTCCTGTTTTGAGGAATGACGTGGCGGTATGCTTTCAGATGCACATATTTTCTTTGCATCGCTATTTTCTACATATCCATTACAAACATCCAACCTTGCATAGATGATACCAACTGTAAGGTAACATGCTACAGATGCCGGTTTTGAAGTGTATTTTACTTTATGTTGCTACTAATTAGGCGTTTCGTGGCCAGGCCACGGGTGTACGACAGATTGTACGCGGCAAAAAATACAAAATACAGCTCGACGACTTTTCCTAGCTGATAATAGCAGGAGATAGATCATGAAATGAAATTATCAGTTCACTGAGTACCAATTTATACCTTCCGGCAACGTTTTGCTGCGTATGTTCGCCATGTCCTATTGGGAGCTCTGCGGCGCAAGCGTGACACTTTAAATCGTTAAATGTATACTTAGTACGTCACACCACCGTTACATATGTAGTTATCAAAAAATTAATATAAACAGAAGGTGCCTAGTGGGTGAGTCAGACAGTCCTCGTCGCAACGTGGCAGTGCTAATGGGATCGGCGAAAGATATTGGATTCATACCTTGCGCCTATCATTTGTTCGTATCTCCGAGCATTTGCTTCGGGGATACAAATTAAGGAATGATTTTGGCCTTATTCTGCGTGCGATAGATCATCATCGGCCGGGTCCATGCATTGGCGGTGCCCTATGACTCGATGATATACACGTACACACCCTAAGCCCTGATTTGCGTTTAGTGGCCCTCATATACCTCCGAGTAGTGCAGTTTCGCATAAAATCAGGGCCATTTGGTGTGAGAGTTAGCAGTTGCGGTGCCGTGCATTGGATGTTCCGATGGCAGCGGCGTCGTTGCACCTCATATAAGATGGGAGCCAGTTATTCCATTGCCCATGGTGTTAACGAAGACGTGGAAGTGTCTGATCGTAAAGGTAACATCTTAAAGGCGTCCGCCTACCGAGTAAGTCAGTGGGCCAGACGACCACCTGGGCCACGTACAGGCCGGACATTCTCAAGATTTCTCGCGAAGTGTCACCATATTGCAAGGCACATGATATGTACCACTACAGATACATCCCCTGAGGATGCCCGTAATCCCTGGGTGGCATACGACACTCTGAATCAGTCTGCGATGGCTCCAAGACTCAACCTCCCGGAGAAGCTCGACTTGAGTTACTTCGAGGTAGGTCCAACTGTTGGCACCGGATCATACGCATCCGTGTGCGTCGTTGGTTTGAAAACGGTGCCCGAGCCCCAACGGCCGACATTTGCACTGAAAGTCCTGCACAAGACCAAGGTCATCTCGGAACGTCAAGTGTTGCATCTGAGGAACGAGAAGCAGATCCTGTCGACGATCACTCATCCCTTTATTGTGCGTTACCTTGGCAGCTTTCAGGACGAAGTGAACGTTTACATGTTGCTTGAATACGTCTGCGGCGGCGAGCTGTTCAGTTACATCTACAAGTATGGCGCATTAGGCCACACCGTGGCCCGCTTTTACACCGCCCAGGCGGTGCTTGCCATCGACTTTCTGCACTCGAAAGGTATCGTATACCGGGATCTGAAGCCTGAGAACATGCTGTTGGACCGTTTTGGCCATATACGCCTTGTGGACTTCGGTTTCGCCAAAGAGGTGAAGAACAAGACCTATACGGTATGCGGAACTCACGACTATCTCGCCCCTGAGATATTTTTGCGCTGTGGCCACGGGGTGGAGGCTGATTGGTGGTCTCTGGGTGTTTTGGTCTACGAGTTACTGACCGGCGCTCCGCCGTTTCACGCCTCCGACCCCGTATCAACCTACGATTTGGCTCTGGAGAACCGCATCCTTTTCCCGCTTTCCGTAAGGAACGAGGTGAAGGACTTCATCCGTAGACTTCTTGTGGTGAATCCGCGCAAACGCCTCGGCACAGGCGGGAATGCCGGCATTTACTCCCATCGGTTTTTTCACGGCATCGACTGGATGAAGATGCTGGCCAAACAGTTGAAGCCTCCCATTGTGCCTCGTCTTAGTGGCGGTACCGACACAACCAATTATATGAAGTACAGCGACGACTGGAGGGCCTACAATGTCAAAATAACACCAGCACAGCAGGACGAAAATTTTAGCGATTTTTAGAGAACAGTTTGCATTTCACAATCTCTTGCGTTTTGCCGCCTCGTATTTGTTTTGGAATTTGTCCGGTCTTTTCCCGCCTTGCCGTTGTCCCTTATGCTTGAGTTTTTCCGAGACGACCTTGCGTAGCGCCTCTGCACAGAGGCTGTGCTTCGCGAGTGCGTCGTGTTCGCTGAGTTCCTGTAAATGCTGTACGCTAACATTGTGCATGATCTTACTGTGAATTCCTCCAGTTTTTTGTTCAGCGCGAGTTCGATGCGTTGGAAAAGCTCCACGTCGTACCTATGCAATATGATCCGTAGTTTGTGAGACGTACTGTGTGACGAAAGTAAGCGCCAATCCACACCTCCCTGCCCGGGCTGTGCGCCCTACTCTGTGTATGTAGTCCTTGGAGCTCTCAGGGATGTCGAAATTCAGGACCAGTTGCACCATGGGTAGGTCCAGACCGCGACCCCCAACCTCAGTGGCTACAAGCACTGTGGCGGAGCCTAAAGTGAGATAATTTGTGACGCAATGAGAATCTCACCTGTTTTGAAGATATTCAGAGCTTTTGAGCGCTCCACTTGTGACAACTTGCCATGCAGGCAAACCTGTTGCGCATGAGAGACAGTCGAGGGACAATTACGCTGCTAAACTTGAGAGCCTTCAGGTAAGCGGCACACCGCTGTGCACCGTCGCAGGTCTTGCAAAAGACCAACACGGTGCGATTGGCGTAATGCCAGAGGAGAGCCGCCAGGTATGTCCACTTGTGCTTCTGCGCCACTAGCAGGAATCGCTGATCCAGTTGTTGGGACGTGGTGTATTTGTCGTCCACTTGTACCTAACGGACATTATAATCGTTTGTCAACAATTGCGAAATTTGCAGCGACCTGTGCCGCACCGTGAACATACCGACACTGGGTCCTTCAGCGCCATCTTCTGTAGCTTGCTCAGCTTCTTGGTCATCGTAGCCGAGAAGAGAAACGTTTGCCGATCTCCCGGCATGGCCTAATAGTCAATTACGCGTCCACAAACGTGCCTACATGTATGATTTTGTCGAGTTCGTTATCGAAGTCCTGCGATAAGAGCCTGTCAGCTTCGTCTATTATAAGTTTCTTGACAGTGGCGAGTGAGAATCCCTTGGTGTTTTCAACATGGTCAGCGAGCCTCCCTGGAGAGGCAACAATGACGTGCGGTTTTTTTGCGAGTGCGATTGCTTGCGGCACCATGTCCATGCCTCCGATTATCACGCACACTTCCAGTGCGATGGCGGCGCCCAGTGCGCGAAACTGCTCTGCTATTTGTTCGCAAAGCTCCCTGCTAGGTGCGAGCACGACGCAGTAGAGCCTTTGGACATCGTTGAGCAGGTGATGGAGGACGGGTATCGTGAAGGCGCCGGTCTTACCCGACCCCGTTACCGCGAGGCCAATAATGTCACGCCCCGTTAATGCGTGAGGGATTGCAGCGACCTGTATAGGCGTTGGCACCTTCCATCCCACAGATTGGCAGGCCTTGCATATCTCAGGGCATACACCAAGCGACTCGAATGACTGGTCATCGCTCTCTGTCTGCTTCGGCACATCTGTAGAACCTTTTGCGCGTTCTAGCGGGGCCTGCAGGCGCGCCTTGAACTCATCCAGCACATCAATTCCCTCCGACGCCTCGGAGTCACTGCCTGGCTCCTGCATTATTGATTCCGTCTTTACGCGTTGCGCTGGTCGGCGTAACGCAAGCGGTGCGCATTCGCCAAAGGATTTAATAGACCCCCAATACAGATGGAAGCGTCCTGTTTGTGTGCGATAGATTCATTAAAAGATGTGTTTCTCGCAATGTTGCGTTACTTAGCTATATGATGCGCAGCATTGCGATTATGTTGGACTTGGAGTCGTTGTATGAGTTCAGCGCTTCGGCCCACCTAAGCGAAGGCTAACACTCCAAAACAGTTGCGCGCTATCTTGGGGGCACATTGGAGTGTCTACTTTCACATTCTTGCCCGTTTTGCAGAACGTCGTTCCGCGGTACAGAGCAGTGAAATGCGATCAACGCCGTGAAAAAGTGCAATCTCGCCATGTACCGGCATCTAGCCGTGTACAGAGTACACTTTGAGCTCGATGTGTAGCACAAGGAGCTTACGGCGAAGGCTCAGTGAGCTGATATAGTAGCAATGGTTGCCCTGGGCATCAGACGGTTCGCTTAGGTAGCAAGTTTGCGTTGAAGCCACGACTAAGCGCTCTACGTATCGCTGTCATTGCGTTGCGCCACGTACTCCCTTTGAACAGGGTGGCATTCTGCGAGCAAGTCATTCATATGCATCTACCCGCAAAATGGAGATTTATGCACAATTCCGGGGCATCCGGCACGTAGTGTGAACATTACCAACGATGCACGCACTAAAGCTGCACCTAACATGTAGAAGATAACCCGCAGTTCGCCCAGAGCCAAAATGTCGCCACGCGTGACAGCGCGGAGGCGGGAGTTGGTAGAGCGTCAAACCGCACGACAAAATACTTGCTAGCGTGACACGGAAACAGAGCAACACATTACTAAAACTATGACGTGTACCGTGACGGCCCAGCTGGCAACACCCACAAGGCGTCGCAAGCGGAAACGGCTGCCGGGAGAACAGGGCGCAAAACATTGTCGTTATATCTACGGATCACACAGCCACCACTGAAGCATATAGTCAAGAAAAAGTAACGTCAGTAAGCGCTGCATGTCGCCTGTTTTAAAGCAGTTTCGGGGGTCGTGATAAAGGGGATTCTTATGACGCATACCACGCGGATCTAAACATCCTGGCCCAGATTCCACTGAATTAACAATCACACAGCCTATTAGAGCCGTTTTTGCGGCGGAATATGTGTTAAAAAGGGGTTTAGAAGTGCTGTTCGGCTGGCACACCTACATCCTGCCGGCGGATTTCGTGAACCAACGCGCCATAATATTCCTCTAAAATTACACAGACAAAATGACCACGAGACGGTGGACATACGGCACGGGGTTCCTAGTCATCTGCGTCAAATCTCATGCGCAAGGCTATCCTTCCCCATGTTTAGCATGCACATGATCGCGCGGTAGGCTGCAGGTATGGTATGCTGTAGGGTCATAAGCGGAGGTTTTTGACGCAGGCGATTAGTCTTGTGGCAGGGAACTGGCCCGGATTGAAGTTCCGTTAATGGATTTTTTTATGAGTTAGATCTGCTATTCCGGGATGAGGAGCTTCCTTCTGCTTACGCTGTTGGCCGCCGCTTCGGCGGTCAGGGCTATCGTCCAGAGAACTGGAGCGAGTTTATATCATGATGTGGATAGTACATACATGCCTATGTTTACGGAGGAGCAATTGAGGAACCCTAACGTTGCCCCCCTGGATATTGCCAGTGAAAAGCACTTGAAAGATTATGTGTCAAGGAAGTTTGACTCCAAATGTGGTCGTGTTAGCAGGATTGTGCTCCATGCCCCTCTGGATGGTCTTTTCAAGACCATTTACTATGATGGTGAACCTCTCAACACGCCGCCTGCTTTCCTCAGTTATAAGGCTGTGGTTGACTATGTCGATGGCACCCCTACCTACGTGCGTCTTGAGGGTTTGGTGAGCCGTGGTGTGTATGGTGTAAGGTACTTCCTAAAGGGAGAGGCCTCCTTCACCATGGTTACTCGTCCTGACTTCATCAGGAGCAGGGCGTCCCATGGTACCTCTTACACGCTCGACCTTTACGCCGAGCCGGAGGACTTTGAGGAGAACAACATTGTGCGTGCCAACGAGAACTCTCCCCAAAAGATCGCTATCTACTACCCGAAGTTCAACCACTACGTTCAGGAGGTTATTGCTGGCACTAGGAAGTTGTGGATATACGATCCTCTGTCTGCTGAGGTCTGTTTGAAGATTATGACTTACACGTACGAAAACAAGAACTTCTGTGTCGTCCGTACTATGGATTGGAACGGTTTTATTGATGAGTATTTGTACGTGGAGGGTGCTGGTGGCTACAGCCGCGTCTCTCACAACCCGAAGGCTAGCTTTTACATTCACAGTGGTAACGAGGGCGAGGCAACTCAGGAGGCCGACCCTGAACTTTTCACTATGGTCCAAGTTGCGCCTCCTTCGGATGAGGAATCTGACCTTTTCAACGGCGCTAAGTTCATCAAGGTCAACGTGCGCGACACGCCCAAGCCTGATGACCACTGGAGTTCTTACACTGCCTACAACGCTTCTGGCAATGTCGAGACCTTCGGTGCTGCCCACGAAGGTTACCTGATATACCGCCTTAACGACGGTCAGCGTGTGATCTGGGATCGCCCTGGTATGGGTATTAAGCATTTCACCCACATCGTCACCCTTGAGGGTGTTGAGTTGATACAGCTCACCGCCGTCGGAGACGAGGGTGCCACGTACGAGTACTACATGGAGAAGCGCAGCAACGGCTGGTTCCCGATTACCAAGGCCCAGATGATGGAGCGTATGAACCCGTCTCTTGTTACCAACATGTTCGGTGAGCATGTTACGATTGAGGCTAAGCAGTACTCTCCCGATGAGCTTGAGTACCTCACCAGGTGCACCACCGTCACTCTTGATCTTAAGGAGATTGTATACTATGCCTGGTACACTGACCGTATCAAGATTGGCAACCTTATTACCAGGAAGGTGTTGACGGCTGTCGATGGTTACACGTTTAACCGTTTCGTTAACGGCGATGAGGTTGTTTACAACCCTAAGGGCAAGTACTTGTCCACCAAGGTCATCCACTACAAGATTAAGGATATGGATCTTTTCGGTTTCGATGCTATTGACAAGATGACTGGTAAGAGTGAGCCTCACTACTTCGTCAAGCGCAACCACTTGTGGATGCCTGTAGACGAGCACACCTTCAACAAGACCTTCTTGGATATCGTTGTTATGACCTACTACAAGCAGGCTAAGGTGGCGGAGGCCTTGAAGGATGCTGAGGATGCTGCCGCCAGGGTTGACAGGGAAATTGAGGAGGGCGCTGCCAAGTTCATCAAGGATATTGATGAGGCTGAGGCTGCGGGTACCATTGGTAGTTTGGTTGACGGTGCTAAGCCCAGGCGTCCTATTCCTTCTGTTACTATTAAGCCTTACGACCCGTACGCCGACCCCGATGAGTACATGGACCTGCCGCTGCAGCAGGAGCTTGACACTCACTACGGTGGTCACAAGTTGGATCGTGCGGCTAACCAAGAGTTCTTGAAGAAGCTCAAAAAGCACAAGTTCATCCGTCTCGAGCTTAAGGGTCGTGAGGAAGATCGCTACAAGATCCATGCCATCATGGGTCCGGACCAGGTTTACAGGATTGTTTACAACCCTGCTGAAGGTTACCTGTTCGATGAGGTCTATGAGTCTGGCGTTCCGGTTTTCGCAACCCCTGGTTACGTTATCACCGAGGCTACGATTGACCAGTTGCCTGATGGCCAGTACTTCCTGCAGATCATTGCCTACGACAGTGAGGGTAACCAGGTCATGCTTTACTTCTACAAGACCAACAAGTACCACCACTTCAAGGAGATCAGTCGTGCCACCTACACTACGCTGCGCTTCAGGAGCATGGTTAAGACCCGTATTGATGTCAGCAAGAAGAACGACCACCACAAGGGTGTGGTCAAGCTTGTGTCTAAGCACTACAAGAAGGTTTCTGCATTCCTTCCCCGTTACAACTGTGTCATCGACGAGGTTCGTCACAGGAAATACATTATCTGGCGTTTCGATGAGCTTAACCCCGAGGTTGTTACCCGTGTGGTCGTGTTCTGCCGTGACAACATCCAGGGTGTCCTGTTGCAGTTGATCGACGCCAGGGCGAACGATGTGCAGAGGTTGTACTTGAACACCAACCCGAAGACTGATGAGTACGCTCTGTTCTTGCACAAGGGTGAAATGTTTGCCCTGTTCAAGGAGTACTTGATGAGCAGGAAGACTGGTATCGCGTGCTTCGCTAACTACAGGCCTAACGACATTGACTGGAGCAAGGAGATCGTTGAGGGAAGTGAAGGTTATGAAAGGATTAAGGCTGCCCTCACCCGCAGTGGTAGGAAGTGGGGTAAGGCACCCACCCTTTCCGCGCCGGTTGCTGAGCCTGAGGAAGAGGAGGATGAGGATGACGAGATTTCCGGCGAACAGACTGCCGAAAAGACCGAAGATGACTCCGACTCTGACGATGATGATGAGGAGAAGAAGCCCGAGGATGGTGAAATTGATGAGGAGAATCTCACTGAGGAACAGAAGGCCGCTAAGGAAGCTGCGGCTGCTGAGGAAGCTAAGGCTGCCAAGTTGGCCGCCATCCAGGCCAACTTGAACCGCAAGGCTGACATCAGGGACAGCTCTTACTACGTCAGCATTCCTTTCACCCTGCGCAAGGTCGTCCACAAGGAGGGCGTTGTGTGGGATGCTGAGAATTCTGGTTCTGTTTGCCTTGACTTCAGGAAGTACTCTAAGGGTCAGTACCGTCTCGTTGAGCTCGAAATCTTGACTCCCGACGGACGTGTTGAGATCAGGTACTTCATGAACACCCACAACGGTAGGGGTCATTACAAGGAGGTTGAGCTGTGCAGGATCGGTATGGACATTTGAGTTCACGGTCTTCTTACGGCTGTTTGTTTTTTCAGGATTATTGTGGTGGATTATGTTTGACTTTAGAGTTAAGGCCTGGGGGCTGGAACTTCGATATGGTTTTAGGCTTACCGGAAACGTTTAAGCGTGATATTCTCGGCTTCCAGTGCGTGCTCTCTACGTGCTCGCTGCTGCGCTATGCGCCTGCAGGAGCTGTGGTTGATGCGGTCCTGTCATCTGTCTACGGGTTAGGCTGCGGGGTGTAAAACATCCTCGGCTACCTGTAAGCCTGGGATGCAGTTCTGCCATTTGAGTTTTCCCTTTTGACCCAATCGGTCTATCTATCGTCACGCTATTATAGTAAATACCCGTTTCGATAAGGGACGTCAATAATTAACGCTAGTGTAATGTTTTCACGTTGAACGTGTCACTTTTGAGTGTTGCTGGTAGGGCTGGTTGTCCCAGCAGCGGTGCCGTCCCTCATCCACTAGTTAGTGGAGACCATGTTATGTTGGTGTTTGTTGAGTTCTACAGTGTTCGGTGCTGCGGTTGGCGGTGGAAGGGCGTTGCCACGTCGCGCTAGGGGGGCTGGGATTCCACGCAGGAATTGCTCCGCCATTCACCGAAAGTCACGCGGTTATTTTTGTGAAAATTAAATCCTAATTTTCACAGTGACTGAAATTGTGCGTCTGTCTGTATTTTTGTGGAGATTCAACATGTCAAGTAGGTTGAACGGCGTTGCGCCGAACATCGCCCTTCAGGCTCACAAACTCAAGACGCCACTTCGGCCATGACAGAAGACAAGGACAGGCCCGCCGGGCCGCTCGCTGTGCTCGAGGCATGCGTCCGTGACAATTCCCAGGTGCTCATCAACTGTAGGAGCAACCGTAAGCTTCTAGGCCGAGTAGGTGTTTGCTGCCGTTATTTCACCGGACTTTGCAGGTGAAGGCTTTTGATCGCCACTTCAACATGATTCTGACCGATGTTCGCGAGATGTGGACTGAGACAAGCCGCGGCGGCGGAAAGAAGAAGTATGTCAACAAAGACCGGTACATTTCGCGCCTATTCCTGCGCGGTGATTCGGTGATCGTTGTGCTTAGCAACCCTAAATAAGGGGTTTACGGTCGCATTTGGCGTCTCATTGCCTGGGTCGTATCCCCAGCGCCGTAATCGTGTATTGTTACACATGGCGGTGGCAAATATCTATACAGTCCACCTGAGTCGTGGTCACACCTAGTCTATCGAATTAAGTTATAACCTTTAGTGGAAGATGTGTAGCCGTTGCCGTACTTGAGGCCTTTGCCCGGTTTCACGTCGCTTCGCGGGGACACCCAGAGTTCCTTGCGGAGCTCTTTCGGCATGGCTGCATCTCGGAGATTCCACTTTTTCGACAAGTGCCTTATCACCGTGTCTGAACCAGGTAGGCTTTTGGCGTGAGTTATTTGGGATTCCATGGTCAAGCAGGCCGGGGCTCCGTAGGCTTTGAGGCAGTAGTAGACACGGCCGGTGACGATGACTTTCTATGGGTCCTGGAGTCATCAGGTCGGCTGAACGCCTTGTACAGGGATGTTGGCGCAGCATATTCGGAGGACTCCTTGCGCTGCATCTCTGTAAAGGCTTTCGAGTTCGAGGCGCAGCGCGTCTTTTCCTGCAGCGAAGCCTTGGCAGTCGTTGTTCTAGGGTCAGTTTGGCTTTGTTCGCGTCTGTATAACAACTGTGCAGGAAGGATGAAGAGTCGGATTCGATGCTCAAATTCAACACGTACAAGGTCACGCCTCAATTTGATTTGGAGAACAGAGAGTTGCTCCATTTTGTGCAATCCGTTCCCGTATTCTCTCCATCGCAGGGTCTAGTACTAGATCACGTACAAGCTGTCGCAGTGTCACAATGTGCATCTTTAGCTGCTGTTAGTTTTGGCCGTATTACGTTCATGGCATGCAGGTCGCCACAGCGGGCGGATCTGTTTACATATATCGCAACTATGTGGCCCCTCCAGTGGAAGGTTCGCCACAAGAACAACGCCTAAGAAGTTACAGGTGTGTTAGACCTATTTTACGTGTGACATCGATGGCAGCGTTGCTGACGTGGCTGGGGCGCGTCATCTAGGTGCTATCCGTGCTCTGCATGTCAGTCCGCTTTCCTCCGGGCCGTTCGGTTTAGCGGTATGCTGTGACAACTTGATTATATCGCTACGCTTGACTTCGGTCCCGGAAGTCGCGTATACGCAACTGATAGAGTCGTCATTCGAGGCATCTTGCGACCTGGGCGGTAAGGGCCAATTCGTGGTTGCCAAATCGGGTGGGATGCTCGACATTTACGACATCGAAAGCGGATTTGTTTCCGCGGTGAAGGGTTCGGAATCGTGTTCTTCAATATGTGCCTACAAGAACTACGTTGCCACGGCGTCATTGGAATGCAGGGGCGGCCTCGAGGCGTCGTATGCCACCACCCTGGTCAACGTGCAGTCTATTATAGCGGGGCTGGATTTCGTGGCGCATTCGCAGTATATACCCGTTGTATTCAAGTTTGAAAGAGCATTGAGATCCCTGTACGTGTTTGCGCGCTCTGGAACAAGTTCTGCGTTGATTTTGTTCGAGCTGCGGGAGAAGGGCATCCATGATCGTCTGCAGATTCTAATTCGCAAACGTATGTTTGAGTGGGCCATGCACATCGCCGCTTTGGAGCGTCGCCCGATTGCTGAGTGCGAGGAGCTTCACAAGATCCACGCGAATTGGTTATACGACAAAGGGCATTACGATCTGGCCATAGAGGCCTACTGTCGCGCGGGTTCTGCCGTAGAACCGGCATTCGTCATTGGGCGTTTCATGCCATTGCGTTCGAGGTTTTACCTCTATAAATACTTGTTGCACCTGCATCGGTCTGGCACTGCATCCCGCATTCACACGGTGGTGCTGATGCGGGCCCTGCAATCGCTGTTTGAAGATAACTCCGGGGGCAGCTGCAGATGGGATACCGCAGACAGCTCTACCTCTCCAACATCAGGGGGGACGTCTGAGCCGGATGGTAATGGCGTCGACTGCCAACAGCTGCTTTCCGCATTCCTGTCGGAGTTTGGAGACTCACACCAGGACGGCATAATGGACGCCTTGTCCGATTGCCGCTCCGCCGGCGGCTCTGACTTCGCACGCGTCGTTGCCCTGGCCCAGCAAGACCACGACCAGTACATCGATATTCTGGTGGAAGACTTCCACGACTACAGCTCGGCCTTGGATTACCTGAGGACTGTTAACCGGCAGGTTGCATGCAATGCGATTCTGCGGCATGGAAGGCGCCTGGTGAAACACGACCCCGAGGCAGTGCTGTCGTTGATTCGCAAGATCGGCGAATCCATGCCACACAGCACCGGCAGCGTCCACGACGCATTCGTGCCCATCTTCTGCATGGAGGATCGATTTCTGGCTGAGATGCTCGGCCCTGATGGCCCCAGCACACAGTTGCTGATATTTTCCACCAGGCTGCACCTCATGCTTGATCAGTTCGCTTCGCGCCGGCGGCGTCGGATGGCTGACACGGCAGACGCCGCGCCGGCAGCACCCACCGCTGCGCAGTCGACCGGTGATGACCCAAATGTGCATCCAGCGTCGGCACTCGAGAACGGCGTCGGCTCCATAGCCACCGCGGAAGCGGCGTCGGCCGCGTATGTTGATGGTGAGTCTGACGTCACCGGCCTGGAGAACCGCATGTGGAAGTTATTGAACGGGAACACCCAGCTCGCTGAATACCAGATGATAGCTTTGATTCTGTGTCTTCTATACGGCTACCAGCGTGGCGCCAATTTGATGGCGATTAAGATGGGCTATTACCACCTGCCCCTAGTTCTGGCTGGCATGGGGAACAACGAGATCAACAGCAACAAGTTCGACTTGCTTAACCACGCTTTGAGCTACGGTTACAACGAGCCTACACTGTGGATCGGCACTCTGTCCTTGCTGGTCGGAGCTTCCAACGATACCTCGGAGGAAATACGTGGCGCGTTGCGCCACATACAGACCCACAGATTGCTGAGTTTTCCTGGCGTTTTGGCCATCCTCAAGAAGAAGCGGACCTTGCAGTTTTGCCACGTGAAGGTAAGAGACCATTACTCTTCCGCTGAACTAATGACAGGAATACCTGCGCAACGAGTTTCGTCGAATCGACGAGCTTTTGCACGAGTGCATCGGGGACATAGCTCAGGACAAGATCGACTGCAGCCAGATGAACCGTGACCTTCAGCGGCTGCAGCACTCGTACTTTGTGATCAACAACACTAACTGCTCACGGTGCGAGTTATGCCTCGAGATGCCGTCCTTGCATTTTTACTGCCAGCACTCCTTCCACACGTACTGCATAGGCACCGACGGCGTTTGCCCCAAATGCGCCCCCGCGACACAAGATGGACCGGTTGGTTGTTTCTTATTTGCTTAAAATCGCGTCAGGAGGGCGCCAGGCCCCAGAAAAGCTCTGGTCACCAGGACGACTTTTTCAAGTTCCTGAGCGGCGCAACTGACCCCTTCGTTTACATGGCACAGCAGCTGGAGCGTTTCGCGTTTGCCCAGTCGTGACATAAACCAGGAATCGGCGGTGCTACGTTATAAGGTGTCGTGGCTGATATCATATTATATAACATTAGGACCCCTTTGGTCTAAAGTTGCGATACTTTTGTGCATCTGACGCGTTCACGTATGGTCCCGCAACACTCGGTTGACCTGCGCAACCCTGTCCTGCAGGGAAACGGCTGACACCCCTATGCGTTCTAGTTCCTCGTTTTGGCGGTGTACAGTCTCCGCAATGAGCTCGGTCTTCTGTCGGTTGCTCCTGAGTTCTCCGATGAGTATGTCCAGGTGCTCGTTGGCCGTCGACGACAACTCTCCCAGCGCGTCTGCAGCGTTGTTAAGGCGCCCAAACAGTGCTACCTGCACTTACTTTTAACGGGGTCTCTCTCAGAGCCCACTTGCTCAATGCAGCTACTCGCCTCCTCAGCGTCCGCGTTTCCGCCTGCTAATGAGCTCCAGAGGCTACGAATGTTATGCGTAAGAGCCCCGCCTTCTGACGTTGGCTGCTCTTTGGCCACACCTGCAGGACGCTGCCAGGAGATTGAGCTGCTGATCCACCGGACGGAGTTAACGTACGCGTCCACGATCTTCTGCGTGGCGCTGACAGTTTCGTGCGATTCAGTGAGTTGTGCTTTGATGCGAGAGATGTTATCTGAGCCCGTTTGCTCGGTTGATTTCGTAACGAACCGTTTTGCGACTGCAGCTCCGCGAGCGAGTCGTTGGCCTGCTTCCCGGTGTTTACCGCGTAAACTACTGCATCTTTGAGGCTCTGTGTGATTTGTCTCGCGTATTGCGATACGACCTATACGTGATGTGCGCCGGCGCGGACATCACTCACCTCGGCGACGCCGTTTTCTGTGTTATGCTTGTTGGCGGTAGAGGATCGCTGTTGATCCATCCCGTTGCTTCATGACATCATTCACAATATTAGCATCGCTTTTAGTTATGGAAGGTTCTGCATAACGGGCGCTGCGCGTCCTTTTATCCGGTGCGCTTATAGACTATTGGGTTAAGATGTGTAACTCTACAGTCAAAAAGGTGTAGCAGCTGAACACCTACTGTTATGTACAGTCGCAGATAGCCACTGTGAGACACGTGTCGCCTTATTTGCGGTCTCCGATGGCCTCATAACAGGATATATTCTGTTGACCTTCGGCATTTCCAAGCCCTCGGCGCTGCCTGCATCAACTCACTTCGCACATCTGTTTGTGCGATGTCAGGCGGTCGCCATTTCCGGGCAAAGGAGCTCGCCAGGTCGCTGTTATACACCCTATGCACCGTCCATGTGGTGACCACCTACGTTGTGGATGTCACCATGGTAGGTTAATTCGGTCCCCGCGGCCGCCTCAGCCCTTCACTCATTTGCACGCAGACGCAAGGGCCCAGCATGATGCCAACAATTGAGGAGCGTAACACTATGGCCTTGTACGTACGCCCGCACTTGTTGCGTGCGTTGAGATCACGTTCCTCTACGCTCTACCGCGAGGGCGACGTTGTGATCGGCATATCGCCCACCAATGCGTCTCGTCGAATATGCAAACGCGTTTGTGCAACCGAGTTCGAGCGTTACGGGACGCACATTGTGCCCCGCGGCCACGTGTGGCTCGAAGGCGACAATAAGGGTAGTTGGAGTGCTCGTATACCCCCTCACATTTCTGCAGCTAATTCGCTCGACAGCCGCTATTATGGCGCTGTGTCATCGCATATCCTTCTTGGAAGGGTTGTCCTAATTATTTCACTGAACAAAGGCATCCGATTCGTGTAGGCGCTGCGCTCCACCGCGGCGCCAGACACGGCTTTTACGGGCCAGCGTACCCCGCACGATGCGTCGGCTTACAGGCACGAAGTGTTTTATGCGATTATGTGTTTCATTTACGATTCAGTTTAAAACACAGTTTTAATTGTTATTCGGTGGGTGGGTTATGTATGGCACATACAGTGAGTCCACGCTTTTGGAGCTCTACGTAAGGGTGAGCATAAGACTACAGGCAGGGGACGAATACAGTGTTTCACCGATCAAATGGTGCACCGCGCTGTCCTTAGACACAGCAGTGCGCTGCAGAAGGCGCTCGGCGCCTCGGATTTTAGGGGAACTAACCTGCGCAGTAATATTCGGCCTTCCTCTTCCAGGTGGCCAAAATTGTTGCTTGGCCGGAATTGTGTGCTTCTACGGTGATTGTGTGCGCAACCTGATGGCTGAGCTGCGGTACTGCGCTGACAAGCGCATCCGTGACATACGCGAAGCTACAAGACAGTGTTTGGGCAAGCATTTTACTCCACCTGTGAATGTCGTCGTTATAAAGTACAATCTTCCACGCTATAGTTTCGGCCTGGCGGTCTTTTTTTGCCTCATCCGTCTGCTGCGTGGCATCCAGCCTCTTAAAGGTCTCGATGGCTTCTCTGCGACGTCGTGAGCCACGTTACTGCAATTTTGCCACCCACAAGAGCTTGCTGCTTGTTGTAACCGACAGGCCAACGTTTTCGGCCGGTTCTTCCTCCACGTTGGCCGCCGCTGCCGGATGGGACTCCATCTAAGGGCATTCGTGATTCTATGAGTGTCAGCCACGCACCTTTGTTAACGGCAGCCGTTTTACTAATTTTGGAGCGAGAAATGCGCCTCTATTTTGGCGTATAACTCTATTTTCTACCGTTCCCAGCGCTATGAGGACGAGAATAGCCAAGCGCGTGCCCTGCCTGAGCATTGCCAGGGCCACGGGTGGAATCGGCGCTGATGTGCGGCTTAGCGGCAACACATACGCCAGGATTCCACGGCTTGCCGGTTAGAAAATTATTCGATAACTACTGGGGCTAGCTGTCAGCTAGCCAAGGCTTTGGAGTAGGCCTATCTAGCGATGCGCCTTCGTGGGCTCACCACTTTATGTGGCGAGGTCTAAACACTAGCTAGACACACATATATCCAGCACCCTGCTCTCTCTAGGGGTTTGTCGTGGTTGATTGGCCGAGTAGCTGCGATATGCGGTGGAATCTGGTCACATCAGGGGTGGCGAGCCTTACACATCTGTTTGTGTAGTTGAGTCTAAATTTGGCACGACGTTCCGGCTTCGGCGTTGTACGCATCGATTATACAATTCATATATTGCATAAGTAAACTTGGATTCCGGATGTGCGTATTTTTCTCTGTTAGACATGGGATTGACTGCGTGACACCGATGGCTCACTAATGATATGCGACCGTTTCGCACATGCCTCAGGGTCCACGATGATTCTCATTGATTCCTGTCCAACATGAAATGTGGCTAGCGTGCACGTGTGTTTCACAACAAATGTTTGCTGCATACGAAGTTGCATATTGCTGTATAGCCTTCCACGATTTTTTACTTTTTGCAAGTCAATAAAGCATCCTTCGTTGCATTACAGGGGTGTGTATAATCGTAGTATTGCTGAATATCTGAACAAGGCCGGCTTATCGATTCGGATTCGCACATTAACGGATTCTCCTTTTCGCATGTTACGGAGAGGTGGTTGTCGAAGGAATCTTCACGAAAGTTGAAATTTATTACACCATTCGAACCTGTTCCGGAAGCACCTGTGATTCCAAATCTAGGCCAAATTGTCAAAATAGTTGTTTTTCCAAGCAGAAATTCAAAATGATGTGCGCCAGTGTTATGATTGCCGGGGACGGGATTGAGCAACCCAACGGGAACGCAGGTCTTGTCATGCTCTCGCCTGACATGCCGCAGCTGCATCATATGCAGCCGCTGAATTGCGTTGTCAGCCCGACGCGAACGTGTTCCTCCACTCCCGGTCGGATGTTGCCATTCGTGAATTATGATTCTTCCGGGTTTGAGCATTGGTCGGCGCCAAGCCGCGCTACAATTCTCTCTGAGCCACAATGGGCATATAACATTCAATCCGCGTACAAATTTGGCCAATGCAGTCCACCGACGGATATACTCGCTGAATATGCGCAATACCACGACACGGTTGCCGCCCAGCAGCAGAAGATTTTGGAGATGCAATATCAGATCGATCAGATGCAAGTGCAATATGCTCAGTATCAATGTTTGTTATCTGCCGCCAGCCAGCCGAAGATTCTAGACTTGGAGTATGGTAGGGATGGCCTTCATCAATCAATGTTGCCGCCTTCTCCGATAGGAGGTAGTTCCGCGCCTACCCATTCACCGATAGGTCATTATGGATACGACAATGGTTGCTTACTGTCACATGACTCACCTGAAGGATATGCCTACTCTTTCATGCCATACGGTGCAACGGCTCCATGCACGCCGCCGTATCCTGACTCTCCTACAATGAGCGTGAATACGACTCCTAACAGTGTGGACATGAGATATGGGTTTCCGGATATGGATGGCGCTAATAATGCACGTTACATGTCACAGGAGAGCGCTGATAACTTCATCGACACGTCCACGAAGCCAGTATTGTCACTGTGTTCCATGGCGAGTGTAAGCACTGTGGATCTGATGAACGAAGAAGTATATCGGGGCATGGGCGCCGAATTTGCTGGCAAGGATAAGGACAGTGATTTATACATTGTACGAAAACGTAAGTGGTCCATCGAAGAGGAATACACGGCCTCTCCACCTTTTCCGAATGACATAAAAAGGCGACTGTCGGTTGACGTGTCAATTAGCGATGTCGTACAACAGCCACAATGCCCCCATCTTATCCACGATGAGGATTACTCAACTTCTATATTGGCGCCACCCCAACCGACTTGGAGATTTGATAATAACTTTGACCCGTCGGTGGATATTCCGAACGTTCGTTACCCTTTCTCCAGCGTCTCACCATTTGCTACGGAACCCATAGTCAATGGCCAAATCAACCATGATTACTTCCGCCGTGATTTCTACTCTACAGTTTGGGAACAAGGCTGCAGTCATCTGTTTCCGGAAAGTGCTGTATTGTGGTACCCTAAGGCCATGGCGTCTCTTCCTTTATCCCATGGATCCACTGGAATTGTTTCGTGCACAACTGGAGGTGGCAACAATGGTGGCCAAAATGAAGCTCAGAGGAAAAGTGTTGCAGATACTCGCGTAGAACGCCCAACTGCAACAAATGTCTGCAACTACGGGCCGCCTAGCGCAGGGCTGCTGGGTTCCGAAAGCAGTGACGAGGAGGATGAGTTAGCTGCTCAATTTGGCCGTGGCGCCCGTTTGCGACGTAAAGTGAATGGTTCAAAGGAAGACAACACACGTCCTCGAAAAAAGGGGAAAGCGAACCGATTGGATCATTCGCCGCGCACCGAAAAGAAACGTGAAATTGAAGAAGCAATCAAAAGGATGATAGACTTAAATGAAGAGCAGATAGAGATGGTAGAAGCTTTGAAAGCGCTCGAGGTCGGCGGCTTGATGGTGATCCACAAGCGCAAGACCCAAAAGGATTCTGCCATGGAGATCCGGAAATCCACAAAATGTTACGACTATCTGCTGGACATCCCGCTTGCTGCGGAGCCCGATCCAGAGTTGGGAGAGCAGCAGTTCAGGTCTATTGTACCTGGGGTTTACTGGGACAAGCGTTCTTGGATAGCATCTTGGTACGAAGACGGAATTCGCCACTACAGTAGTTTTTCTGCGAGAATGCACGGATTTTATAGGGCAAAGTACTTTGCCATCCAGGTGCGGATGTACAAGACTCAAAGCCATGTCAATCTACTGGATGAGGAAGCTGTAGAAATGGAGCGCCTAAGTCTAATAAATTGTTATGGACACCTTCAATGCTAGTTGGACAGTCTCGGCGGTTGCGATGGAGTCTCTTGCGACTATCAACCGATGTTGACGTCGCGATATTTTAAAAAGCCATCCCCATCAGCAAAGAGCTCGAGGTTATTCAATGAAGTGAAACGCACCTCCACTGAAATCGGTGGGGTCCGTTTGCTGTGCAATATTCAATGCTAGTACTTCAATGAAGAGGTAACCCACCACATCCATCTTGAAGCGGCCTCATAACATCAACCGCGTCGCAACGTTGAGCTTCCCTTTCATAATGCGCCAACAACGCGGTTTGGGTCACATTCCACCGAGGAGGCATGTCGCTATCAAGTTTGGATGCGGTTTATGATTCACAAGATCCGGCAACTGTACACACATTCACATGTTCGACCGGTGTGCAACATCTTCCTACTGTTCCGGGGATTAAAGCACACGTCACTACCCGGACACTGGATGATGTTGTTTCCCTGTGTGGCAATATGCACTCAAGGGGATAAGAAAATTCCAACACATCTCATGTTTAAACATAGAGATATGCGCCTTCATGTCTACAATAAGTGGACGTGGTTCGGAACCGGAAATTTATCTTAGGCGTAGACACCCTATCCATATGGGTGTGAACATTGCCACATTTCATGGCGGCAGCAATGGCTGCTAGCGCTACACTGGCCCTGTGTATTCGGATTCCTGGCGCTTAACGCCTGAGATGACACAAGGTGGCCAGTTTAAGTCTAGAAGTGTAGCGCGTACGCACTTACACCTTCTACACACGCATTAGGCAACGCCGATTCAACAGCCCCTACCAGGGCAGGAACGTAATTTAATCGGTCGTTTTATTAGCTGAAACCATGTTGCCTTGGCGCAGGTTGTGCCTGCGGCGAGAGATGGACCCGTCCTACCTTCTGACAACCGGTGGGTCCGTCGTCCTTCCATGCGTAAATGTGCAGGACAATCGTTTAGCTGGGCGTCAGTCGGTGACGACCTTTGGGTCGGCGTGATAGACGACGCGGTGCTTGAGTTGCGGAAGGCGGGAGAGCAAGTTGAGTTTAGGTATGATTTGGTATGCAGTTGCCACATCATGCAGAGCGGTGTTCGGCAGCTGTGAAGAGAAACGCATCCGCAGCTACTTCGATCTGGACTACGATTACACGTTAAACAGAGAGCTCGCTCCTGCCAGCGTGCTGCGCGTGGTGGATCGGCGACCGGGCGTTCGAATTTTGCAGCAGGACCCGCTGGAGACGCTCATCAGCTTCATATGTTCCGCCAACAACAACATCAAACGCATAACTCAGCTGTGCTTCGCTCTACGCGAGAAGTACGGAACCTTTTTAGGCGCGAAAACGTATTCTGATACGCGCATACGGTTCCATGCATTCCCCAACCTGAGTCAACTCTCCTTGGCGTCTCCAGAAGAGCTGCGTGGCCTAGGACTTGGATACCGCGCTGACTATGTCTTCAAGACGGTAACTGCCTTATCTGAAGGCGGAATTGAGAGCCTGCTGCGTTTGCGTGACTTGCCTACGGAGGAAGCGCGAGAAGAGCTGGTTAAATATCGGTGGGCACCTCAATCGGTTCGTAAAAGTTTCTCAGCGGCGTCGGGAGGAAGGTGGCGGACTGTGTGCTGCTTTTTGGCATCGGAAAGCGCGATGTGGTACCGGTCGACGTGCACATAAAACGTATCGCAAAGACGTTAGTTCGCGCCGACCCTCGTTTAACTTTGGGCAGACACTTCGGCATTAAGGAAGGCGGTGCGTCTAGCTACGAAGCAGCGCAGACGGCGTTCTCTTCTATGTGAGTTGCGTATCTATCCCTTTTTATGTATGCTTTCAGCTGCCCCGAAAATGCAGGCTGGCTGCAGGCGGTTCTCTTCATCGACTCCGTCCTGTGGGGGACGCGACAAAACTAGAGCCATCACGCGGTTTGACAGCTCAGCATGCGCTAATGCAGCTGCTTATGCCACTTAGTTTGATCATAGTAACACAAAATTAATGGTACAGGGCCTTTTCCCTTCTGCACCGCTGTTCAACGTTGGAGGTTATTTGGTCAAGTCTGCTGGATACTCGCTGTATGATGTCGGCACTCGTGAGAGTGCATCCGGAGTCGATCGTTTGCACTATGGACATTTCTCGTGCTACCGAATGTGTGTCGAATCCGCCTGTCATCAGGGGCATGTCGCTGCAGTCGCCGGTGACAACAAGCGACACACCCAGGTTCTCGAGGTAATTTTTGGACGGTATGAAAGGCGCGCCTAGTATCACATCGTCGGTGCACTTCATGGCGAGGACAGTAAGTGCGCGGTCCATGAGGTGGGTCACCGGGAACGGATTACCCTTTATCGTCCTCACTGTCTGGTCATCGTAGAGGCCGACTATAAGATAGTCGCCGAGTGCCTTTGCTCGTTCTAGGAATCTCAGATGTCCGACGTGGAATACATCGAAGCTGCCATCAACGTATATAACCTTTGCGTTTGGCGGTTTTGGCGTGTTGGGAATGAACTTGGCGAAGAGTGTGGCGCTTGTGCGGCAACGCGGAAACATAACGTGCATCTTGTTCGTTTGTTGCTGCATCTCTATGGCTTGCAGCCCGTCGTCTGAGAATTGTTCGCGCGACATTTGCTCCTCGTTTTCTTCCACCAGTCTTCTGAACTGCGAGAGCGCATCTTGCCCGTTGCGTTCGGTTGATGAAAAGTGGCAGAATCTGTCGCTGGTCAGCGCCTCGACTAGCCTCCCGAGAGTGGTAGACGTGCTGCTGCCGCGTGAGCGTCTGAAGTGGACGAGTTTTCCTGCATTTTTGACTTCTTCGTAGCAGTCCTTCCCGCTTGACCCGATTGCGACATCGTCGCCGTGCGCCACCATGTCGCACTTAGCTACATTTGTAAGAAAGTCGAGCGACACCTCATAAGGCGTGTCTACTATGACCTCGTCGACCCATCTGCATCCTCTGATGAGCTCAGCCCTTTCGCTTGCAGTGTAAATTGGAGCAATTCCCTTGGTATTGCGCGCCTCATCGTCCGAGACTACCCCCACTATAATATTGCCGCCAAGTTCTTGGGATTGTCGAAGCGCATTCAAATGGCCCCAGTGTAGCAGGTCGAAGACTCCGTCGACATAAATGCGTTTTTTGGGTTCCGCGCCCTCAGCAGCCATTGCGTTTGGTCGGTCTGGAAACGCGCGGTGTATCTATTTTACGATTGGAATCTGCCACGCTTGCCGCAGGCGGGCGTGAATTGGGATCTTGCGTATATCGCTGAGTTCAGGTGTCCCGCGACACCTCAAAAAAAAGGTTTGCTGCACAAAAGTTTGGCTGTCGGCGTTACTTTGGCCACACAGCGCGATCCTTGTGCTACACAGTTGTCATATAACGACATTAGGGTGTTCCCATATATAATAAGGAACCCCCGGAGTTGCTCGGATGTCGTACGCACCTCCGCAGCGGCTTTGCGCCTGCATAAAACTCACATAAAAAAAGCTTATTCTTTATAAATGACAAATCGAAGTACAGAGCCGGAAGATAGTTTCCCTGCGGCACGGCACTTCTGGTCGTCGGGGGTACGTACTCGGGCTAGCCACCTGGCGCGTCCAAGGGGTGGTCTCTCTTGCTCGGTTTCCGCAATTCTGGCAACAGCCAGTCGCATTGCACACCTTTTAATATGCGTCCTTTTGCGCCGAGATACTGTTAAGCGGCATTTCCTTTATTACCCGGGTGTTACCCTGCCCTCAGGTTTGCGTAGCTTTGTCTGCCATGCCTGCGTCATCCGTCGCGTTTCGTCTCGTCACCAAGTTATAGCCGCGCCTCCGCATAATAATTACAAAATTATTACGACGGTGATGCTTCCTTCCACACTGCAGACGACGATAGAGATTCTGGTCTGTGGCCCCTTAGGCGCGTCGAATGTGTGGTCGATGAATCAAATTTCCACCGCGACGTTCACATCTATCAGTGCCAAACAGCCTTAAAAGGCTCTATAGGCACAGTTAACGCTTTGTATCGGACATGGGTGGCCACGGAGGGCTCAACATCCTCCCTCAGAAGAAGTGGAACGTATATCGCGCAGACCGACGCTATGAGGTGAAGTACGATGAGCACCGCGATATCGAGCGTCGCTTAGATGACCGTGATCAACGCAAGCGCCAGCGGCTGGCAGATTCGCTTGTTGAGCTTAGAAGGCAATCACAGGCCGTCCGCAACACCGTGACCGACGCGGACGGGCCCGGAGACGACTTTGGTTTCAAACAAAACCGCAGGTCTTCTCGCAGTCGCAACAATCGCAAAACCTCATCGGCCACTCTCATTCGCAGCCGTTCGCCCTCACCTGCGAGGATATCTGGCGGCCGCGATGTATCGCAATCGGAGCCTTCTACCGAGGCGCACGAGCGAGACCCGCTTCCGGAGTTCGACAGGAAGCCGTCAGGTGGCCATATAAACCTCTTCGAGGAAGCTGAGCGTGAAGCCAACGAGCGGGCGAAGAGACAACGCGAGAGCTTGATAAAGAGCGGCAGCTACGTGTACAACTCAGCCGCAAAGGGCCCGCGCGCTGTGAGTGTGTACACCGACGACACATCCGCCACATTGGTACCGGACTTTAAACCGGTTTCCACGCCGTGGTACATGAGACAACGGTCGAGCGACGTTGATGGCAGCGTCGGTGTAGAGCGGCCGCGAGGGCCGCGTTACTGGAAGAGCGTGTCTACGTTCGATAATGCAACCGGATACGACGAAGAAGAGAAGCTTAAGCGTTCATTCGCAAGCAAGCTCGCGAATTTCCAGAAGAAGCATAGCCTTACCAACGATTGATGTGCTGTACTGCGACGAAGGCGCCGTCGTCGCACTTCCATTCTACCCTCCGCTTGGCGGCGGGCTTAACCATACACATCGACACTTACAATAATGAGTAAACGTAGTTAAACTGGCGGACTCGTCGCTCGTTCGCGGCGACTGGCTGCTGCGAGGCAGTAGTGTGTCGACCGGCGACGGTGGAATCCCCGAGATGGAGCTCTCCACGCTTGCAGAGCTGCAACAGCGGCTGAATGAAGTCATAGTGCACTGGTTTAGAGCGCCCAGTCCGGGCGACAAAACGCAATGTCTGCAGAAACTTGTCGACGTATGCCAAGAGATGTCAGCCGCTCTATCCAAGTTGCCTTCCGGCGCAGAAGAGATCCGGAAAACCATCCACCGCAACCTACTACGAGCGGCTCAGTTAACGGTGGTGCCCATACAATCCATTGGACACTCCGATGTGGAGCAGCGGCGCTACCAGCAGCAGGGACCGCTTTTGGCGAAGTTGTTACTCCTGGTTACGCGCCACCCTTCCGAAGACACCAAGTCTCATAGGCATGTTCTCCTATGCGGTGTGGTGGCTATTTGGCGCACATTGTTTGCTCAGAGCGACTCCAATGTCCACTCCTCTCCGGAAGCTTTCCGCCGACACTCGCTGGTGGTGGATGACCTGCTGGAGGTGTCCATCGCACTTTTTGCCCAGATTCAAAATGAGGAGAACTCGGTTCATCTGTACATGGTTCTACTGGAAATATTGACCCACAGCAACGCTCCGCAACACAAGTCTGCAGTTTTGAATGCCCTAGCCCATGTCCCCAATCAATCTGTCCTTGTTCGTGTCTACCCGGGGTTGGTCTCCCGGATCGTAAGGGTACTGCCGCGCATGCGCGAATCGGATTTTAGGCGCGCAATAACCGTCCTCGAGGTTTGGATAAAGGCAGCACTGGCGTGCAACTGCGGTGGTATGCGATGCGAGAATGCGAAGGACAGCGTTAAGGAAACATGGGTACATAAAACATCGGAGGCGGTCACCCTGATCCTCGATCGTTACCGCGCGGCACATACCCAGAAATTGGGTGATTTGTGTGCCGCGTGTATGAGCCGCAATTGCTTGCCCACCGCCTTTCTGACGCGCCTCTTGGACCACGTCTGTATGATGCTTAGTAGGGAGGCCTTGTGGGAGGATGCGGCACGTATAATGGCCAGTGCCACGTTAGCCGCTAAATTGGCGCTATGTAGGATTGTTGACGGGTATTTACGTAAGCATGCGGACTCGGAGATGGCACTCATCGCATACCAAGGCTACGCGTACGTCGAGATGCATGTGCCCGGCATGGAGCCTTTGGACGAATACGTCGTCTTAGGCATGCTATACGCCGCTGCAAAGCCGCCTAATGACAATGAATGCGTTCCTTTGGAGAGGTCCCACCTCTTGGCGTTGTGTGATGCCCCGCCAGATTTTGCGCTTTTTACTGAGCCCAGGGAGGAGGTGTTTTCCCGTGTAGCAGCCCAATACATCAGCAGGATGCCCCCCTCGCTACAAGTGCAGAACATATCGGAGATTGTAGAGTGCTTTGTAGCAGGAGTGGAGAGTGAAATGAACGCAGCGCAGTTACTGACGTTGCTCCGAGGGTTACTAAGCCACGGTACCACCGCTCTGAGAGATGTGGCCTGCGATGTAGTCGAAGTGGTTGTTCTGACAGTTATTGAACCTGGGAGTTCGACTCAGACGCTGTGTTTGTCCGCCCTCGCCTTGCTTTGCGTATTGTTTTCGCAATACCGTTTATCGGTGCCGCGGCACCAGATATGTGACATCCTGTTCTGGTTACTTCCTTGGTGCGTCGCAGATTCGGGGGCTATATCGCACTACGCACGCAGTCTTCTGCTTCACTTAGGTGTGAATCACCATTTTGCGTCAGAAGAATCGGGGTCGGGTCATGAGCAGTTAAGCTGGCCCACTTCCAACACGCTCATTCCGTCGGACAAAAGTGCGGTTTTACAGACCTTACTTCGATTTTACAAGACTCTTTTGGTCAATAGGTGCGTCAGAGACCTCAAACTGAGTAAATTCGGTGGTCAAAGCGTGTCTCACCGTGTTTCCGACGTCCTGTTTGTTCTCTTACACTATCGTCTTTTGGGCGTGAAGGATCTTTTCGACTTGGCTTTGCACTTGGAAAGATCGTGGGTAATTCCGGAATCGGCTGTAAATGCAGAGATGACGCTTGGTTTTTCAGGCCCCGATGCGAATTCCGACCTCACTGCGCTGTACTGCTACGCTTTTATGGCCCACTACATCGACAGGCAGTACGAAGTGTTAGACAATGTTGAGTCAAATATGATTGAACACATGAAAGGACAGTTTGAGCTGGAAGGGCGCAATGGCAAAGCAGTGTCTGCTTCGCTGCCGGTGGCACTGAGACCATCTGAAACAGTTCCAGCAAGTGACCATTCGCAACCCACGCCTCATGACCAACAGTGTATCGGCTCGTGTATTTTTGGAGACGAACATATGACGCTGAAGTCAAGCGAGCACACAGACTCGAATAAAGTTCATGTGCGTACAATTAGGGCTGCTAACCACTGGTCAGGCTCAAGATTTCCGGATGGAACAATGCAATGGAAAGATGCGACGCAACGGACCAGCCAAGCTACCTTTAAAGGACATTTAATAAAGCCTTCCTCGCTTTCGGATGATACTTTTGCTTCACCAACACAGCTGGGTGGTTCGCAACGTTTTCAACACTCACCTTTGATAGAGGTAATAGGCGAGGAGCCACAATCACGGGTGGAAAGCATCTCTAAGCCTGCGTCAGCTCCAAAAAGCACGGCAAATGATCAACTATTACAAGAGTTACAGCATTGGCACAATTCTCCTTTGAAGGGTGATCACGGTGTCATCCCCAAAGGGCGAGGGTCCATACTGGGAGCTCCGGAACAAGATACCAGCAGGACGGATATTATCTTACCATCACATACATCGGAAAATGAGTCCGGCAAAACCTTATCGTCAACTTCAAAAGTGGTTTTAAGTGAGACACAAGACACTCCGCGTAATGAAGTGCATACTGGGGTTAAAAAGGCAGACAAGCCTCTTGCTCCCGCGCAGAACACCGACGAAGCGGTTGCACAACAGGAAGACGACCCTGAGGAAGCTATTGATGGTGTTGGCTGCGAGGAATCATCGTCAGAATTGAACTTTAAAGACCACCGCCTTGCCGTCGTTACGCTGATATCGACTCGCTGTCGTTATCACCTCAGTTCAGCATCGCCCGAAGCGCACTACGTGGCCCTTTTTGCCATGTACAGGAGCTTCTGCGCGTTCTCACGCAACGTTCCAGTGATGCGTGTGCGGCTGTACGAGTGTTGGGATGCACTTATGGACTGCATGGAACGTAGTATGCGAAACCTGCGCAGCATGTCGCTGGTGCTGGGGATAATGACCATTGCAACGAGGAATGCCTACAATTTTGTTGAGCGCTGGCTGGTGGACGTGTTCGCCAAGATTGCGGACCTGGTGGTATCCGAGGCCGCCGATAACTGCGTGACCAGTGCTGACGAGGCGCATGGCAGCGTCAGGTTCAAGTTTACTACCCAACTTCTCGAGTTTGTTGAGGAGGTGTCATCACGCGTCGTTAACAGGTCACTATTCGCGAACCTTCTTTTGATCGCACTGCTGATGTGCAGGTCAACTGCTCCAGCGGTCGAGCGTGCGACAGCGTCGGTTTTGCAGCACCTCTTCCGCAAGAACCCCGCCGCAGTGACGAAAGTGCTGATGCACACCGGTTCGCATACGGCGGAGAGCGCTGCGGTGCTGCGTTCTGTGTTGGAGCGAGATGTGCGTCGTTTGCTTCCCCAACGCACACGGGTACAAGCTTTACTGCCACACGGTGAGCTGTCTAGCGCAATGTCACAAGAATAATGGTTACCAATGTCATACCTATACTATTTTTAGTCGTATTTGTTGCACAGTCGGCTGGAAGGGTTTCCGTCGCACCGGACGGCACCTTCGGTGTGCTGCGGAACCTTCTACGGCGCCGCGGGAATCCTATCGCACTTGAGGGCTGCAGTGCGCCTCGTATGATCCTGAGGGAGCTGGAAGCCCGTGGAATCCCGGTTCAGCTGTCGCGTGCCAACGGAGTGAAATCCTTGGCGCCGTCGGTATGCCGTGCCATAAATGAGCTCTACCAGTCCAACAACTTCTTTGCCAGCCGCGTGGCTGGCCACGAGGTCAGCCCGGATGGCAGGCGTCTGACTGTGAAATGCGCGGAGCAGGCAGTGCCTGTTGCCAACTTCAGGTTCTTCGTTAGGGACCCCGAGCACGGAGCAGAGGTCGACGTGGGCAATATGCAGATGGTCAGGAGCTCTTCGTCCACCATTCCGCGAGGAAAGTTTACGGAGGAGCCAAATGGCGCACTGCAGCGGCTGCTGTTCGGCAGATCGGGTGCTCTGGCGAGGCTTGACCCTGCGCTGTTCAACAGCGTGAAAGGCACGGGGCTCTGGAGCAACCTTGAATATGCCATCTGGCGCGCACCGGACGGGAAGCTCTACATGCACTGCTACTGCGACGGGCGAGGTGTCACGCGGAAGGTCGATTACACGGTGGCCAATCTGTTCTCTGGCGGGGGCGCCCAGCTTCGGGCGGGCCTTATGGACCTCGACCTGTTAGGAACCGGCATCCAAGGACACCTGGGCGCAAAAATAGCGCTTGGAGAGTGGTACAAGATGTCAAAAAAACACAGGCTGAGCGCAAGTCTGACCTATGACTCACTGAGGAAGGCTATATGGATGGACCGTGCTGGGGACACTGTGGCGTTTACCGTTGCAGCCCACTGCAGAGCGAGGGACTTGATGCGGATTCTGAGATTACGTAAGAGCGAAACTGGCGAAGGAGTTCCAAAAGCATCGTTAGGTGCGACAGTATACTCCAGCGCCGGCCCCGACAGGTACCGGCTAGGCCTGGCCGGAGATGCCGAGACCCTCCAGCTGAGGGGCAACGCCCAGTCGACAGGATGTGACCTGCTAGGCAAACCCGTTTCTACTCAGCAGGCAATCGCCATTAAGGTGCCGGTGGAAACGCTCAGCAAGAGGGACGGCTCCTGGCGCGACAAGGTCTATGTGCGGTGCCAACACAAGGCCACCGCCCCCGTGGGTGCATGCGACGTCGCCTTGGGCGTAAGATACGGATCGGATATGCGCCATAGTGGTTTCCGGGGGAAATCGCCGAGTGGCAGGTACTACCTGATGCTGGCCGGAGAGGTAACGCGCCGCTGGTTACCGCAAAAACCGTGGACAATCATACGCCCTGGCATGTTCCTTGACATTCTATGCGCCTTAGGCGGCAGTGACAGCGTCAATACTCCCCGTGTATTTGCGTTTTCCGCCGGTGTCATCGTAAAGGTGCTGGGTCTCGGCGTGTCCTTGGCTATCACCGAGCTACCCCGCAACATGCCCGGAGGTCTGAAGGACGTCCTCACAGCCCTCAAGCAGAGCTTTTACATGCAAAGCGCATGAATATATCGCAACCAGATCGTGCCACAACTGCAAAACGATTTTATGATATTTAACGCGACGATGGCTATGGCACAACGTCATGTCAAGCAACCACATCAAATGGGCGTCTACGACGATGGTACTACTGGCACCTGTGCCACCACCGCTGTAAGGGCACAATCAGGCTACTACAAATGCAGAGTAATAATAAAAACAAATGCACAGCTGTTGCCACACAGGCATATAATTAATGACCCATACGTTGTCCAATACGTAGAGTTAGTGGCTGTCGTTTGCATCACTTTAACGGCGACGCTTGTTATTCTTTGCGTTTTCCAAACCTCTTTTATATAATCTGATTTCGTCCATGAGGCATTCTCTGGCATAGCGGTTGGGGACCTCGGTCGGGTTGAAGTATTCTAGGCATGCCTCAAGAAGCCAAGAACCCTGCACACCGCTGACCGTTCGGATGTAGGTGCGAGACGTGTGCACCACCTGATGGAATATCAACCAGTCTTCGGACTTTACAACACTGGAAGGGTGCACATGAACGACCTGATTGTCCTTCAAGGTGACGTAATCACCGCAAGACCGTACAGCAACCTGTTGGAAAAACCCGGTGCACAGACACCGCAGCACATTATTCTCGGTCGTTTCTGAGCAATGGCCTGACTTCCCCGGTTCCTTGATCCGTTTGTTCACAATGTTCATCAGCTGATCAAATATGCGCATCGCCGATTCCATGGCCTTCGTATTCACACAAACTGAGTTGCAGAACTCATTTTGCTTACCTCGTCCTTCCGGTGCCATTGCCCGATAGAAGTTGAAAATTCTCAAGAACGTGATGTGGTCGCTCGACAGATGACGAACCTTCGTTACCCATTCGCCCAACGTTCTGCTGAGGCCGTCATTCTTGAACCTGGGCCTTCGGAGAATATTGGGCACGGACAGCATTGCGCACACCGCCACGATTTCACGCGTGCACTTGAATTTCGGCGATGTGACTATCACCTTGGCCATTTGTGGATCCAGCGGGAACTCGCCCATGAGTTCCCCGGTGGGAGTCAGTTCGCCATCATCGTCTAGGGCTCCCAGGTAGTTCAGCTCCTCGAGAGCCCGCATCATGGTCTCCGGCGCGGGGGGGTCCATGAAGTCGAAATGTACCAGGTCGTCGATACCTAGCTTTTTCAGGTTCAGCACGACAGTGGCGATGTTCGACCTCAGGATCTCTGGGAACGTCTGTGGAATCAGCTCCTTGTACGTGGCCTCGGTGTAGAGTCGGAAGCACTTGCCGGGCTTCGTTCTTCCGGCACGACCCGCACGTTGGGTGGCAGATGCTTGCGAGATGGGCGCCACCAGCAGCGATTCTACGCGAGCACGCGGGTTGTACACGTTCTGCTTCGAGTATCCAGTGTCCACGACGTACACTATGCCGTCGATTGTGAGACTCGTTTCAGCGATATTGGTGGCCAGCACGCACTTGCGCCCCTCCACCTGTTCGAACACTCGTGCCTGCTCGGCCGGTTCCATGCTTCCGTACAGGGGTATCGCTGTCAGCTTCTTTTTGCATAGGTAGCCCAGACTTTCCAGACGCATCTCGAGCTTGCGTATCTCGTCTTCGCCCGTCAGGAACACCAAGATGTCTCCTTCAGGCTCCTCCGTGTGGATGGTGTAGATTGCTTGAAACACGGCTTCCAAATAATCCTTTTGCGGCTCTGCCGTGTAGTAAATGTCCACCGGGAATGTGCGGCCAGGTATGGTCAGCATATCGGCGCCATTGAAATACGCTTGGAACTTGGCGCCATCCATTGTAGCGCTCATAACGACAATCTTCAAGTTCTCTCTGCTGGCGGCCACCTCTTTAATGAGCCCGAATAAAACATCGGTTGCGATAGTACGTTCATGCGCTTCATCTAGCATGATGACGCCGTAGTTTGACAGCAGCGGGTCAGTGATGGCCTCCCGCAGCAGCATTCCGTCCGTCATGAACTTGATCAGCGTATTCTTCGACGTGCGGTCCTCGAAACGGATGCAATATCCCACGGTCTCTCCCAGCTTTACATCCATTTCTTCTGCTACGCGTGTGGCAACAGACATGGCCGCCACCCTGCGCGGCTGAGTGATCGCCACTTGCAGGCCGTCGTTCAGGTTCGCGTCAACCACGAATTGCGCCATTTGCGTGGTCTTACCGGAACCCGTGTCTCCAGCCAGGATCAGCACCTGGTTCCGCCTGAGCAGTTTGACGAAATTTTTGCGCGCACCCCATGCGGGGAGCTGCCGCCTCTTTTCGAGTATGTCATAGTACCGCTGCGAGTATGGCGTCTTAGTGAATCTGTTAATCCCCGGATCAACCTCATCATTGGGAGTGCCACGATTCACCTCCTTGCGCAGGGTTTCTGCAGAATATGTGATGCGGAAGCCAACATTGACGTAACGCAGTTGCTCAGCGACCACAAGCATCGCAGTCAACACCAAATCGACATGAAACCAAATAATGCAGAGGGAATGTACGCGTAACGCAGCTTATAATCATGTTCACAACGTGCATTTTGCATCATGCAGCCTCACGCACAAGCAAAAAACAAAAGCGATATGCAACCACTAGGGTGGCAGCCACGGCTTCACCGCAACCCAGTTCGACATCATGAGTGCGAGAAGGTCATTGAGGGCTATCCAGCTACATACATACAGCAACTGCACCGAATGGGCGAGCCTCAGCCGTGGAAATATCGCGGAGAAAGTGCCGGAAAAGGCCGGCACATCCATCTACGCAACCAAACACACCCACGAAGGCGTCCATTGCCGCCGCCAGCCGCGCAGATGGCGCAATATATTTAGCAGTGCGCAATTATCGTCCATATACCCGTCATATAACACACAAATGGCCGCGTCAAGGGCGCCGAAATACACGCACGCAGAAAATCGAAAGCTTCACGGCTAATTACCTGTAGGAGGGGCGTCGGAGAAGTTTGATTGCGATTTAGTGGCCCTATTGGTTGCCATTACTATATTTAGAGTAGATGGTGACTAGTCCCTCTCGACCCGGTGGTCGTCATGGCACCCGCGTCTGGAGGAGTTAAGAGCGATTTCCGATGGAGATTCCAGCGTGCAATACATTTCCGCTGGATACATACAGGGCCCTAATTGCCGTATTTGTTTACGACCAGGGCGTTAGAGGTCGCGTGAACTTCAATACAACGTTTTCCGCAGGGTTCTTGGGCTGGTAGATGATGGCGTCGAACTCTGTGGTGCGCTTCATTATGTAGAAAAAGCAAATCAGCAACACATATACTATAGCCCACGAGATACCGTATAGCATGAGGTACTTGTAGAGGTCGCTGGACGTTCCTCGATCCTTGAACTTGTCCAGGTTCTCGGGCACCTGCCCCAGGCAACCACGGAGCTCTGCACGCTTCCAGTCGACATCTGCACTCAATAAAGGACCTCTTGTTGGCACTTACGCTTGCCTACGAGGACGTCGTTGAACGCGTTGCATACGGCGGGATCCTCTATTGAGCACGAGAGTGAGGATGCATTGTCCACCAGCGCCAAAAGCATGAGGCGCTTGTTCACGAGGTACTGTGGGCTGTTGCACTCACGAATCTCCTTGTGAGTGCCACTTGTGAGCGATAACGTGCACGGGACGTTTCCCCGTACGATAAGTCGGCAGTTTCGCACAGCGTTGACCGCCGCTTCATTGAACCGGTTCTCGCACCACTGGCGCGAGTTTGCGAACATCCAAATGAGCGAAGAACCGTGCATCATCACCATGCATACCATGAGGAACGCCAGGCCCCACGGCACCCACTTGACGCCGCACCCCAGGTAGTGCATGTAACCGTCCGTCGCCATAGAGTCGCTGATGATCATGTTCGACAACATGTTGCAGACCCGGCCCAGGAATATGGCCAGCGCAAGTATGATAGCTGAGAAGTGGTTATCGCTATGCGCGTTCTGCCCACCTGTGCAACTGATGTGTAGCACGATGTAGTACGTGATCGTCCTGACACTGCGGGCGGAGCAGCAGTAACTTACGAAGAACTTGAAGTTGGTGATGAGGTAGTGAAATGCGAATGATAGGAGGATACCTACGACATGTAACGCGCATGTGACGTCCGCCCACCTAGCAACAGCATCCACGTCATAACGTTGTAGTAGTATGATGCACGCCATACGTACCGCCGGCGCTGCCAGTGGAACCGCAGGTCCTCCACGTGCCGCGCAATGCAGCCGCATATATTCATCGTGCCGACCGATCACAACGCTTCCACAACCATCGATCGGTGCCTGTCAACCTCGCTCTAGGGGCATTCTCCTCTGGGATGGCTCAGCCTCCCCTCTCCATGGCATAGGTGTTACACACTCAGTCATGCAGGGACGATGCAATTCTTCAGGCAGTCGGCTATGACAATACCTTACACATTGGAATGTTAAACCTTACACAACGCCTTAAATCGTACAACGAGGCCTCTGGCCCATTTAATTCGATGCTATGATTGTGGTAGACAGAGTACCGCTGCAAAGGCTTTAAACGCAGCTAGTGACGCTACAACGCCTATACACATCACTCCATTTTACTACACATCGTACATTCGTTGCAATCACGCTATGCATGGGGGCTTTTAAAAGAAACGACAGCCACAGTGCGGTCTGCGCCGAGGTGTCTTCCAGTCAGAGGAGCAGCCCAAAAGCACGTTGTACCGGGTAATATCGCCATGACAAACGGCTTCCAGCTGTATTCGAGTTCTGGCGCCATCCGTCACATCCCCGGGCAGCTCGAGCTCATAGACAACGGGATATCGTCAGCTTCGGACTCCGACACATGGGAGAAAGAAGCCAGCACTGCGACCCCTACTGCGTCTGTAGTGCGGGAACCGGCAGATAAACCATGTAAACCGACTCTGACTACCGCTTCGCGGGGGAAGGGTACCCTCAAACCGTCACCCGTGAGGGTAGCGCTCCGGAGGTACGCCGTCACGAAGTCGGAGACGCTTCAACACCTATACGAGCACTGGTATCCCTTGTTGACGGCCAGATGGCCCCAAAACGTCCAAGGTGCCGCCAATGCGCTGGCTGAGTGCAATTCACTGATCGGCATCCAGCGGAGATGGCTCAGCAACTACGAATGTAGGTTCGATGGTGGAATGGGCTAACGTTCGCAGGCGCTTTGATGTTCCGCCACTTCGCCAACGATGCATCTCCTGATCCGGAACGGTTACGATGCATGCTTGGGCTCCTGTTGCGGTGGTGGTTTTGCGGCAAGTTCGCCGTACACCTCGCGCAGTTCCCTCATCTTGGTAAGCATACACGTCGCAGATGACAACTAACATCCCGTGCAGGCAACGAAGCAGTTCTAGTTAACGCCGCCTACGGAATGCTGTCTTCACCCTGGACTCAAGCCAGGTTGGTGTTGCAGTTGCTGGACGGGCACGACAGCATTGGGGAGCTTCTGCACGGCGTTCTCATACACCCACCGGAAGCTCATGGCACCGATCACGCAATAGACGCCGCCAGTTGTAACTCGCTGCTGCTCAAGGTGCTGCCAATTCTTAAACGCGGCCTCCTCGAGCCCGATCTTGGCCCTGCATGTAGCAAGGCAACGCAGTTCATCGAGGAAATGGGCAGTACGGCCCTAGCGCTGCGCTTCGACCGAGGCTTCAAAAATGAAAGGCTAGATCTGAGGCCAGAGTGCAGGGATGACGATAAGGTGTCATTGGTGGAGCAACTTTGGAGTGGCATCTTGCGCTGCAACATCGCCAGTCTGCAAGTTGGCCAGTCTCAGCGTTGCGACTGCCACGGCAGGATGACCGGAATTTTACTCAGCCTTATGTCGCATGCGACTTCGATTGCCACCAATGGTTCTACGAGGAAGATGGAGGAGTGTCGCCAGCTTTCCACGCGAAGGCTGATTGGTTACTTTGCCAAGTGGGTGGTTGCCAAGACAGGCAATACGGATGATGATGCTACATTAGCATCTCTACAGGGACACACAGATGTGGAAGTTGTGGATAATTGTGCCGCCACAGGATTGAATGAAAACAACGGGCGTCTGAAACAAGATGCCGCATCGCAATTTGAAGGAAGCGATAGTAGCTGTGGCAACAATGCCATAGATAACTGTAGCACCTTAAACCGATCCGCCCGCTTACTTCTCAATAGCGAATTGGTTTATGACTGTCTAAAGCGGGTGGATGAGTGTGCAGGGATGTGCGACGATCTAGTATTCAACAACGGCACGGCATCAATAAAAGAGGAACCAGATGTGGACAAATCAGAAAGATCCGGAACGTCAATTGGGCTAAATACAGGTGATACGTTCGTCTTGAAGGCTTTCGGTAATATATGGGATCGTCGTAATGCAATATCTGATCCGGTAGACAGAGCGTGCATTACCTTGTTGGCTGGCGCCATTTTAATGATCGAAGACAGTCACCTGAAGGGCGATGTTATCCTTGACGAGGGATACAGTAGGCCTCTGGTAGCTTCCAAACTATCGCAAATACACGGCGGGCAGGAAATTGTTGATAAGGTTCTGAACTGTCGCCGATTTTACACCATGAGACCCAGTGTCGATAACAGCCGTGAACCTTCACAATGGACAACGTTACGTGCGGAACATCGGATGTATCCCGTAGATTCTACGGGATTTGTTGATAATGAACAACCTCCACTGTTGCATTATTTTGGAGATGTGCACAGAGCACTATGTGAAGCGGCAGGGGTTTGCCCCAACAATGCACGCTTCATCCCAGCGCTGATGCTGCGCGACGGTTCTACATCTTCAACTAGGAACCATGCAGAGTTCAAGATGTGTACGAAGGCAGCTTACCGCGCTTTAGAGGGGCTGTGGCAAGCACTGCAGCAGGGTGAGACGTGCTCTGCCAACATATCTTTGGAAGTGGGGGATGCAGACTGCGGACGGTCTGTTTCAGCACCTGTGTATGCTGTGGTGGCCCTGGTGTCACTTATGGGAGGCACCGTGGTACTTCAAACAGGGGATGCGCACGTTGGAATAATCAGGGTTGCAGTGATACTGGGACGTGACAACGATTTTGCACCAAATGACTATGGCGAAGACATCACGTATGACCATATCTTGAACCTGACACTCAGGCTGCTATACACAGATATCGCAACTGATGCTTCCATGGCACTGGATTACCACAGCAGCCAGCTCACGATCTACCGTACACTCCTGGTGCACTATCTTCGAAAGGCATTGTTAAAACCAACAAGGCAGGCGTTCGACATGGCCTTTACAGGCAAAAGGAGCGACAATTTTGATGCCATATTCAGGCGTATATTGCGGCTCACCTTTTTCCGCGTCCACATAGCCCTCGTCGACCGACCCAAATTCGAGAGTTTTCTCAGGACCCGCGTCGAATACTCCGCGCCGAACGATACTACAGATAATGAAGGGGACTTCCTGGAAGAAATAAATTCCGGGTACATCGAATTGGGCGGCGATAATAATCGTCAGAAAGCCAGCTCCGACAGCGATGTGGAGTTTGACAACGCCATCGATCACCGTATATTTGGGTTCCTCGAGTATTCACGTACCCACCGAGTATCACGCCGGATGTGGAACCGCTTCATCAAAAGCGAATGCGGAGATGCACATGAAGAAATGAAACCACGTTTAGGATCTCTTGATCGCGGTATGCTGCGGGAACCCGGTGCGGCTAACTCTGCAGACATTGGATCAAGTAAAGGCATGCCTGACACAACTTTGCTGTTCTTCGAGTCTGTGTTTGAGTTATGTGGTCAGATGCGATTTTGCGTTGATGAAGATCAGCTTTTCCGGCACAACAAGGTCGACAGGTTGCTGTACCAGCTGTTCCTACATATATGTCATATCGACAAGGGAGCCAATATCCAGCGCAACTACGAGACCAATGTTCTCTGCAAGATAAAACAAGTACACGAAACTGACGAGTACGGTGAAGTTGATAGTGAACGATCAAGCTTAGATAGCCTTACCTGGGAGGAGCAAGGTGGCCTAGACATGACTTCAGGTGGACCGACTGCCGGTGAACAACCGGCGGAAGAAGAAAAAGGAGGTGGATACGTCAATCTCGATGTGTTATTCCTCGGCAGGCAAAAGTTTACCAAGCGCAGCTACTACGTGCTCAGCCGCCTGGCCATCGAGTCGCTAGTGCGTTGGTTGTCGCCAGAGTCCGCGGCATCTGCTGTTTGCCGCTGGGCATCCAGTGTCCCGATCGACACCACAAGCCGGGTTAAGGCGTACAAACCGGCCACAGCAAGTGCCATTGTCACCATGTTGTCTCTCAGCATGCTCTGCCACGTGGCATTGCCGAGCGCAGAGGAGTTGCCGCTGCAAAAAGTGGAATCGCTCGTCTCTGCGGCAAACGTCTGTTTTGTCAATCTAACTGTGTCGTTTACAGCAGCTGCAACAATTCCGGATGCAGTAGAAGTTCTTTGCACGGATGAGGAAGAAGACAGCGAACACGGGGATATCTGCAGTGTTTCCCATAGCGGAGCTGAAGATGTCGAACACACCGGAAGTAACATCAAAATCAAAGAGGAGCCAAATGAAACATTCGGCACCACCTCCAAAGGCAAAAGGGTAGAACGGACAATACGTGTCAAACGTGAGCGCACCTCCATCTCCGATGATCTCTGCCAGCACAGCGTGAACAAGCACCCGTGCGCTGACCTCGGGTCGACCGCGTCGACCGATGACCATTCTGTAACGTCGGAATTCGCCGAAGGTGCTTGGTACAAAACTCGATCTTACGTACCTGGTGGCCTGCAATTGTGGAAAGATCACAAGATTCGCGAACACCGTGCTAGGCAGTTGCGTTTGATGCGTTTACGAAATAATCTGCGTAAAAGTCTGATTGAGGAAGGGGTGCATCTGCTACAGATCTGTGTGGTGTTCGTGCATATACTGGGGCACGTGGTGCTGCAGACGGCCGACTGCCTCCTAGATCCTCAGAATGGGTATGTTACTACGAGTAACACCGCGGGCGCGATCCAGGATAGAGTTCACTCCGACGCCGAAGGAGAAATACACGATAGTAATGATACGTCTGGAAACGATGCGCCATCCTCTAACAACACAAATGTTCCTGTGATGGAGGAAGGGGCAGTGGCATGCCCCCCCGACATGCCCAGCTTATCGCTAACGAGCTTTACTTCTGCGGAGGACGGCTGGGTGACTCCCCCTTGTGGAAATCGGCGTTCACCTTCGACAAGTCCGAAAAATGTGGCTTCGGAAAGTCGACCAGATGCCGAGAACACCGAGTGCAGTGAAGGGCAACAGAGCAATTGTGGCGCCGGTGATGAACGAACAGCGCAGCAAGTTTCACATAGGACTGATTTCATGAGTAATGAGGCTGGTTTACCTTTGAATCCCAAGGGTACAATGCAACCGATTGTTGAGACTGAAGGTGACTCTTTGGTGTCGGGCGATGCCCGTGATCCGGCTCGTGGTAATGGGTCTTATAAAAAGGATTCTGTTGCCAGTGATTCTGCATTTCAGAACCCCAATCTTAATGAATCAAGTGTAGAGTCGCAACAAGCCGGTCGTGAATGCCGAGAGGAACAGTCTTTCCAACACAGCCCCGATATCAATGCAGTGGACTATCTGGATAACATTGACACAAATGCTTCGCATGAAATATGCCTGTCGACAGACCCGAAAATGAGGTCTAAATTTGATTGCGTTATGCAATTCTTGGGGTTAGCCTGCAACACTTTGGACTCTTTGTTCGGTGCCTGCAGCACCGTAAGCCGATGCTGCGTCGGGGACGACCTCGACGTCGCTATATGGGACAATGACCGCATGATGAAAGCCGCTGAAGAGGAGCTGGAACTACTTTTGCACGAGATAAGTTTCCTCCGAGACCAGGTTGAGGCCCACATTGCGCCATTGCAGGAGATGCACGCGGAGGCGACGTTAACCGACGAATACCCCTCTGCTCAGGATCCCGGGGCCGGACGTCACCTGAAGTATCCACGCACCGAGGTGAATTCAGACGATGACGAGGCAGGCCTGGAAAGCGAGGGCGGTTCCTCCGACGTTGACTGTAGTGGTGCCGAGGACGACGACGATGACCTTGGGTCGTTCGTGGACTTCGAGACCGACAAACATCTGGGAATGGTTACGTTCAGACGCTCAAATAAACGTACAAAAGCGTCCTCCCGTCTGCGTGATGTAATCTTGCGTTCGGAGTGGAACTGTTTGATAAAGAGCTACCTTGCGTAAAACCCCGGGTATTAACGGGCTACAAGTATGGCGCCAAAAGGCAACCAGTGATACGCGTTGCAGCAGAACCGTAAATTTAATGCGATACTTAATGAGCAACACGCTGTTTCTACATTTTCTTTAAAAATTATGACATGCTGTCAGTCCCCACCAGGGGGAACCTTACATAAGATTTGAATGGTGCTCTGCACACTGGGCATTTCTCCGTGCGCAGCGACTGGAGACAGTTATAGCAGAAGGACGCGTGCCCGCATGGCATCAGCACCGTGTCCATACGCGTGCATAGGCAGATGAGGCAGTCTTTGTCCACATCGTCCCCCATGCCGAACATATCGCGGGGCTCCTGCGGCCGCCCGAAGTCGTTCGAGAAGCATACTTGCTTGACTCCGTCGATCACCACTCCGCTGGGGTTATTTGGGCCGCGCAGAACGGGCATTGTGGGCTCGACGCTTCCGCTGAAGGTCACGAGGGTAATCTCGGCGATGCCCAGGTAGGTCTCCACACTGCCCTCGCTGAACACCTTTGCGTCTTGGGTTCGCGGCGAGTACAGCACCACCACGAGCGGAATGATGTCCCTACCGGCGTGTTTACGGCTAAGAAGCACATCCCAGATGGACTTGGCACTGCCGTCTACCTCCACGGTCTTGATAGGGGGCGAAACCGTGCAGCGGATCCCACTGCCGGCGTCGAAACACACAGCTTCGTTGGAGCATATCTTGTCGGTGTAGTCCAAGGCAGTAAAGCGACCAAAACGGCCATCAGTACCGGCCGGGGCGTCCATCTCCACTGCTTGTTCGGTGTCCAGGAGGCTCTGGTAGTGTTGCTCTCTAGATGGGAATAGCACTCTCCGGAGGAAGCGGCGTAAACTCAACGGTGCTACCGTGACTTCTCTCATCATGTTTTGAGTATCGACACAAATATTGTGCACGTCAGCTGACGGCACTCCCCAGTGCGCGCTAACGAACGTTGTGCGGTTGCAGTCCATGGAGAACGACACCTCCAAACTGTCGAGGCACATGGACACCGCCGCGCTCTCCAATGCGGGCGTCGCCGAAGCCGACAGTTCATAGTCATATCCTTCGCCCACGTGCAGGCGAAGCGACCTTGCGATTAAAGTACTCGGCATGCGGATGCGCGCGACGGGCAGCGGCACGACGTATTCACGCGACTTGACGATGGTGTTGAAGTGCTCCTTCGTGAGCATCAGCAGGTCATCGTAGTACTCCGCCATGCCATTCAAGTGCAGTACCTTGTGCATACTCTGCATCTTAGCCTGGATGCAACGTAACGAGTAGAAGTTGCTCCAAAGCCGGCAGGCCCACCAGGCAAGTCCGCAGATGACGGAAACCGTCACCAGGTTGTGGAATCCATTTGACCAGAACACACCCTCGCGGCCTTCGAGGAAACGGCCCTGTGCCGCGTTGGTATACGCGCTCCAGTCGAAATGTGCGAGCACGTATTTGTCCATCTTGGCGAGGAGTAGGCGCCCCGCTCCGACTGCCAAGAACTATGTAATATAGCGGAGAGAGGCGTTACGTGTGTATCACCTCATTTTTATACGCGTAATGTAGCTAAAGAGCCGTGAAAATGGGCGCGTCGGGCCACACGCCAGTACGCCACATGGCGTAGAAGGCGCACATCTGCCGAGCGACACCGACATCGATCCCGCCGAATACCGATCAAACCGCTAAGCGTGCCGCCAAGATGCCGAAATCAAAACGGAGTCGAGAAGTCAAGCTAACCGCTGTGCGGAAGCACGCCAGGGAGCGCAAGATGGCGCTCATGGACTCGGTACGCGCAGCCATCGAGGCGCCGCTGGACGGAGGGGAGCGATTCGTGTACCTGCTGGCGCTCCACAACCAGCGCAACTCGCCGCTGGAGAATATAAGGCAGATTCTCAGGCCGGGCCGCGTCTTCTACGGCAAGAACAAGGTGCTTCAACTGGCGCTGGGCGCCAAGCCCGAGACCGAGCTGCAGACCAACCTTCACAAAATCGCAGAGGTACGTCACAGCGACGCGCCGTAGTTGCTGGATTCGTGCGGGGCCGTGTCTAACCCATTTGCAGCGCATAGTAGGCGAGCGCGCGTTGCTCGTGACTACGGAGCCTCCGGAGGAGGTGAGAAGCAAGCTCGAGGGGTACAAGGTGGCCGACTTCGCCAAGGCGGGAAACACAGCTACAGACACCATAGTCTTGCAGGTAAGCGTGGTTCTGGTGGTCGTTGCATGGCGTTCCTGGGATGTGTACGTCTGCTGTCTTACACATGTGCGGGCTGACGACATCAGCCGCGGCATGCCTCAAACGCGTTGAAACAGTAACACATGCATTCGCAGCCGAACGATGAATCGCTTGACGTCTTCCCGGGCAACATGGAGCCTCAGATGCGGCAGCTGGGAATGCCGACAACGCTCAACATGGGCAAGATTCAGCTCCTGGGCGAGTACCACGTCTGCGAGAAGGGCAAGCCACTGACGCCGAACCAGGCCCAAGTGCTGAAAATGCTTGGCATACGCATGGCCGTGTTCGAGGTGACGCTTGACTGCTACTGGGCCGACGGCCACTTCCACCGTGTCAGCCAGTGAAAGACCGCGAAATCGGCGTGATTCCTAATTGGCAGTGGCACAAAAGCCGCGAAAAACGAATGTGCAGCTTTCAAAGTATCGCTTTATTTTCTGTGGCTTCACTTAGCACTTGATAACCACTGGTGTGTGTAACGACGTCGTTACTGGCAACACCAGACAGGGTGGGCGTCTTCCACGCCGAAGACGCCAGTAGCGATTCACCTGCAATCTATCATGACTGGGGGAGTCTTTTAGCCCAGAGCCGCATCATTGCGGCCGCCCCTAGGCTGAGAAGGTCGATCGATGGGCTGCCGCAACAAGGCGGCCCTGAGGAGGTTGCTCATCCTGCTGCTGTCAGTGTTGCCGTTCGGCGCTGCGTTCAAGTACAACACCGACTTTAAACGCGGATTTACGGCGCTGGAAACGATTGTAGGTTCCTCCGATCTCCAAAACTGAACGCCACAGGTCAAACGAGGCGCTGAGCGTCTGTGCGACGCCAGGGCAGATGACATTCTAATGCGATGCAAACGACCGCTAGTGAGGCTCACAGGAGATACGTGGGAGGGCGATCTGCATACGAAGGTCACGCACATCATCGCAGAGCAGACGCAGCTGCCAATTGACGAAGTGGCGCAGCGTCTGCGCGACGAGATTAGGAAGGAAGATGAATTCGTCAGCAACTGTATAGTCACTGGTAACGGATACATCAACATCTTTCTCAAGGATGAGTTCTTGCGGCGGTCTCTCAACTCCATGCAATGCAGCACAACGCGGTTGCTCAACGTGCCCTGCATGTCCAAGGATTCGGTTGTCGTCGACTACTTCGGACCTAACGTAGGCAAGGAACTTCACATCGGGCACCTGAGGTCGGCCGCAATAGGGGGTGCTGTTGCAAATATCCTCGAGTTTTGTGGCGCCAAAGTCTTCCGACGCAACCACGTGGGAGACTTTGGGTCGCACTCTGGGCAGATCATGCGCTACCTGTTGGAATATGACCCGACGTCTCTAGATGCGTTTTCGCCGTCGAAAGTTGATAGCGAGCGGATGCGCGAAACTGTCAGGCAGCAGATCGGTTACAACTTATGGCCATACAAGAAAATTACAACCACGGACAAGATGTCGCAACCCACCCCTGACATCTCTGTTGAACTAATCACCAACACTATCGGCGAAATTTACCGGTGCGCCAGAAAGAAGTGCGATGCGGATGCGTCATTCATGGCGCGCTGCAAGGAGGAGACGGCGCTGCTTCAGCGCGGGAAAGACGTGCACCAAGATGTCTGGAACAACATCGCAAGAACGTCAATGAACAGTCACCGAGACGTTCTAAAGCTTTTCAACTTAGACAAAGTACGCGACATACCAGAAAGCTTCTACGCTAAGCGTGTGTTTGCCCTGGTGGAACGACTCGTCGGTGAGGGCCATGCGAGGAAAAGGCCTGATGGCAGCGTCACGATAGTAGCACGTTGCGACGCCGCCCCAAATGACAACCAGTCCAATGATGGCATGGAAGGTCACGGAAGCAGTGATGCAGACGATGCGTTAACCTTCAACATCCCGGGCATCTCCAATACCACCGGGGGCTATTCCTCGGAATCGCAAGAACTTAACGAAGCATCTCGAATGGCATATTCAGACGAATCAGCTACATCTGCCTACAATTCGGAAGGTTTGTTCTAGTTAGTGTATGTCGCGCCTAAACTTTTTACAGACGTGAATACTACGAACACTACAAACAGCAATGTAGAAAGTCAAGATATCGCAACCGTGGAGGACAATTTCTCACGTGAAGAAAACGGTAATATACACCAGATTACGTTAGGCAATAAGTATTCGCAGAACTTGTGCTCATCACCAAAGAGGGTTTTGCCACTTACCTCGCCGTCGACTTGACGGCACTGGATCATCGGCTACGGGAGAACAAGGCCGACAGGGTAATTTACGTGACTGACAACGCGCAAAAGACGCACTTCGACCATGTAAGATGGAACTTTGTTGTCGTATATGTGACGTAGCTGACTAAAATCGCAAAGCGGGTCGGTATCCTGACGACGCAAAAGGTGGAGCACGTAGGCTTCGGGGCAGTGAAGAATGCCGATGGCAAGAAAATGCGATCCCGCACCGGCTCCGGGCCCTCAGTGTCGGACATATGGCAGGATACTCTGGACAAGTGCACCCGTGAGGTACAACGAAAAGGGGAATTCCTTGGACCAGTTGGAGAACACATGGCACGCAAGCTCGGTAGGTCACTAAAGCCGCTTCCATCACCAACTGTTTTCAGCCTCTGGATCCATACTGTATGCCGATCTGTCGGCTGCGCAGGAGGACTGTTACACATTCTCTGCGGAACGGCTGCTGAAGCAGGGTGGCAACAACCTCATCAGCATTCTGTACTCCTTTGTTCGATCCCGGTCAATTTTGCGGAAGCTCGCTGAATCCGGCATATATACAGGGGAAAATGCGGTTGGGATACCTGAGGAAGTTTCATTCGCCAACGAATCGAGTAGGAAACTTGCGCTGCAACTGGTCGGCCTCGAAAACGCGATCTTTGCGGCGGCGAGCATGCGCGAACCGCACAGGCTGTGCAAGTACGTCTGGGCCCTGTCGAGGTATTTCGCGCATTTCTACCAGCATAACCGCGTCTTGGATCGTGACGGCACCGGCGCCAACATGGAGGCCGCGCAGCTGGTAGACCTCTTCGCCAAGGTGACGCAACTAGCGCTTGCACTGCTAAACATCCAGACTTTGGAGCGCCTCTGAGGCCAGCATATTCACTCATCAAAATAAAATCATGGTTAACCCAAATTAGCACACGTTGCCAGCTTTCAACTGAAAGGTATGTATGGCCCCTCGTGGCGGGCCTACGCCACGAAGTCGGTTGAACCTTGTACCTAGCAGGGCGTGGTGAACGCTCTGTAGCAAAAGGTTCAACGCGAGCGAGTGACACTTTAGTGCCGCCGGCACCAAGCGGCGCTTCCGTTTTGTCCCTAGCGCCTCAATCAAAAAACCTTGCGATTTCCAACGCTCATTCCTCGTATGTCAGCAGGGGCTCGGACGCGTTCTGGCGTTCTGTGGCCTCGCGCTGCCGCTTGCGGAATGCGATAGAGGACATGTAGACGACAGTGTCCACCTTGCCCTTCAGCCGCAGCAGCGCCTGGTTGGCCGACAGGCGCTTCCTCACGTGCCTGTTCAGCTTGACCAGCGACGCACGCCCGCGTGAGTTTTGCGAGAAGAAGGCGCTGTTGTGCCGCAGGATCGTGTTTATCCATCCCTCGCGGGTGTATAGCTGGTTGGGCGCTTTGAACATGTTGGAGCAGATGAACTCCAGCAGCGATAGCGCCAGCGGCGTCGGCAGGTCCGAAACCGTGTCTTCAATGGCCTTCGTGTCGTTAGTCTGCAGCAGCTTCTCCAGAAGCGGCTTGTCAGCCGTCAGCAGCGCCTGGCTCAGTGACAGCGAGAACGACCGCTCGCTACCCACGCTCGCCGCGGGCACATCCTCCTCGGCCATCCTGGCGAACACCGACATCGTCGGACGACAATTCACCCGTTCCTGCGAACGGTGCGGCGGTACTTTGCGCTGGAATTCGACAGGAACGTCTCGTCGGTGCGCCACGTAGGGTGCCGCTGGTACTGCTTGCCGAAGATGTACGGGCTCAGGTGCTTCGGGATGCCTCGGGAGCGCGGGGCGGGGTTAGACAGCGCCTGTTTGTGGCGCGGGTTCGCGTTACAGTCGACACCTGCAGGTATTCGTGCACACATTTGTGAAACTTACCCAGGATGGGCACGTGCCAACGCCGGATCACGTAGCGGCAGGAGCTGCACAGCAAGGTCAACGTCCCGCGGTGCCACATGAAGCACCGCCGTTACACGCTACGCGCACGCCACAGCCACTGGACCGTTGCTTGACGCCAAGGCAGACGACGGCGACCGTAAGCTACAGAAACGATCCGTAATTTAGGAAGCCGAGCGCACGATTTAAAAGCTGCCGCCGGCGGTGAATCCACGGTGTCTTTTAGTAAATTGTGCGATAAATACGAGGGAAATTGACCTCGGTATAGCGTGCTGCCTATTGGGCCGCGCGTCCGTTGAGTTGTAGTGAGTACGCCGCCGCGATGCACAACCGCCCTCGCTGCGGGCGCCGGGAACACTCTACAGCCAAAAGTTCACAGAGGCGCAGCTACAGGCTTCTCTGCAAAAACGAAGCTGTTTACACCGTGCAGAAGCGCACGTGCCCTTGCCCATGGCAGGAAGTACGTCGTCTCCCGCACACTACCAGGCCAGCAGCGACGAGGGAGCGACGGCGAACGAATCCAACAACATCGCAGACCCCGAAGGCGGATCCGCCCGCCGCCAGGAGTACGTTAACGGCACATCCGACTGGCTTATCTTGAACTACAGGTCATGGCTGGCCGACCTCGTCAACGTAGAGGTGGACGATGTCGACCTGCAGCGGATCGTCATGAACTACCTCGTCATTAACATGTGTGAGGACAGCTATTCTAGATTCATCGAGGAGACTGGATATACAGGTAATTTGCTTATTTGTGCTGCGTATTGTCTGCGCCATGCAGCACGGCGTTGATGGCCGTAGATGGACACGCTGCTTAGGTGGCGTCTCAGCCATCCACGCGCCGTCTTCTATTGTGCTGTCGAACTAAATTGCATCTGATTTTGTAGTGAGCAGCGAAAAACACGGTGATCAGCTGGGCTGCCGAAGCTAATGATGAATACATGGGGGTTACTCGATGCAGCACATTCTGTGCCGGCTATGAAGAGACTCCATCATCCTTGCCCTGATTGTTTCGAGCACGCCTCAGTCATGAAGTTGCATAAAGTGACGAATCTAACCGTGCATTCACGATACTGCAGGTCCCGACATTTCCCACACCATAGCGAGCAGGCGCAGGATCAGGGACGCGATACTGCAGGGCAGAGCGCAGGATGCGCGCGCGCTGATCGATGAGGTCGACCCCCGTATATTGCAGAAGAACGTCCACATACTGTTCAACCTGCTCTCGTACGACCTCATCGACATAATCAAAGCGGTAGGCTTGAGCCGGCGGAGTTAACATGTGACGCAGGGTGACGCCAACAGGGCGGTGGCATATGCACGAGACATGCTGGCACCGTGCGTGCACAAGGACAGCTCCCTCGTCGAAAAGCTGGAGGAGATTATGGGGCTAATCACGTTCGCCAACATGGACGGCTTCGACTCCTCGGGTCTCATAAGCAAAATGCATCAGCCAAAGGACACGGCAAAACTCGTCGATATCGCACTAATGCAACATTTTGGCCAGGAAACGCACGTCACGCTCGAAGCGCTCGCCAAGGAGGCCGCCTGGTTACAGGCGCAACTCTCCGACGAGGAAGTCTGGAAACACATTCGATACCGCGACATCGCGCGTGCAGGAATCGATTTCGCAAAAGACACCGATAAAGTTTAAAATTCATTTCTGTCTCTCAAACGGAAACACGTGCACGTTGCTGCCACGAGCCCGACGCACCTGACGTTTCTTGTGCACGGCCACGCGCAATTCGCGCTCCGCGTCCAGGCGCTGGCGTAGCTCGTCGTCCGCACGTTTGGCTTCAATGGTCTCACTCACTGCGATCAAGTGCTCCCGCACGCGCTTAGTGGCACGGGACCTCCGTGAAGCCGTCGAAGCATCCGCCTTTGAGCCAGCTTTAGATGACTTCCCGCGTTTGGTTTTGGGCGCAGGTGTGCTGTCACTGTCGGATCCTTCGCTAGCATCCGATAATTGCTCAGAATCGGACGAATCTCCTCTCGTGTCGCTAACGGCGGCAGAGCCTGACTCTCCATCATCACCCTCGTCGGAATCCGAGCTGTCGTCGAACGTGACGTGTTTACCGCCGTCCATGAGCAGCGTTGCGTTCTCTGTCACTGCCGCCTGCGCGCGTTTGCCTTTCACAGTAGAACGGTGGCGCAGCACAAAACGGTTCTGGTCGAGCTCCTCGAGGCTGCGGCGGAACTGGCCCTTCTTGTCCAGCTTGCGGACCGCCACCGATGACGACGACGGGAGCACCACCACTCCGTCGTCGCCGAGCTTCCCGTGGACCATCTTGAAGTTGAACTCGTCCTCATTGCGGAATCTGGCCTTCGCAGCAAGGTCACGAATCCGACGTTCCATAACATGGAAGCGCTCGGCACGCTGCTTGTAGTCGCGCTTCTTCTCCAGGAATTGGCCGACACGCGCCCGGCGCGCCTGAGGCTGGGAACGCTCCAGGTGCACCCGGCGGTGGACGACATGTCGCAAACCTTCCGCCATCACGAAACTGGGAGACGACTAACTACCAACAGGCGTAGACGGCGCTGGTCACGTTATATGAGCAAACAGAACAGTTACCTCGCCACAAGTAACGGCCAATACGGCCTCCTTGGCCACCTGGTTTGCGATACGGGAAAAGCCGATCACCTCGCTGCACAACGTCAGAACACCAAGCGCCGCAACTCACCGCCAATTTACGCTAGGGCCAACGATAAATACTAAAAATCTAAAATATGGTCAGAAGAAGGCACTTAGCCCACCTAGAGTGCGATAAAGCGGGTCCGGCTGCGCCGTAGACAACCACGTCGCCGCCGAACTTTCCGCCGGGCAACGGCAACAGTCCCTGCGCCGAGAAGTGCCTGAACAGCGCGCTAACAGCGTCTTCACCGGGCAATATGGCGATTTCACGGTCCATCCGGTTGCCGTAGCTCCTCGTATAGTGCGCGCAGCATGGTCTCGTCCCCGCGAGAGTGTGCGCCTAACAGCGCCCCCAACGTCGCGGCCGGCGAGCGCTTCTGCGCGCGGAACCGTCTAGAAACCTTCTCGGCCATCTCGAGCACGTTGGCGGGGATTCCGGCGAGACGAGCGACGTGGATGCCGTGCGACTCGGGGCACTGCCCCTGCGCCAGCTTGTACAGGAACGTCAGAGTACGCTCCTCGTCGTCGAAGGATGCCGTCATGTGGCACAGCGTGACCTTGGGGAGCCTCAGAGCGTACGCGCAGACCTCCTGGAAGTGAGTTGTGAACAAGCAGCGGCATCCGATGGAGTCGATCTTCTCCAGACACGCGGCAGCAATGGCAGTGGCGTCGAACGTCGAAGTGCCCCTTCCCAGCTCGTCGACTAACACCAGGGAGTCTTTAGTGCCCTAAAGCCATTATGACTTTTTAATGCGATACAAAACGTACCGTATGCAATATAGATGACACTTCCTCCATCTCCACCAAGAAGGTGCTCTTGCCCTGTATCAGGTTATCCGAAGCCCCTAAGCGGGTGTAGATGCGGTCCACCACCGTCATCTTGCATTCCGAAGCTGCACGGAAAACGTTAAAACGCTTATTAAAACAAATAACTCACCAGCCACAAAAGAGCCGATCTGTGCCATTATGGCACATAGCGCCGTCTGGCGCAGTAGAGTCGATTTACCGCCCATGTTGGGGCCCGTGATGAGCAGTAGCCTGCCGTAGTCCTCATGGTTCAGATGGATGTCGTTAGGCACGAAGGAGTCGGGGGTGAGTTGCGACACAACGGGGTGGGCGCTTGCACGCACATACATGTAGGGCTCGGAGGAGCCGCGCTCGAAAACCTCAGGGCGAACTAACGGGATCACTGCATGCTTAGCCACAGAAGCAAGGCTGCACAGACAGTCTAACTCCGCGGCGGTAACCAACAGCCCGCTGAACACACCACGGCGGTCGTGCAACAGCTTCACTGCATCCTGGAAGAACGTGAGCTCACTCTGCGTCAGGGCGAATTCGTGCTCCTCCAGCTCATTCACCAGCGATACTATGCGGTTGGTGCGCACACGCACGTGGCCTGCCTTTGTCGACGTCACCTCGAGCGACTTCCCGCTGTTGGACAAACGGCGGTAGTCGCGTTCATTGAGCTCGACCTCGTAACGGAATTTGGTGTGAACGAAGCAAGCCGATGGGCAAGTCTTCTGAATCTCAACAAGCAGTTCGTCTAGACGCGACTTTGTTGCTGAAATGCGGCCGCGAACTTCGTCAGATTCCTTCCACACGCCAGGGCGGCTGCTGCAGGTCTTCAACCCGGTGACGCTCAGACGGGCTTTCAGCTCCTCGCAGTGTGTGGTTACCTTGGACACGCTGGAGCACATTTCCTTCAGCAGCGCTGGGCACTGCTCTCCGTACTCCGCAGCCTCGGAGAAGAACGTTGATACGTGCTGCTGAAGACGGTCGAAGTTAGCGAGCAGCAGATGCAGATCATAAATCTTGGTGAACACGCCCTCATCAAAGTACACTGCCATCTTATAGCAGCCAGCAGCGGCGTTTAGCACCTTGCCGAAGGACCGCTCGAGGTCGGGAAGAAGCGACAACTGATCCTGGTAAGTGCTGCAAATGGAGAAGTTGCGACTCAAGAAGTCTACCGTCAGGTTGCGCGCATTGATGCGCTTCGCGCTCATCAGCGGTTTCAGCACCCAGCGACGCAGCATGCGCTCGCCGAAGGGGCAGCACGTCTTGTTCAAGAACCCAAACAGACACACCGAGTTGTCGCCCTCCTGGGACTTGAACAGCTCCAATTGGGTCAGGGCGGCACCGTCCAGCGTCATATACTGGTAGTTGTCGCCGCCAAGTGTCTTGACCGCGCAATAGTTCAACAGATTATCCAGCATCACAGAGCGCAGGTAGCGCTGAAGCAGAAGCATCAACCTCTCGTAGACAGCGTTGCTGCTGCCGAGGGCAGCCTTTGCGCGTTCCTCGAAAGCGCCGTAGTCGACTTCGGCGATTTTGGCGTCCTTATTACCGACATTTTCCGGGGTGAATTGGTGCGCGCAGTTGAAGGACGTCAGCTCGAACCCCATGTAAACCGTCATACCGTACAGCTCATTCAATGAGCCTATGGTGGTGGCGTCGACGACGACCTCAGCCGGATTAACCGACGCAACAAGCGCCCTCAACTCTCCCAAACCCAGGGAAATGTCGACCATACCCAGCGAAATCGTTCCCATGGAGACGTCCATCGAACAGACGCACAAAAAGCGCTCACCTGGCAAATCCTTAATCTCTTCAGCCTGGCGCCGCCTAAAACCAAACCGATTGTTCCTACGCCTTGAAGAGAGTGTGGAGGGATTTGAAAAGCTCGGGTTCTTTTCAGAACGGGCAGTAGGGGTTGAGGGTTGCGCAAGATCACCAGTGTCGCCCGAAGGCGCTGCCGGCGTCTCGGCTGCATTTGCGGCCATTGTACCGGGTAGTCCCGCTGAAGTCGGAGGCATAACTGCTTCTGCGATCAGCAGCAACTGCTTGGACTGCGTGCCCAACATGTCGGGCCTGGTGATGGTGCCCGGCGTGATGATCTCACAAATAGCACGAGACACGGTGTTCTGGCGTTGCCCACTTTCTCGGTTGCGCTGCTCTAGCTGCTGCGGGGTTTCAGTCTGCTCGACTACCACCACCTTGTACCCCCTTGCAACGCAGGCAGACGCGTAAATATGTAAACTCTTCTCGGGGAAGCCCACGTGCGGCTTGGCCTCAGAGCCCATCCAACGCAAGTTACAAATCTCCTGTATGATGCACGCATCGTGGTAAAACAGCTCGTAGAAGCGACCCATCTTGAAAAATAGCAGCTGGTCGAAGCGGTCCTGTTTCACGTACCACCACTGCTGCATGCACTCCGTGAAATGGCAGCTGCGGAACGCGACCGCCCAACGGTGGCTTCGCGAGGGAACCCACAACGTGCTTGGGTCGTAGGATTCATCGGTGGGGCGCAGCCCGTTGCGGTCGCGAATCTCGCGGATCTGTACCCAAGGCGGAAACACGAAAGTGTCGTTGTAACGGTAGTAGTGTTCGACATAAGCCTTGAAACACCGACTCTTCTGGCTGGCGGGGCACGTCAGGTACTTCTTGCGCTCCTCATCAGTGACGCAATCCACGCTCTGGGAGCATGCAGAGAACTTCTCGGAGCCCACGGTAAGCTTGCCTGCAGTGGCGACTGCCGCGCCCCCCTCACCCTCACCGCGGTCCACAAAAGTCAGCTCCTCAACATCACCTTCGTGGCCCACGTACTTCGTTTCAGCCTGTTTGGAGGCCGCGCTATCAGCTTTGCCCGATGATCCGCGGGCCCCCTTACGCGCCTGCTTGCGCCGACCTTGGACGGGCTCGTCGTCTACATCAGGAGGACGGGCTCCACTGGCACGTAGCGAGCCAAGAGTTCCTATACTGGATATCACGTTATCAACGGGGCTCAACGAAGCAGTCCTTTCGTTGGGTGACACTGTCGAAGTTGGGCATCCCTTTGGAGTGTCTTGGGAGGCGTCATCTCCAACCTGACCCCCCTGTTGTCCAGCCGTATACGAACCGCCTGCGCTGCTTTGGGCGATGAAATCTTCAATGACATCCAGGTGGGCGCCGATGAACTCGTCAGTGATGTCGGTGCACTTCAACTTTTCAGGCACGAAGCCGCTGTCGAACATCAGACTGCGCTTGCGGCAAATGGGCGATTCGTCAGCGTCATCGAAAGCATCCTGCTGAGAAGCATCGGAAGTGGACACTCGACAGGTATCCATGGAATCGGAGGGCTGGTCCCCGGTCTCGACGGTGTCGCACGTGTCGGTGCGCTTCAAGGCGCTTTCATCCTTGATAGGGTCACATTTGCGGAGAGATGGCGACAACGACGGAACCTTCGCATCTTCTACAGCCTTTCCAACCTCTGAATCGACTGGAGGCTTCTCGACGGCGGCAATACCAACGACATCCTTAGCCACGGCGTTCTTCGTATCGGACGGCGGTGTGCCCTTGCTGCCGATGGAGGCAGTCCTTGGCACCGTCGCAAAGAAAGCTTTAATCCCAAGCTGCATTTTTCCAACGCACACATTACAGACAACACTGCCTTGTGACGAAGAGATATCACACAGTCGGGCACGAGCAAGACAGCGGTAGGTAGCTCATGACGCTGGATGCCAGCGTTACACACCCGGACAAATGCACTTGTCTCCGATTGTATATACCAGATTCGTCTAAATTAAGGCGTTTTGGTATACCTGTTGTTGATACATGCGGTAATTCACAGGTGTCCGGTGTTTACACATTCCGGCCGCTGGCCCATAAAACAGGAATTCCGGCCATTAAACCCCGTAAGCCGGGCACAAAACAGTGTAAAGATCGATGTTCTGTCACGCGACGAATCTTAGCGCCGTACCGGGACGACGCCATCCCGCCCACCGGCAGACAACTATACCTAGGGGCACATTTAGTGGAATCCTGGCAATATCACATGCCCGTAATCATCCGCCAGCGAATCACTAGCATTGGCATGTATGCTTGCCTCGCTTAATTGCGAGGCGCGCTTTACGTTTATAATTTGACAACATAAATTATGCACGTGACGCTTGCAGCGTGGCGCAGTTTTGTTCCCTCATGAAACTGCCTAAATGCTACGTGGCAATCACTTCTTCCTGCTGCGGCGGCGCCTGCAAATGGATGACATGGTGGATCACTAGTGCAAACCTGATGTTGGAAGTCTCCGTGCTAATGGTGACGCTGGTGGGCTTGTTGCTCGCAGCGGTACCGGTGGAACCCTGAGTCTGCCCCTTGTGCATGTCCTTCTTGCGCTTCAGCTGCTTTTTGAACGCCGCCCTCTGGTACTTGGGTAGCCAGCGCTCTGGGTCGGGGGGTCCACGCGACGTGTCCACCTTGGGCGCACGACGGCGCTTACGAGATTTGCTGGACTTGCGCACTTCCTCAACTTGACGCACATAGGACAAAGTCCCTTCAGCCTCCAGATCCTCCGGATCTATGTAGCGAAGTTCCTTGAATAGAGACCCGGTGAACGACGCGGGCAGGGTGCACTGCGTGGCGCCAGCGGCACCGGGCAAAAATGACTCATTGAACAGGGCACCGCAAAATGCGGCGGTGTTGTCAGGGTTGCTCGCGTGAAGATGTCGGCTGATCTGCACGGCTTCAGAGTGCATGCCTTGCGATTCGAGAAAACGACAGCCTTGCTGCAGTGCGGAGGTCGTCTCCTCGCAGTCCCCACGCTCCACCAGGCGTGATAGTACCTCAACAACACCTTGGCGGTTGCTCATATTTATATGGCATTGCATCAGTACCCACCAGTAGAAACCGGACGCGCCAGCGCCCGATAAGGTGGACTCATAAGCCTGCGCCGTGTGCAGAGCAGATTTGAAACGGCGGGTGGCGACCAAGACGTTCAGAAGCGACCGAATCAACATAATACTGTCGGGATGGGCAGCCAGACCACGCTTCAACGCGTTGATGCTGCAATCGATCTTGCCCTCCACATATTCAGCGCATGCGAGGCAGTTGTGTAGATTTACGTCATTCCGCAACCGGCCCATGAATTTCAAAAGGTGGCGACGGCATCCATTGATGTCCCCACTTGCCAACAGACGAAGCACAATGTTGCGGTGGACGTCCAAAAGTTCACGACGCGTGAACTTGCAGACAACATTGGCACGCTTCAAAAGAAGCTCCATCTTCGACATCAAATTCGACGTGTCGGCATCTTCGCCGCACAGACAAAGCGCATTGTTGAGAAGAATCAAGATGACACCTGGGTCAACGCCTTCCTTGGCGTCGAAACTGTCCAGTAACGCGTCGCTGCGGCCCCTAGCAAGATCTTGGCACCCACGCCGGTGCAGAAGGAACACGCGCATAGCGCCCAGAGCGGCGTATTCCGGCTGGTCTTTGGATGCGTTCTTTTCTCCGAGGTCATTTTGCAGCTCAGCGGTCAGACGCTCTTCCGACACGTCCAAGTGCTCTTGCGAGCTTTCGAAATCTCCTTCCAACAACTTCGCTATGGCCCAGTTGTAAAAGTATTCGTACCCCAAACTGTCTCCGGCTCCAGCCTTCTCGGTAATGCCGCGTTCAATCCCCTCAAATATCGAATTCCGAGAGGCCTCATCGAGCTCAGGCACCAGGTTTAGATCCGTGCTCAGAGCGTTGAGGGCAACCAGTGGGTCGTCATTGGCGGCAAGCGCTGAAGTGTAAAGCGCGCGCGCAGCGGAATAGCGGCCAAGACGTACGTAAACTTGGGCCAGCAGAAAGCGGTACTTCGGAGACAGCGTCTCGTCCAAATGCACATCAGCATCGGACGCCGCGGCAGAATCCGAACCCGCGTTACTTTTGTTCAGCGCACGCGGGCGCTCTTCCGATGAGCACATACGCAACGCAATCAGCGCGCGTTCAGGGTCTCCTAACTTGTAGTAGCTGTAGGCCTGCTCGAAGTGTAGCCATTGGCATTCACCGTTGGCAATGTGCGTGCCGGCAGCTCCGCGCACAGCCTCTAGCCGATCTGCGTGCTGCTCTTCTCGACGCTGGCGAGTTTCAGTTCGCAGCCGCTTCGGGCATCGCTTGTTGCCGCTGCCACCAATGGAAGGGTGCTCGACGAACAGGTGGAGCCACCCCACAGTATCGAGGCACGACTGCCACCGCGACAGCTGGATGTCACAGTAACACTTCGCTCGGTATAACTCGTTTACTCCGCCATGAACTCTGATTGCTGCAAACGGTCAGAAAAGGGTGCACAGATGCCGGAAAAAATAAACACATTTGGGACGAGACCGTAAGCGGAAATTATTAAAACCAATGGAAAATCATATACAACATATGTAGGTAAAATGCATGTAGGAGATACGAACATTTAAATGTGCCATTTAGCGGTGTGGTCAACGACGGTGCTAAAAGAACCTCCAAACAATTGCGCTGTCGAATCCCCCATGACGATGCAAAAGTACAAAAAACACAGTTGCCGACAGCAATGCTTACAAAAACGGGTGATTTGGGCGCACCATACGTATTAGTATGACACTTGTATAAGCTGCGTCGCAAACGCTTCGTTAACATCACTATGCTAGAACACCATGGCACGTATGAAGACTACGCAACGGGACTTATGCTGCGAAATTGACACCGCCAGCCCCTAACAACTCACAACAATAACAACTCTCGTAAGGTACGAAAGGACCTACCCTTGTGACACAGGCGACTAGCTTGCGCAAGTTGGCCTTCGTCAATCAGTTGCTTCACTTCGCGCAGCGCGGTTTCCGCGGAACCCGTATAGGCCGATTTACCAGCCATCGTGAATTATATGTTTAAATTAATGTATAAACCCGTGGTTGGGTTATTTTATACAGTGGTTAACGACGAAGGCCGTAAAGTTCATCAGCTGCGTCAGGCCATGTAGTGTGTTGGACAGCGCTCGCAGACACTGGCAAATCGCGACCGACGCTAGTTGATTCAGTATAACGGCTACTACTGTGGCTTAAGCTGTGGAAAGTCGAGGGCGAAATGTGCGTTTGGAAAGTGTTCTATTGCAGTTACCAGATGATGTGCATAAAAAGCATATGCCACTGATGCAATTCCTTGCATTTTGGACAAGCAACGGTGGCAATTGTCTACGTAGAGCGATGTGTAATGCCATCGCACACGAAGCTAAGCTGTATATGCGAAACGAACTGGCAGACTAAGTGCCCTCGATCACTTGGCAGTTCGTGTTTAATGACAAGCAAGCATCCTCGTAAGGATATACACATTCAGTGTAGACATTAATTCCCCACGTATGTATAAATCTATTTGGCGTCATGGGTAAACTCTAATTGTGCCTGCCGTTGTCGGTCGACGGGGGGTGGCATCACGACGCGTAGGTGGAAGGTAACCGCCGCCACTCAAATCCCTCAGCAAAATGACAGACACGCTAATAGGTATTCGGGGCAAAGATTTCGTAGCGGTCGCCTGCGACACATACGAAAAATACTCAATCATTACCATCAAAAATGACGATGAAAGCAAAATCAGCAAAATCGGAAAATCGACGGTCTTGTTGCTGGGTGGACCGCTGGGAGACCGCGTACATTGGGGAGAACAGATCAAGAGGACGATGAAGTACTACAAATACAAGAACTCGCAGGAGCTATCGACAAGCGCCGCTGCACATTTCATCAGGCTCGAACTAGCCGAATATCTCAGAAAGAGCCCCTACCAGGTGGATATGCTTATCGCAGGAGTGGATAAGGTAAGTGTAACTTAGAGACGCGGCCGTGCCTCACCGTTACGGTCTGAATCTCCACTGACCAAGTGATGCTTTATCTAATGAATGCCTCAGGACGGGCCAAGTCTCTACTGGATAGATTACTTGGCGAGCTGCACAGCCGCAGATACTGCCGTGCATGGTTATGGAGGGTTCTTACTCAGAGGACTGCTCGATAAGGAGTACAAGCCAGACATGACGCGAGAGGAGGCAATAGCGCTGCTCAAACGGTGCAGGCAGGAGGTCAAAAACAGGTTCCTGCTGGCGCAGTCGAACTTCTCCGCGAAGATCATCGACGAACAAGGTGTGCACGATGTCAACATAGAGGGAGACGAAGCGCCAGAAATATTCAGGGGCCATGTACAAAGCGCGACCATCCCCGTGGATGTTACCATGCAGTAGCCCACATCCAGGCAACTGCCAACATATCAACAGCGCATTTAATGAAAGAGAGCATATATTCATATCGGTTATACTTTGCATCCGTTGACGTTCTATCCTCGAACACATTACGTCTATCTTATGTGAAGTTGCATGTAATCTGGCATTTGGAACAATTCTAGAAGCTTTCTATCTCGGTTTTATAGTTGGTTATTGCGTCTATGCTTCCGTTCAAGGGCGGAAATAAGGGCTGGAGGGTATCTGCAGTTAGGGTTCATATCAAAGGCGTAAAATCGAGTATGGGTAAATCTGACCGCAGCGACCTATTATGGATCCCTCCTATGCTAGCGGAATATAATGTAAACTATAAGTGTGCTATAATGTCATCGCAACCGTATATACTGTTATTTCGAAACAACATCGATTGAGTAGCGCAGGAATGCATGAGGCGGAATTATGGAGACCCACTAAAGTATCATAAAATAAGCGCATTCAACCGACACACGGGATTCATCTCAGCACCAAATATGATAGGGGAAAGTCTGACAGACAATTGCCAGTGGTACAATACGTGCTGCAAAAACATCAGTGAATCATCACGTCTGAGAACACCACGAAATGAGAAGACCAGGTGATACTTCCCGCGGATTATTCACAAATTACGCTTGGTGGAAGTTCGATAAACGAGAGAAACGATCCCAGCCGAACTTGGCCAAACAGCACACCAAACGGCATGAAACACACTGTGCAGGACCTCGAAGACAGGTAGCTAGCATTGGATCTAGCGGTTCCTATGCATGTTAGAAAAATAGTTTTGGTAATATAGTTGATCACAATTTACTTATCCACGATAGAAGAGTCGTGTGGTTTTGTTTTCCCGCTTTTTGCCAAATGAGCAAGCCCATCATTCTGGGGTGAAACGAATTATGGATGACTGTCCCGTCTTTGAAAATCGCTATATAATCGTGCACATGTGATTTATTATCCGTGCTTACATTCAACGCAATTGTATAGCAATCGATGCCGTGCAATATGGTACCATATATGACGCCGAATCCTGATCGTTCTCTTCTATTGCATATGTTATTAGATTCCACGAAATTTTGACTGAAGAATCATATGGAGAAGACTACGACTACAGTATGTCGGCGTAAATGGAAGAAACCCAGACCGAAGCTGCAGCTTCAACGGCAACTCCAACAGAAGTTGAGAGTAAATACGTCAGGTATAATGATTTGGGGAAAGCACTCTACAACTTCGTGTCGTTAGTAGAAGGCTACGACCAGCAGATGTTACCCTTGTGTATGAGGGCTTTTGAGTTAACTCTGGGTTTCTCGCAGTCGCAGTTATCTATGTTAGCTACCGTGTCTACCATGTCGCGCTTAGGCTGGTGTTTAATATGGGGATTGTTAGCGGATAAGTACAGGACCAATCTGGTGCTTGCAGCAGGCCTTTTGATGATGGGTATGGCTTCGATTGTTCTAAGCTCCGCGTCGCAGTACAAATCAGTATGTTGCAAATTTTACTGTTAATGCTTCCACAGATTCTCTTTTTGCGCTTCTTACACGGCTTCGGATTTGCTTGCGTCTATCCCGTGCAGCAAAAAATTGTTGCCGACGAATACAGTGACCCGTGTTCCAACCTAGTATTTGGTATAATGCAAGCGTTGAATTGCGTGGGAAGCCTGTTATGTGCAGCCATAACGACGCACATTGCGCGCAAAATACTGTTAGGGTATTATGGTTGGCGTACGTCTTACGTTGTTTTGGGGTACGTCTGGATATGTTTTGGCATAGCTATTGTATTTGGAATGCACAGTGAGAAAGTTAACGAAAAAAAAAAGAGCTGTAATACCAAACCCATGGATAATTTTAAAGAAGTAGTAGATGGAGCATTTGCAGCTGTTTTTCACTGTAAGACGGCAGGGATATCTATATTTACTTTGTTCGTCGCAGAAACTCCCACGTGCGCATTTTCCTATGACCCTATATCTGCAGTATTTGGGAATGTCTGACGTCATGGCAGGCGTTGCAATATCGGCAACACTGATTGGTTGCGCAATAGGAAGCGGTATTGGCGGTTTGATTTTCAAGAATATCGCAGAAAATTATGACAGGCTTGGTGAACTTTGCTCCGGTATCGCAGTGCTGGTCGTCAGACTAGTTGTGTGTCTCTTATTCTTCGTATGGGATCCACCATGTGGGAAGTTGCTTTGGTATCATTATGTGGAGTTGGCAGCAATCGGTGGAACATTAGTAACAGTTGGTGGTGTAGATAGGGCCCTTTTGAAGAAGGCAATCGAAGATAAGTGTCAGGGTACCGCAGCCGCCGCGATTCGAACCATATCCGGCATCGCTAGCAGTCTGATTCTCTTCCAGGTTTCCGCATATTTGTCCGAGAAGGTGTTTGGCTACGTTCCATCGAGAAAGTCGTTTGAAACCATGGATGCGGCTGTTAAGGAAAGAAATGCCGAAGCCCTGAGGAAATCAATGATGTACATTATTTTGGCAGGCACGATACTCAACGTTTTTTGCTATATTGCGTTGTTGTGTAACATACCTAAAAAAGTAGGCGGAAATTGAAAATATAATAAAATGCAAGAGAATAAGAGACAGTAGTGCGTCGAAACAATCGAAAGATGGCGTTATTAAACGTGTATACTATTTCGTCAATGACCATTTCAGAGCATTAATACACGATAAGTGCTTAACTATTTTGGGGATATGTGTGTCAATGCTAGTTTCACTTCAGGTGTGATTGGGTTTTGAAACGATGGGGAGAAACGTATTTTTAAAACAAAGAAAAACTGTATACACGGCAGTTTCAGTGCATTACAGCAGGAAATTATCTGTTGATAGCTGAGTGACAATTATTCGCAATCGTATTCACGATACAAATGAAGTTATAAATCATCGGACACCTTTGCTGCGTAATAGTACAAGGATCGCAAGTACATCATTTACCCAGCACCAAATCCGGCAGCTTACGTCTATACAAGTACGGGTGTTGGAAGCGATGCTCTGTGAGCGTATGGTCTTCAACCCCTATATGCACGTGAAGGCGTTTGACCACGTAGGTTACTCACAAATTCCGTATCATCGATGCTCAGTGCAAGGGTACGGCATCTCAACTGCTGAGCGTGTCGTTGACTAATCACGAATCCTTAGAACTCACGGAGTGCGTGCTGGATCGCCCATCGTCACGTGACCACCTATCGTAGGTGCTCATCGAGGTACTGAAGCAGTGCTTCGACGCGCTCTAGCTTACAAGAATTTTTGTAATTTAATAGTGTGTGAGATTTGTAAATCACATATTCGAGCTGATAATGGGGGTGGAGGTGACAGTTTTGTTGCCTAAGTAGTCACTACCTCGCTTTTCATAATAGGCACTGATTCGGTTGGACCTCAGCGAGGGACTCCTGACTTGAGGCAATCATATCAGCATATAACTATCTTAGAAAACTTAACAGCTTCATATACTCGTACCTCATTTATAAAACTGAATTCCCATTGTTGATCCATCTGCACATAACCAGGTTTACTACCCTCTGGGGTGATATTGCGTATGGCTTGGACAAACTTCCAAGATCCGTTTCATTGAACTACATTTGTACTGCATGTGACGTGACTACAGGAACTCCAAGTGAACTAAGTCAGGGCATGAGATGAGCGAAGGTTTGGAAAATATTGGAGCGCATTCTTTTAAGTTTCCAGAATCACGAAGAAGAAACGTTCAACGATGCAAGATGCTTCGTTGAACATTGATTCTTATAATTATTATTGCGATATTAAGATGCTACGTGGAATAAGTGAAACTAATACCGATCCTTTAACGGGTACCGCTCGTAAGGGTCGTATATGTCTGGTGGACTGAAGATGCGGTCGTGGATTTTTTCGAATGGCCATTTTCTATCATTGATCATGAAGCATACAATCAGTGCTATGATGAATATTAAAGAGAACCCGCCTACAAATGCGGCTGTGATGATTCTGGCTTTTCTCCTCTTGTTTTGACAACAGTCACATGAACAGCCGGATATGTTGGCACACTTGGCACAACCGTTTTTACTGCAATCTTTGCCCCCACGACAAGACGAACACTTTAACATCTTCAACCCCACAGCTATCTTGACAACCAACCCTGCACAACGATAAACTATCTACGTCAAATCTGTGACAGTTGAGCAGACTGCTTGCAAGTGCTTACAATATCTTAAGGCGTAGTAGGCGAACACAGGTCCAATATGTTCAGGGATCACAACACACAGTCACTGCATGTAGTAAAGTGCATGTTCGTAACCAAGTATCGCACCCATCACGGTACCATAACGTATATGATGGAAATTTTGAACTGATGGATAGGCGTTCAACATTTAATTGACAGATAAATTTCAGTATCCAAGGTTGCGCATTCACGGTTAGACGTACCAACTTTCACTGCGACAGTTGGGACTAAGTGAAGAAGTTCGGCGTTACTGAGTTTTATATGCATTTCGCATACCGCGTAAAATATTTAATAGGTTCGTTAAGCGGTATATGAATAGAACGCCAACTGGCCCTAGGTCAATATCCACCACTACTCAAGTGTCATAATACCAACCATGCGCCCCAATGGCACATACAGCCGCCGCACTAACTCATTTCATAGAATATCGCATGGTACTGCCACTTCAAACAATTCCCACCTGTCTTCAACTCCTACAGTACATACCATTGAATCCCATAACCTTTGTTAACAAAACATGAGTTCGCACTCATCGGTTTATGGGGCATCTAAATTTGGAACTCACGTAGGTGGTTTGCAGAGATGTGCATTGCCATCATCAATATTCTTCATGTACCTGTTCGTATCAGTGTCTTGCGAGGCTAATCTCATTTTAACGTTCATGCTAGACCACAATAGCCATATCCTCTGTACACCACGCCAGCAACAACACGGCACCAAATTGTGTTATATCCACCTGTAGCAACACATATTACCATTATACCATAACAGGTCATGATTATTAGGCTGCTGTCCCCTGTTACGTTAAAATAATAGGCGATATTGTCCACCATCTACGCATTTGTAGTGGTTGGCTGTATGTCAGGTCACACATCAATGCGACTGCACTTATTGGCAGTATATGGCTGATTCGTAATCATAACTAAGGCAATTGTAGCTGATATAAGAACATTTCTGAAAAGGATTATTACTAACTCAAGTGACATACCAACTGGATAGAGAAGCCCCAGGTAACAGTGCCCACTCATATATGAGCACTTCAACGAAATAAAGCGCAATCTAGCAATGACGATGGAATGGTATGGTGTTGATCATGTCGCAACTGCGGAATATGAATCTCGATGCGACATGCGTGAGATAACACAAATTTGAGCACTGCTGCTACCACCGTCTTGGTGATACACAAAATTGCAATATTGTCATGATGACTTTAATGCTTGAAGGCGACACAAAACATATCTCCGGATGCTCTAGAATGGCAACTGGTAGCACTTTCGTAAGGGAGTGATAGCATTGTTCCGCTTATGGCCAACGCATCCCGACCAGGGAGATTTATTGCAGGGCTCTGACAAGTGTTGCTTAGACATTTTCTAATCCCGAACAACGGTTGATTTGTAATCCATTCCTATGATCATCGAGGGCCATTGCTCATCTGGTCTGTGGTGATTGCAAGAGACGGAGACGTCGAGGCGTGGTAACTCGAATGGCGAACCGGAAAATTAAACTCGACATGGTTAAGGCGAATGGACAATAAACATTGGAGTCTGCCTTATCTGATTATGCTGAAGTGGTTGTTGGTAGGATGATAGTTAAAAACTGCTGACACTCATTGATGTCCACGGGGTTGTTTTAATTTGTGCCCTCGGTGCTAGGCATTTTGTGATTTAGAACCTAAGTAGAAGAGAAAAGCATGATTACCTCCGGAATTCGTGGTGTATATGCGCAATCTATAACACAGCAGATTCTCCAATTACTTCAATTCGCATCTCATAATTTTTACCTCGCGCCCTCCACAGGACATAGCGAGCTATGCCGGGGCAGGCTACAGTTCTTAGTTTTAATCAGACATATAATGAAAGTAATTATGGTGTGAATTGAATATGTCGCTAATGTATTTGGCGTAGTAGACCCTGGCAGATTCATGCCTACCCCTGTGCCGCGCAACTCCAACACAAGATTCTGAGAAGCATATTCGATTCCGCACAATGCGATTTAGCAAATACAAGCAGAAAGTATATTAATGTATGCAACTGCTGCAGTAAGTAAGGTATCGCATACCTCAACCGCTAGAGCCATCTGGGTATGTTGTTCAGCGCTGCGCAGGGTGTTTGATGTAATGAAGCAACAATAAGTCAGGGCAGTTTTTGATACACGGAAGAAAAGTGTTCTGTAGGAAATGATAATTTCGCACATTAAATGGTTGCAAAGATATAAAAGCCATGTCAATGTTGTTATTGTGGATGTGAGAAGCGTAATTATCCCTGCTGTACGTGGTCTTGTGAAGGATGCAAGACAGGAAGACAGTGCACAGTGTGTGATATCAGACCAGACAGGCCCTCGTCTATCAGGTATGTCTGTATGAATTGCTTCGCCTGTGGATGTCATGGGTGCAAAATTCGCTTATGCCCAATATATGGCATTTCCGCATTCGTCATCCTCCCACCCATGGTCGACTATATATATCCCAACAAAGCTCGGAAATTGAGGTTTGGAATGAAGAATGCCTTTAGTGAGGACTCGAAGCCACTCGCATCATGCTTAGTCCCACATCCAACAATCCCTCATATACTTAGCCAATTGGCAGCGTACAAAAAATTATACCACCGCGTTTACTAGATAGGTGGCAATTTGTATAATTAGTGCCGGATGAGCGGTGCAAGTGAACGGTGTCACCCAATGGTCAACGGACTGCGGAGCCAAGCAATAAATCGTGTAAGCCTACAACTAAGGAGTGCTATTCTGAACAAGGTTTTGACTCGTCTAATATATGCATGGGTATCATAGAAGTGCATGAATGCGCGTCTAAGAGACGCGCGCATATGTTAGACACGGTGGGTGACGCCGAGGCTATCGGACGTCCCGACGATGGATCTGCGTAGACTGCGATCTACTACTCGCGATCCACAGCAGCATTTAAAATTGATATACTTCGCTTCAAATTGTGTTAATATAGCTAAACCCATTATATGTCATTCCTGACTGAAATGTGGATGGACAACGACTCGCGTTATGCCTGCTGCATGTCATGTGACTTGTGTGGATCTGTCTAAGACATGTCAACTTCTTCGTCATCGCACGTCACCTTCCGCGCATTTGGTATATAGGGGTTTTATAAAATTTAGTTAGACACCTATATATTAAACGGCATCAGCAGTTGTGTCGTGCTGATTCGCTATCAAGACAGAGCTGTTTAAATACACCGGCTGTTTTTTAAACTGACCGAAAAATAAAAAGCCCACACGTTTTTCGTGTCTTCTAATTTAGAAAAACTTTGTGAAAATGGTGTACAATTCGTTGACCGAGGCTCCTCGCAACCTTAAGGAGTGCATTGACTGGCTGGTGGCCCTCAAGGGAACTTCCAAATTCAACACGCAGGCTTTAGGTTTTGCGCTTTACAAATTTCTCGTAGACAAGCCTGTTGGTACGTTGCTTATACCATCTCTCGAGAAGGTTAAACGTCTTTCTAAAGAGTTCCTGGAGCACGAGGATCTTAGGAACAGATCGTACGTAAAAGACCTGCTCAGTAGATTTAAGGAGCCCATGAATAAAGACCACTACAGGCTTCGTGCTATGGTTTCTGATAACACGGAAAGCGATTATGAGAACTTCGTAAAGTCCAGGGGTTTCACCGCTGACGACATCGCTAGAAACGTACGTGCTATTGTGTCTAATTGTGAGATTATCTTGGAAAATGTTAAAAACCCTGACCAGTATAATTCCGCATACAGTTCGGAAGCGACATGGGCTGCATCGTGCTCTAAAAACCCGGAGGCTTGCGCAGTGATCCTCGTTGGTATTGCACCAATGTTGTACGCAGGCATAGAATCTTTGAGGGATGAGACCGAATATGCAAATAGGACCGAACAGAGTGAGACGGACAAAGATTTTAGAAAGGTATTGAAAGCCTTAGGTTACGTAGAGCCGGAATACCGCGATGGCCTGAGTCGTTCAGATGTCTGCAAAGCGGTGACGAATATGCATCCACGAATATTGCCGACAATCTACGACGTCGCCGGCTTCTGGGCTTTCTATTGATGGGAGTTCGCAGCTGATCTGTACAAGCAGTTGGGGACAGAAGAGTCTGACTCCGATTCACCACTCAGTAGCCATCAACGAACTCCCACGAAACATTTCTAATTTATGAAGTGTAATTAAAACAAGTTTTATATGCAATATACATCTACCAAGCTGCTGTCGTAGAATGAGGGCAAAACACAGTTCGCAGCGTCTCTATAATTACGTTAGTGCTGCCTTGGCGCAGCTCGGTGGCGTACCGGTTGCTTGCATCCAAGGCGTCTGTCTACTGCTGGTCGCAATAATGCCTATACCTTACATCACTTTACGACGCATCCGTTGATCGTAGGTAGTCCATTGGGGACAGCTGGTATTGTCGCACCCTAAAAGGGTAGCCATGATGCCGCTCTTACTTTGGGTGGGTCATGCGTATATAGCCGTTATGAATCGCTGTTTGGCGTGTCCCGTAAAGAGACGCCGAACGGAAGTGCGCGGGTCAGAAGGAGTGCAATTGAACGACCTCTGCAACATAACGATGAATATCGTGCAGCCAACGCCAGTAACGGCAGGGAGTGGGCTATCATGAGCGATCACCATCCATACCATTCGTAGCCAGTCGGCGCACCACAGTCTTTGAAACTGTGGTTAAATAGGATAAGTAAAATAACGCTGATATTACTGCACAGTATCAACACCCGCTTCTCGACAAAAAATTTTAACAATTGAGTACAGTGGTCACCTAAGCGCGTCTAACATGTGTAGAATCAGCAGTGATTGCATTCCAGTCTCAGGGGAATACACCGCTGACCATACCACGGATTATCAAACGTATGGCATTATGTTCCTCATCGTTCTTAAAGTGTTCAGTCTGGTTTCACAATGAAAATTAAGCTCTTATATAGCTCCATAAAGCAAGATATGGATGGATAATAACTGTCTACATGCAGCACCGTGAAAATAACAAGCGACGTGGAATCACTAGTGAGCCTCAAAAATTAGAGATTCCCCGAGTAACAAATGTCACGCGTGACACGTCATTTGAGTCACTGAAATGCCAGTTTGTCACAAGATGTTCCATACGTATGCGTATATATTTATTTGCGAATAGTTTCATAGATAAAAACAAATTAACCTCAGTAGACTGGTTGGTATATAGCATTCAGAGATCTTTTGGTCGAGGGTATTCGATGTTGCTGTACGGCATGATTAATTAGTCAGGTTAACTATCTCCATGGCTTTAATGCTAGATTTCATTTATGTGGCCCTATTAGTTAATAATGACGCAATTTACTTTCTGTGGGCGTAGAAATCTCGCATTTGTATTCTGCATCTATATGAATGCCATCAATGGTGTGTTTACGGCTGTTCCCGGTGGAGATGACGCATCAGACTGTGGCTCACAATCGTACCCACACATCGCAACCTATGCCATGAGGGGGGATATATGTCGTAGACTTGAAGGTTTAGAATCACTTCACACGAATGCCACACGATTTCACAATGAATTGGGCATAATAGCGGAGTCAATATCTAAATCTAAAGATCCACCGGCAACGAAAGAAGCACTACAAGAGCAGTGTGGCGAACTCTTGAAAGACATGCAACATATAATCGATGTTACGAGGGATTACGCCGAATTAGGGAGGATGTTACGTGAAACTCGTCAAATATATATAGAATTCAAAACTGGTGTTCTAACGGGGGGTAGGTCAGCTGAACTTAATAAAGCTATGACAAGCCTAGATAAAAGATTCGGATGCAATCACCACTTGATACCTGGTATTAGCGAATACGAAAGGTTAACTCACCTTTTCAGGATAGGGGACGCGGAAGCATTCGTTGATAGACACAGGGTTACAGAACCATCAACCCCTGAGCCAGCTGTAGATGTCGGGGGGAAGTCGAAAGCAACCGATACAGAATCAGTGGTTGCGGCAACAGGAGTTAGTGATGCACCAGAAGTTGTGCCTCCGGTTGAAGAAGGCGATGAAATGGTTTGGGAACCCATCAATGAGAGTGCTGTTTTAACCACATTGTTTAATATTCAGGTTGACTTGAAGAAAATAGAAGATATATTACGTGGCCCTTTGATAGACGATACCAGTTCGGTCGACGCCATTAAAAGCGTATTTTCATATTTCCACAGATTTGACGTCAACGCACAAAATTTTGTCGAGTTTGTGTCTGACCAGATGACGAGGATCGAGAGTCTGATGTATATGTTCAAACGCCAAGACCTTATCAGTGAGCAACTGAAGACAATGGATCTGAGTTCTCCTACAGCAGTTGAATTAGTAGCGCAGCTTAAACGAATCAACTTAGAATTAGAGAAATATGCATCTTTCAAACATATATTTCACCCAAAAGAATTGGAACGCGAAGTGCCGCGTATACTGCATGGGCTGCAACGGTTGCTAGAGAACAGAAAAAATATCAAACACAATGTGAGTTCGAATATAAAACCACGAACTCCCACCAAACCAAAAATACCAGCGACGGTTAAGGTTTCACGTGGATTGGATACGCCACAAGACAGTGAAGCTGCTCCGAACAATATCCTTACCACCAATTACAAGCAACTCCCTTCGGGAGTTGAGGCCATTGGAATCAGGGTTATTCAAACAACCATGGCAATTGCTCTAATGGCGACCCTTTGACTCCAGTTAACCGCAAACCTTTGCACCGGGACGGCAAGCAGATGTTATCCGCCCAACAATCTACAATGACCGAGTGAGCCCCTTCGCTGCATCATCAAAAACTCAGGTGTGCTTTGAACCGATTTTCAAGGTTGATTTATTGGACCGACGATGTCCATACAACCTGCAATCTAGCGTAATTATCAGCCCCCCAAAAGCTGTGGAATTTCAATGCTCTGCCTTCTGTGGTAGTGGATGTACCGATGGCATACAGTGCGTATATTGCAAAGCTGCACGTTCGAAACAGGCTTTAATCTATCTGTATGTTAAAATGCAAAAATTGGTGGAAGCGAGGTTGTGGATTTCGTAAAAAACGGATTAATCACGACATATCCACGGAAATCTGCACCCTTTGCTTCCAATCGTCCGACTTGTATTCACACCTAAAAATTTAGGCAGTGCAACTGGCTGTTTCACAAGTTAATTTACTGCTCCATTATATCGGCACCTCAAACCTAATGTTGTCCTATGGTCTTATGATATGTGATTTCATCACGCATCTTATGTGCTGTAGTTATACCATTGTGATCGGATCAATTTATATTTTCGGTAATATAACAGAAATAGGCCTAATCCTTAGATGTCTTCTGAGCAAATAAGACTCAATAATAAGCAGGGCATTTTGATCTGGTGCACTGCCGTTTTGCTGCATCTTTTTATCGTAATTGACACGTGGTTTGGCGTCGAAAAAATTTTCCGCCGCTCACCTGGCGAGTGATTTACGTGCCTTTATCCAGGTTTTATTGGGTGAATGAGGTTGGAAGTATTAAGTGCCATTTACATTACGTTAAATCGGTGTGCTATTAAAACCTTTCTAAATATTAATAAAATTTTACGTGTTCACGACACGCGAACACCATGGCAAACTCAACCTTAATTACGGTATTGGCAATTATTTACCTCATCATGGCCGTTAGTTTCTTCTTCAATGGAGATGCTGCACCTTTGAATGAGAAGCGACCGGCGAACACGTTGAATGATGACGTACGGATATACGCAAATGGCCAACGAATCACATACAGCGAGCTACAATTCCAAGCAGAATCATCCGACCAATACACTTTTGTGTTCAAGCACGCACATTTTTTAAAAAATACAAACTATCTGAGGAATGTCTTGGCGTATTATGAAGGTTTACATCCTTTTAAACCGTATCTATGTAAGATTGTCGAATATTACGAACGCAAACTGGCAGAAACAAATGGCTCGTTGTGTGTAACCTTTCGACCTAATGAACTCTGTACAGCATACGTTGGAGCCCTTATTGGTATTACCGATACAGAGGTGAAACTACCATCATTTGAACTAGACTCACCTGAGGTAATTGCTGCCTTATCCTGTTTTCCATGTGCATCTATCGAAATACAGGAGGCATTTATGAATTTTTGGATGTTACTTTATCAGGCTATTTATGAGACGTGCGCCGAAAAGTTGAAAAAACTTGCCGCGGAGAACGCAGCAAATGGCTCCCAAGAAGCGAGCGGTGTCGCCACTGCAGCCAATCTAAGGGACAGTAATGGCATCAGCGGTAATAATGAAGAGCTAATTCTTGATTGCAGCCGTAATGATTTGAATGAAGAGCCTTGGTGCCCAGAAAATGGGATTGATGCCTCACCGTATATTATAGGGTCGTTGGGTGCCTGGAATCCCGAACCAGATCGGCCATTAGATGATTCAAATGAGTCAGGTGAGGTGGCCGGATCTTCCAATGATGGCGAAGTGCGGGACCGAAATTCTAGTGTCAGCGAATTAAGCCCAGAGCACCAGTACGAGTCATTGTCTGATTTCTACATTCAACCTGAGGTAGCTGAAGGGGATGAGGATTCAGATTGGGACAAATACTTCGAATCGTTTTTAAGGCGCCTCAAAAAATTACCGGACGAGAATGTGAGCAGTGATGCTTCGTCGACGTAATTGGTTCCACGATGGATGCGGTGATAAATGAGCAGTATAACGCAACAATAACGATCGCTGATGTGTGCAATAGTTCGTGAAAGCCACACATTTGGATACATTGCGCTTGGGTAAAGAATCTACACACATTAATGAGCAGTTCATTGACGTTGGGTGATGCCTCTCCTTAATCGGGTACCCGGATAGCAACTCTATAATTTGTGCAACTGCCGTCATCGACTCTGTTTTCAAATCACATCTGCACGGTGACCGATGTATTATAAAATTTCGGGCATGCAAATGAACCTCGATACAAAACACAGGACTCATTCGTATCGTCTGGGCCACTCGCGAACCCCTATGGATCAATGAGCCCACGGTATGGCAATAGAGCGCTCAAGTGAGCCTCTTACAAGCGCAAAATGCCCCGTGTCGTGTGTAACCAATTGCCGCAGAGCAGGCGAATGGAAATGGAACAACTAGCAGGCGCCTATCCAAGTTCAATATGCAATCCGCAGTAATGCGTATCCCCGTACTACACAATAAAACTCACGATGTAATAATAGTTGGTACGTAAATGACTTACGAATGGCAGCGTTAAATACGCTTCAGTACCGAAGTGAACCAGATTACAAAATATGTTCGCGACTCGTTAAATTATTGCAAATCACTTTCCGGGCGATATCAGAAGCGAGTCTGAATTCAACATGACTCTATTTTGCGATTTAGACAGAATGTCTGCGATTTCCTTGGCAGTCTCGATGCGCCGCAGCGTAATGAAGGCAGGGTTGTCCTGAATCGCGCTGCCGATCTGACACATGTTACACAAAAAATTCCTCCAACGTACCAGCTTGGCTGCTTCAGATTCACCCTGGGCCTTGATGATAGTCGATTTCTTCTCTTCCTTGGCCTTCAGCACGATATACTTGCTCCGCTCAGCCTGTTGTTGCGCCACTTGCTTCGCCTCTACGGCCTTTTCGTATTCAGGGCTGAAGCTGACGTGAGTCAGCGACACGTCGTCAAGCAGTATGTTGAAGTCGCGCGCACGCTGAACCAGCTGGTCGCGCACCGACTTGCTGACCTGGGAAAGAATATACATCGTCAGGACGCAAAAACATACCACCTCCCTCTGAGTGATAAGCTGAGAGGCGTTGTACTGCGCAACCACGCTCTTCAGCACCTCGTTGATGATCGATGGCAGCACCTTTTCGTCGTAGTCACGGCCCAATGACCGGTAAACGTCACGCAATCGGCGTTCGTCTGGCCGGGAAAGCACACGACACGTGATGTTTACCATCTGCAGATCTCGGCTCCCCGTCAGAGACGTCAAGGTGCGTGGTCTGGTGCGCACATCGTATATTATTGGACGCTCCAACCACGGGATGAGGAAGTGAGTGCCCTCGCCGACCATTACCTCGCCAACGCCCGTAAGACGATTGTATACGAGAGCACGGTGACCCGCCTCCACTGAACGCGGATGATACTACAGACGGACCATCTTACCGTTGTACAGGCTGTTGTAGGCAGCGGCCGCACCGCCGCCGGCCAGCAACAGCGCAGAGCCGGCGCCGGCGATGCCGCGCAAAATCTTCGGCAACTCCGTCGACATCCTTTTATAAACAATTCTTTTGTTATGTGCAAACGGCGGGCGCGAGTATACCGATGAAACGCACAACAACCGGGGTGTAGACAGCCTCACGCGGTAGCACACTCAACAAAAGTGAAGCGTGAGATTACCGATTGATGATGCATATATACCGCCACCAACAATCTATTTAAGAACATTCAAGGTGTCTTCTATGCAGAAGTATCCCATCTCAGCGGACATCTGAACAACGCCACTTGGGCATCGGCATTGTTTACACCTCCGTGTCAAACACTCGTGAACACAGCAGAAGCACACTCATACATCAGCTATTAACGTTAACATTACGTTTTAGAGCTGTTTGCGTACTGTAACGCTCTTTGGCCGGCTGCATGGCAATAACTCAATACCGGCGGCAATACCATGCCGCGGCACTCTATCTAATGCTCAGTTCTCCTGGTGCGATACGTTGTTCTCTGGAGCGGAATTCGCGCTATTGCGATCTTCTGTGCATATGCCTTCCAGGTCAGTGATATCCAGCGCCTCGCCCTCACGCAGAACGAGGAACTGTTCCCGCAGAGATGGGTCCACCTCATCTATACTGCGGTAGAGACGTTCCAGCAGCTCGCCGTAACCTTCTACTCCGAGTGGGAAGGTGTCGTGTGCCACTACAAGCGTTTTACGCGCACCAAGTTCCGTGTGGGCGGTGACTGCTTCTTCAGGCGTCAGCTCCGGGCTCCGGTGAAACACAGGACCCAACGGCAAAATAGCCACGTCGATGGAGTGACCCTGGCGATCCAGGAATTCCCGGATCTCCCGAAAGTGGCTCCCGTAGGCAGTTCTTCCCGCATAATATACCGTACGAGTGGCAGATCGGATGAAAAATGAGCCCCAGAGGAGGAGGTCGCGGTTGTACCACCGCCGGCCACTGTTCGAATACGAGGGAAGGAACGTGATGTCGACACTCCCAAAATTCACGGTCTCGTACCAACGCAAAGGGTACGTGTAGCCACGAAAGAAGAACATAACGTATCGTGAGACGTTCATGCCACCCACCACCAATGCGGCGCCGGCATCACCCAGGCGCCGCATGCTGAACGAGTCGACGCAGCCGTATGCATTGTTCGACAGTAGCACGAAGTCCGGCATAGGGCACTTCCAGAACTTGATCACCCGATTTGTCACGCGCCGCAAGCCGAAGATAGGAAAGTAGAGTCGACGGGAAAACAATGGGTCGGTCAGAAACGCAGCGCCACCAGTCTGGATGTACACCGTTCGGTGTCCCAGGAAGGTCAAACTTGAACGGTCCTCACTAACTCTGTTTATCTCAATGGGAGCACCGGGAACCTCCTTCGGCCAGGAGCCTAATCGCACGCCCAGCAGGCCCGCGAGGCCAGGAATCTTGCGACATAGCGCGATGCTGAACTTCTCAAGCAAAGCGCCACGCTGCCGAGGGAGAGCGAACCCAGAAACGCCGCCGCGGACGTGCCAGGGGTTTAGAAACCATGGCAGCAGCCGCATGACCGCTTACCACGGGACGCCGTAAACGGCGGCACACAGGCGAATTAGACACGCCTTCGTGCCCTTATACGATGCCAGTATGCAACGCAAATGACACCGCAAAGCCATTTATAACGCAACAATAGCGCGTCACGCCAATGTGCGGAGTGCGGAAGGCAAAACGGTACCCGGCTCCCCACCCGGAGCTGCGACTACACATTCTAGGTTATACCAGGAGCCACAGTTCAAAATGGTAGGTGGAATCTAATTACGTTTAATATGGTGTAGTCGATTGCCAAGAGGTTCGTGCCGCTGTTCGACCGCGTACTGGTCTCTAAGATCAAACCGGATGCCAAGACCAAGTCTGGTCTGCTGCTGCCGGAGTCGTCTAATCTCTCGTCGAAGCTTGCCACCGTTAGTTTTGGTGTAGGAAGGAATATTGTTGCCAGGTGCTGGCTGTCGGCGCAGGAAGGCTGAACGCAAAGGGAGAGGTGATTGCACCGACCCTCAAGAAGGGCGACACCGTCGTTATCCCGGAGTACGGCGGGATGGAGCTCAAGCTTGACGGCGAGAAATACTCAGTGTACAGGGAGGAGGACATCATAGGAGTTGTAGACCAGAATGCTTAGAACTAGATGCGTACCAGCAACAGCCGCGAGCACACTGTAGAAGATATGACGCGAGCTGAATCATCGCCGCCCCAAGCAGTATGGCCCACAGAAACACCGTTGTACCGTGTTAAATACGTTTGACCGTTGCATCTGTTGGCACGTGTCTACGAACAGAGGTTAATGATGTTGCGTGGGCCTTCCGTAGTGACAGTGACAATTACATGACGATGATACGATTTTTAAGGGGTTTATGTTGATGCTTGTACAATATTCGCATCCACGGCACGGATAAATCACGTAGGTGATGGTAAGGCACTTGCCGCTTTGACAAAGAAGCTTTTGGGACCGTCCTCGGGGCCTCGATACAGCCCGCACCCGATGATGCTGAACAAAATGCGACGTTGCTGAGACGAAACATACCGCAAATCACGCTTCGGCAGACCTTCGCTCAAAGGCTCGTTTCCCAACGAACGAATCAGCTTCATACCTTTAACAACCGTCCCCAGCACAACGGGACGCCGGCCCAGGCACGGGTTGCCCACTAGCGTTATGAGGAACCTCGACGTCATTCCCACCTCGTCGCTGGTGGACAACATCGCCACGTCGCCCTCCTGCATGAACGGCAGCTCAAAGCTCTCCTCGGGCATCGTACGGCCATAAATCGTGCATGAGGTCAAAGGGCCGCCAGGGTGGAACAGTTGCCCGAAAATGAGACCGTTGCGCGGAAACACCTGATCCACCTTAGAATTTAAAAATCCGATGCGACGACCGCCCACTTCATATCCCTTGCACATCTGCACGAAGTTTTCGCATGTAAGCGGCTGGTGGTTGCCGTAAAGGCCGATCAGGATGCGGCCCAGGTAACGGCGGTCGGCCGCAAGGTCGAAGTACACGTAATCCGTAATTGCATCCTCAGTCAATGATGAGTTATTGTGCACTGTTACTGCACTGCGGCGCTTGTTGTAGTACGCTGCGCAGCCAACGGCCCCCTGAAACTACGTTAAAGGAGCAACCATGCACCTACCAACAGTGCCTTCGTGCCCCAAGACAGGGCGCCGACCTTGCGCGCGGCGAAACACACGAGGTCAACGGGCAGCAGGAAAGTACTACGCATGGCTCTCAAACGGGAGAGCCAGTGCACCCAACCGTACGATGCCAATGCTCCATGGAATCCTGCGCGGAACAGCTTCTGATAGCCGCGCCGCGACACAACACACTCCAACAATTCGACACCCCTGCGATATGAAATAATTCCCAAATTCCTCAAATAAACGTCAGAGTCGCCCAGCCGCGGTGTTTCGTTTTCGTTGTACAACGGGCTTGACGGACCCGCTGATGTGGTAACAACGCCGGCCTAAAATAAGAGCAGATTCAACTGCGATTAAATCTACGGCATTAATATTTAATTAAAGTCACGTTAATGTGCTTATACAGGCGAATTCAATGACGAAATAACGAGCTGTTCGCTTCTGTGCAGCGCATTTTACACATGGTGTATTCATGATAACTGTGTAGCCGTCTAAATAACGCTGCTTCCACTTGGAAGAAAGTAAAGCAGGTGATGTAATGTTGCCTATTATCCTCAACGGATGTGTACATTACACTTAGCATTGGTAACGCTATAGAAGGATGGCAACGGGCATACACATCGCACAGCCTGACAACAACCTTGAAACAGCGAGTTGGCCGATGCAGTAGATCACGGGCCCCCAAACCATTTAAATGCGACGGTATGAAGCAACGTGACGTATGAAATTAACAAAATTTTTGCTGTATTTGATAAAGTACATCATCCGATGAGCACGTTTGTAGCAAACCGAAGTCCATTTAGGCCTTGTTGAAGGTTTTGGCCAGGTATTCACCTGTGGAGTCGGCAGTTGGAGCCATGGCGGCGGCACCCTTCTTCCAGTTAGCCGGGCAGACGTGGCCGGATTCGTCAGAGAACTTGATGGCGTCGAACACGCGCAGGGTCTCGTCCACCGAACGGCCGATGCCAAGATCGAAAACGGCAACGTGGCGCACCTTTCCAGCCTTGTCTATCAGGACTGAGGCCCTCTGAGCAAAGCCCTCGGGGCGCAGCATGCCGAAGCTCTTAGAAATCGAGCGCGACATGTCGGAGACCAGGGGGAACTTGACGCCTTGAACACCACCCCTCTTCAAGTCCATCTGGCTCCACGCCAGGTGAGAAAAGGGGGAATCGACGGAAACACCGACCACCTTGATACCACGCTCCTCGAACTCAGACAGACGCTCCGAGAAACCTAAAAGCTCGGAAGGGCAGACAAAGGTGAAGTCGAGCGGGTAGAACACCATCAAACCGTATGAGCCGCGGAAGTGCTCTGCGGCGTCGAAATCCTTCACGGAACCGTCGATAACGGCGGAAGACTTGAAGCTGGGCATCTCTCGGCCAACCAGGTCGGCTACGTTAACGGAGCACGAAGAAGCCTGCGTGCCGAACGCGCGCCCAGCAACAACCTTGTGCACGGCGTAGCTGTTCATGGGAGCGAACGTTCTGAAGTAGCGCGCGGCCGACGAGCCGGAGCAGCGCATAGCGGCCCTGCAGGCTGCGGCAGAGATTCTGGCAACACAACCGATCATGGTGAAAAGCAAAATTAGAGGCAGGTGTAAATGTATTTAGGGAGATGCCGAGAATGGAATAGACGAGGAGTGAGGCGAGTCCAGTGAACACACCATGTAACACGTCAAGCGCCGCGCAAGTACACACCTATGAACTGCGGGCTGCAAATACCTCGGCAAAACACGAACGCGCGTTGTGTGTAAAAAACAGCTTAGAGCGTAATTAGCTAGAAACAGGTGACGGTAGCGTCCCCGGTGTGGAAGCTCCGGTCAACGTGAGACACCGAGCTTCCAGCGACGGCGCGGCGATGTCGCGACCCGGGGTACAGCGTTATGATTCCTATAGCGCACCTACGAAGTACCTCGAGCCCCAAAACACTACCACGTAGCCTTTGCACGGGAAGTGACTGGGCTCCAGCATGCTACCGCTCCAGTGTGCCCGAAGCAACATCCCACCTGGCGGGTAAATTACAACCAAAAATCCTCCGATCGTTCATGCGACTTGGCGCACAACATGTGATTTGGGAGTGCCACTGGCAGCTCAAATCTCCACGTTGTAAGCGTTGTCGCGGTTGAACCTCCAGAACTCTTGGTGACGCAGGTAGTTGTTGCAAAATCCGGCCTGGCGCATGATATAGCGACATTTAACGACGAAACTTACAATAGTACCCAGAGCGGCGCCCACTGGCCACGTGTAAGCCTCCTCTTTCGCCAGAGCAAGCTTGATGTGGTACTCGGCTTCGTCCTCAACGCTCATGAACCCGAACATGAACCCGAATACCCCGCCCATGGTACAGGCGATCACCAAAATAACCAGAACCTGAGTGCACATTAACAACCTCGAACATATGGCTTTCATACACAAACACAGAATATAACCAGCAGCCTTGGTCCCCTAGCGTTACCGCACTGGGCTGGGCTAGCGCCGCTACCAAACGAGAACGGGGAAACCATTGACACACGAAGATAAAATACGGAATGACTACCAACCTGCGATTTAGACTCGACCAACGGACGTGCGATAGACGTCTCGAACATGGAAATGAAGTAGTTGACGAGGTCGACAATAGTGAACGTCAGGGCAAAGGAAACCGAAATGCCCAGAAGCGTGTAGATCGACACCTTGAGCAGAAACGGAGAGTGGGTGAACCAGCTCTGGCGCAAGAAGAAGCATACGATACCGGACGCAATGATCTGAACTTGGTCAAACACACAGAAGGCAACCTACCATCAGTCCGAAATAGCGCAGGAACTGACGCTGCTTGCCGTCTACCTCCGTGGTGGCGACGGTCAGACGCCAGAGAATTACAAGGCCGATAACGATGAAAGTGAACGCGAAGTACTGCAGGGAAGTGAAACACAACGGACGCAGACACACCAGGGTGAAGAACGGCGAGGTGGAAACCTCAACCAAAGCGCAATTCACGATGAGAGAGCATATCGCACCGATGATACCGCCGCAGAATGAAGCCAAAAGCGTGCTCCAAATGGGCAGCTTAGACAACGGCATCTCGTTGTCGAACCACGCGAGGTAGTCGCCATTCTTGGCGAAACTGAAATCGTCAGAGCTGATAGATTTCATCATTTTCACCGCCAATATAAATTCGCTGCAAACACAGCCTGCCAGGGGTCGCTCTCAAGCTCAGGTACACCCTACGCAACGGTCACACAACACAGACCAGCAGCCGGCTACACACATCACATGCACAATATAGTAGGCGTGCGATTACAATTCATCTAGTTCACGGTTTATCTCACGTAGCTCTAGTGACGCGGTGACCAGATCGTCCATGAGCCGGCGTATGCGTGCCTTGGCTGCGTCCTGTACACCGGTGAATACGGAAGAGGCCACAACCGACCTCGGACTCCTGATTTTCCTTGCCTGACTCTGCCTTGGCACGAGCATAAGCTTCTTCGCTTGCTTCCTAACAACTTTGACGGCGAAAACGGACATTTCCCACCTCTTCGAGGTCCTCCTTCAGACCGACGTCTGCACACTGTCCACACACACGAACTATGTAACGCACCTTCTGCGTCTTCGAGTGTCTTCTCGTCAGTTTCAAACCTGTACAGCAATACAATGCGCTTAGTGTCCCTGTACCGGTCCTCTGCGTCGTCCAACTGCGAAATTTTACGGCACGCTACAGCGTCGACTCACCTCCTGATCCACGTTGTCGTCGTCATCATCCTCATGACCCTGATAGTTTTATAAAAACGCTATACACACGCAACGCTGCCGGTTAAAACGCTAGGAAACACAACATATGATAAATGTGCAAACATTACGCCATGACTTAATGCACGGAATACGGTTGATCACAAAACTCTAGCGTACCTCCTCGTCCTCTACATCTTCCTCATCTACATCATCGTCGTCTTGGTTGGTAGCGCGCTGCGCTGCTTTCACGGAAGACGCTGCGCCGCCTGTTGCAGAGGAAGACTCCAGCGACCGCGCGCCATCGACTTCGCAGTGATTGCAAAGAGCGATGAACCAAAATATAAGCGAAGCTGCCGTTATATGCATCGCTCAATGCGTATTGTGACGGGAAGGTTGATCAACAACGGCGGATGCATACGGTGGGCTGAGCTCCAACACGACATCACAGGCGACCAGACACAAGTGCCCAGTCTCTTATAAAAACCAGATGGTGTACTGTAAACAGTTCTATATGGCTCATTATAATATTTGTCCGTTAGAGGCGCCTTATTAGGTCCGCCGAAGACGGTGTGCACGTGACGGAGGTCAACAACGTCGCACATTCCGCCAGGCTCGTCATCCGCGTCCAGATATCATGGGTTGCGATTAGACAGGGCTTCATGCGTTTGGCACGAAGTCGCGGTCGTCAACTACAATCTTGTACATTACGCTGTTGAAGGGCGAACGTAGGCACAGTTTAGCAATCATGCGCTGCGAAAAGGACTGGCTGGTAGCCTTTTTCATAAGATCCGGGCTGAACCACGTCTGAATACCCAGGTACTGGTATCGATCCAGTGGGCCTCCGGGGGTCATGTTCTCTAGGCGAACAAGCTTTGTGCTGCCATAACCTGCGCAGAGTCACGTGGCGTCGTTGACGGGGAACCGTAACACTCCAAACATGAAAACGACATGTTTTACGATCATAAAAGGGATTCTCAACTACTTAGCATACGAAAACACTCACCTTCCTGAGTCTGGAGGTACCGCGTCAGGCACTTAACATTGTTCTCGAACTCAGACGAGTGTTCCTTGTCGACCTCGTAAAAACTCAAAAAGGCGTAGTCGCGCTGGGAGAACGCCGGGTGTACCTCCCAAACACGCTCTAGATCGGGGTTGGTGAACGCGTACGATGTGATAAAGCCCAGCGTGAACGTGACAGCCCTGTTCACGAACCTACGCGTGAACACAGTGCCGCCAACGGTGCGAGCCACGTGCAGCATCGCGCTATCCTAACGATGTGTGATTACCCACACCTTGTCATGGTAAGCAGCAACTGCGCAGAGAGGTTACGTATGGTGTCTAACGCTTGTACTCCCCCATCAGATGGTAACCTAGGAAGTCCGCGGGAAGGGGTAGCAGTTCGCCTTTTTCGAACCCTAGTCTCAGCGTCTATGGGTGTGTCATAGGTATATGGATTTTCTGCTGTGAGGGTAATGGGACGAGACGCCGGGAATATCCAACAGTGGCGACCATGAGACACCAGCTGCTAACAGCGCTGATTACGCGAAGTTGCCACTCGACTCCGCCACTGAAGCGTGCGCTGGCAAACATAAAAAGACGCACGTATTGCCATAAGAGGCTCTTCCACTCAAATATCGCAAACAACAATGCAGAAAGGTGAGCCTACTACCAGGCAACGTGATCACTAGGCCGCAGCGTGACCTTCGTGTTCGTCAACCAGGACGACAAAGAGACGGAAGTTACGGTGCCAGTGGGCACCACGGTACTAGAAGCTGCTCATAAATTCAACATACAGCTGGAGGGTATGCCAAGAAGATCACAAATCATGATACGCAGGTGCATGCGACGGATGTATGGCCTGCTCCACATGCCACGTAATCTTCGATGAAGACGTATACGACGCACTTCCGGAACCAGAGGACGCCGAATTGGACATGCTGGACCTGGCGCCGTGCCTGACGGACACGTGAGTGGCAGGAAACGTAGAATTGACGGAAAACGCAGATCCAGGCTGGGATGCCAAATCAAGCTCGACACCTCCCACCAAGGGATTAGGGTACAGCTGCCGAAGATAACGCGGAATTTCTACGTAGACGGCCATGTACCTATGCCTCACTGAGTTCCGCCACCGCGTGCGCGAGAGTCGCCATCAACCGATACGTAATATTTACAGATTCTGTTGTTTTGCCATTCCGAAGCCATGGCACATGATATGCGATTGGTTATTGTACATCCGCGGATATGCGGAATTAGGAGTGGCGCTAATAATAGTTCGCCGTCAAGCTCGGGTTGACGGAGACAGGGTACGACACCGGCAACGAAACTTCTGGCGTCACAGAGCGTCCAGACAACTCCATACGCGCAATTCGCCTGCAAATCGTTACTGATGTTACACGCCAACTAACTCCTCCGCGCCGAGTTCAGCCTTCAAGGCCTCCAAAGTGTTGGTCTGTGCTATAAGCTCAGACAGCATCTCCTCGGGACTGAGCTCCTCCAGCTGCTCGAGGACCTTGTAGTATTCCTTGTGCATCACTGCAAAGAGTGAGATGTGACGCTATGACTGTTCACCTGGGCTGATAGCCTCTGTCTCCTGCAAACGACATTAGACAGCAGTTATACACTGACGTACCAAAGCGATTTCGGCGAGACGGTTCACGCTCTCCAGCTCGTTCGGCCGAATCTCGATGTAAGGAACAGGGCGAGTCACTTCCAGAAGCGCACCTGAGGTCATAGGTCAACATCAATGTGTTACACACCCGCGGAAGCGTCCCCAGCCATCTGACCCAGCGGCACATCGCCGCCGAAGCTTACGTCGATATTCAGCCCCTTCTTAGCTGCAATAAAAGCATATAAACACACTCCAAACCAACTCACGTTCTGTGGCATCGCAGAAAAAACAGCGGAGCAACCAACACACCGCCGCGAATGTGTACCACCCCGCGGCCATGTCTACGTTTTAGGAAGCTCTCATCTCTCACACACTGATTGCTTACACATTCGATCGTAGAATTTTAGCTTTTAGTTACGCGTCGCGCGACTGCCACGAAAATTCCACCGCTGCGTTAGAAACGGCCCAATAAAGACCGCCTTAGCCGGCGTCAGATGTTGTCGCGTACTTTCACTTCTCAGACATCTCTTCCATCTTCTGCACTGGGAAGAAATAGTCTCTAAGCTCCCATCCGACAACGCTAGCATAGAATCACGCGGCGAAGTAAACAACAGACTTGAAAAGCACATCAGACGTAACTGACGGATACTACAGGTTAAACCGATAATCCCGTGTGTGGCGGAGTTTGGCAATAGGTTGCGGAGTCGGTTGCAATATTACGGCGGCAAGTCAACGACCCTAGTAGAAAATGCGAGAATCGCGCCAGAAAATACAGCTTGCTCGTAGAAAGAACGTTCTTGCACATCATTGGTGACAGGGACCAAGAAAGGAATCAAAAAACTGCGGAACAAGTAAATACAGCCGTTCCTTCGGGAACGAGAAACATTGTCTTATCAGACGCGCCTTAAGATCGACCCAAAGGGCACACAGCTCCAGTCGCGCAGATTCTGCGCGAATCCTAAACAAAACTACTATCCCATTGAAAATTGTTCCAAAACTCCGATTAAAGGCGCACAAAAGCCTATCCAGACACCATTCGCCGAAATTAAAAATCAAAACCTACAAAAATGGACGATGCACGTAGAGACAAAATTCTGAGAGGAATTCATGCTTACTTCAATGACTTCTACAAGCAGGGCTTGGCTCTCTTGGGAGATACCGAGGTTATGCCCCTCGAGGTCCAAGATAAGAGGAGGAACCATGAGCAGCAGCTTCTGAAGGGGATGTACTGGGCGCTGTTCTCCCTTCACCTGCTCTACAACAGGTACAACATGGCCACCAAGGAACAGCTGGAGCACATCAGAGCGCAGCCTGAACGCGAAAGTGAACATTCGGAGGCCGAGGAGAGTGACCTCGACATGAGTGGCTATCACTACCATCCCATCGATTTGACGGAACCGCCCGATGAAGAAGAGGAGGAAGGCAGCGCCAGAAACGTTAACGCTGCCGATCTAGCGGCAGCTCTGAACGAGATGCAGCTGCTGCGCACGAACAACCGGGTGCTCGGGGGACCTGAACTGGACACAAGCATACTCAAGGGTAAAGAGGTGGACATGGTTTTGAGGTTCCTTAAAGTCTGTCAGCGGGAGTTCGTGTTCGATGACTACATGTTCCTGGGGTTCGCCAACTCGGACGACAGGAGGAGGTTCACGGCAAACATCAGCAGCACACTCATGGCCATCAACACGTACAGACTCATCGGAGACAATTTGAGAACGAAGTCTAGCATCAGTTTCCTCAAACATATGTCATGGATGTATCAGTGGGAGGAGCTTCTTTCCTTCATCAGCCTGCTGTACGTGAAAAACGAGGGCTACTACAGGAAGACCGTCATGCCGATGGTCACGCAGAGCTCGGATATCAGACACACGGCGTCGGCCGTGCTTTCCACTTCCATGATCCTCAGGGTGTGCCAACACACAACGCCCAGCAGCTTGCGAAGCCTTGAGGGGTGGATAAACGTCGAGGAAGTGACGGAGCATGTCCTGAAGCACTTCAACGACGACGGTGGAGTTGGACTCTCACCAAACGCGGAAAGCCACTGCGGAGGGGCGTTTTGTGCACTACTTATACTAACAATCTTGGGGACCATTAAAACCATAGACCGGAGCCTGTTGGTCGGCCTAAGAAAGTAAGTCACTGCATGCATTGCTCATAGCTTTAAAATGTGTCTTTCGTTTAAATGTATTGAAAAATTGCGAAGCTTTAAAATAACTGCGTTCATTGTTTTGCAGCTGGCTCGTCAAGCGCCTAGCCCACTTTGGGGGTGTATCGGGCAGAGTCGGCAAACACGAGGACCTGTGCTACTCCTTCTGGATGCTCGCTGCGCTCAACCTCCTGAACAAGTGCGGAGTTCACTCGCAGATATTGAGGGGGCGTGAGATGATCAGGTTCATCGAGAAGTGTCAGTCCCCTGGGGGAGGAGTAGCCCCGTACCCGTGCGAGCAGGGAGTGACTTCGCAGCCGGACCCCTTCCATACGTTCGCTGCGCTCATGACGATAACTTTCATTGAAGAGGAGAACCAGCAGCCGGCGATACCGCTGCTCCAAATGCTCATCTGAGCGAGGTGATGGTATGCAGCAGCCAAAATGACACAATGTTAACCACTATCTTCCCCATGCTGAACACACCCTTGGGGTAGAAATCAGTCACAGCCTAAATCTCAATAAAATGACAACAAAGCAGACTTACACATTGGTTTTCCGACAGCGCGAACAACATCCCCAGCGTGAACATTAGCCGCGCGCACGCCAAAAAAGTGTACCTGTTGATGGATGTATCAATGAGTGCCTCCAACTAACCCGGCCACGGTCTCAAAAGAGTCGCACGCTATCCACGAACACAAATCCGAATCTGGAAACTGCTTTACTTCGGCAGACTTGGGCGAAGCGTCAGCCTTCGGAGACGGCTTGCCGGCGCCAGCTTTGGCTGGACCGGAAGTTGCAGTCGCGGACACCGTTGTCAAAAAGTCATGCTCGCTCTCCAAGACAAACAGGTAGTACAAGGCACATATGGCGGTAACGTTGAAGATCGCAAAAGCGATTACGACAGCGATGTCGCACGGGAGGCCAACGTACTCCTCGAAGAACAAAAATGCAGAATCGAAGTCCAGCTGGAACAACGAGTCCTGATGGCCAGCAACGAAGTACATCAAGTCGCAAAACAGCACAAACAGTGCCGTGCAGATCAAGCGGCTCCGCACCCTCAGCTTCACGAAGAGCGTTGACAGGTTGTAGAGAACGAGGGCGAAAGCGAACGCACCCACCGATTTCTTAGGTCCGTTCAGCAGCAATATCATCCAGAACATGTTCGTTAAGGACCAGAATATGCGGCTTGAGCGGCTGTGTGGGACGCCCTTGAGCAGGTAAATTGTGTCTTTGTAATTCAACGCCAGCGTGAACCAGACCAACACGGTAAATGCCGCCATGGCACGTGCGCTGTACACGGCGAGGAGCGTCTTTGCTACCACCGGGTTACGCGCCCTCAGCATGTTCATGCTGAGCCAGCTAACCACGCGGCCGAAGAGATAGTGGTACTCGCACTTCATCGCGTAGTGGAACATCAACAATACATACTGGACGGTCCATACTCCGCGCAGGAATGGCCTGTTCACTGGACTTTTACGCACTGCATTTAGCGGCAAACTCGGTCCGTCAGCGGTTTCGTTATCCTCGGAGTACCGCGTCAAACGTAGCAGCACGCAGTAGTACACTGTCAGCACCGTGGCTCCACATTCAAACGTGCGGAATATGTCGTTCACCTTGACGTACCATTGGGGCTCCATCTCTCCGATGTTCCGGCGCTCTTCGAAGTGGTGGATCAGGTATGAAAACTTCAACACGAAACACAAAACGCCGAAGTTCCGGTACGCACCGTACAAACTCAACGACCCAGTGCGCTTCACCGCCGGGAACATTGCCATGTAGAGGCTCAAAACGATAACGTGGCGCAATACAATGTCATGTGAGACAATGGCGCATTGCGCTACGATCGTCATCACGGCGAGGGCGATGTAAAGAATCACTACAACAAGAACAGGGTTCACACCTGACATATGGGAAAGTATCGAACTCAGGCGGCCTTCAGATTTGCCACTTGGCAGCGCTTGAGCGTAGTACTTCCGCTCACGATACAGCATCAAGAAATTTCGAATGAAAAATGGAACGTCCAACAAGAACAACAACACAAAAGACAAAACGAAGTAACACGCAAAATAGAACCCTGGACTCGGTGCATCGATATCGCACCACTTCTCAAATGGCATTATGGCACGCTTGAATACGCTATTCGCCACGCGGTTAGGCACGGCGACGCCCGTCTGTACCTGTTGGCTAACCTGGTCGATTTGCGACGAAATTGTCCAAGCGACACCCCCGGCCAAAACCAACTTTACGAACCCGCGTACCATAATCCTAACCATCGAGGGAAAATTCTGGGCTTCGAAAAAGGCCAACTCGTCTTCCGATAATTTCCGCACGTGGCAGATGCGGCATGCAACCAGCAACAAATATGCCGATAACAGCCACGCTACTACCATTAACAGGGTCGAGAGAACCATATATTCCGGAGTCAGGAACATGTTGGTGACGGCAATCATCTGCTTGGAGGCTGCAATCAGGCGCTCACACTGCTTGATGTAGGAGTTACATATATCCATCATCACGGCGGGGTCCACCTGGTCACGGCCCATGCTGCGTAAGAAGCCGTAGTAGTGCGACAGAACCTTACGTTCGCGGAGCACTGCAGCGTACTTGCACTTGTATTTCTGCTTCTCAGATTCCGGTATCGTCGTGTCGATGGTGCGCAACGCGTTATGCGCCACCACGTGAAGCAACTGCGTCAGGTACTTCACTGAAAGGAGCTTGTTCACGTTGCCGCGCGAGTCCTTTATAAGCGGCACTATCTCCTTGATTATGCTGCCCTCCGAATGAAAAGGCACGGGCTTGTTCGTCAGAAGGCACAAAGAGCTTGCTATGTTAATGTGCGCCGACTTGCTCACAGGGTAGCTTAGAGACGTATGGCCGTTCAGCACGTTGTGTTCCCTGGCGTACCCAGTAGGCGCGTCGTCAAGGTCGCACATATCACTCGATACTTTGCGCAGCTCTAAGTCAGACGTGACGAACAAAAACGAATCAACCTCCTCCTTGGTGGCGCCACCGTGGGACCCATTCGTCTTCTGACCGTGATCACCAAAGACAAACACCATGGTGTTAGACTTCTGGAAAGACCGCGCAATGATTTGACGTATGAACGCGTCGTAATCATCCAGGTAGTACGTCATGTCCGCGCTGACTCGCTTGCCACTGTGACCCAGGTGATCTATGGCAAGCAAATGCAAAACGTTAACGTCGCATTTGTCTATGCATTCCGCGTAATGTGAGCTAACCAGGGAGTCGGGGTACACCATGTCATAAATGTCGCTGCCTTGGCCTGTGTAATTCAGAAACACTCGTTCGAGGCCCAGTAAATCCCTAGATGTCACATCGCCTGACATATGTGAAATTCGCCAACGCCATAAACATACCCATTATGCATAGCTTGTCGCCGTTGTACGTCACCTGGTTGCCGAAATTGTCGATCTGGAGCTGCAGCGCGGTAGCCGCCCCCGCCACCTGCCAAGAGTAACATCAAAGGAATAGACAAACATACCATGTTGCCGCGACGGGTTTCGCCTGTAAACAGGCATTTGAAAGAGTACGTTGTGAAGGTCGGTGTGGGGGCCTCGAAACGGAAGAATCGGCTATAGTTGCGGGTGGTCGAAGACTCCAGGTACTCGTGGTATAGTGGCATGTGGTTGGTAAACACCGCACGAGGCTCTCCAGGCTTCAGAGTAGGGTCTTGAAGCGCGTAGTCGACACGTGCGCCGTCAAGGACCACGAGAACCGACGAGTCGATCGGCGTATACGACAGCCATCCGGGTGGCATGTCGCTGCTGACCGTGAAACTGCGATTCCTTGAACAGGGGAAGCGCAAAACCTACCGCTTAGGCGGCACATAGTCGAACGCTTCGCCACGACCTGAGACATACGTCTCGTACTCCGGAGCTACTCGGCGCCAGCAGGTCTCCGGGTTGCCCCGGGGACCATGCACGGATGACTTCTGTGCGACATTGCTGTCTAACTCAAACTCCTCAAATAGGCTCGGGAACGGAAGCACGAAGCGGTCGGATATGTACGGCTTGAATGTGTTCTTGCCATCGAGATTTAGGGTAAACAGAATCACGGACAAGGTTGCGAAGGCAAATATCGCTGCGACCAAAGACAGCACTAACAGCCCACACAACTTCCCACCGAACATACCCATCCCTGATGTGTGTCTGGAGCACCCGAAAACAAACAGTGGTGTCGCCGCAAAAATGACACTCGAGTCTATTTACACGGCGACACCCCCATAGCAAACGCCTTGTTGCGACGAAAACTAAGCGGTATTTGTGGAAATAATGCCATCAAATAAATAGGTGTATATATTTGTGGCTACGCGGTGATGGAAGGCTGAGGAATCCGCGTCGAGAGGTCTCAAGATGGGACGCAAAGCGTCCTTTGCACATATATTCACGCAAGTCCCTAAGCGGACGCACCTAGTCATAGCCACCATCGTCGTCGGGATCATGACCAACTACATGGGCCGTAAAACCATCAGGAGGATGCAGAACGCGAATCTGGCGGCAAACGTGGAGAAGTACCGCGGAGACCCACCGAACTGGTCGTGCTTCTACCACGCAAAACAGTACCGAGAGGAGTGCTCCGATTACAACATGTAAGTGACACCGTGCGTGACCAAATGTTGCAATTACGTCGCGGAATGCTGTGGAAGACTCGCCGAGCGTCACTCATTGCTGTGCAGACTGATGGGCGGCGATTATATCGAGCGCATATGCACACACCTGGAAGCAAAAATGCGCGATTGCCAGCAGACATTAGCGAAGGAAATTGCAGACTGTCGGCCATACGCCATGGACGCTGCCATCGAAGTCGACAATCCACAGCCCTGGCTCGTGAAACCTGCCGGTACCGGCGCTGCGCAATAGCCAGCGCGCGGCAATTAAGCTCACAATGTTAAAAACTTCAGATGCGATTAAATGTAGATGTGGACCAAAATGTGTGCCTTCCTTCCCATTATCCGGGCATAGACATAACTAGGCGTGTGTGGCGGCTGCGCTGGCGGCCGAAGTCAGTGGAAAAGATGGAAGTGTTCATGCTTGTTACAGACTACGGGCTGCCTTTCGAGCCTCTGGCCTCGGAGGTGCCTGTATGCGACCTGTACCTCGGTCCCAACTCCATATTCCACGAAACTCTGGAGAACCTTTGGGGAAGCGGTGTTACGCGCGTATCGCTGGTAGTAGAGAAAAACAAAGAGAACTTATTTAAAAGGTACCAACGCAAGTACCAATTCGGACGCCGCCAAGGCCACATAGACGTCTCCGTACTCGCGCTCAATGTAGACAAGGTTCTGCCGGGGAACGTGATAAGAGAGCTCACAGCAGTGCTGGGTGGTCTGGAAGACTTTGTCATGGTATGTGTGCATCATGGTTAGAATATTGACGCGATTCAGCTCTACTGGAACACGCTGCTGACAGTACCTCTATCTGATGCACTGGATCTGCATCAATCCAGGACAAAGGAACGCCAGCGCTACTCTATGAGCGTGCTGTACTTCGAGGATGATCGCCAGAAGAGGTAGGGATGTGACATGCGGAGCTCATAAAGCGTGCAGGTTCAGCAAGCCCGCAGACGACTGCATGATCATTCTCAGCGAACAGTCCGAAGTCTTGGCATATGGCCCGGGCGCCGATGACCTTGAGATCGATAAGGAGTGGCTGCGGAGATGCGATAACAGCTCCCGATTTTCGCTGAGATACGATCTCTGCAGGACCGGCATATACATCTGCAACAAACAGGTTGCAGAACATTTTAACAACTGGTACGAACACCAGGAGATGGATGAGTACATAGTCGACTGCTTGAACCGGGAGTTCAAAACTGACGAAGTGTATGCCACCATACTCAAGGCTGATGTTATGTTCCCGACGTACCCCCCGGCAATCAGGATCGAGACGCCCAAGGACTACCACACCGTGTTCATGGAGTACATCACGCGATTCCAGGGAGACGAGGCTCCGTCGCAAAAGGGCGTTGCCAACCACAATCCGCAGTGCGGGCCCCTGGTTCATGAGGGGATTGTGGTCAGCAAAAACAACATCGTAGGTAAATACGTCAAGGTGGGAGAGCGGTCTGACATCAGCCGCTGCATCATCTTCGACGACGTCACCATAGGTGCTGATTGCTCAATTCATGACTCTATCATCATGAACGGTGTTGTCATCGATGACGCCACCGTCATCCCCCCAGGGTCGATCGTCTGTTCCAACGTCCATGTCAAATGCGACATGGTGAAAGGGCTGACGCACGGTCTCAGAGCGTCCAAAATGCCAACGAGGTACATCGACCTTACGACGCCGGAGGGAGAGGCGCAGCCACTGCAGGAACAAGGGGAAAGCGTCCACGTGTGGCCCGTGCACGCCTTCGGGAAGCTAGAAGACACTTATATCGGCAAGTCGTTCTACGACCTGGTGAATTTCAAGGTGCCATCGCAGGAATCCACTGCTCTGGGAAGCGATGATGAAGACGAGTCGGAAGACGAGGGAGATGAAAGAGAGGGATCGAGGCGGCGGTCTGAAGATTTCGATTCGGATTCACGCAGCGACAGTGAAGAGTCTGACATCGATGACGAATCGACGAATCCGCAAAAACTGATGAAGGACGACGTTGCCGAGGAATTCAAAACACTGATTGTGGAGTGCCTGGAAGCACCCTCGCAACTCCCGAACAAGGTGCTTGAAATCAAGAGTCTCAAAATCAGCCATAATTTGCAAAAGGCAGACATGGTCAAGGCCGCCCTGAAATACGCACTCGATTGGGTAGTGGAGCGTGCCAACAACGAAGAGCAACTCCAGGGACTCATCGAGGAGGCACAGCTCAAGGAATTACTGGACACATTTGAACACGAAATGGAGGAACTAGACCACTACGAAGATATATTCAAAGCGTGCTCGGAAAAGCAAAAGGACGTGGAGTTTTTCTCGTACCTTTGCGAGGCACTGTACCACTCAGACATCATGGAATTCGAAATGCTGCACGATTGGCTCGTGAGAAACGGCATATCCGGGTCACGCATAAACTCTTTCGCCAAATGGTTGGCGGAAGAATAAACTCATAGCACATATAACGCTTACACACTGAGGTTACCGACTCATTCGTCATGCGATGGGGGCTCCGCGCCAAGGACACTGCGGAATCACTTACTGAACTATGACAAAATGGCGGAAACCATGAAGACCGAAGAATTGTACAAGCTGTTGCAACGCCTCGGGCTGAGGTATACCGTAAGTCCCGCCCATGGTCGCCCCGAATGCGATCGCAGGAATACAAACATCAGCCTATGATGGCGGTCAAACAGAGCCTGGAAAATCCGATCTTTCAGGGAAAATACGACATAATCGTGAAGAACCTCTGGCTCCGGGACGAGGCTAAGCGGTTCTACCTGCTTACCGCTCTCCATGTATGTCTGATACACATTTCTCCCACAAAAACGCAGGACACCAAGATAGATTTCAAGTTCCTCAGCAAGCAGGTCAAAGTGAAGCACCTGCGCATGGGTCCGGAAGAGATGATGGAAGGTATAGTGGGAATGAAGCGCGGTCACCTTAACCCCTTCGCCATTGTGAACGACAAAAAGTAAGCGGCGCCGAAAGTAGACTGACAATCCCGCAGCAATGAAGTCAAAGTGTTGTTGGACGAACGTATCAAGGAGAAGAAGGAGATTATGGCACATGCGCTGCACAACGCCACAAGCATATGCATTTCACCGAGCGACCTGGTGCGGTTCCTCAACGAGCACGGACATGAACCCACCTTTGTGGCAACCGCTGGCGAAGAAGCTGAGGCAGCGCCTGTTTCTGAGGCGCCCGCTCCCACCACAACGGACAAGGAAGGACACATTTTGGGTGTGACCGTGAAAAAAAGCACCAACTTCTCTGAGTGGTACACGCAGGCCATCGTTCGCGGTGGAATGGTCGAGTACTACGACATATCCGGTTGCTACATATACCTGCCAAGCAGCTACTTCATATGGGAGGTTTTCCAGGAGTGGTTCAACCAGGCTCTCAAGAAGGTAGGCAGATATGTGGTCCCGTAGCAATTCGTGCAGGAGGGCGTGGAGAACTGCTACTTCCCAATGTTTGTGTCAAAGGCCAAGCTTGAGACCGAGAAGAATCATGTTGAAGGGTTCAGCGCCGAAGTGGCGTGGGTCACCAAATATGGTGACTCAGATCTCGCTGACCCCGTTGCAATCAGGCCCACCAGCGAGACCATCATGTATGCGGAATACGCAAAGTGGATCCGGTCGTACAGGGATCTGCCCCTAAAACTCAACCAGTGGTGCTCGGTGGTGAGGTGGGAGTTCAAGCAGCCCACTCCATTCCTGAGAAGCCGAGAATTCCTCTGGCAGGAGGGGCACACTGCGCACAAAAACGAGGAGGAAGCTATGAAAATGGTTATGACCTCGCTTAACCTGTACCGGAAGTTCTACGAGGAGTACCTGGCGGTGCCCGTCATACCCGGTGAAAAGAGTGTAGAGGAGAGGTTCGCAGGTGGTAAAAGCACCATGACCGTGGAGGCCTACATTCCAGGCAGCGGCAGGGGCATACAGGCCGCGACATCACATCTCCTCGGTACCAACTTTGCCAAAATGTTCGGAATTATATTCGAGGACGAGAACGGAACTAAACAACTAGCTCATCAGACCAGCTGGGGGTTCACCACGAGGAGCATAGGTGTATCAATTATGATCCACGGCGACGACCAGGGCCTTGTCATTCCACCAAAGGTCTCGAAAGTACAGGTTGTGATAGTGCCCATCATTAGCAAGAAGGAACTGCAAAACCAGATCATGGACGTAGCAAACGAGGTCTACGCTAGGCTCAAACAGGCAGGCGTCAGGACTCACCTTGACGACCGCGTCGGATACACGCCCGGGTTCAAGTTTAACCACTGGGAACTGAGGGGCGTTCCAATCAGGATCGAAATCGGGGCGAGGGACGTCCAGTCGAAGAGCTGCCGCGTATGCTACAGGTTCAACGGAGAGAAGTCAGACGTGAAAATGGACGACATCGAAAAAAGCATACCCCAGGCTTTGGAAACAATACAGCGCGAAATGTTCGAAAAGGCAAAGAAACAGATGGACCAGGCCATCGCCAGGGTCATGGATTTCGAGGGCGTCATGCCGGCACTTAACGACCTGAAGTTGGTATTGGCTCCATGGTAAGTGACACCAGTGATGTGCGCATATACAACTTTGTTCAGGTGTGAGGACCCGGCAACTGAGGCAGAAATCAAGGCGGAGACCCAGCGCCTGTCGCAGGAAAACAGCGACGGCAGGACTGGCGGTATGAAATGCCTGTGCCTGCCCTTGGAGCAGCCTGAAATGCCAGAAGGTACCAAATGTTTCTGGACGGGCAAACCTGCGACGAGGTGGGCGCTATTCGGCCGCAGCTACTGAGCCGACTCCCCGTAGCTCTGGTCGCACCGCTGCTACCAGCCCTTTCAATATTCTCACTGTAGCTACGACGCACATTTTTTTGTTAATTTACTCCAACGTAGCACGTCAAACACGCCATGTTACACGAGAAAACAATTGTGGCTAAGGACAGACTGCTTACATAACCATAACCGCCAGAAATATTCCGATGGCCGTAGAAGTGGCTGTATGCTGCTCTAGCGTCACCACGAAGGTTTTACCCAGGCAACCAAACAATGCACTGATCACCAACAAATAGAACTGCATAAATTAAGTTTATGTTAGTCGGCGTGGTAATGGCCCACTCCCGAGCCAGCGCCTTCCACGTAGCGCACAATCAAATCCACGCAAACCGGGAGTGCCAGGCACAACACTGCGTGCACAGGCAGGAGCGAAAGCGTAGATGAAGCCGCCAACCAGCGTGCAGCATCCGCAAGCATGAAGTTCAGGGCAACTACCGTTTGCGACCTGAAGCTGCAACCCTGGTAGAGCATCACGCTGCGAATTATCGGCGACAGCAAAGTCAAATACGCGAAGTAAAGTCTTGACAAAATGCTTGGCAGCAGGAAAACGAGCAGATGGGGCATCAACCTCAGCCAACGCAGAGCCGTTGCAAAGCCCTTGAGGCGCGCAAAACGGCCATCCTCTGAGGGTAACAATAGTGACATAGCGGCGCGTACCCGGCCGCCATAAATATCCATAAAACCTGCAGATCTGCGCTTGCTGGAAATGCGGCTGCTCAGGATGCGTGGCCAACCCACCGCAAGGTTCACTACGGTGTCTATCGACACGACAATCAACGTCTTCACACTGCCTAAAGGCGACAGATCGAAATCCTTGTTGAGCCACTGCGCAAGCGCACAATGCAGCACCATTAGCACCGAGATAAAACACATGATGTGGTGGATGTAGAACGGACGTAGCAAAAAGGAACCTATCAATGGAACCATTGCGAAAATCTGGAGGAGTGTAGATATAATCAACAGGTCCAGGAGGCATCCCATCTCGTGTCCCATGGCTCTAGAGTTGTCCGATTTCTCAACAATCTTCAGCGAAGGGCGGAACAGCAGGCGGTAGCGACGAAGCAGCATGCTCAGTAGCCACAGGGGCGGAAGATACCTGCCGAACAAAAGAATCAGCTGTTGTTGCGATAATGGTGTCAGAAATGTCACGGCGCAGTAGTACAAACACGAAGTCAGCCCTAGCGGAATTACACACCAGAAACCTCGACGGCCCAACCCAACCCTTATGGCGACTACTGCGCTCAATATTCCGGACGCACATATCAATATGTGGCGCTCACGCGGTGACATGATAGACCAGACGTAGGCACAGCATGAGAAGACATAGCAGCCAAACAGGTAGGTGGCACGCATAGCATGTAACGGCGAATTCCAGTCCACATGCCGCAAGGCACGAAACAGTAATGATACTGCATCGCAGAGCAGTCTGACGTGCCGCAACCATATTATGTAGCACAGAACGGTGCTATAAAGCGCCAACACAGACAAACTCAGGACAAGACATAACGCCTCCAGCCACAGTGAAGGCGCTGACGCATCAAAGGACTCCAGGAGAGCCAACTCGTGGGCACCGGCTACATTTTCGGGACTCCATAGGGATCCATTGTTCTGCTAGCGAATTAGAGTTCATAAAAGCGCACTCACCCAAAAAGTGAAGAGCGATAGCTTGCACGAGCCTGCGCGAAGGCAAGCGATATTCGCCTCGTTGGACCTCCAAAGCGCAGACACATCCTCAAGCGATAACACTGGCAGATGCTTCCATAGCCAGTCGTGTATCGTCAGCAGGCAAACCGAAAGGCACGTTACCAGAAGCAGCAGCCTGCCGAGGCTACGGGTAGCGGCAAACATGGTTCATCGCTGGCAGACGCCACCCGCATATTGGGTGGAAATGCCAAAAAAGCCTTTTAAATGAGTGGGTTATGTTGCTACTGCAGTTTATGAAATGACGCCTGCGACGCAGCGGTCATGGCGATGATTCTCGCGACCATAGCAGGAATCATGGGGATGTGTAGCCTCTAAAGCGACAATACCGGTATATAGAGCTAATGAATCGATGAAAAACCTAGGTGTGTGCTGTGTTCAAGTTCCGAAATTGGGCCATGGCCCGCAGAGGGACCGTGCCGGAACATGCCGACGCGCCGGCGCAATGGCACCGAGACTGATACACATTGGCACTTTGATGCTCCTGTCTTCCAGTGCTGTATGTGTCCTGGCTCGTAGCCTACGCCGCCGGAGCGGCGGCCTGTGCGATGTCGTCGACACCGTGGCACGGTTGCGCAGGGTGCATACCGAGCGATGTCGTAATTGGGGGTGCCGAAGGCTGGGCGCAACCACCGCGAAACTACGTGCCCTTGAAATGCAGCTTGGTGAAATCTAACGGAGCACTCGACTACACAACGGTGATCATGGTCACTGTTTGAAAAGACTATACGCCATCTCAGGTAAGGCTCCTAGGATGTGTAGCGCGCTGAGGCACGGAAAATTACGTTACACACCAACAAAATGTATTTTCAAAAACGTTCAGGCATTTCGAACTAATCCGTTCGTGAGAGTTTGACGCACGGTGCAACTACGACATCAACGACAACGTATACACGAGATGGCAGGCACCGTCATTTTTAAAGGCGCTATTTGCGCGTTCCTAATGTACACAGTAGTGTGCAGCGGTCGGATGCAGAAATCTGAACCGCAGAAGGCGGGAATGGATGACGCGTTTCAAATGCTACTCAACGGCGGGTCGGCGAGCCACCCCAGAACTACACGCAAGGAAAAGTCTCCTGCGCCAACAAAGCCCGAGCAAGATAATCATGAGGGACAGCTGCCTGACAGTGAAGCTGCAGCAGATTCAGCAGAAAATAGCGATACTGTTGCTGAGGAACCCCCAAAGGAAAAGGATGTTGGTGAAATTGGAATGCATGGCAGCCTGGAACAACTGCTAAAACAGTCTGCGAAAGCCGCCCCACGTACACACAAGACGGAACCTGAGGCACCAAAGGATCCTTTGGCGAGTCTATTGTCGCCGCCAAAGACCTCAGAAAATGCAGACGATGAGGTGAAGACGCAACACACTGATCAAGCAGTACGGCCTCATGATGCTAAGCGTCCCCAACCCAAAGAACCTGAAATTGAGAATGAAGATGATTTTTTCGATGTGTCGGATGATGGTAACGAAGATGAAGATGTAAAGGAGGATCAATTGATGACGAATGAGGATGCCGAAGGAAAGGGTGAAGAGGCTAAGAATGAGAACTCAACGGATGACTCACTGGAAGATTTGGCTGACAAGAACGACGATGCCGACGGAATAGATGATGCAGAATTAGGTGACCTTTCCACTGGTGCCAAGGAAGAAAGTGTCCCCTCTGAAGCTGATGAGCAAAAACTTCCAGGAGAGGAAACAGAGAGTGTCATCAAACCCCTTGATCTCAAACATGAGGCGAACAAGGAAACGCAGGAAGCCGACGGTGCCGATGTATCCGAAGGAGAAAGTGAACCTACGGCTAATGCTGAAGGTAAAAAGGGATTGAACGATTTCACACTCGACGATCTTATTGCCAACATGCCGAAGGTCAAAAAAATGCCAAAACGAATGAAGAGATTGCTGAGCAGTGACTCCAACAGAAATAAGGCCAAGGACTCGCCGATTGGGGAAATAAAGGAAGTTAACCACGAATCAAGCACCAACGATGATCTTGATAATCTTGATTTGGAGTCGCCTGAAGACAACGAAGCCAATACAGATGACAACATCCTGTCTTCCACAGCCGATGGAGATAACTCAGACTCGTTGTCGATGAATGTGGACACCGATGAAGAGCCCACTGCCGTGGACGAATTGTCGAGCCAGTCTGATGAAGACTTCCTGAGTAGGATACAGCCGGAGTTTAACCACGTCAGCGAGGAAAGCAGAAAGACCAAGAAGAAGGCAATCAAACGAACAAATAGAACGCAGTTCAAACTGGATAGTGAAGTTGAGGATGACGGGAAGATGAATGCTGGGCTTGCTGCGGCCATAAGGTATCTCGGGTCCGGTTACGACATTGTGTTCGGGAACCCTCTGGGAGACCCGGTTATTATGGTCGATCCTGGTTACAGAGATCCAGTGCTCAAATTGGACTGGAGTGAAGAGTACCACAACCACGATGGAGCAAACCTCAAGGAACCCCGCGGCAGCTGGATCAGGCCAGAACTGTCCTGCAGACAAGCAGAGACAGTTGACCACGTCAACACGATAGAGGACTACAAAAAGGAACTTTCGGTGGACGCCAAGATATCCGCCGATATTCCCTTCTACTTCGGTTTCAGTGCCTCAGGGGGATACAAGACGTTTGTCAAAACACTGTCGACAAACACAACCAAGAATTACATCCTCAAAACTTACTGCCTTAAATACGTCGCGGGGATCCAGGATTTCAAGAGCACACAGCCGATGCCTTCATTCAAGAACGATGTCGACGCCTTGCCAGCAACGTTCAATTCAGAATCCTGCAACATGGAAGTATACCGAAATGACGAGGACGACAAGAGATGCGTTGACTCGGTCCGCCCGTGGATCAAGTTCTTCCAGAAGTACGGAACACACTACACAACCGTAATTCACCTCGGTGGAAAAGTCACCAACCAAATCCAAATGAAGAAAACCGATGTCGCTGCTATCCAGAAACATGGATACAACATCGACACCTACATCAAAGCAAACTCGGGAATACCCTTCCTCAATCTTGGGGAGGCCTCGTTCAACTCTAGCGGTGACATGCAGACGCAGAGCACGAAAAACAGCTACAACACCGAAAGGTCGATCATCGTTATAGGAGGTGACGTGCCCACGGATGGTACCGACAAGGTCAGCATGCAGGAATGGACAAGGAGCCTCTACAGGAAGCCGATGCCGATCAAGGTCAATCTGGACAGCCTCAAAACACTTATTGAGGATAAGGAAAAGAAGGGTATATACGACGTTGCACTGAAGTACTACTCGGAATTGTACGGTATCTCCCCTGATGAAATATACGCGGCGAACGGTGTCCAAAATGGCATAGCAACGATGGCGATGGGAGGCCAGGTTGTTACGTACGAAGGGTACACTGCAGGCAGTGCGGTGTGTCCTGACAACAATGTGATCATGATGGGTTTCGCCCTCACCGTTACCCGCAAAAGGAAACTTGTATTCAACGACTCCTATTTCGTCACATCTATCGCACCGTGTCCGGTAGGAAAGGAGAAGTGCGTTGCATCAGGGCCCGGCCCAGATTCAGAAGTCAGGGTGTGGATTCTCTGTGGAAAGGAACCCATTCCGTTACTCATACAGGAAACCGCCGTCTCTTCAAACTCAGCGGCGGTTGCATCATGTCCAGCTGATTACACTATCGCATTCGGCTTCGGCATATCCCTGCCCAAAGGCATGAGGATCAGCCATACGGACAGCTATGCCTGCAGATCCGGCCAGAGCTCCTGCACCCACACCTCCAGCAACAAGTCCCACAATGCAGTCTGGATCGCTTGTGTCGAGAAGAACGCGCCTGAATTGGGCAACATCACCAGCCACGCAGTGGTTTCCGCGACCTCCAGTTGCCCCACGCAGTCCCATACAACATATGTGGACAACAAATGCCCACCCAACTCCAAACTCATCACTTCGTGGAAGATGAACGTCACCAAAAAGGAAGACAGGCAAGAACAGCTTTTGGACTCCTGCTCCAAGGAGTGGAACGGATGCAAGGTCGACAATCACTTCAAGCGGTCTGAGGACACATGCAAGGCACAATACTCGTGGATAGCCTGCTACACCCCTCCACAGTTTCTGAAAGACAAAGCGTAGACAGCTTGATCACATTTGTATAATAAATGCAGTTTTAAATAGTTCGTGGCAGATGTGTTCACCGCCGCTTCTTCTTTCCCGATTTGCTGCTGCTGGCGGCTGCTGCTGTGGCCTCAGCCTGCTGGCGCAACTTCAGTTGCGCTATCAGCGGTGCGATCTCGTAGATGAAGGCGCACTCTGCATAGCGTTCGGGTCATCACAGGTACACCAACTTGTAAGGGCCCTCGACTCGGCCTTCGGATGCAGGAAGTACACGCGGATCCGGCCGGGGTTCAAAAAATCCCGCGGATACGCCTTGTTCTGAGCACATATAAGTAGGCAGATATAGCTTCCTTACCGCCTCTAACACATAGGGCACCTTTAGATGCTCGCAAACGGTGCGGATGTCCTCCACGCGGGGATTCTCGACTGCAAGCTGCAAGCTGACGCGGCGGCCGCCGCTAATCGTCGCTTTCTTGTCGAAATACGTGGGATATATCACAGCCCACGTCGACACACTATCTGACGACTGTGTCGTCGCCATTATGACTGTGTCAAGGGTGATGTGCAGACCAGGCGGCGCGATCGGGCACCGGCCTCTATGCCGTGTAAATATGACACATTACGATAATAATTAGTATAGGGTAGTTATTGTTCGTGTGGCTGTTCGTTTTCGGGGGACTCCGACGGTGATGTGCGCGATTCTAAGAGCAGGAGTAGTAGTATACCTACGCTCTGTTATAATGATCTGTATTCAAACGCACCTAGCATTGTGCCACCAGTTGACTTCATGGTGTGAAGTTTGAGCCTGAGCGCAGTGATACAGCATCAAAAAGGCACGAACCAGCGGGGAGACATGTTGAACCTGGCCGCCAGCATCTCGTTTCCGGCGCAAATGGCGAAACAGCCGCCCAGAATGTGCAGTACCGTCCTCTCAGCAACATCAGCGTTACCTAACAGCTATATAAAACACGCCCAATTGACGTACCAGAGACGAAGGCAGCGGCTAATACGCCAGACACGGACGATATTTGCATGTAGTGTGGTGCCCAATAAAATCTCCGCTGAAAACATTTGAAATGTCTCCGCTTAGTGAAACTAACGGGAATAATTCCGCAGCCCAAATAGTGCATCAGTCCCGACCGCAAACCGCACTGTAGAAACTGACAGTATGACGTTCGTTGCCTACCGTGAAAGCCAAATAGGAGCTCAGCAGGTGAATCTCGCCGATGATTATTGACCTCGATAGAGCGGGATCGGAGTGCCGATACCGTTCGGCAACAGCGCAGCCGCCAAACAGCAGACCCATAACCGTACCCACCACAAACCTCTGCGCTCTGGGGACGCGGGACTTAAGCCATGACTCTGGCAGCACTGAGAACAAATCCTGCTCCCATTTAGCCTGTAGTTCGGGCGTTTGAGTTTTAATAGGCTTGGAAGGCACAACCTTTCCCGATAGGGAACTGAAAAAACGCCGGAACGTCATGGCAGCGGCTCCGTTAATTTCTGGTCACCGTCCAGATAAGGTTTAAGCACCTGAGGCACAGTAATCTCTAGGCGTCCGTTAGCGTCCAGACTTTGGTGGTTTTCCAAAATCGCCGAAAGGGTGCGGCCTATGGCGACGCCGGAACCGTTGATGCAATGGATCCTTGATCGAGAGGTGCTGAACAGATTCAGTCGATTGGACTGAAAGTCCAATGTGTTACTGCAACTTGACACTTCGATGTACTTTTTCAAAGAAGGGAAATACACCTCGAAGTCCACAGTCTTGCTTGACGTGGACCCAAGCTGGTTGGCAGGCAGCAGGACGCGGCGATATGGCAACGCAAGTGATCCCAATATGTATTCGATATGCGATAACATCAAGTTGTGAAAATGGTCAGAGCCAGAAGAGTCGCACAGACATATCAGCTCAACCTTGCCGAACTGGTGATTGCGTATCAGACCGCGGGTTTCACGACCATAATCCTGGATCTCCGACCTAAAACAAGGCGTATACGTCATCAACCACAGAGGCAACTTGTCCACTGGAACACGGCTGTTACCAAACAAGGCTAATAGCGGTATCTCACCCGTGGGGATCAAATAACCACGATCACCATTACACTGGTGGCGCTCATCCAATTTAAAGAGGTCCTCCTCAAATCGAGGCAGGTGTCCTGTGCCGCGCAAGGTACTAGCATTCACGACAAACGGCACCGACAGCTCTTTGTAACCGAAAAGCTTGTGATGCGTGTCGAGCATGTAATTGAACAAAGCGCGCTCCAGACGACTTATGTCGCCGCTGTAGGCCGAAAAACCGGTACCGCTGATCTTAGTTGATCTCGAAACGCACGGGTCGCTAAAACGCTCGATTACCTCGTGGTGGGGTACGACGTCACCTGTGGCAGACGGTATCGGATCGGTGCTAATTTTCTCTACAATTAGTTCCGTCTCTGGCACATCCTCCAATATTATATTTGGCAGGGTATGTATCAAGGTGTCAAGCTGTTCATTCAGCTCTTTAATACGTGACTCTGTTGTCTTAGTTTCATCACGAAGTGCTAAACTGGATTCCCGCAGCGACGCCTGATCTGCTTCGGGAGATGTGTGGAAAGCTTTTGCCAACTCCGACCTGCGTGATGATAACCTTGACAACGCTTCTTCCTTTGCGATCTTCTCAAGATATAACTTCCGAATCTGCAGCAGTGTGGACCAATGGTCTTCGCCACGGGAGAGAAAATTAGCATGGAACACCTCCGGCACAGCGCTTAACGCAGCCAAATTGAAGCAGAGTGGAATGAAGCCGTCTCCAGACTCTTTCTTGCGCAAAAAAGCGTTCTTTAGTGGCCCAAATGATTGCTCGTCGACTAATTTTTCCTCATCGGTGAAATATGCACTCAGTCTTTTGTACGTCTCTGAGTCGCAGTAGCAGTCAGGGGAAGCTTCGCCATTAACGTCCGAGTCTGATGCCGATAAACGGGTCAACCTGGTTGGTTCTCTTGATTGCGCAGTTACGGGTAATAAAAATCCGACCCTACGAGCATGATGGCTTGAGGCGAAGTGACCGCGGCAGCCTTCTATTAGTAGAGACAAGATTCCAAAAAGCACCGATACACGAAATGTATGCATGTGCATTGCAGCCAATCGGCTACATGATTCGTTCTCTTTACACCTTTGAGGAATCACGGTCAAAATCCACGTGGGTGTGTACGTTCGAATGGGCTTGGGTCCATAAGACAGTAGGAGGAAGCGCACGTCATACGCCACAAAAGTTTATCGCAACAAATAACATTTTTCTTAAGTGGTATAACGGCGGTAATTCAGCCTGCCAGAATGGAGAAACTTGGCGCCGCCGAAGATCGCCCGGGCAGCAACGGGAAATCCGACGAAGCAGTCATACCAGGAGAAGTGCTGCAAAAGAGACCATGGAAACTGTTGGAAGGCAAAGGTGAATTCGAATCACTCCTTAGAAACCACTTGTTGGAATCACTCAAGGGAGCCATACAACTGAAGCGACGTACGAAGTACATTAAGGACGAAATAGCCAAGAAACGATCCAGGCGCTCCGCCGCTGTCAAGCGCGCATTAACCGCTGCCAGACGAGATTCAAACAATATCCGGGAGTCGGCAGCTAGTTTGGGGTTGGAAGATCTCTGGACCTGTCTAGACCATGAAATCGCAGCTGGAATCAAACCTTTAAAAGAAAAACTAGAAACGCTTTTGGAGGTACAACCGAATCGCATTCTTAAAGCGCCCGTCAACACATTAGGGCAGACAGCCACCCATATCTCACATGACCCCGGTGACGAAAGGGGCAGTGAACAAAAGACCAAGAGAAATTCTGCAAAGGAGCGATCAGCCGGTTATTTCGACTACGATGACGATAACTTTGAAAAACAGGAAGAGGATGAAGATGGTGACGATGATGAAGAAGACGTTGATGACGATGAAAACGAAGAAAGTGACGCAACGGAGGATATTGCTGGAATCGGCGACCATGACGATGAACTAGAAGAAGACGACTCTGAGGTGTATGGTTCAGATTCAGAAAACATCGGGGAAAAGGATCAAAGTAAGCCAAAAAAGAAAGAGGCGAGAGGTGTCACGAAAGACCGCTTCTTCAAAATGGAAGAGATGGAAGAGTTCGCCGATGGCAATTTCGAGGATGAAGCAGATGATTTTAACTACTTTGAATCAATGGGTGAAGAATCTGATACCTCTAAGGCTGCCGTAGAAATGATGTATGGGGACTTCTTCGATGATCCGGACGCAAGTGACGAGGGAAGCGACACGGATGACGATAACGATGCTCTACACTGCCCTAGGGGGTTGGAGGGGCTAGATGACGACGAAAAGGAAATGGAGTTGCTCCTGCAGAAAGTGGAGGATGAAGAAGAGACTGACGAGGAGGACGAGAATAGGGACGACAACGAACTGATGGATTTTGACTTCAATAAAAAAACAGAGAAGCGAGTGAGGTTTGAAGAAAAGAGCAGTGAGGATGAGGATGAGGATGATGAAATATCGCAGCTGGAAAAGGAATTGGTCGCACAGAAGCACTGGAGCCTAATGGGGGAAACTACAGGGCACAAGAGACCAAGAAACAGCCTGCTCGATTTAGATCTTGAACTGCCGCAAAACTCGTCATTTATACACGTTGAAAATGTGGCTGCAGATGGTGATGATGTGCAGGATGAGGAAAACATGGGCCTGGAAGAAGGCCAGGATGTCCCCATAGAAATCATCATACAGCAACGAATTAAAGCGGAGGTGTTCGACAATGTCGAGAGGAAGATACCCATGGAGGATCAGCTAGAAGCTATAGAACGTCTGAAGCAAACGCGCAACAAAATGAATCGGGAGGAAGTCGAAATAGACTTCAACAAGAGTAAGATGGGTCTCGGAGACGTCTACGCGAAACGGTACCAAGAGATGTTCATGGCGACGGACCAACTCGACGCGCACAAGCAAAAACTCACTGAAGATTTTGGTAAACTAATGTTCAAGCTGGATTCGCTCTGTAACTACAGCATAGTGCCGAAGCGAGTCAGCGAAGCAGAGAAGGACAACAAAGTCGCTTCCATCACAGTCGAGGCGCCAATTAACGTCGTTACAGCCAGCCGTCCAGATGACTTGGCAGATGACACGCTGGAAGAACGCAAATTAACGAGGAATGCGAAGAAGAGGAAGTTCACCAACAAACTCAAGGCGCTGCTCAAAAGCGGAAAGGCGACCGTCGAAGATGTCAACAAAATCAAACAGAAGATCGTGGAGAAGAACAGACAGAAAATTCAAGACGCGAAGTCAATCAAAGTCACAGGGCAGACAAAGGACCAGCGAACACGGGAAAAACGGTCGAACCGCAGAGTCAATATCGCAGAACTCATGTCAAAACGGAAGTAAAACCACGTCCTTTAATGAACCTAGACTTAATATTTGCGTTGCATGTCACTAATTAGTCGTGTATGAAGGGCAATTTTGTCGCGTACGGGCTGTCTAGCCACATGAACAGGAGCCTTTGAAGGTCAAGGGTGTCGCACATTGGCTGCAATTGAGTTTGAACACCATCGATTGTATACGAACCAAATTAGCCAACAGCACGATCCTGAGAGCTATGTCGCGCTTCCAAAATCGTAGGGTGTCCAATAGAGTTAAGCCGTGGTTTGCAAGCGCGAAGTCCTTGCCAACAGAGTCCACAAGACAGTCTAGCTTCTTTACAGTTTCAATCTGCACGCACATATATCAACTTGAGATTCTTAATACACACCGAATCCTGCAAAATGGATTCCAATTGCTTTTTCAGCGACTCCTGCGTCGTTGATGTCGGAAAATATTAGGGGTGTGTACCTCCTTCGAAGAATCCGTCGGCGTCACGAATAGCTTGTTTCTATAAACAGATTGCACGCGGTAACGTATGCACCCACGAATAGCTTGCTTTCAGAGAGACGTAATCTTTCACTAGCGCGCAGGACAACTTGCGATCAACGCCAAGGGAGTTGAGAGCCCGTTCAATCTTCCCGGGATCACATTGCTTCATGAACACCATATATAAAGATGGTGTGTGAGTAATTTATACCCTTTTGCATAGCGCTTAATTTGTGGATCCCGTAACGTGGAATCCATGAGTCCGCACCACGCCTGGAAGGCTTTTGGCTATTTGACCATATTGCATTTATGACCAACATTGCCGTATATTGCCGACACAAAACTCTGTGTCTTTATGTTCACATGGAACCCTTGTGTGTCTTATAGAGAAGAAATAGGCATCCCCGTGAATTATTGCAAGAGCCAGCCAGCACTCACTCACCAGGATTTGCTCTAACTAGATCTTCATTAGTGTGGCTTACCTAACACTATAGAGAATTTTGGGGAATCCCACGTGCAATAAAACCTTCCTCATACCAGTTGATACAACAATGCGCATTTATTTTCAGTGCATCTCAAAAAAAGCATTTTCAGCTTTTAATTCTCCATCCAGTAACTTCGAGTATCCATTTCCACTCTGATTTATAGTATTTAATATTGGCTGTTGCGTTGCAATTAATTATTCCGCAAAAATCGGCAAGTTCGTTATCGCATCACAGCTCACTTATTGAAAACACTTTTTGAGGAACCGCCCGTGATTATAGGTTGTACACCATCGTGTAATATCTCAGGGTGCTGTAATATCAGATAGCCTGTAATTGGCCTATGTTGGGAGCCTATTTGTGACAAATATTTCAGCATTATTAAAAACAAATGGCAGTGGCGTATCCAAATTCGCGACAAAGTGCTTTGTCAAGTGTGCCGGATACAGACAACAGAGCGAACTCATACACGGGGCAGGTCCAGGATGGCCTTTTCCACGGCAAGGGGATATTTTACTACGGAGATAACGAACGCTATGAAGGGGATTTTGTATATGGCAAGAGAGAAGGAAAAGGAAAGTTCTACTATGCAGATGGGTCTATATATGACGGAGATTGGGTAGATGACAGAATAAAGGGCAAAGGTGTCGCCTATTTTGCAAGCGGAAATGTATATGAAGGTGAGTTTTATTGTTACACTTTTTGAAAATATTACACAGGGCAGTGGGAAAATGGTAGAATTAATGGGTATGGAACACTGAAGTACGTAAATGGCGATGAGTACGAAGGAGAATGGATAGATGGCGCTATGCACGGACAGGGGACATACCGGTACGCAGAGGGAGATGTTTATGCGGGAGAATGGAGAAATGATAAAAGGCACGGAAAGGGCACTGTGACATACGTATCCACGAAGGGAGCGGTCCTGGAGTCCTACGAGGGGGATTGGGTAGACAACGTAATGAGTGGGAAGGGCAAATACCAGTACGCCGACGGTAGCGTTTATGAAGGTGAGCTTAATTCACTTTCAAATCGCGTACCTTATAAATTGCATACCGTTCCAATGTTTTGCATATCAACTATCTTTGTCATATCGACGATCAGGTGATTGGTATAACGGGAAGATGCATGGCAACGGCAAGTATACATTCCCAGATGGAAACAAGTATGAGGGGGAATGGTCGAATGATCAGAAAGAAGGGTTTGTTAGTGTTCCGCATATAATATGTGGTTCAGGTACGGAATATTAATGTACACAAATGGAGAAAAATACGAAGGGTACTGGGTGGACGATAAAGCGCATGGCACAGGAACCCTTACGTATCCCTCCAACGATAAATATGTTGGAGAGTGGGCCGATTCGAAAAAACATGGTTGTGGCGAATTGATTTATGTAAATGGTGATCGTTTCAAAGGTAGTGTTTTTAGTGGTGTGATTCAGTGCATCGCAGGCACGTGGGCAGAAGATGAAGCCAATGGTTATGGAATTTTCGAATATGCGAATGGGAATCGATACGAAGGTAAGTCTATAAGCAGTTATGTTATGAGACATACAACAGGTGATTGGCTCATGAACAAACGTCACGGCAAGGCGACTTTCTACTGCCATGAGGACGGTTGCATATACAAGGGGGGATACGCAGAAAACAAGAAAGAGGGACTCGGTACCCTGACACTGGGCGGTGGGCATGTTTTACGCGGTACATGGCGTCGTGGAACACTGATATCTATAGAGAAATTCGAAATGTCGCCAACATCCAGCTGGAGCAACCCCGATCTATGAAATGAACAGCATTTGTGCTTTAGGCTTGTGTAGTGTTCAATGCCGTTACGTTTGGCTAGCGCTGATTTTCACGTTTACCGGGACATCACCTCATATTGTTGGTGTGGGATTCCGGTTCCACCTTGTGCTACTGCCGATTGTGCTTCGCATCTCTTCAATGGGACAATGCACTGCTGTCTAGCTCCACTTTACTGGAAGTAGTACGCAAACTATCAATGACGCCTATAAATGTACAAACCACAACAATGAACAACACCACCATTTTTGTATGTTTTCGACGGAATAATGGAAGCTCTGTTAAGAAAGTAACTATAATGAAACATTTAGTACATATGTGATATAATCTGCAGTGGCTGCTACGCCTTTCACTCAGCGGCCACCCTGCATTCCTGCAACTGCTATTCTACCGAGCCGCGCCAAGGCGGCACTAACGTAATTAAAGAGACGCTGCGAACTGTGTTTTGCCCAGTCGGACACACTGCTATCGATGATGAGTGTATACATAAATATTGTTTTAATTACACTTCATAAATTAGAAATGTTTCCTGGGAGTTCGCCGACGGCTGCTGAGTGGGGATCCGGGCAGAGAATCTGCTCTTGTTGAACTGCTTCTACAGTTTTGTAAGATCCTGAGGATTCGTGACCTGATGATGATGCATCTGTTGCTGAATAGTTTTTAGCATCATAGAACGCCCAAAATCCAGAGAGGTCGTAGAGAGTGTCCAATTCACATAACTCCAAGCGTCTCAACGCTTTCTTCAGATCTACAAAGCAGATCCTAGCGCGGTATTCCCGCTTTACGAAACCAAAAACTCTTAACGCGTATGGCATACGATCCAACAATTCACAATCAGGTATCATATCATACGCAATTTCGCATTCCGACATCAACAATTCTAGGCCTGCGTATAACATCGGCGCAATCCCAACAAATATGATCGCATACGCTTCCGCGTCCTTCGCGCATGACGCATCCCACGTCGCATCTGGCGAGTAAGCAGAAATATACTGGTCAGGGTTTATGATAAATTTCAAGAAGTGCTCACAACCACTCACAACATCGCTTAAGTACTTTGCGATTGTTTTAGCAGTGATGCGCTCGGTCTGTATGATGTTCTCATAATGGTCTTCGATGTTAAAGAAGCAATCGATACATGGATCTCCAAGACTACGCAAAGCCTCATATTTGCTCAGCATCTCCCTTATGGATGGTTCGCCCCTAATATGCTTTTGCTTCAGGAACTGCTTAACGATCTCTTTAATTTCCTCGAGAGCTGGCACCCTAGTGTATCCTACAGGCTTGTCTGCGAGGAAATCGTAAACTGCCTCACCCAAAGCCTTAATGTTCTTTGTACCATCCTTCCCCTTCAGGGCTATCAACCAGTCCATGCACTGCCTGACGTTTCGGGGAGGCTCGGTCAACGAAGTGTAAACCCTTCTTTTAGGATCCGTCACTGAAGGCGGTTTATTAGAGCCTGTGGATTTGGGGTCTTTTTCGGGGACGGTTTGCGAAGAGCTCTGTATTGATGGCGGATCGGCACCAAGCGTGCGCTGTTGAGGGCTGCAACGGCTACCACCGTTACCTGACGGAGAATTTATCGGTTGGCTATTCAACTCCGAGGTCGCATCTGACCGAGTATCGCCAAGTACGTCGTTAAGTACCGTGTGAGTATACGACACAAACTCATCAAAACGGTTCTTCCACTCCTTCATCTGCTCTAGATTGTCCGTTCGCCTCTCCTCTGTACCATCCTTGTCCGGACACGTAGAAACAGACACCGCCAGATTCCTTTTCTTATCCCCTGCAGGCGCTTTCATCTCACGCTCATCCCTTTGAGAAGCCATCTTGCAGGCTAACCAGCAACGTGCCTTGAGACCACAAAGTTTTCTTTAAATGGAAATACACGCCCAAACTACCGTCCAGATGTGCTATAGCAGGAGTGGTTCGAGATCTCGCAACTCTGACACACCATTAACATAGACAGCTTATACGTGCATTGATATGCTAGTGTGCCAGCTCATACTGAATCAAGTTACTCTCACCTGTATTCGAATTGAGAAAATGTCTATACTCCACTCAGGCTGCCACTGATCACGCGCGTTGCAAGGCATTCGGGGTGATAGACATCTGGGTAACTAAGTTTGCGGGCCCCCACTAAGTGTCTACTGGCGTACAGTCCGGAGTTACGACTTAGCGGCCTTCAACAATGTTGACCATAGATGCAACTTAACTAGCCCGCACACTGGCCATCACGTCGAAAGGTCCCGGGTGGAATTTGTTTTATCAGGTTAGAGTCTCACGATGTTGGTATAGGCTGCAAGAACCACGTCCCGTTGCCAAGCCTATTCGGTGTTATCTATGTGAGCACTCATCCTGTTTCGGTGCGAGGCTTATTCACAGGGTCATAGGCTTCTCTGGGTTAATTTCGCCAAAACATATGTTGTTGCTTTGTACGTCGGGAGTTTGTTGCATTATCGCACCTTCAGGCCCGCGATTAGGCCTTCAGAGCTCCTATTCTTGTATGCCTCCGTCTACGTCAAGTGTTGTGGTATAGTCTTTTTTTCACAATGGTAACCGCATTCTCTGTCTAATTCTTGACGATTGCGTATGGTCAATTCTGTTTTTTGGATTTTTAAGGAAACTTGTGTTCAGTTAAAGGGCTATGCATCAAGTTACAGCTTTTGGCTTATATTACTTATGAAAATCATATCGCGATTTAAATTCGGTGTTTGTTACGGCATCGTCTCGCGTCGCCCTTTTTCTCCGCCGCAGAAAACTGTTAACGAAATTTCTTCGCCCCCTTGCTGCCTAGCTGTTGCTGGGGGTCTTCGCTGCCATTTCCAATCACAAACAATTAGTAGTTGTAAAAATGTTTTAATTTCACAAACCCATAAATTGCATCTGGGCTAGAAACGATTTGTATTTGCTGCAGTTACCCTCTATAGTATGTCTCAAAATCGATAGCCATGGCCAAATTTAGCAGCAGAGCTGCCTTGGCGTTTTGCGCACTAGCGCTCTGTTCCATCACGCGTCTAGCTACTTCTACTTGCTTTTTTGACAACCCAAATGGCCTACTCAGCAGCAATGCTCTTGTCACGTGTCACGAAGACCTCGAAGTCGCCTACAACGCAACTGCTAGATGCCCTCTGCGAGTCAATGGTAGTGATTATATATGGCATCCTCGCCCAATTACGGATGGTAGCGGTCATATCAACGCGTATGTCGGTGAAAATGGCAAGTTACGTTCTGCTCCTCTTTCGAATGTAATACGTACGGAAGATAAATACCCATTTATCTGGTTGGAATCTGATGCTTCGCGAACGGATATTAAGTTCAAAAAGCCACTCAACGAGATGATTGCGCTTACTGAGAACCGTTTGATATTTATCTGCGGCCCTCGAAGTCTGGTTTTAAGCGATGCCTTGCAGCGCCATATTTACCATTTCAGTGTTACTCAACCGAAGAGACTTCCTTGGACTCCAGTCACTCCAATGACTCAGGAAATATCAAAGATAGGGCACGGGTTGGGCGTGTTTTTCTTGAACAGAGGAACCGTGCATCTACCGCTTCAGGGCTGTGGCAGCCGCCCCTCACCGCTTTTTGCTGTGGATGATGAGGTGACAGTGGACCCCGTAACAGGGACCCGTTCGTGTGTGGCAGATCCGATGTCGAAATCACCTATCGGTTTTTTGTGCGAAGGCCGTGTGGAACCTGATGATTGCATGAGATTCCTCTTAGATGCGAATGGCGGAGTTGTGACTGCTCCTACGCCACGTTACGATATGACTTCCAGTTTCCATCGACCTTGGTCTGTGGCTAAATATTTTCACCAATTAGCATTACCACCGTTCAATGGCGAATGCAGGTGCACAGACCCCAAAACCGGTCGGGTGAAGGCCAAGATTGAGATCCGTTCGAAAACCGAATACGTTTGTGACATTGCCAGGATGATCGAACGCAACCGTGCAAGTCCGATCAGCGGCCCTTGGTGTTCGGTTGTACTCCACCCAGGCAGCACCTTGACCATAAGGTTTCCAACGACGGATGGCGATTCGGCGTCTTACGATCATTCCTTGCCTGGCCCATCTTCGCGACAGACGTCTGTCTATGAGTACGAAACTGAATTCCTGCCGAATGACTTGAGTACTTTGCGGCAACTGGCAAGCGTCTATGACTTTGACATCTACGAAGAAGTCTTGTACCACGAAGCAATTGCTGGCGATGCCCTCGAGTTAGATGTTTCACAGATGTCACTGGGAGAGGTTAAACTGCGGTATCATCTGGATAAACCCTTGGCATTACTGCATGGAACAAACTCGTTCAATTATCATTGGGCATTGAAATCTACGAAAGAAAATACTCCAAATAAGATACGCGCCACCGTAAACATATCTTTCGCGTTTAGCCATCAGTACGACATAATTGGTTGCGACCGAGGGACACCAAGTGTGTTCGATCCAAACGTGAGCAAGTCCCATTGTTCAGTAAAATCTATGGGTAATGGTATAGGGGATGTTTACGAATGCAATTCCCCTATTAAAGAGGGCGTTAAGCGGGCAGGTATTTACTGTAGACAAGACGAGGAACTGTTACCGCCTAATTGTGAATCTATGGGATACGATCTCCACAAGAATAGGATGATCTCAATTCCTGGGTCTGTACGAAATGCGACACCATATCCCATTCGAGGGTTTCAGGTGTTCAGCTATTTCTTCCGCGACTATAGCCCTGTCAGTTATGCTTACTTCTGTGTCGATCAACGTGGGTACGAAACGTCCAGGCTTGTTGTAGAGTCACATCATCATGAAGAATTTACCTGCCGAGTACGTCACGCAAAGGTCTCTCATACTCCCATTCCCTACATATTTCTGCCGTGGAGTGAGGTTGAATTATCAAGTGAAGGATCCACATCACCCACATCTCTTATGCTGAAAAACATATCTCGAAAGTCAGTTGGTTTGCATGTGGGTAAAACGGTGTCCATTACTTGTGGAATTGAGGGCATTCGATCTTTTCACGGGGAGTTGGAGTGTGATTGTTTGCACCCTAGAATAGATGAGAACCTGCCGGCAACATGGCTTCCAACGCAGCCTGAAGAATTCTATTATTCGGTAAACAAAACTTCAGATGCGATTGAGCTTGTAAAGATGGCATACGACAATTCACTTGCTACTACTCCAGGTGGATTCAAAGTCGGATACCCTAGTGACAAAAATGGAACAAAAAAAAATAAATTGGTTATGCAAACGACTCTGGACGCCATATTGATTTCCAAAAATCCGCTTCATAAGCAAAACGTGCCCATAACATTCGTTTGCGGAAAAGCACCCGAGAGATCGGATCTGTCCATCCTGACTGGCAACGTGTCAACCTCAAACACATCTGCACAACCCAGCTCCCATGTCATGGGGTTGTCAACAGGATACACGTGGAACGTAGTTCAAGTTAACGTCGAGACCACAGACCCCTATATGCAAGGATGCGGCGTTACCTACGCGTCCACTGAGTTGTTCAAGCCTGAAACGCCCAAACTCTACGACGCTGACGGCAACCCACAGTTCGGTTGCAAGATCGATCTTCAAGCTGCCAAGGAAGCGGCGTTCTACTGCCCAGCGCCGTACGTCCTGGACCCACCTAACTGCTTCAGCCAGGTCTTGGTTGACGGTGAAGTAAAGAACACGCGCGACATCAGCCAATCCCTGGTGATATCACAATCAAATCATTTTATGATTTTGTATTCATTCAGTGGACTCGTTGGGCCCGGAGAGAAGCTACGCCAGACGCCTCCGTTGGAGTGCCGCTGCGTCACCATCAAGGGCGTCGTTCTCTCCACCATACAGATCGGGAACTATTACTCAAAGTGATGAGTATCTCAGATGTGACAATTAACTGGTCAATGAGACAATTGTTCTCCTTGTTTCCGTTAATTTGTGTATTCACGTAGCAGCGTGGTTTCTGATTCGAGTGTGGTAATTGCGGTTTCAATTTAACGCCATATTGGGACATTACTAGGGCTGTGTATAGCCCGTTTAATAGTGTGGTATATAATTAAGTCTCACCACACCTTTGCTGTGCCTTTCGCGTATACCGAATTAGGAAGGTGTGATATGCGCGACTGTGGTTACGGCTACATATTATAATCTCGGCAATGCTCTTAGGACGCAAAAACTGCAACCATCTGGGACATTGTCTTGGACTACAGTTACTCCACCAAACTAGATAAGAAACTACCGTGTAAGTGCCTGGCCACGCTAGACCACCGTTGGGAATTAAAACAAGAATGGTTCCATCTCCTCACTATATGTCTACAGTGCACTAAATCTGCTGCGTTGCAAAGCCACACTGAATCCTATTGGTAATTGTGATTGTCAAGGTGCCACCGGGCTCCTACCACATAGTCTACAACATCGTGCGAAGGGGACGAGGAAACAAGTGGGTTATTCTGTAGGAATTCGAGCTCTACAGAAGATGTTTAGATGCTGGAAAAGAAACCAATGCTGGAAATGGATGAACAACGTTCGTCAACCCTTTGCTCAATGGGGGGTCCAATCTAGTTAGGGATAGGATGTTAGACCCCGCACATGAACACGTCGAACCGCGTCAAAATCATGAATAAACAGGAAATAAAGCTTAGAGATGTGATCATGTCCGCCAATCGAGCGCGTTAGCTAGTCAACAGAACTGATGAATCTTGTTGGTTAGATAACCCAAGGTGTCTACTGGGTGGGTGGCGAGTAACGTGTGCTGGGGTCACGGATATATAGAGACTTTCAGATCAGGCCGCATATTTATGCCGACAAACCCAAACACCGTGCATATGTTAATGCTTATGTTGAGGTCCTGCAAGACATTCCCCGCAAAAGCCTTGGGGCATGACAGCAGTTCCCAATATAAACGTGACCTGATTGGACAATTAAATTGAAGTGCTGATAAGTTCCTAATATGGCCTTTCACACATGCGTTTGTGGTGGTATGACTAAAATAGGAACCATATTAGTCACCTATGCCGTAAATGGCCAATACTGCATTGCGATTATACGCTAAATACAACGTGTCTCGACTCAAATAAGGCATAGAGAAAAAGTTCAAAATATATTGGCGGCGTAACACTGAAATTCCGAATCTCCAATCCCCAACGCAAGGGTAAACTCTTCAGGGTTAAGTGAGTTGAAGGGAAGGTGGGCAAGCAAAACTGTAGGTTAGGACATGATGATTGTGTAAGAAAGCAGGGTTGATGGTTCACAAATTACGCTTCAGGCGCCGTCATATTCCTCTCATCTTCATCTTTTTCTATCCTGGTATGCGAGAGGTGCCCTCACAAAATCCCGTGCTTACTGGACTTATAATACACCCACCATCAGTTCATACACTGCCACCAACCCCAATAATGTCTTACATAAACCAGACAACGTGCGCGTTGCCATGGTGCTCTAAATGCGTTTAAGAACAAAGGTTGAGTAAACAGTTGACAGTAAATAACCAGCATCCAGCATGAACGCTTTTGCCGTACTTGCTTCGTCCACTGCATTCACAGAAACAACAAATGAATGACATTAAAACACGAAATTAACATAAAACATTAAAACAAAGTTGGCCACAGTATGCCAGACAATAGAAGCTGCGGCCCAAATCTTAACCCACTCAGCAACCACACGGGATGCGCCGACTGCTGTTAATGATTGTTTGCCTGCCAACTTCTCAACAAATCCCAGCGATAAGCTTGTTCCGTGAATCCGATATTAACCCCCAGCGACCTCACCTGCGGGGTGGCCTGAACAGGTGATGCCACCTTGCGACTTGCATTTGAATGTGTCTTCACCTATTCCAAATTCTTTGGGGGAGTGAACTCCATCACGCCGTACACGTTTACTCCGGGGAACTCCTTTTGGAGGTTTTCCCTGCCGTTCAGAAAGGGGAGATCGACAATGACATCGCATTCCAGAACTTTGGCGCCGCCCATCTGCAGAAGCCTACAGGCAGCCGCCAGGGTACCGCCGTAATATATAAGGTCATCCACGAGGATAACCCTTGCACCCTCTGGAAATGCGCCCTTCTGAATGTGGAGATCGGTTTCGTCGTACACTTTTACCGAGTGCGTGGTGTAAACTGGCCCAGGCAACTTGCCCGGTTTGCGGATGATAACCAATCCGCAACCGAGCTCGTACGCCAGCGGAGCTCCGAAGGGCACACCTAGAAGCTCCATGGCCGCTATGTAGTCAACACCTTCCGGGTGTCTTTCTCTGATGCCGGCAGCCATGTACTTGACGGTCTCACGGAGCTTGTAGGCGTCACCTATAACGGGCATCATGTCGATGAACCTCATCCCGGGCTTGAAGTCGTAGTAGCACTTGAAGTCCTCTTCGACGAGCTTGAAGGTGTTCGACGCCATGGCGGTGAACGTATGTGAAGACAAAAACCTGTGCTACCATGACGAAGGATTCGAAAATGATAACACATTATATACTGACATATGTAATACACTGCAACCAAACGGTTCGTGAATATGCACGGATAGCCCACCTTCGCAGAAATGTGTCTCTAAAGATTCCTTCCCGTAAACTCAGGAAGGTCAGTGCAATAATAAACGCGATCCTTTCGGCTGGCGTATTGCTAATAGCGATGTGTATTTAATTACAATATCCAGTGAAGTGTAGAGGCCTGTTTTCAATTAGTGTATCCGTGCCGCTTAGCACGCGTGCTGCGGCTGATGTCGCGCATATATCCGGTGGATTGCATAGGTGTACGCGGAAGGCCACCTGATGTTCACTTTTCTATATGTTGTATGCTGTTGCGATTAATAGTATTACGTTGTATCGCGTGTCTGCTTCCTATCTACACACGCAGGCCGTTGGTGCAAAATCGAACACTTGCGACAGAGCGCATTTCACCATTGCACATATAATAAAAAAACCAACAGATCGCGTTTCGCGAACCAACGCTAACGTTGAAATGGGTGGTGCGATGAGGTGGATACGTTTAAATCATGAAACAACGTCGCCACCTATAATATAACCACTCGCTAAAATGTCACCAAATCGTATAATTCCACTTTGGGTGGTTGCAGCATGTTGTGTCGCCGTTGTTGGACGATATACGGTGCTACCTTTACTTCGATATTTTGAATGGCGTGTTTACTGAAATTCTTGAACCCAAGGACAGCGCCCTCCTTAAGCCAGTAGGAGAACGCTTCACGTTCTCCCATCCCCTCCGTTGGCCACGGGTTATCATATTTGTACTATTCCCTTACTTCACTGAAATGCTTGATATAGGATTCTGATATGTACTTTAAAATTATGAGAACCAGTAGGTTCAAGGCCAAGGTTCATGCCCGAAATGGTTGATGCATTAATAGGCGTATGAATTTGTGTGGCATTCAAGCCGCTTCGCTGTGATTGCGTCTGACGGTGTCTTATAGTCTTCACGAACTGCAAATAACTTGTACCGGTGGAAGTATACATTTACTGGCATTTGAAATGCTTAATTATACCAATACCACATAAATATCATTGTAGAGCTCAGAGTTTAACTTTATCACATCATATCCCCTTTAAGATGTCGGTCATAACCTTTTACTGATTTGTTATCCGAATGTTGCCTCACGTTCCTAACTGTTTTTGCATTTGGCAATCACGACGAATCCGATGAACAATGGTGCTCGGCTATCGTAGCACTCATTGAAGAAGTGAGCATTGTTAGTGTTAGAGCGGGTTTTTAACGGCAGTTTGCAGAGCCCCTTAATCGGGATGCGGCAGTCGTCAGTGGAACGTTGTTACCACGCCTTTAGGAAGGCACCGCCAGTTGCCATTCTTGAACACCTAACGTTTTATAGCTTTCACTGCCCGAAAGAATTTAATGTGTCAACATAACCACACCCTCAACGGCATCAATGCTTGAATTGGTTTTCACTTCAAACTATCACATAAGTTGTTAGAACGCATTTCCTCATTACAGAACCATTGAGACGTGACATAGTGTGCTCAGTGCCGTTTAATACGGAGCCCTGTACACTGCCCCAAACTGGGCGAGTGCCGATGCCCCGGTGTTCTCAGTGCTGTTGGTACGCAGCATATCATTTCGAAACCCTAGTTCGCTGGAAACATCGTGTGAGGACTATACACTATATAGGTAAAACAACTTTTCAATCATCTGCGAACCAATTTTGCCACAGCAAGGTTTTTCTTGATGCCAGTCTTGTCGCCACCTACTGCCATCGATTTAGTGTTAAGCATGGTGGCAATTTTGGCAAAAATCCGCATCATTATAGCTTTAAGTTCGTTTGCCAGGGCAGTGTAGTGAGAGCTTACGCCCCAAGGTGAGTTGTACTTTAATTATGCCGGCCTTGGATTTTGTAAGTGACGCAGAGGGGAAATGGAGAGTGCGGCAAATGAACGAAACTAAGGTTAGGCGGGATATCAACTTAATGCTATGATTAAACAATGCAGATGTAGCAACCATGGGACCACACGTTTTCATAAACTATATAGATAAACCTCTGTCGACTACCTCCATCAACCGGCGCTTGTCAGGTCAGCTCGAGGTGTTGGATAACCTCATAGGCCAGTGCAGGATGTTACTGAGTATGTGGCTTGGCAATGAATGTTGCCGGGACTCTCCGACGTGATGGCCAGTGTGCGGGCTAGTTAAGTTGCATCTATGGTCAACATTGTTGAAGGCCGCTAAGTCGTAACTCCGGACTGTACGCCAGTAGACACTTAGTGGGGGCCCGCAAACTTAGTTACCCAGATGTCTATCACCCCGAATGCCTTGCAACGCGCGTGAGCACAGCAGTGGCAGTGTGAGTGGTATATTGACATTCTTTTCGGACCAAACGGAGGTGAGAGTAATTGGGTTCAAATTTTGCTGGCACACTCTGTAACTAGTCGGTGGATGTGTTAGCTGTTTATATGAACCGTGCATCAGAGCCACTAACTTTGGAACAACGTCTACGGGATTACACCTGGACGGCAGTTTGTTTGCGTATTTCCATTTCAAGAGCCCTCATCCACCCGACTTGCGTTGCTCACTATTCCTCAAGATGGCTTCTCAAATGGATGAGCGTGAGATGAAAGCGCCTGCAGGAGATGAGGGAAGTACTCCGCCAAAGCGTATTTGTACAGATGGAAACAAAGATGGCGAAAAGGACATGCAAAAAACAATTGAATTAAAACGCTTGGAAATGTTAGCGATGCAAAATCACGCGTTACTTAATGACTTCCTTGCCGTGTTGCTGTCAAATAAGAACTCGGATTTGGATACTCAGCCAGGAAATTCGGCTTCAGGTACCGGTAGTGATGGAGCAGGTGGCAATCCAGGGAATCCTCATGGTAAAGATCAGTCGCGTAAGCGGCGGGAAATGTTGGCGATGCTAATGCAATCGGTACTTAATGACTTCCTTGCCGTGTTGCTGTCAAATAAGAACTCGGATTTGGATACTCAGCCAGGAAATTCGGCTTCAGGTACCGGTAGTGATGGAGCAGGTGGCAATCCAGAAAATCCTCATGGTAAAGATCAGTCGCGTAAGCGGCGGGAAATGTTGACGATGCAAACACAATCGTTAGTTAATAAACTACTTGCCGTGTTGCTGTCAAATAAGAACTCGGATTTGGATACTCAGCCAGGAAATTCGGCTTCAGGTACCGGTAGTGATGGAGTAGGTGGCAATCCAGGGAATCCTCATGGTAAAGATCAGTCGCGTAAGCGGCTGGAAATGTCGACAAGGAAGAAGCTCGGGCAACTTCTTGACTCGATTGCCGCTTTCGTGTCATATAGGAAATCGGACTTGGCTAGTCCACCAGAGAAATCACCTTCAGGTACTGGTAGTGACGGAGCAGATGATAATCAGGACGCTCATCATGGTATAGATCAGTTGCAGAAACTGGCGGAAAATACGTTGATGATTAATCAATCGTTACTTATAGACCTACATGCAGCTGCGCTGATAGATAAGAACTCGGACTTGGCTAGTCCACCAGAGACATCGCCTTCAGATAACGGTCCTGATGGAGCAGATGATAATCAAGACGATACACATGCTAAAGATAAGCTTCCGCCTCAAGACTCACATGACTCCAGAGAAAAATGACCGTTATAAGGAGCTTTGCCGCCGCGGGAACCGTTACATCAAGGTGGCGGCACTGGCACTCTCTTTGACCGCGTCTACGTAGAAGAAATACGGCGGCAAAAGATTCATGAAAACAACCCCAACATACATTACGCTTCAACCATTCTCTACGACTCCTTCCAGTAACCACTCATGTAGCACACCTACTGATGGCAACTCTAAGGTAATGTAGCATGAGTGCATTGCATAATTTATTTGGGAGCAAGTTGCGTGGCCACCCGATGTCAGCGACTGAAGAGTGCCTTACTGGGTGAAACGGCGGATTATTTACTTGGAAATAATTTGGAATGTTAGTTGTGAGGTAGGTCGCTGAGCCATGAGTGAGTCTAAGACGTTGTCCGACGTGTTTACCACGGGACGGCGTAGACACTGGTTGCAAACAATGGTAACCTCTCAGACCTTGAAGCGTCACCGCAGATATACTAACATCGCAAAACTCAGTATGGATCGTTTATATTTGAAATTCGAACGAGATGATGACATGCGTTGTGGATACTGCATGCCACGCCAATGGCATAGATCTGGCTGCCACACGACACCTTAGTCATCATCGCACCATTACCGTACGCATGTGTGGTGCGCTCACAGTTCCGTGTATCTCAAAAGACGTATTTATTAGGTGTCAACAGCATTGGTGCGTCTAAAGGTTAGGACACCGTTCCCTAATGCCTTTGACTGTAACTAGGCCGCCGAAACCCATACACATAGCATTTGCCCATTTAAAATCATCCTCACAAAATGGTGTACAATTCGTTGACCGAGGCACCTCGCAACCTCAAGGAGTGCATCGACTGGTTGATAGCCCTGAAGGGAACTTCTAAATTTAACACGCAGGCTTTAGGTTTCGCAGTTCACAGAATTCTCGCGGACACTTCCGTTGGGTTGTTGCGCGTGCCAGCTATAGAGAAAGTTAAACGTGTTTCTAAAGAATTCCTGGAGCAAAAAGAACTTAAAGGGCGGCCGTACGTAAAAAACCTACTGAGTAGATTCAGGGAGCCTATGAATAAAACCGATTCTATGGGTTTTAGGGGCATTTGGAGTGATCACCTGAGCGATTATGAGAACGTCCTAAAGGAGGATGGCGTAAAGCCAGACGACATGGCAAAGAACGTAACTCATGTTGTATCTAATTGCGAGAGTTTCTTGAAACGCATCCAAAACCCCCACCTGTATAAGTCTGCTTACAGCTCACAAGCGACGTGGGATGCGTCATGCGCGAAAAACCCGGACGCTTGCGCAGCAGTCCTCGTGGGGTTTGCGCCTATGTTATGGGTAGGCCTGGTGTCTTTGTGGGATGTGATCAATGATGACACCGCGGCAGGTGCAGCGCCTGATGCGGATAATAGTTTGGCAAGTGTATTGAAAGCCCTGGGTTACGTAGAACCGGAATGCCGCTTTGGAATGTGCGCTTCAGATGTCCGCCAGGCGTTGCGCGTTATGCATAAAGATGTATTGGAAACAATCTACGACCTCGCTGGATTCTGGGCCTTCTATTGAGGGGGGACCACAGGTGAGCTGTATAACCAGTTCGAAGTAGCATGCTGAATCCTACTTCCCAGTGAGTTGGCATAAGTATTCTCACGAAGCATTTCTAGTTTGTGAAATGTTATCTATGCCATCATTATGTATACAATCTTCATCCGTTGCACTGGTATCGTCAATTGGGTCGAAACATGGTTTTTGCGTATCTCGAATTGTATTCAGGACGCTAGATGGCGGGTTCCCCTTCGTCACACGCTCCAATGTCTGTATACCCGACACACATTGTGGAGATCCGCAGTTTACAAATCGTGCTGTGCACTACTCTAGACCTCCTCAGGTGGATGAGCGCCGCTTGGAGAGGTTCGGCGTCGTACCCGTGACCGACATACAGTGCGCCTGCTGAGTTCAAGGCGTGTTGACGCCTATACATGTTATCACATAACAACTCAATCCTTTTTCGTCTTGAGTCTTACAAATATACGCTCTATCATTTTGTCCGAAGCTAGAAGGCGCGGCAGCGCTGTTCATGCATTTGGGTTGTGTATATGTGAGTTAAGAACCGTTGGTTACCCCCTGTAAAAATGCACTAGATGGTGTTGCCCGGCGTCGAGGGTGTCTCCAATGCAGCCTCACTAATGACAGACAACGGAAATTGTGACACTGCCCTTGTAGTTTTTATATTCGTCCTCATTTACTGCTGTAGGTATCCTGATCAATTCCGCAAGCTGTTTTACAAACTACGTGGCGCATTTAACTGGGCTAAAAGTGCCGGCGCATCCACGAGTCTCGCCGGTGGAAGGATTCACGAGGAGATGGACACCGATGAATATTCCGCCTTCCCGTTTAAGGGCCTAATGTAGCTTCACGTAGCACACGTAAAATTTTAAAACGGCAAATATTATCTATTTTCAACGTTGTGGTCTACGTCTCCAGTTCATTGTTTATACTTCGGTATTCCGGATAAATCGTGTCAGCATGCCCATCAGCACATTCCTATTATCTAACGGCCTCCAAGCCACTAGTCCACCATAGCCTCATACATAATAACGTTTTAGCACGCTAATAATGCGAATGTAACTTTTTCCTCCAAGGCCGGAAATTGGCCAACGCCAGATGAAACGGTTTATTACAACAGTCGTACCTAGAGAGCAAAGGGCAATGGAGTGGTATGTACATTTCCCAATTCGCATTCGGTGAATTTGCAGCTTGCTGTTCCCCCTATTATTTGCGACCCTCTCGACATCTTATGATGCTTTAACACTATCAACCCTGTTTGGGAAGTACAGTCTGAAATCTATAGCCACACCAGTCGAAAACAGCGATACAATGCATATTCTGAGTGTGCTACGGACCTTATGAACGGCGACGGGCAACGCACGAGACGGATATTAAAGCCTGATGAGGAATATTACCCCTGCATATAACGTCCGTCGTTCTAAGAAATTGTTAATTAGCCAGGGCATTCATTTAACTATCTCTGCAAAAGACTACTCCAAGATCATAAAAGACCAGCAGCAGATTCTGCAGTGACATATTACGCCTCAATGTAGTGTCAACGGAGTAATTGTATTAAATATATCCGGCTCCTCATTTTAAACAATGCTAGTATTGGGGAACTAGGGCATTAAGATGGCCTCAGTAAGTGTCCTAGCACAACACATCATTTCGGTCAATTGCAGATCGCATTTATGATCAAAGGTATAACAACAAGCGTCATTCACATTTGTTATTTATTTTGGGATGGACATCCGTAGTTGCCGGCTTCCATGATTCTTGCCCCCGCACAAGCTAAAATCTAGCAAATTTTAAAAATACATACAGATAAAGAACAAAACAGCCGCATACATTCCGAATGTCGCAACTCTGGCCTTACTGATGTGCGTCAGCAGAATTTACATGTGTAATGTTATTATACGTTAAGCAATTTCGTTCCTTTGTTCGCGCTGCGGCCAGAATATGCGCACGTTTTAAATACAATATGCAGATGTGTAAGGGAGTTTGCAGATAAACTTTATGCTAGATGTGTGTTTCACGATGGATCCGCCGAAGGTCGTATTTTCATCGGTAAGTCGCTATGGGATGCATTTCTACAAGTTTATCCGGGATACAATTACCCTTATCATTCGTTATTGTCGGGTGTTGCCTCGTCTCTGTTATCGCGTAATATCAAACATCCTTGGGCCATCGTCGCATTCTTTCCACAAGTATTTTGAGAGTAGGCATGGCACACCGCACCCGAAATTCTTTGAGGGTACCTTCCAATCGGTTGGTTATGTCGTTCTAATCATGTATTTGTTTCTTAGGCTCAATCGGCAGCCTTCAGGGATGGGAAGCTTTTGGCCGTGTGCCTACACACGGAGTTCGGAGACGAGTTGTGCGCTTCTCTCCTGTCCAATAGTCTGGTGATAGAGATTTTGGTAGGTGACCAATCGATATTTGTTTGTCTATGCACTCATAGGACACTAACTTTGTCTTCTATGTTGAGCATGGCAAGGGCCCGCGCATGCGCAGCCTTGTACAGCGTTTGGATGCCAAAAGACTCCCCCAGATGTCAGTCATAGTTATGCGGAGCGACAGGGAATATGCTGTTATCGCTAGCACGAGTGATTTTTCAACTCCTAATAACGTGATTTCAATGCTTCTAGGGGCCATCGAAAATCCCGTGAGGTCTATTGGGACCCGGTCGGATGATTTAAACATTAATCGGCAGATTGTTACCGAACAGGATGCAGAACTACAGAAAGCAATAGAAGCAGATGTTGCCCGGATGCGTGCCAAAGAGCTGCGGGAGAACGATGACCTTCGGAGGCGCCAGCTCCGAGCAGATATTAAGCTGAAACGCCAACAATTAATCAGTGATCGCAAGGAGTTTGCTAGGAAGTTCGCAGCGACCTCCCATACTGGCGACACAAAGATAAAAGTGCGCCTACCAAGCGGCCGAACCATTGAATCGGTATTCAACAAGGACGACACCGTGGAGAGGCTGTACGAGTGGGTGGGTGCCGCCGAGTACTTCGGCGACGACCAGATTAAGATTCCTTACGTCTTTGACCTATCTATTCCTCACCCATCCACAACCCTGGGAGATCGATCGCAGACACTGGAGAACGCGAACCTGTACCCGAACGCTTCCTTGGTTTTGATCTCGCGTGACGACTCCGATGAGGACGATGTGTGAGCTTTAGAGGCATTAAATTGCCAGTGTGTGATCGTAGTATGATCGCAAACCTTTTGACTTCATAATCAGAAGGTGTATATGCCTTCGCTGTTCTGACGCGCGGTAGAATCCACCGACACGCTAACAAACGTTTCAGTTAATTTTTCAGAATGGTGCGCTTCTGGATAGATGGTATTGAAGTTTTTTTCCCGTACCCTCAGATTTACCCGGAACAGCTGGCTTATTTGCGCAGTCTGAAGAGCACTTTGGATGCGCAAGGCCACGCTGTTCTGGAGATGCCAACTGGGACCGGTACGTTGCGTTTGTACGCTTCCTCTCATCAGTTCAGGGAAAACAGTGGCTCTGTTCAGTCTGATCACGAGTTACCAGCTTGCGAGGCCTGAGATAGGCCGTTTGATTTATTGCACCCGTACTATTCCAGAGATGGAAAAATCGTTGCTGGAGTTGAAGCAGGTGATAAAATATCGCAATGAGGAGTTGGAAAAGGACCGCGCTGCTCGTGCAGAGGCGGCGGCGAGCAACGGGGAGTCTTCTGCCGTTTCCATTCCCGAATCGGCTGCAACAAATAAGAAAAACGGTAGGAGAAATGCCCCTTTAAGGCTCATTTGCAGCAGACTACTTCCTGGCCATTGGTCTCTGTTCAAGGCGCAATCTTTGCATTAACCCTGCGGTTTCTTCTTGTGCCGACAGGACAAAGATCGACGAAATGTGTATGTTAAATATATGGATGTCGCAGCACAATTTTTTGTAGGCCACGACATGACGTCACTGTGGCGCCGTATAAACTACGAAGAAGATGGCACTACGACATATCGCGAGTATACGATGCAATACGAGGGTACGGGTACGCGTGGGACGCCCACCGCCCCGGTCGTGCGCCAATCCGCCGTGGAAGAGGTGCAAGACATAGAACACTACGCATCCAAGGGGCTGTGCGGATACTACGAGCACCTGGAGCGCATATGGAACCCAACAATGATACCGTCAGGTAAGTAGTTCTTTTCGTGTTGCATGTATGCCTAGGTGTATACACGCTTGAGGGGTTGAAGGAGCACTGCAACAACTTCAGGCATCCGGTTACGGGCGTCGCAGCCCCCATCTGCCCCTACTTCGCTGTTAGAAGGGCGCTTGACATGGCTAACGTGGTTGTGCTGAACTACCAATATCTGTTGGACCCCAAGGTTTCCGAGGCAGCATTTTCGCATCTCTACTCGACATTGCCCACGGACATGAGCAAGCAAAAGGAGGAGAAGCCCGACCCCAAACGTGAAAAGAAGGCCAAGGTGCCCATAGTGGTAGTCTTCGACGAGGCCCATAACATCGACAATGTGTGCATCGAGGCTATGAGCGTTGAGCTGAACGAGGACACGCTGGACGAGGCCTTCAGCAACATCGCCAAAATCGAGGACACTGTCCGCCAACTCCGCGAACGTGACGAAAACCTACTCATGGAGGAGTATCGCAAGCTGGCCGAAAACATTCGCGAGAGCTCGATCGACATTGAGGGTTACATGTGCCCCGTGCTTCCCGCCGACGTGCTGCAGAAGGCGGTTCCTGGCAACATACGCCAGGCCGAGCACTTCATCTCCTTCTTGAAGGTTGTGGTGGGGTATTTGAAGCAATACATCAAGGTACAAGAGCCGAAGTCTGAGGGACCTCTTATGTTTTTGCACAGGTGGGGTGAACGTGCATTTGTGGCCCTTTCTAGTTTCGCCATCTTTCCCGTGTTGACCGTTTTAAAGATCGTATTTAACATTTCTGCAGGTTTGAGATGGAAACGGGCATCGGCAGTGCCACCATGCAGCATACATACAGTCGAATGAAGTCTCTCCTGAACACGCTGAAGATAACCGCTGTTGGCGACCTGTCAGCGATCCAATTGGTGGTTGACTTTTGTACCTTGGTGGGCACTTATTCCACCGGTTTCATTGTGATCGTGGAGCCATACCCTCAGGGATCGTTATACGAACCTCTTTTGCAGTTCAGCTGCCTGGACGCGTCAATCGCCATGCAACCCGTTGTGGACAACTTCCAGTCTGTGATTTTGACTTCCGGTACAATATCGCCGTTGGAAATGTACCCCAAAATTCTGAACTTCACTCCGGTACTCACGCAATCGCTCCCAATGTCACTGGACCGCGATTGCTTGTGCCCTCTGATAGTATCGAAGGGTGCCAACCAGCTGCAGATGTCAACGAAGTTCGACCTCCGTAATGACATTACCGTGCTCCGCAATTACGGCAATTTGCTAATTGAGCTGTGCAAGAACATACCTGACGGTGTGGTTTGTTTCTTCCCGAGTTACGCGTATATGGAGCTCATTGTGTCCCACTGGTATGAGTGCGGCATCATCGCCACTATTATGGAGCACAAGTTAATCTTCATGGAGACTAAAGACGTCGTTACGACGACCTTGGCCCTCCACAACTATCGCAAGGCTTGTGACGTGGGCAGAGGCGGCCTCTTTCTGTCCATTTGTCGTGGTAAGGTGGCCGAGGGCATCGACTTCGACCGTCACTACGGGCGTTGTGTGGTCCTCATTGGCGTGCCATTCCAGTACACCCTGTCGCGCGTTTTGAAAGCTCGTCTGGATTTCATGCGGGTGAGTTTCGTGTCCGGTTGCTTCACGCCAATCAGACCAACTACGGCATTCTGGAGAACGAGTTCATGACATTCGACGCCATGCGGCAGGCTGCGCAGTGCGTCGGCCGTATTATCCGCAACAAGAGCGACTTTGGTCTGATGATCTTCGCCGATTCACGGTACAGTCGCGCCGACAAACGTTCGAAGTTGCCTCCATGGATTCTTAAGAACCTGGAGCCGGCCCATATGGCGCTGACCACTGAGAGCGCGATCACGGCGGCGAAGTCGATGCTGCGCAACATGGCGCAGGACTACGTGCCCAACGTTTTCACGCGGTTCGACCAGGATATGCTGAGCGACGAGTCCAAGTGGTGGTCGTCCGTGCAGAACGTCCTGCGGCTGAGCAAATACTAACATAGGCGCCGCAGTGACATTGTAGTTTATTTTAAGATTATATTGCCACTAGTTATGAGAGTTGCACCCTGTTTGGCGCTGTTTACACTATCGGAAGTGGATAGGTGTGAGTGAATGGAACTGCAGCCTACGAGCTGAAACGCTGGCGTCCCATTGTGGTTTGCTTCGCAACGCATATGTTAAGTACATCACTTGCGTCGTAAGCTCAAGGCACCACTGCCATGCATCACATCAGTCCTTAGCATATGCCCAACTAAGCCGCTCCCCCGTCCGAGTTACGACTTCATGAGAGGGTTTCTTGGTATGTGCTCCCTGTATTTGGGGTGCCCAAACACTCGCAAGCTCGATCCAGGTCCCATTTGCAGACTACGAGCCAGCACCCCTGCTCTCCTCTCTCTGCCAGCCAGCACTGCGATTGCAACGGCTCCGGCAGCCATCAGGAACGAGCTGCCTGCCTCTCCCTCGAAGACCTTGTGGGTGAGGAACTCCCAAGCCTTTCCTGTCATGAATATGTTTTCTACAACGGGGTCGCTGGACTCGGTCCGCTTGGCGCGCTCAAAATCAACGCCAGTCACCATTTTGCCTTTAGTGTGTTTCACTGTCGACTTCTGGCAGCTATGATGTCGAGTACGCTCTCCTTGGTGTGAGGGCCTAAAGGTATGAAGTAGTCGAACGCGTCCGGTATATCGCGGTGCTTGTATAACTCGTCCACCTCGCAGATTGCGACGCACGGGAGGTTGATGTTGTACAGGTGCCGCGCGTAAAGAACCGGGTCGAGACAAAGAATGAGGTCGTAGTTTCTGGTGGCGTCCGATATGAGTTCCGGCGTTGCTTTCGTGACAGCTCGCGAAGCTCCTCCAGTTAGCGCTTCTAGTTTGATATCTTGCTGGTGCTTGTTGCCGAGAATGAGCATCTGCGCGCCGCCCGCCTTTGCCAGCTGTAGGAACCGCAGAGTCCGTTTGCAGTGCAGCAGTTGAATATAGGGATCAGCAAGGCATCGGCTCCGTATAAATTTGCCGAATCTGCTCATGTCATATGGCTGTACGGCGACCCGCGCTCGCGTGACCTACGGTTATAGGGCATTCGGCGTGTATAGCGTTAAGTCACAACAATCGCAGCGATAAGGCGTTTAATGTGCATATAACAGGCTGCTATATCTAATACGTATGGAACTCTGGTTATGAGGTAGTGTTAGAAGTTCGACCGGCGCCACTATGAACTGTGTAAAGACAGGAATTTGTCATTTCATCCGAGCATTACTACGCTGTTGTTAACACTCAAAACATTTACTAAGGCGTACACGGCGACGAAGCGTGGCATTGGTGTATTGAATGCTAGTTTGCGGTCAGTGTGTACCCATCTCTCGTCGATGTGTAACATTTATATTCAGCATTCGTGGTATTCCTGGCGCACGTTGCCACTAGCTTGTACGTGATATAAACTATAGATGTAACGTCAAAGACAGGTCCAGACGTTTGCTATGTATTACGTTCTCGGCACAGCTACGGTACAGATTCCCCTTTTGGCCATCGACATCCTCACAGTTGCTCGTTTACCCATACATGTATTGATGTGTTTACCAATTGAGCGCCAGAGATTCCCCTAAAAATCTCCCGGAGTCCCTGGGTGGTGTTGGTCACGCCATCTCATGCCGCGCCAACCTCTCACTCTCAACGTTGAGGCTTCGTCGTCGTACCGCGACTCATTTGTTTATTATAGATACACATGTACATATGAGAAGTATAAGGATAGATATACACATTGCGTTGTAGGAATGGAGGCGCTGCTGTCGCTCTATCGGCGAACGGTTGCTGCCGACATCGAGGACACATTGCAGCCTGCAAATGCGCATACGCTGCAACGTATGCTGTACGAGAGCAGCGATGTGTTCGGACATCTGAGCAAGTACGACAATTTTCACCAGGCCTTCGGCGTACCGCCGAATCCGTGCGAAAGCGTCTGTTTTATTAGATTTTGGCGAGGTTAGTGACCCAATCCGCTTCATACGAGTAGTTCTATTCGTTGAACGCATTTATACATCTATGTGTAGGCGTCGAAGACGTGGTTACTGCACCGGAGCCGGTGATCACTGGGTCGCGGAGGCTAGATTTGCAAAAAGCTTTGTTCGCGGACGATGCGCTCCTTCGGAGCGTTCGCCATTTCCGCGACGAGCTGCTCAAGCAGACCTCCCCAATGTCACTGTCTGCCTTCCTTTCGGTGATAGACTGCTGCAGCAAGAGCAGCGACCTGACGGAATTTTGGTCGCGTGTTCGCGAAAATTCCCATCGCACTTTTTCCGAGGGAGACATTGAGGTAGCCAACGTCTCCGACATGATTTTTGGCCACTTGTGCCAACGTTTCAGCTACCGTTCACAGGGAATCGGGGACCTCCGCACGATATCTACGTGCACCGCATTTGAAAGCGATGAGGACTCGGAACCCGTGCACTCTTCCCGATCCTTCATGAGCAGCATTGCGTCGTGTCGCAGCACTGCCTCGTCTGAGGAACGTTATCGCCAATTACTTGAAAACCTGGACGTTTGTCTTCCCGAGATATACAACCGATTCTGCGAGCGCATCGACGAGTTGACGACTCAGCGGCAGCAGCTGGAAGCTGAGTGCGAAAGCAGGGAGAAGCAGCTGGACGAGCTGCGCTCCGAGTTCGATCAGGGCAGACTAGAGCTTCAGTCGCGGTGTGATCATCTGGTGGAAAGCAACTCAATGTTGCAGCGTCAGACGGAGTCCCAGGAGCTCGAATTAGACAGCTACCGCATACAGGTGATGAACCTCAAGCGCCGTCTAGACTCATGTGACTCCGCGAGGTTGGAGGACGAAATACAGACCGTCCGGAGCCAGTGCGCGAATCTGGAGAAAATGAACGTCGATTTACGTCGTTCGCTGGATGAAGCCGAGGCACGCTGCGCTCCCACACCTTCCGACCATCGTGATCGCACTGATGTGTGTGTCGGCGACGACACCGAATACATTGGGCCAACCACGCTAAACGTATCTCCTGAGGATGCATGGCATGCCTCCGAAGAACGTGCAACAATGTTGAAGGAGCTTCAACAATATCGCACAGAGAATGCAGAGCTTTCAAAAGCGTTTGAAGACATGGTGAAACGGGAAAAGGATTTATCACGTGATCTGGCGGCCGCTTTGCTAGACAACGAGGCGACCGCCGAGCGGCTGAAGTGCTACGTGCCGGCAGACAGTCACGCCGCCGAGCAGCAGGCATTACAGTCGAAGATACTGTCACTTGAGACAGAAGTGAGTTCACTGCGTGAGCTCGTGGAGTCCCTCCGATCTGAGGGGGAAATCGCCGAGTCAGAGCGTAGCGAGCTGCTACGCGCCAAGTCGGACTTGGAACGGGATATAGCGGCATCGAGGAAAGCCACCGAAGTGGCCGAAACCGCATTGAAACTGCTGCGCCAGAAGTGCAGCCAACTTGAAGCTGATGCAGCTGCCACACGGGATCTAGAAAGGCAGCTGTATGAATATCGCTCCTGCAACTCTGAGCTGCAGGCCAAAATCGACGAACTAACCAACGAGAACTTGGTTTTGGCATCCCGCATAGAGGATCTGAATGCTCCTTCAACCCGCCTAAGCGGCATGACGGGGGCAATCGAAAACCAGGCCGAAGATGCTTGCTTCTCTCTTACGCCACGTACGGATACCTCCGTCGGCGAGGAGCCGGAAGAGCGGAAGCTGGAAGTCCCGTATACTGGCAAAATCGGGATTAACCCCGCCTTGGCGGAGACGCGTCGTCTGAACACGATGAACGCAATGAAGTATGGGCAGTTGAGCGCAGACGACGCCAACATGCCCCTGTCGTCGGTGCTAGGGAAAGAGGATTACGGCCCGCTGGTGTACCGTCGCACGTTCGGCTTCCAGCGATCCATGACGGTATTGTCCGACGACAAAGGCATCGCTCTGCTGCGCGACCCTCGGGACCTGGGCGCAAACGACAGCGACGTCACTCCGCTCTCGGACACCGAGACGTTTGACGTGCTCCAGAGCGCCGCTTCATATTTATCGGAGACCTTCAATTTTGGTCTAAAATCTGCCAGGAAGGTCTAGAGGCATTATATGTTTGCCGGCCTTCCCCCGTTGTCTATAGTGTGTGACCCACACACTGACGATAAACGTCGCGATGTTCACGCCGCGCCTAATATGTTTGTACACTAAAACCTAAACAATGCGGCCTGACGGGAGGCAGCGTTCCCGTTCAGATTCCGCTCCCGGCGGCGCCTTTCTGGCTAGCGAGGTGATGCTGCTGGCCTACCACTTGTCGCAGATAAACAAGGATGACATCGTGCGCTACAATCTGGACAGTCTGCACATGTCCCGGTCCATATATTCCGATGGCGGCAGCGATGTGTCCGGATCAACCCGTACAACAAGTCACATCGTGAGACTTCACGCCAGTTTGCAGCGGCACTTGGAGGAGACAACGATGCGCCTTCTGGCGGAGTGCGCCGAGCTAGAGGTGGTTGAAATCGACACCAATCGCATCGCGAGGGATCTGGAATTATTTTGCGTCGACCGTTCCAATGTGTCGCTTCGTCGTTTGAAGGGCCTTTTGTACGCTGGCATGCAGTCCTTCGAACGCTTGCCGGCGTGCCTCCAGCTACTTTTGCACCTCAAGGATGGCGGAGGACCCAGTCGCACGAGAAGTCCACCTATGCATAAAGATGAACTCATGGAAGATTCCCTGCCGCCCAGCCCATTATCGCAACACAGTCCACTAAAGGCAGCCGCGGCAACACCCGCCCCTTCTCAGCCGATACAAGCTGCGCCACCATCTGATGATTCATCCGGTTATGAGTCCCCAGAAGCGATCGGTTCCGACCCCGATCTGAGCCCTGCAGCCGGCCCCCCGGCTGAAGACTCTGTGCTCTCTCGCGTGGTAACGGACCGCTTTGAGTTCGCAGAAATAGACGAGTCGGACCTGGTGTCAGACCTGTTGTTTGTGCTTCAAGGCATTGAAGGTCGTTTCATAAAACGAGGGGCTCATGGCCGTTTCATCCTGACGAGCTCACGCAAGGTGTCGCGTGGCGTGCGTCAGCTGACAGAGCGCATATGCAGTTTGGGTGAGCTCTACAACCGAATCGTGGACGCCAAGATGCCTCCAGGATTGATATCGCAGGCCTTGTACCAAGGTGTGATGGACGAGGTGCACCAGTACAATCGCTTGGTTAACATGTTGGTGTCGGGTCGCAGCACTGAGCCGCTGAGCCTGCGCCGGCTTTACGTCTGGGTACAGCAACCTTACGCTCGCATGCGGCTGCTTCACCTCGTTATAGGACTGAAGCAAGGCTTTTCGATTGACGCCATTTTTGACCTGCACTGCGGACGTGGTGATACGATGGGGCGAGAGCTGTACTGCGAGCTGCTTCGGAAGTGCATGGTGCCGTATTTGGAGCTTTTGCTCCACTGGGTATACTTTGGCGAGCTGGAAGATGCCGGCGGAGTGCTTTTCGTCCGTCGGGTGCAGGGCCACTATCGGTTAGCCCCGAGCAAGGTGCCGAAATTCATTCCGATGTCGTTGGCTGAGCTGTGCTTCGAGGTTGGGTGCTGCGGTAGCTACTACTCCCAATTGAAGAATGGCCGCCCTCTGAAGGCGTCGGTTGACATCCCCGGTATTTTGCGTCAGCTGTGCCCCGAAGGCCAGTCGTGGTCAGTTTTCCTCACGGTGCAGCGCCTTCTAACTTTGGTGCGTTCCGTTGACACTGACGCCGTGCTGTTGCAGGAATTGGTCGGCAAGCACGACATCTGCGGTTATTTGCGTCGTATAAAGAGTCACTTGGCCATGGAGCAACTCGGGTCTGACCCAAGCTCTCCCGAGTTTGACGACTTTGAGTGTAACACGGAGTACGGCTTCGAAATATATGTACCGAAATTCTCGTTCCCATTGGCTCTGATTCTTGAAGATGAAAAGGAGGCACGGGAAGCCTACATCACCAGTTTCCGTCTAGAATTTTTACTGCAGCGTGCGTTGAAGATTTTGTCCATCAGCTGGAACGAGTATGCGTGGCACAGCCGCTGCAGCCACGGCTCGCTTGAGCTGTCACGGCGGCTGTCTTGGATAAACCTATGCCGTAACGAGATGTCGCACTTCGCTAACGTCTTGCAAGGCAGTCGTTCGGTGCAGTATGTGTTGGACCAGTTGATACGGCGCGTATCCTCTCGCGACTATCCCTACGGAGGTGCCACCCTTGCTAATTTACGGAGCTCGTATTCCACGGTGTTGGCCTGTTTCCGAGCTGCCAACTTCTTGGAGATAATGGACATTCTGGAATCCATCGTGGACTTTTGCAAGTTAGTGCCACGCCTGTTCAACCGCGGTTCTATGCAACAGTTACGCAGCATGGTCTGCGAGGGCGCTTCCCCGGCAGACATAACTCAGTTCATCCACCAAAACATCGCTACAGACGATTTGATGAAGGTCATGTCGAGGTACGCGGAGCGTTTCCGGGAAAGCGTGCTGTTGTTGCTGCACCGGTTGTCGTGCCAGGATGCCGAGCGCCGGCGTTTCGCAACAATCATGGATTACAACAACTTCTACAAGTTGTTGAGTGTTGTAGAGCAGTAATGTAGTTTCGTCGCCCGCTGCGCACAACAATCGCATTCGCCTCTAATTTATACAAATCATTCAGGTGCAATTGTATGTTTTGTTGTGGGTTGCTCGGCTGCTCAGTACCTCAGCCAGTACGTCTTCTGCCTGACGTCGATGAGTGAAGGCATGCCGTGCAGCGGTCCCATCGCCGTCACTGCCACCTCCTGGTCGTGCAGGTACTTCCATGCCACCCGCTTGACCTCCTCAGCGTCGATTTTCTCCAGCCTGATGAGGAACTCCGCAATAGGCATGCGCCTGCCGTAGACGATGAGCTGGCGCGCAACTTCCTCAGCGACGGTTGACGTCGAATCGTTCATCGCGAGGAATTGCATAATGAGCTGGCGCTTTGCGCGCTCGACCTCTTCGTCAGTGACACTGTACGATAGCGCGGTGATTCCGAACATGAGCTCTCCGACGCAGTGGTCGATAGCGACTTCGTCACACTGCGCGTAGAAGCCGAAAAGACCGGTGTCCTTGTAGCAAGTGTTGAAAGCGCTGAATGCCTCCGCGCATCCGACCGTCATCCGGTTGGCTACTGCATGCACCGTCTTGTTCCCGGACACCTTCCCGGGGACGAGGCCCTCCTGGCTCTTCTTGTAGCTGCCGATGATGCTTTGCATGAGCATGAAGCATATGGAGTCGGGGTTGGTCCAGGACACTCCCTCGAAGGCAACGGCCAGGTAGGCGTGCGGACCCATGTTGTCGTTCCTGTTGAGCAGTTCTGACCCTACGAAGTGCGGCTTTTCCAGGGGCCTTTCACCGTGTCCGGACGGTATCTGCGCCCATTACATCTAACTGGGAAGTTTCACTTACGGTGCACAAGTGCTTTTCGGCAAGCTGTACGATTTTGTCGTGCTCCTCACTTCCGACGTAGCAAAAAACCTGCATTGCAATGACGGCTTAGTTGCGGCTCCCTACCATGCGATCCGCAGTGTAGTTCCGCTGTATATAGTCCACCAAATACTCCCTCTTCATGTTCTTGATGTTTTCGATGGGGCCCTGAAACAGTTGTTCGGTCCAACGGACAGACATACCAATATTGTGAAACCCAAGGGGCTGTCGCGGAACGCCGTCATGTGGAGCCTGTCGAATATAACCTCCTCAGTTGACTTCTCGACCTCCTCCATTTCTCTGAGGATGACGTGCTTTTCGGCCTCCATTTGGGATTGTTCGATCTTGCTGTTCTGCAGGATGTCGCTGAGTAGCTCCGTGCACCATGCGACATCTTTGTTGAAGCATCTGGCGTAGTAACTGCGATTACATGACGTTTTCATGCATAACCGCAAAATACCCTGTCTGTTCCCTCGCAGTGTAAGCATTTAGGTGCGCTCCCTTCTGTTCGATTTCCTCCTCCAGTTGAATCCTCGTCCTGTTAGAGGTACCCTGCTCACATATGCCACTCCGCCAGCTTCTACTCACCTTGAATATCATGTGCTCGAGGAAGTGGGCTGCTCCGTTCGTCTCAGGGGTTTCGAATCTGCTGCCGCTGTCGATCCATACGCCGACTGTGGACGAGTTGCCTGGCATCCACACAGAGGCAACGCGAAGTCCATTTTTGAGCGTCGTAACCTCTGCACACCTTTGGTTGGTACTCAGCTAGAGACATACCGCATGGAGCCTGGTTAAGGTACGGGCTGATTATTTTGGAGTCCTTCATGAGCTCGGCGGCGCTTGCAATTGTGCGCGCGCCCCGGATCCCAGCAGGGGCAGAGCTGCGGATGGCCTTTCTGGTTGCGTGTTTCCCGGCCTCAATGCCTCCGAGCCCAGGATAGGCGTGCCTCACCAATGCGGTGGCGAAGCCTCGCATCGTGCTCATGGTCATTTTGAGGCCTCGGTTCCTTCTGCTCGTTTGACAATTGCCACGAATGAAGCGAATATCCCCTGAGTCCTGTCTACCCAAGGCTCAGTGATATACTCGCCGCTAGGAGTAGCGCGGCTCCTGCCTTATGTGGCACGCCGGTATGCTCCGCGGCGAATGACCAGCACCGGCAGCTATTCGTGAACTTCGTTTCTATATTTTGCTTCTAATTTTATGCAGTCTTCCTTTTTTAAATTAAAAATCGTGGTTGACGCCAGGATTCCTTATAGCATTTTACACATTTACGCATCACGGTGACAGGGTCTAAGCGCACAAATTCATTGGAATCTTCTACACAGAGCTTCTAGAAATGCACAAATGACTAATTTGTGTACTGAGGCGGTCGTTTATCTGGTAAAGCATGCTGGATTCTACCCTGTCCACTATTGAGTCCAAGGTAGACGAATGCCGGGATTTGTTAGAACAGCTTGTGGAATCTGTCATAGGCTGCAACATTCAGGACGAGCTCACCGGTATGTCTGATCGCCATTCTGTTACTGACGCGCCACAGGGCTCGAGTATAGCAAAGTATTTGCCACTATCGCATTCACCTTTTGTTCGCTGCATTACGGTGGGTAGAACCATGCTAAACTAAATCGCTCATGCACCTTCAGTCCAAGAGAAACTGAACGGGCACAACCCTGCCGACTATCCAGTATCTCGTGACTTGGTACGCATTAGTCGTTCAGTTGACCATTAGTTTCAGTTGCGTGTAAAGGAGTACATGAAGGAAATTAACGACATTATGCTCCGAGGTTAGTGATGCCAATTGATGCTGAGCTGTGATTATTACCAGAGAAACGCCCGAGGATAAATCTCACGGCAGCACGCAAAATCGTTCGTTCTACAACGCAGCGATCTGCTTCCGACGTTTCTTCTCAGAATTAGGCAGTCATGTTTTTAATTGGACAGATGTTTGTACGAAAAATCGTGCTTTAATTTTTTTAAATAACACCGGAGTGTTATAACATTCTTGCGTCATGTGCATGCACCAACACTTGAAGTGCCATGTGGCACAATTTATAACATTAGTTTGGCAAAATTTAGACTCTGAGCATTCATTGATGCTGAACTACGATACAAGCGAGCAGTGAGTTGCAGATCACGTTATAGGGATGGTGATTTTTCAGACAGCAGTTACGGATTCTTCGTGGATTGCACATATTTTTGGTGAGACCCTCATACGTGTCTCCTATCTGAACTTTGAAAGAAGGACCCTATTGTCTGCATTGTAGTTAAATTTAGAAGTTTGTTGATGCTTTTGTAGACACATTGCGGCTAACTTCAAGGGTGACAAAAGCAGCCAATACATGCTGATCATTCTCACTTTATACACATCCAGTGCGGAAAGTGTAACACACTATTTGATCAGTGAATAGGGGTTACAATATTGCGCATAACTACCAGGTAGATCCCCGTATGTTGACGGTGGATATACCGATTTTATACTCCTGCCAGATAGAAAGAGAAAACACACATAAACCAATTTCTAACACTACTATATCATATAATAATGGCAAAATCTGATATTAGACATTCTATGGCACTCATCTGAAAGCCCACCTCTCATCGTCGGTTGAAGCACATCGACCCCTACCCTCCATCTCTCCCTCAGTTGCCAAACTACCGAGATATATTTCACATGATACATTAATAGTTTGGCAGCGTGGATAACAGCTCCGCGATGGCTGCCCGGTGTGTGTCAATGCTGCGCCGGGATGTGTATGGCCATCGTCTGACCTGGTTATCTAATTTAAACGCGCCTTCTAGGGTTATACCTCCCCGTAGTGAAGATTTATCAGCACATACGCATTTGAACTGGGATTTCGTGCTGTATTCGTCCCCGATTGCAAGACTCAACCTGGGACCGTTGTTTGCAAGTTGCTCTATACTGCCGTCGACAGTACCGCTTCTTCTGTCGTATCGCGACGATCTGCGTCGCGAACAGTTCAATCGCATTGTAGGCAAGATCGGCATCAAGAAGAAGGACGCCGGTATCTACTGGAACCAGTACAAGACCAAGAGGATCAAGATTCGCAAGAGGCGCCGAGTGATATGATTCCTCGCGATAGGCGCGCTCACCAGCGCCTATCAACGCCTCAAGAAACGTTTAGTGCGATAATTTGGCATTCGTTAATTTTTTATACCGTGTACGTTAGTGCTGCTGGCGGCGGCACGAGGTTTCCGTTTGTTCGCCGCATTGATGTCACTTGGTGCCCGTGATCCACGCGTTTACGATGAATACACGGCCGTTTACAGGTTTAACTTCATATTGCACATTGCTCCTGTATGGTCGTCATTCAGTGGTTACCATGATCTCACCTCAACACGATCAGCATGTCCGTTTCGAGTTTGATGTCTTTTCGCACCCCCGAAACCTCTATGCCTATGTACACATCTTCATTTGACTCGATACATGCGATATACAGTAGCGTGAACATCACACCACTGTTGATTGAATCTTCATGGAGTTTGATCTCCGCGTCCGTCCCGTTCATGAGCACCAGTCGGACGTGAGATATAATCTGCCATTTATGACTATTTAGTTGCCGGCGTTACCTGTAGCATGATCTTGCACCTTTTGCACAGCTCGAAGGGCACGCGCTTAATCTTCTCGATTACCTTGAGGGTTTCCTGCGTGTTGTTAGGCTTTGGTAGTTATCGCCGGTACCTTATGGTGGTCGGGAGACAGATCTTCAGCTTTTACCCAAAGCGTCGAACAATTTCGGTATGCCGTAATGACCTCATTGTTCTTCGTGCCCATTGAAAGTTGAGAAACACTAACTACAAACCTTCGTAAAGAGTCCGTTATATTGCATGAACTCAAGTTCACGCCTTATCGCCGAACGCTGCGATCCGTTCGCGGTCACAATTTCCTCAAACTAACATCGACAGCAGCATATCCGGTGACTATACCGACTCCCTCATTGACTATGGAGTGGATTGTGTCTCCTGCGAAGTCCATGTAATCCGCCTCTGCATGCCATGATTTGTTGCGCGTTCATATCCTACCGCTGAGCGCACACAATCCGCCATCTGTAGCCCTACTTGCACACCGTTTCTGTAGGCCCAGTATGGCGAATTTGCTGAGACTCTTGGTGAACGCCTGCTTCCACGCAGTTTGGATGAGTTGCACGTCGACCTCCTTAGTAACCTTCAGGCCTTCTACATGGCATGTTCGACAAACTTCCACCAAACTGACCATTTAACCCCTTTTGCTTGACCCTTTCGTAGGTGCTTGCTGCGTTTTCTAGAGCGTCAGCGACGACGACAGCCAGTTTTTCGTCGCTGCTCCACAGCTCGTCTACACATTCGCCGATGACGTCGTCTGCACAGTGTTGAGTATAAAAGCGCACGACTCCACCTTCGTGTTTCTTGAAGCCTTGCTTAATATCAGACGGGCATCGCTGCTGCGTTACGGTGTCTTCAGCGGCAGATCTGCGAGGTATGTGTCTGTGTTGCGACGGCTCTTACCTGAGCTTCTTGTCCAGAGCCAGGCGATCACTGGCGTCGAAGCTGCCTCTAGCGTAGCTTAAAAATTTGCTGATTTCCTCCTGAGTCCATTGCCGTGTCATACCTCCTTTTGTCTGCGGCATGTTTGTGTTCTTCCACTGCCGACCGTCCTTCCCACGTGCAGGTCACGCTACCTGCAGTGAAAAGCAGCGGACGGCCGCGCGTAATTTTAAAGAAGACGGAATCGATGTATCGCAGGAGTTACTCGAGCCGCCGGCATCGGAGCTCCCATAGCCGCGGTCACCGCGGCCGTCGCCGCGACCGCAGCGCCTCGAGGCGGGACTACAGGGGCCGCCATAGTTACGACAACTATAGCAGTGGCAGAAGCTCTAGTCCTCACCGGCGTTCGATTTCTCGTTTGCGAGGCGTTGATTCCGGTCACCGCCGTCAGTCGCGGCGTGGTGCGCTGCGTGATTCCAGGCGCCGCTATGACGACCGACGGGACACTTACAAGGTCCCCGAGAATCGCTACGAACGACGCGGTGTGAGCCATCGCGATTCGAGGCGGCGCCGTCATGATCGGGGGGCTAGGGATCGGTCTGCATCCGTGAGTCGGAGGCGCCGGTCGCATCACAAAGACAAATGGCACCGCCGCCACAGGGCGCCCTCACGCAGCCCTTCGGAGCACAAGAGACATCATGAATCCAGCGATCGCATCATACATTTTAAGTGGGAGCCGGGTATGATGCTGGACGACTACAAGGTCGTGAAGAAGATCGGGGATGGCACCTTCGGCCGCGTGCTGCACTGTGAAAAGAACGGGGAGAAGTACGCGGTAAAGGTGGTACGGGACGTGGAGAAGTACGTGAGCTCCGCGAAGATCGAGGTGGACATTTTGATGGACATCCGCAAGGTGGACGTGGCCGGGGAAAGCCATTGCGTGGTGCTGCATGACCATTTTATGTTTAAGAAACGCATCATGTGTTTGGTGTTTGAGCAGCTGGGCGATTCTCTCTATGACTTTTTGAAACGTAACGACTACAAGGGCTTTTTCATGGCCGACATCCAGAAGATTGCGTACCAGCTTCTGAAGGGGCTCGCGTTCCTGAAAAAGAACAAGCTGATCCACACCGATTTGAAACCCGAAAATGTCCTCCTTACATGCGGACGCGAGGATTTCATAGAGGTGCCATTCCCACGCTCAGTGGTAGGTGGTTCCCCTTCAACACAGACACGCACTTGCAGACGGGCATGATGACCAAGCGTCCGGCGACTGCGGACATCAAAATCATTGACTTCGGTAGCACGATCTACGAGGACGATTACCACAGCAGCATCATCAACACGCGTCAGTACCGCTCGCCGGAGGTTATTCTGGGTTAGTTTCTGCGGCTGCGGCTTCACGCCTTTCAGACATTGGGTGGTCGTACGCCAGCGACATGTGGTCTCTGGGCTGCATTCTAATTGAAATTTACACGGGTGATCTATTGTTCAACACCCACAGCCATCTGGAGCATCTGGCCATGATGGAACAGACGGTGGGCCGCATCCCTGCCAGCATGTTGGAGAAGGCCCGAAAAACTGACGGCTACCGCTACCTCCACCCTGACAAGCTCGCCCTAAACTGGTATGTGGCGCTTTGCCCGTATGACCTTCTGCAGGCCTGAGGGCGCGCGTTCGCGTTCTTCGGAGGACCGTGTCAAGTATTGCAGGAGCGTCATGGTAGGTTGCCGCAAATCTGCGTTAACGCGCTATCAGGAGCTGGTGAAACCTGAACACCGACCATTCGCGGAGTTCATCAAATACATTTTGAACCCCGACCCGGACCTGCGCCCTACGCCCGAGGATGCGATGGAGCACGAGTTCTTGGTGCTGAAGCTGCCTGAGAACTAGTACAGCTTCGACAGCAGTCTTCTGCTCTCGAAACCGTTACCGCCTGTAATGTTTGTTAAAGCGTGTTCCACGCACTTACCTGTGAGCATGTAGAAGTACATGGTTTTGTCGCTGGGGAAGTCGAAGATGGTCTGCGTTCGTTGCAGGTGGTAGACCAGGTTCGCGTATTCCTTCGGTGTGAACTCTCGCACTGTGCGGATTTCGGGCGGCCTGCATTGGCTGTGTGATGGTACCGACTGTTTAACCCACATGATCCCGAGCAGTTCGGGTTTGTAGTCACGCCTCTTGTTCCGAGCCCAGGACGTCGCCATCAGCTTGATACCTTAGCGGAATGTTAATGTTAACGCCGAGGCATTAGTACCGTTTGTGTATTGTTCCCCGTCGAATTTGCTAAACAGTCGCGGCATAGCAAGGTGGTAGCTAGGTATCCAGCCGTTGAACTTGGTGTTCTCGTACTTGATCGACAGATACTCGGATACGGGGAAGCATTCGTTGTATTCGTCTGCGCAGTTTTGATCTTTCGTTTTACGTTGTCACCCACCCACGATGATCAGCAACGGGAATACCGTCTGGTGCTTCAACTGGTCAAACACCTCGTACACAGCTTGGTTTGCGTATGTCTCGTTTTCGATGCCAAACTTTGCGATTTGCGCCAGCGTTTTCGGCGCGTGGAGTACGTCTCTGTTAAGCGTTAGGCAGGGTCAATTGCCCGTTTCTTACTTGAGCACCGGTATTTTGAACTGCTGCCTGTACGAGTGCCAGAGTTTCAGCCTTTCCTTCTCTATTTCCAAGGCCTGAAAAATGTGTACTTGTAGCACTTATAACTCACGCTGCCGCCCTCTTCCTCCATGTATATTTCTAGTTCCTCCTCAACGGCCTTTTGGATCACCGGGTTGAACATGCGCTTGGTGTACTCGACGTTGTTACCGTCCAAAGCGATTTTGCCATAATGCTGCAGTTTCACGTCGATCATTTCTAACTTCTCCGCATTGCCAAGCATCAGCGTTTCCAAGAATTTAACGGCGAATTCGCTCTGCAGGTGGTTGGCATATCGGGTTGATGGCTGTTACCTGAATATACACCCCTGCATTGGAACGCTTGATACTCCCGATTTCTCTGGAGTATTTCGACGGAGAAGGTTCCATAATGACCATCCAACCGTTCTGTCTTGCCCACATGGCGACGTGGTTGAGCACATAGCTCTGCGTCGATTTTGAAGCTGATGACCATGTCACGTACCTTTCCCGTTCCCCTTTTTCCGTCCAGCAGCATGCCCCTGGAAGCAATCCTACCCTTCTTGGACGTTGCATACTGCCTCAGTTGCGATATTATTTCCACGGTGACCTTCCTGTTTACGATGCCGAGGGCCTGCCCTTCCGGCAGCAGAGCTATGTCCTTGAGGACGTCCCCTGCACTCATTAAGGAGCTCCAACACCATTTAACCCACCGCAAGCCCCCTCAGGCAACGTAGAAAAGAGGGTCTCGGGTTTAGTTTGGAATATTGAGGCGATGTTGTACGCATTGCACTTATGCAGCTCGGTGTAGATCGAGCTTTCGTCCAGCACGAAGGAGTCCTTGTTGGCCAGGTGGGCTGCCAACATCCCCTCCCTCACGCCGTACTCCCTGTAGGCATCCTCGGTGAGCCCATACTGCGTCTGCAGCAGCGCGTCTGCCGATTGGTGTGTAGCGCTTCCGCTGCGTGCTTCGCTCCGGACTCTGGACCGCCTTCCAAAGGACTTGCGGGCGGCTTCGAGCGTTTTAGGGAGCGAGAAATTGATGCCGCCGCGGGCCATGTGTTTTGTTGTTGCTATGTCGTGTGTTAGAGGAAGCGAGTGAAGAAGTTGCGGTAGACTTCCTTGCACTCGGTATGCGGGACTGTGTGACCAGCCGAATGGAATCTGATTTCAGGCTCCCTGAAGTACTTGAGTATGCGGTAGGAGCGCTCGGGCTTCACAAAAGTGTCGTTCTCGCTGATGAGATGCAGTGAAGGCACGTTGATCTTGGGACCGCTCTCCAAAATGTTGGTTATGGTCTGATTACCGACCGTAGGCGGGCTGAACAGCACCGCGAACTTTGGCTTCCACCCGACGGAGTCGTCCTGCAGCGCCCTTTGGGCGGCGAGCGCGGTCATGAGTGCGCCGAGGCTGAAACCCATGATTCCGTCTGCGTTGTGCTCCTTGCAAGCGTCGAAGACGACCTTGAACGACTCCTCAAGTCCAACTACCTCGGGATATTTCATTTGCGGAGAATACTCGCCTTCGTTGCCCGTGAAGAACCACGTGTTCCCGTAGCTGTCCTTGGTGCCGTGGTCTCTGACGTACGCCTCGCGGGCCGCGTTTTCCATCTCTCTGATCTCCTCGTCGGTCTTCCCGTTGCGGGAGTCATCGTGGAACGCCGGAGCCTTCCTGAGCACGTGCGGAGAGCAGACGTACTTGATGTCGAGGTAGTGCGAACATGTCGTCTTGAAGGCGTAGGTCTTCTGCCTTAGAATCTCGTCCGTTTGCGTGAACCCGTGCAGAAACACGACCCGGAGCTTTTTGGCAGCAGTGTCAAGTTTGCCCATCGTGCCTGCAGGCTGGTCTAGTATGCTGGCCCTCCAAGCGATGCGCGGTGTTAACCGCCAAGCAACCCTAGTTAGCGCAGATTAGTTACTGCTTTGCTACGCTCCGCCTTCCACAACCGCTTTCGCGTTACTTGTCTAAAATGTGCGTGTTGGACAAGGCGCGGCGTGGACACTATCGACCTGTCTGCGCGTCCACGGGCACAACGTCACGCGCGTTGCAAAGAACCAACTAGGCAAACCGCAGTTATGTCCAAATATAATTAAACATGCTTATGTAAGCGGTGTGTATAACGTATAGGCATAGAAAGAGCCCGTGTTAACCGTCAATCGCGACTACTAAGCTGCCGTGGCGAGTGGACGCCGTGTTGCCGACACCTAACCTTCCTGTTCCACGGTCCTTCAATAACGGAGTGTGGCCACTAGTCGTCATTGTTATACCGCAACTGCGTTTGATTTGGGGGTTTCGATGCGGTTGGGACTTACATTGAGAAGCTTGCGTTTCCCCGCCTTGAGGAGCTTGTAGGTAGTCGATCGACTGTGCCTGGCCTCCTCGTCCGGTTCTTCATCGCTGAGCACGATATCCGCCTCCTTTGCGAAGGTGTGTAGCCACGACTCCGTCTTGGCTTCCTTCGTCAGCTGCAAAGCGTTGTTTTGTTTGCCATTCCCATCGCCAACCTGGTGCTCCTGTGCCTCTATGGAGCTTGCCAACGTCAACAGCTTCTTGTACCCTGCGACATTTGACAGCTTTTAGTGGGCGACCAACTCTGGTATTGCTTCGGCGGTATGCAGCCCAGGATCTCTTCCTCGTCGTCCATCCTTCTGTTGACGGCCTTGAAGAGCTTCTCCCACGTCTCGGCTTCCGAGCTTTCGCAAATACAAATTGCCGCACCTGATGCGTTTGTTACTCCGCTGCTGGCGTGCGTACCTTTTGCGGTGAGCCGTGCTGTGCGCCCCGACCTGTGTATGAAGAGGTTTGCATTTCTCGGCGGCTGGAAGTGCACTACCCCGTCCACCTTGGGCAGGTCTATGCCCCTCGCGGCCACGTCAGTGCACACCATAATCGCCTTGTCATGTTTGTTAAACCTAAAAACGAGTCGCGGATTGGGCTGCCGAGGACGTACTGTTCTAGTCGCTTGAGACGTTGCTTTTGCCGTAGCCTCGAGTGCAGACTCGTGATGTAGTTGACCTTGGACTCTTTGTCCAGGGTCATGCAGTGCGATTTTGCGATTCTGAGTTCGTGCTTGTCTCTCCAGAGAATTAAGCTGCGGCGGGTGGTAAGGCGTGATTGTGCTACTCACCTCAGGAGCGGCTCGAGCCGATATGCGTAGGAGATGCTGTTCACGAAGATTATGGTTCTGCCGTGCTCCACGTTCGAGTAGTGCTCCATCAGGTATGCAACGAGCTTGAGCTCCTGCAACGGTGTCATCGTTATGGGTATATTGCAATTACCTTTTCGTTGTCTAAGCACTTGACGACTTGGAACGTGAGATTCTCCGGTAGCGTCGTGTTGCACGTCTCTTCGTCCTCCTTTATTTTGAAAAACTTCTGTTGCGCGAACTGATCGTAGGGCATGACCACGTCTCCCTTGTGCGAGGCAACGCAAACGGTCGGGTTCTTGATTTTTAGCAGTTTAAAAATGACCCTCAGCTCCTTCTTTTTCTGCAACGCGATACACTTTTGCCACCCAGGATGCTTACGTTTAGCATTGTAGCGGAGCAGATGAAGTTCTGGGTGCGGGTGGTCCTGACCTTGGCCACAATTGAGCCCAGCTCCCTGAAAGCCTTGTCGCTGACCAATCTGTCAGCCTCATCCAGCACCAGAAACTTCAGGTTAAACTTAATGTCGAGCTCCTGCATGGCGTCCCAGAGCCTGCCTGGTGTGGCTACGATAATTTCGGGCTTGTACTTGAGGACCCTTTCCTGCTTCTGGATCGCGATGCCCCCAATGAGCGCAAAAACGCTCATTGATGTGCCCTTAAGCAGCAGTGCAATGGTGTCCTTGACCTGCAGTGCGAGTTCCCTGGTGGGAAGGACGGCCAGGCAGAGTATCGGGCGTTCGTCATCCGTTCGCTCGTGCTTCAGCAACGACAGAATGATGGGCAGTGAGAAAGCAAGCGTTTTGCCTGATCCCTGCACAGAATATATCGGATCAGAGGCATTCACTGCATACCGTTTTCGCCGATGCCACGATGTTCGCGGAACCACTTAGGGATGGTTTGAAGACCAATTTCTGTATGGTAGTGGGCGAGAGCATCCCCTGCGCATGAAGGTTGCGCCGCACTTGGATTGGTATCTGCCAATCGTCGAATAGCAGGCTGTTCCAAGGGCGGGTTGCTTTCTCTATTTCGCCGTCTGAAAGCTGCTCTGAAGGGTCAGTTTCCTCCTCTTTTGCCGGCTTCTTGACAGGCGTTTTCTTCTTTTTCACCTTTTCCTTGACAGCTTTGGGCTTCTTAAGCGGTGGAAGGCCGCTTTCGTCGTGCAGAACCTCCAGTCCGAAGAGGCCTTCCGCCTGAAGGGCGGCGTCGTACTCGAGCGGCGCCCATTCGAACCTTCCGGACTCGTCGTTGTTCGCCTCCGGTTCTTTTGGCGTCTCCTGCGTTTCTGAGTCCGGATTCTCCATTTTAAGTGATTTCGTAGACTCCTTTCCCCCACGAGCACGCTCTTGCGTGTGGCGCGCCGATGTGTATCAGAACATGTACCGCATACAGCGGCATTTGCATTGAGACCCTGCCTACATCTCCATATACATATTAACACGGCGCCTTGACTTCATCATGGCGAAGGTTGTGCTGAATTCGGTGCGTATGCTCTCCATGGAGGAGCTCTTCTCCGTGGCGTTGTCTAAGCGTGCCCTGGTTCTGGAGCCCGAGCTTGCGAGATCGCTCGGCGTTGCAACTTCTACATCTATTGGGCGTTCTGAGGCTTCTGACGCGGTGACAGGTGCCGCTCCTCGTGGTTCTAGCTACCGTGATTCCCTCATCGGTCGCATGATATGCTGCGCTCTTCTGCAGAAGGCCGTTCGTCGGAGGCCGGCACCGAGCTCTGGATTCATACTCAAGCTCTTTGACGCGTTGAATGGTGCCCCCTTCGACGTGAGTATGGCGTTGGAATCCCTTCATCTGCGTGCCGATGGTCTGGGTGATGCGGACAGCGTCCCCAGTTCCGGCGTGGTCCGCACATTGGCGAGCGTTGCGAAAGTAGGGGCTACTGGTTCTGAAGATGATGCACTGAGTAAGATCGCAACAAGCCTTGGTCTGACGGAAGATGAGTGTGCTGCGCTGAGCCACGGTCAGACCGAGTTGTTTGCAACGGTGTCCGTGCTCGGTCTGGTGTTGAGCTCTCTTTCCAAGTTCTCTGACTGCGCCGTCGGATTGGCTTGCGAGGCTCTGCGTATACCCACGCAGTGCCTATCGAGCGCGGAGATCCAGAAGCTCCCGCACTGCGTCGGAGTGGCACGGAACCTGATATGGTTGACGGAGGACAGCAAGTTGATCCCCTCGTCGGCAACATCGGGAGACACCAGTCTGGAGCTCATTCTTCCCAGCTACATGCTCGCAAACGGCGAGTTGGGGCACCTTTCGAAGACCGTAATCAAGATAACTTCCGAGATGTTTGCCGCCATTTGCGGTGGCATGAACAACCCAGGTTAGTTGTGCCATGTGGTCCTCCACACACATTTGTACACAGCATCGCAAAAGGTCGCCGAACACGCATGGATATTTGCCTTACAGTCGCATGTGGCCAATTTGTGCCGCTGCCTCACGTCGGTTGGCACGTGCTACATGTCCCTCTTGCGGGGGCTGACCAACCACTTCAAGGTGATATTATCTGAGGTGAGCGGAACTCTAGCTGTTATATAGATTATGTAGATCCAGAACTCCGATGAGGCATCGGGAGCCGGGAATTCTTCAGTGCCAGAGGAGGCGAAGACTAGTGTATCGGAATATGAGAACCTGTTACAGAGTTTCGAGACATCGTTGGCTGGCTTCGAGACCCAATCTGCCAGCATCGAGAAGTTGGACAAACTCGCTGGATTATGCGGAGACATGTCTGTCGCCTGTGTGTCTCTTTCTACGAGCATTCTGTCATTGCAGCAGCGCCCCAAGGGCAAGGTCGCCGAGGCAGCCAAAGCCGGATCTGACGCGGGCGAACGCAAACTGTTGCTAGGACATGGCAACTTGGGTGTAGATGCGTATTTGCGTGAACTTTTGGGCGACGATAATGTCAGCGGCATGAAGTCGTACCAGGTCTTGTGCAACTCGCTCGCGGGGCCGCGGCTCCTCCACCAATTAGCACGTGTGGAGACGCTGCTCATCCCTCGCAATCAGAAGGTGCGCAAGTTGAAGGTGCCCAAGGGAACAATCGACACTTTACCGGAGGAGATGCTGGTGCGCACCATTGTACTGGACGCTGTGCGCTCAATATTCAAGCAGCATGGTGCGTGCGAGATTGACACCCCGGTATTCGAGCTTCGCGAGACCCTAATGGGGAAATACGGAGAAGATCAGAAGCTAATCTTCGATCTGAAAGATAGTGGCGGTGAGCAGTTGTCATTGAGGTACGACCTAACGGTCCCGTTCGCTCGCTTCCTGGCGTCGAACAAGATCGACAAGATGAAGCGCTATCAGATCGGCAAAGTGTACCGCCGTGATGAGCCCCAGATCAACAGAGGCCGCTTCCGTGAGTTCGTGCAGTGCGATCTAGACTACGCGGGCGCCCACCCCCCGATGGCGGCCGACGCCGAGGTGATCTTTATACTCATACGCATACTGCGCATGCTTCGCCCTGAGGGGTTCCACATCAAAATAGGGCACCGCGTGATTTTGGACGCAATTATGAGCCATTGCGGCGTGCCGTCGGAGATGCATCGCACGATATGCAGCTCAATCGACAAGCTCGACAAGGAGCCATGGTCGGACGTGCGAGATGAGATGATGTGCGAGAAGGGCCTGCCTGAGAGCGTCGTAAACGCGCTTCAGGACCTCGTTGAGACCAAAGGGCCTATGCCCGATGTGGTCGCCTTCCTGCGCGGAAAAAACATTCCCGGAACCGCGTTAGCGCTGGACGAGATGGTGCTGTTGAACGACTACCTATCGGCGTACGGCGTCACAGCAGACGAGCTCTCCTTCGATCTCAGCCTCGCTAGAGGGTTGGACTACTACACTGGTGTCATTTTCGAAGCTGTGCTCACTGGTGCCTCCGTCGGCTCCGTCGGCGCGGGCGGCCGGTACGACGGTCTGATCGGTGTACTCTCCGGAAGGAGCGTTCCATCTGTCGGCATGTCGGTAGGCATCGAACGCCTGATGAAGGCGGTTGACCACTGCGACCTTACAAGTGACATCACCGACGTGTTCGTGTGTACCATCGGCGACGAGTCCATGGCACTGGAGCGGCTGCGCCTGTGCTCCCTTCTTTGGGACGGAGGTATAACCGCAGAATTCCATTACAATGCGCGCGCCAATTTACGTAAGCAATTCGACGCGGCCACCGCCAAAAGTGAGTTCACCGTGCGTATCTGACATCCTGCGCAGGGGCACAGCTAGCCGTGGTAGTCGGCATGTCAGAGGTTGCCGCCGGCACCGTCAGAATTAAACCGTTGAGTTATACCCAAGATGACAGTACCGATGAGCAGGGCTCGGAAAAGGTTGAGGAAATTGTCGTTTCTAGGGCCAAAATGGTACACACCGTCAGGCGCATCCTAAGTGAGGTTGGCGGGCGATATGTGCAGTTGGCAAATAATGTGATTCCGAACATGACGCGGTTCCTCTGATGTTTTTTTAATTATAATGATTCCCGTTAAAGCGCCAACACGTGTGTAATGTAATGTATTTTTCATGTCGGTTCTCCAAGGGATCTGCAATCCAAAATCTGGATAACGAAGCGAAGTCCGCTCGGGACTTCTGGGTGCATTTCGACTCTATGTATTATAGGAAAATAGTGTGCAGCTCGTAAAAATGAAGATCGGCAGAATGCGGCTCGTTTCGCTAGTCGCGCTGCTCGGCGTTGTACTATCGAGCACCGCATTCCTACCGTGTGACGCCTTCCTGTGGTTTTTCGGCCGAAACAAAGGTAGTGGGAAGGTCAGCATGTTCTTTCACGCGATTCCGTACATCTTCCGTAAGTCCGGATGCGTGCCCTGGGTCAACAAGGCCACCAACGACGACATCCTGTCAAACAAGTTCATCTACATTGACTTGTTCAGCCGCAAGCATCATGACGCCATTGAAGCCACTCCTCAAGATGATGACACCGTGAACAAGCGTACCAACATTCTACTATACCAGGTGAACACGGAGCTGCTTCCGCACACCTACGACAATCCCACGCTCGGGGATGTCATGTACTACAGCCAGCTGCTCCAGGAGTACGGTGAGTACGACAGGCGTACGATTTTGACCTACAAGGATGACCTCAAGCGTCTCTGTGTTCTGATCGAGTCTTACGACGTCACTGGCGAGCGTGTTTCTATGCGCTTGTTCCGCGCCAGGAGGAAGGTCTGGTGGTTGAAGCAGGTTGCTAGCGAAGGAAATGTTCTCTCGGACACCTGGGCGACCGTTATGAGTACCCTCGGCTGGTCCGCCCCTAAGCCGGTAGTCAAGCAGACGCTCAACATCAAGGAGTCCAACTGTCCACTGGGTATGGTCAACCACAAGGCACCATCGTACGACATCATTTACAACCGCAACGCTGGCTCTGGAACCGAGAACATCGGCGACGTTATATTCCGTACGATGCCAATGACCCTCATGCCTGGAAGCACCGACCTCTACATCTGGCGTTTCTGCGAGACGGGGAAACACGAAAACATCAAATATGTGGTGATTGCCGAGATTTTCCCCACCCACTCCAGCCACACGTACTACAGATGTTTGTCCGTTGCTGAATCGCAGTACGAGGTGGTCGACTCCTTTGCCTTGGTGACCGGTGCCCCTGAGAAGCTGGAGTCTGCGAACCCTTTCCCCAACTACACCAAGGAACTTGCTCAGCTGTCGTACAACTTCGGCGCTACCCGTGACCATCGCTTTGAGCAAGACCTAGTTGTGCTCGCCTACCCGGGATCGAAGCACTACTTGATCCGCCCCCTGTCGAGGAGCAATCTGAAGGTCATCATGAAGATGGAGGTGCACGGTAGCCACAACGGGTTTGACCTGGGAATCGAGGATGCTGACGGATACACATACGTGGCTTGCACTGAAATTGACAAGAAGTTCCAGCGTAGGATCAGTTTGGCCTCGGTCAACGGTACAAAGTTGGCCCTGATTTCCGCGCGTGTGTCACTGGAAAAGGCGGTGGACCCCAACATGCCCCTCTGTGACCAGCACACGTACTCTTTGCTGAGGCACGGCCTCCCGATCCAATATCTGGGCTTGGCATACAACGAAAGGATTAGCTCTTCTAAGTTCGTTGACCTGGACTTCATGGACTACAACGAATCTGATGTGCTTGCCGGGCAGGTTGGCCACGGGATGATTCTCTACACCCCATCTTTGGGAGGATGCTTGGGATTCAAAAACCTCGTGATTGGCAAGGAGCAATCAATGACCTTAAAGACGTCGATCAACACCCAGGTGCTGGTCGCTGAGAATGGCAAGAAGACTGTGATTGCTTTGGTGCAGGATGGTGTGAAGGAGATGCAACTCTATGAGACCAACGGAAACAGTGCCACGCTGGTGGATGCGAACAAAAAGTTTAAGTTGCTGAAGGAGTACGATCTGGCGGAATTTGATCGCATTACGAAGGATGGAGTCACCCCGGTGCAGAGTTTAATTACGCTGAACCTGAATGACCCCATGATCAATGGTGATGTCGAGCTCTTCATGGTGTCCAATAACGTCGTTGTGTACACTCCACAAAATGCTGAAAGTCGCATTTTGGTCTTCGTTTGGGGCCGTGAGCAGCTCATGTTTGAGGAGACGAGCAACCCGATATTCACTGTCATCTCGGGCAAGGGGGAGAAGTACTTGTTGGTCGACGACTTCGTCGCCCAGAGCAACCGCATTGACAGGTACCTGTACGCCATGGAGGAGACTCCGTTATACAGCAGGTTGAGGCTGCTCGCCAAGACGCACTGCGCGACCTCTGCTGGCATTAACGATATTCGCAATGCCCTTGAAAACACGTGGTACACTCTGATCCCTGAGAAGCTTCCGGTTCTTGCTGACTTCCACGACCCTCGTATTGGAAACGCTACCTTCACATACCACAACATGTCGACACTGTTCTTGCACCACGACCATGAGTTCAGCCTCGGTGTCATGAAGGTGGGTCAGGCTGCGGCGGAAACTGAAGCTGGGCACCGGTGGCGCCAGGTCTTCCGTAACACGGTGGGCGATGGCAACATCTATTCTATTTACACCATGACACCCAAGGGTATCAGGTGCGATAGGATTGGAGCTGACAACAAGATGACCACCGAAACAATGATGACCTACCGTCGTCGGCTCTATCCCACTCTGAGCAAGGATTCTGTCGTATGTATGCTGGAGAACCTCGCGTTGAGTGACGTGAAATCGGTGGTGTCTAAGATAGGCACCGTTAAGGTCACGGTTGTGAAGCCCAGTGACTCAAGCAAAGCGTTCAACCCTCTCGTTTTCGGCCACCATGAGATCCAGTTTGTGTCACCCTACAAGTGTGTCAAGGTTACCATTTCCGAACAGCCGGATGGTCTGCGGGAAATCAGCGCCGACTTGAGCCATTCTGACGGAGGATCGTCGATGATCAACTTCCGGGAGAAGAACCCCGGTTCCGGCTTTTTCCGTTTCGTCAGAGATGACGAGGAAGCCAGAGTAGCAGAAGGCCGCTTCGTGGATGTTAATGAAATGTTCGCTAACTACGCCCACCATTTCGAAAACCTGGGCGTTGTGGACTTCAACAACGGCATTTTCCCCCACTACGTGCGCTATTTGACCCTGGCTGAAAACAAGGTGTACCTGACGGGTAACGTCATGCACACCGGTTTGCGCATCGTGTTCGGAACTCACACCGTGAATGTGGACCCGTCGTCCAACCACTTCCACCTCTGGGTTACCTACCCAGGCCAGAAGACGGAAACGGCGACACTACACGTGCACTACACCGCCGAAGAGAAGCCCGTATCTGCATTCTACACAGTGGAGAACTCCGCCGACGCGAAGATGCTCAGGCGCCCCCGCGAATTTAACTGCAACTGGGGACCTCTGAGCAACCTGGAGCTCAGCACAGTGAACAACATTCTCACCCGCCACACGCAGCTGCGTGGCGAGCTGGCGACGGTGAACTTGGATTTGGGTGTCGGCGTCAAATCCCCGGTTATTATCAAGATGAATCGCGACCCGAGCACCACTGTCTACACCACTCTGGCATCTTCGGGATGCGTCATTGACCACGTCATGTACAAGGGCGCAATCATCCGTGGAGTGCCGAAGCAGATTGTGAAGCACGTGTACCACTCCGTGGGACCAAAAGATGAGATCGTGCTCATTGTTGTGCGCACCATTGCGGGCGTACGGGCGCAAGCATATCGGTTCACCAACGTGGGATCCTTCGAGACGGTGGACCTGTCAAGAGTGGACGCTACGGACCACTCTAGCATTCACTTCGTGATGAACCAGCTATCGTAGCATGTAACGATTTGACCCTCGTGTGTCATCATTTAATTTTTAAACATAAGATTTCCAACTGTCTTTCCGCCTCCAGCCGCGGCGCGCGTTTTCCGCGTGGTGCGTGGTGTCGCCGCTCTGACCGAGGCAGAGGGGCAGTCATTCCTTCGAGACCGGGAGTGCCAATGTACGTCTGAAATGCTCATTTTTAGTTTCATGCACGGGTCTTATGTGGCGTAAGCGCCGGGGGACCGTACTTTTGGTGTGTCCGGCCTCCCACGTCGCAGCCGCGCCGTCGTTCTGAATGTCAGAAGAGGATGGCGTTTTACGGCCAAATTTGCGTTTTTCTAATTTACGCAGCCGCCCTGCGGCTGCTGGCGGCGCCAGGTGCGGAATGTCAGCCGGGAACATGTGTTCGCCAGCCCTGCATCACGATGGTGCCTCGGGAGATGGTCGTGGATGTATTGGATGTTTCGCCGCAGGAGCTAGCTAACGGAATCTCTATCCGCTACCTGGATGAGAGCACGTACGTGTACAGCATTGAGGACCGCCGGCCCATCCGCTCCGCCATCGTGCTGTTGATGGGCAACCAGGTCCTGTACGTCATGCCGCACGCACGGAACCTCCAGGTCAAGGTCGCCAACTCGCTGACGACGTCGCAGATATTGATCACCTACGAAATCGGCGGCGGGATGTTCGAGCGCCGATACGACGAAGAGTTGTACTCCAGTCTGTCGAATGTATTCTGGAACCGTGTTTTCACTCCGCAGGTGTTCTGCGTCTTCAGGAAGGAGGACCCCGCCCCGGAGGACTATTCCTTCTTCACCCAACTGGCCAACGTTCTCCAGAGCCTGTGGACCTTCGGCATCGCAAAGACGCAGCCGCAGACAGTCGAGCAGCAATACGAGACTCCGGCCACTAAAGTCGACCTGTCTGACCCGTCTACGTACGCCAATATGGCTACCGCTAAGGATTGGCGCCGACACAACAACGTTAAGGTGATGTGCGCCTCATTCGAAAATACGGACCACTTGTGGAATGGCGTATACTTCTACAAGACCAAGATCCCTATCCCACGCTTGTGCTCGCAGTTCACTGTGTGCCACTCGGATGCTATCGATGGGGCATATCATCTCATCAGCGCATCGTTAATGGGTGACATATGGGTCGAGGCGTTCTACAGCGTCTATGGCGTCGGTACCAACGCCGCATACGTGATGCCTGTCGTTGACTCCAACGTCTTCGACGGTTTCCAAGAGCTGCCAAGCCGCCAAAAACGGGTCGTTAAGGGTCGTATAGGTGACGGATTCACCCTAGATGCGGACAAGGCTCCGGGTGCCCATTCGCCCCTCGAGTTGCGCGAAGTCGGAAACGGCAAGTACTACCGATACAAGGACCCCTCGGAGAGTGACGACAACCGCCCTGCATACGTGGAAAAGGTCAAATTCCACAACATCGAGTACGCGCTGCCAGAAGGGCACACGTTCGTGCTCCTAGCCCTCACCACCCCGATGCTCGCGACCAACTATGCCACCCTGGTGACCCGTCAAGGCTTCGCCTACTCGCTGAAGAAGTGGTACGGAACCAAAATGAGCCACCTGCGTCCCGTTGAGATCAACGAGCTTGGTATGTTGGCGAGCTCTTTCGTCGACATCTACCCGTTGTTGAATCGGAAGGCCGACGGCAGCAGCAACGCGGACCGTCAGGGCTCCAGCGCCGTGCGGGGAGACATCATCTGCCTGACAGATAGTGTACAACACCAGAAACAGTCTTCGAGCCTATGCACGCCTCTGAAGGAACTCACGAACACCCAGCTCTTGGTGGACCGCTCCGGCATCACCATCCTGAAGGTGAAGCCCAATGCGCCAAGCGGTTTGGTGCTTGTCGGGAACTCGATTATCGATGTATCCGAATTCAACCTGAGCTCTGAGACGACCATTTACTTCGAGCACCACAATCACACCCCGATGAGTGTCGCCATAGCCAACGCCGACTCGGGTGTTCGTGCCATGCGCGAGACGGTGAAGGGATCAGGCAATTTCGCAGCCATGGAGAACGTCATTTTCGGCGCACCGCAGCATGGCAAAACGGTTGACGTGAACCTGGCGAGCTCACTCGTCGAAATGGGTCCGGGACTCACGTGGGAGCATCAGCCGCTGCAGAATGTATGGGTACTGCGCCCGCAGTACCACCCCGAGGTATCCATCGGATCTGTCATGTACTACAACTGCCGGGTGGCGCCGCCGCAGAACAGAGGGTACAGCTTTATTGTCGCTCCTTCCGGCGACAGCCCATCCGCCGCCGCCTACTTCGCCCCGACGGCCAGCAATGTCAAGGCCGCTGTCATGTTGAAGCACACTTTCATAGGCGGCTACCCCGCCTGCAGTGTCGAGCCACTGGAACACACTCCCACACCCCTGGGGGCACAAAACGTGAGGAGGGAAAACTTCGACACGCTGTTCAATACCACAAGCAATTAAGTTTTGTTTTAACTGGTCTCCTCGTCCGAGAAGTCCAGCACATCGTCGGTCATCTGCCAAAGCTGGAGACCATAGTCATCGCCCACGGAGGCAATGTACTGTACACTTATATGTCACACTAACAGACACAAACCGTCTCAGTAACTCCGTCAGTACCCCAGCAGAAGTCGTAGACGTTCTCGCGGTGCCCGGTGTGCGTGAACAGCAGCTCGTTGGGCTCGCTCTCGTCACCCTCGTCGTCGTTGCTGGGAGACGCTTCATCCTCTTCGTCGCTCTCGGAGGCCTCCAGGTCGAAGACGCGCACGGTGGCGTCCTCAGCGGCGCTGGCAATCAGAGTGGGGCATAAGTTGTTGAACTGGAGCTTGATTATGGGCGACTTGTGCGCCTGGATCTCGCGCAAAGGCGAGTCAAGCCTACGCAGGTCCCACAAGTGTACAACCTGACATGAATGCGTCGCGGTTGGGTTGCGTGCGACTCACCCCGTTGGTGGTTCCGGAGGCGAAGATGTCGGTGTTGATGCAGTGGTTCGTAACGCTGTTGACGGCGCCGTCGGCCTTGCCAGTTTTCGCGGCAACATTAGGCTGCCTTAGGTCCATGCTGCGCAACATTGACATGCGAAGGTCTGCGCTCACATCAGCACGTGGCCGTCCTCCGAGGCGACGAGCGCCTGGTTCTCGTGCTCGAGCAACTCCACGGAGTTGAGCCCCTCAAGTGAGTGGAACTGGTACGTAAGTACGCCCGCTGCGAGCAGTGAAGTGTTTTTTCAGCTGACCAACCCGAAAGATCCCAGACGTTGAAGAGACCGTCCTCGGAACAGGACCCCAGGATGGGCCGTATCTTGTGAAATGCGAGACCGTAGCTGGGGAACTTTCGCTCGTAAAATTCGCGTATCTTACCCCTCGTCATTGTGATCCTTAAATTCGAGCAACGGCTTCATGTCTGCGCGACGTGGCGCATGCCAAAGGTGAATGCACTAACCCCCTTCCTCGTTGGCACCGCCATCGATCTTGTAGACGAACACTGCATGGAGATGTGGAATCTGTGCTCCGGACGCACCGTCCTTCTGTTTGGCGGCTAGGTAACAGTTGTCGTCGTAGCTGTGCGACCTCAGGCTGCAAATGTGTGGAATCACACCGACGCTCCGTACCTGTGTATGCCGGAGTCCAGCTCCGCCTTGGTGACACACTGGTACATCGGCTCGGGGTGGCCGGGAAGCGGGAACCCCTCGTAGTCCACGCAGTTGCTGTAGCGACGAATCTCCTCCTTCAAGGGCTCCGACGGCAGAGCAACCTGCAGCTGATGTGGAGCCGCGGAATACGCGCCACTTTACCTCCAGCACGTAAAGAGCGACCTTGTCGTCGGGTTCCGACTGCAGGCCGCAGGCCAGGTGCCTGAAAACGACATCCCCGGATGGTTCACGACGCCTGGAAGCACTAGTGTGTGACAACCGCAGGCCTACCCTCGCAGCTCCGGCAGGAAATCCACAGCAAGCGGCTGGTGTGGCAGCCGTATGCTGCTGATGAAATTGTACAGCACGCGCGTGTTGACGAGCCAATTGTGTCGCTCGGTGTCCATTTTTTAGAAGTGAGCCGCTGGGCTGGAATCCCTGCGAGGAAAGCCCGCAGACATTTTCCGCGGCAGCGGACGACCAACAAACGTGTAGCAGTAAATTAGTGTTAGCAGTTGTGTTGCATTATCGACGTCCGCCGATGGTTTTAGGTCGTCCCTTCACGTCCTCGTCGCGCAGCTGAGCGGAATGTGTCTAGCGATGATCGGCGACCTACCTGCATAATCCCGATTTGACGTCTGCTCTTCATTAACAGGTCCTGATCGAAGCCCTTGTACCAGTCGTAGCTGGTGGCGTACGCCAGCATGTTCGTTTCGGAGTGCAGCTTGACGTCGACGACGGGGGAGTCGACGTTGTTGAATGTCTTCACACGCGACCTGTGTTCCTTGTCCCATATGGTGAAGTTGCCGTCGCCACCACCAGTGACGAAGGTGCCGTGGATGTTGTGGAAGTCCACCGCGTTGACCGCGTATATCTGCGTGGACTTGCCCGGCACGTCCTGCCGGTGGCACTTGAAAGAGAAGTTCTGCGACCTGTTCTCCTCCATGAAGTAGCTCACGACCGCGCGGCCGCCAATTGACGTGTACACAATCCCAGACTTGTCAGTCACGTTGGGGAAGAGGCAAAGCGAACGCACTTGGGTCTTGAGGATGGAGTCCAACGTGACCCTGCTTTTCGCGTGCTGGATATTGTCCAAATTCCACGCGTGAATCTTTCCGTTGCTCCCGGCGACACACGCAATGTTCGGTCTGAAATGTGAGGTGAAAATCTTGGTCTCGATGTTCTCAGACCACACCGGTTGCTGCTGCCTGCCGTCCCACATGCATATTTTGCCGTCCCAGCTCGTGGTCATTATGGCGTTAAACTTTTGCACCCAGTAGACTCCTATGACCGGCTTGTCATGTTTCGCCACCAGCATGCCGGTCGGGTTACGGCTGACGAGGTCGTACGCCATGACCGTGTTGCTGCAGCCACCGGCAAAGAACTTGGTGCTGTCAGTCGAGAAACAGCTGGCCAGCACCGGCGCCTCCTGACGGTACAGCATCACGGACTCGGAGGTGACCATGTTGCCGATAGCGGGCGCTATCCTCCATAGCCGGACGCTCTTGTCCCAGCTGCCTGCGCCCAGCAGCAGGGGGTTGGCGGAGTGCGTCCAGGAGATGTGCGATATAGAGTCGTCCGGCACCCCGGACAGAAAGTGGGTCTTGGGGTCGTCGTTAGACGTGCGAGAATACGCCATCTTGATAGCTAATTATTGACACCCTCAGTCACTTTGCATAAACGTGTCTGAAGCTCGTGAATCAGTATGGCCCCGGCGACGGAAACATTGAGCGAGTTCACGAGCGGATGCATAGGTAGTGTGACCCTGCCATGAGATAACGCACGAAGGCTACGGTGTGACCCACCTTTTGGCGAACTTGAGTATCTCTGGATCGGGACCCTGCGATTCGTTCGACAATATAATGCAGAGACCCTTCTTGATCTCAAGGTCGTCTACCTGTTCACCCTCAAGATGAGCGACCACAGGCGCAAGCTTGTGGTTTTTACAGAATTTCTTGAGCTCGCGGGCGTCACCTGAACGGCGTGCACTGGCGTTCGTGTTCCCTACCTCTGACGTATGGGAGCATGAACTGCAGCCCTCCCGTGATTTGCGAGACCTTCCAGTCAAACGGGTCGGCTGTACCTTTCAGGTAGAAAATCAGGTCTATGTTGAAAGCAACGGCCGATCTTACGATACTGCCGATGTTCTGTGGATACCGGACGTTGTCCAGGGCAAGGACAAGTCTGCACTCCATGACGCGGGATTACCGCAGTAACATACCGTGGTTTATGTGGCACGCTGGGCTTCGGAACTATGGCCTCAGCAAGCGTGTCTGCGCTCTCCACTGCGGCGGTGGTGCCTCGAAGACAGTACTTCACTATTGACCTGTTGACGAGTTGCACACGATTGTACCGCGGCCGATATTCGTCTGTAGCCAATACGGAGTTCACCAGTTCCCTATCCGACGTAAATATGTTGTTGAACAGGCAACCGGTGTGCTTTAGCATATGCCGGACGACGCCTGCCGACGTGACGAGTCTCCGGTCCTGAGCCTTCCGGTATGCAGCGTTAACTCGTAGTCTCCAGAGGTGTTTTACAACCTCATTCTTGCGCGATGGCGTGGCCTGAACAACCGGGTTTGCCTTAAACAAAGCGAGCTGCGTGGCACTAAACGGCCTGATGTTGCGCAACCGTGGCGAGTGCTCCTTAGCAACTACGTCACGAACTTCTTCGTTAGAAATCGAAGAATCCGTAGGTGACAGCCAACTGGGCAACTGCACAAGGGGTTTTGTTACAGCCGCCTCTGCGAACGCGTTGATTGTTGATATGTGTCTCACTTACTCTGCGGCTTTAAAAGCGTCGACGTTACCGCTGATACGGGCGCGGTAACTCGTAAACGCTTACTTAAGGCGGTCAGACGGACGCCTTCAGCAACAGTGTTAACGATTCTTAACCTTCGTGCGAGGCGTCCACGCGCGATCATGCCGCCGGCGCCCACAATGTCTGACGCAGCGACACCTTGCCAACTGATAGGCAGCTGACTTTATTTAGGTGGACCGAAATTCACCCGACAACTGTCGAATCTAATATTCGGGATTCTATCGATGACGGTGTGCGCGATAAACAGATGTCGGGCCGCCTTAAAATATCAACCAACAAACAGGGTTGATTAACGGCTAATAATCGCCGCATACGACGATTAGGTGACGTCTAATGGCACAGACGGATGGAAGGGAAGCACTGAGGCGAACAGCGGTGATTGAAGTGCCTAAAAAGGCAAATTCGGCATCTGAATGATTTCGTTATGCCTAGCTGTATTGTTCCACGGCTGCGTCATTACATGTGTTTACACCGGACGCTGGATAACGAAAGGAAGGTTGAATCCCAGCCTCGCGTTTGAGACGTCCTATCGGACACATCAGCCGACAGCCGTTCCTTCCTTTATCGCAGCCCCTATCGCAACCAATGTATTCTCCAACGACCATTATAGGCATTCCGAACTCTATGCGGTGCCGAAGAAGAAACCGTCAAAGCGACGAACACGAATCCGCAAAACAGCATGGATGAAACGAAAGCCTCTTAACTGGAAACAAGTAAGTGCTACATCACAATCATAACTACACCGATGTGCAGCCAATGATGCTTGATATGTTCGACGTAGTTAAGTACACCGACGGCACGTTGACTAAGGCACGCACGACACACGAAAGTTGGCTGAATTTACCGGACACATCGCTAGAAGGAAGCCATTTTTTGACCAAAGAACTGCGTCCTAGGTGGTAATGGGTGCGGGAAGCAGTGAAGGGCAAGTTGATGTGTAATAGTCTGACCAAGCATCATACTGTGTAACGTTGCAACACAGACCACAAAAAACGCAAAAATCAGGCGTTTGATGTTTAAAAGCATTTATGCACTGCGGTAGCAATTGCGCTTAGGTCGATCCCGCGGAAATCGACATCATGCCTACGCACTGCACTACGGTGCCCCCTTGCGCGTGCCCCGGCAATGTCGGACGTTACTCCATTATTTCAGCACACCCGTTATATATATTTTGGTAACGTATTCACTATTATCCAAAATGATTTCACTTTTCGACTGCTGCTCTCGCGGCAACGTTGCCGTCGAATCCCCCAGGAACGCCATTGAGGCCCACCGTCGCGTTCTCATTGACGCCGGTATCAGCGCCAGCTCCATTACCAACATCGACGTCGGTCACTACCAGGTGTTGGAGCCTGTCACTCAGGTTTGCTTCAAATGCATGCCTCGACATGATGTGTAGACCAAGGTCGTCGAGGTTGAGAAGGAGATTATCGAGGAGAAGATCGTCGAGGTCCCTGAAATTCAGTACGTCGACAAGTACGTTGACGTCGATGTGCCCGTTGTCAAGTACAAGCCGGTGTACGTGAAGAAGGAGGTCGTCGTCGAGAAGTTCAAGCACGTGCCCCGCGTTGTGTACGAGGACAAAATCGTCGAGGTCCCCCAGATCAAGTACGTCGAGAAGGAGGTCGAGGTGCCTCAGGTTGTCGTTAAGGAGAAGATTGTGGAGGAACCCAAGATCATGATTGTCGAGCACGTCATCCCCGTCCTTAAGGTCAAGAAGGCCGACCACGCCACCGACATTGACAACGCTGGTCAGCAGTACTTGGATGAGAACATGCCCTCCACTACCTACGTCGAAGCCGAAGGCAGTAAGTTAATGCATTATGTAAATTCACAATTCTCCAGTTGACAAGGTTGCTGACAGGGCTGCCTGCTGCACCGTTGGTTAAGGTGGCTGACTGCCCCTCCCTTGTTTCTTTCTTCAAACGCGCCATCCTTCCCGTCATTGTACTAGTAGCTCAAATGCGGAGGCAACTGCAGCGAGAAATTGCCGTATGCTGTTGCTAAGGAGTTTTAACGCAAAGTACGGCTCCGTCAATGAAGTTTTGCTTTTAGAGACTGTCGTTTGAATTTATGTGTTTAATGTGACACTTAAGTGACAATTTCTGAACGTATTCGTGGTACTGCATTTGGCAGTGTAGAAACGGTGACTATCTGTCCGGCGTATCAACTTATTCCGTCAATCCGAGTGGTTGTCGTGGCCGTTTTGGTTTGGGGGATGTGGTGTTTCATGTATTTTGCAGTCACTGAATAACTGATTTTTTACCGCCCTTGTTCGGAGGGGTGCTAATCCACATCCATTGTCAGTGGTAGTTGGTCATCTACGTTTGTCGACCCACTAGGGTAACGGTAGTGACTACACGCCAAAGTTAAACATTGAATGCCCTATAAAAGGCTTTCATCTGCTTGTGTAATAACGATGTTCGCTGCCATGTTTTGCTAACATGATAACCAATGTAGTAGCACAAGTGAGATTCAATCGACAACAGCAACGTTGCAACATCGCCCACCGGGTCCCCACTAGCACTGATGCTATGTGCAATGCTGGATGCATACGACACGTAGAATACGAAGCAAACACCGTAACAATAAGAAGCGAATTGAGCCCGACGTTCACTCCTAATGCAAGTAAATGTGTCACATTATGTTTTGTATTATTACATGACTCATATTAAGTCGTCATTCTGCTTCTGCTGCGATTGGAGCTTGTTGCCAAGATCGCTGAAGTTGAAGTCGAAAAGGTCACCTTGGACACAGTTAGGGGTCTGCGCGGCCGGGTTAGTGTCGTGATATAATCTCTTACCTTTTGCTCGTAGGAGGAGTTTTTGAACCCGATTTGGCTTGGGTTGTCGAACAATTTAGATATGGAGTCTTTTGCAGCCTCGATTTTGGTTTCCGTAACTTTGTTGCAGTCGAAGCTGACGCTAGAGGGCACGGTGTGGACTAGGTCATTATCGAACGACGCCTTTCCGCCTCCATTTGGCGAGGCAGTGGGCCAAAAGTCACCAGACCAGTTGGCCTGCGGGGACGAATCCTGGAAGGCGGTGTTCCCATGCGCATTGGCATTACCGAACAGGTCCTCAGGTACCGAAGAGCTGTGACGTATATTTAAATATAGGGCCGGCAAACGCACCGCATAGGAACTTCAGGGCCACCAAAACCTGCTCCTCTACCTCCCATGGCCCTATTGGCGGGCTCCTGTGTAGCAGGTTGAGACTGTGGGCGAGCGGCAGGTCCCAAGGCGCCCTTGGCTATTATTTCTCGCGGGTTGTAACCTGAGCAACATTCAGAGCAACACGCGAATGCCACATACCTTTGGCAAGAAGGAGGTAAGGTTCCTCTACACCGTCCATTGCGTATATCTTGCGCTCATATTTGTTGCGGATCCATATCTCCATGTCCCTGATGCAGAAAATTAACGCAGGTGACGATTCGACGCTTACCTGGCGGAAGTGCTTGCATGAGGCCTAGGAGCGTGTGATGGAAGCTTGTGCAGGTAGTAGCTATTAGCAACTTCGTTGCCGACATTGGTGAGAACCTGCGAGGTCTGCCAGGCTGACGTTACTGCCTACCTTGATCCATTCAGGCTTCAGGTTGTCCAAGGTGAGCGATTTCACTTGAGACACGTGCACTCCGAGCATGCGGTGGACGCCGGAGCAGTTTATACACAACAGTACGCCGAGGTTAACGCTCGCCCAGCGAGGTGAACGGCCGCCGCAATCCGCGCATACGTTGTTTCCCTCGATGGAGCAGATGCGCCCCGCAACAGGACTGCCGAACATTTTTGGCTAGACGCAAAGAGCGTGGCGAAGACAAGTAGATGATTCCAGATTTACGAGGGTCACAGAGCTGGGTGTGTACGCGGCCTTCCGCACAATCGGGCTACAACTCAGTAGGCCGCATGTTCTACAGCAATCTGTAATCCACAGCGCTTATACACACATATGTGTAGCTGTCTAAATCGTTAATGGCACGGTCTGCGATCGCAGTGACGCCGTGCCTCCACCCACGGCCGCGCAGCGGTCGCTGCTACGCCGCCAATAATGCGATATCTTTAGACCACATAGGTCAATAATAGGACGAATATAGCCGTTATGGACGTTGAAGTTGAGTCAGTGGAGGCGATTCCATCTCCGGAATCAGTGGATGAGCACGTCTTCTACCGGCCTTCCCCGGACACGTATAAGCCGCGAAAAAAAGCGGTCAATGAAGAATATATCGAAGCGGTAACAACGGGATGGCCTTTATCGGATGCCTTCGCTTCGAGCAAGGAACCTGGCTCGATGCTGGAAAACAAATTACCGTGGCAAGTAAAGTGGTACCACCGCTTCGTACCGCCGAAGACTCCAGAGGAGTTGCAGATCGGCCAACACTGGCGGTACGAAGCGCCTCGGCTAGAGGAGGTTCTATCAGCCACACCCGAAAAGTCGACCATGCTCACACCAACTTCACTCCCAGGGCTCAAGAGCATGGCAACCAAGGTGCTCTCGGGAATTCTGCAGGATACGCTCGCACAAAACTCGTATCAGAAGGCCTCCGAGGGCCGTACTAATAAGGAGGGAGCCGGGAGCACTGTATCATCTCAGCTGCGCATGCCAGAGGGGCAGGGTGGCACTAAGCGCTCCATACTCGAGGCCTACACATCGGAAAAGGAAAAGGCGAAAACAGCGAAGACCTCGTAGGTATTTCAATGCAGCACTTATCTGGGCAGGCAGCTGGAATTTTGTGGTTTCGACGCTGCATTATCTCGTTAAAGGAACGGCGCCCAAAAAACTGAAGTATCTAATTTTAAATATTATGTCACTACAAATGCGCATCTCTGCCCAGTTGCGTGCGATGTTTGTGCGATTGCTGTGGTTGATAGGTAACAGTGACTTTTTCCCTGCTAGCCTTGCAGATGCCTATGTTGGTTCATTGTAGCTACAGGCCTGCGCAATGTTTGGCAGGCCTAACTCTCGTGGTGTTTGTTGGGGCTGTGCTGAATTAGGACGTTGCTGACGCCAGTGTGGGAGGCCACAACGGCGTTCAACGTCTCTACGAGATCCGCGATTGTCTTGCCCAGTGTGTCCAGAGCCTCCTCAGGGGACATCTTTTTCTCCTTGGCATCAGATTTCTTGTCGTTGCTGTCCCCCTCTTCATCATCCTCGTTGTCCTGCCATTCTTCCCCATTCTTTTCGCTGTCGTCATCCTCACCGTCTTCATGATCTCCGTCACCTTCATCGTCCTCATCCTCGTAATCGTCGTGGGACGTGTGGGCGGTCCTGCCAGTGGTCTGCATGAACCTGGCGTCATCAGCGGCAGACTCTTCGGCTGCAGCACCATCTTCTGCATTTGCTGATTCGTCATCTTCAGCGTATGGAGACTTGGCAGGTTCGTCGGTGATGTTAAGATCGGGATTGGGCGACTCCAGCTGGGCATGCCTGTAGCCGTCCACTATATATTCGAGGCGATTTAGAGCTTGGTAGATCTGTTCTGGAGTATTCAGTTCACCAGGTTCGGTGACCGGGAGATTTTTATGTCGTGCTCTGAAATGCCAATGCATATGAAGTAATGCGCATTCACTTACCGTTGATAAAGGTTCTCCGTCGCCGTTTTCAGCGCCTTCATAGGGTCGACCTGATCTTGAGGTTTCCGTGGGTAATCATGCGTTTGATTGGTAATGATTATGTTCCCCGCTGCAGTGTCGTGAATGAAGGTTTGCTCCTACTTACCCTGGTCTTTCGGGATGGAAGCAGTGGCCACTGAAGTATCAACAGCAGCGCTCTTGACCTCGCCAGCGTGCTGTTTGGCATCCTCTTGCATGCGCTTGGCGCCCTCACGCATCTTCTCGATCCGGCTTGTCATGTCGTCCGCAATCTCTTGCTTTCTCTGAGAGTCCACGACTTCAGCCGCGCCTTTTCGTTTATGGTCTTCCGCTTCAGCTTCGGCACCCAGTTTCCGCATCTCCGCGATTTCATCCCCTTCTCCGTTCTTGTCACCAGTTGGCTCGTGATTGTGTGCCTTTGATTGCAAAAAACTACCCAGACGGTGGAAGGCATTAGATGCCGACGGTCGCCGGGAATGTAGCGCCTTCGGCAAGGCTGAAACCACCAGACAGGTGGCTAGCAACCATAAGGTCAGTCTGCCGGGTCGATGCATTGCGATGTGTAACTATATGCGCCCTAGGCGTTGTCCGTGTCTTGTCTGAGTCACACACCCAGTATTGGTGTGTGACCATAGAATCACCTACTTATCAGCTTCCATTCATTTATAATAGCCTACAGAAGATTGACAGTAATAGTAGTTAGCATCTGCCCTTTGAATGAGTCGCACGTTCGGGACTGCGATGTCGTTTGGGGATGCTTGTGGTGTGTATAATAGTCACGCCTTCCTCAAGCGCCATTACAATAACACATTATCACCCTAACATGAGCCATCATATATCATGAAAGAGCACGTTAAGTACGTGATAAAGTGCAGCGGAAGCGGCGCTTATCCCGATTCTTGACCTACTATTGTTGAAATCAGACACGATACACATACCCATCAAAAATTCTCCCTGACTGCTGTAAGAAGCTGCAAATCAAATAGCAGTTTTAAACCAAACTTTTCGGTCGATATGTGCGCTATGTCGACCTCTCACAGGTCTGCTCCCGAAGTGGAAGGCCGCACTGGTCGACGATATCGCGTACCACGGAAGACACTGGGAATAGATATGTACGATACACAAATGTTAGACAGTAGATGAAAAAAATGTTTATAATTTTTTATGTACGGCATCTAACCGTCCTTAAACCTGTGCCAGCATAAGTGGTAAAGAATCCGCTTGTTGACATGGCATATTGACCAAGGAGAGTTCACGATCGATTGTATGATTTCAAACGCTAGATTATGGTGTAGCGGCCTGCTGCTGCTAACAGTTTGCCGGCTGGGAGTCGAGCCACGCTCCCGCTGGGCCTCGGCGCTCTCGAAGATTCCTCGACCTGATCTAACAAGGCTTCACGCTCCCGGATTCCTCAACAACACACAATGGCACGGCACAAACTTGGTGTCGTATACTGGTTCCCCGCTGCCGAATGTACTCCGGCAATCATCGGTGAGGAATAAGAGATCGACAATCTACCGGGCGAAGAGGCGTTTGGACGTCGGAGCTACCAATGTAGTTGATGCGCCTGCAACTGGTACTGCTAATATACCCGGAACTAATCCAGGGAGTGTATTGGGGAGACTATGGAAGACCGTGAAGCGAATATTTGGGGGACGCGACGCAAGGGGCGAGCTCCCCGTAGCACCGGGGGCCGTTACGAACAGACTGAGAGCTCTAAACGTGCAGGGAATGCGTCCTGCACCTGTTTTTAACTTCCAATTGGCGCTCCCGGTGGCAGACGGAGCATCTGGCGCCGATAACTCGGATGCGTCACCATATGGACCCCTTGTGAACTCCCAGCCCTCAGCGGTTATGTCAATGTTTGTGGAACGAGCACCCTTAAGGGTGCGTGAAGCCGTGAAGAGCACAGTGGCTGCGCTAGTGGGGACGTTCTACCGCTACTGCGTAGAAACAACCATGATAACCACGGCGGAACGCTTGTCGGCGCTGATCCACAGCATGCAGATGACCGGGTACATGCTTTGGAACGCCGAATGCCGCTACTGCCTGGCACAGCAGCTGCAGCCGGAACCTATCACGAAGGAGTCAACCACGAGCTCGTCCCCGGAGGCGGCGGACAATGCAGGAGCGCAACTGAAGGACGACATTATCCCGACCTACAACACGGACAGCCTCCTGTCGTACATCAAGCGCCTACCGGATGACACGGCAAACTCGCTGCTTGAAAACATTACGACGGGCGTCCTTGACGCCATGCAGGATTCGACCGACATGGTGGTGGAGTCGCTGACGGGGATGGCAATGGCGCAGCAGCCGCCACCGCAGCCCGTACAGCCAGGTGGAGCTGTTGTCCCACGTATAATCATACAGCAAACTGGCTCCTCATGCGTCCAGCTGTGTTTCTGGCAGCTGGCGCTGGGATACTGCCTCCGGGACCAGGAGGCAAAGCTAGAGTTACAGAACGCACTTAAAGGCAGTTAATGTGTCATATCGCTAGTTTCTGCTTCTTAGACGCTTTCTTTGCCTTCAAGCGGCCGACTTCTTCCGTGCCGACGTGGCCCTGCAAGCAGATGCGCAACGTCGCAGCAGTCCATTAACCCACCTCGACGAAACGGAGGATTGAAAACAACCCGTTGTTCAGATCAAAGGCGCCCTCATTCGCCGCCGACTCGATAGATGCCTGAATTGTTTTATACTACATGGTATCATTGCCTTACTTCTGTTGTTTGGCCGTCAGATCCAGCGGCGTTCTTCAGGTGCAGCAGCTGGTTCACGGGCAGCGGTTGGTAGTCCCGGAGCTGGACCTCCTTGAAACTTGTGCCTTCCAGAGAGCGTATCAGGTAGTCTATAGCCTCAGCGTTTCCGTACATCTTGGGGAAGGGACCCTTTGGATTGGGGTTGGGCAGCACGCGTAGTAAGTCGAAGAGCACCTTCGGCGGGGTGGCGACTGTATCCATGGGTTTGGCCCCGTCTGGTAGCGGCGGCCGTCTGCTGGCGTGCAGCATGACCATCGATTCAACAGGGCCGGTGTTGTGAGGGTCGAGCGGAGCCAGAGCGGTGACGTCGGGTCTAGTGATAGCCACGTGGTGGCGGGAGGTGTCCTGATCGGTGGCGGAACGATGAGCAAAGTTGGACGGGGGTACATAACTTTCGGGCTCCTCGTCGGAGCTGGTAGGTTCCTCCACGGCAGCCGCCGGGCGGCTGTTACCGACAAGGAACACCCTGTCCAGGTCGTCGTAGTCCAGGCCGACGCAGAAAAGACGCTTGCGCAGCTCCACCACAGCATGCATATCCGCAGTAGCCGCACGTTTGCTGGAGTCCATGTGAGTTTTCATGAAAGCAGCGCCGATATCACCGAAGATCTGGCGAATGGCACTGACTCCATTGCGATTCGACTTCTCCGCGAAGACGTCTAGGCCCACCTCCGATGCGATGCGATCTTGAACGAACAGCGATTTCACGTGGGAGAACTGCTCTTTTGAGCCGTAGAAGTACTCCGCGTGGAGCCAAAAGTGCCACAACGCGGTCTTCTCGGAAGCGGTTGGTTTGCACTTGGTCTCCCCAGCTACATTTGCACCCACCACGAGTTGGGTCAACAGTACACGTGCATCTACAACACGCCCCATATTAAGCAGGAACCTTAGGTGAAGCATGGTGTAGTGCATGTCAAACGGCATGCCCTGCTGGGCCTCGCTGAGGAAGGTGGCGGCGGCGTCCACGTCGCCGAAGCAACGGACCTCGGTGTCTGCTGCGTACCAGTAGAGCTCCCAGCTGAGCAGCTCCCGCTTCGTGAGGATCACCTGCACGTCTTCATGCCACTTCGCGCGCCCCAGGTTGCGGCGGACGTAGTTGAGGTAATGGATGAGCCGCGCCGGCTGCACCGCGGTGGCGGAGTCGGTCTGCTCGAACTGCAGGATCTGCCGCAGCTGCGTCTCGTCGGTGGCAGTCTCTCCCTCGTCAACGAGGCGTAAACCGGGGTCTACCAACCTCCTGAACTCTGTAGCGGCAGATTCGCCGCCGTCGTCCAAATACGCAGCCAGCACAAACTGCATCTTTCCTGCAGGCAATGTGAAATGGCGCAAGGAAATGCAAACCCACCGTCATCCTGCAGGAAATTCTTTATCGCGTAACGCAACGTGTCGACAGCTGAGAATTGTTGTGACGTCGCCACTGCACACGCGTACCTTTCTCACGCTTGTCGTTCGCCAGCAGGAACTGGAAGTACATGTACCACAGGCTGCCTGAGAACATGTGCGGAGCCAGTGCGCCGCGCAGCGTGAAGGAAACCCTGTCTACGACCTCGGAGGCGGGGAGGTCGAGGGGGTTGCTCTCCTCGTACTTTATGATCTCTGTCCAGAACCCCACCTGGCGCTGCTCCTCGGCCGTCTGCTCGGCGTTCAGCTGGCACCTTCTGGCAGGTTTCGCAGGAAGCACCTTTCTGTACAGCCCAGAGAGCTTCTCATAGACCACAATCGATGCCTCATAGGTTGTGTTGGCTTCGGAGAGCAGCTTGGTGCAAAGCACGTTAGCTGCACTTGCGATATTCTCGAAGACCGAATAAGCATCCAGCGCTTGCTTCAGGTTGTTCGTGGGAGTCCTCAGCCACTGTTGCAGGTTATAACACCAGAATACGCGCCTACCCTTTGGAAAAGCTTGCGAACGTGGTTGACGTCGCCGTATAGCTGCACGTAGGTTTGCTCGCTCTTGTCCAGGGTGTTCACGCCGCGGAAGGCCATCTGTTCCGTTTCGGACGGATACATCGGGACCCCTGCGGACGCCATTTCCGACGCCTGCCTCTATATACAACCGAGTTTTGGGCCGCTTACGGAAGGGAAAAGGTTTGGCAGCAATCCGGTGTGCACGTTGCGATCCATGAGGTTACAGTTGTAGATCTTCACCAGCACTACAATCAGTTCCTTCCAAAGCGGATCGGACCTCAGGTCCATACCAACCTGCACGTCATTGTCGCACGCACTTATCACCGTACCTTGTCCACCGCGGTGAAGAGCGCTGCGATATACTCATGTACGGAGGCCATGCAGTACAGAAATTTGAGGTAGCACACGTAGAGCTCGTAGTCGTCCAGCTCCTTCATTGCATTGACGTAGACGTCGAAGGCTTTCCGAATTCGCTTCTGGAAGACGTGGTACAGCGCATATCGGTGGTGGACCTTCCAAAAGTTGGGGAAGACACGGCATGCCTCCTCCAGCAGTGATCCATCCTTGGAAGCCTGCAAATAGTGTCAACACCTCATAATTGGAAGGGTTGTCTGAGTGCGGCCACCTTATCGCTGTGTCTTCAAGTTCCGTTGTCACGTCGCAAGGGGTACGACAGTCATCTCCACGGCACACAGTAGCCAAAGATTATTAAATAGCTTACCTTCATATAAGTGTACCAAACCTGGTCATCGTCAATGGACTCCAACAACACCGCCTTCCCCGGCTCGTTCTTCGGCTTTACGCCACTTAGCACGGGTGGAAGAAGCGGCGAGTTGCCGTGTAGGATGGAATGGAGCAGTTTATTCGCCGTCACAACCCTGGCGGGCCGCGGCATACCCTGCTCCTCCATGGTGGACCAGTCAGTAATAACGCAGCCTGAATTAGGCTTGCCAGCCGCGCAAGCCGGCGTTTACGGCGCCCGGGCTACGTTGTGTGGACGCATCACGACACTATACTCCGAGTAAGAGGCCGTTTACTTTTAATATAATATGCCATTTAAGCATATTCTTAGTAACGGGTAGAGCCGTCAGATTATACGGGCCGATGTTCTGTCAACCTATCGTAGCAACCCTGGCGCGAGCAGACAGTAGGAACATACAGAGCTCTTTTACGTGAGATGGTGTCTATTTCATCATTGAAGTACATTTGGTAGTTTTAGATTTGCATAATTAGTGATTCTACGTTGACTGTCTGTCAAAATGACCGTGACATAGACATCTGACTAGATCGACCAAAATAGTCATCACTAGGACTATCAGTAATTTCAAGTGCCCTGTAAAAACGCTGGAATACACCGTAACGCTACATTGCCACACTGTGTTTCGTGTTGGCGAATGAGTTAGACACAGCAGTCAATATAACGGATCATACATCTGCCAGGCGACTTAACAGCGGCTCTGGCGGTAGTGTCGCTGTATAACGACAATTTGCTAGCCCTAAGGCAGTCATAAAAAAGACTTCTGCTCAAATAGGCCATTAAATCGCAGACACCCTGCTGACATGTACCACGTAAGAAACTTTATGTCTTTTCGTAGCGCCAGACTGCGATTATGATACACACCTTGACGTAATGGGTGTGTATATCAACTAAGTATACATCAAAAAGCGGTGCGGAGTCGTTAGTCGCCTAGAAGCAGAAAATGAAGAGCGCAAAAAGTGCGAAGCTCCGCTTAGTCTGTGAGCGCACTGGCAGCGGAAAGCAGGTTTGGCAGCTAATCTAGCTCGATATAGCAACGTGTTTGTTGCAAAATTGTTATACACATTGTCAGTTAACTGGTCGAAGTGCCCTGTTGGGAACGCTGCACATCGCCATCGGGCCGTCAGCACCGCCGCACGACCTAGGGGGACCTGCTAAGGCAGCTACAGACATTGCTACTATCGGTTTATGAGCCGCTTTCGTGCCGCGCTTATCCATAGCAGCGGGCGAGAGGATACTCGGCGTATTCCTGGCGGAAGAGAATCGTGATACACACCTGGGCTATCACAATGAATGGGACTGTGTCCGCATTATTGGCGGTCGCTGGCTGCTTAGTTGCATCAGTCAACTTTGTGCAGCCAGTTGGCGCCGACCTTTACGTCCCCGATCCTCCAGTAAGTTGCGACGATACGTGGCAATGGCGGTCGACTTCACATGGCAAATGTGCTTTGGGAAATCGATATTGAGAAATGTTGGCAACGCAACTCTTGCTGCCTATTGCATAGCCCAATGTTTGGCGCCCTCATGATGCTGTAGTTGTGTGAGCAACTCACGGAGGAGACCTATGAGCCGTTCCTGCGTAGCACGGACAAGACTGCTATCGTCTTTTCGTACCCTTCCGCTGCGGTGTTCGGACCGGGCAGCACTGTAGAGATTGCTGTGGTGAGCAAGATCCTTGAAGGAAACTCCATGGTAAGGCGTTATGTCTTGATGTTCATGTTGATCAGTGCAAATTTGGCATGTACCAAGTCAACCTCACCCTCAGCTCCCCTGTCGAGGCCATGAAAACGTCCCTCAGCTACATGAAGAACGGAGAGCTCATCACAATGCCAACTGAGCCGAAGAGGATCGCGGATATTATGGCCTGGATCACGCAGCAAAGGATTTGTGAAATGCGTCTGCCCTCCGTGGAGTCTTCACGCTACTACCTTAGGGCCATCGAGAGCGGGCACGTTAACACCTTGCTGGTCATGGCCGAGGGGCACTACGATGCGGAGTTGGAGAAGAAAGTGTACGACACTTTGCTGAGCACTGGGTTGAAGTCACCGTTCATGGTTGCCGATCGCAACGACATCATCCAGTACATCTACAGGCTGCACACCCTGGTAAGCAATGCCATCCAATTCGCATGCACATCGTGTGCAGAGTGAGGACACCATGAGGCCCGTGGGAGTCGTGGTCACGCGTAACAACCTCACACAGCACCCGATCAAGATCTTCTGGAAGGACATCCACAACATGGACGCCCTCAGACAGTTCTTGTTCCGCGAGCTCATCCCTCCCGTCCACGGCACCCATTCCTACATGCTTGACGAGGTGCTGGCCACGAACAAGACTATGGTATACATCTACACCAAGGAGGAGCTGATCGAGGTACGTGCATAGTCCGACGCTCTAACACAGATGCAGTATGTGATCGACGTGAACTGGCTGAACAAATTCGCGCGCAAGCACAGCGACAGATTTGTGTTCATACACTCAAAGGGTGACGAGGCGGTAGAGAAGCGCCTGAACCAGCTTCTGGTCATCGACAGCGACTACGTGCAGACGGCTGTGCGTGCGTTTGAGCTGCACCCGGAGAGAGGAGAGTTCGTCAAGTACAAGCCAATTGACATGCCAGATGGTATTATAACCCAAGTGGTAAGTGAGCTGGAAGGATGCGTCACACGCTGCAGAAACTCATGAACTTCGTCAACGACCTCCGCAATGGTAAAATCAGGCATTTCGTAAAGTCTGAGATGGCCGTTCCTGAGAACATCGACGTTGGACACGTCAAAACTATTGTGGGAGAAGACTTCCACAGGCGCGTGATTGAATCCGACGCTGACGTGCTGATCGTGTTCTTCTCGCCATGGTAGGTTGCCCGCGGGGGTCCCACACGTTTCTTCAGGTGTGGACACTGCCACCACGCTAAGCGCATCTTCCGCGACCTGGGGAGGCGCCTGAAAAAGGACAAGTCCGTGATGATTGCGAAGTTCGACGCGTTCAACAACGAGGTGGAAAACATGTCGTTTTCGGAGTACCCCACGATCATGCTCTTCCCGCACGGCGCGAAGGACGAGCCCATCCGGTACACCGGCGAAATATCACTTCAGGCCCTCGCCCTCTTCCTCGAGAACGAGTGCAAGAAGCGCTTCATCAACGCAGCGGAGGTCCTCGAACGTGAGGTTCACCAGGAACGCCTTTTCGAAGAGCACGACGAACTGTAAGACAGTTGCCGGGGCTCGGACATGTGCTTTGTTGGACATGAATCACAGCTATAATGCACTTAAACGCCCATCCTGAGGGCTTATTACAATTCAACATTTCAGTTTGTAGGCATAATGGTACGCATGTGTCTCTACGCCCATCGGGCGGTGAATTATAGTACGTCCGGGGGACGGTAGTACTACAGTTCAACTAAGCCAGCGTGTCACCCTGGTTCATGTGTCAATACTCAAGTGGTAGGAAAATCGCCAGTTGCCCACTGGATACATCGCTGCTGACAGTGACGTTTACAATTAATGCGCCCCTCACGAACAACGCGAAGGCTGCAGTGCAGGCGCTCTCAAGCTCTTGGCCGCCAATAACAGCACACAATAAGATTGAAATGCCACATAGGAAGCTACTTCACAATTGTATAACGCTCAAGCTCTAATAAAGCATTTACAAACGGGATGTTTGCACAAAGGGCCATTTTAGGCGCAAAACGAACTACCTGCGGTTGTTACCGCGTTTCACAGGTTCAGGTGCCAGCAGCGAACGCTTGCGCTTGCATACGTTCTTGCGCACGCGCGTTTTTAGCTGAGGCACAAGCTTTGCTATGTACAAGCATGACTTTACCCCCGGAATCACCTGCGATTGTTGTACCGCGGAGGATGAAAGAGGCGAGAAGCGAATGTTGGTGAAGTCCCCTGGAGGCAACGCATACGGGCCGTTGCCCTCCAGCACCAGCCGGGGGTGCCAGCTGGGGTCGAGGGGTTCGTTGAGTGCGATACGAGGTGCAGCCATCCGCTGCACATTCCTGTCCACCAGTCTGCCGCCGTCAAAGCAGTAGTCCCACGTAGGCACAACCGAAGTGCTGGGCTCCCTAGGCATGGGCATGCCACCGTTCAGCCTATTCACCTCGGACAAAACGTTGTTCACATGGTCCTTGGATATGCACAGCTCGTTGCAAAGCCGGTCGCACAACTGTGCGGAAAAATCGTCCAACGTGGTCTCCTTCATGAACCCGCTGGCTAGCAGGTTGCGGGCGACGGGCTGCAGCTCCGCGTTCCGGTACGCCGCATGGGCAGAGGGGAACTTCTGAATATCGAAGTTTTGAACATCAGAAAACGTCCGCAATCCCAGCGAAAACCATGTGCTCACCAACCGCAGGCGCTTCTCTATCTCGATGCGCGCAACTATTAGACGAGTCAGTTTTATGTGGTCCTCCTCCGAATGAAGCCGCATCAGCGGCGACAGCCGCCAGTATGCGGACCTCTCAATCTGGTTCATAGTTTTGAAGGCTTGCTCCCTGACCGGGTAGTCGTGCCAAAACCGGTGAATCAGGATGCGCTTGTGGCGAATGCGGTCATCAAGCATGGAGTTGTAAATCTCAACTAGCCGAAGCTTGAAGTCGATCTCCGGTGGCGTGTCCCAAGGCTCGAACTCGAGGTCTTTTATCAAAGTCTCAGCGTCGTTGTTGTGCTCCATCTCCAGCTCGTCGCGGTACACGTTGTAGCCGTTCATGTTCTGGAAGAACTTAAGCCTCGGACCAACGGTGGCCCTCATGTTCACGGCACGAGGAATCAAGTCGACGTGGTGAACGTTCTCGTCGACATCGGCCAGTGGCTTTTCTGTCCTCGGCTTCTCATCACCGTGGGCTTTTTGCACCAAGTTGAAGAAACCGTTTAGGCGCTGGAAGGCTCCCTGGCTCTTCACTGGAGAGCGCATGCGACGCACGTCGGGAAATGGACTAAAAGGCGAATGAATGTAAAACTCGTTGTAATGGTTCTCGCATTCCGTGGCCGACTTGTTTTTGGTGCACCTGCGATTAACCATCTCGGCCACCTGATTCCAGTTGCCGAACCCGTATTTACTGATACCCTCCAGCAGCAGCAGCTCGGCATCGGCATTCCAGTCTCCGAAAATTGCAAACGAATTCGGAGCGATGGGTATGTACTTGTGGGTGTTTCTGTGCTCGTTCTTTTCGGCTCCTTTGCATGCGCACGGGATGCAAAGATCAAAGTCAACGCATTCCACACAACGAATGCGAAACGTTCCAAGCGGGAGAGAGCACTGGCACGCATTACAATAAAAGTCTAGGGCTAGTGGTCCGGGATCGAATTCATGTTCGCCTGTATTGGGGTTCAAATTCCACATGCAGTACTTCTCCACACCTCCGACGTATTGTTCGACTTCTTCCTTTACGAGCCGAGAGGTTATGCTACTGGGCGATTCGGGTACCACATCATATCCCCTGTTATTGCCTGGTGGCGGAGCAACTGCTACCACGGGCGCCGGAGCCGTGGGAGCCTGCTCAACCTTTACCACACTCTTCGTGAAGCCGTCTGCAGACATCCGACGCAAATCAGATATAAATTGCGCCTTTTTGAAATCATTAGTGAGTCGCTGGCCTAAACCCTGGGGCCGGGGCGTTTCTTCACTTTTGCTATTGGTTACGGTGCTAGCATCGCGGTTTGGCGTTGGCCGGGCTCCTTCCGGCGGCGAAGGGCGCCAGAAGGGGTGTACTGAGGGGGGATTAGGGGGCGCCAACTTCTCCTTGCTTCCCAACAACGCATTCTCCGAAGAATGAAGGGTTGCTCCAGCCTGGGACACACTGACCTTAGGTGCAGGGGGCTTGGGATTCTCAACGTGATCCACTTTAGCAGAGGACGGTACATCTGTGCTAGAAACAGCGGGCTCTGCAACTGAAAGGAGTTCAATGGTGTCGTAAGCGGGTTTCACATGTTCACTTGAATATACAGCCTTATGATTTTTATCGCCTGCGTCAATGGCATCCATATCCGTACGACGGTTCACTTGATGAGACGCAGCGAGTTCGGATTCGCTAGGATTCTTCTCGGTAGCCTCGGCTCCGCCACCTTTTTTTACCTCAGTGACGGGGGCTGTATCACATTTCTTTGACTCGGAAGCCCCGGCTATATCACTTTTCCTCAAATCAGGAGTCCCGGCTACATCGCTTTTCCTTAACTCAGAAGCCTCGATTCCGCCACCCTTACTGGCATCAGTAACCGGGGATCCACCGCCTCTGATGGCCTTACCAAGAGAGACTGGGGTTGGTGTCTCAAAATAATCGCTAAAATCATCACTGTAACCTAAACTGCAATCAAGGGAATCTGAGCTCTCCGCACAGTCGAGGCCCGGATGTGCTCCACCAGTATGGACACCGAACGCCGTTCCATAATCATCGTCCAAATCGCTACACTCAATGTCAACATCTGCGTTATCGTCGTCTTTATTTCCTTCTTCATAGGCGTCACTGGTGTAAGAGCTTGCGGCGGCGGAATCATTCATGTACGATTCAGCACTACCCATATCGCCAGATTCGCTGCAATCGATGTCAACATTTTCGATTGTGTCAGATGAATCGCTGGAGTAATCCTCTACAGCGGCGGAATCTCGCGCGTCAGGCTCAGCCTCAACGTCCGCGACATTGCCGTCAGGTGATACACCGTCTCCCCTTCCACACGAAGTTGAGCGTAACTTATCCGTATCACACGTCTGGTAACTCGGGTCATAGATCTCGGAGTTAGTGGTGCCATCCGTAGAGCACTCCTCGGGAGTGGATTGCAGATTCTTTACCTCGAGCTCCGGATGGGCGATTGGCGACTCTGAATATCCATCTGACTCATCTTCTGAAGTTCCGTTGTCATTTTCGGCCGACTCCTCACACCCACCGGATTCTGGTGGAGCTGCATCCGAAGTTGTCGCGGAAGCCGGTTGCGATGATGACCAAGGACGCTCCGCATCATGTGTAGCGGGCGCGTCTTCGGTAGCTTGGATGCCGTCCTTTTCATGGGATACGTCTCTACTCCAATACCCGGGGGCGCCAGAGTGGCCCCTGCGCTGCGTGGAATTCACCTCAACTCCATAATTCTCCATGTCGACGTTCAAGAGAGCGTCCCGCGCAGATTGAACCGCAAGCAAAACAGCCACACATTTTGTAAAGCGCTAATTAGGGCGGTTTGGAACCTGGCAGGCGCCTCCAGTTCTAACCGCCGCTTAAATGAGACGTGCTCCCCGATTCACGCAATCCTCTACACTACGACGGATTTCCGTGGCGAGGACGGGAAATCAGATAGGCATACACGCAAATTTAAAAGGTCCGCTTGTTGCTAAAGTCTTCGATATATCTTACCGACAGATTCCAGTGCCGTGGAAGGCATTCCAAATAGGGCACCATAACAGATACTACGATCATGCTACCTGAGGCGCTGCCTAGCAGTGTGTTTTTAAAATGTGTGGCTGCATAGCACAACGGAATCTGCAAGGCTAGTCTGTGATAATATAAAAAGTTGAGTCTATATCACTTCGCTGGCGCGCGACTGCCCTTATGTGAGGAAAATGATCTAGAAACGCATTTTCCTGCTGTTTTCGCCGACACATTTGCATCCGTAATGAGTGTATCGCAAATTCACGCTACACATCGGTCATAACCATGTCTTCCTGCTGAAGCAACAATATCAGAGACACAGCTGCTCAGCAGCGTTCTCGCGTCGCTGTGGCGCTCAGCGTTGCACGTAACGATTGCCTCGGATTATATACCAAATGTCGGTGCAAGCGGGAGGGGTTCCAGGCGAGAGCCAGGCGTCATCATCCAACCACGCTACTCCAGATTCCCTGTAAGTCGGAGTTGAGCAGCCAAATACAGCATTAGGGACGATCCAGACGAGTACATCAAGGTATTACAAGACGTATCGATCTTGCTGGTCGGAGCGGGTGGTGTAGGATGCGAGGTAATCAAGAATCTAATCCTCTGCGGTCTCCGCAAGCTGGTCATAGTGGACCTCGACACCATAGACATATCTAATCTGAACCGACAGTTCCTCTACCAGCGCCAGCATGTGAAGATGTACAAAGCAGAGGTCGCCTGCGAACGCGCTCGAGAGGCGGCGCCGGGATGTGACATATCGGCAATGGTTGTCGACGTACTAACCTGGCGTCCGCAGGATGTTGCATGCTACGACGCAGTGCTCAATGCACTAGACAACGTACGAGCGCGTTCCCACATCAACTATTGTTGTATGCACGCTGGTTAGTTTAGCCGCTTATTTGTTATACAACATAATCTGCAGGGGTCCCACTGATTGAGTCGGGGAGCAGCGGGTTCAATGGGCAGGTGTACCCAATACTGCGTGGAGTCACGCCGTGCTACGACTGCCACGCAAAGCCGCGCAGCAAGTCGTTTCCGGTCTGCACAATTCGTCAAATTCCAGAAAAGCCGGAGCACTGTATCGCCTGGGCCCGCCAACTCTATGAGTTGCTCTTCGGTGCGAAGGATAATGGAAATATACTGAGCGACCTTGCAATACCCCCCATGCCTGTTGGGGAAGGCGTAAAGGTAGACCAAGCGCATACTTGGGTTCGTGATGTATTTACCTTCCTTTTCGACACGCAAGTTGCTGAACTCGTCGATCTAAAGGATAGGTGGACTGGGAGGCAGGCGCCGCAGATCATCAGCTATCCATTTACATCTGAAGATGCTTCTGCATCTGTGAATGGTGTGGACGAAAAGCTGGTTGCAAATTTGGACGGTGACGATGAAAGCCGTGTTGCCTCTAAAAGGGGACGCGTGGAACATAGTGCCCACTGCTCAGACGATGAGGCCTCACCGCAATCCAAAGCACGGAAAATAGACACGCAACCAGCGGAACATCCAAGCGACGCAGATGATGAGCCCGGTTCCACGAACGTGGAGGAACGCAATCAACAAGGGATGAGGATCTCTGACAAGTTTCGAACGTGTGACACCAACGAGTTGGCTGATCAGTTCAGAAACTCCGTGATGCAGTTATTGCTCGATAGGCCAGATGCACTGGGGCACGCTGTGTTCGACAAGGACGACCCACTGTGTATACAGTTCGTGGCGGCCGCTGCGAATCTGCGCATGATAAATTTCCACATACCGCAGGTCAGCGCTTGGGACGTTCAGTCAATAGCCGGGGCAATCATTCCTGCTATCGCAGCGACCAACGCAATTGTGGCCGCAGCCCAGGTGATGCAGCTCGTACATCTCCTGCATGCACGGCGGGCAGGAGGTGGAACCATTTCCAGGGAAACCTTGGAGCAGAGCCGTTGCAGATTCGTGTGGATCAAGTCGTGCGTGACCGGCTCCACACCGCTGAAGAAGGGGGCGCTCTGCAGCCCCGATGTGCTTGATATGCCAAACGCCAGCTGCACTGTGTGTCAACAGCAGCTTGCACGAATAGAACTGCATTCCCTAGAAGAGTGGACCCTCGCATCGTTCGCATCGCGCATATGCAACGATCGCATGGGAATGGAGGCCGTCAACATAGATGTTGATGGGCGGAACGTACTGGACTCTGACTTCATTGAGGAAGACGAAGCTTACGCCGAGCGGATCAGAGGATGGACCATGCTGCAACATGGGTTGCAGCATCAGTCTATACTGACACTCACATCTTTGGTTAGCGGCAAGCAGGTGGACTTGCAACTGCTAGTGGAACCGTCGGTATCCCCAGGCGATTTCTTTCTTAGTGGATTCGATTGACAGCCGTGGGTATGACTCTGTCGTTGTAACTTCAAACAATCATGTAGTATAAGGTTGTGCTGTTTTTGTTGTTCTAGGTTATACAGAACGCTATTTCAGACTTTTCTAGCCGTAAATGATGTTTCGATAAAAGTATGGTGCGCATCCACCCAATGGTTAAATTGTTAAAACGCGGAGTAACATCTTACGAAGTGATTGGCATCCATCAAACCATGAATGAGGGAGCCGTCGTAGTTAATATTTCCAGGCAGTATTTGACGGTTCCGTCAGAGACCCCCAATGGCAAAACGCCTATGCAGTTGCACAAAGTAACCGTGTGCCGCGTTTCATGAAGCATGGGCATGCGTGCATCACTACGGAGTCAACACGTTGTAGGCATTTTTGATTTATATGTTGGTATATATACATTAGACTAGAACAGTTCACCAGGTCACGGAGCCTGGAGTTTAAGGTTCGTCCTGATGAACTTCACAATGCTCTCGGCATCCTCGGGAGAGACGCCGGGGTAACGCTCCAGCTCCGAAGACGACAGCGAAACCATGTCCCCTACCTTGTTAAATCCGCACATACGTAGCGATGCAATCACTTCGGGGGGGACTGGCAGCACGGATACGTCAACGGCAGCAGCGGGATCCTCGGGTTGGGTAGTGAATTTCTCGAAGTTCCGTGCGTTGATGGGAGAAGGATCAGTATATTCCTCCACCTGCAGCTCGTCTGCTAGCCACTCAAGCGCATCTTTCTGCGGTCGAGCAGGCGGGATCTTCGGTAGTGAGTACGGCGCCTGCGGTATCTCCTTCACGTCGTCGGGGGTACCAATGTACTCGCAGTCGGATTCCTTCACCGGAGGGTACAGGTTCAACTCATGCAAATTGTAGACTGGAGGGCCGCCCATCAAGTCCTGCCGGTGCTGAAGGGCCTGATACTTGTCGATCTTCTCCCACGTGTCACGCAGCTGCTCGTCCTCCCCGTCGAAATCCACATCCTGCGACAGCTGTCTCTTGAGCTCACGCAGCCATGCAAGGCTCTCCAGCAAGCCGAACTCCAGCACTGCCTTGGGCGTGGTAGAACGGTCCGTCCACACCTCGACAACAAGTTGCTCGCGTGGGTCGGGGCACGAGTTGGAGATGATGTCCCAGCGTTGGCCGAGCAATTTGTGCACCGCCAATCGGACCATGCGGCACCCGCCGAAGAACGTGGTCATAGGGTAGAATCCTTCCTCTTGGACCTCCTTTATCCAACGACGCTTCATGCAGACTCCGTCTGCACCCTCTTCCTGACGGTACAGACCTGCGCAAAGTAAGCGAACTGGTGGTAATTCGTACCTTTATCGTCAGCAAGCCAGACCCCCCTCCCCCATTCAATCTTCAGCTCTATGTCAAGTTCGCCTCCCTCTTCTATCTTTGCAATGTACGTGTCGGGCGATGCGACACGCACAAACGACGGCCATTCGAGACTGCCGGCGCACACCATGGCAGGACCACGGATCAGCATGCGCACACGCGCCTCCTCCCCCGGTTTTAGCGTCTCCAAAGCCACCTGAGAGCCTATAGTAGCGACAGGCAATATACTAACCCCATTTAAATTTAGTGCGATGTTCAGCAGGTCGTCCACTACGCCAGGGATAGTGGTGTCCTCCCGCATGTTGTGGATTTTCACGGCAACAACGCCGTGTCCAGGGCTACGAGACAGGCTCAAAACCTTTAGAAGTGAGCCTACAGTCCAACCCATCGTGATTGGATACGGCCCGAGGTAAAACTTTTGATACAGCCGGCCTAAAGGCGTATGACCGAAAGCATGCATTCGAATTACCGGTGTCGGGGATGGAGATGAGCTCGCTAGCGGTTTTCACCTTCGTAGGTGAGTCGAGGTCCAGGCCGATCCAGCCGCCGAAGATCCTGCTGTCATTGTAGCCCAAGCCACCGCGGTCCTCCTCCATAAACCACGTCGGCTGGAACATCGACGGGGTGTACAGAGGGTTGCTGCCGCCATAGGGAGCCACGTCAACCTTGCCGTAAGTGTCGTTGTAGAACTCCCAAACCAGCGGATAGGAGGTGATGTTGGTGTCCTGCACAAAGTCGGCGCAATGAGGGGGACACCTACCACGCCGCGCAAAAAACCCCAGTACTCCAGCGGCTTGCGCAGAGCGTACGGCTCAGTTATCGCCGGGTTCGGTTCCGACTTGGGCATTACCGATTGGCCGATGTCCGGCCATTCCCCTACGCTAGATGAATGTTGCTGCCGGTCGCCATACCCTGGGTGACTACATGCCAATTTCGCCACGTATGGCTTTCACCTTCAATGACACCCTTTCGCTTAAGCTCATCGACTCGTTCTGTGCTAATCGATGGCTCAACGCCGCTGAGCGACTTGGGATGTAGCTCAGCCTTCTCCGGGTTTAGCGCTCGTATGCGGAGCCGCCGAGCTCGGCGGCTGCCGTGAAGCTGGATGGGTAAACGTTGTGACCTACATGTGTAGCAAGCTTCAGGCGTTCTTCTGTGCCCAGCGATGAAGAGCAGCGGCGTCAGTCGGAACGCCGAGGTAGGGGCTGCACATGGACTCTTATCTCGCACGGCAATGGAGCCCGCACGATCGGCGGCAAGTGAAATAAATACCAATAAAATGTAGCCTACATTTTTCATCACAAAGTTTTGTAGTGAAGGCAGATGATTACACACCTTCTAGACAGGCAAATTAGGTCCGAGCAAGCTCGACCAAGGTAAAAGGTCATGTAATGGACGAAATAACGGCTGCGTCGGTTACACTGGCGTATGAATGTGACAAGGATGTCAATGCCGCCTGCGCCGGGCTGTCTTCCACCATAAGTCATGAGTTTGCCAACATCGGCGTGCAGTGTCAGTCGATCCGACTTGAAGCACTGCTCGATAGACAGCCCTGCGAAGCCTCCAAATCAGACGGATATAGGATCCCAGAGGCTGATGAAGATATATCCTGTACCCTCGTCAATATATGCAGAAAAAAGGCGGACTACAAGGATTCATCTGCACTCACCACTCTGGTAATAGTTGTAGACAGCAAGTTACGCACACCTGCGCTTGACAATCTCTTGATTACGCTTCAAGAGTGGTGCGAAGACTTCAGGATCAGCAAGACTTTACTTAAGGGATTGTGCTGTGCGGTAATTGCCTGCAGGTGTAATGCGGGCACAGCCAACACGGCAGACGATGGTCGCCCTTGCAGGGAGGTGACCGACGCTATAATCGCATTGGAGGAGTGTATGGAAGCGCTAGGTGCGCATATAATCTTGAGTGAACCACTGTGTTTCGGTCCGACTGACATCGGCCAAATTGTCACCTTCACCAACCTCGTCAGCGAGGCTTGGGACGCTATCAACTTTGCCTCGACCCGGAATGCACAGAACACGGACGATGTTGAAGGCATTGTGGGATCTAGTGTACCTGATGTGCCTTCTAATGGGTCTTCCGAACATCGCCGCCCGCGAAGTACTGACTCCTCGCCTCCAGCAGTCCAGCATGAAGCATCATCTCACGTGACCGATAGTGCTACAGCGCACACATGTTGTCGGTCCGGTCATACAGAAGCTATAGATGTCCTTACGGTGAATGGTACTGATCACCAAACAAAGTGTTGCCAAGGGGAGGATAGTCGGGGCACGTGCCAGTGTAATGAAGCACGCAACGGAGATTCCTTGCCAGCCGACGAGTATACTTCCGACGAAGAAGATGACACAAATACGGCGCAGGCAGCAGGATGCGCGCCGGAATCTGACATCGAAAATGTCGCTTTGGACGGTGGGAAGATGGTCACCGAGACTCAACGGCAGTCTCTCACCAAGCAGGGCTACAAAATCATAGGCGAACATAGCGCCATCAAACTATGCCGGTGGACAAAGGCGCGTGTACGTGGCCATGGGGGTTGTTATAAGCACACATTCTATGGCATCAAGTCAAACCAGTGCATGGAAATGACGCCCAGCCTAGCCTGTGCTAACAAGTGCGTCTTCTGCTGGAGGCACCACACGAACCCCGCATTGACTCGTTGGAAGGGGACAATAGATGATCCAGATTTCCTGGCTGAGGAGTCAGTCAAAGCGCATTTGCGATTGATCAAGGAACTCAAAGGTAGGCTTCACTCAACTTCGTCATGGATGCGTCAGGTATATTTGATACCAAGGGCGATAGGCTCAAAGAAGCGATGCAAGTGCGGCATTGTGCCCTTTCGCTCGTAGGAGAGCCTATCATGTATCCGCAAATCAACGAGCTCCTGCTAGAGCTGCATCAGAGAAACATATCGTCTTTCTTGGTCACCAATGCCCAGTTCCCAAAAGCAATGGAGAGTCTCCGGCAGGTGACGCAGCTCTACCTTTCCATCGATGCGGCGGACGAAACCAGTCTCAAAAAAATTGGTAGGAACGGTCGCTGCCCTTGTCACATTAAATGCAGACCGTCCCCTCTTCCGAGATTTCTGGGCAAGGTTCAATCGGTGTATAAAGCTGCTAAAACAGAGAAAGGAACGAACAGTGTTCCGGCTTACTCTGGTAAAGAACTTCAATATATCAGTACGAGATTAACGAAATGCGCCTAACAACATTTAGGAACAAAAAGAGGAGATCGTAAACTACGGCCGGCTCATCGAACTGGGTGAGCCGGACTTCATAGAAATAAAAGCGGTGACCTTCTGCGGAACCGTGCACGATAATGCCATTACAATGGAAAACGTGCCGTGGCATGACGAAGTAAGAGTAATTTGCCCAATAGATGTAATTGTCAGGTGATACGATACGCTGCAGCACTCGTGGAGGCTTCGCCGTTCACTCGGGAGCACTACGCCATTGCCTGTGAACACCGACACTCATGTTGTGTTCTTGTTGCGAAAAAGAGGTGAGATCGACAAGATGGCGCTGCATTTCACGTTGTTGTAGTTTCCACATCGACGGGAAGTGGCATACCTGGATCGATTACGACAAATTTCACGATCTGGTAACAACATTGTCCCCAGCAGCCCATCTGAAAACAGGCGACAAGTGGCCGAGAATTCCATGGTATCGAGTACTCGGCAGAGACGCCGGAATGGGCGCTCTTCGGTTCAAAGGAAGAAGGGTTCGATCCCGTTGATACAAGGTAGGTGATATAGAAATAGGTTTACACGTTCCAAAGGGTATACACCAAAGGTCGAAAAAAACTGTCTGGTCCGCCAACGTCGACACCTAAAGCATCAACGTGAATATGGAACTAATGCTGAGTATTTCGTACCATTCACATATCTATATAACTTAACATATGCTTGGCATATGTTAAGTTCATCACGCTTTAATATCCATCGCCGTTCATAAGGTTCACTGTACTATCAGCATACGCATTGTATCGCTGTTTTCGATTGGTGTGGCTATTTTTTCAGACTGTACTTCCCAAACGGGGTTGATGGTGTTAACGCATCATAAGATGTCGAGAGGGTCGCAAATAATAGCGGAAACAGCAAGGTGCAGATTCACCGAATGCGAAATGGGAAATGTAGATACCACTCCATTGCCCTTTGCTCTCTATTTGTGTGTGTTGAAATAAACCGTTTCATCTGGTGTTGGCCAATTTCCGACGTTGGGGGCAAACGTTACATTCGCATTATTGCCGCGCTAAGATGTTGTGGTTGTAAATATGAGGCTATGGTGGACTAGTGGGTTGGAGGCCTGTAAATACTAGGAATGTGCTGATGGACATTCTGATACTATTTATCCGGAATACCGAAGTATAAACAATGAAATGATGACGTAGACCAGCACATGAAATATACATAGTATATGCGATATTTAAATCACACGTGTCATATGTGAAGCTACATTAGGCCCTTATACGGGAAGGCGGAGTATATATCGGTGTCGATCTCCTCGGGAATCCTTCCACCGGCGAGATTCGTGGATACTACGGAACTTTTAAACGAGTTGGTAGTTGCAGCACTTAGTTGGTAAAACACCTTGCGGAATTTATTAGGATACTTACGCCAGGCAACGATGATGGCCACTGCAATTAGAAGTATGGGGACTCCTATATAGCACCCGCGCCTAAATGCATCTTGGGAACATAGCTTGCCGCAGTTTGTGCATTTGAAGCGGCATTTTCGGCCGAGGTAGGCGTATGCGTGGCCGTCGCCGTCGATAACGTTAAAAGGCTTACCGTCCTCACCGTAATAGTAGCCGAGGACGTTGCAGCTGCAGGTGCATTTGCAGCCGCATGTGCCGTCGGTATTCCTTTGGGTGCAGTCGCCTGATTCACCGCTTCGTTTGGCGTTGGGACAGATGATTCTGGGGCATTTGTTTTCACATTTGCATTTGCAGGGGCATTGTCCGATGGGCTTTTTGGCGCCGGTAGTGCCGTCGCATTTGCATTCGAGTCCGACGCAACTGCCGGGTTTTTCGGCGCACTTGCCTTTGGGGCATTTGTCCTTGTCGTGCTTTTCCTCGCGATCGCACGTTCCAGTACACCTGCTGTACGGATTACACCATTTACAGCACTGACAATTAACCCCATCACAGTGGTCTCCACAATTACAGAGATAACATAAGCATCTCCCGCCCTCTTTTACCTTTTGGCATTTTTCCTTGCAGCGTTTACAATATGGAGAATCCTTGCACGATTTTTTTCCGCTTTTTACCTCACGTTCATTCTGGCATCCGCAAATACACTTATAGCATTCACACCTTTGTTTCTCTTTGCAATTCTTATTGCAGAGTGGGCATCCGGGGGGACAGCACGATCTGAACACTTTACAGTTAGCATCACCGCAAGTCTCTTCGCCATGATCAGTGCAATTATTTTTGTCACACTCACACTTGTTCTTCCACTTCTTATCTTCTGCCATCTTCCTTCCTCACATCATTCACACAGTCATGCGCAGCAAATAGCATCCTGCCGCAACAACAAAATAGCGCCCTCCAGACGTCCCGGTGATATAACACCACTAAATAACCAACCCTGCGCAACGACTAACACCGTACCCAGATGGTGGGTAGCAGCTGGGAGATTCCTCGCCTTCCTTCCGGGACCACAGATGTGCAGTAAGGTCTTCCTTGGCAGTGGTTGCTGTCTAATGTTCTACAGAAAATAAAACGCTCTTCACCATCTCGTGTTGACACATGGTGTAACAGGTGAGCATGGACCGACGAAACACTCTTCTACATACATTACACATGAGTTATTTATTTCACACAATAACTAATGCCGCATCGTGTTCCAATAATGCTCAGAAGTCGTTGCTTCCGTTGTGCAATCTCCCACTCCGGACGCGGGTGTAGAAGGTACCATTTGCATGACTTAAATACCGACGGGGATACTTAAGTGAACCCTGCTATTATGGCAGCATATGTTTGAGAAGTAATCATACATTCCTGCCTTTGCCGCTCTGGGCAATGTGCAATCGACATCCCGGGAAACAGAAAACACGTTTTCCCACTGCACTTTACGTTCACCAGCAGTTGCGATGTTTCGTCCTTCAACTACTGCACCTTCATATTCAACCGCATCATGTGTGCTTATTGTTCAGATTTAGTGCTTTCCACAGTTTATCTTCATTCTTTAATTTCCAAAAACACGATTTCACCTCACCAATTGGTTTCCGCTGCTGCAATAACCGCAGCCCAGATGAGGAATGACACTGGAATGCCTTAGACGGCTTTGATCAAGCTCATATCTCCTGCGTTAATAGATGTTATAAGCATTGTTCTTGAGCGCATCGTGATCAATATCCTTGTTAAAGGATTTGCCGTCGATGCTGGAAGGTTAATGCTGTACACTCATTAATGAACAATGACTCACACAATTCTAAACATATGATGCATCTCATTGTTAATTGACTTAGCCCGCTAAATTCGCCATCACAACATCTCAAATTGCGTTTCAGCACAAGGTAGCGGCGGCAGTGCTTGGAGCAATGTTCACTCAAGCATTTTGCATCTACGATTCAGACTCTGCAGTTAGAACATAATTAATGTCATCCCATTCCATCTCCACTTCTAAACCATGTTTGGTGTTATAGAATTGGCCATCCGTGGGTGAGTGCCCATTGGGTGTGCTCAGCCTGGTCGGTGAGCGACGTGAGTTAGTAATAATTTATTTCTCCGAACAGTTCGTATATCAGGAATAATTGTCCCCCATTATGACAACGAATCAGCCAAATGCTGTCCATATATGAGCTCGCACTGATGTGTAACTTGACATCAGACAGCTGCCCACTACAAGTACGTAGTGGGTTCTGCAACCTATTCTATTGCCGCAACATTTAAAGGTAACATAATAATCATGAAATGTTGTGGCAAAATGGTGTATTTTGTAATCGTGGGGCAGAAAACACAACGTGAGCTCATCTGGTTGTTTCTGTGGTGTACAAAGGAGATGACTACAGTGTTCTGACGGAAATATAATATTATATTAGCATAGCAGGGCACTGCTATGAACAGGTATATAAACGGCCTAATAAACGGAGTTAGACTTTCATGAAAACTTTTCACATGACGTCATACGAGCTGTCAACCCGCCGATTCATCTCATATCAAGTGGGGTTAGGTAAGCCAAAGGCCTTCAACTGAACGGATGTTGCCAAATGGAGATTGCTCGACATATTATCTGATATTATGTAAATGTGGGAGCGCTGAAGATAAATGTACGGCTGATACGATATAGTGGATGCTGTGAAATTCAGGAGCGGATGTAATGGTACCAACAAACCCCTGGTATGCCTTGTAAACAGATGCGAGTGCCTGCAGTGTGATGGGAATCTTCTGGAGTAAATTGTGATAGTAAAACGCAGGAAAGTTGGAGTGTTTCGATAGGACCGAGATGTAGGATGGACGATGGCCACCACCACGCATCAAGTAATACGTAACCTTAGATCCCGTTATGTAATCATCTAGCAACATTTGCGGAGCTGAAAATTGATTAGCGGCGTCAATGTAATCCACTGGGGCACAAGAGTTGATATGCCCTTCCTTGTGAATATGGCATTGACCTGTGATACGGTATCTCGGTGGTGCGATATTTAGGCACATTGACGGATACGTAGAGTCAAAGTCGTCTCCTTACTGGTACAAATACCCGTTATGTAATTCACATGGCATGTTAAATTACTCAAATCAAACCCTCGCCGTCTAGGTGATCTGGAGCGTCATGTACCAAGTAAGTGTAGGGCATATTAGTGATTGAAAGTATTGCTGTAGGTGGTGTTAAAACAGGATTATGGGCGAATTTATGGATGGTGGTGGGACATTTTCTGACATGATGCGCAGTGAACGACCTAGTTAAGTGGTATTTATGGACAACATCGCGGCGATCACTAGCATAGTAAAGATGCGCTGTCTCAGATATACAGTCATAGGCGCACTAATATAGCGGTGAGTAGACAATACATATCCCTCGAGTAATTTGAGGTGAAGGCAGTATGTGGTGCGCTGCATGTACATGGCGGCATCCCTAGCGATGGGACGCGTGGCGCTCATCGGAGACGGATTGAGGCTCAAGGTACGTGTTTCATTCTCTTGCAGGCTAATGACAAGTTATATAGGGGAAGATGGGTTTTCAATGTTACTGCGATAAGGAATGTACACTACATGCTTGTAAGTGCTGTCCCTGTTGTTGTGAAGCATATAGCACTTGCCTTAATTGTCACCTGTCAAAGCAGTGGGGCAATCGAAGATATGAATGTGACCCTGAGAACTGCCAGAAAGTATGTAATAATAAGGATGCTTGTAGTTGCACATGTCTTCAAAGTAAACGTACACTCGCTGCCACCAGTGTCGATCCCTCCACCGCTTCCACCATCGCTTCTGTCATTATCGCAATCAGCCTCGTGGTAGTATGCGTTATGAGCTTCCTTCGCATTTGGCCGTTCCACAAGGTCCGCGATTTGTTCGTACGCAGCTGAACGTTTTGCATCGCATTCTTTAATAACTTCTTCTTTCTCTTTGTTTGGGGCTTGTTTAGTGTTCAATGTGGCTACGTGTGGCCTAGGGCCGATTTTCGTGTTTACCAGTCTACCGCCTTAGGCCGTTTGTGAGTCGCTTCGTTCTGGAGGGATAGGGATTAGTCTCTGCATTGCTCCCGCTTGCAGGTATACAGCAGTGGTCTGATGCTACACGAACACATGGTAAGACAACTAGAGATTTTAATTATGTTGCAAAAGACATAGTTGCGCACAGTTCGAATTATGTGTTGTGAAGCAGGTTTCATGTGGCTTTGACGCACAAGGCAAGTAGTCGTTATCATTGCAACAATAAACATTAGTTTTTATGAAGCTAATTTTCGGGTATACTCCAATGTCTATTGTTAATTAATATGCATTTACGATCCTTTATGTCTGTTAGACACTAATTAGAGACCGACATGTCAGCACCGTAAAGGCAAACAAGTCAATCATTATACTTGTGTGATACTATGTGCATTAAGATGTGACCTCCCATGACTCTTCCCTGAATGGCTCAGTTAAGACATATTTTTGCTTCCAAGGCCGGCGTATGTGGAAGAATACCCTGTCCACTCGGAGAACAATTGGCGTATAGTGTAAGCGGATGACTTAGTCTTATAGAGGTATACGGCAAATGCGAGTAACAATGCGAAGATTATAAGGGCGATGACGCAACAGAATGCTAACGTCCCCTTTTTTACACAACATTGACATTGACAGAACCATTTTGAACATTGCAGACAACCGCTTTTACAGCACTCGTTACCACCTTTACACTCTTCATGGCCCACCCCTTTCACCTGACCCGGAGAGGCGCCCATTTCTATCTCCCCGGTGCACCAATGAACAACCCACCGATGAAGTAGCAGTTGGGGTATGAACCCCTAATTCCTCGAGAAATTAAAAATATATGGCGGTCATGCTATTATCTGCAGGATATTGCTTGCGTTACGATGCTTATTGATCGTTTGAGTATCAGCCCCTTATGTCCGCCAGTGCAGGACATCACGCATCTGCATGTGATGCAGGTTATACACGGTGGCAATCTACATGCATAGACCATTTTTAGCATATTACCTATATTTATAGAGTCTCCAGTACACCTACCGACAACGGATGCATGAATATGTCGGAGGTCTCAAACATTGCCATGGATGTATGCATGCTGCTCTGACGTCAGTGCAGCGTCCAACACTGAATCATAACATTATTAAACCTCGCGCTGCTATATCCATTACTCTAGTAGAGAAGCATTTCTATGTCGTATAGCCTGCGGCAACGGCTCTAAAATGGGTGCCGGGTATGTCAATTCGTCCGACTGTATCTAGCGAAATTCCAAACTGATCTAGTTCCAAACACCAGAACATTCAGTTGGTTCTACGTCTTATAGAATCATAGAGAGTCATTTAAATTGTTTCATGCGCGTTAATAATCCATAAAGTGTGCTAGATCTATCTGACCTGAGATGCATCGGTATAAGGAGGCATCTATGATCATACCATATATGAAGCGTTCCTATCACGGTACAAGGTGGTCACTGACATGTTCGCTGAGCTCATTTTATACGTTTTCACTGAACTTTTTTCAATCCTCTGTACTAACATCTCTACCCACTGCCTCCAACCTACTGTCCACGGCTTGGGCCGTGCCATCCTGGCCGGACTTTTCTGTCGCCCTTTCAAGCTGCTTCTCTAGCGTCTTTGCCGTCTCCAAAGCATCGTGCACATTAGCGCTGAGGTTGAGAAGACCTTTGCCGACGAACCAATCAACCTCGTTTCCGGCTTTCCAAGCAGTCGAACACAGAGCTGTAAGCGTGAGCTGAACAGCTTCAATGAGTTTTGGATCGGGTTTGCTAGAGTCAGGCTGCCTATTACCTATGAACTTCCTTGCATGATATAGGTGACTCTCCACATTCTTTGCTATTTCTTTGGCAAGCCCCTTAATTTTAGTCTCATCCTTGATATGTTTTCCAACCTCTTGAGCAAATGTGTAGCAAGCATCCTTGACTGTTTTAAGATTGTCTTCGACCTTGCCAGTTAGAGAGGCAGCATCTAAGGGTTTTAAAGGCTTCCACAACATCTTGCTTAAGCTTTATTTTTATTTGAGTAGCTATTCTATTGTCAAGATCAGAATTCCTTCCACCGTTAAGCAGCGTTAGTGCATCCGGGTTGAGTTGCGCCTTCCCATACTCATAAACCTTAGCTTTCACTGGCTCATTAGGCACAATCTGCGTAATCCAACCCTTCACAATTTTGTCGAATTCTGTTTCCCCATTCCCCGAGTTGTCAAACTTCTCCGCATAGTGTTTGACACCGCTAACAATGCCCAAGAGACCTTTGCCGTCATTTTGGTATTTATTAGAACGCCATGTGCCCTCCGCCCCCTTAATATCCACAACCGTCCCTTTAATCTTATTAAAAACCTTTGCGATTACAGTTTCTTTATCCTTTACCTCAAAAGTCTTGCCAAGCGTCTCAATGGTCGTGTAAACTACACCGACCCGTCTTTCAAGCGGATCCTTGATCCTCTGAGTGAACAATTGAGTCATACCCTGGAACGTAGTCTTAATTGTGCCCTGAGGGCCGGTAGTTCTATCCAGTTGACTCTTTGCTACCCTAAGCTTATCCAACTCACTTTGAACAATACCGCCGGGCGGATAAACTTTATTTTTAAGCTCACCAATCTTTTCCCTCAACTCCCCCAAATCATCTCTAACATTCTGATCTAACGTCAAAACTCCAGCCTCCGTAATTTTACTCCAAATCTCTGTTTTAATCTTCTCTCTCACTGTCCTCAAATCCTTCTTGAGATCTCCATCCATGTTGACAACAGCCTGCAAGGCCTCACCGACTCTCATCTCAACCGCCTGCTTAGCGTCTCTCGCAGCCTTCAAAAGTGTCTGAGCCTTATCTTTTAATGTTTGAGCATTCTCAAATATTTTAGCGTCAGTACCTTGTTTATCAACCCTCTTAAGTATCTGATCACACTTCTCTTCCGCCTTGCCAATAACACTCCCGGCGGCAGAGTTCCACTGCTGCAGACTGGAGACATGTCCGGCAAGTTGTGTATTTGCCTTAATAATTAAGTTATTATTATCTTCAATCGTACCGATTTTAATGCCAACGTGACCATTTGCAGTGCCGCCATATTTCTCGGGATAGAGATTCTCATATACATCCTTGGCCTTTCCAATCGCCCCCTGAAGCACTTCCCCGGCCTTACTCTTCCACTCTCCCAAACTTTTATCTACACTTTTCAGACCACCATGCACTGCGTCAATTCTCTTATTAGCATCAACCATCTTCTGAACGTTCTGACTCAGCCTCATGGACGTTCAACTTACTATAAGTCTCTTCAGCCTTTTTCTGAGCCTTTTGGCGGATGTCCTCCGCCTCGGTGATCCAAGCACCTAACTTGGTAACTTGTTGGCCAAGAGTGTTCTTTGCAGTGTCAAGTGCACCAATGTTATGACAAATAACTGCCACATTATGTCACCATGCTCCACCGCCAGACCTGGGATGACGGCAGTCAGCTGCTGAAGGGGACGAACACGGCGGTAAGCAAAGGGCAACTCAGAGCAGCGAGTTGATCATGGGTTAGGAGGTGAGTTAGATGCTAGGTTATGCGCTAGGTAAGACGTTTGGTTAGGTGCTAGGCAAGGCACGACTTAGTCACCATGAGAGACATGACATGACGAAGAGAGGAATGTAAATGTGAATGTAAGTGTAGCTAAGATAATTACTATCATGAGTGAAAGTCATCGTCGAAGTAGTCGACGTCCTTGTAGAGCGAGAGCATCCTGCGGCTTTCGGCGAGCAAAGCCTTGACGTCGATGAGGTGTGAGGCCCTGGTGGTGAGGAGGTGCGAGCGGATGCGCAGGACGTCCATGCGGTAGAGGAGTGAGTGGGCGATGTAGAGCGTGGCGGTGAGCCAGAGCGTGAACACTGTGTAGAGGAAGGGCATCCTGATGTGCCAGAGGAATGTGTCCATGGCGGTCATTAGGCCTGCGATAGGCTTGCCGTTGACCACCTGCTCCAGCTTGGAGATGACATCTGAACACTTGAGTTGTGATGATGGCATACCCTCCGGTGGCGTGAGCCCGTGAGAGTAGAGGAGGGGCAGGGCCTTGTCACACTGGTGGAGGGGCTTGGACTTGGAGTCATGACATTGAAGCTTCTCGAGATCATAGTGCAACTTGAGCAATGACTTCCACAGTCTGTCTGGTAGATAAACCGTCCAGCTGAAGTAGTGGTGGGCGAAGCTGGAAGAGTACAGGGCGTAGGCCCGGTAGGTGATGGGCTTCATATGCTGTGGGCAGTTGGCATTATCGATGCCGCAGCCGAGCAGCGTGGACAGGGTCTGGGGATGGTCTTTGTCGTGGTTGTGGTTGGAGTTGGCGTTGAGAGGGGCGGAGCCCCGGACGTACTTGATGACTTGGAGGTCATCGGCAGCAAGACTATCCCAGTCGGGGCAGTGAGGATGTGGCTGGGAGAGGGCGGAGCCCAGTGGAGACAACTTTGCAGATGGTAAGTGCAGTGAATTCCCGAAATTGTGGAAGAAAGAGACAAGCTCCCCGGTAGTGCGCGGCGTACGCCTGGTGATGCAGTTGAGGTACGACGCCAACGTCAGCAGGGGGTCCTCGCCGCCGCAGGTGGGAGAGAGGACGGTGGAAATATGTTTGCCTTGTAGATTATCTTCAGGCAAATCCTCATTCCGGAATCCCATGTTGACCCGGCTCTTGCGGCAGATATCGCGCGGGTCGAAAAGATGTGTCTTAAAGATGGAGTCGGGGTCGTCAGTCAGGAAGGCCTGGAGGGGGGACTTGGGAGACGATACATCACAGCCGTACTTACAATCCTGCCAACCACCATTTAGTTGATCCCGCGAACACTGCACCTTGAGGAACGTCAACTGGTGGCAGCAGGCGTAGACGTAATCCCGCAGCTGGCAGAGAAGGCAGGCGGGGTTGGAGGAGTAATGAAGCTTGGAATATTCTGAGGTGAAGTCAGGCATTGAAACAGCTGTCGAAATGTCTTTGTGCTTAATCCTGTGGAGAACGTTGGCCGAGTAGAGACACGCCTCGGTCAGGGTGTTGGCGACACGGGCAGCGTCCAGGTTGTAAGGATCTCTGGTGACCTCGAGGGCATCATGAGGATGAGAGAGATCTTTGTTAGTGTCCTTTAGAATGCTGTGAACATGCTTCTCGATCGTGCCAATATACCCCGATTCATTCAACCCGACCAGCCAGAAGAGCATTTCCCTGACGGTGTTCGGAGGGGGCAGACGGTCCGAGTCTGGGGGAGGGGAGCGGGTTGGAGGGGTGGTAGTGGAGGAGGCAGGAGCAACGTACCAGGGGTTACGGCATGTTGGAGTAAAACCTTTTTTAGCAAGGCCTTCGTAGGGAGAAAAACTGAAGTCGAGAGGTTCAAACGGCTTGTTGGTAACATGGTCTCCTAACGAGTTTGACAAAATTTCTGACGATTTCACAAATTTATTAAAGTGTGAATCAATCTTAGATTGGGAATCTGCTCTATCAAATATCTTGGAATCATCCAAATGTCCTTTAAAAACGTCATCGTGACTAGGTGTTGCTGGCGGCAATGCCTCAGTAGGAATTGGTAAGTCTTTGGGCGTCCTGAGATCTAGTTTTCGTGGAGGCTTTTCAATCATTACACCGAACGAATCAGATTTTCTTTTCAAGTTGCCTTTGCTGTCGTACGTATTCTCTTCTGGAGCCATTTGTTGAAAAGGTTCCCAGTAAAATGGAGACGGATATGGGAAATTATTTAGAGGAATAGGCTTCTCCCTGGGACTGACTATTCGTCCTCCAATGGGTCCATTAGTTGGTTGGGTTTTACGACCCGGTGTCATTGGCAGGGCTTTTGGCAGAACTGGATCCGGGGGCTCGAAAACAAATCCATCAAGCGGCATGTCCGTCTTTCGTTGTTCATCATCGATCCGTGACTGCACAATAGCAACACCAGAATAATTAGGTTGAGGAGGAGAATATGTGACAGCTTTCGTCTGAAGTTCATCTAACAGTTTAAGCTGATCCGCTGTATTTTTCGCATATGCCAACATTTCCTTCCTTTCTGCATTCAGTTTCTCTGATGCAAGCCGACGCTCTTCATTTTTTGCATCCCAGTTCCACTCATCCACCGTCTGCTTGTTTAGAGACATTCTATCAACTTTTTCTCTGTATTTTTTTTCTTCCTCAAAAAAGGGATCATCGATGACTTTGCCATCTGCAAATGTGATAGGCGTGGCCCCCTGCCTTGTTCGCTCCTCTCCCAGTTCATAATACTGCTTCACAAGGCGACGACGGCCATCGGTAGGATGAGGGGGAGTTCCCGGAGGAGGGTGGCTGGGCTGAGGTGGGTGATTGGGATGATCTCTGGACAAATTAAAAGCCTGGAGGTTTTTACCATTTCTAGGAGTTTTGGGGGGGTTTTGTCCCAATCCTTTTTTATCCTGGGCAAATGATTTTTTCTGTGCACTCCAGATTTCTTCCTCCGCATTCTGCATTATGTTCTGCAGATCTTTCTCACGCTTCTTTTTAATTTCCTCTTGCTTCCTATAATTGTCCAATACGTGTTGCGGCGGATCTTTTTTAACGGTAACTTGAGGTGTAGCATGAACCCCCGTCCCACCCTGATGGCCGATCCCAGAACCCCCACCCCCTCCTGCACTCCCACCTCCACCAGGCGCCGGGACACCCGGTGTATTAGCGCCGCTGCTTAAAGTGTTATCGGAGCCTGCACCTGTTGGTTGACCAACATCTTGACCACCTTGTGACCCACTCCCCTGGCCACTAGCTGACCCAGAGCTTGACCCTGAAACACTCGGAGACTGAGCAAGCACAGGGGCTCGAGGGGGAGTAGGCTGTGCACCATGAACGTCACCGCCCGTTGAATCTGGAGATCCGTTTGTTGACTTACCATGGGCGTTATGTGCTACAGTAGAACTGGAGGTTACCTGTTGATTTAGAGGCCCTGCAGGGTCTGTGTTGCCGATCAAATTAGGACCCGGACTCTGCATAGCTCCTTTATCGTGAACACCTTGGGCCCCGACGGGTCCATGCATACTGTTCTGAGAATTTGAAGGCTCTGCAGCTGTGGTTGGGGGAGGAGCAGGAAGTGCCGGGGCTGGCTGACCTAGAGATCCATTATCCTGAGGTTCAACACGTTGTTGAGCTCTTGTAACTACATCGTCAGAATTACCGAGAGGAGTTTGGCCAGGAGCATGTAGAACGGATGCCGGGTTATGGCCGCCTGTATCATCCGTGTGGCCCTGAGGATTTACCTTAGAAGGCGATGGGAGAGTAAGGCCCAAATCGCCCGGTGAACCAGAGATATCAGATGGAGGACCTGCGGCTGAAAGAGCTGGGGTGTGAAGTCGAACAGAAGGTTGAGGGGCATTAGAAGATTTACCAGAGTGAACTACGACCTGGGAATCGCCATCCGTACCATCTGCCGAGACTCCCCCTCCAGCGCCTCCTCCTACACCTAGACCTGCACGATTTGCAGCAGCTGACTGACTATCGGCACTGTCGACGCTCTGACGGGCACTTTGAACGTGTGAAGATTGATGAGCAATTTGTCGAGTTGGAGAAAGTGCCTGGTCTTTCAGATCCTGAGCAGCATCAGGTGGCGTCAGGGGATCTGGGGCTTGAATCCTTGAATTCTGAGTGTCGCTTACATTTGAGGAGACATCGGGACGTATTCCCGGAGAAAGATTGCTGTCTGGACCCGGAGCCTGGTCAATTGGCGTATCAACGGCCACCGGTGGTCCATCGTGACTTGACCCAGCCTGTGTCAAAGAAGGCCCTGGACTGCCTGGATCACTATTATGCCCACCAGACTGAACATCTCTTGGAGCACTTTGAACCTGCGATAGATCGACGCTTAGCGAGGCAGCAGGTTTGGAGGCTGTGGAAACACTGCCCGTTGAATTCTCGTCCATACCCCCCGGCGAAACTGCAGCCCCTCTACCGCCACCTGAATCCGAATGCTGACCGGGTATGCCTGGGGTGGTGTCATGATTGAGAGCTGAGTCTTGACTACTCCGTTGACTATGTCCAGAAGCAGCCGCCTGTGGACCCAGTCCCGTACCACCGGCATTAGTGACACTAGGTGACGAAGATCTTGAGCTGGACGCACTTGAGGGGCCACGCACAGAGGTTTGAGACACAGAGTGCGGTGGAGTCGGAAGTATTTCAGCCAGTGGAATAGGGACTCTAGGAGCACTGTGGGAAGGTTGTTGAGGATGGGACTGGGAAGTAGATTGACGATGTAAGAGTTGAGGCTCAGTAGATGCCCTATGCCCTGTATGTCTACTCCTCTGTACGCCCTTAGCGCCATGAGCCCCTGGGCCTTGTGCTCTAACTCTCATTGCTCCCCTTCCCCTGTTTTGTGCCCCTCCTCTACCTTGGATCCCGCCCATACGGTTAGGCACTGTCCCTCCCCTAACACCAGAACCATGACTCCCACGGGACAACACACCTCCACCGCCTCTCGGACCGGATGTCATTCCACCCGGAGTTCTGGCAGGCCTCGGGGGCCTTGGCGCAGGCACCGGCCTGGGTCGTGGTTTTGGAGGCGGGGGACACTGCTCACCATCCAGAATTCTTTTTAACTTATCCAAACCGTCATCTTCTCTGCCAAGCATATCTATGACACTGTCCCAATGATCCGACAACGTCTTCCACGCCTCGCCCAGCGTTCCATATCGTCCTTTACCAAATATAAAACCGTAGGGGAATATGTTTTTGGTTGCAAATGGCCGAAGAGCAGTCAAATATAGAGTGTCGTCGACTGGGAAATTTGTATTTATTTGTTTCACATTCTGTTGAACTTCGTGCAAATGTTGTCTAAACCATTTTGCTGTCTCCTCTGCAAATTTCTCAGTGTTAAGCTCCTTAACACTCCGCGCCTGGCCGGTGTAGGAAAAGGCTTCCTTCTTGAACAACTTTTCCAATTCCGAGTTCAATCTAGAACAATGGGATTTTAAGTGCTCCCAATTTATGCATTTGTTTTGCCCCTTCAAGGTTGTATCCAATTTGGCTTTCAACCTTTTACCCTGATCTCTCTTCGTCTCAGCGTCGACAATCTGGCAAAACGTTCTCACTAATGCAAGAACGTTCGCAGTGTTCACGGGTTGTGTGCCGGCGGTGGTAGTAATGACTGTTGTAAAAAATACGTCACGGAAATAATTGTGGAGCTTATTGTCTAAAATCGTTCTTAGGTCCGTAGTCATATCCTTACCATATTGATAGCCATAGCGAGAATTATAGTCATAACCATACGTCACCTCTTCTGGGCCGAATCCACCAAGTATGAGGCCACCGTATTTATCGCTCAGTGACGCCCTGAGATAACCCTGCAGCCTCCCTCCATACTCTTGTTGCCAAAAGTGTCTAAACCAAGTCGACTCCCACCCAGGATAATTGTACTCCCACTTCGCTCCACCCACTGCATCGAATCTATAATCCACATTGTAGAGCAAAAAATACAAAGCGGCGAGTAACTTGGGAACGCACTCGAGGAGCGCATCGGTGACATCCTTTGCTTTTGCATTGACATAACTTCCCGCCGTTGGGGTTTTGCATAATTTGTTGTAAAACGTGGACACGTGCCCGAGGAATTCAAAGACAGCAGGTGGCAGCTTGCCTGTAAACGAAATATGATTATAAGAATTTTCATAACCCTTAACCAGTTCTCTGGCCACCTGGTCTTGCATACTTTTCTCATCATGCAGCCACTGCAGGAACTGGAGACAGTCTTTAAGGGTGTCAAGCTTAATTCCGGCCACCATCTTGCTTACGAAGGCAAAGAGCGCAAATACAGTAATGAATGGGAAATAGGCTTGTCGTACAAATATAAATGTGGAGGCCTTTTAATGATGAACTAGGAGACACTAAAGGGATCACACCTCTAAGGTGACGCCGCTTACAAAGACAGCGTAGCCAAACCGCTATCTATGCCGAGTGAACAGGCGACAATGTGCTGAGTGACAGCTAAGTGCGGCGTAAAACAAAACAATAAGCTCAGGATCGCAGGCAATTATGTATTCGCGCGGCTCAGTAAACTACATTTATAATACGTGGATGGTAAATAGTGCGCTCACCTGAGGGGATGGCGGCGAGGCCAGGAACCCAACAAACCCGGACATCGACCGACGTGAATTGCTGGCGCAGTGTCGGATGACAGCATACCTACTGGACACTCCGTGTGGAAGGTATGGCAGCTCTCCTGAATCCGGATGGTGACGTCGCCAAGCCGTCTCCCCTCAGCGTTCTGCAACCAACCAGGCAGACGCCATCCAAGCACTGCCAGGTATACCACAGCTGCGCGCTTAGCACCACACAGATACTACAACCGTCAGCTCATCTACTGTATTGCGAACTATACCCCACATCTCGCTAGACAAATGCCTTGGAGATTTTAAAGTTCCGAATTAACTTACCCTACGCACTCATGACGGCATATTTAACATCGCTTCCCAGTCGTGAGAGCCTTAAAATGCTCCTGGGCGCATTCCTGATACTCCCCTCCGACCTGGTTTGGATGTGCCATCCACCCAACAACACTTCCCATTTCAGTTAACTACCTAAATCTCACAATAATTACGAACAATCCCATATATGATACCCATATTCCGTATGCTTATGATGTGAACACGGAACCACGTAATGTGGCCACGCCCCACTTCCCAGCCTTGCTGAGGTCGGACTCCTCATTGAATTGCCTTGTGTATAAGCTTGTTCACCCACATCAGTAAACCACTTTGTTTCTAAAATTCTGATCTCCTTTCTGACACTCAAATCACAATATAAAGTACAACCCTGCTTTCCGTCACCCGTCCCATCAAGCTGCGGGCTGTGTCGCTGGGTCCGGTGAAAACCCGAAACCCAACCTTGGAAACCTCCAGTACAACCCACTGTGATATTACATGACATCGTATGTACTGCGCCGTGAAGATACACTTATCACACGAAACCACGTCTGGTTTCGCTGTTACCGGTGACCTATCGTGCTCAGACACGGAGACGGTGGTTATTTATCAACATCAGCGGAATACTTGAACTATGGTAAGAGGCACTATATTTTGTCGATTCTTGCGCGTTAAAGGCATTGCCAATGTTCGAATGTATGAGTATAGATAAAAATGCTCCTACTACAACTTCCTTATTTCCACACTACAAAAAGCGGAAGGAAGATGCGGCAAGATATACCAACATTTCACCCCCATCTTTACACGTCTTACTTCATAGATATCCAATACACAACCATAATGACAACAGAATAAGGTATTGAGTTGACAACCCGAATCAGCTTTCGACAACCCAAACCATGCTATCACTGAAATGCCCTCATAAACATGTTATCGGCAACATAAACAATGAAAGCAAATCAACTCGCATAATTCAGCAACCAGTTGTCCTCACTAATCAACTCATAACTTCGAGTAATAGTTCCCTATCTGTATGGTGGAGAGAACGACACCCTTGACGGTGACGCAGCGGCATTCCAACGGAGGCGTCTGGCGCAACGTCTCATTTTGACCGACGCGTGAACTGTCAAATCTAAGGATGACAAAGTGGTTGGATCGAGATGCCACCAACGATTTGCTGAGTTCGCTCATGCTCTTTACTTCGCCATCGACATAGACCTGGCTGAAGCAGTTGGGAGGATCCAGGACATACGGCGCCGGGCAGTAGAATGCAGCTTCCTTGGCAGCCTGAAGATCAATCTTGCAGCCAAACTGCGACTGCCCATCACCGTCGTAGAGTGGAGGTGTCTCAGGTTTGAACAGCTCATCCGATGCGTAGGTAACGCCGCAGCCTTGCATATACGGGTCCGTTGTCTCGACGTTAACCTTAACGATATTCCACGTGTATTGTTCTGACAATTCTGTGATATTGGAAAAGGGCTGGACGGATGCGTCTGAAGATAACGCATCACCGGTGATGGGGGACAAATCCTCTAGCTGTTGCGACTTACCACAGACGAATGTCATAGACACATATTTCTTCTGATGTGGGTCTTTGGATATCAAAACAGCGCCTCGGCGTGATGTGATATCCAATCTTTTATATCTAAATCTCATAGATTCGTCATGGTGAACGATTTCCAATCCGGAATTTGTGCTAACCATTATGTCTTTATGTGGCGTACTAACAAGCGCACGTCCGTGTGAGGTGTGGACAACAGTATAATGGAATTCCTTAGGTTGGTTTGGTAGCCACGTAGTTTCCATTGCTCCATTATTTGCAATGCCCTGAACGTCGCGGTCAAGTACGCAACTCATCGAGAACATTGTGCCCGGGTGTAGTTTAACGTACTTTTTGGATGTGTAGTGCAGCATAATAAATCTTGTTGATGTGTGTCCTTCAAGTAACAATCCGACCTTATGCCAAGGCAGCCGTAGATATGGGAATAACCTGTGAAACCTAGTTTCACGACGTACTATGTATGTATGGCTTTCTTCATGGCTGAGTTCTAAAACAAGCTTAGACTTTTCGTACCCAAGTTGGTCGACGCAGACGCAGGCATGACTGAGAGGACTATGTTGGAACCACATGTCGAATACCTGAAAACCTGGAATAGGATATGTAGTCGCATTACGCACCGTTCTCGGAAATGGCATAATAGAATTAGAATACATATTGTATCCTGTGGACTTACAGTTATCCGGCAGCAGCTCCTCGTCAGATCTGCAGTGAATACCGGCCCACAACATGTTTGACATTCTATTGAAAGTGCATTCGTACGTTTGCCCAATACCATTTCCTATTTCTTTCGTTGAGCAATGCCGCCTGATAATGTTACCATCAAACACACCTGGTGTCCCTTGGTCGCAACCGACGATACGGTAATAATGCGTAAATGCGTAAGACACATTTAGAACGGCGCGTATCTTATCCGGAACGTTCTCGTTCTTAGATATCAAAGTCCAGTGATAAAAGAATGAGTTGGACCCTCTCCTTAGCGCCAGTGGTTTATCCAAATGGTACTTCAGCTTCACCTCTCCTCGGGCGATTTGTGAAACATCCAACTCAAGGGCATCGCCGGCAAGTCCTTTGTTGTAGGATATTTCGTCATACGTTTCAAGGTCATAATAATCCGTCTGTTGTCGCAGCCTCGTCAAGTCCTTCGGCATAAACTTAGATTCGTACTCATAGGCAGACGGCAGCTGTGAGAAGGGGACAGCAGAAAAATCCTCGTCAGCAGCAGCCGAGTTGAAGACATTTGCTGGCAACCTGATGGTTAAGGTGCTTCCAGGATGAAGTACCACCGAGCACCAAGGTCCACGGATAGGCCGCACGCGATTGCGGAAGATCATGCTTGCAATGTCGCAAACGTACTCGTCTTTCGAACGGATCTCTATCCTGGCTTTAAGCTGACCGGTTTCGGAATCTATGCACCGGCATTCGCCATAGAAAGGTGGTAATGCTAATTCCTGAAAATACGTCGCTATCACCCAAGGTTTACTATCTTCGAAGCCCCAATACGGAAATGGTTCGGGGACAGTCATAATACCTCCATTCTTGTCCAGGAGCGATTTCATACAATCATTGGGCTCAATTCTGCCTTCACAAAGGAACCCGATAGGTGGTTTTGACATAGGATCCACCACACACGAGCGTGTGCGTGTGACGGGGTCTACAGTGACAACGTTGTCCGGTGCAAAAAGCGGTGAGGGGCGGTTACCGCAGCCTTGAAGCGGTAGATGCTGGCGGCCTCTGTACAAGAAAAGCACGCCCAATCCATGCCCTATCTTGGATATCTCCTGAGTCAATGGTGTGGATGGGGTCGAAGGGAATTCCTGAGTTTGGTTGGCACTCTTGAGACCACCCAGAATACTCTGCAGTGCAGCACTCAGAATTAAATGTCGCGGCCCACACAGAAATATCAAACGATGTTCACCAATGACAAACAATTCACTAAATGATAAGGACATGTGCAGTTCCGTTGTGGACGGAGTAGACACCGTCCGTATGAGATTATTCATGGCTTCATATCTCACTACTTCCGACAGCAAAGTGGAACGAAACTGGCCATTTTCACTCACGTACGTTTTGAGATGAACGCCATCGTTAAGAGTTGCTTGAGGATACCAAATATATTCGGTGTCGTTAACGCGGTTTGGACATATCGCAGTTGCGGAGGAAGAGTTACCAGTATCTATATGGCACATAACGAGAGCATTGCGGCTTAATAACGCAGCTGGATGCCCGAAATCACAACGCAGTGTTTCAATAAATCTTATGTAATGTGTGACCATTGCACACAATGTCAAGACGTACTTCATCACTCGAGCTATGCTCATCGTGATTAACGGCGTTCCTAGGCACTGCCAGGCACTGTATATTACATTGTTTTCGAACTAAGGCCTAATCAAAAAATTGTCAAACCACGTATCAAAGATTTACAAGTTTTGAAAACACTTTCGGTAGTTGATTGTAGACAACTCACCAAGGATCGCAGCAGGTGTCTTGTCACCCAAGAATTTCCCTTCACGGCTCTCAACGCAATAATTAATGAGTGATGTGAAAGGATGTGATTAAATACATTCAATTCTAGTTGCTCTATATAATGTATGCGCGCTATAACACACAAATCTGGACATCGAGATGTCTACTTACCTGAAGATGAGTTTCCTCTCAGAAAGCGAAGGAACATAATCGACCGGATATCATACTGGTCGGCCGGCAAACCAATAACGCCACCATCATGGAACTACGAATAATCAATGAAGACAACCTGTTCGAGGTGGAGACCTAAAGAGGAGGAAGTAGGAGGACGTAGTGGAGCATGCGAAGGGGGGGACGTTTAACAAACAGAATAAGTGGAAGGCGGTACTTTAGGTAATGCTTTGGTAACTCATTGTCATGCAATTGCATAGTAAGCGCAGGCAGCAGTTGGGTGTATGGAACATGATGGAGACCCACATTGACGGCACCCAATGCCTATAGATTGCGCACCATAAGCCCATAGAAAAGGTGAAAAAAGTGCCCGTTAGATACTTATTCATTCATACCGCGCAAGGCAACTAAACATACAAGTATACTAAGTAAAACCGCATTGCTATGGCTGCAGGGCAGTAGCATCCGCTAGTAGACAATAAAAATTTACTACTCCTTCTGGAGGTTACCGACGCATAGATGTTACATAGAATCAGCTGTGGCAGGTTCAACTCCCAAGCGAACGTGCTCGTGAACATATCTTAGGTCGTCCAATGTATGACAATTTTTCATCGAATAGTAGTATGATATGCATCGTTCTTCCGATTATTAATCATATTCCGAAGTAAATGTTGCCTGTTATCACTGAAGCGATATATGGATTGTTAATGAATATCTACATGCGGCAACTGGAGGCGAAAATTCAAGCTGCGATGAAAATCACTAGTGGGCCGAGACGAAAATTCAACCTACAGTGGTTACTCGAGACATTATGCACACCATACGTCATATACCATTTGCTACAGAAGTGCGCGCTTGGGCAACAACAAAATATTTTTTATCAATGCGTATAATGTTTTGTCAAATGAGCTCATAGCCACAGCCAATTCTGCCTCAGCAGCTTCATTGGTTGTTAGAAACGCTTTACCGGAATTATAGAAGACAATTGTTGATACTGCGTCGTGTAATATTAAGGTGATCATTGCAATTTCTATCATTTTACGTTTTGGCTGCCTGATTATATTAGGTAATAATGACATCTATTTGGCACATTGTACGGCGAATTTTCGCATACTTTCTATGTCTCTACATGATCATCTTAAATGATGCTGCTGTTGGCGCTAACGGTGGACCCGATAATCCGGACAGTAATGAAAATGCACCCAAAGGCATTGCATTCTATGCCAACAATGAGGAATTCCATCAGCGTCTCCAACGCTATATAGCACTACTTAAGGATGCCGACCAAATTCATAGCAATTTGTCTTCCATCTCAAAATCAATACCTGACTCCAACGTTTCACCGGAAGTTGAAGAAGCAAAGCAAAGGGAGTGTGGAAATTTATTGACAACCTTCGAAAATATTATACACAGGGCAGAATATGTCGAACTAAAAAGTATATTTGATATATACGCTATGATAACTACACGTCAACAAAATAAAGATGTAAAGCAGCAAAGGTTGCATGAACTTGATGAGAAACGTGTTCAGCTGGAGAAACGATTCAAAGATAAGGAAGGCTTCGCAGCTGCCCTTATAAATTTCGACTTAGCAGAAGCGCATAAAAGTATTATAGACGATGCAATAGCGTTCATTAGAAGACACAATGCCCAGGAACCATCACAACCGCCAAGTAAACCCGCGGGGAGTAACTCTTCTGTAAGTGGTGGAGAGGATGTGCCTTTGGCTTCAAACATACCTGCTGAGACTAATCCGACTGGCGCTGCGTCTACACCAGATCACACGAATCACATGGCAGCTATGGGTAATGCAAATACTCGAGGTGGACGGGGCACAACACATGATACAAACGGAGAAAATACATCACAAACCACAGAAGGAACAGTCAACGATATACCCAACACAGCGGATGCTAAGGGTTCATCAGGGTTTGCGACGATAGGTGCCAGGGTTATTCAAACAATGATGGCGCTGGGCGTAATGGCGGTTCTATGATTTCAGGCATCTGAATAACATTACGCATAAATAAGAGGTGGGCATAAAATGTCTCATTGATCGGGAACTATTGGTGTCGCCGGGGTCACCTTCAGCTTATTTAATTTATGGACCCACACGCCCGTTTGAATTATCCAGCTTTTTATTGTATCCTTATTTCTCGTGTCTATTGACCGGTGTTTTGAATGATACAGTGCGCTATGTGGCTACACTCAGCTTTGCCTGGTATCCTCGTTTACCGCTCTAGCGCCTCACGTTGGTGTAGGCTGCGGGCTGCACATCGTGCGTTTGCTGGGCATATTTAGGATCACTCCTATGTACCCATACGCTTCCGTTCGGCGACTCTTTACGGGACACGCCAAACAACGATTCATAACGGCTACATATGCATGACCCACCCAAAGTAAGAGCAGCATCATGGCTGCCCTTTTGGGGTGCGACAATACCACGTCCTCAAAGGACTGGCTACGACCGACGGATGCGTCGTAAAGTGATGTCACGTATGGCGTTATTGCGACCTGCAGTCGACAGACGCCCTGGATGCAAGCAACCAGTACGCCAACGAGCTGCGCCAAGGCGGCACTAACGTAATTATAGAGACGCTGCGAGCTGTGTTTTGCCCAGTCGGACACACTGCTACCGATGATGAGTGTATACATAAATATTGTTTTAATTACACTTCACAAGTTACAAATGTTTCGTGAGAGTTCGTTGACGGCTACTGACTGTGGAGCCGGACAGAGACTCTGCTCGTGTTGATCTGCTTCTACAGTTTTGCAAGATCCTGAGGATTCGTGACCTGATGATGATGCATCTGTCGATGAATAGTTTTGAAAATCATAGAACGCCCAGAATCCAGAGAGGTTGTAGAGAGTCCCCAATTCATGGTAATCCAATCGGCTCAACGCTCTGTCGATAACTGCAGGTGTGATTTTGGAGCGGCATTCCGGCTCAACGTAGCCCAAATCGTTCAATATTTGTAGCAATCGCTTACTCCTAATTAGTGTCGGACATCCCCAGCGCGCGTTCCAACACTCTATCATCACAGATAGTAAGCCTGCGTATAGCATCGGCGCAATCCCAACAAATATGATCGCATACGCTTCCAGGTCCTTCGCGCATTTCACATCCCACGTCGCATCTGGCGAGTAAGCAGAAATATACTGGTCAGGGTTTTTGATACCTTCCAAGAAGTTCTCACAACCTTTCACAAGATCAGTCAAGCTCTCGGCGATGTAGATAGCAGTGATGCGCTTGGTCTGTATGATGTTCTCATAATGCTCTTCGATGTAAAAGAAGCAATCGATACATGGATCTCCAAGACTACGCAAGGTCTCATATTTGCTCAGCATCTCCCTTATGGAGGGTTCGCCCCTAATATGCTTTTGCTTCAGGAACTGCTTAACGATCTCTTTAATTTCCTCGAGAGCTGGCACCCTAGTGTATCCTACAGGCTTGTCTGCGAGGAAACCGTAAACTACCTCACCCAAAGCCTTAATGTTCTTTGTACCATCCTTCCCCTTCAGGGCTATCAACCAGTCCATGCACTGCCTGACGTTTCGGGGAGGCTCGGTCAACGAAGTGTAAACCCTTCTTTTAGGATCCGTCACTGAAGGCGGTTTATTAGAGCCTGTGGATTTGGGGTCTTTTTCGGGGGCGGTTTGGGAAGAGCTCTGTATTGATGGCGGATCGGCACCAAGCGTGCGCTGTTGAGGGCTGCAACGGCTACCACCGTTACCTGACGGAGAATTTACCGGTCGGCTATTCAACTCCGAGGTCGCATCCGGCCGAGTATAGCCAAGTACGTCGTTAAGTACCGTGTGAGTATACGACACAAACTCATCAAAACGGTTCTTCCACTCCTTCATCTGCTCTAGCTTGTCCGTTCGCCTCTCCTCTGCACCATCCTTGTCCGGACACGTAGAAACAGACACCGCCAGATCCCTTTTATTATCCCCTCCTGCAGGCGCTTTCATCTCACGCTCATCCCTTTGAGAAGCCATCTTGCAAAATAATTGGCAACGTGCCTTAACACCATAAACTCCTCTTCAAATAGAAGTACACTGCCATACTACCGTCCAGGTGTGCTATAGCAGGGGTGGTTCGAGGTCTCACAGCCCTGACACAGCATTAACATAAACAGCTTACACGTGCATTGATGTTTTTGTTTGCCGGCATAAGATGAATTCAATTACTGGGTTGCATTCAATCCGAGAATGTGTGTACTCCACTTAGACAGCCACTGATCACGCGCGTTGCAAGGCATTCGGGGTGATAGACGTCTGGGTAACTAAGTTTGCGGGCCCCCACTAAGTGTCTACTGGCGTACAGTCCGGAGTTACGACTTCAAGGCTTACCACAATGTTGGCCATAGATGACACCTAACTACACCATCACGTCGAAGAGTCCCGGAGACATTCATTGCAAAGCCACATACTCAGTCAGTAGCATCCTTCACTGGCCTATGAGGTGATCCAACACCTCGACCTGACCCGATAAGCACCGGTTGATGGAGGCAATGAACAGAGCTTTATCTACGTAGTTTATGAAAACGTGTGGTCCCATGGTTGCTGCATCTGTATTGTTTAATCATGGTATTAAATTGACATCCCACCTAACCCTAGTTTAGTTCATTTGCCACACTCTCCATTTCCCCTCTGCGTCACTTACAAAATCCAAGGCCAGCATAATTAAAGTACATCCCACATTGGGGCGTAATTTCTCACTACATTGCCCTGGCAGACGAACTTAACGTGATAGTTACACTGATCTTTGCCAAGCCTGCCACCATGCTTAACACTAAATCGATGACAGTAGGTGGCGACAAGACTGGCATCAAGAAAAACCCTGATGTGACAAAATTGGTTCGCAGATGATTGAAAAGTTGTTTTACCAATATGCTTAATAGATCTCACACAATATTGCCTATGAACTAGGGTTTCGAAATGATATGCTGCGTACCAACAGCACTGAGAACACCGGGGCATCGGCACCAGTTCAGCGATGAAGTTTTCAACAATATGAGGCACAATTTAGCAATTGATAACAGACAGTTCAGAAATACTCATCTACTAGCTGAGGAACGCGTTTCGTACTATTGATGTGATATTCTCGAATGCATCTCAGTTTAAGTTCCGCTGATGTAACTGTTGCAATGAAGCACGACATAAGGAAGTGATGTTTTGCCGGTTAAATGGCTGACCACAGCGGTAAGCATACGAGTTTGGATATTCCATAGAGGTTAATGGCAATACATTTTTAACGGCGTTGTAGCATTGTTCCGCTTATGGCCAACGCATCCCAACCAGGGATATTTATTGCAGGGCTGTGAAAAGCACTACATAGACATTTTCTAATCCCTAACAACGGTTGATTTGTAATTCATTCCTATTATTATCGAGTGCCATTTCTCTCTTGATTCGTGCTGAATGTATCCGATAACCAATTATTGATGAGGTAAACTACTTGCATAACAAGTGCGTAAAATCTTTAGACCACCGCCTTAAGCAGGTATAAGAGACTAATGCTGAAGATGGAGTTGTGACGGTCAGACACAATCATAATTGGAGAGTGAAGGTTGACAACTTGTAGTAAGAATCAACATTCAAGGTGCCATTTTATTGTGCCCTCGGGGAGAGGCATTTTGTGACTTAGAACCTACTTAGAAGAGCAAATCATGATTAGCTCCGGTATTAGAGATGTATATTTGCACTATATAATACAACATATTCTCCAATTACTTCAATTTGCATCTGATAATTTTGATCTCGCACCAGTTATACAGCACAGCGACATGCCCTGGTGCAGGCTACCTTACGCACTTCGAAAGAGAAATACAATGGAATCAGATATCGTGTAAACTGAATAGGCCTATTATAAATTGGTCGCAGCAGGAGCTTCACTGTATCGACACCTCCTCGCTGGCATGCAGTCAATGGCACATTACTATTACGACAGCACGCAACACATAGTTTGAGCTAATCCGGACATATAGTTACATCAGGTGTGATGCTATTCGTGCATCACTTAAGTTGCGCATCCCGCCAGTGCTACAACATTTTGGGTGAGATGTACATCGTGCAGGTTTTTAAGGGAGCTGTGGGTGAACACTAAGAATGGGCGTGGGTTGGACCATAATAACTGCGGTTGGTGCGCAATTATGTTCTGTTGTGTCATATTTATAATCGGAACATGCATATTAAAGCTGTCACTAGGAGTGCGAAGACGCTTCAGTTCAACGAATAATATGCTCCGCAGACCCACACAATTATTACGAATATTTACATATCATAGCGTCGTTTAATTCCTGGATGTTGTATTAGTCGATCTACGATGTAGTGGACTCATCTGCGTAGAGTGACTGGCTGTGACAGATACCGCCGTTGGGTGGCTCATAGCCGTAGCTAAGGTCTCGTCAACAGCTTATTTTAACATGACATAAGTCTTAAGAAGTCGACTACTACTGCTGACGATGCACTTCATCGTCCTAGTGTTAATTAGGAATAATATTGTAACAAAAATATAGTCGACTAGAGCTACCCCTTCGTTAGCCATCCTCACAAAACGCAAAAAGATGGGCACCCATAAGTACTTGAATAAGTGTTATCGACAGGCTATCGATCCGGGGTAGTATAGCGGTTAGTATCCCCGCCTGTCACGCGGGTGACCGGGGTTCGATTCCCCGCCCTGGAGCTTTTTTTATCGCATCGTTTGAATATTTGAATAAAAAGATGTGTGTTAAACACGTCATCTTGTCTCATTTATCATTATAATTATAACCATTATTATCATCATTTCATATTATAGTTAGTTGGACTAATTAAAATGGGTGTGTGTAACTGGGAAGAAAGTGAGAAGATTCCTGTGACCAACATGGGTTGTGTAGGTATATATTCACCATCACTCCATAAAAATTGCAGGGCATCGGCGATCATTTATATTTTGATTTAAAGCCTTTGTTAAGGGAGGAAGGAAGGTTTGTTTAGTGGAAGACACACTTAAGTAGAGCTAGCACACCAAACAACAGGGGGCGACGTTGGAATCCACAACAGTTCTGTGCGCACACCTTCTCTGTAGAATCTCTGCACTAAAAGATGCTTCGGTTTGCGGAAGTAGATGCGGCGTGTGCTGAGGCCCTCGGGAATGCGTACAAGGCGAAGCGGTGCCCACCAAATGGCGGTTCTAAACGGCGCGGTGTTTCATTGTCTTCCTTGAAGAGGGCGGCAGCTGACGAAGATATAACTCATTCATTGCAGAGTACACCTAGAAATGGAGTGTGTACAGTGTCTACTGGCGAGAAGGCGGTGGAACTGGCCCAGGTGTACGCATCAACCCTACCTGGCTCCCAACCTAGGATAGGATTTTCTGACCAACAGTCGCATTCCTCGCCTTCTATGCCCTTTGAAGCGTTTGCATCCCGCTCCTCGGGGTTCAATATGGAGATTTCATCTGACGATGTGCAGGCGAAGCCGAATCCAGAGAATTTGGTATGCAGACCTAAACATTCTGCCACCCCTACAGGCGTGGCTGGCGTATTAGGACGTCTGGATGTGTTGCTCTCTGACACAGTTGTCAATGAAGGTATGCTCGTAACCTAGCTGACCTCCCATAACGCTTTTCAGACGGCACATTCTCTGCACGCTGGCTGCCTTCGGCCAATGAGCTGCTACGCATATGTGAGGACATATTCCAAAAATCCGGGGAGTCTTCTACGGATTCGCCAAGGATGAGAACAATTGAAGCAGAAATCAAAGGCGCGGCTTCTTTGCTACAGGTAGGGCAGCAGTTGCATGACCTTACGCCACGCAGTTTATCAAAGATGTCAAAGGGAATGAATGCGAGTTGCTCATGAAGAAATACTCGTCGATGGCGCATCGACTTTCCGAATGCATCAAGAAATTAGCCGCGCAGGAGCTCCCCAGCAAAACGGGTGCCGACTATAGTAGTGATTTCCCCAATCAGTTGCGATCGGTGCCAAATGCGGCTACCGAAGAGAATGAGGGATTCCGCACAACCGGCAGCGGAATGGCTGGATCTAACGAGTTCAACAAGCCATATATGGGTCTCCCGTGCAATGTGATGGTTAGCAACCCGTATACCTATACGCAACCATGTTTGAATACGCCTTCAATGCTCGGCATCCGACCATCACCCTACGGGAATGTTCTACCTATTCCAACAGCCGTGATGCCACAGTGTCCGCCGTATCTATGCGGACCTGCGCCTACGTTAATGCAGGATGGGGCGCCGGTGCAGGCAGTCATGCGACATCCTCAGTGCTCTCCTATGCATAATATGATCCCCAGATATGCACCATTATATGGCTGCTCTTACGAGGAGAAATACTACACGCCTACCCTGATGAACACCCACGTCCCGGATAAGGTGTTGGTTGCGGGGCCTTGGAATGCCCAACCTGGAGAGATGGCTTCTCAGCTAAACTATCCCAATGGTTGCAACCCTATTATCGATTCTTTGGGAGGGATGCCTCGTATCCAATGACGCGTGAAACTGGGTGAGAGCAGGCGGGGCTAATATGGGACTATGAATTTGACGGATATACTAAGATTGCCCGACCGTTCTTTTGAATTCAGGCGATAATGCTGTACCTTAGGGCACGCGGATACACCGTAACTGCCATCCCCTTGAGGAATGTATTAAAGTGGGAAAGGAAGACGATATAATGGAACGGATGTATATGAAGAACTACTTTTGCGTCCTATAAATACGGAACAACACGGGCGCTGCGGCTACCGCTTACGCCATTATAATCGTGGAACCCGAAATAACCCTACCGGTTATGGAATGGATAAGCGTTAACTTCATGTTAGGTCCCGTGTGCAGTTTCCGGTTGCGGTTGGACGTATACCAACATGTTGGATGGCCTTTGCCGCCGTGGGATATGCAGTCATTTGGAATGCTTGCACTGTCCCATGGTTGCGGCGGCAGATGATCAATGATTTGCCCTCTGGTTGTTGGCGCAGCAACGTGTGCGGATACACGTGGCGGCCAATTATATTACAAGGCACGTGTGTCAGGCGTCCCTAGCGACGTTGAAAATTTTGCTGATGTCGGGGTATTTGTCTGTACTATTTATTCGGTACTCGATTTAGACCAACCCTTTATATGTTTTGCCAACTCGGAATGCGGGGTTACCAAGAAGAACTGGCGGGTTTTATTGTTCGCGGCAAATTGCACCAGCGATTCGATGCTACGAAGTGTGCATAAAGGTAACAACGGGGCTTACTTTTTGATTCGCGTACTCTCGTCCATGTATACGTCAACTTCGTCGAACATGTGGATGGGGGAGAAGGATATTGTTGCCAAGCTTTGCAGCATGGAGAGCTGGATCGCGGATTGCTCGCCCCCGCTGAGTGTCTGCAAGCGTAATTATACCGCAGCGTTAGTCAGTAGTAACAATCATACCAAACAGGACTGGCATATAGAAACTGATGTTTAATATATGTGTATATAAGTTTACGAACCAATCGCCCAGGTCGCAGATTTTATGTTTCCGTGCGCAGCACGCAACCACCATGTTATGAACATATTGTGATACGTAGCGCAACAGATGATCGAATAAGCAACATTTTTGTGGTCAGACAGATACGTACACGACACTGCACCATGCCTTTTGGTATGAAGAATGTCGCTACGTGGGCACACGAAAAACAACCTACCTTCAGGTCAGTGGCTAAGTGGGCACGTGAGTACGATTGCTGTTTGTTGTAGATTTGGATGTCCAGGGTGCGGTTCACGTCGTTGAAAACCAGGCTCCCGTCATACCCTGTAACCGCGTCTAGCGTCTGTCGAAATGCCCTCTTGGCTTTGTGTTCAATGCGTGCTCGGCACTCCTCGAAACGCCTGCATCGCTTGGCGTAATTCCTTTTCTGCAAGCTGTAGTTTTCGGTTGTCTCAGTAAGTCGTAGTTCTTTATCCCGCAGTGATTGTTCTGCAGCTGCGTGCTTTTCACGTAGGGACTGCAGGTGAGCCTCAATGCTCCTCGAGTCGTCCACAATGCGCTTGAGGACATCTTTGCTCAGGTTCAATATTTGCAAATAATCGTTCGGCGATTTGGTAGGCAGCTCTACGGAGTAATCGATTCCTTCTGCTTCTAACTCAGCCTTGTGACTCTCAAGTTTCTGTTTAGCCTCCTTAAGGTCGTTCACGTACCCGTCCAACTTGAAGTTGTAATCGTCCATGTTTTTCTGCAAGGCCTTTATCTGTGTCTTTTGCGTGTTGATACGCTGCTGTATTTTCTGAATATCGACCTTCAGGGCGGAAACATTCTTCAATGTAGCCTTCAAATCGCTATTTGCAACCTTAAGCTCCTCCTCCTTAGCCACTTTCTTGGATTCCATGGTAGCCAACTCTGCTTCGAAGTCAGCCAGGTCAGCACCGAGAGTCCTCAGCTGGCGACGATAATCTGAACGGATTTCCTCCATAGCCTCGCAATACCTGTTGTAACGGCTGCTCTGGTTTGTGGTTTCCAAGCTGTCCAGTTCTTCCTGCAAATCCGCTTCCAGCCGGGTACGTTTTCGTATTATGCGGGTCTTTTCTTCCCGTATGTCGTCGACTTTGCTGCGATGTGCATTCAAACGAGTATTGCACTCCGAAAGTTCCTTGGATAGAGATGACAACATGGACTTCAGTGAGGCCTCACGCTGCGTGCCGTTATCCTTCCGTTCGTCCCGCTCCCACGAATAATCGCCTTCGTTCTCCTGAGCGTAACATACATACTGGTATGCAAATGGGTGCTTTTCGTAACACGGAGACAGATACATCGATCCATTCAGCCTCCTGCCGCTATTCAACCGGGTCAAAGAGTACGCGACAGCTACTTTGTCGACACCTCTTGAGAGCACCTCATACATCTGCTCATCATCGATGCAGACAACAGTGCGGCCTATGCCACACACGTCATCTAGCACGTACAACAGCAGAGGGGGGATTTCCCTCACGGCGAGGTAACTGTAAATAGATTGGCGATGACTAACCATGGGGAGCCTTCTCTGCATACGCTCCACGAGGTCGGGACGCATGAACACGTTGCTCTTTATTATCTTGGACTGGCTGCGGCTGCAACCGTGCTTGATCAGCAGACTCTCCAACGCGCGACGATCCTGCTCTGTAGCAACAACCCAGGAGTGTATCATGTTACGGAGGTGATGCTCCACCACAGCCAGCACTTTCCATGTTGGCGCGTCTCGTGTCACTACCAGGTAATCTCCAATTGGGCCAATGGGCATGTAAACAAATACCCCCTGATCTCGCATCCGCTGGATGTCTTCACGAACCGCATTGACGTCGTAGCGGTACAGGGCCCGACGCAACGGGTCCGACCTAACACTTGATACCGTCGAAAACTCCAATGAAGCGTTCTCGCGCCTCTGCTCATCCAGATCGATTTTTACATTCCGTATTTGCGTTTCAATTTCATGTGCGGAGCTCTCAGCTTCGGCGATTTCAAACAAGACAGACTCCAGCTGCCGGTTGACACCCTCGTACTCCTGGCGGCAGGCGTCAAGTTCACGCTCCAGACGCTTTTTGTCTGTATCAGCTGGCTCTGCGGCCACTGCGGAGAGCTCGCCATCCAAATTTCCCATTGCAGATTCCACTTGCGATATGGACGTCCGTTTGGCCGAAATGCGTGACTGCATGTCACCGATGGAGTCGTTCAGAACGGCTATCTGGTCGGTGATGGTAGTGATGCTATCCTTGTGCTGGAATGTTTTCGACGTTTGAGTTTGCATGTCTAGCTTTACATCCTCGAGCTCCCCACTGAATAACTCAATTGAATGTTGCAGTTTCACTATTTCATCCTTGGGGTCGGTTTGGTTAAATCGGTCGTAGGTCTCCTTGAGAGCCTCGTACCGCTCCTTGTAGGCGCGATACTGCGATAATCTATACATCTCATTCGCCGACTTCCAGTCCGTAAGCTTTTCTTCAAACAGTGATATCTGCTTAGAAAGATCTCGCAGCTTCTCACGGTCTGGGTGCAAGACGCGCTTGCGTACCTTCAATTCCTCTTTGCACTCCTCCAAATGACGTTTCTCCGTGCTTAAATTCTGTTCCATCTCCACCAGACCCGCCGCAGCGGAGTAATACCGATAAAAGCTGCTGGGGTTCGAGTGAAAGAAGAACGACTTGCTGGACTCCTGGTCCATGTACGTCGTGGGGTTACCGATCTAGCACACGTGATGGGTATGGTATCGTTCAACTAACACTCATTTTAATGTGGCGAAGGTAGCGATCGACCTCTTTTTTGTTGACCACTGCCTTCTTAACCAAAGATCCGCCCATGTAAAATGCGGAATGATTCTTGTGTATGACTCTCGCAAGAACGACGGTGTCACCATACAACTCTGGCTTGTAGGCATTGTCCCCGTGGTTGGAAAGCGTGATCTCCACACGAGCAAAGCTGTGCTTAATGACCTAATCATATCGATTGGACGCACCTGGGGCCATCTCTGAGGTGGTAGTCTTTGATGTAGTGTAAAAGTGCGGTGTCACGACCCGCAGAATGGCCATAGCCGCCGAAGCACAATGCCATGCCCTGCACAATTGCGCTTTTGCCCTCTGTAAGTTGTGTGACTGTGCGACATGAGAACCTACGCCCGTTCATGCCGAATATCATGTTCAGGTACGGTGAGCAATGGAGCAACAGATTTGCGTGGTTCAAAAAGTTTATCAATTGGACCTTTACCACCTTTCCAGTCGTGTTTACGAAGGCTGATACACAATGAGGCGTGCTAAAACGCAGCTACGGCGGTAACATCAAGCTTGAACTCACCTTCAGGTAATGTTGCGGAGGTGGAATCCCCGAGTTCGGGAGTAGCGGCATCCGCTACGCTCTCCTCACGCACATCCATGGTCATATGCAGACACTCCACACTGTCATCAAGCTCATTGGTTTACTGGCAGGCTTGAATCGCCGTGAGTGTGCAAGAGCCGAACTTGGCTACCGCTGGGCACAGACAACCTGGGCAATGCGTACTGCAGGACATATTAACGCCACCCTTGCACTGCATTTACAAAACACGGATGTTATACTTGTCAAACAGGCAGCTACCAAGTATATAGCTGTGCTTCTCTCATGGATATGCTCAACCGCTTGTAGACAGATGTGTACCGCTAGCGAAGGTGCGACCAATCGCTCGGCGGTGAAGGTGAATTAGGCAGATTCACCTCGCCTTCTGGCGTGGTTTTATGACAGTATAGACACCCCAAATGCTGTGTAGACTACGTAAGAACGCCAGACTGCCAACTAACGGAACAAGGTAACTCGGGGTGCAAGATCGGCGGGCCAATACACAATAAACGAATCGCTACCGATAACATGAAATAGGGAAATTACATAGATTCACGGTTGGCTGGGCGGAAGCCAGATAATAATTAGGCCGCCTTGTTGGCCGCGCGCAACTCCTTGTAGAGCGCATCAATTTCTGCAGCATATCTTTCCCGCAACTTGTGACGTCGCAATTTAGCGGTCACAGTTAGAAGATCGTTCTCGACACTGAACGGTTCGTGTTCAACATGAATGGCCTTGACCTTCTCGTAGCCTTTCAGGCCGTTTTCTTGGAACAGTTTTTCCATCTCGGCCATGATCGCGTCGCGTAGCTCCTTCTTGCCGCACACTTCTTTGAAGCTGAGCGATCCCATGCCATTAGACTCCTTCCAGTGCTTCAATACGTCCTCGTCCGGCACCACCACTGCGACGGTGTAGACCTCATCGTTTTTGCCGAACACGAAGGACTGTGCGACCAGGGTGCCCATGTTAATGACAGATTCCACCATACCGGGCGACACGTACTCGCCCTGAGCTAGTTTGAATACGTTCTTCACGCGGTCTATGATACGTATCGATCCACTCGGCAGAATCTCTACAACGTCCCCAGTGTGCAGCCACCCGTCAACCAAGGCTTCCTTAGTCGCCTTTTCGTCGCGATAGTAGCCGTGCATGACATTGTAACCACGGATGAGGAGTTCACCGCGCGGCGGCTGCGCAGTAGCGTCGTACTGCAGATCGGGTACGGATCTCAGACGGAACTCCTGGTTAGGCAGCGGACCTCCGCAGCTGGTAGGATCTGTGTCGTAGAAGTTTTGTGCCGTACTTCCGGCCCCGCTTTCGGTAAGGGCATATCCCCAGAGCAGCGGCACACCGAATATAGCTCGCAGGCGTTCAATCACGTTGGGGTTCATGCCGGAGGATCCCACTAACATCCACTTCACCTGCCCTCCTAGCAGGAGCTTCAGCTTGTTGAATATGAGCTTGTCCCACAACGCGTGGGTGTAGATACCCTGTGTATTAATGCGATTCATCTTTGCTGCGAGCCCAGTCTTGAACAGCGCCCTCACCACGAACGATTTTTGCGCTACATTAGCCATCACCCTGTCGTGGATGCGCTGGAACAGGCGGGGCACTCCCAAGAAGAAGGTGGGCTTGAGCTCCTGTACGTCGTCAAGTATCTTTTTGATGTCCCCGGAGTAGAGTCCTATGCACCCTCCAAAGTAGTATACAGCGTTCACGAAGTTCTTTTCGAACAGGTGCGCCATGGGCAAGTAACTAATGTGGCGCTCCATTGGCTTCTCAATGAATGACCTCTTGACGTCTGAACATACACGTTATGATGAAGACGGGGCAAACATACGGTCCTCGCAGGTCACCACAATAAGGTCGGTGATGTTTTGCTGAGTGAGCATAACACCCTTGGGCGTGCCGCTGGTCCCAGACGTGTACGAGATCAGGGCCAAGGTGTCAGGGTGCGGAGGCGATGGCGGCAGCGGTTTCTTACTGCCCATTGCTTCAAGTTCGCGCCAGAGCATGAAACTGATTCCATAACTGTTGTTTTTGAGCACGTCATCCACAGAATCGCAATCGATAAGGATAATCAGCTCAAGATTCACACCTTCAGTGCCCAACCCAAGAATGTCGAGCATGGTCTTTGCCGTTGCAGGTGTGCACACTAAGACAGTAATCCCGGAATTCTTCAGGATTGTATGGATGGACTCATTGCCAAGTGTGTTGTATATGGGAACCAGCGTATAGCCATAGGCGTTGCACGATTGTTCAAGGATGAGCCACTCAATACAATTGGTGACAAATACGCCAACCATTTTAGAGTCCTTCACCTTTGGGTGACAGGATGGCTGCTCCTCTATCGGAAGCTGATGGAGGGCACTTCCGATGACTAACGCCTTAGTTTCGACCTGTATCAGATGCTAATGCGCCACATTACATCCCCTACCTCTTTGTAGGTCATGAAGCGATAGGCGCCTAGGGAGCCATCGGGCTTAACCTCACGCTTCCCAATGCAAGGAGCATCCGGATTGATTTTGAGACCGTGCTGGAACACGTCCCACCTGCGCAGATAGTGAGCGTTGCATTAAGCTTGGCGCTACTAACATTGTATGAAAATCGCCATGGTCGCTCGCCCTCTTCAATGTCTCAGAAGCAGCATTGCGGTAGATGGGAGAAAAGCCTGCATCTAGTTAGCGCATATACTTGGTACAGTCTCATTCGTTGCCAAAAGGGCGTGCACTATACGGCATGTACTTACCTTCCTCCTCGGTTCCGGCTATTGCCAGACCGTAAAAGCCCAGCAAAGCACCCAAATTCGAAAACCCCTTCGGTGCCTCCATGGGTGATGAAGGCAGAATAAATAGTTGTTGAATGTTAGCGGTTTGTGATCGTGTTTGTCGTGTTTAAATGAATGACGCCGGTTGCCCGGAACCGCCGGTAGAGACAGGGGCTCTTGCACACCACCGCGCGCCTTTATCCTCACGTCCGTGTCTGTGCGTTCTGACATATCACGTCATGGGTGGTTATGTTCGAGAGCAAAAATGGCAATGTGTAAGATAATTCGTAGCAACAAATCGCCAGTGCTACTTGAGGTGTAATCAATGGAGTTACACACACTAATGCGTGTGAGAAATCACATGTGCGTCATGGATTTCTGTGGCTATAGCCTAGCGTTTAAGTGGTGTGTTTAACCTTGTATACGCGTGTCTACCATGAGCTATTAGCTGCGCTTGCTTGTTTACTGCCCTCACCCGGCCACATGAGCGGGGCGTAACGCGTAGAGCCACACGTGGCCCACACATGCCAACTACGCAATTATATGCAACTTGATGTACGTTGGAGATCGATGTGTATGAGATACAGTTCACTCCGGCTCGATGCCTGACCCATATACCCATGTCGCGTTTCTTAACGCGTAGAGCGAACGTAACATTGGTGTCTACGAATGCCTTTCCTCAGCAATAACAATATCCAATGGTTTACGCTTTGGTCCGTGCTATCATCCGCGACCTTCGTCACGGGGCGCGGTGACCTGTGAATATGCCACGACTCGATCAGCCCAGCGATTTGGGCTCCGCTGTGAGGACTGGCATAGGGGTTAGCAAATCCGCGGGGCGTCACTTCATAGTGCATCCCTCATTGAAGTTTGAAATCGTTTTGGCGTGCCTGCTCGGCGTGCCGTACGCCGTCGTTGCAACGCTACTGTGTATGCGTGACGATTGGTCCACCCGCACTGCCTTCCTGCTATCCACATGCTTTCCTCTGGCGATTACGAGTTACTCTGGTATCCCTCGCTTGGTGAATACCCTCCAGCATAAAGGTAGGCTCCGCGTTTTTTAAAAAAAAACTAAGTTGTCTTCGAAAGGCCGTGATGAGCGTCATGAGATTCTTGAGGCGCCGTCAAAAGTAGAATACGTTAAATTACGACCGCGCTGTTGTTTGGGCGGTTATATGAGGGCAAATGAAATGGAATTATGTGTTGTCAACATTCGCAGTGGTGACTGTTCATTTTGTTTTCAGGCCTATGCAACCCAAATCTACATCAGAAAGAAGGTTCTCAAAGGGTGGCTGAGCCGGGATCGCTCTGGGCATGTGTTCTCTACTTGATTTACCTCGTTGGCCTTGGTGCTGCATATGCCGGCCCAAGCGATAGCGCGGTATTCAATTGCTCTTTAGTTGCGATTGCAACGTTGACTATTCTGGTATGTTGTTATACTGTCGGTAACCAATGACTGGCAGGGACTTGTTGACGACCTTGTGCAGATCGGGTGGTTCGCAAAGGTGGCAGTCCCTGGAATTGGTGAGTGTGTCAGATCAAGCGCTACAATACGTCGCAGTTGCCGTACACATGTGCAAAATGTTGCCGCGCGAAACTGCGGTTATTGTTCCACGATTACTACCTCTTATCGGGGGGCATGCCATCGACCTTGGCATTGTGTACTACGCTTCGTTGGTACTTCTGGCGATATTCTTCGTCAACGCCATTAACATACACGCTGGTGGGTTCTCACAGTGCATTTGTAGCTGGTGACTTAACGAAGGTATTAACGGGCTAGAAGTGGGTCAATCCGTCATCATCGCCATCTTCGTGGTGGCGCACAACTGCCTCGTGAGTCATCCCAGCCATATCATAAATGCTCGCGCAGGAATTATCGCAACTAGTTGGTGCGCGTAATGGCGTAGACGCTGCCGCGTCGCTAGAGAGGCACCTGATATCGCTAAAGCTGACGCTGCCGTTCCTCGCGATAAGCGCAGGACTCCTGTGTTACAACTGGTACCCCGCATCCATATTCTTAGGGAACATCTACACATCACTGGCGGTATGAGACGAGGAAGCTTTCACAAATGAGGTTCAGGGGGCTTTGTTTGCCGCAAACGCGTTGTTGTGCGAGAGGTCTGCGCTAATGTTGCTGCTTTTCCTCCCGCAAATAGCTAACTTTGTATTGTCCATACCTCAGGTGTGTTATAAATGCCTGCGAACGATACACATCTATGCAGCTTGTCGGAATCAAGTGCTGTCCGCGTTTCAGGACCCCTCGGTAAGTGATGTGCCGAATGTCGACATAATCGCGTAGTTTTAACGCCAGCACTCAGCTATTGGAATACTCCAATAACTACACACTCCTCAACGCATTGCTATGGGTGAGTGTGCGTGGAATCTTCGAGTATAATGGTGGCGTAGATCCTCGGCCCCATGGCAGAGCGCGATTTGTGCGCCCTTTGCCTTGGAATCCAAGCCCTTTGTTGCGTGATAGGACTCACAGTATATCATATTATAGTTTAGTTGAATGTAAAACGTTTCTCCCAGTGGATAGCATTGTTAACGGTAGTCCGTGTGCCGCGATGGCATTTACTCCCGGGGTCATAGCTTCGGCTGATTCCTTCACCCATCTGCACACACCGCTGCTATTTTAAACGTATGTGATCGTTAAGGGGAACATAATGTAAGTCTGGTGGGAAACTGGACTTCCGAAGGCACATCGGCCGCCGCTCTAGAATCCGCCGGAGTCATATGACCCTGCTATGATGTTGATGCACGCCTAATGAAGGAGTGCATGTCACAGAATGGTAATATGTGCGTGTCTAGTGGCAGCAGCGTGGACAGCAGTTTCGGCTATTGCACCTCCGCCGGCGGCAGGGACTCTCGTAACTGGGTTCGTGGCAGAATGGGGTTTCAAGCAGCCTATATGTGGAAGACAGCTGTGCAAAACGCGCATAGATCCAGCATTACGCCACAGTGACAGTTGGAATGGCCGTAGCAAGTATAGGCAAAGCCGATCGAGCGTTAACAACAGCAGTAATGACATCCTAGGCGGCAACCGGTTACTTTTGTTTGGTGACGATGAGCACGACGAGATTTCACACGCAACAAAGGTGTCCGACAATGGTGGTATCAAGCAAACATCCCATCCGAGGAAGAAAGGCATTGCGCCAGTCGGTGACGACAGCCCCAAAGTTGCCCTTTCAACTGAAGTTAGGGCTGAGGGAAGGTCACAGACCCGCCAAAATTCCGATTGGAATGATGCAGCAGAAAAACGCTCAGAAAGAGTGGACGAGCTGACAGTAGTGTACTCCAAGGGTTTACGTCAGAACATTTCAGCGGTCGACCCGGGGCATGCGGCTACCAAGCATAAGACTACCGGTGCTCACGATACGGCTAAACAGGCAGATGCAGGAGATGTACCCGAACCAGCGCAACAAGAAAATGCACGGAAGCATGGCAATTCCCATAAGGAGGTGCTTTACTCCCAGCTGTTACGCCTGTTTGAGACTGTCAGCCCCGCCATGCAAAAAGAAAACACAGATTTGTATACGGAGTTACATTCCCTCGTAAAAGACCTTGATTGGAATGCTTGGGAAGCGGCTGCAGCGTCTCCTGATGGCATTAAAGATTTTTACAGTTTGCAACTCGGCAGATACAAATCTGTGGACTCGGGCTTCAGGCAATGCCTTTCCGCACATATGAGCCGATGGAAGGAATGCCTCAATACAACACCGCCGATGGTGAGCAACGCGTTGAGTAAATTGACGAAACCGCTGGGTATGCAGCACGCCCTCGACGTTGGCGAATTCCTTTTGTTGATTGATGAGCTTGTGGACAGATACCACAAAAACGAGAGCGAACACAGATGGAAAGTCTTATATGCACTCAAAGACTGGATGGTGAACACCGCAGTTGCAGCGGTGGATGTAGTGCTCCCTTTGAGACCCGCTGAGCGGCTTGTGGGAGCATTATCCTTCGCGAAATCAGTGTGCAAGTGGATTGCTTCCAAACTCATGCGGCAGGATGGGCTCAATTTTTCCTTTAATGAGTTCGGCTTGTTCAAGTATTATGAAATGACAAAGTCATACATCCACGTTCCTGATAGCGATACGTGGCCTCAGGATTGCCAGCCACTTGCTCCACCTGGGGGTGGCGCCTGGAAGCTGACATTCCTCGGGACAGGTTCTAGGAAGACGTCGAAAACACGCGTGACATCGTCCATACTTTTTGCACGCTCTGGAATGGATCATTTGTGGTTGTTTGACTGCGGAGAAGCATCCATATTACGCCTTTATGCATCAGGGTACAGCGACAAGCGTGTGAAAAAAATCTTCCTAACCCACTTGCACGGTGACCACTCTTTCGGCTTGTTCTCGTTCCTCAGCGCAGCTCCTAGCTCCACCCCGATTGAAGTCTACGGTCCTTCTGGTACCGCCCAATTTATCGCAAACGTACTTTCAGCGACATCAAAGTCGCAGAAGCTACGATCGTTCGTCGTCAACGAACTTGTTACTCCCGGCCATGAAACGGATGCACAAAATGAAAGAGAGCAGCTGGAGAAAACCTTCAAAATAAACTATATATACCCTGATGGCAATATGCATTACATTGCTCATGAGGATGACACGTGTGTCGTCAAGGCCGCGCCGTTGGTCCACACCATCAACACCGTGGGTTACGTTGTCCAGGAAAAGTTAGCGGAAGAACTGGATAGCCCTATGGGATTACTTGAACCAACGTTGGTGGGCACATCGTGTGTGAATGACAAGGGTAGTGACGCGTCGGGAAACATGAATAATGCAAAAAGGCCCCCGCGCAAATTTGCCATATGCCAGGACACGGCGGACAGCCGGCTGCTGCAACCTTTGGCCATGGACGCAGACGTTTTAATACACGAATCGACCATCAATGCGCCCAGCAACGCTGGTTCAGAAATGTTGCTGCGGCTAACTAGGCACGTGTCGTCGGACACTATGAAACGCACAACCATGCGAATGCTGGACCAGCTGTTGCAGACCGAAGAAATGAAGTTTCAAATGTGCCACAGTACATTAAGTAACATACAATACTACTACAATCGCAAGCTTCGCGCATTGCGCGATGTTATACAGCACCAAGAAACGCTTGCGGATGCGGTGGGCCGCCTCGATGAAGCGCCGGCGGATACATTCCCATCTCAGACTGCAGCTATTGGAACTAAATCCAATACACGCAACGGCCATGAAGTCCAGGAGAGGCGTACACCTACTTGGACAACTATGGTCAGACAACTTATTGGAGAGCTCAAGTTGTATTCCGAAGCACAATTTGCTGGGATGATCGTGAATGACATGGCACGCCTGGTTGCGCTTATCAATGAACTGAGCGACATTTCTCCCGGTGACAAGGGCCAACCGAAGAGCCGTGTAATGCAAACAAATATGCGCGCCTTGGCGGTTCAGCTACTAGAAGAACAAGGGGTCCAGGTGGACCGCAATATCGAGTTCACTGGGGAGGCTGACAGTTCAAAAGCCAGTCGCTCCATAGATCGCATAACGCCTCTGATATTTCAATACTGGTCCGATGTTATGGGTGTGCGCTTGCCAGTGCTTGAGCATGACAAGTACGGTCGTCTCGAGTGGGAGAAGCTCTACAACGCATATGCACGCTTCAATGGCCATTCCACATGCCTCCAGGCAGGCGAATTCGCTTCTCGAATTCGTGCTCGCAAGCTCATACTCACCCACTTCTCGCAGAATTGCCCAGACGGACAGGAAAGTGAGCACATACTCACCATGACCAGGATTGCCCATGCGGCATTGCGTGGGTACCGCCGCCACCACGCCGAAAAGGAAGGCCGGAAACTCATAGTGGGAACGGCGTGGGACACGTTCTCACTTACAATATAAAAGTCAGCGATGCAGTGCACATTGTGTTAATTACTCAAATACCTGCTGCAAATTGCATTCTGGCTAGGTTTGGCTTGGGCCGCTTCTAGCGTTTGCCGGGATGGCGCACCACTTCGTTGGTGTAATCTGAGGGTTCCACGTCATCCTGTCTGAGCACGAGAGTCATAACCTTCAACGGGTAATAAGGCGCTTATGACATAGTGTGCCACATTTAACATCGTACTTTGTTTGACTTCTTTCTCTTTCATCTCCTTCACCGAGTGCTCTCACTTCCCCCTCTTGTATATCTGTCTGCACCAAGCATTCTAGGTTGGTAATCCCGATCTACACGATTGTGATCATGCTATTCCTCTCATGCTATTACGATATAGAGTCCGTTAATCTCCGTGCTATGATTCGTCTTCTCCAAGTAGAGCCTGCCGTTAGCCGTCCATAGTTGTCAACATCTTCCATCTGCCTCTTACCATTCTTCGGTCTCACAATTGCTTTTAATCCCGATACATAAGATCTATTCTCTACAATTACAACCGACTTTCTGCGTACAAACACCACTTGCTCATACATAAGGCATCGAAGATTCCGTTTCTTTTAAATGCTGCACAGGGAACAATATTTCCATTGCATTTTACGCTGGTTATTTATAACGTGCCTCTATTCACAATATTTTTTGCCATAATTTCGAATCGCATTTTCAGCAAGATGTACTTATAGATTAATGGTCTATGGTGGCAGTGGGGCATAGCTAGAATTCCAGAAGAGGGAGACGATTTGAGGCGAACAATAATTTCCAGTTTGCACAAGATTAGACAGTTTCTATGTGTCGTTGAACATTAAAGTGCAGTTAGGAGGTTTTAGGTGACCTCCGAAGTGGGTTAGGACTTTGAGTTGTATGGATACTGGAGGGTGCAATCTGTGAGTGAGTCGAATGTTCGATTCGGTATGAATTTTAAATAAGCCCTTCATTTGGTACAAGTCTAGGTAATGTAGAACAAAACATCCCCCAAAGTGTATGTGACCTCCAGTGCTTATCGCATTACTGCAGCGGGGTCGGGGAGATGCAAACCTCGAATTGCTAGGCGGGTGTTGTGAATTAGCGTCTACCGTCGTCTCGGCGGCGTCAGGGTTCGGTGCTAGAGGCATGGCGCCGAAGGCCTTGACGGATTGCCCCGAGAACCTTCGAGAGGCAATCGACTGGCTCATCCAGGTGAAGCAGGGTGGCGGGATTTCAAGGCTGTCCCAGGCTCTCGGTAAGTTGCTTGACCATGTCGCTCAGGACGCTCAGACATCTCTGCCATCTCTACCCGAATCAGATGGGCCGTCCGCCGGAGATGTTATCTCCAGGCTTAAAGAGTTTCGGAGCTCTCTTCCGAAAGACTCTGCGCATCCTAATGAAAACATTTTACATAATCTCTGTTCCTCCTTTGAGACATTTTTAGGCTATAAGCCTCCCGGAATCTACGATGGTTCCGGGATTGTGTATGGCTCCGCCTCCCGTTTGTGCGACGCCATTTTAGCGTTCTTGTATGCTCTGTTCACTGATGTCTATGATAATCAGCCGTACGTGTCCGGTAGATCTATATTGCATGATGTTCTTGATAAGCATCTTAAGCCTCAGTTGCGGCAGGGCCACAAGGGGTTTACTCACGCCATACCCCTGGTGGCCGACGGCCTCCGCAAGTATAACCAGGCTGTCTCGGCTTCGAACGAAAAAGTGAAGAAGCCGATAAATGACTTGTTGACTTATGTGGGTGAGGGTGGTGTGTTGCTTACGAAGGTTAATAAAATTCAGGTGCCGAAAGAGTCTACGCCTCTGAAACCTGAGGAAGCGGAGAAGGCCGTCACGGCGGCTAGCGATTTGGTGGACCAGTGCGTTGGTGAAGCCAAGAAGATACAACATCCGTTCGAGGCAGCCAAAAGGGGCAACATTGTAGATCAATACAATGATCTGAATTTGCAGCTGCGTGAGAAAATCCGCAATGCCCGCAGAAATATTGGCCATGAAGCGAAGAGGCTTAAGCAGCTCTCCAAAAGGGAGAGGAAAAACCTGGAGGCCTTCATTAAGATGATAAAGCAGGCGCTCCACAAGCTTAAAACCGACGTAAATGCGCAGATCACCAAAAAGGTGGAGGAGCTTGTTAGGCAGTTGAAAGATAAAGTGCAGGCCATTTTGGCCCAACTCGAAAAAATCAGTACATCGCTCGGACAATACATTATGGACCTGGACAAGTGGATTGAGAAAACCACAAAGGATATTAAAGCTGCGCAGAAATTAGTCCAGAACATTTTGGATGAGGTAAATGGGAATGTGGAAGATAAAAATCTGAACCATAAACACAATCTCGACGAGGCGATTGCTACTGTTGAGAGCAAGTTGGAAGAGAGAGCTGCGGATTTGACACAATGGAAGGCAGCTGCGCAGAAAGTGCTCCAAGGTACGATTGATAGTTCTGGTAATGTGTACAAAGATTTGGATCCCAATCAAAAACAAGGCCCTGGCGAGACGACGAAAATTGGCAAAGGACTTCAGCAGATTACTACAGCTAAAGAAAAAGTTGAGGGCGTGAGTAGTGAGCTAGGAAATATTCACGGCGATTTGCAGACTTGGAATTCCACGGCAAGCAGTGTGCTCAGCCAAGTGGTTAGTAAAGCGCAGGACGTGCGTAACAAGTTGGATCCTGGTGGCACGGATACTATTGGTAAGAGCATTAAGCAAATTGCCGAAGGCAAAGAAGGAATTGACACCGCAAATCAGACGCTTGGCACACAAGTAAAGAGTTTAGAGAAGTGGATCAACGACGCCGAGAAAATACGTGAACAGGCTGAGAAAAAGGCTAGGGAAGCCTACGATAAGTTGAAGGTTAATAAGACTCTGAGCCAAAATGTTCAGAAAATTGTGGACGCCAATAAGAAAATTGCGAGCGTGCATACTGAGCTGGGAAAGGTTCATGGAAATTTGGGAGAGTGGAAGCAACAGGCCGGGGATGTGCTTCAAGGGGCGATTAATAATGCGCAATTTGTATATGATAGGTTGGGAGATGGTCAGCCTGTGAGTCAGGGAATTGACAAAATTGAGAGCAATAACAGCTTAATTAAAGATGCTAATGAGAAACTTGGCACTGAAGTCACGGCTCTAGGTAAGTGGAGTAAGGCCGCCAAGGATGTTATTTCCAAGGCGGATGGGAAGTGTGTCAAAATTTTGGAGAAAGTTAAAACTACAGATCAAAAGAGTGTAATTTTTACGCAAGCTGATTTGTTACACAAAGATGGTAAAAGACTTTTGCAGGCTGCGATTACGGCCAAGCAGCAAGTTGAGCAGAATGTCACCGCGGCCTTGGAGGCTGTTGTGCAAATGGACAAATCTCTCAAGACGGATTTGAAAGATGTGAAACAGGATATTAAGATAGGAATAGACCATGTGATTAAGACGTTGCAAGTTAAGGAATTGGATACTTTGGTGAAGAATGATTTGAGGACGTTGAGGGGGAGGATTAGTGAACTTGGCCAGCAGGCTGATACCAGTACCTCCGGTAATGGGCTTGTTGGTGCGCAGTTAAAAGCTCTTGAAGATGCAAAGAACATTCTGGACAATGGTGCTGTACAACAAATTAAGTTGGCGGAGCAGGGACTTGTCGGCAAGTTTCAGAGTGAAATCCAGGTGAAGCTTCAGTCTGCGGTCAGTGAAGTCGACCAGGCGATTGGGAACCTCGGTGGGAAGTTTGGTGGCACTGATAAGACAACCGTTGATAAGATTTTCTCGCATATTAAAGAAAAGGTTGGGAAGATTAGGGGGACGGCGGGTAACGGAAGATGGGATAATGAAGGTGGCCAAGGCCTGGAAGGGATTAAGAGTAAGGTGAAAAGCTATGTCCATGCGTTCACCGGGGGTGACGGGACGCAGTTTAACGAAATTGTGAAAGGCTGGATTGAAAGGACTATTATGCCGTATAACGGCGCTGTGAGGATGATGGTTGGGAAGAATGGACGGTATGATGATAGTGAGAAGAGTAACATCGAGAACGTCGCACTTGCTTTTAAGGAACAGCTTAAGATCCAAGCAGATTCGGCTGGTGAAGTGGTTCAACAAATAAAAAATGGCTCTGGTGGAGATATTGCAAAAAGCATTCAAGCTGTGAAGGACGGTTGCGAGACATTCGCCAAGTATCTTGACACCGAATTGCAGAAACCGGACAGTGCTAACTCTGGCATAGTCTCTAAGGTTAAGGAGCCGTTGAAGACATACATACAATCCACCGCAAAATGCATATGCGACTGCAGTCACTGCAACCAGGACTGTAAGCAAAACTCCGTCGCGTCCGCCATCCTGTGCGCCCTGTCATCCGTGGGCCGGCAGGTGAGCAACGAACTGAGTTCCCTGCTTCTCAACATAGCCGATGGAACCATAGACAGCAGACCCGGCGACAACAGCATCGCAGCAATCTTGGACAAGATCACGTCGATTGCTGAGGAACTTGATGACAAGCTTAAAGCGGCGACTCAGCAACAACCTCCCGCCACCTCCACAGAAAGCCCCGCCAAAGCCGTGGACAATAGGTCGAGTGAAGTGAGTAGGCAGGTTGAGGGTCTTACCAACACCTTTACCTCAAAAGTCACATCTGAGCTTACCAAGGCAGTTAACCAACTTCCCGGCGCCGTCACCGATTTCGATACCGAAGCCCAAAAGCTGATCAAGGCCGCGGCCAAGACGGCGATTACAAAGGCGGCTGAGGAGATTAGTCAGGATGGTCAAGAAATTAACTTGAAGACAACGATGGATAAATTCCATACTGCCTACGATCCTATTCAAAAGGACCTCCAAAAGCAACTTGATGCAGAAGTTGAGAAGCACATTGGGGATGATGATCCGGCAGGTCTGAAGGGTGTTACAGCAGATAAAGTCAAACTTTCACAATTGTTTACGCTTTACAGAGGACATGTTGTGCCAGGAAAAGTGTCTGCTGCAGGCGGCTTAAAAGGCACTGCAGAGGAAGGCAAACTCCCAGAGGCGATCGGGAACATCAAGACTGAGGTTTTTGAAAAGCTTAATATGATAGAGCCAAGTCCAAGGAACGGCAAAGCAGAAATTACTACAGATACCTTCACCGGTCCGTTCGACACAATTCAGAAAGAGCTTGGAGAGATCAAGAGATTGGTTGAGAATAGGACACAGCAGCAGCCCGTCCAGGACGATGAAGGTGTAAAAGATTTGTTGAAGAAGCTTGAACAGGGGCTTGAAAAAGGTAAGTTGAGTGATGTGGCTGATAAAGGTCTGCAAGAAATTTATGAAAAGATCAATGGGCTGCAAAAAGATCCGTTTCAGAAAACCACTGAAATTGAGAAATCCGTCAAGGAAATTAAGGCGCAGCTTGAAGAGCTCAGGAAGAAGTTGAAGAAAGAGAACGGCGATAAAGATAAAGATGACGTCATAAACCGACTAAAATATATGCAAGAAAAGGGGCTTGGCACTGAGCAAAATGTTTGGACACCGAACGGTCAACCTCTCAGTGGTCTTGGTAAAATCCAGGGGGAGCTTAAAAAGCAGAATGATATATTGCCTGGACAAACGAAAATCATTGGAGAAGCCATGAGACAAATCCAGTTGGAACTCTTTAGGATGGGAATTAAAATACAAAATGTTTTCAACGATGATGACATCCTAGACAAGCTGCGCCGGCTGCAATATAGGATCGGGAAGGGTAAAAATATAGGTCTTGAAGCAATTTACAAGGCAATTAAAAACCTCCAAGAACACCCGTTTAAACAAAAACCCACTGAAATCGATGAAGCCAACAACCTTATTAAACAAGAACTCACTACCCTTCAAGCTGTGTTGCAAGACAAGCCAGGCAACGATGTCATAAAGTCACTGGAAGATTTGAAGAACACTGGACTAAGTGGTACAAAGTGGGATGAAAATAGAAACGGAAAAAGTAAAAGCCTTCAAACCATCGAAAGTGACCTTAAAGGTCAACAAAATGAATTGGGACAACAACCCGGCAAAATAGACCAAGGCGTCCAAGATATCACCGGTGAGCTTGACAGCCTCAGACAGAAGCTGAAAGATGAGGTCAATAAAAAGTTAGATGACTTGAAAAACCATGGCCTTAATAACGGTAATGAAACATGGAATGACAACGGTTTTGAAAAAGGCCTCACTCAAATCACGACAGACATCGAGACCATAAAGTCCAAGGACGTTGAGGACGTGAAGGAGAAACTAAAGGAGCTGTGCACGGCGATTAGAATGTTAGCAAAAGATGCCGAATGGTTTCTTAATGAATTGAAGGATGGGAAGATTGGCGAGCAACTCAAGCAAATAAGAGATGAAATTGACAAGCTACACGGCCGTCTGGTGGATGGTCCCATAAAAGACCTCAGAGCCTTCTTAAGATTCCTCGACAACGGCAAGGCGCAAATAATCCATGACCTCCACGCGTACGTCAACAAGGAGGTCAAGCAAGCCGAAGAGGCTCTGATCAACGAGGCACGACGGCAGTGCGCCTCCAACATCAAGGAGCTTTTGACGCTGTTCGCCCGGAAGGTGGAGGAAGAATTAGATCCCTTGCCTCCGTTAATAAATGGGGATCTGCAGAAAGGGTATAAAGGGTTTGTGAAACAGGTTGAAGGGAAGCCGGAGCCTCAAGTTGCAGGTGCACAAGGGGAATTTGAGAAGTTCGAAGAGCTTGTGAAGACTCTGCCAACTGAGCCGAAGGAGAGAGTGTTCAAAAAATTGGCCGCAGTGTTCATGCACTTTTACGGTGAGCTTAAAGCGTACGTCCACAAAGAGATCAGGAGAGAGCACAAGGAGGAAGGCAAGAAGAAAAACCCTGTGCCCCAAGAACCGGAAACGCTCTACACTGACAAACTTGTAAGAGTCACACTCTCATTGAATGCGTTACTTGAATACATTAGAACTGAGGATATCTTCGACCACAGACTCCAAGCCCTGCTCCACAGCCTCACCGACGCGCTGAGTAACCTGCGACCTGAGAGCTTCGCCAGGCCCTCGAGTCCCCTACTGGACGGCCTGGTGGAGGGGCTCACAAAGTTCGCCGCCGAGTTCACATGTGCGTACGTCTCCGCCTACGCCGGCGCACAGTTCACCGACGGTCAAGGTGAAAAGTACGCCAAGGTCTTTCTCACCACGCTGCCCACACTGTGCGACGCCTTCAACAGGCTGGCGGAGCAGTGCGGCAAGAACGGCAGGTGGAGGGATTTGCATATTAATTCAAGCAGTAAACTCGGCACATTCCTCCAGCGCTGCGGCTACAAGGTCGCCACCTCTCCCTTTGACCAGGACGGCGAGCTGCGCGACGACTGCAACGGCCGCGACGTGTATGTCCTCGTCAGCCAGAAGATTGAGGAGACAGATAACAACGAACACCTCGAAAAATGCCTGTCCCTCACACACGCATGTAATCTGATAGAGCTCCTCAAATGCCTCTGCACGCACCTCCAGCAGTACTACAGGACGTGCCACCTCAAGGTGCATCCCTCACCCCGGCCGCCGTGTTCCATCTACGAGATGCTCACATGGTGCTGCGGGCTCCCGCACAACGCCGTGTACCTGAGCGTCACTCATGATGCCCTGCCGTCACTGTTCGAGGCGCCGGATGAGCCGGACTCTACTGACTCCGAAGTGTCCCTCACTGACCTCAGCAGCCTGGCGCTTGTGGCCCACCCGGAGAGCATAACAGCGGCGTCCCTCACCGACGCACTCACGGAGGTCTGCCACCGGTCGCATTCAGTGCTCACCACGTTACTAGGCTACGGCCACGCAGGTGGCATCTACGCCGTCGACTTCAACGCAAACCCGGGAGGCCTGTTGTACCCCTGTGACACGGACGATTTCATATGCCTGCTGTTCGACGTCATCAAACGCCTCCACCACCAACTCCATTTCCTCTACCGCCGGTGCCTCTACAACACCCGGCACGGCGGATGGCTCGACTGCTGGTACGGTCGGGGCGTCGGAGGATCGTCGTGGAAGTGCAACACCATGCAGTGTGCCAACCAAATGTGTGACCAACAGTGCAACCAAACACACAACCAAATATGCAACCAAAGCTGTGACCAACATCCCAAGTGCGGCGTCAAGTCGCCGCTCCAGTCGTTCCTCGAGGACGGCCTGGTAGGCTTCCTGCCTCACGCTGTTACACCCATGGACACCTGTGTCAAGTGCTCCGGCTGTGACACCAAGTCACCCGGCCTGCCGTGCAAGACGCCCATGGGCCTCTCCAACATTACCAGGCTGGCCTCCCGTGCGTTCTCAGGCCGACACATCATGGACGTCCTCGGCGCCTTCTGCGGCGGCGCTTCATCCCCCCTCACCAGGCTGTGCGGCTTCCTGAATTGCCTCCTCACCCGCCCGCCACGGACGCCAGACGACCTGTTCGCTTTCTTCTACCAGTTCATATGTGACTGGAGTGACGGCGTTGAGCACCGTAAGGCGGCCTTCGAGGACGCCGTCGGCGACGCGTGCTTCTGGCAGCGGGGCGTGACGCTGGACGTCAGTACAGTCTTCGGCATCAGTGACCACGGCAACGAGACGGAAATGCCTCACCTCACCGGGGACCTCTTCTCACTCGTCAAGTGCAACGGCACTCCACACTCCGCTCCGTCACACCCCTGCGGCCCCTACCTCAAGCCTCTGAACCACGACGTCCGCGCCACCTTCGCCAGGGAATACGCTCACCTCTACCTATCCTGGGTGGTGTACCTCACGGAGACTTTCTACGACCTGCTTAAGCAACTGCTGCAAGACTGCGAGCGCACCTGCGCCGAAGCCACGTCCACGTGCCACGCCAACAGCTGCGACAACGACTGCACAGCCAAGCACCGGCCGATGGCTCAAGGCTCCGAGCACCTTGATTCATGCCCCTCCATCGTGGACTGCGACCACACCACGCCCACACTCTTCCAGTACGGCTTCGCTCTAAGGGACGTCCACACCCTCGCCGGATCCACGCACGGCCAACAGAACAAGCGGACCTGCGAGGATTTCTGCATGGCCCTGCGAATCGTCGTCAAGGCAATGAACCCTCTCCACAGGCTGGCGCACGAGACAATCCCCGAGTACCTCTATCGCATCCGCGCACCCTTCCTCTACACCATCATAGCGCTCTGGCTCACCGCCACGATCTACATCCTCCACTCGCTACTCTACCGCATGGACGTCCTGCGCATCCGCTCCCACCTCCTGACCACCAAGGCCTCCCACCTCATCGACGTCAAGGCGCTGCTCGCCGGAAGCCGCAAGATGCTCTCACTGTACAGGGACGTAGATTACTTCGACGACGACTTTCACCCATGATAATAATTATCGTAGCTAGATTTACATTACATTCCTCGTGTTGTGTTGCCATGTCATGTCTTTCATCGTGACTGTATCTCGTGCCTTGCCTGCCACCTAACTCAGTGACTAACCAAGTGGCTTACCTAGCACCTAACCGACAATTTGGTAGATGCGTTGGGATGTTAGTTGCCTAGGACGTCGTTTCATGTGCCACTCGTGAACGTGTCCACGCCGTTGCTTAATGTCAACGTCCCGTTGGGATGACTGGTTGTCAGCTCACAACTGCTGTGCTAGGTGAGTGTTTCAAACGTCAGTTATGATGTGCGTTGCCAGGCAGTGAACGTCGTTGTGACGGCCATTGTACGGCCCAGTTAAGCGGCATTTAGGGACCACACTGTGGCGGTCGGTAATATAGCAGGCACGCACCGTGGCTCAGCTAGGCACAAATCAGCGTACCAATATAGTGGCAAGTATGCAACACGTATTATGCCTTAATACTAAGTGAAGAGCGTCCATGGCACGCTGCATGTGCATTGTGGTATCTGTGGCGTTTGTCTGGGACATTCCCGAGACGGCTTGGAGGATCTACCGTTAGGGGCTCAAGGTATGTGTCTGATGTTTGTGCAGGTATATGATAGGGGAGCAAGGAGAAGATGACGGCATTCGGGTGTGAATGCGAAACAAAAGATCAATGTAGTATGTCTGATTGTAAATGCTGTTTCTGGTGTTGTGAAGGCTGTAATCCTGGAGGCAAATGCGTTATATGTAGTGGGATATACCTAAGTAACAAAAGAGGTACAATAGAGTACAATTGCCACAAATCAGAATGTGGAAACAAATGCAAACAGCCACAGACATGTAAATGCCCATGCTGTTTACGTAAACGTGAACGCCCTGTCCCCGTTGCCGCCTCTTCCACCGCTGCCCTTGCTTCCCCCAGTGACAACAATTCCACCACCGGTGTAATCGCCTCCGTCATTGTCATCGCAATCATCGTCGTCGTAATAGGCATTATGGGATGCTTTCGCATCCGGCCGTTCCACAAGGTCCGCGATTCTTTATTCGGCAAGTGAACATTTGTATCGCATTTTAAAGCCCTTCCGGCATTTTTATAATCGCAGCTATCGCACCGTTCTAGGCAGTACCGCACGATTCCAAGGTAACAGCGTGTTATTTAATGTTTCGAAAATTGCGTCGGCGGATGCCCGGTGAACGCGTTCATGAATCAAATCGTGGCAGCGGATTGGTTAAAAGTGCTGGATTGACAGAGCCCAATGTGCTGTCTACGTCCGCTCGTACCTCAGTCTGATGACTTCGCACAGGATCGTCGCTCAGTCGCTCCTCGTAGAGTAAACCTGTGTACACGCATGGCGTGATGCTCGACAAAATCACCTAACGCACAACCTGGTACCTAACGAGAAAGTTACAAGCAATAGAGATGGCGCATTGAGACGCTCACGTAAAACTAGAGTTTAGGGTTGCCCACGATACGTGTCTGCGTCATCCCGCCTTGTCAGTGTTGTGTGAAACTGGTGATTGGCCATCAACGTAGGCAGCTGAAGACTGCTGTGCAGGGTGAGATACTTGGTTGTCTGCTAAGTGAGTGGTCTATACGTTATCTATCATGTGCGTTGCTAGTCAATTAATATCGCCGGGACTCTCCTACGTGATTGCAAGTGTACGGTATAGTTAAGTGTCATCCATGGTCAACATTGTGGTAAGCCCTGAAGTCGTACTCCCGGACTATGCCCCCGCAGCCACTTCGTGGGGCGGCCCGCAAACATAGCTACCTCTTATTTACTACCCCGAATGCCTTGCAACGCGCGTGAGAAGTGGCAATATGGGTGGAGTATTGACATTTTTTCAATTCGAATACAGGTGAGAGTAACTTGATTCAAATTTTGCTGGCACACTCTCTAACTAGTCGGTGGATGTGTTAGCTGCTTATGTGAACCGTGCATCAGAGCCACTAACTTTGGAACCGCGCCTACGGGATTACACCTGGACGGCAGTCTGTTTGCATATTTCCATTTCAAGAGCCCTCATCCACCCGACTTGCGTTGCTCACTAGTTTGCAAGATGTCTTCTCAAAAAGATGAGCGCAAGATGAAAGCGCCTGCTGGAGATGAGGGAAGTAATCCGCCAAAGCGTATTTGTACGGGTGGGGAAAAGGATGGTGAAGAGCGCAGGCGAAAGGGTATGGATATGTTAAAGCGGCGGGAAAAATTGATGCGTCTTAACCGCGTGTTACTCGATAACTTACTTGAGTATTGCCGATTATATAACAGCCCGGCTTTGGATAGCCTACCAGTAAATTCTCCTTCAGGTACCGGTGGTGACGGAGCGGATGCTAATCAAGACGCTCGCCATGATATAGATCATTCGCTGATTCAGTTTGAAGATATTTTGACGCGATGTCAAACGTTCTTTGATGACTTTGTTGACTATTCCCAGTCACAAAAGAACTGGTTTTTGAATATTCTACGTCGATTTCCACAGTCAGGTGACGGTCCTCACGGAGCGGATGGTAATCCAGACAACGCCCACACAGCATTTCAGTTGGTAAAGCGGCGGGAAGAGTTGATGCTTCGTAACCGTGCGTTACTTAATGACTTACTTGAGTATTGCCGGTTATATAACAGTCCGGCTTTGGCTAGTCCACCGGAGAAATCGCCTTCAGATAACGGTTCTGATGGGGCAGATGGTAATAAAGACGATACGCATGCTAAGGATAAGCTTCCGCCTCAAGACGCCAATGACTCCAAGGATGAATGACCGCTCTAAACAGCTTTAGTGCCGAGGGAATCGTTACGTCGAAGTAGTACCACGGGCACTCACTTTGACTGTGTCTATCTAGATGAAACACAGCGGTAAAAGATTCATGAAAACAACCTCAACATCGATTACGCTTCAACCATACTCTGCGCTTCCTTCCAATAACCACAGCCGCCTAGCCCATCTAACTGGTAACTAGTAAACGATGAAATAAATATGTTCGTTGCATAATTTATTTGAGGCGCAATGTGGGTGATCACCCAGGCCTGTATCCCGCTTAGGCACTGAGCTATCGGCCGGGCGCGTGTACGGGATGCGAGTGATTGTTTGGGCGCCAACAGCGGTAAAGCTGTCGGATTACGGGTACGTCACTGCTCAGCGCGGCATGGAAGGTTCATTAAGGGCCCATACCTGATACCTTATAGGAGACAAGACACCTGTTTTAGATGTACACGAAAGGATTTCGTGCAGCAAAACGCTGGCGTAGACAACGCGAGTGTCCAGCCCAGATTGGATACGTCAGACGGGTGGCGGATTATAAAACCGTCGGGCATTGAAGACACAACGTAGTTGGACACATGAACAGATTCGACCTAGAAGGTAATACCGTATCGCGCGAAAAATAACAGCGGCGACGTACGAGTCCCACTCTGATGTCACAACCTTGGAGGAAAAACCAGTTGAGACCGCGCCGTGATTTAATATTAACTCTTCATATAACATATAGCGTAAAAACATTTGTCTAAAGTGAACTAAATAGATCCAGAAGTAGCCCCAAACCTCTCATGTTCGGCGCGTCAACCTCGAGTCAAGAATACGGTATAATAGGACACAATAGAATCTAGCACACACCAGTTACTCAAGCTGCAGTTTTCGATCAAACAAAGCGTGTAGGCATCGCTTTTCCTTCGTCGGGCTCTTGTGTAATCCTCACGTCGGGCGCCGACATCGCGTTTTATCGCGCCTCCCTCCCACACGACATTTGCGACACTTCAAACAAACAAAAAGACGCATACTTATCATTGACACCAAATCTTCTCATCAAGATGGTATGTGGTTGTCTTGCGTTCGCCAGGTGTGCCTGGTGTCGATATGGTTTTATCTTCGTTTCTGCAGTGTCTTCGCATCACTGCGTGGATGCTACGGTTAAATGGTGATGTTACGATGTGTGTACTATTTGGGTTCTTCTTTGTGACTGTGGCGTCTGGCGCTTCTGCCGTTAGACATAAGTGTAACATGCACACTAACCTTCTTGTGAAAAGTGGCCATATCTCCCCTGAGCCTTGATAAGCAATGGTTATTTGTTGTTATAACATATGTGGAACGTCACTTGTTTCATTTTTGTGTCGGTGGCCTTGATCACCTATTGCAACAGATGTGTATCTATGTTACTTGATATTTTTTGCTCAACAATCTATTGCAATTCATGCGAAACACTGCATACTTTGTTTAAGGTACCACCTATTTCGTCTGTGCACGTAGTAAATGCGTTTTCAGGTGAAACTATCCCAGGAACGTGCTAAGGAGTTGGCGGAAAATGCCCGCCGCATTGCCGCCCCGGGAAAGGGTATCCTTGCAGCCGACGAGAGCACTGGCACCATTAAGAAGCGTTTCGACAATGTAGGTGTTGAGAACACGGAGCAGAACCGCGCCGACTACCGTTCCTTGTTGTTTTCAACCAAAGGCCTTGGAGAATACATCTCCGGCTGCATTCTGTACGAGGAGACGCTGTTCCAGCAGTCCCCATGCGGCAAGAGCATGGTCGAGCTCTTGCTTGCCGAAGGCATTTTGCCTGGTATTAAGGTGGACAAGGGGCTAGTGCCCATCTCCAACACTGACGAGGAGGTCAGCACCACCGGTTTGGACGGTTTGGCGGAAAGATGTCAGAAATACTACAACGCCGGCGCGCGTTTCGCCAAGTGGCGCGCTGTTTTATCTATTGACGTCGCTAAGAACAAGCCTTCTAACCTATCTGTGCTCGAGACCGCCCACACGCTGGCGCGTTACGCTTCCATCTGCCAGGAGAACGGTTTGGTGCCCATCGTGGAGCCCGAGATTTTGGCCGACGGCGACCACTCTATCGAGGTGTGCGCAGAGGTTACTGAGCGCGTGTTGGCTGCTGTATTCAAAGCCTTGAGCGACCACAAGGTGCTGCTTGAAGGCGCTCTTCTCAAGCCTAACATGGTAACCCAAGGTGTCGACTGCAAGGACAAGCCATCCCCCCAGACTGTAGGTTTCCTCACCTCCCGTGCGCTGCGCCGCACTGTTCCCCCGGCCCTTCCTGGTATCATGTTCCTCTCTGGTGGTCAGTCCGAGTCCATGGCCACCGTTCACTTGAACGAGATCAACAAGTGCAACAAGCACCCATGGAGCCTGAGCTTCTCCTACGGCCGTGCCCTGCAATCGTCAGTCATTAAGACCTGGAATGGTTCTATGGCCAACGCTGCCGCAGCTCAGGCCGTCTTGTTGAAGCTTGCGCAGCAGAACTCCGAGGCTTCCACCGGCTCCCTGAAGGGCGAGTTGTCAGACGACGGCCAGTCGCTTTTCGAAGCTAAATACATATATTAAATCTGTACATGACCGCTTATGTGCTTTCGTATGCCGTCTTTTTTTGGGTGTCGCTGCCTTCTGCGTACTCCCCCATGGATTGATCTTTTTGGACGGAATTGGGCCGGCCTGTCGCCCAAACAAAAGACAATTTTGTTAGAATATCCAATTGCAGTCTCGATTCATATAAAACGTAGACCATTGGACGGGCAAGATGTCGATACCAATGGACGCGGCCGCGAAGGCCGGCGGCGACTCGTCTACGACTCAGGTGCAAAACTTAAGCATCCAGGAGCTCAACATGTTGATTTTACGTCTGGAAGAGGTGTGTGTGGATGTCTAGTTGAATTTTGCTAACATTTGGCAGGAAGTCAACCAGATGCAGACTCTGGTGAACGTGCTCACCGTTGCCGTTGAGCGCTTCCAGGAGTCCAAGAGTTGCTTAAACGAACTCTCTGACCGCAAGCACGAGATTCAGGTGCCTTTAACTTCCCTTGTCTACGTGCCAGGTGCGTGTCTAGTTTATTTCCGCCACTGCACATGGGCACGCAGGCGAGATTGCGAACCCCGGGAAGGTGCTTGTTGCCGTTGGAACGGGTTATTTCATTGAGATGACCGTGGAGAAGGCTCATGAGTTTTACGAACGGTTTGTATTTGGTGTTAGTTGCACATCTGTTATAGTAAGATCGGCGTCGTTGAGGACCAGTTGCGGAAGCTTCACACGATTTGCTCATCCAAGAACAAACAAATTACGCAGACATACTCAATGCTCGATCACAAGCTAAACCTTCTGCGTAATGCCCAGGCCGCTGCGCCTGCTGGCGCTGCTGTCTGAGATGGGGACTTCCTACGCGCCTATTGCGACCTTCCAACGACACATATATTCTAATGAAAGTCTTATCGCATTATTATCATGGTGTGTATATATAGGTGGCCCGGTTGACTGCTTGGTGAATACCGTCAGAGCGTGCCAGGTGTTTGGTGCGCCTAAGGCAGCATATCTAGGCGAAGATGGAGCAAATACATGCCCACCTATACTAGCGGTTGCGCAGTGTGATCACTACGTGTCGCGATGGCTAACGCTGTTCTGAGCCAGAGGGACGAGGTCGTCGCTGCCGTCGAGGGTCACAATGTAGTAGCCTTTTCGGGACCGACCGAGTCTTACGCATCCTCATACATCCCGTTTTTCCTTTACAAGGCGGGATTTACGTCCAGCAGCACGTGTCGGAAGAATCCTCCGCGAATATGCGTGGCGCATTCCCGTCGCCGGGAAGTTATGTCTTCCGCTGAATCTTGCTCGGTGTTGATCAACAATCCTTCCAAAGTTGCATGTCACCTGGGCTCGGCGGCGTCATTGAATTCGACGGCGGACATAGTGTACGTCACCGAGGACTGCCTGCTGCGACGTTTGGTTGCAGATCCCCTGCTGTCGGACTACGGCGTTGTGATTTTGACTGGTCTGCAAGACCGTTTACTGTGCACAGAGATCCTCTTAGCGCTATTGAAGCGTATATTATCAAGGCGTTCGCGTTTGCGCATCGTGTTGTGTTTTGAGCGCGGCAATGTGGATGAGGTGCTAACCTTCTTCCGCCGTCGCGCAACGGACCGAGATGCGGCAGCAGAAACATCGGCTGCAGATGGAGACGAAGTATCAAAACCGCATCCGGGAAACTTGCCCCAGCTGGGTGACGTTTGTCATGTCCGGCTGAAGAGCGACCCTACCTCGTACAAGGTGCAGTATCTATCGGCGCCTTGCCCGAATTATTTGGACGCTGCAGTCTCTACAGGTGCGTTACATATAGCATCCCGCTTACGAGTCGTTTCAGTGTGGAGCGTATGCCGAAACGAACCATCCGGTAACGTACTCGTCTTTGTGCCGTCCAGCGAGGAGCTGGAGCTGCTCCACACCAACCTTGTGGAGAGCGCGAAATCGTTCCGGGAGCAAGGAGCGGGGAGCATTAATGTCGTGCCGTTAGGAGTCGGTGGATCTGCAGAGCAGCATATTAAGCGAAACCCATATGCCTCTCGAAATGTTTACATCTGCTGTGACCTAAGGGATTACCGGAGCAAAGTTGACAGCATTCGCTACGTGGTCGATTGCGCCTTCAGCCGTCGAATGGTATCCGACCACGTCAACACCGGTTCTGTGGCCTGTACGGTTCATGCCACCCGCGACGAGATGCGGCAGCGATCAAACGTCATACGGGGCCATGGGAAATGTTATCGACTGCTAACAGAAGCCCACTTTCTGGACAACAGTTTGGTGATGGAGTTCCCGATATCCGAGATAAAAACGTCGGATCTGACTACGATGATTCTGTTCATCAAATCATTGGGTGTCTCCGATTTTTCGGATTTTGAGTTTGTGGTGCAGCCGCCCATCGTTGCTATCGAGCATGCGCTTACCACTCTATTTCTCCTGGGAGCCATCGACGGCAACGGAGATGTAGTGTATCCGTGTGGCAATGTGATGGCCGAACTTCCATACACTGCCATGTTGTCTAACTTCCTCTATCGCAGTACCGAGCTCGGGTGCTCCGTGGAGGCGCTAACGATTTGCGCGATGCTCGAGGTGCAGGACGTTGTGCTGAAGCGTGGAAATGTCAAATCGACATACCAAACCGAGCGTTTACAGGCTGCCATGCGCGGTTTCGCAGCCAGCGAGGGCGACCTATTTTCCTACTTCAACGTGTACCAACTAGCCCACTACTACCGCGACGAAGATACCAAGTGGCTCGCAAGGCATGTTTACCCTCTGATTACACACATGTGACACATTCCAGGCACATGGTGAGTGGCTCCGGTATTCGTTCGGCGGAGAAGATTCGAAGCCAGCTTGCGGCTCTTCTCAAGAAATACCAGCTTCCGGAGGTGAGCACCTTTCCCTACCCCCGATACGTCCGCAGGTCAGCTGCGGTGAGAATTCGGCAGTTCTGCTCGAAGCCATATTCAAAAGTTTTTTTCTGAACGTGGCGTGCAAGGAGCATTTGGTGAGGACGCTACTGACGTCTAGGCAACTAGATGTGGATCTAAAAGTGAAGTCCAAAGTGTTGGACGATGAAGGGAACGCAATTCTGACCAACGAGTTGCAGCCGTATCTGCTGGTAGCAAGGTAGGTTAATTTGCGATGATGTTCAATTGCGGCCAGCCTCGATACGAGCAAAACTCGGCGACTCTACATCCACTCCGGCTCCTTTTTGGCGGATGAGCAGCCTGATTGGGTAGTGTTCAACGAGGTAGTCTACCATGCGTTTAGAGTAATAGTGTGTCGCAGTCGTTGGACATCGACGGTGAGTACTTCATGAGGGACGTCACCGCGATTCAACCCGAGTAAGTCGTTGAGCGCGCATGACACTAAACCTTCCTACCAGATTCCTACAGAAGTACGCGCCTCACTACTATGGCGAGGTGCAGGTGCGGAGTTACTTGAAGGACAACTGAGTTACTGTGCGCCCAGTATCAAGGTGTGTGTGGCACGTGGAAGACTTTGACTTCGCCGCTTAATTTTTGAGAGTTTTTTTGTATATCCATACATGATTATACATGCTATACGTGTGTGTTTGTTGCACATTGCGTGTTCAGTCACCTCATAGTGCGTCGCCGTTGGCGGCAGATGACTGGCCCTTTTGGCCAGTCTTAGGTGGGCAAAACAAGCTAAATGGCCGCTTATTCGACAATTCATAGGTCGTTGTTCAATGTAGTGGCGCGACTGCGGCCATATTCGCGCGTTGGCGACATACATCGGTGGTTCGCCAAGGCGTCATCACGCCGTTTTAGCAGTCGGGTCGATCCGCCCTCCCAATCGCATCCACCCAAGCCTACAGAGAGTCAAGATGGTGGCGAAGATAAGTTCATGTATCTCCAAACCAGGTTCTCGCGCGCCCCGGTAGTAAATCCGCTCAAAGAGGCGGATTCTATAGGCACTGCACTGCTCGGAGTTTTTATCGCATTGTTCGGGATCACGTTCGCATGTGTGCCCCTTTACGAGTTCTTCTGCCAGCAATCCGGCTACATGGGCACTACCAGGAGGGTGAAGACGTACAAGCCTCCTCCAGACGGTTCGCCAGTTGTGTGTTTGCTCGTGGACATCGTTTTGCAGACCGTGGCGGGCGCATGTTTGAGATCGACTTTGTGACACATTCTCATTTGAACTGGGATTTCAAGCCGGCGCAGCGCAGCGTGGTAATAGGAGCCGGTGAGACAACGCTTGCATTCTACACCGTGAAGAATCTAACCGACCAACCCGTGATCGGCGTGGCCGCCTATCACGTCATCCCAGACGAGGCCGGTGGATTTTTCAACAAGATACAGTGCTTCTGTTTTGAGGAGCAGATGCTGCATCCAGGTAATTTGCCAATTGAGTGTCTCAAATCCCCATAGGCGAGGAAGTTGACCTTCCGGTGCTCTTCTTTTTGGACCCGGACATTTTGAAAGATAAGCGTTTGTGTAAGTTTATGGCACTGTTTGCTCAAAATTGCGCCAGACGGAGTCGACAAGATAACCCTGACATACACTTTTTTCGAGGCCAATTCAGAAATTCCACCGGAGTACACTACGTTATTGAATCGTAAGTTTGGCGCGTCAATTTTCGACGTCACATTTTGCTATAGGGAATAACGATAATGAAGAAGAATAACCCCAGTATTCAGCGCCAAGCGGCAGTTTGTCATTGCTACTATTTGCGTTCTGCCAGAACGATAGGCAGCGATATGTAGAGTGCTATGACGAGGAATACGACGACCGCGTATGAGATATACTGCAATAATATGCGTTTTATCTGGGCGAGCACATAGCTGTGCCGCTTAACGTACCCATATTATCATTTTGCCAAAGTAGGTGGCCATGCTAGTCGCATGGTTTTGCAGCTACGCACAGATTTTACCGACAACATCGGCACATACCACAATCGTCTTTGTTTTGAGTGCTTGAGACATCGTCTGTAGCTGCTGCATGTTCGCGCAGCTGTCCATGATCTGTTGCATAGACTCCTGCACCGCTTGGGTGGCATCTTGAACCTTTATTTGTGTCTGAGCGGAATGTACGTAGTTTCGCCATTCGCTTACTTTAAGCACGTTGTCTGTTTCATATGCCTTGTTGTAGCGTTTGAAAGTGCGTGCTAATTGCGCGGAGAGCGGTAGTTGGATGGTCTTGGATTTGTAATTGACTACGCCACCCTTCTGGCCCAATAAGCTCACGGTTTTCCATATTTCCTGTAACATAGATCAAATATAAACTCGAAAGTGATACGTTACACGTGCCATCGACATAACATGGCATATTTATGGGGAATATATTCACCTGGATCATGCTCTGAACTAGCCTTTCCGGGTAGCCCTCTGTGTAGACCATGACCAAGATAGCCAATTTTTTGTCATCTTCCGTCTTGTAGTAAACGGTGATATTTTCTAACTGTATTTGCTGCATGGAGCTGCTAGCTGTGTGCGTGTTAGTCTATAATGAGATGCCACCTACCGTCCTCTTTCGTTGCATGTTCGTATACATGTTCCAGCCCCTCGTCTACAAGAAGACCAGTGCCACGCATTGCGCTTCTAGGGAAACAGGCCAGCACCTGCTCCTTTCTTAGGTCTATGAGCCCGATGTACAAGAGATTGTCTTCCGCCATGTGGCAATTTCCTGCGTCCTCCCTCGCAATGCGTCTCTAACCTGATCACAGATGTCCAGCGTCAAATGCTCACTCACGCTGAATTTTTTTATGTGTAGTGGGCTTTAAAATCAAATATCTGCATAATGGCGACCCGCCCGCGTAATGGTATGGTTGTATAACTTGGTACGGGGCGGTAATATGTTACCCTCTATGCTTCTTGCACCACATCAATTTTATTAGCTCCAGGCGTCCTATTTACACGTTCAATCTGATGCTATAATTAGCGTTATCAACGCTGCAATGCCGGATAACTATGCGAAAATTCGCTATTTGGAAAAAATTTCCTTCCCCTAGATCCTTTTCCCTTAGAGTATCAACAACTGTCGTCGAGTTGCCTATCCATCGCATCCAGTTTGCTTAATAAGCCTTTTAAAACGTCGTGGTAGCCACACAGATCAGCGTCCAACTTTAACAACTCTTTCAAGGCGTTACGCACCTTTGCAATCAGTCGTGGCTCAGCATTTCGGTGATCCAATCTAGCCTTGCTTAGCAAATGCGACTGCAAGTCTATACTTTTATGTATAGTTTCATATAGAATATGCAGGTTGAGTTGTGATCTTTGTCTTATATGATCATACTCCTGGTCTTGCGATAAGTGCACGAGTACGCAGTGGTTGAAATATACATGGCCTAGGACAATCTCAACTATCCCCTCCATCCGTATCATTCCTGAAACCTCATCTACAAGTGAGTGCGGAACATTATGCGATGTGTCTTGCTTCATGCATCGGAGCAATATCTCCTTCAAGGCGTCGCTACCAAAGCTGTGTCTGTTGATGTGATCCTCAAGCCCTGCGCATCCAGAATGTTCAATGCCGTAACTCCGGTATAGCTTCAACGTATATGTCATAATCAATGACATGAGGGAAAACGAAGAGCATTCGGCCAATTCATTAATAGCCTTTAGCTGCAAGGAGTTCACCCCCTGACTCTCGATCCAAGGCTCTACTTCGAACGGTTTGATGTTTACAATATGAAGCATAGGCGATCCATCGTTTAGCAACTCAGTGTTTCCTCCGTGTGACGTGTAGACACTATTAAATTCGTTCCACAAATTGGCCGTGGAGATTTTGTGATATATTCCGATGGCGGATATATAAAGCTTGAAAGACTTCACGTTTGACCACTCCATCACAGCCAGGCACATCGCAGCAGATTGGATAAATGACTTGCTGTATATTCGCCGCGAATGCTGTAGATACAACAATTTGATCGCCTTTTCAGGTGTCAGCTGAGATAACATCGGCTCCAGTTTACTGAGCGCCATGTCGAAGAATTCCGGATCGAACGGGTCTAGATGCGGGTTTATATGTGTGTTACCGACATGTTTGCCATCTTGATGCGGATGGCCTATAACCTCAGACGTTGCTGCATGTTTGGCGGCTTTCGAGAGACGCTTTCCCACCCAGCGGCATATTTGGTCATAGACCAGCAGCAGGTTGGCACGTTCGAATGGCAAATAGTCCTCTCTGAGTTCTAAATCTCGCTTCAGTTCGTCCATGAGGGATGCCCATAGCTCCACACTGGCCAAGGAACACTCCCTAGAGAGTAAGCAAATAAGGTAGTATTTCTGTGCCTTGGTTAGCACCTTTTGCTCATGCGCTTTTAGCATATGATTCAAGAGCATCCTTTGTGCCTTGACAACAAATCTCACAAGCTTGTCGTTTGCGATAGCTCCGTATTTTCCGGATATGGCCAGGTGGTTGACCGTACTACGACAAACTGGCGTTGTGTCCACTCCGTCCACCGAAAGAGAGGTAGCATCTGTCTTTTGAACATTTTCACCGTCATTTTCACCGTTTTCCTGTTCTGTCCGACAACGGTGCAGTGGTTTTTTTATCCTCCCCAACAGGTCCAGAATCAGGATGCATTCTCTGTTGGAGAGGAAGGTGAACTTCGTTAATAGCTCTCCCAAAAGTTCTCGCGTGACTCGATCATAGTCGACATCATCTTCATGTATCTGCAAGTGTATATGTTTCATGAATTGGCATGCGTTACTATATGTGCGACTATGACTGACGTTACATGTGCCTGCATACCTTGGCAAATGTTTGGGTATCCTGTCGATTTTCCTCGATCTGAGGTACGCGTTGACGTCCATTATACAGTTTGGAGCGCAGTCTCAGCCGCTTGGCCAGCCCTTGTAGTCTGGTCAGCAAATCTACGTTCCGATTGCAGAGGAAACCTTGCAGGGGATTATGATCTTTGGGGACCCGGAGTCTCCGTGTACACATGAACATTTCTCCACGGATTCTACATATTTCACGAGTCACACATTGTAGTGGATTCGGTATATTCCATGTCTATCCGCTATTCCGTAAGGTTTCCCGGTGATTGCAACATCGCGCCGTGCCGCGCACTCATACAGCCTCAGTCAATACATTATTCACACCTTCCACATTTTTTGAATCTCATGGTACAATATAACCTTTTAGACGGCATCTACTAGGATTTCTTACCCTTGTGTAGATAATGGAAGGCCTCCTGCGGCTCGTATGATACTTTGTCTTCTTCAATAACAGGAATCATTGGCTTAATGCCATCTGGCATAAAGTCTTAACTCCCTTCATTAAAGCAACTTACAAGCACGTGCCTGTCGTATCGGATCATTGGTTTAAATCGGCGGCATTTTAACGATGCCTCGAGCAGAGGTTGGAAGCCAGAAATGGCTGGCCAACAAGATGAAGGCCAAGGGCCTTCAGAAGCTGAAGTGGTATTGCCAGATGTGTGAGAAGCAGTGTCGTGACGAGAATGGTTTCAAGGTTAGTCCTAGTACCCTCGAAGTATTATTCGGCATCGCCTGCGAAGCTTTATAGCAGCGGGCACTTCCGTTTTACATCACAGCCCGAATTACATATTCGGAAGGTTATGCATTGCAATTCATGACCATATAAGTCGAAATGTTAATGTTACTTCAGTGTCACCGTCTCTCCGAAGGTCACCAGCGGATGATGCAAGTGTTTTGCCAGAATGCAGGCAGGTTCATGGACGGGTTCTCGAAGGCGTTTGAGCACGAATTCATGAAGCTAATGCGCACGCGTTACTGCAAAACCAAGATACTGGCCAACTCAGTGTACCAGGAGGTGATATCGGACAAGGAGCATGTGCACATGAATGCCACCGTCTGGGTGACCTTGTCGGAGTTCGTGCTCTATTTGGGCCGGAGTGGCAAGTGCAAGGTCGAGGACACCCCCCGCGGGTGGATGATCGAATACATCGACCAGGACCAAATCCGCCGCGATCAGGATGCGGAGGCCCGGCGTAAGCGCGAGATATCTCTAGAGCAGCGGCACCAAAAGCTTATCCAGAAAATGATCGAGGACGCTCGCAAACGTGGCGGTTTCCAGGAACCCGAATACACCCCGCTGATGAAAGAGAGCGACGAGAAGCTACGTTTCGAGACGAACCTCATCAAACCCGTGGCGGAGGCCACTCCCGAGAAGAAGTCCAACGTCTTCATGGAGCTATGCAAGAAGGCGAAGTCGACCAGTGCATCGCCAACATCTGACGCCCCAAAGCCGTCCAATGAGCCTCCTCCGAAGCGCAAAACCGCAATAGAGATGCTAATGACGCTGAATGGCGCCAAACGGCAAGCAGTTGCCAAAGACGCCCCTAAGGCAGATACCGCCGCAACCGACGCCACAGATGCCGGTGCATCAGATAAGTGGCTGATGACCGGCATCCAAGTGCGGGTAATTCTACAATCGCATCCTTTATACAAGCACAAGTGCCGCGTGGTGAAAATTATGGGCGGGTGGGTTTTCAGTGCGCTTTATTGACCCCTATGCAGCGGTGTACGGGCGCTCATACAGGACATCGAGGGCTCCGGTAACTATCAGGTTGACTCGAACCACGTGGAGACTGTGATTCCTCCAGTGGGTTCCAAGGTCATGGTTTTGCGCGGAGCGCACCGCGGCCGTGTGGGTTCCCTCACCGAAACGAGACCGGATGATCTGCAGGCGTCTGTACGCCTTGACAGTAGGTCACAATCTTCTAGCTGTACATCTCGTGTCAGACGGCGCCGTGCTGGAGAGTGTACATTACGACGACATCAGTCGTACTGATTAGTGGAAAGTTCAGTTAAACCATTCCACGTTCGTCGCGCGCCTCTTGGATTTTCCTGGTCGAACTTTAAAATTCACGTTTCGAATTTACCTTCGCAAGTTGCTGTTGTACTGCTCGATCCAGTCCCTGCGATGCTTGTAATAGTTAAACTGCCCGGTGTCATTCATCCACTTGAGTTGCTGCGAAAGTTGTGAGCCACGGCTTGTTCGGCACCATACCCTGCGAAAGAAGAACCTCGTGTGGGCGGTGAGGTAGGGGTACCACTCTGTGACCGTTTGCGCGGGAACCCGTTTTTCGTAAAGCGCAGCCCGCATTTCTGCGCCCATACTCTTAGGAATCTACAGTGACATGAGGCAGCGCATGTAACTAGCACATATTGGCTCCATGTAAATGAAACCATATAAACGTCGGCTCCACCCAAGATTCCAAAGGGCTTCTTGGGAGCGCCGCAACCAACGACTTAAAGCCACATACACATGTCACGTATATCTGGTACTCTCGGTGACTCACCCTGCCCAGTATGAATATCTTCTGGTAGAACTCGTTCATGGGCATCTCCCTGATGCGATAGACAATGGAGTTACGCCATGTGGACATGATCCCAAAGTTTCCTGATTGCAGTTATTCAAATGAAAATTGATCCTACTGAGTGCATGGTATTTTATCTGCTTCATGGGAGGCTTGTAGTTGATGATCATGTTTTGGACGTAGAGCCTGCTGGGGTCTCCATTGTATTGTTCATAAATTTTCTTTTGCGCATCGCTGAACTGAACCGGATTGCACAACAACATAACAACTATAGACCAACCGCGTTCAGTATCCGGTTGGTGCGTACATTTGGCATCGCATACAGCCAGTCGATGGCGTCCTGCAGGTGCAGGTGTGTGAGCTGCGCCGCCTATACGGATCCCATTGCACAACGTACAAGTTTAGTATACAGCTTGAGACGTTTTAGTCCTATTGGCAGTCCGTCGATTGTAAATTCCCAGACGTTGGCGCTATCCTTGCTTTTGACCTGTTGCCGGCATGTATGGCGCAATATCACGTGGCTAAAACACAATCCCGCAACTCACCCCTGCCTCTTCCGGATCTTTAACCTTGGGCACGATGAACTGTCTCCTGTATCTTGCCCTATTGAGCCTGAAAATGAGCTTCCTTCGCCACCTGCGGGTATTGTGGAATCTCAAGTGCCACCAACTCCCAGATCCCCTTCTTCCTGTAGTAGGGGTTCTTGATTCTGGCATTTTTGTTGCGAAGCCCTTTCAGATAATGATCGTATTACACGGTCACCGCACCTGAGAATAGTCGCGATTCCGGTACGATTGAAGTCGCCGCGGCGCCAGGCAGCCAACCAACTGCCCCGAAGGGCCGGATCGGCAGCAGCGGCCGGAATATATGTAGCATCTATAAACAGTAGACTATATTATGAGCACATTTTGCGATGTCTGCATCTTAGGTGTGTGCCGCGGCCCCGCCGCGGCGTGATCGGGTCTACACCTCGATGTAAGGGCGCAGGATGTTGAGAAATAGACGCTTTTCTTGGGTGTTGTTGAAGGAGAGCGGTATGCAATTCCCGTTTTCCAGGAGATGCAACGCCACTGAGGTGCTGAAGTTGAGGCCGGAGCCTTCAGTCTGTACTCGGCCCAGCTCATCCCTGGTGTGTAGAAGTTTCTTGACGGCATCGAACTTCATTTCCCGAATCTGGAAGCCGTTAGTTTGCCAAGCGACTGAGTTTTGCCGTAGCCATGCGCGCCCCTCGAGCGGCGTTTGGCTATTTCGCTTACCTGGTCCTCACATGCAATGCGAATAATCTCCTCATCGCAGTTGACATGGAGCGTACACGACAGTTTGGTGCCATCCTGCCAGCGCATATAAAGACTATGCTGTCTACCCACCTCTAGCAAGACCATAACGTTGACGGAGCTCCGTAGTCTGTCCTTAAAGTGCTGCTCTGTCACAATTGTGAGTCCATACTCATGTAGCTCTATGCCATACACACATGTATACGCAATTTGCGCCCTAATTACGGGCGCCCAGCCCACTGCCGAGCGCCGCCATTGGCGTCAGACAAAACCGATATACGCAGACTGGACCTACCTTCGATCTCGAATTCGTTGGCATCCTGTTTACAGTCGTCAAACGCGCAACATGAATCGAATATGCCGAGTATTCGCCGGAAAGAGAAGATGGCCGGCATTTTCAAAGTAGCGGCTCCGCAACGGCACTTATGGAGCCCTTCAGGTGCCACGTCGCGTGTCAGGTAACGTTACGAGTTAGTGTGTATTGTCTAATGACGCCATGCATGATTACACACCACTGTCTAGTCCGGGCGGACTCTTAGATGGGGGTCGCGCGGCCCCGTCGGTGCCTGCTGTGTCCGAAACAATTTCGGCCAGCACCAGCGGCTCATCCGCCGTCAATTGGCATCATCCTCGGCATATTTAGTGTCTATATCGACCGCCAATCCTTTCAGCATTGCGGCGTTAAGCATGATTCCCCTGAAGAGCTTGGCGTTCTGCACATTGTCATTCACGTCACATTTCAAGGGCGACCAGTCGACACATCCACAGCAGTGGCTGCTTTGACTCTTGTACGTGCCTGACGCTTACCTTGCATATGTGTCTACATGAGTCAATGGTCGTTTTCGCGGCCGCGGTGCGGTTCATGTAGAAGAGCGATACTGCCGCGTTGTTGATGAGCATGTTCTCGCACTCAGAGACCAGCAGGCTTTCTTCAAGATCCACTTCGGCCTTGCTACACGCGGTATACACGCTGTGGGCGCCTTCGAAGTCTCCGCTGACTGCGCAATGCATACCACGATATATCTCGGTTTGCGGCGATCCAAGCTCCATTGCGATTTCCATGTGTTTCTGCGCGTTTGCGCCATCTCCTATCTGCCCAGGGAATGAGTCGCATCGTTGCTGCCGCGTACCTGGCCGTAGACGAGCCCAAGCATGGCGTTGGTGGCGTGATCCAGCCTGCCATGATCCTGATACAGCTGCTTAAGCACCTCCACGGCATCCTAAATGGGTATGCGCTATTGCCATGATAGACTTACGAGGTGGCGCTTTTCGCTGATGAGCACGTCGGCTACCAACAGTCCGACACGTATAATGCGCGGGACAAGAACGTCTCGCGGCTGACTACCCTCGTTGAGTTCGTTCTCCAGGTGCTGCCATAGTGTGTTTAGCCTGTCGAGCGCGGTGTATGTCGATCCCACGAGGTACGGGTAATATGAGTACATGAGGTAGAGGCTGAAGGGGCACATGCTGCCTCTGAGCGCAAATTAGCATCTCTCTAAATAAGAAACCCACTTCCTGTCGCCATTGACGTCAGGGTAGCTCTCGTACTTCCACTTGTCGCTATAAGGCGACTTTATCATGTTCAAGTCCGATACGATACTCTGGTTCGCCTGCGATAGGTATGCTCATACGAGAAATAAAACCTACATTGAGCTGTATGTTGTAGTATATGCGCATAGTTAGCACTGCTATCAGCTTCTTGGGGTTCTTCTCGTACTTCTGCAAGCGCTGTGATTGCCTCGGCAATGTTGACTAACATGAGCAAGATCCGAAAGTATCTTGACAATGTCCTTGAACTTGTTCTTCTTGGCCAGCGCCCGTATCTCGGCGATGATCTCGCCAATAGGTTTCGCCATCTGGTCTGTTGGCGGCGCGATAAACTGGGATTTGACAGTCGCAGTCGTGCGCGCTCCACCGCCGATCCGGGCGGCGCAGATCGCTCAGGATCGAGCGCTCTCCGGGCTCAACCCGCTTACGGCGACACAAGGCGTCTGTGGCTGGCGAAATAAGTGTGAATATCCCTGCTTGACGTCCCAACGGCTTTGGGATGGGGTGGTACTAGGTGCTTGCGGTGTGCCAGGAGCGACAGAGCTCATTTCGCCGATTTCCCGTCTCGCTCGTCCGCGTTAATCGCCGCTGTCATGTGGAAGGTAGATTTTTTGTGACTATGTGCCCTGTGGTTGCGTGAAGGTCGTTGTATGTTGTCCGCTTAAGTAAGACACGGATCGCGTCTGTGACGCGTGTCGCAGTGGATTCGTGTTTTCCGCCGCCTAGTGGTCCTGTATTAGAGATCGTGGTAGTATTTGCGTCTTGATCCTACGTGATTCTTCCGCGTTGTGACTCTTTGGCTCCATCTGCGACGTTGAGAGTTACAGAGCGCCGCTGCGTCGTCGGCGCGTTAGGTGATGCGCTCACTGCCGATATGAGCCGTTGTATTCCTAGATGTGCGTGGCTAGTAAGGTATAATCGTATCCAAGTAGGCCATGCGACTTCTGCTCCTTAGTGTACGCTTCCGTACAACGCCAGCGGCAGTGCTGTTTCGGTAATGCCCAGTGCTTTGGGGTTGTCGTTTGGGCCCTTTTGGCTCCTGCCAAGGTCGATAATGTCCTCATAGCCTCTCTTCTATATTACAACGCAGTAGCGCATCACGATTGTATGTTGTGTTCCTTTGTGTGCTTCCGTCGTCGCCGCCGTCAGCTGATGTTGCGTGCCCACTAAGCGTTACATATACCGTCGTATGGGCCTTTTTAAATCTTGTTACAGCTTCCGGTGACGTGGGTGTCGCGATGGACAACACGGAGGTCAGCAACGAAGTGAAGGAGGCGGGTATCGCTATGGGTGATGAGGTTGCCCATGGCGGCCCGAACGAAGAGGTCGTGGTTCCCCAAACCGATGCACCTGAACTTCAGGTGCCGGAGGGGAGTAACACTGACCCGATCGAACCGCCAACCTTGGAAGCTGTGACACCGCAATCTGCGCCCGAGGAGATTGACGCCGATCCGATAGAACAACCCACCTTGGAAGCTGTGACGCCGCAATCTGCGCCGGAGGAAATTGACGCCGATCCGATAGAGCAACCCACCTTGGAAGCTGTGACGCCACAATCTGCGCCGGAGGAAATTGACGCCGATCCAATGGAGCCGACAGCCTCGGAAGTTGTGATACCGCAGTCTGAGCCGGAGGTGGTGGCTGAGGGAAAAGCCGATTCGATTTCTCCGTCAACTAATCGCACGGGCATCACTGAAGATGATCGTGCAAAACTGCGTGACCTCGTCGACATGATTGTATCATTTGGCAAGAAAGTTACCGAGTCTCGGGGTGAGGATGATGATGAGGAAGAGGGCGCCGTGCAGGTGAGAATGGCGTCTTCCGATTGTTCATTTTTTGCAGGAGGATGAAGTTCCTTTCGAGCGCATCACGCAGACGGTGCCCTACAGCAACGTGGTGCATTTGTTGAACCTCCCTCCTGAAATCGATATGGGGGTGTTGGTCACCACCGTTTGCGACATGACCGACATTGTTTTACATTGCTACGCTTTGAAGGCTACCGAGCTGAAGATAGTGTTTGTGAACGAGTTGATCGCGCGCGATGCACGGAAGCTCCTGGACGCCCGGCGACTCCACAATCGTGTCATTCAAGCCGTGCTGTGTATCCCGGATGGCATGGATCCATTGCAGCCCCCCCATGGCACCCTGGCACCTCATGTCGATGATCTTGCAGTGCCCCCAGGCACATCGAAAATGAAGCAACCTCTTAAACTACGAGGTGGACCACCCATGCCACTGGTTCCCCCGGTGTTCAAGATGCCACCACTACTGCCGAGGTTAGGCCGCTCAGTGCCCCCTGTGAGCCTGTCGCGCCGCGGGCCGCCGCCTCCCATGCCGCTTCTTCCGCCCGCCAGGTTCCCGGATGGCCCGGAACGTATGCTGGTTCCACCCGTAGGCTCAGCGCCGTCAGCTGACCCGCCTTCTAAAATCGTGTTCGGGCGTAACCTGGATAAGATGGAGGGCATGTCGCTGTTCGACATGCTTGTTTCACAGCCCCAAGTGTGCAACTGGAGCCCTGATCAGAGCGTGGAGGAACAGCAGCGGGATTACGACGAGTTGTATGCGGAGTTCGGTACATCTAATCGTTACCTGTTGTTGGGCAACGTGCCTGATTCGGCGACGAGGAGTATCAGAGAAGCGCTGGAGTGGCTGTCGCGGTTCACGTACAGGAAGCCGCATATTGAGGTTTGCCGCCTCGAGCAGTATGCCGCCGATCTGAGGCTTCCAAGCGACAAGTTCTTGCACCTCACGTTCCAGCGACGCGGGGATTGCACAGAATTTTTCTCAGAGGTAACCAACAAGGCCCCGGACGTGGTCTGCCGGTTTGCTTGCCCCCGCACGGCCCTAGACACAATATGGGTCGGCAACGTCACCGACATGCTCTCTTACTGCCGAGACGAAGAAGATATGAGGGAACTGTTTGGGCGTCTTGGTGAGGTGAAGGCGTGTACGTTCAACCCTGAAAAGGCCTGCTTCTTCGTAACGTACGTACACGTTGAGGACGCCATCCGTGCTCGCAACCGCCTGCTCGGGGCGCTGTTCTCTCCGGTGAAGACATTTGCGTTAAACGTCGACTTCACGCTGGACGTTAACGCCCGATTCTCGCACCGTGGCAAGCAGCCTTTGCCTAGTCCCCACGGACTACCCGTTGAAGATTTGTCACAGAAACTTGGCGAACGCCTGTTGACGGCTCTGCAGCGCCGATCTGACGGTGACGAAGTGATCCGTCAGCTGTTGGACGGCCGAGATGGCGACGCCGTGGATTTGCTGAGGAAGGGCGGCCATCGAGGATACCCAGACCGGCCGTACGATAGCAGGCCGACGCGTTTACCCCCGCCAAGGCATCCTGCGACTCATGGTCAGGAACCCTGGGCGAGGACACGCAAGCGCCCATACCAGTCGCCGGAACGCACACGTGAGCAATACAAATATCGCAAATCGGGTCCGTCGCCTGGTGAATATAGCCCCGTGGAGTACGGGAATCGGAGTCCTCGTGGTCGTTATCCCCGTAATCAGCGGGCGCGAACGCCGGAGGATCGCAGCGTCGACGACCATTCAACCGATGAGCACTCGGAAACCAGCCCTAATAGGCCAAAGAGTGCCCGATCACGCGTTTGTGACCTGCTAAAGCGCGGCAAACCGATTTGCAAGGTGTCTGCGCTCTTTGTGCGCGGCGACTTCTCTCACCGCATCCCCGAGACCCTGGATGTGAACCAGCGGGCCAACCCCGAGCGTCTGGCGAACTACCTGCAGAAGAGCCCGGAGCTTTCGCTGTGGCAGATGGGCGCGGACAGTACGGAGGACCGTGCGCGGTACGACGGCCTATGCGATTACCTGCTGTCAAAGAATCGTGTCGCTATCGTGCAAGAGGGCCCCTACGAGATCTATATAGTGCCACCCACGGAGGAGTCGGCGCTGGCGCCGCACCTGCCCGACACACAGTTCATGTACGCGTTTGTGCTGCCTAAAGGCTCATGAGACACTAGTTTAATTGCCATGTTTATATAGCATGTGGCCTGCCTGGGCGCATGCGCCCACTATGAAGTCGTAGATGCTGCGGTTCCGATCGGCCGCTGACATTGCGGCGTTGATGTCGCGCAGCAGGGATTCGTAGCCGCGCGGTATCGCGCGGAACCTGATGTTCCTGGCGGCACGCGCGTACGAGCCCTTCTGCAGCAGGTCGTAGGCGTCAACGTCAACCGAGCACAGCAGCGACGGCCTCTTGGGCATTTGCGGCGTGAGCACAACCTCGATGGTTACGATGTCTCCGTTCGTAGCAAATTTGCCGCCGCATGTGCTTGTGAGAAGCTGCAAGAGCTCGCGTTGCACCACCCTGATTCGCGCGCTCAGCGCCGAGCCGTAGTCCATGATCTCACGTATCAGTGCGATCAGCGTGATGGGATGGCTCTCATCCGCGTTACGCGTCATAAGTCGCGATATGAGCTGGTGCATGCGCTTGTTGGCCGCTTCGAGCAGCCGCGCCAGCACCTGCTCCCACACCTTATCCGAGCCTCCCCCGGTCTTGAATCTCGGTGCCGTGAACACCACCCGGAGCCCCCGGCTCACGTCCTCCACGTCCACCAGTTCATCCCAGTTAACAGGACAAACGGTTATATGCGATGTGCCTTGTGGGAATTCGATGGCCGTGTCCTCAGTTTCTAAGGTGTCCGCGTCGGAGGTCGAGGAGTGCGTCGACTCTGCCCCCAACGAGTGGGGTTTGAATATGCCCCTGGTCACGGAGGGTGTTGTGGATGATCCAGGACTACTTGATGACCACTCGTCGCTCCTGAACGCCGGTACGTGTGCACGATGGTACGGCGTCCGAATTGCTTCCACGTCTGGGGACGACTCGTCACCACACCTTAGCACCGACCGCATGCTAGACGGGAGGTTTCCGCGTCCCACCCCTCTGTCAGTTGTTTTCATGCACACCACCATGTTGATTTCTGGGTTGAAGCGCTGCTCCGCTTTGATGCGATGATAGACCAGGGGTTTGTTCACGGCGCCTTCGATCAATTGATCGGCAGCACGCACGAGGTCGTTATGCCAGCTCGCCTTGAAGCTGCGGATATAGCGCCTTGTGTTGGGATCCGCATTGAAGAAAATTGCAAAAACCCAACGGATATTCTTCGACCCCGCGTCTAGAGGCACCACCCTTATGCCCGTCGCCGCGTAGATGTTGCGCAGGGTTTCGATCAAGTGTTCCATATGTTGCAATTTGGGAGCATTGGCCTCGCGCACTTTGATGCGCTGCTTGAGAGTTCCAACTCTCTGCCTGATATGATTAAGCTGCTTTGTTTTGAAATCAATGAGCTTTTTCTGCAATTCAATATACTCCTGCCTTTGCTGTATCGACTTGGTCAACTGACGGCATTCCTTGGCCACCGAACAGTACACTTCATTGGCCTTTACGAGCATAGGAGAGTGCTTCGTTGCCAATAAACAACTCTGCCGTATCTTCTCTTTTGCGGCGTTGATGTTTTTCAGTTTCTGCACGACTTCGGAAAGCATCTGCCTGGCCCCCTCTCGAACCTCGCGGTTTTGCGATGTCGGCCTTATTAGCGATGAAGGCAGCGTATTAACCCCCGGATAAACCGAAGAACCCGTGACATTATACGCCAAGCGTCCGTTGGTGTCCGTTGGGAAGTTGTAACCGTCTTCACAAAGTTTGGCCCCGATGACGACTCGTACCCTCTTGTGCGCATCGTTCACCAATTTCGCGGCTTCTGGCATCACTATGGGATTATTAGCGCCCATTTGTACAGATCCGTTGTTGAAGCTGCGGGGGCTCATATCACTCAGCTTGATGCGTTTGGAATTGTTTAGCGGCTCGTATGCCCTGGAGGGCATGGGTTGTACATCATATGGCGGCACAGTGTCGCTGTGTAGCCGTGACTTTTCCCCGACTAAGTTCGTATAGAAGTTTCTCATATGCAGGGTCCCGGTGTTCCCCGGAAGTGGTGCATGTTGCGATGGGTACGGCACCGGAATGGCGTTCTCGGCAACCATTTCTACTCCAGGTATGTACTGCATCCCAGTTGTAGCCACAACCTTGGTGCTGTAAGTTGACGGTATGACGGAATACAGTTTATTAATAGCATCGTCCGTATGCATTAAACCTTCCGGGGCGCGAGGTGGGGAGAGCGGATGTTGGGACCTTTCAAGCTCCAGCCGCTCATTTTCAGTGATAAGTGGCATCAGGGTACCCATGTTGGATATGTCCGGTCGAGTGACACTCTCTTGAAATGCCGTATATACCGGCATTGTTTCTACAACATTGCTGTTTTCCGGCGTACCGAGGTTCGAGGGTGAGCTGGTGGTGGCTCCACATGCGATTTCTTCGGCCGATTCGTACTCAATAGACGTCATGATGTTCGTTTTAGCCTTTATATAGTCTTCATCCAGATTTATTTCACCCACAGAGTTCCGCTTGGAATCGGTCTGGTTCAAACTATCGGGTCCATGCTCACTAGCCCGACGTGCGACGAAAAGTTGGACTCGGTCGGAGAATGTCATTCCCTCCATGGGTGCGTCGTAGCTCTCAATATTCTTGTCGACAGCGCTGAATGCGTTGTTTGACTGCAGATCCTCAATTTGAATGGCAGCACTTGGCGCAAGTGTTCCTGGTGGCCCCTGGCCACTCACTGCAGCTTCGTACGGCAAGTCTCTCGATGCGCTGAAAGAAAGTGCACCAATACCATATGGGGAACTTCCGGAACTATTACTTTCCTCCTGTGATTGGATGACCGCCGGAGCGTCACTGTAAGAGAACGTAAAATTTAGCGTCTCGGATCCAGTGTAAGGCTGATCGTCCTCCGACTCCTGTCCCCTGGCCGTGTACATCTGGACGTCATCATCCAGATTAACGCTACTGCTTTTTACCACCGGGTCACCGAATGATGCGGCATACAGGTTGAAGTTATCTGGTATCAGGAATATGCTACCCTCCTCTTCGTCGTCCACTGCATGCTCCGCTTCACCACCGAGTTTCACGATTAACCCATCACCCATTTCTTCAGTATTCGAAAGACGCACCCGAGGTGGTGCAGATGCGTTTTCGTCTCCGCTGCTGCGCCTGCCGGTGCGCGTGGTAATTTCATGGTGCCTTCTTTCTCCGTTCGTTGCAGCGATGAGGTGACCCTCATCCTCAAAAAAATTGCCGGAGGCGATATACCTTTCTATATTATCTTGTCTTATTCGAGCCATTTCGGATCCACGGTGTGGCGGCGAGCGTCCCTCATCGGCACTTCGATGACTCAGTATGCCACTTGGCTCGCTAAGACGGCCACCGCCGCCAATGCCAGAGAGCGGACACACGTTACGCAGCTCCTCCCCCAGCGTTGCCAATAGTTCACGATGAATGAGAGGGCTAACTATAGTGCGCCCCGTGGATACTCCGTCGACGACGTTGCTTCCCGGCGCACGTCCAGTTGACTGGCGTGGAGGCGCGTCGGTAAAGGAGAGCCCATTCAGTCCGCCAGAGTTGGACATACGATGCGTGGGACTGAAGAAATTATTGCCCAACGAATCCTCCGCACCAACTTCCCTTTGAGAATAACTGTGAAACTGTTGCGGGAACTGCGCAGCCTGATCAGCGTGGTTTCTTGGGGTGTCTCTCGGTGCTACCTCTCTAGACATGGTATTTCCAGATATTCTGCGCACAACAGGCGCCATGGAATGCTGGATTATGTGCGATCCGATGTCGGAGTTCGGCGGAGATTCTATAACCAAAGATTCTTCAGACGACGGCGTCATTGTGGATAGCGTTCCTGAGCTCGCACCCGTAGTCGAGCTCTCCCCTGACCGCACGGAGAGTGACACGCTAAAGGAAGAGCCACTATTATGGTCTCGGTTATCCGGTGTCGAATTGCTCCTGTACACGTTGAAGTAACCGCCTGGCGCGCTGACGCTGGAGAGCACTGATGATGGTGGATTACGGTCCAAACGACGATGAGACGGTGGCGACATGGGGCCTTCTGGCACCTTATCCACAGATACTGAGAACGCGTTGTGGAATTCACGCGAACTTGGCGACGATTCCGGCGTCCGATGAGGTGTTTGTATGCTTTGAGCATCCGCGGAATGCACCATATTCGCAGAGATTGGGGTTCCAAGTCCAGGTGCAGTTGTCAACTGTTGAGAACTCGCAGAACTGGTTGGCGATATCGAATTCCTCGGTGGTGCCTGATCACTGCACTTCCCGCCTGATCTCACTTGGTCGGTCAGAGACTGACGCATTCTTGTCGGCGTACCAGTCGATATGGGATCAACCAACAGACTCTCTGATCCGTTTTCATCGAGGCATATGTGTCCTATGTCTACGACGGGTTCTGTGTTGATCATGCGTAGTAAACTCGGGCTCGGGATTCGTATGTCGATGTATTCAGAGGGCATTTCTGCGCTTCCCGCCTTGACTAGAACGACTGGACCATTGGTTCCATCTTTACTTGATATAATAGGTGCATAAGACCTGCTTTTACCCGCGCCTGCTGCTTCGATGAAGCTGTGACTAGGCGAGGGGAGCTGAGACCGTGGTGGCGACTGTTTGGGCAGGTCGTCATGGTGGCCATTGCCTACACCTGAGCTTCTTCCTTCAGCCTCCATAGGGTGTTTTGCGTAGAGAAGTCAGTGCTTCATTCCTGTTTTGAAGTGTTGGCGGCCGCTCAATTCTGGCCAGGCGCGCATCGAGATATACACCTTGCTTCGATGCGATTCCACACAGTGGTCATCTATTTAACAAAAAACGAACGACGATGATAACGCGGTTTCAAATATTTGCGTCAGCCACGCCGCGAAAAATTAGACATCAAGAGCGATCAACTCGGCGCGTTTACAACGCAACAGAGGAGAGCATCCGCGACTCATGGACTGCTAGTATTCGGTTTCCGCTACCAAAAGCAACCTAATTGTGTTGTATTTAAATTGATATATACCGTATTGTGAGGGTTGCACAAGTGGCATTCGATTATACACATACATGCACATTGCATGGTTTTATGCCTGTATTTGCGGTCATTTAGGTGAATGGCAAGGCATGTTACACGCTAATGCGTACGGTGTTGTTACAGTTAGAATCCACGTGATACAAGCTTCCCTTGTGTGTGCAAGACGGCGCCCATTGCGCCTTCCATGCAGTAAAATGCACTGATAGTTAACTATTGACACGTGCACAGTCGCTCCAGAAGGGTCATTCGAACATCGGAGTAGCTCGATGGCCTCCGGAGGCGCTTTTTAATGGATGTCGCACCATGTGTGTAACCTCTGTCTAGCACCCCAATGCGGCTTCAAACCTTCACGTATTGGGGATACATCCTCGTCAACACCTTGATAAGTTCCTCTTGAAGCACTTCCAACATGGTGTTATCCGTTTCTTCCACGTTGCAGCTCAAGAACACTGCTCGGTTGAACCTTGTGGCTGCATCAATGTCACGTTGTTGAGTTGGCACATACCGAACGTCTTTGCCAGGTCTGATGAGATGGCATCCAGGTCTCCAATCAGCGTGCTTCCAACGCTGATTTCGTCCTGCGCGTTTTATAATTTATGCCAATGGATCTCATCATGTATAACAACTTTGCGGATACACAGCAGCACTTTAACCTCACATGCAGTGCTAATAGCACCTATGATACTATAATGCGGGCGCAACATCTCGTCTAGCGCACACTAAAAGGCATTTACGAAGCTATGAAAGGTACCTTCAACCTGTTGACCGGGAATCCGCAGTGTAGGTCTCGGCAGGCCTTGCTATCGTCGCCGACCCAGACATACAGCCCGGATTCGTATTCAACCGATAACACATTTAACGTTTTGTCATACACCGTGAAGGAATCCCGGTGGATTTCCATGTTGTCGGCAGTTGCGTCTTCTCACGTAGAACGGTGAAGATATTTGAGGGCGTATTAGCACCGGTCTAATGCTCCTTGTCTCCCTCAATCAACACATTAGAGCACTGCTAATCTTGTGTGATGTTTGCTTACATACGATGTGTGAAGCTACGGTCTCCCTGGGTATCTTAATGTGCTGCAACATACACCGCATAGACGCTCTAGTCAGGCAAGGTTTTTGAACTCTTCCGTGGAATGACTGCTGTAGACATGTTGTGTGTAGTATACCGAGCGTATAATATGTGTAGTTGATGGTAGTAGGCTTGAGTTGGCGTCTTAGTCAGCGCGTTGCCGTCCTCTGCCTTCTTGTCTTGTGGTTGCGATCGCTGGGTCCAGGAAGCGCATATCTCCAACGCCTGCGACCAAATTGCCACCTCAATGCTCATTTAAGGCGATGTGTGAGGGTTGCAGCCGCAGAAGGTCATCCAGCGGAGCCATTCCTGACTGGTGATGCGGAAAGAGGAAATCTCGCTGAAAATGATGTCGCCAATCTTAGTTCCTCTGACCTTCCAGATGCGATAAGTGATGGCTCTGCTACTGTAGAGGAAGGGGTGGCAACGGGAGATGGTACGTCGCAACAAACGTCCTGTTACCTTCGTCATGAACCCGTCCTTCTGCAAGAGACGTTGGACATGCTGGTGACTGATCCCGACGGGCGCTATTTAGACGCTACCCTAGGATATGGAGGACACTCTGAGGCCATACTGGAGCGGCTTTCGGCTAAGGTAAATGCTGTAACTGGTCTATTCAATCATTTAACCAGGGCTCCTTGGTGTCACTGGACCGCGATCCCGAGGCCGTTTATTACACCGGCCGTCGCCTGAGCAGATATGTGGATTCTGGCCAGATGATGCCGGTTATAGGCACATTTAGCAACCTAGAGCGCGTACTGGAATCGCATAACCTGCCCCTGACTGGGTACAGTGGGTACGTTTTTAGCACCTGTGTTAACCGTTCCGCAGCGTGCTAGCTGATCTAGGCCTTTCCACTCACCAACTGGAAAAAGCTGGTCGCGGATTCTCTTATAACACTGATGGTCCTCTTGACATGCGCATGTCTAACCCTATGCACGACCCTTTCAGCACGGCAAGCTACACGGGTGTCGACCTGGCGTCGTCTCTGGGGACCGCTAACACGGCTTTCAAGGTTGTCACGGGTTAATAAGACAACCAGACATTGTGCAGATTGTCAATCGTGCCAGGGAGAATGAGCTGGCACATATTTTGAAGGAATACGGCGAAGAGGCTCGGGCAGCGGTGATTGCTCGTCGTATCGTTGACGTTAGTTCAGTCCTACCGACTAACACACTTACCCATAGATGCGTGGTCGCAAGGGTCGGATATCTACAACTAAAGAGCTCCGTGATATAGTGGTGAGCTGCGTGCGCGGTAACCACAAAGCTGCAATGAAGGTGCTTTCTCGAGTGTTCCAGGTACATCGAATCTTTTAAACATGCTAATGTTTTGCAGGCGTTGCGCATATACGTCAACGACGAGCTAGCTGAACTGAACAGTCTTCTGGAGTTCGCACCCTCCCTGCTGCATCGCAAGCATGGGCGATTTGTGGTCATATCGTACCACTCTCTGGAGGACCGCGCAGTTAAGCGCGCGTTTTCCGGCCTTCAATCAGCATTTGAACTGTCTTCTGACTCGAGCGTGTACCGTGTGCTGACGAAAAAGTGCGTGACGGCCGGCTCTGCAGAGAGCAAGGCGAACCAGAAGTCACGCTCCGCAAAATTGCGGTGCCTGCAGCGATGTCGAAAACAGACACAAGAGTGAACATTCATTATAAAGAGATGTATACATTATAATATAATTCAATTATGTCGCTGTTTAGCACTGTAATAGCGCCGGAGGCATAATGAACGTAATTCTGTCCTTGTATCTGAGGGTCACGCGCTCAGATATTCTAGTGATTTTCACCAAGGACAACAACCATCTGGTTATCTACATTCAACTCTCGAATACCGTGAAGGCTGGAAATTCTTTTTTGGCATAGGGTGATGTGGTAACCTTATGCTATCCTGTAAATGAGGTGAATGCCCGAGTCAGTGTCCACTAGGCCGCTGACCTCACCTACGCCTAGGAGGAACGCTGCATTCGAGAAAGCGGCTTGCATTTGGTTGCGGGTGAAAAATCCAAGGTCCCCACCGTTCTGCGCGCTTGTGCACTCCGATATCTGCGTCGCTTTCTTCTGGAATTCACGGTCCCGTGCTGCGGCCGCCATTATGTCATCGAGGTGCCGGGTCATTTCAGAAATTGCCTCCTCCTTTGTGCGTGTCACCGGCTGATTCGTGTTTCTGTTGATCGGATTGCGTGATCCCTTGTGCTTTAGGAGGATGTGGGCGCATCGCACCTTGGTAGGCACCATCTCCTTCATCATATTTGGCATTGTTGCGTCCTTCAATAGATACAAAGGGTGACTTATTTTAGACACATTTGCAAAAATGCTACAGCTAATCCAAAATCGAACCTTATGGGGGGTTCTTCAACCAGACAGACGATATTCAAAGCGAAATGTATCTTCGTATATGGTGCAAACTCAGGTGCACAGGAATTACCGTCAGCTCTTATACTGCAACCTAGTACCCGATGTAAAGATAGATCGCAATAAAGGGATATTTATGTATGCGCAGAAAGGGCGATGGCCAATAGACTGATTTAGCACTCCCTGCACATGCCAAGTTGCTTGTTTCGCAACGTTTGGAGCTTTTATTTCCGACAGGGGGCCTGCTTTCTAGTTCTCACTCTTCCCGCGTATCCGGACTTGCTTTTGAGGTAGTCAGTACCGTTGAGCAACCTACGGCGCCGATTGGACATGTGTCTCACGGCAACAAGCATATAGCTCAATCCCGCCGCTTGAGACCACACATTCGGCAATAATTTAAGGAAATTGCGCATGTCAAAACGCGGTGCGCAGCTGTGCAACCGGCGAGCAGCGCAAAATGTATTTAACGAAAGACCCGATGCAAGCCTTCAACGGTGCTGGGCCTCGAATAAGTACTACGTTCGCTGCACAACTTAGATTTTCTGACTTAGGTTCGCGTTTCAATTAGGGAGTAATCGGTTTCCGCTTTTGTGTACTGGGGCTGCACGTTCATAGGGCTGCTGCCTTTTTCCTTTCTGTGCGTGCGCCACAGGCTGTGTGGTCGAATAACACATTACATTTCTTTGTTGTGCGAAAGTAGTTTCAAAAAAATCTATTAGGATTAAGGTGTATTTGTTGCGCGAACGGGCTTGTTTGGTCTTGCAAATTCGACGCGCTTCTGATGGGACGTAAGTTATCCGAAATATTCGGGCTATGCCCTCTTCTTAACGATTAGAAAACCGGCATTTATGCGTGTATAGGTATGTGTCCACGACGAAAGGTCGATGTCTTATGTCTAAAAGGGCTTTTGCGCAAACACGGTGTTACGCAAGGCGAAGCAGTACTATTGGATGTGTATAGTGTGTAAACCTCGAATTTCTCAAAAACTGCCACGATGGAGGGATACGCTGATAAGTCTGAAATGGACGCTCTTAACGACCTGTTTGCCAAGGCGTTTGCTCAATATTTTATGATGTTATGGTGTCATCGGGGCTACGAGACATTCTCCCCGTTCCCAAAGGAACTGGAAGCCGTGGTCTCTTTCTGGCCGAACAACATACCGTCTCAACACGAGGAACCAGCCGAGCAGGAAACAATTTCCAAGGATGGGAGCAACCCACCGGGTCAGGCTACCCGGGATGGTGACCGTCTCCGGAAGCTCAAGGCGCTAAAAGATCTTGAGTATGCATTTCAGTTGATGATGGTGGGCTGCCACGAAATGAATCTTTTCTCGTCTAACGAGGAAATAGCCGATGTGCATACCGAGGACCTAAAGTTTCTGATGTTGCCTTACCTGGCGGCGCATGTGGGCATTGAAAAGCCTGACATCAAACAGCGCTTGAATGTGCTCAAGCGGTGCGTCGTGTATTTGACGGAGTTCATCAACACTCTAATCCGCATGAATATCATGCACCAGCGTGAACTGGTGTACTGGGAGCGGAATTTGGGAGACATTGCCGATGAGCGACGTACCTTCAGAATCAATTCCACGAAATATTCCATAGAGATTCTGGCGAAATTGCGTCCAGCATTCAACACTGCGGAAGGGATCGCCACTTTTATCAAGAGCGCCAATGCCAATCATTCTGACGAGGCTACAGTGCGGGCCAGGATTCTGGATCTCTTGCACCTATTTTCCTTCGAGGCCATAAATCTCTACGACATGATTAAAATGGTTAGTTCATTTCTGGTAAAACGTGCACGCTGGTTGTTTGTCCTATGCGCCTCCCCTGTATTCCACCGTCTACATGTTGCTGTTTCATCGTTTATCTCTTCTTATACGCTTCTAGGAAATCCCGCTGCTGGAACGTCATCTACGCGAATCTAGCAATCCAGAATTAAATGCCAGTCGGGAAGATGGGCGGATGGAACCGCCGCGCTCCAAACCGTGGGTCGTTAAAGTAGACGGAGTCTCCAAATTGGACCCCACCACGGCTCACTTCTTGTACAAGAAGCTTATCTTCGTACCAGGCCACAGTGAGTTCACCTAGTGCAGTATTAACTGTTACCATTGCGCCAGATTTGCCCAACATATCCCTGGAAGAGTGCGCTCGCATCGAGATGGACATGGACGTGAACACCATTGGCGTCAGGGGAGCAAAGGAGAACAAGAAAAAGGAAGACAGCGCCGAAGAGGACGATGGATGTAAAAGCGGCAGCGAATCTAGCAGTAGCAGCGATTCCGATGAGGACAGCGACGACACCAAGGAGAAGGCGACTTGGGACGACTGGAAGGACGACCACCCCAGGGGGAGCGGAAATAAAAACCGCAATGTCGGTTAGATGTGCGAATATGGTCAATGTACCGGTTGTTGCGCGGCCGTGCAACTAGCAAAGACTTGTGCGGCAGAGCCGCGCAAAAATGTTTGCCATGGGCAATGCATCCGTCGGCGGAATTTCACGTGGAGGCACTATTTGATTGCTACATATTTTTCACACGGAATCAAATCAAGCAACATGGAGCCAAATGTATAAAATAACGGTCGAAAAGGCTGGCCTACAAAATCTGGGCCCATTTCACTCATAGCTTCACTATCAAAATAATATTATGGAGATTACATTATGCCAACTACTGCCGACTTCAAATAAATAGTCGGTACGTATGCGCCTCGTCTGTAATACGGCGCAACGTTCTATGCGTTGCAGAGGCTTTACCTCCCCCAAAAATAAATGGGGTTGTAATCCATGCCGGCCTTAATATCTCCTCATAGGTGAAAAGATCGCCAATGCTCTTAGCAAACACACCGGAATGACAACTGATATCCACCACTGGACTTCAGATATTCCACTAACGTTGATACCCAATTACCTTGTATGTCCCTGGCCACTCTAGAACACCGGTGAGAATGGATGCAGGGATGGCTTCATCTCTCCACACATGTTCACGGCTCACTACAACAGATGTTCCTTGAGCTACATTGGGCCTTGTTAGTAATTGCGAAATTCTGATTCAGAGGTGCCACCAGACGTATCCGCATTGCCCACAGTATGATGGGCTGGGTAAATGGGAACGGGTACAATTCGTGATTATAGGCTTTTGATTGTCTAGAATGAGACTATGATCTGCAGGATTTAGCCAATGCCACAAACGACTAAACGAGTTCGGTGGGAGTTATAAATGAGGATGACCTCATTAGGGTTTGGGGTGTGAGGCGTAATGTCGGATTGCGTGGTTCTATGTTAACATAATGACGGCATGGAAGATGGATCTATTGCGTTGGATTGCACGTCAATTGAGAGGTTTACGTGGTCAATCGAAATGAGCAATGTTGCTGGGTGGATGGCACAACGGTCTTACAAGGTGGGATGCGAGTGATAGGAATGTGCCTGGTAGCATTGCAGGACTTTCTCGATTGAAAACAGATGTAGAAAACGTCATCATTAATACGTCGCATTAGTTAATTCGGGACCTTAAAATCTCCAAGCCAGTTGTCTAGGGAGATGTGGGGTATAGTTCGCATCCCTTAAATGACCTCGCTGGGCGTGGTATCTGTGTGGTGAGTAACGCGCGTTTGTGGTATCCCTGGCGGTAGATCGCATGTCGCTCCTCGAATACGGCTTGGCGGTTATAGAGTTCGGTGCTCAAGGTACGTGTTTCATGTTTGTGCAGGTTGATGACGAGTAAGCAAGAAAAATATGGATGCGATAGAATGTAAATGTCCAACAAGCGATCAATGTAATAGAGAGAAGTGTATATGCTGTCTCTTGTGTTGTGACGGGTGTAATGGTGAAGATGAGAGTTGCCCCAAATGTTCATCTGAACACGGTCGTAGGGGCATAGGTCTTGTAGACTGTGACCCTGAGATGTGTAAGAAAGTATGTAATAAAGAAACTTGTGAATGCCCATGTGAACATGATAAACGTACACTCCTTGAATCCCGTGCCATGGCTTCCACCGATGTTGCCGCTCCCATCGTCACTGTCGTCATTGCAGTAATACTCGTCGCCGTCTGCGTCATGATCGTGAAACGTATCCGGCCGTTCCACAAGGTCCGTAATTTTTTTGTCTGCAAGTGAACGTTTTGTATCGCATTCTTTAATCACTTCCGGCATGTATCATTATCGCACCCTTTCGGACATTACCGGCACAACGCCGATGTAATAATGTCTAATTTAATGTTTCATAAGATTGTGTCGGCAGGTTCCCGTTGAATGCATTCATCAATTACATCATAGCAGAGCATTAGTTAAAATAAGGGGATTGACAGAGCCCAATCTGCTGTCCACATCCGCTCGTACCTCACTCTGATGACGTCGCACAGGATCGTCGCCACTCGCCGAGTAAATACATGTCCACGCATGGCGTGATGCTCGACCAAAACACCTAAGTAGCAACCTAGTGCCTAACGAGCAAGTTGCAAGCAATAGAGATGACGCATTGAGACTCTCACGTGGAACGTCTAGTTTAGCGTTGCTTGAGATAGGTCTCGACGTCATCCCTTAACGTAAGAGTAATCTAGAGCTGGGTGTTTTACCATCAACGTAGGCAGCTGACGACTGCTGTGCAGGGTGAGATACTTGGTTGTCTGTTAGGTGAGTGGTCTATACGTTATCTATCATGTGCGTTGCTAGTCAATTAATATCGCCGGGACTCTCCTACGTGATTGCAAGTGTACGGTATAGTTAAGTGTCATCCATGGTCAACATTGCGGTAAGCCCTGAAGTCGTAACGTCGGACTGTACCTTAGCAGCCACTTCGTCGGGCACCCCGCAAACATTGTTATCCACTCATGTGCCCCCTCAAGATCATTTCAGTCCACGTAAAGACATTGGTAGTCTGCATGGAATCTAGACATTCTTTTCGGATCAAACAAAGGTGAGTATAATTTGATTCAAATGATGCTGGCAAACAGAGATACTAACAGACTTGTTAGCTGTCGATAGCAACTGTGTGTGTCAAACCAGCTAGTTTTCGAAAAACCCTACTAGAGCACACCTGGACGGCAGTATGGCAGTGTACTTCTATTTGAAGAGGAGTTTTCGATCTTAACGTACATTGCTCAACAGTTTGCCAGATTTGTTTCCAAAGAGTTGTGTGCAAGATGCAGCGTGTTATAATAAGTGTGTGCATCCTTTGGTGCATCCATGGCATCCTTCAATCATATTTTGCATATCAACAAACGTCACAATATTTGCGCACCATTCGGCATAACCAAACGCATATCTGTCATCTTAGGGAGTACAGTAAGCAATTGCCAATAACTCAGGATGTTGGAAACCAGGTGCCTATAACTCAGGATGTTGGCGACCAGGTGCCTATAATTCAGGATATTGGAAACCAGTGGCATAAAGCTCAGGGTGTTGGCGACCGGTCGCCTAATCTTACTAATCTTCGCACAATGGTATACGATTCGTTGACCGACGCTCCCCACAACCTCAAGGAGTGCATTGACTGGTTAATAGCACTCAAGGGAGATGATGCTGAAAACAACTTCAAGGCTATGGGCACCGCAGTTCACAAATTTCTTGAAGACAAGCCTGTTCCCTCTAAGCACTTGCCAGCTATAGAGAATTTTAAACATATTTTTAGGGAGTTCCTGAGGCAACAAGAGCTTAAGGACCTGTGGTATGTAGAAGACATGCTGGAGATGATCAATGGGCCCATGAATAAAAAACCCGAAATGTTCGCAAAGATCACTGGCGTTGTAGAAGAAAGCGATTATACGAACGCCGTAGAGACGAGAAATGCAAAGCCTGAAACTATCGCGAAAATCATAGGTGACGTGCTTCAAGCTACTGGGAAGTTCTTAGCTCATATCAAAAATCCTGACCACTATAACTCTGCTTACAGTTCGAACGCGACGTGGGATGCATCATGCGAAAACGATCCGGAGGCGTGCGCAGTGGCCTTCGTAGGGATTGCGTTAATGTTGTACGCAGGCTTAGAAACTTTGAGGGATGCGTGTGTGACTGCATTCTTTAGATGCCCGCCGTTTCTTGCCTATAAGCGTATGCAGGAGGTGTTGAATGCTTTGGGTTACGTAGAGCCGGAATGCCGCGCTAACATGACTATTTCGGATGTTGAGTGGGCGTTGAGCGGTGTGGATAATGGTCTATTGAACACTCTTTACAACCTCGCTAGCTTCTGGCATCTCTATTGAGTACGGGTAGCAGGTAAACTCTGCAGGCAGTTCGAAACAACATATGCGAACTCCAATTCCCCAGTCGGCAGCCGTCAACGAATTCTCACGAAAGATCTCTAATTTATGAAAAATACCAATCTCCCGGTTTACTTATACCATCTTCATCCCCTGCAGTGTCTGTCAGTTCGGGCTAAACACGGTTCTGAGCCTCTCCGTAATTACGTTCATGGCGCAAATTGGCGTGGGTCGTTATCATACCCGTTACATATATCGCGGCATCTGTTGACTGCTATGCGTAAAACTGCCTATACCTGACATCACTTCACGACGCATCCGTTGGTCGTAGTCAGTCCTTTGAGTACATCTGGCATTGTTGCACCACAGCAGAGCAAGCACGATGCTGCTCTTACATTGGGTGGGTCATGCGTATATAGCCGTTGTCGTTTGCTTGGTGTGTCCCGTAAAGAGGCACTAAACGGCAGTGTATGAGGTCATAGAAGTGACCCTAAATATGCCCAGAAACAGCACGACGCGTAACCCGTAGACTACACCAGCAGCGTGAGGCGCTAGAGAGGTAAACGGAGAAAGCGACCTATACGAAACGTCACCACCAAGCACTCTACAAAGCATAAACAAAGACTAGCTGGAGAGAGTGCTGAGAAATTCTTCAAAAGTATAGACGGCAGCAACAGCCGTATGACAGCACCTCTATCACAGTATAAAAATTTTAACCCGACCCCCAAAGCGCCATGAGACGGCATAATAATTGGGACAGTGAGTCATCTGTTACCCGATCATATGACATTGTAGTTATTAAGTGAGCGGTTCCTAAAGGTTTTAGGCGTGTTAATGAACGAAATGGTGGGTAATTCTAGGATATTTTCCTACGTTATGACCACTGGTTGGCGCAGGCTACATGATACTACTCATATCCCTTCGTAAAATTTCAAACCTTTACTCGTCTGAGGAAATACTACTAACATCTCTAATTCCAATATGTGCTAGTTTGCCTGAAACTTGTCTACCCCAATGACTCGCGTGCTGCGGACTGCATGTCACGTTATTTGTGTGGATCAGGCTGACACACGTCGGCTTGGTTGTCACCGTGCCCCAAATATCCGCCTATTTGTCTTATAGACGACTTTGCATGTTTCAAATAGAGACGTAAATTAAAAGACGACGGCACTTGTGTTGCGCTTACCTGCCATCCAGACAAGGCTGTTTGCACACGGGTATATAAATAGGCAAAAATTCCAAACTTCTATCAGCTGCCGATTAAAACCTATCTCTACAAAATGGTATACAATTCGTTGACTGAGGCCCCTCGCAACCTCAAGGAGGGTATTGACTGGTTGATGGCCCTGAAGGGAACTTCTAAATTTAACACGCAGGCTTTAGGTTTCGCAGTTCACAGAATTCTCGCGGACACTTCCGTTGGGTTGTTGCGCGTGCCAGCTATAGAGAAAGTTAAACGTGTTTCTAAAGAATTCCTGGAGCAAAAAGAACTTAAAGGGCGGCCGTACGTAAAAAACCTACTGAGTAGATTCAGGGAGCCTATGAATAAAACCGACGGCATGGAATTAAAGCGCATGTTTTCCGTGGGCAGAAGTGATTATGTAAATCTCGTAAAGTCCGAGGGTATCAAACCTGAAGACATCGCAAAGGATCTAGGTCAAATTCTGGATGCTTGTGAGAAGTTCTTGGATGAGATAAAAAACCCTGACCAATACGAGTCTGCTTACAGTCCAGAAGCGACGTGGGCTAAATCCTGTTCGAAAAGCCCAGAAGCTTGCGCAGTGATCTTCGTTGGGATTGCGCCAATGTTAGAAGCAGGCCTACGTTCTTTGCGGTGCGCGAGCAGAGATGCAGCCAGTTTGTTGTCACATTATGATAAGAAGAAGCATTTGAAAAAATTAATGAAAGCCTTGGGTTACGGAGAGTCGGAATGCCGCGCTAACATGAGCGCTTCATATATCTTCAAGGCGTCGGAAAATGTTGGTTACATAATGTTGGGCAAGATATACGACCTCGCTGGTTTCTGGGCTTTCTATTGAATGGGGGTTGCAGGCGAAGCCTAAAGGTTCCTCAACAATAAACGATTCTGCGTGTTGGCCCATATTTTAGCCGTCATACAAATTCTCACGAGGCGTCTCATTTATGAAATGGAGCAATAGCCATCTTTGTGGATATGATTTCAATCGCTGAACGGCGTACACCAGATGAGGTCTAACATAGTTGGCGTTCCCCGAATTGTATTCGGGACGCAGGGTGCCGGCTTGCCTTTCAGCGTCACACGCTCCAATGTCCGTATACCCGGCAGACATTGGAGATCCGCAATTTAAAAGTCTCGCTGTGCTCTAATATATGTCTTCTCAGGTGTACGCACGATCAGTGACGCCTTTGAATCTCCGTATAATTCCAGTTACGGAAATGCAGATTACCTGTTGAGTTCAAGGCGTGTTAACACGTGTAGATTGTATCACTTAACTATGCGATCTTTGATCGTGCAAACAGTACTAATCCTATATTATATCATTCCTGCCGGGATACGCGACCATAAATGTGGCCTATATTGGCGTGGGTTGCTCAGTTAGGGTCTTGTGAATCGTTTTGCTTGATTTGCCACATAAAGCGTAGCTAGGTGGCAGTGGGCAGGTCCGCGGAAGTGGTACCAAATATGCTCGGCAACGGAACACAGTTTAACCTACAACCAACGCCAATGGCGCGCAGGGAGGGAGCTTCAAGCATTATCAAACATAGGTCCAAGCCATTAGTAGCCACATACCACACCATACAAATTGAAACAAAGATTAAACACGGCAGTGTAACCTCCGGATTATATCACGAACGTATGAAACCGTTGACTTATTCGTTTAGCACTGAGTCCGTAAATGGATTGAAGACACACGAAACGATTGACGCTACTATATTGACCCACATCGCATGACTACAAGACGTTATTTGGGCAGTGAGTAGCCATAAGCGACAAATGGAGTATTGTCTCCAAACGTGGCTTGGATAATGCTGTCGTTGTTGAATCTGTTTAGAAATTTGAAGAAGCCGTTAAACCTCGTCGGCGTGCGCTTACTTGAATCACTAGCGTTTTCGACGCTATTGTTATTAGATGTGCTACTCGATTGATTAGACATCCCCTCCTCTTGGAGAGTTGACTGATTCATGTTAAATTCACTGGCAACACCTGGCAATGCATGGCACCCCGATTTGCCAGAGGACTCACAATTTTTGCGTAACTGCCCGGGTAGTTCCTTACATTGAACGTGCATGACCATAGAAATACTGACCACTACTAGGGCGCAAAAAGCGGCGCCTACACTAGCCTTCATTATCCTTTACACCTCACGTAACAAGTACTCCTGCGCAACGCTGCACAACTTGCCTGAAAACGACTGCCGTGGAGCAATACACCTTTATTACACTTACTAAACTGAACTGACTAGCTATTTATGTCGTGGTAAAAGGCCAGCGCTCACTGTTCTTGATGTATCTGACTAACACGGATCCACTCTTTAATCCTCCAAAAGATACTACGTATCTGCATGCGGTTGATGGTATTTTCCTAATCAAGGCGCACGTCCATTCCATCTCCACAGGATCCATTTCCAAGGCTGCCAATCGGAGACCAATCTGCAAGCAATGGCTTTGCAGATATTTTAGATATTACAAATGCTAGCGGTGATGCGAAGTGTTGGGCTCTATCTATCCTACAGCTTGGTCCCAACGAAACACTTCAACATTCTTGACTTCCATACTCAAATAACAGCAGAAGTACTTAATTAAACGTCAGGAGCTCGCAAAAATCTAGCGCGCATACCAAGTTTTTGCCGGTGTCAACACCACTGACCTGAATTTCATTAATCCATCCGTCGTCACCGTCACTAATATGTTTACCATCATCATTCACTTGCCTTGTTAAATATCATGCGGCAGCCATATGAGATCACACAATCCAGAGAAATCTTCAATTCCCTTCATCGTTGTTACCAAGGAGTTGAAGTTCCCCTGACTCCACCAGGCACGTATCAGTTGACGAACGCACACCGTGTCACATTATATATGAGGATTTTCTATAAGAACGGGACTTAATCGTCTACCCCATCGACATAATTGCCCGTAGCGGTGTCTTGCAGAGCTAATTTAATGTAACCCTTTTGGCAGGCCACAGTACTGATTTCCCCGGTAAACCAAGGAAGCGGCGCCCAGGCCTAATATTGTGTTAGCTGCCACACCGTTAACACTTTTTATCATTATATCACAGAAATTCACGATTATTATGTCACTGCCACACGTTGAAGTTACCCAACATCAGACGATGTTAACTACCAAACCGATGGTTAGGGGTTCTCGTTTCTCATTCGAGTTAAATCTCATTGTGATTGGTTTTTGTTCGCAGGGCCTAACCAACTCTCTACCATGTTTAGAGCGTATACAACTTGCATACGAGTACATCTAAATGTAATTTTATCACACTATGCGGATGCGCACCAACCGGACTGAACACACCTACACACAGGAACCCCCTGAGACCTGTCGAAGTCATTAACATAAGCCGCAGTTTAGCATTGGAGATGGAATGGGATTGCAGGAGTAATGTTACAACTGCGGACTGTGACTTATCGATGCGGCATGCTTGAGATAGCATTGCTTCAAGTACTGATGCTGCCATCGTTGCCGAGCACCATTTATAAACGGCAATTATAAGTTGAACGATTGACGACAATAAAGCATATGAGTCCGGATGTTCTAGATTGTGAACCGGTGTCCATTTTTGAAAGGCGCCGCAACGATGGTAAGACATCTAACAAGGAGATTTATTACACAGCGTTGAAGAGCGGTGCTTAAATCATCTCTAAACCATATCAATGCTTGATCGGTCAATGCTAATCAGGTCCGTCTAATTACATTTCTCATCTGGTCCGCGGTGATTGCAACACAGGGAAGCAGTTGATGAAGTGAAGAGAAGTAATTGCGTTTGCAATAAAAAGAATAAAAATTGGCATTTTCCAGACGCATTATGCCATTAAAACATTGAATAATGACGCAGCTGATGATGACGGTGTGGTTTTCCCATAAGGCTTTGCCACTACTGGTGAGCGTAGAGCGCAGCGGGAAATCTTCTGTGGTGTTTCCCTGGAAGCAGATCGCACGTTCCTCAACGCAGCAAATGCAAGAATGTATGATTACTTATGAAGTGTATGGTGCCATAATTGAATAGTTCAACGCATTGACTTCGTAGATATTTCAGTCATGCAAATGGTACCTTCTACACCCGCGTCCAGAGTGGGATATTGCACAACAGAAGCAACGACTTCTGGCCGTTATTGGAACACGATACGACATTAGTTATTGTGTGAAATAAATAACTGATGTGTAATGTATGCAGAAGAGTGTTTCGTCGGTCCATCCTCATTAGTTGTACCATGTGTCAACATATGGTCCTGAGAAGCGTTTTATTTTCTGTAGAACATTAGACAGCAACCACTGGCAAGGAAGACATTACTACACATCTATGGTATTGGCAGGAAGCTGCGGAATCTCCCAACTGCTGTCGCCATCTGCGTACTTTGTTCATCGTTGCGCAGGATTAGTTATTTAGTGGCGCTATATCACCGGAACGCTGGAGACTGCGTTCTGCCGGTTGCGCTAGGATTTTCAATGAAGTTCAGGGTCGTGTGAATGAAGTCAGTGGGGAATATGGCGGAAGAGCAGAAGTGGACGAATAAGTGTCGTTGTGACGAATATAAGTGCGTTGACCACGGCAAGCAGACTTGCTCCAATGCTAACTGTAAGGAGTTCAAATCGTGCTGTCCCCCCAAATGCCCGTTTTGTGTAGAGAAAGGGTGCGACGAGAAAGAAAATTGTAAATGTTATAAATGTCTCTGTGGGTGTCAGGATAATGAGGCGGTAAAAAGCGGCAAAATACCGTGTTCTCAGAGCGGTTGCAGCCGATGCAAAATAAAATGCAACAATTTAGTATGTAAGAACGAGTGTAAGAAAAGCAATCATGACAAATGTGTTAAACCATGTAAATGTTACGCCTGCAACTGTGGGGACCACTGTGATGGCGTGAATTGTCAGTGCTGTAAATGGTGTAATCCGTACAGCAGGTGTACTGGAACGTGCGATCGCGAGGATACACACGACAAAAACTGTCCCAGAGGCAAGTGTGCCAAGAACGCCGGTGATTGCGTCAGCGTCGAATGTTTCTGCGAAACGTCAGGTATCAGCAAAAAGGACCTCGGTGCATGCGAATGTAAATGCAAATGTAAAGGCAAATGCCCCAGATTCATATGCTCTAAAAGCTCCGGCAAGGAGTGCGCCAATAAAACCACCGATGGCAAATGCGGGTGCGAATGCGAATGTACCTGCAACATCTACGGCTACTATTACGATGGGAACGGCAAGAAAGTTGGAGTCGGCAGCAATGAAAATTTCATACACTTTTACATCGGCAGCGCATGCCGCTTCAAATGCACAAACTGCGGCAAGCTATGTTCCCAAGATGCATTTAGGCGCGGGTGCTATATAGGAGTCCCCATACTTCTAATTGCAGTGGCCATCATCGTTGCCTGGCATAAGTATCCTGATCCATTCCGCAAGCTGTTTTACGAACTATGTGCTTCATTTGCTAACTCGATAAAAGGTTCCGGCACATCGACAAATAATCTTGCCGGTGGGAGGATTACCGAGGATATCGACACCGATATATACTCCGCCTTCCCCTTCAAGGGCCTGATGTAGCTTCAAATACTCCACGTAGCGTGTTAACATCGCAATCAATATGTAGTTTTAATGTAGTGTCATCAATATTCTGTCACATCGTTCGGCATCCGACGCCAACCGTCAACAAAATGCATGATTACTTGACTGACGACACCCTGCCCTCTACTTCATACTTCACCCTGCACGAGAAGAGCAAATCACCGTCTCACCAATCCCGGATGGGGTTCCGATGATCATTCCACAACCAATATCAGTGTAGCAGCATATTCTTAACGCTGAGCTATACCAAACCTGTGATTGACCACTGTACAATAATCATCTACAATGCAGGTAAATGCTTCAGAGGATACACCTCTTGTAGTACAATTAGGGGCACTCATGTATCACCCACTGATGACTGGCCGAATTTGCACTGCACTTAGACGGCATCACGTTTCACCCCAAGGGTATATTTTGTCAATTTTGACCAGTGCATATGCTACAGCCACGGTTATGACTTATTGATCCTCTTCTGAGACAGCAGTGTTATTGTTGACATTTTTGTCAATCAACCATGATACGAATAAAACACATCACTTGCACCGCTGGTGCGTGTCAATACCACCTAAGTACGTATCGACTAAACCCGTATTTAGTTTTTACATGGACTGAATCATTGCTTCTAGGCTACTATAGGGTGCGATTTAACTAATTCTACAAGATTGCCTTTTGGCAAAACAAGTTTTCGTCACGTTCGTTATGTGCATGGGCATCGTAGTCCGCATTTCATCTGAGGATTGAATGACACGCCCCATTTGAGTTGTGTACGCCTGTGACGTGTGGTAGCGTTAGCGCCCACTCGTACCACATGCGGCGCTTGTCATGTCTCCTCCAGACGTGCAGCATGACGAGTTGCCCCTCCTTAACGTATACCGGTGCAGTCAACGGGAAGAATATGGGGAACCAACTGATTTGGTCGTCCATCACCCCCGGCACGGTAGAAATTTTGACGTCCTTGTACAGCGTGCACTCGAAATACCCCGCGAAACCGTGTATGAAGCACTCCAGAGTAGACTTGAACGACATACAAGCATACCGGTTGTTGTGTTCGTTGTTCATGTAGCAGAGCGCTTGTACGTCATCAGTGTCGCTCTTGCACGCTTCCAGGCGTGGGTTGGGATGCTCGAACTTGAAGCACGGCCTGGGCTGCTCAGCGACTTTGCAGAATTTGTGCAGCGCCACCGTATAAGGGTGCTGGAAGGGTTTCTCGATTTGCGTGAGGTTGAGGCTGGCCCACACCTTTGGTGCGTAAATGGGCTCGGCGTGCGAGACGTAGGCACACGGCATGAACGTGACGTGATGCCCTGGGAAATACGTTTGGAAAGCGTTTTGCACTCCGTCCAGACATTCCGGCGCAAGTTCATTGTCACCAAACGATCCTAATAGTTCGCTCAGAACCAGGTCTGCTGGTTCCGTGGGCTTTAACGTGCGCATGTCCTGGAATATGAGCTTGACTTTGTCCCACCCCTCTATGGAGTTCGTTGCAATTTTGTGCTTCAGCGTGAATACAGTAGCCGGGTTCTTTTCAAGTGCGTATATGGAAAATTCGGTGACATTGTTTTCCGCCAGTGCCCGCAAGCTGCAATCCACCAACGGCCCCCTTCCGGCTCCGACAATGTATATCACCGGCCTCCTGACACTTTTCTGTCCCTGATCATTGCCATTCGCATCATCACCAGCCGCTTGTTGGCCTGGGAGCGCGCCCGCCATGAAGTCCTTCAACCACAAGCCGACCGCAGTCTCATATTGCGCATACTTCCTTGTACACCTCTCGAAATTCTCGTAAGTCACAGTTTCCAAATTGTCACGAACAGGCTGCAGCGGCTCCTGAAGCATGTCCCGGAATCCCTCCCTGAACTGCTCCGCCTCAGTGAGAGGCGGCATAGCAGCATATGCAGTCCTCACTGCAGTGATGGCCTCCCTGATGCCGATGCCACCCGGCACTGGTGGCGTGTCCAGATCCCTAATCGCAATTAGTTCCAGCGAGTCGGCGCTGCGTAACTCGCTGGCCTCCCTGAGGGGGCCAAAGTTGAACATCCCACTCAACATCACTTTCACGTCGTACTGCAGGAGGAAGTGTAGGTGTGGCACGAGGGCGGGTTTCAGCTTCACCGTCTCTCCGACCCTGACGAAGGCGCTTTCCCTGAGAATGATGGCCGTGAGCGGCTCTGCCACCCATCGTGCCAGGCGTCCGGCGTCGTCGCCATCGATGAGAATGGCGACCTTCAGCTGCGGAGAGTAGTTCGTCATTTCGTGTATTGCGTTCCAGTATCCCCAAGAAGCGTCATTCGCGGTGAAAGACAGGCAAACTGTCGGCATATTAGGCGAATGCAGAAACGCCTTGAGACGTTGCGCGAGGTTGGCAAGCAGCTCATGCGACTCGGCGAGTGAGGCCGCCTGTTGGAAGATGGGTTCGCAGTGTATACAGACAGCCCTGAGTCCTAGGTAGGCCGACCACTCCATGTAGGACATGAACGCGCCTCCGACGCTGTCTATCCGCGCGACGATCCTCTGGCTCCAGTAGTTATAGGTGAGGACCAGGTCGCTTCCGCACAGCGGCACAAAGGTGTCATTTTGTCCGTCTTCCTCCGCGGAGTTCAGATTGAGCGAGACGAACGAGATTCCAACGCTCTCTATAATCTTGATGACGCGCAGGAGGTCGCTGGTACCCGGATTCGGGAGGTTCCAGCCGAACACCAGTGGCGGCCGCATCGCACCCGGTTTAGGCATTGACGCCATTGTAAGGTGAGAGTAAGGGTCCGTGGGTCTTATAACCCCTATTGGTGAGATTGCGAAACGCCCACGTTTCGCCGTGTGTCGCAAAAGACACTCATCAACGGCGGCCGCCGTGGCGGGTTATGGCGCGGGGCCGAAACCACCCACAGCGCGTGAAGAATTACACACCTGCGGCTATCAGTTCGTCTCTATTCGGCAAATCATTCTAGATGTACAAGTGTGAGATCAGTGTGTGAAGCGTGACTGGCACGCTCCTTATCCGGGAGAGCTCGAGCAAAACTTTGATTGCCCATAGCTAACATTGTTCGCGTAGCGCGCATTTCTATCTACACCGCCACGTTACACACACGTTTAGTGCACATATAGTGGCTATGCGTCGGACCAACTAGGTTCGGCGTTCACATCCTTCCTCCATTGGCAGCGCGTCCAACTTGGTCGCCCATTAGGTGTGTAACCGCCTGCACCCGCGTTTAAGCAGTGCAATGCTTAGCCAGTTATAGTTACAGACTGCGGCGGCGCGGGAGCGAGACCGAGGTCTCGTCGTGGTACATCGTCTGGGGGAGTCTTGCACTTGCCGTGGTTGACGTGCCGGCGCGGAGTCTACTCGCAATTTCGTATCTTTTCGCTATTCCCAATTACTGCGGAGGTTTCCTTTGGCATTTTTGCGGGGAAACCTTGATTGTGATCGTGTGGTTGCGGTGCGAAGCAGTCTGCGTCGCAGAGGTTCGCGCCTGAGCAGCGGCACAGCACGCGTTTTACCGTGTCACTTGCGCGCCGCATTATTCAGTTATGCGTTTAGCTGTGTGCTGCTGTGTTAGTCGCGCCTCCTTGGCTTTGGGTTACCATGTCTGACAACAAAAGCCATTACCAGCCGCCGTACCCCGGTACGACCGGCATCAGCGACCCATTCGGTGGGAGTGGCCCACAGTACCCCGTACACAGCGAGGATGTCAAGTCTAGCCCGTTCGGTACGAGCGTGCCGCGCACCACGGCTCCCCCTCCGCCTCCCGAGCAGGCGCAGCCGACGCCGGTGATTGCCCCGCCGCCCATGCCTCCCACGAACGTGAAGCCAAGCGAGGATATTGAGGACAACAAGGTGCTGAAGGGCAGCCTACCCGGCCAGGTGTTCCACGAGAGCTTCAAGTTTACAGAACCCCCCTCAACGGCTGCGGCCAGCAGCTTCACCGAATCTACGACGGGTGCGGACATAATGGAGAACATAAAATCGATGAATACCCCATCGCATTTCATCCGCACTTCGGTGAAGGTGCTGCCTTCAAGCGCCACTCTTTTGCAGAAGACCCACGTCCCCCTCGGCGTAGTGATCAGGCCCATGGCCCCGCTGTCGGAGGACGACCCCGAGATCCCGCTGGTAAACTCCGGGTCGGAGTCCATCACACGTTGCACGCGTTGCCGGACGTATATTAACCCGTTCGTCACGTTCGACCGCGGGCGCCGCTTCTGGACGTGTAACATCTGTGGTGTTGCCAATGAGGCCCCGGCGCGTTACGCAAACCTCTCACCGGATGACGAAAACCTGCCCCCCGAGTTGAAGACAGGCGTCGTGGAGCACATTGCGTCGGCTGACTACATGGTCCGCCCGCCGCAGGCTCCTACTATAATGGTAGGCGACGGTTCCCTGGCCATAACATAGTTGCAGTTTGTGATCGACGTGTCCGTTTCCGCGGTCAACAGCGGCATGCTGGAGGTCGTCTGCCAGACCATTTCGGTTAGTGTTATACGCGTTGTGTCTTAAAGTTTGTAGGACCTCATCAAGCAGCGTGCTTTGCCCGGCGATTCCCGCACCATGGTCGGGATTATGACCTACGACACTTCTGTCCACTTCTACCAGACGTCTGGCAACAACGGCAACCCGAACATTCTGGTTCTTTCGGACCTGGAGGACCTGTTCTTGCCCCTTCCCGGTGGCATTCTTGTTAACGTCTCGGAGTCTGAAGCTGAGCTGTTGAATTTGCTTTCGTTGCTGCCTTCAACATGGAAGAACACCACCGTCTCCGGCAGTTGCCTGGGCAGCGCAACGCGTGCCGCACATTTCGCCATGAAGCACATCGGCGGCAAGATTTGCTTGTTTACCGCTTCGCCGAGCTACTTCGGCGACTTCTCGCTGAGCGCCAACGCGTTGAGCCAGGCGAAGCCCAGCACGCCAAACCTGCAGCCTGTGGAGAAGTGCAAGGAGTATGCCATCATGGTGTCCATGGCCCAGGTGTCGATCGAGATGTTCGTTTGCACGCCCCAGAGCGTGAACTTGAGTGCGTTGCATCACTTGGCCAGCGTGACCGCGGGCAACGTACATCACATGCCCTTCAAGACACACGTCGGCAACTCGAAGCTTGCTGAGGAGCTGCGCCGCGTGATCACCAGGGAAACCGGTTGGGAGTCGGTGATGCGTGTCCGCGCCAGCAAGGGTTGGAAAATTACAAACTGGTTCGGCCATTGCCACATCCGCGGCTCGGATTTGATGGTGCTCCCCAACTGCCATGCTGACCAGACGTTCACGTTGACGTTCGAGCATGAGGACAGCGTCGTCGTCGCCAAGGTCGCCTACTTCCAGTGCGCCCTGCTGCACACCACCTCCCGCGGCGAGCGCCGCATCCGTGTCAGCACGTTCGCGATCCCTGTTAGCGACAACGCCAGCGAGGTGCTTTTGTCAGTCGACCCGGAGGCCGCGGTTCTAACAGCTGCCCAGCTCGCGCTCTCTACTGCTATAGAGGGCAAGATGAGTGACGCCAGGACGCAACTGCAAACGCTATGCGGACGCATCTCCAGCGCGATGTCGACATTGACCTCCATGCAGGAAGTCACCAGCAAGATTGTTATGTACGTGTTCGGGCTGCTCAAGTCGCAGTGCTTCAGCGAGGCTAACATCCCCGCCGACGTCAAGGTGTACCATGCGATGCGCATGAAATCCCTCCCCATCAAGGATCTGGCGGTGTACTGCTACCCGCGCATGATCTGCGTGACTGACCTGGCCAGCGAGAGCGGTGAAAGGGGGGGCTCGTGGCTCCCACCGTCACTCAACCTTACGCACTCGCGCCTCACCCCGGATTCGGCGTACCTGCTGGAGAACGGAGAGTGCATGGTACTATGGATCGGCAAGAGCGTTTCAACTCAGTGGCTACAGTCGGTGTTCGACGTCCCATCTCTGGAGTCGCTGAACTGCGACCTGGCCGAGGCGTTCATGTCTAGTTGCAAGAACCCGGCCGCTGTCAGGCTGGCATCGATTGTGCGAGAGATACGCTCCCAGAGGTCCCCGTACATGTCTCTGTACGTAACGAGGCAGGGTGACGAATCTGAGGCGAGATTCTTCTCATTTTTGGTCGAAGACAAGACGCCGGGGATGATGTTGACTCTTAATGAGTTCATCAACTCCATAACGTTGCGCGTCCCCTTCCGCTTCCAGCTCTCATAGTAACTAGCTGATATAACCTAGTAGAATAATGTTTGCGCTCGGTGTGGCCGTTAGAAACTTTTTGTCGTTGCCCCTACATCCGCGTGCGCGCTCGACAGTTCATGTTGCGGCGGACCGGCCGCCTGGAAGATGACCACGCCGATATCGCCACGTAAAATACTGGGCGTCATTCTGCGACTCTAGAAGGCGCCGTCAGTGCTAGTCCGGGCGAGCTGTCGCTCGTTCGCGCGTAGCGGAAGTGTGTCAAGTTGAGGGCGTATTATGCCGCCATTTCGGCATTGCTGCCTTTAACGCCATTATGCCGAATTTTCACGCGGGCGGTCGTTAGGAATCCCTTTCTTACACCTTGCTGTACAGCCTCCCAGTGTAGGTTTTTCCCCCGGCGTCGCCTTCCAGTCAGCAATGGACGGACGTGGCGGCCACTGGGGTGGTAACAACCCCGCGTATCCGGGGAAGGCCCTGCAAATGAAGATGGTGCCGAAGGGCATGCCTTACATGATGCAAATGGTCGCGCCGCAGGGGATGTATCCGAAGGGAGCAAACGCGCCGAACATGATGATGCCGCCGGGCGGCAACACTGCACAGATGCCACCTTCTCGCATGTCTCCATACCAGGATCCCGCAGGACACATGCAAAAAATGCTAGGGAAGGCCGGACCGGGTTATATGTCCTCTCCCATGCAGATGGCCCAGGGCGGTATGATGCCACAGGAACGCATGGCCAACTTATCTGCGCACATGCAGTACCGTGGCAGCGCCGGTAACTCTCCCGTGGGAATGGGGTACCAGCGGGCCCCAATCCGGCAGCCCCAACTGGGACCAGGCGCCATGGCGCACGGAGCGTCCCCCATATCCATGGGGCACGGCCTAATACAGCCTGGCACGCACCTTGGTATGTCTCCGAGGGGAATTGCGCCAAACATGTCACCGTCGTCCATGGGACATAGCCATCAAGCGCCTTTGGCCATGCCCAGTAACGTGCCGCCGAAGCATCCGTTGCACTACCCCCCACACCCGAAGCACCAGCAAGGTCCCACAATGGGCAGCTCTACCCACGGGTCGCAGATTATGGGAACGTCGAAGATGGGCCACATGGCCATGCAACTGGGGGGGATGAACGTGGCACCAGGCCCGGGCAACAGCATGGCTTATATCCAAGTGGGCCCCTCTGGAGCTAGTCGCATGGTTATGCAGGGCCCCCGTCCGGGCGCGGTGATGACTAAACCGAAGATGCCCGTAGACAAGGGCCCAGCCTCTCATATGAAAGCACCGCCTCCTGTGGCAGGAGTAGGGCATAACGTTGCAGCGCAACCAAATGAGATTGCCCCTACAACGAATCAACCGTCCGAAACTCCATTACAGTCTCCCACGAGAGCCGCCGATGATGGTGCAGGTCGTCCGTCGACTCCCACGAATGCTGAGTCGGCCCCGCGCAGGAAGCCGCCAGCGGCCAAAGTAGAGTCTGCCGAACGAAAGGCATCGCAGGCGACGGAGGAGGTGGAAAAGTGTGTGTTAGCTATCATGGGCGAACAGCTGAAACAGGGGGAGGGGTTGTACGGCAAGACTTTCGTGATGAACGAGGCGGTGATAACGGCAACTTTAATAGAAGGATTCCTACCCATACTTGAAGTGCTTTGGCAAGAAATCAAAGGTTGGCACAAGTACGGCGTAGATGAGCCGTATCTGGAGTATAACAACCCGGACATAACTGAGCAACGTGGTCTGGTTATGAATCGTGATATGCGAAGCCTTGAGGAGTTCTACCGTACCATGCTTGACATAGAAAAGGTCTTAACGATATATCGCACGCGTAATAAGTCGGCAAACAAGGATCCTGCCAATGCAAATGCCACGGATGAAGAGCCGGTGACAGCGGGCATGCTTGCACAGGAGTACGCGGAGGTGGGCTACAACCAGCGGCACTTGGTGCAGAGGATCACTGCCGTAGACTATCGCAATGCGCTGGAGGGCGACTTCTGCAAGAGATTGATGCCCGACAGCTTCCGTTTGCAGCAGATAAAGATGGCGTCAACTTTGCACTTCGACATCCACACCCCGCCGCAATGCGTCTCTCCCCCGGCTGAGTCGGTTGACAGCAGCGCCGCGGAGATTGCTCTCTCCAACTGCGCGAGCAGCATGGACACTTCGTTGTTCCCTAGTATTGCCATGAGGCGTTTGGAGATGTTGAAACACAACCACACGGATATGGGTGGTGATATGCCGATGATGTCAATGGACATGCGCTATGCAAAGACCTCTGGTATTGCGCCTCCTGCGGATGTAATGATGCAGATGTCCGCTGGCAAACAAGGTTTTTCCGGAGTACCTATGCAGTTCCCCAAGGGCATGAACTTCCCGATGATGCAGATGTCCAACATGTCCATGGGTCCCGGTGGGCCTCAAGGCATGCCCTCGCAGTTCGGCCCTATGGGCATGAATGGGCCGCCTGGCAAGCAAGGTGGGCCACCTAGTAATGTGTCTCCACGCAAGCGATCTTCTGCTACAGCATCGATTATTTTTGCGAAGCATGGCGCTGAAAGTCCCCTAAACACTCCGGCACAGCAGAGCGCCGTCAGTGCACCGGTCATCCCCGGACAGCAGGGTGGTATTACTTCACCAAGCGTTCCTTCGCTGCATGGCAACATGGGTATGCAGATGTCCCTTAATCAGTTAGGTCCAAAGAGCTTCCAAGGCCTCCACGCGAAGGAGAGTGCCATGCTGATGCAGGGCCCACCTTCGCAGCTCGGCCCTATGGGTCTCCCGGGTGGACACGGTAAACAGGGGCCCAAACGCATGCACGGACCACCTGGCAAGCGTGCTCATGTTGGCAAAACTTTCCATTCGCTCTTGCCGATTCCGCCTGGGAAACATGGACACATGATGCCTCCAATGTCTGGGGTGAAGCTCGGCCCCCCCAAGCCGCCTATGAATATGGGAGTGCAGGGTCAAAGTCAACAAGTTGGAGCGCCTATGAGGCCGCCGTCTCTGCATCCGATGATGCTGAAGCAGCCTCCCCCGGTCTACGGCAACAAGTATAACTGAGCGGAGTGTGTATGGCCTGGCCATTCGCAGTCTCGCCCGCGGCGGCGGCAAAGCCGCTGCCAAGCACTAACATTAAAAAATATAAGCTGATACTGTCGGCCATTGCATCGAGCTGGGTGATCACCCTCTTTTTGGCTGCCTTCCACCTCCTCTTGGTAGGTCGCGGTCCGCGATGTTGCGGGATTCCACGATATTCCCTTATTCATCGAATCTCAGTGTGTTAGATTGATACATTCGAAGTGCGAGTTGAGCGTTGGCCAGTTCAATGCGCAGTGTGCGGGTAGTTTTCGCTGCGGTTCAATGCTATTGCTCCTAGGCACCTTGGTCATGTTTGGATGCCTGCAATCGCTTTCAGCAGCCTTAGTGGGCCCGGTTAGAGGTGTGTTACGCTTCGTGTGAATGTATGTCACTCAGTGATGCACGCCCTGCTGCACCGCAACGTGGCGCTCTTTAGACAAGGTATGCGGAGCCCCTAATATGCCACTCAACTGCTGCTCAGGTTACAGTCCCCTGTCGCAATGCATCGCACTGGGTAGGAGATAGTGAAGACAATCGCCGTTGCATGACGCTGCAGGTACCGTGGCTTCGGGCATCGCTCTGCTGGTGATGCCGTTGCGAGGTAGGCGCGGGTAACATTTGCGTTCAAAGATTCTTAGGCTTTTTCGTATGCCTAGGCGCCCTGGCATGTAAAGAGCATTCCCGCTCGCTCTATATTGCGACTGTTACCGCATCGTGCATCGACAGGTGGGTGGTACCGTAGCATTGCCCATGGTTGTGGCAGCTGCTTGGCGTGCGGTATGTTCTGGGCGCTGGTGCGCGGACGCGACTTCGAGACAGTACCGTCGCCGTGCAAGGGGGAATCCAACGCAATTGGGCAAAAGGCTACGGATAAGGGCTCTGCTGCGCTGACCCAGTAGCTCAGCGCCAGCACTGTTTCTAATGTAACCTTCTATCTCCTTCCCTGATATATTAGTGTCTAGAAACACAGTATTATTATATTTTTAGTGTCTTCTGGTGCCTAATAGTACTGCTGCGGAATATCGCGTGTGCGTGTGTGTACAACGTCGTCGCTGTTCGGCATGTGTCGCGGCTGCGCGCCCTCCCCCGCAATAGGAAGCCATGGTTGTGGTTCAGACATATTACAAAATCTGATTTATGGTACATGGTTGTTTTGTATTGTCGAAGGATTCATTACAGCTGTGTGATGTTGTTTACAGCGTTTTACCTGAGCGCAGCGGGACGTTTTCCGTCTCGCCACTGCCCTTGAAAAAATCACTCCACACACCTATTTCAACTCGACGTGTTCTATATGATTCGGCGCTCGGGTTAGGATGGACAGCAGCAAGGCAGTACTAATTGACTTGCTGCGCTTCCTTCCGTTGGTGGAGCAGCGGCTTCTTGGCAACGATATCGACGTTTCGGATACACTGCAGCTAACGCATTTGCGCCAGGTGGGTTTAGACATCTTCCTTTTCCGCTCACTGTCTCGCAGTCCGTTGAGATGCTGGAGAGCATGGCTGCAAAATGCGAATCTGCTCTCAGTGCTGAGGGTGAGTCATGCTTCATGTGAACTATAATGCGTTCAGAGGCGTCTGCAATCCGCAAGCGCATTTCGGTAGTGCGTGAGACCCTCGATGTCTTGGCGCTCCGCAGCTCTCCTGCCCGTTCTACTTCTCAGTATCGCGACGTGATGTTATTGCCCGGAAGCGACACGGCACCGGAAGAGTGCGACATAGACTACGCTCGATGCCTTAACATGAGCAACGAGGAGTTCGATGCGCTCATTGAGGAGTGGGCTGAGGACCGGGAGAGGCCACCGGCAACAGTCAAGCCGAAGAAGAAGGGGCGCATGTCATCCGATGTCGCTGAGGAGCAGATACGTATCGATCTAGTGAAGCTCGCTGACGTACGTTTTACGACTTCTGAGTGTCATGTTGCATGCAGACCATGAAATCGAAAGCGCTCTGGTACCGCGACTTGCTGGTCAAGGATAACGAGGTAGGCCGTCTCTTTTCTATGTGTTACGGCACTACAGGCTCTTTCTAAGTACACTGCTGAGCAGGAGAAACAGCTGGACACGGTTACACATGCAGCCAACGAAGCGGCCACCTTGGCCAAGACAGCGAGACTCTCGTTACGCCAATCGCTGTTCATGATCGCATCATTATTCGTCGCGGTGGTGTTTATGATGATGGTTTTCATCATCACCTGATGCGTCCGCATCGCAATTTTTGTCTAGCACTGCAGCGTAGCTCTCAGGCTGAGAACTCAATTTAGCTGCAGGCGTTTAAACCTTATTAGTAGTTATAGGTGTCACATTTGCCGCATTACCAGAGAGTTTAAGTATATGGCGCCTTTAGATTGTATAGAACGTTGTTGGTGTCGTTTTCGACCCTCCGCCTCGAATTAGCCGAGTGGGTCGGCGTCATCGAGTAGGATCCGAATAAGACACCATCACGTGTCGGCGACACGGTTCAAGCACTATTGATAGAACTGGCAAAGTAGCTGCTGAATGCGACACCGGTTGCGCACTGGCGTCTGTCAATCCACCCATTGGGATGTGGTGTCATTAGGCACGCGCGGCGTCTTGTTCAGGTGGTTCACATCGATAAAGAACATTTCGTAGAATCATTAGCACAATAATTCTACTGAGTGTTCGCTTTCTGTGCTGCAGGACCGTAGTGCTGTGCCGCTATCCATGCGGTGTGACTCGCGTTGTGGCGCATCGATAGACGGCATCTGACGTGGTTTTATTATTTTGAAGCTCGGAGGTATATTAAAAGTGTGACGCCGGGCTATTAAGGTTTCCGAGTTGCACCAAGATTTTACAGGCTGTACACAGGCACTACTTCCGTCGCTTCAGCACCCTGCGGATTTTACGTCGGTTGTTTATTATTTCGGTGCGAAAATGGCTTTTATGTTAAGCAGTGTGCGTGGAGCGCTCGGTTTTCGTAGCTTTGTGGGCCAGTGCTACGTCAACCGCTCTAGTGGTATTGGCGCGCTCTACAAATCGCAACAGGATCTCATCCTCCCCCGTCGCTTGATCAGCGTTACTCGCAGCCATTCCGGTGCTGTGAACTCGGCAAACGGGCATAATGCCGCGCCCGCCGGTCGTTCCCCCGAGACGGACTCCTCTGCGACCAAGGTGAAAACCGTGGATGGTGATGAAAACTACACGAAGGGGAAATACCCAGGTACTGGTGCCCCTAAGGCAGTAGGACAGCCAGAAGACCTGCCCTCCATTGAGTTCGGCAAGCCCACTGGAATGTACAATTTCGTGCGCCACCAGCATGGAGACCCCCGTGGGCACCTTCAGTCAGACGGTCGCTTCCGTCCTACCCACGCTTCGGACAGCTTCCACTGGTACGACGCGTACACTGACGTGCCGAAGCAGCGTTTTACTATAGTGAATGGCGAGACCATGATTATGGGCAAAGAGACACGACCCATGGAGGAGTTGTTCGGCGTGCCGCAGACGAACATTCCGTTCCACCCACGCCGTCGCATGAATCTTTGGGGCAACCACAGGATCGTGCTGGGTGCCGAGTTCTGTTTCTTCTGGATTCCGACACTCATCATTCTCGGCCTGGCCGTGCCCTGCTACACCATGATATACATGATGGACGAGGCGGTTGCCACGTCTATGACGGTGAAAGTGGTCGGCCACCAATGGTATTGGGTTTACGAGGTGGAATCCCCGCCTTTGGTGGAGTAATTCGTAGTGCCACGGCGCTCGCGCACATCATGCCACCGTTGCGGCGCAATTTGTCGCTTTAAGCAACCTTCGAATTTTACACATCAAACGGCACGTTAATTGTGTTATGTTGTACTCTAAATGTTAGTTTCTGGTCGTTTGCGTGGCGGTTTTTGGAGCCGCGCGTCGCAGCGCCGTAGTTAAAGTTCGAAAAGCGACAAACGTGTCAGCGCATGTAGGTTGATTGCGCTCACAAGTGTGTATACGAGAGGCACCGTGAGCTTGGAGAACGCTACGTGTGACTATACCCCCATCCGCGGGAGGCCGTATGGTGGCATGCCTAGGCGGCGCTGTCGCGCTATTCTGCGCGTAAGTGTGCATTTTTGGTCTTTTTAGCACGGGGTATGTACCATATCCGCGTGCGGTAAATGTCTGAGAGCGCTGCTGACGAGCGGCTGTGCACATGATGCATGTCGTGGCACATCGCCTAGTGCGCCGCTGTTCCTCCGTGCTCGATACGATCTGAAACCGTGCCCTTATTACATATAATCCAGGAAAATATTGGATATTAGCCAAAAATTGGCGGAAGTTCTGTTTTAATTCCTTGTCTTGACCCTCAACCTCCGCGTTCCCTTAGAGTATCGTCCTTGCGGGTGTGTCCAGCATTATAATTTATTCGCGAAAATGGCGGGCTCTCGGATGCGTCGCACCGCAGATAGCGGTGTGGCCCAGGCCGTGGCTTCGGTCAAGCAGCACCAGAAGTTCAAAAAGATGCTTATGTTCAGCATGCGTTCCCTGTCTGACTTCTGCAACCCCCAACTGCAGATCCACGTGGACAATGCGTTGGACGCGCTGAATCGCAACGTTTTACCGAGTCTCGTGACGGCGCTCTCGAACTTCGGCGATGACGAGGACATCATTTTTTCCTGCAGCCAGATCTTGCAGGCCATGGCACGGGCCTGCATGGAGGAATCTGACAACCCGGAAATCTCTCAGAAATTTATGAAGGAGGGTGGTATGACGGCTATTGAGCTCATCCTCAACCAGTGTCCGCAGGATGATATCGTATTGGGATACTGCTACGCCGTCATTGAGTGCTTCAGCGCCTCGAAATGCCTCGCCGACGGCGGCGCTGCCCTCACGGGGACCATTTGCAAGTCGGTGCGCAACAAGGAGTCCATGCCCGTTTCTGTTGCCACCAGAGCGCTTGTTTGCTTGTCCGCAATATGTTCGAGCTCCTCTGGTCCAGCCAAGATGAAGCAGCATGACGGTATGGCCGTCCTGCTGCAGCTGTGTCTGCTGCTGCCAGCCGAGCAACCAAGCATCACCACCGTGGAGAGGGCTATGAAGGCTGCTACCGCTGTTGCGGCGGCCAAGATGATTGATCAGGCTAGCCTTGACCCTGTGATCCAGGTTATTGAGAAGTTCAAGACGTCGAAGATTGTTTTGAGTCATGGTAGCGACATCGTGAAGTCACTCGTGAGCACCGCATCCCTCAAACAGAGTCTTCAAGACATACAGAAATGCGCAGCTGGATCCCCCGAGCACAAGGCTGCGGTTGACACCCTGCGCTCGCTGTCATACATTTCTTCTGTAGGAGAGCAGCTGGCGAAGGATGGCGCTTTGGGCCTTATGGTGGATTTGATAAAAAACGCCATTTCGCAGATGGAAACACACAAAGAAGTGATGGTGAATGTTATCGCGGTGGCGGCACGTATCTTGGGGTCTGTGGCGACTAACCGCAGCTACTGTGAGGAGGTGGTAAAGAAGGGCGGTGTGGACAACCTTGTGGCCGCGATGCAGGTATGCATGGATGACCCGCCCTGCATCGCGAGCATCGCCGACGCTCTTGCTCAGCTGCTTCAGGCTGGCCCTGACGCTTTCTTGAAGACGGACGCCGTTGCGGTGGCCCTGCCCATTCTGTACCAGCTGTCGGACAAAGAAGATGTCGCCTCGTCCATGATGGCGTTCATCGCGGCAGCCTCGCAGCAAAACGAGCTGCAGCCTGCGTTCCTATCTAATAAGGTTGTTGAGATCATGTGCACTTGCTGCCAGTACCATTTCGAAAACCTGCCCCTGCACCTGAACATCATCCAGGTGCTGAACCGTTTTTCAAGCCAAGTGAAGGATTTGTCGCTTGTTTACGAGTATGGTGGGCTCCAGGGTATAGCCACGTCTATGGGAGCGCACTACCGCAGCGACAAGTACTGCCTGGAGGTGTTGGCGTTGCTGCTCACCTTCGCGTGCACTCCGGACGCGCACCAGTACATGACCGCAGGTGAGGAGTCGATCATCGACATCATCCTCCAACTGATGTTGGAGCACCAGGAGATCGAAGCCATAACCAGTTCTGCGGTGAAAGTGCTAGAAATCCTGTCCACCGAGGAGGACGTAAAGCGCACCATGAAGGGCCTCAGCCTCTCCCTCCAGACTGCCAAGGATAATCCCGATGCCGCGTACTCCAAGATCGCCGCTGTAACTGGGTTGTCTCGCATTGCACGTCTGCGACCCATCATTCTTTCGTCGGGGATGCCTAAGGAGATTATGAAATCGGTAAGCGTGTGGGTGGAGGGCTCCATCTTCGATGGCCGCTCCAAGCTGACCAAGGCCGCCATGCAGTCCGCCGTGGTGGCGAGCGAAGATGCGGCTGAGTGTGTCGCTATGATTCAAATGGTCTGCGACTTGGCTTGCCTGGCGCATGTGAAACGCGTGATCGACCTCGAAGGCGCTGACGACAACTTCTTGCTGCACTGCACGGGCGCGCTGCGTCAGATGTGCTCGGTGGAGCGCACATACAGCCCCGAAGAATGCACTTCGATTGTGGAGAGCATCAACCGTGTCATGCGCAAACACGTTGACATCAAGAACGCCGAGACCCAGTGTGTCGAGGCCCTTCACGACTTTGTGCAAGTTATGGGTAAGGATGGCATTGATGCCTTGCTTTCGACCGGTGCCATTGTCGGAGTGGTTGGCTACCTGATCAAAATCCCCATGTACCTTCCGTGCCAGATTGCCGGTGTCGGCTTCTTGCTAGCATGCGCCAAGATGGACTACCGCGCCCTCGAGTGCCTGAAGCAGTGCAACTGCTATCAGCTATTGCGTGCCCTTAACCGCACCCACAAGAAGTCCAGGAAGCTGAAGGGCATGGTCGGTGTCTTAATGACCATGATCATGCCTCCGGAAGCGTTCGAGGCTGAATTGACCCAACTGTTGGTCGACATGACGAAGGGTACGGAAGCCAACGACATCGTCGCTGTACATACTGCGCTTACGTCTATTAATCAGTTGCTGGTTGCCAAGGAGTGCGTCCGCATTGCCGCCCGCCTGGGAGTACCAGAGACTGTCACGAAGGCGTGCATGTGGACGTTGAAGAATAAGGCGCTCGCCGACAAGGTTCAGATTGTTGAGCCGGGCGACCTTGCCGGAAAGGACTTGGTCGATGGTATATTGTTCGAGGTGGCGCAGGCCAATTTCAACATGGCTCAGAACCGCAACGGTCTCGTCGCCCTGACGAAATACCAGGCGCATTTGACGTCGTTGACTGTCTTCCAGAATATGGACTCACCCGTCACTACGATGGTGGAGGACGGTGCTTGCTCCGCGCTTGACGGCATGACCCTGCTTTTCCTGCACAACCGTGCCAACGTAGAAGAGGCGTTGAAGAACGATGTTCTTGCCAAGGTGTGCCGCGGTTTCACCCTGTTCCAGGGCTGCCCGAACGTAATCCGCAGCATATGCAGGTGCCTTGCCTCTATGTGCATTACGGAGGCCCGTGTGAAGTCGTTGATAGAGAGCCCCGACTTCGTGAAACTGACACAAAACCTCGTCAACCTGGTTAACAACGACAACAACGAAGTTGCACTAGGTGCTTTGAAGGCTGTTTCTGAGCTGCTCAAGGTCAACAGCGAACTCATGCTGAACTACTTCGCCACCAAGACCGACATCATCCCTGTGCTCTTCCACAAGATTGAGGTGCACCCTGAAGACTCCAAGATTGTAGCTCTATCAGCGACATGCCTTAACTACTTCGGCAAGAATGTTGGCAACGGCCGCAAGGACATCCCTGCGGTGCTGGCCAACATCACCCGTGCGCTCAAGGAGAACAAGAACGTTGGCACGACCGTTCTGCCTATACTCAAGTTGCTCCTGAACCTTGCCAACCAGGACACCAAGCAGGCTTTGAAGAGCTCCGGTGTTATGGAAATAGTCAGCGACGTTATGATGATCCACATCGATGACGAGGAGATCGCCGCTGCTGGTGGTGAACTGTTCGGTTTCCTCGGAGCTGAGGCCCAGATCCGCGCTTTGATGAGAGCAGTCATTGATACGGTGAAGTTGCAGCAAGACGATATGGCCCAGCAGGTTGATTCCATGTGCATCCGTCTCGCCATGTACCTGTTGTCTCCGCTTGAGAATCGCGCGGATGCCCTTGCTGACACCGAGGAGTTCTTGGGGTCACTCAACACCTGCATTGCCTACGCCGCGGACAACAAGAACTTGGTAGCAAACGCCACCTTGGTATCTCGTCGTCTGTGTGACTCAGTTATTGAGGATTTCGAAGACCAGTTCGGCGCATGGGCGGTTGCCAACTCGAGCAACCTGCAGCAGATCATTTCCGTGCTGAACTCGGAGTACGGTGCCAGCAATGTCAAGTTTTTGTGCCACGCCTACCGCGTCTTCACCTGTTGTGCGGTAAACCCCTACGTGACTGACCTTATGCAGGCAGAGTGTGAGACTGTGCTCCCGCGCAGCATAGAACTGCTTGACCGTTACCAGGGCAATGCTGAGGTGTGCCACGCCATTTTGGAGTTCTTGAACCACCTGGCTAAATCCCCTGCCACTGAGAATTCGGCGGAGCATTCGGGCAGCCAGTTGATCTACAGCGTTTGCCAGCAGAACAATGCGGACATTATATCCATCGCGACCAACCTGATGATAAACCACAAGAATGCGGACAATGTGGTTATCCCCGCCATGCAACTTATTGGAGAGCTGATTGGTGGAGGTTCGTACCAGGCCGACAAGGCGGTGGTGGGTGCGGCCATGTCCGCTGCCGAACGTGTCTGCCTTGGAGATGTGTCCCACCAGCGCAAGTTGGCCTACATGGAGATGGTCGCTAGGGTTATGGGTGCTCTGGATACGAAGGATGCTCACCGGTTGATGGAGAACGTTGTCCAGATGTTGAACGCAGGAGTCATCGAACGTAATCCTGACACGCTTGCCGCGTACGCTCGCCTGCTGGCCGGCGCGGTCTTGGCTGATCCCGAAAACAAGGACCACATGCAGCAGCTGCACAAGATGGGCGCCATCAAGATGTTGGCGGAACTTTTGGATGACCGCTCGCTGTTCGACAAGGCGACTGTGATGACGGTGTTGCAATCCCTTCGGTCATGCGTTAATGGTGCTCCCGCCAGTGCCGTCATGGTGTTGAAGGAGGCTCTGCCCAAGTTGATTGAGAACGGTTCTGACCTGTTGACGAACGATCCGGAGTGCAGCACTGCTTTCTGTGACCTGTTGTTGGACGCCGTTCAGATCGAGGGTGTTGGACGCGTACTAGGCAACATCGAGCCCGTTATGAACCAGCTGCACAACCTACAGATGAAGGCCAAGGATGTTGGTAACAAGGAATTGGAGACCCGTGTGTTGCAAATCCTGAAGGGTATCGCCGCCGACCAACCCAAGGTCAGGAACTGCAAGAGCATCTACTTGATGTTGGAGGAGCGTAGGAGCGAAGGCCAGACCATTTCTATATCCCAGGCGATGGAGCTTGCCGACGACGCCAACTTCTTGATGAAGACCATGGCCACCTACAACAACAAAGTTTTGGTTTACGAGGAGGACGACGGTAAAGACTTCATCTACGGTTCTATGGCGTTGGAGCTGCTGTACAGTGTAGAGGATAACTGCCAGTACCTCATCGATAGTGGCGTTCTGGAGACACAGATGGATTCGTTGGTTAAACAGACCCACCTCAACATCAGCAACTCTATTTCGGCGGCGCTGTGTGCGGGATGCTTGTACCCAGTGTTCGTTGCCAAGATTCTTACACGTCCGGATAGCGTTAGGCAGATCGGGGACTACCTGAAACGCATTTACACCTGCAAAGGAATGATTGTCCCGCCTACGGCCGAAGGGTCTGACAACATCGCTGAGGTTGTGCTCATCAACGCGCTGTTGCTCGTCGAACGCTCGGCTGTAAACCGCCGAATCTTCTTGAAGTCCGACGTTATCAACACCGTGGTCGGCATCTGGGACTCGTACGACCAACAGAAATATGAAACGGCCCGTTTGCTGCGCCAGACGTTCCGCACTCTGCGTAAGATCGTGGCTGAGGGCCACCTCGACATTATGTTGAAGTGCAACATGGTTGCGCGCATCAAGCAGCTTCTTGCGAAGTCGGACGATGTCAACTTGATTCCCGACGCTCTCTTCCTCGTCGGTAGTATGGCTGTGGTGAAACAGATCAAGACTCAGATTTGTGAACTAGGTCTGCTGGACGGCATCGTGCAGCTGATGGAGCGCCACGTGGGCAACCCGAATTCGCCAAACGCCATCATCACGAACACATGTCTTGCTCTGGCCAATGCGTGCATTGGCCATCGTCAGGCCACGGACCGCTTCTTGCAGTTGAAGGGTCCGGAGTTGAACGTCCGCATTCTATGCGAATATTCCGAGTCTCACGAGATTACCAACGGTGCCAGTATCCTGCTGTGTAACATGCTTTACAAGAACGACAATCTCAAGGGCATGTACGGTAAGTTGGGTGCTCCTGAGGCGCTGGTGCGTTGTCTGCGTGCCTACGCCGGTTCCAACCAGGGTTTCGCCATCCGTTGCATTGAATCCCTGTTCAAGGCTATTTCGAACCTCGCTCTGTACGCCAGCAACGTCGCCCTGTTCCTGAGCGCAGGAATTGAGGACAGTTTCCGCGCTTGGTTGGCTGACTTGGACCCGTCCTTCTCGGACGTGCAGCTGAAGATCGGTCTGCAGACGCTTTCCAACCTTGTGATGGACAACAAAGAGGAGAACATGCGCAAGTTCTCCGTGGTGTTGCCCCCTGTGTTGAAGGTTTTGGCGCAGGACCGCCAAGACAGCAAAGTTGCGTTGCTGTTGTTCGACATCTTGGCCTCTCTGTGCCGTCTCCCCGACAACAGCAAGACCTTCTTGGAGAGTGGTGGTGCGGAGTTGTGCATCCAGACCATGCGTCGTGTGAGCTATGACCTGGTGACGCTAACCCTAGGTATCAACCTATTGGCTACGCAGGCCAGCACCCCCGCTGGTGTTCAGAAGTTGCTTGAACTCGATGTCTTCAGCCTGTTGGTTGCCAACCTGACGTTCGAGGAGCACACGCCCGAGATGAACGATATCTTGATCGCGACTCTTCGTTGCCTGAGGAAGCTGGTTAACAGTCCCGAGATGGTATACCTCTTCTGCAGCCAGGATGGTCTCGCTGCCACCATGGCAGTTTCCCGCAAGACTCAACAACACCCAGTGATCCTTATTGAATCCCTTCGTTTGATCCTGGGTATGCTGCACCTGACGGAAACCAAGGAGGAGGGCGCTGCACCAGCATGGGAAAACATAGGCATGGAGAAAGATGATATCGATTCCCTGTTGGGCATCGTCTGCGTCTGTGGTACCAATGAACAGGCGCAGAAAATGGCTCGGTTGCAGAAGATTCTGTTCAGCGTCATCGGTTACTTCCTGTCTCAGGGTCTGGGTAATGAGGCGCTTATTGTCAACAATTTCTCTGCGATCGGATACACGTATCTTAACAACTTCCCCAGTGCCCTTGACGTGATCACGCTGATGACGGTGCTTTTGGAGAACGTGTTCACTGCTCCCGTTGAGGTGCGCAACAACCTGCTCTCCAGGGAGATTGTGAAGAAGTACCGTGACGTGGTGTCTGCGTTACCCAAGAAGAAGCCTGAAGAGAAGACTTTCTATACCCGTTGCCAGACCCTCGTGACTGCCCTCGCCTCGAACGAAGAACGCACTTTGGAATCAACTGGTCATTTCGACTTCAGCCTGAGTGAGTGGAATGTGGACCCGTACCCACACGGTATCCACGACTTGCCTGAGCCCGTGAAGCAGGCGCTACGTGCCGGTGGCCGCGTCAAGGGCTACATACGCGACAGTACCACTCGCGTTGGTGTGCGATGGCGTTCGAGCCAGGACCTCAACTACCTGGAATGGGGTCCCGAGGAGGAGGAATACCCGTACCGTATTGCGGTCCGTTGCATCCGCAACATTGCGCGTGGCCTTCGTCACCCAACTCTGGAGGCCGCCAACGCCAAGGAGCCGCGCAAGGTTAACAACAACAACTGCTTCTGCATTCTGGGATCCGCTACCGAAGACTTCCCCGATGGGTTCGCTCTCCCAGTTAAGTGCAAGAGCGTGAAGGAGCGCGATGCCATCGTAGAGCTCCTCGTCCAATGGCGTGACGCCGCTACTTACAACTACTAAGTGACATTACGTGTAACATTAGTTCTAATTCCATTCTTTGTCATCATTTACAGTCACGCTGCCTCTCTATGAGGTGCGCGGTTTCCCTCGGTTTCATGGCAGATGCATCTGTGACACTGGGGTATGCTGTACAGGGAAGGTTTCGTCCGTGATGCGCAATAATCTGTCGAAACCTTCTGACTCATCAGGAGGCTGCAGCTGTTTAAAGTACGTGCGTACAACGTTCTGCGATAGGTGCGCATGTTTCTGCGGATCCACAAGCTGAAATATTATTAATATTGCGCCGATTGCGCAGCTCACCTTGCGATATCGAAGAAAGTGGAATGCGAAATTCACAGAAACGTCCAGAAAAACTACAGTGCACTTGACTCCCGCAGTGCGACTCAGAGCTATGTAATCGCGGCGCTCTTCCGCCGTTGCATTCGTGCCGTCGATGATGACATTTTCACCCTTTTGCAAGCATTTGCTGGCATAACGCAGACATGCATCCCGGGTTCTGAGCTCGTCCTCGCTTATACGTGTAAAGGAAGCAAATTTGTTCCCGCACAGGAAGGTTTTACCCCCCGACGGCGGTCCAACTAAAATCACCATGCCATCGGCAACGTCCAAAGGTGCAGGGTTTGTGCCAATCTTCTTTGGATCGAAATCGACAGTCAGTGGCATGCTCGGATGGTTCGCGAAGTATTCTTCCGGCGTGTAGAATCCGATGTTGTTGTTGAGCGCATATTTGAGGTCGCAGTCTGAAAAGTCGCTCTCAAACTTGTTCCTCAAGCTAGATGGCTTCAATTTTGCGATAATGGCATTCGCATCCACCGGTTCATCATTGAAATTGCGGTCCCTGCGTACATAATGCCTATTGCTGAAGTCCTCAGCCTTCAGTAACGCCATCACACGCTCACAATGGGCATCAAGCAGTTCATCTGTCCAAACCCTTCCAGCTGCATCCCCCACGTAGAATGAGTTTGCACGGTCGACTTTTATGCCATTGTTCAGGTGTTCTTCGTAGAAGGTGAGCATACCCGGCCCTGTTGCATCATGAAATCGTCATAGAAGCTGGCATAGTTGAGCGGGGCGTTGCAGCAAAGAGTCGACTCCACTATTACCCATGCATACGCACCTGGTTTTCGGCATAGGTCTCTCTTAAATCTGAGTGATTGTGTAAATACTGGTGACATTCGACTAACCCGAGCAGGATGTATAAGGGAATGTCGACTGTTGCATGATTTACGAATATACGTTATGGCACCTACGCTCATTGAGTAGAAGTTGGATTCTCACTGAGACAAAATGTGGGATTTATTGGTGGTAACGTACCGAAGATCAATTTTGAGACCCTGGGCGCCTCGAAGAGCTGACTCTGGTTGGAGCAAATGACGATAGCCTTGCTGCGCGGTATTAATAAAACAAGGCAAAAACGATATGTCACAGCATACGACAAAATATTTTCATACTTCACTCATGCAGTTGTTAATATACAGTGTGAATCATTTATACTGCTTCTACGGTATCCCAATCAGTGACATTTGACACTGCAAAAGAATTGCCAAAGCGCCTTAATATATATAGGCAGAGTGTCTACAATCGCCGAAACGGCAAAGACGCGCATTCTACGCAGTTTAACTCACCCGTCCGCGATTTCTTGTTGCAATTTCTGTTTCACATTTGTGTTGTAGAGGATGAAGTCGTTGGGTATGGCAGGCTTGTTAATCCACGGTTTACGCCCCTTAACTAAGTCAGGGACGAGCGTACTTGGCGTCAACATCAGGGTATTGTCCATGTCGAACATCGCCAGCTTGGAAGATGGCTTCGGGTCGCCGTAACGCTGGTAGAGGACGCCATCATGCTGTGAATGTGTAAAGGCAGTCCTATCCGCCTACCTGCTTCCACTGCGGGGGATATTCAAAATATTCTAACACCATTGTGTCTAGAATATTGTATGTGCAGTGTTTTGGGGACGATAATGGAATCTCACTCGCCTAAATCTCCATGCTTCCACCACCATAGAGCGCTTCGTAGTAGTAGCGTACATGGCCATACACACTTATTAGTCATCAACATGAACCGTAGCAGTTTTCTGCTACCATAAAACTCCCGTTCGTGACTATGTGTCATTGTTTATCGGCCCATTTGTCGTATGTGTAAGATGCCGATGCCAAGTGTGTCGATGCTCGCTGTGATTGATTGTGACTGGCGATCGACTGTTTGTTCAATCTAACAGATTGTAGCAGTGCTACTATCCTTGCAAAGAGTTCTCCACGCTTTCTATTCGGCGTAACAAGGACATACCCGTTGTCCAATTACGAAGCCTACAGAAGCGGAATTCTCTGCGACGCGAAACTTCCGTTTTCGTGTCTACGCAATCGTATCATAGGCCCGAGGACGTATGATTTGACCCAAGGGCAACACCTCGAGAGCGTATTAATGCGTGTCCTTCTACTGCCGTAAACGCTTTGGCGGTATTATGCAGGGCAAGATGGCAAGACTAGAGGATGTGTTAGTAGACGCCGAAGCCGTAGGTACATGTAACCATCTCTTGAAATGCTATGGTGATGACCTCGGTGTGGATGTGTTGTCTGAGGCGCCGAATATAGACGTGGCTGCGGCGTCATTCCTATCGCAAGTCGCCGGGAAATCGGCTGAGCAGGTAAAAACCACCTTGGACAGCCTGAATCACGCACTGTTGATTGTAAGCGCTTTGCGCCACAAGGGGGTATTGAACAACACAAGCGACATAATCAAAAGTGAGGAAGAGGTGAACACGTTCCTGGGCCTGTTGAACGACGTGTCCGAGTCGGTTGGTGTTCTGCGCAGCGATGTTGAAAGCCGGTACGGGCATTCTATTTCCCTATATCGGGCGTTAGAAGATGACATTGCGTGCCTTGACGGTATTTGCAAGGCTCAAACCTACGTGGTTGAATGCATGGATGTGTTATCCAGTCTGCGTGAGATCAAGTCTCTAACTCACAGTCTGGGCACCTTAGACGAGTACGCCACGTTGTTAAACACGTCGCACAAACTTTCTGAGATAATGTCTCGCGTCGCCGCTATGCAGAAGACCGACGTCAGTAACATTATCTTCAGGCAATGCGAGGAGTTGAAGACACACGTGGTTAATCTCACATCTGACAAGGGTATAAATGTCCTCATTCGTCAGCCTGTGGCGTCTGGTAGTAATGAAACAACTGATGAGAGTACGCTGAAGAGGCTTTCAATATGTCATTACATTCTAAGGGAGCTAGCAGTAGCTCCTTCGTACACGCTACGGCTTGTAGATGAAATGGTTGCGTCCACAGGTAGGTGCATCGATTTGGATCAGTTGTTGAGGTCAGGAACTCGCGACGATATGTGGCAACAATTCTTAATATCGCAGTTGGCCGAATTCATGGCCAAGTACAAGTCGTGTCTGATGGCACTCCACACATTCTGCCGTTCTGTGAACTATCGGCTGAGCGAACACCTGAGTGAGGAAGAGGAGCATATTCTGAAACTATGTCCTCTCCTCTCCCAGCCGCTTCGTAAACAGCACGATCCCCTCGAGGTGTTCGCTGCATGTGAGCTCTACGTCAAACGCTGTGTGGGCATTTTGCATACAGCCTTATCTCATCTGGAATCGCAATCTCCCGCAAGTGGGCGCTTCGATGTTGCAATGCTCGCTCCTCAACTTATCTCTATCGGCGAATGCACCCACAAGGAGCTATGTCATTTGAACATCCCCTTCAACATGCACGCCCACTACTTTACGGTCGTGTGCGAGAGGTACGCAAAGGAGTTTATGACAAATACCGCTGCCCGCATGTTGCCTGCGTCTCAGGCTGCATTTGCGGCCTGTTTGAAGGTACTACACCAGAACGGCGTGAAAAGCTTCAAGGGTTTGTCCCCCGATCGCGAACTGCAGATTGCAGCCGCCATGGTCCACTCGGTCCCCGTAGACGTTGGCCTTGCGCGAGTTATGTACGACTTTATAGACAAATCACACAGCTGTGAGACTCTACACAGGCACGTGTTGGAGGTTGCGAACTCGGCACTGCAGAATATATTACGGGCTGCTGAAGATGTGTCCACGGTATCAGGATCTCGTCTGCTTCTGAGCGATGGCGGGAGCAAGATATCTCTGAAGCGTCCCACCGATGCGCACTGTATTAATGCGCGCATTTATCACTACATTCTATCATTCGTGGACGTTATAGAGCCGTGTTTGGTCATGCCGATGGATAAGGAGTCCAAATTATACGGTACGGTGCAGGCTTTCAAAAACTTGAATGTCATTGGTTGCTGGTCCGATGATGTAGGTGCCACCTTGTGGCATACGGTATCCTACATCAGCTCTGGTAATACTCAGGAGTTTAGGTGGCAAGCACAGCAGGTACTCACTGCAACGCAGAACATTGTGAAAATATGCAATTTCTTGAGGGAAAACTACTTCGATCAGCTTGTGCAAAATGGACATATGCGCCTGTTTAGGCGCTTGGCGACTCATGCCATCGCATCTTTTGTTGTTTATGCGCTGACGGTCTGGCCTCTGGCGGAAAACGACAAGATGGCACTGCTGGGCGTCGTAACCGAGTTGGAGATGGCACTAGCAGAAATCTTGAAGGAATCACTGCCAAAGCTTGAGTCTGACTTCCTCGCCGCTCTTCGCCGCCTACTTTACCTAGGCGATGAGTTATATGACGTAATAGACTCACCGGATTTCCAATCCACCGCATGTTTGAAGCTGCCGATCGACGTGATATCACTACACGTGATGACACGTGTAGTTAACAGTGATCATGTGTCGGCGCCAATGCGTGAAGAGTTGCTGCGTTCGCCTCTCTGTCAATATTGGGGAACCAACAGTATACATACCGTCTTGGATTCCTTCCGCGACACCATGCTACGCTACGAGCCGTCCGTTCCGTGTTCGCCAATGTTCGGAAAGAAGTTGGCAGCATATTTGAAGCAGTTTGCATCGTTCGAATCTTTACTAAACGAGCAACTAAGTAAAGCATTCACTTTCCTAAACAATCACTAGATTTTAATATCACCTTGCGTGCTCTTGTCGCAGCATCACTTACATCTGCACATTTTTTTGTTGTGTTGGCACTTCGGCAGCAAATGCCTCACGTTGAACTGGGCGGCGCCCTATTGGAACCTCGCTACTTTCAGAGATGAATGTCATGACTCTCGCACTATTTGCGATTGCCTAATGAAGCGTCCATTGGTACACACGGCAGCCCTATTAATCAGGCGACTGGAGTGTTTTTCACTGAATGGGATAACCCACTGCTTCCGTTCCAGCACTATTGTTTAAAACGTAATCGTGGTATATTTTCACACCTCCCATTAACACCCTTCACTGTTGCGTAAATATCCCCTACAGACGCCTTGCGGTTGCGTCACTATCCCTTTCTACGTCACCACATGCTGTATCACCTTGAACCTCCTCAGGTGATTGAATTGCCCCACCAATATTATCCTCTAGCTATTCATTATTCGTGGTGTTTTATGGCTCCAGCTAATGGACACGAACCGTGATGCTTATCTCCGCAGTGACTATTGTGTTATCTCACTTATCTGCGACCATTATGCCCAGTGGGCTACGCCCCTTGGACCGATGGGATAATCCTTCAATGACTAGTATGGAGCATAAATACCCGTGTAATATTTGTCAACACTTTATTTGATCTGTATTGGTATACCTATGGACTTCATTGATCGGTTTTTCCGTTGGAACAGTGAAGTGAAATTTTGATGTAACTAAGCGGGCAGTGGCTGAGACCCTTCGAGTGTTACTCCCGTTTACAATCAATTATTGACATCTATTTCAAAAGCTTTGCCTGTTTGTTGTGTGTTTTAATTAGACAATAGTCTGAATATTTTCATCTAAAGTGACGTATCAACGCCGTTAATCACGATGGACATATCTCGAGTGATGAAGTACGTCTTGACATTGTGTGCAATGGTCACACATTACGTAAGATTTATTGAAACATTGCGTTGTGATTTCGGGGATCCAGATGCGTTATTAAGGCGCAATGCTTTGGTTTGGTGCCACATGGATATTGCAATTTATCCCACCGCAACTGTGATATGCCCACGCCGTGTCAACGACGTCGAGTATGTCTGGCATCCACAACCAATGTCGTACGAACAAGTTCATCTAAAAACGTATGTTTCTGGTGATGGCAAGTTTCGTGCCGTTCCGCTTTCGGATGTAATTGTGACGGAAGAGCCACGTTGGTTCGTTTGGATAGAATCGAATGGATTAGGCAGTGATCTGCATCTCGACTTAATGCATGACGATATATACGCCATTAATGAACGCCGCCTGATATTCATTTGTGGTCCAAGGGATTTGGTTTTGAGTGATGCATTGCAACGTCAGCTTGACAGCCTCGATGATGTCATCCACATGCAAGAACTCCCTTGGACTCCAGCAACACCATTGACTCAAGAAATATCAAAGATAGGAACGGGTTTGGGTTTGGTGTTCTTGTACAGAGATCATATGCAGTTGAAGCTTCAGGGCTGTGGGAGCCGGCCTTCTCCGTTGTTTGCTGCAGATACTGAGGTTACTATAGACCCTGTTACTGGAACACGTTCATGTGTGGCAGATCCGATGTCGAAATCACCTATCGGTTTTTTGTGCGAAGGCAGGATTGAACCTGAGGATTGCATGACGTCTCTCTATGATAAGGATGGTGGAGTTGTGAAACCTCCCCGACCACGTTTTTATTGGAAATTCGAACACCATAGGCCTTGGGTGGTAGCGCAATATTTTGACAAATTAGCCTTACTCCCCTTCCATGGCGAATGCAGGTGTATAGATCCCCAAACGGGCCATGTGAAAGCCACAATAGAGGTCCGCTCAAAAACCGACTACATTTGTGACATTTCCAGCTTGATATTACGTAACCGTTTTCTCCTCATCCGCGGCCCTTGGTGTTCGGTTATGTTACATCCAGGCAATACGTTGACCATAAGGTTTCCGGCAAAGTCCATAAATTCGGCTTCTATAAAGGAGCGTTTTGACGAAAATTCTGACGGAGATATCGATGAGCATATTTCGAATATACCATTCTCTCAACTGCCATCTATCTACGAGTACGAAACAGAATTTTTGCCGCAGGACATGACGACGCTGCGGCAGCAGGCGTATTACTATGACCTTGAAACTTATGGCGAAATCTCCTACAACAAAGCACTTGCTGGCGATGCTCTTGAGTTAGATGTTTCCCAAATTGCCCGAGGAGAGGTGAAGCTTAAGTACCATATAGACAAACCTCTATCGTCGCTAGGAGGTCACAACGTTTTCTTGTATCACTGGACGTTGATATCTAAAAACGAAAATGTACTCGAGAAAATACGCTCCACCGTCAACGTCTCCTTTGCATTTAACCATGACTACACGAAGGTTGGTTGTGATAGGGGGCAAAGGCATGTATTCGATCAACACTCGAGCAAGAACTATTGCACAAACAAACTCATGAGTAACGATATAGGCAGTACTTACGAATGCGCATTGCATTTTTGGAGGGCCGAATGGAAAACCGGCATTTACTGCAGTCCCGACGAAGAGCTGTTGCCAAAAAATTGTGACTCTACAGCATATGACCTCTACTCAAACAGCATCATTCCATTACCTATATCGGTGCGTAGCGTAACTCCATATCCAATTCAGGGGTTCCAGGTATTAAACGTGGCCATACAAAATACGCCCATCAGTTATGCTTGTATATCTGTTGACCAACGTGGACACGAAACGTCAAAGCTTATTCTCGAGTCATACGATAAATTAAGCCGCAACTTCGTGGTAAGCCGTATAACGAATTTTAACAGGTTACTCCCAAACCTGTGGGTGCCTTGGCACACGTTCGTATTGTTATGTGAAGGGCCCACACCAGAAAGGTTTATTAATATGCAGCGACCATCCGAACAGTCCATCAAACTACGGGTGGGCACAACGTTGTCCATGACTTGTGAACTTGCTCTCGGGCTCCAAAATGTTGGCAATAGTGGAGCAATGAAAACTACATGGCTCCCAACACAATCTGATGAGTTTCATTATACCGTCAAACATACATTGCATGGACGGGAGCTCATTAGGACTTCACACAAAGATGTAATGACTAGCACAAAAGGTGGATTGGAAGTAGTTTTCCATGAAGACTTGATAAGATCTGGATATCAAACATTAAAGATAAAATCGCATAAAGGCGCTGTGCTCATATCCAAAGATCCATTTTACAATCAACATGTACCCATGAGATTTGTCTGCGGCAAGGCACCCCACCTATCTATTTTGTCGATCGTGAATGGTAACAGACCTGCGTCGGACACATCTGAACACCTCATTCCACAGATTACAGAATCGTCGGAGCAATACAATTGGCATGTCGTGGAAGTTGCCGTCGAGACCACGGATCCGTACATGCAAGGCTGCGGCGTTACCCAAGCGTCAGCTGAATTGTTCAAGCCTGAGACACCTCCACTCTACGACGGTGATGGGCAGTCTCAGTTCGGGTGCAAAATAGATCTTCGAGCTGCCAAGGAGGCGGCGTTCTACTGCCCAGCACCGTACCTCCTGGACCCACCCAACTGCTTCAGCCAGGCCTCCGCGGACGGTGAAGTAAGGAACCTAAGCGACCTTAGTGAATCGTTAGTGGCATCTCGGTCCAACCACTTTGCAATCCTGAGCTTCGACAGTTCACTCGTCGGAGTCGGAGACACGCTGCGCCAGACGCCGCCGTTGGAGTGCCGCTGCGTCACCATCAAGGGCGCCATACTCTCCACCATCCAGATCGAGAACTACTACGTCAAGTAGTGAGTAGCTTAAATGTGGTGATATGTTGGTGTATTATGCGACTTAATTTGCTTTAATTGTTATCGATGTTGACATCTACGCTAATTTGTGTATCAGTGATATCATGGGTTTGGGTTAGAACGTCGTAATTGCTGTTGCCAATTTAATAACGTGTTTGTGTGTTATAATTGGTGTATCTCATACATGTAAGAGGTGGGATGTCTGTTTGTTAGAGTGAAGTGGAATTTCGCCCTACGACACCTTTTGTGCTCGCATTAAGCTGCTCTAATGCAAGGGGTGTCATAAAGTAGTTTGCATATATGGGCACTGATTCAATTGTCACCGGTGCTCTTACTACGTAACAATAGACGACATCTCGTACCTATCAGTAAACATCGGCAACTCCACTAATCTTTCTAAGATGCTACTGCGTCAGTACCAGGGCACGCTAGACAACGAATGAAAAGGCATGTTGACACAGATATGTCTTGTTATATGTTAACATAACACCGCATCACATGCTTTGCTAATCTATATTGAGTCATATAGGGCATTGTTAACTGCGATTTCCAGGTCAACCGGATTCAGCCACATGGCTTAAAGCCTGGTGGGATGGGTGACGGGAAAGCAAGCAAAGGGTTTGTCATGGGATGCTAAGAAACATTAAGGCGACAAATATGTGAAAAATACAATGAGTTACGGAACCTTTGACTTCACGAGGAGCCCAATCCCATTAGCGTCGTGACGTGAGGTGTAATCTCCGGACGCGTGCTTCCGTGGTAATGGAATGACGATACAGTAAATACCTACTGTGTTATTGATTATATGTGTCAACTAAGAAAATTAAGTGGTTAACTGAATTGATGAGTAGTTTGTGTCAGATGGTGCAAGGGTGCTATAAGATGAGTGTCAAGGGTATGGCAGGCGATGCTGTCGCCATGGTAATATCATGCTGTGATATAAAGTTGCAATGCACTAACACAGTTTGTCATTTGATGGAGAGATTCAGAAGCTGCAACTCATTCGGTCAGCGATGCGTGGGGTAAGGTTCGCAATATGTAGATGAGTTGATTTTATCGTGAGATACTCGTAGCTGTAGTTTTACCAGCGCCGAGTTGAGTGGCGGTGGGCCGTATAACGCTCATCGGACCCGGCTTGGCGGTTCTAGTGTTCGCGGTCAAGGTACGTGTTCCATGCCTGTGCAGGTTAGTGAGAAGTGAGCTAGGGGAAGATGAGTCTGACGTGTAATTGTAAGCACAAGGGAGGAGTGTGTGATGGAAAAAATTGTAAGTGCTGTACCTGGTGTGATAAGAAGTGTTCATGTTGCACAACATCCGCAACATCTGGTGGGAATTGTGGAGACGTAGTATGCGACGATTGTAAATGGAAACCCATATGCGTTGTTATCGCTGTCATCGCATTCTTCATCATCGTCTTGGTATGTTTAGCCATGTGGATCATGGACATACCGTATACAAAGATGCCCAAAATATTCCGGAAACTTCCAAGCATACCCTACAGTGGACTCTCATAGCAACATTTTTTATTCCACGTAGACATGTCACAATCGATGTTACAATATTGGCGGCACTCATTTTCGCCTTCATTGCTTAGGGTTCAGGTGATTGTCTTGTAAAAGATTTTCCAACATTGTTTTTCTCTCGTCCCCCCTCGGGTCCCATTCGCCCGCATCCCACATCATGTGACCCTGTAAAAATTTTTGAAAAGACGCCTATTAACCGCTCACAGGTAGGCTATAGCCTCGCCTTGTGCCATAATTCGCATCCACTGCTACCTTGTTGGGTACACGTTGCGCCACTTTCCTCACCATCTTAATCACCATTTATCGCTTTCATACGGCACCGGTGATGTATCTCAGCTGGCTCTTAAAATGCCATGCAACGCTGATTAATCTGAACTCATCGACCAGCATTCATGATGTCACTGACCCAACTCGTAATCCATCAACATCGAATACATGCTCTGTCTAAGCTTTCAAGATTCTCGCCAAGGGCGGGGTCATGCTGAAAGCGACAGTACATACAACTGACTATGCAAATATAAGTCTTCGCCAACATATTAACACGTTGAAGAGTTGGAAGACTGCGGCAGCGAATGCTATTGACAAGGCGGGCGAGAAGTGTAAAGAAATATTAGAGAATTCAACAAAGTGGTCCTAAAGGCAAGATTTTTTATAATGCTCGAACGTTAAGAGATAAGGCTACGACACTTTTAAACGCGGCGCACAATGCCAAGACGCAAATTGAGACATTGGTCGGCGACGCTTTGGGGGCTGTCGTGGAAATGGATGCATCTCTTAAGACGGATTTGAAGATCGTTAAAGGTAATATTATAGAGGATATAGGGAAGGTGATTGATAGTTTTGGGGGTTTAACTCTGGATGACTTGGCGCAAAAAGATTTGCAGGCGTATAGGCAGAAGATTAAGAAACTTGCCGCAAAAGGTCAAGTGGATATTCTTCTTAGTGGGCGATTGGGACGCTTGGCGGGAAGTTTTAGTTAAGAGGCAGAAGTGAAAAGAAACTTGAAGAGATTTTTTTAAAAGATTAAAGATAAGGTTCCGGCAATTAAGGGGAAGAAAGGAAATCATGAAAATGGTCAATGGCTTCATACACGTCCCCCAAGCCCCGCAGATTATGCGGTTCCTCTGGGTACTTCAACTATCATATCCCCTACTTTCTCAAACCCATAGAAAGCCCAAAACCCAGCGAGATCGTAGAATATGGTAAGGATACGTCTATTAATAGCTCCGAACGCCTTGAAGATAACTGAACCACTCACGCTAGTGCGGCACCCTGGCTCTTCGTAACCTACGGCTTTAATTAAACATCCCAATCGAAACTCTGCACATTTACTTGGCCGGTGACGGTTCACAATATCTAAGCTCGTATCCTTCAAGGACCGTAGGCCAGTGTATAACATGGGCGCCACCCCAACGAGGACCACTGCGCAGGCTTCTGGGTCCTTCGCACATGATGCATCCCACGTCGCGTTCGAACTGTAAGCAGACTCATACTTGTCAGGGTTTTTGATATGAGCCAAGAACCTCGCACAGCCATACACAGCTTTGGCTAAGTCCGCTGCGATGTCTTCCGGCTTGACACCTCTGGTTTCTATGACGTTCTCCCAATCGCTCTCGGCTATAGAACCAAACTTTTTATGGAACGAGCTGACTCTTTTACTCACTTTCCACGCGAATTTTCCCAGCAGCTTTCTTACGAATGGCAGGTCCCTAAGCTCCTTTTTCTCCATGAATTTCTTAGAAATGCTTTTTAGTTCATCGAGAGCTGGGACCTCCATGAAGCCAACAGGTTTGTCTGCAAGGAATTTGTAGACCGCTGCGCCCATGGCCGCCAAGTTCTTTTCACCATCCTTCCCCCTCAGGGCCATTAACCAGTCAATGCCCTCCTTGAGGTTACGAGGTGCCTCAGTTAACGAATCATACACCATTTTGTACAGATTCGTTAATTAGGCAATTGCGATATTTGTATTAATTTAGTGTCTATTTACAGGCCGCGTCTTAATCGGGGATAAGCACAGGTGCTATTGACCACGAATAAAGGCGCGTTTAATTTCAATATGCAACCCCGTCTATACGAAAAATTGGCGGACGTCTTCGGAACGGTGACAACCAAGCTGACGTGTCTTAGACAGATCCACACGAGCGGCGTGACATGCAGTACGCACAATGCGAGTCATCCGGGTAGACAAGTCCCAGCTAGGCTAGCACATATTGAAATTAGAGATGTCAGTACAAATTGTAGCGATGAATAAAAGTTTAAAATTCTGGGACGGATTGCTCGTAGTGCATCACATAGCCTGCGGCGTCTAGCGGTGGTCATGTCGATGTGTTGACATAATGTCCATAAGCACGCCTATTCACATTCCGCGGTCACTCACGTAATCACTAGTACGGCATCATCTCATCTTGCATATGGATCACTACCTTAGGTAAGATACCACTCATTAATCGATAATGTCAATGTCCGGTGACCCAGTTTTGCGTTTCACGGCGACCAATTGATGAATACGCTCCCCCAGTGATAATGCGACGATTGCCCACCAAATTGCCAACTACAAAATAAATACTCCTGTCACATGTGCCAGTGTATTGCCGGTTAGGCGGGCTATCCTATATTCATAATTGTAGTATTAGGATGCGTCATTGGATGTTTTGACGAAAAAGGAAGAAAATCAAAATTCAGATACGTCTCCAATTTTATGGGAAGCCACCAAAATATTTATACCTATGGTAAGGGTTGTGCACAAAGTAGCCGGAAAACTTACATTAAAATTAGAGTTGTTGCGATATTAAAATGCTGCGTGAAATGAGTGAAACTAAGACTGATCCTTCGTCGGGTATCGCTCGTAAGGGTCGTACATATCCGGGGGACCATATAGGCAATCACGGAGCCGGCGGAATGGCCATATACGCTTTTCTGTCATATAGTGAAGGATGCAAATTACGATTGCATGAAGAATAAGGATTCCGAAAAGCGTTGCAATACCATTGACTGTTTCTCGACAACAGTGGCATGAACAGTTAAAACTGTATTGTCTGCATTTCAAACAGGTGCTGTTACATCCCGTCCAAACGTTTCCCTGACATTCACACTGACGTGCGTCACCTAACTTCTTGCAGAGTCCGCTTTTATAGAACCCCACTGCACGAAGACGAACAACGTACGTGGAGGGGAGTGCCGTGGAGCAACACACCTTTATTACACTTGCTCAAATGAAGGACCTAGCTATTTATGTCGTGGTAAAAGGCCAGCGCTGATGTTGCTTGATGTATATGACCAGAAAGAATCCACCCTTCAATCCTCCACAGGGTACTACGCCGCTGCATGCGGTTGATGGTATTTTCCTAATCAAGGTGCACGTCCATTCCATCTCCACAGGATCCATTTCCAAGGCTGCCAACCGTAGACCAATCTGCAAGCAATCGCTTTGCAGATTCTTAGGATGTTATGAACTTTAGCGGTAATGCGACACGCTTGAGAGAACATCCATTCAAGCTTTGCCGCTGATACCTAGAGCTGAAACACAATTTGAGACATCTTAATGACGAGTTTTACAGTTGCAGACAATAAAACATATATGACTGCGTATCTTCTCAAATGGACATTGCGATGCTTTCGGAAAGGTGTAGTAACAACGTTCAAGCATAGAGTGTTGGATCTGTCAAGGAAATTTATTATAGGGTCGTGAAATCCACTCTTAAAACATTAAACAAACCTCAAACAATATTTGGTTGGTCAACGCATTCTGAAATACTCTAGCTCCATTGATCAGATGATTTTCGATGGTTGCAACAGGGTAAACCTGTTGGCGATCATAAGCGATATAACCAGATGACAAGTCATCAAGAACACAAACTCAGTCCATCGAAGAGAAGTAGATGGGATCAATGGAGAACGTTCAGCATCGGCTTTCCATTATGCTGGTGTTACAAGACGAATCTTCGGAACAGCTCATAAATGCCAACGCCCAGCATGCCATTCAATCCCCGGCTCATGAGATGAGCATCAGAGTACGGTTCCACGAGTTAACAATTGCACTCCTCAATAACTCCGCGAATTCATGATCTCATAATTGCAGTGGTCAATATAGTAATATTGTCCGTTTTCAAGGTTAGGTACGTGGTCCCTTCTTCATCTCGCGTCCAGCGTAGTACGTGGCAACGTGGAGTCTCAAGTCTTGCACTTTGATAATAGATATTATGACATTATAAATTGACATTAAACAAAAGCTTGTGGGATATATTGGGTACAGTGGAGTGTTCGGTGGATGCCTGCTTACCCACTCTGCAGCGCATTTTCAACACAATACGCTGAGGAACCTTTTCGATCCTGCACGATCGTACATAGCAAACACAAGCAGAAAGTATATTACTCTAAAACGCCGCTGTGGTAACTAAGGTATCACATACCCTAACCGCTACAACCGTCTGGGTACGTCGTTCAACTCTATGCAGTGTTGGTTATGTGAGCTGTGAGGAAAGATGGCGGGTCAGTGTGGATGTGAAGCAGGAGAATGTGGTCGTGATGGTGGTGATTGCTGCACTAAAAAGGGCTGCGAAAGTGAAAAGCGATGTAAATGTTGTTATTGTACATGTGGAGATACAAAAAAGAGCACGACAACTTGTACTTGCTGTCCCTGGTGTTGTAAAACATGCAAGACGGGCGGACAGTGCAAAGCATGTGCGCATAAAGAAGCGAATCCCTCCTCTCTCGGTTATAATCTTTGTACAAATTGGTTCATATGCCCATGTAATTGGTGCAAAGTTCGCTTATCCGCAATATTCGGCTTTATTACACTCTTATTCCTCTTAGCCATAGTGTACTACAAATACTCCGACAAAGCTAGGTATTTGATGCTTGCAATAGCGAATACATTTGGTGAGCGCCGAAAGCTTCCCACCTCATGATTGGCTCCACCATCCAGCGATCGCTTATAGCATCAACTGCTGGGCAATCTAGCAAATAATAAAGTCAACACATTCATTGTTTAATTGTTGTTGCTGGTGAGCACCGGGTGAGTGGTGTAAGCCAATGGCGCCATTCCATGTTGCAAGTGGATTGCGAACCCTAATAATCGATCATCCAAGTCAGCAATCGAGAAACGCCACTCTGGATAAAGTTTCGACTCATCTAATGTATGCGTGGTATTACGTAAGGATTGTGTGCGTGTCTACAGGATGTGTAGAGTCCTGTTAGTGGAAGAGGTCGTCCGACATGACGAATACGAGACATCGTAGTTACGGGAGTCCCTGTGGTCAACTTTGTTGTTTTCCCTATTATCACAATTCCATGCTGTACATACATTATGTGGCTGGTAGCGTACTCATAGCGTCTAGGTGGCGGGAAGGCATCGTGGAACGGTCTGTGGAATTGAGAGTGCTCCTTAATCATATGTAGTTGAACATCGTTTTATTATCATCATTATACTGGCAACCTAGCTCACCAAGTGGTAAGCTGTTGCCCATCATAACGGTGTTTTAGCGCTGCTATACCTAGGCGTGTGCCTGCCCAGACACAAGGACGGCGCTCTGCATGTTTTGGTGTTTGTTGACATTGTGCAACCCAGATGATACAGGGCCGCTCAAAGCTTCAGGAGAGTCGTGAATTGCTGCGCAGAGTCTTTCATTATCTAAGATGAGCGGGACTACGACGTGCGGGTGTGGCAGCACTAAGCACAGTAATTATGCGTGCATAGGCATTGCCTTCGCCGTAATTGCAATCATATGTGTCGCTTTTTATTTCCTTGCCCATTAAGTGCTGTCGATGTTACGTGTTGGGTGGCCTGTGGGAGTTAACGGCGTGATTCCGGGCCGGCAGTGTAATGTGTAGGCGAATGGCCATCCAATTGAGCCTGATAAGCGCATTCCTTGGTTAGTGAATCATCTATTAGGTCATTGGGAGAGTGGCGTATTGGGCCATGGAGGCGTGCCCTCATGTGTGATAATGGACGAGACGCTTTTACTCCGGCCTATGTGATTATCACGTGACGGCGCAGTTACTAGGGACCCTGTTCGCAACGTTGCAGTGACCACTGACACCACAACCTGACAGTTCAAGTCATATATGTACTCAGTAGCACACCTATAATGTGGCTCGCGGAGGTGGGTGCCGCAGCGACGCAACATAAACACAATCTTGATATCGCGCTAATAACTTTGCATCATTAAAGTAGTAACCTGCAGACTCTGAAGGTCACCATAAGCATACACACGCACTAGCCGAAGCAAACGCACTTGGATGCGGATTCTCTCGCTTCACCGTAATGGGTACGGGGCAAACATGCCGTTGCAACACCACATTTCTTAATGAACTACGCATATTAACACAATATATAGACATGTGTTGAAGCGATTTTTAGGTTCCCTGTGGCTGGTCTTGTTCGACATCAATCTCTTCGGTGTTAAAGTGCACCTTGCTGTATTTTGCTTGTACGCTGCGTTTAATTCTGAGCATTTCTCTGAAGCACTCTTCGTTTCCATGTAGCACTTCAAATTCGCGCCAGTCTTTCCAGAACTTTTCGTGTTTTTCCGGGTCGCAGAGCTGCGAGCAGTAGATGAATATGGCACGAGCACGGTCAATTTCTCCGAGACCTCTTTCCATCTGGATGTACATATCGCAGAGTTCGCGCGCGTATTCATCATCTACGAACTCTAGGCACTCCTGGTATATGTTCCTCGTCTGCACTATTCCGTAAAATTCCGCCGTTTTGGCCAGGTACAACTTGATCATGGTGAGTTGGTCCCCCCTGTCTGCGCACTTGGCGGCGTCTTTGAGTATGCCTAGGCAGCGCCTGACGAGCCCGAATTCCTCTTCCATGTGGGCGAAGAGAAAGTAGAGATACTTGACGTACTGCGCGGGCACATCTCCCGTTTTGGAGTCCTGCCCCGGGTTTAGGCATTGGTAAAATATTTCGCGTGCACGCTCCAGTTTGCGCCCGCGGTACCTTTTGACAAACTTGGTGAGGTACGGCAGGTAGAGGTAGTAGAGCTGCGGCCACTTGAACAGGGCGACACATTTCTCGAATACACTGAACGAGGCTTCGAAGTATCTGTTATCCTCCAGAAACGTGGCGAAGTTGAGTGCAATTTGTGGTGTTACCACTTTGAGTTCGACCATGAGGTCAAACGTTGATCTGCAGGTTGCGATGGTTCCCAGGTTCTGCTCCAGGTCCAAACACAGACTCCAGAGTTTTACCGATCGATACAACCTCTGCTGTACGTGGTTCGGATCCTTTTTGTTCCTCACATCAATAGCCTGTCTTGCGATATCTAACGCTCTCTTAAAGTTTTGTTTCCTCAGGTGCATTTCCACCCAAGCGCACCAGATGGACGCCAGGTCGTCGACATACTTGAAGTTCCCCTCCACGGCCTTCTCGTAGACGCGATCAGCGGCATAGATGTCCCCGCTTGATTCGAAATGTGAGGCGTATGCGGTCCACAATTCGGTGACCCTGCCGACCGACCGCTTCGGGTCCACTGCAGCAACAGCCTGTTCAAAGATTTGCTGCGTCTTGCTCGGGTCGCTCTCCATGAGCTGCGCGTAGTGGAGCCAATTGTACACGTTGTGCACGTTTTGTTTTAGCTTGACGTTTGCCATGAGAACGGCACGTGTATTGATAAGGTTCTCCAGCCTGTCCACGGTGATGATCACGTCGGTAGCGGCTCCTGCGGTTTTCTTACGCTCCTTGGCTAACTTTTCCAGGAACCTGGCGTAGACCTCAAAAATGGTTGAAAAGTCTTGGACCGTTGTGACCGACTTCAGTGCCTCCTGCAAAATTTTAGTGGTTGGCGTGGCTAGAACTCACCTCATACACGTCGCGTGCGCTGTGCATTTGTCCCCTAAGTATATGTATGTCAGCCAGTATGACCCAAAGCTGCGCAACCTGGTCGCTGTACTTGCCGATTCCTTCTTTTATGATAGCGTCTATTGGGATGCTGTGTATGTGGTGTGAGTTGTCTCTGACAAGCTCGCAAAGTTCCACCCACAGGTCATACTGCGACTTGCCGCTTTCGGACACGAACTTATCATCGTTGAGCAGTTCGCAAAGCACCACACACGCCTCGTCATATTGCTTATGGCGTTTCAGCAATTCATACAGCGTTTCCCTGTGGTTCGGCTTGAGCTGGATGTAGCGCCTGAGCACCGCCCTCCCCATCGGCAGCAGGTCCACCTCTTTGACGAACTGGAGGTAGTGGTTCCACACCATCGCATGCTGCGTGATGGGAAGGTTGAGCAGCGCTCGGTCGTACGTTCGTCTTGCGCGTGTGATCATGTTCTGCGTTCGGAGGAACTGCCCGTAGAGCAGGTATATCGCCGGCGCGGCGTAGACGTGAACCAGACAGTTCTCAAATACCCGGTTAATGCGCAGATACGCAGCCGGATTTGCGTAGAACGGCGCCTTGATTGCCTCTATGCTGTCCCTGATGTAGCCGTACCACACTTTGTAACTCAGCGGCACGTACTTTACCGCCCGTTCGTAGGTGGCCAGAATCCTTTCGGTGATTGGGTCGTTATCGTGTTCCTGACCACTCGCGGCAGTTCTCTCGTTGTGAGTCGGTGCTTCCGCCGACACAGTTTCGAGCATGCATATATCCTTTATCCGGTATACCCTGGCGTGGCTGCCAGGCTGCCTCAGCGACTTGAGGAGTGCGATGTGGTCTACCCATGGTTTGCAGAGGTCCGGGTATCTGTCTATGTCTTTGTGGAATCTTTCATCGTACAATGCCGCTAATTCCTCGTGTTTTTTGCGATCGTATGTGGTATCCAGATAGGCCGCGGCGTCGTAGACATCGCCGCCGGCGGCCGTGTGCCCGGATTGCCCCTTTGGCGCCATCTGGGCGAATCCAGCCACAGTAATGGCGACTAACAGTACTATCCTACAATATTCTACCCGTATGCGAGCGATGCGGCGAGATTACACAACGGTATGTGTCGACGTTCTCGACGCTCGTGATTCTGCGCTTCCCGCCCGCAATTTTGCCATCCTAAGCACACCAAGGGAAATGCATTATTCTTTAGTGTTAGGATTTTCCCGAAGTGTGTTGTCAGCAGCGGGCATATCGGCCTGTAATCGCCTCCTCGGGGTGAGCCCTACCAACGGCGTGCCCAGCGCATCAATGGATGATTCCGCGTCACCGCCTCCCGCCGTGATGCGCCGTATGCGTGTTTTAATTCTGTTAGTGACACCTTCGTTATGAACAACTCGCCGGGGCGTCGCGTCCGGTCCATGCCGCGACGCTCGGGTCACTCCAACCCGGATGATCAGAATGAGAACAATTTACGTGTCTGGGTAGGGAACATCCCGCCTTCTGTGACTTTTTCGTCGCTGGTATCGGCCTTGCGGGACTGCGAACTGCCTACGTGGACACATGTGTTACTGAAGAAGGGCGCCAATCGGAATTTTGCGTTTATTTCCTTCGCTGATATTGAAGATGCCAAAACGTGCGCACGGATACTTCACAATCGCCGCGTCTTTTCAGGTTTGTTTGCGTAGCCATTGTTGCATTCGATATTACTGCTGGGCTAGCTGCCTACGGTTGTGCCTTCCGTCGTATGCGCTTCATCGCTGCGTTCCCGGTTTATAGCCGTAAATAAGTGTTGTCAATGTATATATAACGCTGGCTCTACTTCTGAATGTGAGATTCCTATTTAGTTTGCGTCATTTTGCCGTTTTTGGTCTTCTGCGAAGGCTATTGCGGCGACCCTGCATGGACTTATCATCACTAGCCCTATGTGTTTAGTGATTAACCAATGTGACACACATTCGTTCAATCAGTTGTTTGTTTGCCTATATACGTGGGAAAACGCCCGTCATAAACGTTGCAGACTCCGAAGTACCTCTGAAGGCGCAATTGGAGAAGCCTCGAGATGGTAATGATTTACCGTCCGGCAGTGCCAATTCAGCGGATCTGAAGGGATCACATAGCTCCAATCGCCAAAGATCGGGCTATAAAACCAACCTAGAGGGTGCAACCCACGTGTACGAAGTGTTGCAGGACGCAGACGAGTCGACGTTGTGGCACGTTTACAAGAACGAGGATGGCATTCCGTACTATTACAACCACATTACAGGCTGTACGCAGTGGGAGAGTCCGATTCAACCGTTGGTTGCCGTTGCGAACTCGGTGAATGAGCGTACCCGTGTGGGATCGCCGGACGGCACGAATTTGTTTATTTTTCACATCCCCTCATGCTGGACGGACGAAGACCTTGCCATGCACTTCACTCCTTTCGGCAATGTTGTTTCGGCTAGGGTGCAGAAAGATGCCAATGGACTCAATGCAGGTTAGTGTTTTTTCGATTACATCTCTGAAACATTCGCCAACCCAGCTGACTGCCATGCAGGTTTCGGTTTTGTTAGTTACGACAACTGCCAGAGTGCAGCTGCGGCACTACGTTTAATGAAGGGCTACGCCACTAATTCAAAGTTTTTGAAGGTCGAGTACAAGATGAAGGAAAATGTACGCGGCTAAAGTGCGCCCCTGCCGTGCGTTCGTGGCAACCGTATCGGTCGTCTGTTCACGCAAACGTACGTAATAATCTAGATATAGCTATGATGAGGGCGGCCACCAGTATTCCTCCGAAAACAATGCGCATGACAACGGTATTTAGCCTGCCCTGCTTGAGCAGTTTGGTAAGGTAGGCATCAGCCTCCTTTATAGAGAATTTTGTCTCTCTGATCTCCTTTTGCACGTTGTACAAGACGTTCCTTTGCTCGTAAAGTTCCCCAACCGCACTTGCACCGATCATCTCCGTCTCCTGTGCCATGGCGCAAGAGGTCTGCAGGTACTCATAACCCTTTTGTATGAGCCTGTCATTTTCTTGCAGCTGATTATAGTGCCCCCCCTCTGGCTGTTTGTTTCTTGCGCCTGCTCATTATTATCCCCAAAGTTCGTTTTTAAGTAACGTACTGCCAAGGAGCTCCAGCCGCTCCAGTTCAATCTCCAGGCCCTTGGTGCGATTCGATGCATTTTTGAGCACCGCCTTTATTCGGCGTATCTCTTCGATGCGTGTAGTTGCGATATCTCCGTCTGACGCGCGAGCTTCGAGCTCTAGCTGTCTGACCTGCATGGCATGAGTATGTCGTTTCTCGTATAATACGCAAGGCACAGTTTCTATGCATAAATCGCCGACTTCTAGACAAATTAGCGCAATAGAATGCCCGCTTGAGATCGTTTACGCAACGCCTAAGCCGCCATAGCTGCTTCTGGTGACTGCCATAATGCGTGGCGGCGAGCGAAACACATCGCGACAGTAAAACGCAAAATGACCAAAGATCGCACACATTGCACCCATAGATGTAATAAAATCACGTTCCTATCTCCTTACCGTTTCATCAGCGGAAGAGATGACCTTTTTGAGCTGCTCGAGGTTCTGCCTCTGCGTAGTCGAGCTTCCTGCGGTAACAATTAGTCGCCTTTAATACGCAAAATCCACATATTAATAACAGCAAATGTGTTAACGCCTAGTGAGAGGTACAGCCGATAGCAGTTCCCGCGCTCTTTTGATCGGCGGCTCTAGGTCATACGCAGCTTGGAGTCAACCTACCGATCGCTCCTTGTTCGCAGACTCTAAGCTGGTCTGATACATTCTCAAGAATGCCTTTTACATGTCGGTGGTACTCCTCAAAGAGATCGTCCATTTTTATGGAGTGGCGAGTGACCGTCTGTGTCGGCTCGGCATTGCCAAGCACGCGTGATCACATACGGTCAACGAAGACCAACAAAACTTGTTTAGTGCTTATATAGAAAGCAAACACAGCTAAATAGTTCATAATAACCAAATATCAATCAGACAAAAACTGTCCAAACCAGGAATCGAACCTGGGTTGCCACGGCCACAACGTGGTGTCCTAACCTCTAGACGATTTGGACTACGTCGGCACCCGTAATCTTGTGTTTAAGCTGTACGATACACACCATACTATAAGTGTGTTAATGCTGTTTGTGGCATTTATTATAGGAATCTTGTCTTTCGTGGCGATATTGACGAACCATTCGAGGCAAATTTGCTACAAACGTTTTCATCGATTTGTTAGAATCTCTTCATCGGGAAACGATATCTGCCGCCACCGTAGCCAATACAGAGATTTGGTAAATAATCTGATTTGCGCATCAACCAATTCACATGTATAACATGTTGTTAATACACATAATTGACGATGTCAGTGACCAATAGATGCCGTGACCCGGGATCGAACCGAGGACCTTCAGATCTTCAGTCTGACGCTCTCCCAACTGAGCTATCACGGCCCACAAAGGATGTTGAAATATTAGCCGAGGCTTCGTGGATGCGCGCTCATATGCTAAGTACGGACGCAAACCAACCTTCTTTGGTCGGGCGTCGTCCTCCACTAAACATTTTGATACTCGCAACCGTTTAATTGTACACTGTGTGGAAAAAGCAGCGGTATTTACGTTGAGATGTGTGGATCTATGCTGTTGCAATTTGCAGCTGCTTGTTGAATTTTCGTTTGCATCGTCTCGCGTCGTTAACTACAGAAGCTACGCGAACGATCACCTTCACTCACAGATGTGTTGAAGTTCGCATATTTCTTGCCATTGCGACTTGGTGACACATCTGTGTGTTGGCGCTCTTTTGTATTCCGCTCCGTGGCCGTACGGAATCCAAACTGTTTTCACGGGACATGGGCGGGATTGATAAAAATACGCCCTTCTCATGCTGTCGGGTGTTGAGAGTCATGCGTTTTGGTCTTAGGGGCCCCTTGGATATGGAAAGCAATGTCACCTACGCCAAATCGCCAATCTAGTCGGGAGTCAAGCCCGCACTCTGCCGAAGAGGACGCAGATGAGAAGCCACCAAGTAGGTCCCAGAGCTTCGTCGAGAACGAGCAGCCTGGCGTTTGGTGGCTCTATGGACAAGCACGACGTCTTTTCCGCTCGTACCGTAACCGGAAGGCAGAGGAGGCGAATAAGCCTGCCTCCAATGCTGCCCCGCCTCGGGCTGAAGCCCCTCAACCCCGTTCGCTTCTGCGCACGGTCAGTGCCTTTTTCACGCGTAGCCAGGACAATGAGGGAGGAACGTCGGCCAGATCCGCCGCACCTTCTACCCCCGCATTGGCGGATGGGAACGCCGCAACTCCCGTTCGCCAGAGTAGGCTGCGATGGCGTAACCGTCCCTTCTCTAAGAGAGAGGATGGCAAAGTGGATGGGGGGATGTCTGGAAGCGACTGCAGCAACGAGCGAGTCCGCCTGTTTGGCAGGGCACGGGAGACCATGAGCGACAATGATTACACGATTCGTCGTTCCGTCTCTTCGGCTTCTTTATCGTCCACTCCTATGACGGCGCCTGACATTTTGGATGCTGACCCGTTTTGGAGGGATCGACAGAGTCGTGTTGTCGGAAGTTCGCCGGCTCGTTCCCGAAGGTCGTCTTTAGATGATACGCGCAGCCAGCCACACCCAAATGAGCGTCGTCGCATGAGTTCACTGGTTCAGAGGTTTGCGGCATATCGTCGGTGTGACAGCGAAGGACATTCCGATGGAAGTTCGGCTTCACCTTTTGCCAAAGCAGCAGCCAAGAGTGCACATAGCAGTGTTAATGCCGGGCGTGTGACGCACTACAGTCCCACCCGTGACTGGCTCCAGCATGACGACGGGGTAGCTCGTTCTGACGACAATACAAGTGCTCGTGAACGACGCTTCTTCAACTTTCGCAACAGTATTTCGTCGATCCGCCGCATTTTACCGTCATCGAAGAATGCTCCAGCCAACAGCGATGGGACAGAAAAGGGTGTCCGCAGATTTCGCCTGTTGTCGTACCGTCGTTTTTCTCAATCTGACCGTGACGAAGACAGATACGGCTCTGGAGGTAACCATGAAAGATCGCCGCGTTATAATCGCTCAGCCTACCATGCGGACCACCCTGGCGGGGGGTCGTACTGGCGGTTCGATTCCGCAAGTTCACGAGACGACGCCGGTTACCACAGGGGCATAGATGCCACCGTCAATTCGAAATTGGAACGTGTAGTGGTCCTGACGTCAAACCAACTGCCGGAATTCGGCCTCGACCCAATCTGTTTGACAAAATGGACAGCTGAGGCGGTGCAAAATTTGGAGGAGACGTTTAGTTCGATACCCTCGCTGCGGGAGACCCCTCTGGGCAACCGCGCCGACGTATTTCAACGCAAACTGATTGCTTGCCAAACGGTGATAGACTTCAACTCCAAGAAAGTATTGCAGCGCGCCATCGAGTTGAAGCGCCAGACCCTGCTGGAGATCATCGAGTACATCAGCACCACCCGTAACTGCATGAACGAAACTGTTCTGCGGGACGTGATCGACATGGTGGCTGCTAATGTGTTCCGCAGCCTTCCTCCACGGACTAAAAAGTGTCCATTTAGCAACGAAATCGATGAGGAGGAGCCCACGTTGGAGAAGTCGTGGCCGCATTTGCAGATTGTGTACGATATGTTTTTGCGTGTGGTTGTGAGCAACGAAGTGAGTTCTAAGATGGCCAAGAATATGATCGACAAGCCCTTCGTGCTGAAGCTGTTAGGTGTTCTGAATTCGGAGGACCAGCGTGAACGCGACTATCTAAAGACCATTCTGCATCGCATTTACGGGAAGATAATGCCCTTGCGCACGTTCATTCGAAAGTCGATCGACAACCTTTTCACGCATTTTATCTACGAGACCGAGAACCCCTATGGCATAACGGAGCTGCTGGAAATACTGGGCAGTATCATCAATGGTTTCGCAGTGCCACTAAAGGAGGAGCACAAGATCTACCTGGAGAAGTCGCTGACCCCGTTGCACAAGCCGAGTTCGGTGCGCAGCTACCACGCCGCCCTGTCGTACTGCATGATCCAGTACGTCAACAAGGACCGTAGTCTGGCTTCGGTAGTTCTGCAGGCTATTCTGAAGTTCTGGCCCACCAGTAGTGCGCAGGCCGAAATCCTCTTTCTGAACGAGATGGAGGAGGTGCTGAACTTGACGGAGTCTACCGAGCTCTCCTGCGTAGTGCGCCCGGTGTCGGTTCGGCTCGCGCATTGCGTGTCATCGGCGCACTTCCAGGTCGCCGAGCGCGCGCTATACGTGTGGAACAACGACCGCGTTTCGCGCCTTCTAAACATGCACAAGCAGGAGGTGTACCCCGTCATCGTGCCTGCGGTCAAGAACAACATAGAAGGCCACTGGAACGACGCGGTACGGGCTTTGACGCTGAGCGTGGCGAAGCGGCTGTCGGACACCGACCCAGAGCTCTATTTGCAGTGTACCCTGATAGCCGACGGATCGAGGTGAGTTGACAATGCATACATTTAACATTTTCCAGGCCGTCTACCGCGGCTTCGATAACCCCGTTAGGCAGCATGGGTTCGACCAGCTCTAGCTCGAGCGGCAGCCCGAGTCCGCCGGAGCAGCTCACGACGCCGCGCGATGCAGAGGAGCAATAGTCGGCTTGTAGACAGTTGTCAGCACGGACTTTCACTTCGCCGGGTGCGCATTCGGCACCTGCGAGGGATGTCCGGCTCACTTCTGTCCTTTGGACACAGCACACCCACCACACCTGTGTCATCGGGCGGCTAATTTCCTGCATTTCCTTTTAGTGCGACTGCATACTTTTACTTTAAAGGCCAATTTAACTAGAAAGATGGATTCAACTGAAAGCGAGAAGTTGTCTGCGCGTAGCCAGAGTGGCGCGGAGGTCGACTCGCAGAGCGAGAAGAATATCGACTCCGCTCGCTCAGCAGGCTCTGACTCCATGCCCGCTGCCTCGTCAAACGCTGATGCGGGCCGCGTCATGCGTGCGGATACCGGTGCGGCCGGCTTCAACGCCCTCTCTGCCAGCACCCCCGTCTGCTACTGTGTGTACGAGGAGGTGGCGCAGGGCACTTTCTACTTCCAATGGAAGGCGAGCACCCAGGAACCCATCAACAACCAGGTGATGATGTTCGTGCCCAGCAAGACCGTCCCCAAGTTCAAGCTGGTCAATGACGGCGGCCGCTCTGAGCTGGCCACCCGCGTGATGGTAGGGTTGCATGTTTCCGTTGCGGGGCATCACTTTTCTCAGCCTGACAAGCAGAAGTTCTGGTCGTCCCTCTGCCTCTTCATAAAGGCTGCCAAGGAGTACAAGGGCAAGCTGCAGTTGTTCCCCGGGTGGAACGATATCGTTCCCTACAAGTCCGACATTTACTTCCACAATGGCACCAACACGGTGGGTGTACTTATATGTTCTGCTAACCAAGTGCAGGTGACCAAGGTTGGCTACGAGCCCATTGACCTCGAGGACGTTGCCGCCATTGGCATTGCCGGCCGTGCCAACATCCTGATGGCCAACAAGATGTCTAAGGAGCAGTTTTCCCAGGGTATCCGCAAAGGAGGATACTGCCTGGTGCTCTAACTTCCTGACCCTGTGTAAACAATGCTATTGTCAAAGGTTACAAGTTAACGCTAGTGTCTGCACTCCCGCAAGTTACTTTCCGATAATTTAGCCAATATTCCATTTGTGGCGCATATTTGCATTTGGCTGCGTGTAAAACGTGTCATAGTGCCTTCTGACAACCAGATTTAAGTGCGTAGACATCCGCGGTGCTATGCATCAAAAAACGTGAGGCGTCTCACTTCTACGTGAGATCTGCAGAAGACATGATACGAGCCGATAAACTGTTAGCCGTGTGGCAAACAAACGACTATGTAGACGTGGAATGTGCGATTTGCGTGTGGCCGGAAGTCTCAGTATTTGCGGCGATGAAAAGTTGCAGCAGCAAGTAAAATTCCTAAGACATGTACATTTCAACACACATAAGAGGCGATGCTGTGATATACAGTGGGTTTTTGCTGTATTAATTGTCATAGTCTGATCTTCATGTGTAGATGGGAGTATGAAATCATCACTCCTAAGATAGAAAAGCAGATTCTGTCTTATGACCGTCCCGAACACATCATTCTCGCAAATTAAACCTGGGCATAACACATAACTGAAATGCCATCATAGCGATACAGCCGAGGGAAGGCTCCTGTCGGAGCCCTCCATGAGGCATTTTGACAATTTATATCACTAGGATTACTGCACATTTACTACGTCTTTTATGTTTTAGCGGTTATATTTGCCATCTAATACGTCTCACAGGTTAGTTACACCTGAATTCCCGGAGCCGAGTCTTTTGTCCTCTTGCATCTTTGGCCGCCGTAGCCTAGCGCCGTCTGTCGCTGTAGACGGTTCAGCCGCGTTTATACGGGCTGTATTAGTGTCTACGTTGTGTTTTGAGTGTTGTTCGGCGTGTGTGTGGATTCGACCGTTTTCCATGAAATGTGTACACATCTGAGCTGCGATATGGCCTCTGTCAGTTTACTGCCGAATCTATTCCGCCTGCTGTGGCGCAGGTGTGTGTGCTTTGCGTCAGTGTTCGTTTATGGATGCCAAAATGGCTGCCCTAAGTCGTAGTTCGCTAATGTGTATGCAGAGCGACTTTCAGAAGCCGCCTTCAGCCGCCTACCCTGCGCAGGACGAGTGGTATCGAGAGCTTGAGCGGCATAGGACGTGTCTTCGACGTCGCTGCAAGGAGTTGAAGACTGCCTTCCGCCCGAGGCAGCACCCGCAACACACGGTTGATAAATGCGCCGACCGCTCCCAGGTCTGTAAGCAGAAGGCCCAAAGTCCTGTGTCTACACCGGTTTCGGCAGTGTACCGCGGCAAAGCATTCAACGGTACCTTGAGTGACGTTGAATCTAGCATTTATGAGCACCAACCTTCGCCGAAGGCAGTACTCGTGACACCCAATCATAATCGAGCCGATCCACCGAACGCCACCCCCGCCTCAAGACATACCGGAAGGCACTTTGACGTACCCAAAGGTCGTGGTGCAGTATTCAACCCGTCGAATAACGGTACTGCGCACCTTCGCCGTCATTTACAACGATCGTCCAGTGTGGGCACTGCTAGAAGTTTCGAAGGAGGCCTTACGTCGTGCTCATCATCCGCTGATAGCGTAAACGGGCACATCCCCATCAACTTTCTTTTGGCGTGCAAGAGGGGTATTGGGGCTATTACACCAAGTTACAACCGGTCGTTTACTCTGGTCGATTGCGTGGATAGAGCACCTCCCTTAGGGCCGGACCCACGTCACGCACATTGTGTTCATCGACGCGGTGGTACATCAAAACCTTACGAGCGCAGCCGTGTTGGCGATACGTCCTGCGTGACTAATTGCGATAGACTTTGCGAAGATAGGCGTCAAAAGCTGCAAACATTCTGCGGCGATATCAAGCACCAGAACAAGAGCCACGGGCAAGGACGGCCCAACCTACATTCTCATCCCTGTATACCCAGGAAACCGCCGGTAGCCGTGACACAGCCAACGTGCTTGGTTGATCATAAAGCACACGAGAGTTACACGAATCATCCGTGTAGAACCGATCGCCACCCTCATCAAGGGAAGGACTACAGGAATTGCCATAGGTGCCACCACTGTTACGAGAACGATTTCAGGATGAATAAAGAAACGCACATGTCCCCTAAGAACCACGAGCACGGTTCCTCGTTGGACGCGGCTGAGGATTATCCGTTGCATTCTTTCGAGGCTTCCCCCTCACGTAGATCGCAAGCCGCGTCTCCCGCGGGCGTTACGCGGCAGGTGGATGCCCAGTTTGTCGAAAACCTGCTGACCGGGCACAACGTGAACGTGGAAGTGCTGAAGGCGCCCGAGCTGGGTTCTACCGAGAGGACGCGCCACATGCTCTCCGTCTGTCGTGAGGTGTTCATGGGCGCCATCGGCGCGCAGGTGGTCTACGTCGTGACGAGCATGCTGTTCGGCAACGTAGCGGCTGCGATCATGGTGGCGCTTCTGTGCATCCAGAGCGCGTTCTGCCACTGCGACGGGCGCCCGATGGCCTACGTGATCAACGGCGTGCTGTCGCTTGTGGTTGCGTCGACGGTAACCGTGGCTTTGTGCTGCGACGTCGCCGGGCTCGAGCCGTACCGCACCGACCCCGTGCTGAACACGATGTCGTACATTTATGTACCGCTGTGTTTTGCGTTCGGGATATTTTCGTTCTTCCTGGCCCACAGCAACAACGACCTCCACAAGCGCGAGAGGCAGGCCATAGTCTACGCGGTCAACCGGCTACTGGGCGACCGCTTCCATGTGAACCAGCGCAACCTCACCATCGAGCGGCGCACGTAAACTGATCGACATCCCTGCACACGTATTTTAACGGACCCTCTATGCTTACAAGCCGGATCGAAGGGGACCGCTCGGTCCAGTGAACGTATGAATGACCATGCGCACTGCACGACTAATCTAATGCAAATTATTGCTTTGTTTACTAGCGATGCGCCCGGGTAACCGACGCTAATTACGTGTCACAGACATTCAACTAGCAGATCTGCGGCCGCCTTCCGAATTGCCGGAGGCTGCGTACCCAGCGTTCGCGCGGTTACCTTGGCCCTGATTGTTGTTGTTGTCTGCGTTCGACCCCTGGCCTGAGTTTTGCCCAGATGATCGCGGGTACCACTTCTTGTTGTAGTTGCTTCTCTGTTGTCCTTCGTGCTGCCCCTTTTTGGGTGTGACCTCCTCGTCGAACCGCGCGATTGTAGCTTTGGCTTCGGCCAGCTGTTCAGGTGATATGCGCGGAATGTCGTCGATGCTTGAGTTGAGCGGGCCCAGCGCCTCGAACCGTGCGATGGACTGCGCGTGCACGATGTACAATGGGTGGCCGTTTCGCTCGTTATTCCCCTCTGCAGCCGCGTCACAACCGTACGGCCTAAACTCACTTATGATAATTGTAGGACTGCGCTGGAGATCAGCGCAGTAAAGCTCCCCCTTGATGTGCTCACCGGTAGTAAGCTCGATGTGCACCTGGACTGCGAGAACATGAGATTGCGTATGCAGAGCTTAGCCGTACCTCCGATATATTTGTAGGCATCCGGCCCTCTGAGCGCCTCGACGGCCTCGTTCTTGTGGTTATGCGAACCGGAGCCTGATCGCCTGGTACCCGTATTGTTTGCTCCCGTAGTAGGAGTCGAGGGTGAGGCGTCGTTCTTCTGCGACGCGTCACGCGAGCCTTGTGCTTGTGAGTGATTTTTCCTGTTTGCCTCCATCTCGTTCCGATGGGGAAGTGATTTTCATTATGGCAGAGCGGCACTCGCGCTCAAGCGGGGGCCGCCCGCGGTAAACGGGGTAACACTCCACGACATGAGTGCAAGAAAATATTGCATTTCGTACAAAATGCGAAACATTCATCTCCTGTAATACACTGCACAACAAACACCGCCATCCGAAGGCTTTATCCGAAAAATCGTCGCGTGTGTCATCGCTGCTGACATCCAACAATACGCATTAGCCGTGCATCACGTATCAGCAGATGCAAAATGCCCTTTTTCGGCTATTGTTATTAACTGCTGGCGCGCTCTTACCAGAATTTCCATCGCTGGCACGGTTGGCTGGGTTACGCAATGACCTCAACCCCCTTCATAATCACGGCGTCAGAATGTGTGCCTATTGCTTTTTGTACGTGCCGCGAGTAAAAATACAAGCATAAATGGTACCAGCGTGAGTGCCACCTGAACGTCATTGTCACGTCTGATCATGACCGATTCACTACCGATCAGCATTGCGCCAAGTACTCCCAAAACACAGAGAGAGCCACTAACACTCATAGAACGGATTCATAGCAACCACAAATTGCAGGATGGTGATTTGCCACCTACCTGGAACCACGTCTGTCGGACATAGCTGGCGAGAATGATCCAGGCGTCCTGCGCTGGAGGCGGTCGTGCCTCGTTGACGTAATCCGTATCCATCACAACCGCCTTTTGACTAATTACTTAGGGCAGACACTGGCTGCGCCTTTAGAAATCGATACTGTGTCCACTACACATTGCAGTGACCACATCACAGGCTTGGTGAGATTCAAGTCTCCATGAGGTCAAAACCCGTGGAAGATAGATCTGTGCGCTATACAGTCACCGTTGTAACATTCTTAGGTGATCCTTTTGCAGTCACACGGTTTTAGGTTTTCACATTACGCGCTACACACTCGAGCGATTAATGCCCAAATCGAAGATCGCTCCTCCGATTTTAAAATCACTCCATTAAATACAGGGAAATATTCCAATAAGCTACCACGCGTGAGTCACGCAGCAGCAGGAAATGGAACTCCAGCGCGAAAAATTCAGCCCCCCCAAACCCAGACAAGGTTGTTGGTAGATTCCGCATATTCTATGTTCACTCTATATTGCAGTTACAGCGGTAACTAGGTTCGCAGCAAATTCCCACAAATAACATTCGTTGTTGCTGTGGCTGCTTCGCGGACAATACACACCGTTGTTTTGCGGCCGTCAGTGGCTTGCCGCGCCGCGCATTGGATTCCTGCGTATTCGGACACCGAGGGTCAATGGATAACTATACTGCGGCCCCTGGGGGGGTACAAATGTTCGATGATGGGACCGCGCTCGGCCGCGCCCTCAGCGGAGGTAAATGGATTTCGATGCTGGCCACACTGGAGGCTGGCGGTCACGTGGATCAGCTGTTGGTTCTGGGCGAGCTGTCTAACTTCCTGAGCTACGCCAATGAGGAGTCCCTGCTTGGGTTTCCCGCGTGGAGCTACCTGAAGGTCCTGATGCACATGATCCAGCACCCTCGGGTGAAATACGCTTCGGTGAAGAAACGGAGGAACGAGAAATGCGGCAACGGGATGTCCTGCATAGACCCGGAGTTGCCTTTCTACAAGATGCTGTCGTCCATCTACAAGAATCGGCCTCAGCGGCAGGAAGTGCAACAGCCCGTTGGCGGCGGTCAGGTGGCTGGCGGCGACGACCAGGCAGAGTTAAGTCCAATAACCTGCCCGGGCCTACCCGCCCACGTGGACCCCCGTCCGCATGAATTGGACCCGAAACCGACCATGCGCGAGCCTGATGTGGATTTGATCTCTGAGGACATGGCCGCCAACAAGGCCATCACTGCCGCCTCCTGCGTGAACACCATTCTGGACATCCTGCCTCACGGGGCCAGCTTCTTCATGTCAAACAGCTCGCAGTTGGAGATTCTGCAGCGCAAATTGGAGGATATAGAGTACATAGATTTGGCTGAGCGGATCCTCCTGATTTACGAGAAGCTGGTAAAGGAGATCCCAGTGACCGTGGTGAAGAGCGGGTCCCTCATTTCGATGTTTAAGTATGTCGACTTCTTTCCTCTGGACGTGCAGATCGGTACCCTCACGGCGATCATGATGGCGGTGAAGCGTATTGAGCGCGGTGAGAGCGTGCGCAACTTTCTGATCCCGCTGTTCCCCTTCGTGTCACAGGCCATGCGTAACGGCAACAAGAAGATCGTGCAACTGGCGTGCGGCATATGGAAGAGCATCATTAGCACGGCTGTCCGTGCTTCGTACAAGAATGAGTCGCACTCCTCGGAGGTGATAGGCAGCATGGTGCGTTCCGTGGTTGCGTGTGACGCCGTGCGGGATATGTGCACTCTAGTGTTCAGGGCCCCAGGCAAGTTGAGCCGTGAGAACGTGGACCAGTGCCTCTACTGCCTCGCGATTGTATCTAACGAGTCCAACGAGGTGCTGTCCCAGATAATCTTGATGGATGTGCTGCCCAGTGTGCGCCGCTGGCTCGATCACAGCAACGAGAGCATGTTGCTGCGGCTGGTGGACCTCGGTCTGGGGATGTTAGGCAGCTATCACACCATAGAGCCACTGATCACGGACTGCAACCAGCTCTACCAGCGCGCTGATTACTACAGCGGCTGCACGGTGCATCTCCAGCTCATTGCCGAAACGTACCCGATCCAAACTCTGGTTGACATCTACGACAACACGGTGTCGCAGCAGCTGCGCAACCGGGTGCTGCTTCTGGTTTTGCGTCTGTTGGAGATGGCGGGCGAGGTGCCTATTTGCGTCGATTACATCATCACCGATCTGCCGGTGATTAAACTGGTCGACGCGGTATGCTACACGCTGCGGTATCAGAGCCAAGACGAGCACAGCGAAGTAGCGGTCCACATCATTACGTGCTTGCTGCGCCTCCTGGAGCACACAAGCATAGGCGACACCATGCGTCGTTACGGCGTCTCTTCGTTGCTGACAGCGCTTAACAAACCCAAGTTACAACATGAGTTGAAGTATATTCTGGACTCGTTACCGCCACCTCCGAAGCCTATAGTAGCCAAATCTGGCTTCGAACTGATAACGGAGATTAAGGGTAACAATGCTGCGCTGACTCTTCACGAACTCTCTCAGTACGGCATGCTGAACATGGATTACGCAAAGTTACTGTCACCCAACTCGCTCTCCTCTTTGCTGGGCACAGTCATCCGGGATAGTGGCAAATTCGTTTCTCCGTTGGTTGACACGGAGGGCATTCAGGCGCTTTGGCACGCCTTTGGCAGCGTCCTGGAGTCGCAGCCGGAGTTCAAGCCGCAGGTCGTCAAGGCGGATGGCAGTGATGATGAGGGTACCAGTGCAAGCGCCTCTCCCGCACGGTCTGGTGCGCTTAGCGATGCCATGCAGGTGGATCCTCCTGATAACGGCAGTTCAACGAGCTCCAGCGAGGCTTTTGCAATGTTCGATACCTGCACCCTGAGTTCCAGCTCCGTGCATACCGCCAACTCCGCGTGTGACGATGGGATAAACCCATCCCGCTCTACTACTAGGGCAAGAGGCCACCACTCAGGCGCCTCAAGCTCTTCAAAACCCCGGACATCTTCAGGAAAACAACTCTTGATCTCAGCTGCACCGGGTTCGCAGATGACCCTGGTAAGCGAACTCCCTGACTTTTCTCGGAGGCCTGAAGAGCAATCGTCCTCTACCGTAGGAATAGACTTACAGTCGGTTGGAAACGGCCATCCAGAAGTGGATATGGCTATGGACATAGTGGAAGATGAACACACCCAATCCGGCTACATCAATGATGGGCCGCAGCAGGTGCCATATGCGGCATCATCGCTTAACGTGGCAGCCGACGCTTCATTTGAAACTGGAAGCGACGGGATCATTGCGCCCATGCAAGATAGCCAATCCGTTTCGGCGACTCTGTCCCCCACCGTTTCTCTAAGGATAGGGCCCTCCGAAACGCCGTTGGACACAACACTTGAGGATTCTATCGACGCTCATACTCAAGGCATCGGTGAAGGGGTGCTTGCGATGTTGCGTGAAGAAGTAATGCGTGCGGAAGAGTCGCGTAGCTCACTTGACCTGCTGTGCAACCCGTGTGATGACCGCCTGGTGACAAGTGCCAGAACCAGGGCAAACACTACTACAAGCTCCAAGGCACGTTCCCGTCGGTCTGAGAGTAGGCCCAGAAAGCACTTGGACGATCGCGCAAGAAGGCAGGCGGAGCAGAACAGGAAGCAGCTAGACGAGCAGACTCAGCTTCGCAATCGTTTGCGGGGCGCACTGGGTTTCATCACCCAATATGCGCGGAGCGCAGTATTGCCCTTTCCCCTAAATAACGTGAGCCGCGACGTGAAGCTCAAGATGAAGTGCATTGATATCGACGAGGAGAATGTGAATCCACCCACCTTGTCCATATTAACATCGCCTCTGGTGTCGGTTTCCAAAATTGAGAAGTTTGTGCTGACGCAGCTGAACAGCCGTGTTCAAGAGCCACCCCAGGATGCTTCAACCACCCCCAAGAAGAAAGCCAAGATGGCGCTGAACGGTCAAGGCGAGTTGGACGGCAACTATGTAAGTGTCCAGTTGTATTACAAGGGCCACGCTCTGGGCCCCACTTTGTCACTGTACCACGCGCTTATCATGCTGCGTGACGGCAGTGAAAGTGGCAACATCTGGGAGGAGACCAACGTCCTGACATACACCACCATAAAGCGAAGTGGTGGGCCCTCGTGGAGCCGGCTACTTTCCGGACGCCATACCCCCCTGATGGCGGCACTGTGCGAAGATCGCCACAGTCCATTTGGACTGTTTTTGGGGATATCCAGCTACGTCAACGGCTGGGGAAAGACGGTCGTATCGAAGATGTTGAAGGTGCTGAAGGAACGTTTGCCCACAATCGATGGCAACGAAGATGCAGCCGAAGTGCGCGAAATGCTGGCTGATGTGATGCAGGTGCAGTCGCCTCCCAGCGCAGAATCACCGTTCGCATCGTTTGAGGATACTCATCAAATAATCAGGGGAAGGGTCATTGCTACAGATGACCCGGAGGACAGTTCATCGCAGATTAGCGATGCTGGTGGCGACTCCGAGATGGAATATTTTGTCCAGTGCGTCATAGACGCTTTGGAGCGCATGGACAACATCATAAACGGAAAAGTCAGTGACGACGTTCTGGTCACTACTCGGTTGACGACTGGAGGCCAATCTGATCTCACTGAAGACTCCCGTCACCATCTGCAGATGATGGTGGTGATCTACACGTTGCTGACTGAGTTGAGTATTTTCACGGGTGGCACTGAGATACGTGTACCATTCTCCAAGAGGTTAACGTTGAGGCTACTGAATATGTTGGGCAATGTTGGAGAGTCGCTATGCTACCAAACTCCCGCATGGTTCATCGAGCTGGTGCTCATCTGCCCGCGTATGTTCTCGTTCGAATCACGCCGCGTGCTGTTCGACGTGATTGCCGCCGGTCCTCTCAGGTTATTGTCACAGTTCCAGAACCGCCTGTGCGCAATAGTCGATTCGGGCAATGCGGGCAGCAAATATTACGAGGGGCATACTATGGATACCCTGGATGAGATCCTCCGTCAGCGGGTAGCTACGCTAAAGTCCATAAAAGCATCGTCACTTCACGATATCGAAGCCACACTGCAGTTGCCGAAGCTGAAGGCTTCGTGCTCCAGGTCCGACATTGTGCGAGACGCTGCTATCGTGATGGACCAGATGGCGCGCACGGTGTCGGAGCTCGACACAGTGCCGCGTATTGAGGTTGAGTTCCACGACGAGGTCGGTGTGGGCTCGGGCCCAACGCAGGAATTCTATACATTGGTCATCGAATCCATTGTGAAGGGTGACGCTCTGGGCTGCTGCCCCGTGGAAGAGCTGAACGGATTTGTGTATCCCACGGTTCACTATCCCACCGGCGATTGGATTGACGATTTTGACTTATCTGTGTTTAAACGAGCATCGAAGCTCACAGTGGCTATGGATTCGACGGATGACCGCGCCATGTTTGAGGACCCCATGGCGAACGATACCTACACAACCAGGGTTTTCCGTGTATTCAAGCTGCTTGGTCAGATGTGCGCATCCGCCCTGCTGGATCACAAGATGTTGGAGCTTCGCATGCACCCCTTGTTCTGGAAGCTCTGCCAGGACCCTTACGCTGCGAAGAATTGCTCTCTGTATGCGTTGAACGCCGTTGACCCCGTGTTGGCCCGTTCGTTGAAAAACCTGCTCTCGTGCGACGATGTGGCTGCTGCCGATCTGTACTTCACGTTCGAGGGCGTTCCTCTGGTTGAAGGCGGCGAGACGTTGCTTGTGACCAATGACAATGTGGTGGATTACGTCCGCGGGGTCATTCGAATGCGCCTATACGACGGAATTCGGCTGCCAGTGTGGTCGTTCCGGATGGGTTTCGCCACGGTGGCGCCGCTGGAGTCGCTGTCGCTGTTCACCCCCATGGAGTTGTCTATGGAGCTGTTCAGCACCAGCAAGCAGGACGTCTTCTGGACGCCTGAGCATCTGCAGATGCATATTGTCCCCGACCACGGCTACGACGTTTCGTCGCATGCTTACCAGTTGCTGATCATGGTGCTGTCGGAGTTTACGGAAGTGGAGCGCCGCCAGTTCCTGCGCTTCTGCACGGGCTCGCCCGTGCTCCCCAAGCAAGGTTTCGCCGGATTAAAGTAAGTTTCCGACTGCATAATTGCTTGATGTGCTGTAAAGTGTCTATATTTTACATTAAACCCGAAATATGGGTGTGAGTGTGATTCACTGCGATTGCGATGGTTTGGTGGTCACAGTTCTTCAGGCCCGTCATGCGAGTGGTAAAGAAGGGCGATAACGTCGACGAGCTTCCTAGCGTCATGACGTGCTCCAACTATCTCAAGCTTCCCAACTACGAGAATGTCGCGCAGTTGCGGACGAAGCTGCTCCAGGCCATTGGTGAGGGGCAGGGTTCATTCCACCTTTCTTGAACTGCTATACTGTGACATAAAGATCTTGCAAACTTCCGAGAGCTGTTTGAGGTACGCGGCATCCGCCTTCGAAGTACCCTTCGCCCGCAGATGCGGGTTCTTGATCCCCTCTAGCAAGTGTTTGAGTTTCCTGCTCTCGTCCACTGTCGTCGCGCGGTCGTCTATGACGTTCTGCACCAGTCTGGCCACCTTGGGCCCTGTACATAATAGTTTAATTCTAGGTAATGCTCACTTCCGGAGGCGCTTAGCGCGCCCTTGAAATAGCGGTCCAGCAGTGAGACCACTGTCTTGAAGTGGTTCTGGTTGGTTACGGCGTCGCGGAGCTCGTCGTAGAGCTCCGTTTCCAAGATTATGTGCTCCCTAAGTGTCTCCTCGTCGGCAGGGTAACTCCCCCACCCTACAGGGTGTGCGTCCAGCGTGAACAGAAAAACGAACCCCGCAGGGGTGTGGTTATGGCGCTCTCCACGTCGTCGACTTGAGTCTCGGTCTCCGTCTGCATCGACGCAGACATCGGGAAGGGCGGTACCCCGAGCATAGCGTGGCCCATCACCGATCTAAATGCCTCCATCTTCCGCACGTCCTCCTCTGCTAGGCATGTGTACGCCGGGAGTCCAACCTACCGTTTTGCGGGATCGGCATGATGAGCGGCGAAAATCCCGGCATCATGGCCATCGGCGAAGCGATCGGTACCGGCGGCACCATGGGAATCGGAGAGGCAGCGCCCATCCACATCTTAGGTGAGGCGAGGGCCGCCTCGGCAGCTGCTGCGTTGTCAGCGAGCATTGCGGGATCGCACGGCATCGCCCACGAGAACCCGGGGCGCCGTTTTACCATCTGGTCCATGTCAGACGCATCGTCAAGCCCTGACATGAGGTCCCTGCCGCGTGTGAGTGATGCCATTGTGGCCGACTGTTTTGGTGTGTATGCCGTATAAGACAGTATTTGCGGGGAATATTGGACAGCTGAATGCCGACAGGGCGTGGGTATTAGGGACAGGACAAATTTGGAAAAAATCGCCGAACCTTTTCCAGTGACGCAGCGGAAGGCGGGGCGCATCGCCTAGTTGGGCCCGCTTGCCACCGCCGCAGCACGGCGCAACTCGTCGCACCTTTCAATTAAGACAAAATAGAACTTGCATAGTCGTGACAAATGGAGCAGGAGATAGTTGGACAGAGCGCCGACTCAGGCGACAACGCGCCAGTAGACACGGCGCAGGCCGACACCGCTGCCGGCGATGCGAGGGCCCCGGCCGGTCGTTTGGGCTGGCGATCGCGCTGCAGAGAGATGCAGGGCGTGTCACGGCGCAGAAAGGCCGACAGGAATGGCGCTGCCGGTGACCAACCCAGGGAGCGAGTGGCCTACTCCGACGAGATAGCCAACAACCCCGAATTCGAACGATACTATCAAGACCAGCGCATCTGCCCACCTGAGGAGTGGGAAGATTTCATGGCCGCCTGCAGAAGGTCGATCCCGATATCGTTCAGGATAAACACATCTGCCCACCTCTGGCGGCACACGATCCGTAGGCTGGCAGCACTGAGTCACGCAAACGACGACATCTGCTTGTCAGTCGGGTTGTCATACACCCCTGACGTGCCAAAACTGGAGCCGGGAACATCGCTGTGTTACCAGCTCAAGCCGGACAAGTCGTCGCTGCGCAAGAATGACAAGGTCATAGAGTTCCGCCGGTGCCTGATTGACGAGGACAACCGCGGCGCGGTGATGCGCCAGGAACTTGTCAGCATGCTCCCGGTCATCTACCTGGATCCTCAGCCGCACGAGAATATCGTCGACCTTTGCGCTGCACCCGGGATGAAGTTCCTGCAAATTCTGGACACCGTGAACACCGCACTGCAGTACCGCGACGGGCAGCCACCGTGCTCCAATCGCGGCGTCATCATCGGCAACGATGTGTGCCAGCATCGGGTGTCCACTCTGAGTCATCACATGAAATCTGTCAGCTGCCCCTCTGCAGCGGTGACCAACTTTGATGGTGGGTAGACACAATAGGTCAAACATATCTTCGCAGCTTCGCGCTTCCCCTATTTGTTCAGTACAAGCGGTGAGAAGCTGCTGTTCGACCGGGTGCTTGCGGATGTGCCATGCAGCTGTGACGGCACGACCCGCAAGGCACCTGAGCTCTGGAGCTCGTGGAAACCGACCTCGGGGCTGCATATGCACCGGCTGCAATTGACGATCGTAAAGCGGGCGTTGCAGCTACTCAAGCCTGGCGGAGTCATGGTTTACTCGACGTGTTCACTGAATCCACTGGAGAACGAGGCCATTGCCAGCTACGTGGCATCGGAGGGACGCCGTGAACACGGCGTCGAGTTGTTGCCTCTGCAACCACTTCCTAATTTCAAAGTGTCACCAGGTCTGACCGAGTGGCTGGTGCCAAACCCTGACGGAGGATACTTCAAGTCGTACGAGGAGGTCCCAGCGCCACTGAGTCACCGGGTGTCTGCTAGCATGTTCAGGTCACCCGAGTGGGGAGAGGAGCAAGCTAGGTGTGTGATGCGCGTTTTGCCGCATCAAAACGATACCGGAGGCTTCTTCCTCTTCAAGGTGCGCAAAATGGGCAGCGCTATGCCAGCAGATCAGGGGGAGCGTCCACAGGAGATCAGGCCCATCAACGTCGCAATGCCGCAACCACGGCCGTCAGTCTCTCTCAAGCGCGGAGCGAAACTGCTCCACGATTATATTCGGTACTGCGATGTCTTTCCCGATATGTTCGACACCATCTGCCGCTTTTACGGCATCGAGGGGGATAATCGCAAGGCGTTTCGGCGTGTCCTGGTCACCAAGCGTCACTGCCAAAAAAATTGCTTCCTCGTTGGAGCTGTGGACTCAGCTGCCCTATTCCAGAGGCGGAAAAGCCAGAAATCGCAGCCGCGTGATGGCGCCAGCAGCACGCGCGCGGGATCGCCAATCGCCGACGGTGAACCACAGGATGTTCAGGAGGACAATGAGGACCAACCTGAGGAATCGGATGTCGTAAAAGACGAACATAAGCAACACCCAGACACCAAGAGTGAAGGTGTATCGGATTCGGTTGACAGTGCGGAAGATGCCGCTCAGGCTTCAACGAACTCGGATAACAAGTGCTGGGAACCGTGCCGATACGCCCAGCTGGGTACGCGCGTCCTCTCCAAGATGACGTCAAAAGCAACGTCGGACTCTCCATGTGAGATGCGGATATCGCAGGAGGGCAGTTTGGCCCTGCTACAGTTTATAAGCAGGCGTGTGGTGTTCGCGAATGCTGCCTTTTGCGCCGATTTCAAGGAAAGCATGCCGGTCCAGGAGCTGCTGAAGCACGAACAGCTCGGCAACATACAAGGCCTGGACTCCTGTCGACAGTCCGGAAAGCTGGAGAGTGGAGGGTGCGTTGTGATCGTTGTGCCCACTTGGGGCCGGTGCCGCATCCCGGCCAGTGGGGTTTCAGTTACGCTGGCTGACGGGATCGTCGTCAGTCACGACAACACGCTGCAGCCAGAGGTGCCAGACATGGACGCCCGACCCATCGCTGCGTCGGTTCCGGACATTATGGACGTCATTCCGGTATCGTGCATAATCTCCGACATGGGCACGCTGCTCGCGTATGCCTCGCCGCAGATCATTAAACTGCTGCAGTCAGTCACCACTTAAATAAACGAGAACCATTAATCTACAATGTCACTGGCGTGTTCCCGTATTTACATGTTCATGTACTGCGCTTCGCGCTTGAACTCTTCGACGTGCTTCTTGATGTCCTCGAAAATGGAGTACAGGCGGATCTTGTGCCCCGGGGGCCACTGCGCCTCCGAGTACGCCTCGATCTCGCCTAGTGAGTCCCTGTTGAGTGTGAGGATGGTGTCCAGGGTGTCGAATCCGGCGTTGGTGAAGTGGCAGGCCACATCGACAGGCAGGTGGAAGTAGTTGAAGAACTGCAGCACCTTCATGCGGTTGGCCTCGAGTTCAGGATCTGCGCACAATTGTATAGTTGTAACTCGATGCAGTTATAATGTAGCCACGTGAGTAGCGAATCCATGGAAGTAAGACGGTATTGTACAGACATTCACAGGCCAACAATATAAGCAACAATTCGGCTCGGCAAATACACCTGGGAATTCACTCCCACGGGAGCCACATGGCACCATTAACACATCGCTATACGCATGTACGCCCCTATTGATGTGAGATCTCAACGTTACACATAATGTATTGAAATGTCTTCGCTGCACATAGAGCACAGGAGACAGTTTCGCATTTCAAGCACATACACGCACCGAAATATAGACAATGATCATGCATAACCGATTACGCGAATCGTATAGACTCAAACAGCATTCGCACAGTGGATCGAAAAGGATGGCAAAGACAATATCACATATAGGAAAGGGGCCGTGTTAAGGCACACATTAGACATGCATCAATACACATCAACACATCCATTCCATATTATTGTAAGACAACACTTACCAGCTTTCCAGAGCTTCGAGAAGCCGTGCAGGTGGTCCGGGTAATGCTCACAGAGGAAGTCGACAATGAATTTGATGATGTTCTTTGGCTGCTCTTTGGCAACGGCCTGATGCCTTTCAGATTGGTACAATGCATGCTCACCTCGTTGATGTGTTCGAAGATTTCCTCAACAAGCTGGTTTTCCAGCGGCTCGGCATCGGGGCGCGCAGGCTGCGGCTTGCGCAGCTCCGATATAGCCTGGCGCACCAGGGAGTTCATGTCATCCTGAATCTCTAACATCTGGCACTCTACCATTTTTAACGATATTTACCGTGAAAGGCCACCTATGTCTGGTTACAGTGTAAGTCAGTGTGTGGGGAAGCGAATCCCGGTAATTTCGCATAGGAGCGGTTAACTAAGCATTATTCCCAGTTTTCGCGCATATCAGCTAACATGTGCACGTATGCAACCAGATGTGTGACCTCTGTCTGCTCCCGGGAGGCCGCCGTCAGCGCTTCGTCGCGGTACGCAGTGTACATCTCGTTACAGAGTCCCTGCGCCCAATTGCAGCCGCGAGTGGCAGCCGCATACACCTCGTGGTCCACTTGAAGGCGCTTAACGACCTCGACAATGGGACGCAGCGCGCCCCTCACTACTATACACGCGTAGCGCCACAGTAGAGCCTTCACTGGTAGCGGAATCGAACCTCCATCAGCAGCCTCCACAAACTCCCAAATATGTCGTATATGCTTCCCGAATGCGCTGTACAAGTCCGAAATCTCCTTGCACTGGCGCGTAGCTCCCCAGTGGCTGCTGTGCAGCGCCTGCAGGACACCCTCGGTAGGTATTTTCTTGTTGAGCAGCGAGAGCATGCATAACGGGTAGACGTAAGCGCGAAGCTCCGATACCACGTTAAACCGGCTCGTGTAGTGCGCATTGGAGACTTCGACGCAGCGTGCAAGGTTAATGTCGACCTTATGGTGCAGCAGCTCGAGCAGCGTGGCCATCGATTCCACCGCGTTCACACGACGCGCCAATATGGAAATCGAACTTGAGTTGTCACTTAACGAGTTGTCAACAGTCTCGATGTGTTGATGTTGCGATATGAAGGAGGCCAGCTTCGGCATGCTGCGCTGGTCCCGGGGGACGTCGCAGTTGCGGATGTTCTGCAGCAGCAGCCAGTCGAACGCCGACAACAGCCGCTGCAGGTGGATGTGCGCTCGCAGCGGTTGCAGAGCGAGCACCCTATGTAATTCCGGCAGCTGAGACCACAAAGTGAACGACGAAGCCGTGAACACACAACCGAAGTTTCTGTAGACAGCCGTTTGCTCCTCGTTCCGAACGGGAGTTTGGCCGGAATCTGCTCTCGAGTCGCTCATCGACGACATCGCTTCAACTGATGGTGATGAATACGATGAGTTTTTAGCTTCCACCGATGAGCCGCTGTGACGTCGGTCCGTATGCTGCGCCATGTGGCGCATTGCATGGCTTGCCGCTGTCGCCGTGGAACCGTTCACGGAGCTTTCCACAGGAGCGTACGCGCACTCCAACCGCTTCATATTGTCGCGTGCATGTGAATCTGCATTGCCTCTGCCCCCAGACGATGCATTACTGCGATGCTCGAAAATCCCACCTTTGAGGTTGACAGTTCCAAACGTGTTGTGCACCCCTATTTGTTGCTGCTGATGACGATTCGGTGTGCGGCCCTTGGTATCCTCATGACAACCAGTAGTGTTATGGTATGCATCCGCGGACGAAGAAGATGCTGCGGCGCTGCTAGCAACATTTCCGGAGCCACCCCTGCGATATGAATACCCGGAGGTAGGGGGGTGCGCAGTTAGCGAAGGCCAGGACACGATGTTCACACCCAGAAAAGCACTGCTTGGGGTCCAGCCGTTGTATGGGTTCATCCCGCATAGCCGGATGCCGGCGGTGTGCCGCAAAGACTGCCGAACACGTTTGGTGAACATGTAATGAAGCGCGAATACGTCAGACCTCTCGCCGGCATCGGTAGCAGGCGACATAAGCCGCTGTAAAGAATCTCCTGATACGCACATCTTGAGCTTTTCCATCGTGTCGTTGTAGAAGTGTTCCATGTACGGCGTCAGTATACGGTCGTGGATCGCATCCTCCAACGTCTCCAAATAACCCACTGCACCTCTGCTGCTACAGCTGAAATCGTCCTTAGGCACCGCCGCCAGGGCAGTTTGCCCATGGACGCGAAACACCTCACGTACACCGCCAAATTCATGCGATAGGGTGTCTGCCGTGGTGACCACATCATCCTCCACGGCACATGTCGACTCGGAGTTGTCAGACTCCTCGGCCGCACCCAACGAAGTCCCAGGCGGGGCAATGCATTCCAATTGCGCCGTCATGAAGAAGCGCAGAAGCAGCGCCACTTTCAAATAGTCGCTGCGGTCTTTCGCAGCTGCGATATTAACTTCATTGATGATGGCGACCAGCAGGCTGCAGGCGTAGGCAGGAAGAGAAGCGAAGTCACGCCTGATAAGCGCAAGTACGCGTTCGCGATAGTTTGCCACGCCCCTTTCATCTAGTTCTGCGATATGGGTGTAGATAGGCTCCAGTATGGCTGTGAAGGGCTTTGAGCTCAGACTGTCCTGCGCCGACTGGTGATGCAGCGATGCCACGGCGGATTCAAAGAATGTGGTGAACTCTCCAAGCACCTTGCACACCATTAGCAGGATCATGTTTGGCCCCAGCTTCCTAGCGCAGCGACCCAGGTAGGGTACGGAGCAACTGGGAACAGTTGTCCCTCCAGGGGACGTTAACCCATCTTCTTCCTCCCGATCTACCCACCGTTGAGGAGATCCTGTGTCGGAATTGAGATAACGTTGCATGGTGATCAGTGCGATACCGAACATCTGCCTGCGATAACCGGCCATTAAGCGGGTGGCTGCCGTCTCGGCGTTTAGGCCTAGCAAGTGGAACAGACGTACGTTCGAGTGGAAGTCCAGGCCCGATTCCAGCTTCAAGGCATAGTTCCTTGTCAAACTTTGCAAACGGCTGGTGAAGTATTCCGTGGAAGACCTTAACAACAAAAGCCCTGCAGTTGCAGGGTTGCTGGCTTGAAGTCTTCCGATTGTGTCCATGGCCACCGCCGCTGCAAGGATGCGGTGACGAATGGATACCCCGTGGCACCTCACGATGTCGCGGTACAGACCTATACCTCTCACCTGTAGTATCATTGCGTGGCACTGCCGAATCTTTGCCAAATGCGATGCTGCGCGGGATATTGAAGTCGCGTTGCGCAGGCTCGAGCTTGAGTAGGCGTCAAAGGATTCCCGTAGACGTGGCACGTAAGACTCGCATATCTGTCGCATCGCCTCAGCTTGCGTGGCACGTACACAGGCAGTCATCATGTCCCTGTGGCGTGACTGAGTAACCTCGGCCAGATGCTTGTCCAGGGCGACAGCTGCAGACGTTAGGGCATGGATCCGGTGCCGCAAGGCAGGCCAGGGATTCCCATCCGGGAGCCTATCGAGCTCCCTCGTGACCAGGAGAGCCTCTTGCGCTGCTCCTGACACGGTTTCTTGGTCTTTAGGCAATGGACTGAGGGCTTCATTTGGCTTGTCTATACCCAGATGTTGGCAGAGCGCTTCCACGGTACATTGGTCGGTGGCGCTGACGAATTCTAATACGACATCCCGTATCGCTCCATGTATATGCCCTGATTGCGGCTTTTCCAGCGGCAGAACGCCAGCGCCGGGATGATCGCCGAGGACGTCCATGGTCAGATCGGCCATCATCAGAGGAGCGTCGACACGAGACCGGCGCTCCCTGAGCTGCCTGCGCTCTACGAACTACACATACTAACACATCTGCGCAGGCGTTCAATACACACCAGATTTGCGTGTATTTGTAGCGGACGTTGCTACGGGGCCATCACAGACGGTGGATGATGTCGTGCTGTCCGCCCGTACACATCACTGGCTCCAACGGCACGGGAAAAACCGATACCATCGTCAACACAAAAACAAATCGCATACTAACCAAAATGGCAATTGCAAACTACAAGGATAATTTAATGAGACTCTGTCTCGACAGAGGCGCACTGATGTACGGCGAGTTCACCCTCAACAGCGGTCTCAAATCGGATGTCTTCTTCAACTCCGGCGTACTGAGCGACGCAGAATCGTTCTCTGCGCTTGTTGATGTGCTCGTTCAGCTGTTGATCGACGAGAAGCTCGACTTCGACGTCCTCATCGGGCTCCCTTACAAGGTATGTACAACGGTATTGAGCGATGCAGCCGCCCTGGGCGTCTCGGCGTAGCCGCATCTTCACTGATTGCGCTTGTACTGGCTTGTGTGAGTGCCTGAGTTATCTAAGGTAGCATCAGCTGCAATTGACATATGCAATGGCCAATGCATTTTGCCAGTTACAGCGCATGTCTTGGGGATCAAAGGCATCTGCTTATTTTTTGAGACATTATAAACACATGTACAGGGCATATCTATAGTCGCCGCCATGGCTGTCAAGTACTGGGAGCACACGGGGAAACGAGTCAGCTTCGGCTACCACCGGAAGGAGCCGAAGGACCACGGAGAAGGGTCGCTGTTTGTGGGCGCTCCTAGCGCCTTCGCCCCCGGGACCAAAGTCGTCGTCATTGACGACGTGTTGACCACCGGGAAGGCGCTGTTCAAGGGCATCGACCTCGTCCAGCCGTTGGGAGTCAACCTGGTCGGAGTGGTGGTCATACTCAACCGCGAACCCACACATGGAAGTAAGTAGAGCAGCTACATATTACACGATGTTCAGCGGTTGCACAAGCGCTCGCCAAACGCGGAATACCGGTGCTGTGCGAGGCGTTCACGCTCAACGAACTGCGATCGTACGCGCAGGAGCGCAGCTGAGCTTACCTCCCGTTTAGGAGACTGCACAGCCAGTTCACTTTTTCGCGGCACTCCGACACAGACGGATCGTTTTCCGTCTCCAGTTGCTCCAGACGCTCCATTATCTTGCTCACGAGCGTGGAGTTGACGAGGTACACCGACAGGTCGGAGCCAAACGCATTGACCAAGTCGCCGGCGAGAGCCACGGCCAGACGGTAATTGCACACCGAGAAGTACTGCTGCGGTGTTTCCACCACCAGCTGCACGAACTGCAGAATGCCACTTACATAACCACGCAAAGCGTCTAATTGGTTAGCACCCTTCTGCCCGTACAAAATGCCGGTGAACGACAACAGCGCGCCCTCGCGCAGGTCGGTGATGTACCATATCCATTCCTCGTTGTCCACTGGACCCATATCGAACGTGATGCTCGCGGCCTGCAGCAGCAGGTTCATCGACGGCTCCAGGAACGCGGAAAACGCGGGCCCGGAGACCATCGCAATGTCTCCGAGAGCAGTCACGATTGGCGGTTTCAGTTTCTGCGGCGTGTTGAAGTCAGCCAGCGTCCTCAACAGGATCGCCATTATCTGAGGAACGTAGGGCTGAATGCCGCTATCCATGACGCGGGCCACATCGCTGGTCAGCTCGACGCACGCCTTGCAGGAGTCGACCATATCGAGACGCTGCAGCCCCGTCAGCACAATATCCATGAGCTGCGGCAGATGGGGCTGGAACTCGGCGCTGCCCACACGGTTAATGAGCGCACTCACCGTGAGCAGGGCGTCCTCACTCAGATCGTCCTGCAGAATGACGCAGAGGCTTCGCCACAAATTCTGCGTGCTCGGCACGTACTCCACGCGCGTCAGCAGCACCTGTACCACACCGCAGATAGTCTCCTGCCGTGACCGCGCTTCGGGACTCTGATCGTCAGCTGACACTGACTGCGATAGCATCCGTTCGAAGTGTTCCAGCATGCCACCCAACTGCTGCCGGCAGCCGGGGCTCACATTGGAGATTAAGCTGCACAGACTGCTGTGGGCCGACGAGAACAGGTTTTTATCCATGGCGTCGTCCATGTTGGCCCTGCGAACCAGCGCGTCGCACACCTTAGGGAAGATGGCGTCGACCAGGTCATGGTTGCCGGAGGCGCGAACGGCGCCCTCGGCCAGCTCATGCAGGAACCAGCACACGTTAGCCGCGACGCGCGCCGGCTTGTACAGCGCCTGCATTATCTTCGACAAGTTGCTGTTTGAGTCATCCAGGTGTCCGAGGTATGGCAGGATCACCTGGCAGTGGAAGCTGGCGATACGGCCGATCGTCCACGCGGCCGTGTCCTGCACTGCGATAGATGGGTCGTTCAGGACGTCACAGAGTCGGTCGAACGAGTCGCGAACCAGCATCTGCAGCGTCTCTGCGTCTGGGCCCTCCATTATGTAACCATAAGCGAGCACTGCCGCCTCGCGGTGGTTCCACTGCTGGTGGTTGAAGTTGTCGTTGATGAACTGCAGCACCGACGGCACAATGTCGTTCTTCACCGTCTGCGAGCAGAGCGACAGGCAGACACCAGCAGCCATGGGCAGTGTCCAGGTGTCGCTGTCGAAATCTTCGTACTCGTGAAGCGTCATGGTATGTAAAATCTTGGGTAGCAGGTATGAGATCACCTGCTGTATGATGCGTTGGTTGGACTCCGGTTTTTCGTATTCGAGCTGGATTTCAGTTTCACAAATGGTGTTCCAGAACTCGAAGGCGGGAATAGCAATCTCGTCAACGCAAGTGTCAATGGCCTGCCACAACAGCGGCACGATGTACTGTAGACATGGGGCCATAATCTCGTAGTAATCGGTGATCAGCTGCACCAGGCAATCGTTTGCCGCTGCGCGCACATCTGGGCCGTTCCCGGGTGCGCTGTTGTAGCAAATCGCCTGCACAATGGCATCGCGCTCGCTCGGGATGGCCATGTTGCTGCCGATGAACGGCAGGATGTGCTGCATACAAATCATCACCGTTTTCCGGCTGCGATCGTCTGTCATGCACGCGCCCTTCACGATCGACGTCAGCAGCCGATCGCACTCGGATTTCGAAAGGAACGCAGCGCCATGGTTGTAGTATACCGAAGAGAGGTCCTCAATCAGGTATTGCACACATTTCAAAGAACTGCGACATGAGTTAACGTCGTTGGAGTCCATCATCCCGATGATTATGTCGAAGAACTCCGGCCATCCCTGCCGCCGCAGCTCCAGCTCGGCAATGCGTGAAATGACGTAACAAGCTGCCAGAACCGACTGGCTTTCCTCGCCGGATTTCATGACGTTGAGCAGCTGAACCTTGATGTAGCGCAGCGAGTCCTCGGGGACCTGCAGCAGGACGTTTGAGTTAGGGTCGCTGGATTTGGGGTCTCGCTCGAAGCAGTTCTTCAGCAGAACACCCGCCAACTGACGTATATCGCTGTTCACATGAGAGTTGGCGATAACGTCGCACAGGGCACGCACGAACTCCGGCAGCTGGTGCTGCCGCATCTCGCCCAGCTGACGCTGAGCCTCCGCGAACGTCGGCGCGCTCGGAGTCAGGCACGTAGCCAGGAGGTTCAGCAAGTTACTGTCCATCTTGGCGCCTGGATTTGCGATAAAGAAGGCGGCGCGCACGTGAGAGTGCCCGAGACGGTCAAAGCGGCCGCTCGGCCCTCACAGCCGGCAGCAAGAGGTGAAATGGGCAAGCGCCGCGGCTGTGAACACCTCCTCACGTAGATTAGGTCGAGGGCGCCGAAGCGCGCCACCTCACCGCCCGGAGCGACAACGAACGTCCTGACGAGCTGGTTGCGCGACTAGCTCCCTAGTAACTGTAAAGAGACGTCACGGACCGGCGCTTTGTAAAAACGACGACCGTCAGACCGCTTGCGCTGACATTGGCTTACCGGCGCGCGAGGTGTCTTGGTCACATGTGTAGGCCCGTTGCTGCAGCGGACGGGCATACCGCTGACACGTTAAAACTGCAAAGAGCACGTTAACCAACCGACGCTAAATGCGGCCATAAACCGTAGGGACGGCTGAAGACAGATCGTCATATACGCCCGGAACTGTGGGGGAGCGACGCTCATCATTTCATGGAATCTAGATCGCAACCGAGTTCATCGTCTCCAGCATGGGACACTGAAGCGGATGAACCGCCGATTGTGTGCACAAGTGTATCGCATAATGCGGAAACGGATGAAAGGGGCTATATCCACTACGACGGGAAAGGATGTGCGCCAAAACATGGTGAATGCCTGTTCGCTGATACGAAGCCTACTTAACTCCGTTCATTTCACACCTAGAAATAGACAGCGGCCCGCTTTAAGTGCGTGAGGGTTGTGGAAGGTATAGCTCTTGTGTGTACACGGAACTGCAGCCTACTGAGCCAATCAGCCGCTTTCGGGACTAGACAACAACATCCCAGGATGGCATTTTATTAATACAGGGGGAACCGGGAAGGATCCCTTCAAATCAGCTCTGCGATGCTCGGGACGTATCCAACACATAGTCATATGGTTCTAGTGCCTAGACGGTCGTAATACGGCGTCAGCACAGGCACAAAACACGTAGCACTAATACCCGCAACACACAACGGGCATCCAGCTGATGCCGCTTAAAAATCACGTCACACATAGACTGACCCCTCCCCACCGACCTGCGAGGCGGCGTGCCGGCAACACAACGACCCATCGCAAGGCCAATACTGCGCAAAATACCAACTCAGCGATGTCTACGGCACCGGGGTAGGTCTATTGAACTGCTGTTAAAATTGCCCAGGCTCGCGTTTGCCAACCTCACGCTCCTCCTCGACGTGCCGCAGTTGCCGGCGATTTTCGCCGCAAACTGCTACCACAACTACCGCACGTACGCCAGGGAGCTCAAGCTGGTGATAGACGGAGCGGAGGACCTCATATACCCGTTCAACAGAAGTGAGTCACGTGCCGATGGACCGTACATCCACTTGCAGTCAACGTCCAGGACAGATACACCAACAAGATGGGCAGGCCCAGGAAGTACAGTTCGGGTAAGTGCTAGAATAACGGTAGATATGTATCTTGCGACAGGACCTTGCCCGCTGGGAAAGCCGTATTAGGCACGATGCGAAAAAGCAAGGGCCATGACGACGGAGCAGCGTGGCCACTGGGGGCCTACTAAAAGACGCCCTGTAGCACTCCGACGGCTAATGGGCGCACCGCAGTAATGCAGACACACGACAACAATAACTGCTGAACATTTACGTCAATGTGATACAATATTATAAAATTAGGGCTTGGCGTCGCAAGACGCATAGCTACAGTCCCCCTCGAACGAGAGCATCATGTAGCGAACAGTGAGCTTTGTCACGGTGGCAAGCGCGCGCACGTCTTTGGCACTCGCAAACACATCGCGGAACACGTCCGACAGCGGGGAAAGCGAAATCTTCCCGTAACATGACTCCGAATCCGTATCCTCCACCCCCAAACGCATGCGTTCGAAGGCGGCTCGGAGGTCATCAAACCAACATGATTCCCACCTCATTGGGCTGGCAAGTGTCAACGCTTTGGAAGACTCGCAGCCAGAACACTCGTCAGTCGTGGACACGGACTCTAAGTCGGAAGACGACGAGAAAACAGAAGCCGACGTCTCGCCATCGCCCTCGCTTTTCCGAAGGCTCTTGGATGGCGGCGCAGGATCGACAGGGTGAAGCAACTTTTGCATGTTTTCGACGCTAAATAGAGAGCCCGCGTCGAGGAAAGACAACGTGTCCGGGGTGGGCATTGCCACCGCCGGACTCGAGTGCCAGCTTTCACCAGTCTTCAGGCGTATGAGCTCGTTTATCAGAGAAAACGTACCAGTTGGTGGAAGCGACTCCTCAGAATAGATATGATGCGGTTAAAAGCTTGCAGAGGATAACGGTAAAACACCACCCGAGTATCGCAGTCGCACGGGTAGTCCGCCCGGCAGTCTATGCACACCGTGCTGTTGATATGCAAACAAGTCAAACAACCTGCAACAAGTCAACAAAGGCTTTGTACACAACCACGTACTTCCAAACATAGGGCTGTCGCACACGTCGCAATCCCTCATCGATATGTTGGACAGCAACATGCACCCGCGCAGGAAGGTGTCGTCATCACTACTCGACAGCATCTCGATGGCTTCGACAAAAGACTTGGCATCAAATTCTACACCAAAGTGTAACAGGAAGGTTTAGCCCGCATCTTACCCTGTAGACATGCCTCGTTCATAAACTTCTGCACGTCGAAGGCGTCAGGGGAATCGAGATGCAGATACATCTGTACCTGGGGGTACGGGACGCAACTTCGCAGGGCGAATTCTGCGCACAATTATACATACATAACAATGAAAAACGTACCCTGGCATATCAACTCCGCAAGGGAATGGATCATGCGTGCTAGGTCCATGGCGCCGAAGTCACGGTAGTTGCAGACGCCGCTCATCACCAACGAGTAAAACGATATGCAGGTCTTCCTTCTGAACTTGTAGTCGATATAGGATTTGTAGCCAATCGGCAGCCAGCTCACAGGAGCGATGTTGCACGCCTCGTTGCCGTTGAAACCCGTATTAAACCCGCTGTGGTATGCCCTCGGCCAGACAAAAACAATCTCATTCTCTTGCTGTACGATGCGGTACACCGGGATCTCGTTTGCTATGAGGACGTCAGGCGGGACCTGGATACGCAGGCTGTAGAGGGCGAACTCCTCGCTTTCGTGGGCCGAATAGTTCTTCAGCAGCTTTTCCAAACGGCTAGTCTTGCGAGCAGGGACGACGTACCAAACCTGGTAAGCATAATCGCAAAATAAAGCGCAATACTAACCTTAGGTGCACCCCAGTGGTGGTAGTTCACGGCGCCGAAGTAGTTGTCTTCCGTGTGCCAACAAAACGAGGTCAGACACATTCCTAAACAAGATGTGGAAGATTAGCGATGATAACACTAACCTATATAAAACCACGGGCTGTTTACACCTGGAATGACTTGGTCACAATAACGCAGCAGAGAACCGGGGCACTTAGACAAGTTGCGCATGTTCCAGACGTCGGTCTCGGCGGCCGTACCGGTGACGTCGATCAGCGAATCTTCAAATTCTGGCGAATACACGTTCAGATCGGCGGCATATTTCACCACCAATTGGCCGCTTCCTTTCTTCACCAAGCCCCAGTACATAGCCTCGACTTCTTTTACAGTGGGATCCTCGCAACCGAACAGATCAAGTTTCAGGGCCAGGTCCTCAGCCTTCATTCTCTCACAATCCCAGTCGTAGTTGGGATGAGAAAACCCCTGGAACACACTTTATCAGGCCGCTATGAGCAAACTACCTTTCCGTTGCCCAGATTCTCAAGGCGCTGCTCACGAACCTTGAACTTCATACTGCCCGTATCCAGAGGACATGTACCACGCCACCCGGCGACGGGAATAATCTTTACCGCGCCGTATTTATCCCCTATAAGTCATATGATGGCTACACTGTTGGCAACGCACCCAAGTGGGAGTACTTGGTCCAAAGCGTGATGGGATTCTTAAACTCCTCGGCGGTCGCGTAGATTGTGGGCACTTCAACAAGCGACTGATATTCTGTGTGCGACCCATGAGTCTCCTAGCGCCGACATTAGTCTGTAAGGCTCCAAAACTTACAATTCTGCTCCGCTTTATGGCAGCCATCATGTCGCGGTCGGCGCGAGTCTCATGTACGACCTTGAAGAAGGAAGGTCGCCTAGTGACTCGAGTACTGCGGCGGCATACCTGAGGACTGTCTCCAGTGCCTTTAGCAGGGCTAGCCTTAGCCTTTTTCGGCCTGTACTCAGGTTCGGAGCTCGATTCTGACGCAGAAGATGTTGTACGTGAGAGCGCCTCTCCCGCGGACTCCATCTTAACCACCTCCCTCTGCAATGCGCACACCGGATTATGGCACATACAATTCAATGCCACGTATGAACCGCAGAGAGGTGCCGGCAAGGCCGAAGGCAAGCCTCCTGCACGGAAGATCGAAAGGTAATTTTGGATATTATACACCCGGATCTGACCATGAGTCAAACCATGTGTGGACGACAAGAGCTCTGGCAGACAATTTAGCTGCCAATAATGTCACTCAAATGCGCAACGAAATGCAGAGAAACAACTAGGGCAGCCCGACGTATCTCAAGTGGCGCCAAATCGGATCCACCCACTTCGGCGCAAATGCATCAAATTTGCAGCACTAGTAGAATTTTTAGGTCGCAAACATGGATACACCGCATGGAAGATAGTGTCAAGCAACTTCCATAACTAAATCGAAACGAAGGCCGACACACCGTCAACACACGCTGGCGGAACGGATGTCGAAAAGTTGGCCGAAGTGAACTTAACATGCGTCACTTCACGAATGCAGTCCACTAGAAGTGAATGAAGCCTTAACATTGTCAGTGCATACTGCTGGTAGACATGTTAACCTTCTAAAGTTCGTGAAGGATTCCACAAAAATGAAAAATTGAAGGACCAGTATCGAAAATATAATCGACACATAATAAATGCACGCATATTGCGCCGGATCCCAAATTTTAAGAGTGCCTTTCCCCTTACTGCAAAGGGGCCGCTTCAAGCAACTCCGGCAGCTGTTGGCGGCCTAGGCAGCAGGCTGCCGCGAAGATGATATGTGCGTCAGTCTAAAACGTTTTGCGAATGCAGAATGCGATCATATTGGAGTGCTAATCGTCGCGGAAGATTTCCTGGACGCGCGAAGCAAGGAGCGCTATGGCCAACGGGTATTATAGAGGCATGCTATGCGTGACCGCTGCAACACACAAAAGACGTGAGCAACCAGCAGCGCCACGTTGTGGAAAGGTTATTTTTCAAGACCAATGGTGTAAGTGCGGTATGTCACTTGTGCAGCCGAAAGGCTTTAGCACACAGCTGCTATGCCTATGTACGCGCGGGGTGCCGCTCTGGTGCGGGGGCGAAATTGTGACTTATACGCGGGGCGACCCGCTTGCCAACTTATATGCTCATAACCGGCTTACAAGCCGATTTTATGGCGTATTTAGAGGTGCACCTCTTTGGAGATTTTGCATGCCAGACATACAAATTGGGGTGATCCAGGGATACATGCTGCACCCAATGTTGACGCATAATCCGCCACAATACAACCCCTGAAATCCCGTCGACTAACCAAATGCTGGTAACAACGAACCACTACACGTACACAAACGGAACACATAAACCCGACTTAACAGTCGCGACACGTGGGTGACACTGGCAACCATTAGCAATCTGGATACGTTGTAGTTGACACGTTAAGTGACTGCGAAAGTGGAGCAGCGTTCCCCGCACGAGCACAAGCTGTCGGGCGGAGGGTTTTCCACCGCAGAGTGGAATATCAGAACGGGATCACACGGAACTCCGGTGGCCTTGCAGGCGACACACCAAAGCACAATAGCCACCAGCAGGCGACTTGGCCCAGATAAAGTCGCAGACGAGGAGCAGCCACCGAATAAAACACGCAACAGAAGGTTTAACGCACCCCATATAACTAAAAAAATCCGATTTTTGATTAACAAGGTCTTTTGCACTAAACACTAATATGGCTCGACTGTTTAAGGACGGTTTATCTAGCAGACCCTCACATGTTGGTGACGCCAGGCCCAGAAGGCACCCTGGAGTCCTCAACACCGTATGCGAGACTGGATATGGCCATCTTGACGTTGTGAACGGAGGCCTCATCCAGCTTAAGCAGGCCTGATATGTCGTGATGCAGAGAAACCATATTCGGTGTGAGCTCTTCGGCCTTAGGGGCCCCGAACTCCGAGCTGTCTGCGGTGGTGCAGGCTGACATCACACGTCTCTTGAACATGTCATCCAACCTGTCACCCTCCTTGCCGGGAACCCATGCAGCGACGCTGGCGTGGTCCTTCAGAGTACGCACGGGCGTGTGCACCTCAGGGGCGCAGTAGCTGTTTCCGTCATAACCATTTACCGCATTGACATCACAGCTGTCCAAAGTCGGCGTGGGCGCGGTTTCCTGGTTAAAGTCATCCGGCGTGACGGCAGAAACCAGTTCAGTGGGCCTGCCTCGAACAACTGGCGACTCCACATCCGTTACTGCCACCTGAAACGAGCGATCATGGTGCCCAGGGATCACGCGGGTACGATTCATCGCAGTGACGACGCCAGCAGGCAACGTTACCGGGGACATCACGCTTGTAGGAGTAGCCGCGGAGGTTGAGACGTCAGGTGTAATTTCCGTTACCATGGACTCGGGAACCATGCGCTTGAAACTGTCAGTAGGAGTGTTCAGGGGCTCCACCTGGGGGTGAAATCCACTTTCCCTATAAACGCTCCTGCGGTGCTCAATCGCCAACCTCCGTGCCTCGTAGAAACCATAACGACTGATCTTGTAAGCCTTCTTGCGGTTACGACCCTTCTCAGTCCACCAGGCGGTCCACGAATTGTCACTGCGGCAGTAGCACACACCGCGAACCTTCTCAACCTGTGACGCCATCTGGGCGTACTTGTCAGTTGCTAGCAGACCCGGCGGGCGCGAATTCAACATGACATGCGGCTGTGGTGGCGGGGTCTCGGCCATCCGAACACGGTCGTACTGGCAATTTACAGTGACGTCCTTCAATAATGTGGCAGCCCTAGGGTCGCTGTCAGGCGTAAAGGGCCTGTCGCCGTACGTGAAGGATCCTCTACGCCCGTAAACGAGAATATCCCGAGGAGTGATGATTGTGTTGGGGACAACTCTTCCGCCAGCATCCAAAAATGGGTTACTCTCACCCTCCATGATGCGTTCATCTCCTATGACGTCAACGTTCCCTAGATACACCAGACGGCGACCTGACGCCAGGTCGTCGGCATCAGCATACATATGGGTCAATTGCTCAGCTCTACTTGAAATGGAAGTGGGACGCGCCACAGCCAGGCTGTAGGCTGGTCGCTTATTGACAGCCACGGAAGCATGCTGCTCATATTCCGGATGCGCGTACGAGTGAGTCGAAACGTACGCCCTCTTGGCTGCTGGTGGCTCCCCTTCAAGAGCCGGAAAACGAGGAAGCATCATTGTACTACCCGATGAATCAGAAACATCATGATAGACGGCGCGGGTGTCAACCGAATGATCCGCAAACTGTGCTCGACGCTTGGGGGCACGAGTTGGAGGCATTGGCTCAGTGAACTGGGCCCCAACGTTCACATGTTCCGCAGACTCCACTTGTACCGGCGACCTGTGGAGACACTGCTGAGACACCTGGCACTGCAATGGAGCCAAGGCTTGGGATTGCGAATGTGACGAGTAAGTCTCGGAGTGAGCAACTTGAGAGCAATGTACCTCAGTCCCGCACACCGGTGAGGGGTGACGAGAGTGCGAATAGTACTGTTGAGACTGTCCTGCAGCGTCGTGAAAAACCACTGGCCGAGCTTCCAAAGAATCTTCGTACTCTTCACACTGATCCTGAACTTGGAGTTGCGACCTCATGTGCACTTGGACCGGGTGCTGGTCCTGGATTTGATATTCATATCCTACCGATGACCCGTGACCATGATGAGAGTTGCTGCGGACTCTGGACGCAGGATGGCAACTCAATGCTAGCGGGTATTGAGTTTGAAGAGCTCCCTGAGAGGGGTAGCAGGGAGACGCACCTGCAGGTACGACGGCAACATTATCAAACAAATCCTTCACGCTTCCGGCAGAACTTACGGAAGTATTTGGATGACTCTGCCATGTCTTTATGCATTTCAACAGATTTCCTACGCTCCCGTTGCTTTCCATGCTTGACACACCTACAGAATAAACTCCTCCGGAGGCGTGATGCGCAAAGGCCTCATGCCCGGAGACACCGTAATGCCCGTAAGACGAATTGTAATTACCAGAAGGATCGTACATAATCACTGGAATCCTATTCAATATGGTTTAACACGCCACTATATCCACGATTAGCGACCTTACAAATATCGACGGAATAATATCCAGGGAGAATCGGAGGCTCAGCCTATAAAAATTCCAAATATTAACAGCAAAACGCCTGATGTTCACGTGGTTCGGAGAATTGATGCGCAATTTCGAAGAAACCTTGAAAACAAAATGTTGCCGAAACGACGTAAATATCACGCTAGGTAGGCAGCCAACAGATGGTGATGAAACTCCTTCTACCTGAGTCGATACTGTACAAATGTACCTTCGGATAACTGTTTTAACTTGCAGTATCCGGGAAAAATAAATATAAAAATCTCAGTAATGCATCAGGCAATGGAGTCTATCTTCCATGCATTAGACATTATCTCCTCCTATCCTCAGATTCCTAAGACACCCACTAGCGCAAACTCGATGTCGACGATGCCGTGGAAGGATCCTATAGATGGAAGAGTAACACAAGAAGAGAACTCCCCCAAAATATTATAAAATCCAGTCGCCTTCGTCACAAAAAACGCGACCAACCAAAAAGTTATTGCGTCCTGGAGGAAATAACGCCTCTGAGGAATAAAACGCAAAAAAGACGGCGCAGGCGATGCTGAAACGTACGACACAAAATGCGTACAAATGGCACCGCGTAGATCAATCCACGTCAATTGATTTCACTGAAATCCTAATGCAGATCTAGCAAATAAAACAGCCAGATAACACCAGACCGAAGGAAGACGACGGATCAAACCGAGAGATCAACCGTCACGCCGAGATTCGTCGTATAAAAGATACAACACACTCGAGCGACCCGAAGTCAAACGCAAATTAATAACCCGTCGTCGCCACGTCTACGGGATGGTTAAAAGTTACCTAAAAATGCGTTATTAACTAAAACGTCACCTGAATTCCAGATCGCAGCTGCTCCGACGAATTACACAGAGGAAGCACACCGCAGAAATATACGGACGCGCGCTTCAACCGTGAAAAATACGCCACGAAGCAAGCAAGAATATTCTCGTCACTATAAATACACAACTAAACGTGACGAATCAAAAATTCATCACGAATTATATTTGTTGTCGTCGATTGCCCCAAATCCCACAGCGGCCGCATGTCAGTCATGCCACCGGCGTCGAGAGAAAGCGATTGATGAATCACCTGTTTTATGGCAAATTTTTTACTTACGTCTAACACACAGAGGTCCTTCGGAAGCGTCGGTGCCCACCAGTGTTAACGCGACATAACGACGCCGCACATTGACATGCCACCGTAACCTGCATTGGACTACATCAAGCAAATCGCAAGGGCATTACGAACAAAATGCTCCTCGTGCAGCTATGTTTTTGGTGGTTTTCAGCCAGCAAAAAGGCAATCGCGGAAGGTGCGGTATAAGGCACATTGCGCCGGACCATACTGTACGCACGATTGCTGCAACCATCATTACGAGCAAAACTGAGGGTGCAATGGCATTGTATAGCATTTTATGAGCATAATGCTATACTGCACGTTGCAGTTGGTCCGCAGATCGTCGGCCGACCACAGCAACAACGCATGAGGATTAGCATTAGAACAACCGATGTTACTCTAAAGTCTCAATTGCGCCATGAGGGGCACAATTTATCCAACAGCATTATATACGCCTCCTTCGCAGCGTCCTGGGTCATGCCTCGAACGCTGTCCCAGGCCTCCCACTTGTATTTCTGCTGCAGCTGAAGGAACCCGGGCTTGCTTATGTTGCAGTCGCCGACGGTTGCCTGCTTGAAGTACTTGTAGAAAGCTAATTTATCTCCGTCTGTGGCATTGAAACCCGTGCCGCTGGCCACGAATTTCACGGCGGCGTCGAATAGAACGTCCGACATCGTTACCAGTTCCCTTCCTTCTTAGACCAGGTGTAGGTTGATGATGAGTGCGTGTAAGATCACACGCCGTTATTAATAATGAGGCACACGACGCAAATGAAGGACGACGCAACGCGCAAAGGTGTATGGCCCCCCTATGTGGACTGCCGCTCTTGACAAAAATACACACGTTTACATGAGTCGAAAACGCTCCAGTAGGCGTAACGTCCACTTTACCTGATTTCCTTGTGTAAGGTGTGGCGTCGCAGGTACTTGTTGTATTTCATGAGCTCCAGGCGCTCCGGAGTGTTCGCCTTGTTCTTCGAAGTGTAATACCGCGACGGCTGCAAACCCAGCTTACGCGCCTCGGTACACTCTAGCGTAATCAACACCCGTGCGCTCTTGCGTCGCTTAGCGCAGAGCTCGAACCACGTCGCTGCACAACGGTCAGATACAATGATACACACAAGCACTGATACGAGCAGCCGTAGCGCGCCGTGAGTCACGCACACATAAAAGGGATCACCAAGACTTACACGGACAGTCGTGGACGGTGTACCGGGCGCCAGACGACGGCGGATGGAAACACGTCGCAGAGCTGATCGCGGCCAACAGGACGATGTAAATACAGGCGAACAGGTATCCCGAAACGCCCATAACATGGGATGAGCCTTGCCTAACGCGCTATACGCGAAATTAGACCAAACCACCTCCGCCAGAAAATTATATCAGCACAACGACCACCTAATGTGACCGCCTTTCGCGAGGCAGACACCCGCACATGGGCCCAAATGAGGCCTGTAGTGTTCCGCAATATTTATGGTCATCCTGTAGGGCGTTAGAATCCGCCAGAATTATAGGTCAATGCGCCGGAATGAGCCTGCCGTGAGAATGGCGGCAATGAAACTCGACCTAGTGTCACAAATTAACCTATACCGGCAGAGGAATCTGCGAAAACTAGCTGAGGGTAGCCTCCCCAAACAGGAAGACTCGGTCGCGAAAGCGATCTGCCGGCCTGTATCGGATGTGCTCGGCGCGGTGCTCAGGGCCGGCGTCTGCGCTCTGCACTGGGTAGGTCCGGAATCCAAGCCCAGCGAGCCCCGACCGGACCCTGAAGGGAGGAACACAACTCCCGATGAGATGAGCGCCTCGAAATTCGACGTAGACCGCGCTTTGAGGGCACTGAAAAAACTCAAGAACGGCAAGACTCAACTGTCGAGTGCGCAGCAACGAGCAACGTATTCGACACTGGTCTGGAGCAGAATGGGTAATTAGCACGAACACATTATTAACTCGTCGTAGAAGCGAGGCCGATGGCCGCCGCAGGCTATATAACCGCTCGTCGACACGGTTTTACTCCGCTTACCCAGTCTGCCGACGCTGCTTGCAGCGGTGCGTTATTATGCCGGCCGGAGGTACACTCGCAGCGCAGAGGATTCACGGGCGGCAGTAATGGTAGGAGTAAGACAACGTCCTTCAACTGATACGCGCAGGCAACCGCAGGATGAACCAAAACGCGGTGCCAGCTGACCGGTTCTCGAGGGTTGCTAACATCGCAGGTGTGATACGGCGTTGCACGAAATATTGTCTCCAGGGCTCATGTTGAATGTGGCTTCCACGACTGCGAAGCAGGCCGTGCAGCGCTACATGCAGGTGAGAGCCGTCCGGCAGTGATCACTTACGACGGTGCAGGGGGAGAGGGGCAACGTTATACAGCAGGCTATGGCAAGCGAAGAGAACGTAAAGCTGCTCGTCGATTGCCTCTGTAAAATGCGGGGTGGGTAAAAAAAATGGAAGCCTAACGTGGATTCAGGAACGGCGCTTAAGTTCGGACAGCTGCTCAGCTTGCAGTACGGCATACTGCCTGAGAGCATCAGGCGGGCCCTTGTCGATGTCAGACACAGAGCCGATGTCATGCCCGAAGAACAGGTGACGCAGGTGAGAAAAACAATGCTATGTTGCACGGTGCGCAGATACTCCGGAACGAGTTCGGCGACGGGTGGCAGGACAAGTTCGAAATGTTCGACCTGCACCCGATGGCCAGTGCGTCGCTGGGGCAGGTGAGGGCATACGTCGGTGCAGTCAATTGGTGCAGGTGCACAGCGCAATTATAAAGGACGGAAGGCGGGTTTGCGTCAAAGTGCAATTCCCCGGTGTCGCCGACTCAATCGACAGCGATGTCGCAAACCTCATCTTCATATGCACCAAGACGAACCTCATACCCAAAAACTTCTTTATCAAACAGTTTGCAAGGGAGCTTAAGGTCGAGCTCACAACGGAATGCGACTACGAAAATGAAGCCCGTTTCTACAAAATATTCAAGCAGCTGCAACTGGAGGGGTTTGCGGTTCCAGATGTGATTGATGAGCTGTCAACAAAAAGGATCATCACGACCGAGTTCGTACCCGGGGTAGGCGACTGGCATGAAATGTGACATAGTGGCAGGTTCCGGTAGAGGATTGCAAGCACCTTCCGCAGCACGTCAGAGACTCCATCGGAGATAGATTGTTACGCCTTTCGCTTTCCGAGCTGTTCATATTCGGCCTTATGAACACGGTATGACGCCAGTAAAGCAAGGCCATATTATTCAGGACCCCAACCCTAGCAACTACCTCTACGACGAAAAGACGGACCTCATCGGACTCATAGATTTCGGATCATGTGGGTCGCACAAGGTCGTAAATGTGTTCTGACAGCGTTACAGGCAGATCGTTTAACCCGGCATTTGTGGAAGAGTACTCCAAGCTGGTGCTCGCCTCAGTGGATGAGGTAAGCCGACCACGTGCACCACATTAGCACAAACACGCGCACAGGACACAGAGAAGATTGTATCGCTCTCCAGGTCGCTGGGGTTCCTTGGCAGCGAAGACACCGATGAGATGGTGCGACACCACGTGGAGTCAGTGCTCATCACCGGGAAGCCCTTCCGCCATGATGGAAGGTTCGACTTCAGAACGTACGATATCATACAACAGGTGGGGACGCTATACGTATTAACATATAGTCCAACAGTGCCGCGACAAGGCGTCAATCATACTCAAGATCAGGAAGCAGCCACCACCACCGGAGGTGTACTCCCTGCACAGAAAGTTGGCCGGATGCTACGTCATCTGCCAGCTTATCGGCGCACACGTGGACGCCAAGAACATATTCGCCACAATCGCACAGGCGCTTTAATAGTGATCAGTATTGCGCACTATACGTAGCAGCAGCACTGATACGTTGTCCTGGGCACGTTTGGTGTTCAGCGCGTGTTCCACCAAATCCTTGCATACCTTCTGCACGTTAACAAACGGCTGGTGAGGGTCGGCCTTGGCACGAGCCTCTTCCTACTCAATGTTGACGCAACGTAACAAAATCGGGACTCTCAAGTTGCCCGGAAAACACATTATACCCACCTGCCTAAGGAAGTGAAGGGCGTTGCGGCACGCCTCATGGGGATCGTAGACGCTCCAAAATCCGTCACACGCAACCAAGATGAACTCGTCAGCATTCACATCCAGCGAGGCCCGACGCAGCGAACCTGTGCACTTGATTCCGAAACGCTTCAAACTGCGCTTATGCTGAAAAGGCAAACACAATCGCAAACCTCAAGTCCCCGAAAGAACGCGTAACCTCGAGCAATCCGTTAACCCTTCCCCTTTCTACAGTTCCACCGTAGTGGAAAACTCGCTCCTTCTCCTTCTGTGACCAGGCCTTGTGGACCTCGTTCAGGGGAATGGCTGCACCGTATGCAGACTGGGAAGGCGGTTATTAAACTAACCGTGTACGACATTCTGTAACCTGCGGCAGATGTAGGCCGCTGAGTCGCCCAAATTCATCACGAACACGCGATTACGCCCGATGAAGACCAGGATCGCCGTGCATCCATCTGCAGGAGACTGAGTTGCGAAGGATGCGCATCACCGAGCATAGCCGAAAATGTAACGGCTATCCAGGCTATTGTGGAAAGCGCCACTTACCAGTGCAACCCTTCAATTCATTGGCGATCCTGCTGTCCAGCCGGGAGCAGGCAGCGTTGACGGACTACGAGTATATGACGCATGAACGAAAGAACACACCTTTTTCAACAACAATTCAGAGAATTTGGACCCACTGTCACCACTATTGCGTAATTGCTGGACCAACTGCAGCACGATCTCCTTAAACAGGTGCTCCTTGGCAAAGTCGACGCAGGTCCGGCCGCCGTGACCGTCGAACAAGCCGCAAACACTGCAGCGATATGCACACAAATATATTTGCCCAAAACCTACAGGAAATCATAACTAGCTGGAAGGTCCGGGCTCAGTTTGGTAAGCGACGCACAGACGACACACTCATCCTCCATGGATTTCCGCGTACCCTTCTCGCCGTAGTGGTCCACCAGGACATAACCGCCATCTAATGGCAAAAAATATGACGCAATAAATCACGCGTACCGATCACAGCTGCGACAGTGCTGGTTTGCTGAAGCCAGCTCAGCGCGGACTGGGTCATGGCCTTCTCCGACACGCCAAGCGCGCGGAGAAGCACGTTACTCATTGTTCAGCTTATACGATGATGGTGCGGGAATTTCGTGAAAGTGAATGGCACACACGACCATAATATGAGGAAGCATGTCCCCACCAAAACAGCACGCTCAGCAAGGGCCGTACCGCTCAATGTCCTCCTTGCAGCTCATAAAGTGCTCCAGGATGCCGAATATACGGTCGTTGCCCTTTCCTGTGATGTTGTCAGTGTCATATGGCAACAAATCGCCCACCGTTGCGCTTGAAAATGTTGTAGAGGTGGCGGATATCGCTCAACTCCAAGTCTATGCCCTTCTTCTGCACTACCACGCCTGCAGGAATGAATGCTGCAGGGGACAACGACGTACCTAATTGCTTCCACGCCTTGTCGTGATAAATGCGCAGTGCATCCAGGTTACATATCGCGCTGTACATCTGTGGCGCGTGCATCTGCACTGCACGCTTCTCCAGCCAGTGCGCGATCTGGTAGACGATTCGCGGATCCCGGATTCCTAAAGTACGAACGCTTGATAAAATAGCGCTAAGCATATTTGAGTTGAACGAGTGATCCAAGCGCAAATAGCGCGAAGCTTCGCACAGCTCGTCAACAACGGAGGGCTCGGAGATGCCGGCTAGACATAGACTCTCCCATAGGCTTGTTATGCCCTGCATGTGCGATGAAGCGGATTTAGACGCGTGCAATCATGGTTAATAAACGCGGCGCAATAATCGCGAAGCAACGACGAGGTCTAAACACGGCGCATGCGGAGGAGCGCCGAGCCTCGGTGACGTCACCCTTGGCAAGGGTACACATGGTTACACACCTGTGCGGTAAGGGAAAGTTTCCCGAGCCGAGATAGCTCCAGCAGTTGCTCCACGAGTTGCTGAACAGTGTCCCGGTCGCGAGGCACGAGCACTGCCAAGGCCTTCGCAGACATACACAGGTCGTGGGTCACATTGCTGTAGAACATGCCTGGACGCGATTTTAGCGGTAGCTGTATCAACACCTACGATCCTTATCCATGTATATGCGCGAAATCTCGTCCAGATCGCAGTCTGGGTCCCGCAGTGCCGATAGCAACGATTGCAGTGTGCCCAGCACGACTCCACGTAGCGCGCCTATTTCGTGCGGAACGCGCCTCTAAAAACAATATTCTCATTGCCCCGCATCACACCCACCTCAACCTTTGCAAAACTCCAGAGCAGGAGCGCAACATCGGTTAGAGAGCCCCGATCATCCCGATAAAAGTATGCCTCGGCTGACAGCGAATGCACGGGGCAGCAGAAACAACGCACCTATGCGATCGAACAGCTCCTGGAAGTAGACGTTGCTCTTTGCATAACTCCAGCCTATCAAACATAGCTGCTTGACACTCAAATCCTCGATGTTGCTTTTTAGGTGATCTTCGTAAATGCGCACCAGGGCGGGCGTGTATCCAATAACAGCAAATCTTGAACGTATTGTAATTATGCGCGGCATGGTAAACGCACCTATGCACTACCAGGTGTACAGCTCCTCCAAATATTTGCAGATTCGAGCACACGAAATCGCCGTACTCCCGGAGCAGCGGACTTGACAAGCTGAAGTTACGCAGCGAACGCATGTAAGACAGCGAAGCGATGATGTCGCGCTTGCCCAATGTTTCTAAGACAAACTGTTGCAGTAGACTGACTTGTCTCCTACCACGGTGGTCCAGGCAATAGTTCAGCAGGTCGTCGAAGTGGCTGAGGCGTTCCATGCAACGGGAGTGAGGTGTATCGGCTGTCCATCGCAGGATCTTGGCGCAGCGCAACTGCCGCAACAGCCAAAATGATGCACATTGTGGCCGTCTAGCGAGGGAACCGATGTCGCCGCGGATCAGCGCGATGTGTAGCATCCCAAAGCACGCAACGGTCGGCGTGCACGTCGGCACGATTCAAACACACGGGACTGCTAGCGCATCCTTCCAAAGTGTAGTCTGCATTAATGTGCAGTTAAACGTCGTTTCGCGCTTTCATGATGTAGAATCTACGTGCTGGAGGTCCAGGGAACCGCACAAGCGTTGCACATTGTAAGGGCGCGATGCGCTGAGCTTAGAGCACATCTAGATATATGGTACGGTATTTGCCCGTCGTAATTGCGACGTTGGTCGTTCTGGAGGCGGCAGTCGCCTTCAGGATTCCTGTAGACAGCAAAGCGAGTACGCTCGGAAGGCCGAATTGCCTCCGGGCGACACACGACGACACATTGCTGGACATAAATCATCAGAACGTCGAGAAGGTGCTCGATTTGGTACGACCTCAGCTTGCATCGGACGGCGGCGGGGTGTCGCTTGCCGGAATAGATGATCATGAGATCTCAATAAAGGTATGTTCCGCCGACCCGGCAACAAATAAGCAACGCAGTTCGATGGCGCCTGCAAAGCATGTCCGCATCGCATGGGGACCGTGAAGGGGGTCATAGAGGCGACACTGGCCAGGTTCATGCGCACTAAGGACGGGAAACAAATTACAGTCAAACTGGTTGAGAACTGAGCAGACAACGCAGCTACACCATTATCTTCTCAGGTGGCCACGATGTCATCTGCGGTCGCAGGTGCTTCATGTGCTTGATTCCGGTGTGGTCCTCGAACGAGAGAGGCTCGGGCTTCGACTCGTACGTTTCCCCAGGGAGCTCAGGGAACGCCGACAGGATACGCATCAGCTGCTCCTCCTTCTCTGCCAGCGAGAGACCGTCCCACTGGTTGCCGTGGATGACCGCTACGCTGTAGCCGCATTTCCGGAAGATGCGACGACGGAACGAGATCAGCCCCCCCTCGACGGGCTCGCCATTGGGGAGGCCCTTCAAGTAGTTGTACTCGAAGCACAGGCGACGGTTGGGGAACACGTGACCGGCGAATAGGCAGTGCTGTTCGTCGTCCTCACGGCCAACTGAGCAGTTGATCAGCCCTTCCGTTATGCCAAGGCCCTCGAGGACGGAGTCAACGTCCTTCTGCAGCTCCTCCGACCCCTGAATAAAATTAGATGCTGTATGTAACACTACCTAATGATACACGCAACTAAATGAGTATAAACGAACCTGAGGTTGCGCATGTACCAGGATATCGTTCAGCCACCGCACGTGCAGCGATTCCTGGAACTCGAACGGCACGCTGCTCTTAATGGCGGTCTCGTTCAACGGCCGCTCCACATCAGTGCAGTACAACGTCAAGTACAGAATGTACTGCGTCCAGCCACTGAGCGGCAGTGTCTCCAGTGTGAGGCTCTCACACGCGCGCTCCAGAAATAGCGGTAGTGCAGACGTGGAGTTGCTCGGCCTACGCGGTCACGTCAGCATCGGCTAGCGGGTGCGTTAACCTACCACTCATATCGATTCGTCATCACCAACGAATACGCAAGTAGTGCCCAATCGAATCCCTTGGCGTCCGAAGGGTCGCGGCGCAGCACCTCGTTGAACAGCACATCGACGATGTTGTTGCCGGAGTTGGCGCCGCCGCCGATCCTTGCGATACTTCCCACTGGGGTGTTGTGCAGACCCAGGTACACGCTGCAAAAGATCATGCAACCAAGGGTAGGCAGCCTCCAATTCTGCAACCATTGTGACTGATGAGCCGAAACTTACATCCAAGTTGCTTTCCACCAAACTTAGAATTTCTGAAATCAGCGGCCAACAACGGTAGTCTAGGGCTGTTAGAGCAAACAGCACTCGAGGAGCGTGACGCGGTTGGAGATAGCGCTTGCGCTCAAACAGATCGTATATCAGGTATTTAAACAGCGGCAGGCTGACCAACGACTGCCTGTCCTTGGGAGACCAGAACGAATTAAACGAAAAGGCGTTGCCCAACTGGCACAGGCATCGCACGAGCCACGAATAACACGGGTAGTCATCCACTGCGATGTAACTGCGATAAAGCCTGACAGGAGATGACATGGCATGAGCTGCGACCTACTTCAGAATAGAGCGCGGATTCGAGTAGTTGGCAGTGAGCCTCTCGAAGTACACCCGACGTAGATCATCGGGAGGAGTGCTGTCGAAGACCTTCAACCGGCGAAGGCTGCGAGGCTCAAAGCTTTCAAGGTACTCACGCGTCGCTATCTGGCCGGTCGCCACCGCAGACTGCAAAGCGCGGAAACTGCGGCTTAAACCAAGCATCGTGCGGAATCCACATCTTCAAAATCTCGAGCGCGAGAGGCGCATCCTAAATGTGCGCGGCAGATGACCACGCCGTGATCAGAGGCCGCAACATGCGCACATTTAACACACCCCGGACTCAAACAATTCTACATGTTATAGCCTAGCATTGTGTATACGTGAAACTGGTCGTGCTGTGCTGATACCGCCTTCCCTGGGCACCCAACGATGTGGACGTGACCAAGCACTGAACAAATTAGAGGTCATAGGGAATCACAATCAAACACATACCGCATCATATTAGTGCCTTCCTAGGGTAATATGTTGTATAAATGTGGCTGAATTTGATGTTTGACGTGGTCGGCAGCCACAGACTGATGTGACGGTGGCGCCGACATTAACAACGGAGTTGTATTAGAAGATGTCAAACATATGATTCCGTTGAGAACATAATGCCATTTTATTCACATATATGTCGAATTGGTGAGTCGTGGGAGTATATACAGTGTCGTAGACCAAAATCTACCGAAACGATGGTATCGTGGAGCGGATTATCATCAGATGTGTATGTAAAAACTGTCTAAAGAAGACTGCTGAACACACGTATTGTGACCATTATTAACACTGTAGACATGCGTATGATCTCAAATGTAATAGAAGGTCCGGATGAGCCGCCGATGATAAACGCCAGGATGCAACACTGCGTAGACTGTCAAACAACCGTCAGACAGAGGGTACTCCTTTGACACTCTTACCAATGTCAGACAATTATGATACATGCGTGAGATACAGGGTCGTAATAAATGGATAGGAGACCAGAAAGCAGCGTAACCGTTGCTTACAATGCCGACACAAAGAACGCTCTACTCGTAGAGCACATTCCGGTATAGACGGGGCAAAACGATAGCTTCCCTGCGTCTTTACCTACTAGTGAATGCGAATGTTGCTTCGATCGTACACAGCGTGGCTTAACAGTCAAATCGCTGCCGGCAGCACGGTGGCTAATACCAGACACACAACGCACATCATACGCGTCGTATATTGGCAATTATACAAACTGTCGACGCAATACCGTGGCAAACCGTACAATGAAATCCCATAACAGAAGAGACACTATGAACAGTATGAGTGGATTCTAGATACAGCGCGACACCGTCACAATCCCGCTTAGCACGTTGCACATGATACAACATATGTTGACGCCGGTGTGACACCTCGAATACATACACGCCGGGTAAAACCTTTTTACACAACATTACGCGGATGGAGATATGATAGTGGTGCCCGTTAAGAAGACTTCCACCAAGGTCAGGACGCACGTCGTATACACGTCACTCCCCAGCGGATCCGCGGCTGGCGCCAACACCGGACGTCGCGATTATATCGCACAGCAATCCGTCTAATCTCACCCCGAGATGGAGGCGGTTCACGGGTTCTTCCTGCCGCTCAGGCCACGGCAGCCGGAGGCCGGAGCGGAGGAACGGGCCAAGGTGGTCTGGATATCGCACAGGGACGCGCGGACGTCCGAACCGCCCATGTTACGTGACATATTCGTCAATGAAAGGGCATCGATGTCACACTGGGTCATGTTGGCACTGGCACTTCGCGATGCTGGGCGCATCGAGCAATTCGAGACAATCCTAACGGAGATGGAGCAGAAGCTGGACGCGGGGGACGAAGGTATGCTGCGCTTGCGCCGAAAACACATGAGTTCACAGACGCCGACGAAAAATGCAGAGGAAGCATATACGCCGCCCTAGCTCTGCACAACATCATCCGGGTTGAGCAAGTGCAGCAAGGCGACGAGGAGCACACCAAACGCGTAGATCTGACAAACCGCTATGTGACGTACTGCAAACGTAGGTTTAATGTTCGCATCCTGACATTTTGTAGAGCAACCACACTTCTCGTGGCGTATCGCCATGGGCCACTACCACATCAAGCGCTTTCTGCCCAAGCGACAGACCGACGAACTGATGCGCGCAAGGGAGCACTACGGTGCGGCAGTGGCCATGCGACCGCGCAGCATCGTTGCCGCCATATACCTCGCGAACACCTTCGCGATGGAAAACCAGCACCAAACCGCGGCGCTGTACTACACGAGAGCGCTGCTTCTCTGCAAACACATTGGGATCCTTATCACGTTGCGAAAAGAAGCTGCGCAAGAGGAAACGCCGGAGTATGAATGCGAGTTGAGGCAAATGGAGTTGCAAATAACGCACCTCGAGGCACTGGTGCTATTCGCACTCGCATCCTGCAAGTTCTACGAGGGTGACCTCAGCGCGGCGAGGTCGCTAGCGGAGAAGTCCTTGGACACTGAAGAAACGCCCGTGGCGTTGCGCCTTAAAGCGGCCATTTTAACGAGTTCCATTTTCGAGGTATCCACGGAGAGTGACGCCGAAGGCTCTGTGCCATCGGCGCCGAACTCAGGGAGGGAGTCCATGTTTTCTCTAATCCAGCAGTGGAACGAAGCTTCGTGTAAAGCGTACCTGCTAGATCCTTACAGTCCTCTGGGGCAGCTACATATGTGCGATTTGCTCTTCAGACAGAACCGGATAACGGAGTGTGAGGCCCGGCTGGAGGCGATCGCGGCCCGCAAACTGTCGACGGAACTGCAGGCAGAATTGGCGTACAAAGTAGCCAGATGCGCTCACGCAAGGGGTGACTGGCAGAAGGCAGTCACTGGGTACAACAACGTACTCTCCATTAGGGCGGAGTACCTCCCGGCTCGAATACAGCTTATCAAGGCCTCCATCGGCGCCAATGACCTCACGGCGGCCCGTGAGCACTGCGATTACCTGAACCAGTACAACAATAAGACTCCGGAGGTCTTGAGACTAAGCGCGCACGCATACATCGCATCGGCCGCTGAAATTCTGGAATCGTGCAGGTCCAAGCTGTTTCAAGCAGAAACTAACATTGAGGACATAGACCTCACATGCGCCATGACCAACGTGCAGCAGGATGTAAGCAGGCTGCTGGACGAGAGGCTCTTCAAGGCGCTGGGGATACTGGAGGAGGCGCTTGTAGCCGAGCCGAACGACCTGAGGACAATGGCATACCTCATATACTGCCTCGAAATGCTAGTAACGCGAGGGCGTGAGAGCTTGGGTCAAAGGCTGAGGGAAGTTTATCAACGGTACACGGAACTGCAAAGCAACGCAATGTCAAAAGAGATGCGCAACAACGACGCCGTCATGGCACTGAAGTTCAGGGACGTCGATGAAGCGGTGGATAAGTTCGAGGCACTGTGGGCAGAAATCGAGGACTCCGAAGACACTTCTATCGCAATCAAACTATCCGTGCAGTTCAATCTGGCCCTTGCACTGGAGGACTCGGGAGAGTATGCCAGAGCACACAAGATCTACTCTACGCTCACCAAGGAATATCCCAGGTACACGGCTGCCTGGCTCAGGAAGAGTGCCATGATGTTCAAAAGAGGCGATGTGGAACAGGCATACAGATACCTGGATCAACTGAATCAGCACCACGAACGAAGTCTGGACCCGTGGCTGTTCAAGGCGCACCACCTGTTCACCATAGGCCGCTTCGACGAGTGTATAGACAAACTGAGGAAACTCTTCAGGGCAAACACCGCGGCGAACTACGACGCTTACGCCAATACGCTTTTCGCCTGCGCGCTCATCAGGCGCTGCTCGAGGGGGGCATCCGGTTCGCTGCCGCCGGATGTGATCCACTACGCGAGGGCGGGGCTCAGAAGGCCGGGACTATGCAACTTCTACGCCGCAAACTGCATCGCGGTGTATCTTGCGCACGAGGGGCAGCTCAAAACGGCATACGAATGCTTCGGCATTCTCCTCGAGAGTCTCGCCACCAGCTCGCACATGAAATACGTTGCGAACAAGAACATGGGACTCTTCTGCGCTGCCACCGCGCTGGGCAACGAAAAGCGAACCGAGCGCGGGAATTTTGACAAGCTGAGGGGTGCGAAAGCGCAGCAGCACTTGCAGGCGGCGCTGACCTTGAACAAGTTGGACGTTAACACGCACCTGGTGTATGCACGTTTCACCTACGACGCCCAACGGTTGGAGGAATGTGTCCAATTCCTGGAAACGAGTCGCACCATATTCCCCGACGACATCAAAGTTTTGTACAACCTGGTAATCGCACTTGACGCCAAGCTATGCAAAAACATGAGGAACTCGGACAAGCTCGCATCAGCTACCGAAGTGGCCAAGATGCTCACGCAGGCAAACTTCGTCAAAGGCGCCTCAACGCACCTCATCAGTATACACGAGGAGTACCCGAAGATGTCGAAGACCCACTTGCAACAGATAGCGTCACGCGTCACAGACAAGCTCATACCGCACATGGAGAGCGCGCTACCGCAGCTGGAGGCCACTGCAACCGCCAAGCAACGCACCAAGGGCAAGCATCTGGAGTTGCAGCTGTCCATACAGCATGCGCACGAGGCCAAGCGCCTCGAAAAGGAACTGGAGAAACAGAAGGCTCGCGAGGCCGAGAGCGCATTATCGGAGCAGTTGCTCAAAGAAGCGTCCGAAATCGCGTCGGAACTCATGTATTCTAGGTCTACGCTCCCGCCTCAGGGCGGGGGTAATCGTTAGGGCGCCATACAGCACTGCTGAGATGCCCGTATTTTGTGAACTAATAGAAAGCGGACACAGCTCAATGCAGTTCGTCAAATTTTATTACGTGCACTATTCATACCATGTTGCATTGGATGTGGTACACCTATATGATGGTGTGGATTTGGCGTCGTGAGGGGCGATGCCGTCTAGTTGCAGGGTGGTGGTACTGTAGAGGTGACGGCAGTGGTGATGTCAACGCTACATGGCACACCACAGATATTGGTATCATTCGGCTTATCTAAATTAAATTATATGTGCATGTGTCTGCTGTCTTCGCCTACAGCTAAATTGCGAAGCGGGTGGCTGTTTCACCACAGGATGGAGCTGCACCGGACATGTATTACCAATGCGCCCCCCGGTTTGGCACTCAACGCGTTGCCAACCCGACTCTAATGCGCAGAGTGTTGTTGTCGATAGCTTCCTCCAGAGGGCAAAATGACTTCAGGGCCGCGAAATAAGGAGTTGACCTAAAGAAGAAGGGGCCCCTGGTGAAGTTGCCCACCGAAATGCTGAGGGGGCTGTCCAGAGTTGTCCAGTGCTCCTGCTGCAGGAACGACAATGCGATATGGCCCGGCTTGGACGACGGAAGGCCGTCTAGCCACAACCGTAGAAGGAAACCTCCGATGCCAGCAAACTTGAACCTGCTCGTACGCAGGGGAGGCGACCCAGTTTCGCGGCGCCGGAAGCGCAACTTCTCACGTACGCCACGAACGGTCCATTCCACGTGGTATTTTCCCACGAAAAAGTCGTCCACGTGCTCCAGCGCACCGTAAGAGTACAATTTCTTCTTCTTGTTTATAATGCGGCCATCACGGTCTATGCGAGGACCGGTGAGCACGTCGGTGTCAACGTCAAAAGCGTCTTCCTCGTCTACACCGTTCGCGAACGTGCGATAGCGGCGTATGCTTGCTGCAGGAGTGCGCCTATCCAGTGGAGCAATGGATTCCAGTGCCGTCGTTGAAGCGCGTGTCGAAAACGCTAGAGCAGGCCGTAAACAACCGACAGCGCAGCACAGGGCGACGGTAACGACGCTTGAGATGCGCATCAACCCGGGGGAATACGTCTAGACGCCATAGGTCGACGTCTGACGGTTCCTGCCGAGCAATCTCCACCGGCGTAAAAAATGTGTACCGGTGACCGCGGTCGCAACTGCGGCGGTTGCCTACGCAGTAGTGCTGCAGCGAATCTATCTGGCAGTGTATCTTTTTGTACAAGGAAACTGCATTGACAGAATCCGAAATGAAATAGATTTATGTAGACAACGCATCGGCGCGTGTGGATAGGCGCGACTTTTTAAAAGGCAAAGGCGGATACGTGACGAGTCGTTTACTTTGCCGAGCATAGGGGCTACCTGAAAATGGCGGACGAGCTTACGGGGAGCCTCAACGACCGAGCAACGGCGAACAACGCCTCGGAAGTATGCGCCAACCTGCTCACAAACATCAGACTGCTGCCGCATCCGATGTCTTGTTTCGCCCACATCGCATTCAAAATCGCCATTGTCATCGCGTGAGTTCACCCAAGGGGCTGACGGACGGTTGAACAGATACTTTATCATGCCGTACATCTTCGGCTCAATCACAGGCGCATACCCGGACTTCATCCTCACCTTCGAGCTCATAGGAGTCCTATCGCTACTGGACTTCTGGGTGGTGAAGAACTGCACATCCAGGTGTGTTGACAGAGTACAGACGCAAAGATGAGCAGCACCCTTGCCGGGATCTCCTGGTACTGCGACACCACGGTAGCCAACACCGACACATTCGTGCATAAGAGGGTCAAGGTAGGGAATCAAAGGAACCGTGAAACAAATGCAGGATGAAATGTTCCTTAACAAGGAGGAGTCGGCATTTTTCTGGGCAATCATGTATATCTGGCCCGCGCTGTGGGTGTTAAACATCGCAGCCCTGATAACAACGTTCGACATCCCATCGGTAAGCGTAAAAATGCGATCTGCGCAACGCGTGATGCAGTTGACCTTATCGGGCGTTATTGTAACTTTCGCAGTGGTAAACCTGGCGAACTGCGTCAAGTGCTCACAGGGTAAGTGGCTGTATGTGTCAGCACAACCGATTGCAGACAAACGCGAGAAAACTTCCAAACTCACTGACAAGCTGACCGGCAAATTCATGAGCTATATCATGACCTCGTACAGAGGGTCGCCGACGATGCCGAACTGATAGCATTAGCCCCGATACACTCACGGGACTAGCTCACAACGCCGGCAACTGCACGTAGAGTAAAACACAATTTAGTTCAATGAACGTGAAAACGATTAACGTATCAGTTCATACACCTCAATTCGGATATGTTGTGTCACTCACAAGAGCGACACCCGGTTCCATGGATAAATATGGAGGAGGTAAGGAGTTGCATTACTTGCCACCCTTGGAGGCATTCTTCTGGTCGCCAATGTTGATGGTAACGTGGCCGACGCAGGAGTGAAGGTCGTCAGCGCAGTGTTCCATGAAGCAGCTGACGCAGGCAGGGGTGTGGTCACCGCCAATGCACGCAGCCTTGCACTCCTTCATTACGCACTGTGCGGACTGAACAAAGCACGCCAGGCATCCAGCCGGAACGTCCGCGTAGCCGGCCTTAGCCAACGCTTTGATGAACTTGTTGGTAAGCACGCCCGTGTCCTTGGGGGAGGTCTTGGTAAGGTTGTTCATCATCAGCTTACGAAGCAGTCCAGCAACATCCTTGCCCCTCTTGAGCGAATCCTCCGTTACATTCTCGGCGCTGAAACCAAGGGCCTGCACGTCATCCTCAGTGCACGCGGCTTCGGCGCGAATCGCGGCAGAGAATGCCGCGACGGCGCAGAAAACGTAGGCCAAAATCCTGCGGCAAACCATCTTGGAAATTTTACAAGGTCCAACAGCCGAAAATATAGGGTGACAGGCGCCTTCGGCGACGCTGTGTTTGTGGGAACGGAATCCCCCCAATACTCGTAGAAAATCCCCTGGAGCGGGTCGTGCGGAGGTGCACTTAAAGAAAAGACATGCCAAATGTAGCCGTCAGCGCTGCTGACAATTGCGACGGTGCCGTCGATATACAAACTTTATACCGGACAATAGTCAAACGGTGTCGAGAGCTTATCGGCGCTGCGCAAGGCTTATACACACGCCAACGCGTGGACTTAATACAGATGAAGCACACTTAATTCGGTGGAACGTTATATGTAACCGCAATTATTCACTTGCCGTCTGTCAGCTGGCTTCTTTGACTCGTTAGAGTCGTACCTTAGAGCCGCCGCGGGTGCCGTCGGCTCGGCGGCCTTCCGTCGGAATTTCACAGCTAAACACGTTTTAGAAATATCACGATACTGGGCTCAGCGGTGGAAGAGCGGTTGCGATTTCCGGACTCATCGAACACAGGGGGGTCGCGGGCTCAACAAGCCAAACTCAGGCGGACAGACCTAGCAACTTTTCATTTTAAAAAAATGGACAGTGATACGGTAGCTAAAGAGTACAAGGAGGGCAGCGAAAATGCTGCAGTGAGAGAAGTTGTCGCCACTGATGCCGTCGCCGAGCCGGTCGACAAGGAATCTCTCCAAAAGTCTCCTGTACCGTCTCTAGAAGAGTCGGCCACCGAGAAAATTATTTCACAGTCCGTGGAACCAACGGTAGACGAAACAGTTACCGTGGAAGATACCGAACACTCCCCGGAACCTACAGTCGACGAACCAAGTAGTGAGTCTTCTCTCCAACAATCTCCAGCACGGGTGGTTGGCACGCCTCTGACTGTGGAGAGTATCCAACAAACCCCGGAACCGAAGGTGGAAGATCCAATTACTGAGGAGCCGCTCCAACAGTCACCAGTACCTGACGTTACCGAAGCGACTGGTGAGACGTCGCCCAAGCAATCACCAGCACCTACGGTAGACGAGCCTAATACGGAGAAAATTGCCAAACAATCTCCAGAACCGAAGGCCAACGAGCCTCTTACTGTGGAAAGTGTCCAACAACCATCGAAGCCCACAGTAGACGAGCCTGTTGTCTCGGAAAAGACCAAACAATCTCCAGAACCCACCGTAGTCGAGCCAACTAGTGAAAAAACTGTCCAGCAATCCCCTGTGCCTAAAGTAGAGGAACCGCTGACTGTGGAGAGTCTCAAACAGTCACCGGTGCCGAAAGTAGAAGAACCAGGCAGTGAGGAGCCGCCCCAGCGGTCACCGGAACTGACGATCCGCAAGACTATTACTGTGGCAAAACCTCCCCAATCCCCGGTACCGAAGGTCACTGAGCCGGAGGAAGAAGAACAGACTCCAAAACAGCTGCCACAGATGGCCACAGGTACGCTATGCAATAAAACTGACACACACCCTCAGCTGTGGAAGTCGAGCAGCAAAAGCCGAAACACCTTCACCTCGACGAGATACAGTTAGTTCAGCCGCCAGAATCAATATGACAATATTAGGGATGCCATCAAGGTCAACGGTGTCTGGGCAGAGGAGAAGGACCTAGAATGGACCGATCTCTTAAGCTCGCCAGCGCTGCTCCGAGGCGTACAGCACAAGGGCTTCATTAAACCTTCGCGCATCCAACAGATTGCGCTGCCGCTCATAGTGAACAGCCGGTACGGTATAAACGGACGACACCTTAACGCCACGCAGCACCAACCTTATAGCGCAGGCCAAAAACGGCTCAGGAAAAACTGCCACCTTCTCCCTCGCGCTGCTTTCTTGTGTAGATGAGAGTAAGCCAGCGATTCAGGTGCGTATACGCTTGCAAACACAACGGTCATATGCCGCAGGGGGTCTGTCTTTGTCCCACGAGGGAACTCGCTGTGCAAAACGTCCAAGTTTTGGCGCAGCTGGGGAAATTCACACGGATAAAGTTTTTCATCGGCGTGCCACAATGTGTCCCGTATGGCCGCGGTGAGGAGTACCACATTTACGTGGGAACCCCCGGCAAAACAATGGAATTCATTCGGAAACGCACCATCAATTTCCAGAGCACGCGGATGATAGTTATGGACGAGGCAGACGAGCTTATCAACCCAGATAACAACATGGGGCCGCAGGTTATGCAGATCAGGCTTTCTTTCAGGCATCCTGTGCAAATATTGCTCTTCTCAGCCACCTTTTCCGACGATGTGCAAAAGTTTGCAGAGCGCATGGCACCGGACGCCAACACGGTTCAGGTAGGCTTAAGGATGCTCGTATCTAATATAGCACGCAGGTGAAACGCCAGCAACTGACCCTGGATTGCATTCAGCAGCACTACATGGTGTGCGAGGACAACGATGACAAATTCACCAAACTTTGCGATTTGTATGCGAGTATGATCATCGGACAATCAGTCATTTTCGTGAATTCACGGAACACTGCTTTCGAACTCTCCCTCAGGATGCGCGAATACGGGTATGACGGCATGTTACAGAAATCGCATGATGTTCAGGCACGCCGTTTCGCTGCTCTGTGGCTCGATATCTCAGCACCCAGGGAGCAGTGCGATGGGGCCGGAAATCAGGGATCGCATAATGCGCGAGTTCAAAGATGGAGAGACGAAGGTGCTGATTTGCACGGACGTGCTCGCCCGTGGTATCGACGTACCGCAGGTCACGCTGGTTGTCAACTACGAGCTGCCTTTCTTGTACTCGGGATCAGTACGGTTCTCCAAGGAGAGGAAGATTGCTATGGTAGGCGAGGCTGTGGTCTACACATAATACTGTTACAGGAAACGTATCTGCACAGAATCGGAAGGACTGGTCGCTTTGGCGCCAAGGGAATGGCAATCAACCTGATCAATCCGAACGAAATGTACCTGATAGATTCCATCAAAGAGTACTACGAGTGCAACATTGAGCCTCTCGAGTGCGACCCGGAGTCGATTGAAGACTTGCTCCGCAACATACGGTCATAAGCGCCGGTTTTAAAACACAAATAATATATCATATCAATGCACCATAATATGAGCAATGCGATGTCTACAATTGTATAGGCTTATTGCCAACCTTCCGATCGTGCAGCAACGTCTGTTGCAGTCGGAGCGTCGCTGGAAGGTAAGATCGGACTCATCGCCAAACAACGCCCATACAGGTTCTCTCAACAGCCATTAGAAGGCCGCAAAGTTCGAGACATATTGCCACGGAGGCACAAAAACAGTCGCTCAATGACTTCGGATTGGACAACGACACAGACACATTCCTACCGGGCATAACAGTTGACCCTTTTTTCGTAAGCAACGATGACGATAGTAGCAATCATGGGTGCATATAGAAGGAACTTAATCTACCGAAGCGCTGTATAGGATGTGGAGCTCTATTCCAGTCAACCGATGCCAGCAAACCTGGCTATGTAGATGCCGATATACTTTCGGACTTCGGAGGTCGGTAAAGGGGATAAGAATAGCATTGCATGCAGCCCGTGGAGCTGCTAAGGTGCCTAGGGTGGGAGGCATTGAGGTGGAACGCGTGCCGGACGGAGTCCAAGTAGACAAGGTAGTAGATCACATCCCCATTGTATATCATGCAACAGTGCGATGACGGTCGATTTCAGCGCCTCAAACGGAGAGCAGTATGCCGTCGGTGCTACAGGCTGCAGGTGTGGTTTAAACGCAGTGTGGAACTAAAGATTCCCACAGTACTACAAGAGGGTGGACCTGCAGTGTGAGGTGGACAGCCACCGACAGCGCGCTGCGGACGTCTCCGAATCCAGAATTTCCACTGAGCGTTTGGTCACTGCAACACCTAGCAATGCTGGTGGTGTGCTGCAGATGCCGCAGGAGGCCGAGAAGCGCCGCACATCTGCAAGCGCACGCATCACGACGGCACCGGAAGTCATCAGCAACATGACACGACGTCTGAAGAGCGACGGAGTTGTATTGTACCTTGTGGATATCACTAATGTGGAGGCAACTGCGCTCCCGGAGCTTTACATCGCAATTCGGAACAAGGCAATGGGGGTACTGTCTTACTGCGTGCACCATTGCATGTTGTTCAACAGGTCATATGGATCGCAAACAAGGTTGACGTGCTTCCGCACAAAACAGACCTACCTGAGTGAGTAGAGTGTATTTGCAAGGCTCTAAAGTGGAGCAGGGTTAAACGCTGGCTGCGGTCGATGGTACGGCACATTGGGAACGCGAAGAACTCAGACGTCTTCATGGTCTCAAGCACCAAAGGTATGGATTAGGTAGACGCCATAATGTATTTCAGGTACTGGATTTGATGCACTTGAGAGGCGTCTCAAGGAGTTTATCAAAGTGGGCAACGCACGACCCATATACATCGTCGGGGCGGTCAACGTGGGAAAGTCCACTTTCGTTAACCGCTTCCTCAGTTACATCAGCTACGGGTAAGTTGAAGAACCGGAACACTAATGATATCCAGAGATGCTGGTACTCTGCAGATGAAGCGTGGAATTGGCGGTGCGACTAGGTCTGTCATACCAGGAACCACCCTGGAGTTCATCGAGTTCGGGCTGTTTGGTGGATTCAAACTAATTGACACTCCCGGCATACCTGCCGCGGCCACCGTCACTCAGCTGTTACGTAGGCCCATTGACATGGTAGCGATTGCGCTTAACAAGACGATGGACACGCCCACGTTGCGCCTCGACGCTGGACAGTCCCTGTTGGTGGGCGCTATAGCTCGCATAGACTTGGTAGAAGGCAGCGCCGCAAGTATCCGGTGCTACCTGGGTTCAGGGGTTACTTTGCACGTTTGCAGGTGGGTACACTGCATATTATAACTCAAGAGCACATTAGATCCGTGGCGGCTGCTGATGTCATGCGAAATAAAGCCGGTAACGTCATTTTCCCGCCGCACGCAAAAGAAGACTATGAACTATTGGGAACAACGAAGAAGTATAGGTCAGTAAATTGCCACGCTTTAGACTGAATGGCCGCAGGCTGACGATTAACTGCAACGGCGCAACACCCGTCGACGATATCGTGATACCGGGACTCGGATGGTTCTCTCCGACCGGAGTAGGACCAAAGGTTATAGAAATATATGCGCCAAACGGTCTGGATGTATTAAGGTAGGGTAAATGACGATACACATCGCAACAAACGGTGCAGAAGGCCCGCCATGATTAGACAGCAGCCCAAACGTGTGCAAAGGCCTTATGTTTTGCGACGGAGGTGGGTGAAAACTTGCTAGGGATAAAAAACGTAGGGGTAAACTGAAGAAACTGCTGAAGATGCGGCAGGAGATGGTCGACCAGAACGTTCACGGGAGCACACGACCAACAGGGGAAAGTGCAATGTAATACCATGATTCCTGCCTTCAAACTGCTCGCCGTATTCTTAAAACAGGTGTCGAAGCCTCTGGCATCGTACCTAAAGAAACGGGCCAGTCGTAACGACAGATTCCGCAGGCTATGCATATCGATCGGTAACCGGAGCTATGCCTTCGACAGATATATCACGAGGAGGTTCTACAACCCTGAACAAGGAGAACCTGATACAACTCCCTGGATATCACCTGAAAAATCGGTCGTCATAGGCACCGAGCTCTTCGGAGAAGTCATAGTTTTTTCAGTTGCGACGCTGTTAGTCATCTCCGAGTATGCCCGTGGAGTGCGCAAAGAGGCCAAAAAGGAGGCCAAACTCCAGGGGCGTCTATGTGCGCTAGAATCGCAGCATGCCGCAATTCCGCACCTTATCCGGGATGAGGTTAGCCGGCAATTGGCGCAGAAGTGGAACGAGCTGGAAAAACGCAGGGAAGAGACAACAGCACCTAATGCGGTCTAGATTCACTAATTTGTATGTATTTTCGGCAAAGCCGTATGTTATTAGTTCCGTGGTTCGTACCATTTCTATTTCAAATTGTACAGTGCGCTACGTAGCTGCCCATAGCATGGGTCGCTTCTTGTGTTTGTTGAGGCTTGCGCACCAAGTTGCATGTTAGCTGCGGATCCCCACAATGTCTGTAGGGTATGCGGACCTTGGCGCGTGTGACATTGGAGCAACGCACCGCCAAATTGCGTATCGAACTCGATTAAAGTCACGCCACGAACTGTCTCGCAGAATATTACGGCACTGATGTGACGGATTGAGTTAGTAACCACGAAGCTGGGTATAACTACATTTAATAAATTAGACACGTTTCTCGGCAGACCCAATGATGCCAACTCGCTTGGAATCTGGACTCAGATTCCGTTGTTTTAAACTGTTTTTACAGTTCACCTGCGATCCCAAATCAATAAAATGCCCAAAAACCAGAGAGGTCGTATAGTGTGACCAGCATTCGGAAACTCACGAATTTTTGCAACGCTTTGAAGACATCTGAACCACTTATTTTATCGCGGCATTCCGTCTCATTGTAACCCGCGGCTTTAAATACACGTGCGAAACTATTGTTCTTCTTTTTAAGCCGTAGTCGCACCAAGGGGTCGGTATTGCTGGCATGCTTCAAGGAACGCAAGCCTGTGTACAACATGGGCGCAATCCCCACGAAGACTACTGCACAAGCTTCCGGATCATTTGCGCATGATGCATCCCACGTAGCTTCTGAACTGTAAGCAGACTTATACTTGTCAGAGACTTTTATCTTTTCCAGGAACTTTTCGCAGCCACCAACAAGTTCACTCACTTTCTTCGCGATGTCTGTGGGTTTGACACGCCGAATCTTTACGACGTTGTGATGATCGCTCAGGTCGGCATTGTTGAAGAACTTTGCAAACCCACTGAGGTTTCTATTCATAGGCTTATTGAATCTCACGAGCAGCTCGCTTGCTGGCCACAGGTCCTTAACCTCCTCCTGCTCCATGAACTCCTTAGAAATCTTTTTAACATTCTCTAGAGCTGGCACTTGCATCTTGCCAACAGGCTTGTCTGCGAGGAATTTGTGGAGCGCGTCACCTAAAGCCTCCATGCTCTTTCCAGCATTCTTCCCCTTCAGGGCGATCAGCCAGTCAATGCCCTCTTTTAGGTTGTGAGGAGCCTCGGTCAGCGAAGTGTACACCATTTTGTGAAGAGGTGTTAGATAGGGCGATTGCTATGAACGTGTGGGTTTTTCGTAAATTTATAGGCCAGCTTTGCAAGCAGCTGCCGTAATGGCGGACAAAGAAAGGTGCCGCTGACTTAACACGTGCGAACCTACGGAAAAGTTCAGTCTGATATATCGTAAATAGTCGTATGATAAATTTACGATGACAATCAAGAAATCCTATCGCAGGCAGGTTCATACCACGAACGTGGCATGCAGTATGCACAACGCATGTCATTTCAGTATCCAAGTTTCATAAAGGAATGATAAGTATAGAGCCTTGAGACGTTATGATAATTTGCAGAGATGCGTCAATGTCTGAAATTTTACGATGGATCGCGACTAATATATTAGAGTCTACACCGCCTCGTGATTGTCGCCTCGATTTACCGGCAGAATACATAATCCATCATAAACACGCAACAACACATGCCCTAGCGACCCACTCAATGACCAGAATTCCATCCACCGTGCTAATATGCAACCCACTGCGTCGTGTAGGATGGCACTTCTCAGCTGTTGACACAGATATCCACCTGCTAAGTGTCATTGCACTGAGACTATGGGATGACATACGCCTGTCACGAGAAGCCCGCGCATCCGCGTGCCAAACACCAGGGCGTAAACGGCCATCGACATTACGTGACCAATAAAGGTTGCGTGAGATACGTGAGTGTTATTACACCTGGAATTACTCCATATTCGAGACCTCACATGACACCCTGGTGCCGGGCATGCTGCACGAACGCAACACATCCACATTGTAACAAATGACTAGGTGATTGCAATGATTAACGTGGTGCGTCAAGTTGACCCATAGGCTTGTCTAAATAGTCGACGACGTGGTAGAGTGAGATCTTCTTCCTCCCGTGAGCGAGAAGCACCTCGACGTCGATGAGGTGTGACACCTTGAGGCGCCTGACTAATTTTGTCGACTACGTTTTAGATGTCACTGGATTACCTAGTAAACGCATCGTCTTTCAACTGTCTGATGTCGTCATGAATCTTTATCAGGAACTCGAAAGTTTTGCGCTTACTTAGACATTTATAACCATCTGTGCCTAAACCAACAGCTTTCAAATCCCTCGATGTCAAAATGCCATCAGTATCTTTTTAGTCTTGCAACTTCCCTCTAAGCTCTTTAAGCCCCGTCTTAATTGCTGTCACGGCTCCCTGAATTTCATCAGGTTTTTTACCAAACGTCTGTTCTTGCAGCCTATTAATCTCATCATAAATTGCTTGGAGACGTTTTCCAGCTACATCACTCAACTTCTCTATTTCAAGCCCATTTTTCAGCTTCTTCAACAATTTCATGACACCTTTATGATCGTCATCACCGCCATCACGATCAACCAATTTCCTGATCTCTTCAAGCTGTTTTGTAATTTCGTCGAACGGGCCGGTGAAAGTATTGGTATTAATCTTATTTTGTCCGGCACCGCCATTTGGTTCGATGATTTTAAGCGCTGCCAGACCCACTGTCTTGATGTTCCCGATCGCCCCTGGAAGAAGGCCTTCGCTATCCTGGCCTTTTAAGCCATTTGGATCGGACACTTTTCCTGGCACAACGTGCTTAATATATTTCTCAAAAAGGACTGAAAGCGTCACTTTACCAGTTGGACCACCTGACTGATCATCCTGCCCAATGTGAGTATCAACTTCATCATTAAGCTGCTTTTGGAGACCGCGATCGGGATCTTTAATCGTAGTGAACTGACTGTTAAATATGGGCATCACTGTGTCTACTTTTATACCACTCTTGTCCATCTCGATTTGATCAGCCGCCTCCCCAATCGCCGTCTTGGCGGCTTCCCTGATCTGTGCTTCGGCTACATCGTTGAAATCTTTAACGGCGCCGGGAAGCTGTTCAACTTGAGTCTGAAGCTCTAGTTTGACGCTCTTAAAATCTTTTTCAAGGGTTGAAACCTTCTCCTTCACATCCTCCAACCTCTTGTCAACGGCTTTGGCGGGGCTCTCCTTTGGGTCGGTGGATTTATGTGTCGCCTCGTTAAGCGCTTTGTAAAGCCCATCAACCGTCGGCTTAATTTTATCCAAAATATCGCCAAACTTGCCGATGCCTAGGGAATTGAGTTCGTCAGCCACAGTCTTGACAGCGGTGCAGAGCGCAACGAGGGCGTGTTTAACGGCGGTGGTGAAATTATCGGTGTTGTTGGGTCTAAGGTGACTCTGAATACCTTGGATAACCCTAGTGGCAAGCGCACCATTTTTGTCCTTCGTCAGTTCGCCGTCGAGCGCGTCGACAAATTTATCGCAAGCCCCCTTGATAGCTTTCAAATTATCTGTGATGCCGTTGCCGTCAATCTTGTCTCTTGCCTTATCCATCTCCGTCTGAGCTGCATTAATTTGGGTTCCAATCTCATCCCTAATCTTATTCTTAACTTGAACTTTAAGATCGTCACCATTCCTCCCAACCCTGCCATTATTCAGCACAAGCCAAGAGTTCACGGCTTTGAACCCTGGCTTATGGTTCTTATCCCTTTCCGTCTTCCCATTCCCTATTATACCTTCCAGCCACCCCTCTACTCTAGCCTTAAAACTATGATTAGGCTTCCGATCGTCGACAAAATGCTCAGCAAGGTCCTTCACTTTCGCGACAATCCCATCGAGGCCCTTTTTCTGTCTTCCGTCACCCTTAATTGCCGCAACCTCCCCTTTAATCTTATTTAAAATGTTTTCAAATTTATCTTTGCCACTCGTTAAATCAAACTTCCCGCCAAGTGTCCCAATCGCCTTGTCAACTGCACTGACAGCAGAGTTCAGTGGACTTTGGATATGGTTATCAAAATTCTGTTGAAGCTTTCCAGTCTCCTGTTGAATTGGCTGAATCTTCTGGTTGAACGTACTTTTCGCCTCATCAAGATCATGCAAATGCGTACCAACAATACTACTACCGCCGGCCTTATCATTATCCACACCTGTAGCAAGCCCACTAATCCTCTGCTTCAACGCCCCCAAATCACTCTTCACTTTCTGATCCAAACTCAAAACTCCCAATATCTCAATGACTTCTTTGATCCCTGCTTGAATCGCTGTCTTCACACCCTTCAAATCCATCTTGAGATCTGTGTCAATGAACACAACACCCTGCTTAACCTTGCCCATCTAGCCTGCCTAAGAGTAATCTACTGCCTACCGCCTACTCTACCCGATGCGCTGAGATGTTCGTCACCCATCCCTCACCTGCGACGCCTTTATCAAGCACGCTCTCAGCAACGCCCGAGACAATATCAACTCACTGTTTTGCAAGGAAATTACTGAGTTCCACGACATTTTGAAGGCTTGGTTGGTAACCTCTTAACTCAGCATGAGCAAGTTAGTAAGACGCCGGCAGGCTACGTTGTGGAGTTGCATAAGTGGATCAGGGAGGCTGAGGACATTGTTGCAATACCCATGAAGTTGGTTAAGGAAACATACGGATAACCTTATGAAACAGGAAGAGTTATCATAATCTTGGCATCGCAATTAAAACGTTGCAAGCCTCTTGGCAGTATCTTGGTAACCTGGAAGCAGTGTCTTCACCTCAGAGGTTTTATCACCTTAGTCTCTCCTATTTAAGCATTTAAACGCTTTCACATGTACTTTTGTACCAGTAGCTTAGTGCCCATCTATTAGTGTCTTAGTGCTTAGTGCCTTTGTAAGCAAGATGGTGGCTCACGGTATTCCGCTCAACACTCTTAAGGACTGTCTCATGTTCCTGGAGTGGTTGCATAACGGGAATGGGAGGCAGAGGCTTGAAGAGGTGTGCCGGAATTTATATAGTCGTATTAATAACTATTTCACTCCCACATTTCTTCCAGAACACAACGTTAAAGAGGGGTTGCGCCCATTCCTCAGCGCCGTGTCAAAGTTTTATGGGAGATTGTGCTACGACCCAAAGCCCGGCACTTATAACAGTGTAAAGGAAAAACAAATCGCCGATGCCCTTCTCGAATGTATCCCCAAGTTCCTCGCAGCGATATACTATTTGGAGTACTGCGTAAATCCGACATTCAAAACGCTGGGTGGAGGGTGGTGGGAAAAGAACTGGACTGGGTGGGAAGAGGATCGGCCGTATTTTTGGACGTACCCAAAGTATGGCGGTGACCTGCAGAAATATCTCAGAGCGCAAATAGGCGGCGAGTACGGAGGCCTCATACCCGGGGGCTTCGGTGAAAACGAGGTGAAATATAACCCAAATGTGTTGCACCGTGGCTACCCTCAGGGTGCTCAAATGGCTCCGGACCTTGCAAACATTTTAAGCAAAGGAAATTATAATTTCTTCCGCAGCGTGTTTGTCACTTCCGTCATTGGCAATTCGGCCAGTCGTAAAGAGAACACGGCAAACACTCTTGCATTGGTGAGAACCTTTTGCGATATTGTTGGAGGAGAGTCACGTGATGAAGGCGGCACATTAAAAAAGAAATTGGAAGAAGGCCATGGATTAATAAAAATCCCAAGATCCATATGCTGGCAAGATTTAAAAACCCACTGCGCTGAGCTTAGAAAGAAACTCGGCAAGCTTTTCAACGACGATAAACGCTTCGACTTCACGGGCCAGTCGACGGCAATTAAAGACCTTCAGCAAGAGGAGCTGGCGAAGGAAACTGCGAAATGGTTGAGAGAGAATGTGACCAAGGTGCGGGGGCATTTAAATAAAATAAAGGAATACACTACCGGCGATTTTGGAGATTATTACACTAAAAATCTCTTTCCCTACGGATTCACATTTCGAGACCGTTTCAAAATACAGCCAAGCGATGTGCCGAATTTGGCAAAGGATTTGTCCGGTGTAATAAATGCGCTTCGCGAAGGGACTAATGGCGATTTAGATAGGCTTGTGGAGATTTTGAATGGAACTTATCAAGGAGTATGCAAGGTCCCAGAGCCTCCGCCTGCCAAGGTCCCCGAAGCCCCTCCACCAGGAACTGAAGGAAGTCCCAACCAAGGCAAGAAAAGTGAGGGAGCGCAGAACCAGGGCAAGAAAGTGGAGGGACCTCCACATCAAAATAATGGTCAAAGTGGAGATACGTCTCCACCTTCATCAGGTGGAAAGTCTGTTGTTCCAGCTTCGAGTCCCGGTAAGGATGGAGCTCCAGGGAAGCCAGGGCCTACTGGTTCCGCAGCTCCGTCGTCTTCTTCGACTCCAGGTTCATCAAGCAAACAAGCTGTTGTAACTTCACCTCAAGACTCTGTGGCATCGCCAGTTCCTCCCCCTCCGCCAGCTACCCCCAGTCCTGCTGGACCACCTGGAACTCCCGGTAAGTCAGGTGCCACGGGTCAGGATTTACCGACCGGTGATGCTCCAAGTCAAAAGCCTGATGCCGCTCAAGGCCCTGTGCTTACTCTGCCTACGAGTGTTTCCACTTCAAGCTCCGCACCGCCTGGTGGTGGAGGGGCTGTGCAAGGCGCCGACGTAGGCGGTGGTCAAAATGGTAGTCAACCAGGTACTCAACTAGTTACTCAACCAACAAGTAAAGACACCGATCAGAATCCAAGCAGCGTCACTACTACGGCGGTTGCCACGGCGTCTGGTGGAGGTGGGAGCGGATGAGCATGTTACATTGCGCTGTGTTAATCCCGTCCTTTTAACTAATGCGCTGTCACCATGTAATTCATGAAAGCGTCCAAAGGACATCTCCCTATGCAGGATTTTAAAACATTAAATAACACGCTGTTACCTTCGAATCCTGCGGTACTGCCTAAAACGGTGCGATAAGTGCGATTATGAAAATGCCGGAGGCGATTATAGAATGCGATACAATGCCTTCACTAGCGGAAGAAACAATCGCGGACCTTGTGGAACGGTCGAATGCGTTTGATGATCATGACGCTTACGACTACCATGATGATTGCGATGAAAATGACGGAAGTTATGACGCCGGTAGTAGGGAGTGCACTTTCACGTGGACAACAGCCACATGAACAATATGGTTTACATACTTTTGGACAATTCGCAGGGTCACATTGTATAAGACGCATGTCGCCAGCACCGTAATCAGACGTGCATTTGGTGCAACCGTCACCCTCACCCTCACCCGTACATACTTCACAACACAAGATACAACATATACACTTTTTATTACAATCAGATTGTGTTGCACATTTACACCCCTCTTCCGACATCTTCCCGCATCTTCCTTGTCAACCTGCACAGGCATGTAGCGCGTACCTTGAGCCCCGAACAGGACTACCACCAAGCCGCCTACTCTCACCGTTCCATGACCGACAAGCAAATGCCACCCATCCCACCGCCAGGGATACCATGAGATTGCCAACCCACCCCACACTTCGCTGAGCAAATGTCTCGAATATTGTAAAGGTGACCGTGGGGTAATGCATCGTATTAGTTATCTTTGGTATAATAGAACGTGATGATGAGAGTGCTGCTATATCCTTGAATGCGCTACAGTCTACTCAGCACCCACCTTGTAGGAACATTGTCATTCACTTAATAACACCTCTCGTTTCAGTTGACTACCTAAAGCTCTCAATTGACAGACAGAATCACATATCTAATACTGATTTCCTGTTTATTCATGATTTTGACATAGGATAAGGCATTCCGACGTTACGTCTCACAACGCATTCCTAACAGGATCGGACTCCTCATTGAATTGCCTCGTGTATAAGCTTGTTCACCCACATCAGTAACTTACTTTATTTCTATAATTCTCATCTCCCTGCTGACACCCGAATCACAATATAAAGTACACCCCGACTTTCCCTCACCCGTCCCATCAAGCTGCAAGCCATGTGGCGGAGCCCGGCAACACCCCTAGAACTGCGCCCCTAAAATGCCAATACGGTTCATTGTATAATTGCGCAGCAGATACCGTAGTTATCTATGAACATATGATGAACACGTAAAGCCACTTCTGCATCCACTTCCACTGGTGGCCTAACACGTCCAGTCACGGACACAGTGGTTGCTTACCTCCATTACTGGATTGAGTGGATAGTAGTGTAAGATGCCAGGTGATATTCATTGTCACGTATTAAGGACATTGACCATCTTTCAACTGGTGAGCAAGTATTCAAACTGCCACATCACAAGGTTCTTATTCCGGTGGTAATAAAGACGGAGCGAAGATTTGATGAGACGTCATTACATTTGACGTTAGGAACCGGATAGATCGTCATTCACACAGCTGCTACAACGTTATGCGAGACTAACAAATTATCAATCGCAGTCACCGTGTGCTGACCGAAACCCATGCTGCTACGTGAATACACAAATTAACGGAAACAGGGAAACATGTAAAGTAATTTCCACAAACGGCTGATGAGTTACCGAATCTCAGCTATTCACTACTTGGCGTAGTATTTCTCGATCTGGATGGTTGAGAGAACGATACCCCTGACGGTGACACATCGGCACTCCAACGGAGGCGTTTGGCGCAGGGTCTCCCCAGGTCCTACCAGAGAACCATCAAAACTCAGAATTACAAAGTGGTTGGATTGAGATGCTACCAACGACTGGCTTAGGTCACGAGTGTTCTTCACTATACCGTCCACGTAAACTTGGCTGAAGCAGTTGGGTGGGTCCAGGAGATACGGTGCTGGGCAGTAAAACGCCGCTTCCTTAGCAGCTTGGAGGTCTATCTTGCAGCCGAACTGAGGCTGCCCGTAAGCGCCATAGAGTTGGGGTGTTTCCGGCTTGAATAGGTCAGTGGACTCATATGTAACTCCGCAGCCTTGCATGTACGGGTCCGTAGTCTCGACGGCAACATTGACAACATGCCACGTATATTGTTCCGGCAATCCTATGATATGGGGAATGTCCTGCACGAATGCATTCGACGATTGGACGTTATCGGTGACGATTGACAAATCCGATGGTTCGGGCGTCTTACCGCAGACAAATGTAATAGGCACATATTTCTTGTGGTTCAGGTCCTTTGATACCAATATGCTGCGTCTGTTATATTTAATCTTTAATGTTTCATATCCATGGTTTGCAGTGCTAATGTCGTAGACGACTCGAAAACCATCCGAAGTAGTAGCTATTGAATCTTTGTATCTCTTGCGAACAAGCTCAGGCCCATTTGGCTTATAGTTGGCGGTATAATAAAATTCTTCAGGTTGATCGGGTAGCCATTTCAGCACCTTCCTGATCGGATTAGCATGAATGTCAACGTGTTCGTCAAACAGTCCCAAGACATCCACACCGACTTCACAATACAGCATCAACGTTGTTCCTGCCTGTATTGTAATGGTATTCTGTTGTACATGGTGTAACATAAGAGATTTAGGTAATGTATGCTCTTCGCTTGATAATCTAGCTTCATGCCAAGGAATCAATAAGTGAGGACGCAGAGTGTGTGATGCCAGTTCGCGACGTACTGCGTAGCGATGCGTTTCTTGATGGTTGCACTCTATAATCAACTTAGACCGTTCGTATCCACGTTGATCGACACAAATGCAAGCATAACTGGCGGGGTTGTTGTGGAGTTTAAAGCCTAAGACTTGAAATCCTGGAATAGGGTTTACTGTCGCATGACGCACAGACGCAGGAAATGGAATAATCCTGTTTGAGTATAGATCGTACGCTGCAAACTCACAATCGCCTGGCAAAAGCGTTTCATCTGGGGTACAGTGAATACCGGCCCATGAGATATTCCAGGTTTTATTGTAAGAACATTCGTATACATCCCCAATACCGTTAGCCACAGACTTCATAGAACAATAACGTCTGCTGATGTCCTGATCAAACGATCCTTGTGACCTCCGGTCGCAACCAATTATGCCGTACTCATGGGTAAACGCGAAAGATATATTTACAATGACGTATATCGTACTTGGAACATTCTCGTTCGTAGATGTCAATGTCAAATGATAACGGAACGAGTTTAAGCCGCTTCGTAAAGCGAGAGGTTTGCCCACATTGTATTGCAGTTTTATTTCGCCACGGTACATTTGGGAAATATCCAGCTCAAGAGCATCACCAGCTAGGACTTCGTGGTATGATATCTCGTGGTAAATAGCAACATAAGGTACACTTAGCTGATTTAGTGTCGTCATGTCCTTCGGCAGGAATTCAGTCTCGTATTCATAAGCAGGCGGCAGTTGGGAAAATGCGACAGTCGACAAATCCTCGTCGACATCCATATCTACATCTTTGTCGGCATAGTCGGAAGTCATGCCAGTAGAAGCCGAGTTTATCTGCTGTGTTGGCAATTTTATTGTCAATGTGCTGCCTGGATGAAGAACCACCGAACACCAAGGACTACGTATGGTGTTCAAATGATTGTGGTCAATCATGCTTGCAATGTCGCAAACGTACTCGTTTTTCGAACGGATCTCTATCTTCGCCTTCACCTGACCTGTTTCGGAATCCATGCATATGCACTCTCCGTAGAATGGTGGTAATGCGAAGTCATTAAAATATTTCGCTATCACCCAAGGTCGATGGTCAACAAAACTCCAATACGGGTGTGATTCGGGGGCAGCCACAACTTCTCCACTCTCGTCAATGAGGGACCTCATACAATCCTCAGGTTCAAGGCGGCCTTCGCAAACAAATCCGATGGGTGATTCCGACATGGGATCTGCCACACACGAACGAGTGCCTGTGATGGGGTCCACAGTTACCTCATTACCCGGAGCGAAGAGTGGCGATGGGCGACTGCCACAACCCTGGAGGGGTAGATGCGCATTTCCTCTGTTCATGAAAACCACGCCCAAAGCGTTCCCTATCTTGGTTATCTCCTCGGTCAGTGGCGTGGCTGGCACCCATGGGAACGATTGCATTTCTGGGAAGCCACCAAGGCGCTCAAGGTGACGTTGCAATATATAACTCAGAACCAAATCTTGCGGCCCACAGATGAATATCAAACGGCCTTCGGTTATGGCGAACACTTCGTGAATTGGAATATCTAGATGCAATTCCGTTTGTGAATTGTTGGACCCTATCCAGAAGAGTTTATCATCGGATTCAGTACGCACGACATCGGGAAGAGCGACAGAACGAAACGTTCCTTCATCACTCACATATGCATTGAGACGACCGTGACCATCCAATGCCGCTTGAGGATTCCACACATATTCGGTGTCGTTGACTCGGCGTGGGCATATCACAGTTGCAGCGTCAAAGTAGCTAATGTCCATCTGGCACGTGACGAGAGCATTGCTCTCAAGTAATCCCTGTGGGCGGCTGAAATCACATACCACTGCTCCAATAGGTCTAATCCAAAAGAGCCACATGGCGCCAGATGACAACATATACTTCATGATGTTACAATTGCCCATGGTAATCGGTTTTGCGTACGATAAAAGGAGACGAAACTAAATACAAAATCAGAACGGAACACGATACATTTTTTGGATATATGAAATGAAAGGGAAGTTTATAATTAATGATATGTTTGGGAAATGAACGCTAGCGAGAACCCCATAGCAGCAGCCAGATGCCAAGTTGCCGAGGAATTTTCCTTCACGACTGCAACCGGAATAGACAGTAAATGAAAAGGCCAGATGCGATAGCAGGTAGCATATAAATATAGGTAACAATATCGCAGTTATTATAACATTAAAATCTGGAATCGGGATGAATTTTCTCAGAAGACCAAAGAGCACAGCCAAACCGCCATCATAGCCGCGGATAGAAGAAATAACACGGCCACTATAAGCGAGATAGAGATATACAATGAAGACAAATTGGGGACAGAAATATACAATATGATGAAGCGTAAGGAGATGGCGAAAAACCTCAAAAGGAGGGTGTTCAGCGAGCACACAAGTTTCAATTTGTCACCCTAAGTGATGAACATGATACCCAGAGATTATGACGTTATGAACGGCCCTCTCGCCCAGACAGGACGGGTGTCATCATGGAAGGTGCCTGTAGCGTTCGGCAATAGCACAACGTGGCTCCCGCAACTTACACTAAGGGCGTCTATGTTCGTGAGGTATGAATAGGCATATAGGGCTCTACAAGCCAAACTTAGCCGTGTGTAAGATAGTAGTCAATCAGAAAAAACGCACTGGGGCGCAGTAGCGTGAAACCAGCCACACAAATGGCTCCAACGAATGCGACGATTGAGTGATGTGTTAGGATAAATAAATCAAATACAAACGACCCAATTTGGGTCTGAGATCCTGGGATAGCTATGTAAAGTGAGATACCGAATTCTAGCGCGATTGAACTCTGTCACCTTCGACAGCAGTATCAGTTTCTCTATCAGAAGATGCCCTGATCCACAAGACTGTGATACGATTTAATCACCAGCGCTGGCGACACGATTGGCACGGGTAGAAGCCCTGCTTCAACACCTCGAACGCCTGCGATATGTGGGCGGTCCAGCACGTACCTCATGAACGCGACGGATTCGTGATTATCCAGCGCCAACTTCAGTATTTGCGACGCCACGCCCTTGCGCTGGGCAGTAATAGGCTACCCGCTACCTGCGAAGATACGCGTCGACGTAGACACGCTTGCCCAGCAGCATTGTCTACGTCCGTCTTGTTATTGACACCAGCTGGTGAAGTTAGCTGTTGAAGGGCATCCTTCCCACGTGTTTCTCGCTGCACAGAAAGTCCTTCTTCTGGCCCTCAACTATATTCTATCGAGTTGTTAGAATAGCGAACAGTTTTAATTCAGCTGAACACAAATAAGTTTTTGTGCAGCCCATTAACAAGGTGACGTATACCTTGAGTTTCCTGCCATGCAAATATGTTTTCTACCATCATCTGAAAAAGAGGCGGCAGGGCAGCAAGTGGATAATCAAGAATGGGCTCGATACATACATCCCTGATTTCTTTAAGCTGCGATAGTATGCGACATATCGCAAATCCTCAATCTGCAATTGCATTCGGTTCTTAATAACGTCTGATGTCCACTACTCTTACATAATATTATTTTCTTTTCATCTTATTTTTCCTCTTCTTTTTTCGGTTCCCCAATTTTCTTTTCGGATGGGTATGTGAAAAACAAGGCAGCATAGCAAACAAGATTAATTGTCGCGCCTGCTGCAATAATGCACATCATTGATTTCCTTAACGCATTGGCATTTCTTTCTTTAACAGCCGCATCCATCGCTTCAAACGACATCCTAGAGGGCACATAGCCGAACACTTTTTCAGACAAGTAGGCGGAAAGCTGATATAAGATTACACTACTACAAATTCCAGCTATGGTTCGAATTGTAGCGGATGCGGTAGCTTGAAGCTCAGATTTGATCGAATTCTTTACGAGTGTCCTGTCCACAGCGCCAATTGTCAAAAGAGAAGTCCCTAGAGCTACCAACTCTACATAATGATACCAAAGCAAACGCCCATTTGGCGCTGGGCCTAAAAAGAACAACAAACACGCAACATATCGGACTACCATCACTACGGTTCCACAACTAAGAATACCGTATTTATCGAACGATTCTGCAATGGTCTTTATAATCCAACCGCCGAGCCCAGCTCCTACAGCAGCGCCGATCAATGTAACGGATACTGCGAATCCCGCCATTACCTTAGGTACTCCCGTGTATTGCAGGTAAATGCTCATATATGAAAGTGCGCACATGAGCGACTCAGAGATGAACACAGTGACAATAAGGATCTTAGGCGTACGCTCCGTAAGGACTTCACCAAATACCTTTGCGATACGTTCACTAGAACTAATTTGCGGTTGGGAAGAATCATTCGACGACGAGACACTTTGGCCACCATTAGAGCCGTTGATTGGTTTGCCTTCCATTCCAAATAGAATGGCAATGGCTAGCAGAATCCACACGTAACCCAGTACAACGTAAGAGGTACGCCAGCCAATATATCCCAGCAAGACCTTCTGAGCAATTATTGTTGTAACCATGGCGCAGAACACACGCCCCAGACTGCTCAACCCTTGCAATATGCCAAAAACGAGGCTGGATTCATCCTTGTTTTTCATGCTTGCAGCAATTTTTTGATGAACGGGGTAGACGGAGGCGAATCCAAAGCCATGGAAGAAGCGCAAGAAAAGAATCTGCGGGTATATTATCAGTGCAACATATTGCAACTTACCGCTCTGTAATTTGACACTGAACTTACAAGAATAGAGGCAATTCCAAGAATAAATAAGCCCGCGGCGAGCAGATGATGTGGTTTACCTGTGTCTGCAAGCAATCCCCAAATTAAACAGCAACCCAAACGTGACATTTTAGAAACGGTAGCCATCGTTGACAACTGAGATTGAGAAAAACCTAACGTTGACTCGAAAGCTCTCATACACATAGACAAAACCTGTTGGTCGTAGCCTTGCACAAACGACACCAGGTTGTACAGGAACCTAGCGAAGCCTTCATATTCTACAGTTGGTTTGGATTCTGCAGGGTTTTTTGCAGACATCGTTACGAGGACGCTTTTGTGGTTCTTATAAACAATGTGTATCAATCAAGTAGTTAAAGCGGACATTATCTTCGACACGGGAGCGACACATGCAAGCCAAAAAGGCAAATTATGTGTGCTCGCTAAACCACGCGATACACAGGCGGAGCGCAAATAGCAGTCTCCATATTGGACAGCTCATGTAAAATGATATAATAATCACACCAAGAGATGCTTTGCCGCACGGAAGGCTGCTCCCAACAGGCAGGCAGGGGAAACCGCGGCGACCAAGAATCTCCGAAACAAACAAAAGATTCGTCGAGGTTCAAATGACTCTGTAATAACACACATGCAAATATCTAGTTCGAAATTTGTGCACACACACCGAGTTAGAGTAGATTAATACCACCCTTGACTAGAAGTGTGTGTGCGACATTCGGCAACCGGAAGGGTGGAAGGCCAGGCCAATAGCCCCAAATTCCAACGAGCACGGTTGCCATAAAAATGTCAATATTGTTGTGACTTATGGGTTCGTTAAAAATCGGGTTAGACGTACCAGAATCAAGCAGGACAACAAATATATGTGCCAGTGAGATGCTTCTGGGACTATTGCGATAACACGGGTTCCCAGACAAAATGCTACGCACGTATAGTGCCATGGAAACGGTTTGAATACGCCATATAACAACAACTGTCTTAAAGTTGAAATGCACGAGCCTCACCGTTTCATGCGGCGCACCGACGAACTATGTTGTCGATGAGCACAGTGGGTTGAGACGCTATAACAAACCCTCCGTAAAATGCAAACCATTTGCTGAACAACAAGGCGAGCCCATGTATCAAGGGAAATCAACTATAACCTTGCTTAACGTCGCAATAAACGTAATGGAGAAAATGCCTGTAGAAGACCCCAACACGATTGCCGTAATCTATCAGAATGTTAGCCGCTATAGGTACTACTTCTGCGACGAAATAATACCAACTACCACTCAGTATTTCTTGTCGATTCAACGAATTTCATGCCAGCCTATTGTCTGTGTTTCAAGTTGTAGAGCGTACTACGTGGCTACGTTTAGCTTGGGACGGCTTTCGCGTTTGCCGGAATATTACCTCACGCCATTATTTTTGGCAGCGATTTACACGTAGTATTGCCGAATTCGTTGGTATCATCCATCAGGTCTGGTCAGCATGGTCATTCACAGACTCGCGATTTTCCCTGAGTTACATGTTCCTCAACACCAGCTTTGTGTTTCCTTGACCACTACCCATTGTATATGAGCTTCTAAGAGATCCGAAATGCCCAGGTCCCGCCTATGCTTGGTGTGGTGCTGCGTCACTATGCCCTCCCACGTCATAACGTAGGGGATTGCCTTGCTCCTCGTGCGCTGTTGAATTGTCGCGCCATCATGTCATTCAATAATACACTCGCCGAACTCACCACACAGCAACTCACCGCATAACCAATTAACTGACCCAGCACCTAACTTAACACGTAATCTACTCTATGCGTTAAGGTGTTCATTGTTTGGGATGTTGCCTTGTTTGTTATACGTGAACGTGTCTACGTCATCCTGCCCTGTCAGTGTTATGCGAAGCTGAGTGGTTGGCCATCAACGCAGGCAGCCGACAAGTACCGTGTTAGGTGAGTGGTTGATATGGTAGTTATCACGTACGTAGCTAGGAAATGAATGTCGCCGGGACTCTCCGAGGGGATAGCTAGTGTATGGTTTAGCTAAGTGGCATTTGTGAACATTGTGGGGATCACTAACATAATGAGCACGCAACTTGGCGCAGCTAGGCACTCGGCAGCGCACCAAAATAGTGGCACGTATAAAATACATATTATGCCGTAATATCAAGGGACGAAAGTCTGTCGTGTCTGCATGTACATTGTGGTATCCCTGCAGTTGGACGCGTGGTGGTTGTCTGCGTCTTACCGGAGAGGAGTCTGCGGTTCTATGTTTCGAGGCTCAAGATACGTGTTTGATGACTGTGCAGGTTAATGGCAAGGGGGCGAGGTGAAGATGACGTTGGAGAGTCAGTGTATATGCACTGAAACAGGCAGTTCAATATGTAGACAATTGAACTGTAAGTGCTGTCCGTGGTGTTGTCTGAATTGTAATAATAGAAGTTGCAGGGAATATACATTGGAATATTTCCACACAGGCACAACACGCGAACAACGTTACAAATGCGACGGTGGATGTAAGAACAAATGTAAAATCTTCATATGTAGTTGTCCATGTTGTAGACAGAAGTGTAAAAACATTGCCACCGGCCTCACTGCTTCCTGCATCGCAATCATCCTCATAGTCATATGCGTTATGAGCTTCTTTCGCATCCGGCCGTTCCACAAGGTCCGTGATTGTTTTGTCCTCAAGTGAACAGTTTTATCGCATTCTTTAATTGCTTCCGGCATTTTTATAATCGCACTTATCGCAAAGTTTTAGACATTACCACACGATGCCAGCGTAATAACGTCTTATTTAATGTTTCGAAAATTGCATCGGCGGCTATCTGGCAACGCGTTCATGAATTATATGATAGCAGCGCATCGGTTGGGCATTAGTTAAAAGAGCAGTATTAACACGGCTCGATGTAGTATGCGTATCCGCTCCCACCTCCACCAGCCGCCGGGGCACCCGACAGAGTAACGCCGCTGCTTGATATTGAATCAGCGCCTTGATTTGTCGGTTGACTACCATTTTGACCACCTGGATGACCAGTCCCCTGACCTCCAGTTGACCCAGCGCCTGACCCTGAAACATTCGGAGGCTGAGTGAGCACAGGGGCTTGAGAGGGACCAGACTGTATAGTTGGAGAACCATCTTCCGGCGAACCCTGAACCGGGGGACCTGGCTGACTAGTGGACTCAGGGATGCCAGGGCCTGCTGGAGCACTGGGGGGAGATGTTGGAGGGGGATGTGCTGGTGGGAGTGTAGCATTTTGTTGATGTTGAACATCATTTCCAACTGGTGAAGTTGGAGTCGAAGAAGACGTCGGAGGCCCTGCCGGGCCTTTTTCTCCGGCAGCCCCCGGCTGGCCTTGACCTCCGTGATCACCGGCAGGCGGACCTGGAGCAGACTTTACAACCGTTGACGCTGGAGAACTTCCCTCACTTTTCTTGCCTTGGTTCTGTGCTCCCTCTGCCTTCTTGCCTTGGTTCTGTGCTCCCTCAGGTTTCTTCCCCTGGTTCTGTGCTCCCTCAGGGACCTTGGCAGGCGGGGCCTCAGGCTTTGTAGGTGGAGGCGGGGGATCTTGACACTGTATTTTATTCTGACCATTCAAAATCTCTTTAAGCCTATCCAAATCGCCGACACCGGAATTACGGAGCTCATCGATTACACTGGACAGATCCCCCAACAAAGCCCGCACATCCTTGTCCGACATTCCAAAGCGGGTTTTGCTCTCAAAAGTGAATCCGTAGGGGAAGAAATTGTGGGTGAAGTACGCACCAAGATCACTGGTCGCAGATGCATCCGTTTTAATATTCACCAAATTGCCCCGCACCCAAATCAGCTTCCCTCTCAACCAATCTGCTGTGTGCTTCGCCAACTCATCTTTATTGAGGTTGTCGGTACCTGTCGACTGGCCTGTGAAGTCGAAGCGTTTCGGAGTGTTGAAGAGTTTGTGGAGTTTTCCCCTAAGCTGAACGCAATGTTCTCTTAAGTCCTTCCAGCATATGGATTTTGGGGGCACTAACCTTTGAAGGCCATGTTCCAACGCTACTTTCAGACTTCCGCCTCCTTCAGTTGGCTCCCCAAGAACAATGTCGCAAAGGGTTCTAACCAACGAGAGAGCGTTCGCGGTGTTCGGAATCTGGGTGCCAGTGTCTGCAACAGCTGAGGTGACGAAAACGCTGCGAAAATAGTTGTAATTTGTTTTGTCCACAATCTTTGCAAGATCCACATACATTTCAGTTCCTTGGGAATAGCCACTGTCCCATACATACCACTTATAGCCCACCTCGTCTTTACCGAACCCACCGGGTAGCAAGCCGGGGATTTGGCTGTACTTTTCTTCGTCGACTGTTGCTCTGAGGTATTCCTGCAGGTGACCACCGCTTGAAGCATAGGACCTCCAATGCTTCTCATATCCTGGCCTATCTTTTTCCCAACCACCGCCGCCCAGCGATTTGAAGGTATTATTGATGCAGTACTCCAAAAGTATATGGCAGCGAGGAATTTAGGGACACAGTCAAGGAGGTCGTTGCATATTTGGTCCGCGCTCCTGTTGTTATAGTTTCCGGGTGCTGGGTCTTTGCTTAACCTCGTATAGAACTCTGACACGGCGGAGAGGAATTTGGACAAGCCCTCTTTAACGTCCCGCACATTAAGATAGTTGGTAGTGTAATATGGATTGATGCGTTTGAACAGCTCACTGGCCACCTCCCCTTGCTTACCACTATCTTTATGCAACCACTGCAGGAACTCGAGACACTGCTTGAGGGTGTCTAACTTGACTCCGTGCGGCGCCATCTTGCATACAAGGGCAAAGAGCACAGAGACACTAACAAATGGGCACTAGGCTACTTTTACAAAAAGTACAAGTGAAAGCGTTTAAATGGTTAACTAGGAGACACTAGAGCGATAAAACCTCTAAGGTCACACCGCTGCTGCCAGATAACCAAGACACTGCCAAGATGCTTGCAACGGTAGTAATTGCGCTATTATTAGGTGACACAGCGATCGTATTAGCGGCGACTGGCGATACAATTCGGAGGTGCAAGAGGGGCGTCGTAAGACGCGGCCGCAGCCTTAATACACCGACAAGGTGGGATGACGTAAATACGTCCACCGGTAAGACACAAAGCAACTTACCAAACAACGAACATCTTAATAGAGCTTGTACATTACTTAGTAGGTTAAACGTTTAATGAGCCAGGTGAATAAGGCTAAGCAGGCTGTTGTGAGGATGGAGACAGATCTTAAGAAGGATTTGAAGAAAGTTAAAGATAAGATTAAAGGAGGTATAGATGGTGTGCTTAGGTATGAATGTTTTAACTTTGGATGGTTTCGTGAAGAGTGATTTGTTGGTGTTGAAGGAGAAGATTAGTGAGCTTACAAATGGCGATAATAAAGTAAGTAGTCTTGTTCAAGGTCAGTTAGATGCGCTCAAACAGAAAAAAGAAAATGAGTTGGATAAGATTGCTGGTAATAATGGCACAATTAAGAAAGAGACGGACACTGGACTTGTAGAGAAGTTTGACAGGCTTATCCAAAGTCCGCTTGACACTAAAGTCAAAGCAGTTGACCAGGCGATTGAGGCGCTTGGCGGGAATTTTAAGAATGGTGGTGATCTGAATAGTCTTCAAAGCATTTTTGATCATATTAAAGGAGAGGTTGGGAAGATAAAGGGGAAGGCGGGGACGGGAGATTGGCCAATTGAAGGTGCCACGGGTCTGACGGGGATCGCACAGGGATTGGAGCATTATTTCAACTTTTTCAGGAATAAATTCGGAGATGCAGTCGGCGGCTGGGTAGACGATATCATGCGTAATAACGGTCTGGTTAAGAAACTGCTTGGTTGGCAGGATAACCCGGCGGAGACGCTTGATGATTACATGAAGAACAGTGGTCTCGGAGGCCTTATTAGGTCTCCGATTAATTTAAAAATTAACGATGCCGAAGCAGCGTTTAAGAATGGTAATGCTTCCGACATGGCAGATCAAATCACGAAGGTCAAAAATGCCTGCCAGGCATTTGCCGAAGCGCTTGACGCGGAACTGAAGAAGGATCCGGGGAGCGGTGTCCTTGCGATGGCCAAGCAGGCTAAGAATGCGTGGACAGAATTTGGTGACTCTGAGAGAGAAAGCAAAAGAACATCCTTGGGAAGGGCCTTAGCTGAGGCAAACTGCGGATGCAGAGACTGCCAAGCCAGCGGAGGCAGAGGTAAGGATAATTGCCTAAAATGCGACAAGAAGGAATGCAACCTCACGCAAGCCATCGCCACTACCATCGTAACAGTGTCCTCCGTGAGCAGACAAGTCAGCAAGGAGCTTCACTCAGTGCTGCTCGGCAATGGGACCGCAACGATAAACATCGCAGAACTGTTGGATAAAGCGAAAAAGGCAACTGAAGATCTTCAAGGTCAGCTTGACAATGCGACTAATCAACAAAATATCGGCACCATCCAAGAAAGCCCCGCCCAAGCCGTGGACAGCAAGTTGAAGGCGGTGAGGGATTTCGTGAGTGGAGAGCAGCTTACAAAAACAGAATTTCCTAAAGTCACAGGTGATCTAACAAAGGCAGTTAAAGAACTTCCCGACGCCGTTAAAGAATTCGACGAGAAAGCTCAAGCACAGATCAAGGCTGCGGCCCAGAAGGCTATTAAGGAGGCGGCTGAGGTGATTAAGGAGGTGGGTGGTGAAATAAAGCTTGGCAAACATCTCATGGAAAAATTTGAGGAATCCCACGGGAAGATAAAAAGTGGGCTCGAATCACAACTTCAAGGTAAAGTTAATGACAACATTGGGCCGGATGATCCGCCGGGTGGTCAAGGTGGTGGAGTTGGTCAAAAATTCAAACTTGCTACAGGAAAATTCGAACATTATGAAAAACATGTTACACAACCTTTAGATTCCTCTAAAACTCTAACCGGTAAAGCAGATGCAAATGAAGGCAAACTCCCACTGGCGATCGGGAATATTAGAGATGAGGGTCTGGCAGAGCTTGAAAATACTCTAGGTGACCAAGCCGGCAAGATTAACACTACAACCTTCACTGGTCCGTTCAAATTAATTGAGAAAGAGCTTGAGGAGATCAAGAAATTGGTTAGTGATGCTGGTAGCGGCAGTTCGTTCCTAGGGGAAATGAAAAACAAGGGCGTCAAAACATTATTGTCTGAGCTTCAGAAGGGACTTGCAAATAGTAAAGTAGACTATGTCTTTGATAAAGGCCTTGACGCAATCAAATCGGCGATTAGCACTCTGAAAACAGGGACGTATGATGAGAAAACTAAGAGCATCGGAGATGCCATCGACCTTATTAAGCAGCAGCTCACAGAGCTTAGAGAGAAGTTGCAAAAGACACCAGGCAACGATGTGATTAAGACGCTGGCAGAGATGCAAACCAAGGGCCTTGGCACACAGGATGATTGGACACCGAACGGTGGTAAACCTCTCAGTGGTCTCGGGAAAATCCAGCAGGGACTTCAGGAGCAGAATGAGAAACTAGGCGAACATAACAAACAAATAGGGGAGGCCATAAAAATAGTGCGGAAAGAAATTGAGTTGCAACTTTTCAGGATAGGGTACAGGTTGGATAATAAACACAGTACTGATGACATCGCTGACCATTTGAAGGCATTACAAAAGCATCTTGGTATAGGGAAGGCAAATTATGGGAATAATCTTCAGAAAATTCATAATGAAATTAAAAACCTTCATGACACGCCATTTCAACAGCATCCCACTAAAATCGACAACGCCAAGAAAGAAATTGTAGATGAACTCACTACCCTTCGAACGGAGTTGCTAGACACCAAGGACAACGATGTCATTGCAACACTGAACGATTTGAAGGGCGTTGAACTAAGTGGTGATAAGTGGGATAAAAATGCAGCTGGAAAAAATAAAAGCCTTAAAAATATCGAAGATGAACTTGGACGTCAACAAAAAACGTTGAATGACCAACCGCCTCAAATCACTGCCGGCGTCCAGGAAATCACCAGTGAGCTTGACAGCCTTAGAGGGACGTTGAACACTGAAGTCACCGATAAGTTGACGGAACTGAAAAGCAAGGGGCTAACTGATAAGGATTGGAGAAAAGAAACAAGTATAAAAGGGCATGGAAAAGATCAATAAATTGACAGCATCATCATCCTTCACTCCACTGAGCACCCCGTGCAAAAACGCCATCACCCCGTCGCAGAGCCTGTCAAGGTCAGAGTACACGATGCCGGAGCCATCGTAGCCTTTGGAAGATGGATTGAAGCCTAGGAACTTTTCTAAACCGTCAGTGAGGTTTTTTAGTATTTCTGTTGCAGGATTATCCTTCTCTTTTCCAATGAAACCTTCAAGCTTACCTTGAAGATCCTTAAGTGTCTTCTGCCTCTCCTCAATATCCCCCAAGGCTTTCCCCCTGGCATCCTCAGTAAGGTAATGAACTTCATTATAATGGTTATTGTAGTTGGATTTAGCCTTAGATATTTTATCTTCGTCTTTAGATTCTTTTTCTTTTTCAATTTCCTTTTGAAGTTTCTCACAATGCTTGTTGTGATGCTCAGTAGAATATTTATCACCGCATTTAAGTTCAGTTTCCCTATTTATCAGACTATCAGTAGCGCTCTGAATAGCCTCACCAATCAGCTTTTTCAAAGCTTTGGCCAACTCATCAAGGCCCTTGCCATTACCATTCCCATGCTTAACCTGGATCAGCCAGTCAATGGACTCCCGGAGATTTTCCGGACAGTCCGTCAGCTTCTTCGGTTGGCGTACCATTTTGAAGGCTAACTTACCGGACAACTGTCGACGCCTAATTCACAACACCCACCTAACACCACTAGACCACAGGCCACAGACGACACTTTAGCAAGTCACCGGATCCAATTGTATAAAACACCAGATTCATTATATATTCCCTTTAGGCTCCATATGTCACCAACGGAGGCTCATTTACCCATCTTTTGCTGTTCAAATGTTTTGTATCGTTCTAAACATTGCACGAAATGATGAGCAACGTCCGTAGGTGTCAGCTCAACATCTGTGCTGAGTGATAGGGCTCTAAAATGGCTGCCTTCCATACACCCTTTACTCACTTATACCTTTCCCATCATAATATTTACAATTTTAATTGGCGTGTGATATATACTGGGTATTCCACCTCCAGTCACCTGAATCGCAATCGCGGCGATGAGCCCGCCTCACTGATAAATCCATCCCCAACACTAGCTTATTGCATTAAATACCAATTATAGACATAGTTGCGACGTGATATTTGAAGCAGTATCCGTATATTAGTTTCAATGCCATTAGCGGCCGCCCTTCCCTCAGCCCGACCAAACCTGCTGCGCATCGGTTGAGCAACGCAGCCCAAATAACGTCATATGTGGAGATTTATTAGACACCTTGACACGTCATTTATCCTCTTAGCAATAACTGCTCATCGAGTGGAATTGGCCCCTAATCTACTATTAAGTTAGGTATATGCCACACTCGCCACGTCCGTGGTCATTACCCCAGCAAAAAGCAACATCCGCACTGTTAGGATGCATCTCACTTCTAAATTCCATTTGTTACCACAGTACCTGTATGTACAAGATGGATGTTGTAGTTACACCGATAATTTGCTAAACCTGATACCGTCTGCTGTCCCATCGATGGTGGTAGATAGCATCATGACCGTATAATTCCGGTGCTTCTGACAGAATTCACGCAACATATCTAGTCCGGTCGTATATCTATGCAATTATATCTTCAGTACCACTGCTCAGCAGAATTATGTGGGCGTAATGGTTCAATGCTTGTACAAGCTGGACTGAGGGTGCCTCCACAGTGGCGCCCACTCAGCGATGGACAATTTAAGAGATGCAATATTGAACGGTATTGGGCATCATATGTCATGGAGTAATGATACTGTGATGAGAGGATCCATTTTAATGACTTGTGTGATACTCTGAAGTGAGCGCCAATTTAAGTATTGCTACCGCTACCTTGTGCTGCAACGCAATTTGAGATGCCGTAATGACGAGTTGTAAAATTGCAGACAATAAAACATATATGACTTCGTATCTTCTAGAATGGAGATTGCGATGCTTCCGGAAAGGTGTAGTAACAACGTTCAATCATCGAGTGTGTGACCTCTGTCAAGGAAATTTATTACAGGGTCGTGAAATCCACTGCTTAAAACATAAAAAACCTCAAACAATATTTGGTTGGTCAACGCATTCTGAAATATTATAGCTCCATTGATCAGATGATTTTCGATGGTTGCAACAGGGTAAACTAGTTGGCGATCATAAGCGACATAACCAGATGACAAGACATCAAGAACACAAACTCAATCCATCGAAGAGAAGTAGATGGGATCAATGGAGAACGTTCAGCATCGGCTTTCCAGTATGCCGGTGTTACAAGACGAATCGTCGGAACCGCTCATAAATGCTAACGGCCAGCATGCCATTTTATCCCCGGATGCTGAGATGAGCATCAGAGCACGGTTCCACGAGTTAACAATTGCACTCCTCAATAACTCCGCGAATTCATGCTCTCATAATTGCAGTGGTCAATATAGTAATATTGTCCGTTTTCAAGGTACGGTACGTGGTCCCTTCTTCATCTCGCGTCCAGCGTAGTACATGGCAACGTGGAGTCTCAAGTCTTGTACTTTGATAATAGATATTATGACATTATAAATTGACATTAAACAAAAGCTTGTGGGATGTATTGGATGCAGTGGAGTGTTCGGTGGATCCCTGCTTACCCTCTCTGCAGTGCATTGTCAACAATACGCTGAGAAACGTTTCAAAGTAAGCAAGATGCTACCCAGAAAACACGAGCAGAAAGTACATTAGTCCATACCTCGATTGTGGTAATAAAGGAGCAGCACTTCCGAACCGCTACCGCCGTCCGGCCAGGTATTTCATTGGTTTGCAGGTTTTTTGCCAAGTGAGGCGAAAATGGCTACCAAGAAATGTGGATGTCAAAAGGAAAACTGTTCTGATGGTAATTGCTGTGATTTAAAGGGATGTGAAGAAGACAAGCGGTGTAAATGTTGTAAGTGTATTTGTTCATGTAAGAATAATTGCTACTGCTGTGCCTGGTGTTGTGAGGGATGCAAGCCTGGCACCGATTGGAAGGAATGCGAAAAACACAGAACAAGCAACACATACCATAACCGTTCTGCGAGGTGTAAAAATTGGTTCAGCTGTCCATGCAATTGGTGTAAAGTTCGCTTATGCGCAATATTTGGCACCCTTGCGTTCTTCGTCCTCTTGGTCATAGTGTACTACAAATATCCCGATAAAGCTCGGAGATTGAGGCTTGGGATAGAGAATGCGTTTAGTTAGGGCTCAAAGACGCCAACTCGTACTTAGTTCCTCCATCCAACAATCCCATATAGCATTAACTAATTGTCAACCCAGAAAATAATGAAGTCATCGTATTCATTGCTTAATCGGCGTTCTTGGTGACGAGTGTCAGCTCAGAGTCGTAAGTTAACGGCATCATCTAGCGGTGAGAATGGACTGCGAAACCAAGCAGTTGGCCCTCCAGGTCAGCACCTGAGGAGCGACATTCCGACTAAGTCTCATTCTCATCGAATGGGTGTATGGGTGTGATGTTACTGATAGGGTGTGTAACTACGAGGTGTGTGGAGTCGTGTCAATAGGCGATAGGCTTCGTGATGCCGAAAGATGGTCCGACGTGATGAGCAGCGAAAGGTGTTGTTAGGAAACACATATGGCAAAATTGTGGTGATCAATAATACCGTAATAGTGCACCGTAGCTAACCTACGGCGCGGGACGAAATATATGATCAGTGGGATATACTCCATGTTCCTCTATCCTACATATTCCGGTCTCGTTGTTTTCACACTGCTATCAATCAATCTTATTGACGTAGGGGTTGGTTGTGGATCTGCAATGTGTGCCAGCGTTGAGTGCTCTCGGAGCACAGGGTAGTACCGCCGATGTCTATTTGAAGGGGTATTAGGTTTAAGGTACGTTTTATTTGGTTTGCAATGATGAAACGCGAGTGCGAAGAAAGGACGCCAAACTGCAATCCGTCTTATGATTGTTTGTGTAATGGAATTGGCGATAAATACAGGGGAGAGAGGAGCTGCGAATTTCCTTGTTAGGTTTGTGGAGATACGCAGGAGCGTAAAGAAAGGTCGGGCTGTATATGTACATGCTGTGGCGGTAAAGAAGGCGGATTTAATATACGCCTTGCCGCGGGCATCGCTGCCGGCATCGGCACAGCCATCACAGTCACATGCTTGATAATGTTTCGTGTACGGCCATTACACAATGTTCGTGATTACGTCGCAAGTAAAGGAGGAGCTTTTAGAAACTTATTGTATATCCCAAGGAGCAGGTAGAAGTTCAGTAAAGTGATAAGTTGCCTGAGGCGATGGACATTACTCTCTACTCTACCTTCCCATCCAAGGACCTCATGTAGCTTCACATATCGCAGATAAAATGTAATGTCAATATAGTGGATTACGTCACCATAACACATTTCTACTTCGGTATCCCGGCAATACCACAGAATAATACTCTCCAACATTTTCGTAGTGTCTCCAAGCCTTTCACCTTTTATGGCGCCCTGCACTCCACTATGCTAGCATAATGCCACACAATTCATAACAAATTTTGTATTTAAGAGGGTATACCAATGTCATCGTGACAGCCCGGTATACGGAAAGCCCGCCTAAAGCTACACGTAGCCACTCATCGCAGGAAAGTGTGGTGCAATATAGCATGCAATAAAATTGTTCCTGTTTCCACATTTTTCACACGTAACTAGATGTGGAGGTATAATTACACTCAGTGTCTCAACAATTATTGAATAAAAAATCTGGTATAACATTTATCTGACAAATATGCGCACCGTTGCGTAATCCTTATTCTGGACTACTGACGGGCATATTACACGGATTGCGGGCCGAAATGCTCACAAAAACGATTTCATGTGTTCCACTATAACGTTAGCGAGTGCTCGTGCCTGCTCCTCGCTTGGCGCTTCGGAGTATATGCGGCAAAGGGCCTCTGTTCCTGACGGCCTTATGAAAGCTCGTGCACCTTTCACTTTGGCAACCGATTCAGTTACCAATCGCATCAGTTCAGCAGGCTCCTCTATGACGGAGTCGTCATCCGGTGTTGTGCGGAATATCGCACGTTTTTCAGGCGGGATTCGAGCGGATACATTGACGTATGGCAGCTCCTCGTAGAACTGCAACACATCGTCATAAGAAAGTTCAAGAGTTCTAAGGGCCAACTCTATGAACAATGAATTTGCAATTGCATCTCCTATGGGATTGTTGAACATGGCAGAAACGTTCATTAGGAGCCGTCTGTACTCGCAGTCTCCGTTGTCACGGTATAGTGGCGAATCCTTAGTGAAAACAACGTTGCCATGACCATTGGCCTCGTACAGAATTGTTATGTGATAGTTAGGCACCTTCGCCTGCATATTTTTCATCCCCACTTTGCACAGTTGCATGCTCCAGTGCACGCGGTGGTCCGCCTCGTTCCACTCCGCCATTAATTGCCTGATGTAGTTCAAAGCTGCACCGTTCGCATAGTGATTTAGCAATACCCCCATTTTAATGACTTCGTGGCTTTCGCGCTTCCAGTTCGACAATGCAAAATTAAGGAATTTCATCTTAATGAGGAGCAGTCGAACGCCATCTATGAGGCGAATCGATCCCTTGTGCGGGCTGAAGTACACTAGTCGGTCCACGTCTCCATCGAACGAGCAGAACCACTTGCCTTCGTATACGGTTATGCGACTCTCTATGAGCGCTGGCGGGCGTTGTTCGCTCAGAACATAGTTAGCCCCGCATTCGTTGTTAAGCATGTGATGCATTTGTTCCCCTAGCCAAATAGGGCTATGGCACAGGTGTGGAATGATTGCGATTTCCCTCAAGCATGCGAATAGCTTGTAGACGACTTTACCGCCAACCCCATATGAGCAGTCATAAAAAAGAGACTGGTGGTCGTCAGTTTTCAGAGACCTTTTGATGCGTCCTAGTGCAACAAGAGAGTCTAGCGTAGAGTAGAAAGCGCGTCTCAATGCCTCCACGTACATGTCATCGTTTGACGCTGATAGAAGTGAGTTGTTGAGGAGGAACCCTACTGTGGGCGTGGTCACTGCACCCAGCACCACGCATGTAATCTTTTCCAGCTTCAGGGCATCCGCCATGGCTTCCACACCGGCCTTGAATATCGCAGCGAGCTTTGGACTTGATTCTCTGGTGTCGTGTCCTACGAGTATGGTGTATGGCACCCGGTTTCGTTGCACGTGTACTACACCATGCTTCCTAAAGATCCGCGCAAGGGCATCGGACACAGATCCCCTAAAGTTAACCAGAGCCGTAAATTCCTTCTCCCATATGGTTTCCAGCATGGTTCCATCAGCCTCAAGTAGCTTGATTCCATTTTCTTTGGCGTGATTGTGACTGGCAGTGATGACAGCACCGGCAGATTGAATGGGCATGCTCCGGGCTTCCAAGACACCACTGAGCGGTCCAGCGAGAGACAGCTCCACATTGTATAACTCAGTAGGGTTCCTCAAGAACGGCAGAGCCGCCAAGAGGGCGCCGCACCTGTATACTACATGGTCGAGGTGGTTCGGCGGTGTGTCAGCCACTCCCCTGAACCCGCTGGTGCCATAGTCCAGGTCGACATACCCCTGCGGTATGTCGGGTCCCTGTCTGATGCAGATTACTTCCTCGGCATCGCCCCCTGCTGCGGGCAGACCTCCAGCGTTAGGCATTTAGGTGAGCGTACTCTACACACCTCTCGAAAGTCCCACCAGGGAGTGCCGCAGGCAATAAATACGGTTACTGCTACAACATTGCAAAACGTTCTACTTGTGCCACGTCAATTTAAAGTAATGCCTTAGTTGTCTTGACGGTCTCCCCAGACGGATCTGTTGTAGCCGAGCTGCGCCCCGCGCGATAACAACATCTTCTTCTAAAGCCGGAAAGGCTTCATCAATCAGTGTGTATATTTAATTCTATCGTATTCCGAGCCCGTGAAGATGTACCGCAACCAGTACGACACCGACTGTATCACCTGGTCGCCTCAGGGGCGTCTGTTCCAGGTTGAATACGCAATGGAGGCGGTAAAACAGGGCTCATGTTGCGTTGGTATCAAGTCTGCAACGCACATTGTAAGTTTAGACTCGGGAAATCGAGAATCTGCAGGTTTTGTGCGCCGTGCGGCGAAAAACGTCGAAGCACGCTGATTATCAAGACAAGATTTTCCGCATCGCAGACTACATCGCCGTGGCCATGTCTGGCATCACTTCCGACGCTAAGATGATCGTGAACTTTATGCGCAACGAGTGCCTGAACAATCGCTACTTGTATGGATGCGACATCACCGCTAGTAAGCTGGTTTCCCTGGTTTCGCAAAGTGGGTGATGATGCGATTAGAATAGCTCATGGCGCATCAGAGTCTCAAGCCAACACACAAGTTGCGTCAAAGCGTCCCTTTGGAGTGGGTCTGCTCGTAGCGGGGTATGACGAGAAGATCGGCCTCCGCCTCTACGAAACCTGCCCGAGCGGCAACGTGGTGGAATACAACGTAAGTGAGGGTTTTTAGCATTCAAAGCTGATTTTAGGCCGCCGCTTTCGGTGCCCGCTGCCAGAGCGCAAAGACATATCTGGAGCGCAAGATCGCTAATTTCGAGAGTTGCAACATAGATTCGCTGCTCTACCACGCCGTCAAGGCGGTCAAGTTGACAGTGCCACACGACGTGGAGTGAGTTACGACGTCAGAAGTTTCATGTGTGATTAGGTTCACCTCTGACATGGTCACTGCCTGTGTGCTGGGCAAGGACATGCCCTTCAAGCTGCTGACGGCTGAGGAAATCCAACCCTATATCGAGAAGGTAGGTCTGCGTTCAGATCTAGATACGACCGCCGTTTTATTGTTCATTATGACGTTTCCTCAGGTAATCGCGGAGGAGCCTCCGGAGGTGACTATGTAGACCAATGCGGATCGCAGGGGCGTGAAGCACGCGCGCAACATAATTGCAGTAATATCTTCGATGTTGTTATGCAATGTGTTAGTTTTCGATATAAGTGTGCGCGTCTACTGCGCTGTACGACACCATCCTCGTTTGAACTGTTGGGCGTCGGCGCTGTCTTCTCGCCATTTAATATTACATTCTTGCCACGATGGGAATCCACAATCTGTTCCAATCGCCGTTTCATTTCGAATTCTATCTCGGTGCCCTTGTGCTCAATGAGTTTTTCGAGCACTACCTCAACATCAGACAGCTCCGCGTGATCAGCAAGGAGCTGCGCCTCGCACGCGATCCCAACCGCAAGGGCGAATCGGACGACAGCTCGGACGAAATCCGCCAAAAGGCTCACAAGCACGTGGATGTGTATCTGCTTTCGGAAGATTACCACAAGACCGTGGAATATGCCCGTGACAAGCTGGTCTTCCAGATAATCAGCTCGGTTATACAAACGGTTGTTTCCCTGACACTTTTGTTTACGTTTTTCGGTCCTAAACTATGGCGTTTTTCCGGCAGTCTGCTCAGGACACCTTCAGAGACATACCAGGTGAGGGTGTCGCGTCGAGATTTTGTCAATGTGTATGCAGTCCCTGATTTTCTGCGGCATTAAACTGCTCATTGACACTGCTTTGGATATCCCCTTCGGCCTCTACGCCGACTTCGTCTTGGAAGAGAAGCACGGTTTCAACAAGAAGACGTTGAGGCTGTTCGTCAAGGATCTCGCCATCTCACTGCTCCTGCAGTGCGTGATCGGCGCTCCTGTGCTCAGCATCGTAATATTCCTGGTGAACTGGGGTGGCGATTTGTTCTATGTCTACGTAAGTTTGCTATGCTGTGTATTTTAAACGTTGCTAGGTCTGCCTCTTCGCGGCGTTCTTCTACCTGTTCATGATGATCATCTACCCTGATCTGATTGCCCCGCTGTTCAACAAATTTGAGCCCCTGAAGGACGAGGAACTTAAGAAGGGCATTGAGGATCTTGCCGGGAAACTTAAGTTCCCGCTGCGTGAGATTAAGCTGATGGACGGCTCCAAGCGTTCCAACCACTCCAACATGTACTTCTACGGACTGTGGTGGTTCAAGAAGATCGTGATGTACGACACGCTCCTCAAGCAGCCGAAGTCGCAGATTATCGCCATTACCTCCCACGAGATGGGCCACTGGAAGTGCAACCATGTCACAAAGATGTTGATATACAGCCTCTCGCAACTGTTTGCCATCTTCTACCTGTTCAAGCTCTACAAGGACGACGCTTCCATGTTCGAAAGCTTCGGGTATGACGGTGAACGTGCTTTCATCGTGGGAATTACCCTTTTCGGTTGCATTTACACCCCTCTTGGAGCGTTGATGCACATTATCGGTACGACCATCACGCGCTACGGGGAGTACCAGGCTGACAATTTCGCCGTCAAGATGGGCCACGGCGAGGAGCTGGCCAAGGCTCTTGTCGAAATTCACCACAACAACAAGTCCATGATCCACCACGACCCGCTTTACTCGTGGTACCACTTCACGCACCCCGTCCTGTTCGAGCGTGTCTACGCTATCTATAAGGCGATGGCGGATATGAAACTTTAACTTAATAAATGAGTTGCATTCAAACACAGCTGTTGCAAAGGCTGAACTCCGTTGGCGTCGATGGTGTAGCCGCGGCGGTCCGTCGTTGCGTTCGTGAAGGTGTGTTGTCTATGGAGCGGTTTTCGCTCTCTAGCTGCAATGTGTTCGTGGAATCTGCGTATATTGGCCTGTGATAACAGTACACATACGCCAAAAGTGATCGTGGTGGCCCATTTAGGCATTCATCGTTCGTTCAGGCCTGACCGGGAAGGAGGAGCTTGCACATATTGCCGCAGTCGTTCATCGGCACCTTCCTAATTTGGACGCTTCTGCTACCACAAGCGTGCTTGCTAGCCTATCTAAGGCCCACTATCGCAACTTCCAACTTTTTTCGGCCCTTGTATCGCGTCTCGACCATCTACCATCACTCCAGCTGAAGGACGCTTGCTCGGCGATACGCTCCTTTTCGCGCATCCACTTCACCAACACCGCGGTTGTGTCACGTTGCGCTGACATAGTGAAGAACAACATCGATCAAATACGGCCATTGGATGCCTGTGAGCTGTTGCATGCCCTCACCAGATTGCGCCACTGCGACGAAGAGCTGCTGGGACTTTTGGTGTCGAGATCCGTTGCAGATATATCCAGCTTCGACGATATCGCACTTGCAAACTTTGCAACAGGAGCTGCCAAAGCTGGCGTCGACGCCTCTACGGTGGCTGTGATTTGTCGGGAACTGCATTCACGATCCGGGACGCTCGGACCTCTTGAGGCAGTTAGGTCGTTGCTGGCACTGGCTCGCTTGGGGTCACATCCTGACACAGTGAAAACCGCCGATATTGTTCTGAAGGGTCTGAACTGTTCTCGGCTCTCTCTTATACAGCTGGTTTTGGCGTTAGAGGCGGTGTCGCAGCTAGGTTGCATGGATGCTGAAAGGATACGCACCGCTCTCGTGGCCAAACGTGATGCTTACCCTCGACTGCCGCACGATGTAGGTTTGCATATATGCGTTCCTATCTTCTTGCAGCTTGCAACTCGCATCGAATCAGCGCTAGCGTTGTCGACTGAGGAGCAGGCGCCAGACTCCACTACCGCCAGTCCAGAGGCCACTCTGTAATTAATGCCGGCTCTAACATATCATTTGAATGAAGCTGTCGACTGTATTTGTGTATTTACACTAACATTAAAATTCTTATCGGGATATTTCATTGTTATAACGTTGGTAGAGCCGCTTGAAGCGGCCTCCTTGGAGGTGCAACAGCGGCCATACAGGCTTGGTGTCGAATAGGTAGTAGAAGTATATATAGGCGCCACCTATCGCCACTACATCCGCAAAGTAGAATTCTCGGTAGAGCAGGTAATTCTGGAGCAAGAACATGAGAGGTACCGACTCCGCCGGTAGCGTGAACAGGTCGAAGCAGTTTACCACTGACCCTTCGTTTAAGCGGCTCCAGTAGTAGAGCACATAAGTATGCAAGTGGTACGCCGCGCTGGACATTGTCGCCTCATGCCGTCCCGCAATTGCCTCCGCAACCCCGTAGGCTGAGAGTAGCGCCAATCCGAAGGCCATGAACTCGACAAACTTTTCAGGCTTTGCGCAGTGCGATATCTCAACGGATGACATGTAGAGCACCACCGACTGCAGCATGAACATGTGTGCCAGCCATAGTGGCCCGAAGTTGAGAAATGGAGTTATGAGCCGCCAGATCTCGCCACGCTTCACTCTTTGCAGGTCGAACTGGAGCGCGTTTAACGTGTAGTTGTCGTTCAGTGCCCATGCCAGAAGCGCAGACACCGTCGACAAAGCCACATACGCACCAGTTACGGGCGGTATGCGCTGAATCGCCTTAATATGCCTCGAAATCCACCAGTGTTCCCTGGAGTCCAGCAGCGAGCTCAAACTGGTTTTAGGCTCCTCAGTGGGCACCATAGCATAGCGTTCCTTCATTGAACTTGTCGGTATTACGGCGACATCGTATTTGACCCCGCTCTTCACCATTCCCCGCGGCGCTTTGGCCCTGGGGACGACTTGCGAGGTGCTCCATGCTTGGCCAGCGCAACTGCGTCCCACCGAGCGGGCGTGAGTGCGAGCACTCGCCGCCAGCAAGACGAAGAGCAGCTGCCAATATAACATCCCTGCCTACCTTACGCATTCATGACTATCACGCGTTCGTGCAGTTCAGCCCTCAGTTCATTCCCAGCATGGTCCTGGACTATGATTTCCGCCAAATGCCAGACACCAGGGATGGATCCTCGGGGAAGCATGTACTGGTAGTGGATCTTCTGCCAGTCGTTTTTGTCCTCGAACTTGGGGTGGATGCGGTACCCCGCTCCGAACGGGTCCCTGAAGACGGCGCTCAATCCTGCAACGCCGCTGTGGATGTCCCTCACTTCGAAGTAGAAGTCGACCTAAAAGACATGCTATTCACCAGTTCAAAAGCACTCACCTTAGTCTCCCCGTTGGGATTCTGTCGGTTGGTGGGCTCGCTGGTGACGTGAATGTTGCGTACTTCTGGTTTGCTGTCGTCTTCCTGGGACATACGGCTTCGGTAGGTCACGTAAGGTCCTTTTGCCTTCGGCCACTGGAGCATCTGTGAGTTGCCAGCGGAATCGAATGAAACAATGCTCGCAATGTGGTAATTTCCAGATCTGGCGGCTCTGCTCAACGGAACGTTCACAGACACCTCAAAACAGTTGAACAGCCCTGGCGCGGTCTCGCGGTAACTTAGACCGTCAAAACGGTCCTCTCCTTCGAAATTATACTTGTTGAAATTCGGTGCGGCACTAATTTCGTGGCTACGCACCCATGCTGCGGTACACATCCGCGACGGGACCTTCCTGCAGCCAACCCACATACCGTGGCGCCAGTCCTCCTTCACACCGGTTTGAAAGTCCAATCCTTTGGCGTAACTGGCTAAGCTGTACTGGCCGAATGTTTCGTTGCTGACGGCGGCGTAGGCGCCGCTGTCTGCTCGCATAATGCCGTCGTCCGCGACCATCCATGTCGCTCTCATCACGGCGTTTTCTGGCAACCATTAGTGACAAGCGTCCTATAACTCACCTGGACCTTCCACTAAGCTCAGAGAAATCGATGGAATCAAGGCTCTAGGTGCCTGGAAGTCCTCGGCACCGTTGTCTACCCACACCCTCAGGCCGAAGTCGGCGGCACCGACATAACGATGCAGGTGGTTCGCATCCGCCAAAATGATCTGGTCAGTGGTCCACACGCCACGTTTTTGAGTTCTGTTGATAATAGCCTGCCCTGTGAGCACGTGGCTGCAGCGGCCGTTTATCCCGTAAATAGGTACATCAACAAAAGTCTTTGCGCTAGACGTCAGCCTGAACTGGCCAACCGTGGCGCAAGAGTTTTCGCCGTTCTTGGCCAAAAACAACTTGAATTCCGCGCGTTTGTCTTCATTGATTTTCCCCGTAACCTTGACTTCGATACGGATGATCCTTCCCGGGTACATGAAGTCCGGGTTGCCGAGGTTGAGCACCGTGAACTCGTGGGACGCCTTGGTCACGTAGTGAGCGCCATTCATGACGTTGTTACGCAGGAAGTCGAACTTCCTGGGTGCCCTGCTCTTAAGCTTATTAGGGTTGAGGACGAAATCGGCAATGCACGTGGCGAAATCTTCCGACGGGTTTTTCTTGTGGCCGTATGCGTTCACGAACTCCGTCTGCTGCCTGGTTGACCAACCGTCGGGGTCGTTAGGGTCCTGGAACCACCCACCAACTTCCTGCCATTTCATGAACAGGTCCTTCGGCACTACATTGGCGTGTACGAAGTGTCCCAACTCGTGGATGATAAGGTTCGGGATATCCGGGTACTTGTGGAATGCAGACTCCATGAACTCAATGTACGAGTTCTCATCCTGTCCCCTTGGGTACGCAATTGCGGGCGCCGTGGGTTCTTCCGGGTTCACTGTGCCATCCTGCCTGCGCAACAAGTATTTGAGCCCCTTGATCTTCTGGAATCCGGCGGGGTACTCACTCCACGTCGTCGCTATTTCAACCAGTTCCTCCGGATGCTTGAACCACGTCTGGTAGTCGCTTGAGGGGTACCTCGTGAGCGGCCTGCCATTGTTCATCTTCGGGTGGATGTAATGCGGTTCAATCAGCTCTATGTCGTGCATGTGGAAGAACATGGCACGCATAGTGTCCGGGTTGTGTAGGCACAACGCGCGGATCACTGCCTTGTACAGCCTCCTGGAGAAGTAGGTGCGTCTGCGGCCCCCTTTATCTACTGCTCGTCTGACGGCGTAGGTGAAGGCGAGCTTGGAGAGGGTCACAACCTGCGTGTATTTTGAATTCTCCTGCCTGGCGAAGTCCATAGGTGCACCGTGCGGAGCATTATCCTGGGACGTCTTTGAAAAGTGGGTGATGGCCACATCCTGAGGGAACAGCGGCTCGTCGGTTAGCACCCACTTCTGCAGTTTCTCATCTTTGCTGTGCATGTGTTTGTAGAACTTCCAATCGACTAAAATTCCCAGAAGCCTGCTTGCGTATTCGCTACCCCATGCTCCGTGCAGTTCGATACCGTAGTTCAGCTTCAGTTTGGCTGCGGCGTCACTGTAGTCGAGGTTCGCTTCGATTCCTGGCATCGATGCGTTGTATACAGACGCCTCATTCCTGTCTATAAGGGTGAGGCTTTCAACACCGTACTGGGCAGCTCTCTGCAGCGTCCAGCTGTAGTTGTACTCTCCTTCATTGCCGCGCATCGGCTCGATGCCGAGCTTCGAGTCGTTGGTGGTGAAGGGGCAGGGTTGTGTCTCGCAGGGCCTCTTGAATGGCACCACACCGGGTAACCTGTATCCGGATCCTTCTACCTTGATGTAGTACTTTCCACGTGGCACCTGGAACCTGAACTGGGGTCGCTCTGCCGTGACCTTGGTTTCGTAGAGAATGTCGAACCGGGCGCCGGAGGTGGTACCCAGGATGACCGTAACGGGGTCTCTGCTGACAATCCCTTCTACGACTCCAACAACATCGAACTTCTCAGATTTCTTCGAAAGCGTGATGTTGTCGTAGGTTTCCCGCGTGGAGGTGGGACTGGTGTGGAGGAAGGATACCACCATGTTTCCATCATAGTCGGGGATCAGCTTCGGCTCCAGAAACACTCCCATCTGGGAGAAAGAGAGCGAGGCGGGTGTTTGCAAGTCATTTCCGGCACCCAGAAGGTCTCCTGTGCGTTGTTGAGCATGCCATCTGGCGGCGGACTTACTGGCATACTTGACGGGTAGCGCCAAGCTCGACTGAGCAAGCGCGCCTAGCAGAAAAGACGTATACACAAAAAGCGGCGCCATTGTTATCGGCGTGGTTGTCAAGACGCTTCGCGGTGACTGTCGGAGGTTAGCGTCTGTGGGCAGTCGGATCAGACGAAATTGTTGCGCTGCTTTATTATTGCAGGCTTATAAAGTGATGTAAATGCGCACTCATTTCCTGAGAGGGAGACGCTGCGCGTGATTCAAGTGCGCTGGGCGACTCAGGCACTTTGTTTGTATGCTGCCGTAGAGCATCCCAGACGCAGATGTACTGAGTGCCGAGCTGCGTCTACTAAGAGTGTTAATTGGCACGTGCGCAAATCGTTCACGACATTGAGCACAAATGCACACAAAAATCTCCAGTCCATCTCTATTTACGGGATTAGCGAATAAACAATGGGCTGGGCCGTTTTGGCCTTCCATCGCCAATTATGTTGACCTGCGCGGAACTCGGATGGTATGGCACGTCGGACAGCGGAGGTAACGATTCGTGCACACCTCAACGCGTCTCGGCTGTCGTGAAACATTCCAGAGGAACCTCGACGCGACACTGCACAGTGCCTAGGCCACTTTTTAGTGACCTCTGCCTACCGGCGGCTCTGTCCACCGTGGACACATCCTTGCCATATGTAAATGACACAATTCCAGCCCGAAACTGCCCATATAACAATACGATGGGTCAGCCGTTACGGTGTTGACGCCGTCAAACTAAGGCGGCCGAATCAGACACACCATACGCTTAAATCGAATACAAGCCCTTAAACAGAATATGTGTGAGCATAATCAACGAAATTTGCATTATAATGTAACACATAGCCACATTTTTGCGAACTGGCGGGGTGCGACATCGCGGGAACAGCACCAGTGATATCACGTACGTAGTGCTTCACATTACATTACAAATATATAATAGACCGCTTAAAGGCCATAACCATTTGGCCGTAAGCTCATCAATATATGCTGTCGAGCCGTTAACTACAACGGCTGCATAGGCCGCCGCCATTACGGGTCAGCCGATATCGCATATTTAAAATGACTGCTGGAGACGATTCGCTCTCCATAAAGGGCACGCCGCTATCCGGCCGCGTTTGGAAGAAGAACGCCCGGCCTCGCCGCGCCCTGTCCAAGACAGGCGGCGACCGCTCCGCCGAGGAACGCAGTCGCCAGAAGTGGGAAGAAGCGCAGGCTTTAAAGCGAGAAATGAAAGAGATGGCAGCCGAAACAAGCGAGGTTATTCAGAAAGCCCGGGAGCTTCGCAAAGAGCGACTGCGCAAGTTGCGCGAGAAGCGCGCTAAAAAGCAGGCCAACGAGATCAAATCCGCCGGTAACGACGTGGTGGTGGTGAGCAATAGTAAGTGAACTTTTCCAGTGTGTCGTCATAAGCTTGCAGAGAAGGTGTCGAAGATGACCAAAAAGGCTCGCCGAAAGCTGACGAAGGTCACCCCTGAGGTGGCCAACATTCTCCTGCGGAAGCACTAATTTTTACCGTGTGCACATCCATTAGCTGATTAACGCTTGTGTGTCTATATGTGACAAGCTCGTTTTTTGTTCCGGATGGGGGCGGGTCGCGGTGGCCGCTCTGGTGCCGCAGCTGGCGCTTCCCAATCGCTGATCACACAATTGGGTATTGACGCTTTAAAATGTCAACGTTGTGGCGTAAATTACCAGTAAGTGGCCGAGATTGTCGTTGCACATCCCTTGGCAGGTGCCGGGCAAGCTAGACGTCTTCCGGTTCGACAAACTCTATCGCAGAGGGCCCACGACTGCCCGCCAGCCATCGGGTAACGCATCGGTGAAGGACCGTATTGAGGCTGCCTTCCAGCCCGTGGACTTTTTGGAGGTGGACCTGCTGAAGGGCTCGCCCGTGGACACAACGATCACCTCAGCAACACCTGACCCCTACCTGGAACGCTGGCTGAGAGCCCCCAAGTGATTGAGCAGTAACCATGGTGAAGGCCGTAGATGGTGACGGCGCTAAGGGCGGCAAGGCCGCACGCAAAGCGAAGAGCTCATCCGAGTTCTCCACTGAAAACATGCTCCGTGACATAAAGAAGGTGGTGAAGGCCTTCGGTGGCGGGATAATGAAGGATACGGAGAAGTCCAAGAAGTCGAAATCAAAGAGCATGGCCCTACCCATTGTGAAGGGCAAGAAATCAATCGCTTCGCTGCCTATTCTGAGTGAAGATGAAGATGGGGAAGATAGCACCGCAGAGGATGCGCCTGTAGAAAAATCCAAGCCGACTAAAGGAAAGAAAGAAAAATCTGCTGACACGAAGAAGAAACACGTGGATGCTGAGAACACCCCCGTAGATGAATCGGAAAAGGTTGAGGCAAAAGGTGTCAAGATGACCAGCGACGCCATGGCAGCTTCGAAGAAAGTGGCATCGTTGAGGCAGCCAAAAAGAGTGAGCGCTGCCGCGGTCAAAACTTCACTCGATGCGACAGCTCCTGTGAAGTCGGCGGCATCGACTAAGAGTTCTCCGAAGTCAATACGCCTAGATGAGAGCGACGATGATTCCCCGTCGTCGGGAAAGGCCACTTTGCCTCAGTCGGATGTTGAAACAACCAAAAAGGCGAAAGAAAAAAAGACGCCGGCAACTAAGCTGCTGTTTACCAACGTCAAAGCTTCCGAAGAGGCGTTCAAGACCCTGATCAAAAGCCGTATCTCATCATGCGGTGCGTACATAAAGTGCTTCATGACGTCTGCTGGGAAGTACGTAGTTCTAGTCGCCAACGAAGAAATTGCCAATGCATACGTGTCGTACTTCAATGGGTATGAGTTGAACGGTGAGGCGATGTCGGTGGACATCTCAACCAGGGGGCCGAAGGGCACCGAAAAAAAGATGCACATGCCCTCCAAGGAATCATTCAAGACCGTCACTCTCAAAAATATACCGAAGGTGTTCGAACGTGACTCCGTTGTTAAGGCACTGGAATCTGTTGATGGTGTGAAGTACAAATCCTTGAAACGTGACTTAGGGGGCAACTGGGCAGTCGGATTCGAGACTGTGCCCGATTGCGTCAAATTCACGTCCCTGGTGAACGGCGGCGTTCTAACCTTCGTTAATGAGACAAAAACCAAAAAGGTAAAAGTCAAATGTGATGCTCCGTCGTTCGGCACGAAGGCGGCTCACGCCGGTCGCGTGTTTGTCCAGAACCTCAGCTTCAACACTACTGCCACCCAGTTGGAGGAGTTAGTGCACCGTTTTGATAAGGGAGCAAAGGTTCACATGCCAAAAGGTGGCAAGAAAGGCTTCGCTTTCGTTCAATTCTCCAACATACAGGTTGCCGAGAAGGCTATTCTGCGCCTGAACGGCAGCGATTTCGGAGGACGAAAGATAAGACTTGCACTCTCGCTGCCTACTGAGCTTTATAAGGACAAGCCGAAAACGGTGGAAACTAAGCCTGAGGCAGATCCAGCGGGAGACAAAAAGGAAGATCTGGATGAAGGTGACGAAGATGAAGAGGAGGAAGAAGACGACGACGAAGAAGGAGAAGGTGATGAACAGGACGACGATGATGATGACGAAGAGAGTGATGATGAGGAGGAAATGGATTCGGGTGACGAAGAAGATGAGGAAGAAGGCGAGGAAGATGATGACGAAGAGGGAGAAGAAGAGGAAGACCAAGAAGAAGAAGGAAGTGAAGAAAATGAAGACCAACAAGCTTCAGGCAAAGGAAAAAAGGCGCGTAGCTCCGGTGAGAAGACAAAAAAGAGCGACGAAAGTAATCGCACAATATTCGTGCGTAACTTGAGCTACCAGTCTACAGAGGCTGCCCTTCGGGAGTACTTTTCCACCTATGGCGCTGTGAAATCTTGCAACATTTGTAAAGATGAGAAAGGGGTCAGCCGTGGCACCGCTTTCATTCTTTTCGAGGATGCCGACGACGCACGTAAGATTTTGGCCATGGAGGAGCTGGCGCTGGAACGTGACGCCGATTTCAACTTGGAGGACAAAAAGAGCGCCCGCAACAAGGTGAAACATGGACCGGCTGCGGGCCTTGGATTCTCCCTAAATGGTAGGCGCTTGCGCCTGTCACGGGCAATCAGCAAGGACGAGGCCAGCAACTTGTCGAAAGCCAAGGAGCAAAAGCGCAATGCCGCCCCCAACTCGAAGAAACGCAGCGACCTATTGATGGAAGGCGTAATCCTCGAGACTTCCCCTGAGTTCCAGAAGCTGACCGCGATGGAACAGAAACTCCAAACCTCCAGTTTCAAAGAGAAACTGGAGAAGATGAAAAACCCGAACATGTTCTTGAACCCCAAGCGCCTCTGCGTGCGCAACTTGCCTCCCAACGCGGATGTGAACGAGCTCCGGCGGGCCATTGTCGCGCACTTCCGGCGCAACGTGGACCTGGCCAGCATCTGCGGCAGCAAGAAGGTTGACGCAAGCCGGACCATCGGCAAGGTGACATTCCTGTCCGATGAGAAGCGCAAGGTGAAGGTTGGGGAGTCCACCATGCGGCGGCGTATGCCGTTTGCGTTCATCGACTTCAACCACGAAGAGCTTGCGTTGCAGGCCCTGCGTTTCCTGTCCAGCAATGCCGACATATTCGGTGCCCGCCACCGTCTTTTTGCGGAATTCGCCATCGAAGACAGCCGAGCACTCTACATACAGAATAAGCGCAAGCAGCAGTATGATGAGAAGCTGAAGGAGAGAATCGCTGCCAAGGAAGACGAAGAGGACACGCCGGAGGCTGGGAAGAAACGCAAGAAGTGCAAAACATACAGCCGTGGCAAGCTGCAGCGCATGAAACGCCGCAAGCTACGTGAGGCTGCGGCCGAACAGCCTGCTGCAAACTCATGAACTAACGTTACTGCGTATTTCATAACCCCGTTTCTAGTTTACAACTTATGTGCGATATTTGTTAGAGTAGTTCAAATCATGTCTCCAGTGCGCCATTTGTGGGTTGTTTGCGCGCTTGAATGAATTGCTGTGTTTACGCCGACTGTGGTGTCGAGCACCGACAGGTCGCCGCGGTGTCGTGACCCTCCATTCTATAATCGTGAAGCGCTACAATCCATAATGGTTGCGACTATTCACTTGATGGATTAATAGTGCGCAGGCACTGACGCGATCCAATGCGATCCTCTCCGTACTGGGAGTTATGTTACAAGCTGCGTGCCCGCGGTGCCTTACTCCGGGAACCCAGCGCCGTCTTTGTTGGACCATTCGCTGTGCGGAGTAGACGTGATACGCGGGTTGAGTCGGCGCTCCATCACGCTCTCAGCTGCCGCCATGCGAATGCCCTTCGAGTCGTGAAGCACGCGAGCGTCGCTGATCGCGCGCACGTTCGGCTTAGTGCTGACGGGATTCTTGTCGTTTGGGGGCTGCATGGACTCCAGCAGATCGATCCGTTTACGCATATTCTGCAGCCTTTCACTGCGTATTGCCGCAACTCTGCCCTGTTCGTTCTTGATCGACCGCAGCATGGTCTGTTCCGCATCCTCCGAATGGCTGAGAGCCTGCTTCAGCGCCTGCTGTTCACTTTCAACTGCCATCTTTTGGCGCCTCATGGCGCTAATTCGGTCTTGTAGCTCGTTAAGCTCGCGTTCCTCGATGCGCAGCTGCGCATGTTCGGCCTCAGCCTCCTCGCTAACGGTCCTGTGCAGCGTGTGGAGCTCAGCCATGCGTTCCTCATTCTTCTTATAAAGCAGTCTGAGGTAATTGTTCTCCGCCTCTAACTTAGACAAATCTTGCTCCAAGTCCTCCACATGCTTCTTTAACGATTCAACGTGGTTAACTAGGCGGCGATTCTCCGTGACGGTAGCCTCTGGATCAACCGTCTTGGTGGCATCCCTGTGTTCCACCGGGATCGCATTGATGTCTGGCGCATTCCTTGGGACGTCGTAACGCTCGTCTTCTGTGCGTTTCGGATTCTTGCCTGTGATGGATGATGCTGCCGTACTTGCGATGTCTTCGTGGCTTGCAGGGGCCATGCGGGTGTCTTCTCCTGCCGGGTGTGTGGATGGCCTCCCGTCACCCCTTACTGGGCGAGGTTGCGGCAACCGATCATGCACTGCGGCACTTTGGGATGGTACGCTGTGGGTGACAGCCGGGCGCAATATCTCCACCGGTGGCGGGTTGCGCGGCGGCAGTCGGCTGGCCAACCTGTCCTGGACCAAGTGCTCCATGACCATGAACTCCCCAATGGAAAGCCGTCCGTCGCAATCCGCATCTGCCACCTCCCATATCCGAAGCAGCTCATCATCCGGCAGCTCGTTGCGCGTGAGGTAGTAGTTTCGTGCGTCGAGGCCCTCAACAAATCCGTCGCAGTCGTGATCCAGGGCAAGGAACAGCTTTTCGTACACCACCGCCTCGGCCGGTGTAATCTTAGGCATGTCCGAACTCGCAGCGTCGTCAAGCACCGAAGTGTCGAACGACGGGTTGCACTCCGTCACTGCATTCATGTTCAGCAACCGGACAGGGAGCTGACTGTCCCACATCCAGTCGGGTCGTCTCATGAAATCTGGGTGTGATTGGGCATATGCGATAAGCACGCAACACAGACAGAACGCCCTATAGTCTAGTTCTCCGCGGCCTTCCACGTCCGCCAAACTCCAGATGTCGAACAGTGCCGCATCCGAAACTCCAGAAGTTTTAAACAGACGCCGCGCAATGTCGCCATTTATGGTACCGAATCCGCTCCGGTCGCACCGGAGGAACAGCTTGCGCAGCCTGGCGTCCTGAGAGGGTTGGAGAGCCAGGCTGTCCATGCACATCTGGTGAAGCCGCCGGATGTCGCCCATTTGTGGGCCGTCTTGTAACGCCTCCGCCATCGATCTTCGCCAATAGCCTTGTGTGTAAGGCTGTCGTACTTCGTATTGTGAGTCCCACGACGCGTGGCGAGGCGCAGCCCGGGCCGAGGTGCGGCGTCCACTGGGTGGCATCTCGGTCGCCTCCGTGGCGAAGGAGTCGACCCGTGGACTCACTCGTTTATTCCACATTAATCAAGGTGTAACAGAATATCGCCTATATACGGCTTTGTAAGCCGTAGACACGCGATTATATGGGCGAGTCGAGGCGCAGCATGTACCGGGTGTACGCCGTCATATCAGGATGCGGGCATCAAGTTTGTACCTCGTCCATTCATAGGTTAGGCACCGTAAGTTGGGAAGAAATAATGGTGGAATCTCGTGTCTAATGGCGCTAGCCGCCGTAAACAGGTGCGCGGTTCGGGCTCGACGCGTGCCTGATAGAGCGGAGATACAAGGTTCCCCTTTGAATCTCTATGATCTCAAGCTCCTCTTATATTAGGTGGAGGTTGATTGCGGGGATTATTTGGCATAGGAAATGGTGAAATTCCGCAGCCGTGGTAGTGTTCAGCAGCCGTGAGACGCTTGCATCTTGACGCCGTCCACGAGGCTACAACTACGGAGGAATTTGAGCGTTACGGACACGCTCAATTTTTACAATGGTGCAACTGCGTGTGTAGTGGACCGGGGAGACCTCGGCCCAGGGCTCAGCCGCGCAGCCAGAACCCCGCATTACTACCTACGCGCCTAATCCTATCATTATTGTGGGGCATTGCGACGACAAGAAGAGACTTAATATCCTTGATCGCCGTCACATGCCGACTCGCTTTGCCGCTGGTTTTTTAACAGTCGTTACGCTCGTCCCGCGGTACTCACACACTCACAGTTCTGGCGCGCCCAGCCTCAAAACTGTGTAAGCACGTCTCTTTCTTGTTAAGCAGCTAATAGGGTGCCTCAGCGCAGCCACAAAGCCAATAAGTGCTGCAGCGTGTACCTGTCGTAATGCGATTTGTAAACGAGCTCACGGTCTTCTTCGACCGAAGCGGCGAGCGAAGGCCGCCCAGCAGGACAAGGCGCCTGGCGATTGGGATATGGAATCGCTTCACCATTCCCTCATTCTTCGGAAGAAAGGCATCATGCTGCGGCGTTGTTGCCTACGTGGGCACTGAAGACTGCCGCGACGTGCTCCTGAACGACATCCAGGCCATCAAGCACCGAGGATACGACTCGTGCGGAATTGGCACTTTGAACTTGGACGGCTCCATAGAGGTGACGAGATGCAGCAGCTACAAGGCGCCGGCGAACTGCTTCGAGCGCCTGCGAGACCGCATCGGCGATCGCCACCTGGGCAGCAAGATCGGCATCGCCCACACGCGATGGGCAACTATGGGCCCTCCCACGGACGAAAATGCCCACCCGCACTGCGACGCAAAGCGCCGTGTGGCGCTGGTGCACAACGGCACCGTTACCAACACGGTCGACTTGTTCAACGAGACATGCGCAATGCTACGTGAGCGCGGGTTGGAATTGGAGAGGATCTACGGTACCGAGCCCAAGTGCCCTGATTCTGACAGTGCGGCGATAGCCAACATCATTGGTCTCCACCTGGATCTAGGCTACGATGCATTCTCTGCGATGAACATCGTGGTGTCACGCCTGGAGGGATCATGGGCCATATGCCTCCTCAGTGCCAACAACCCGCACTCCCTTTACGTCGCTCGTTCTGGGTGCCCGCTACTGCTCACCAAGAACGACAACACTCAGTCCGTGCATGTCGCCAGCGAGACGGTGGCGTTCATGAACCATGCCGACCAGTTTGTAGTGCTCGAAGACGGCGACATCATGGAGCTGAACTACAACTCAGTGGTTGAGTTGTTCCGCACGAGAAAAGTGTGCAATGTAACGAGGCTGCACGTCCGCAGCACGCCAGAACCTCATGAGTTCTGGATCCAAAAAGAGGTTGCTGAGCAACCGCTCGTGGCGCGTGTGGCGCTGCAGCACTTCAAGTTGGTGCGTGCGTCCCGCGAACTGCGTGCCATTAAACAGGCCCTTGAGGGCGTAGTCGATGTAACCTTCGACAGCGACGAGCACCTGGTTGACCGTGACCTGGAGCTCGTCTCCGCCTTGGACCCTCGTAACGTGCGCTTCGAGATCCCAGTGCACGGCGACGCGTCACTGCTCAAGAAGATCGAGGCGCGACGAAAAATCAACATTGTCGCAGCTGGAAGTTCCCTGCATGCTGCGCGTTATGTGGCGTCGCTCTTCCAGACCCGTCCCATATTCGCGCTCATCGAGACCGATGACCCCACGGAGATGAAGCTGTACCGCTACACCCACCCCGATTCTACCATCATCTTCGTATCGCAGAGTGGAGAGACCCTGGACACTGTGAAGGCGTGCGGCATGCTTGCTGCGCGCAACCCCAGTGCTGTCAAGATTGCCATGCTTAACAACTTGAACACGCTGCTTGACCGCTCGTGCGAACTGACGATGATGATCAACATCGGGCGCGAAGTGTCGCTTGCGTCTACTAAGACCTTCAGCGTCCAGGTAATGCTCCTTATGGTGCTGTTGGGCTACATTCTGCAATCGCAAGACACCGAAGGTCGCCACGCGGAGTTCCTCACCCAACTCAAGGCATCAATCATCGCCTTTGGTCCGAGCCTGAAGAAGATGCTGACTACTGCGCCGCAGTGTGAGCGCATTGCTCGCAGGCTGGTAGATGTGGAGTCGCTCTACGTGACCGGGAACGCCGAGGCTTACGCAATTGCCATCGAAGCCGCGCTGAAGTTCAAGGAGGTGACGTACATCCATGCTGAGGGAATACCGTCGGGAGCGATGAAGCACGGTCCCTTGGCATCGATCGACCCCAAGGCGCGCACTCCGGTCATATGCATTATCACGCCGGACGAGCCCGAAGCGGCGGTGAACGCTGCAAAGCAGCTGAAGGCCCGGAACGCCTACATCATCCTCTTGGCTGCGAACCCCGGTTTAGCGGACATCGCGGATGAGTTCATCCAGTTGCCTAACTGCGGCATGTTGACTGCCGCCTGCGCTATCGTGCCAGTTCAGATGATCGCTTACAACGTCACCATCATGAAAAAGCGGAATCCCGACACCCCACGTGGGCTGGCTAAAACAGTTACCGTGAGCTAAAAAGGAGAAGACCTGGAACTCACGCCGTTGTCGGCACATAAGTGCCATTTATTTTCAGTACTACATTAAAGACGTCGAGTCTACGTGCGCGCGCCAGAACTCTAGTGCCACACCGATTTGCGATACCATGATGCATTCTTGTTCCCTAAAGTCGGCGCAAACGCCCCAGGAAGCCGCCTGGAGCGTCTCCTCGAGCCGTGACGCCCGCACCGCACGGGCGGTGTCGATGGCGCCGTCGAGTAGCTCCAAGGGCAGGACTATTGACTTTAATCTTCTGTGTATATTTTTTACTACTACCACTTGCGCAGCTGAATATGACAATAGTGTGCTTCTCACGGCGTCTACGACGTCAGCGGGCTGGCGGGGACTGGATGCGATCTCGCCCGACGCCACCAGGGCGCTGGTACCTCGGCGCTGGGCGAAAGCCCGCAGAATCGGCAGGAGGTACGTGCTCTGCAGCACGTCAAGGTCAAGCGGTGCGATGCGATCCATGCAGGCGCTGTCTAGCTCTTCGATGCCTGCGAGCATCTCTAACGGGACCTCAGGCTGCGGGTGGAACCTCAGTGCGGTGTCGAAGTCGAGGGCATCGACAAGCGTGGAAACGACCGATGCGCGCTTGTCGGGCCTCATATCGACCGTCTCTGCGAGCAGCATCGTCATCGGCAATGTCTCGAAGCGTGTCAGCTGCCCGAGCCGCTCCCGCCACTCGGCAACCACGCGCTCAGCCACCGATCTGGACGGGGTGCCCAGCACATTGCCCAGAGGAGATTCCAGCAGTCTACCGTCGAGCAATACTGAGTACTGCTGCCCAGTATAATGCAGATCTACGGACTTGCGACAGAGGGTGTGAGCCGTCTTGTCGCGAAGCCGTACGCGCTCGAGCGACGCGAGATCGGCAACGTCGGCGAGCTGCCGACGCGTAATGTGCCATGCGCAGCGCTTCAACAGGCCAGCCGACGTTTTAAAAGCAAGGCTAATCATTGTCTACCGCCAACTGCCATACCTTTAGAGGCAAAACACCGGCGAAGGCTCGGCACAATCACGCCTAATCGCACCTAGAGACCCATTGGGTTGCAATTTCCCACCTATCACACCCACGTGCAATATGTGTATGCATATCCAAAGAGCGGCTAGCGCTACGGTGGTAGGCGCAACAGTGGAATCCCCATCCGCCTCCCACGGCGTCCGGAAGGTGCCGGCGACGAGACACTCAGGCCGATCGTCATAGCTTACCGCTACAAGTAGTAACTACTTTTTGCGCCATTCAACAGCCGAGTGTGCGCTCGTAGCAGGACCTTCCAGCACCGCCGTCGAACGCAGCGGCGCCGACACACTCACGCCAACCAGCACACTACGCCGCGCGACGACGACGCAGGATGTCCGTGAACATACTCAACAGGCAGGCCGACAGCCTGCAGGCCATGGCCGCGTTGGCCACCAACATTCACGCCGCGAAGAGCCTGTGCGACATCGTCAAGACAAACCTGGGTCCCAAGGGCACCTGCAAGATGCTGGTCAACGGCGCTGGAAACATCAAGATCACGAAGGACGGAAGCGTGCTGCTCAGTGAGATGATGATCCAGCACCCTACGGCGATGATTCTTTGCCGAGCGGCCTCCGCCATGGACGAAATCACCGGCGACGGCACCACCTCCAATGTCATGATTTCCTCCAACCTGATGAAGAACAGCGAAGACCACATCCTGTACGAGGGTGTCCACCCGAAATTCATTGCTGACGGCTTCAATGTGGCGCTCGAGAAGGCGCTGAAGAGCCTCGAAGAGCTCAAGGTCTCCGTAGGCACACGTGAAAAGCTCGACTGGGAGATACTTGCCAACGTTGCCAAGACGTGCACGTGCACCAAGCTACCGAGGGCGCTCGCACTGCACATAGCGCACGAGGTGCTGGAGTCCATTAAGCTCATATATCGCTCCGATGAGCCCCTGGATCTCTTCATGGTCGAGGTCCTGCACATGCGTCACCGCCTCGCCTCGGAGACCCAGCTGGTGCGCGGTATGGTCCTTGACCACGGCTCACGCCACCCGGACATGCCAAAACGCATCGAAAACGCGTTCATTCTAACCCTAAACTGCTCACTGGAGTACGAACGGAGTGAGGTGCACTCCGGATTCTCCTACTCCAGTGCCAAGCAACGCGAACGTTTGGTCAATTCGGAACGCAAGTTCACCGACGACAAGGTTCAGAAGATCATTGACCTCAAGCACAAGGTGTGCACTCCAGGAAGCAACCGCACCTTCTGCGTGCTTAACCAAAAGGGCATCGATCCGCCGGCGTTGGACATGCTCGCCCGTGAGGGAATAGTGGCGCTGCGCCGCGTCAAGCGCCGCAATATGGAGCGTTTGACGCTTTGCTGCGGCGGAAATGCGTGTAATAGCGTAGAGGAGCTCACGGAAGCTGACCTAGGTTTTGCCGAAAAGGTGTACGAGCAGATGGTCGGAGAGGAAAAGTATACTTTTGTCGAGGGCGTGACGAACCCGCGCAGCTGCACGCTGCTCATCAAGGGGTCCAGCGACTACAGCATAGCCCAGATCAAAGACGCCATCAGGGACTGCCTTCGCGCCGTCAACAACGCGATCGAGGACGGCTACGTGCTCCCGGGCGCAGGCGCCACTGAACTGCACATATACAACCACCTGATGCGCAACTTGAGCGAGGTCAAGGGCAAGGCCAGGTACGGCGTTCAGGTATTTGCCGAGAGTGTGCTTGCCATCCCCAAGACCCTGGCAGACAACGCCGGTCTCGACGGGCGGGAAGTCGTGCTCGAACTACTTGACATCGATAACGAGTACGGCAGGTACGTCGGACTAGACCTCGACACCGGGAAGTTTCTCATCCCCGCAGCCGAAGGTATATGGGACAATTACAATGTCAAGAAGCAGACCCTTACTATAGCCACCACAGTGGCGCAGCAAACGCTGCTCGTCGACGAAATCATAAAGGCAGGGCGCTCAATGAGCGCCAAACCTTAATGACCCATTAAAGCCATGTCGTGGCCTTTGTTACAGAGCATATACAACTAAATTGCCTAACTCATAGAACTATCTGTATTGTGCGTGAACCCGATACACCGATTCGGGGCCATCGTGCCATAATTGACTGCGCTAGAAAAGTGCTGGTTGTCACTTTTGTAAGTACCAAGTGCGTTGACATTCACATTTTTGCATGACTAGATTGACGATACGTAAACCAAGTGAAGCTATGACACGTTAGTGGAGGAGAGCGAATTATGGTGTGGGACGGCCTAAAGCGCGGAAAGGTTCACATATCTGGGTGAACGCTGTACCAATCCCTTGTTTATTGATTAAACAGCGGATACAAAGGACCAAGAAAATGAGGAGCGGGATACCTATAGTGCAGGTAATGGCTACAGGGGCTTCCCAACTCATCTTCTCCCTAGCTCAGCTACTAACAACGATCCTGCAAAGCAATGAATTACTTACCTCAAGCATAGACCATTATTGGCGAAGTGACGAAAAACAATATCCATAGCCACATACCTAACATGCAGTTCACACGGTTCTGGGGCCAGCGACGTCCAAAATCTCGCAACATTGGCATGCTGTTGGCATCCATAAATAAACGTGCATTTATGAACTAGGTTGATGAAGTGATGAATATAAACGGTACCTTATCTACGTATGATCCATAAAGAGAGTCCCAAATCCATTGGCTATCTACTGTGCCACGCCATTGTTACACTTATAGATGGTAATCCGGGTAGTACTGCGCAACGATGATGTTAGTGCTCATTGTAAGGTAACTTCTAAAAGCCCCTAAACTATGCTGCCCCCTGGTCATATGATCAAACAATATTCCGGCATAACGCCCATAAACACGCAGCTCATAGAGACCACCTAGCTAACAGTTGATTCACTGTGTCACTTAGGATAACGATTTTTCGCTTATGGCATCGACAACAGCAGACTCACTTTCTCTGCCCACCTATGACATTATATGACGTAGATAGCTCATAAGTAACACACTACGCAACAGCCCAAACAACGTAACTCATCAACTATATTAAGTAGTAGGCTAGGTAGCAGATCATATGTTACGTGGAGTAGGTGAGTCTGAGCGATATACTGAGTGCGAGGTCACTGAGGCGTTGGAGGCTGTTGTGGCCATGGACAGAGATCTCAAGAAGGATTTGAGGATAGTGAGAGATAAGATTAAGGAAGGAATTAAAAGAATTATTGAGGATTTGGAAGTTGATAGTTTGGATGAGAAAGTGAAGAGTGATTTGCAGAGTTTGAAGGAGAGAATTAGTGATCTATCACAGCAGGTGACTGGTGATGGCACAAATCAAGATCTTGTTAACGATGCATTCGCAGCGCTTAAGTCTGCCAGGCAAAAGTTCGGAGCAGACACGCAGAGAATTACGGATGAGACTAATAAGCTTGAACAGAATTTTAAGGACCATATCCAGAGTGAACTTGAAAATAAAGTCACTGAAGTTGACTCGGCGATTGGGAACCTCGGCGGTAATTTTAAGGTGAGAGATCCAAAGAAATTTAAAACGATTTTCGAGCATATTAAAACTAAGGTTGGGGAGATTAAGGGGGAGCCGGGGAAACAATCTGGAGGTAGATGGCATAATAGCACAGGTCTCTCTGCTGTCGTGGATAAAGTAAAGCATCTGGCTGGGCTATTCAGGGGACAGTCACAGTTTGAGCATAAAGTGCAGGGATGGGTTGAGAATAATATTTTGAAGCGCGATCCTATTAAGAGCTTTATTGAGAAATATGTTAGTGAGAACCATGGGAAGTTTCATGGGAACTATGGAATGAAAAAGAATAACGATGCAGTCTACACGGACCTCAACAACCAAATCACGATCGTTTTTAAGCAACAACTTACAAGCGAAGCTACTGCGGCCGGTGTAGTGGTTGAGCAGAGAATGAGAGATGCCGACAATACACCAACGGTTAGAGGTTACGTCGAAGCCCTCAAAGAAGGTTGCGACAATTTTGTCAAGGGATTTGGAGAGAAACTGAAGGTAAAGTACATTGATCAGTTTGAAAATGAATGTGAAAAACTTGTAACAGCGATAGTCAAGGGGATTAATGACGCGGTTAAGGATAAGAGCCATGGTTCCCAAAGTCCTGACACAGACTATCTCAAGCCCGCTGTCCAAGGCGCCCTTATCCATCTTCTTGTTATGGCAAGACATACTGCCGTAGAACTCGGATCATTCGCTCTAGGCGACGAAAGGCACAGGAGACCTCCAATCCGAAACATCGCAGACAATGTGGATAGTGCTCTTTATGTAGCTAAGGATCTCGACAGACAACTCACCCAGGCGACTAAAACTCCTAAACCCGGCACCGTACCCCCCGGCCAATCTGAAAGCCCGGCACAAGCCGTGGACAGAACGTTGGAGGCGGTGAGGGATTTCGTTGAGAAAGAGCTTGGCGGCAAATTTACTGAAGTCAAAAAGCCACTTTCCGATGAGGTAGAAAAGCTTGGACCGGCCGTCACCCAGTTCAACTCTGCCGCCGAACTGCAGATCAAGGATGCGGCCAAGACGGCGATTGAGAAGGCGGCTAATCAAATCGAGATGGAAAGTGGTAGTAAAAATCAGGTAAGCGTTGAGCAGAATATGAACACGTTTCACGGCGCACACCAAAATATTGTAAATAATCTCCAAGAGGACCTTAATAAGGAAGTGAACAAGTACATTGGGGAGGATGACCCGCCGACAGGCGGTCAAGGTGTGACAGCCGAGAAAGTCATCATCACTGCTGCAAATTTTGGCAATTATGATAAACACGTTAAACAAGGTAAGATTAATGCCCTTACACCCGGCGGTACTCTACAAGGCACTGCAGAGGCAGATGAAGGCCATCTTCAAGTGGCGATCGGGAAGATCAAGACTCTGGGTCTGGCAGCGCTTGAAAATACTATTGGTGACCAAGCCGGCAAGATTACTGATACAACCTTCACCGGTCCGTTCGAGACAATTAATAATGAGCTTGAAGCGATCAGGAAATTGTTTGAGAAGGGGTGCCGAAGTCTCCCTGAAGGCGTCTAATAGGCATAAAGCTTGCTTGAATTGGTGAGCGGGGAAGCCTATATTGCGCGGTGAGTTTTGCATTTGTGTTAGATTGTGTAGGATTGGCGGCGGTGCTTAAAATTGGCATACGTGTCTCGTTTATGTCTATGTGTGTCCCGTAGTGTAGTGTACTAGTGTATCTGTGGTATTGTGGTGTAAGTTGTTAGGTGGTGTTGTAGTTAGTCGTCGACAATTGCCCGGTAAGTTATCCTTCAAAATGGTACGTCAACCTAAGAAGCTCACCGACTGCCCGGAAAATCTCCGGGAGTCCATCGACTGGTTGATCCAGGTTAAGCATGGGAATGGTACCAATGGTAAGGATGGTCTTACCAGCTTGGCTGAAGCTTTGAAAAAGTTGATTGGTGATGCTATTAAAAAGGCGAATGAGAGTCTTAAAAATAGAGAAGATGAACTTAAATGCGCTGATAAATACGATAATGAGCATCACAACAAGCATTGTAAGTCGCTTAAGGATCAAATTGCTACAGCCAATGAACCTGAAAAATCTAAAAAGAAATCCGTCTTGAAGAAACATTATGATGAAGTTCATTACCTTACTGAAGATGCTAGAAACAGAGCCTTGGGGGATATAACTGAAAGGCAGAATAAACTTAAGGAGCTTACAAAAAATCTTGAAGCTTTTATTGGACAAGAAAATGATGGAAATGATAATCCTGCAACAAAACTTTTAGAAAATCTCACTGAAGGCTTGGAGAAGTTCCTTGGTTACCAAGAAACTTCCAAAGGCTACGATGGCACCGGCATCGTGTACTCGGACCTTGACAGGCTCTGCGACGGGGTGATGGCTTTCCTTCATGGAGTTCTCAGTGGAGTGAAGGGTGAGGAAAATGTTATTGGTTTTCCCCACCCCTTTTGTATTTTTATCGCCAAGCCCAGGGCCCATCAAATCCTTCAGTGTCAACATGACATCTTCATCGCCTGTACTGCCTTCCAACACACCTCGGAGCTTCTTAAGTTCTCCTTTAATTGCGTCATTGGTGTCTCCAATTGTTTCAGGTTGTGTACTAAAGGGTCCTTTTTGCAACTCACTAATCACCTTTTGAATCTGTTGAAGATTGTCGCTATATCCATTCTGAGTGTTACCAATCTTTTTCCCCAACCGCCGCAAATGGTCCATGACGTCAAATGGATAGAGCTCATGATTTATTTTGACTTTGATTCTTGCAAGCTCCCATACAATGGCTTTTATGGCATCATCGATATTCTTCGTTTCCTGCGGTAACCTCTTAATTTCCTCACTAAGGTCACTCTCAATTTTCCCAAGGCCACTGAGAGTTTGACCATCTTGAGTTTGCTTCCCGTTCCACTCTCTACCGCCAAGGCCAACAGTTTTCAAATCGCTCGATGTCAAAATGCCATCAGTATTATTTTAGTCTTGCAACCTCCCTCTAAGGTCTTTAAGCTCCTTCCTAATTGCTGTGACGGCTGTGTCGATTGCAGCGGGTTTGTCATTAAACGTTTCCTTTTGCAGGTTGTTAATCTTATCATGAATTGCTTGGAGGCCTTTGACATCCTTATTAATTTTTGGATCTAAAGTGGACTTAAGAGTAACAGTGTTATGATTTTGAAGCATCCCACTCAGATCCTTTAAATAGTCCTTGACGCCATCTTTCTCATCCTGCGGTTTCGGCGTCGTCGACTGTTCACTGTCAATCAGCCCGGCGATGGCTTCGAGTTCTTCGGTGATTTCTCTGAACGGATCATCGAATGTTGTGGTATTTATTTTGTCTGCACCGCCCCTGATATTGGGATCGATGATGCTAAGCGTTTTCAGACCCTCACTCTTGATGTCCCCGATCACCAGTGGAAGAGAACCTGCTTGATCGATGTCTTTTAGGTCAGTGGCCTTGAGGAATTTAGAAAGCTCTTCTGCCTTGACGAAACCTTTGTAGTCCTTAAAGTGGTCATCGTCCTCGGGCAGTTTGACTTTCTCGGCTGTCACACCTTGACCGCCTGTCGGCGGGTCATCCTCCCCAATGTACTTGTTCACTTCCTTATTAAGGTCCTCTTGGAGATTATTTACAATATTTTGGTGTGCGCCGTGAAACGTGTTCATATTCTGCTCAACGCTTACCTGATTTTTACTACCACTTTCCATCTCGATTTGATTAGCCGCCTTCTCAATCGCCGTCTTGGCCGCATCCTTGATCTGCTCTTGAGCTTCAGTGTCGAACTGATTAACGGCGGTGGGAAGTTCTTGAACTTTCCGTTGAAGTTCATTAATTACATGGTTATTGAAGTTATTCACAATCCTTGTATTAATCTCATCCCTCACCACCTGCAACCTATTGTCCACGGCTCCGGCGGGGCTGTCTTGGTTGGAGGTTCCTTGGTGGACTGGCTGAGTCGCTTGTCCAAGCTGATTGTCGAGATCAGTTGTTGTTTTGTACGCGTTATCCAACATTGATGCCAGGCTGCCATCCTTGCCGTTGTTGAGGGCAAACGAATACAGTTCGTTGCCCACCTGCCGGGCTGTAGAGGTGAGGGCACAGAGTACGGCGACGACGAAGGATTTTTTCTTACAAAATTGGTCGCAGTTTGTGCACTTATCGCAGCCCACAGCGCCGCAGACGCAGACGCATTTTGGGTAGTTGAAATGCTGATCCTGCAGCCCCTTCTGAATCTGGTCGACTGATGCACTTAATGCGCCACTCTTCAGCTTCTCATCAAGCGCGTTGGCAAAATTCTCGCAACCCTCCTTCACAGCTTGGATGCTTTTTGCGATGTCTCCGCCGTCGCCATTTTTCACGCTTTGAACCTTTCGGCCTGCTTCATCTGCGTCGCTCAGAAGCTTTTTCCTAATCTCCCCTGCGACGTTGTTGAATTTATCCTTCTCAGCCTCATCATACGGACCCCTCATATTAATAATCTTCCTCACGAGACCGTTATAATGCAAAATTGTTTGTTCGGTCCAACCACTAACTCTTTCTTCAAATTTAGTAGTCCCGCTGAACGCATCAAAATAATTCGTTACCGAATTTTTGATGCCTTCAACACCTTTACCACCTTCAAGAAACCAAACGTTCCAACTCCCCGGCTCCCCCTTAATTGCCGCAACCTCCTTGTGAATATGTCCAAGAATCTCGTGAATAGTTCCTGGATTTTTGCTGCCACTAATAGTAAACTTCTCCCCAAGCGCCCCAATCGCCTTGTCAACTGCACCGACCGCCCGGCTAAGCGGCTGTTGGATCTCTCTCTGAAACTTACTGTCAAGTTCTCCCGTCAGGTTCACGATTGACTTATCACCATCCTTACTAGCAAGTGTATGCAGCGGCTCCTTAGCCGATTCCAGCAATTTCAAATGCTCGCTTACAAGTTCTGTGTTATTTACGGTACTACCATCCACTTTACTTCTAAGCCCCTCAATCTTCTGCTTCAAACTCTTCAAATCCTCCCTTACTTTCTCATCCAATTTCAAAACTTTCAAATCCTCAATAATCCTTGTAATCCCTTTCTTAATCTCATCCTTAACCTTCTTCAAATCTATTTTAAGAGATTTGTCCATGGACACAACAGCTTCCAAGGCCTTACTCACCTGCCTCATTAAACGTGTAACCTACTAAGTAATGTAAAAGCTTTGTCAAGATGTCCGTTGCTTCGTGTCTTACCGGTGGGCGTATTTACGTCATGCCACCTTGTCCGTGGATTAAGGCCGCGGCCGCGTCTTACGACGCCCCTCTTGCACCTCCGAATTGTATCGCCAGTCGCCGCTAATACGATCGCTGTGTCACCTAATAATAGCGCAATTACTACCGTTGCAAGCATCTTGGCAGTGTCTTGGTTATCTGGCAGCAGCGGTGTGACCTTAGAGGTTTTATCGCTCTAGTGTCTCCTAGTTAACCATTTAAACGCTTTCACTTGTACTTTTTGTAAAAGTAGCCTAGTGCCCATTTGTTAGTGTCTCTGTGCTCTTTGCCCTTGTATGCAAGATGGCGCCGCACGGAGTCAAGTTAGACACCCTCAAGCAGTGTCTCGAGTTCCTGCAGTGGTTGCATAAAGATAGTGGTAAGCAAGGGGAGGTGGCCAGTGAGCTGTTCAAACGCATCAATCCATATTACACTACCAACTATCTTAATGTGCGGGACGTTAAAGAGGGCTTGTCCAAATTCCTCTCCGCCGTGTCAGAGTTCTATACGAGGTTAAGCAAAGACCCAGCACCCGGAAACTATAACAACAGGAGCGCGGACCAAATATGCAACGACCTCCTTGACTGTGTCCCTAAATTCCTCGCTGCCATATACTTTTTGGAGTACTGCATCAATAATACCTTCAAATCGCTGGGCGGCGGTGGTTGGGAAAAAGATAGGCCAGGATATGAGAAGCATTGGAGGTCCTATGCTTCAAGCGGTGGTCACCTGCAGGAATACCTCAGAGCAACAGTCGACGAAGAAAAGTACAGCCAAATCCCCGGCTTGCTACCCGGTGGGTTCGGTAAAGACGAGGTGGGCTATAAGTGGTATGTATGGGACAGTGGCTATTCCCAAGGAACTGAAATGTATGTGGATCTTGCAAAGATTGTGGACAAAACAAATTACAACTATTTTCGCAGCGTTTTCGTCACCTCAGCTGTTGCAGACACTGGCACCCAGATTCCGAACACCGCGAACGCTCTCTCGTTGGTTAGAACCCTTTGCGACATTGTTCTTGGGGAGCCAACTGAAGGAGGCGGAAGTCTGAAAGTAGCGTTGGAACATGGCCTTCAAAGGTTAGTGCCCCCAAAATCCATATGCTGGAAGGACTTAAGAGAACATTGCGTTCAGCTTAGGGGAAAACTCCACAAACTCTTCAACACTCCGAAACGCTTCGACTTCACAGGCCAGTCGACAGGTACCGACAACCTCAATAAAGATGAGTTGGCGAAGCACACAGCAGATTGGTTGAGAGGGAAGCTGATTTGGGTGCGGGGCAATTTGGTGAATATTAAAACGGATGCATCTGCGACCAGTGATCTTGGTGCGTACTTCACCCACAATTTCTTCCCCTACGGATTCACTTTTGAGAGCAAAACCCGCTTTGGAATGTCGGACAAGGATGTGCGGGCTTTGTTGGGGGATCTGTCCAGTGTAATCGATGAGCTCCGTAATTCCGGTGTCGGCGATTTGGATAGGCTTAAAGAGATTTTGAATGGTCAGAATAAAATACAGTGTCAAGATCCCCCGCCTCCACCTACAAAGCCTGAGGCCCCGCCTGCCAAGGTTCCCGCAAATCCCAAAGCCGAGGGAACTCCCAACCAGGGCAAGAAAGCGGAGGGAGCACAGAACCAGGGCAAGAAAAGTGAGGGAACTTCAACTTCACCTGTTTTAACCTCTACTGCTTCAACTCCGTCTTCCGGTGATCAAGGAGCTTCAGGCCCGCGAGGGCCTACGATGTTTCATCAGGTTCCAGGTTCACCAAGTGTAAAGTCTGCTTCAGCTCCGCCTTCCGTTGGTACAGGAGTTCAAGTCCCGCCAGAGGCCACTCCTCCACCGGCTGCCTCCAGTCCAGCTGGAGACCCTGGCTCCGATGGTCCGCCAGGTGTCCAGCATAAGGGTTCACCGGGCACTGGCACATCAGGTCCACAGCCTACTCCCCCTCAAGTCCCTGCGATCACTCAGCGTCCGAGTGTTTCAGGTCCAGGCCCTGGGTCAACTGTCGATCAGGGGATTGGGCAAGATGCTGGGAAAGTTGTTACTCAACTAATAAGTCAACCCTCCGATCACACTTCAAGTAGCGGCGCTACTGCGCCGGCTGACACGGCGCCTGGTGGAGGTGGGAGCGGATGAGCATGTTACATTGAGCTGTGTTAATCGTGCCCTTTTAACTAATGCGCTGCTACGATGTAATTCATGAACGCGCTCACCGGGTACCTGTCGATGCAATCTTATGAAACATTAATTTAGACATTATTAGATGAGCATTGTGTCGTTCATGTCGCGAACAGTTCGATAAGTGTGATTATAATGAATGATGGAGGTTATTAAAGAATGCGATATAAACGTTCACTTGCGGACGAAGCAATCGCGGACCCTGTGGAACGGCCGAATACGTTTCATGATCATGAGACATACGGCGGTGACGATGATTGCGATGACAGTGACGATGATGGGAGTGGCGATACCGGTGGTGGAACCGTCGTCACGGGTGGAAACAATGGCAGCGGTGACAGAGCGTGGACGTTTACTTCCACAACATGTACATTGGCAAGAATCTATATTTTTACACACTTCCTGACACTTCTCAGTGTTGCATTCGTAATCTCTCTCCCTTCTTAAGCCCCACTCCTTTGCCGTGAAACAATTAACGCACCTTTGACTCTTATATTCTTCACAACAACAGGGACAACACTGACAATTAGTTAATACGCATTCCGAACCACAACTACACTGAAGAGTCATCTTCTAATCGCTCATTCGTCGTCAACCTGCATAGCGATGAAACGCGTACCTGCAGTTACGGAAAGGGACGCCGCCGAGCCGCCTCCCCTCAGAAATCTGCAACAAACCAGGCACTCGCCACGTATGACATAGCCGGAATATTACAGCCTCGCGTCTTTCACCACAGAGATACTACTCCCAGCAAGGTCATCCATGTATTGCCAACCCGACCCCACATTTCGCTGGGAAAATACCTTGAATGTTTTCAAATTAACCATTGAGTAATACGCTGTGTTACTTGGTGTGCACACGATGTTGTGAGCAAAGCATAACGCTCCTATATCCCTGACTGCGTAACACGTTACTCACCTCCTACCTGGTATGATGACTGTGCCATCCACCGAAGGGCAGCTGTTTTCAGTTGATCACCTAAGCATCAAAATTTAGATATCAATTTACTTCTGCACGTCACGGTTCCAATCTAATCGTGATGTTAACACGGAACCACGTATACTGCCATTACGCCTCACACCTCAACCCGATGAGGTCTTACTCATTATTGATCTGCGTGGTGCCTAACGTGATTTCTTCACTTTTGGCATAAACTCCACTTCCGATATCTTACTTTCCTTCATGATATTCAACATCCTACTCAACCAGCCGGTTGTTTTGTTCGCACCAATCCCATCACGCTGTGTGGTATGCGACTGAGTCCGGTGGCACTTTGAAAATCGCATTTCCCAGATATAGATGGCTCACTGTAACGTTGAAGAGCACACGATGTGGTGTCCTGTGAATATATAATGAGATATAGCTGTGTCAATGTGTTCCCACCCGTGGCCAGCCACTGCCGCCGTAGTTTGATATCAAGATTAGTGAAGTACGTGAATCTCAGTGACAGGTACCACCTAGCACCCGTTCCTACGTAATAAAGGCGTTGTATGCCGTATAACTTGTGATGAGAGATGTAAACAGCCGTGTTATACCTTCCTCATTGTGGCAATACAAGCTTTACCAGGGTGTGATGGCACTTACTTAAGCGTCACCTCCTTGAGTGAGGTAATTATCACTCGCACAACTTAAAAACAGTTGTCTTAACACTAGAGGAAGCTGACGAATTATACCACCGCATTTCGGGGGTCCTAATATAAGTGCACCCTGCGTCAGATACTCAAATAACCAGACACCAACATGAACAATGAAAGCAAATTAATTTTTGCAATCTACCGAAGAGTTATAACATCTCAGTTGTTCATTATCTAGCGTATTAATTTCCGTTGCGGATTGTGGATAGGGAAGCGCCCTTGACGGTGACGCAGCGGCACTATGCTATGCGAAAGTGGTTTTAGGAACTGCAAAGGTTGCTGTAGGTGCAGTCGGTATTGCTGTTGTTGGACCGGATTGGGTTACGCATTTTGGCCGTTCATTCTGCGTCGCCCTGCCCTCCGCGTGCTATTATATGGCGGGTAAAAAGCAGCCGTGCGAACGTATATACAGCTCCTTAGTTGCTTAGATCCCCCAAGGCGGCCATAGTTACGGCCAGGAGCTTGAGATGACGTCACGGATTGGACCTAACCTGTAACCTAATGTATAATGTAGTTTGTCACGTTTATCTAGTGTTGCAATAGTTGAGTTGTAATAGTCACCGGTGCCGTCCGATAGTAACAGAGGACTGAAACTGAGTCAGTGGTCGCCAGCATGGGAGGGGTGTTGGGTAGCCGAGTGAGTTGGCATCTATCGGATGTAAATGAGTGTCTATGGGGAGATTTTGTGCATATTGAACCTTGTGTAACTGTACGCCGCAGCTACGGGCATTTGTGGGCGACACCGTGGCTAGCCGTGAAGCCGTCACCCCGGCCTAGACCCCAGTGGCCACTTAGTGGGGCGCCCCGCAAAACTGTCTCCCCTGTTATTTATCACCTCGACAGCCTAGATGCGGGCGTGAGCGGTGGCTGTCTAAATGGAGTACACAAATTGTTATCGCTGTCAATACAACTGAGTTCAATTCTATTCAAATTATACTGGCGCAATAACTAGTAGGTGTGTCTGTTAGCTGTTTATATTAGTGGTGTGTCAGCCGCTAGCTTTGCAGACACGCCTAGGGGATTACACCTGAACGATTGTCTGTGTATTTCGATTTCAAGGGCCCTCATCCAGCTACAACTGCGTTGGTAATTATTTCGCGCGATGGGTTCTCAAAGGGATGAGCTAAAGATGAACTCGTGCGCCGGAGAGAAACGGCCAACCAATCTGGCAACGTCTACTTCTATCGGTGCGAACAAGGATATACAGAAGTCGCAGAAGCCGTTGGGCAAGTTACCAAAAAGTTTATGTGTGCTTTCACTCATTCTTTTTTTCACGCCAGTGGTTTTTAAGTACATGGATTTGAGTAGTCCACCAGGAATATCACCGTTAGACAACGGTATTAACGGCATTAGAGTCGCTGAAGGCGACAAATGACGTATACTGCATGATATTAAAGGTATCATCGAGTGTCTGGACCGTATCACCGAAGAGCTCTGTGCGATCAAGTGCCTCATGGAGCGTAGCCGTGGTAACGAAGCGGGTATTAACGATGATACGTATAGTGAAGATTGCTGCCATATCACGGATTATAGAGATAGGATTGAACGTATCATCGACTATCTGGACTGTATCATCGAGCATGAACGTAGAATCCAGCATCTATTGATGCGTAGCCGTGGTAACTATGCGGATACCCAAGGCCATACGCATGCTACAGGCGATACAGATAGTGAAGGAGAAGATGATAACCCGGAGGCCTGCGATGGTGGAGATCAGCATCAAACTTCAGACATGATTCCAAGGATGCCTGAATAACCGTTTTAAAGAACTTTAGTGCCGAGGAAATTGTTACATCAAGGTGGTAGCACGCAGCTTTTCCCGTGCCGAAATCTGGCCGGAGGAATCATCGTTGGACTACGTTTATGAATTGTATCGTGACGCCTGTGTACCCTCAACCCTTGCGTTTGCGCTGCCTTCCAGTAATCACACTCACCTAGCCCACATAACTGGCAACTAGAAGGTAATGTAGCAAGAGTGCATTGCATAGTTTATTTTGCGGCCCATTGGGGGCCACCAAAGTTGGCAGCGTGGAAGAGGCGTTGGGTCATCCGCCTGACGCGTGTAAGGGATGCGAGTTATTGTTTGGGAGCCAACAGTGTCTGAAGTTGCGTGCCTATGGGCGACCTTACGTAAATCGGCGGCATCTTAATGCAGCATCGTAGCCTACGCATACAGTTGCTATTACATAAGTAGCGCGGCAGAGGGATGCGGTGGGAAGGTGGTGATATACGCCGGCAGAATCAACCTCCACTGAAATTCAAAAAAGCTTAAATTGGTATAAGGCACGGCTGACAGAATGCGGGCAATTGTAGTTCAGGAATCCCGACGTCCATAACGACGACAAAATGTAAGATTCCCCTAGGCCCCCTTACACGCACTACCGGAGCCACAAAGCATGGGATAAAGCTGATGTACGTCGACACAAAAACCTGTTGCTAAAGCCAGCAAATTGCGCCAAACCCTACATACCTCACGGAGGTACATACACACAGCACCCTGCACGTACGCATAGTGCCAAAGACTATTGTGCACTGGGCTAGCATACAAACCGTCAACGCAACAGAGAAAGTACGTGTTTTAAGTGGGGAAATGAGCTAATAGATCGCACTTTGCAGCCGTTAATCAGACGGAACCGCGGGAAAGGGTGCAATCTCCAATAGACTATAGCGGCAAAAGTCAAACGGCAGCCTACATATAGTCATCAAGCAAAAATCGCATCGTTCAGTTTGAGCAAGAGACAATTATGCTAACCACAGAAGACAGTCTAAGGAGAGCTTGCATTCCTCACCGCACCCAGGGAGTATACAACTTGCAAGTCCCGGGAGGCACCGTAGGTCTCGTCAGACACTGCCTGAAACCCTTCAAAACACTACAAACATAGACGCGCCAATGCAAACATACTGACATGTCATGCTTCAATGTGTGTCGGCATTGCACACGCCAATTACATGCGCTTTTAGTGCTGCATGCCGCTTTATTGGGTAGACATGGCTGCGACAGGGCCTCGTGGTTGTCGTCTTGCCTCTGTAGTACGCATATTAGAAGCGTCCGCAGCATTCTATCTCCCAATCAAACACTCGTTTGTTAGTTGTTAGCGACACTGTTGCGCTTACCCGCTATGCAGACAAGGCTGTTTGCACACTGGCCTGTGAATAGACGCAAAAGTCACACCTTTATCAGCTGCTGATTCTGACCAAACCCTCCAAAATGATATACAATTCGTTGACTGACGCTCCTCACAACCTCAAGGAGTGCATTGACTGGTTGATTGCCCTGAGGGGGACTGATGGGGAAAGCAACTTCCAGGCTATGGGTGAGGCGGTTCACAAATTCCTCGTAGACAAGCCTGTTGGTTTGACGAAGTTGCCGGGCCTCGATAAAGTAAAAGACATTTCTAGGGAGTTCATAGGACAGCGTGTGCTGAGGGCAGAGCCATTCGTAGAGGACCTTCTAAAGAGGTTCAACGAGCCCATGAACAAGCAGAAGACCGAGTATTACTCCAGCAACTTCGGCAAATTCGACGAGAGTAATTACACGAACGTAGTGAAGAGCCGGGGTGTCACAGCCGAAGAGATCGCAGAGAAGTTGGCCAAAGTTACGGCTGATTGTGAGAAGTTTTTGGACAGATTGAGGAGGCCTTCCGTGTACTTGCCTTCTTACAGCTCAGAAGCGACATGGGAGTCATCGTGCGCAAAAGACCCGGAAGCTTGCGCAATAGTCCTTGTGGGTGTTGCGCCAATGTTGTACACGGGTCTGCGCACTTTGAAGGAGGAGAGCAATGCTGAAGCTTTGAGATGGAAGCGCCCTAACAAGAAGAATGTTACTTTGAAGAGTGTGATTGAAGCCTTGGGTTACAAGGAGCCGGACGTCTGCACCACCATGAGTGCTACATATGTGTTCAAGTCGTTGCAGAGGGTGAGCTTCCGTATGTTGGCCACGCTCTACGACCTCTCTGGATTCTGGGCCTTCTACTGAGCAGCGATCGCAAGAGAACCGTAAATACGATTCTACGATAAACTGTTTTGCGACCTTCACCAGTGAATTGACACCACTAATTCTAGCGAGGCATTTCTGTTTTTGGAATGCAGTTAAAGCGGTATATATGTACACACTCCTAGTTTACAATACTGCTACCGCATAATAAGGCGGAACGTTGTTCTGAACTCATCTTTAAGTTTGTTCACGGTTCGATTTAGCTAGTTGTTCCGTCGTAGCGTGTCCGCCTCCGCACGCCCGGCGGGCGTTGTGAAGCCCGCAGCGTACACTGTTGGCGTGAGACGCAAGCTTTCAGCAAGCATAATAAGCGGCCAATCTAGTCACATAACACGCTATCCATCGTGAAACGAACAGGCATTGCGGTAATGTTACTAATAATACCGTTGTGGAATACGGCGTATCGTTGTTGAGCGACGGTACCCCTACGAAAGCGTACCGCGTGTTTCCGTAATGAGCATGATTTCTCGACGCTTAGGTGCAAATGTTTTCCTTCAACGCGCCATCATAACAGCTCTTGAGGTTATTAAGGATCTTGCAAAGATTTGCATGACGTCGGAGTAGCTCTTCACCGTCCCTACTTAGACGCTCTTTTTCCAATATAGCATTTTGGTACTGCGCAGTATTACATAATGCCAATATAATGCTAAGTCAACCATATAATCGACCGGCATGATCAAATGTCAGACGCAAACTTACCGCGGTGATCTGCGAATTGTCGAACGATGATAGCAGCTCATTGACCTTCAACAAGCATGCTTTGCGAAGTTTCTTGCGCTCTTCTTGCATTAATGCAACTTGTTCCTTCAGTTTGCATATCTCCTTCCGTTGCCTCTCTGCCTGAAGCAATGGGTTATTACTCAACGAAGCGAATCTTACCCTAACAACTCTCAGATGAATCAGCTTAGCCTCGGATGCACGACGCCCATCACAAGTGTGTTCTTTAGTCATAGCATTTTCCAATTGCTTGACATTGACATCCAGAGTCAAAGCTGCAAGCCGGTGAGCAGAGGTCGCCATAATCACGTTCACACCGTTGGCAGTAATGCAGATTTTGAAGATAATCCATCATTTAACCGTATTTAAATACAAAAGTGTGGAATAGCGAGCATAACAGATATATAACGACGTTGTACTAAGAAGGGTTGCTCACCCGAGTCGTTCGTGGACTTAGCCGTTCGCTGTGGGCCTCGCTTCTCCGTCGTAGACCCATTCCGTGTCATGTAGTGCTTGTAAAGAACCTGAAAATTACATGTAAAAGTCTGCGACTCTGTGAACTCATTACCATAGATGCCTTAATCAACACGTCCTGGATATCTTCATGCAAGTCTTTCACGGCCTCCCGGACCTCCGGCGATCTATTACTGTGAAAAATATTGATGTTGCGTTTCGTGGGAATCATCGTATGATGCATGCAAGATACTCGCCAGTGTTCGTAGTATGATCATACCCATCTATTACCACCGAATGCAGTATCATCGTACGGATACCACGGATCCCCCAGGATACTGCGACGGGGTAAACATATACACAACCACGACATTAGTCTTCAATATAGACAAGCAAACGTACTCTACCATCGGATCTGTATCATTCGATCGCTGCTAATCCGATTTGACGAAACAGAAAAATAGGCACCAGCGACAAAAGCGCCAGCAACACTGCTATGCCAACATCTAAGTGTCCAAATAGTGCCGCGTAGACACCTTTTAAGATCTAGACCGAATATAAACACCGTGATGTTTATGTGAGAGATAAAAGACGACGCCAACGGCGAGCGTACGCCACTTAGGTCTCCTTAGGGGTAGATGAGACACATGGTTAAATAAATGACCCGGTACAATAGCGCAGCTCATGCACACAGCAGCTATTGGCAAAATTTAAATATACAATGCATCATTCAGTGCTGGCAACCGATGTGTTAGAATACACATAATCATACGTCGACGAATAAGAGACAACAACAATTGAAGACACGCTAAATATTCAACTAGATTTGAAATTGCCGACATAAAAACACACACAAAAATGTTTAAATGAGGATTATCACACTAATACCGCAATGGGTGCCGCCACGTATAAAAATGTCGCACAAAATAAAGCACGAGATCTGAAATTGTACACCGGCACAGTGAATTACACTTCATATTTTTAGATTCAACGGTTTAAAAAGCAAAATATTATGCAAAATAGGGATTGCACAGAAAGGGCAGCGACAGTGTTGAATTGGACGAGGTATGCGTTTTACACATCACCGCGTACTCAACGCCTCTTGCTTCGAACTACCAATGCATAACACACGAGAAATGACACGATGTGTATAGGCATCACGATTATTCAAAGGAGAGACCACCCAGCGTTCAACCCCTGCACATTACCAGCGCAAACCAATTGACGCCACGTTCGCACACATAGCCACAATGATGTATATAGCCATTCTCTAGCCATTCTGCTTTGACGGTGGGTTGCCGGTTAAGCTTTAATTCTCAACGGACTACTCTGCAGTCGCGCGAGGGGGGGCTAAATACAAAACGGCAGCACTACGTTGATGGCGCTAATGCATCATTCTGACGACGATTACTACATGGACGGTTTATACTTATAGCCATTTAATTGTCTGCAGTGCGGCCGCTGGTTGTGCTGAGGATGATCGCATCATCTCCGCGCGCCGGAAATTGAGTGCTAGCATTGCGCGAACAATTGCGCCCATTTGCGCACACAAATCTACCGCGGAACTGGCCAAATCTGCGGTAGATTGTGTTACGTGTGTATAAACCTGTGCTCAAGCTGCAATTTAACCATGTAGAGGACGCTCCGTCACATACGGCACAATGGCGTGGATTTGGAGAGATCCTAGCTTCATGGAGCTGTGCTGCGATCAGCACTTCGCGTTCAACGCGGGCACGGTCATCCCAACGCCGCGGATATCCGCGCAAAGCAGCCTCAACAACTCCACCAAGCTCCTGCAGAGGATTATTAACAAAACACTAGAGAAAAGCGGCGAACTCGTCTCGCCACAAATGCACTCGGCGCTGCTTAAGGCGAAGGAATCTATCAGCGTTATCGATTCAGCGCTATGGCAGCACCTGCTGGACTCGACACATGCCGCAAGGGGTGGCGACTTTGCCATGCTCCACAGGTTCATCTTCGGACTGCTAACGCGGCTGAAGGACCTGCCCAACGACAGCTGGTTCCTAATTCCCGGAGGAGTCAGACTGTCAGATGAAACGCCCATGGACTGGACGGGGTACGCGGTGTACAAACTCCCGCAATCCTCGGGTTATGTGTTCGGTGTCATCAACACTGGTGGTCCAGGTCTCAAATACCATTCCTTCAAGCTTGACCGTTTCACCAAAATGGGTGCTTTGCAGAGGGATTCGGGTGTTGTGCTGAAAGACGTCGACCCTGAGCGACTGCTGCACAGTGCGTTCTGGTTTGCCTTGTTTCGGCTGATGTATGCGCCTAGCTCCCACAACTACGAGTATCTCTATGAGGTCCTTTTGCCCTACCTCAACTCAAAGCCGCTCATGCTCAACTGGAAGCTGGAGACCCAGTCACAGGTGCGTTCGGATAGCTCGGAGGAAAAAGAGCGTTCTTCCGGCAGTTCGGCCAAAAAGGTGCTAATTGAGGCTTTTACCAAACTGAGCAAGGATCACGGCAGCAAGGAGAAAAAGACTGATACGACCAAGGATATGATGTACGAACTATCCAGCAACTACGGTGGTGTATGGATGGACGCTCCGGTGAACGAGTATAAGCCCAACTCGATGACCCGGATGATCATGGCTTTTGTCGAGCTAGTCCTGCGCAAAGACGAGAATAATGATACCGAGGTGCGAATGATACATATTATGTTCCAACTCAGTCTTTGTCTCCTCATCGATCAGGACCTGGATGCATTGACGGAAAAGGATCTTCATGCCGCACAGCTCAGCATACGCAGCTCGTCGCTATTTGTCGAAATCGCGTGCAAACGGCTTGCAGTAATGCTAGCTGAGGAGTCATTGCAGGGTTCGCACAATGACAACCTTGTTGATGTTGACACCAACACTGAGGAGTTTTCCCTCCAGGCGGCAGCCGCCATGTCGAGCCTGGTGGGGTCAACGAACAGCCCATTCCCCAGCGTTGCAAAGGCCGCGGGATCACTCGGGTTACAGGGAGAAAGATTGCATTATGATGCTTCGTCGCCCTTGAAAAACATGCCGGAGCTATACAACCTTGCTGCATGTGTCATCGGCAAGGTCTACGGGAACCTGCAGGCCAAGCTGCCCCCGAAAGCCCTTGGTATGGGTCATGGATCGTGCACCATCGACAGAAAATTGTGCGTGCAGAGTGCCGATATCACTCTCAATTGCGAATTCGCAAATTTCGGCAACTTCAGGCTTGATGGGCCCAATGTCAACGAGCTGGCTAAGGGTTCTGTTAGGTCACAGCTGCTATTGCCAGTCGAAATGACGAGTGTGGAAATGCCCGTGAACAACTTCAACGATGTTTGCAAGGTTCTCAGAAGGTGTGTAGAGGCATGCACCCTTCTTTCCAACCAGCGTGACGCCATATCATACTCTTATGCATGGCGGTTCCAGCTCATCAGGCACGTGCTTTTCGAGGTGCTGCCTCTGCCGTTACCCATACCCGTACGAAATGAAGACGGTTCGATGCCTGCACCCGGACAGGTGATCTGTTTCTGGGCAAACGGTGCCATAGAGCAAGAAACGCAGGTGGACATATTGCGGCTCCTGCAAATGTTGGCTAGGCATGTGGCAGTCACATACTGCTCCCTGATTAGAACGCGCACAATTGAGGGTGAAAAGGCTATTATGTTGGGAGCGATTTGCGCCATCACGGATGCAGTTATCCGTAAAGTGGCTGTGGACACGCCGAGCCATGTGTCCCTGCTTTACTCAGGCAAGGGCAATGGGCCCATCAGCCCATTCGGGTTCACGCTAGGTAACTTCGCTCTGGAGAGCTGCTACTACAGCCTGACTGACCCCCTGGCAGTCATTGCACGCACACAGATTCTGGATTATTTCGAGTCCGTGGAGCGCATGCTGGGTCCCAAACACCTTGTCTTTGACTGGGAGAACGCTCTGGAAGTCGGCAAGGGAGACGAGTTGCTGATACATCTCGTTGCCCTGCAGTTGGGATTCCACCGCAATGACGATGATATCCGCAAGTATTACGTAAGCGAAAGCAAAGAGTTTGCGGCCATCTTTCCGGAGTTTTCATATCTCAGGGATATTGTGTTCATTTCCAAGTCCATTGGGTGGTCCGGGCCTATTGTGCCCACCTCAAGGTATTCACTTGAAGACGCCACTCTGAAATGGTCGGTAGCAACCAGCGGTGCAACGGCCCCGGTCTCGGTCAAGGCGTTCGGAAAGCAGCTGAAGATTACACCCATCGGCAAGATCCGCAACTTTGACGAGCACAACCAGACATACTACAGGAAAATGATGAAGTGGTTCGTCACCTCCAGCAACACTAAGTCGCCTACCAGCGCAGCTGATGCGCACAATTTGGTCAACGATTGCGAAATTGCGAATGAGACTGATGTGCTCCACTTGCAGACGCTGCCAGACTATGGAGGTAACCTGGGTCGCCGCGATTCAGAGTTGCTCCTGCAGTATCTCACGGCTTCGTACGTGCGCATACCGCTCATCATGCAGTTCTTCGCTAGCGAGGCTAACTTGCACGCCGTTTCGTCGGCACCCCTGCAGAAGGTTGTCATGGCGTCGGTATTCGAACCTGGACTCTGGAAGAGCAAGGCAAATGACAACGTATACCCGCAAATGGCCCCGGTTCAAGAAGCAGAAGTTCTCTCTACACCGCTAGGACTGCTGTTTAACGAGATATACTTCTCGGGGAGCTGTGTTCTGCTGTCGATCGAACAGATGCTCGAACTTGCGCTTGAGCGTGACAACTGTGTCTTCCTCGGTGACGCGTCTAAGGTGCTTCCGTTCGCAGTCAGGCTTGCTACGCATGTCTGCTACTACGTCTTCCAGGCAACTTCGCATTACAGATTCACGGAGGCGGAGCATGCCGAACACCCGGACAAGAAACGCGTATGTGGCAGTGGCTGGCGCAGTAATGTGCGTGGCCTCAAATTGCAGTCCGAGGCTGCCTGTGTGGAACTTGAGGCATTCCAGAAGCGCATGCGTGCACTAATGATGGAGGCTGCGAAGGCGCTTAAAAAGCGTGCTGTTAAAGCCGCCAGGGCCAATGAGCAAAATGCTGCAGCATTAGCCATGGCACATACCGCCCTGATCTTCGGATATGTATTGCAGATTGACGATGCCATGAAGCAGCGTGGGCTGAACGAGCACGAGAATGAGGATGACATTCTATTGTCCTTGGGTACCGCTCTCATTTTTGTGTTTGTCCACCATCAGTTTGCTGTGGAAAGGTCGGTTAATCGCGTTGCCACCGACGTGACTGAGGATGATCCGGATAATGACGAGACCTTGTTCATGCCTGAATTGGAACTTTTCGGCGTTGTTCAGAACGTTAGGTCACGATTTTTGCGCTATTTGAGGTCTAAGGGGCCCGCATGTGATGACATATTGGAGAAGCTGGTGCAGCAGGTTAGCCAGTTCGCCATGTCCGAATCGGATGCGGCCAAGCTCAGAATGGAGCTCAGCACAGGCGACAACTGGCATGAGCTGCAGTTCCCAGTAATGTCAGGGCGTTTCACCAAGGCGTCATGGGTGCACAGACAGTTTAAAAATGCCAGCTACGACGACGATGAAGAATCTGATATTGACGACGTGCTTATGGACAGTTATTACGTCGAAGACGACTTTGACGGCTCTGCGGCTGACCATGCGGAAGCTTCATGGGCGTTCAGTTCACAGGTCAGGACTGGTATAGAGAAAACTGGCGACGATGCTGCTTCGGATGAGCCCGCTCCGACAGAGAGCAAGGGTCTCATAAGCCAGACGAAGGATATTGTTGTGGATAACACCAAGAAGACTATGGATATGTCAGTGGCCTTGGGAAAGAAAGTGTACCGCAAACTTAGGAGGAAAGGCAAATATGACAAAACTGTTAGTCCTATAGAAGCATACGAGGAGTGGCTCAAGATGCGTGTGATGCAACACTGTGACATTGAGATCAACTTCCAAACATGCGAGCTGTCGCTCAAAAAGAATAGGTTGCAGCTCCTTGGGCAGTGGGTAAACCAGTTCCCGCACTACGTAGAGCTCCTAGGCCAGGTCAACAGGCGATCTACTGTGCAGAGTGCTACTGTACAACTACACCGCAACAGGCACTGGATGCGCCTTGTTGGACGCAAGTACAACCTTATCATGTGGGAGAAGGATAACCGTGATTACGCATTGCCGCCTAAGATGACCTACAAGGCTAGCACATGCCATAGTGGACTGGAGTGGCTGCCGCCGATTCTTGATCCATGGCTAAAACAGCACCTGCCAAAGTGGACGGTATACTTGGCAAAGACTGCACAAACTGCGGAGCTGGAGAAACCACGCGACGAGGCCTATGTAAACCATGTCCTCAAGAAGCACGGTATTGACACCGTACGTCTGTTCGCCACCTATCAAACGTCAAGCCATCATACTGGGGAGGCAGCGGATATTGACACTGTGCCCGTCTCCGATTTCAACGACAGCGACTTTAGCGGTATCAGGGACTGCACGCGTGATTATATTCCAAATGATGACAGCACGATCGTCAAAATTGCAAAGACCACTGTAGAGACAGTATCGACAATCTCCGGTGTCATCACGGATGCTGCCTCAACCTTATCCAAACTTGGTGGTAAGGCCAAAAGCAAGAGTTCGTCTCACAGTACGTCAAAGCATGCTGCGGAGGCCGCTGCAGCCAACAATGCGGTGCTGCCAAAGGATGACGACGCGACTCCGACATCCGGTTCGAAGCGTGTTGTGACGAAGGAAATCATAGTTACTAGGGAGCCTTTGGCTATTCATGTATTCGATCTCATTGAGGATGGTAGGACGTGGTATAGGTCATTGTGTTACAGTTCTGACGCCACTCGTGCGTTCTGTACCAGCCTTCCGCGATACGTGACGGTCACCGGATTGGTGAGTGGGCAGCCCGAACTCGCTGTCGGTAAACCTTCCTATCCCGCTCCGCTACCTAAAAGTTCTCTGCTCATCATTCGAAACACCACAAAGGAGGATAGCTTGGATGCTTCCAACTTCGTATCAAGTAGGGAACAGTTCGTGTTACCGGAATGCATGAGGGGGTTGCTACCTGACGTCTTGCTTGAGGAGTACTACTTCTGGCAGAACATCAAAACCGCCGATATCATGGGATACCCGAAACCCACCACTGCTGAGAGGTATGCGAAAACAAGGCTGTGGATCGAACTTGTGCCATACGGAGCGCCTGATAACACGTACTTCCAGCATGCTGCGGCCGCTGGTGTTGTTCGACGTCTGCACGCCAACGCTGACTCCCAGGATGAGTTGGAGCTGCTTGTGAACCTGCAAACTCCCAAAGACGAACTCGTCGAGTCATTAACTCAAACCCTGTTGCGTCTGGATGACCTCAGTCACATTCTTGCCTGGTCACGCGGCAAAAGCAACCGCGTAGAAGTGGTCGAATTCGCTAGGTTGGGGCTCACATTCCGTGCCACCAGGGCCGGAGGCGGTACAAGTGGTATAATCAGGTACATGTGTGAGGAACACAACGGACTATTCCTCAACTATGGTGACGTATGGCAAAGCCCGCTGACAGCTGCGCTCATCCGTGGTTTGGAAAACAGTTTGTTGCTAACGGACGAAGACGGTGAACTGTATATTTTCGTCTCCACAGTAAGATGCCCCATGCGAGTTTTCCCCAAGGTGCCACGCGGCGTGATGTTGGCACACGAAGTGGGACAAGTCCTCCAAGGTGTGGCGTGGCCCGAGCTGGTATACGATGGTGGCAACAAAGACTGGTTGGCTGCGATTGACAGTGGCAGCAGGCACTACATGTACAAGGTGCATTCCTCAAGATCGTTCCTTTTCGTACCTACGTATGCGTCAGGTCTTTTCTTGCTCCTCAACAGATTCCTTGACAGGCAATACGAGCAGGTCTGTCGCCTCAGTCGGACAACACTGTTCGATGACGGCAACCAAAGCAGCGAAGAGAAGGCTTTCTGGGATGTGCTTGCCAAAATAGACTCCACTTCTGATAAGCACCCAGATGCCTATGCGTGTCGGTTGCACCTCCTCTTGGAAGCCAGCAGACAGGGTCTGCACGTTGCCGAGGGTATTAAGTTAAAACACCAGAAGCGTGCCCGTAGGTTGCAACGCAATATTAAAACCATTTTCGGTGCCGTGAAACATTCTGCCCCTAAAGAGGCAGAAGAGTCCAAAATCAACTGGGTACTTCATGAGGAGCTTATGGGCTACGTAACCAACCTCAGGCTTGTATCGGCTGGATGCCGCCTCTCGATTGATGACGAAAAGGATCTTTTGAGGCTATGCCAGCCTTACTTCGGTCGTTTCCCGGCCCTGTCCAACAGATTGGCTATTTTGAATTCGGTGGATCAAGCGCATGTGTCGTTGACGGGGAGGCGTTTCAGCCTTACTCAGAAAATTGAGTTGACCTTGCCAAACAAGCCCAACGTTTACAACTATGACAGCGTCTGCGATAAGAGCTGTGTCGAGAGGAACATTTACATCGATGCAGCTGCCAACGTGCTGTCAAGCGTGCGTTTCAAAAGGCCGGATTCCGTTTTGTCGGGACCTGACTCACTTGCATATGTCGATAAGATCCTCGCTAGGGGTGTGGGGCAAAGCGATTTCGTGATCGTATATGAAATGCTCTGTGGCATCTTCCCACTCTCCACGCTGCCATACGAACCCACGCATAAGTGGGGAGCCATGTTGACTCGGTTCATCGCGCATAAGGAGCAGAACACCAAGAACATCATGTTGTCAACGCTCAAAATTTTGAGTACCGATTCGACTTTGGGTAGCCATATGCCTCGGGTGCCACCGGAAGTGACGCAAAAGCAGAAGTTCCCGTCACTGTTCTCGCGTGTTCAACAGCCGTTCCAGAAGTTCATGGCAGAGTTGCAACGTACCCTCAGCAGGTTGGATGATAAGGAACAAATCAAGTGGCCTGAGGACTACAAACGCCACCACAAGTATGAATACGTTCTCAGGATGAATGCAACTATACCGAAGGGTCACAACTTGGTGCCATGGTCATTCGTGCACTACGAAACCGATTACACCAGAGACACTATGGTCCTAACGCCGTGCCGCGTGGGTGACGCCGTCATCGATTCGAAATTCATCTCCGCAATGGGTTCCGAGGTGCTGAAGGAGGTTATGGAGCCTCGTACATCAGCTGAAGCCGTGGAAATAACCGAAGAACAGAAAAAGCTGCCAATCAGTCTTGACGGACACTGGATTATGAAATATGCGCCAGCACGAAAGATGATGAAACGTCTTGAGTCGGATTATGAATTCTATCTTAAAGAGGAGGCAATGGAAAACCAAAAGCAGTTCACCGGGTTCACACTGGCTCATGTCGAAGAGATGGCTGAAAAGTCCGATATATTGGCCGAGGAATTCCGCAAACTCCAGACATTGCGGGAACGTTTGCTGGATCTGTTCAAAAGTGATGGTCAATTCGTTGAAGCTGGTATCCGTTCGGCACTGCGTCAATCCAACTCCATCTTGAACAAGGACGTGGCAAACAGCGCCAACGTTGATGTCATGCAATGTTGGGGTTATATCTTTGGTAAATTGGCTGGTATCGAATGTCTCGTGGGTCTCGACCAATTGGTAGACTGTTTGGTATCTTCGAATGGCGAGCAAAACCTGCTGATCCTTAACCCCTTCATCGACAGGCCTAAGGATGTGCTGTGCTTAATGGCCGCCGTTATGCTCTCGGTTAACAGGCGCTGCCTTACGGCAAAGACCATCTGCCAGCTCATGTTAGTGCTTCAGTCTATGAAAAAGCTGTCACAAGGGAAACTGACCGGTGATGCGTTAGCCGCACTCAAGGTCGACATCAGCACTGCCAGCCGCACATTGGCCAATCGGATGAACACCGCCAGACATTACATGCAACTCATGACGGAATCCAGTGGAGACATGCAAGCGGTGCTCGATCCGAGGTTGCTACTGTTTGAGTTCTCTGGCAACATTATCCTGCACAAGAGACAAGTGCAGCTTGTTAGGAATTTCGTAGAATCTGCTCGCAAAGGCGAGAGCCGCTGCCACCAAATGATCATGGGAGAGGGTAAGACGACAGTGGTGGGCCCGCTGTTGTCCGTACTTCTGGCTGACGGTGAACGTCTCTTCGTGCAAATTTGCCCGCATGAGTTGTTGGAGTTCACTAGGGCCACTCTGAGAGAGAAGTTCTCTGCTGTTATACATAAGGGTGTATTCACGCTGAGGTTTAGCAGGTTTGACAGCGCTACGCCTGAACTCTACCTCAAATTGCTCCAAGCCAAGCAGACCAGGTCGGTCGTCATATGCACGCCCACCAGCATCAAGTCGATTTTCCTGAAGGTCATCTCTTGCTTCCATAAGTTGGATTCGGGTACGTTGGTGAACGATTCCGCCATTAAACGCATTAACCATCTCCACCAACGGCTTGTCAAGATCTGGAACATGAAAGGAACTTCGAAACTCGTCCCGTCATCTCTTAGCAAGGAAAAAGACAAGGGCAAAGACAAAACCAAAGAGAAGGATGCGGAAAAGGATAAAGAACAAACTAAGGATAAGGAGAACACGTATCGCGCCGTCCAACTTGAGCTGGACATGTGCCTGCGCATCCTGGAGTTGTTCTCCAACGCCGTCGTGCTTATGGACGAAATCGATCTGCTTTTGCACCCGCTAAAGAGTGAGTTGCATTGGCCCATCGGAGACAAAAAGCCGTTGGTACATCTGCGCAGCTCGGATCACAACATCAGATGGCTGTTGCCGTGGTACATGCTGAGGGTCATGGTGCCCAACACCAAGGAGCAGATATCGAAGCACGAAACGCAGCTTCTGGAACGTATCCAGCTTTGCTTCAGCGAAGGTGTTGTAGGATGCCATGTGAGTCAATCACCCCATCTCGTGTTGCTCAACCAACAGTGGTACTTCGGTGAGATGCTGCCGCTCATGGCGGAATGGGTATGCTTGTATCTAAAGAAACACCAGCTGGTTACGGAGACATCCCAGCAATGCGTCGAGTACCTCACCACGGGCATACCTACCGCTGCTTTGCAGTCTGTTGAAGTGCTCAGTTGTGCAAAAGAGTGGCTGTGGTCCACCTTCCCACACGTCATATCCCGGGTCAACCTGGTTAACTACGGTGTGCTGAGTGTTAAGCAGTTGGAGGAAATATTGCTGATCAATCCCAACACGCCGCAGTCGAGACGTATGCTTGCTGTCCCATTCGTTGGAAAAGGTACCCCAAGCAAGTACTCCGAGTTCTCACACCCTGATGTGTTAATCGGGTTCACTATCTTGGCTTATCTCTACCAGGGTCTCAGGAGGTCGGATTTCGTTTTAGCTCTCAGGCACCTAGCTCAACAGTTCTACGAGGAACCGGGTCATTTGTCGGAAAGACAGGCGTTCAAAACATTCAACAGATGGGTGCTGAGTGCTGGTGGTAGCCTCAGGGAGTCTAAGCGTAAAACCACTAGGCAATACCATTACTTGTGCGATATTACGGATGAGCATATATTCAAACCAGTCGAATATGTGGATCGTGCAGCCGATATATGGACATTGGATGTTGTCAATGTTTACGACGAGGAGCAGTTGGATGTGTTGTACAACTTGCTGAAGAACGACGGTCTCGTTATCGAGTACTTCTTGTGCAACGTCCTCTTCCCCGAGGCCATGGAACACACCACACTGCAGCTCACAGCCAGTGCCATGGAACTTGGAAGCTCCATGCTGTTCCCCATCAGGTTGGGTTTCTCTGGAACGCCTTCGCAGCTGTTGCCTGTGGAAATGGGCAAGTGCCACTACAGTGAAGGTACGGACGGTATGATCCTCAAGATACTCACCGACGATAATGTCGTCAAAGGACCTACGATATTGCAAAAGGGATGGACCAGTGAAACTATTTTGGATCTGGTGGCTAAGAGCCCTCTTAAACCACTGGCTTTGATTGACACTGGTGCGCTCATTACCAGCCTTAGCAACTTGCAAGTTGCGCAGGAATTGCTTAAGCGTGGTCTGGACCACGTTGATGGTGTTGTATACCTTGATGATATGGACAGGCAGATGGTGCTTCTGCGTGACCGCTGGCGCAGCACCCTTCTGACACACTGTGGTATTCCTCCCGAGCGGCGCCTGAGTTTCTACGATCAGGTGCACGCAACCGGGCAAGACATCCGACAAGCGGCGCACGCAACTGCATTCATAACGATTGGCGCCGATATGACGCTCAGGGATTACTCGCAGGGTGCATGGAGGATGAGAGGAATTGGTAAGGGGCAGACTCTGCACCTTATCATTCCTCGTGAGGTAGAGACTCTCATTGCTACTGACCAAAAGAATGAAAGGAGCAAGATAAAGCAATGTGTGCAGTGGCTGATTGTCCGTGGTATCACAAGTGAGATGAGGTTTTCGCGTGTGCTTCTTGAGCAGTCCGTGCAGAATGTGGTTCGCAAGAAGAGCTTCCAAAAACTCATTCAGAACCATCTAGGTGTCACCGAGGGCGAAGGAGACGGGCTCAAACAGTACATCAACATATTCCGGGAAATTAAAGATTACTCGATCCCGAATTCCTTCGGTCAGAAGCGGACACTGAGTGAGCGCATACGTGCCTATGTCAAATTCCACAAGGTAGACGACGCTGCACTACAGACGTTTGTTGACACATCGATGGTGCCGCTGAAGCTCTCCGACATCAAGGAAGTTGAACCCAAAACACAAAAGGCTGCGCCTGTGAAGACTACGGCCGTGGGCGACGAACTGTTCGATATATTCGCAACCCAGGACGAAGAGTTGGAGGCTGACAGCGAAAACGACATGCTCTATGACGAGCAAATGCAAGCCGATGAAAGCGCGCAAAGCAAAGAAAAGCAGATGAAACAAGATTACCTAGAGATGGAAAAGTTACCGTCCGGCGATGAGTTAAATTACGATCAAGAGCATGAACAAGAAATGGAGGTGCTAGAGGAGGAGGAAGAGGAAGAAGAGGCTACGCACCAAAGACAGCAAATGAAGGAGGAGGAACACCAGGTGGAAGAGGAGCTTCCAATGCCGCATAGGTACAGCCGAAGCGAAGAAGAGATCATCAGGTGGAACCTTGAGCAACTGTCCAAGGATCCCACGAGCTGCGGGTTCCTCAGCTGCAAGGACTTCTACCTTTTCAGGAAGGACGCGACGCAACTTACCATGCCATTCCCAACTTACCTTGCCATCAGTCCGAACTTCTACAAAATCAAATGGTCGGCCAACTCGTACCGCCGTTTGAAGAATGTTATCGTCGTAATAGACGTCACAGGTGAGCTAGAAAGCGACATTCTGGCGGGCATACAACCCGGTGATCAGCAGGGTGTTGTGAGCCCTCAGGCCGCTGCTGCGGCAGAGGTTGCAGCTGCGCAGAGTCAGGATATTTCCATACCACGTGGCTTCAAGCGGAGAATTCATCGCGCCTTCGAGATTCTGGGCAACCTGCCGGAGAAAACTGTATCATTACCTGTGGCACTCAGCATTATTCGTGCCATAGATCCGGAGGAACCGCAGGACGGTGAACTTATATCATCTTATATTGCAAATGAACTTGGCCGAAATGGGGCCAGACTGGAAGAACAGTGTACGCAGCAAATGCTGCTCGATAGCATGACATCGATGTATACCATCAACAAGCAACGCAGGTACTTGGTTGTCACGCTGGCTGAAGCGGAGGCTATAAGGGCGTGGTTGCATAGGAGCCGTACCAAGGCTAAAATTGGGCTTCGTAACCTTGGTGCCAGGTTCCAACCTTTCGACACTTCGCTCGCTTATGCGCAAACCCGTCCGCAAAAGATCGCGGCACTTGTCGGGTTGCAGTCTCGCATTGCCTACGCCTGCCTCAAGTTTTTCAACTCCGAGATGCAGTATACGTCATGTCAGGTCATGCTCTTACGGGAGGTCTTCGAAACGGTGTCTCCCTCGGAGTGTTTGACCTACTTCCAGCAACTGCGTGAAATGAGATTGGTTGTGCAAAACATCAAGACTGCACTCGGTGGATCAAGCATGCTCAGCAAGCTCTTCCAGTCCTCAAGTACCGATGAACTCATCATGCGGTTGCTTAACATCAAATTACATCAGATATCGTGCGAGCGCGGCGGACCGCGCGGTCTGATGGCTTCCCTCAAAACTGACAAATTGAGTGGGCAGATGCTCACAGGACTTATTAACTCAATCCCGCAGCGACCTTTGGCGCAGCCACACGAACTCAGGGCATTCCTGCACTATCTGGACCGTGACATAGATGGTGTCGTCAGTCTATCTGACCTGGAGAGCTCGTTTGATGAGCTTGTCGATGTCGCAGCGGACCTGAATGCGTACTGGGGCGTGAGGTTCACAGTCACTGTGCACAGTGATGTGAGGCCGGTGGTAAGGTGCGCCGATTTTGCCGTCTGGACTCCCAAGAAGCTTGGCCACTCCTTGGATGTCGAGATGCATCAACTCGCGCACCACTTCACGGCGCCGGGAGAAGGCACCGTGGAGTGCTCCGTTCTAAAGTGCGTTAATAAGAGTGGTGTGCCATCACCACTCAAGAAATTCTGCCGACTGCCCGTCGGTTTCAAGAAACTCTGGCAGGATAGCGTTGAGGACCCACAAGTCTTCTTGTGGCAGCCAATTGCGCCGGAGGGACACACGGCAATTGGAATTGCCGCTACTCGAGTCGATGAGACTCCCAGCGACCACTCTGTCATTTGCCCGCCTTCGAAATGGCTCGAAGATGTGGTGTCACCCGAACAGGTTCTGGAGGCCGACGGTTTCGACAGCGAACTGCAGCCCATGCGCATAAAACTCTGCCTGTGGCATGGTGCCGCGAACGTCGGCAACGCTATTGCGCTAAAAGGTACCACCTTTGCGCTGCAACCCAACCTGCTAGACATGATGGACACGGTGCCGGAGCTTTTGCCCCTGCATTAAGTGTATCCATTTGAATTGTGTGATTTAACTCTTAATATCATAATGCTAATTTTATTACTCTCACGTATAATCTTGAGTCCAGAGAATATTATATGCTCGTAGAGGCACTTGGTGCATAGTGGCCTGCGGAACTCAGGCGTGGTCCGCTGGCAGCACACAAAAATAGCAGCAATGCGAACTAAAAAGTCATAAGTCATCCATGCGTAAGGGTTTCCAGCTTCGTATGGCATTCTTACCACCTGATAGACGCTTTTCATAAGCATTTTGTGGTCAAATCACGTACGATCACGGATAGAACGGTAGATCGGTAACGCAGTCTGTGCGTATGCTTCTTTGTGTTGTAGCATGTGTTCATGCTAACTAGGATTAGTTGTACCTTATCTTTGTTTTGGTTTCGTTTAGTGTGCGATGTGGCAACGTCTTGCTTAGGGCCGATTTTAGTGTTTGAGAGAATCTGCGACATTCATGTTGCGGTGTCACATGGTCATAGTATCGCAAATGTGGAATAGGTCATGCCATTAGAGATTAGTGGAGTGGAAGCGTTGGTAAGCTAAGAACCAAAAACATTTTGTATGTTTGCAAATCCCAACGTAGAAGCAAAAAGTGACGGTAGTAGCGACTACATTGCGATTGAAATTGTTACTGCGATATCAAAATTCCATGTGAGATATGTGAACCTACATCAGGCCCTTAAACGGGAAGGCGGAGTATTCATCAGCGTCCATCTCCTCGGGAATCCTTCCACCGGCGAGATTCGTGGATGCGCCGGAACTTTTAAACGAGTCAGCAAATGCAGCGCGTAGTTCGTAATACACCTTGCGGAATGGACCAGGATACAAACGACAGATGAAAACAATTGCCACTGAAACTAGAAGTATGGGGACTCCTATGTAGCACCCGCGCCTAAATTCATCTTGGGGACACAGTATGCCGCAGTTTGTGCACTTGAAGCCGCATTTGCTGCCGAGGTAGAAGAATTCAGTCTTGTCGCAAGTGCTATCGCTGCATTCGCCAATTACACTGGCGTGTTTGCAGTAATACGTTCCACCGTCATGGCCTGCTTTCGTGCATTCATCGGAGTGTTGTTCCTTGCCGTCGCATGTGCCAGCTCCCTGGCATTTAGTGCCAGGATTACACCACTTACAGCAGCAACACATCACTCCATTGCATCCACATTTACACAAGCGGCATATACAATTGCGATTTGTTGATTCTTTGCATTTTTCCTTGCAATCTTTACACTTTTCATTAACCTCATCGTAGCAGAGCTTGCCACTCTTGAAAGCCTCCTCACATCCACAGTTGCAGAGACTGCACTGACATTTTTGTTTACCTTTGCAGTTATTTCGGCAATGCGGGCAACCGTGCTCACCGCACTTTTTTTTCCTTATGCCTTCGTTCTGACATCCACAGAAACAAATAGAACATTGACACTTGTCGTTTTCAGTGCACTTCCTTGCTTTGCAGCGTTCGCAACCGGAGGGGCAGCAGCTTTTCCACCATTCTGCATAACATGGTTTTTTGCATCCCTCGCAAGTGTACTTCGCTTGCGCCATCTTCCCTCCTGACTCCATTCACACGGCCCAAAACATCATTTAACATCCTAGCGCAACTGGCATATCGCAGCCTCCAACGTCCCGGTGATATGGCGATGCGGCACCTTAGCCGATGCCCCTAACATGTCACCTACCGGCTGCGCATGCGACCAATAACAACAATATCGTTAAATGTATATAACCTATAGTCTAGCGTACCGCTTTCGCGGCCGCGCCTGGAGCCCAGAGTCGTAGCATCGGCTGGGCGCTCGATCCACTGCGTCATCGGGTACAACACAAAAGCATGCGCATGTAGCTGTTTTATCTAATGTTAGCCTTGTGCCTTACAAAGATTTCTAAGCCCATAATTATGCAATAATCGCTGCCCGCAGTTTAGATGAAGTATTACTCTGACGTAAATGCTGTGTCCGTCATGGTCGCGCATTGTACTCAATTCGCTGGCGTTCCAATTACAGCTTCATAACAGCTGTCCACTTGGCCTTGCAGCTCGTTCACCGCTATAAGGGTTTGCACGTGTCCCGACTCCATACGTATCACGGACGCTTCGGCCTTGAGACCTCCCTGAGATGGACGTGTTGCTTGCTCAAAGTGGCTTACATGCGTCAAGTTCCGTCCTGCCGATGTGTATCTACTTTATCTATCATTTTAATGTTGCGACATAGCCATCACCCTAATACCTGTGCACTCCTCGGATCATTGTATGGCACTGCCATTAACCTGCGTCTCATCTAACCTCTCCGCCGCTTGCACGGTCCTTGTGGCTGACTCGATTTCTCCCTCTTCGGTGTTTTTTAGGCTCTCCGTATTCCCACCAATGTTATCACACTGGCCATTCAACGTTTCCTGCATTCCCTGTTTTTCCCTCCTCGATACGCCTCTTCACCTAAATGCGCTGCTTAGTGAACATGTCTTTCGTTTTTGTTTTGGCTATGTTTAGCGTGCTATGTGGCTACGTGGTTCAGGGCCGACTTTCGTGTTTACCAGGCTAGCGCCTCACGCTGCTGGTGTCGGTTGCGGGATCAGCGGCGCGGGACTATGATGCCGCATACATACATGCAACTTCATTTCCTAAAGACGCTCAAACAATAATGAACATGCAATCCAATAACCTGACGGATGGCCCACTGCCTAACCTAGCATGGCACTCCAACGCTGCCGGTCCGGGTGCTCGCCCACATCGACCGCAAAAAGCATTATGTAATTAGCTTTTATTACGTTACCTTATGATTTCAGGCTAGGTGTTCTACGTGACTGGTTACTGGACGGAAGCGTAGAGCGTGGGTTGAGGGCAGATAGCTGTTAAGATACAATTCATTAACGTAGTCCGACGGAAATTCCTGCGGCCAGATTTCGGCGCGCGAAGGACTGCCCGTGCTACAACTTCGATCTAACGATCCTGCGGCACTAAAGCTCTTTAAAACGGTTATTCAGTCATCCTTGGAATCGTGCGTCTCAAGTTTGAAGCTGATCTGTAACACAGCGAGCGTCTTGTTCACCATACGCGCCGCCTGTAGAATCTGTATCTACGTCACCATACGCATCGTCTCCAGCATCCATGTTGCCTGGACTATCCGCTTCGTTACGATGCTCAGGAACCGTACCATCGATCGCATGCTCTATGCTGTTGACGACACGCTCGATATCATCGGCGAGATGCTCGATAAGAGTGATAACAATCTCGATGCGACCGATAAGACCCTCGACACTATCGGCAGGGATGATACGGTCTTCCATCCTACGAATACGATAGACGATATGCCGCATACGATGGCTGATGCGACTCACATTACCGCCGATAGCCTCGACAGCAACGATGAGAGTCCCGATGAGCTCCATGATGGGGTCGGCACTATCGAGGCGATCGATACGGTCCATAACGTGCTCCACACGCTCCATGAGAGGCTCGGCACTATCGTAGATGCGCTCCATACGCTCCATGATAGGCACGACACTATCGACAGGTTCGATACTATTGAGGAAATGCTCCGTGGTATCAAAACGAGAGATTATGAGCCCCATCAATTTGATGCTACGCTCCATACCAAAGATGATACTATCCTTACTGCCTATCCTGGCTGTAACGTCCTTTGTAACCTTATCGCCTTTAGTAGCCGCAGAGTCGTTAACTTCATCTAACGGCGGATTTTCTGGTACACGATGCGACTCAACGCGCTGATATATCATCCAAGAGGCAATAAGGACCACCACAAAAATGGGCATCCATCTAGACAACATGTTCACCAGCTTCTGCGGCCACCGTATCTCCTTCAACGTATCCTTATGTCTATCGTTGTCACCACCAATAGAAACAGACTTCGCCGGATCAGTCGGCCTTCCGTCCCCCGCAGACCCATCCGTATCGCACACAACTCTGCGGCCAGCCATTGTGGAAAAATAATTAGCAACGCAGGTGTAGCTGGATCAGGGCTCTTGAAATCGAAATACACAGACCACCATTCAGGTGTAATCCCCTAGGCGTGTCTGCAAAGCTAGCGGCTGACACACCACTAATATAAACAGCTAACAGACACACCTACTAGTTATTGCGCCAGTATAATTTGAAAAGAATTGAACTCAGTTGTATTGACAGCGATAACAATTTGTGTACTCCACTCAGGCTGCCACTGCTCACGCCCACTTCTAGGCTGTCGAGGTGATAAATAACAGGGGAGACAGTTTTGCGGGGCGCCCCACTAAGTGGCCACTGGGGCCTAGGCCGGGGGTACGGCTTCACGGCTAGCCACGGTATTGACCGTGAATACCCGTAACTGCAAAGTTCACTTATACAAGGTCGAACATCAACAGAACGTTGCGCATAAGCACGCCACGTCACATTATATGGACACCCACTCACCCGGCGGGTTACCCAACACCCCTCCCATGCTGGCGACCCGGGCGACCACTGACTCGGTTTCAGTCCTCTGCTACTATCGGACGGCACCGGTGACTATTACAACTCAACTATTGCAACACTAGCTAAAAATAACTACATTATACATTAAGTTGTAATTCAGGTCCAGTCCGTGAGGCCTTCTTAAGCTCCTGGCTATAACTATGGCCGCCTTGGGGGACGTAAGCAACTAAGGAGCTGCATACGCGTTCGCACGGCTGCTTTTTACCCGCCATATAATAGCACGCGGAGGGCAGGGCGACGCAGAAGGAACCACCGAGATGCGTGACTCAGTCCAGTCCAACAACAGCAATACCGACTGCACCTACAGCAACCTTTGCAGTTCCTAAAACCAGTTTCGCATAGCACAGTGCCGCTGCGTCACCATCAAGGGTGTCATCCTCTCCACCATCCAGATCGAGAACTACTACGCCAAGTAGTGAGCAACTAATATCTGATAACTCATCAGCAGATTGTGGAAATTAATCTACGTGTTTCCTTGTTTCCGTTAATTTGTGTATTCACGTAGCAGCGTGGTTTCTGATTCGAGTGTGGTAATTGCGGCTTTCAATTTAACACCATATTGGGGCATTACTAGTGCTGTGTATAGCCCGTTTAATAGTGTGATGTATAATTAAGTCTCACCAGACCTTTGCTGTGCCTTTCGCGTATACCGAATTAGGAAGGTGTGATATGCGCGACTGTGGTTACGGCTACATATTATAATCTCGGCAATGCTCTTAGGACGCAAAAACTGCAACCATCTGGGACATTGTCTTGGACTACAGTTACTCCACCAAACTAGATAAGAAACTACCGTGTAAGTGCCTGGCCACGCTAGATTACCGGTGGAAGCGGATGCAGGGATGACTTCGTGTGACCATTGTACACTCACAGGGTACTACAATATATAGTGTACTAAGCTACTGTGAGTCATATTGACATATGCGAGGTGTCTACTTAGGGGTGTGATCTCTCTCAGACTCTGCCTATAGCTCCACGGGATGGGGCAAGAAAAAGCGAGCGAATGTCTCACAGTGGGGAAATACACACCAATAAGGTTATGAATACGTTGGTAATCGTTGTACCATATTCGGCAGCATGCAGCTCAATGAGTAGCCCGACCTCATCGGGTTGAGGTGTGAGGCGTAATGGCAGTATACGTGGCTCCGTGTTAACATCATAAGCACACAGGAAATGGGTGTCATATGTAGGATTATTCGTCATTATTGAAAGATTTAGGTAGTTAACTGAAGTGAGAAGTGTTGTTGGGTGGATAGCACGCCCATACCGGCTGGTAGGTGAGTACCAGGAGTGCGCCCGGTAGCGTTGCAAGACTCTCGCGATTGGGAAGAGATGTTAAATATGCCGTCATTGATGCGTAATTTTACAACCTGACAGACGTTTTAACAGCTGAATATGGGGTAAGGTTTGCAATATATAGAATGACGAGGTGGGGCGATACGGACCTGCGAGGCGCGCTGCTGCCGTATCCCTGGCGGTGCGTAGGATGGCGGCTGCCAAGTTGGTCGCGTAATTCTGAGGGGGATGCGACATGGCGGCGTCGCGATGCGGGATGAGGATAGGCATCCTGTCCTCCACTAGTGATATCTGTGAAGTTTGCCGCAATCCTACCGTGAGGCAGCCTACCATTCCAGTCGGCGTCCGGGATTTCCGGATCCCTGGCCTTGTCGCCTCTCCCCTCAGGTGAGCGCACTATTTACCATCCATGTGTTTGCGACGTAGACTCCAGGGTGGCGCGACCCTATTATAGCCTGCGATCGCTAGCTTTGTTGTAATACCATGCCGCACTTAGTTGTCACATAGCGTCTCACATTGTAGCCTGTTCACGCAGGCCGCCTGGCGGTTTGGCTGCGGCGTCTTTTCAATGGCGTCACATAGATGCACAATCACGTTACCGTGTCTAGTTCCTGGCTTCGAGCCATCTTTTATGTTGCTTTTCTGGCACCCATTTTGTGGACCACCGCTCGCTAGAGGTGGCCACTGTAGCATTTCCTAGGCCTCATGTTATGGTCGCTGTAAATACATTGCCTTGTGGCTGGAGGTCTAGTGCTTGATTTGTATCGGGCAGGATGTCCGTGCACCAAAGCCAATTCAGCACTCTAAAGGAGTGCTTTCAGTTCCTAGAGTGGCTAAACGGTAGCGATGATAATATGCTTGAAAAGCTGGCAAGTGAGCTGGAAAACCGTATTGATACATATTTTAATAATCATCAGTTTGGAATTGAATTGAGAAGTTCATTAATTAATTTTCTCGACGATGTATCGTCGCTTCATGACCAAATAAGCACAATTGCAAAACCCGGTGATTATCAAACGTATGCAGAGGACATCACCGAATATTTTCACGAATGCCTCTCCAAGGTACACGCTGCTCTCTCTGATTTGCTGGATATTGTATACTTCAGTCACGACGATGGAGGAGATGGTATTATGGGGAATATGGAGGAACTGCAGGTTTGTGAGCTTAAGCGTTACCTCACGTCCTCCAACTCCGATAACTTCAACGGCATTATCCCCGGTGGCTTCCGCCCCGATGATCTGCAAGTTTTCACGGGTCAAAGTTTAGCCGAAAATCTAAACGCTGCGCTTCAAAGAACTACCATAACGCCTGATCTTTTCACTAGCGTTCTCTTCAATAATTTAGTTAAGGATGACTGGCACAACCTAGACGCTGGGAACGTCTTGCTGTTGCTGTGGGCGTTTTGCGGGTATGTGCAAAGCCATGAAAAAGACAACACCGATCTAAAAACAAATTTACAAGCACAGCTTAATAAAAAAGGAATGTGTTTCGATTGGAAAAAATTAGTAGCGCATTGTTCCAAACTCAAAGGCGAATTAGATAAATTGTTTGGTAGTGATGACGAGTCCAGTCCTAAACCCTTCTCTACTACTGGCAGAGCGTTTACCACTAGTGCCCTTAAGCCCGAAGCATTTGCCGGAGCATTCGAGAAATGGTTTAAAAATCACTGGAAGCAGATGATAGGGGCTTTGGAAGATATTCAGAAGAGAGTTACCGATTTAGAAAGTGATACTAGTGACTTCACCCCCGAATCTCTCTATCCCTACGGCATAGTGTTGAATAAGGGTCAAAAAGGCTCGTGGAAATCGGGATTGAAGGATCTGCACGGTGTTTTGGATGTGCTTGGTGATTCAAATAACGGTGACTTGAAAACGCTCAAAAGAATTCTGGAAGGTGAGACGTGTCCGGCGGAGCCTCCGCCTGTCGCCACTAAAACTGAGGCAACAAAACCTGTGGCAACCAAAACGGAGGCCACAAAACCTGTGGTCACCAAGGCGGAGGCGGCGAAGCCGACTGCCACTAAAAGTGAGGGAGCACAGAACCAAGGCAAGAAATCCGAGGGAGCTCCAAATCAAAGTAAAGGTCAAAGTGACGTAAGTTCTCCACCTCCACCAGTTGGCAAGCCTCCTGCTCCAGCTGCGCCTTCCGGTGATCAAGGAGGTCAAGGCCCGAAAGGGCCTAAAGGTGCAGTGTCTCCGGGGTCTTCTCAGTCTACAATCACGCCAGTTAAACAAGTCGTTCAGACTCAACAGACCACTCTGCAACCCCCTCAACCGGCATCCCCTGGCCACCCCGGTCAGCCAGGTGTCGGCAGTACGGATTCACCGGGAGACAATGTTTTAAGTACACAGACTATTTCCTCGACAAGTCCTGCGCCGACTCAAATGCCAACTGTTCAAAGTCAGGGATCTGCGCCATCTGTTGCCCATGGCTCCAGTGGTCAGGGCTCTATTGATCAATCGCCTTCCATTAACTCTAATCTTCAAACTGCTCAAAGCTCTCCTACCCCTCCTATACTACCTTCTAATCCTCCTCCTCCTCCAGAAATCAAATTTGTATACGATTTAGGGAAGTTATCTGACATCTCTACAAATGCTTATTTGGATGCACTACACAATCAGATGAAAGCTTTACCACCTAAAGTGCCACTTCTAATCACAGAGCCTCCGAAGCGTGATCCAGATGATCTTCAAAATTCAGAGTTGTACGTTCTGCACGATCCAGTTCGGTTCGGTCTTGGAGGGACGGCAGCTGTGGATGCTGATAAGGCACTAGTCGTGGAATTCGATGGTAACGATGTGGCAGAAGCAAAACAAGTTGACAACGCAATACCGGTTGGCTTTGACGGAGGAATAGTTTCCGATTTTCAAGATCCAGTAGTACCCTCTAAATTTAGCGGTAAGTTGGGCGGTGAGGTTTATGACGATGGCACTGACCTTTTATTGCAGAAGCAGATAGATGCGAAAGCAGAATGGCAGGAAGCGCAGAAAGTAAAATTTCTGAAAGGTATTCAGGAAGATTTTCAAAATAAGATTACGAGTTCTAATAATGATGCAGTGTTCATGTCAGGTAATGCAATTAAATTCCCACAGCATGCTCAATTGAAAGGGGAAGTTTTGAAGGATAATTCCGACACTAAAGAGAAGAGGAAACAGGAAGCACACAAATATGCTCGTCTGAAAGAATTTGCGGTCACGGGGAATAAGATTCCGATTCCCCCTGCCCCTATTAAGCCCCTTCCGCTAGTCCCCTCTATTGGCGTTCCTACGGGTACTGCATTAAAAGAGTCAAAACAAATACCACCTTTGCCACCGTTGCCGTACCCGCTTTCTGTTCCTGCCATCGCTTCCGTCCCCGAAGGCATCGATTTAACTAAAAAGAAACGTACGACCGAACGTCCGCCTGTGGCCCCTACTGTTAATGTACCGGTGACAGGGCGACTCGACTTGCCAATTGAGAACGTAACAGACGTCGAAGGCGCTCCGATTGAGAAAAAACCATCTCATATCCCAACGGTCTATATTCCTCAGGATAGTGCTTTCGAGACGTTTATACCATCGGAAGCCATGGGAGATCCCGTTCCCAATACCAAGACAAATCCTTCACGGAAACCCCTCACGCCGGTAGAAATCGACGATCATCCGGGTATTATGATTGATGAACCTATATGTCTGCAGTACTCCCCAGTATTAGTCACCAAGAAAGTGCCTTCCACAGATTCCTCCATACCGTCGCCCCGAACCGTGCGTGAGATGATGTGCTGGATCAGTGATTTGATGTATGCGTCGGGTTACGACGAATTGACTACGCTAATTGCACGTCTGTTTGAGGGGTCTAAGTCGATTGAAGGATTCGCAGAATCGTTCTCAAACACCGATGTTATGGTTACTCTGTCTGATGCGTGCGGCCACGCCAGCTCAGTGCTCGCTGGCATGGAGGGGCCCAAGCCCACCGACCTATCCAAATTGCATTATGAACGCTACGGCATTCACCTGATGCACTACTCCGACGACCCCTACACGCTGCTGTGTCAGTTGCTCAGTTACGTATACGCTTCATACCATCAGTTGTCCTTCCTGCGCACTCAGTGCAGCCGGGACACGCATTCTGGTGGATGGCGTGACTGTCTGTTTGGTAGAAATGTGGAGATTTCCAAAGCTTGGAAGTGCCGCAAAGATCCGGTAGATCCTATGAGACTACAGGGCCACGATTGCGACTTGTCCCCGCTGCAAGGCTTCCTCACCGACCAGTCCGTGCTCCCCACCTACTGGTATCAGAGGGACCATATATGCCAGCGGAGTCATATCAAAATGGGCTTCCGTCCGGACCATTTACGTCGAGAGTCCAAGCATGGCTTCTACATGTACAACGTGCTGGCCGGGGTGTGCTATCAGAATGCCGACCCACTCGAGAAGCTTTGCAGGTATCTTGTGTGCCTCACCAGGCGGACGCCGCGCACCACTGGGGAGCTTGTGTCTTTCTTCCACAATTTCGGAGGTGAGCTGCACGGTGCACCTTCAAAGGTGTCTCCACTGGGCTCCGCCCTCTCACAGCCACATGACGACTGCCCCGACTGGGACCGTCTCAAGGACGCCGACCTCAATGCCATCAGGGACATCAGGGGCTCCTCCCCTCCCATCGCCGACTCCATCCACGACCATGACAAGGACCATCCCAAGACGTTGTCAGCACTGCTAGGTTGCGGCATCACTAACGCCAACTGCACACGACTTCTCTCTCCCATCACCTACCGGGCCTACGCCCTGTACTCACCAAGCTTCGCCCACACCTACCTCAGCTGGACGGTGTACCTACCAGACAGATTACACGAGTCGCTGCTCAAGCTGTACTGTGATCTCGAGAACCTTCAATGTCCCGACTCCAAGGCCAAGTCCCTCCACCAGTGTGACAAGGCCCTACCCCTCCTCTACCTGCACGGCATCACCCCGCCAGACGGGGTAACGCAGCCGTCACTCTCCTGTTCCGAGATCATCACCAAGCTGGAGCAGGTGGCCAACGGACAGCCTATCGCAGACCTCATGACCGCCATGGACACATTCCTCTACGGCATCCGTGCCCCCTTCCTCTACACCATCGTAGCACTCTGGCTCGTCGCCACGCTCTACGTCGCCCACTCACTCCTCTACCGCATGGACGTCCTCCGCATACGCTCCCACCTCCTCACTACCGGGGCCTCACACCTCATCGACGTCAAGGCTTTACTCGCCGGCAGCCGCAGGATGCTCTCACTCTACAAGGACGTCGACTACTTCGACGACGACGCACTCACTCACGCAATTCATCAATGATTGTTATCATAATTCCTCATAACATATGCGGTCTTTGCTACCTAACTATGACGTGGAGTCGCTAGACGATAATGAAGCACAACCTGGCTGCTCGATGCAATATATTGCTGGTAACTTAAAAGCGACCAACGCAAGTGAGCCTGCAACATCAGCGCCCCTAGATACCAGGATAAGTGTCCGGGGTAGTTTATGCAGACGTTCGTATGGATATAGTTGCAGCAGCAGTGCTGTCTCGCTGCACAATTTGATGATAGAGCTAAGTGCCTGCACCTCTACCCAAGGCGCCCCTCCCACGGCAATTAATGGTGACGTGGCGGCATGGCTATTACGGTTTGAGCCCGTCAACTATTGTTTTATCGCTCACGAAGCATGTGTGTAGCTGCAGCTGAAGAGCACGAGCCGTATATACCCATGTGCAGCATAGGTGCCAAAATAATACGGCGATAATAGAATGCACGGCCTCCTCCACATAGCATCCAGTAAACAGTTAACACCACACAGGATGATAAAAATCGTGAATCCAGTCAAAAACGACCTTCATATTTGCGTATGAATGCATGTTACGTTCGCAACGCACACAACCGACCATTTACAGTACACCCATGCATCAGCCACCACGTAGGCCAATTGAAAAGCAGACGCAAGGCAGTGGACCGTGTACACCACTCATCAACGAAGGTGCGCAGATTCCATGGGAAAACGGCTCGACGGGCTATGGTACATGTGGATGCACGTACTCTGTTGCAAGCACCATTGTTGCGCCACACCACGTGCAGAGGTGAACTCCCACTATGTATACGCGGCTACCTAAAACAAAATAGAGAGAATGATAGGTCATTAGAAACGAGGTTATGCACGCTTCTTCTTGTCCATACGTTTGCGGTAGAAGTTCAGCTCATCTCCCTCGAGGATGTAACCGTCACACCTTCCGGTTTGACCGGGGCGGGAGCTGATGCATGCAATCAGACGACCCGAGGCAAACTGTTCAAGAAGCGATTTAGACACAAGCTTGCTGGCGTCCTTGCTGTCATCGGTTTCCTCGGCAGCCTCACCCTTTGGCTTAACGAGGTCAAAGCCGTACGTGTTTTTGAACCAGATCTTGAAAGGAGTGGCATCGATAGTGACCAGGCAGTTCTTCACGAGGGTCTTAGTGCGCACCAACTCGTTGCTACTGGCGTTGTACACGACATCCATGATCCTGGTCTTCCTGCAGACATCTGCACAATGATGATAAGGTGGTTATAGAGTTGCACGGTACACATAACAGACGGCAAGGCCTGCGTACGGCCCAAAACAAAGCTCCCAGAGCACAACGCACGACGCCAGGCGGTCATCGGCGGCTCGAGGATTGGCACTAACAACCACTATCACCACCGATAAACGGGCGTTCATATAAGCATCAGTCGGTAATTCCAGCTAAGAAGAGTTTCAGCATTAACTCAGGCTTAGAAAATATCATCATGCGCTTTGATCAAACAGAAACAAAAACTCACTTTTGGTGGACCATGAGAAGTTGCCGGAGTCGAGACGCAGCGCCCTGAATTTCAAGTTTCCACCGCGGCAGCGAACCTTGCGAACCAGCTTGGTTCCGAGCTTGGTGTTGGATGCAGGCCTGGCCAATTCGTGCTTTCTCTTGTTCTTGTGCACGGGGAAGCGCCCACCGGTAAGACGGCGCTTGTGGCGACTGTCGCGAGAAATACCCATGGTGTCGAAGCGCTATGAACTACTGCGAATTTCTCCCTATTTATTAACGACGGGAGAGCCGAAAGAACCTGTCGTTACTTAGCGCTGTCTTCGAAGACCCAGCGGCAGCCAACGTAACGACGGCCCTATAATGAAACCACAGTTTCACCAGCTACCGATAAGCACCAATTGGCTACACGCACAATTTTAGTGCCAATTGTGTGTAATAAGATATCAAAGTGAAGCAAGAGAGACGAAACACGGATCCGCCGTGATGCCTCCCCACTCAGCTCCCCACCGTCAGCCGAGGCGCTTCAACTTCCCCTAATTATTACCCTCTCTAATTTATGAGCATAGCCTCATTTGGATTGTATGACCGCCGGTAATGCGGAAGGTTGCCGGAATCGATGCGCTAAGGATTCCAGGATGCAATATATCAGTTGAGATGACGCGAGCATATTTTCAGATCCATCTCCATATTTTTAGCTCAAAATTATGTGTGTTAGTGAGTTGAAATCGCCTGGGCTTATATAGCTCGGGTGTGCCTTTCTGACGACTGCGGAATGTTTGGCCAGAAGATGGCAAGGCCAACTGGTGACACACATACTGTTGCTTCGATTCGCGTCCGTTGTTGGCATCATTACCACAGCCGTTCGGCAATTACAAAGCCATACAATTCGTATTTATGTGGCGTGACGTTGCTGAACAACGCCTTTGCGTTGCAGCGCGTCACTCTTTGCTCCGAGCTACAGTAGTGAGTGCTATCAACACTCGCGACGACTCTTAGCCGCCTATTCACACATTTAATAGTCATGCGAATGCCCTGTGCTTACCGCTTTGGGTAATGTGTAAGGTTTCAGGTAGTGCCTAATCGTTACGCCCGAGCATAGACAGCATTTTCACACACCTCTAGTTGGTGTAAGTAAGAATACTTACCGTTCGTTGTTACTAAACTCGAAACCAGTTGTTGGCGCCGAGAAGGAATCATGAGCCAACAAAACGAGACTACACCCGGTGACCAAGCGGTTCTTGCCTCCGGGCGTCAGGAATCGACTAATACAGTGGAAGAGCGTTTGGCAGCGAAGGATGCGCACCAAAGCGGCGTGGAAGTTGCTTCTAACTGCGTAGACGCAAACGATGGACCGTCCAAGTGCGTTGTCATCTGCGTGTGATATCATACGTGAGCAGAAGGAGCCATGAAGATGTTATACAGGGCGAGGTTGAACTGCCCGGTAAGCGTCAGGAGGTGAGGACGTGCATCATTCCCTAATGACTCATGCCGGCGCAGATTGACGCTGCGGCGGTCGAAGAAGCTAAGACGCAAGAAGGCCACGTTACCCCGGCTGAGCATCGTGCATCGCGACCATCGGACGATGGTAGCGAGTCAGATGCAACTAAATCAAATGCATTGGAAGAAGCAAAGGGTGATACCGCAGCTGCGGATGACGCAACAGCCGAAACAAAGGATAAACAGGAAGTGTACGCAACTTTATTCATCATAGTACCTACATACCATATAGGCCGACTACGTCGTCTGTTCCGGCATTCGGGTTCAACAAGGAGTACGTATCCCCCTTCAGCAAGCTGGTATGTTATTGCGATAGGCAACCGACTGAATACCGTGCAGCTCGAGACTAAAACCTCCGGCGGCTTTTTGGAGTCCACAAAAGTTTGGGGATCCGCGCCAACAACAGAAAACGTCGGTGCTGCTCCCGAGCAGACTGACTCCGCTGAGGCACCTCAAAAAACATGGGATGTGCAAGCCGCATTGCAGGACAGCGAGACACTCTTGTTCGAAAACGTATGTTTAAGAATAGGGAAATACAGATGCGTGCAGAAGACGTGCAATCTGTCTAGATACAATGACACAGAATGGAGCACTCCCGTCCCGGTTGTGCTTCAGATCATCGCGAAACAGGTAGGCTCTTACTAGCATTCCGATTCCATGTCACCGGCACAACGGTGGCGCGCGTAGTGGCAACTGAAATTGTGCAACATACGGCTTAAAACATTGCAGGATTCGGATAGCAAACGCATAGTGTGCTACCAGGCCGGAACGGGAAGGATACAGTTGAATACTACGGTATTACCAACAATGTCAGTCAACAAGCTCAAAACAAAGTCCATCATCTTTGTCGGCCAATTGATCGGTAAGAAGGCGCTGATAAATTGCACAGCACTTCAGGTGACGAATCGAAGCTTGCGCCTCACCGAATCATATTCCAAGACCAGGGTCAGAGAGATGCTTGTCACGAGCTGTTTTAATCTTTAGACAAAGCACTAGCCACTTCAGACAGGAGCTTCTGCTGTTGCTTGCGTTCCAGGTCCGCTACTTCGTGCGATGTGCGTTCGGAGCGTATGCGGCCGCCGGCCAGATGTGGTACTTGACGTTCGAGGAGCACGCACTCCATGGCCTGTAACAATGCATTTGCAGCCAACGGGGCCTCACTTACTCGACCGATCATAATAAACTGCTCACATGTGATGCTAGGGTAGAACAGACGTGCGTCTAAACCGCCTCGAGGGTTGCCGCGGATGTTCTTCGGGCCTCCTACCATCAGCGCGTGACTGCGCAGCCCGCAGCGCACATCGACGCCGCGTAAATAGAATTCGTTCATAAACTCCGCACTGAGCCTTGCAGTGCTATCAGAGTCGCCGTAAAATAGTCGAGCGAGCTCAGACAGAGCCCGGCGCAGTGGAAGGCGGCCCTTACCGGCAGAAGCCGACCGGAACGCTCCCACCAACGCGTCCTCGGCGCAGCGCTTCAGCACTGGCATCAAAGCTACATTTATAACAATAACAGCACGAAAAATTGTACGGCTGCGTGCGAAACCTTCACAGTGTGTATGCGACGTGCCCGCTACACATCCACCGTGACTACATAGTAGACATGTACCATAACAACATAAAATTGCAATTCCGCAGCGGCGGGTGTGTATATCGTGACATTCGATGTTTGATACTGTCTCACATCATATCGATAAGCCTGTAATCGCCTTTGCGACGCCCGGCAATAACGCATCGGCCAAAACTGGACCGTTGCGTCGAAAATACAGCTGTACCATTGTACAAAAGCTACATACATATGGCGTTGCCTATTCGGAATCTTCCGATGGGTCCTCTTCATCCAGTGTCTCGCAACACTGCACGGTGATAACGCCATACGACATTGACCAACCTCTGTAGTGATCGCATCACGTTTGAGCAAGGCAGCTCGCAAGCTATGAACGCTTATGTTGTCACCTGTGGTGTATTAAGCGGTGGTTGCCTCATCTTACCTTTAAACTCTTCGAAACCGACAAACACGTTCTTTATGCTCCCGTCCAACACGCTAATAAGCGTGGGCAGGATTTGCATCTCCAGCTTTTTCGTGAAAAACGGTGCGTCAGCAGCGGGCATCCTGCGTGACAATGAAAAGCGATGCGTCAGAGGCCATATGATGGCAAGAAACTCACCTGATGAACTTTACTTCGAGGTGCTTCTCGGCAAGAGTGGTCAGATGGCGGTGCAGAATCTTGCACCTGGTGAACTCCTCATTATAGAAGTGGCATATCTACGCCACATGCTTGTTGGTATAACCGCGCCAAACTAACCACACGCTTGTGAGAGTTGCACGTGTTTATCACTTGCTTTTCATCGGTCATCGTCTCGACGGAGCCGTGGCCCTGCTCCAGATAGTCACGGGACTTGTCTCGCATGCGCTGCAAACTCCAATGAGACGTCAAGAGCGGATTGAACGAACCTTGATGGCCGCAAGACGTTCGCGGCGCCAATATTCGATGTCGCTACGGGGCTGCTGAACTGCTACAGAGTTAACATGTAACGTCCATCGGCATACCGGGCTCCGGGAGAGATTCTTCGACTTCAGCGGTCGCCGTCTGTGTCAGTTCTTGCAACCGCTTCTTCTGCACAGCCTCCTAACGAAAAATTAGACCCATCATTCCATTCTAATACGCAGGACACCGTTGGTGATGTGCAAGATCGACATACCATAAGGTAGGAGGTGTTGGCAAAAGACAACACATCCTTTGAAATTGTCATCGTTATAGTTGCAGTCGAGCAATAATATGTTAAATGGAGGTCGGTGTATGCTATAACGGAAGCTCAGTGATGGCAACGGCGCGACCACATGAAGCAAATATTCGTGGCTAAGAGCCACAGAAATAAAAGACGCGCAGTAAAGAGGTTAACTTTCCGCCAAATACAAGGATGTGACGTCTACAGGGCTCCGACGTACGCGGCGTCGACTACGATGCACACCGCTGTCTCAATCACGACGCGTCTGCATGTAAATCCCGTCTATAACAGACAACAGAACGTTAAGCAACTCCGGAATTACCATTAGTAGCGAAGAAGTCACATAAACATGTATCCGAGTAGTTTATCGGTTAGTGGAATCCTGGAAGGTTCGACGATACCAGATCACCTTCTTTGTCAGTGTATACCCCAAAGGACAAGCAGTTAGACGAATATAACAATTCGATTGCACTTGTTTAGCGTGAAATGGGAGGTCATAAGAATGATGCGGACTCTGATCGTGTCGCGCAACGAAGCAGCGTAGAACACAACAGCGACACGTGAAACTCAGTGTGCAACCACAATACGGCCATACATCCGACAAATATCACGCTAAAAGCAGGGGAGTCCAAGAAACTCGTGATGTGCGACGTTCCCAATGGGATATATTTATGTACGGCGGTTACAGAGGGTAGATGCACTCCACCACATAAGCAACAATATAACAAACACCTTAACATTCTATAGCCTTCCTTTCGGAAAGCACACCTCAAGTAACATAATTTGTACATAATGGACGTACCGGAAGATGCCGGCAACCCGGTGATTGCCGAAGCGCAGCAACTGGCGGACGAAAAGCGGCTGGAAGGCAACCGCCATTTTGCGGACGGAGATTACCCAGGCGCCATAGAACTCTACACCCGAGCCATACAGTTAATAAGAAACGCGGTGGAAGCCCACGCTGGAGCTATGAATGGCTCCGGAGAAGGCAGCACAGCGTCGTTGTATGCTCAAACAAACATCCACCAGCTGTACACAAACAGGGCGCTCTGCCATGCGAGGATGGAGAATTACGGTACGGTTGCTACAAAGGCGATTCACAGCTTTCAGGGCTCACCGTGTTGGATGCAGACATAGCCATACAGATGCAGCCCGGCTACTCCAAAGCGTACTACAGACGTGGCTGTGCTTACCTGTGCCTCATGAAGTTCAAAGAGGCGGAAAAGGGTGAGATTATCTGACCATATGTGCATGTACACAACCTTCATATGATGTCTTCGTCATACATCATGAGTGGCAGTAACACACGGCCGCGTTCATTCGCTCGGCCTTCCGTACCCATGAAAATGTACCTTGCTCACTATGATGCAGACTTCACCAAGGTTCTGTCCATACAGAATGATGCGCTCACTCGCACCAAGCTCATGCAATGCCGCGCAATTCTCAGGGAGAAGCAATTCCAGGAGGCTATCATGATCGGTGAGTTAGGCGTAAAACCACACTGACACGTGGCTACACGTATAACTATGGCTACCTACGTGATACGTAAAGCGTGTGTGATACCGACAAAACATGCGTCCAAAATTCTGAGAAATACATGAACAACGCAGAGTCGCCACCACCACTGCACATGACATTCGACGTTGATTCCATTCGAGTTGACGACTCCTACACCGGCCCAAGTAAGCTAATTTGCCTCACAACACCAACATGTTGCAGGGTACACGCCTGAAATAACCGACAAAGCAGCGTTCTACAATGAGGTCCTCGATTATATCATGGTAGGGTCACACCTAAGAAAAGAGATGCGTGTACCAACCGTGAGCACCGTTGCGATCACACTCCCGGCGAGGGTATCTACGCCGTTTTCACGATGTAGTGTCGCATTTCGACGCGATATTTCATTCCCAAGCTGGCTGGTAAAATCCTGTGACCGGCAACTTGGTGCACATCGGTACCATCGCATCTACACGAAATGTTCTATACTCTATTAACACCATTTGCAGGTCCCAGGCAACGTTCTGCATAGAAAGTACATGATAATGCTGATACTTGACGTAATACGGATACTCAAGAAGGTAGGGCTCCAATCTCTCGCCATCAACCTCTTTGCAGTACGACTCCGTGGTCGACTTATCTCTAGGCGACCAGGAAGAAATCACCATCTGTGGAGACGTTCACGGCCAATTCTACGATCTACTTAACATATTCAAGATCAACGGCGTTCCCAGTGAATCCAACGGCTACCTCTTCAACGGAGATTTCGTGGACAGGGGATCCTTCTCGGTCGAGTGCACCGTTGCACTATTCCTAGCGAAGGTACTCTACCCCAACAAATTCTACATCACGAGGGGCAACCACGAGACCGAAGCGCTCAACAAGTGCTACGGCTTCAAGGGCGAAGTTATGAGCAAGTATGACGAGAAGGTGTACAACCTGTTCTGCGAGTGCTTCTGCTATCTCCCACTTGGATACGTCATCAACCGAAGGGTGATGATAGTGCATGGTGGACTGTTCGGTGAGGATGGTGTCACTCTGGATCAGCTAAAGAATGTTGACCGGGTGCGCGAGCCACCGGACCAGGGACCAATGACTGACATGCTCTGGTCTGACCCTAAACCAACGGCGGGCAGATCACCGTCCAAACGCGGTGTAGCGTGCGAATTCGGACCCGACGTTACGTCAAGCTTCCTTAAGGGAAATAACCTAGAGCTATTGATCAGGTCCCACGAGGTGAAGCAAGAGGGTTACGAGGTCGATCACGGCGGTCAGGTGATAACCATCTTCAGCGCCCCCAACTACTGCGACCAGATGGGTAACAAGGGTGCTTTCATTAGGTAGGTAAAGGCTTTTTGCAATGACATGCTCGCTCAGGATGAACGGCAAGGACTGCAAACCCGTTTTCACACAGTTCGACGCCGTCGAGCACCCTCCGGTAAAGGCGATGCAATACGCCAATCCCTTGTTCAACGGCATCTACTGACCGAACATCGCACCAACCTAACCGCTAAAGCATATCAGTGCTGCTAAGAGACAGCCTCATGGGCAGAAAGAACTATAGCTGAGCGTGCGGCCAGAGGTAGCTCTGCGCCCACAATGTGGTTGCGCAAATTGCACTCTACGGGTGCTCATTGAGCTAGAACTGCGAATATGTGAGCAGGAACGAGGCGACCGGTGCGCGCGCAACAACACCGCGGAGACGATAAGCGGCATAGCTGCTAAGATAATCTATCTGTCAATAAATGTACCACGCGCTATTGTTGAAATTGCCTGCAGCCGGTGTTTGCACCGGCCATTGGCGTTCCCGAGTTTCCTTGCGCAGACGCGTAGGCAGGATCAGTCACCCCCATACCGCCGGGGAAGAGACATACGGCCGAATGGGTCACACCAAGTATGCACGGCGTCAAACGCTAGTATAAATATTTTACATCGCGGTATTAGATTCTCTATAACAACGATCGGTGCACTGAGCTGTACCTAGAACTACCGGCACAGAGCCGAAACCATTCACCGGTCGAGCGCGGACAACATCGCGCCGGCCAGGCGGCACTGAGGTACTAGGTTTACAGCAAATTAGCTGGTCGGAACGTGCATATATTGGCGAACTCGTCTGCGGGGGACGCACAAATAACGCACGTTAGCATCGACGCGCAAAACGCGTGGCCCTGGATATAGTGCTAATCCCGCTGCCTTGCTTAGCAACCTGGTTGCGCTGGCGCACTACTCATTATTTATGTCGCAGCACAGGAGACACGACCATTCGAGGCCTGCTGCCTCGGAGACCTCGAAATCTAGAAACCATGGCAAGCCGTGGCTGAGGCGCAATAAACATCAGAAAACATCGAACGAAACGCCAAACGGGTCCGATGGCGCGGACGTATGGCAGTCTGCCCCCAAAGCAGGTCAGCCGTTCGCGAAAGCCATGTGCCCGCCCTTCGGGATGATGCCACCCATCATGCCCAAGCAGGGTGTGGGCATGCCGCGAGGCGCGCCGGTCATGTTCCCGTTCATGGACCCTGCAATGTATCAGAACATGATGAAGAGCATGGCAGCCAAGGCTGCAGGGAAACCAGGTGAGGAATTAGACATGAAAGCCCTCATGGCCACTTTGCCACCGGCGGGCAAAATGCCTTTCCCTTTGCCCAAAAACATGCCCGTCATGGCTATGCCACCACCTGGCATGATGTTCCCAGGCCCTTTCATGGGCATGCCCAAAAAAGCGGGCTTCCCTGGTGTTATGCCGTTCGTGCCGGACCCGGCCTTCAGCCCGAAGGCCTCCGGTTCCACGCCGGTCAGATCCCAGCAAACCGATTCCACCCCTGGCCACACCCAGGCAGACAGCGACAGGCGTCACCATTCGTCTGCTGCGTTCAAATATCTCAACCTATCGCAAATTTCGCGTGGTGGGAGGACCAAGCGCTCCCGTGCTAGTGTGGAGGAGGGGTCCGAAAATATAAGCGTGATTTCGGACGAGGACTATAGAAACGGTGACGATGGTCCCAAAGACGCCTTGGATGGCGACTCCAGCGAGGGCAACACGCCCGCAAATATCGCATTCGTGAATTCGTTCGTGCCATCTCCCCCAGAGCGGTATCGCAGGGACTACCAGTTGCATGAGGTCAAGATGTTTTCGGCGCTCGGGATCAGGGCGCAGGCCAAGGCAAAAAACCTTTCGCCAGAAGTGAGGGCGAGTTTCGAGTCGGGGCCCGTGAAGAATGGGAAGCTTGTGCTGTTGCTAGACCTGGACAACACGCTGCTACATGCGTGCTCGCAGTCTAAGATGGACATGCTGGATATACAACTCTCGCATTTTGTGGATGAGCTGGGTGAACCGGAGTTATACAAGTTCACCATGCCGAATTTCGCCAATGTCAGATACTACATGAAGCTGAGGCCGGCGCTCAGAGGGTTCCTACAGGTGTTATCACTCTACTATGAGATGTCAATCTACACAAACGCCACGAAGGAATACGCCGATGTCGTCGTCTCCATTCTCGACCCTGACAGGTCGCTCTTCATGGATCGCATTGTGGCAAGGACCAGCGTAGGAGAAAGGGACCTGCAGAAAACCGCCGCCAGGCTGTACCCAGGTTTGGATACGAGGTTTGTTGTTGCGTTCGATGACAGGACGGACGTCTGGGCGGATGTGCCCTACAACCAGGTCGTGAAGGCCGAACACTACGACTTCTTCGACTCGCACATCGCAGAGCTAAGCGACTCGTACGGAATTGTGAGCACAAACGCGGAGAGCACTTACTACACGGATAGCGACAGGCACCTGGAGTACATGGTTAAGGTTTTCCTCGAGCTGCACCGGAGATTTTTCAACGACCCCTTCGAGGCGAGTGTTGGACACATTCTAGAGGACATGCAAAGATCGGTCTTGGAAGGAGTGGGTATAATGCTCACCGGATACAGGAAGAACTCCAAGGGACAAGGACAGGTTCTGCAAGCGGACTGTGAGCAGAAGCAGCGGGAAATTGCGACTCAGCTGGGAGCAAAGGTGTGCACCAAGCTGTCGGATAAGAAACTGACACATGTAGTGGCGGGCAAAAATTGCACGGACAATATCATCAAAAGCAAGGACCCCTGCTATTCACATGTGCACAAAGTCCACACCCTCTGGCTCTACAGCTGCAGGGCAACCTGGACCAACGTGCCACCAGATAACTTCAATGTGGACGAGATATGCGACGCGTATTCCAACGAACCGCCATCGCAGCCCTGCAAGGATCACTGGAAGCTCATTCAAAGTGAGACCACCACTTCAGCCAAACGACCCGTAGCGGACACCGCACCAGAAGACCAACTGCCAACAAGAATATTCATGGGTACCGGATCATACAGCCACGGTACCGAACTCATATCACCAACGGAGCGCGTCGTTATCCGTTGGGACCCGGCAAAAACGAAGTTGCTTCAGAACAACGCCACCGACCCCATCGAGCAGAAGAACATCAAGCAAATTGTGCTCGAAAACGCACCGTATACGAACAGTGTGAATCCTGAGCGTTACGCGTAGCGTGTGTGAACCTCTAAACACTCTGCTTAATTAATAAATCGTTAAATATTACATTACGTAGCGTGCTGTAGCACACCAAGTGCAGTGCAACGTCGGTGGCGCCCACCGCGATACATACATTGTTGTGTAATCTACAGATAAGGCATCTCCTACGAACATGTGGCGCTTCCGAGCTCAAAAAGTGGAAGCGTGTGCCAAATTACCCAGTTAAAAACCCCCAAGTATCGGCTGACAAGACGTCTTAAGCTGTGCTTCACCACGGAGGCCGCCCTCAACGTAGATATATATCGAGCGCTACTTAGTGTACATCAAACATTAACAACAGTGTCAGACAAGCGCTCACGATTGTCGGAGCAAACTGATTGTAATAAACGAACAGCAGCCTCAGAAAAACGACATCAGGTATGATGTGTAATTCGATTCCCCTTCCTCCTGCTTCTTGAAATTGCCGTCAACTGTAGACGAAGATGACGCTTTAGAAAGTGAAGCCGTTTCTCTAAATCCTTCAGCGTCTGCTCTGTCGCCTTGCACTGCAGCTGACGGAGAGTTGTATGCAGTATCACCATTGTCACTGTCCAACAAGGAGGCGCTCAACTGGCGAGACGCATCTTCTTCATCCGTCACCAAAGCGTCGGTGTGGTACCCTGCGCTGTCCTCCGAAGATAAGTCGGCAGATACATCGGACGCATCACCGACCTTCACGTTAGCCTTCGCCTTCTTAGGCTTGCCTAAGGCAACGTTGCCTTCTCCCTCCACACGTGGTGAATCTTGTAAGCTGCGGCCACCCGAGCTCTCATCCGAAAAGGGCGAGTCGTCGGAATAGGACGTAGCGTTATCCGTAACGTAGTCACTCTCCAGTTGCGGCGTCGCATCGCTCCTTGGAGATTCCGAGATCAACTGTGAAGCAACAGATTCGCTTTCGGAAATCACGGACGACAAAATAGCTGCGTCATCTACCGCATCTTCTCCATTGGATAAGCGAGCAGCCTCGGAAAGTTCTTCCTGCACGACGCCGGACGTCGGTGACGGTGACCTGGACCTAGCTGCACTGTTGGAAGCTGCAATCTCTGAACTGGTCTCGGCAATTGGTTCATGCCCCACAAGCTCTCCTGGAACCGATGGCGTATTTACATCGGCAGATACTGCCTGCACAGCATCTGTCGATGCTACGTCCTGGTCATGCGTGGTAACAGTCCCGTTATCACCTGCGGCAGATTCGGAACCATTAGACAACGAACGACGGATGTTGCCGTTAATATCACAATACGAAGCAGTGCTTTGTACCGATATGTCAGGCTCACGGCCCACATCACCAACACTCTCCGATACGGGCGTCGGCTCCGACGGCAGAGGGGACGCAGATGCTTCGGACTCGGATTGGATGCGGGCGTCGGTGACCAAAGAATCTTCAGACCGAGGGGTTGGATGTGATGATTCAGCGGATACGACAGCGGAAGGAATATTGTCGCATGCTTCCTTGGTATCAACATTTTCCGCATCGCTGGCTTCAGACTGGGCCGCAGTCTCATTCGGCTCAGCGTTCGACGTAGTCAATTCATCTGTTTGCAAATTAGACGAAGGCGGCTCCGTATCAGGTGAGATATTCATTGTTGTCAGACTCCCACCCTCTTCTGGCTTCAGCTCCTTTTCCTCAGCCTCGGACACCCGGACATCGGCAGAATCGCTGCTGGGTACCAATGGATCTTCATGATCGTTGAGAGCATCTGCAGGTTCGTCCGTGGTAACAGCATCGGTGTTTGTCAATTCTTGACTTAATGCGGAAGATGGCGAGTCATCGGTTACCGCAGGGCATTCTTCTGATACGGTGGTCGCCTCCTCGCAATTTACCGATTCCACCTCTTCGGTGCAGCGCTCACTGACTACGCTGCGCGGTGAAGTTGCTTCGGCAGGAGAGTCACTTATATTAACAGCCTCCATTGCGGAGTCGACCACGGTGTTACCCTCCGACGGATGCGTGTCCTCAGTAACGTCAACCTTTTGGTCATCGGAGTTAGTGCTCACAACTGAATCAACATCAACAGCGTGTGGTGTTTCACAATCTTGAGCCAAGGGCACACGTTTCGATTGTTCTACATCATTGTCCGATACCTCGGAAGCGGGGTGACTTTGCACATTATCCTTAATGCCCTCTGCAACATCCGCCGCATCCTCAGAAGATTGCTTGGTCATGTTCGGAGACGAATTCTCATCACCGTTGCGTTCATCTACTCCACCTAATAGGGATGATGTATCCTTGGACTCCGGCTCAATGTTCTGACTCTCAACTTCATGTGGAACGCGAATTGGCGAGTTTTCCAAACTGGCATCTACCGGCTGGGAGTCCGAGTCCTCCGCACTTATATTTGAAAAACCAATATCTGCAGCATCATTGGCAATCACCGACGGGGATGATTCCATGTTACTCAGCGTATCCTCACGCCTGTAAGAAATCGGTGACTCAGCGGCAGGCACACTGCTCTCGCCGGGTGCTAGGCTTGAAAACCGTGATGACAAAGCCCGTATGTTGTCATAATTCAATGCCAAGGAAGTATATGTTGCGGAGGGAGACTGTGGTAATGGTGCGTCTGCATTGACCGTATCACTCCTCGCGGAAGACAAGCCTAAATCAGGTAGGCGCAAATCATTTAGAGCTTCCCGTGGGGTTTGCTTCTCTAACACTGATGCCTCCGGTGTTTCAACGGATTTCTGCGAAATAACACTCGCCATCCGCGAAAGAGTTATGGTGTGAATTGCAGGGAGAGCAAAATCACCAACACGCTGGGTGCGCATATTATCCACCGCTTGAGACACATCATTGCATGTCTCAGCATATGAACATTCAGCTACCTCTTCGGAAATTGTCTCATTAGTGTGAGACTCCCCAGTAACAGTCGATACTAGTATGTCCCGTGCTTCCGTAGCGTCAGTATGTGGTTGCGTATTTTCCGCATCCATAGTTTCCGTGGGTTGAATAACGCCCTCCTGAACAGTATCAGCAGATGTTTCGTCACCATTCTCATCCACAGATTCTATAGGATGTTGAATGTCATCCTTAACGGTATCAGTGGACGATTGTACAACCTCAGAAGTATCGGCGAGGGCTTCGGTGGCGTTCTCTACAATATCGGTGACACTGTCCTCTACAGTATCATCGCATGCTCGTACATCATCCGCGTCCTCAGTCTCAGTAGGTGATTCCCTAAAACACCCATCCACAGTTTCAGCCGGTATTTCCGCCACATTATCACCCACAGTATCAGCAGACCGTGGAGTACCATCCCCTGCATTTTCGGTAGATGGTTGGAGAACATTTACATTCGCAGTATCTTGAGGCTGTTGGGCAACGTTCTCAATGCAATCGATGATATTATCATCCACATTATCTGCGGGTGCGTCGATGACATTCTCATTCGCAGTTTCTATAGGTTGAACAACGTCCACATTTACAATATCAATAGGCGGTTGAACAAATTCCTCAGCAGTCTCGGTGGATGATTCATTGGCATCCCCCTCAACTGCCTCAGCGGACGTTTCAATAACACTATCTTCCACGTCCTCAGTATGTTGTTGGTTACTGTCCACTTCTACAGGCCCGATGGGTGGTTCAATAACATCCACATTATTATCCGTAGATGATGCTGTGGCATCCTCCACAACATCGGTGCGTTCTTCGACAATACTCTCAGTCGTTTCGGTGACTTCCACATCCACAGTGGTGACCGACGGTAGTATAACGTCCGCTTCGACAGTCTCCTCAGGCGGCTGGACATCTTCAACAGTGCAGGTAGACGTTTCGGTAACAGACTCATTCAAAGTATCGGTAGATGCTAGTACATCATCTGCTTCCACTGTATCCGTTGACGGCTGGGAAATGTACTCAACAGTCTCATTATACGTTTCGACGGCATCATTATCCACGGTATCGGCAGAAGGTTGGATAATTTCAACAGATTCGGTGGGCAATTGAACAACATCCTCAACGGTGGCAACGTGTGGTGAGCTTGCCAAGGGTTCGCTTACCACTTCATCTCCAAGATGTGATGAAGATTGAGACGTTATTGGCAACTGTAAATCGGACTCCTGCTCATCCGTTTCTGACGTTCTTATGTCGGTTGGGGTGCGACTCACCTGATTTGATGGCTCCTCAACGGATGAATCAACTTGTACGCCATCATCTGCCGACACCGAAATAGATCTAGACGTGACAACGGAAGACGCTGCTGGTGTGGCTTCTACCTCATCAGCTGATGAATCGCCATCCTTAATGTCCTGCATCGGCACGGGGGCAGCTACCGTGGTTAGCGTGTCACTAGTTGTTGCTTCCTCAGTAATCGTTGACTCAGTAGTATAAAGCGTATCCTCAGCCATATCTACAACCTGTTGGTGCTCCGGAACTTCTAAACGAGGTGAAGAGGCATGGCTGCTGTTTACAACGGATCGCGCGGATGCCCTTCCGCTTGCGACATCGCTTTGGATATAGCTGTCCACGCTTGCAGGTGTGGATGGAGCGGCAAGTGTTGCATCGCTGCCTAGCCGACCAGAGCTTAGTGGTGGTGAATCAACTGAAGTCATAGCGGACTGCAACTTTGGACTGGTAGAAGCCGCAATACTGTCTGCTGTTTTTGTTTCACCAACTGAAACCGAGGATGCGCTACATGGCGTTGGAGAACCTAGGCCTGAATCCTCCGCACGGTTCACAAGTTTAGTTAGAGTTGCCTCATCATCTGGTGTGATCGAAGCGGTCGCACCTTCATCGCACTTGTCGATATCAACAGAATCGATCGAATTTTCCACGTCGCTAACGCCATCCTGCTCTGAATCTAGTACACTACCCCCATCCGTTTCAGAATGAAATGTGTTGCTTTCTGTACGGCTTGATACGATATCAGGTTCCGATGCTTCCACAGTATCACCTTTGGAAATGGAACGTGTTGTATCCAACGTTCCGGTGCGCAGGCAGGTTGGCGGAGTCGCAGACACCGTATCTGGTGAAGCCTCAACATGAGCGTCATGGTCGATGACAGCCGCCGTATCATCACACATGTCTAAAGATGATTGCTTTGAAATTGGCGCATCTTGGAGTGCTGTGTCACATGGGGCATGACGAGGTGAACGTATTGGCGAAGAATCCACCGACGAACCGCGAACTGCTTCGCGCGCGGATGGTGAATCCGATGACTGGGATGAGAACTCTGGCGTATCATCGGCTGCTTGTAGAGGCTTCACATCAGTATACACATCATCCGTATCGGAATGCTGATATTCATGCACGGCTTCAGCTGCAGAAATGGAATCGGAATCATCCTCAACACGGGTTCCCGTACCAACATCAGGGCTGGATATCTCAATGGGCCTCTCGGCGGTTACGTCTGATGTTTCAGTATCATTTGGAGATGTGACAATAGATATGGGATCCTTATCCTCAGACGCATCCTGTCCTGGCACGTTGGAGGTGGGTGGCTCATCTTCAGGTTGTGATGGTCCTTTCGGTAAAGTATCGGCTGTCAACAGCGTTCTCACATCTTGTTCAACATGAGATTTTCCCCCATTCACGAACTTTGGCTCAATAGAACCCGTATTTTTTGAGAATTCTGATGATTCACCATCGTCACGCTGCGCAACAGATCTTTCGGACGAAGCAAGATTGGCTGGAATTCCCCCAACAGTTGCCTTTGGTACACGAGCATCAGGATGGGTCATGGGTTTATTATCATTAACTGGCGTATCACCTAAACAAGGGATGTTGACACTGACTTCGCAATGGCCCAAGGCGACATCCGGTGAACCCATACCTTTAACCGGAAAAAATGGAGGGCTACGCAAGTTTATGCGAGTGCATAAAACACTGTTACAAGGGTCCGAAGTATTCGTATGACACGAACAATCGTGTGTAGCCCCATAAGGTGGAAGAAACGGCTTCAGCGGGTAACCCATTTCACCGGCATCCTTCAACTGCAGAATGGAGCGAACGGTGCGAACCGCATCAAGCTCGAGAGATATGCGCGTGTCGTTTTCATAGTCGGTGGACGGATAGGATGTAGAGGGACGATGACGCCTTTTATGCAGCTCATAAACGTACCTATCCTCCGACTCCAAACTACGGATTATTGAAGCACGAGATTGCTCCATGATGGCACGAACTCAACAGAAATCAATATTCCGTGTGATGACAATCGTGCATGCTGCACAACTTCAAAAATGCCCAAAGTTCCATTCAAAAGGTGTCTCCTCAAATGTCAAAATTCTAAAGCGCATGACGAACAATAGGTATACGCATTCGTACGCACCAAAACATGTATTCCACATATACGTGACACTAGATTTAACATCTACACAACTCAGCTTCTTGGTTATTTTCCAGCGACTCCGAATTGAGGCATAAGATGCTTCCAGACAGAACAGATGACAAACAAGTCAAAAAGAGCAAATACCATTACACATCAATTTTCTGAGTATGGTATAGATCAAAACAGCACGAAACACTAGGATGTGTCGAAAATAAACAAGAATCGCTGCTACGAGATGAAAGCATGACACGATCATACACATGCCATGTATGACGCAACATAAGCGGGGTAATATTTAATGAATAAATAAAACCAATGCAGAATCACTTCTAAAGTGCCTCTAGGATACTATCCAGCGCCAGGTAGGCGCAATGTGTGGGTCAAGAGACCCTTAACCGACGCGCTGGACAGCCAGATCCGCACCGATCACATGCCACAACCCGCAAACCTAGCTTTCATTGACTGCATTGTTTGTTACATTATCTGTGCACAATATCAGAGGCGCCTTTGTGGACTCATGCGCTTCATGAAATGCGGTGTCTATGCTACACAGCATTTGCCTCGTTGAGGCCTGTGACCGCGACACGGGGAGTCATTATTGGCAAATGCGAAGTGGATCGCGCCATTTCCAGTGCAACTGATTGATCTCGCGCTCCATGAGATCGGTCACCCCGAGGCAGGGATTCAAGCAGTGCAGATTCTCCCGTAGCTGATACATGTCGTTCACGCCAATAATCTGAACAAAAATTAATTACAACGCGAAAAGTCACTAACCGTGCTGCATACGAACGGACGTGTCAACACCCAGCGCATAGAAAGGGCGCTCAAATTGGGGTACTTGTACGACATCGCTATGTCGTAATAGTCCTTCACAGCACGTGCAGCCAGGGAACCGCTGCGCATTATTATTTACGCATATGATAACCTCACCGATAACGTTTCATGTAGGATGGGAAACGAAGCAAGCGGCCGGACGTAGTGGCATCCACATATTCCAAATATTTACCGGTCAATACACCACCGGCAAGGGGACCATACGCCAGGATGCCAATGCCTGTAACAGCTGATTCGCGTGGAAATTAAGCGAACAACCTGTGTTATGCGGACGACATAGCTCGACAAATCCCTTCTCAACATCGTTGCGGCAAAGCAGGTTGTAGTTCAACTGCACAGAAACGGGGCCCTCAATACCTGCCTCTTTAGCCAGGTGATTGAATCGCAGCACTCCCCAGGGGGTCTCGTTCGACAGGCCCCAATGACGAATCTAAATCACACTTCGGCAAAGTCAATGCTAAAACCACACCTTCCCCTGAGAAATCAGTGTTCGAATTGCGTCCACTTGCTCCTCCATCGGAACGAAATCACTGCTCTCCATGCGCTGCTCATATATTGATCACCCCTTTGAAATACGCGAAACTAACCTCGGCATCGAATAGAATGTCGCTGAAATCGCCACTCTCATGCATCGGTACGTAGCGGTCCGGCCAATGCAGCTGGAGGAGGTCGATGTAGTCTGTCTTCAGACGCGACAAACAGCCATCAACGGCCTTTATTATGTTCGATTTAGAAAGTTCGCAGACACTACGAATGCTTTACGGAAATAATATGGAGGATAACGCACCTGGGACGCAGCCACGACAAATGAGGACTGCGACTAGCGATCTTCGTGGCAACCACCATCTTTGATCTCTCCAAAGACCCACGGCGCGAAATCCACCTGCCTAATAACGACTCGCACGTGCCGTGACTATCTTCTGACGCAGGCAACGGATATAATTCGGATGTGTCCTGCATCCAAATGCGCATCGACGCTTGAAAACTAACGATGAAATTGATTCCAAATTCGTCAAACGCGAAGTCCAGCAGACGCGCAGCAGACGCCTCATCTACGGTGTTTCCAAACGTCATTGTGCCCAAACAAATATCAGAAACCACCAAATCTTCTTTACCAAGTCGACGATAGCGTACAATAGCACCAGACTTGTGCTCACGTGTTGCAACTGTCTTCCAAAAGTTTTGGTACGTTTGCAAGTAACCGAAAGGAGCTTTAGATTTGGACGACGCAAGGGCATAGTCACGGTCCATGTTACGCATTTTTATATTCAACACATCATCCAGCTTGGGCAAGCGAAATACGCCCGTATCTAACGGTTTACGCGGAAAGAAGTGAGTAACATTCTGGGGAACGTTGAAGAAATCAACGGGGACGAACGGTTTGTACTTAGACCCATATTCGGTGCGGATAGGTCTGATGCCCGAAGCAGTCAATTCGTATAACTCCAAAGGGCCCTTGCCATCAAAAGATGACGCTCGCTTGCGCGTAGATTTCTCGTATGCCCACGTGTAATTACGCTCAGAATCGTGCAGCACGGTGACGTGCTCGTACCCATCTATGTCGCTCCGGTGCTCAACTACTCGTACATTCGGTAAATAGGACGCCAGTGTGCCAGGTAACGCTAACCAGCTGGTGCTATTCTCGAGGAATGGAATGCGATGGTGAATTGAATTGTCTAACAAAGAAGCTTCTTCTATGGATCCCGGTTCAAAACAACTGATTAACTTAATACGGTTGGCTTCATCAATGAACCACGGCAGACCTACGCCACATTGGCGCACCTCAATCTCGCAACCATGCACGTTAATCCTTGTTACCTTGGCACGAGAAATACGCTCATGGAAATCATAATCGGTCGGAATGGCCGGAAAACGATCTTTAAACTTCTCCCAAAGCTCACTCAACACTGAAGACGGTAATCCTCGGGGCTTCTTTGTCGAAGCGGTATCTTTAGCGTCGGAAACCAATCTTTTGAACAACCCATCGCCTGTTTCCGTATTTCCCCACTCAATGGTATCACCATAAAGGCCGAATCTATGCCTACTAAACGGAACGCAGAGTTTAGACAAGGCCGATACCAGATGCAACCCTGAGATCATATGATATGCCATTGACACGCAGCAAGAAGCGGTAATTTCGCTCACGTGTTCAAATACATTGCGCGTATTCCGTGTAAAGGCATGTATGTTTTGGTTTCGCGGGCAACAGGGCCAAGGTGCAGCTAGCAGAGCGGCATAGATTGGCGATACCCCCGTACACGGCACAGCTGGCAGTGCAAGCACCCACCTGGAGAAAGTACGCGGCGGTTGGAGCCGTTCAACTGCACGGAAGGCGGGGAGCAAGGCTCAGCAACCTCGCGAACTGCGTGGCGGCGATCATGCGGGCCGCACGTGCCTAGGAAGCAGGAGCGCCCGCATTGTCGCACGTATGCCGCGCTTACACACGACACCAACAGGCACAATGCGCTAATCCAGCGCGTCAAAAGTCGCACGGAGGAACGACGACATATGGAAGGCAACACGGCGGTGCGCAGACACGCCGGACGCATCCTAACGCGCTCCCGATGCTACATTGCAGCACACATCGACCGTATGCAAATATTGTCAAGAAGTAGACGTCAAGTCGGACGCAGGTGGGTGACGCAGCGGGCACGAACGCCGACAGGGGCCACACACCGACGCTGCAAGTAGGCACATCGCAAACGGCTACGTCCGCAACGCCGCATTAATTGCAAACATCATACCCTCCCAGCCATCGCCTAGAAGAATTCTCAGGCGGCTCTCGTAGTATCGCCGGCGAAATGGCCGCCAGGGAGGCGAAGGCGCCCAGCATCCAGCACATCGACGAATAACGCGCATAAGCCCCCGCTAGAGCACTATAATTGCTGTTGATTGAACAGCGGTGGGCGAACACACTGGTGTGAACATTAAGAAGTTCGAGATCAGGCTTGTCTTCGCTCTGCTGGAGGGTGTTCGTCCCTCGGCGGCTGCCCGGGACATCACTCTGTAATATCAAAGACGGCGAAGATCTGCAAGAGCCTCCACGTCCGAGTAAGGCAGTTTGTGGTATTTTAGCGTCGTAGCTTATCACCTTTGGGGAGGTTGTTTCCAGCCTTTGTCATTTGATGCGTTGAGCGGTAACGCGGTTGTACCATAGTACCGATGCATTAGTGCGGAGCCTGCAGTAGAGCACGCGTCGGAATGTGATATAGGGTGGAGTGGTAACAATTAAATGGACAAGATGGTCCTTCTTTTCGGGATTGGAACACTATCGCTCATATGGGCGCTCACTTGTCTAATTGTTTGCAATATTTCCGTCGGGTACAGCTTGTTGACATATTCTAAGCACGATTTAGGGACTGTGTTGTTTTTCATAGGTGGAGTCGCATTCTTCATTGGTTCCTTGGCATACCTAATTATGGCATTCCGCGCAGACGGGGGGTCAGAAGGTGGTGACGATGAGGAGGATGATAATAAGTGTAAAGACCAGTAGCTGTATGCTCTTGAGGGCTGGTATTGTTGCAACAGATCGCCCATCTCGCACTGTCTGGAGTTTAGGTGATAACCGCCAACGAAGTGCCGTTTGCTGCTTAGGTTTCACGTACTCCACAACGACGCACCAAAGCTCGGCCGTCGCCAGTGTACGAGGTAAAAGCTGCGGTATGTGTAACAGGCCACAAGCTGTGAAGAATCGGCGGGCCTTTAATCCTTATGTAACCCAAATAAATCGGAGTGGTGCAGGTGGCGCAGTTAGGCAGAATGAGGAACGAAACGACAGGGACGCATGATGGTTATAGTCGAAGCGCGTCTGCGATCTAGCATGAAGATCGGACGACTTGAACAACACGCCACCTAAATGTAAGGGACCGACATCGTACGCGTTGTTGATTAACACACGGCATTAGCAATCGTGCTCTAGACACGGAGGATGTCGTTGCTCAACGCGGCTGTAGACAGCAGTGATGGCCAGCTATATAGAGACGCAGATGACGATACAATGCGGAAGGCCACGCGAGGCTCCTGGACTTTTAGGCGAAACGCTGCGAACCTGTCCAGGAAGGAAAGCGGGAAATCGCAATACGCGTAATCACCCATAAAACCGGAGTAGTCGCCGGAACGTAACTGTAACACAAACTATAACATGAAACACGCCAGATTAACTGTGTAGATGTGTACACAAACCGTCCCTTGTGGCGATACGAGGTTGCATGAAACAAGGACGCGTCGCCGCGTTGCATCACGAAGCTTCTCAGTGGTGTGTCTCGACGCAATTTGTAATTTATACGGGAAATTGTTTCGTAACTGGCGTATTCGTTGCCGTTACGCAGTGTATTATGTTTTATGGGCTGTAAAGTGGCCGCAAATATACACACATTGCCGAGTAACGAGCATAAGCTGTGGATTAGCTCAGCATAGTTGTCGCAGATTGGAGTCTGCTGCGTAGTTACACTGGTGTGAGCATTGCGAATTGTGGAATAAGGCGTGCCTTCGCGCCGCTGGGGAGTCTTTTCTTTTGGTGCGTGCCCGGGCCTACAGTGGGTGACATCAGGGACAGCGAAGAACTGCAAGAGCTGCCACGTCCGAGTAAGGCTGTTCTTGGCGTATTGACTGTACGTGGGTGTCAATTGTTGGAGAGGTAGTACCCCCAATCTGCCATTCGACCTGTTGAGCGGTTGCGGGTTTTTACCGGCGCATTGATGCGAAGCCTGCAGGAGACCGCGCATCGGTATGTGATATAGTGTGGAGTGCTAAGGATTGAACTGACGAGATGAGTCGTTGTTTGAAGAGAGGCAATATAGCCATGGGCTGTATGCTTGTATTTTTGGTCGCCTGTAATTTTATCGTAGGATGCTGCATGGTGACCTTTTCTCCCTATGACTTGGAAGCCTCACTGTATTTCCTAGGATGCACTTGTTTCTTTATTGGGTCATGCGCATCTCTAGTCGTGCCATTCATCGAGAAGCAGCCCGCAGAAGGCCATCATGAGAACTGCAATTTTCAATCGTTTACGTATATCACTTGAGGGCTGGTATTGTTGCAACAGATCGCCCATCTCGCACTGTCTGGAGTTTAGGTGATAACCGCCAACGAAGTGCCGTTTGCTGCTTAGGTTTCACGTACTCCACAACGACGCACCAAAGCTCGGCCGTCGCCAGTGTACGAGGTAAAAGCTGCGGTATGTGTAACAGGCCACAAGCTGTGAAGAATCGGCGGGCCTTTAATCCTTATGTAACCCAAATAAATCGGAGTGGTGCAGGTGGCGCAGTTAGGCAGAATGAGGAACGAAACGACAGGGACGCATGATGGTTATAGTCGAAGCGCGTCTGCGATCTAGCATGAAGATCGGACGACTTGAACAACACGCCACCTAAATGTAAGGGACCGACATCGTACGCGTTGTTGATTAACACACGGCATTAGCAATCGTGCTCTAGACACGGAGGATGTCGTTGCTCAACGCGGCTGTAGACAGCAGTGATGGCCAGCTATATAGAGACGCAGATGACGATACAATGCGGAAGGCCACGCGAGGCTCCTGGACTTTTAGGCGAAACGCTGCGAACCTGTCCAGGAAGGAAAGCGGGAAATCGCAATACGCGTAATCACCCATAAAACCGGAGTAGTCGCCGGAACGTAACTGTAACACAAACTATAACATGAAACACGCCAGATTAACTGTGTAGATGTGTACACAAACCGTCCCTTGTGGCGATACGAGGTTGCATGAAACAAGGACGCGTCGCCGCGTTGCATCACGAAGCTTCTCAGTGGTGTGTCTCGACGCAATTTGTAATTTATACGGGAAATTGTTTCGTAACTGGCGTATTCGTTGCCGTTACGCAGTGTATTATGTTTTATGGGCTGTAAAGTGGCCGCAAATATACACACATTGCCGAGTAACGAGCATAAGCTGTGGATTAGCTCAGCATAGTTGTCGCAGATTGGAGTCTGCTGCGTAGTTACACTGGTGTGAGCATTGCGAATTGTGGAATAAGGCGTGCCTTCGCGCCGCTGGGGAGTCTTTTCTTTTGGTGCGTGCCCGGGCCTACAGTGGGTGACATCAGGGACAGCGAAGAACTGCAAGAGCTGCCACGTCCGAGTAAGGCTGTTCTTGGCGTATTGACTGTACGTGGGTGTCAATTGTTGGAGAGGTAGTACCCCCAATCTGCCATTCGACCTGTTGAGCGGTTGCGGGTTTTTACCGGCGCATTGATGCGAAGCCTGCAGGAGACCGCGCATCGGTATGTGATATAGTGTGGAGTGCTAAGGATTGAACTGACGAGATGGTTTCCGTTTTCATTAGCACATTACCTCTCTATGTTGTGGGTATACTCTATGCGCTTTTTAATGCCGGTATAGTGGTATGCTTGCAAAAATATGCAAAACGCGAACTGGGATCTTCATTATTCTTCATTGGTTCAGTCTCATTTTTTATCGGGTCACTGGCATACCTAGTAGTGCCATTTATTACGCCGCCATCTGGTGCTTGAGACATGTCGGACCACAGGTATGAATTCCCCATGGTTCGACGGTCAGGTGAATAATAAACGCGCGTATGTAATTGGAAGTTGTTTCAAAAACGGGATTTTATTAACCTGTCCAATGAGCTAACAACCCCAATAGTCTGCTAGTATGCCAGAAAGGCGGATCGAGAATGGCCTGTGACATACACGTGAGTGAATGGCGGCGCAATGTCACTCTGATCATCCATGCCGTGTTTACTGTGCGGTTTTCAGACCGTAAATGATGGCAATTTGAAGAAACTCTGCCTACTGCCTCCTTCGCTAATCAACGGTAGTTTCCAGAGTCCGTTGCGAAAGTGTTACCTACCCTCATCTAGGGGTAAGCGTACTATGTTTTCAGACCAAATGGGAGTCGGTTGGTACTTCAACCAATGCCGATAGTATTCAGGATCCGCCATTAAAATCCACCATAATAAATCTGTGCATTAGCTGATATGCTCTATCGTTGCGTTGAGTTCAACACCGCGGAGAAAACGTGACTTTGAATAACACATCGTAGACGGGGACGTGATAAGTTCATCCAGCCGAATGAACGCTGATGACTATCATTGCATGAAAGACGACACGAGGCGTATCCTAAACGCTCGCCATGTGCAGACATTAACTACATACTAAATCATTTTAATGTCTATTTATACATTCCACCTAGGAAAGGATAAATCATACGTATATGTTGTGCAGTAACATATAGACGGGAACACATCACGCGCGTATTCCGTATAAAGGCAAGTATGTTTTGTTTTCGCGGGCAACAGGGTCAAGGCGCAGCTAGCAGAGCGGCATAGATTGGCGATACCCCCGTACACGGCACAGCTGGCAGTGCAAGCACCCACCTGGAGAAAGTACGCGGCGGTTGGAGCCGTTCAACTGCACGGAAGGCGGGGAGCAAGGCTCAGCAACCTCGCGAACTGCGTGGCGGCGATCATGCGGGCCGCACGTGCCTAGGAAGCAGGAGCGCCCGCATTGTCGCACGTATGCCGCGCTTACACACGACACCAACAGGCACAATGCGCTAATCCAGCGCGTCAAAAGTCGCACGGAGGAACGACGACATATGGAAGGCAACACGGCGGTGCGCAGACACGCCGGACGCATCCTAACGCGCTCCCGATGCTACATTGCAGCACACATCGACCGTATGCAAATATTGTCAAGAAGTAGACGTCAAGTCGGACGCAGGTGGGTGACGCAGCGGGCACGAACGCCGACAGGGGCCACACACCGACGCTGCAAGTAGGCACATCGCAAACGGCTACGTCCGCAACGCCGCATTAATTGCAAACATCATACCCTCCCAGCCATCGCCTAGAAGAATTCTCAGGCGGCTCTCGTAGTATCGCCGGCGAAATGGCCGCCAGGGAGGCGAAGGCGCCCAGCATCCAGCACATCGACTTCTTACAACTCCCCAAAGCGGACACCAGCACGGTCAAACTCGCTGGAAAACTGCTGCAGTCAAAATGCAGAATCGATGGTAGAGGTGTCAACCAACGGAGATCTCTTCGCATTAAGAAATACGTGAAGCCTGGACACGTAAGTTTAGCACTGTCGTTTGACGTTACATCGACTTAACCTAATTATGGAGCCTCGTATATCTTCAATCGTTAATATGATGGGAATATGACGCAACGCAGGTGTATCTCTCACTAGGAAACACCGATGTCTTTGTGGCAATCAACGGTGAAATATCCGAGCCTAACCTGGAAAGGCCAAATGAAGGAACTCTCGCATTTTACGTGGAAGTGGCGCCAATGTGCTCACAAGTATACGAGCCGGGAAGACAAACGGAGCACGAGGAGCAACTATTGCAAATACTAGAAAAGGCGTTCAAGGATTCCGGTGCTGTTGACGTAGAATCTCTATGCATAGTAGCAGGAAGATACGTGAGTAACTAAACGCCAACTGCACATCAAAACCTAGGTGTGGTCTCTCAGGATTGACGTGCACGTTCAACAAAATGATGGGAACCTTCAAGACGCTTGCGTCCTCGCAGTTCTAGCTGCACTAATGACATTCAGAAAACCAGTAGGTTGCCTGTGACGCCACACATCATATAGCACGTAGGATACTTCTGCTTCAGATGGAGATGCCGATGCGATTCAGCTTAACGCCTATTACACCTCGCCGCTAAAGTATGTGCATCACAACGGGCGTCTTCATCATGCGCAGCTTATATCACATGCCCATACACGTTGCCGTCGGCTTGTTGGAAGATTCAGAACATTGTGTGGTCGATACAAACTCTTTTGAAGAACTATTCGTCAAGACGCATGTAAGAACCCACTCTCAATCGCATAAAATCTACGCATTAGGTATCGCTCCTTTTCAATCATTTCGGGGACCTATTTGCAATACAGAAGCACGGTGGGGGTGGCATAACACTGGAAAGGATTGACCAAGCTATCAAAGTACGTTTTGACGATAGATTGTTAAATTGTTCAGGTTGGGAGAGAAGCCGCAGTTGACATGTACAAGACCGTGGCAGCACGGTTGTCAAAAAAACATACGTAATGCCGATTTTGTGATCGATCAAACGAGCCCGCATACTCGTCTGGTTATCAATGAAGTGATGCTACCTTTTGTGGCAGCACGGTAGTGCGATTCGTTCTGATATCAATTTCACTCTGCCGTGGTCTAATGACAATTAATCTTGGATTAAACATACCAAAGATGAGCGTGACGCACGTCAAGGCTAACGACATCACCACAACCCTATATAATCGTAGTTTAGGCAATAGTGCCCATGTGTGCCCTAAACATCTTTCTTTTGCTTTGTTTAGTGTGCTATGTGGTTACGTGTGCTTTGAACCGATTTTCGTGTTTACCAGCCTAGTGCCTCACGAAGCCGGTGTATGTTGCGGGCTCTACGTACTATTGCCGAAAGCTGCAGCTAACATCCGTTGTGGCATCTATCCTGTAAAAGCGCATGATGTCCATGTGGACTACCTCGACGTAGTAGTCGATTACACTCAGCGCGTGATTGGGCTATCTATGGGTTTCTAGCTGACAGCTATGACGCCATCCAACAACGAATAAGAATCAGTCGGGAAAAATGCACAAACTGCTCCCTATTTAATCAACCCCCCCTAGACGGCAAGCAGCTCCGTCGAGGAACATAACATTATCTTAATCATCAGACCAAAAAAATTACTGTAAAATACGTGTGCGCTGACTTGGTTTTCTAATCGCTGAGTTCTAGTAGTCAGCGGTGTCGTTCAAAATGCCAGGAAAACTGAAACCGAGTCGGCAGCATAGTAGAAGTGTTGGCTCATCCCCGCAACAATGGGGGACTACAGAGTATGAAGTAGCGTGTCTACGGACGTCAGGGTGTGTGACGCAGTGACACCGTCCGGCGTGGCTACGGGCAGTATATTTGAGGGGAATTTTTTACGACATAGTAGTCAGTGCTAGAGTCGTACTCCCGGCCTACACGCCAGTAGCCACTTAGTCGGCGCCCCGCAAAACTGTCTCCCCTGTTATTTGTCACCTCGAAAGCCTTGTAGCGGACGTGAGCAGTGATAGCCTAAGTGTAGCATTGGCATTCTCCTCGCTTCAAATGGGAGTTAGGGTAATATGATCCACCTTGTGCCCTCAAGCTGATCCTTAAACACAAGTTTAGCCGTGGATATCCGCGGTGTGTACAAGCTACAAGCCCCTGAGGACGTTTAGGGGAGCACACCTAGACGCCAGTCTTGGTGTGTTGCTCTATTTTAAAAGGCCTATTTGATCTTAACGCACATTGCTAATTATTTTCCACAATGGCTGGCCGCAGCGTCGTGTGCGATACGGATGGGTCTGCGGGGGACGGAAGGCCGACTGATCCGGCGAAGTCTGTTTCTATTGGTGGTGACAACGATAGACATAAGGATACGTTGAAGGAGATACGGTGGCCGCAGAAGCTGGTGAACATGTTGTCTAGATGGATGCCCATTTTTGTGGTGGTCCTTATTGCCTCTTGGATGATATATCAGCGCGATGAGCCTAATCGGCCTTTAGATGACCTTGTTAACGACTCTACAGCTACTAAAGGCGATAAGGTTAAAAAAGGCGTTACCGCTAGGAAAGGCAGTAAGAATAGTATCATCTCTGGTATGATGCATAGCAGCAGAATGATGGGACATATAATCGATGATTTTGATACCATGCAGCGTTTCCTCAATAGTATCGAACCTGTCGATAGTGTCAAACCTATCATGGATCGTATGAAGCGCGTCTACGATGGTGCCGAGCCCATCGAGGAGCGTATGGAGCGCGTTATCGGCCGTATCGAGCGTATCGATAGTGCCGACCCTATCATGGAGCGCATCGGGACTCTCATCATTGCTGTCGAGGCTATCCGCGGCAATGTGAATCACATCACCCATCGCGTGTGGCATATCGTCGATCGTATTCGTAAGATGAAAGACCGTATCATGCCTGCCGATAGCGTCGAGGGTCTCATCGGTCGCATCGAGACTGTCGTCACTGATATCGAGCATCTCGCCGATGATATCGAGCGTGTCGTCAACAGCATAGAGCATGTGATCGATAGTATGGTTTCTGAGCGTCGTAACGAAGCGGATAGTCAAGACCATGCGGATGCTAGAGACGATGCGTATGGTAACGTAGATGCAGATGCTACAGGCGACGCGTATGGTGAACCAGCCGCTCGCCGTGTTACAGATCAGCTTCAAGCTTGAGACACACGATTCCAAGGATGACTGAATGGCTGTTCTGAAGAGCTTTAATGCAGAGGAAATTGTTGCGTCAAGGTGGTAGTGTGGGCACTCCCTGTCACAGCCTGGCCAAAGGTATCGCCGCTGTACCACGTTAATGAATTGTATCATAACACCTGTGTGCCCTCAACCCACGCTCTACGCTTCCGTCCAGTAACCAGTCACGTAGAACACCTAGCCTGAAATCATAAGGTAATGTAATAAGAGCTAATTACATAATGGTTTTCGCGGTTGATGTGGGCGAGCACCCGGGCCGGCAGCGTGGGAGTGCAATGCTAGGTTAGGCAGTCAGCCTGCCGCGTGTACGGGATGCGAATGATTGTTCGGGCGCCAACAGTGTGTGATGTGGCGTGTATATGGACGACATGTGAATCGTTGACACCTTAATCCAGCGCCGTACCCCACGCAGGCACTTCTAAACCCACCAGCAGCGTTGCCGCTGGACGCGGTGGGAAGATGGTGTCATAAGCTGGCGGAATTGCGCTCCGTTGATATTCAAACCAGCTTACATTACAATGGAGAAATGTCATACGGGAATGCGTGCGATTGTAGTTCAGGAATCCCGGCGTTCATCGCGACGGCAAAATTCCGGATTCTGTTAGGCCGTATGGTAGGCTGTCTAGTAGCTAGAAAGTTTGGGATGAACCTTCTGCAAATTAAAGTTGTAAAATAGATGCACAGTCCAGCAGATTAGCCACAAAAGTCGGCGTATGTTGGTGACACATACACACAGTACTACCAGGAACTGTCGTGCGCTGGATTCCACGGCAACCGCCAATCACATCTGATGACATTGGTGTTTTGCGATAGAGTTTAGCTTATCTGTGGTAATGTGCAGCTGCTATGAGCGTAAAAGCGCTCTGAACAAAATGTGGCTGCAACCACGTAAATCAGGAAATAATTAAACTAATAGAGAAAGAAGGTGCAAGGTGCGTTTACGTTCCCCCCTCATGCGAGTGCTGTGTTGATAACAAGCAGGCTCTGCAATATGCCATTGGCGCTGCAAAATACTCCACTGCACCGAACGCATATGAAACATTAAGCTCACAATATAGTTGCCTTCATTATCTTCCCAATAAGTGCCGCAAACTCTAACTCGCACGGCTCGAGCTCGCAAGGAGCGGAGAGCGGCGCGAGGCTTTAATTATATAACCTGCGTAGTCGACACAACGAACGCCACTGCCGTCTCAGAGGTTGCAAATATGTACCGTGAATGAGCGGCATCAGCAGTATGCCAGGCAATCGTTCGAGATTACGGTGTCTGGCGCCATTTCCAGGAGGCAGAACAGGAGGGCGCGCTGAACGTAGACATTCGCAAGCGGTGGAGTGATTCATCCTCCAACAAGTGCAACTTCACGATCATACACCGCATGCTCCAACGTGGAACTCGGTTATCGCAGCGTGTCACGTGTATACATGTGTTCCGGTGGTTTCTCACGTGGAGTATTCGGAGCTATATCTTCCAGGTTGTCCGCCACAATCGCAATTGGAGGAGGTAAGTGCTGCGCAACATGTTACAAATCATTGGTCAGGTTGGAAGTATGTGGTTTCGAAAATGTTTTCAAATATTGCCTTCGAGACCGCCGTAACGAAGTCCCTTATTCGAGCTCATTGCTTGCCTCTGGGACTACCATTCCGTGGACCTAACAACCTAGGACGATGCGCCGTTGCGAGTTGCTTGGAATATCATGCCACAGCTGTCGTCAACCGCCTGGTGCGTAGTTTTAGATGTCAGTGTACAACGCCTCGCCGCATCGATGGCACAGCAAGCTCCAAAAGGGCACCCGGGATTGTAGTATGAGCGCCTTCAACGCATCTTCCTATTTTAAAATGGCAGAATCTAGATTGTGTGTCGTAAAACGCTGCACTATGGCCGATGTTACGCAGTTCATGGGTGGCGGTGAGAAGGCCGGCAGATATGTACTATGTGGAGTGGAGGTCACGCGTTGGTCGCCCAAGTCTGGATTCTCGGAGTGGTAAAATAGCGCAGGTGTTTAACCACCCGTTTGCTGAGTGTACGGGTTGGAAGGCATTGATGGTGTGTGAAGGGAGTGTCTACGGACGTCAGGGTGTGTGACGCAGCGGGCACGAACGCCGACATTGGCCACACACCGGCGCTCCAAGGAGGCACATCCAAAGCGGCTACATCCGCAACGCCACACTAATCGCAAGTATCATACCCTCCCGCCATCCCCTAGAAATAATCTCAGGCGGCTCCCCTGATATCGCCGCCGAAATGGCCGCCAGGGAGGCCAAGGCGCCCAGCATTCAGCACATCGACTTCTTACAACTCCCCAAAGCGGACACCAGCACGGTCAAACTCGCTGGAAAACTGCTGCAGTCAAAATGCAGAATCGATGGTAGAGGTGTCAACCAACGGAGATCTCTTCGCATTAAGAAATACGTGAAGCCTGGACACGTAAGTTTAGCACTGTCGTTTGACGTTACATCGACTTAACCTAATTATGGAGCCTCGTATATCTTCAATCGTTAATATGATGGGAATATGACGCAACGCAGGTGTATCTCTCACTAGGAAACACCGATGTCTTTGTGGCAATCAACGGTGAAATATCCGAGCCTAACCTGGAAAGGCCAAATGAAGGAACTCTCGCATTTTACGTGGAAGTGGCGCCAATGTGCTCACAAGTATACGAGCCGGGAAGACAAACGGAGCACGAGGAGCAACTATTGCAAATACTAGAAAAGGCGTTCAAGGATTCCGGTGCTGTTGACGTAGAATCTCTATGCATAGTAGCAGGAAGATACGTGAGTAACTAAACGCCAACTGCACATCAAAACCTAGGTGTGGTCTCTCAGGATTGACGTGCACGTTCAACAAAATGATGGGAACCTTCAAGACGCTTGCGTCCTCGCAGTTCTAGCTGCACTAATGACATTCAGAAAACCAGTAGGTTGCCTGTGACGCCACACATCATATAGCACGTAGGATACTTCTGCTTCAGATGGAGATGCCGATGCGATTCAGCTTAACGCCTATTACACCTCGCCGCTAAAGTATGTGCATCACAACGGGCGTCTTCATCATGCGCAGCTTATATCACATGCCCATACACGTTGCCGTCGGCTTGTTGGAAGATTCAGAACATTGTGTGGTCGATACAAACTCTTTTGAAGAACTATTCGTCAAGACGCATGTAAGAACCCACTCTCAATCGCATAAAATCTACGCATTAGGTATCGCTCCTTTTCAATCATTTCGGGGACCTATTTGCAATACAGAAGCACGGTGGGGGTGGCATAACACTGGAAAGGATTGACCAAGCTATCAAAGTACGTTTTGACGATAGATTGTTAAATTGTTCAGGTTGGGAGAGAAGCCGCAGTTGACATGTACAAGACCGTGGCAGCACGGTTGTCAAAAAAACATACGTAATGCCGATTTTGTGATCGATCAAACGAGCCCGCATACTCGTCTGGTTATCAATGAAGTGATGCTACCTTTTGTGGCAGCACGGTAGTGCGATTCGTTCTGATATCAATTTCACTCTGCCGTGGTCTAATGACAATTAATCTTGGATTAAACATACCAAAGATGAGCGTGACGCACGTCAAGGCTAACGACATCACCACAACCCTATATAATCGTAGTTTAGGCAATAGTGCCCATGTGTGCCCTAAACATCTTTCTTTTGCTTTGTTTAGTGTGCTATGTGGTTACGTGTGGCTTCCACCGGTTTTCGCATTTACCAGCCTAGCACCTCACTCTGCTGCACCAAGTTGCGGGCTTTTTGCCGTATTTGTGCCGAGCGTATTTGTTGAGACGGGATTGCGATTAGTTCCAGCCAGCGTCCCATATTTGACGCAACTACAGTTTAAATACTCAGCATAGCGTTTGGCTAAGTATGGCTGTGTTGTATGGAATCGTATGCATTGTTGCCTCAAAAGGAATCACCGCCGACCATCCCTCTAATCTTGCAACCTGCGGCAATTTTCACCGAATACGCATACCGCTTACAACGCTACGTTACTCCAATAAGTGTCAGTCGTTATGTCCCACCCTGTGCAATCATTAAAATCGCTGCCTACTAACGGTTTTACACGGCCACAAGGAAATGACAGCTGAAACATTTTCTAAGCTGCCGAGAAGTTTCACGTTGCTGCAATTGCATCTCGATCCACTGAAACGTATGTGATACGTTATTTGCGCCATGGCTGCTAGACACGTTTAATCTACTCATCAAAATGTCTGCGTTTTTAAACAAGGCCTGTGGGTTCTACAGAGCTTTATACGCCCCAGTTCATGTAGGCCTATAATCTCCGCGCAGCACACGGTGAACGTGCTGTCAACGTGAGACTCTTGTGCCACCTCTGCTTATGGAAATGAAATACAAGCAGTAATTACCACGGCGAGAGGGAGTCAGCGAGGCCGTAGGCAGGATCGAGCATATACCACTCATACGCTGACATGCCAATGACAATACCCACTAAGATATCTGTCATAAGGTGGAGAATTGGGTGCGAATGAGTCAGGGCTTCGATGATCAGCACGTGAGGCTCTGGTATTGAAGGAGAGTGAGGTCACAAGGATACGAGGTGATAAATGAGGGATTAGTGGAGAGTGCTAAACAAGCGGTGCAGAGTCTCGGAGTCAACTTCGTCGTGATACCTGTGCAGTTTCACCTGGCTTTACATCTATTTAATCATTCCTGGCGGTCCAGGTCTTAGGCCATAGGGCATCTCAGTATCGCAATCAATGGAGCTATAGCATTCTTGCCTTGATGGAATAACTCGCACAGATGTATGCACATTCAATAACTCATATGTCAAGACTGTATGTGGTTTGCTGTTTTGTGGTGTACTCTTTATTGGCAGTAACCTTACTGAGATATCCATGCACCCATAGCCAGCTTGGCGTGTTCACCTCAGCAATGCCGAAACGCATTTCATGTATTACGATTCAGTGTTTGTGGCCGCCATATATGGCTTCTGTAAAACATAAAAGGCAGAGAATAAGTCACCAAACGAGATGTATTGCATATCATTCAGTTGCGATTTCATGCACGACGCCGACTGCGGGAATGAATAAGGTGGCGCAGGTTCGACGAGGTATGAAGACAACTGAAACATTTTGCGCTATGATTAGTTCAGTGAGAGCGTATGCTGTCGGCCGTTAAAGACTGCGATTCCTCTTGCTAGCAGTTGGATGGTAATCGACCGAAAGTTGTCGAATTGTCGAACAAAAAACATTACAAAACATTAGGTGAATTTATTAAAGACGGTATAGATATGCCACGAGCAGTCGAATGTATCACAACTATGAATGATGAAGACCGTGAAGCCATCTCCAGTCAGTTGGCTGCTTGGGATGGATCAGACCACACCCTCGCATACAGGGCCAGAATGGTGTACACCACAACCAGCGGCTCATACGTCAAGCATGGAAATAACTTGGAAACGCATGTCGGACTAGTATCAAAAGCCGCGGGGATCTGTCAGCCGCATGCGTACGCCCATCGCAAGGGATGTGAATGAGGCGCTGTGTGACTATGTAGACGTGTTGCGCCTTGCTCACGGGTAATACGTCATGATGTTGTCAAACGTGGCGACTGAGCACCGTGGTAACGCTCACCTACGTACAACCGCGTAGCGATCACCAACACAGCAAGCATGCACTATATCTCAACTAAACACTCACTAGCGCACGAATAAAGTGCCACGTAGAGTTATGGGTATGGCGTCACGGTCTAATCCGGGTGGAATTGCGACCGCACAACTGATACCGGTGGATCTGCATGCCACAGCAGATACTATTTACATGCGCCCACTTCACGGGTATATCCGTGGTGAAAGGTGCGCAGCTGTGGTATCGCTGGCGGTGCGCTGGATGGCGGCCGCCTGGTTGGTCGCGTAACGCTGAGGGGAGACGGCTTGGCGACGTCACTATGCGGGGTTAGGGTAGGCATCCTGGATGGAACACGGAATGTCCAGGGGGCATGCTCTCATCCCACCGTGCGCCAGGCTGTTACGTGAGTTGGCTTCCGGGTTTGTTGGATTCCTGGATTCGTCGCCCTCCCCTCAGGTGAGCGCACTATTTACCATCCACGTGTTATAAATGTAGTTTACGGGGCGGCTCAAACGTGTCTTACCATACGATCCTGAGCTTATTGTTTTGTTTTACGCCGCACTTAGTTGCCACTTAGCGTTGTACTCTGTAGCCTGTTCACTCAGCCCACTTAGCGGTTTGGCTACGCTGTCTTGTAAGCGGCGCTACCTAGATACACGATCACGCTGCCACGTCTAGTTCGCCGTTTGATGCTCCCTTGTATGTTGCCCTTTCAGAGGCTTCCCGGAGAATTGCCGACCTTATGATTTTGCTACTATCGCATTCCCTACATCGCATGGTGTTATCGCTGTAGATCCGTTGTCTTCCGTCTAACAAGTTATCGCGGGGAAGGCGTCGACATGGTGGCGGACCATGGAGTTGTGCTTAGCACACTTAAGGACTTCTTTCAGTTCCTGGGGTGGTTGAACAGTAACGATGATGAGACTGTGCTAGAAAAGGTGGCAAGTGAGCTGGAAAACCGTATTGATACATGTCATAAGAATCCTCAGTTTGAATCTGAATTTAGAAGTTCACTCATCAAATTTCTCGACGGCATCTCATTGGTTTATCACCAAATAAGCAAGGAACCATCCGCGAGGACATATGACCAAAAAACCGCAGCTCAGGTTGCCGAGGCCTTTCACGAGTGCCTCATTAAGGTGCACTCTGCACTTATATATTTGCTGGACATTGTGAGCCTTAGTTATGACGATGCATGTGGTGGTGATAGGGAAAGGTTTGAGGAACTACAAGATCATGAGCTTAAGGAATATCTAATCTTCTCCAACTCTGATGATTTCAACGGCATCATCACTGGAGGTTTTGGTGATGGTGACCTGAAAAATCTGCGGGCCTCCAAATTGGCAGAAAATATTCAAAATGCGCTCGGCAACCTAGAAAGACTTAACGACATCTTGGGATGTAATAAGCGTATAAAGGAAGATTATAAAGAGTCTGATCTCCCACCTGCCAATGTTCCGGATATTCCTATAAAACCGTCTTCAAAGGTCGTGCCAACTAAAACAGGGAATGCAAAGCCCGTTATAAAATCCGATGGTAAGCATATACGGTGCGATAAGAATGAGTTGGCACAGAGCCACGGTAAAATGTCTGAAGACGCACAAAACCAGCGTTGGGATGGTTCTACATTCCCATATCAGGATGACGACCTATTTGCAGTGACGGACTCAGATTTACCTCATTATAATCAATACCTGTCAGGGTCTCCAGATGGATGGCATCAGGCTGCAGTGCATTCTGTTGATCCTGAAAAGCTGGAGGCCGAAAAAAAAGTGCCGGTCGTGCCAGCTAAAAAGCATATTCCTGAAGACCAACCTCCGAAAGAAAAGCCTCCAAAGGTCAATGAACAGCCTAAAGATTTGGCATCACCGCCTGAAACGCTCATGCCTAAAGAAAAGTCTACTTCTAAAATAGCCTCAGCAAAGCGTGTCGCCACTAAGTCACAGGCGACCAAAAATGAGACATCTCATCCCTTCAAGAAATCTGAGGAGGCACGGGACCAGGGTAAATACTCTGACCCAGACTGGGATAAATTGTTCGACCGGATTGAGCAAGAGGATGCCTATTCATATGCCGGATGTGCTTATGAATCCCCGCAGGAGCCTGATGGCCCAGGGTATCCTTCACCCAAAGTTCCTGCAGCCAGCCCAAAAGTGGTGCCCGAAAAGAATGTTTCAACTACTCCATCTAAGAAGCCGGAGCTAACGCCTGTCTTGTTTTCTGGGAGGCCTAAAAAGCCTGAGGTGCCTCCTGCCAAGGTTCCCGTCACAAAACCTACTGCCACCAAAACTGAAGCTGTAAAGCCTGTTCTCACTAAAGCTAAGGCGGCGAAGCCGACTGCCACTAGTACTCCGCTTGCTCAAAATCCTGGTAAAAAATCCGAGAGGGGACAGGACCAGAGCAATGAAGCTGAATCATACCGAAATCAACATGACTTTGAAGAATCGGATACATATTATGCAAGCGAAGACCCTAATGTCCATACGCTTACCGATGAACAAACTGGTGAAGGCCCTCCAGGATCTCCGGAGTCCTTCCCACGAAACTTACGGAATTCCGTAAAAAGGCTTTACAAGCAGAGGAATCCGAAGGTTCTCCAAATCTGGGCAAGGAAGTGGACGCACTCCTGGATGACTATGATGTTTCAATTCACGAAATGACTTCAGATTCACCTGTTCCATATTCTGATGTAGACCTGCAAGAACATGCTGACTCAGGTCCTCAGCGGTCTTCGCTTGCAGAAGCTCTCGGAATTCCCAAGGAGCCTGTCCCACAGAAGCACCCTCCGAAAGTGCCACCTAAGAACTCCGATTCCCCGCCTTTAGAGGCCTCCAGGGAATATGTGCCAGAAAAGCAGTCTGAGGGGCCACAATATCAGGTCGAGGCATTGGATGTTGATACAGATCTAAATAACGGCCAAGGTGATCTAATGCCTGCATATTCACCTGTAGACTACACTCATTTCCCTCAGCTACCCGGCAATCAAGGAGATCAACCCAATCAGGGCCAGCAGGGAGATCAGCCCCAGCAAATACAGCGTAATCCAGAACTTCAGAATACTACGCCTGCCTTGGCTGCTGAGACTGGTAAAAACCCTGCCGCCGTAAGGTTGCAACCCACTACATACTACTCTGGTAAGAAGCTTACGGACTGTCCCACGAACCTTCGCGAGTCCATCGACTGGATCATCCAGCTTAAGTATGGGAGTGGCCATGGTGATGGTGTTGATAACTTATCCGAAGCCTTGGACAAGCTGCATCGGAAACTTATTGCAGACTCCTTTTCCAATCTGCTTGATCAGCTTTCTGACCTTCTTGATCCTTGGAAAACAACGCCGTGCTGTCGGCGGATTCATAGAGCAATTAGGACAATTAAGATTAAACTTCAGCATCCTAGAAATATCCAAAGAAATCATATTAACGGTCTTTTAAAGCAACTTGAATATAATAAGGAGGTCTGTCTTCAACATCATTACATTGACTCCTCTAAGGATGAAGCTTTGAAGGATGTTCATTCCAAGATGAGGGATCTTGCTGGTGTTAGTAGGGATATTAACACTTCTAGAAATGGTTTACTGCATCACCTTTGTGACGGCGTTCAAATCCTACTAGGCTTCGACTCATCTTCCAAAGGTTATTCGGGCTCCGGCATCGTGTACTCCGAACTTGACAGGCTGTGCGACGGGGTGATGGCGTTTTTGAGTGGTGTGCTCAAATATGTGCATGAAAATGAGAACCTTCATCCTTATGGAAGTAAGCTGACCAGCACTGTAAGAAAATTGCATGATCACCTTAATAAGGGCGGAGGAGCCTGGCGTGATGCGATTGATATTGCTAGGGTTGAGTTTGACAAGAGTTGGAAGGTCACGGGGGGTATAGGGGGGTGGTTGGGGGAAGTAGAAAGGACGCATGAGGCGGTTAAAAAGCTGTTGAAAGAGTTGATGGAAAAAGATACTAAGGTCTCGGGATCGGTAGACATTCCAGGTCTGCTAGGAGACATTCGGAATGTAATAAATGGTACTAAAAATGCTGAAGTGTCCAAAAATGGCGGTTTCCTGTCCAGGTGGGTAGGCAATCTTGACAAGATTACGAAGAGAAGTAAGGAGTCGCCCGATAAACTTAATGAATTGGATGCCAGGCTCATGGAAGCATTATCTCCACACGTCACCTTAATCAATGAAGCCGTGGAGAGCTTTGTGGAGTCGACTAAGAGGGATCATGAGGGGCTTGTTAAGGTATGGGAGAAGGTAAAAGTGGAGTTGACTCAGCTTGAAACGTCAGTGAAAGAAAAGGCTGAGCAGGCTGGGGAAGCGTGTAGAGAGGAATTGCAGCAGGCTTTCAAAACAAAAATTAAGCATCCTATTGGTGAAGCTAGAAGTACGTTGGAGGCTGTGAAAAAGAGCCTGCAAAGTTGGAGCGAGGAGGCTTTGCAAGACGCTACTGCAGGCTTGGAAAATGCTAAGCAAATTTTGGATGAAGTTGCTGAGAAAAGCAAAAATAGGGAAAGGGTTGACAACGCAGTAACACAACTAAGAGATGCCGCTGAACACTATTATGTTAAAGTTAAACAAAAAGAGCTTGAGGCCCTTTGTCACCAGGCCAGGTACACCCTGGAGAATCTCTGCATTGAGGTGACGGAATTAGTGGATGAGTATTATGGTTTCTTGGAGCAGTATTGCTTGTCTATACTTAGTGGCCAAGGTTTTAATGTCTATGGTAACGGTCAGAACGTTTCGTCCTGTGTTCAACTGTTGCATACAGTTTCACAAGTTGTTCAAGGTTATGCAGGAATCGCAGTGTCATCGGCGTCACAATTCGAGCAGACAGTACAGGATTTTCGGTCGCTGTTATACACTCTTCAAAATCAACATTTACAGGCTGCAATAACACCACAAATTTTCCAAAGCCTTACGACCTTCGTAAATAACATCAAGACGGCTGTGCAAGGGTATGTGGGACATTTGAGAGATGACATAAGTAACCTTCATTCTCTAGGCTCTAACCATTTCGTTGTTACGTCTCGTAAGACCAATGGTGCAGTTGGTAACCTTATAAGTGTATTGAGTATAGCTACAGAGTTTGCTCACTTGCTTTATCAAGCGCTTCAGCAGAGTGCTTGGCAATCCCGTCAGCAGCCCACCAACCTTCGTGGTCTCCAAAATGTTCAGGACGAATTACAAGAAATTTTGCGAAATGTAAATTGTTACTCTGGCGACGTTAGTCAAATAAAATCGCACATCGTGCGATTCGAAAGGGACATCACCAAACCCTTCGAACAACTTATGGGAAGCATCAGTGCAGCCTGTGAGACTGTTAATCAGAAGTTGGAAGACTTGAAGAATATGATTACAAGAAATGGCAAGGATGTCGATGTGGAACATGATCTCGAGAAAATAAAAGAGGAAATCGATAAAATAATTGGCACCTCAGCGCCGTCGGCCGCTACCGAAACGTCAAATACCCTGACGCAAATCATCACCGCGGCCGAAACATTCCAAAATGAAACCATTCCTAACACGGTAAAAACGTATATCGAGCAAATACGCTCCACAGTCAAAAGCCAAACGGTTGCAAAAATCGAAGTCATCCAAAAATCAGCCGTCACGGAGTTCGCCAATTCCAAGGCCGAGGAGCTTAAGCAGCTGGAGGAGTTGGTTAAAAAAGAGAAAGAAAGGATTTCTGATATCATAAAGAGGGATTTTGACAGTGGCATAAAGGGATTAATGAAGTGGATGTACGGCGGGCGGTATCCATATGGTGAGGATCCAAAACGAGAGCATCCACTGATTATGCTTGCAGAAGCTCTGCCTAAGCGCGGAGGGGATGCTCCGAACGGCAAAGAATATCTTCAAAGAATTAAAGGTTTGTCCTCAACATTTCAAACCTTTTTGAATCCCATTTTGGAATATGTTCAGAAGGAAGTTACGAAAGTGTTACCTGCCAAACCTCAGTCTGGAGATGCCATAAAGGAAGCGAGGAAAGAACCCAATCAACTTCGCAAAATAAAGGATGATCTTGATGTGTTACTTCAACATTTTTCTAAAACCCATAAAATTTTCATTTTCGACTTCCACTTCTCCAAACTCCTCTCTGCCCTCACTTCCTCCCTCTCCGCCCTATCCCCCAACAAATTCGCGAACCCGCGGCATCCCGAACTGCTGGACGCCGTCAAGAAAGGCCTGTCGGCATTTACCGACGAGCTCATGAAGGGGTATGTTAATAGGTATGATGGACACCCTGATGAATTAATATGGGAAGCTGACAAATCCAACGACAGTGAGAAATGCGCTAAGATATGTGTCACGATAATGGAGATGATGAAAAAAAATCTGTCTGATTTGAAAAGGGAATGTAATAATGGTGGAAAGTGGCATCAGAAATGTATTTGCTTGTTCGATTTAGATGCCACAAAGAAGAAAACTGGCAACCCACTTGGAGAGTGGTTGACCAACCGTGGTTTCACTGTGCCGTCCGAGAATGATAAGCAGGACGGTGAGCTGCGGAACAGGAAAGATTTCACAGGTGCAAAAATTTACACAGAATTGCTAGACGCGCAAATTAAGGAGGCTTCCAAAATTTCTGCCGTAACCCAGTGGAAAAAGGAGATCAAAGAGAAAGCTGCGGAGAAAGACGCACCTAAGCCTGTCTCTCGTGGTTCTATTGCTGTTAGTATTCAAGCCCCGGATATTGAGATCAACATTAATCTCCTCGACATAGTGCTTTTCCTCCTCGATCGTTTCCGAACGTATTACCGTGTCGGTCACTACTACATTCCTGCAAAACCCAAAGCACCGAGTAACGTGTATTATATGCTTTGCTGGCTCGCTGGCCTGCGGTGGAATCACATGTACGACGAACTCGGTGAGTACTTCAAGGAACTTTACGACAAACCTGAGGGACAGGAAGACAAGCCGTATAAAGAATTCTCCGACACAGATCTTAGCGTAGATGCTAACTCACCATTAAACCCTGTTGGCACCTCAGCAATTACACCTAAGACATTAACAGAAACGCTCGAACAGGTTTCTTTACTCTCCCGAACTGTATCAGTCGCCATACTAGGCCACGGCCACGCGGAAGGCGTGTATGCCTCTGACTTTAGCTGTAACTCAGATAAATTATTATATCCATCAAACCTATCCTCTTGCTTAGATATGTTAGTAGATGTAATTAATAGAGTGTATTATCAATTGCGTTTCCTATTCATCCAGTGCCAGAATGGCGATAAGCTCGGCGGATGGGAAGACTGCTGGTACGGCCGGCATGTTGGTGGGTCATCATGGAAGTGCAATGAGTTCCAATGTCCTAACCTAGAGTGTAACCTAAGCGCTAACCAAAGTGCCAAGCAAATAGGCAACCAAAACACTAAGCAAACGTGTGACCAACATCCCAAATGCGGTATCAAGTCACCGCTTCAGTCATTTCTAGAGGACGGGCTCCCTGGCTTCTTGCCACATACATTTAAGACACCAGGTTGCAAACTTACATGTTCAGTGTCCAACCACTTTGGAAAGCCGTGTCTTACTCCCATGGGTTTTGCCGATATTAGCGTTACAGCCTCGCACACGAAAACAGGTTATCACCTCAAGGAGGCTCTTAACCATCTCTGTGGTAACGCAGGAAAACCGCTTAGTAAGCTGTGCTCTTTCCTAAGGTGCGTGTTGCGTATGCCTCCACAGACGCTTGGTGGTATGTTTGCTTTCTATTACTGTTTCCTTAAGAACTGGAATGACAAGGGAGTAAAGCATAAAAAGGACGCATTTGAGGAAGCTGTCCGAAAGGCCTATTTCGGCCAGACATATTTATTGAATCCGACTATTTTGTTGGACAATGCTGTATATAAGCAACATGCAACATTCAACCATGCCACAGCAGACATGTCCAGTCTTACGGATTGTGATCCTAAGTCAGGATCCGGCCTACCATGCGGCAAATATTTGCATCCCATTACATTGAGTATTTTTACTACATTCTCCTCAAAGCGCGCTGGCAATTACCTTTCATGGGTTGTGTACACTACTGAAACGTTCTTTGGGTTACTCTACGATTTGTATGAGTCTTGCAAAAAGTGCAGCGTGCCTGGCACCAGATGCTGTGATAAGAGCTGTACAAAAGGTTGTAGAGTGAAGTCCGCTTACTCATCTGATGGAACCGCCAAACAACTGAATGGTCTAACGCACACTACCGACTGTCATTCTATTGTCAAATGTCCCGATATGCATCCGACACTACACAAGTATGGTTTCATATTTGGTAGCCCGTACAAACTGAACGGTGCAAAACATCATGAGGCGCAGAAACGCACGTGCAAAGATTTTTGCACGGCATTGGAGAATGTCATCAGAGAAAAGAACGTTCTCCACACTTTTGCACATGAGACCATACCCAAGTTCCTGTGGGCCATCCGTCTCCCCTTCTTCTACACCATGGTCGCACTGTGGTCTATCGCAGCTCTTCTCATCGTCTACACTCTGCTCTGCCGCCTGGAGATACTGCGCATACGTTCTCACCTTATTCGCTTCAAGGTGTCGCACCTCATCAACGTCAAGGCGCTACTCACTCCCAGGCGGAAGATGCTGTCACTGTACAAGGACGTCGATTACTTCGACGACGACCCCTTAGAAGTACTGTACGTCAGATAATGATATAGAAGTTACATATACATGTGTTGCTGTATGTCAGCCATGCGTGACCGTGACCGTGACCGTGGTGTGGCACTAGCGCCTCTAAATAATTGCACAAATAGCTTAGTAATTGCCACCAATGCGACCATTAGGCCACCTATTCATAGCGCAGTTCACATACAGCCATACCGTCGTGGCCACATGTTAGGTCACACTGGTCACTCCCTTTGTCCATGGCCATATCGAACCTACGGCTGCATATTCAGATGACACAAACGGGGCTGACAATGCCACTCACGTGGCACGTCATACTCAATCAAGACTGTAAAATGAGGTTTAATAGAGGCGCAAAATTTTTACAAAGATTGCTATGCCATTTCCACAGAGGCTATTGCAGCAAGGGGCGACACATGCAACCGATGAACTGTATGGGGCCTTGTGGGTGGTGTATATTGAGCAAAAAAGCGGAGTATGAAGACTGTGAGGACCATATTTCGACCGTCGAGATCTTTATTGGCATCAACAGTAGAACATGGTTGAAGGGGGTGATCAACAACTCGGCAACATAAAAGAGTTGTAGGTGAAGTGGTAATTCGTGGAATAGGTGTCATCAAAAATATGTGAAATTAAATGGTGACGTATTATGAAGATTTAAAGAGATAATTTGGCGTTTATGCTGAACATTGTATAACGTCGATCGTCCACGTCAGTGAGGGTGTCAGAGCTTGGCTGCAGGGTGTGGAAAGGAAAGATGAGAATGGTACAACGCCCTTGAATGATGCTGCAAGCGTGAGGTATGGTAACATGTCTGTTAGTATATTATGTGAGCCAATGACAGATCAGGTGGGAAAATGGGAGGGGATTGGTGGTCGGTACCTTGAAGAGGCCGAGGAAGCAGAAAAGGCGTTGGGTGGAATTGGCAAAAACCTGGAAAACAAAATATCATATTAAATTACTGAATTAAGGCAGCATTTTAATGTATCTGAAAGAAACGATCAACGATCCCAACGTGACATCTTCGGTCAAGGAATTGGGTGACGTGTTCACCAGGCAGCGCATTTAGGTGAAGAGGCGTATCGAGAAGGAAAAATCAGGGAATGCAGGAAACGTTGAATGAGCATTCTGATAATATTGGCCGCAATATGGAGAGCGTTAAGAACACCAAAGAGGAAAATATTGAGTCAGCCACAACGGCTGTGGATGCGACGAAGAGGTTGGCTGAGACGCAGGTTAGGACGCCGGTGCCGTACAATGATCCGAGGAGCGCACAAAAATTAGGGTGATGACTATGTCGCAACTTTAAGATGATATCTACACTGGACGCACATCTGTAGCACAGCATCGGACAGACTAACGACATTTAGCGTAAACAAGAGTCCACCTCAGGGAGGCGTCAAGGCCGAAGCGTCCGTGATACGTATGGAAGCGGGCACGTGGAACCGTTAGAGCAGTGGACGAGCTGCAAGGCTAAGTGAACAGCTGTTATGAAGCTGTAATTGGAAATATCAGCGAATTGAGTACAATGCGCGACAATCACGGACGCAGCACTCACGTTACAGTAATACTTAATCTAAATTGTGAGCAGCGATTATTGCATAATTATGGGCTTGGAAGTGTCAGTAAGGCACACGGTTGGCACTAGCTAAAACGTCGACATGCGCATGCTTTTGTGCTATACCCGATGACGCAGTGGATCGAGCGCCCAGCCGATGCTACGATTCCTGGGCTCCAGGCGCGGCCGCGAAAGCGGTACGCTAAAGTATAGGTTATATACATTTAACGATATTGTAGTTAGTTACCGCATGCGCAGCCGGTAGGCGACATGTTAGGGGCATCGGCCGAGGTGCCGTATCACCGGGACGCTGGAGGCTGCCATGTGCCGGCTCCGATGTGATGTTTAATGAAGTTCAGGGCCGTGTGAATGGAGTAAGGAGGGAAGATGGCAGCAGAGAAGGAGCCGACGAACAAGTGTGAGTGTGATGTTAGTAAATGCAGTCACAACGAGGGGAAGCCCTGCTCTGATGCTAACTGTAAGGTGTTCAAATCGTGCTGCCGCCCAAATTGCCCATTCTGCGAGAAGAAAGGGTGCGAAAAGGGACAAAGGTGTAAATGTTATTATTGTGGCTGTGATTGTCAGAATGATCCTAAGGTAAAAAGCGGGGATAAGCCGTGCAAGGAGTCCACAACATGTAACCGCTGCGCGGAGAGATGCAAAGATGTAAAAGGCAATAGGTGTTTATGTTGTCTCTGTAACTGTGGAGACCACTGTGATGGTGTGAATTGTCAGTGCTGTAAATGGTGTAATCCGTACAGCAGGTGTACTGGAACGTGTGATCGCCAGGAAACACACGACGGAGAAAAATGCCCCAAAGGCAAGTGCGCCAAAGAGCCTGGCAGTTGCGCCAAAGTCCAGTGCAGCTGCAAAGGTTCTAATGGCGCTGAAATTGCCAATGGCGAATGCCCCTGCAAGTGTAAATGTGAAAACAGGTGCCCCAGAGTAATATGCGCCGAAGCAAAAAAAGCCCGCAACCCGCCTGGCTGCGCCAAAAAGAAGGCCGACGACACATGCGGCTGCGAATGCAAGTGTACCTGTAACGTCATCGGCTACTATTACGATGCGAAAGGCGAGCTTGTTAACGTTATCGACGCAGAGGGGAGCGCACACTTCTACCTCGGCCAAAAATGCCGTTTCCCGTGCACAAATTGCGGCAAGTTATGTTCACAAGATGCATTTAGGCGTGGGTGCTATATAGGAGTCCCCATACTTCTGGTTTCAGTGGCCATCGTTTTCGTCTGTCGTTTGTATCCTGGTCCATTCCGCAAAATGTTCTATGGGCTACGTGCTGCATTTGCTAACTCGATAAAAGGATCCGGCGCATCCACAAATAATCTTGCCGGTGGAAGGATTCACGAGGAGATGGACACTGATGAATACTCCGCCTTCCCGTTCAAGGGCCTGATGTAGCTTCATATAGCACACGTTGAATGGCATATCGAAATAGATGCCATTTAAATGTCGCATTAACTGTTATCGTTAATGTATATTTCCCCTTTGCTAGATTGACGCGTTAAGTGTTGCGTGGTGGTGTACTTGTTGCCGTTATAGCTTAGAGGATGAATGAGATTGACAGTGTTAGGTGTTTTTTTATGTCGCTGAGAGTCTTGTCGGTGCGGTTCCATATAACCATGCTGTCACCCACAGCCATTCCAGATAGCACACCTTAGCCACGTCAGAAAAAAAGTCATCCAAATGCCACTGACATAATTGTGCAAGGTGCAATGATGGTAGCAGCCTAATGTAGGCACAGTGCCAGTGTGGGCAGGTAGGGCCGTGGAAAAGTGTATTTAGATGGAGATTAGGAATGCATTTGGGAGGCGGAGTGTAACGCAGCCGACGTATGGAAGTGGAACGAGGCCGAAGTAACGAGGTGAGAAACAAGTGTATCTGGAGCCGAGCGGAGTGAAGGCGACTGGAGGAGGAGCGAAGCGACGACGACCATTTTAGATGATGCAACGAGGTAACGAGTCGAGTAATAAGGCTATTTGAGGAGGCGAAAGCCGATGAAAGGAGGAGCGTAGCGACGACGACCTTAAGTGAAGGCGACTGAGGAACAAAGATTATTTGGAGGAGCGACGACAATATAAATAGAGTTTGTAGAAGAGGAGCGGAGCGACTATAGAGAAGATAATGGAGCCGAGCGTAGCGAAGCCGACTGGAGGAGGAGCGGAGCGACGACGACGTAAGGAAGTTGAACGAGGTAACGAGTTGAGTAACAACGCCATCTAAGGAGGCGAGCGCAGCGAAGGCGACTGAGGAACAAAGATTATTTGGAGGAGCAATAGCGACGACGACTGAAGATAAGGCGATCATATAAAAAGAAGGCGAGTGAAGGTTGAAATGTTGGAGGAGGAGCGGCAGCGACGACGACCTGTACAGAGACGAAGAGTAAGTAGAGTCAGGTACCAGGTAAATAGGGTGATTCAGGGATGAAGGGAAGATGAAGAAAGGAGCTGAGGGAGTAGCGTAGCGGCAGACAGGGAGCGGCAGCGACCAGAGGGATTGGAGGAAAAAAAGGTTGAGGAGATGGATTAAAGGAAGTGAAAGAAGGTGTAAAAGGCCGGGTAGGGGTAGAAGAGGGAAGCAGTAAATGGCGAATTAAGGGTGAGAAAGTGAGTAATTACTGAGTTAGGTGACAAGGCGGCAAGCAGCGATGGTAAGGCGAGATGGGCGGTGGAGAAGCACGGCAGACGGGGAGCGGCAGCGACCAGAGGGAGGGGAGGGTAGAGAGGGGATAAAGGGATAGTGAGGGCATTCAAGGAGGCGGTTGAAGGGTGAGGAAGGGAGATAATGGAAAGTGATGGAGGGTGAGAGAGCCGGTTGAGCGGCATGACTGGAGTTGATTAAGGTCGGTGGGTGGAGAGGAATGGAAGCGTTGGCAGGGAGCGATAGCGACCAGCGGCAGATGCGATTGGCTATGCAAGAGATGGGAGTGAGGGAATGGTTTAAATGATGATTAAAGAGCAAAAAGACGTTGATGGAAGAACTGTTGGAGAAGCGACAGCGACTGTGCGATATAGACGAGTGGTGTGAGACATCAACGTGTGTTGTAGGTGAAAGGCAGTGGGTGAGCTATTGGAGGCACGTGAAGGCGCGGTTACCGTGAGAGGTACCTGAGCTTGTTGGGTGGCTTGAGGCGAGCGGCAGCGAAGGGGAAATGGGTGTAGAAGCGGAGTAGACGGATGGACGCTAGGCAGGGAGCGATAGCGACACGGGGCATCTTAACGAACCAACGTCATTAGATGTTAGGTAATGAAATAAGTCATACGTCTAGGTAAATGGTGCTTTGCTATGCATTGAGTTAGTCAAGGAAGAGAGGCGGGGGCAGCTTAAGGAAGTGACAGCGCCCTCTAACAAGCGCGTAACACGAATATGAGCCCCGAAATAGTAAGGAAGCATGGGAACAACCAGAGTAGAGTAAGAGCGGCACAGCTGCAGGTCTGGGAAGATTGAAACATGACGGAGGAGTCACAATCCTAGAAAATGAGGGTCTGGAGGTTCGCGGATTGGGATATTAGGTAGCACACCGAGGTAACGAGGCCACTACATAGGCTTATCTGGAGGCGACAGCCGACTCAGGAGGAGCGCAGCGACGACGATAACGGTATCTAAGGAGGCGACAGCCGATTCAGGGAGCGACGTCAGTAGCGACGACAACATCCACAAAAGGGGACTGCAACAACGAGGCAACGAGTCGAGTAACAACGTGATCTAACGAGTTGGAGGAGCTTGCGACGACAACGTGGATAAGGAAGAGGAGCGCAGCGACGACGACTGAAGAAGTAGAAAAGGAGGCGGTACCAAGCGTATGAGGATGGCGGTACACCGAGGTAACGAGGTGAGAGACAACGCGATCTAATAGTTGGAGGAGAGACGTAAGGAGCGACTCAGGAGGAGCCGAACGAAGTGAAGGCGACCTGGAAGAAGAAGGAGGAGGAGCGTAGCGACGACGACCTGTACAGAGATGAAGAGTAAGTAGAGTCAGGTAACAGGTAAATAGGGTGATTCAGGGACGAAGAGGAAATGAAGAAAGGAGCTGAGGGAGTAGAGTAGCGGCAGACAGGGAGCGGCAGCGACCAGAGAAAAAGGAAAGTGGCAAGGCGAGAGAGAGTTTAAATGAGGGATGAGATGAGGTAGGGAGTGACTGGTCAGCGAGTGGAGATGGCAGACAGGGAGCGGCAGCGACCGGAGGGAGAGGAGAGAGAAGAGTCATGGAAAAGGTGAAATAAGGTATGAGCTGAGGTAGGTAGGGAAGTGGGCTTTGTAGTAGACCACAAACACAGAGATGAAGACCGGAATAGTAGAAATCACTGCGCTGAGAACGACAACGTGTAGGAGGCACAAAAAGAGGATAAATGTGGAAGGGGAAATGAAGGAGGAAGAGCCATGGCCTTAGAATAAGAAAGTTGTGGAAACAGAAGTGGCGATCCGAGGGAACGAGAAGACGCATCTAGGATGAGGAAATGAATGACGAGGCAGAGTAGAAGATTAATGAATAAACCGAACGTGCTATGAGGCCATTAATATGAAGATAAGCTCCGAAGCGGATGCAGAACAGAGAGCAAAGTGCTGAAACAGCGTAAACGAAGCAGAGGCACGCATATGGGAGGAAGGAAAGCACATAGACAAACCCTAATTCGCCAGGATTAGGGTTTGGTGAGCTAGGGGTTAGCGAGGTGAGGAAGAAGGCTTATCTGGAGGCGACAGCCGACTAAGGAGGAGCTTGCGACGACGACTGAAGATAAGGTGACGTGAGGAAGATTAGAAGACCGAGTTAACGAGGTGAGAGACGACGCGATCTAATAGTTGGAGGAGAGACGTAAGGAGCGACTCAGGAGGAGCCGAACGAAGTGAAGGCGACCTGGAAGAAGAAGGAGGAGGAGTGGAACGGAGCCGAAGTAAGGAGGTGCAACGAGGCGGAGGTAACGAGGTGAGAAAGAAAGAAGTGTATTTGTAGGCGAGCGAAGCGATGGCGACTGGAGGAGGAGCGCAGCGACGACGACTGAAGATAAGGCGACGTGTGGAGCCTGATCCCAGAAAATGAGGGTTGAGAGCACGTGGAAAGAGGATGATGACGGATCACCGAGGAGGTAGGACGAGGTGGGAGACAGACTGGTGTGAGGGTGATGGAGGAGCTGAATGACGAGTTCTGAGGCGAGGTTAGAGGTTAGAGGAGGATGAGGGGCAGTCACCAGGGAGCTGGAGAAGGCCGACGGAGGAGGCAGTGGGAGAGGAAAGTAAGGTGAGGGAGTGAGTAGATAATTGTGTCATGAATTGGTGGCTGGTTGAAGTAAGGCGTTTCGGGGGATGAAGTAAGACGGTGAAAGAAGGCAATTTAGGCAGGGCGTCGGTGAAGAAGGGCAGGGAGCGACAGCGACCAGAGGGAGAGGAGAAAAAAACGAGAAATTGGTAGATATTGAAAAAGGTTAAAAGGCCGGGTAAGGGATATGAGGGAGGCTGACGAAGGAGGCTGATTAAAGAGGAAAGCGGTGGAGAAGGGGGACTGAAGGAGGGAGGCTAAGGGACAGTGAAAGGCTGACGGAGGGAGCGATAGCGACCATAGAAGAGAGTGGAAGTGAGGAAAGGCCAGGAAAGTGAGTGAGGCGGTTAAAGGGATTAATGGGCGATGGATAAAGAAACCTAAGGGAGTATGACAGGCCGACGGAGGAGGCAGTGGAAGGGAGAGGAGAGTGATGGATTGGGATGATGGTCGGCAGTAAGGGAGATTGAGAGACGCCATGAGGGGCGTCATTTGAGATGATCAAGGGCAGTGAGGGGAGTGAAGGAAGTTGGGAGGGGGATGAAGTAAGGCGGTGGGAGAAGGCAGGGAGCGACAGCGACCAGAGAATGAGGAGGGTGGAGAGAGAGAAGAGTCATGGAACAGGTGAAATAAGGTACGAACTGCGGCAAGGCAAATAAATTTGCCTATAGAAGACTGACAATACAGAAATACGACTGGAGGATGAATTAAAAGCTTAGCAACAGGCAAAGCAGCGTGAGAGAGGCGCGGATAAAGCTACGGGAAGCAGGAAAGCACATAGACAAACCCTAATTCGCCAGGATTAGGGTTTGGTGAGATGGGGGTTAGGAAATTAGGTTCTTAGGGCTGTTAGGTTTAGGTTTAGGGTTTAGGTTTAGGGTTTAGGGTTTAGGGTTTAGGGTTTAGGGTTTAGGTTTAGGTTTAGGTTTAGGTTTAGGTTTAGGTTTAGGGTTTAGGTTTAGGGTTTAGGTTTAGGTTTAGGTTTAGGTTTAGGTTTAGGGTTTAGGTTTAGGTTTAGGTTTAGGTTTAGGTTTAGGTTTAGGTTTAGGGTTTAGGTTTAGGTTTAGGGTTTAGGGTTTAGGTTTAGGGTTTAGGTTTAGGGTTTAGGTTTAGGGTTTAGGTTTAGGGTTTAGGGTTTAGGTTTAGG